ATGATACAGTCCATGATATATGCACATCCCTTTCAGCGATTCAAAGCCTAGAAAGCCCACCAGTCTCGACACTTGGCCAGGTCGATCAATCGGTTGTTCCCGTCCGAATCGCTTGACGTGCTTAGGACGGTACGGAGTACTGGTGCTAGGCTGGTGTGGCCCCATCTGACTTAAGTAGTGTCTCGCCCCTGAACGCTGCCTCCATCAACCTCATCGTTCCGCTCCAACTCTATTTCGTCCTCACCTTTACGTTGTCCCTCTTCATCTCTTTTCCTTCCATGACCATGTCTCTGACATTCCTTCTTTGATCGACTCTTGTGGAGTCTGGCAGAGTGCCTTGAGCTCGGCATTGTTCAACTTCCTGTCCAAAAGTGGGCTCTCGGCTGCCGAAGATCATCAGGATCACGACTGCATTTCCTCCATCAAACGAACCTCGTTACCAACTTGTCAGAAGTTGGAAAATGGTCGAAACTGGTGGTCTTGTGGATCAGCGCCTTATATTGCTCCTGGCCCGCTTTTTGTCCTTTGTCCGCCATGTCAACGGCTTATTATCTTGTCAAAAGAGCTATCTTCACTCCACGAGTTGGGAAGAAATGTACCTTACTACCACAAAGGCTTCATCGAAGGTTAGCTCTAATCAAACGCATTGAGCAACTAGAGATGCTGTCACTCAGAGCGCCAAATGGAGGCAGGTACCTGAGGTAAGTCGTCAACTATTCGAAGCGGGCAATTAAGGGCCCCCCAAGAGCCTAAACAGTGATACAATGCAATTTAGACGCTGGTTCACATTGGTCTATTTGACAATTGTAGGGATATCGTCTGGTAGGAATTGACAATATACGCGCAACTTCTTTTCCCATATCCAAACTGGAATGTTCTCACTCTACCAAAATTTGTCGACCTTCTCGGCTCATGTGACCACAAACCGCAGAGCAGCAATACCAAATGGTTGCCTCTGGATTAGCCAACAGTACACATCTACGACCGACTGGTCTTCCCCGGGCTGGACTTCTTCAGCAGGCAAATCCCAGATGCTGACAGGAATGTTCTGGTTCACGGACTTACGACTTTCAGCGCCGCCGATGACCAGCGCAGCAGAGCAGCTGATAACTTGCGTCACCATGATAGCGCATGCATTCCAAGACCTCTGGCAATTGCTGCTTGTGTGATTTCAGCAGGGGTAATATGGAGAGATAACTTTCCAGCCGGTATCCGCAACCAATCCTGGAAATGTTTCCAGTCGCTGATCAAGTTGCATCACTTGAATCAGACCCATCGACGACCCCAATTCGCCAACCCATCCTGCAGACTCAAACTGCCCGAGCGCTGTTCATGCGTTCATGTTGGAGTTGAGCCATGGCGTCTGGCCGAAAGAGGCTATGCAACATCTGATGGACAGTTTTCGTCACAGTCAAACGGCTATTGCGCAGGCTGATCAACCTTGACAGGGGCTGGAAGGCAAATGTTTCCAACAGTTGTTTCCAAGAGAAAGACACGGAGCTGCTGGCTATAAATATCGCTTCCCCTCCAGCCGTTTCTTCTATCGTTCTAATTCTACATTCTATCTGAGGAGTCCTTAGTCTGCGTTTCGACTCTGCAAATTGACATCAGTTTTTAGACAGCGACCAAGACGACCTTGGCCATTGCAAACATGAAGCAAGGTATGTGGGACTAATTGTCATGCACTACATCAACAATATGCCATTCTCAAGTCGTACAATTCAAGTTGCTGACCATGTCATGTAGCGATCGAAGACCGGAGCCACAGCAATGGTTCGTGCCACCATGGCGGTGAAATGGGCAAAGACGAATGCTTTGTCACTGTGAACTCTGTCTGACTTATACCAGAAGACCGCAAGACCTGCGGAGGAGGAAGAGCATCTGCTTCCGGGCTTTATATAAAGACGGGCAGCGTTTCAGGAGCTCCCAACCGCAATCGCACGCCTCCTCCACCCACGAGGCCTCCTCCGCGACCCCAGGAGCCGAGACCAATGCCTGGCATCTCGTAAACGAGGCAGCTTCGACACGGACTCTTCGATGTGGCGTCGGGCAAAGTGAAGCATCGCACGATTCGTAGAAGAATGCCAGCAGGGAGGCATGATGCTACGGTATCCTGTCTAGAGCATGAGCTACAAGCATTACTTTCAGCGCTAGTCCGTCCTTTGTCCCGAGGGCGCGAGCAGTTCTTTCCATAGTTCATTATCACAGAATGAGAATCAAAGTCACTCCTTCGGGATACGATGCGCTGTCTTCGATAACGTTTCTTGTGATCATCAAAGTCTCGTTAGGTATGAATGACTGAGCGTCAAAGTCAATATTTTCTACACTTTTTCCTCCTCTTGGTTGCGCTGAAGCTCTTGGTCCACTTACAATTCGACAAGCTGTGCCTATGAGTTCGAGGGCACTTCGAATGAGCGACGAGTAGACTCTAGACCCTTATCGATTTAGTCTGGAGACCTACCTATTTGCTCCGTAACGGAGGCAGCTTCGTTGGTGCAAAGTGGCACCACCAAAGACAACTGCAACACACAGATTCATGCCTTAGCGTGAAGGTCAACGACTAGGATGCATGGAAACAAAAATCCATCGTGTCGTCAGAAGGCCACCTATTGCTGGCCGAGGTCTCTGTGCGTACTCTGTCCATGGTCATTTATTGGAAGACAGGCTGGTGATCATGCATGCCTCGCCTAAGGACGGAGTATAATTCATCCCAGCTCCTCTCCTCCTCCAAAGTCGACCCCTGGGGGTGGGGTGGATCTCGCAAGACAAGCTCTCCAGCAACTATGGCGTAGGTGGGAACTCATTAGCACAGAAACACCCACCCATACGCAGTAGATCTCTGGCGATTCACTCTGACACCGAGGCTTGATTGTTAACCGGATGCAGACGACATGCTTCTCCCTGCCTTCCGCAGCATTCGGATATCTGATCTAGGTGAAATCGTTTCAAAGAATATGTGATCATGACGGCAGGTGGTGCTCTGTTGCACAAGGGAACCGGACGCCACGACCCACGAATGCCAGCAAGGGATCAATGCAACCAACAGCCCAAGCGACAGCTCACTGGTGACATTCGATTTCCAGGCACGCGAGTGGATGCCTCGATTGCTGGGTAGCCATGCTTCACAAGCCAGCCATAGATGGGCCACTCAATGCACAGCGAAATGCAAGCTGGGCCGGCCAGCGTTGTCCACGCAGGCCGCCTAGGCTAGCTGCAAGCACGGGGCGTCGACTTGAAGAAGTGATAGGTGGAGACGGCAGAGAGAAAAAGACAGTCTGTCATGCACATCGTACAGCGTGCAGGATCTGGGCAGGCTGCGGTTGGCGTTTTGAAAATTACTCGGTTGGGAACGGACTATACTGTACAATAACCGGTGGTATGCTCACCAGCGAGTCCTTCATTTGACTAAAGAGCGTGAAACGAGACTGACCAATATGTGGGAGAAAATGGTGAGGCCAGTTCGCCATACTTGGAGCACCTGTGTCTTTACCACCGATCGTGCCTAAGATCAGCCTGGCCAGGGCCGTGCCGACGCCTTAAGTTTTTATCAGAAAGTACGGAATACCGTAAGGAGTGCAAATTTATCAGGGAGTGGGCGGTAGAAATCATCTTCACTTCCCGGGTCCGAGGACTGCTTAATTCCCTGATGAACCTCCCTGTTCCCTGCTCTCTACCTCAAGGTATCCACCTAAGGTACGTACCGAGGCGCCAGATTGTGACCAGGCAGAAGATACAGGCTTGTCCATCAAGCCAACAACCATGGTAGGCTCGTCGCTGGCTTTGCGTCTTGCCGAAGCCAGGCGTTGATCTCTCATTTGATGCCTGAACTCCGGCGCTAGTAGTAGCCACATTGGGCGGGCTTGTGGTCAGGCTTAGGCGTCCCCTAGGTATATACCTTAGGTATCTCTTCCCGCCCATTCCAAGCTCCTTCGGTGATGGATGCGCTCCTTCCTGCCTTATTAGTCGTACTCGTACGGAGTACGGAGTACTCGTATCCCAAATGAAGCTAAACTCCTCGTTCTCGACATGTTGATCCGTCCCGCCACGGACAGAGTAAGTAGAATCAAATCCACCTTGTCCTGCTCGGATTCTTTTCTTCTAGTCATGCTATTCTGCATGTCCCTGATGTGTCCAGAGAATGGGATTGTGAGTTTCCCTGCCGTTTTCTCCCTATTCACCATTGCCCTCGCCGTTTGTTCCTGAGTTCTTCAGCCTGACCAATGCCACTTCTACGCCGACTCCTTCACCTAAGTATGCATGACAGTCCTCTGTTCAAGCCTTCTTCCCAACCTCTCATTCGATACACTTTTCTTTCGCTTACCGGGGTGGCTGTTTATTGTTACACAACAGCAGCAGACACGAGTAGGCCCACCACCAGCCATGTAGGTCCCGACTTCTTCAGCCTACCCCGGTATTTTTTTCTACCTTCCAGCCCAAGCCATCTCTCAACTCCCTCGATTTGCTCCTCTGCTTTGTCTCCAAGATCTTCGTTTGCCCCTGCCCTACTCCTCTTTCAGCTCGCCTATGACTCGCTGCTCGTGCACATGGAGTGCATGACTGCTTTCCCCATCGGTTAACAAAAGAACAGGTCAGAAAGATCGCCAAGTCCCCAGAGCCCGGGCATGGTTGCGATTCTGCCTGCATCTATCCCATCCCATCCTCCATTCCCACTAAATCTAATCGCCCACGCTCACATTTGCCAATTGGTTGCTCAGCGACCCCCCGGGTAGTTCTCCACATTCCCAGCTCTGATGAAGACAGACTGGGCGATACGACAGTATCTTCCAGCAAATCAGCAACTGCATGAAGAGTTTGCTTGATCATGTAGCTACGATTGCTACATGTCCCTCCAACCAGAAAACTGTGGGATTGACAACAAGACCCGCAGTGACTTCCAGCACGTGCTCTTCCTCAGGTGCCGAAGCACAAGCTCTGGGATCTTGACCGTTCAAAATCCTGCTCGCGACCATCTGGTGGTGACAAGAGTTATTTTGTCCGCCATGTCGAACGCCAGATCCCTGCATCATCCAAGAGATGCGTGGGAAATATGGAGAGAGGCCATCGGCCATTTATATCTCGCCGAGAATAGAACATGCGGATACATTAAGGCCTTCCTCATTTCAAATCACTTCCCTTGCAGCGAAAGGCAGATCAAGAATCGACTCAGAGATTGGAAGTTAGAACGCAAAAAGACCCCGTCTCAACATTACCTAGCGATGATGTCAGTTGCAAACAATGAGCGGAATGCTGGGTATGAAATCGTGTTTAAAGTACCAAAGCGCTGGGGTACGGAACACTTCAACCTTAAGAAGATCAAAAAGGAATGTGACAGGGTTAAGAAAAGGTTCGGCAGAGCTCATGACGACTTTTCACTCCCATCACTTGAAAATGCCAGGCTAGTGCTACGGAATGCTGGCATTACTCCATTTTTAGGTCGGCCAGCACCTTATCCAGATATCTCGGGCGCCCCTGGTGACTATAAGCGATACTCTCTTGGAAATCCCTTCGCAACCTACACGGGTTGGATAGTCCCAAGTGACGACAGTGTCCAAGTCAGCGGGGGAGACTTCGAAAGAAGATCTGTCTGCATATTTCTCGAGAACCCACCCACTTGCCATTCTTCTCCCACGGCGGTCCAGACTTCTGCTATACAAGTTGATAACTTGTGTACGATTGCAAGCTGTGATGACCTGGCCTCTTCTTTGCCCATGTCAGTTGTCGTGAAGAACCCACCCAGTCCCCAGTGGCCTCTATGCGAAGATAATGGCATGAATTGGGAGCCATGTATTCTGGATGATCAGCCAAGGTCTTTGGCCTATCCCGAGCCGACCACTGTTTTACATGATACCTTACCTACGGTAGCTCTTTGTCCTGATAGAACAAGCTTTGTGATTGCTCTACTGGACACACGGTCAGGCTTTACAAGCCTTCAATGTTATGACTTCAAGGAAGAGCCAATGACCAACTTTGAGATTTCCAGAAATCAGGACATCATCATGAAAGAAGGAAACTATAATAGTTTGCATGCAAATCAGTATTCCAAGCCCGTTGAAAGTGGATTATTCCGTCGCGGTATCGACATTGGCCCGATGGATATTTCACACAGTTCGCAAGATCCTAAAGACTTTGTCAACGATATCACGCAAGATGATGACGAAAGTCGGGTCGTCTACGGACTACTTGATGGAGTTGGTGAATGGCTCCTTCCAACTCTTATTTGGATGCAGGTGATTCTTGCATCAGATGGCCGAGAGAAAGATCTGAAACAATTCCTCTCCAACACCTGCAATACACTTGAACAAGCGCACTATCTCGAAAACAAGGATGCCTTTGCTGTGCCATTTCGCTATGTTTGGGCGGATCTTATTCGGCACTCCAACGGCCGTATTTACTGGGGCCAGAAGCTACCCTTTGCGCAGACTCAAATCATAAACATTCAGGGATTTTACCATCCGAATACCTTCATCATCGAACATTACACCGCGTGGTGTGATATGTATTGCGGTCGACTCAGAAAAGGCGTCACGACCTTGAAAGCTTCTCTTGCTGTCTGCGAGGCGTACTTGGGACTCGACAGCATCGTGACCATCACCCGCTGGGTCCTCATCTCCCGCGGTCTGGAGAAACAAGATAATCTGGACGAGGCCCTCGTGTATATTACGAAAGCCACGAAGCAGTTGAACGGCAGTCGTTCCGACCTAGCGAAATATCGATTTATGATTTTACACAGACGTGGGGTAATCGAGCTACAGACCAACAGACTGGAGGAGGCGGAACAGCATCTTCTCGCTGCGTTGCTTGGTCGCTTCGAAGTGTGCGGTCTGGAGGATAACGCGACGTGGTCGAGCGTCTCTCAATATACCCACGCATTGGTACTGACCGGACGAGTCGATACAGCCACTGAAGTGTCGGATTACTTTACCCGACGTCTCAATTGGGAACGCAACCTCGAATGGACCATCGGGCACCAAGAAGATCTCGATATCCCTGACCCTCCGTCCTGGATGTCAGCTGAGTTTCATTCTAAAGCAGCAAAGCTTGCCTCAACAAAGCTTGCCTCAACAAAGCTTGCCTCAACAAAGCTTGCCTTAGGCTACTGTGTTATCGACGGGCCTTGAAAAATTGATCCAAGTATGGCTCGAGAAAGACGACGATGACTATGACGAAATGACGCAAAAGGCGAATTTGAGATGCGAAGACACTACTACTACGTCTTTCACTCAAGAAATGAAAAGCAAAGACAAAGGAAATGAAAAGGAATTAAATTGGACTGGTATTTTCTAGTTTGGGAAGATTTTGTGCTCTGAAAAATGAACATTTTTTTTGCGGACAAAAAATAGGCCGGTGGCCTGAATTTTATTTACGCTGCTCCATTATGGAGTATGTTGAGAAGATTGTTGAAGTCTTTGGGACCTGGTTGTACTTGACTTGAGCTGTTTTTTAGCGGACATTTTGGTGGGGTTTCGTTTTATTCTTTTACTGATACTAGTACCAAGATGAATGTTACCCTGTATTATGATGAAAGGTCGAAATGAAAAGAAGACTTGATGTCAAAACAGGGGTGGCGAGCCTTGAGGTTGAATTTTACCTCCAGCACCGAGTGGGAAAAAAATGTGTATAGTAGCGATTAGTCAGGATTGACTTGGGGTTATGGACAAAGTACTGTATATAGGAGCGCGCTTGATATAGCTCCTTTCGGGACGCCAAAGCACAATTGCATGAGTTGAACACCTCCTCAGCCAGGTTAAAATCAACGTGCCTCCAACCGCTGAATTCATGCCTTCGACCGCTACCGTGCAGCTGCCAACTCACCCACTTGGCGAATATAGAAGAACCATCCCCCACCGTGACGCATTGAAGGTGCTCTTCAGATTTCGACCGAGTTGAGTCGAGGAGACTCGTCCATCAGATCGATCACGTCGTTACAAAGTGGCCGGAGTACGCACGTTTTTCTTGACGCCTTCGAGGAAGCACTGCCAATCTTCCTTCTGAGTTCCTCTAGGTAAATCAACGATCCTGGGCGAGTTGAATCTCACCAGCTTTCTCGCCTCCAAGAAAAAGGTCACACGAATCGTTCATCAGCAGGTCGTCGTGACCGGTCTCCCCCGCAGCTCTTTCAGCTCTTCGAACTTACAAGGGATCTCGGTTTTCGGAATCGGCATGATGATGGGGAGTCGCATCGTTAGTACAAATTGTGCTCTGCAAAGATATAGATGGAGCCGAGGAGCGTCGCGATACCGCATTGGCCACGGCCAATTATTCTCACCTTACGGGGGCGACCTTTCGACGTGCTTGGTTCCGACGGTTGCCTCGTAAAGCACAACTGATCTTGCGGAATCCTAATGCACTGTGAAAAGCCGACTATCTCGACGAACTCCTGTGTAACCTGGTGGGAAGTAAGCGGCTCCATACTCGTTTTGTATGAATCCGTCGTCCTTCGAGATTCGTGGTGAACAATGAACACGCACCATTGCCACGCCTCGGACTTCCAGAAAGTCGGACTGGTCATCCGCTGATTGTTTGCTCGGATGACCCTAGTCATAGGTATTCTAGAACAGAATTTACATGGGACCAAGAGGCCTACCTGAAGATCCCTATGTACAGCTTAGAGAAGACACCGTCCGCATCAGCGCACTTCAACATACTTGAAACGGAGCTGAAGAAGGTGCCATGATATTCCCCGGTCCCAGGATACATAAATGGAAGAAGAGGTGCAGACGATGAAACCTCTCAAGTCTATCATCACTTGCAAAATTCCGCCGCAATTGCTACATAGGAATCCAGAAGCTCGTGCAACGACTTGATCTCTACCCACTCCGTCTTTGCGTGTAAGCCAAAGCCATTCGGACCCCATACCAAACCGGGGACTCCCGCATCAGCGAGCAACGCCATATCTGTCCAGTAAGCTGCTCCATGGAGTGATGGCTCCCTGCCGGTCCTTGTCGCGGCGTGTTTGGCCACGAGTTTGACGAATTCATGGTCGCGAGCAATGGAGAATGGAGATCGAGCAAAGGTCGTGCGAAGGTCGAACTTGAAGTCGGGCACGGTTCGCGACAACTTGGTCAAGATTTTCAAGAGGTCCTCTTTGACGGTTTCTGTGGGTTCACTGCCGACGGTACGATGTTCGATCGAGATATTACAGCGAGCAGGGTACGAGTTGACCTCCTCTCCACCCTTGATGGTGCCGACGTGAATGTTGCCGACGCTGTTCTCGACTTCGGCGGCCTCGAACCGCTTCTTGAGCTCTTGAGCGTGGCGATCCAGTTCGACCAAAAAGTGGCCTGCCTTGCAGACGGCATCGACGCCCAGGTCGGGTCGGGACCCATGCGCAGCTGAACCGTGAATGTCGACCTCGAACAACGTATAGCCCTTGTGGTGGTGGACGATGTCCATCTCCGTGGGCTCGGCGACCAGTGCTGCATCAGCTCGCCAACCTGCCGCGATCAACTGCTCGGTGCCGATGCTGTTCATCTCTTCGTCCGCCACCGCCGAGAGGATCACATCGCCTTTGAGCTTGAGACCTTTAGCACGGTCGAGCGCCACCATCATGACTGCAATGCCGCTCTTCATGTCAGCGGCCCCTCTGCCATATATACATCCTTTGGAGATATTCGCGCCGAGCGCATCACCGTCATACCCGCGCAAAGTGACGGTGTCGATGTGTCCGTTGAGCATCAAGCTCTTTCCGCCTCCCGAGCCTCGCACCACCCCGACCACCGTCGGCCGCCCGGCAGATGGTTCAATCCAGTGTGTCTCGATGCCTCGGTGGTCGAGCCATGTCTTGATATATCGCGCCACCTCCTTCTCTCCTGGCCCGCCAGAATCGGGGTTCGAAGAATCAATTCGTATGAGAGTTTGTGTCAAAGATATGACATCGCTACAGGACACATCGGCGTCGTAGGGAGCAATCATGGCGGAGATTTACAACGTGAGACTGTGCGAGGCTCCTACTGCGTTGCGGAGGGCCCTCAGATAAAGAGCCTGGTTGTAATTTCACTGAACATTTGATCTTTGATGCTTGACGCTTGAACACTCATTTGCTACACCTCTCATATGCTGTGTCCAGTCGAGGCACCGGCACGCCCCGTATGTGGGGTTGCCTTGCAAGATTTATCTGGGCGCAATTGATGCTAGAGAAAGGGGAAGGATTCAGCGAAAGATGACATAAACAATTTCCGTGCCGATAAGATATCTAACTAAGTAAGGCTATCCGTACGAGGACGGAGTATTGCGTATGATAAGAAGGTGTAGGGCCACCGAAATCCGAGGTTCACAGACAGTCAACGGTCGCTCCTTGTTGATCGTCTCCAAAGTTGACCTTGATGTGATGTTCGGTTCATGTTGCCTTTTTGACTGGATAGTCATCATACGTCGTAAGAGAGTTCAAAGACTTTTCTTAAAAGCTGGGGGACAAAACCCCTGAGAAGTTCAGGTTTCACTCAGACAGATGCGGCCGACCAAGGACTCCATGGTCTTCGAGCAAAAATGGACTGACTATATGCTGCTGATCTCTCGAGCCTCGAACCAGGTCTATTTCTTTCACAATTTTGACATCGTGCCGACAGTAAGAGTGCCGGTTTTCGCGATCAAGTACTCCTCAACAGCCACATCCTTTCCAGCTTCCTTACCGTAACCTGATTCTTTGATCCCGCCGAACGGGGACTCTGCTCCGGAAGCGTTTCCTAGCATCTGCGTCAGCACCAACCCACAGTCTGGCGGTGTCAAGGGGATTCGAACCAGTGTTCATTCCAATCATACCCGCCTCGAGGCTTTCTAAGAGTCTCCAGGTCCTCTGTACATCGCGTGTGAAGAAATAGGAGGCAAGGCCCAGAGAGGTATCATTTGCCAATCCCACGACCTCTTCCTCGGTGTCAAACCTGTACAAACCTAGAAGAGGCCCGAAGATTTCTTCTCGTGTAGTCAACATTGAAGGAGTCATGTTGGAGATGATAGTGGGCTCGAAGAAATAGCCACCGTGCTTGTTAAGTGACTTCCCACCATAGAGCACCTGGCCTCCTTGGCCGACGGCATCAGCAACGTGCCGCTCCAGCTTTTCGAGACTTCGACTGGTAGTCAGAGCTCCCATGGTGGTGGAGGGCTCAGCACCATGTCCCACTCGCAGATTTTGTGTCGCGTTGACCATCATTTGCGCGAATTTGTCATAAACACCACGTTGCACGTACACTCGGTTTGCATGAGTGCAGGCTTGTCCTGCTGTGCGCCACTTGAGTATCATCAGGGCTGCCACGGCCTGTTCAAGGTCTCCATCGTCGAAGACGATAAAGGGACAGTTACCACCTAGTTCGAGAGTTACTCTCTTGAGACCATCGCTACAGTGTTTGGCAATGAGCTTTCCCACTGCGGTACTGCCCGTGAAGGTTACCTTTCGTACTAGAGGGTGTTTGCAAAGAGATTCGCTGACTGAAGGTGTGTTGGTATTGTCGGTGGTGATGACATTAAAGACTCCCGGGGGGAAACCAGCACGCAGTGCCATGTCAGCAAGTGCCAATGTGCTCAGCGGCGTCTCTGGAGACGGCTTCACAATCATGCTACAACCCGCTGCCAGAGCGGCCGCGACCTTGCGGATGATCATAGCGACGGGGAAGTTCCACGGGACGAGCGCGACACTGACACCAATTGGCTGTTTGATGACATACGTTCGGCGTTCTGAATTGGAGGGTATAGCGATGCTGCCACGCACCCTCTCAGCCTCGCCTGCAAACCACCACGCAAAACCGAGGGCATAGTCTATCTCGCCGCGTGACTCGCTCAAAGGCTTCCCGGTCTCGTATGTCACCAAGTTGGCAACGTCCTCTCGAGCATTCGCGATGAGGTCATGCCATTTCAACAGCCATTTGGCACGTTGGCGCGGGTTGACATGGCGGTATTCGCGAAATGCCTCGTGCGAGGTGCGCACGTAATTGTCCACATCGTCCACCTTGTTCGTTGGACAGCTCGCAAACACTTTGCCACTGCCAGGATCTAGAATATTCCCGTTCATAAATGACGACCAGTGCCATGGGCGTACTATAAGCGCTTACCTTCGATATCAAATTGCTCATGAGACCTGGATTGAACCCATTTGCCGTTCAAGAGCGACATCTCATGGAAGAGAACAGGATCGTCGAGCTGAAGGCATAGTCAGATACTTGCAGCCCCTGCCGGCCGAAGGCGGAGTAAGGTCGTACTCACCTTGAATGGTAATGATCGACCCATGATATCGGAGAGAAAGGGTACACAGAAGAATTAAAAACCGAGGACAAGCTGGCCGACAGTACTTGTATAGCACATTCACTCATAGGACTCAGAGGACTATCGTACCTGTTTATATGTAGCAGACGTCTGGCCAAAATATCCACCTCAGTGACAGCGTGACTGACGGGCCTATCTAGCCTATCCATCCAGGAATTCTCGGTCTACTGCCGCTCCAGCATGGTGTATGAGCCCTTTCAGTGACGGCATCGTACCTACAAGTCCATCGAATCGAGACCTCTGAACAGAACTGTTGTCGGCGCGTCAATGTGCTTGCTCCCTGACTGTTTGCTTCTCTGTGTGCCAAACCCGTTTGCTGGGTCGCGTAGTTGTGCCATAGTTCTTAGTCATGATCATTTAACGCTCGTACCTGCCTTTAGGGGTCCGACATATATCTCTTCGTGGGAACACGGCTTCGAGGACTGGCGGAATCAGTTTCCTTCAAATTTCATGGGTCTTCTGCGACTCCACCTGTTCTTATTATTGGATCAGTCGTGGGAACACCTGATATAGGCCTGGCGCCCACTAAAGGTAAGTATCACCGAAGGAAGCCTGTAAGCTATCCCGCCGCCCACCCACCGGGCTTTTGCCAAGCCACGGCCTCGCGGGGCCAATAGCCGTGGTTCCATCAAACCAACGCAAAGGTCTGAGGCTTCAGCGATACTGGCCAAAAGGAAACTCACCAAGGACGTGGATATGGTGAGATTGGCGATATGACTTCGCTAAAATCGGGGATCTGGATCTCAACGTCCCATATGGCTCCAAACCCTGACATTTGCGCCTAAAGCCTTATAATTTGAAGCCTGCCCTTTGCCAACTTCAATGCTCTCTTTCTCAAGTGGACTCCCAATATCCGAAAAGCTTTGTTTTGTGTTCATCAATTGTCCAACGATCATCATGGCTTTACGACTCCATCCATTCGACCCTCTTACGCCCTACGAGATCTCTAAGGTAAATCACCCGTTGTCTGTGTAGTTTGCGAGGCCTTATAGTGTTCTATTACCAAGCAATGCAAGCTGATTCGAGCGTGAGAACAGGCAGCCAGCATAGTGCGTCCACATTTTGGAGCCCAAGATCCGAATTTCCGCGTTATCACCCTACAAGAACCACCCAAAAACCAGATGATCCATTTTCTTGACAAGGAGCATCGGAATCAGCCCCTGGGAGAGGCACCGAGACGATGTGCCCGCGTTGAGCTGGTTGTAGTTGGATCAGACAACCATAACGAGCTCTTTGACTTACTAGTGGACCTCGACAACGACAAAGTGATCGCCAAGAAACACCAGAAGGGCAAGCATTCTTATATCGATGCTGACTACATGAAGCAAGTCGAAAATGCTTGCCTTGCCAACCGAGAAGTACAAGAGCAGATCAGGAAGCTTGGCCTGCCCTCAGGCTCGACTGTGGTTGTCGAGGCTTGGGCGTACGCTACCGATGGCATGAACGACATGGCCCAGCGGGTGACCATGGTAGGCTATACTGCACCCTTCAGTTGTGGAAGAATGGAGCTGATCCGGATATTAAGTGCTGGTTCTACCTAAGGATGTTTCAAAACCCGGACGCAAACTACTATGCATATCCTCTTGATGTATGTGCCGAAGTCTCAGAACAACTGGTGGTTACCAAAGTGTATCGCTTGCCCACACGCCCAGACGAACGTATACATATGGCAGATCGACCTTTCGACCGCCGCAAGATCCACCCTAAGGTCATGAGCGAATATCATCCGGGCTTGAGACCAAGTCCAAGGACCACTCTAAAGCCATATCAAGTGGTTCAACCGGAAGGACCATCCTTCCACGTACAAGGTCAGCATATTAGCTGGGAGAAATGGGGCTTCAGAGTCGGCTTTAACTATCGTGAGGGCCTGACGCTCCATGACATTCGCTACGATGGAAGAAGTCTCTTCTATCGTTTGTCTCTTGCCGAGATGTTCGTGCCATATGGTGACCCGCGGGCACCATATCCTCGCAAGGCTGCCTTTGATCTGGGTAATGATGGAGCCGGTATCAACGCCAATAACCTACGCTTGGGATGTGACTGTCTCGGAGCCATTAAGTATTTCGACGGCTGGCACAATGCTGCCTCTGGAAAGCCTCTCAAGCTCCCGAACGTGATCTGCTGCCATGAACAAGACGACGGTATCTTGTGGAAACACACGAACTTCCGCACACAGAACGCCGTAGTGACCCGCTCCAGAATTCTCGTACTACAAACCATCATTACGGTCAGCAACTACGAGTATATCTTTGCCTTTCACTTTGCTCAAGACGCCTCAATCTTCTTTGAAGTGAGAGCAACAGGGATCTTATCAACAGTACCACACGATGTCAGCTACAGGCAGAAAGTGCCGTACGGTACCGTGGTAGCGCCTGGAGTTTTGGCACCTTATCATCAGCATCTTTTCAGTCTTCGTATTGACCCTGCTATTGACGGACAAGATAACTCCTTAGTTATTGAAGAGTCAAAAAGCCTACCAATGGGTGATCCAACGGTCCATAATCCGTTCGGAGTGGGTTATGTTACGGAGAATCGCACTGTAGAAGAAGAAGGTGGCTTTGATCTTGATCTCACCAAAGCTCGTGTCTTCAAGTTTGTCAACGAGAGCAAGATCAACCCTATCACTGGCACACCAGTCGGCTTTAAACTAATGCCTTTTCCAAGCCAGATGCTTCTATCTCACCCGGACTCATTCCACGCTAAACGATCGGAATTCGCTAAGCACGCCGTATGGGTAACGCGCTATGAAGACAACGAGCTCTTCCCTGCTGGGCGATACACTATGCAATCTTTGGGTGGTGATGGCATTGCTTCAGGCATCAGCAAACGCCGAGCTACAGGGGATGCTCAAACAGTCAGAAACCAAGATATTGTTATCTGGCACACCTTTGGCTCAACTCATAACCCACGTATCGAGGACTGGCCGGTGATGCCTAACGAGAAGATGATGGTCGGTTTGAAGCCGGTGAACTTTTTCTCTGGCAATCCAGGCTTAGATGTGCCTGTTTCGACGCAAGACATGAACAAGAGTGTTCTATATGAAGACAAAAATGCCTGCAACAATGCCTGTCGACATTCACGACTGTGATTACTTGTCGTTGTAATTCTTGCAACATGCTCTGGGAGGTCTTGCCGTATACACAACGCACGTGATGGATAGTGAGAAGAGGAAACTACCAACGAGGTGGGAGGTGTGGGTGAGGGATAGACCAATAACCGAATTGCCAGGTGGAGCAGGGAGACAAAAGGAAACAGCCAGCGAAACTCGGGCGGAAAGGATCGCCACACTTCCTTCACCCTGAAAGAGTACTCAAGTCCAATACAAGCCGGCTGGTTGTTTGAGATGAGAGGTCCGAGAGTATCTCTCGTAACACAACATAATGCTGATGATCACGGTTACACTTGTCTCGTGCAGATGCTTGCGATAATGACTGGTGATAGCAGGTACTCCTCAGTCGCTGGCTCCATGCAATACTTTTGACCATTGACCGGCCAGTCATTCTTAGAAGTAGGATTTGTGCTGCCTCACAACCTGGTTCAGGCGAAGGCTTAGATCTGGGCTGGCAATAGCCTCTGTGCCTCTTCCCGGCGTCAATTCCACCTAATCGACAGTTGAACCGTCTCGTAGGCCCATTACGTCAGCTACTCGGACCTGCCCGCTTTATCGGATGCTCTTTGTAATTTAAACACTTTGTCGTTGACCACCATTGATTCGTATCCCGATCACGGCGTCATGACACAGTGCTCTGATGGAGGGAAGAGCGCAGCTAGACGCGACTGGCAACAAGGCCGCGCTCCCATGGGACATGCACAAGATCAAAGACCACGAGTCGCAACGTGCGAAGAGTCCGAAGCGAATGTCATATTCTGGGTAACTTGATCAGATTCTTTGAATTGCTACTTTGCATCTGACGAGGAAAAGATGTTGGACATGTCGAAAACGGCACGTCAAGTGCGACGAAAGACCCGTTACCTGTAACAACTGTCAGCAGGCGAACCTAGAGTGCGCAGGCTATGAAGTCCGCCTCATCTGGGATGTCGAGCGGAGGAGGAAACTCCAGCGGCCGTCAGCTAGTCGGCGGAAGATTATCTCCAGTATGCTTGCCCATGGTGTGCCAAAGCTGTATTGACCAACAACTCTCCAAGTGGGTAGCATGTGCGATCCCATGACAGATGAGGAGATTGTGCAGAATCTTTCTAAAATAGATGAAGCTGCCACCGAGCATTTGACAGCTGTTGTTGGGCCCTTTGCTGTCTTCCGACCTACAATTGAACCCTTTTTGTCGCAATATGGACAAGGCTGCAACTCTTCCTCGCAAAGACCTGTTGTTGATGGACTGACCGAGACGATACCTGCTGAGTCTGAGGATGATGTTGAAATCGACGCCGGAGCTTGCGGCTATCATGACTCAAGATCGGAAGCGGGATTTGATGCTGTTCAAGAATCCGGGAAGCTCCCTTCGATCATTTCCGACGGTCAATTCTGTCGGTCAACGAATGGTCTTTCAACGGGTCTGTACAATTTTTGTGATCAAGGTGATGCGCCTGAGATCTCGACATTAGCTCACAAAGCATGTCTCGGCCAAAAGCTACCGTCAGCACTGTCGTATGAATTAGTTGGTTCGGAATCCTCATCACGAACATCCTTGTTCGAGAATGAAGCTGTCGCTAGGGACGACAGAGTTGAATGTTTGCGAACATCTGCAACAGCTGGACGACGGGCCTCGCCACCGGCAGACATAGGACCGAGTGTACTGCCAAAAGCTCCAAGATTACCTGTGAGATGTGGCTCAAATTCTGAACAGGAGTTTCTACCTGTGTCAATGGATTTATATTGTGATGATGGCATCATGAAGGCGAGCTGCAATCTCTCCACCGCTGTGTTGTCGAAAACACTATCCCATATGCTCCTCCGCCATTTTACTGAGCACACGGTACATATAATGCAGCCGGTGGCTCACGCGCGAAATCCTTTCAGGACAATATACTTTCCTCTTGCCATCGAAGGGTCCGAACAGTCAGATGATGCAGCATCGTCTGCGAGTGTTGCAACTTTCCACGGTCTCGTCTCCACGGCAGCCATTGATATGCAGATCCCACAATCCGAAAACGAGGGTCTCAAATCCGTCGTTGGACATCATCGCCAGAGTGCGCTGATTGCGCTTCAGAAAGCCCTGGTTAAGCAGACCAGCAATTACAGAAAACTGATGACCGCTATCCTAACTTTGGTCTCCATGGATGTAAGAGACACAAGAATCCTGTTTCGGCTCCCTTTCGCCTTTCTCATTTACTAAATTAGCCAGATCGTCAGCGGTGGTGTCGAGGACCATTGGATTCATCTGGAGGCTGCTATTCGGCTGCAAAATTCGAGACACCATGCGCAGCTAATAGGTCGAGAAACACGGATCCTCAACAGCATAAGCACAATGCTCCATCTTTTTGCTCAAACAGCACTTCCTCAGGTGAATGCCGAACCTTGGCCAGGAGCATTACCAGCAACAGACGGCATCCGGGTGGCCGACCTCGACCCGAGTGTTGAGTTCGTCTATGGAATAACGACATCTCTAGCGAAATGTGTTCTCAAAACTTATCGACTGAGACAGTTTATCAACTACTACAAAGACCAGGAATACCCACCGAGTCTGCTTCAAGCATGTGAGACATTAGGGGATGAGCTGAGCGCCTGGGCCATAACCGCAGAGCAATTTGCCACCATTGAAGGTCCCCAGGATTCAATGGTGAAGGTTGCACGCGCACACGCAAGGGCATTTCATTATGCTGCCATCATTTACTACTATCGCTCCATACAGAGGTGCGACCGGGAAACCCTCACATTGGAACAACAGGCTGCCTTTACCGCCATGACCGAGGCAGAGGATCTCAAGGTCGAATTGTGCAAGGGGGTGTCTCTGCCGGCGCCTGTCACTTGGCCTGCTTTTATTGCGTCCTGCGATGCCGTTGGCCAAGATCGAGAACGTTGGGCCAGTTGGTGGCATGGTGTGCAAAAGTATCAGATGGAAAATTTCAGCATGCAGTACAAGGTTGTCCGCAGTATTTGGTCACAGCTCGATAGCACGGACGGCTCAGACGACTGGCGAGATATCCTTGCTGCAAAGGCCATTCGCATCATACCTGTTTGACGGGCAGATGATGGACAAGAGGGCACTTGTGGACACTCAAGAGGCTGCAATTTGACGCTGGAGTGAAAGTTAGCCAGCGCCGTGATTTCTTGCCCGCCTTGCAAGCGCAATGATTCAATGATGCGGATGGAATGAACGACTCATTACCAGAGTACATGATGCTGTGGGCATGCGCCCCTTAACGGCTTTTTGAGTCAATCATGCAATGTGAATCTCCTGCCATGATACGATGCCACTTCGGATGATGAGATTGAGCGTTGGCCATTTGGTGAGGCTTAAACCGTGTTTTGCTGTGGGAAGGAAAAGGCAAGCTTCAACGGCCTTTTGGAGTCCAACAGTTTGGCACAATCATGTATACCGTTTGCTGTGTACAGGCCGGCACCCTTACGCTCAGATGTTCAGTCATCAACTGATACACGCAATTGTGCTGTACGAAATTTTTGAAAGATAAACGCGGTGCTCTCGAATAGCGCACTAGTGAACTCATGGGCTGCTGCAATCTGTGAGAATGCATCGTCTATGTGTCCAGGGTTGGCAGTACATACCAACAATCGATCAGCCTCGGGAAAGACACTATTCTGTATGTAAGTCGAGATCTCATCTTGTCTTGTGGCACAGACCGCCGAAAACGCCTTGAATGGGCAACCTTTCGTTAGAGGAAGTTCGGACGAGCCTTTGAGAGATAAATCCATGCTAAATTTTTGTGTAGCAGAGGTGGAAACTGGATGTGGCAGGAGTCAACGAACACGAAGGGTTCCTAGCGGACCTCTCCACCTCCACCCCGGCCTCCACCCGGTCATGCCGCCGTCAACATCACCAATTACGGTTTTGGCCACGTTTGAGCTGCTTGGTGCTTGGACATCGATGTGTGGGTACCGAGACAAGATCGTCCAGGATGCCTCAGGTGGGGCGTAGCAGAAAGGTGAGGCCAAGATTTATCAAAGGTTTCCAACTGCGTATGTCCATCCAGCCGCCAGCATAGAGACGGCGTGCACGATATTTGCCACCTCCCGGGGTTTATAACCAGCCTCGTCGACCTCGGCATCAACCTGGACCGTCCTCACTCTCGCCTGCAACTGTACTTCCGCTACAAAGGGCGATGACATAGAACCTGGCCTCCTTCACCACCACGCCCAAGGTCCTGATCTACACTCTCACGCCGCCACCCAAGTCGCATGTATTGTGCCACCAGGAGAGGGTTGATCCAGTTCAAGCGACACGATGGCCATCACGTCTGGCTACACAGACGCTGAAGCTGGACTGAAAACAGAGCCTACTCCAGACGTCCAAGCTAGAATCGGCAGCTATGAACGGCCCTTGTCCGTCATGGAAGCCGAGGCCAGCGACTTGAACAATGGCATGATCACCAAGCGAGGACTGAAAAGTAGACATGCACAAATGATCGCGATCGGTGGTGCCATAGGCACAGGGTAGGATGACCACCTTTACACCCCGGATTATGAGACCAGAGAACTGACCCAGGCGCGCAGACTCTTCGTCAGTACCGGCCAGACGCTGGCATTGGGAGGCCCTGCGTTCATTCTTTCGGCATACACGTTGCTGTGCGTGGCCGTCTACTGTGTCATCGCCGCCATCACTGAGGTTGCATCTTTCCTACCGGTCCACGGAGCTACAATGTCGTACTACGCCAACCGTTACGTCTCCAAAAGTCTAGGATTTGCCCTTGGTTATCTATATTGGTACGCACTGGGTGTCTTGGTCCCCTATGAGATCACGGCTGCCGGGTTGGTCATCAATTTCTGGCCAAACGGTGTCAATATCGGCGTCTGGATTACTATCATGGTAATAGTTATCGTCGGTCTCAATTTCCTCCCCGTCCGCTTCTACGGAGAAAGCGAGTTCTGGTTCGCCAGTCTAAAAGTTATCCTCATGCTCGGACTCCTTCTGGTCTCCTTTATCCTGTTCTGGGGTGGTGGCCCATCGCATGATCGTCTAGGCTTTCGATACTGGCAACGACCAGGTGCAGCTAAGCAGATACTCGCAGATGGCAGTACCGGCTATTTCCTTTGCTTTTGGCAGACGGTGATCACCTCAGCCTTTTCGTTCGTCTTTGCCCCTGAACTGGTCATCACAACCGCAGGAGAAATGCAGTCGCCCAGGAGGAATCTACCTCTCGCAGCGCGACGATACTTTTTTCGTATGATTTTCTTCTACATCTTCGGCGTACTCGCGATAGGCGTCACATGTCCTTCGGACGCGCCTGGCCTTGTGAATGGCGGCGCAGGAGCCAAGTCTTCTCCCTTTGTCGTGGCCATCACTTCGGCAGGTATCTCCACGTTACCATCCATAATCAACGCGGCCATCCTCATATCAGCTTGGTCTTCTGGAAATTCGTGGCTCTATGTTTCCTCACGGTCTCTCTATTCGCTCTCGGTCCAGGGCAACGCGCCACGTGTCTTTGCACGGTGCAATAGATGGGGAGTTCCTTATGTGGCTGTGGGTACCACCTCCCTGTTCTGCGCTCTAGCCTACCTCAACGAGGGTTCCAGTGGAGGCATCGTCTTCAACTGGTTCATTAATCTGTCAAATTCATGGGGTTTCATTTCTTGGATCAGTTGCAGTATCATATATCTCCGCTTCCGCAAGGCGGCCCAACTCCAGGGATACCAGGCCCCGTATCGCAGCCGACTGCAACCCTACGGCGCCTACTTTACCGCGGCATTTTTCACCGTCCTCTGTTTGACAAATGGATTCACGGTTTTCTGGAAGCAAAATTGGTCGGCCGCCACATTCCTATCCGCCTATGTCGGTATTCCTGTATTTTTCTTGATGTATCTCGGTCACCGCATTGTGTATTGGAAAGACCCGTGGGCTTACAACCCTGGGGATGTTGATATGCAAACGGGTTTGCAGGAGGTTGTTGACGCTGAAGAACCACGTACTCAGCGGAAAGGTTGGAAGAAGATTATGCTAGTCATAGAATAGGCACCGCGTTTGACTTCCTCGCAACATGTGTAGCAAGCGGTTCTCGGGGTTTGCCCTAGCTGGATAGATCTGGAAGGCATGATAATGATACACTTGCGCGCTGATCTCCCGCCACGTATTGTTCTAACCCGAGAGGTACTCTTTCTTCCAGTTGGGACGGTCTATATCTTCCTTCCATCGCCACCTTTGACATGGTTTTTCCTTTCACGCACTAGTGGCCATGTAGATATCTGCATTCTCTAAACTCAGCGTTGAAGGAAATCCATCTTTGGCCATACGCGAGCAGTACTTTCCACCAGTTACTTGCATCTATATCTCGCCATTTTGGCTCGGTCTTGTGCGTGCACCCGAAATGGCTGTTTCCATACGTCTTGCGAAAGCTTCTCTCAGCTACGACGACCGTGCCATCGAGAAACGCGTTGGACTTATCCTGCTGGCGACGGACCAGTCGAGCGAGGCAGACTTCGCGCGGCTCGTCGGGTCAAAGCAGATAGGGATCGATCTACTCGACGCGGGTCGTGTATACGAACCCGACGACGCTTGAGAGTCTACGAGCGCTGACGCCTCGACTGGCTGAAGCAGCTGCATTCATCCGCCCCGATCAAGACATCGACGCTATCTGCTTCTCGTGCACCTCAGCCTCGGTCGTCATTGGCGGCGACGTGGTCCAGGCTGCGATCCGACGAGCCAAACCCAACGTGCCCGTGGTGACGCCGGGCTCCGCAGCGGTTGCTGCCCTCCGCGCCCTCAGCGTGCGAAGGATCAGCTTCCTAAATCCTTACACGGTCGAAACGAGTGATCCGATGGCCGCCTTCTTTGCCACCGAAGACTTCGTCGTTGATAACTTCACCTGCTTCGGCTTGGAAGATGACGGGGAAATGCCCTGCATCTCCCGCGAGAGCCTGATCGAGGCTGCAGTGGCCGCGACGAGCCCTGAGGCCGAAGCCCTCTTCGTCTCCTGCACCGCTCTGCGTACGGCGAGTGCCACCCTAGAAATTGAGTCACACATAGGCCGACCTGTCGTCTCCTCAAACTAAGCCTCTGCTTGGGCTTGCCTCAATCATTGTCATCGGACGGTACAGCTGGACAGTTCTGCCGGGCGTCTATTCGATTTGGCAGCTTATTAGTCAAAATTGTACGCATTCAATCGAGAACACGGAAGGTTCTTGGACCATTAACGAACTTTGGCTGCGTGGTATAGGGACAGCTACCATGCTAGAGCCTGACAAGGAGGCTTATCGATCGTGCGGGCATTTCCAGATCGTTTTGTCATTGGAACTGCCCAATTCTCAACGCAGGAAAAATGCTTTGCGGCCCGCCTCTGCTGTTCCCACGACAGAGATGGGATAGATTTTGACAGTAATTGAATTGCCACTAACACGCTATCCGTAGCCATTATTGTTTCCGACTCGACGGCTATTGTTATCACCACCAGCACTCCTTTGAACTCTACTCCGGTTTGCTGGACTTGGACTAGAAATCCGCATTCGCTGATTTGGCCACGTCCTTGTACATTCAGCGGAGCCCCTCGAAAACGGTGGGCAGACGTATGGAGCATGTTGTCGCTGAAAGGGGTGAATTTTCCTGGAAGATGTCGATTGCACCCATGCTCGTTCCCAGTGCAAGATGGTTGTCGGTGGCTGTTGCCAGATATGTCACTGGCCAGGACCCCTGCTCCAGATGGGGAAGGTTGTGTCGATCTGCAAACATCCCAGTTCATAATCCAGACTCCTGCTGTGTGCCCCACACTCGCTGGGTCCTGTCGAATTGGTGTTGCCCTTATCTCTCTCGGCTGAGGATGTGCAAAGGGAACAAACGGGCTTCGTGTATACGATTACCCACGCAGACGCTGATCGACGCAGCTCGTGACCATTTTGGCACGCAATGTATTGTGAAGACGCTTTGGGAAACCTACAGACCAGACCTCGGAGGACGAGAAGATCTTATGGGTGCAGACCAAGTCCTGATTATATATAACGAGATCGACTTTTTCATATTATTCTCGTCAAAAGAGTGGTAGGTGCTGCAGTTAACTCCGGACACAAGACATCACAGTTACTGCACCACTCGCAATAGCAGATCAGCAGATCAGCATGGTGACGGTCAAGAAACCACAGCCTTTCAAGAAGGCTCTCTGGTTCTCTGAAGAGGAATTCGCTCAACGCCGACAGCGGGCCTTGGACTTGATGAGTCGAGAAGATCTGGACGGGTTCCTGATCACCAAACAAGAAACCCTATACTATCTGACCGGATACGACACTTTTGGCTATGTCTTCTTCCAGGCCATGTATTTCCACATCGATGGATCCATGAAGTTGATCACCCGACTGCCGGATCTCAGACAAGCTTTGTATACGTCCGTCTTGGCCAAAAAGGATGTCCTGATCCGTTCTGACGTTGCGGACGCAAACCCGGTGGCGGAGGTATCCGAAGTCTTGAAGGAATTTGGGATCAACAGCACCTCCAAACGCATTGGGTACGAGCCGGACTCTGCAACTTTGACCTTGCGCATCGGTAAACTTCTCGAGGAAGCGGTTGCTCAACTTTGTACCTTGGTCGACCACAGCACATTGTTTACTCGAGAATTGAGGATCATCAAATCCGAAGCCGAGTTGCGAAAAGCACGCAAGGCGGCCTACTTGGCTGACTTTGCGCTCGTTCGCACCCTTAAACTCGCCAAACCGGGTGCGTATGAGGGTGACCTGTGGCGAGAAATCACCGGCACCGTCTACGAAGGCGGTGGCGATGATCCGGCCAATGAGAACATCCTCGTGTCTGGAAATAAAGCAGTCTTGACACGGTACTCGACAGGAAGGTCCAAGATCGATCGACAGATCACCCTTGAGCATGCCGGCGTGTACAAACACTACCACGCCTGCTTGATGCGCACCATCCACATAGGCGGCGTGACCAAATTGGCACGCAAAATGTTCGAGGTCAACGTCCTCCAAATGAAGGCCGCGATGGGGGCACTGAAGCCCGGCCGAGAGATGGGTGACGTCTTCGAGGCCTACGCTCGTGTCGGCGATGAGCATGGGTTCAAAGAGCAACGACTCAATGCCTGTGGATACAGTCTCGGCGCTACGTTCGCACCCACTTGGATGGACTACCCCATGTTCATGAGAGGTCAAAAAGTCATTGTCCAGCCAGGGATGGTGTTTTTCATTCACATCATTCTGATGGACATGCCCACCGATACTGCAAGTTCGATCGGACAGACCGTGGAGGTCACGGAAAGTGGTTGTGTTTCCTTATCCAAACTACCGTTCCATCTCACCAGACGACAGACAATTGCCGCGTGGAAAAACCTCAAGAAGGAAGATTATGGTTTCACCGTCGAAGAAGAAGATGAAGGCGAAAATATTGAAGATGTCGAGCTCTCTGATGGCGACGTGGATGAGGAAGATTTCGACATTGAATATGACTTTAGCGGTTATGTGCCAGCTGCTTGATCTCGGACCTCCCGGACTGACTGATTGAAGAGGTTGGTCTGTCCTGGCGGAGTTGTTCCTTGCGGATATCGGTATGACTTTTGGGATATTGACCTGGTAAGGACAGGTTAGCTGACTGTTGTGTATGGCAGATGAGTAGACCGTCTCTCATGTAGACCAAACAAGACGTACGTATCCTGCAGGCTGTACTCTCGGAATTTCCTTCCTTGAGCGCAAGAAATTCAAGTACAAGTAAAGTCAAACCGTTAATTAAGACAAGTATGGTAAGCATTGTCGAACACAAAGCTAGCTTGCTTCAGGCCATAAAACTGTCATGGCTAGCCAGGTGGAGTAAACAGTCAGACTGAAATACATAGACCACGACGTCAACTACATATCTGCTGCAGAAGAATACAAAAACAGATAACAAAACCTCAGTATCAGGAGGACTTGTCTTTGAACAAGGAGAGGAAACGAGGCGGAATTGGTTATTTCAGTACCACAAATAGGGTGATGCAGGGGGGGTCCCGTCGCTGATAATACGTGGGCACGCTGGGGTCAGATATGTAGATGGGAGAAATTCATTGTATGTTCGCAAAGGGACAGGCAGGCCCCGGGAGGTCTGTGTTGGTAAATTGAAATATTCCTCTTTGTTATGACGAACGGAATAATAAAACAAAAGAAGGATTGGCATTAAAGGGGGTACGAGCCTCGAGGTAGAAAGTAGCGATTGATTGGTCAGACCTGACCTGGAGCTTTTTTTAGTACCTATACCTAGGTAGGTGGGTTATTGTATACACTCTATTGTACTACGGAGAGTACATACATGATGGCCAACCGCCGAGCCTCAATGACCATGGCACAGGGGATGTGGCGTTGTCGTCATTGTTATTGTCACTACTGATTAGTAGAAGAAAATTGACTTATTTTGTTCTGAATTTAACAACGAATTGTATTAATTTAGCCAAAATGTAGACACACAATCTGTCACAACGACCTATGTCCATGGCCTCTCTGGGGCCTGGTCTGCGAGTACGGGGGTTGTGAATTGCGAAGAGCTTTTTCTAGAGATTCATTTATTCCGATATGCTCGCCGATCGATTCAGTGATTTCGGGGCGCCGCCACCGATGAAGAAAAAGGACAAGATGGAAGTGACGGCGGAAATGGCCGCCACGACCACATTCATGTTTCCGTATCCCAAAGAGTCCCTTAGTGCACCACTCAGTATCGGGCCCACAGTCAGACCGGCACTGAAGACCAGGGAGTTGAAGGCGTAGAGTTGGGCGTAGGGTCCATTCTCGCCAAAGAGACCCGGGTTGGCCTTGTCGTAGCGCTGGACAACGTCGCTGGCCTCGACGATGCTGGGAGAGCCGATGACGGCGAGGCCGACTCCGTTGAGGGCGAGCAGGGCACAGAACAAGAAGACGACGTTTGATTCTGTGCCATTGGCCGTGAGTCGTGCCGGCGGGAGGCGGAGCAGGACCAGAGTAGGAACGAGGTAGCCAAACCCAAGTACCGAAGCCGGTTTCGTGCCGTACCGGTCCACGCACCAACCGGCCAAAGGGCCCAGGACAAGATAAGGAACGTCCAAGGCGATGAAGAGGAGACCCGACTGCAACGAATCAAACCCGAAAAGGGACTGCGCCTCGGTGGGGATGGTAGCGTCAAAGCTCGCCAGGAGGGCCGCTTGCACAAACGCCATCAGCAACGCGACGAGGAGTCGAGCGTCCGTGAGACAGTACAAGATCGGCAGGGTGCGGATCAGTCTGTTTTGACCGGCGGGGACGGCGTACCGAGAGCTGTTGTCGTCGTCGTCCCTAGGTTTCGGCAACAGGAGATCGTGTTCGGTGCGCGGTCTTGAAGTGCCGTCGTCGGCATTCTCGTCCTCGTCCCGGTTCGCGTGTCCTTGTACATATCCTTCTTCGTTACTTTGGTCTTGATCCTGACCTGCGTTTCGAGTGTCGTATTCGCGTAGATTCTTTGGAACAGAGAACGATTCGTCATATTCTGCTGCAACCTTTTTCTCAACCACTAGTATTCTAAGAATGAAATCGACCGTCAAAAGAGCACATCCGAGGCCGAATACACCGGCGTACCCCGTTTTGCGGTAGAGGACGCCACCTAGCACTGGAGCCATGAGTTCACCGACTGAGATGAACGAGAAGATCTGTTGCCGGTGGTCAGGCCCAACGACAAATCTCAACGGTTGATGTGATCAAAAGGAAACCAGTGCTTAAAAGGTAAAATATCAGACGTACTGTTCCAATTACTTTGCCTAGGTTCTCGGGTCCGACGGTGTCGAGAACCATGGCCAGACCTACTGTCCATACGACAGCGGCACTGGTCCCCTGGAGAAGTCTTGCTATCACGAGCATGAGGATGTTATTGCCAAAAGCCAGCATGAGAGTTGCAGCGAGTAATGCGGCGAGGCCGCACAAGAATGGCAGTTGTCTAGCACCCGTCCTGTCCGCGATGATACCGACTGGTATGGAACACTGGACATTGTTAGAAGTTACTCCGTAATTAGATAGTTGACAGCGAGCGAGGGCGGAGATAGCTTACAAAGACACTAGCTCCTGCATACGCAGCCAACAGCCCAGAAACATACGATTGGATCTTGTCCTCAGGGAGAGCGACACGTTCCCTGAGCATAAAGGGAAGTATTGGGACCACAAGCCCATACAGAAAGAGGTCGGTGAATAATCCAACTGCCACTGTAGAGATGATGAAAAGAGTAGACGCACGCCATCGCAGGCCCAGAGGTACTGACTTCCTTGAGAATAGCATGATTCTGGAATAGTGCAGTACAGATATTCAGCTAAGAGGCCATGGATTGCGATAATGCTCAAGGTCGAACAATGGACATCTGAGATGTTCTTTCTTGTAACATTACATATACTTTTTGTTGATACCTTCGTCGTCCCTGCAGGTCTGAAAAAGTAGCGAAGATGGTGACGTCACCTGACCGTAATTGACCTGCCACATCGAGGTACTCATCGATAAGTACGACGGACTTCTTGTGGTACTCGATATCAGTGGAAGATACTAAGAATCTCAGATCTGCCATGTCTGAAGTCTACTTATCAAGGTTGTCGATAGATTGCGTCGGCCATCTTCGTCACCTGAATCATCTCTTCCACATCGTGGATTCGGACAATTTCAGCACCGCCTTCAACACTCGCGGTCACGGCTGCTGCTGTGCCATAGCCTCGTTGCGATGCTTGTTGAACTCCGGTAATTTTGCCTACGAAGCCTTTTCGACTTGGGCCCATGAGCCAGGGATAATTCTGGAGATCTCGCGAAACTTCCGTGTCCTCTCGAAGATCCCTTAAGCGGCGTAGGAGTTCCAGGTTTTGAGACTGATTCTTCGCAAATCCAAGTCCTGGATCCAGTATAATGCGCCATGGCAGTATACCTGCAGCTTTGGCAGCTCTGACACGCTCACTGAGTTCTGTGGCTACTCCTTGGATCACGCCTTCGGGATAGTCAGTAAGCTTGGTCATTGTGTGTGGATTTCCGCGCATGTGCATTAGGATGATTGTCTTTCCGAGTCCCGCAACTGTCGGAAGCATTTCTTCGTCCAATACACCTGACGAGATGTCATTGATTATGTCCGCTCCGGCAAGTATAGTCTCACGGGCAACTGAGGAGTGAAAAGTGTCAATGCTAATGGCGATATCATCGGCCTCTTTCATTTCCCTAATAGCTTTCACGATAGGCAGGACTCGGCTGAGCTCTTCCTCAGCGCTGAGAAAATCTGCGTTTGGCCGCGTGCTTTGTCCTCCAATATCGACGATCTGGATCCCTGCTGCGAGAAACCTCCTAACTGTTGACTTGATAGATTCCTGATCTTGGGGGCTATGCTTACCACCATCTGAGAATGAATCTGGGGTGAGGTTCAGGATGGCCATGACGTGGGTGCTGCGCGTCGGGTCATGAGTGCGAAGCAACGGAAGCCTGGCGTTTAAAACGGTGACTGGAGACATGGTGCTATCCTTCTCTGCTAGAGAATTAAGATGCTGGGATATTGTGCGACTAGTACCACTGGGAGAAAAGCCAGGTGGCAGCTGTGCCTCCGAAAGAATGCTGCGTAAATCAGTTTCATTGCTCGACAAACACAAAGCCTCAAACAAGCGTCATGTTACACTTACTCAGCGAGTGGTCTTAGCACAAACTCCCTCTCCAGCAATAACTTATGAGGGACCTCAAGTCGGGGATGTTTGATGTGTTCGGTGTTGTAAAGTATTACATCAAGATCAATCGTACGAGGACCCTTGTCAATGATTCGTTTTCTACCTAGATCGTTTTCAATGGTCTGAAGGACGTCCAGCAGTGGTATTGGCGCAAGATCAGTCTCAATCTGACAGATACCGTTCAAGAATGGATCCTGGTCATCGTAGTACATGGGCTTGGTCTCGTACAAGGAGCTCGTTTTGACGACATTCAAACCTCTTTTCTTCATCTCGGTGATTGCAGCTTCGATGTTGCCAATCCGATCGCCCATGTTACTGCCAAAGGCAATTGCAGCTCTGTTGAGAGCTTTCGAAGGTGCTTGTGCCCTTTGCATGGTAGTCATTGAAGATTGTCGCCGGCTGGAAATTGTGGAAGGTCGATAACCTGGTCGTAAGGATTTTGGCCTCCTCTCAACTGTATTGGGGCTGGTTCTTCGAGAGGTAAGGAATAAGAATGGCTCATGACTAGCTGTAATGTATCTGCATTGTGCGTAGGATATGGCACTGTGAAGAGGAGCAATATGGTGAGAAATGATCCTGGGAAGGATTGTATGTCCTGCGGAAGTCTGAAGGGTCATGAGGGTATACTAGATCACAAGGCTGACTGGAAGACAGAGGTATTCAAGAATAGAGGATGACAACAAGTAATCACAGCTTACACCACCAGGTCGATATTATGGAATACTGCATGAATCGTTCCTAGATGCGGACACAACACATGTCATTCTCGAAAATAAAATTTTAGCGTACTCGTACTCGTTTTCGTACCCTTCGCTCAAAAAGGCATTGTTGCCGACAACGAGGCTCTAAGGCTTACAACAGCCAGAATGCGCCAGATGCTCCCCCGAACGCAGCCTCGTGATCCGGCTGATTCTGTGCAGCGACAGCACAGCTCGCAACGTGACTAATGGAAACCTTTGTATTTTCTCCAAGGCAACATGGCGGTAATCGCAATTCTCCTCTACTAAGTAGCTGTAGCGGCGGTGCCATTGTCCCGTCGCCCCAGGTTAGTGGGTCTGGGGGTGTATTGACACCACGAGCATCGTCTTGCCGAGCCAGCCACCTCTTTTGGGGTGTGAATTGTGTCGTTTGTCTGACACAGGTGGTCTGGTGCATAACTACCCTTTTAGCCACCAGAGTAAAGTCGTCAGACAGAATCACCAAGGGGGAAATGCCTCGGTACTTTGATGGTTTATGCACACCACCTCATGCCATTGATTCAGGCCGTCGGTTATTCCGCACTGTGATTACTTTCGACTCCCTTTTCTCATCATTGTCTTCTTCTTCTCTTAAACAAGTCGTCCTTCTTCTCGTTCCGGTTGACAATCTTCCTCTCGCACAGCGAAATCTCTGAAACTCCCCATTCTCGAACGATCCGTGTCCGCGTACGACCGCCACGACCTTCTAGAAACCCTCACCACCTATCCCTTCATCCACTAGATCCCATACACATTTCAAGATGGCGTCTCCTCAAAAGATCAGAACCACTACTACCGATCTGCTCAAGATCAAGCACCCAGTCCTACTGGCGGGTATGAACGTGGCCGCTGGCCCCAAGTTGGCTGCTGCGGTCACCAACGCAGGCGGTCTCGGTGTCATTGGCGGTGTAAGTGTTGCGCCAGAGAGGAAGGGATGAACATCACAAGCTCATACAAGAGTGTGTTAGGTCGGATACACCCCAGACATGCTCCGAGAACAAATCGCAGAATTGAAGGGTTACCTCAATGACAAGAACGCTCCTTTTGGCGTTGATCTACTCCTGCCTCAAGTAGGTGGTAGTGCCAGAAAGACAAAGTGAGCCAAAGCATACAATATGTATACATTCTAGGAGGGAGAGACTAACATACGACCCAGCTATGATTACACAAAGGGCAAACTTGGTGAATTGGTCGATATCATCATTGACTCTGGAGCCAAGTTATTCGGTACGCTGGTGTTCCCGGATATCTCTCTGCCCTCTCCCGCTCAACTTGACTGACAACAACGACCATTAGTATCTGCTGTTGGTGTACCACCCAAGGAAGTTGTCGACAAGCTACACAGGAATGGTATACTATACATGGTTCGTCAAAAACCCCCTTGCCCCGAAGTCCGAACAATTTCTAACTTTCGAAAACGGTAGAACATGATCGGCCACGTCAAGCACGTGAAGAAGTGTCTCGAACTTGGAGCCGACTTGATTTGCGCCCAGGGAGGTGAAGGTGGCGGCCACACTGTATGTTACGACGATCCGTCTCTCTTTTCTTCTTCTTCACAACACGCCCCGTATAGTTGGCTGATTACCCTTCTCCTTTACACCAAAAGGGTGATATCCCCACTAGCATTCTCATCCCGGCCGTCGCGAAGCTCTGCGCAGAGGCACCCCCCTCAAAATTCACCGGCAAGCCCGTCCAACTGATCGCCGCCGGTGGCATGTTCAACGGCCAATCCCTGGCCAGTGCCTTGATGCTGGGCGCTTCCGCGGTCTGGGTCGGCACTCGGTTCGTCCTCTCCGAGGAAGCCGGTGCCCCCAAGGCTCACCAGGAGGCCGTCCGGACCGCCGGCTTCGACGACAACGTCCGCACCATCATCTTCACCGGCCGACCCCTGCGTGTCCGCAACAATGAATACATCAAGAACTGGGAGGAGAACAGACAGGACGAGATCAAGACCCTTACCGGCAAGGGTGTCATTCCGGTACGTCTTTTCGCCCCTAATCTACTTGTGGCCTGATGATATGGAAAAAAAACCCAACACGACTAACGTTTTTTCCCTCATGTGTAGGTTGAACATGACTTTGAAGAAAAGGGCGATGACCTGACGGACGAGGATATGGAGAATGCCCGACCCTTCCTCATGGGCAAGGCCGCCGCCGTGGTCAATGAGAGAAAGTCTGCACGCGCAATTGTCGATGAGTTTGTCAATGATGCTGTCAAGTGCATGCAAAACGGTAACTCCCTGATCATTTCTCAAAGTAAGCTATAGGGTAGAGAGTGGTAGGCAGCTGTGGTGTAAATTCTAGTTCAGCTACTCGAGTGTAAGCAATGACTGGATGACAATGTTTGGGCCATGACACTTTCATTCTCTCGTGCTGGTATTGGAGTACGTAAAAACAAGCTCTGATTTCGAAAGCAACGCTCTCTTGTTCAACCATGTTCCTTGGTGAAGCTGAGATCAATCTCATGTGGGTAACGCCATCATTCCTGGATTCTGTTCATCCCCTATGGCACAGCTTGACGCCGGTGGTGTACCGGATTTGGCATGCCATATTTTCCCCTTTTCTCCAATAGCCATTCTGTGTGTCGAACGCCCAATAACCCATCGACCAAGTCCACTTTCCCTTACAAGCCGAGCGTACGTGTGATCAAGTGGTGGTCTTACTCATACAGGATCCCCATCAGCTCACGCATATTCAGCCGTGACCTTCCCATACTCCACACCTCGGTACCACAGTGAGTACTCGGTATGGGCAGAGAAGAAAGTCACCTTGATCTGGAAGTCCAATAGGTAATACTGCTTGCCATCTGCGCCAGTCTCGATTGGAATAAGAGAGGCAGAGATGACCGAGAGATCTGCATAGAAGTCGACCAATTTGCGAACACCTGTAGAGATTAGAACCTTCAAATCTTTACAAACGGGATCTGGCACAGAGACGCACCGCTGCCGGGATACAGAGGTGCAGGCTGGATTGTAGGGCCTCTTGGAGCCGTAAAACTGTAAAGTCTTTCCGAGATCGAGCGAATAGTGCCTTCCTCGATGGGTCTCGCTTCATACCAATGCGTCGTGAGAGGCTTCGCTTCGTCGATTTGGGTACCCTTTTTCTGCGTTACCAAAAGTTTGTGTACCAACCAGAATGTCCCATTACCTGTGTTACGAACCACCCCATGACTTCAACAAGGTATTTACCGGTAAAAGGATCCCAGTATCTACTTCAGTCAGGTCCTTTTGCCGTTGTTGCGGACATGAGATCAAGCAAGGCTTACCTTAGTGATTCCTCGTGCAGATCAGGTTCGTACTCTACCCCAGCTCTCATCCCGTAAGCTTTGCGAGCAATTCGAGATGCTATGTTGATTCTCGAAGTGTCGGGCTCAATCTCATTGAGAGATCTCATCAGAGCACCTTTCACAACCGCGGTCCAACCATTTGGAGGTTGTAGCACTTCGATTGTTGCCGGGACGACCTTCTTGATGCAATTGCGAAGATACGGTGACTGACCAAAGCCACCTACCAGAATGACCGCCTTTGCATTTTTTGTCTGTCTCAACTGGCTCATGACGAGGGTGAGGATACTGGAGATCACTGGCTCAAACAATGACATGACTTTCCCGGCTTGAATTGTGAGTCTCTGGCGCTTGATACCCTTGGTCAGATCGTCAACTAGACCGGGCACTCGAAGCGTCATGGCATTGTCTCCATTGAATCTGCGCTTCGTATTCGTCTCAAAGTCAAGCATAGCCTCGTCAAGAGTGTCTTGGTCATACCCTTCGACATCTTCAAGATGATCTTTCAGAAAACGAGCAAAGATGCGATTGAGGAATGTGGAGCCACAAGCAGATCCATCGCCAGGGACTGCTTCACGAATCTCGACATGTGGTTGCAAAGCAACGATTGTGTAGGATATCAAGTCAACTGTACCTCCGCCTGCGTCGCAAAGAGCAAAGGTGTCACCTGGTCGGAAGTCGTGAGGGTCCATGGCATCAGAGCGTAGAAGACTGCGGCCTCAGGCTCAGAGATGATGCGGACCTCTTTACCCATACCGGCTGATTGGACACATTTTTGCGTGCGGGCTTTGGCTGCATCATCCCAAATAGCCGGAACTGTAATGGTAAAGCGGATGGGGGTCGTTTTGATCACTCCACTTCCCAAGTTCTTTGCCAAAATGTCCATAATGTGTCCTCGGAGGCGAGTCAGGTACAAGGTCACAAGATGAACGGGGTCGTGTTGCTGGTCATATGCCGGAGGTAGAGCTTTGGAATCAGGATATGCGATCGATAGATGCGAAACAAGTTGTTCTTCTTGCTTAGGATCGATGCCGAGCTTAAACCACTGATAACGCAGCTCACCCTCCTCAATCTCAAATCCGAACTTCGAACCACTGTCGTCAAAAGCGAGTTCAGTTGGAACTTTGTCGCTGGTCCGATCATCCTGACCTCGAAGTGCTGGCCATTCGACAATGGTGGATCGTATTTCAGGCTGCTCAAACTTTAGCAATGAGCAACCCGATACATTCCAGAACTTACTCGTGCTGTCTGCGCCCAGGCCACACCTGAGAATGTTGTTCCAAAGTCCACCGCAACCACTAGGTATCGCTGGCGCGGCGGGCCTGTCGAACCTCCTTTGGTTTCGCGTCCCATGCTGCTGTGATTATGTTGTCTTTCCCCAAAGAGCAGGTACAAAGTGCAGGAGTGGAAACGAATAAGTGACGAGATGTCGAAGTGGCATCATGTCAAAGTGAGACGAAAACAACCTAGAACGGGAGACTGCAGGCAGCATGCTGTAATTATGCTTGAGTGAATAAACATTAAGTGGCAGTGAGGTCCTGCCGCGCTTGGGGTTAATGCTCTTTGTCATGCAGCTGCGTTTGCTCAATATCGAGTCACTTACATTATTTTACTCCCTCATCAGCATATCTTGAGTTTGGAGTTCTAAGCAATCCTTGTATTCGGAGGCAGGATGGCAGGAGCTTGGATTGCGAAGAAAATCGGTGGCTATATGCCCGTCAACAGCCTTGGCCACGCGCATAGCAGCAGAAGCAACAGCACAAGAGCTGGGGAAGCAAGAAGACACACGTCAGATGAAGCCGCCGTAACTGATCAAACCCAGGATCGAACTCAATGTCAATCTCAGCTCTCAGAACACCCAAAAATATCCCAGGATCTGAGTATCCCCAGGGCTAAGCATTCAAGCCACGGCAATAACCTTCCGGCCACCGAATGGCAGATCAAAGTATGTAAGAAAACGCTTCTGGGTTGAACTAGATCTGACAAAAGGAGGGAGCCACTGCAAGAGAGATTGCCGAGACAAACTCCACAGACACAACCAGCCTGTTGACACATATGAATCAGGATAAGATGACTCCTCGCACGCAACCAGCTGTAAAGCAAGCCGAGTATCAAACAGATGAGATCTTGTCATGGGACGGGGAGAGGCGTGTCCAAGACCCTTTAGAGTTGGTACACCACTTTGCTGAGGAGCAGGACAGTCTTTACACCTGCCTAGACATGAAAGAAAGGAAAATCAGTCGGCTTCAACGATGCTTGGCTGAACAGAGCCGTTGTCTAGCATCCCAGGAAAACCAGCATAAAGAGATTATGAATCAGCTAGTAGCCACTCGGTGCGAGCTAGCTCAATCTCAAAAACAGATTGCGTTTTTGAACAGCAATCTAGAAGATTGCAAAGAGCGCATTTTCGCGATACAGCCAGCACAAGGAATGTCAGACAATCAACTTCTTGATCTGTACAAGCCGATTTGCGAAGGCATCGAGGAATGGCTCCATTTGTACTGTGGTGATATCGTTGACACAATTGTGTTTATGGCCAACGCTCAGGCCCAAGAAAAGTCCAGTTCGTGGGTTTGGTTACTTTTCTGTGAGGAGGAGCTACAGAACACCTTGAACCACCAACCCATCGACAAGGCAATGCTTGCGTCGTTTGTGTTCCGAATCATGCACAGCCAGATCTTGAGGAAGTCTTGTCCAATGGCAGGCCTGGGTGTTGAGAGTGAGAAAATCCTAAATACACTCACCCGTTCGATCGCCAAAATACAGCCCGCTAAAGGTGAGCTACCACAGGATTCGCTTTGCCAATACTGACAATTTGAAGACAGTGAGAGTTGCCAGATGTGGAAGATGGATATGCACCGTGCACTGAGAGCGTCCCAGAGAATGATAGTTATGGAGGAAGCTGGTGTCCAGCAAACAACGCGCATAATTTTACACTGCTTGGAGGCTGTTGTACCGGAAATAAGCCAAAATCAGGAAATGCAGGATGAAATGCACAAGATTGTTTGCATGGCCGCAGACCTGGCGAAAAACATCCGTATCAACATGGCAGAGTATTCTTTCAGGTGGTCTCTGGACTCACAGTCTAGCGCCGAGGAGAGAATCATGATGAAGGGTGAGATCAAGAACTACTCCATCATCGACAGCAACACTGGTCTTCCTTTAAGAGCTTCCAGCAAAGTACTTGCAAGTCAGGACGGGAGGGTTGGGGAGATGCTGAGCTGTATATTTCCAGGTCTTGCCCGACAGGATACTCGCCAAGACAGATGGACCGAGTTGTGCAAGCCAGTCATCGTTGTCAAGTTCGACCATGAGATACCTCGTGGTGGGAGGCCCAAAGCTCTTGTCTAAGACGGGAAGTACAGCAGAATATGGGGTGCAGCAAATTCCGCAAAGATGTTGACAGGAAGTATCCAGAAGCCCGCAGATTGGAGATTGTTAGGAGTCAGAACCAAGGTATTGATGAGCTGGAGAAGATAGATGGCTAGCTGAGTGGACAGGAACTGGACGACAATGTGGAGTGCTTCAAAGACTCAAAGGAAAGGTACCTGCCACAAGCAAGATCAGAGTCTGCGAATAGCTGAGCAGTCGAATAGGCTTCTAGATTGAATGACATGTTAACCAAATGATCCTTTGATCGCGTGTCCTACAATAGGTACCTAGGGAGGTACGGAGGTAGTTACGGAAGCTTGATACGGAGTGGACTGGAAGTTGCTTGTCGTCGCCACTAGTCATACTACCTTAGTCATCAATTCCTTGGCCACATTAACCTAAACAGGAGTAGCGTCCACCCTGCGAAATGATGGACCACGACTTTTTGCCATGTCGCTTTCAAAACCAGAGGTACGAATTACCAATTTCCCATCATCGACTCACCCATTTCCACAAGAGATCTTTTGATACATTACAATGTCCAAAACTGCAAGGTACGTGCGCAATCTCCAGCGCTCTGATCGCAAACACCATCTTCAGAAGGAAGCCTGTTACTGACATGGAATTTTCCCGACCCATCAAACAGCCGCCCCGACTGGGCAGACGATGTGTCCGACTCTGAACAAATCGACCCATCCGCCCTCCCCCCTCCAGTCACCACAGTCAACAAGGACGGCACCAAGACGACGATATCCTACCGACTCGACGACCAAGGGCGCAAGGTCAGGGTGACGCGCAAGACCCGCACGACCGTCCACAAGGAGCGAGTGAACCCCGTGGTGGCGGAGCGGAGGGAATGGGCCAAGTTCGGTCTGGAAAAGGGGAAACCCAAGGGGCCACAACCCGACACGACGTCGGTCGGCGAGAACATTGTGTTCCGGCCCAGCAGGGACTGGAAGAACGTGCAGGCCGAGGAGGCGAAGGCGGGAGGCGGCAAGGTCGAGGAGAAGAGCCTCAAGGAACAACTCAGAGACAAAAAGGTCAAGTGCCGTATCTGCCAGGGCGAACATTTCACCGCGAGGTGCCCGTTCAAGGACACGATGGCCCCCGCCGACGACGGCGCCACACCCGTCGCCGACCCCATGGCCGAGGACGACGAGAGCAAAGCCGCAGGTGGCTTGGGAGCGGGTGGTAGCAGCTACGTGCCTCCTCACTTGAGAAAAGGTGCCCAGGGCGCAGGCGAGAGGATGGGCGGCAAGTTCGAGAGAGACGATCAGGCCACACTACGTGTCACAAACGTGAGTTCCTCTCCAGACCAGAAAATCTTTGTGCGTACACACACTGACAAGCGTTTTCCTATTCACAGGTTTCCGAAATGGCGGAAGAATCAGAGATCCGTGAACTCTTCGAGCGGTTCGGTCGCATCACCCGGATATTCTTGGCTAAAGACCGAGAGACGCAACGTGCCAAAGGCTTTGCTTTTGTATCTTATGTGGACCGGGCAGATGCTGCGAGAGCATGTGAAAAGATGGACGGTTTCGGTTATAGACATTTAATCTTGAGGGTCGAATTTGCAAAGAAGCCGAACTAGACTGTTCGTCCTGAAAGGAGGGAGGCCATGAAGCACGTTACCTTCTGCGGATGGGTATTATGAGATTCTAGATGAAAATAGCAAAATTTGTATCATGACACAAAAGCTCTTCGGCATGGATTTGGCCCCTTCGTATTCTGTTCAGATATATATTCTTGGAAGCTTAAGGCCTCCGGGGTTGCATTGTTTCGTCTCTCCTTCTCTAGTCGTCCCAAGATATCAGGGTAGATTACAGACAGTTTGTGAGCAGTGGCGGAGTAATGTAGGTATGCAAGACTGCCAACACACTCGCAGTACTGGTACATCTTCACCAGTCGCTGCAGGCCCGGTCCTTGTTCCTCCGTCGCTCTTCCCGCGTGATATGCATTCAGAGGTTGCCGAAAGGCACCGTATGAGAACATCATGACCATTGGTAGTCTATTCCTATTTTTGAGCCATGATTTGCCTGTCAGTTCGAGCGCAAGGATGTCCAATGGTGCGTTGTCAGAGGCGCAGGAGGCAAGAAGAGACCACTCAGCTCCGTGTGGGCAGAGCCGTAGCCATAGTAGAAGAGTCACCCACAGAAAAACACACGAAAAGAAGCTGAGCATCTGGATCTTGGCCGGCATGTCTAGCACTTTTCTGGCCACCTCAGAGACATAATGGATTTAGGCATGCATGAACACGTCAGTATGACTCCCGACGCATGACACCTCGTGAAGAGCTCCTTGTATGGGTGTGGGAGCTCTGTTGGCATGGGCTAGCAGCGGAGCCGCGGATCAAGGGGGCACTGAATCATGACAAGCAGGAATATCGGGGGCCGTAGTCATTCTGTTGTTGACGGTTAAAATCAAAATGACCAGATAGGGCAATATTATCCCAGGGCTGCTTTTGCCCGTTGGCCGGTTCGGAAGCGGTGATATCAACTATCCCGTCTGAGACCATACATCTCGGGGTGTTCTCGTGGTCGCCCTGGACCTGCAACGGGGAAGCACAAGCCGTCGGAAACTGTTCAATCGCGTTCGAGAGATGATTGAGAAGACTGACCTGGCACAGCATCGCAGCACCCCTGCCTCTCCCCAGAAAGAGTCTTTCTAGATTGTTGTGTTGGTTGGGACGCGGAAGGAAACCAGAATCATCTTCTAGGATAATTACAGATAGAGATGACTGCAGGGGTATAGGGGCGGCCAGGAGACAGAAACAATGATCGGGAGCATAACGCTGTGTCGGGCTCAGCTGGACGATGACCTCTGCGGACCCGACACAACCGCTTGCAAGTCACACGGATGGCGAGACCGCTGGCGAACAGGTGGTCCGAGCTGAGAAAGAGGCGGTCGCCGTACAACGTGTCAAGGTCGCATGATTTGTCAAAGCATCAAAGGCATGATGGCGAGGCCCTCTCCAAAGGGCCGAACCAGGGATTTGACAACAAGGCTGGACAGGACATTCGACGCCGATTGCTTCGTTCACCGGGTATTGTAGCAGTTTTGGCGGCCCCGGAATACTTCTCCACGCACTTACTAAGTCCCATCCTGAAATATGTCGTGCAGGATTATGACCCTGATCCATGGCATACACGCGGCTTGCAATACGGAATCCGAATGGAAGAACAGGGTGTCAGGAATCGCTCAAGCCGACGTTTATGCGCACCGAATTGGTTTGATGGCAAGGTCCCACCCTTGCGTGGCTGGTTTGCTCTTGACCAAGGCGTATATTTCCGGGGCAATATGGAGTCAGAGAAAGAGAGAGAGAGAGAGAGAGAGAGAGAGAGAGAGAGAGAGAAAGAGAGGAAACATCGAATCGAGCGGAGAAGAGCCTGGAGGAGGATCCATACGAGTACATGTGGTAGCGGAAAAGAATTCATGGTTCTGGTGGGGGAGAGATGGAAATTGTGCTGATCTATTGTCTTTCTGATGATTGGCTGCCGACTTCTTGTAGATGAAAATTGACTGAGATGCGCTGAACTGGATTGCCTTGACGGTACCGGCTGTAGTAAATCATGGTGGTGGTGGTAGTAATAGTAGTTGTTGTCGTCGTCTTCGCAGTGCCTGGCAATAGGGATCACGGAGGAGAAACAAGAGGCAGGTCGTTGATGGTGTCAATGTCAATAGTCGATAGTCGTTGTGTCATTTGCCGTCATCGCCATCACCGTCGCCCTCAGTTTTCTCCTCTTCCCTGCCTTGTACCATTCGATCTTCTCAACCCATCCACCAATCCTCTTCCAATTCCCTGGTTTCCCCTGATCCGTTTAATGGCATACAGTCTCCGACAATTGTGTGGGTTGCCATCGGCGGTACCTACGACTGTGAGGCGACGCGGGTCCGCCCGCAATTCCCTGCTTCCCCCCTGTTCCCTCGACGTTTCAGACACTATGATGGCATCTTCGCTGCAGTTGTACACGACATGTTGATGACTTGCAGGTGTCAACAGGCTACGGCCCGTATTTTCCTCTGAGAACAGGCCTCACGTAACCAATCAATGTTCCCAACGAACTCCATCCTTTTCTCGCCGTCTTTTGCAGTGCGGGACCCCTTCAGTCTTGGGCTGAACTCCCAGGCATGACTGCCCAGGCAACCTTGGCATGATTGGGTACTTCGGACATTGGTCCCTGGGGGGTTCAATATCCCTCCTTCATCGGCAAGCAGCTTTACCCGACACGAAAGAACTGTCTTCCCTTTGGGATCGTGCGTGGCAACCCCTTTGTTCATGCCACCTTCTGCATCCTGTTGGCGTCCTGCCAGTCGGGGTATTTCCTCCTGGCTGGGCCATGTTCGTGGAGAGTAGGAAACTCTTTCCCAAAGGCACAAGGATTCGCCCTTGCCGTAATTATCGGCCCATTCGCTACTTCACAAGCTGGCCAGCGATCGGCTCATCGGGAGGCGGCTTCGTGCGCCTAGGTCTATTTAGGTTCAGGCATCACATTTCCTTGTCCACATCGGTCCCGTATGATGACCCCTGCACTTGAATACCTCTTGGAGGCGTTTGGCCGGCTCATCCTCGCGTCTACTCTACAGAGCGACTCCGCCGATGTATGCCACATGGCCCTTGAGTGAGACCATGATCCATGGCGAACAAAGACATCTGGTAGGTGGGCCCCATGAACAAGGCCTTTTCCTTTTATTCCAGGTGACGATATGGAATGATTTTTGTCTCCAAGACTTACTTATCGGTTGGGCTCCAGGCGGTCTGGTATAGACCAGGATCTTGGTCTGGGTCGTGGACAACTGAAACAACATCTGCAAGGACCTGGTTGGAAGAGCTCTTTGTTCCTGCATTTAGGTCCAACTTTGTATCATTTCTTCCAAATCCTCCTTGATGCTGCCTACAAGAATGATGATACGACGGCCAAGCCATGGCTGTGGCAATTTTTAGCTGATGCAGGGCTGTTGAAGAAGGCCGGCTGCAGGACAGTCAGGCGGTCTGAAGACTCAGATGTGATGGCCCAGTGATTCATTGGCTCTCAAGGATATGCAGCCTCCCATGCAATGGTCCTTGCCCACATCGTTTGGTTAATGCTGCTCCTTCACCGAATTCTGGTAGTCAAATGTCAGATCTCGAAATCTCCTTGATGGCTGAGCTGGTCCTTTCTACATTCGAACAAGACATTCCGACCTACGATTTCACTCTACCCAACCGGGTCAATAAAAGGCTCAAGGCTGTCGTGGGACCCCTGCCTCGAGGCTGATCGTTGGTCACGCTTTCCTCGAACGCCTGTCCAGCTCAACTTATTACTCCGTGCTCTCGCGCTTCGAAGTCCTTCACTCTCTATCACAGCTCTACTTATATCATTCAAGTCTCCTCCTTCCATCGCTTATTCTATCTACAACCAATGGTGTATTCCACACAGCAATTGCTGTGTCCACGATAATTTGCAGCTGTTCGTCTGTTTCCGGCTATTGCGCTCGGGGAGAAACTCGGTCCCACAGAGGTGCATCTGTTGCCGTGATCTCGTGGAATCAATTTGGCAGTGAAGCAACAAGCAGCGGACCCAATACGAAGCGCCGCGGGTGCTTTCACTGGGAAGAGGTTTGCTTCACAAATTGATATTTTTTATGCAGCCGCCGCGAAGGAGATAACGTGAGCCTCATTTGACATTTGATGCCATGATGGAGTTGCTGACCAGTCACAAGGCGAGACTGTAACAGCGGGCTTGCGACTTCTCTGGATCTTGCGAAATTCGGGCAGGCAGGGACATCGGGTGAAGACGGTATGCCTACAAACATGACGATATCTGGCCAAATCGAGAGCTTGTTCATGCTGATCAATGGGACAGACAAGTGTAATCTGCTCCGGCTGCGCGTTCAAGTCCATCTTTGAGAGGCCTCGTCAGTGGTGCGATTGGCGGGCAGCATCGGTCCCCGAGCTCCAGAAACTCGCCTACCGCCAGAAAGTCACCCTGGTCGATCACATCCGACGAGCAATTCCGACTAGTGGGCGGGTCGACATTCAACAATTCAAAGCTACCGAAACAGGATCAGGCTCTTGGTCCGGTGAAAAGCGAACGAGTGGGGAAACTAAAAAGTACTCCCCCGTACTCATTCAGCCTTGCCGTTTGCCGGCATAATGGATCCCAGTAGGTACTCCGTCGAGCATGAACATCTATACACAGTCCTGCTTGGGTTTGACTTTACCGAGTGCTCGCGCGGATGATCAGGCGAGCGCACCGTACCGCAGGGTAGCTCGGCAATCTAGCATTGATATGCCGTGCTCTCGGAGAGCATTGTGCATTTCGTCTGGCGCCACAGTTGCCACCTAGGCTTGCTTGACCAGGATGCCCCGCCCGTCCTACCATGCCTGCCTAATTGGCCCTCAGATGGCAATTGTGCACGACCATACCCCTCTTAGCCCGCCGAAATGCATGCCCTTGTGGCAGGGTCTCGTTCTGTTTATCAAATCTTGTCCTTGTTCGTCTTCTCATCACTTCTAGCTACTGACCTTTTCGGCAGCGTTGCTCCAGCATTCCTCTCCTTTCGACTTTCCAATTTCATCCGAATCCAAATATCTTGCCCACGAGCGTCCCTTTTCAAATTCCTCCTACCCTACCAATGACTATGGCTCACGAAAGTACCAGAGGGCCTTGACGAATGGTGCTCCGACCTCAGCCGTGGGATTGCCAACAAATTCCAGTCTTGAGTTCAACGGCAGCTCGTTGTTGAGCGATACACCGTAAGTATTCGATCCTGACTCCCTCGCCGATTTATGCATACCAAGGGTGCTCATCAGCGTCATCACTGAATCAGCTATTCGGCTGAAACAGGGAGCCTGAAGTATTGGGCGTTGGGCACCTGCGCCTGCGCTGGCCACTCTGCAAGGCTTGGAACTCGCTGATAAAGGCGGTCCAGAGATCAGCCGCCTTTTTCAGAATTCGGCACGCTTAGGGCACGACGATTCACCAGTCGCACTCTCAAGGTGTCACATATAAGCCCGACACCATTCATTCGCAAGTTTCCTCTCACTAATCTGTGGAATGCTATGCTAGGTATCATTCCAATTCTCAACTACTGTTGAGTCCACCAGATTCCACGGCCGGCTCTGCAACCGTTAGTGGAAATCCGACCACTTCATCTTTTGTCTATGCTTTACCAAAGCCCTTTCCCAGCAATGCAGCTGCGGCAGAACACTACGCGACTGCACCTCCAGCAATCCTCTCATCCAACAACTGGCACAATACTAGCATGACGGGTATCGAGCGCAGTCGAGTGTGAGTCCATGACCCTTTGTCATCCAATTCTTGTGATCGATTGGTGTTGACTCTTGTGGTACAGCCCTCCGCCTATATCCCCTCCTTTGAACTACACGGCACACGGCATTCCTGGAGCTGTGCCCGTGAATAGAGGCTCGGTTGACAGATTGCCTCATGCGTATCAGACCAATGGATCTTTGACAAGTCATGGATATCTTCAACAGCACAATCCGAGATATCCTCAAGACGTCTACTCTGCCCGCAATTCTGTTTCTTCTTACTCTCCCGGAAGCGGCACTTCGTACTCAGGTTCTACCATGCCAACCCATTTTCAAGAAAATTCTGGACTCACCCGTCACGATGGGCCACCTTTCAAAGAAACAAATGTTATCCATCCAATTGTCAATGTGCGAAACCATCAACTAATTCCGGAGATAACTGCAAGCATACAAAAGGGCTTTTTCCAAGTCGATCAGAAGTGGACCTGTTACCGCAGAAACTACTTTGCAGTATCTTGTGCATTTTCATTCAAGAATAATGGTTGCGACACCCCATTTTACCTCCACCGCAATGGCCAGGATGATCCCATCCAAGGTTTTGCTGTTTCAATTTCAGCAAAGACCGCTCTCGGCGGAAACAGCGAGAGCGAGACCCGTGGCCTTGTTCAGCACACGCCTAAGCGTGACAAGGCCACAGAAACCGTACCTGGTAGACACTTGATTTCTCCGACACCTTCTCAGTCGATGAGCACAAATGGAGCATACACTGGCGTGGCCCATTTGTACGGGACACAACATCACGTTCCTCCAACGATGATAGGAGCATACGGAGCTTTTGACAACCATAGCGCCAATGCTGTTCCCACCACATATACTTTTGAGAGAATACAATTTCAAAAGGCAACGGCCAACAATGGTAAACGCCGAGCGCAACAGCAATACTTTTTGCTTGTTGTGGAGCTCTCTGCCAACATTGCTAGATCACCAGGCGATGAAAATTGGGTTGTGATTGCCACCAAAGAGTCCGATCCTATGGTTGTACGTGGCAGATCACCTGGTCACTATAAAGACAACGGCAGGCGAGACAGCCAAAGCAGCATGGACCCTGATCGTGGAAGCGGGCACGGCGGTGATGGTGGTTCCGGATCACTGCCTCCTTCAGGTTTCTCTCAGTCTCAATCACTCAACTGGCATATCGAGCACCACCGACAGAATGGACATTATCCAGGTTCTATCTACCGACAGGCTATGCGCTCAGACTTCTCGCCTGTGAGCATGGCTTCGTCAACCCACTTGGGCGGCACGCCAACTGAAAGCGAACCTATCTTTGGCGACAATCGGCCAGCGAACTCACCCTGCACGCTGTCCACGATCCATTCTCCCCTGACACCACTTTCTGAAGGGAGCGTGGATGAAGACATGATGTTCCCCTTTAGCCGCCCTCGCATGGGGCGCAAGAGGTCATACGACAATGACGGCCATGATGAGCAGCCAAGGCTCCATCTTTCAGGGCTATTCACTGACAGTACTTCGTCGGTAGTCGAATTCTCGACCAACCCATACTCGAAATTGCTGTGTGCATCATCCTAATCACTACGAGCACATGTGGTCGTGAGGCGACCTCAGGCGAACCTGAACCCTTTCAGGAGACACCTGGGGGCCAGCCTCACTTTTGTTGAACAAGGGACATTTGTGGAGTTGCAAGTTTAGGCTTTTTTCTTTTGTGGTATATTTAGCGATACGGATACGAGATTTACGGTTCACGGCCAAGGACCAGAGCATTGTTTGGAATGGCAAAGGGCTAGAGATACCCACTGCATCGACGAGGTGTATGGCGCACCAGATGACTTTGCAAAGACTTTCGTTACGAATACTGGAGCAGTGTGTTATTCGATTGATACTTGAGTGTACGGATATTTGCAGAACTAGGAGGGGCATTGGACACAGGTAACGATCATTTGTGGTACGACGGGAAAAAGACTTCTTCGACGGAGTACGTCAGAGGACGACATTTCAGGCAGGGACCTGGGCAAGGGAAAAATCGAGGGAGATCAATGTCACGATAGGTAAATGAGCAGACAGTACGCATATGGAGTACGCATATGGAGTACGCATATGGAGTACGCATATGGAGTACGCATATGGAGTACGCATATGGAGTACGCATATGGAGTACGCATATGAATTTCCGAGTTGACTTGAATTTTTATTTCCGTACGGAGTACTAAGGTAAATTGTATTCCGTGATCGGGGGGGGATTTGACAAGAACAATTTCACTCTGTTCGGAGCAAAAGACAACACATGATCGGTACGATTAGGAAGTAGAATTGGCTTGTTGTGGCCAGGGGTTATTGTGATGGATTTTCACCGGCGAGTAGTAGGGATCCCTGGGTGGCCAAGTGTGATGGGAGGAGGGGAGGTGTGATTGAAAAAAGGAAAGACGAGGGCTGCGCCCCAATCAGTCGGACCATGCGAGATGAAAATCGTCGTCGTCCCGTCCCCTGATTCGAAATCCCAGAAGGCCCTGTTTGAGCCTGTTGGGCCACCGGTACTCCGTACTCCTTACGAGTTGCTTCTTACCCAGGGGTACGGAGTACCTAGGGTTGTGTGACCTGGGTGAGCCATGTATCTTTTTTTCATTTTCCAACTCGGTAAATTGCGAGGATCCTCGACGCCAGCCCATCAATGATCAATCACTTTTTTTGGGGGGTCAAGCCGGGCTATGCTATGGGGTGATGGAGGGATATCAACAAAAAAGGGGTACCTCGTTTTTGGATGATCTGTGTCCCCTACGAGTTGGAACAGAGAGTCCTAGGAGACCGGGGTGGGGGAGCTTGTAGGGTGATGGATGAACAGTGACCAAGAAGAAGAAAAAAAACCAGAATCTTTTGTGACAGTTTTTTCCGTTTTTGTTCTTGTCGTTTTCGTTTTTCGTTTTTCCGTCACAGGTGTTTTGGGGGCGGGCAGTCTAGAGGGCAGGGGGTTGTTGTTGTTGTTGTTGTCGTCACAAAATACAAATTTCCACCGGTGGGTTTTATGTTCTCTGTCATCACAATCATCATCGGATTATGCCGTACTCTCCCCCTATGGGAGTGGTCCTTTTGCTCATGATCTCTTTCTCTTTCTCTTTCTCTCTCTCTCTCCCTCCTCTATAGTAATCAACGACCGGGTACGGTCGCCAACACGAGATTATGTCAAGTGTTGAATAGCTTGCTTGGGTACAAAAGTCGGTCACATGAGCATTGGAACTACTCCGGTATTTTTTATTACAAAGGTAGCAAAACGGCAACCGGATCAAGTCAACTTTTACTGTGACAAAGTTGTGGCTAATCCCCTTGTATGATTATGAATACGAAGTGTCCGTACCGAGTACCTAGGTAACGATCAATCAACAATGGCAAGGTTTATGGCGGCGGTGGTGGTTGAGTTTTTAGTCCAGCTGATCTTCACCTTTGAAATCGCGTTGGATTTCCTTTTCTTTCGTTCCATCATCAACTTTTTTTTAAACTCCGTCAACGCATCATCATGATAAGAAGAAGAAGAAGAAGAAGAAGAAGAAGAAGAAGTCACAGGGGTCCATGTCTTGCCAAGTTCCAACATCGTCAATGACGTACGAGCCACCAGGGGGAGAGGAGGAGGAGGAGGAGGAGGAGGAGGAGGGGGGGCCGGTCTTTGTTTTTTGGGCTCTCGCATGGCGGTTGTCCGCGGCTATTTACTTTTGTTCTTTCCCTACGGAGTACAAGTCAAAAGCTTCAGAGGTCGTTTCTGTGGGTAGGAGAGCCCTGCGCGGTATGCAAGGGCCTCATGAGATGTGTGTGATGACGGAATTTTCACGCCCTTCTCGGTACGGAGTACGGATACGAGGATTTTTCGGTTCTCGTTGGGCCGACTCTCGCCTTGGTCTTTAGGCGGTCCTTGAAAGTCGTAGCAGGGGTTACCATGGAGGGGAAGGAAATCTTTCGTGGACAGCACTCAAACGCTCGAGGGTCACAAGGTCAACCCTCAAAAGAGAGCAAAACTGGGCTGGCACTTTTGCTTTTTTTTGGTCCTTTGGTCCTCATGGTCCTCTGGTCCCTGGTCCTCTGGTCCTTTGGTCATTTTTTGGGCACCAAGAACACGGGATACAAATGGAATGATGTGCAATTATTCTGTATCGGGCATCTCTCGCTCATTTTGGTAATTTTCCTTTTCTCTTGGTCTTTCAAATCTTCTGGGAATCCTGGTCGTCGTGCGCCTACGTTCTCATGGTATGATGTGACGAGAACGGAGTAGCTATCCCAGGGGAATTCCGTATCGATCCTCGACTTGGTGCTTTCGCGGTTCCCCTCGGTCAAAGAAGGCTATCCCACACTCTGTGATCGTGATGTTGACGTCACTGAGTAGGGAAATCTTTTCGCAACACGTACAGAGCGTACCTTTTTCAACACTACCCAAGGTAGAGAGAGGGGCAGGGGAAGGGTCCTTCGATTAGTCGTTGGTTGCTTTTACCCTGTTCACCGTCATTGATTGTCTGCCAGAGTCAATGTCCCCTTGTTCTCAAGGAGGAGGCGAAAGAGACCTGTTGATCAAATGGTGATCACTCCACCAAGTATCGTTCGCGCGCGTGTGTGTGTGTGTGTTTGTGTGTTGGCCGTACATACCGGTCAATACCAAAAAGTGCGTTTCCGTAAGCCAGCCTGTAAACTCGTAGTACGACGTGCCAGGATGTGTCCATTGGTACGCAGTGAAAGGAATACTTCTTCTCTAGAGGTGGGCGACTGGGTGATGTGCAAGGGAGACCCCTGTCTACGAGTAGGCAGTCGGATGGCTTTGGCCCCTACCCATGTCCGAGGTGGTATAAATGCCCCCGGGCATGAGATGTCGTCAAATTTGGCAAATGGAGACTTTTTAAGCCGGACTCTGCTGGGTACGAGTCTATTTGATTAGTGCTTGTAGGCAAGAGACACCGGAGCCACCCAGGACGCGCGTGGATACAAAAGTAGCAACGGCACTTGAAGGGTGATCCCGCTCCCGGCAACAGCGAGTGCCCCCGAAAAAACAACCAATCTTTGAAGGGGGGGCAAGTACTCCGTAGTACTTGCATAGCTGCCCAATGATCCGAACCGATCAAGTTACAAGAGAAAGCCGGAAATCTAGAATCCGGGCAGTTCAGCTAGCCTTACAGAGTTATTTGTATTAGCATCAACCACCTACAATACAATACAATAGCGCGGAATCCACCTACTCCGCAACCATATGTAAAGTGCATTCCACCCCTCCCCCCCCCCCCGACGTTAGCCGATTCTTGCCATCAAAATGTTCGGTGAGACGAGTTATCCGGTATTCTTCTTGTCTTTGTACTCCGTACGGGGGGGTATCGTTTTGGAGATTCCCCACCATCGTTCCCGTGTACCCACCATGATGGCCACAATACGCCGTAGAGAGATTTCTGAGCAGCAGGGAGGCTTATGTAGATACCTAGGTAGGCAGCATGCCTGGGCAGACATACATACGAGTCACCGGGACCGAATCTACGGATCGGAGTTGAGGAGACACACACGAGGTCGACATACCTACTACATTACGGAGTTCCGTACAGTAACTCTGTAAGCCATCAATAACATTTTTGCCCATTGACGTATTGTTCAAAGATCCGGCACACACACACACACACACAGAGAGAGAGAGATCAATATCGTTCCCGAGTTTCGAGCTATACGGATTGCGTTATGGCAGGCCTTGCCTCGGACTCCTGAAACAAAATTCCAGCTACCATTTTCATGTCATCCGGAACACTCGTTAAGGTAAAAATTGCCAGGATGCATTGAACAAAACCCTCACTGCCTAGAAATCTGGAGGACTAGCCTGACCGATTGTGCACGTCGCCTACTCCGTACTCCGAAGTTATTTACAAGCAAAGATCCTTGTCTTACTGCAGCCTTGTTCTCGGTCGTCGTAATCCGTAGCTTTCCGTCAAAAAAAAGTCAGAGCAGACCCAGTTTTACGCCCCAGAGGGTCAGTTCTAGACCCTTCAACCCATGTCCTCATTGTTGTTAAAACAATCCACCACAAGCTCATCGCTCGTGTGTTGGAAGGGGGCTTTGATAAAGTCCCGCTGAAGGCGGTGTCTTACTTCGTTCAGTCTCTACAGATAAACGAGCAACGAAGGTCTCATTTTTGGGCCGTGCCGAATGCTCGAGAGCGGAGTTGAAGGCCAGACATGCAGGCGCCACGGTCGGACAAGGAAGCCCCCACACACATACACACATTTTCCTGTTGCCAGAGCGATGCCCCCAAAGGCGGACGGGTACAGAGCCGAACTCCATCTTTGTAATGTAGAGGGACTGGTTTCTACGACGGTCGGTAGAATTTGTTCTCGACAAAGGGCATCTTTGCAACTTCGGCATTCTTGACGTTCTTCCGAATCTTGATGCCCACTTTCGTGCCCTTTTTGTGGAAACCATTCTTGATGTAGCCCATGGCGATATTCTGTCCGTCCAAGCTGGGACTGGGACATCCGGATGTGATGTGCCCGATGACTGCGTTGCCGTTCTCCACGTCGACAATTTCGGCACCTTCGCGGGCCGCCGGGCCCTTTTCAAGCGTCAAGCCAACCCGGCGTTCACCCATGGCCTTGGGGCTGGCCAGCTGCTTGTTGATGACCTCGTGGCCGTTGAAAGGGGGAGTGGGTGACTCGGTTCGTCGTGACTTTCCGACAACCCAGCCCAGTGCCGCTTCTGGAGGGGTGATTTTGTCATTCAAGTCGTGGCCGTACAGACACATGCCTGCCTCGAGACGGAGGGAGTCACGTGCCCCCAGGCCCGCCCAGCGAACTTTGCTGTTGTCCGCCGTCAGGGCTTTGGCGATGGACGTGGCGAGCTCGGTCGCATCCCCAGACTCTGGGGGGATGGAGATTTCGAAACCATCTTCGCCCGTGTAGCCAGTGCGGCTGATCAAGAGGGACGGCGTGTTCATGCCAGACTCAGGAAGGGTGAGTTGGAGCCAGCGGCTCGTGCCAAAGTACAGCGTGTCCAGGGACGTGTCGAGACCCTCGTCCTCGGCGTCGTTAAAGATCAGGGATTGTAGCACCGACGCGGCCTCGGGGCCCTGGAGAGCCACGAGGGCGTGGTGGTCGAGGACGTGCCAGGCAATCTTGTCAGAGGCTTTGGAAGGGGAGATGGATTTGGACTTGAGGAACGCGTCCATCTCAGCCTGAATGAAGGGCAGATCGGTATCGCGGCATCCGGCGTTGGTCACAAAATAGAAGCTGTCCTTGCCAATGCGGGTTATGACGGTGTCGTCGACGATACCACCAGACTTGTTGAGCAGCACAGAAAGGGACGAGTGGTGCTTCTCAATCTCGTTGATCGCGCTGGGCGTGATGGTCATGAGGAATTCCTCTGCCAGCTCGCCAGACATCTTGTGCTGGACCATGTGGCTCACATCGAAGAGGGATGCGTGCGACCGTGTCCACAGGTGCGAGTCACGGTGAGACTGGTCGGCGTATTCGACAGGCATGGAGAAGTTGGCGTAGGGAACCATTTTGGCCCCGAGCGATTCGTGCAGAGCAAACAAGGGCGTGTGTTTGAGTGGTGTCGAGGAATTGCTGGAGGAATACCGAGTAATCACCAAGGACCTTGGCACCGTTGAGATTGCGGTTGCTCGACTGGACACCTTGAGATGTTGTGACGAGAATGACGATGGTGACGATGGTGACGATGAGCTCGGTCTTGTGAGAAAAGTGCTCAGTTCTCGTGCCGAGCGTCGTTGAATGGTTCTGCTGGCTTGCGAGACCGCCGTTTGGAGCGGCCTCATTGCTCTTTGAGGTGGCATGGTGAGTTTAATGCTTTGATTGTGAACTTGGTCGGGGAAAGTCCAAGCCAGACACTGTCGTGCCGCACGAGCTGTAGCTGGTGGCTTGGTGTGTTCAAAACAGCTATCTCCCAATTTCTCGAAACTTATCGAGCTGGAGAAACAACACTATGATAGAATTATCTGTAGAGTATGGACCATCAAGAGCTCAACCTGGTCATGAAGGGCGTGCGTGGCAATCTTATCCCGCGTCGAGGTTGGATTCTTTCCTTTCATAACGTCTAGCTTCTCCGTCGCTCAAGTGTCCGACCAACCCCATCTCTGTTTATGGTCTAGCGCCTTTTCACGCTGCGCCTTGGCAAGATTTTGGGCAGGTCTGGGTAAAAAGTTCCCGACATGATGCGATTTTCCCTTCTCTCCTTCTCCTCCTCTCTACAGTCTCCGCGTTCAAAGAATCGCATTCAAAGCTCACGCACAGCGATGGAGCTCCCTCCTTTCGAGGAGAGGGGGTTTTCTCTGTCGCATACCACCTTGGCTTTGGGAGAAAGTCCCCGGACCACCCTACCTTTTGGGGATTCGTTTCCCACAAAGAACGTTAGGACTTGCCGTGAGGCGCCGCCATAAAAGCATTTTCACCGCGGCTCTCTTCTTGTTGGTCTCTGCTTTCCACTCTCCTCTGGGCAACCTACTGTTCCTCAGCCTTCGACCTCGTCCCGTCGTTTGTATTCCTTGGCGATGACCGGAATCTGTTTTCACGTCGCCGTGCTTGACGCTTACATCGAGGTATCTGGATGGACGAAGATACGAGTCCGTCCCATTAGGGTTTCGGCTAGATATCTCTTTTGACGCTGAGGGCCGGTGGTGATTTGGGTTCTTGGGCATCACGGGGAAGAGACGGCGAGGGTTTTATACTGGAAGTGCTTGGGACATTGGCTGCTCCGAGGGTTCAAGAGTGCTGAAGGTTGCGCAATTCGTCACATGAGTATAGTTATGCGATTGCTCTTTTTTTCTCTTGCCCGGGGTTTGGAAACAGGTTTTGGGCGAGAGAAAGAGAGGGTAACTCGACGGGGCTTATTCTTGAGACGCGGAAGACACCATTACTTTTTTTTCACTTTTTGAGTCTGTAGCTTATGGCAAAGCGGCGAGTCGATGGCTTTTTTGACTCGCAGAAGTCCTGTCAAAGGGACCGGACACGTCATGATCAAAAAAAGAAATGGTGGAAGAGGAGGCGAGCAGGGCTTGCATAAGAGATACAATCTTCGTGGCAAGGTCAAGGCTGTGATAAGCCTGCGACTCGGGACAGGAGAGAAAAATCAGGTCGACGGGGATGGCTTCGAATGATGAGCTCACAATCAATAGAGTCAAGCACTTAGACCTCCATGACCTCGAAATGAGCATGGTTTGGTCATTGACGAGCAACGATTGAATATCTCTGATGAAGCATATACTTGTACATCCGTGCTCGATGCATATTTTATTATTATTCTTTGCTCGCTTCATATGATTTTCATCATTGACCGTGTGAAGTACTGTAAACAAAGTGCATTCCTTCACGGTCATTTACTTTTCTCGCCGGCGGGAACCGGTATGGGCTTCTTCGCTTGTTGTTTTCCACCCCGCGTCTCTTGAACGTATTGTACCGCGTAGATCATCACGTCCCAAACCAAGGCTATTACCGTCGCGCAGGCCGTACTCCAGACGTTGATGCTCACGCCTCCGTAAGGGCACCTTGGGAAGCCGAGTAGGAACTCGGCGTACCAAGGGAACCAACCCCTCGGGTAGGTGAAGACGGGTGTCTTTGCATGCCAGAATTGTAGGCCGAACCGTAAACCGCTCGTACATAACCATCGAATCGCTGTGGCTTTCGTATCGAATGATCCTCTTGAGGAGGATACTGCGGCGGCTACAGAAACCAAACACACCGGATTAGTACAACGAAGTCCATGTCAACGTACGGAGTGTTGGGATATGTGCTTTTTGCACAAGAACAAAAGACCCGTGCGCTTGTGCGCAGCTTGATTGACAAAAACAAAACGCACCCTTCTTATCATGTTCCGCCATGGCCTTGTCGTGCTGCCGACGTATCTTTGCCCACTTGGAAAACTCGTCCTGTGCGCTGACGGCGTTCATTTCTCTCTTCAACCGCACCACCTCCCTCCGCAGGCGGATCTGTTCCTGAATGTCACGAGAGGACCGTAGAGGAAGACGACAATAGATTTGCCATAGCTGTGTGTGTAGGTTTGTGTCAGTCGTGCGCGCGTCTGGATACCAGAGAAAAATGGGAGGGCGAAGAGTGTTCCCTCTTACCAGGTCATTGATCGGCTTGGAACCTATGGTCAAGACGAGATGGCAGACGAGTTGGATGAAAAAGACAACCACCAAAAGACTGAGCATGGTTGTTGGGCAGGTGGGATGGGCGTGCCGACACCGACAATAACACGCAAGGGACAAAAGGACGCAAGGAATAAGAGTACCTAATGAATAGGTGGCTTAGTGTTGTAGTAAAGGTGTGTTCGAAATCAACTTGCCCACCACCTACGAGTGCGACGAGTATGATGCCACATTTTCGACTTCTGGTGGACTTTTGTTGGAGAGGAGCCGAGTCAAGCATGACGTGGGGACTTGGGGTTCAAATGACTCGTCCTTCCAGTTGGCCACGCTTCCTTTTCTCTGTCTCTTGTCTATTCCCTATCTGAAGTATTTACTTCTACGCTACAGTCCCTGATGCTCCCATGGACCTACGCGAGTGCAGCTGTTCTACTACTGCTTCATCGACCGTTGTACATAACTTCTTCTGCCACCAATCCACGTACAGGTGAAACAAGGTCCACGAGTGATGAAAAAGGAATAGATAAAGCAACGATACCCAATATATATTCATGCCATTTCCCACTTCCCACGTGTGACTTGGTTTGGAAACGCATGCTCCCATGTACAGCTCCGCCTATGTGATCATCATCAAGTTCCTGAATTACAATAGCAAATCCCCATTCTGCGCGAAATTCGTCTGTGGTTGAAGAACCTGCTGCGGCGCATTCTGGCTCACGACATACGGATTGCCCCCGATGCCATTTGCACCAGGGCTGGTCAAAATATCACCGCCACTGTTATCACTGAGGCTGAGGTTCTTGAAGTAGTCATCGGCAGCGGCAATGGCAGCTTGGTGGCCAGGTAGAGGTGTACCGCCAGGCGAGGTCGGCCCAGTGGTCAGTGACAATGGATTTGCCAAGTTCATTGCAGGCGATCCGAGTGCACGATGAAAGTCCTCCTTCCGTCGTTGGAGCGCAGGCGACTCGTGCAGTCGTCTCGGGCGAGCTGCACGGAATACTTGTTGCACGGGCTTCAAGTAAATCGTGGCTAATGTGCCGATACCAAGACACAATTCCTCCAGGGTACTTGGGTCGAGCTTTTCGCTCTCTGCGGTAATCGGAGGCTTGGAGCCCATGACCACCTTCTTTGCCGCTGCTGGATCTGTCGATAGCAGGCGCCAATACATGAAGCCCCGATCACGAAGATCCGGGTCGTCAGTCTCCTCGGTGCACCATTTCAGAACTTGCGGTACTATTGAAGAGCCCTTAGTTGGTCGATGGAGGAAGAGCTTGACGGTGGCGGTCAACAGAGATAGTTGAACTTCGATAGGTTCTTCGTGGAACGTGGACAAGTAGTCCTGAAGTAGCGTGTCGGCGTTGTCGATACGATCAGCATATTCTCCTATAATCCAGATAATCGCGGCTTTGGCCTCGGGCTCGTCAAGTTCGTCGATCTGGCCTATGACGGTCGAGATTACGGACTCGTATTGATTCGGGTACTTGCGGAAGATATTCTTGATCACCACTGTAGCTTCTTGAACAATGTACGGGATCTTCGCATTCACAAGGTCCAGCAATGTGTCGATACACTGTCGAGCTGCTGGTTCAATCTTAATAGCGAGCTTGCCAATCGCTCGTACCGCTTTTCGCACAAATTGTACGTCGATCTCAGTGGCGTATTCCCGGAGCTCATTCAGGACGACGGTGATATTGCTCTTGTTGGCAAGCATGAAAATCAATTCGAGTTTGGTGACTTTGACGTAGATTGGGTCGTTATATTTACAGAAGAAGACGCGGATGTCGTTCTGAAGAACTTCGGGCCGTTGTTGGAGTATGAGAATGGCATTGCGAAGAGCAAGATACTGGATCTCTGGTGGTTTGGAGAGAAGAGTGATTAGAGGCGGAGAGAGTTTGCGGGCAAGTTCATCGACCTTGCGTTGATCGGAGATGTAGTTCATGAGGTACATGATGACTCGGATGCAAGTAAGGACAACGCCGGAGTTCGAATGGGACAGACGAGATGCGATCCGTTCTGCAAGGAGGAGTGCCTCGCCTGACTCTTGAGGCACATATGAAATAAGGGCTTCAAGAACGTAAGTTTGTGACCATTCATTGCAGTCTGGAAGAATCGCGACGATTTTGGAGGCGCTGGTATAGTCGATTGTCAGTTTAATGTTCTCACTGCGCTCCCAGATATCTTGAAGGGCAGCTAAAGAACTAGCGACGACCGTTGGGTTGTCGTCCTTGAGCATACGATTTAGTCGGTCTATCAAGTCGGAACCTTCGACTAGTCTCTTGTCATGGTCGTAGACTTTAGCAACGGTGATAGCGGCTGTCTTGCGAACATAGGGGTCTTGATCTGTCATTAATTTCTTCAGGGGTCCGACCGTCCCTTCGACAAACTCTCGGACGTGAATATAGGAGATTGTTCGGAGAGCCAACGCTCTAATCAGTGGATTTGGGTCTTGCATGTCCTTCACATGTCAGCTGTACTCGTTCAAAATGAAAGAAGCCTCTCACATCTTGGAGAAATGGCAAAGCCCGAAGGGCTATCTCCGGTTTCATACGAGCGTAGTGCTGAAGATACAAGAAACACCTTTGCCTGTCAGTGCGTGTCCGACATCAACCAGGACCAAACCTACATCTTTTTGATTTCGAGTACTGGTATTTGCATGCAAGCGACAATGTCTGGGAAGAGGGCAACCATATCGTTGTTGCTCATAGTCATGTTTGCCACGATCTTCTTCAGCGCGTTCTTTTTTGCAGCATGATTTTTGTCTTTCTTACCCGGATTGGTAAGTTCTTGTCGTAGCTCGGCCACTTTACCCTTTGTTTCAAGTCAGTCAGGTCATCGAGGTTTGGTGCAAGGTTTGAATTGGTGTATAACTGAGAACTCCATGATAGGATACACAGCCCTCGCTGGAAATCAGGTCGGCGCCAAACAACAATACGCTGGCGGGGGTAGGGGCTCTGGGCATAGCGACGGAGATTGTTGTGACTCGAAAGTCATAAATGTAGGCAGTCGCTGACTTACTCGGGCAAAGAGCTTCGCGTCGCCATGTCCGGACGACATTTCGATGGATTTAAAGTTGGAATGGGTGTAGCAGGAGTCGAAGTTGACCCGCCTCAGGCTGAGGGACGAGTGTTTTTGTCGATGATCTCGAGGTATTTGAGACTTTATAAGGACATCATCTTTGAAAATCGTACGTGTAACCCATTGAAACGCCTTGGACTGCAACTATTCGATTTACCCTGTCCACATCCGTATGAGAAGATAGTTCAGCGAACTGTACATAAGGAGACGGTCGCGGAGAGGATCGACCGGCCGACGCCAAGTGACGGAAGCGCAGATTATCCGTTCCGGTCACTACTCGTACTAGATACTTTTGTACTCCGTATGAGCAATCCGCAACCACATCGTTAGCAAAAGCCTCGTCCACGCCAGTCAACAGACAACCATGGAGTATAGACAGCCGAAGTGGGTTCTTGAACTCGATAATGGCCTCCCACCCAGATCAAAAGCCGCCAGCAGCCTGCCAGATCCTCCCGGATACTCTTCGAAGTCGGCGTCCGGAAAACAGGTGAGCAAGGCCTTCAAACAAGACTACCCGGGACCATTATCTTACATGTCGTAGAGAGCGCAAGTCTCTGCCAGAAAAGCGCCTACACCCGAAGAGACGGAAACTCTGAAGCTCAAGAAAGCGTGGGAAATTGCCTTGGGACCTGCAAAGCAAATTCCAATGCAGGCTATCATGGGCTACATGTCTGGAAACTCTTTACAAATCTTCTCTATAATGATGGTGTGGATGCTGTGAGTGACATTGTGCCATGTCTCAGCCGTGCCAGTACTGATATTGTCTAGGTTCAAGAACCCTATCCAAGCGATTTCGCAGACAAATATGGCCTTTTCCAAACTCGAAAGCGAAGGGACACGCTCGCAAATGCTAGGAGTAAAAGCGGTCTATGTACTTATGCAATGCCTATTGCTTGGCCTAGGAATATATAAGGTCAACAGCATGGGATTGTTACCTACGACCAGAAGTGATTGGTTGGCGTGGGAGTTCGAGAGACAACCGCTGGAAAGAGCATACTTTGCCTTTGGAGGATGATGGCACGTCCTTCCATGACTCCGCTTCACAACTTCGCCGCAGGCTCATAGCCGGTCAAGATTTTGAGTGTCCTCTATTAATGGTTTCTGAAGGGCTTGGGCCATCCAATATCTCCACGCAGCGCCGCACATTGGGTTGGAGATTCGTAGGCTGAACGCCTGCTCACGGAAGATGATACAAGTGTGGCCGGGGCTCTACTGAGTCCGGGCTGTTCTACAGACCGCCGCTATTCTATGTGACAACAGCGGAAATATCCCAGGTTGCATACCTCCGCCAGCTAACATTGTGGACATCGAATTATTCTTCTTTATGCGATTTCTTCAAAACGCGGAAGTTCTCTCAACATCATCTGCTCACGGCCTCTGGCGGAACTTTCGTGGTTGGTGACCCTCAATGGTACCCTGCTGTTGCGACATCAAAGATGGTGCTTTTGGAACCTCATCGCTCGACTTTTCGATGAGGGCGACTCCTTCATCATTCCGGTTGATTTTGACCTCTCCACGTTCAAGTGCAAGCGCCTGCATTTTCTCTGCCACTTCGTCTTCTGATCTTTTGGCAACAGATAAAGCCTTTTCGAGGTTAGCAGGTAGACTCCAAGATATCACAACGTTTCCAGTCATACATTTAAAGATTCAGCAAGGTTCTCAGTGTCAAATTCATCGAATAGCTTGATGCCGACTGTCGTTATATCTCTCAGCCAAGCTGGTCCGGTCCCAAGCTGAGTACGGACAAAAGCTGTTCTCTCTGCACAAAGAGATGAACACCATTTCTCCATTTCCGCCTTGTTGACAAGTTTAAAGTCCTTTCCGCCCTTTTTATTCCAGACCAAGTTGCCAGTATGTGAAAGTCTCTGATTTGGTTTGGGACAGAGGGCATAGCCGCATCTGTTGTCTACGTTCCGTTCGTAGATAAGATCATCGAGATCTGATTCTTGGAACAATCCCAGGCATTGCTTGAAAAGGGAAGCGTCTGATGGTAATGGGTGGGCCGGATCAGCATCTGGCTTAGAAGGCAGTTCGAATACTTCTACTACTAGATCAGCAATCCGAGTCTGTAGTTTCTTTCTGTCTTGGATCTCGGTAGCATGGCGAAGTGCTGTTGAGCGAATACGAGATTCTTGGTCATCAATTCTCGTGGCCTGGGAAGTCATGCTATCCCATCGCTTTTGTCATCTAATTTGCAGTCTACAACCCAGCAGGACCACTGGTATGAGACGATTGAAACCGGAGAATGCTTGATATAATTGGAGCTCGATGATAGCGTAAGATGGTTTGGCGACAGGCAGAGACGGTGATAAATATATTAAGTAAGGCGCATTTCCTAAACCCAAGGCGGCTTGATTTCACCTACAACTCCTGCCCCACGTATTCATACACCACCTGGTCGAAAAGCCACACTCCCGACCAAGCTGCTATATCCTCTGGCGTTTCATCTTTGATCCTCCTCACCACTTCTTCTCTACCGACGTTCAGGTGACCGAGTCCTTGCCCGTCTATACGTCGTCATATTACCCTCGCCTTGGCAGCGCAGTGGGTGTGGCGCAGGTGCTGCGTCACCGGTTTTGGTCGGGTAAGATTGTTACAACCTGACAGAATCTCAGCAACACAACGACCCTGCCCGCCCGTTAAGCAGCCAATTCTCGAGACACACCATGCCTGGCACGTCCTTCAAAGTCAAAGCTCTTTACGAGTATAAGTCGGAGGAGCCAGATGACCTGAGTTTTCGCGATGGTCAAATAATCACCGTTACTGATGAAGAGGATGCCGATTGGTATACTGGCGAGTACGTCGATGAGTCGGGAGAGAAGCGGGAAGGCATTTTCCCAAGAAACTTTGTCGAGAAATTCGAACCGGCGATTCCTACACGGCCCGTGAGGGCTCCTAAACGACCACCTGTCCAGGAGGCTCCTGTTGAACATGCGCCGGTGCCTCCTTCAGCGCAGGCACTTCCTCCTGCCGAACCTCTCCAGTCACCTTCTCTAGAAGAGATGCCTCCCTCTAAAGGAGCTCCGGGTTTTGGGTCACCTCCCAGGGAAGAATCCCTTGAGACTGCGCCTGCGCCTGCGCCGAAACCCGCAGCTCCTAGTCCGACAGTCACCGCGAAATCTCCAGCGCCCCCGTCGACCTCGAAGCCACCTCCCCCCGTGGCTGATAAACCATCCTCAAGCTCCTTCAAAGATAGGATCGCAGCTTTTAATAAGCCTGCTGCAGCTCCTATTACGCCTTTTAAACCCGGTGGCAGCACAAGCACCGGCTTCATCAAAAAGCCCTTCGTTGCACCTCCCCCCAGCAGAAATGCTTACGTTCCACCTCCTCGCGAGCAACCAGTGCAAAGATCATATCGGCGAGAAGAAGATACAAACTCACTGGAAGCTGAAGCAAAGGAAGTGGCAGATCCCAACCCTATCTCACAGCCAGAGCCCTCGGCGGAGGATCAGCCGAAACCACAGAGTTTAAAAGATAGAATAGCCCTGCTCCAGAAGCAGCAGATGGAGCAAGCTGCGCGAAATGCTGAAAAGAAGGATAAACCGAAGAAACCACCTAAGAAACGAGTTGAGCCTTTGGAAGCTGTGGATGATTCTGCGCCTTCAGAGCCTCCAACGCAGCAGCCCAGCGCTGAAGATACCTTTCGTCGTCCATCTGTTGAATTTCTCGAGGATGAGAGTGACGTGGCACCTCTGTCGCGGCGTGCAACTGGTGTAGCAGGCGTCACGCCGCAACCTCAGCCGGTACGCGAACTTGTTAGCGACACAAATGATGCCGATGATTCAGGTGCCGGCGACGACGAAGACGTCCAGGAGACATCTACAGAGGAAGAGCGGCCGAAATCGAAGGGTGTCGACACGCGAGCACCGGAAGCGAATAAACAAAAACCAGACCCGGCCGACCAGGACAAGGAAGGTGATGAGGAAGATGAAGAGGAAGATGAGGAAGAAGAAGAAGAAGATCCCGAGGTGCGCCGAAGAAGAGAGCTTCGAGAACGTATGGCAAAGATGAGTGGTGGAATGGGCATGATGGGCATGTTTGGTCCGCCAGGAGGCATGGGTGCTCCTGGAGCGAGGAAGTCCAAGTCAACTGAAACAAGACAGACTTCGGATCCTCAGCCTCAAGACATGCCTGAAGAAAGACCAGCACCTGTTCGAATAATGGCGCTCCCTGGAATGTCTAACGTGGCGTCAAAACAACAAGAAGAGCCAGCTGAGGACAGTGACGATGAGACAGCTCAAGCTACCCCCCAGGAACCACACATTCATGAGGAACCTGACGACTACATTTCACGTCCAATTGAGAGGCGTTCGACTGATCGACCTGCTCCGCCGACACCTCAAGGTATAACTCTCCAGCGCTATCGTGTATATATTGCTAACCACGCACAGCTCCTTCTGCTGCACCTCCAAGGGAGACCAGAGCAGTCCCGCCACCTCCCCCCGCTTCGTCGAGGCCAACCCCACCCAGTGTCCAATCGCCAACATGTGAGTCTGTACTTTTCTCTATCGATACAACTCTAATTCCTGCAGCGCGGCCGCCGCCCCCTCTGCCCCCAACAGCACCCTCAGCGGCTGAGGCCCCAGTCAACGACGAAGAAGACGAGGCTGAGCTCTCTGGTGAAGAAGATATCCCAGGTCAGCTTTCGACTGCCGATGGTTCCGCTGGTCCTTCTAGTGTACCACCACCTCCTCCTATACGAGTTCCCGAGCCATCAAGGGTAAACACGAATGAGTTCACTACCTCACCAGCGGCAGACAAACGCTCGAGCCGACCTCCCCCACCTGTTCCTGTCAGTCCAACAGTTACGTCTCCTCAAACGAGAGCTCCGCCACCACCTCCTCCGGGCCTTCCACCCAGTCGCCGGTCTACGAGCGACTCTCGCGGTGTCGGCGTATCACAAGGTCCTGGGGCTGATGCTAGCGACGAAGATGAGGTTACTGAATATGACGGCGACTATGATACAGATATTGCCTCTGGCGCCAAGCACAAGGATGCCCTGAAGTCGCACAATCGAGACTCTAGTCTAGACGACGACATGCTCACTGACGACGCAACAAAGTCACTTAAGAGTCCTACAACGCGGGTTGTGCCTCCAATGCCCCCAGTACCAGCACCGGCGCCCCGGGATGTTCCACCACCGCCTCCTTCACATCCAGCACCCAAGTCGAGGGGTTCCATGGACGCACCTCGGGCAGCACCCCCGCCAGTGCCACCTCCAAAAGTAGCCGATGACGAGGAGTATGACCCTTATCGATATTCCGGGTCACAACATGGGATGCCTTTGCATCCGACCAAGACCCAATACTCAGCCAAACTTCAATCCCCGAAGGAAGAACTGGAGGAGGATGATCTCTATGGCGCAGGTTCCCCAACTGGACACATTCCTCCTCCCCCAGCTGAAAGAAGTGCTCCACCCCCGCCACCACCTGAAAGGCCGGAGTATGCACAGGCACCTACCGGATTTGCTCCGCCCCAACCAACGGCATCGCCGCGGCCTTCTCTGGATGTCAAACGCTCTGGCACAGTATCCCGTCGATCAATGGAACAGTCGAGGACAAGTGGGGAACAAAGTTATATCGCTCATGATATCGATCTTGGCCGAGGATCGATGTGGTGGACCCAGGAAAACGTGCCTCCACCCTCACTGCAAGGCCGACAAGACATCTTGTTGGAAATGGAAACATCGTCATCTACTAAGCGGGGTGGCCGAACCACTGTCACGAGGGACATCTACGTCCTGTACATGGACTATTCGCAGACAACCATCAACGCCAGCTTCGACTCAGGGGATCCATCTCACGTCACGCTAGAGCAGACTCATCAACGGCCACCGCCGGCACCTCGGCGAGACCAACTTGAAAATGCATCAGCACAGTATGGTAGTCAGATCGCGAAAGCCGCTTCTAGCGTACTTGGTTTATCCCTTGCCGACGGTTCTGCTCAGGGGCTCATCCTTGAGCTGCTCAAACCACACACGACAGCACTGCGGCCTGTGGGGACGAGGGCATATGGCGCTCTCGTCTATGCAAACCTCGGCAACGCCTCGACACAACAATATGACGAAATACGACCCGGCGACATTGTCACCTTCCGCAACGCCAAATTTGCAGGGCACACCGGTACCATGCACACCAAGTATAGTATCGATGTAGGGAAGCCGGAACATGTGGCGATAGTCGCTGAATGGGACGGTACGAAGAAGAAGATTCGGGCATTGGAACAAGGACGAGATCTGGAAAAGGGCAAGAAACCGAAGTTGAGAGAGCACAGTTTCAAGGTTGGCGACTTGAAGAGCGGAGAAGTGATGGTCTGGAGAGTGATGCCTCGCACATGGGTGGGCTGGGACTCTGGGAAATGATTTCACAGCCTCGGAGATGTTTGGCTGGCATGTGAGGGACCTTGCAGAGTAGCATGACTGGATTCCACTCCCCCATGACATGTTCGAACAGCTGCATAATATTGCATATACGAAGTGTTGGTTGACGCTCGTTGGACCGATCTAGGTCCCCGTCAGTCCAGGGTATTAGCCGGTACCGCAGATAAGGCTAGACTCGGCTTGGTTTAGGGGATGCCGGGGACTGTGTCTCAACCGTCAGCGGCGTCTCTTGGCTATTCAGCCGATCTGGAGGCCTTTCTCCTTCTGCCCTCGTTCTCCCCCTTCGCCAGCCTCTAATAAAGCTCTTATATACGCAGTAACCACGACACCTCTCACTTCCATCCATTGAATATCTCTTTACAGTACCCATCTCCCGTTCCTAGCCTCACGCTCTGTTCTGCAGATATCGACACTTGCTTGCGTCGTGCATCAGAAGCTGCACCGGTAGCTGCAACGCCATCTCCCCTTGTCCAAGACATGCTGTCTTAGCTGGCCTCGCCCTAGTCAGAGTACGCTATAAAAATCGGGATCTCCGCTATGCCCCGCTGCTATGGCACTGACTGGCATTAAGCGGGTGAGAACAGGTGAGGCCGAGAAACTTCTTGGTGCTGGTGATGGCTGTTTCGCTGACTCTCGCCGTGCTATCAGGATGTTGGACATGCCGTCGGCGTGGTTACCGCTGCGATGAAGGCACTCCATCATGTGCGGAATGTAAACGTCTGGGTATCGAATGCGAAGGGTACAGTATCCGCTTGACATGGATGAAAGGGACTTCTCGTATCAAGAATCGTGGGAAAGTGAAAGTTGAAACGCACGCTGCTGTGGTGCCGCGATCGAAGACTCCCAAAGCCAAAGCACGACTGCAGTCTGAGCCAGACTCTAAACAGCCCTGCGAACGGACGATAGGCCCCACGCTATACGCATCGCCATCGTCTCTTCTATCGTCCAAAGACCAGTTTCTCCTCAGGCATTATGTCTACACCGTCTCAGGGCTGCTCTCAAGCACACCTGATCGATCGATCAACACCTACTGCCAAGTCATATTGCCCATGGCAATGTCGTCTCCTCTTCTTCTGAATACCCTGCTACTGGTGTCAGCGGCGCACCTTGCATGTCGCTATGAGCAATTCGCTCTCGATATCCCACGTTATCGCAACCGCGTTCTGCCTACATTAATTTCCTCCGTCGAGAAGTGGAAAGGCTTCGATATAGTCCTTCTAGCAACCATCATCATGATGAGTATACATGAGGTAATGACAACCTGCTGTGCTACTTCTATACTGTCTAACATTTGATTCGATCTAGGTTTTTGAAGCAAATCATGCGAACTGGGTCAAGCACTTGAAAGCCGTTGCCCAAATCATCACCACCTATGTGCCTGATTGTAAGAACTGTGATCAAGAGACTCGAATGTTGCTCGATATGTAAGTGTGCCTCGTGGGCAGCCGACCTGCTCCCGGACTAACCAGTTCATTTGACAGTTTTGCCTACCACAGCGTCATTGCCTTTGTAGGTACGAATGAAGGCTTCCTGGTGATGGAGTACTATGGCCAAGCTACTTGGTCGGCGCTTCGAGGGAAAAACGCCTTCCTCGCGTCGGCGGACCAGGTGATAACCTACGTTGCCAGGCTCGGGAGCCTTTCCCTGGAAATTTCTTCAAATCTAGATCCAAAAATCCTTACTCCCTCTCAACTACGAAGAGTTCTGGACCTCAAAGCATTCCTAGAAAATTGGAAGCCCCCTACAGGAGGTCATGGTGATGCATGTAACACTGTCCAAGCAATGCGTTACGCTGGCCTCCTGTACTGCCACAAAATTATCGCCAATTCATTCATTGTATGCGGCCGGGAGGAAATTTTGAGCCATTGCCAGGCCATAGTTCAACATCTTGGATACATCTCTCTCGACAGCCCATCCGCAGCAAGCCATATGTGGCCACTGTACATGTCCGGTTCCTTTCTCAACAACCGAACTGGCATAGCGGATCAAGAATCGCAAGACTTTATCGTCGAGCGACTGGACGCTTTAAAGTTGCGGCGTGGTGTGAAGACGATAGACTTGATCCGAGATCGGCTTAAGTTGATATGGAACTCTGACGGCGATGCACTCGCAGCTCTTCCAGATGCTCCTTTGATTTTGATCTAATATATCGGACGATGGGCTGCCATGTTGATGGCCGACTTTTTCCTGCAAGCGCAGATGTGACGATATGTCCCCGGCATGCCAGGTTGACGTGATTTCAGGCTGGAGTTGAGGGCAAGTGATGAGTGAATGATGTCTCTATCTATTGGGTTCGCCATGTGCGAATCTTCGGGAATGATGTTGATTAAGTCTCCCTTAGCTGTATGGAGTTCACGGTGGATTTTGTGTTCTACCTTTCTGGTAGACACTCTAGGTATTGTGATACCCAACGGAGATGCTTTTGTCGAGATTACCTGTGTCAAATTCGCCATGGCCCATTTACTTCCATTAGGACTGTTTGTGAGGTTGATTGTTTTTCTTTCTTTACCTTGGGTATTTAGGTAGATATCCAGATATGCTTAGGCGGGGAAAACGCCCCAAGCACCGCTATAGGAGGTCAGTTTAGGTGCTTAATAATAATCATTCTCCGGTGGCCACTGATGCCCATTGTTCACCTGATGTTACAGTCTCAGTACTTCTCTTCCCACATTACGTGAAAGGCCTTCTCTCAGCGCCATATACTTAGCAATGAGTCGCTGGCACCTCATGTGCTTGCAGGTTGAAAGCACCAAAGAGAAACTGGCTGATCGACGCTGAATTGCTCACTCCCTCTACTCTTCAGCTGATGGGTGGCTTCCAGTGTTCAACTTGTCCCAAGGTCTTTAGCCGACAGGAACATCTGAAGCGCCATGAACAAAGCCACAAAGAACCTCAATTTCGGTGCTCTCAGTGCTCCAAAGCTTTCCACCGAAAGGACAATCTCAACAAGCACGAGTACACACATCGAGTTACCGAACCCTCGCTCCTACGACGAGGAGCCAGAGCTTGTTCATCGTGCGCTGCTGTGAAATCCCGCTGCTCCGGAGGAACGCCAAGTTGTACAAGATGTGCATCGAAGGGAGTCATCTGTCAATATCCCGTGGGTAAGAACAATTCAGGCACGACACATGTAATAACAGATAGCAATCCCGGGCAAGGCTCTGCTCACGATGCGCCCTTTGCATCAGGGCTTGCCGAATCTGAAATTGATCCAACATCAGATCGCGACTTGGTCTATCAGAGTGAGGTGCCAACAGCACAGCAGATCTCGGCCAACACCACCATCGGCTTTACAGGACTCCAATCCACGCCTTCAGATTTGCAAATCACGCAACAAGAGTCGACATACTATCCGCAGAGCGACCTTGATCAAACTGCAACCCTGTCGACGTTCGACTGGAATGCCAACATTACATCCACCATTAACTGGCTTCAGCCGGACAGCTTCAATCTCGATGATGCAGACCTTGGAACACTCTTTCCCATCTTCCCCGAGAACTATTATTTCTCACCCAGCGTTGACTTTGTCAGTCCGACTCAACATACACAAGTCGATGTCTCCGGGACCGTACTCGATTCGAGCGTCAGTGTTTACCAGGAGACACCCCAGCCGTCAACCGTGATTCTTGATGCGCAGCGAATTCCCACCCCAGAGTCTGTGCCTCCTCCCACAGGCTGTGGCGAATACTACGTCGATGGAGATGCTGGCCGATTGCCAAAGTCGAAACGACGTAGAGTTGTAGCAAAACCCAGGATCCTGACCGATCTCGACGACTCATCCTTCTCACTGTCATACACTCCACCGACGATTACGGGCACTCCGCCCAGACGGGGTCTGTCTGAGGACGCGTATACCAACCTAGACTTTCTCTACCGTCAACTTTGTCTGGACACGACCATTTTTAAAAAGTATGCACCATCCGCATTCCCTCCCAGAAGCGCTTTGGCCAATCTTCTCTCCTTGTACTTTGTGCACTTTGACCGAACAATGCCATCTATCCATCCGGCGAGCTTCAAACCAGAGAAAGAACACTGCGCTTTGCTGTTGGCCATGATGGCCTTGGGTAGCTGCTATGCAGATTTTGACCCGTCAGGACAATTTGCTTTATCCATGCACGAGTTTGTGAGGAGATTCCTCGTTTTCATACAGGAGCAAAGGCAATGGTACCCGGATGACCCCGCGACTCTAGCCCAAGTCCACGTGTTGCACGCAATTGGTGCAAGGTACACCTTGTACGAACCTCTACAGACCTCGTCATCACTTTCACTGCATGCAGCAACTGAATTCTGCCGTACTTCGTGGCGTACACAGGAGCGCACCAAAGCTCTGACATCGTGTGGTTGGTATACGTGGATTGCGAACGAAAAAGCAACACGTCTCGGCTATTGCATATGGCTCTTGGATGCCATGTGGGCATCTCAGTTCCAACAGTCGCCACACCTTCGTCTCGATGATGCCACCCATCTCCAACTGCCTTGCCCAGATCGTCTCTGGGCTGCCGCAGACGCGTCTGAATTCGATCAGCTGAGGACAACTTCTGGGCTGTCAGATCCTCCGACACTCGGCGAAGCACTTCAGAGTCTGTACATTGATAAGCAGCTACTCCCGAACCTGGGCGAGTTCAGCCGCGTTATCCTCATCCACGGCATCATCCACCGGACGTGGGAAGTCAAGACGACCGTGACGCAGAGCTTTTCGCGGTTCGAACCCTCCGCGCTGAAACAGACGGGTAACGAAGTGAACCACGCGGAGCCTGTCTGGCCTCCTGCGGTGCCCCTGTTCAACAAGTGGAGAAACTCGGCGTGTGACTGTCTGGACATCTTGCATTGGAGCGCCAACGCCGCGATAGGGGCGGCCAGTGGGATGGAGCACCCGACCGTGCTACACTTGCACCTGGCCCGGATCGTCCTGTTGGCGCCTCTGGAGGACATCTTGTTGTTTTCCCACTACCTCATCCGATCCAGCAGAGAGTCGAACCGCGTCTTTCCCCACGTGTCGGCGGCCGAGGCGGAGGCGCACAGGCGGCGCATCCAACGGTGGGCGGTCCAGGATCAATACAAGGCGAGACTGGCCGCCATCCACGCCGGCGCGGTCTTATGGCACGTCCGACTCTACTCGATCGACGCCTTTTACGAGCCGACGGCCGTGGCTCTGGCGGCGTTGATGTTTTGGGCCCTGAGTGCCTTCTCCATCAACAAAACAAGGACGAGACCGAACAGCCGTGGCGGCGCGCGAGGGGGGTCCGACCCGAGTGACGGGGGCTGTTCGCCGTCTCCAGACGTCTGCGACATCATCCTCATCGATCGCCCCACGGATGATGAGCTCGTGCAGCAATTTGTCAGGCAGGGGGAATCGATGCGGGCCAACATGACCGGCGTCGGGGACGTCTTTGGCCCCCGGGGACCGAGGAAAGTTTTGGCCGAGGGGCAGAAACTGATCTTGAGTCTGGGCGGCTGGAGAGGCATTTCGAACTATTGGGTGAAGGTGCTGAACAGGTTGGAAAAGGTCACCGCGATGGCTGGTGTCGATACCGGGTCTGTTTGAGGCGTCTACTACATCTTGACGTCCGTAAACTGAAAAGGGGTTTTATGGACACGTATTCTTTTTTCCCCAACCCGAGTACTCATACAAGCATCGTGACTCTCACTTTGTTTCCTATTCTATAATCATGGCCCTTCTCATCCCTGTTCTATACTGCATGTAGGTATCACGACTTTCACTGTTCATGCCTATTTAGTGCTGGGTTGGTCTACTTGTGCCACCTCCTCAATCCAACTCTTGCTTGTCCTTTACCTCCCCTGTTCGCCCTGAAATAGTAAGGTACAAAGTTTAGATTGGTATCAATGACCATCGACCCTGTAGAACCTTTGTGCAATTCTTCCGCCTCAATTTCGGGACCAGCATGAAGTTCGGACAAGTTGAGAACGCTAGCACCACCTTTTGGGATCGTAAGAGCCACGAAAGTATCACCGGTAGTGTCGTCTGTTACGTGGTGTTGATGTATCGAGCATTTCGGATCTATCTGCAGGCTCTTGAAATGATCTGTGGCCCAAGGGTTGTCAACGTCCTCGACGACGTAGATGACGGGTCCACGAGCGACGGCGATGGTGTCTTGGTTGGTGTATGGGTGTGGTGAGATCAAACGAGGAGATATGTCAATGTCGAGTGTGAATTTGGGGCTCGAAGACACCCAATGTGAAGGGAGGACAAGATAACCCTTTTGTAGGGTTGTATTGTCCGGAGGAAGAGGAGGTGTGATCTGGCGACAATTGTCATTGGAGTCAGTTTTCGGTACGAGCAGGAGCACGAGCATGATGGATCAAAGTGTCTTACCTTCCATGATTTGGCCCATGATGGTATCCTCAATGCAATGCTGACTTGTGCATTAGTACCAACACCCTCAATCTCAAACTCGACACGCCCTTCCCAAGGCCAATTACTCCTTTGTGTCAATCCCGCCCTTTTCTGGTCTTGGTGTCCTCCACCGACCTCAAACTCGTGCCGACTAGGAACGTACAAGTGAACATTCACCTGCGTCACATCGTCGTTGCCGCCGCGCATGTCACTGTACACGTACCCTCCAATTTGACCAAACAGTCGAAGCACGTTCGGAGGACAACAAGCACAGGTGAACCACTCTTCGCGTTTCGAAAGGTCGGCGTCACTCGAGGCCAATTGATTGACGTAGGTGAATTTCGTCCCGTCGTGGGACATGGAGGTCATCATGGCATTGTACAGACACAACTCCATGACATCCCCGAACCGTCGGTCCAGGTCGCACTGCAGGATTCGCTCGGCGAGCATCATGACTCCAATGGCCGCGCACGTCTCGGCGTAGCAACCCCCTTCGTCCGTACTCTGAGGCAAGAAATATTCCAAGCCAAACCCTTCCCATTGTTTGATGGCCCCGATGCCACCGGTCAAGTACATCTTTCGGTCCACCATGTTATCCCACAGTCGATAAATGGCGTCTTTGAGTCTTTGGGCATGGTCATCGTCCGAGGATCTTCCTCCTTGTATCTTGCTCATTCCAACGAGATCAGACGCCGCAGTGAGTAGGTACATGGCTCGGACAGAGTGTCCTTGTATCGTTTCTTGCTCTACGATGGGTTTGTGAGCCTGGTAATACCACAAAGCGTTGTCGTTGCCTCCCCAGTACGACATTCTCGCGTGCGCAGGGTCACCTCGTTTCTCGGCTTCAACCACATAATAGTGTCGCCCGTCAACGCCAGTGGGGTTCCCTCTCTCGGTCAGAAAATATCTCGCGAGTTCCAGATGTTTGGGGTTCTGTGTTCGTCGGTACAGCCGGAGGAGGGCCAGTTCAATCTCAGGGTGTCCTGGATATCCATGGGTTTGATCCTTACCGGGCCCAAAGGTTTGACATAAAAGGTCGACGTACTTTATCAGAGGGTCCAAAAGGTCGTTGTTCTTGTACAAGGCGTTGTGAGCCAGTGCGGCCTCGATGAGGTGTCCGGCGTTGTATAGTTCGTGAAAATCCCGTAAATTGGTGAACCGTTTCCCGGGCTCGACGACCGTGTAGTGGATGTTGAGGTAGCCGTCTGGCTGTTGCGCCGACCTAATCATCTTTACGAGATCGTTGATGGCCGAATGGATCTTTGTGTCGGGCTGATTGTGGAGGAAATAGCATGCTCCTTCGATCCATTTGCCAATGTCAGAGTCCCTGCATCCCTATTCAGTTGAAGATTCTCTTCCACATATCTGGTTCAACTCACCAGAATAAATGTTTCGGGATAGGCCATGTCTCAGGCTCGTCCGAATATGACGGGTGCCATTGCAGTTTAAAGGCATCATATCTGCCTGTCTTTTTGAGTACTTCGAGCTGATATAGTAGAGTATTTGAAGAGACAACCTCGCGTCTTCTGGCAATCAAGGACCCAGGAAGTAGGGACGTCTGGGTGAATGATTCTTGAGGATACGACATGATTGCGAAGTAGGAAACAATTATGACCAGGCAGGTCGATCAACTTTTGGGTCCTTGAAACTTGAACTACTGTCAAGATTCCTGCTTCCCAGTGTGAAGTATTCTGCGTTCTCCAGAGAAAAAATTGTAGAGCTAAAACAAACAAAGAACCTGTGGTCTATTCTACTCCTTATCGAGATAGTGAGTACAGTACATACCATGGATCTAAACTTTTTATTGTGTTCACTTGGGCTCATTGATGATGATGATACGATCAAATTGGAAATCCGGCAGATACTGCCACCACTTTTCACCGGAAGTCGCCCGTCGACATGAATTTACACAAAGGACATGCAACGACACCCGCTTCCCCCCCCCCCCTCCTCCCCACAAGAATGCCGGTGACAACCCTCCGCATCTTCAAACACTCGTCTCGAGGAGGAGTGTCCGGTGGGTGGATTGGCTATTGATTGGATCTCCCACCGGCAAAGACCCCCTTCATTCTCCTCATACTCCTCATTTTCCCATCGGCGTAGAAATCACGAGATGGTCAAGGATATTCTAGGTAACTAAACGAGAAACACCAGATCCTCGGTTCGATCACTTTTGACGAAATATGCCACCCGATATGACCACCGGAATAGAACCTTTTACAACATCCAGATGTCCCATATGGGTTCTGGGCACACAATACGTTGACATCTTGTTCTGGCTGCCATCTCACATCAGCGGTGGCATGTCCAACTAGAATGCGCGTGCACAAGTACTTGCTTATAAGGCATCACGCGTTGAAGAGACGCGAGATTCAAGGACATCTAGCTGTTTGCTACACTCGGGACGCAACTACCCGTGGGTTAATTGATATCGTATGGACAGCCTGGATCGCTACAGCCGCAATTGCCGATTTGGACCTGTTCGTCACAGCCTTGCCGTGGTTCATTGTGACTCGCAATGACTCCTTACCATTGCAGGCTGCTTGATATGTCGGGATCGTTATGCCGAGTCTGCCTTGTTCGACTTTCACTCGATGAATTGTCGTTTGGCTTCTCATGCCTGTCCGCTGACTCAGGATTAACACCAGCTCATACATTTTTAGTTGGTTTGTTTCTCCATGGCTAACAATCCGAGTGGAGCTGTACATATGTATGTTGCCTCAAGCTGTAGTCCGAACCAACATTCGAAAATGCCGATTTCACACAGAGACCACCATCATCTGATATGGCTAGTTCATCAAGAGAGCATTCCGGTAGAGTGGTTCTATCCACCATAGTCAAGCCATTGACATCTCCATGGAACGCAAGACTTCCATGTCGGTAACATGGCACTTCCGGATACAGAGTGTTGCGATTGGACGTTGCACCGGAAACATATCACCATCAAATGTGGCCGCCGGAGCCCCAGAGCCGCCGTGAGTGGCGTATAAGTGGCGACTCCGGTGGGAGAAACTAGACCTTCCCAGGCGAGTTATTGCCATCCTCCGAAGGGAGGTCGATCCCCATGGGGGCCACCCGTGATCCCCCTGGTTCTCTACCTACCTTATGCATCTCGATACATTTAGATGGTCGGGGGAAAACGCCAGAAGCCATGTTTGTCTATTTAGTGGTCATGATTCCCTGTTTGGTACCCATGGTAGTACTTGTGTGTCTCTCTCGCCTTTCGAGATCCTGACCAACATTTAATTTGCCTGAGCTCGGGGTTTCAGCTTCAGCGTCAACACAAATCAACAACATGGAGTCTGAGAAGGTCGTCCCCACGTTCCAACGCGAGCATGCCAGTCTCGACTTGACCAATGACATGAACTTTGAGCTCATCCGCCATGCACAAGAAAGTGATGCTGCCGACAGGAAATTGACCATCCGTCAGGCGTTGAAAAAGTACAAAAAGGCCGTCTTTTGGGCAATGTTTCTGTCGACGAGTTTGGTCATGGAAGGATACGATTTGGTCATTGTAAGCTTTTTGTCGAGTTCTAAATCCTGCTTGGGGAGGTATCTTATCTACTTACACACACACAGATAACTTCATTCTATGGCCAAACGCAATTCCAGAATCGATTCGGAGTCGAGGATCCAAAGACGGGGAAGAAGATTATTCCAGCAAGGTGGCAGTCGGGTCTCTCGAACTCGGCCCTGGTAGGACAACTGGCAGGTCTCTTGGTCAATGCATACACACAAGATCGATTTGGGTGTAGACCGACCATGATGGCTTTTATGGTTTGGATGGCTGTCGTACTGTTCATCCCGGTCTTTGCTCCATCCCTGTCTGTTCTGGCATTCGGTGAGGCCATGTGCGGAATCCCTTGGGGAGTGTTTCAGGTTTGTTGTTACCTCTGTTATACGGTGATGACGCACCGGGCTGACCATCATGCAACCAGACCTTGTCGACTACGTACGCCTCCGAAGTTGTTCCAACAGTACTTCGACCTTACTTCACCGCATACGTCTGCATGTGCTGGGGCGGTGGTATCCTCTTGTCTTCTGGCGTCGTCCGCGCAGTTGCCGGTATCCAAGGCGACTTGGGTTGGAGACTACCGTTCGCGTTGCAGTTCGTGTGGCCACTGCCTTTGTTCATCGGAACATACTTTGCACCCGAGTCACCGTGGAACGCGGTGCGACGAGGAAAGATGGATCTGGCCCGAAGGTCCTTGATGCGACTCAGACAAGACGAACCTGACAAGGAAACAAGCGTCGACGCCGCCCTTGCATACATCAAATACACCACCGAGTTGGAAAGGGCCGAGACCGAGAGTGCCAGTTTCATCGAGTGCTTCAAGGGGACGAATCTGCGCCGGACAGAAATTGTGAGTAATCAGACGACAACGACCTGCGACGTCTACTCTATTCTAACCTGTTGGTGTCTTCTAGAACTGCGTCGTCTGGGCTGCCCAGATCCTTTGCGGCAACGCCATTCTAGGTTACTCTGTGGTCTTTCTCGAAGCAGCAGGGTTCTCCGAGCTTCAAGCCTTTGACGTCAACATTTCCCTTTCGGCCTGCTACATCATCGGCGGCATCATTTGTTGGTTGATGTTCCCCCATTTCGGGCGAGCCACCATCTACATGGGCGGCATGGTGTTCATGTTCTTTTGTCTCATCGCCATCGGTGGTCTGGGATGGTCGAAGTCCAAGGACGCACAACTCGCCATTGGCATCTTGCTTGTCATTTCCACACTCTGCAACATGATCACCACTGGTCCAGCTTGTTACCCCATCGTGTCGGAAACTCCGTCCGGAAGGTTAAGGTACAAGACCATTGTCATTGGACGATTCGTGTACAACCTCACTGGTATCTTTAACAATTCGGTGACCCCGAGAATGATTTCTGCTACATGTGAGTATTCTTTTGTTTTTACCGCCCCCCACCTCTTTGAGTCGGTTTTTTTTGCTGACACAACGATATGAAGCATGGAATTGGGGTGCAAAGACTGGTCTCTTTTACGCCGGTACCAATCTATTATGCAACATCTGGTGTTGGTTCCGTTTGCCGGAAACGAAAGATCGTACATTTGGTGAGATTGATCTCATGTTTGAGAATCGAGTTCCGGCCAGAAAGTTTAAGCATACAAAAGTTGATCGTGAGTTTTTTCTCTTTTTTTTTGCACTTTGACACTCAACAAGACATACAAAAACTGACAAGCGATTGTTTCATTTTTCTAGAATTTGCCGTTGCCATGCGAGAAGCACAAAAGGTCGAAGCAGCAGAGGAAAAGGCTGCGGTTGAGCATCAAAATGTGGTCGAAGTCCCGTCTCACGTCCACTGAGACTTTCCCACGACAGAGAGACAAGAGATGACCGTTCTCCGAGGGGATATGCAGTAGGGAGTACTTATAGTAGTTAACAGAAAACGAAATGAAAAGTTGACGTTTGATATGGTAAACAACAATTGGATTAATCGTCATCATCATGCCGCATACCGTATATATTGTACGGTTGGCCAGCGTCAGTAGTAAATTGGCCCCCCCTGGCTCTCTTCTTTTTCTTCCAACAGGTCTAACTTCTAGCTATTAAATCAACGAATGTTGATGATTCCCATGTGTGGTTAACCCACATCGATTTGGAATTGAGCGCTGCTTCCATGATCAATTTGTCTCATGATGAATTTCCACTGTCCCAGCTTTTCTTCCCGCTTCCTGCGCTGTACGGGCGCCCTTGATATCAAACCATATGCCCTACCTTTTCTGCTTGGATTGATGGTCCAGTATTCTTCCCTTCAATTCCAGGCGCCCATGAATGTCCAAATTCATATATCCCTGCTTTTCCTGCTGAATGACTGTCATCGCTGTTCCCAAGATTCTTCTTTTTTCCCTCCGAGCGCCGATAAATGCCCATTTTCGATCTGTTGCTTGAAAAATGACCGTCCATAATCCCTCCCATTCCATGCGCCCCCCGCTTCTGAATGTCAAAATTTAAATGCGCTATTTCATGGTCACGTAACAATCTGGGTCCTTCGCAAGTCAAAAACTCGGCAATACCGTTACGATGATTTATTGATTGAACCAGTCCCTTTCTCGCTGACAACGGTCGCACTCCCTTCGTTCTTGGTCGTCACAACATCCCTAACGGCGGAGGCGGAGGCGGAGGCTGTACTCCCATCCCGGTCCTCTCGTGTCGGTGGACCCTCGAAATCGTCGTCGGTGATTTCAGTATTGTGTAGACGGAACCAATACAGAGGCAAAGCGATGATGAGACCGCCTGCCATCAGCCCCCAAGAGGTACCAAAGTTGATGTGGAATGAGACTTTGTCCTAGCGGATCCAAGAAAAATTAGTAATTGTCCTTTGAAAAGGGGGGTTTCTTGTGGCTCTGCCACAAGAAAAGAACTTGAAACAAGGTCGTGACAGAACTTACAGCGTCAAGTTTGGAAATGGTGGTAGCCCCTACTGCCTGGATGGATTTGTAAAAGCCGGCGTAGTAGGCTAGTTTCCGAGGGTCGTTGGACATGGCACCCATGGTATAGTAACAAAAGACTTGCCATAGAGAATCCAGCATGCCATAAGCCATGTAAAGCTGGGTGTGTTGTTAGCAGTGGACATGAACATATATGAACAAGAAGGAAGGAAGAGCCGGAGAAAGGATGGGAGCGGTGGCGGCGGCGGTGGTGGTGGTGGTGGTGACAACATACAAACAAATACCAAATGTAACCCGAATCAAAAAGGTCCATCTCGGGGCCCTTGACGTGTCGATTGGTCAACAACAGGAATTTGTATCCGCCTCCCCAGACGGCCATGACCAATGCGAAGAGCATCGCCCAAGCAATGAGGGTACGAGTGCGACGACTGAATCTTGTCCAGTCGAGAAACGCACCGAACGCGCCGGCGCCAATGATCTGGGCGATCCAGTAAAAGATGTTGTTGAATGCTCTCGTCCTCGTGGAGAAAAAGTACGCATTGACATCTGACAAACGCACGCGGGTCAGCACGCTCCCTTCCCTCCCTTTCCGACGTCGGGGTCATCATCACTTACCGTTGAATTGATACGTGTAGAAATAATTGGACGCAAAGAACATTGGGAAAAGTAAAATCACCCAGGGGTCGGTGACGAGGGTCGTGTAGAGGCCCATAATGTCGGACTTGAGGCCAGGGTGGACGACCTTTTCCACCTTTGTCCCGTCCTTTCGAATGATCTTGCTGCTCGGGGTCAGGAAACAACACAACAACGCTCCCGTGGCTTCGAGGACGATGAATCCGACGTAGGTCCCGTCCGTGACGTGACCGGCCTTGACGCTCCAGTTCTGGCCGAGTGACACGGCGGCTCCGATGACGGCTCCCAGATTGAAAAGGAGCCAGGTGATGGAAATCGCTCGACCTCGTTGAGATTCGACTGGATAGGACTGCAAAGATTTCAAATCGTGTTAAAAGAGAATAAGGAAATAGGAATCTTAAGAAAACCGAAATCAACTCACCATCATCACCACACCTTGCGCACACCACAAAAAAGCAGCGCAGAAGCCCAAGAGTGCCCCCGAGAAGATGACGAACCCTTCATTCTGGGTATGGTTGTAGCACAGGAAAGCGGCCGAGTAGACACAATACCCAATGCCACCGATTGCCATTGTCCATTTCGTTCCCCTATAAATCCACGGTTTGTGAGCGTGCAAAGTCCCTGATAAAAGTCCGAATCCGAGGATCATGCAAAGCCTTACACCCAATTATGTGCGATACCGACGAAGAAACCAACGACTGCGAACGTCGTATGGAGGGCAATACCAGCGTTGTTTTGTGCCGTCGCATCGACCTGACCAGCACCTCCTAGACCGGCCAAGGCATTGTACATACTATACCATCGACGGACGGGTTTTTGTCAGTTGCGGTCAACCCAAGAGAGTACGGAAGTGTAAGAGATCCGAAAGCTGGGAGATGAACCTACCCCGGGTTGAGGAATAGAATAAAACCGACAAGGAAGATTTGAACCATCGGATCAGAGTACCTAGGTACTTTGAATCCAAACAGGGTTCGCTGTCGCTTCCGTACAGCCACAACATTCTGGTGCTCGGGGTCAACTGGGTCATGTTAGTGGACGTTACCCAGGGGGGGGTTTTTTGGATGGTGCCCCCGGGGGGTGGGAGGGTCCATCTAACCATCAGTTCCCATTGTCGATGCTTTGCGGTATGTCTGTTCCTGCTTTTCAGGTCACCCAGAAGATGTTTGACAATGTGTGTGTGCGAGTTGCGTATGGGTGTTGCGATGCTCGAAAAGAGGCGAGGCGCCTTAACAAAAGATATATAACTCTTGATCAATGATCTAGTGGCATCCCCATTCGTCGCGATATCCCGGCTTGGTGTATCAAAATTGTCTTGAACGGGACGGCGACAGTAGTTAGTCCACCATAATCTGCCAGGGACGTTTAGCTGCAGCGAATAAGAGGCGGACGATTTATCAAGCCTGATGGATACTTTGTAGTTGCACGCGACAACCCCGCAATCCACCTTTTGGCTGTTCGGGATGGGGATGGCATTTGCTTTGTTGAGATGATAGAAAGAGGTTGGGTTGAAGAAACGGTTGGGCAAGCCTGGAGTCCAAAGAAACCTCGAGGTCTGACAACTTGACAGTTGACAACAGTTGGTTGCACCAAAAGATTGTCGAATGGCGGTTTGAACCTCTAGTTGAAGCCTGGTTGATCATGTGGGACTGTATGAGATGCCTGATGTAGTTTAGACTCGTATGTGATACGGATATGTCGGGCTCAACTTCTCTTTCAACGGGCTATTCAGTCCGTCCTGTATCTCTCCCGCTCCGCCTATATGTGTCTATCAAAACCCCTAAAAGGAGTAGCCCAGTTGCCTAAGAGTCAGTGTAACTAGGTAGGTTGGCTTGGCCTGCCTGTCAACATCTCATGTTAGTCCTCAATACTCCATACTCTGGACAAAACCCCTCCATACACACGGGAAGAGGAGTATCATGGTACGTATCTTGTTTGTCCCGCGGTCGATATCTCAACAATCCATATTCTTCGTACAATAAACGTCTCCATACAAACGCGGGAAGAGCATACTGTGCAATACTCCTCTTTATTGCCGAGGTAATCAATGTATTAAATACAATGAAGGACTGTTCGAGTCCCCGGTCTTGGAATGGTTGAGTTCTCTCTCCTCATTCTCATCCTCTGAATATCCTATCCGAGAAATTGATCATTAATTCTATATTCGTATAAATTCCCAGACAGGCAAGTCCAACAGGTTAGCTATATCGCAAAGGGTATCTTGATCTTGTATCTGGAGCCTGCCTATACTCTGAAGCTGGGCTGCCCATTTGGGCTATTTTGTACTTACCGCATTTGACGCGAACAAAGGCACAACGACACCAAGAGTCAACGCTCTCCACGAATCCTTTCAATCTCATACCTTATATCTCGTTGCGATATTTCAATCGTAAAATGATCGCTCCATTGAAGACGCAGACCGACGCTGTCCATGTCCTGATCAGCCCTGAAGAGCGTGTGTCGGGACAAATATCCAAACAGAACCTTGAAAAGGCTGTTGTGGCGATTTCGGAAGACGGAGTAGTCATACTTGACAATGCAGTCTCCGAGGAGAGTCTGGATTTCTTAAACCTACGCATGGTCGAGGAAGCCAAAGCTCTCAGAGAAGGTTCATCCACCTGGTTCAACTACGACAACAAGGCGCAGAATATTTTGCAACACATGATTCCTGACCCTGAATACCTGCTCCCCGATGTTCATGCGAACCCTTTTGCCCTGGAAGTGTGCAAGACGATGATGGGGCCCAAGCCGGTGCTTCGATACCACAAGGCCAACACCAACTTCCCCGGAGAGAGTCGTCAACCCGTCCACAGCGACGTGCATTATGAACATCCCCGCGCTTGCTTCAGTCTCGCCGTCAACACCGTCTTGATCGACTGTTCGCCCGAGAATGGGTCGACCGAGTGCTGGCCGGGGACGCACACAACCACGACATTCTCCGACCAGAACGGGATGAAGGGCATCCATCAACACTTACTCGATGAGAGAATCCGGACCCACGGACCGCCTATCCAGCCGACGGTGAAAAAGGGAGGCATCATCATCCGTGACATGAGATTGTGGCACGCCGGGATGCCGAATCGAACAGCCGACCAAGTTCGGGTGATGCTGAACCTGATCTTCTTCGCAGATTGGTACAGATGCCCCATGACGATCCAATTCCCCAAATCCGCCGAATCCAGAATCCGCGAACTCGAGAAAGAAGGAGGCATCCAAATCGCGGCCGAATTTGTCGACGACCTTGATCATCGAACCCTTGCACACACTCATGACTTTGGTCAAGACGACAAGAGGGAGGAGTTCGGAAGATGGCACCACAAGGTTGCTGCCAAAGTGAACACATGAACCTGCACATATGCTCTCCGTCTGTCAATGAACATATACGAGAACGCTGTACATACTAAAATAATATAAAGGAGGAAGGCCCGAAGCTGATTCACACACGCCGAAATCACCACAACCTCATTTCCAATATCATCGCCACCGATCTATATGTATATGTCACTTGTGGCCAAAACCTCTGCAATGATCCTTGATTCCCCGGTAACTCCTTGCTCGTCTGCCCCACAACATAGGTTGTCGTCTGCATGAACAGGGCGGTGAGGACCCGTGAATAATCAAAATGGCATGGACAAACGAGTCTGACATGAGGCTAAGTCACCAAGGGATTTGTATTCTCACCTTGTCCCCAAGCCATCCAGCCGTGGATGTGCATGGTGGTGTAAGACTTTTGCAGACATGAGGGTGGTAATGAAAGTTCACGTGAGCGTATTTCGCACCCATCGTGGCAATCATCGTTTCGTCTGGTCTGGGTAGGCTATGGGTGCTCATTCAGCCTTGCATCAGGTGCAGCTGGGTTTTGATGTGGCATAGATGTCTTTTTGGTTCTGTTGAAGAAACTCGTCTCGCGACACGCCGCACTGGGCCAAGCAGTAGCAGGTTTGCCTCATTAGAACCGTCCGCTCCTACAATGTTTGCAATGCAAAACCAGCAATGTTACCGAGCCGAGAGATAAGTCTTGGACAGTTCCAGGGCCCTTGGAAGATTGGAACACACTGGGCAAGCAAATCTCCAGAGTATGAGGAAGACATTAAAAACGACTGATCCGAGGCACTTCATTTACTCCGGAATACGGAGAAACCTTTATCCCATGAGACTAAGGTCTAAGAATGTGAAGGCCGCATGACTGCGATTACAATAACTCCCTCAAACACCCAGACTCTCTGTTCCAGGATATCGTTACCGCGCACAGTTTGTTCTGAGCGACCATATCATTTCCGGCATCTTCGCCTACCTCCACCAAAATCTACGTCCAAGGTCTGAAGGCCATCTTCAATCCTTCCTATCTCCCATTCCCCGTCTGTGCCCCATTCCACGCCGATCATGTCATCCCCGGTTGAAGAGGAAGCCACGATTTCTATTCCGAGCCTCGCCTTTGTCGCCGTCTTGGGCTACTTTATCTATCGATATTTCTTCTCTGCGCCCAGGGATGGCCCAGACGGTAGCCCGTCATCGTCATCGAGGAATAATGGACTTCGCTTTACGCCGGCGCAAGTCGAGCAGATAGCCCAAATGTTCCCGCAATTGAACCGGAGAGATATCATGTGGGATCTGCACCGCAACAGAGGAAGTGTGCAGGCTACGACGGAGAGAGTTTTGACTGGCCATGGGCTAGATCCCGTGAGACCGCCACCTGTAGTTAGACGGAGAAGATGCAAACAGATATTGACTTGAATCTCACAGGCGCCGCCGTCGTTCCAACCACCTATCTCATTCACGAATCCACCTGCAAACACTACAAACTCATCTACAACGCCACCCTTAAAGTCACTCCCGCCCGATCTGATCACGCGGTACAACCTCCAAGCCAAAGTAAATGCAAAGGGCAAAGAAAAGGAGGAAGACTCACCTGCGCCGGGTTGGGCGAGTAGCAAAGAAGCCCGCCAGAAAATGTTGCAGCGAAGACGGGACGAAATGATCCTGGAGGCCAGAAGAAAGCTGCAGGAGAGGGATCAAGGAACGCCCGCTTTTCCGTCTTCATGACACTTTCCGGCTTCTGCCTTGCACAGCTCTTCGTTGTGAACAAATTCCGTTCAGGGCGACACACCCCGCAGATTAAATGATACGCAGGATCTCCGAGATGAGTCTTGTTGATATAGGCGCGATTGGGTCCAGTGTGTCGTACACAAAACACACTTGGGCTGGAAGTTTGCAGCAGTGGCCGACTGTTAAAGTTGTTGGCTCTTCTTTGGTCTGGGGATGTTGCTTTCCTGGCGATTCTTGAAATATCCCTCTAATGATTTGGATGTCCATAACTCAATATACAATTTTTCTCATACATTTTGAACAAGTACTTTAGGTCATTTCGTCGTCGTCATCGTCATATCTTCGGTTTTCTCTCTCCTCCTCTTCTCGTTCCCGTCTGGCCTGTTCCCGGCTGGCGTCGAGTTTCCTCAGTCCGTCCATAACTCCTGTGACGAAGCCTCTGGACTCCGATATCTCCATTGCACCAACTCCATCGAGCCGTGTACCTTCTCCGTCCCCTGATAGTTGGTCAACCTCTTTTCGCATTTTCGCTAAGCGAACTTCTCTGATATCTCTAAGAAGCTGGCGTACTCTATCCGGCTCTGATACGTCATCGGTTGCTGCCTCGAGCAACATCTCTGAAAGTTCATACCAATGATAGGGCAGGGCCGTGGGCGCAGTGTTCACCGTACAGGAGCCCACAAAAGGCGGGGAGGCGTAGAACGGTTTCCCAGAATGATCTGTCTGTCGCGTCACCGGTATCTGCGGGGCAGGAGAGAATGTATCTGTAAAATGTCTTGTTTCGATGTCGAGAATTTCTTCGAGGTTTTCGATATACAACCATGGCGGGGGTATGATATTGGCGCGCCGTTGCCGTTTCAACAGGATCGCAAGCCATAAAGGAAGCGTCGTGCGCTGAGGAGGTATGAGAGGTTTGGTAGGTCCCTATATATATTGCGACGTGTCAGATGTAAGGCTAGTCAGATCGGAGGCATGCCTCGCACCTCAGATGTTGCAGAGGTCGTGGGAAAGACTTACGCCGAGTAAGTCTAGACGATCGAGGCGCTGTCGTGGGATGATGGTGATTTGCTCCATCTCGCAGAGGAAGGCCACTTCTGTAGGGAGAAGGCCTGAGGGGTGAGGAAATGCCATTGGGAGAGTTGGCTTGATGATCGATAAATCGGCTTCAGCGTTGAAGCAGTGAGAGGCGTCTCGCAGGCACAATTGCATGCGATGTTGACGAGTTCGTACCCTTTGCTGCATTTGACGCGCCCAGAGGCTCAAGAACGCGGAAACCTCTTGCGGCCCCTCATTGCTCCGAAGCGCCCTTGAACTCGCCCCGGCTCCAGGCATCAAAGGGTGATTGGCTCAGCTGAAACCAAGCATGCTAAGCATTTCTCAGTGCCTAGAAAATGCTTGACCTCGACAAGCAGGATGGCAGACACCTCTTCTGTCTACAGGGTCCTTTCACCATCAGTAATCATAAGGTGATACACGACTCTATTGAAATCTGGTACAACATCTGCATGCAACTATGGACAAGCCGAATACGTTCCATGGAGAAGAGATCGTCGAGCGTATCCCAAGTGCATTAGGTAAGTATTATAGGGAGGTGAGATGCCGACTATCTTCCGGTAACGCCGGCGCCGCCTCTTCGCTCTTTGCATGAGGGCTTTTGGGCCACGTACCGGTGCCTCCGACGCGAGTCTATTGCCGTCTAAGCGCAGCTAAGGCGTTGGGTTCACGTACTGTAATGTCAGAGAAAGGCAAGTTAGTTTTTGTCAACCTCAATATGCGTGCCGACGCCGTCGTGACATTCCAACAATCCAGATGAGACGCAAAACACGAGGGGCTTTGATAAATGTCGTGCTCTTCTGCGGCGTCCTTTTACTCATTCTTTATCTGAACACTGCAGGATCAGGCAACGGTGCTAAGAATTTCGCCTGGCGAACAGTGCGGTATCAAACAACAGCCTCGACTCTCCCCTCTGCTCAGGGTGTCTGTCGAGGCCTCTCAGACACGACAAAGCCAGCACTTGTAGTGGCTCGAATCAATACGGATGACACGAAATGGCTCGACAGACTTTTAGACAAATACCATCTGTGCGTTTACACCGCCGACGCCCCCGTAGACAAATCGTCGAAATACCTCCAAGTGCCCGAGAATCGAGGCCATGAGGCCATGACATATCTGACGTTCATTATCGACAATTACGAAACTATTCCTTCCTCGGGTGCAGTTTTCGTCCATGGTGCACGATGGTCCTGGCATAACGATAACCCTGACTACGACAACGCCGCCCTCCTTGCTGCGCTCAACATATCTTCGGCCTTGACACCTTGGGGATACCACAACCTCCGTTGCGACTGGAGTGCGAGCACATGCCCGATGGCAGTTGCTCAGGGCAGCTTCGGTACATCAATAAATGCTATTCTAGAACCGTGGAATCAGCGACTCGTATCTGATGCCGCCCTACCCGACGCCCTGACGGCGTTATTCGGATTTGAGAATGACAGGCTCAAGCCTGGGGTCAGACTGCATCTAGGCCGCCATGATGCTGTTCGCGCGCAGTGCTGTGCACAATTCGTCGTGTCACGGGAGAGCATACATCGACATACGCTCGAGGAATACGTTGCACTGAGACAGTGGCTTCTTGACGGTAGTAGCGGCCAAAGAGCAAATTCCAATTCATCTCAAAGCACCAAGGCTGCCCCGCCAGATGATCGTATCGCTGGCCGCATCATGTCCTACGTCTGGCACATCCTATTCTTGGACTACGACACCTTGAACGAGCACATCGACTTGGAAAAGTTGAACGAGCTAGCGTGTCCTTCAGCAGCACAATGTTACTGTCGGCTCTACGGCCGGTGTGATCTTCAACGCTGCACACAGGGTCGTTGTTATGGACAATATGTCATACCACCAGGGTATCGCTTGCCAGAGGATTGGGCAGCGACACATGAACACTGAACAACGGTGCAAGCGATGTTACAAAGTACTCTTATTTTTGGCCGCGAGATCCGAAGATACATCGACATATGTCTTGTCTAAATGAGATGATTATCTTTGAGAAGCTTTCCGACCTCGTTGTCCATTTTTCGCACAATCCAGTTCCTCACAAATTCCGGCAGTGGTGCATCCAACTCTTTACCGTCACGTAACCGATTCACCGCAGCAAGCAGTGTTCGAGTATCATATGTTGAATTGAACACTTCAGGTACCCCACGCTCGACCTTGAGCAACTGATAAACGGCCTCCATGGCCGTGCGGACCGAATACTCGGTGGTGAAGATGACATCGCGAGTGGTCTCGGCAAACTGACCTATGAAGGCGAAATTCTCGCTGCCGACTGGCACGACGTCCGGTCGGTCGCCCGCGTGCCGTGGCATGAAGAAGGACGTGACATACGGCATCATTACCGGCACGCAGGTGGCGCCTGTGGCAGCAAGAGTGGGTATATCATTTGTCGGCACGCCGAGATGGTACAGCCACTCCTGCGTAATTTCTTCTCCGGTGCAGGCTTGCATGGGCTTCTTGATGTAATCTCCTGGCACATCAACGAAGAGCGAATAGACCCAGACCACGATCTGATCGCGGGGCTGCTTCTTGAAATGTGGCTGTCGATTGACCGTCCAGCTTAGTAACCAGCTCGAGTCCTTGACGGTGACGATGCCACCAGTGGTCACTTTGCCACTAAATGGGTCCCGCTTGCAGATATTTTGAATGTATTTGGGTATTCGCTGGTCCAAGGTGGTGACGGTGGCGGACTGCCATTTCGACTCGGGAATATGAGAGCCAAAAACGTCCGGTCTGCCAAAAGAGGGATTCTTCGCGGCAATGCGCCGCCACAAGTCCCATGCCGGTGCTGGACCTTCGTCCAACTTCGCAGGTGTCTTCTGGTCTCCTTCACCCGAGTTCTCGGTCAAGGATCCGATCGTCATGAACAGCAAGTCATTCGCCCCGAGGTCGATGCCGCCTGGTTTCCCGTCCTTGACCCAGTGAATATGGGTAGCTTGCTTCTTCCCTCCGACAACTTCAAAATCAACGTCGACTACTTCAGTCTTGTACTGGAACTGGACGCCGTGATCGAGCAGCCATTTATGCAACGGGAGGACGAGAGATTCGTACTGGTTGTACTTTGTGAACTTGAGGGCAGAGAAATCTGGCAGGCCGCCGATATGGTGGATAAAACGGTGTAGGTAGAGCTTGAACTCGAGGGCCGAATGCCAGTCTTGAAACGCAAACATGGTCCGCCAGTACATCCAGAAATTGCTCTTCAAGAAATCCCTGCCGACTACCTCATTGATCCGCTTGCCTTCCAGGTCCTTTCGTGATGTCAGAAAGACTCGCGAGATGTCGTGTTGTGCGGTGGAACTGAGCCCGAAGAGTCCATCCGTGTGCGCGTCCTGTCCCTGGTTGACGGTCGCCCTCTGCAGCGTGTAGTTCGGGTCGTCCTTGTTCAACCAGTAAAACTCGTCGAGGACCGAGGCGTCTTGGACCTCCAGGGAAGGGATAGACCTGAAGAGATCCCAGAGACATTCGAAGTGCTCCTCCATCTCTCGGCCCCCGCGGATCACGAATCCCTTTTCGGGCACGTCGAGGCCGTCCAGAGCTCCACCCGGTATGGCCAGCTCCTCGAGAATCGTAATGTTCTTCCCCGGCATCTGGGCATCACGGACGAGGAACGCTGCTCCGGCCAGGGATGCCAGCCCAGACCCGACGAACCATGCTGTCTTTTCGTCAACCCCCGGGGGCTTACGGGGTCGCGCGAAGGCTTCGTAGTTTCCACTGCTGTAGTACATGACTTTTGCCTGGCTCAAGTCGTTGACGATATTGTTACTCGGTAATGATGAAAATGATGATGTGGTGAAATTGTCTCTATATTTACAAATGTCGGACTTTGAATGAATGATATATAAATAACACTCCGTATGAATTGGTTAGTATTTTCTGGAACATGTGATGGTTCCAAGGCTTATGTGGTGCATGTTTCGACCGAATCGAGCACATGTAACTCGCATCTATTGATGGGTCTCGGACCATGTGGTGTGATAATTCTCCCCAAACCTAGGTTCTCTGTACGGTGCATTGCGTACGCCCAGCACAAAATCCCTCGGACCAAGATCTTTCATCAGCTTGATCCACGAATCTTGTTACTCACAGGAGGCTTTTTGAGATCTCGCCAAACAAAACATGTGCCCGGACTCCATGATTACCGAAAAACAGACTCCGAGAGCAATGAGTAGTCGGCAACAAATCCATGCGTAATCCATGTACCGTCCTTAACGCCAACCGCTATTCCCAGACTGGCTTAACGACTAGCAGTTTCTTGTTTTCAACAGCGACATCTTATTTCTCGTGTTCTTTTGCTTTTATTGTTTTTTGGTATGCGTCCGCTGACGATTGCAAGGAGAATGTCGAATTGATCAATTTCCTTGAGGAACTACTTGACTGTGTCTCATAGCAGTCTCGACAAATCACCTCTTTGCGTTGGACCGCAGTCTCCCGGAACCTAAACGTAACATTCCACGCACACGCGGTAAGCTTCTTCCCGGACGAGACGACAGCAGTTCACCAGTCCAGCCGGATAGACTGAGACGTGGCCACTGCGCTGTACAGCTTACGGACGAGAACAACGACGTCGAGATGTTCTCCTTCCATGGAAGGCTATCGGCTGCCCACGAACGGTGCACATTGTACACAATCTCAGGGTATCACACTCAAATGTGGCATGCAATACTTCAAGAGCTCTTACCAAACAAAATGTGACTGCAACGGGAATTATCATGTGACCACAGCCATCGGCAGGATCCGCCTCAGGATCATCGGCCCTCGACAGTGAGGCTCGATTCTACAATATGTCCAGATCATTTGTCGATGATGGTTTCCTGGAAATGATCCCTGTTTGATCAGATGCCGCTATTATGGTTATAGCACGTCTCAGTTGCCTTCAAACAACAACACCTCTAGTTCCAACCCGTGGCGGGCAACCAACCCAACGCGCCTCCTTGGGCATGCCGCACGCGTACCATTCACTGATGCCTCGTGAAAGCCCCGCTTTAGGGGCTCTTATTGGCTCTTTGCAAATATTCAAGGGTTATATTTGTGAAAAGTACAATTCCTCTCAACAATTCCTCAATCTACCTGTGGCTTGGTTGGTTCACCATTTCAAGACCAGCCTGGTATTCGCCGGAGAAGAGGCACTTTATCTTGGGTATTCACCTACCCTGACGCCAGTGGTGCCTCGAATCACTGGTCAGTTCCTAGCATACATGGCCTCTACGTGTGAGTGTCCTAGTTGGGAGATAACGTGACGACATCGCGGAAAAAATCCCCCGCCTGGGATTTCCCTCGGCCTGGCCGGTAATCACCCAGCGTGTGGTTGCCCTCCTTGCTAGAGTTTTGCTGCTTGGGAAAAGTGATCCTTTTTTTTGCTCTCGTTGCGGTTCGAACACCTCAGTTGTCTACAGCACAAACACGGTCTCGGTCACGCGTTGGCGAGTCCGCGAGGTCTTCTGGCTTGACATGCTCCAGTCTCATCCTCCATCAGTTCATTTTGTTGGCCGTGATGCGCTGAATACTTGACAGGGGCTTGGGTACTCCGAGTATAGGTCGGCCTAGCAATGTCAGCCACACTCATTACAGGTAGAATACTATGAATCACCTGGCATCTCATGTAGCCATTATCAGGTCAGAATGGACGACCTGGAGGGACCGGTAGATACGTAGAAAGGGACGGGGATGCTTTGGTGTGCTTGTGCGCGCACACATCATGGACAGACCTCTCTGCCTTTGGCTGCCTGAGCTACGACCTCTGTGGTTTATGTAGTTCTCATCTTACCACACTATATAACAGATCCCCTGTCTCTCTGTTCCTCCCTCTTTAGTTCTCACATTTCTCACAAAGAGCCTTGCTGCCAAACATGCAACGCTCTCCGAACTCATTGTCACAGAAAATGTGCTTGCGTCCGTAGGGGGGCAGCTCACCCTTCAACAAGCAACTTTGAGCCGGATTCAGGGTTTCGACGTTGGCGGCTCCTACTTTGGTCCAGCCAGGAGCACAATCTCCGTTACAGAACGGCGCAGTGCCTTGCCACTCTCGATGGCAGACCGCTAGTTAGAAAAAGTCAGGTCGCACTCTATACCTAGGTCTAATGGAAGTGTTCTCTATAGACGTACGGACAGCAGCAGAGACCATTGCAGTGGAGAGAACCATCATGGAGATGATGGTAACTGAGTTAAGCTGCATCTGAATACTGTACATGAAGTATGTGAGCAGGGTAAAATATAGACTTGATTCTTTGCTGACTTACAATGTTGGTTGATGAGTCGTGTGATGTTCTAAATAGGTTCGTCCTGCTGTATCTATACAGATAGACTTATACCGTTTACTGCTGTAGTCGCGTCTATTTTTTCAGCGCAGGTTTAACCTACCTATATACTTATATACTTACTGCAAGGCTCGTGTTCGCCCGATTGAAAGGAAGAGTTTAGGCAAATCACTAGTTGATGAGCTTTGGCCAGGTCCCTCGCCAATGCCCAAATCTTTTGCTCAAAGGCTTCCTCGTTGTTAAGCAAATGGAGCATAGGCCCTTCCGCTTTTAGATCTAGGCCTCAGGGTAGGCTCGACAATGGAAATCAGCCCCAACCAGCTGAGCACTAGGACAAAAGCCTCTGGAGAGCGTATTGCGAAGACTTGCTAGTAGACCTGAGGTTATCAACAATTACTTCTTTAGGTATGGTAAGCCCAAATCTGGGGTGTTCCAGACCATGAAGGCCCCTTCAAAACGACTTGCACCTTGTAGCTGTTCATGAGGTTGAGGACGGTGAGTCGCGACCAGGTCGTCGTCTGATAGCGGCACCGTCTCCGTGGATGTTGCCGAGAGCTTTGCTTGTGCTGCCAAGCCAATTCTCAACCTCAACTTCCTATTCGTTTGATCTGGACAACTAGTAACAACGGCTATCCCTGATGTATCATCAACGCGAATTCTGGTTCTGTAATCATAGATAGAATATTTCCGACTGATAGATTTTTCTATGAGTTGAGTCTGGCAAGTCAGGCTCGGTAAACAAGATGGAGCGCAATCCCGAACTGCAACGTGTTCTAGCAGCGCTTAACAGTTACTCTTCGACACCATCAAATACTCCTCCACCTAGCGACACCACTCTCGAGCAGCAACCGCCTCAGGTCCATCCGCCATCGACTAGCACTTTTATTCCAGGCCTGGGATTCCTGCCTTCAAATCTAAGCCAAGACAAGCCTATCACCCCACCTCCTGTTCAGCGACAACAGACTGCATTTCCGCAACAGAGATTGACGAGGGAACAGCCCGCGGAGCTCCCCAGCAAGTCTGCAACTCCTACAGTACCAGACCCATCTACCATAACAACGTGGCCCGCAGCACTGAAGCACGTAACCCGTCATCTCGTACCAAACGAACAGGCAGCCAATCGCATCAGACATCTGATATCGGAACAGCACAAGCATGAGCGGCAATGGTGGGCTGGACGTGAAGCAATCGTGGCGAGGCAGCAAGGTAGAGCCGGGACCTCACAGCAGGTTGCTGCTTTGTTGAAATCTCTGGGCGGAAAAGAGGTCCCTATGGCTTCATCGGATCCGAGAGCTGACCAGGCTGAGCTGGAAGCCTACGACAAGAAAGTGTACGCAGGACTACTGGCGATGGCGGCGGATTTTGACCGACAGTTGAGATCCATCGGGGTACCATTCTACGCCATAAAACACGACCTGGTAGTTCTGGAAGAAGGACCAGAAAAAGCTGGAGCCACAAAAGGGAGAATCGACAGGGGAGAACTACGAGAGTTACAGCAGAAAATGTTGCAGACTTTGGAGGACCTCTTTGCTGACTGATCGGCGATGAAGCGAAAGCTCATGTTGAGTTTATGAATGATGAAATCTCAACACAAGCGTGCACATGAGGATTGGATGACTATCACGACCTATGCCTCGAGCTCGAGGTAAATGCCAGCCTAAGGTCCAACGCCATGGTTTTGTCGCGTCGTGTCATGAGAACCCGACTTTAGAGTCCATGATCCTTCCGCTATTATTGCATGGAAGAACTGGAAAGAGTCAGTATATCATGTTATTCTTTGGGTAACAGCCGACAATAAACAGCTGTCAGCTCTGGCATGGCCTACTTTGGCCGGTATCGAGCCATCTGAGATTGGCTGCTTGCATATCGTTACGACATAATTAATATTATGACGTGTTATGAAAGCAATCACTAACTCGCTGAATGTTCTTGGGTTGCTGGCGAGATCTCTTTGCAATTCGTGCTGATGGGAAACAATTGCGACTACTGCACTGCACTCGAATGGCAGTGACAACCAACGCTATTCAGAAGACACGATATTTCATAGGTGCAGGCAGTGACACGCCCTCTGCCTTCACTTTCAACAACAACAACACCACCACCACCAACGCCAGAAGTTTCCTTCTCGTTGATACCTAAACCTCACCGTGCCGTCAACAACCTCAAAAATTACAAGTTTGCAAATCCTGTGTCTAGAACCCCCATCACCCTCTTTTGGTCGTCTCCCGTCTTCACCAGATCCTGCCCACAATGGACGTCTTGCAAGAAGCCAGTCAAGCTGATCTAGTCTACCTTTCCAAACATGCCGAAGTATTAGCAGCAGGTCTCAACAAACAACAGTCTGAATGCGGCCACCAGAGCACTTCCGTCGAAATCTCTCAAGTCGCCGCAGAGCTAAGACTTCTCTCGGAGGAGTTGAACAATCTCTGGAAGGCAATCGATGTCAAACAAGAGCAGTACACGAATGTGTTCAGGGAAGACCTCTGGGAAATGCACAATAATCTCGAGGGCATATTCGAAGATGTCGAGGATTGTTGTAGAGAGATGCAGAAAGCCGATCAAATCGAGGCCACTGCTCTCGGCTGGCTTCATCGTCGGCCATATGTCAAGAAACTACGAAAACATCTTGAGGCCAATAAAACTACTCTAATAGTCATGAGGACGGTGCTGCACCATGGCACAGAGTATGGATTGCAAAGGTAAACTTGGTTCCTCTACTCTGATCACATCGACTGACCTGCTCCAAGCTCTCCAGAACGCCTTGCTGAATCATCTCCTCATATCCTTCAAGAAGACTTGGCAATATTGCAGTCGGTATTCGCAAGTAAACAAGCCATCGAGGAGCTGGAAAGTGCTACGAAAATGTCGAAACAAAACACGCCGTTGCTTTCCTCCTTAAAGACTCCTACCTTTCAACCTGGAGCCCACGGTCGAAACCTTTCCTCTGCCACTGGTGTTGATACTCCTGCGGTCGAAGACTTTCTGCCTCCTGGAACAACCGGAAATAAGGATGCAGACCCCCTGACAAAGAGGTTTTCAAAACGTGGTGTCCGTCTTGCTGTGCATAGTTCAATTATGGACCTCAATGCTCACGAGATCCCCGACTCGCTCAAGAAGAGGTGGATTCACAAAGCTAGATTCCGACAAAAAGGCAGGTTGTTCGCCGCAGGTAGCCTATCGAGTGCTCAACTCAGCAAGATATCGGAGGTTACCTCAGTTACGAGTGGTGAACATCGTAGGGGTCCATCGCATTCCACCGATGGTGCAAGAGATGAGAACGACAACGACAAACGTTCGGAATTGTCAAGCACCGATGAACTCCCGACTGCCCATGTGTCCAAGGCAAAAAAACGAGGCTTGACCTTGTTGGCTACTCCGGTTGGCCAAACCTTGGGCAAACTCATTACGAAATTGAGCTCCACGAGTCTTCGAGAAAATCGTGACGCCAATTCCGCCCCGAAAAAGACCAAGGACTCCGACAAGTCAGGTTGGACTTACAAATTGACTAAACCATTCGAGAAGTCCGAGTTGACTACCCCCGACTACAATCAAGATATCGAAAACATGGTCCTACGTTGAAGGCGGTGGTGGGAATGAACTGAATGGTCAGAAGAAGCATTTTATGTGGCACACGATTGGAGTGATAATGATGCCGGTTAAGCGATTGGAGCACGATGCCTTTTTGCTCCTTGGCCTGACTCAATGCTGGCATTGTGTCTGTGGTGTCTGATCATTGAGAGTTGAGCTAGATTTCATTAGTTGCATACTTAAGACGTCAGTCAGTTAATCATGAAATTGATAGTAATAGAAGATATTCTGCAGGCATGAATTGAACGAGGACAACATCTTTGCGGTGAGTTTATTATTACATCAATGACTGAGTCCAGCAACATTTTTGGTGCCGTTATAGACTCATGGTATGTTGAAAGATACGAGGCTGAGATTTCGCCAAGAATATAGGGGCCAAGGTGATCCAGTTGCTACCGTAGATAACAGAACCCGTACAATTACCCAGCTTTTCACGGTTTTTTGTTTTGTTCTTGTCATTGGTCTTGTGGACGTGTATGAATTTGGACAATCGTGTCTCGTTGGAAAGGATCTCGTATTCAGGCTCTGATATGTGCTCATGTTGTCCACTCGACGTGATGTGGTTGTGTACACGGTTCACATACCCAAAGGGGGGGGCCTCTGTTCACAACACCATCCCAGCCTTGCCTTGTTCTCATCACCATCAACTCTTGCCAACGCTCATCCTACGTATCACTTTAAGAGTCTCAGTAAGTCCATGAGTTTACTTTTTTTTGTCTCGCCACCTTCTTTTCTTGTGTTACCGCAGGTGAAAATTTTCGATTCTGCCGGACGTGGAGTTGGACCGGAAAAGTGAATCATGTCACCCCGTGGTGATGTTGCTAACTCGCCGAGAGGTTTTATGTTGTCGTCGTCGTTGAGTCGTCGTGGAGACGTTGAATAGGATGGGTTTTGTTCTGCTTCTGGCGTGGTCAAGTGAAGAGACGTGATGTTTATGTTGTATTATTTAAACACAACCCGATCATCGCTAGGACAGAACACCACAGATCCAAGCCTTGAGACCATGATTCCGAGAGTGATAGATCAACCTGAGTTTGTCGGATTCAAACGATATCAAAACACCCACCAAACGACAATCTTTGATACCAAAACACCTACCAAACGACATTCGAACCTTTGTGGCTTCTTGACGACAGAAAGCAGCCGCTCAGGAACTGAACCTTTGACGAACCTTTTTTTTTCTTTTCCTCCAGAGAGATAATCTACCACGGCCGACCGGAATAAACAAGTGTATTGTTTCATTCACTCGAGAAAAGAGATCCAACATGTCTCGGGATCAAGAAGAATGGGACGATATTTCATACCGCGAGAAGATCGAGGCCAAAGTGGCCACTCAACCGGCCACCCCGCTGTCGGGGGAGTACGTCAACGTCACTCGGTTTCATGATCGAGAAATCCGAACTTTCGATTTGGCCCCGGCGATACCCACGAGGGAAGACATCGAGTGGGAAAGACTGCAGAGACAAGATGCCGAGAAGAAGAGAATGGAAGAAGAGGCGATCCGAAATGGAAAAAGGAAAAAGGACGAAAGAAGACGAGAAAGCTTGAAGTTGTGGGAGGATAGAATATCAAGAGCGAAAAAGAGCCAGTGGTCAACGTCGTCTTGGGCAAATACCAAAAACCCAACAGACTTTTGGGATTCGGAATATGACGATGAACCTCTGCCTTTTGTCGTGGACAGAGAAGACACCGAGAACAAGAACAGGGCAAAGTATTCTTGAGGCTCGAGAGAGGAGTTTTGGCCACGATGACCCTGTTTTGTGTGTCAGTCAAAATCTATTGGAGGTGGAAGGGATTGGATGGACGGGAGACCAATCTACAAAATGTTTTGAGTAACAAATAAATAAATAACAAATACGAAGAGTGTGTTGTTGAAATTATTGGTGATATGAATATTAGGAATGGTGGAATACATGATACTCGTCTTTATTTTCATTCTCATCTTCCTGGTTATCATCTTCATCATCTTCATCTTCATCTTCATCCTTGTATTTTACCATTTGTGTTCGTAAACGGAAACTCCATCGCCATGCAAGATACCAAAGAAAAGAGAAATCACCTCGATGGGATAGTTCGAACCCCGTACCGAACGCTATGCATATTACCCAAAAGACAAAGTACCAACAAAGGAAAAGGGAATCGAAGTCGATTGCATGGTGCGCCAGGGATTCAAAGGTCTACCACATCCCATATTGATGACCTGGGAATGGACCACAGATACCACCTGCGATGGTCTGTGGGGGGCCGACGTCACCGTAACCACCGGCGGCCGGGGCGACGAAGACGGCACCGTCGACGCCGAAAAAGACGCAAGGTCCACCTGCGGAAGTTTGGATGTGTGAGATGGAGAGTGCGTTGTTGGTGGGAGTAAAGACCGAATTGGCAGGAATCTCCAACGTGTATTGAGCGTCGGCGGCGCCGATGAAAGTCACCGAGACCCCGGACTGACGGGTGTCGATGGGACTGGCTGAAGCGAAGGAGGAGAGACTGCCCAGGAGAGGAAGGAGGGCGACGAAGTAGCTGGACTTGAAGGAAAGCATGGTTGTGATGTTTAGGCGAGAGGTTGTGTTGTTGAAGAGTGGTGGTTTAGTTGTAAGTGTTTTGGATGTATCGATTGATTTGTGATGATGAAACTTGTTGGGATAGGGAGAATGTCTTTTTCCACCTCGGTGGGTCGAAGAGGTTTTATATATCCTTTTCTTCAGGTCCCATGTTTGCCTTACCTGGATCTGAGCCGCAGTAAGGGTTCGTGAATGTTGGTGTTGCCCCCCCCAAAAGTCATCAGATGTTGTTTGCTAAACGAGGCTGAGTACCACCTACCATACTTCCACAATGCGCACCGAGGGCACAGTGGAAGTGGAAGTGGAAGTGGAGAGATGAGACAGAACGAGAAGTGTACAGGACACAGCCATACACACAACGAGGCAGAGTAAAAGGAAAGCCTGAGTGGGCAGTTTTGGGTAAGAAAAGACACTCATCGGTACTGGTCGATTCTGGACATAGAATACTCATCTAGTTAGATCATACGAGGCTCTCAAGGTCGAGTTATCGTGGCGTCGAATAAACTCTACGCGTAAGAATAGAGTAAATGGTCACGCCTGAGCATGAGAACTATCATTGTCACGGAGTAAGAAAAGGTGGTGAATTGGGCCAAAGGGATCACGAGAAGGGAATGTTTTGGTGTGCGGGCGGATTGTGGCAACATTTTAGAAGAGTGCGATAGTGGTCAGCCTACTGTAAGCTTAGAGGAACGAGTTGCCCCTACAATAAGGTAAGTGCCTCGTATGCGCTAAGCAGTTTGGTGAGTTACCTTTGCAATATGGTGTACAGGGAGGCTTGGACGTCTGTGGAATGTCTGCAAGTGGCTGGCCTGATGCTATTTTTGTAAACCTCAAAAACACTGGCTGTTGGTCAAATATATTGCTCAGCCTGACTGGCCCCCCATCGCCCTCATCAAACGATACCTTGGTGGCCCAACTTTTTAAACACGCGAGAAGCTCGCATACGATCCGAGGGCTATTACTTGCATAACATAAGATCAACGGCGGGAATACGGTCGTGTGCTGCATGCAATTCTGAGACCTCAAGATAAGCGACGGGAAAAGCGATGCAAGCGATGAACGAAAGACGCCGTTCCGGGTCAGCTTGCAAACTACAAGTCACTTTAATCAATGAAACAACCAAGGCCATCGCACCCAACCAATATGCAGTGTAACACATTTTAAAATTTTCCATTCGATCGTATGATCTGAAACGTACATACCATCGTTAATCTCGTTTGCCAAAACTGCTGGTGTAACCTCCGTAACCCCCGTATCCTGAAGTTCTGGGCACACCATTGCCCACATTTCCTCCAAGAATGCCATTTCCATACATGCCACTTCTCCCACTCTTTCGTCTTTCGTGGACCAGCATAGCCATGGCACCGACACCGGCGCTCGCAGCCAAAGCAAAGAAAGTCAACAGGGAAAACCCGACTCGATGGTCCTTGACTCCAAGTACCGGTCGGCCAACCATTCCCGGTAAGACCGCGCCGTCAATCCACCCGACGTTAAAGGTAAGAACCACAGGCTCGTATCGAACGATCTTGGACCCTTCCACGGGCGCCGACGCGGAGATGTTGGGTACCGAGTATGCGGTCGAAGCTATCAGATGTGACTCGAGTCCGTCGTCTTTGGCCGTCTCCGGCTCTTGAGACATGTGGAAGAGAACATTTATATTCGTGTGCAGGTGTAGATGGGACAGCTGTAAAACACCTTGGAGGGCAATCGTGAACGGAGTCCACAGGTCCTTCTCCACGCCCGTCCCTCCGACCTCGGGCAACGATGAAGTTATGGCCAGCTCTTCTTGCGACAAGGGGTACGACGGGACTCGGCAGGTCAGAGGGACATCGCTGTGGACAAAGAACTCGATCAGGTGATAGAGCTCGTCGGGGAGGGACTCGATGGTACAGGTCTGAGTTTGCGGGGTGTTATAGGGAAAGGACAACGGTAGTCCTGTCTCGTTACAGGTCGGAAATGGTATATATTGTAAATTCCCGTGGCTGTCGGTGATCTACCCCAAAGTAAAGGCATCAGTACGTATTCGGCCCACGCAGAAACTATTGTATAGATTCGGCGCGTCCTTCAGTCAGAGGAGTGAGATGCTAGGAGATGCATTACATACATGTTCGCCAGTGTCACTACATATATACCTGGTCAGTTCCAGTTTCACCATAGGTACCAGACTTTTTTTCTCAACTCACATTGTTCTGTTCAAGCAACTGACAGGCATCGACTCTCCCTTGGAGTAGCCTCTCCTTTTCGGAGTCGCATTCGAAAGGACCTTTTCATCGACGGCATTGACGGACGCGCAAAGAGCGGCATAAAATACCAATAACACGTTCCATGGTAAAAACAAACAGCGCAGCATGGCTGCTCGTCTCCGGGGTGCAATGAAACTGTCTCACCTGCGCCTTGAAGATTGACATGCGATCTCGTGGATTTCCAGTCTGAATCGCGACAACTTGGCCTTATTTTGGCAAGGCGCTAAATCGCGGGACGAGCCGCCTCCGCATGCAGAGAATTACGTCATCTCGATGAGTTCAGATATTGGTACGGAGTAATGAGCCAGAAGATCGTAGGTACACAAAAATGCCGGGTTGAATGTGTCCAAAGTCGAGGTTGGGATGAAAACACAAAGGTTATTCTATCTATTCCTTAATCTCACTGCAGAAATATTGTCGATGGCTGGCTCAAAATAGATTCGTAGAATGACGATTGCTTGTATCTGGAGATGAACGAGATGAACGTGGCGCGCCCAACGAACTGCAAGAGTTAACGACGAGGTTGAGGTTTCAGTATGAACACAAAATGATGTCGGAGACTCGTAGCCATTTCAGGACTCAATGTCTGTCTGACCAACTTCGCAGGAAGAGCAGCAGCCACGTGTATCAATCTGGAGAAGGGCCTCAACTCTTTTGTTTGGATAATTCTATGTGCTCTTCAAGCCATGCCCATCAAGACTACCTCCTGAACCGATAATGATCTTGTACAAGGTCGTGTGAAACATTCAAACAACTCCATTCCTAGCTAGTCTTAGAGGTTGTTGCTTCGGAATGCTCTTGGAGGATGTGCTTTGGGTTGTCCGCTAGGCCAGAGGTCTGGTCATCCTTTCCCTCATTCTTTGCTTTGGACTCGTCAATCTAGGAAATCGAGTCAGCCGACGCTCTTCTTTGTGATTGCTTGGTCCTCAGGGTTACACATGGTATCCCGGAGACACATGCCTGTCAAAGGCAAGAATGGTTCTCTTACCTTTCCACTGCCTGGCTGCGATGGGTGCTCTTGTTGCTGAGCACCGGTCTGGCGTTCAGGGTCTGGGGATTGACGACCTGCGTTTGGTGCAGACATTCTGTATTGGAGGTAAGAGACTGCGCAAGTGGTCAGATTAGATAGCTTATGTGAATGGTTGAGAACCATGGCAAGCAACGTCCAACGTACATTGGGTTTGATGGGGTAGTCCACAAAGACGAGACGATCAGTTTCGAAGTAGAGTAATCCACTGATGTTTGATTTGTAGTAGAGAAGAAAAATGATTGATAACAGGAGAACGAGAGCTAGAACAATGATATAAGAGTGCAGAAGAAGTGAGAGCAAAGTCCCCCACCAAATAACCCACCTTTGACCAGCGATGACGTTTGGTTCCTTACACACAACACGCAGCTTCAGCGAACCATATCAGCTTCGGTACAGTCCATTCTCGGTAACGATCAGAATTGGGTGATTTCAATGTCAAAATAGGCTGTTTGCACCGGAGATATGGTTCATCTACGAATGAATGCAGGGTGATATATTAGATGTTGAAGAACAAATAGATGGGTGTGTACATACCCGGGAGTAAGTAGAGCACTCGTTACTCCTCCAATATAAGAACATAGCTAGACCACCACAAGTAATCTCTCTGAAATCTAGCATCACCAGATCTTACATTCACACAAGTCTCGCAGAACACGCAAAATGATCGCTATGACCCACCATCTAGGTACAGCCGCTTCCCTCTATTCACCAGCCAAATTCTGGTCACCACTATTCCGCCCGGGCAGCTCCTCTCGCCCCCATCATCACCTTATGATCCTTACTGTCTCCCTATCAAGCTTGGGCTGGCAATTCCAAACTTTGCCAGGCCACGAGCCTTGCACTTGGGGCAGCTTCTGCTCTTGTCTTCCCGAATCTTGAGCTGGACATAGTTGGGACATTGACGTCCAGCTTGATATTTGCAGCCTTGCTTGTCCAATTGATACGACTCATAGTGGCCGCATTTGAGGCTGATCAACCGCTCGAAGCACATCTTGAAATGAGTGTCGTGTGTTTGAAGAGCTCTAAAATCTCAGCGTGAGCATTTGGCCGCTGTCATGCGCCGGTGGTGTAAACATACATTTTGAACCAAGTAGATATTTTCCAATAACCAGGATCGTTGCAGATCTATTGCGACTCTATTCACTCCTTGCCTGGTGTCCTACCACCAGGCCAGTTATCCTGGCTCGTCGCAGGCCTCACAGAAGCGGTCTGTCGGGATAGTTGAGGGCTTGTTCATACTCTGGCAAAGATTATTCGCTCAGATCGATGGAAATGTGAATAGCAGTCGTCCGGAACGACTGCGACAGGCTGTGATTGATATTTGAAAGATTGTCGGTGAGGACAAGAGTCAGTGGTTGTGGCAGGGTTAGAGGAGGGCGCAGGCAAAAGTTTTCATCCTCGGGAGTTTTGGTCACAGTTGTCTCAGTGCCAGCCAGTGCCCGGTCCCGACCCCGTGTTCAGGCTTACCAGGCTTTGTGCTTGGGCTCTCTAGGCGTCAATCAAGCGAACGTCCCCTCCATTTCCTACCTTTCCTAGGTAGGCAGTGACAACCGCCCGGCAGACGCGGCAGAGGCCAAGCAAAGACAAAGATACAGTGCTGACGAATTCTCCTCGGCGCATCGAACATACTCTTGCAAAGCGATCCCATCGTCGCCCTGACGATGCTCTATCTCATGATTCTATTATTCATTGTCAAGCACAGTGCTTCCACCAAGCCACACTTTCAACCATCATTCCAAGCCATGTTTACCTGATCTGAGTCACCAGCCTGCTTGGCTCGGAAGGCAGCCTAAAGCCAACCTTCGAGCCCTCGAGGCCTGGTGACGGTGAGACAGAATGGCCTTAGTTCCTTTCTACCGACTACGTGCCTTCTACTACAAGTTTTATGACTCTAGCGGAAATATTAACATGATCAGGCTCTATCCTCCTAGGACATCAACCAATACTTTGTGCTTGGTCATTGCACCCATTATAGCCTTGTTGTTGCCACATCTTGACGCTCTTTACCTGCAAAGCACTACCATGTTCATTCTGCCATGTCGGATACCATGAATCCTTTGCGGACCAGAACTCACCCATTGCCAGTGGACTTGTATCGACCCAAGGCTTGCCAGCAACACCATCCTTAAACCATCCATTCGTTCCACCAACAGCAACATTGAGGATCAGGAAAAAATCTTCATCAAATGGTGCTGCCTTATCGGTCGCCTGCGACCAAGGGTTGACAATGGCTGTCCCGTTGGGTAGCGAGAGAGGAAAATCCCCCCTCTTCCAAAATGGAGTATTGAATCTATTGTAGAGAACCTGCAATAGGCGACTGTCGAGGTACGTGTAGAGATACTTCTCACTCCATTCCAAGCCGAATGTGTGGTAACGCTCGGAAAAGGTCGAGTGCAATGCGTGCTGTTTGCCAAATGTCCGCCACCATGCGTCGTTGGCAGCATTAGGACCCCAATGGAGAGTCGAGCCTATGATGTTATTTCCTCCCTCGGGATACGTGTGATTGTTACCACGAGATTCTGCAACATCAATCTCTCCGCTCTGAGGCCAGACGCCATATACTGAGTCCGTCGGCAACATCCAAATAGCCGGCCACAGCCAGTCTCCCTGTGGCATCTTGGCTACCACCTCGATACGACCGTACTTGATGTTGGCCCCCTTTTTGGTGGTGATACGACCAGACTTCACAGGATTTATGATCGTCCCATTCGTGGTGTTGGTCACAGCCACACAATTCGACCAAAGATCTGAGGTACACGTTCCCAATCGAGTAAGATTGAGTACACTGTTGTGAGTGAGGAGATCAACATCCTGCAGCGTTGGTTGAATATGGAGGATGCCATCCTTGATAAAGACGTTTTCGTCGGTTCCAGTTGTTTCCTCGAATTGACCGTTGCCGAATCCTCCGACTTCGACATCTTTTGTCCAGATATTAGTATCCAGTATGCCCGCAGAAAAATCATCTTCATATACCATGCAATATTTGTGCTTGGGTACGCTCTGGACTCCGAGGAAGATATATACACCAGCGATGATCAGTCCAACAATAACTCCGAGCAAAGGAAATATGTTCAGCCATCTCTGTCGAGGATCCTTCTTCCCTTGGAGCCATGATCGATCAATCTCATTGTCCTTGACGCGACGTGAGCGAAAATAGACTCCTGGCTTTGGAACCGCTTTTTCAAACACTGCGACCGAGGGACGATGTTGGCCAGGCTTGCCCTGGGATTTCTCTGACATGGACTGGTGCCTACTGTGTAGACTCCGCGGCGGATTCTGAGAAGGTATTCCTCTAGTAACGCCGTCGCTCCATAACCTGTTAAACGTCCACGGAACCTTGCTTACACCGGCCGACTGTGGTGAATCCGCAGGCCACTCGTCACTAACGTGAGACACAGATGCTGACCTGGAAAGATTCAAGTTGTCTGCGAATGGCCGAGAAGGTTGAGATGTTCGTCTCTCGGAATCGAATTTTGGCTTTATATACTCCGAGAGGGAATGGCGCTTCTCTTGCCGGCCTTGCTTGCTTATTGAGGTTCTGCGCGTCTTCTCGCGAAGCACGGATGATTTCCCTGGAGGCCCTGAAACAGAGCCATTCCTGCTCGCAATACTGCTGTCATTGGAAGTTGAAAGTTCAAGCCCGTTGACTCCCGCCGAGCTTCGTCTCCTGCCGAAATCGAAAGCGGAATTGCCATTAGATGGGAACCATTCAGACCCGGAGGCAGTGGCGTTGTTCAGACTGGCTAAATCCAACTCTGGGTGCGGCTTGGAATATCCATGTCGACGCGGTCTTTCACCTGCAATGTCTGGCTTGAAATAATTCTCTGCAAGGGATTTTGATCTTTCCCACGCAGAAGCCCTTCTTGATCCAGTGTCCTTGATATCTTTTCCAGCTCCCGATCTAGTGGACGACTTTCGACTTCCTGCAGGTGTGGAAAGACTTGTCGCTCCTGGCGCACCAGGACCATCCCTCCAGCTAAAGTAACCATTCCTGTCGACACCACTTTCAGGCCGTGGACTTCCAGGGCGCTGTGATCCTTGTGTCTGTATACGAGTTATCGTTCTGCTCAGAGGTGGTGACAATGGTGTTCCAGGTGAGGGCAAGTCTGAGGAGTCGTGGGAACGCTTTTTCGACAATAGCTCAGCAACATTGACAGTATTATAGTGAGTCAGAGGAAGTAGTGTGGCCTTGGTATCAGTTTCCTCTGTGTTTCGTGACGTTCCTGTACTTGGATTTAGTTCCACTGCTGGTGGGCTTTCGGATTCCTCCAGCACAGTCTCTGTTATCAAGATTCCATTCGGGTTGCTTGCTGGAGGCGGATTAGTCCTAGAGCTTGTCCTGCTAAGTTGCAACGCAGCGAGAGCAGGTTCTTCGGAAGACTTGTTCCCGTCTGATTCTTCCAGTAATGGCTCGACGATAGTCTCCTTGTTTCGACCTCTTGAAAAGGGCATCTTGGGCAGGATCGAGGGACGCCTCAAACCAGATGCCTACCTCGGAACAGCAGAGGTAACCTGCTGTTTTTCATCCGGTACAGTAGAGTCGTCGTCTTGCCTTTATTGTCGCATCACGTTTTCCTTCTGCTTCATACTTACACTTTCAATAGTATTTTAAAGTAGGACCAAGGCGCCCAGGTCTGTGCGAGTTTGACGATATAATGGTTCAGATCGATTGTCAACATATTGACCAGTCCTAGCTGAATCCAATCGCCTGTCAGGACCCACCATCAGATCCTAGTGCAGAGATTCGTTGTCAATGCACCGGCACAATCTTCAAATCTTCGATATCCGACTCGGACCTCCTGGAGGTCAAAGCACATGGTAGGGCCAAAATCAAGCAGCTCAACTCCATGCGACGTCCTCAAATATTGACGATTTAACTTCGTCGTTCTATTCCACGTTTCTTCAGGAATTTCAAATATGGATCAGACCAAAGCAACGGATTTCGCCATACTCGCGTTATTCGGGAATCGGCATCCATCCGATCCTTTAGAGCGCGGCCAAGACTACCTCTTTCAATGGAAAGTCAAGTTATTCAGAGTTCAATGATGATGCGCTCAGTCTGGACGTTCTGTCCACAAAATTCGAACAACATGTGGCTTGAGTTCGATTGACCAAGTAGGTATGACGACGAGGAGGCCGAGGTGATGTGGATTGGTAAGTGCAGTCCTACTTTGATATTGTTCTGTGGTTCTAGAAAGCGTCCGTTCTCAAAAGACTCGAGTCTCTTGGTTCTCTCTCCCAACTTGAGCGCACTTGTTTTGTGCAGGCCTTTCTTCTGGTTGTTGTAGCAATGTCCCCGGCGACTCTACATCCTGGGCCGCGACGCCCAAAACCCATTCAAGTGCCAACCTTGGACACTATCCATCAGCTAGATGACAATGACGATGAAGATGTGGCACCAGATGTCATCCCTGATGCCGCACAACGAGTTGCTTCGACTACATCTTCAAAGGTCAATGGTGGCGAACTTCCCCCCAACTATGTCAAGTTCGAGGTAATGCTCTTGTACCTTCGGCAACAACAACTCGAAAAGCGTTGGGCAATAGAGAACAACACGACCGAGGGTGTGATCTTAAGAAGAGGTAAAGACGATTACATCTGCAGACCCTTGGAACTACCCAAGCATGTGAATGGGTTTTATGACGAAGCAACGAAGCTCAATGTCAAAGTGGGTATCCGGGCGATCCTCTGGGAACATAATATTTACATGTATGACAGGTTGCAATGACAGTCAGAACTACAGTCATCCAGACGTTTCTCAGTTCGTACAAACACCAGTATGTACCTTTTAACAATGGCCAACGTCTTCGGATTATCGACAGTATCAGTGAACTCTCTTTCAGCAAGCGACACTACTATGCAGCATTTGTCCGAGGCCAAGGTCTACTTGTTGTCTGGGATGAGGATCCCACTCTCTTGTTCGATAGAGCGGAGCACATCCAGAGATATATTGTCAATATGTTATGGACCGCAGAAGATCTTGCTGGTGAAGGCGACGATGAAGACGACATTGAGGACGAGAAAACAATGATTGGCCTGGCACCCAAGCAAGCTGAGACGGCTTCTGGAAACTACGTTATCGACCCTGAGTCGAAGGCCGGTGAGGTATGGGAGAAACCTAGGAAAATAGTGCTTTATCAGTCGATACTGGTAGGCCTAGTCGCAATTCTAACAATATTCTGTCTGGCAATCGGATGGAGAAGGATTGCCATCGAGATTACTATCGATCACAGCTATGTCCGACTCGCCATTCTCATAGCCGCACCGTTGGAAGCGTGGCTGGGATGGTTCTTCTTCATGACATTGGTCAATGGCGTTTCTCAGATTATTGGTCCCGTCGCCCAACTCACCAAAAATTCAAAGTTTTACTCATCAAGACCTCCGGTCCGTCTAACCAAGAAAGACCTTCCTCATGTTACAATTCAATGTCCGGTCTACAAGGAGGGTCTTGAGGCAGTCATTCATCCTACTATGGTGTCAATCAATAAGGCAATCTCGACCTACGAACTCCAAGGCGGCAGTGCCAACATTCTAATCAACGACGATGGCTTGCAACTCATCTCCGAGGAACATGCTCGTAGGCGACTGCAATATTACGAAGATAACAATATTGGATGGATCGCCCGTCCGCCGCATCAGCCCAAGGGAGATGAAAATGGTGAGAACGTGTACGTGCGCGCCGGCAAGTTCAAGAAAGCCTCAAACATGAATTACTGTCTCGACGTGAGCGTCCGAATCGAGGACAAGATGGCCCAGACTATACGCACACCGACTTGGACCCAGGAGGACGAAAATCTACTCTATCAGCATTGTTTCGACGAGGTCATTAAAGAGGATCAAGGTCGAACTTGGGGCAACGGCGACATACGAGTAGGCGATTATATCCTACTTATTGACTCCGACACTCGCGTTCCGGAGGATTGTCTCCTCGACGCCGTTTCGGAGATGGAAGCCTCACCAGAAGTCGCCATCATTCAGTATTCCTCAGGCGTACTCAATGTTACGACCAGTTTCTTCGAACGGGCCATCACCTTCTTCACTAACTTGGTTTACACTGCCATTCGTTTCGCTGTTGCCAATGGCGACGTCGCGGCTTTTGTAGGGCACAATGCGATCCTCAGGTGGTCGGCTGTCCAGGATGTCCGATACTCTGACGCAGTCACTGGATCCGAGAAATATTGGGCCGAAAATACCGTCTCGGAAGATTTCGACATGGCTCTCCGCCTTCAAGGTCGAGGCTACATCCTCCGCTTTGGCACGTACTGTGGCGACAAGTTCAAGGAGGGTGTCTCGTTGACCGTCTACGACGAACTGGCTCGTTGGGAGAAATACGCCTACGGGTGTGCCGAGCTTGTATTTCAGCCGTTTCGGTACTGGTTCGTCCGGGGTCCCTTTACGCCCATGTTTCGACGTTTCATGTGCAGCCCGATGAGCCTGATGGGCAAGATCACCATCATGGCGTACGTCGGCACCTATTTCGCCATCGCGTCCGCATGGCCGCTCACCGTCATGAACTACTTCCTCATCGGCTGGCTGAACGGGTACATCGACCAGGCCTACGTGAACAGTTTCAACATCTACTTTGGCATCGTGGTCGTGTTCCAGGCCTTGGGCACCGTCAGTCTGGCCGTGCTGCGGTACCGCACGGAGAACCGGTCCCTCTTGGGCTCGTTGATCGAGAACCTCGCCAACCTTTTGCTGTTGACCGTCTACCTGGGCGGCCTCAGCCTGCACGTGTCCCAGGCCATCCTGTCGTACTTGTTCAGCATCGACATGACGTGGGGCGCGACGGCCAAGGAGGCCGAAAACACCTCGTTCTTCCGCGAGATCCCCGTGATTCTGAAAAAGTTCAAATTCACGTTTTGCTTCTGCCTCGTTTCCACCACGACCATGATCGTCATGGCCGGCGTCGGCCCCGTGGGGGCCCTGGTCCCGTACGACTGGCGGATCACGACCTTCACGGCCATCTTCCCCTTGGCCATATTGACCGTCAATCACTTCTTGTTGCCGTTGGCACTGAATCCTGGATTGATGCAATTTACCTTTTAAAAGATGGAGAAAATCTATAGAAGAGTACAAAGTATAAAATTCTAGACAAATTCTAGACAAATTCTAGACGCCAGAGTTCTAGATCTCAGAGTATGGAAAACCTGCACGTCTCGCGAGCAATTTACATCCACAATGGCCGTGTTTTGCACCAACATCCGGATGCTTCCTACTTGTAAAGGCCATGATTCTCGTCAAGATACCCGTGTGTACAGAACTTACACAGCAACAGAAAGTTCACGCACGGATCATTTTTATTCAGCTCGTTGGTACATACACAATTCACCATACAAGAATAAAATTATGGTTTTGATGTTTCCGTCTCGGTCGAGGTCCAGCCCCCCCCCTCCAGCTTGGAACCACCACCCCCCTCCCGGATGGGGTAGAAAGTTCCAATCTACCTAATCTACCAAGGTAATAAACTTGTACCTTTCTAACCTACCTACGGCAATCTGGTACTCTGTAGAAGATTGAAAATACCGCAGCCATGACCGGATTGAGAAATAACATGCTCAAGTTTAGGAAAGCGGTCGGGAAATAATTCCATTGATAACTCATACTCGTAGCAAAAACTAAAAAAAAAGTGCATCTCTGATCGATCAATCTCCGCTCGTGTCGATAATTTTCATGCTTCATAAACAAGTCCGACCGCCGCTCATCGATGTTCCAGGCCTTCCAGAGTGGAACTCCACCATCCCATTCCGATCGAAAATCAATCTTTAATAGGAATACCGACCAGATGTCAGCTCAGACGCTGCCCGCCGGCAGTTGCTGCCCGCTTGCTTGAGCAGCCTCCTTTGCTTCAGTGGTAGCGGAATCACTGCCCTTGGCGCAGTTGGAGCATGCACAATGACCAGGTGGGCAAGGGCAGTTTCCTTCAGAGCCTCCACATTTGCAGACAGTCTTGTCGGTGCCTTTGACTGGTTCTGGCTGATTGTCACCCAGACCACTCTTGGCACAGTTGGCGCAATTGCAATGTCCTGGAGCACAGCCGCAAACACCCTCGGCACCACCACACTTGCAAACTGTCTTGTCAGTTCCGGGGACTTCCTCGGGCTCATGGGCCTTGCCAGCCTTGAGATCTGCAAGTCTTCTGGCTTCATTGTGCACATCTCTGACTTGCTTGTCCCCCTGCAGATAGTATTCTCGCACTCTCTGTCCAGTAGGGGTGTTGAGAGCTTTTTCAAAGTAGGAATTGAGACCTCCCCACGCACTCATGGCTTTATCAGTGACGCCGTACTTTGTATCAACTGACTTGGCCTTGTCTGTTGCCTTGAACTTCTGGTCAAAGTTGGACAGAGCACCAGTGAACCTCGAACTGAATCCGTGTTCTTTATCCACCGTAATTGCCCTGTTGATAACATTGTCGGATAGAGCATAGCCATGAGCTAGGTACTCGGCGACGATTCTCGTGCGAGGCTTGTCTTCTTGCGGGATATGGTCGTCTGGGAGGGAGGATGAAACAGCTGCGCCGGCCTTGGAGGCGACGTCATCGAGAGTGCTCGCAGTCGAGACATGGACTTGAGACTTTCCAAGCTGGGTGTTATCGAGCAGGAGAGCGGTCTTCGCGGCACTTTTGAAAATTAGCTTGCTGGGTTTGTATTGGAGTCTAACTTCTCGACTTACGTTTCCTTTTCAAAGGTCACTGTGGCAGATTTTCCAGCATCTGCAGCGTCTGACTCAGGTGTCACTGAAATGTTGGTGATTTTTCCACTGTGTGGAAGTGTTAGTGTTGTTTCATAGGAATGTAGCTGCATATTGAACTTACCAGAAACTGAAGAAGTCCTTGACTTCCTTCTCACTCGTCTCGTGAGAGATGCCCTTGACGTGGACTGTAGTCGACATCTTGAGGAAATTTGGCGATAGTGAGTTGCTGAGAGGAATTTGGAAGATGGTATGAAGAGTCGAAACTGAATTTTAACTGCAAAACGTATGCCTCGAGGGTTTTATAAAATTGTTCCGGTCTTCCTAAGGACAAGTTGTAATAATTCGATGGGACGAATGTGACGAGCTGCGCCTGCGATCGACTGATTTCGATACGTCATACGAAGAAACCCCGCCAAAAAGGGGAACGACTTGGCCTGCGCCACTCCATCTGGTCCAGCCACCCAGAATTATCAGCCACAGCACACGTCGTCAGCCAAGGCGAAATACGAGATACGAGGCTCGAGTCTGCGCAGGCAGTCGCATTCAGCGGTCCAAGAGACGAGTACGAGGTATTTGCGCAGAGCACTCGACGAGACTCTGCCATGTTTGAGACTGAGCATCAAATTCGACAAGGAAGGAAGTTGACGACGAGCTGCGCGTACGAGTACAGAATTGCCTCGGATTCGGACGTCAAGCTTCAATTGCTTCTAGGACCCTGGAACCCGGACTTCTCCTCACCCGAGACTCAGGGCAGCGACAGCAGCAGAAGGTGAATATGAAGACTGCAACACTACTTCTACATCCAGACAGACCCAAAATACATACTCGGTGATGTCCTCACCATCCACGACGTCGGTTCCGACACTCAAGGCACAAGGAAAGTCGATACAATTCAGGACAAGCTCCTCCAAGCCTTTCCCGGCTTATCATGGATCCAGTCCAGGACTATGGGAGTCCGGGAGGCGCACCGTCGGCAGGCTGGGCAAAAGCTTTGCCTGCCGTCCACACGATTGGATGTTTTTTTGTTTTCCCATGGTCAGAGAAAAGAAAACGCAACACGTCGATATTTGCTAGCCCCAGATGGGCCTTCGGAGCTGATGGTCTACCTGCTCATTTACCCACCTTTCATCTGGCCAAACGTGGCTAACATGCCCCTGCAAGGAAAAGATCGATCAAATAATCTTGCTCCGATTGCATTGCACGAGACGACCCATGTCCACAGCTGGAAAACCTCCTCCTTTCCCATTCCTCGGCTACTGCTTACCCACGAGCCTCGTGACCTCCACCGATCTGCTTCTCACCTCTTTTCTTTTGCTGTTGTTCCTCTTTGCTTTTTATCTCCATCTTACTCCCCCATCTTTTACCAAAAGTTCAATACCCCGACCGGAGGAAATTCTGCCTCTGTTTGGTAATGAGCTAGACGCGAATATCTAGGACTAGATCCCGCAACAAGAAGATTAATCCTTTCTACACACTGCTCATGTCGACGCATTTTCTCTGAGCTCTACCTTGCAGCTTCTTGCTTCCAGTCACGCGACCAAAGTCGATTGCAGCATCTCTCCTCAACCCCCCCAAAGCACCATGGCGCGCACCAAGGGCGATACCGATAGCAACACGTTAGCCCTACTCGGCAAGAAAGAAGTGCTGAAGCGACGTTTCGGATTCTGGTCACTTTTCGGTTTCGCCGTGTGCGAGTTGATCACCTGGGAGACGGTACTTGCCTTGTTCAGCCAGGGCTTCAACAATGGTGGACCAGCGGGACTGGTGTATGGCTTCATCATAGCCTGGTCCTCAACCTTGTCTGTATATACCGTGATTTCTGAGCTCGCATCCATGGCGCCCATCGCTGCCGGCCAGTATTATTGGGTGTACATCCTGGCTCCCGAACGGTACAAGGTATTTTGCAGCTACATAATTGGTTGGCTCACATCCCTGGCGTGGGTAGCCACCGTTGCGACCGAGACCATCTTCGCCGGTACTATGCTCCAGGGCCTTATAATCCTTGATCATGAAAATGATTACGACCCAAAGCGATGGCAGGGAACACTACTTGCCTGGTTGGTGATCGTTGTAGCCATCTTCGTCAACGTTGTCATCCCAGGAGCACTACCAAAATTCGAGATCTTCATCATCGTCTTCCACATTGCCGGTTTCATTGCAATTGTGTCGGTCCTGTGGGTTTATTCCCCTCACAACTCGGCGCACTTTGTCTTCACCACGGCTTTGAACGAAGGCGGTTGGCCAACACAAGGACTGTCCTACTGCGTCGGTTTTCTGGGCAACGTGGCCACGTTTGTCGGGGCGGATGCCTCCGTACACATGGCAGAGGAGGTTGCCAACGCGCCCTTGAATATCCCCCGAGCCATTGTGGGCGCAATGCTCATCAACGGCGCCGTAGGCTTCACCATGATGCTGACGTTGCTCTTCTGTCTGGGTGATGTGGACTCGGTGCTTAACACTGCGACGGGTTACCCCTTCATGCAGATCTTCAAAGGTAAACCCACCCCTTGGTGGTCTTTTTGTGGTGCTAACAGAGTGGCCAGACAGCGTCAACAGCACCGCCGGTGCAACGGCGATGGGCGCCATTGTCCTTGCACTGACATGGGCCTGCGCAACCGGTATCATCACAACTGCTAGCCGTATGACTTGGTCCTTTTCCCGTGACAAAGGTACGCCATTCAGCTCCGTCGTCAGCTACGTTTCGAAGACTCGCAGAATCCCGACTGTTGCTGTGCTCGTGGTCACCGGCATAGCCGCGCTCCTTACTCTGATCTACATCGGCTCCGACACCGCCTTCAACGATGTCATCTCGCTCACCATAACGGGTTTCTACAGCTCTTATTTCCTCCCTGCCGCGTTCCTCCTGTACAACCGTGTCAAAGGTCGTATACAGCCACACAATCAGCAAACCCCAGGTCTTCCCGTCGAGTCAGACGACATGAGCGATGACAATGCCGTCAAAGTTCCAATCTCTAACGGGGATAGTATCTCCAGCGTCCCGAGGAAGAACGAAGCTGCTGGAGCCGACGACGACGATATCAAGAAGACTGCATATACTGACGCCGAGTCATCTACGTACCCTCCAGCGGTGAATCAGGATCGCCGCTTTTCCATCGCCGAGGCCCCGTTGGTCTGGGGCCCTTTCCACCTTCCCGGCTGGTTCGGCATCATCAACAATGCCTATGCGTGCTTGTACATGATCTTTGTAATCTTCTGGAGTGTGTGGCCCCCTGCGACGCCCGTGAATTACCAGACGATGAACTACTCGGTTGTGGTGACGGGCGGGGTCATCATTTTCAGCGTTATTTGGTATTACATTCGCGGTCACAAGGAGTACAAAGGACCCATCGTTGATGACGAGGTTGCGGCGATTGTGGTGCGGAGGGGAAGCGTAGGCGGTGTTTGATCTGCCCAGTATCTTTATCTTCGGGAGTACTCGCATCGCAGTGCGACTCGGTTCCTGCCTTTGCATGTCATGTCACGTATTGCGTATCTACGGGATAGGTGACTTGAGAGAGTTCTCGAAGCCAGGTCAAATGCGAGTACATTGCAATGACGCGAAGATGATGGCAGAATGTTTCTTTTGGACAGTCCGAAAATCTGCCGTATTAAGTGATGGATGTTCAAGAGGATGATTCGCACACTTGGATCCCCGCCTGCGACAAACGCTGAAATCCAAAATGCCAATGGCCAAGTAAATATATACTCGGAACGAGAATTTCCCTCGTATTCTACCACATGAATCTCTGTACGTTTCCAGGCTCCTGCGGCCATTCGAAGCCCTTGTACAGGAACACGTAGCACGTGACTAGGTTGATGAGCATATACCAAATCAATTCCAACCAGATAGAATAGGCGGCAGCAATTCTCAACAACCGTTGAAACGGCGAGGATGATGGTCTGGGTACACTCTTTTCGTTTTTCTTGTCGTCGTCTTTTGTGGCGTCCTTGTCGTCCCCGTCTAGCTTGACCGTGCTCAACATGTCGGGACTGGGCATGTACTCTGGCACGGCCATCCTCCACATGAGCCAGGGGATTATGAAGTACCTCGGCTCGACGAGCGGGGCGGTCACGAGGGACAAGGACGTGGCCAGGAGCCAGACCAACGTAAAACTCACGCAGACGGTGTCCTGGCCGTGCAGGATTCGGACGGCGCGAGAGGGCCGGTCGTCTGTGGAGGAGGAGGTGGTGGGTCCGGCCAGGGCGCCCAGCACGAGCGAGGCGCAAGCCAAGTAGACAGGGACGACGGCGTACCTGACCGACCAGTGGGAGCGGAGGATTCGGAAAACGTAAAAGGTATAGTGTCGGTTGTCGGCCAGGGTGAAGGGGTGGACGACGGTGTTGAGGTTGACGACGGCGATGGCGACGACGAAAAAGGCGAGGGCGGTGCTCGGTCGGGGGAGCCGCCGACGGCGGAACTGGGTCAGGTTGCACAGTTGGGGGAGGAGGACGGGCCAGGAAAAAAAGACGATGAACGGCCATACGTAGAGCATCTGGGGCAGGTGGACGGTGGCCACGTGGTTGTCCTTGTCGCCCAGGACGACGCCTCCGTTCCAGATGACAAAGGCCGCGAAGCCGAGAAGGAGGGAGATGTGAGGCCATAGATCCAAAATGAGGTCGGCGATCATGGTGATGGCGGATTGAGCTATCGATATGCTCGTGATGGGGAAGTCTAGGTAGGAACGTGAATGTCAGTCGGACCGACCGATGGAGAGGTGGAGGAGAGGGAGGAAGGCGGGAAAGAGCGCCCAGAGACGGACGGAACGAGCCATACCTTCAAAAAACGCTTCGGACATGGGAGGATCGTGAACCTTGGGGGCTCCGATGTGACGTTTGACGCTCTCTATCACCTGCAGGCCCCCAAGGTACACGGCGACCCAAAAGATGTTGGTTTGCCTGCTGGACAACGAGACCAGACCGGTGACCAAGTGTAGGAATTGATAGAGGACTTTCCGTCGTCGGCCCTCGGCGGAAACGGACGCGGACCAGAAGATGTGGGCGACCAGGACGGTAAAAACGCTGAACAGGTCGGTATAGTACAAGGCCGAAAAGAAGAAGAAGAGGGGGAAAACGACGATGCTGAACTCTCGCTGGAGCACGCTGTGGTGGTCGACGGGTTTTCTGGTCACGGCGGCGAGGACGTAGAGGGCGAAGATGAGTAGGTACTGGAGGAAGACGTTGATGGACCTCCACTCGTTGATTGAAGGTTTGAAGTTGTGGTAGAAAAAATCCCGGGTCGAGTTGACGAGGTAGGAAAACACGTACAGCCCGGGGGGCGTGGTGATTTTGGGATCCCACCGTCCCCATTCCCCCGACCAGTACGCCCGGGCTTGAGGGACGTGGAACACCTCGTCCAGGTACGGGCGTGGGACGAGCTCGTTGACCAGGCGTCGCCATGTCATGTGAAGGCTCGTGATGGATCCCAAGACGACCACCCGTGCGAATTCGGGGCTGACAAAGTACGACATGGCTGTGGAAGGGAGATGCTGGCTAGATCAGATCAGGTAGGGAGGGAGGGAGAGAGAGAGGGAGAGCAGGGAGGGATGACAAGATTGTTGTGTTTTCGTTTCTTTTTTGGGTTGCTAAGCTCCCGAGAAGAACAAATTCAATGCAAAAGATGAAACAAAACCAAAACGAGGCCGTCGTCTACGCCAGACGAGCAACTCGAGACGGTGTTACGGAGTCCGGACTCGTATCAGACAACCAAAGCTTGAACGACTTTTTGTATGGAGTCTGGAGCTTCCGTACAGTTGCTAGCACCCCGTGACAAAGGAGTTTGGGGGAGGAAAGCTTCTTTCTGGCTGGCGCGGCCACACTTGGCGGCTTATGTAATGGGACATGAAACAGTAAAGTGCCTCGAGGCATTTCTAGCTATCACTCTTTTCACGATAAGTCGGAAAATGTTCCTGATTCCTTGATTGACAACGTGAGGTGTCTATCAGTTTCATTTACTCCTAAAGGTTGAAAACAAAAAGATGGAGCGTGATCATCGTGGACGGGTACAAAGTAACGGGTATCAAGGCACGACATCCTCAAGGACTACTCCGTAATGTGACAAGAGCGATATCGACCAGTTGATCGACATGGAATCTAGAGTGCTACTCTATACTCGTGGAAGCTGGTTTTTGATCATTTTGAGAGCGTGATTGTTCACACTTGGTCCGGAGAGAATGAGAGTGTTGGAAGATACCTTGTATCCAGGGGACTGCGTACAGAACAATTAAACAATAAACAATTAACGTCGTCACTTTTCATCTTGTCAACGATACCCGTAATATTTCGTCAAAGAATACTCTGGACTCACTCCGTACTGAGTGAACAATAAGACGGCAGGGGTTCCAAGACTGAGGGATGCCTGAGCGGATCACTTCCTGCCTTCGTAAAAAATCCTTCCAGCCAAAGACTCCCCCGTTTCAGGCTGCATCAGGTACGTTTCTCACGGGTATCCGTAAGTAGAGATTTTACCTAGGTAGGTAAGGGTATCATCGGAATACAAGTACTCGTCCAAGGGAATCTGAAAATGTGTTGTAGGCTGACAGGATTCGTTCACAAGGCAGACGGGTTTTGATACGTCATGAATTTGATTCATCCTCCTTCGGTGGTCTACCGAAGAACTACCAACAAGAGTCTTTGATGACAATAATAACGGAGTTCTTCGTAACCCCCTCCTACGGAGTACCGGTGGTGACGATGGATGATATCTGGAGGAAACTCGGATTTACGTTCTAGCAAAAAGACGCTTGGCAGGTTTCAACGGGCACCTAACTGTACTGTACTGTACGGAGTACTTCCCTGGTGGGTAACAAGATGCAAGTACGGAGTACGGGAGCACCTTTGCAGAACATACAATAACGTACCTCCTTAGGCGGTCTCCCGGGCGTCATTAGGTACCTAACTAACTCCAACAGGGCCTTTTGCACTTCCAGGGGTCCAATCATTTGTTTTGGGCGTCCGGAGCTGCCCGGAAGATCTCCTCCCAATGGGCACCCACCCACCCCCTTACATAATTGAAGAATTTCCTCTTTTGGCCGCCGCCACCACCAAAAAGGACACCCCTGCTCGGATGTGTATGGATGGCTAAACAATAATTTTTCTCACTCTCAGTCGGGCTCGACGGCAACGGTGATGATGATGTAGCTGAGTCACTATATCACGGATACCAAAACTTATTTACTCCGTAGAGAAGCTCATATTTCATCCAAAGGTTGCCATCTACAATCTTGACAAATGGTCCAGACTTCCTTCTCCTTGCCACTGACCTTTCTCACTCTTGGAACCAGTACAACAACTTCTTCTTTTCCCTTTTTATCTCATGCCCATGCCATGCCGTTTTGTTTTTGCCATCGATATATGAACATATTTCTTTTTGTTGATTAATGGTACCAGTACGGAGTACGAGCTACCCGTATATACAGAGACTCCACTGCACGGTACAGTACACTGGGGTGGAATAACGAGGTTTTCTCAGGGTACGACTACGAACAGAATTGACAAGGCGCACTACCGTGTATCCATTACAATTCAAGCAACACGCAACACGCAATCGTCGGACCAGCCAGGTCGCTACCCAAGGAAAAACTACAGTGCCAAAAATGACCCAAACAACTCCGCAGTCGGCCGAAGCCAACACAGATTCAGCCTCGCGAGAGGATGGGGTGGATCTGACCGACCAAGCTGTCCAAGTTAGGTTTCAAGACCAAGCGGCTAACAGTACCTCGAGCTTGAAGACCCTGCAAGGACATGTAGCCGCGGCGGCGGAAGACGGGGTCAATGGTGCGTCCGAAGAGGCTCAATCGAAATTGGACGAGGCCGAAGCAGATCGCCCTGCCCCACCACCCAGATTGGCCTCATCGCGGCGCGAGGGCAGCTATGCGGCCAGCGCGAACAACGACCTGTCGAACATGAGAACCCTCGACCCCGAAAAGACGAACAACGCCCTCCCCAGGTTGAAGAAGAAGGAAACAAAGCTGGCTCAAAAGAAGGCGCACCCATGGCAACACCTCGGCATCACCCTGGGTCTGCCGATGATCCTCCTTTTCGACCTGGTCGTCCCCTGCATCATCTACTACACCTGGTACCACAGTCACAGGCACGACAGAAATCGACAATGCCGTGAACAATACCCCGACCGACAGCCATGTCCGTTGCCCAAGGTGGAATTCGACGACAACGTCCTCGGTAGTGCCATCGCTTCGTTCGGTGTCGGTGAGCTTTGGATTCTGCTCGCTCGGGCATGGCGACTGTTCATGCACCGCGAAGACTGTGCTCCTTTACTTTCCCGGAGTCGTTGGGAGCTCGACGCAACGTCGTGGGTCTACGCCGTGGCCTTGATCACCTCGCTCATCCCTTTTGTCGTGGCTAGCAGTCTGGAGATTCCCGAGCTGTATCTTTACTCACCGGCTTTCCTGATGACCTTCCTCGGATGTCTCATGTTGATCACCACCGTCTACCCGTTCAAGCTTCCCATCGGCATCAACTCACAACCTCGAGGCACGGGACTGCGGCCTTTTATCTATTACGCCGCCGAAGACTTTATTGCCGTCGACGGCCTGCAGGATCGGGAATTCCGCGTCCGATATAACGACCGTTATGAATCCAACAAAGCGTTCCGAAAATTGTTTGTGTACCTGACCTTGTTTTGGATGTTGGGAATTTGCATTTATATTGGATGTTTATCAGCCATCATTTGGACGTTGCCCTTCCACATCGCCTTTGGACTAAGTCTGGGCGTGTTGTTTGCTTGGATTGCCGTGTGGGCGGTCGCGACATTCGTGTGGGTGAAGTATGAGATTGAGAGGGAGCATAAAGCCTACGAGGCTGAGGCGGAGTCCATAGAGGAATAAATTGCTACGTGTGACAAGGTGGAAGCAGGCGTTTTGGGTGTTGTTTGTTGACATACTCACATACCCTAGATGACTATGTATTATCAGCGTTGCTAATGCACCAAAAGTAATAATACAGACCAAGACTGTCACGTCATGTTCATATGTCAACGGTTGTGTTGATTTTTTATCTCATTGCTGTCCGGGAAAACGTCTTGTCATGTCTTGGGAGTAGGATGGATTGTTCATTAGTATAAGAACCTAGCAGGGAAAGAGATAAGTCGGCGACACTGATAGTGGAAAGGCCGTTCTCATCACTGCCATTCCGATTCCAAGCCAAGCCTGCTGCCTGCCTGTCCGCACTCACCCCCTGGATGGTGTTCGAGTCGCGCTTTGGTCGCCCACAAACAGGATTAGTTTTTAGTTCATGGGTTTCCGAGTCTCACTGTGTACACTAGCAAATAAACAAATGCTTTGACCTTCTCCTTCATGTGACCATACTGCCTTGGAGCATTCGAGTCCTATTGTTTGATACCATATCACACCGGCAAAAAATAGAGGGAAAAAAGAAACACTGGCATCATTTGTTTCAATCAGCAAAACTCTAACCTGGAGACACAGGTTGCACGCTTGGCAACTGGCGTCCAGGCCGAGGGAAACCCTAGTTGTACACCTAGGATTCTTCTCGTAATAAACGGCAGACGACCCCTTTGCTAGTACCTCACGGGCAGAGGCCATGTATGCGAAGAACTGCCCCGAAGGGGCAGTCTGGGCTACGGGTAGCCCAAGATCCACTGACATCATACCGGCGGATTCCCCCCCGCCGTGTGTACAGATTGCACCACGATCCGACGGGATGTGTGAATGTTGAGGAGAATTGTGCAAAAGTGATTGATAACCCTTAGTTTTTCCCCTGTAAATTACTTGATAGGTCAAGCGGGTACGTTGGGAGTGGAGGGCTCTGTCTAGGCACCCATTCGCATTCACGGGGCGCGACGCGACCGGAGGGCGAATGCTGTTGCTCAGGATGGGAACCTCGTGATCATCACCTGCAAGTCTTTTCCTGCACCTGGGAATTGTTCAGTCGTGACAAACACTGTGTTTCCTCAACTCAAAGACATCGGCAAGCCTTCACGGCCGAGACCGTAGGTCCATAGTGTCACCTATTCCTCGAGAAACCTTCGACGGTCTCGATCTTGTACTTTACCTTGGTGACTCTGCTGAAGAGCGACAGCAGCACGACACGCGTCCCGACTTTGCGCCAGCCGGCCAATTGGTGTCTTTGGGTTGTAGTTCGACAACTTGGCACGAGCATGCGATATTAGGAAAGATTGTGAAGTCGGTCGTCTTGCCTCGGGTAGGTCTTACTATCGACGACATGGGCTAGTTCAGAAGAGGACAAGGATGCAGAGTTGGTATTGTTGGTACCAACCTTGGGGAGGTTTCTGGGAGAGTACTGAGCAGCAAGGATACAACTTGGCACAGCCTTCTCGACGATGTTGCTTGATCCGAGCCTGGGATAGAGAGTACGGATGTGTTCAGGAAAACTCTGTGCACAACAGAGTAATATCTAGGTCGGTAACCTCGACGTTCGGAATATGATATCATTGTTCTTTAGAGACATCATCGAGACGCCCTCATGCTGCTGTTGTATCGACGGCCCTTTGACAACACCATCGATCTTGGAGCACCTTACGCACGAAATCGAGGCGCGAGAAATTGAGTCTGGCTGAGAGCATTGTGACTCATTATAACAACATCAGATTTAGAGGCATTCAGAAGTACAAACATGACGTTAGCAGACGAGATCTGGAGTGATGAAAAGGTTTCTTTCCACGACGGCTTATTAGTGCGCCCTGAATATGTGATAACCGATGGGGGTATAGGCCAATCAGCCTTGCCACTCTTAGCCGAAAGGCCTTTTCTGAGCAACACCAACGTTCCCACTTCGCGGCAACTGGCTTATGGCTTATGCAACTTGCATGAACAGAAACCCAGAGTTATATATGTATTCTCCACAATCCAGGCTTATCGTTCGATATATTCTACGCCTTGGCTTCACAAGCAGAACGCAAGGCTGGCGGTTCTGATGGCTTCAACCCACTGCGCATTACGCACAGAGACAAATCCATCGACGAGCAAGAAGATTACTTGTGGTTTGAAATCGAATACGTAACGTCAACATGAACCTAACCAAACCGCACCACTTCGTGGGCTCCTCTGCAAGGTATAAAAAGGCGAGGACTTTCTCTCTCCTCGAAATATGAAAGCATTACGGACATTATCTTCTGAGTTCTTCTTGGACAAGTAGATTGTTCCAACTACCACCATCCGCCATCGCAACTTTTTGTCTCAACATGTCAACTCCAGTCAAGAGAGTGGCCGTCGTGGGAGGCTCAGGCCTGACCGGCGGAGAAATCACTCGAGCATTGCTACAATCCGGGTTCGAAGTGACCGTCCTCAGCCGTGCATCATCGTCGAACTCCAAGATCCCTGATGGTGCAAGAAGCGTCAAGACCGACTACTCGCGTGAATCACTTGCGGCAGCCTTCCAAGGACAGGATGCGGTCGTCTCGGCAATCACCACATTCTTCGTGGGTCAGCAATTCACCATCATCGACGCCGCCATCGAAGCTGGAGTCCGTCGTTTCATTCCGTCCGAGTACGGAGTCGACACTTCGGACCCTGCCATCGCCGAGATCGCTCCTCCGGCGGGCACCAAGAACGAAATCGTCGCCTACCTCCAGTCGAAGCAGGCGACAATATCTTGGAGCGCCATCATCGTCGGGGCGTTCTTCGACGCCATACTTGAGGTGCCTGGCGCACTGGGCCTGAACTTGGCGGAAAACACCATGACCATCTTCGACGGTGGAGACGTCGAATTCGAAGCGACGAACGTCGACCAGATCGGTCGTGCGGTCGCCGCGGTCTTGTCCCCCGAACACTTTGACAGCACTGCCAACCAATACGTCTACGTCAACAGCTTCACCTTGACACAGAACCAGATGTTGCACATCTTACAGGACCTCACCGGGAACAAACTGGAGGTCAAACATGCGAAGAAGGCGGATATGAGGAAGGCTTCTCAAGAAAAGATAAAGTCTGACCCGGACAAAGGCGACGTGTGGGCCCGAGGGTCTTTTGAAGGCATCATATTGATCATGTTGAATGAAGGAGGGTTTTGTGAATACTCCAAAAAAGGTCGTCTTTGGAACAAGAGATTGGGTCTTCCCGAAGGAAACGTAGAAGAGACGATCAAGGCTGTCTTGTCCAAGAAGGAATAAACCGAGTATTTTGGCGGTAGGTATCAAGCACACATACCTCTGCATTACGCACAAGGCTATACTTATCACTGGAGTTGTCCTCAATGGTCGTTTGCTAATATAGTCGATCGACAAAAATGTTGAGATACCTTTGCAAAATGCACAGGACTAAGTAACTAGCAATTTTGTCATCATTACTATTCTTGTTAGTGTCTCGGTGCTCGTTGTTCTCGCAGTCTTTAGGAATGTCTCTTGGCTTGCTTGAAGCTTGTCAACTACCATTTGAACCATATTGAAACCGACGAATGACAATTGGGGGTGACTTTGGTGATAAGTATAGCCTTGTCCGTAATGTAGAGATGGGCGCGCGTAATATCTACCGCCCGTGTTTGGACGGTTTAAGATGTACCTAGGTATCATTTTATTGAGTACAAGTACTCTGTAAACATGCCATGGTCCCCGAGTTCGCTTCTTTTTTCAACTAGGTTTCGTAGGCTTCTTCATTTGGTAGCCGGCTCAAAAGATGTCGATGTGCACCATGCCTCTGAATTTCTCTCTCGGTCGTGCGATAGACAGAGTAGATAAATAGATGATAGGCAATAAACGAGTTCTGAACTCACTACGGAACTGTAGGAACATAGAAAGTGGTCTGATTTGATCTGCAACTCGATGCATCTGTCATCCGCCGTAACGGAAGCCAATCATGATCCACCCGAATCTTCTGAGCAGAAGCAGCCGTCATGCTTTTGCAGCTTCACAATTTCGGAATTTCTTCACATCTTGCTGGTCCCATTAATCCGCGTCCGCCACTCTCATTCTTCTTCTCGACAAACCCTGTTTTGGAAAAAGATTGTGTAAACTACATGACACGGCCTCTGTTCTACCCATGTGCCTGTGACACCACCGATTGAAAACGCTCGTCTCTTCAAAACCCGTCGTCGCCATGAAAATCTTCGCACCCAGGATGGCCCGACCCCCATCCGACGCCTTTACCCGCTTCACCTCGACGACACCACACGCCATGCAGCGACCCTCCTCGTCGTCCACGACGTTCACCTACCAACCCGCCTCACGCCCGTCCTCGACGCCGTCACCACAGACACCGCAACCTCTACGCTCCACACCCTCGCCCAACGAGACACCACAGGAAAAGGTAGCGCGCCTCCGCGCCGCCGCCCGGTTAGCCCGAGACCAAGCGTCGTCGTCCCCCCTCGAACGGGCGATCGAGGGCGGTCGGGTCTGGGCCGACCGGGCCCACCGGTTCACGGCCTTTGGCCTCATCCTGTTCGCGGGCGTGACGGTCGTGGTGGCCGCGTACGGGACGACGAGCCTCATCGCCCACAACCGCCGGCAGAAACGGGCGTGGGTCGAGCGGGAACTCGACCGTCTCGACGCGGCCAGGCAGGCCTTCCTCCGCGGCGAGGCCACGGCCGAACAGCTCCACCTCCTGGAGCAGGAGCGGGCGGGCGAGGAGATGGAGGCCGCGAGGAAACGCGAGGTCGAGCGCAAGAAGGGCGAGAGCTACTGGAGCAGGTTGAAGGGCGTCATGAGCGCCAACGCCGCGGCCGGCCAGATGGGCACCGAGACCGAGGAGGAGAAGCGGGAGCGTGAGGAGCGGCGGGCGAGGAGGCAGAGATCCGCTTCGTCGTCCCCCGCGGACGAAACCTTCGTCGAGGGCGAGGTCAGACCCGTCGCCGTGACGTCCACGAACGTCAAGGGCGTCGGGCTCGACGCAAAGGGCCGCCCGGTGCCGCTGGACAAGATGGAGTACGTCAAGACCAAGGTCGAGGACGGGCGAAGGTCGGGCGAGAAGGAAGTCATTGCACGGACTGGTATCAGGGGAGGACCTCTGGACCAGCTCGCCGAGAACGTCTCTCAGGCCGTTGTGACCCCTTCGACCCAGAGCCAGGGGTGGTTGAGCTGGTTGAGAGGCAGTAAATCGTAGGGGTGGTCTCCGGAGGGAGATGTTTGAAGGAGAAGGGGGACGAGAGCAGGTGGTCCAACTTCTTGTTTCTTGTACAAATTTTTCAACGCCGAGAGAGCAAAAAGGCTGCATAGCGTTAATGGGATCAAATTCATTTCACCTCCACGATAATACGCAGCTCGTTTTAAGGGGAGTGACCTGGATTCTTCACATCACCACCACTACCATTACCGTCGTCAATAGTCTCACATTTACTTTCTAGGCTTTACTCGTACAACAAACGGCTGCGCACCGACGGTGCCACCGAGTCTAGGTAGGTACTTGGGTACTTGGGTACTCGGGTTCTTGAGTTCTTGAGTACCTGAAAAATCCCCCCGTTTCCAGCGCTACGCGGATTCGCAAACCGCAGAATCAAATGCTCCAAAATGCGGATAACCCCAACCACTTCACGTCCATGGTCTGTATAACGCATGCATGATCCGTTCCGTGCCATCGTTCTATCATCATTATTTCGTCGTTCGTCGTCGTCATCATCATCATCATCATCAAGCAACGAATAATCTCCAGCTGAAAACAAAAAGTCCTTCACGACCACAGAATATGGCTGTAATGTCCGGGCACCTTTTGAATGCACTTGTCACAGCCGTTGAGAAACCCCATGTGCAGTCTCGCCGTTCTTGCCTTTCCCCCCGGGCTGGAGTAACCGTCGAGTTGGAGACCACCATCGTCACATCTCTCGTCCATGGGGACATGGGCCGGTGGTTCTCCACAACGAAGCAGTCCGTCGCCATCGCCCTGCTGGTCGACCATCATGCTGTCCGTGTCTCGTCGATCATCCTCCACGGGACTCGGTAGTCCGTCTCGCCCGATCCAGGAATCTTGCTCGATCATCGGACTGAGGTTCGTACGCAGAGGCGGGAACTGATGCCGGGGGACACTGGGCAGGTCCGCGACTCGGTTGTCGAAGTGGCTGCTGATCGGGGTCGGCACTCTTTCTCTCGCAAACGTGTCCATCGCGGTCAGAAAGTTGCTGTCGCGGTAAGGTGGTATAATGTCGTTCGAACGGGCCCTCCTGATGGTGGGGGGGTTCAGGTCCATGTTCACGTCCACGTTGTGATGGTCTCCACACTGTGCTCGGATCGAGGACATGCTGCTGGAATCGCTGCCTTGAGAGTCCCGGGTCGGACGAGACTTGTTGGTGGTGGGCCAGTGGCTGGCGTCCTTGGGCTCAGAAGGGCTTTCGTCCTCGGAGGTATCTACCGGGGTCGGCGGTTGTTGGTAGATGGAGGTGAAGGTAGAATACGCCTGGGATTGCAACTGTGGTCTGGCCGAAGGGGATAGGCGAATCGGTAGACACTGATGAGGAGGTCTTCTCTTTGGACTTCGCGTCATCAGAGATTCATCACTCGGATCGTCAATCCTTCGTTTCCGCTTGTGCTGCAGAGCAGCGTCGAATTGGAAGGCAGGGCACACGTCTGTCATGGTTGGTTCGGCGGTGAAATTCTCGTCGGTCGACATGGTGGGATATGAGGACCAGGTGGGCGAATTAGTCCTATCTATAAAACGTTGTTCTCTCTTCCCAAAGGAGAAAATGTCATAGTAACCCCTCTCTCTCGAAAGGAAAAAAAAGGGAGTCGATCAAACAGTGATGGTGTCGCGGGTTGACAGGAATTGGTTGCTGAAACACAGACAATCTCGACCGAGGGGCCAACCAGGGCGCGTGATCGAGTAGAAGCGAAGAACAGGCGAACGACAAAACAAGATGACGCGATAGCCGGATGATGAGTCTTCCGGAGAAGATGAGAGCCTCGATAAGAGAGGGGTTAAAGGAGGCAGTGTAGTTGTTGTATTGTTGGTATATCTTTTAATTCTTAACAGTGGAGGGGAGAGAGAGGGATTGTCTAAATCCGGGCAACGAGTAATAAACGTGGAATTGGTGAAGCAATATGGTTCAAAGCAGCGTCATGAGTACAGAGTGCAGCAGGTTTACTCCCACCCCTACTCCTACCTCTAGGCGACTCGGGATTTGTGGAGGGGGAAAAGGAGAGCCCATCAGACGCCTAAAGTACCTCGGTCACTGCCCGGACTTAGGCATTAGAGGGGTCCCTATTGGGTGGGTTGCATGCCTAAGGTTGCAGCTGCCTTGTTAAGCGACAAAGCCTTTATGAGTACCCGATGAGCCTCCCCTACGACGTCATCCAAGGGTTCTGTGGTTCTCCCTGATGCTCCCTGATGCTCCCTAATGCTCATCCTATCCGGCTTTCCTCAGGGATCACGTGCAGATGTAGATCTAGACCAGTGCAAAGACCCGTAACGAGTATTTACTTCCGTACTCGTTTTCTCATGCCACAATTCTTCACCGCCTTTGAGCCGGGTCGAATTCTGCCCCTCCACGTTCTGAAACTTTTTTGCAGCCCGTGTGAATCATAATGCCTCGTAGAAAGTCTCTCTTGTAGCTGTTTCTTCCTCTCCACACAAAACACATACACCCGACCGACCGACTTTTCTCTTCCTTCACAGAGCTCGTTAATACCTTACCTGCTTTTTCCTCCTCTTGAGTTTTTCTCTCACCTAAGATCTCTCTCGCCCGGCAGGCAGTTTCAGTCGCAAACCCGGCGGTCCACCTTTCCGCACCTTTCCACACCCCGGCACCATGCCTTCCATTGACACTCCCGTCGAGATCAACGAAGATGTTCGAATCCTCGGCTATGACCCTCTGATCCCTCCCGCACTCCTCCAAAGTGAGATCCCCGCGACTCAGGCCTCGATCGAGACGGTGTCCCGGGGCAGAAGAGAATGCAAAGAGATCATCCACCAGCGCGACGACCGGCTACTCGTCATGGTCGGACCTTGCTCGATCCACGACCCGGCCACGGCCCTCGAGTACGCCGGCCGCCTGAAACAACTCGCCGAGAAGCTCTCCCCCGACCTGTGCATCATCATGCGGGCGTACCTCGAGAAGCCCCGGACCACGGTCGGCTGGAAGGGCCTGATCAACGACCCGGACATTGACGAATCCTACAAGATCAACAAGGGCCTGCGAGTGTCTAGGCAACTCTACGCCGACCTCACGGGCATGGGCATGCCCATCGCCAGTGAAATGCTCGACACCATCTCCCCCCAGTTCCTCGCGGACCTCATCTCCCTCGGCGCCATTGGCGCCCGGACCACCGAGTCCCAGCTGCACCGCGAACTGGCCTCGGGCCTGTCGTTCCCCATCGGCTTCAAGAACGGCACGGACGGCTCCCTGGGCGTGGCCATCGACGCCGTGGGCGCCGCCGCGGCCCGCCACCACTTCATGGGCGTCACCAAGCAAGGCCTCGCCGCCATCACCAAGACGAGCGGGAACGAGGACGGCTTCGTCATCCTCCGGGGCGGGTCCAAGGGCACCAACTACGACGCCGACAGCGTCAAGGCCGCGAGGGAGGCCCTGAGGAAGAAGGGACACGAGGAGGTCATGATGATCGACTGCTCGCACGGCAACTCCAAAAAGGACCACCGCAACCAGCCCAAGGTGGCCCAGACCATCGGCGACCAGGTCCGGCGGGGCGAGGACGCCATCGTCGCCGTCATGATCGAGTCCAACATCAACGAGGGCAACCAAAAGGTCCCCGCCGAGGGCGGCCTCGCCAGCCTGCAAAAGGGCATCAGCATCACCGACGCCTGCATCAACTGGGACACCACCGTCGACGTCCTCGAGCAACTGGCCGACGCCGTCCGGACAAGGCGACAGGTCCGAGCCAAGCAGCAGAATGGCACCAACGGTGTTAATGGACACCATTGATTCAGTCCGTTACGGAACTAAACTTTTTGTGTTCGACCGAACGGGGGATTTGCTTTTTTTCCCCCATCAAACAACCATAATAAGCGCAGTGAACGAGGCAATGCGACGCGAACGGTGTTGGATGTATTTTTTTTGCTGCCGGCACCTGGAGCGGCGTCTCGGGACTTTCCTTGTCCTCCTGAGCAGCATCTTCCAAGCGAGGCTTCGAAGTTTTGCATCTCTTTTTTTTCTGCGTCGCAAATGGAATGCAACTTCAGCGAATCTTGTTAAAATTGGGAAAAGAAAAAAAGGTCTCGGTTGTCATCTCTTCACTCTACCTTTGGTTGCTTTTTGCTCCGACAATGCAAGGGAAAAAAGGGGGCGCATTTCTTTTTTTCCCCTTAAAAAAAAAGGGGAACGACGTGTTACATACAGGGGACATGAGCTTGGGATTTGCTTGGGGCAAAATTTCACATGGCATCGTACCAAAGAAAATCAAGGATCAACGTCAAGATATCAAGAAAAAGCCCATAGAAGAAAGGCCACTTATTACAGCTGTTAAGAAGGATTCACGTCCCAGTCCAGTCCATCCATATCCGCACCAGTGCTATGCGATGATAGTCCTACACGTAATTGACTCGCTCCCATTGAACCCAGTTCCCTGAGCATGCTGTCCCAGTTCAATGCCATGAGTCCTCGCCATTCCATTTCCCATTTCCTAGCCCGAGTCATTAATATCTGCTTTGTCCAAACAAGCACACGCCCTGTCCACTGTCTCCTGCCTGCCCCGCTGCCGTCTCGCTTCCGAAGCACATCACAACATCCCCAAAATCGTGTTCCTGTCTCTCAGCGCACATGACCTGTTCCATGTTCTTCCGGCTTGGGATGTGAATTACCAGAACGAACACCATCCAATGTAATGCTGACACAGATTCTCCACGTTTGTCGCCTGCAGAATCAGTCGATCAACTTGCTCCGCGACCCCAAGGCCTCCTATGCCTGCCATGGTCGTCTCGGGCGCTGCACCTGCGATGCTCGTAAGGCCTTGCTTTGCGCCACCGTTTGCACTACCACCGTCACTACTGCCGTTTGCACCCACGCTCGTTGGGACCACGCCTGTAGCATGATTCATCGTGCCGCCATTGAGATCCATCAGAGCCTCTAGGCCAAGACCGTTCGCATCCGCCCCGAGCCGTGCTGCCGCTGTGCCGGGGTTTGCAGGCTTGAAGTCGCGACCGGTTAACTTCTCTTTAACTCTTGCTAGTACTTGCAATGCTCTTGCATTCTGTACCTCCTTGGCCTCTTGTGCAGCGGCGTTGCCCTCCCCGACTTTAGAAGAGTCGAGGATACTTCCTCCACCCATTGCGGGGTCGAGGATGCTGCTGCGTCTGTGTCGCCGACCGGGAGGAGCACCAACATGGCTGTGAGCTGCACCGTTCATCGCTGCTGTAGCAGGATGATGCGCTGTCTCCATTGGGCTGCGATCGTAGTCTCCTGGAGCACCAGGGGCGTCCATGATACTTTGGCGTCGCTCTGACCGGAAATTTGGTCGAGGCGGTGACTCCCGCGTGTTGAGACGCCAATTGAGAAGTGGGTCGTGAATGAAAGCCTCCAGCACTGCGAGAAGCGATTCTTTGTTCTCGCGAATCACTCGCATTACGTTCTCGCATGTGATCCTGAAAGAACCTTCAATGTTGCTGACTTCCATAGCAAAGGTGAGCATTCTGGTCAAGCGGAAGGGAACTCGTTCAGGGTATTTTTCACGATGCATGGCCACTTCGAAACAATCACCAAAATCGATGTGAACGATCTTGCCAGTGATGCGATCAAGCATAAGGTTAGACGGATGCCGGTCTCCCAGTCCGAGAATGTAGCCGACCATGGACATGACAGCTAGCGAACGGGTATAGTTAGTACGCCGATCGAGCCATGCTTCAGAGCTCTTAGACTTAAGCCATAGCACGCGGTACAAGTCCTTCCCAGTCGTATTGTCCATTGCATACCCGAATACTTCGACCTTCTGCATCAACGTAAGGTTATCATAATCCGGTGCCATCTGCAGCATAATTCTATGCTCGATATTGAGGAGAATGCGACGCGATTCGCGATATTCCTTGACCAAATTATGAAGTGTGTCCGAGTTAGGTACCCATCCAAGCAGGCCAGAATTTTGTGAAAGAGGAATTGCCGGGAAACGTTGGATGTTCAAATGACGCTTGAAGCTTTCGGTATCATTGGTCAACAGCGTGTTGACCAGTCCGAACAGCTGCATCACTCGTTCATCTTGTCGAATATCTTCATGGCCCTTCAACAGGAAAGCGTATGAAACTCCATCGGAACCCTTCACAGTCATCTTTCGAGGTCGTTGCTTCGAAGGAATGACGGTCAAAACATGGTCGAAGCTGATGATCCTGATTATAGGCTTGCCCGAGCGATAAGTGCCAGGAACAGCAAGGTCGAGATCGTGTGCATCCTTAAGGCGCGGCGACACATATTTCAAGTCGAGGCTCATCAGCTGAGGCAATTGGCGAGCAATCTTCCTGAAAACCGCATAGTACAAATCCCAGGCCTGGTTAAGGTCTCCTATTTCTTTGGACCGGCGGAATGCATTGCAGAATGCTCTGGCTTCAGCGAGATCATGCCCAAATGCTTGGGCGAAAGATACCTCTCTGAGGGTCTCGGCGCCTCGATCGAGTAATTCGTGTAATGGTGCAAGTGTTGCAAGCATGCCTTCGACATCATGATCACCAAAATATAGTCGAGAAGCTTCTTCAAGGCCTTCGTGCCAAAGTTCGTGCCACAACACAGCAACACGGATAAGTTCGTGGCTGACAAGGTCAGCTTGCTCAACTAGGACTGGACTGTGCACTCTCATGTTGTCCATAATTTGCATTGCGGAATTAGCGCGGCGCTGCACCAAGGACTTCATGGCCACGGTCAAGGGATAGACCAATGCTTGTGGGTGAGCTTTTCCAACTTCTGTCAACAGTCGATGGACAGCTGCCCGAACTCTCGCGTTTGGTTGGTTGATTCTTGCAATCAATTGAGGGATAACTTCAAGCCAGGTGTCGATGCTCACGGATGCGAAGCCTTCAATGATGACGGAGTTGACCTCGCTGTGTCCACCATGTGCGAACCACAACGTCAACAGGCGGAGAGTGTCTTGCAGACTACTCGTCTTCGAAAGAGCAATGGATCTGAAGAAGCCTCCAATTGCAGGGACGACATGATTCTGGATGACATGCTCGGGCAGATTGCGCACCTTGTCCTGGTCTGTATGAGACGCCATCGAAGTCACAACCTCGAAATTTGCCAAAGCATACGCATGCCATGCTTTGTACCAGGTCTCGTTGTATTGCGTCGCAGCGTGGTACGACGACAGAATATCTCGGACAGCTTCCTGAGCATTCGGACTTGTCCAATCACCTCTGAGCAGGTATGACTGCCATTCTCCTTGTCGGAGATAGCACTTGGCCAGGAGTTTCGCACATCTGTCCAATTCATCGTGTTTTCTCCGTTGGGTAAGCGCATCGTGTCCTGCGGTATCAATACCGTTCATGCTATTCATCCTCTCATTCTGCATGCCGTTCGCAAGGGACGCATTGGCTTGTTGAAAATCATCAGCAAGTCTCATAGTGAACTCCCGGAGGAACGAAAGGGCTTGCTTTTGATTGCCAGTTGCCCAGTTGAACTTGAGCCGAGCGTATGCAACAGGAGGCGGTGCCGCGCCAGCGGCAGCGGCAGCATCACTAACACCGCCCAGGGAAGCCAACGATCTTTCCGCCAGACCAATCCGATCTGATTTGCGGCAGAGATTTGCAAACTTGATCCAAATTTCTGGATTGTCGGTTGGTGTCAAAACCAGAGCCCGGACTTTCAGCATTCGCTGCCAGACCTCCACATTCGATTGACAACCTAACAACCTCTTGTTCCATAGCAACTTGAGAGAATTCTGTTTGTCGAGTTGCCCTTCACTCTGCTTGTAGACGATGATCTCTTCGAGTTCGGCAAGCATCTGCGTCCGAACAACCACGCTGTAGGCGCGGTTATAAGACTCCCCAATCGTCGCAGTGATTTCTGAGTTGACACCTTCTCGGGCTCGCACGATGAAGTTGTAAGCTTCGGGAAAGTTGTTGCGCTGGATTGCAAGAATGGCGCCGAAGAAAGCTCTATCGGGAGAACTTTCCTTCATAACACTAATGTAGTTGTCCATAGAGTCCCACTCGCCTCGGCCCCAAGCTGCCGCTGCAGCGAGTGCTGACATATTCTTGCGGTTCTCGACGCTTGCATTATTCCAGTGTTCCTGGGCGATCTCTGAAAGCATCTTCCATTCACCCAAAGCATGCAAACAGCGCATCTTTCCCATAACGATGTCGAAGTTTTCAGGCTCTATTTTTTCACGCTTCTGGTAAGCAGCCAATGCTTCTTCCCATCGTTGTAGCTTCTCAAACCATGCTTCTTTGAGCTCAACTTCGCCAAACACTTGCGCCCGACGCAAAATACCAATAGCAGCGTCAGACTGTTGCAGTTGATTGTTGATGCTGATCAGAGCCTCGACACTTGAGCTGTTCTGATCTTGTTCAAACTCAAGTTCTTTGTAGTGCAGCGCTTTCGCAAAGGCATGACATTTCGCAGCGAATCGTCCAAGCGTTCTTATGTCGATCGGCAAAGACTTATCATCATGCTCCATATACTCAGCTAAATTTAGCAACGTTTGCAAGATATCCGGAGGGATGTTGGAAGATGTCAAGGCTTTTTCGATCGAAGCAATGAGTTCTTCCTGATACTGGTCGTAGAGCTCGGTCCAGCAGGAGGCAAACGCCGAGTTGAATAAGTCTTTGGCCAAGGGTTGAAAGACGGTAGCCAAACTCGCACAAGCTCGCAAGGCGTGAGATGGAGACTCTTTCAGTAGTTCGACACTAAATCTTCTCATCCATTCTTGCCAGTCTTCCTTGGTCGACTTTTGAGAAACATCCCAGGCACTCTTCAAGTGCTGTTGATTCACCGGAAGTCTCATGGAAGTTATGTTAGAATAGGTTGTGTCTTCAGCTGCTAGACCGTACTGCTCATCCGGATAGAAGTCCACCGGCAATGGCTTTCCAGTCTTCAAGTTCTCGACCAGCTTCTGAAATCGTTCGGAATTGATCTGCCCAGTTTTCGTAGCCCGCTCTACCAAAGGGAGATAGTGACTGAAATCCTGACCAAGATGATATATTAACGCACAGACACAGTCCAGTGCCGCAGCTTTCAATGAGCGCTCCGAGGAATTTGTGACAGCCTTCTCTGGTGAGGACAGAATCTTTGCAAGTGGGTGAATCATGAGCGAAGCAAAGTCGGTAACATTGACCGTTCGGGATAATTTGCCTAGGGTGTCGATTGCTGCTCGTCTGGCATTAGGGGGGGCTGCTGGGTTTTCGAAGATACCAACAATTGCCGGCGTGATCATGTGCATATACTCCTCCCCGCTGGAGCCAAATACCAGGAAAGTATGTAGGATGCGCATCGAAGCCTCTCTTCGCAGGTCGGAGTCATTCTCAATAACCGCAAGCATAAGGGGTAATAAACCAGCAAGATATCTCCTGAATTCGCCCTCAAGAGACTTTGAGATGGCCTCAATCAATGACAAAATCGTCGACTGTACTTGCCGCGACACATTCCAATACTCTCTGATGACGGCGATGATTTCTGGCAGGAATGCTCGGATATGCTGACGAACAATATTGACCAGGACAGCAAGTTGATTGAAGTATGACTCTAAGCGGGTTGGGTGCGAACTCCGAATCACTGCTAGGAAACCGGGGACAATCTGACCCAGGAAAGGCACACACTTCATGCCTATCGTCTTGAAGATGGTCACAACGGCATCGATCACGGCGCTGTGATATTGAGCTAGGGTGTGATCTGCTAAGATTGTCTGCATCAAGGTGTTGATGACGACTGTTGGATAGTATTCCTCATTCGACGGTGTAAGTCCTGACATTATCAGGGCAACGTCGGAGACGGGAGGTACTTCGGATTGGTTCTGTTTTTGAGTCACCGTATCGGCGAGTTGCTGGTACTTATAAGGATCGAGAGCTCCAAGAACACCGACTAGCTTAATGGCATCCGTTCTGAGCTCGCCATGAGCTTCGGTCTTGATCAGGTTGATCAAGATTCCAAGCAATTCGGGATATTCAGTATATGGGTCAATCACATACTGGGAATTGACCGCAAGGGAGCTCAAAGTCTTCATGGCCGCGTCGCGCTTTTCGTGTGATCCGAGATCTTGTAAAGCATCAATGATGATAGGCATGAGTTCGGGGATATGCTGTGCCATCTCTTCTCCGCCAACTGATGTCAGATCACCAAGGGCCTTGATGGTAGTTGACGCGACTCCCGGGTTTAGATCAGTGGCCTTGGGGAGGAGAGCGGAAACCATCGCTTCCACGTATGTCTTGACCAAAGAAGTGGCATTAGAGACGAACAGGCTAATCAAACGGGCACTCTCTTCCTTCTGCTTTGCTGTATTGGAATACCCAAGCCCGGTAAGTAAGCTGACCAGTAACTTCCGGAGAGGTGGAAAGACGTATGCAGGGTTTACCGTTGTCAGTCGTCCGATGATCTCAATGGCAGCTTCACGGACGCCAAAGACTTCGTCATTAACAGCCAGGAAAAGACATCGGATATTTTCAGGCCTCGCAAGATGCTTGTCAAACTTCCTGTCCAGCGCCTGAAGCACTGTCATTCTGATTTCAGGGTCCGGATCGCCAACAGCCACAGTCAACAGCTTGTCCACGACTTCACCCACCACCTGAATCGCATTGTTACTGGTCTGGTGCAGGATGGGGTCTTGCATGAATAGCTGGCAGCACGTCAATGCCGCTGCTCGTCGAATGTCTGGATTGTCGTTCGTGGCGTAACGAAGGGTGACATCGCGTACGAATTCGTTCAAGATATGACCCGAGAAATCGAACTTCCCGAGCGTTTCAAGGGCCAATGTGATCTCATGGTCCTTGAGCTCTGCGGGAAATCCTCCATAATCTTTTGCAAAAGAAGGAAGTGGTGGAACTGTGTTTGGAGGACAACCTAAAGGTCTGTACGGAGAACGAACCAAGATAAGACTGAGCAAGTCAAGCAGCTTGTCTTGTATGGTGGTCCGAATTGGTGGTATGTTATGTGCCATATCTTCGAGAGCTTTCTCCATGGGCTCGGTGAGGCCGCATGCAAAGATTGGATCCAGGAGTGCCTCCATGTACTTGCTAAGTGTCTGACCAACTGCGCCAGCAAGCATGCTGATACAGTTGAACATCGGGCCTTCGTCTACTGCAGCCCGATTTTTCGTCTTCGCGCTCAATGACTCCCGGATGTATAGGATGATACCGTCAAGGTATTGCGCAATGGCACTGCCTACAGCCTTAGCTATCTGCCCTATGGCAATAAAGGCCTGGTTTCTCTCCTTTTCGCGCTTGAGCTGAGCTTGCAGGTAGATCATAAATTTGTGCAAGTAGTTGTTGATGAAATCGAGGGGGGCGTATTCGGCCAGAACAGGGATCATCTGTACCACCTGCGTTCTGATCCTAGAGTCCCGATGGTCTTTGAGTCTTAGCACGATTTCACAGGCATTCCTGTAGAAGTCGTGCATGAACATGTTGCCCTGCTGCAAGAGCTCCATCAAAATAAGTAGTGAGCCAAGTGTCTCGTCAACGGTCGATGTTGGTCGGAAGCCTTCCAGCGCCTTTTGATATATTTTGGCAAACCAATGTGTCTGGAATTGTGCATCTCTTGCTACCATTACCCCGAAGCAGGCACTAACGGATTGAGCAGCTGTTCTTCGTATCAGGTCCTTAGGATCTCGTAGGGCGTTCCAGATCAAGTCGAAGATCTGCGGTATGAAGCCATAGACAAGTGTCGGAGAGTTGCTTGCCATTTCGCGGATTAGGAAAACTGCAGCCAACTTGCGACTCTCCTGCTTGATCTCTGGCTGAAGCCATTCAAAAGCAGATGTCATCTCAGCCTCAACAAGCTCGGCGGTATACGCCCCTCCTGGCCGAGCCAGGTGACCCAAGGCTCGGCTGGCCGCATCCAAAACAGTGTAGTCATTGCTCTTCAAAGCTGCCCGCAGATAATTCGAATATTTTGAAGCCTTTTGCGCGGCATCGATCGCTTCACAATCTATCAACCGATCTAGGGCGAGGATACCGCCAACTTTGTCGCTGGGATCTGGGGCTTGGACAATGAGGTTGCTAAGTCGGTTTGTGACCCTGTCGTAGAAAGCGCCGAACCGTTCTGGAGACCATTCTAACAAGGAATTAGCATCATGTCTGTCTGATCAAAGACCAAAGTCATACCTCTTGACAGCAGTGTGATGAGCTCTCGTAACTCAGATGCTGCCTTGTTCTTTACTTCATCGTTCTTGCTGCGCAACTCAATGAAGATGCGCTCGCTTGGGTCTGGACCCGGACCTTGCGACGCCATGTCGCACCACCATGGTCCTCACAGAGAGTCCACGGAGTTTAAGGCGTAAGATGATAGTTCAAGGTCCTGAGGCTGTTGGGATAAGACAAGACAGAGTTGTTGGAGACTCTTGCAAGCCAACTTTCTAGGTGGAGTTAGTTCACTTGCAAGAGGCCGGTCGCAGCCAAAATCACTAGTGGTTTGCTGTGAATGCCCTCCAATCGTGCCGCTTTTATAGTCTACAGCACAAATACAACCATCACCAAACTTCCTCTTGCATTCTGTTAACCTTTCCTCAACATTTCGCACCGACAGCGCCTATGCATCCTGGACCTGGACCATCTGGACCTCGAAAGTCATAACTACTTAGCCTTAGATCGTATCCACAGCACCAAAGTACTAGTTATATTCCTGACGACCAAACGCCCCATGTTCCTGTTTACTGGTGCTATCAAGTCTAGTTTCCATGATAAAGCTATCACAGGTTGTACAGTAAATAGCACTTGAAGGACTTCAGCTTGTCCGGCTTAGGCTTCAGCATCTTCAGGCAGCTGAATTACGAAATCTGTGTGACACTGTAATGACACAAAACTCCTCTCTGCAGTGGTGCGTTAAGCAACAAGGCAATGAGAAAAATGGTCAGATGAAAGAAACCTCCACACGAGACGTGGTGTGGCCGAAGTAGCCACAACCGACGCCGAGAGTGAGAGGTATCCTGTCTCTGAGGTTGACTAAAACTTTGGTTAATGCGATGCGCGCAAGCATACACGCTATGCTGCAGGCAGATCAGGGAGGGACGCCACTAGCTCAACATAGCCGGTGTGCGCGAGTACCGAAAGAGTTGTGGTTGTAAATACTTTACCATGGTTGGGTTCTCGGGCAATGGGACGACGATCAGGTCACTGGGATCTCATTCTTTTGAAAGCCGGCAAATACTTTGTGTTGCTGCAGTTGCCATCCTAAATGCTAATTAGTGGTTTCAAGGGTCAATTGCTGCCGTGGTTGCTGGAGACGTGTGAGTCGATGGTTTGAAAGGACTGGGAATATGATTTAATTGAGCAGGTTTGGCTTCAAGGACCATGTGAACAATGAGGATGTGAACACGCTCCTGATGGCCACATGTCGTCTTCTCAGCAGAATGAATCTGCACTTCGCTGGTAATCTCGACATAAGCCACACACGTGTATGTAATGATGAAGAGGGCGTCTACCCCAGGTCCCCCCCACTCATTTCTTCTTACTGTTCAATGCGAGTTCGCGAGTTGCGAGGTCCTTATGCATCGCATCTTTGGACCCATAACCCCCGAGGGTCATGGCCTGTAATATTGACAAAGCGCGGCCAACCGACGAGGCCAGTTCAGGCCGCAATCGCTTGAAGCGCAAGGCTCGCCTCTCATTCTTTGGTGGTTTCGACTCATCTTTTCCTGCCTCGTCGTTGGAAACGTTTTCTTTGTTACGGATCGAGGTGCTCTGCTGATTAGTCGAGTTCGATTCTTGATTCTTCGCCTGAGAGACGTTAATCCAGTGAAAAGAGGTTGAAGGTACCGTCAGCGTACCGATTGAGTCTCTCGCTGAGGCTTCTGCGGGTGGTGGTGATTTGTTACGGCCGATGAGGATGCAAGCGTGCTTGGCTTGGCAGTTATTGCTTTGGATGGGTGCGACATCGATGTACTCGGTGGTGGAAGAAGCTTGAGACTCAAGTCATAAAGTAACTTTCTCTGTGATTCATACAAAGAAAAATTGCCTCCTACCAGACATTCCAGAAAGCTGATAGTGGAATTGTGTGGAAACTGCTCCTCGTACATATCTAGTCGTTCGACGAGGGCTTGATACGCGGACGAGAAGCTTCTGCCAATCTCATTGATCTGGCTCGTCCCGCCAGAAATATTGTTATCTGGGCGGTTGGGGTCGATGATAGTGAGTCGGGAGTCACCCTTATCTTTCTTAAGCAGGTGAGGCATGTAGGTGCTCTGTCGAACAATGTTAGTAAAATCGAAGAAAAGGCGGGCTAAATACCTTGTCCAAATATGCAGGCGGCTCCATTCTGATGGCAATCTCACGTCTGTTGAAGACATTCCCGTAGAGATTGAAGAATTCCAGTAGCACTTCGCCTAGATTCAAGGGCTCTGTTGTGACGGGGAGATGCTGAAGGAGACTCGTAACCAGGCATATGGTGGAGAAACCACCCAGTCCACCAGTGGACACATCGTTGAGCCCACGCATCATCAAGTATTGTTTGACGATAGACACAATTATAGGCATTGCTGGATAGGCACTCTTCCACCGATGAAATGTCTCGATCGCGGCGATACCAGTATCGTTATCGAAGGAGAGATCAATTTTTAATCCGCTGATTTTATCCACGAACTTCAGAAGTGGTACCTTCGCATGGGCAATGGCCAGGATACTTCCATGCTTGGCAATCCGCTGAGTCCTCAAAAAGTCGTGGAATCGTCGCACAAGTGGACGAGCTGCCTCTCGACTTGGAAGTGATCCTGGCCTCATTCTGGATGTGATATACACAATATCCATGTCACCCGTGGGCAGGTAGAGGCCGGCGGCATATGACCCGAAAGCATAAAGGTCGCCACTAGGCCCACATCGCCGAAATTCTTGACGCAGACGTTGAAAAACTTCTTCACGAACTGCCTGTTCATACTCCTTTGGTCTGACCCAGTCGTAGAAGTCAATGATTTCTTTGTGAAGGCTGAGAATGTTAGCGCCGAGCTTGAAGGTCAGGGTAGCGTAACTTACGCAACTCCGGCAAGGTCTACCGAGCTTTCTGTCGTTTTCCAAGGTGAGGACGATGTGCCTGCGGGCTTAGACCACTCTTCTCGGACAAAACGATCGCCATAGTACAGTCTAGTCGTATGAAGTTTGGTAGTATGCGTGCCTTTGGCATCCCCTCTTTTTCTCTTTCCCAGGATACCATCTTCGGCACCATTTGGTGGTTGGATCGGCACGGTGGAGGGCTGGGTTGGCACGTTAGGTTGCGGAAACATGATACCCATAGCAGGTATCGCTGTTGGAAGGCTTTCGGGGACGGTGGGCTCTGTATCGTTCATGTCGAATGAAATAAAGTCTGCTTGATCAGAAGCAGCTTCCGCACGCAGGTTAGCATCGATTCGCGCTTTGCGTATGAGTTTGACGACATCCGTCCGCTTGGCCGCTGCTTCACTCGGAGGCGGTAAAGCAGTGTAAGGATCAGGATTTGACCATCTAGGGTTTGCAGACTCTGGGGTTGGATCGTCTCCCTGAAGACGCGCTCGCTTTGTAGATCGTGACGGCTCGTCATTATCGGAAACGGCCATGGCCTCCTCTTCGCTGTCAGTAAGCTCTTCGACATTGCGGAACTTGAGATCTGCATTTGGATCGATCAGAGAGGAGTCCTCCTGGCGGTGTTCGAGTCGCAGGAGTGGCCTCTCCGCCACTTTTGGACGTTGAAAGTAGTGGGCCCTGCCAGGTGGATCTCGTCTGTGTTGCTCTCTTTGTCTGGGTCGATAGGGCTCCCTACGTCGAGATTCTTCGTCCCGAGATCCTCGAAAATAGTACATTCCGTTGGATTCATCCTCGCGTGGTGGGGGTCTGAAAGGTTCATCACGCCGCGGAGGACGATAGGAATCTCCAGAACCATAAGAATATGGATCTGGTCGATCTGGTCCTGGCCGCGTGCGATATTCACCGCTGCCACGAGGACGATATGAATCCATCGTCAGGTGGTAGCATGCAACCGAGATAATTGAAAAGGGTGTGACGGTTATGTGAGGTAGAAGCCGTGAGAATGCGACTGCCAAATTTTTGACCCGGACTTTCTTTGTTTCGGGTGTTCTTCCTAACCCTATAGGGCATAGATATACGCCAAGCCTCAGATAAGATAAGATCGCCGTTTAAGCAGGTACGAGTACATGTGCCAGGCCGAGTGAGGGCACATCGCTTTCAAGGCTCTTCTCAAATCCCTACGACTTCAGGGGCCTTCAAAACGCGACAGTCTCGGACGGTCATGGTTGAGCAGACAAGGCAGTCCCTCTTGTCTAGGTACCGAAGTCACACCTGTCTCATTAAAGGAGAGCTACGGGCGCTTATGTTGCAGAGAACGCCCTAAATGTGCCATGGTCCTCACTTTGCTTCTTTTCAGACTACGAGTAATATACCTATGTTTGACATCTCTCGCGCAATTGAAAGGGGGAAATGTCGCCTCTTGCTCTCTACAACTCGAGTAGACTATTTCCTCTAGGCACAGTATTCGGACCGTGTTATGTACGGCAGGAGATCATGATTTTTGCTCACTGTCAACCTCATCGATGCTTCTTTGATTCTAGCTTCCTTTACTTCAGGCCACTTTCCAGCAGTCCTTGTTCCAAAGCTTCGATAAGTTCTTTATCAAGAGCATCTTCTCTGAAGCTGACTCTCCCCGTCCACCATTCCAGCAGACTCTCTGCTCTTGATCCTTCCCAAGCTTGTAAAAGTCCGACGCTGACATCAATCAGCTCGGGCCTTTCTTTACAATGCCAGAACACAGTCGCACCGCATACACCACAAAACTCGCGGAAGCAATCCTTGGAGCTCTCGATCTGCTTCAGGGAGCCCATATCATAACTTATCGGTTCATTGTTCGCTTGCAAGATATTAGCTTTGGGCACGAAAGCCCAGCATTGAATAGGTGATCCAGCACCGAGGCGGCATGACCTGCAAGCACAAGTGCCTGCCAGGTATTTAGATCCGCTTGCCCGAAGCCACCACTTCTCATCGTGTGGATTCTGCGAGCTGGTCAGATGATAAGGGGCTAAGAGATCCGGGAATGGTGACGAGCATCGGCTCGAAAGAGAATTGGGACGGGTGATGCGAAACTTGACTCCTCCACACTGGCAGGTGCCGTTGATCTCATCTGTCTGATTTGATACAGAGTCTGTTGGTCTCACAGTGGTGGCGGCCTTTTGAGAGTTATCTGCGTTGTGTGCGTCGAAGTGAGGAGCAAATGGCCTTGCAACCAATGGTCCGTCGGGTCCTTGGTCAAACAGAGGCACTGAGTGGCCGTGGAAGTTAGCTAGGGCGACCGCCAGACCGCCATCCCTAGTATCGCCTACAAACTCGTGCTGCACGATCTTTTCCAGGCTAAAGCGCGAAACTTGCTCAAGACCCACCACCCGGTCGACCACTCCAGAACAGACAGACCAAATGTCGTCTTTGGCAACATGTAAAACCATATGGGAGCCACACGATGGACAGAAGAAACGGCTCAATTTGTCAGAGGACTTGTATTCGGTCAAGCCATCGACAACGGAAGGTCGTGAATGAATGGGAAGACCGGAGAAGTACAGCACCCCAGTGCTGCGACGACACTTGTCACATGAACATGGAGAAACGCTAACAGGGAGGTGCGCGTCCAGCTGCAGGGTCTCTGTGTTCCTCCCACACAGGCAAGTGATGTGTACGGTGGTGCTCATGATGGTTCAATAGGTGGCACTTTATGCATAGCGTGCGTCTCAGAGGAGAGGTAGGTGGGATGCGGCTTCTTCAAAGGCCTGGTTGTCGAGTTTGCGCTGTTCCCACTGGTGTTCACTCTGGCTCAACTTGAACGTGCTTTTGCTCATATGCTGACCAGAAGATTCAGAAATGTTATCAACACGCCAGCATGGACAGCGAGATGGTCTGGATAAGGCTCGTGTAGGGCTCTCCCGCTGGGATCTGCAACACCGGACACGAGGGTCGCGACGCTGGCACTTGCTGTATCGAGCATCAACGAATCAGATAAGGAACCAACGCGACTAGAATACTGCGAGGTGCAAAGCCGTCGGTTTCAGTAGTCTCAGTGGTTCTAACAGCAGGCGTCTGGCAGTTCAGAGGAGTCGAGCATTGAGGGGCAGGAAAGAGCGAGTCCGGTTAGTGCGGCGGCATCCAAAGCAAGTCAGCTGCATCCACAGACTCTCGTACTTAAAAACTTGCTCACTTCTTGACTCTCATTACTCTCCCTCTTCTTTCTTCCCTCAAACCAGCAACAACCAATTTCAACACATTGTCCAGTCTAAGCCTACACGGTCAAGTCGTACAACACTCTACCTTTGTCCATTACACAAGAACTGTCACCTTCCAATACAAAATGGGTATGGCGCCCATGTTGACCCCATAAAGTCCACTCCTCACTGACATCGTCCCAGGTCCCTGTAACTGCAGCTGTGGCGCCAACTGTGAGTGCCTTGATGCTCCGCATCAACTCTGCGGCGATTGTTAGTATCTATGGCTAACATGACTTCCAGGTGGCTGCCCTGCGGGAAAATGCACTTGCGTATGCTCGAAGAAGTCTTCCTGATGCACTCATCACTGACTATGGACACAGAAATAAGTCGTTGACCTTCGGTTCCTCATCAGCACACAAGAATTGACTGCACGATCCTTATTTCACATCTTGGTGGTTGAAATGGCCGCCGTCCACATTCGTTGAAACCCAAGGGGATGGTGCTCGACTGAGGAGACAACAAACATGATACCTGATAGCATGAAATAGGCAATCGAAAAGATTACAACATTCCTCCCTTTCCAAGTTTCTTCGTCTTACATTCACTCATACAATTCCGAATCGTGCCACTGACTCCACTGACAACCATTTGGCGTTCGTTTGACGTGGGCTGATCTGACCAACTGGTGGGGTATCTCTTCACCGAGGAGGATAAGGAGTAGTCCGTACGGAGTACAATACTTATCAGCTTATCGATAGCCCTTCAACGCACCATGGACGGGTAATTCAGCGATTCTGTCTGACTGAATCTCTCGGTAATCTCTTCAATGAACCCTTCTAACCTTTATGTCAGACAATTTGGATTCTTAACCACACGTATCAATTCCTTCCGAAAACGTTCCTCATAAGGTACTCGTCCCTTCTCCCGACTTGAAGATACCTGTTCATCGATCACAGGTAGGTAAGGTTCATCTTTGCCATAGGTTTGGCTGAGAACGATGCAAATCCATGTTCAATTTCCTGGGCTGAATGCAATGCCCACCTTGCTGCCTAGATGTTGTTGCCGCAGGTAGGCTGTGTCACACTAACGTGTTGTCCAAGGCACTCTGACCAGTGACACCCTCTCGGTTTGGTCGGAGTATTTGGCGAATGCGAATGAGAACGAAAAGCTGGACCACCAGCAACTCGAAACGACCGAAAAAGTAGCTCTCAAAGCCCAAAGGGAGGTGACTGCCAAGTATTCAAGGGAGATGTTTTGCGGCAATGGTAGCTTGATGCGTGTTCTGCCGGTGGCACTTATCACGCAGGACCGTGACGAGGCAATCGGGCGCGCCAGAAAGAGTTCTCTGTCGACACACCCTCACATCAGATGCCAACACGCCTGCACGATTTACGTTTCGTTGGTTATGCAGGCTCTCGGCGGAGCCTCAAAGAATACCATGGCCAAGAATCTAGCTAGATCAGTGGGAAACAAGGGCAAACCAAATGCTATGACGGGAGAAGAGGATCTCGAGGCTGTGCTGAAGGAGCGCCTCGAGCGATACAGGAGCATCGAAGATTGGCGTTCGACCCCCTCAGACTCGATACGAAGCACGGGTTACGTGGTGAATAGTCTCGAGGCAGCACTGTGGGCGTTCTTCTCCACAGAAAATTTCGAACAGGGAGCCATCCGAGCAGTCAATCTTGGGGACGACGCAGATACAATCGGGGCGATATACGGTGATCTGGCAGGGGCATTCTACTCGACCGATGCAATTCCGAAGCATTGGCTTGCGGACATGAAGAGAATAGAAATTGTGGACGAAATAATCGAGGATATTATTGAGTATAGAATCCTCAAGGGGGGAGTGACACATTATTTACTCCGTATCGTACGTACCTGTAGATAATTCAGCAATGATGTCATCTTTACATGACTTCAATCTATCCTTGACCTTGCTGTTTGAGACTCTTCGTATGGATTGGATTGGATTCTATTCTAACCCGTCTTTTGCTTTTCCCCGCAATTCATGACTTCAGCCTAACATCATATCCCACAACCTGTTGGACATCTATCGCCACAAGTTTTTGCCACTTCCAAACGAAACTAGGTGTCTTTTATCTTGCAAAAAGGGTGACGCAAAGCGTTTGCTCTAAACTCGACAAGGTCACGAGGCTCATTTGTGAACAGAGTCATCGGTTTATCTCTTACGAATCACGATCACTCACTCTGTATTCCGTACTTGTATTTAAATTCGAAATTCCAATCTCATCTCTGTCAACTTGGACTTCATATCAGTACATTGTACGAGTACTCACTGTTAACTCACCATTCATCAATTGCCTTGGCATACATCCGCAATACCTCTCGGGTCGAATCACCTCTCGAACATCATGTCCGACAAGTACGGTTTCAGTAGTTCCTCCTTTGCTTCCGCGTCGTATAGTTCCTCATCGACCTCATCAACCAACAACCACGACCGAGGTCACTCTCAACGGTACACCGAAACCATGAGCAGCAATGACCGCGACGGGACCACGGTACGCCGAACTCACGAGGAAACCGGCAAACCAACGCTCGACGAGACTTACCATTCTCCTCCGACCCGGAACCGAGGGGCCGCCAGGATCACGGACGACGACAACGCGGCGTCGGACCAAGGAAGGATCCAGGACGTCACAGACGTCGACGTCGATCCCTCGGACCAGGAGGAAAAGGATCGTCAATACCTCGAAAGCATGGAGGATGAGTGAGTTCCTGTTTCTTTTTATTTTGCCCACTTCTACACACCTCTTGTCGAAGACTTCCAACCAGATGATTCAAAAAAAAACACCTCACCGAGGTACACCACTGAAAACAAATGGGCTAACATGAGACGAACCACAGGTACGCTAAACGTGAAGGGTGCGCTTGAGTCCTTGTCTGCCAGTACGGGGTGCTTTTGGTACTCGATGCCACTTGGGCACCGGCCACACTACCCTTGGGCGTTTGACCCGTGTTTTACAAGATCCATGATCTCGTACTCGAAGAACAAGTGATTGTACCTTTGGAAACTGTATTGTATAAAATCTATACCTCTCATAGTCTGGAATATCGATCTTCCAATAATTCTCCTCGGCCATGAGGCCACGTCGTGGCCAGCAATGCAAACATGAAGCACTTCTCTCCCTTTTTTCTGAGACAATCCAAGTGTTTGGAAAAATGGACATCATCCAAACATCACACATAGAAGCACAGCTACTCAACCGTCACTGACACCGTCATACCTCCTACATCATCGTAAACAATCTAAAACCTCCGATGATGACTCAAAACTGTCATTTGCCATTCTTCACTCCCCGCATCTCATATCGATAATTCCTCCAACGAAGCGGCAGGACCAACTTCCGCCGGACTGGATGAGAGGTCGTGCTTCTTGGTACAGATAAACGCCGAGGCGTACATATTGACGCTGCGCCAAACGGGTTCAGCACTACTTCGGGCCACACATGAAACGAACACCAGGGCGCAAACTCACCGATCAATACACTTTCCTGAGTCTCGTCGACCAACGCACTTGACCTCGAATGCATTCTGTTCAAAAATGTCGGCGTACCATGGTCGCAGGGCCGCCGAGCGGAAAAGTACTCGTCCGCCGACTTTCAAGACCCTGTTGAGTGCCATGATCTGTTCCCGAGCGGCGGTCTCCTCGGGGTTGAACCAGTCCATCGAGTCCATCAGCTGTGTCACCGCACGATTAGCACTGTCCACCTTGCCCGGCGGCCGTTTTGTGACCGATCTTTGCAGCGGCAGCAACTACTTACAATTGCAATCGTCAGAGTCGAGGGACTGATTCTGGCAATGACCTCCATGATTTCGTCGGTGTGAATACGTAGTCCATCAAACATGTCCGGTCTCGAGAGCTGTGCGTGGGCTTTTACGCCCAGATATCGTGGATGACACCTACCGATGTCAGCAAAAGGCCTCTCCACTTCGCCAAAGCCCTGTAGAGCCATCAAGTTTGTGCAACATACTTTCTCGAGTACTTGCCCTGTAGACACAGGTAATAAAAGTAATTGTCTGTACTCAACTGTGTCGTCTCGACAACCGGATCTAACGTGTCAACCACGTACTTCCAGACCGCCTCCCCGCAGATCTTCTTGCTCTTGGTCGTTTGGGCACGTTGCGCGAAATCATTCAAGATCAACGCATGCTGTGCTGGCGGGACACCGGCGGCTTTCCACGCCCACCACTCGGTCGAGACCACGGCCTTGTGCAGTGGCCAACTGAGCAGCACGTTCCGGATAGAAGGCCAGATCTCGCGTTGCTCATTGAGCGTCTCGACTTTGCATATCGTGCTTACTTTGGATGTTAGCCCAAACACCTTGGTAAGTCTTCGCACGAGTTTGATGGCGTGGCGTGAGCCGCCACTCTCATACAAGCCACCTGGTGTGGAGAAAATGGAGGCGCGGTTGAGCCAGTATTGGAAAGCTTGGCTGGACATGTGAGGGCTGAGCTTTTGTAGAAGAAGGTTGCGGAAGTCGGGATGTTGACCCTCGGCGAATAACTTCCATACATCTGCGTAAGGCAAAGCCGTGAACGCTGCAACTTTGAGTTCGAGGAGATGGTTTTGGCACGGGTTCAGATCCACCGCATGAATGCGCCTAGGTCGTTCCAGCAGATAGTCCAGAATATTGTCACCGGCACTGGTAATGGTGAGGATGACGTCGTCTTTCTTGATGTTGAGGAGCTGGCGGTCGACTTTAGGATCTTCCCAGTTAAAGGCGTAGATATATTCACTGCCGAACTGCTGATGCTTCTGAAGGAGGTCGTTGTAGTAGATGCGCCAGTGGTGTTGTTGGTAAAATGCAGCCGGAAGAGGGAGATTGGAGCTCAAGTTGACTATGGCGGATTCGTAGGATTTTGACCGAGGGACGCTCTGTTGTGCTTCGATGGCCTGTTGTTTCCGGAATTCGAGAGGTGAAAGGTATGGAGATTCGGTCAGTGCCGCATCGAGTCTCTCCAAGATGTCGCTGCCATGCTCGCCCAGGGTGTCGGCGTCTCGTCTGCAACCGATGAAAATGTAGTAGGGGATCCTAGATTTGTTGATCAGATTCTGCGCGTAAATCCCTCCAAGCTTGACGCAGGCTCCGGCGTGACTTACCCTCCTAGCATGTAATTCCTCTCACTAGCAGAGAGGATTGTACCGAACCTGTACTCGACATAATCCCTTCGACCACCGTCCAAATTCACGCGGTCAGCATCGAACCATGTTCGCCAAAACATTCTTCCCACCCAATTCACATGTCTATTGAAAGTACCGCCAATGTAATTCCGTGACGACACATCCACGATGCTCTGTACGTAAAAATCGACGATGCCAACAATGCCGCGTGGTGCAAGAAACCCCGACATCAGGTCCACGACGCTGTAAAAATCCGGAATCATCGACAAGCTGTAGCTCATTGTAATTAGATCGGCGGTTGACGCAGTGCATGCAATGGTGCGTGCATCTTGGCAGAGAACAGTGACGTTCTTCCATCCGTTCTTACGGACTCGTTCACGGGCAACGTCGCATAATGAGGGGGATAAGTCGACCAAGAACACATGCTCAAAGAAGCCTTCAACACCCACGAGCTTGTCCATAGCCTCGATGTTGTAGCCCGTTCCCCCACCAATGTCATACCAGACCGGCTTTTGAGCTTTGTCGACGATGATTCGAGCTTGCAATTTGGCAGCCAGTATCGAAAGCATATCCTCTCTTCCTCGCAATAGACGTCGTCTTGTCGCATCGTAGACATTCGCCTGGAACATGTGAGTCGAGGAAGGTTGCGGAGTGAGTGTCCTAGTCTACCTGAGCGGCATAGAAGCTCTCAAGGGCCGACTGTTGCCCTGCTTCAGCCTTTCCGTCATGGGGTTTGATCAGACAGACATAAGCAAATCGAACATAGGGATGAGTCTTGATGTTTTTGAGGGACAATTGCGCGCCAAGCTTGTACACGAGACATGCCAGTATCGTCACGAGGGCAAGAAATGCCACACCGATCAGTGCGATATTCAGGTGAAAGTGTTCAAGTCGCTGCCATTCTGAATAGCTTAAGAAGTCCATCATTGCGTACCAAGCGAACAATAACACCCTGTTGAAGAGGTGAAGGAGAAGGGTAACTTCTTATCTCTACCCCTCGTTCTTCTCCTGTGCTTTTGCATCCTAAAGCATTATCGTAGAGCCATAAGATCTCCGGCCACTAACGGCTCGTGAAAGGGTGAGTTTGACGAATCATGATCATATTCAGGGTCATGCGTTAGATCGAGTGGCGAGGACATGAATGTGGAAAAGCCCATCAAGTGCTGCCAGCAATAGAGCACGGCAAATGGCGCATGTGAAGTGCGAAGGCGTACGCTGGACGTGGTGAGAATGGAGAGAGAGACGTTGGACACATTTCCGAGACAGATGTAAGTGGACGAATGAAAAGCGTCGGTTGCAGCATGCGAGTCACGTGATAATCATAGAAACACTATCACTTCGAACTCCTAAAAAACTCGAACGACGAGAACGCGCTGGCACACGTGGTGCAAAACTCAGCCTTCTATAAGCTCCTTTTCTCCTACTCGTACACTCCTGGTCCCTTCTCTTGATCTGCTGCCGCCCTGTGCTGAAACACATCTGAAATGACCCGCTTGTGGAGGGCCCCGTGCTCGTATCACGCGAATCGATCATTCGAGCATTCATTCCCCGTCCTCACCAGGGTTCGTGTCGCTTCTCAGCCTTGCAAGCAGCTCCTCCGCAATATCCCGTGCCTTCAGAGCCTCGTAACTGTGATCCTCGGCCCACCCTTGCGGCCCAATCGGAGACGGAGACAGTCGAGACTCCTCCAGATAACCATCATTGCTAATCTCGACGTTGTTCCTCTGCGAATTTAACACGGCGTGGTGGAGATCTGCGATCCATAGAGCAACCATGGCTCGTAGTCTGATGAGTTCAGGTTCGTCCTTGTAAGGGAGGCTTGCCATGCAAGTGTCCATCCTGGAAGCGATCGTTTTGGCCTCTTCAAGTTCTCTCACCTTAATATCGATGGGCATGTCTGAGCCATCTAGCCCGTGGGAGTTCTCTCCCGACTCGGCTTCTTCACCGCTTCTGGCGTAGGCCTGCGCATAAGAAGTGTGCTCGCTATGCACAACGTAGACCCAGATGTTGAACAACGCTAGATAAAAGTCAACAGCATTGGTAGAGCCAGGCCAGGATTTGTGATACGGGTGCTTCACAATAAGTCTCTCATAAAACCGCCTTGCATTCTCAAACCCTTCGCGAGTGAACGCAGTGGACGGCAAGGCATCGCTCGAGGTGGGCTTAGCGGAGCCTCTTCGCAATAAAACTTCGGCGGCTATGCCCATGTATCCTTGATTCCGAAGAGCGGAGCTGCGTTTCACACTGGCATCTCGAAATATCAAGCCCAAAGCTCTTGAGGCACGGGCGAAATCTTTGCAGAGCAAGCTGCGGTGGACTATAGCTGTGAGGGCGCCCAAGTGGTGGAAATGCAGGGAACGTGGTTCTTCATCGAGGCCTTCCCGTGAATCTCCGCCCACCTCAGTCCGGAAAAAATCTTCGCGGAGGCTAGAAGACAGCTGAGAGTGAGGAAAGGGTAACGGAGGAAAAGGCTGATCGAGAGGCAGGCCCGCAATACGATGCTGGTGCCTCTCCAGCGGGCTTACGACAGCAGAATACTCGACATTCGTCGATGCGGGCATCGCTTTGTTGCCTGCAATAAACTCATTGTCCTGCTGTTCCCCCTGCGCTCCATCTTGTGCATCCCTCCTCTTGCGCTTGTTTCTTGATGAGTGTGATCGTCTGACGCTACCAGAGAACGCCTGGTTGCCCACAGGAGGATTGAAGACGGGGTTCATCATGAGATAGAAAGGTCGATGCTGATCATCTTGTCGTGGAATTCATGGGTATGGTTTGGCTTGTCATATTTAGAGGATGCGAGGCGGTGGAAGAGACCGGCTCTCTCAACTTGACATCCGCGTCCAAACCAGTACAGTCACGGAAAAGAAGAGCAAAGAGGGAGCGGAATGAGAGATCCGAAAACTATTGGAACAACAATGGTGCTATTGGATTGGGGGCTGGGATGTTTGATCAGACGACGTTTGTGGCCGTGCACATACAACGTAAAGTCCGGAGTATTTGGTGGTTTTATTAGGCATTACATACTCCGTACTCATAGTACCTCATAATTCTGGGCATCCGGTGCCTTGTCGCCTTCGCTTCACTTCAGCCTTCAACAATCACCAACCACCATTCGACCCTTCCCTTTCGTCAAACCAACCCATGTTTGCTTGCTTCTTCACGATATTTGTTGGCCTTGTCAATCATGATTCAATCTTTTAATATGTACCATTGACTACGAGAACCTTTCCCAAGAATTCCCGCGAAACACAAAGCCAACACGGTGCCTTTAAGCGCCTCGATGAACTTCCAACATTGCTGACACTCCCTCCTACGAAGCATCCATTTCGTTAAACCTGCGATTACGAGAACTCCTACCTCATTCGACAAACGCTCATCACCCTTTCTACCATCGCGTCACGCTCGGTGAAAAGTCCCTCACCCTAATCACCTCTGCCATGCCATACAAGTAGCATAATCTTGATCCGGCGTCGAAGTTCCAGACGCCATGGGGAATACTACCTCCAGCCAGCGTGCTCAGCCAGATGATGGACAAGTAGAAGAGCTTAGGCATGGGAGAATTAATGGTGTAATCAGAGATGGCGAGGCGAGCTCGGAAGATAGAGACCTGCGCGCAGGCAGGAGAGCCCCCGGATCTCTGAGGGCTGCTGGCCAAAGAGCTAGCATACTCTACGACACTTTTCGTCGCCATAGACAGACGGACCGAACCAATTTGCGGACGAGTGCAGGTAACACGTCGCCACCTCCCGAAGAAATCGAGTATGAGCAAGAAAACAGACCACTCGTGGATCCTAGTGATATCGATATGCCCGACGCAGTATCATCACAAAGTGTATTGCAGACATCATCACGCCGTCGAATAGCGATGTCGAGGCTTGGGTCGCGGCTGTTACCAGACTCCGTCGCAAGGGGTCTATTGAACAGTGGAGAGGAAACTGAGGAAGAGGGCCATGCATTACGGTACGGCTCGTCGGATAGATCACGACCGTCTGTGTACGAGAGATCACCACATAGCGAATCCAACAATCGGCTGTCTTTGGCCGGTTCAATCAGCAGAAGACCCAACGTTCGCACAGAATCAAGACGGCGCCCGATAAGAGGACCTTTCCCACTTCCACACAACAATCGTCAGCCATTGGAGCCAACCCGGTCGTCCGCAGATTTATTCGATGCAGCCCGAGATGTTTCTATTCCAGGCACGGCTTCCTTTCGACATCGAAATCGTTTCAGCAGAGTTCGTGACTCGATCTCGATTTCTGCGCGACTCTCTGGACTGCTTGGCCAATCTACGGACCTGCCTGAAGCAGGGCATTCTGGAAGATCATCTCCTGCTAGACCAGCCAGGGCGGTGACCTTCGCCGATGAACGTGACCATCTATTACCATCACTCCAGTCAGGTGACCAACGAATGGAGACAGACGAGACACCTCACGAGTTGGACGCCGTTGAGCCAGAAGCGAGAACTTTGTTGGCTAGTCCGAGGGTAACCTCCGGCATGAGTACTATAAGACGTTTTCAGCCTGGCCTTCGCTCGCGCTCTACTAGGCTTATTCGTCGCGGCGAGCATCCACCTCTTTCCCAGGTTTTGCAACTTGCAGCAGCGGCTATTGCAGCTCAGCTATCGGGGCATGCTACAGGTGGCAACCCAGGCGGTCGCCACCTTGGTAGCGATACGTTCGATGGCAGTATTCAGAATTTCGTTCAAACGCTTCAGGATGCCGCCACAGCACAAGCGGGAGAGGGCGTGGACATTAACTCTTCAGACGGAGACCTACCTCCAGTGAACTTCATGAGAGTCTTCCAGTTTCCAAACGACGAAAACGGATCGCCCATCGCTTCCCAAGCGCAGTCCAGAGACCTTGATCAGATGGACCTCGATTCGATTACTTCACCCGCAGAGACAGATAGGTCAGTAACGTTGGTACTAGTCGGTGTACGATCATTGCCACATGGCCAAGAAGGTGGTAGTGGAGAGAACGGTACCTTGGGGCCTAGCTTGGACACGCTGTTGAGTCTACCCTTTCTGCCACCAGCGAATGTGCTACGAAATGGAAGTTCTGGAGCGTTGTTTGGCCGGTCGGACGCACGATCAAGATCAGCTCCTCGGCGGCACTCGATGACAAATTTCAGCTTCCCTGCGCAATACGAAACCCAGAGACATCAGCGCACACGATCAAACATGGGACGGCTATCAGGTACAGCGGAAACAACCCTCTCAACCATGCCCGATGCTGCTGGAAACGTCTCCCAGCTGTCCGAGAGTCCACCTGGACCAAATCCACCCCCATCGACCCCAGCTGATATCAGAAGTGGACATGCAACTCCCATTCGACGTCCCTCTTCTGCTTCCGCAGCCCAAAATTCTACGCTGCCAGAACTAGATGAGGATCAAGCCACGGCGAGTCAAGAGACTGTCGCTTCATCATCCTCATTCAATACGGCGAGACAGCGAAGACGAAGTGATTCGGAATTTGCTCGACGGCCCGAATTAGGATCCGGTGCGGCCAGACGAAATGGCATGGTCGAGCCTGACCATCCGCCCGTGGGAGCTGGGCGTAGTTGGCTCATTTATGTTGTTGGCACGAATGTCTCGCCAGACCATCCAGCGTTCACAATGCCGAGTCTATTCACCGATAATCCGTCCTACGAGGATATGCAAATGTTGTCAACTCTTCTGGGGCCGGTAAAGCCACCGGTGGCAACGCAGGCAGACGTCAGCTCCGCAGGCGGACTCTTTCGTCTTCTAGAACATGAGTGTGGGCTTCTCGGGGAGGCCATGGCGGAAGTCGAAGGGATATCTGTCATGGTCAATCATGGGGAGCGTTGCCTCATTTGTTTGTCGGATTATGAAGCATTTGACGAAGTGCGACAGCTCAATAAGTGCCAGCACCTCTATCACCGTGAGTGCATTGACGAGGTAAGTCACCCTGATCTATCATTAGTGGCGCAATGCTGATCATATTTAGTGGCTCACAACTGGCCGGAATAGTTGTCCTCTGTGCCGTGGTCAAGGTGTGCAAGAGCAGGCCATGTCTTCCAATCCTGCCCCAGGGGCTGCACCAGGAGCTCCTGTCGTGCTATGAATTCCCCTCGAGACCGAAATTTTGATACCACCACTTCTTTATGATAGCCTTTTCACGATTTACGAATCTCTTTAAAACTTTTGCCGAGACATGTTATCGGCCGGCACGCGTTGGGTATTGGTCGGGCCGAAGTGTCCAATGTAGCAGGTGCACAGTGCTGTGAGGGTGTGCTCGGGGACATGTTCTCCCGGGGAACACTCTGTTGTCTCACATCCTCCCAGCAACATGTTCGGTCAATGGAGTGAACTTGGCGCAAATCTCCTAACCATTGGCGTGTGTATGTATGATCTCTGTCGAGCTATCCCACTTGGAGCTGGGGTCACCTTCTAGGGGTAGGCAAAGTCGTTTAGCAATATACGTGTCAGACAAAGCGATGAAACATTTGGAGCGCCGTTTCCGTCGCAGCCGTCATAGTGGGTGATGGATCATAGATCACCTACAGTATTCATACGTGGGTAGCCATGACTTGGTTAGCGGTCAGCCCAAGTCTCGGAGATTGAGATATAAATGGCAGTAGTTGATGTGCTTCTAGTCGTTGATGGGCTCGGAAATTGATCCCAAACATTGCGACCAAAATAGGATCTCAGAAGTTTGGCTCCTTTTTTACGAACATTTGTTCGTATTCGCAGTGTGACGGTCTCCAGGAAATACTACCTTCGGTCATTGATTACGTCGATGGAGTGAACCCCTGAAGAATGAGGAAGACCTCCCATCTCCACGTCCCCAGAACGATGGATGCAACCTTTGACACAAGGCGGTACTGTGGTCAATTTGTCACCTCTTACGGAGCGTTCCTGAGCCTTTGTGGGAATAATGCACAAGCATACCAAGGCCTTGTGATTTCTTGTTCTGCCCGGCTGCCGACTCGCACGGTGGCTTGAGGTGTGATTGTTCTTGTCGGTGTTGGACTTGGACACATGCAGGGGGTATCCCGATCCCGGGGGTGGGATCGCCAACAATGACCAACGAAAGGATGTTATGGGGAGTTAATTATACGAGGAGGCAGGGAACGGTTGGTTTGAGTGAAGCCGAGTATATGAAGAACCGGAGGTCAAGCGCAGATCCCTGACTTGTGTACAATGCACTTCCAGCCAAAGTTGATACATCAATTCCGTGATCAAGATCTTCCCAAGGGCAGTAGACTTGAAGCTCGAATTGGATCACCTACAGTAAGCTGTTGATTGATTGGTATTGTTGTCCAACAAAGCCCGACTGGGATTTGTTGTTTACCAAGAACATTCTCTCCCTGTCATTGATAACACGACCATCATTATGTCATTGGAGAGGAGAGTGAGTAGTTTCAACGGCCGACAATCTTCTCATCATGCATGGATCTTCGAACTAATGGAAAGCCCCATTTTGGTAATTTGTAGCGTCCTGAATGGTTGGCACGCTGACCACTGCTCGCTCGCCCTACCCTGGACATCCCGTACTTCTCACATCAAATCAGAGTTGCCATGGATGTACGGAGTACATGGTGGCTAATGTCGGTGAGATCCCTGGACCAATATACGCAATTGATTTTTTGAAGAAGCAATGTGTACTCGTAAGTGGCTTGAACCAGGCACTCAACATTGAATGATTGTAGGCACTTTCTACAGATGATCGACCGTGAATGGCAAGACCCGCTCGGCATCTACAAATGAAACTAAAGGGTCCAAAATAGAAAAGGATGAGATGGCTCGGTCATTTCACCTACTAAAACGCTCGAAATTCATGAATTCAATGGCCAGCTTGGCCAACCAAGCTTTACTCGACAGGGACAGTCCATCAGGCTGCGAAAAGGGCCTCCTGGACCTCCGATACTTCGGGGCTTCCGGCCACGATGACAAGAATTGACATGGTGTCTCTACCCCAGGCCACTTGTGTCGATAGCCTGTCCAGCCCGAATTTAAGCACACCAATCCCAAAACAGTGGATCAACCAGGCACCCGGCCGCCTGCAGGAGGAACAAGCGGCTTCCCAAGGCAGATGACGATCTGCGACAGGGACCACCTCACCATTCACAGAAGGCTTTCGAGGTCATGACAAGTCCACCAAAGCCAGACTAGCAAGAAAGCCAGCATGGCCGCCGAGACTCAATAGGTAGATGGCCCATCCAGGGGCTTGTACACCCGTCAAGGTTGCTGCCCTCTACGGAGTGTGTCCAGCAACTTTGCCGTCGTGGACGAGATGAAGAGCGTCGCAGCTGGCTAGGTGTTCTCCATCGCAGTGCATTGCCGTACATGCCACCCCCGTAACACGAGAGAGCGGATGACCAGGGGTGAGCCAGCAATAATGCTTCTATGGTGGCTGTTTCTCTGGCTTTGCTGGACTAAAACAGTGGAAAGTGATGTGTTGCTCGCTCTTGAACGGGAATGATGCGGCCAGGATGCTGCATGGGCATCAATAACGACCACCCCCCACAAGCTTCGGTGTGATGAAATGAGATCCATCCTCTGGACCATCACTCCCGCTGTAGCCACAGCTTTGCCTCTCCGCTACCAGCATGGTCTGAAGGTAGACCAGAAGCAATAACAATGTTGAATGTCTTTTGACATCGACAGGACAGTACAGAGATGTTTCAGCACTGGCATGGATCCGTACTTGTTGTTGCTGGACTCTTGATAGGCAGGATTCTTCTGACCAATTTGCCTACAATCAGGTCGCCTCCTCCGCTACATTTTCTGGTTCAAGAGCACTATTACCTTTAGCTGCAGCACGGTCAGAGCCTTCTGGGGGCCACTCCAAATCCCTGGTATAATCAAGAAAACTTTCCGTCGCGGGCCCCATCGTCGATATGCAGCCTCTCAACACGCTCTCCACATCACTGTGCTGCTATGAAAAGATGGGAGGGGAGTAGGGTATTAATTCCCTACTCGTACCAGACGCGCCACTTATGCAACGTGGTTGTTCGCCCGACCATGTGAACCAACAGCTTAATTATGCGGACCGAGAAACGTGGCATTAGCTTTGATTGCAGAGGCTTCTAAAGCCCATCCACCCTTCCTTCCCACATCCCTTGTGGTCTTTGGGGCCTTGGGCTGCCTAATCAAGAAGATGCATCGCGGAAGTCCCTCGAGGTATTCCGGAATGCGCTCAACCAGTCTATCACATCATGGACCGTTGTCACTTTGCGTTTGTGCGTGCCATTCGACCAACCCTTGTCATGAGAAATCCTCTCTGAAGTTGCCGCCGGCGTTGAGCGAAGCAAGACCTTCATGCATACCGACATCAATGGATTACAATTGAAGTCCAGATGTCTACAGTATTAGCACGACTTCAGGCTCCCTAATAAGGCCTTGCAACGAGCAAAAGGATCTTATCACTAAACGGATGCCATAATGGGCATTTACAAGAACGAATGTAGCCATATCTCCGGGCGTCGACGGGTGACACAGTCGATTCCGTCCAAGCCAATTTCCTATATGTCTATAGTTTCGGAGTCGGGATGATTCAATTGGACTGTCTGCCTCCTCCAAGGCCCGCATCTTCCCTCAGATCGTGACGGTGGAACGAACTGCACGACCAGGAAGGGCAAATAGCAAGCCACTGTAGACTTTTTACTACGGATGCAGGACCATGGTGCCGTCCCGTTAGACGAAGGGCTCACGCTTGTGGCAAAAGACAGTGAAAAGCCAGGGCCGGTCGAACTCGACCTCAAGTGGCAGGTCGAGGCCGGAAGCTAAGGGAAGGCCATGGGCGCCTGTGGACGAGGGCCTTCCTATAGTAGTGTGATGGGCTAGCTGAGATTTTCGGACCAACCTCACATTGCGGCTCACGGACACGATGGGGCAAACACGGGCACATGCTGTACGGATACGAGGGAGAGAAGGGCAGCCAATTTTTCGGCCACGTAGTGTGGTCCAAGCATGGCCAAAGCTTGGAGCCTCTGCTTTCAGGTGCTTCCAGAGCCAGAGGCCCGTGTTTCAATCGCCGGTGGGATCATCCTGACAGGCCCCGGTCATGGGGGTGATCAATGTCTGACGACACTACTCCAGACAAGCCAAAGCGGTTGGCATCCTGGGATGGACGAACGACCCTGGTCGTGCCCGAGAGCCACCACCATGGGCATAGCGCTTCTGCGGTCCAATGGTCCAATGGTCCTTCTGCGGATCCCTTGGAGGTCCTTGGGATACCCCCCCAATCGACCTTTTGAATCTTGACCTTTTTCATATCCGCTCAAAAAAACGCAGATTCTGGTCGTACAATCGCAATCTGTACCTATTTCGAAAGGTTCAGTGCGTCGTTTGGCAGCCTGTGTGCCGGTGAAAGTCCTCTTCCGTTCAAGGACTTCATGCGCGCACCCTCTTCGGGCCATCGACACTGGGGTTGATGCTGTTGCTGGGCTTTGTCGATCGCGTGGCTCCCTCTGCAAACCTACGACCGGTACCAACTTGATTGTCGTTGGGAACAGGACAGTACCAGCGTATTGCATTTCCACCTCTTTAACAGCACGACATCCCCCTCCCGCGCGGGAATTTGGAAGTTCTCTCGTCAACGAGAAGTCTATCGCATCGCTCCATCGATTTTCCACCTCTGTTGGATATACACCAGCCACGCAAAAGCTACGCCGGATTCAAGTGGCACCACAACGTCCTCGGAAGATTTTGCAGCCCCGGCCAAAATAATACCAACAATCTCGATCCAGCGACCGAAACTGCATCTCTCTGCCGTCTGACAACTCTCTCGCTCATCATCATCTTGGTATGGACTAGATCGACCGCTTCCTTCGAAAAACAGTGCAGATTGGGAATTATCCAGTGGTTCAGGACTGAGACAGGTATACGGGAGTCAAGGTCATTGTTACACCACTTCAAGCGGAGTCTTCCTCACAATCGACGACTTGTCCTGCTTCTTTGTAGAAAGCTGAATCAGCACTGCTGCTCCTTCTTTCCCAGGCGACTGGCCATCACAGGGTTTATCGGAAGCCACGCCCTGGCCGCCCAGAACCTTATCTTTGAAACGATCTGTCTCCTCAATATTTCTAGGCGTATTGACTCGTGTGACATCGAGTCTTGCGGACGGACGTCTGTGCGACATACTGGTTTAGGCATGAGCGGTCCTTACGACCATGGCATGAACATGCCAATGTCAAATATGATGGATCCGAACTTTACAGTCTATCCAACGGGCACCTTCAACGGAGGATTCCCCCATCCTCGCCTGACTGGGCCTCCGACACACTTTGACGGGGTTGCTTTCTGGTACAATCCGAACAACGCAGACCAAGTTTACGATCAAGAAACCAACATGTATGGTCCGCGACCGAGTGGTCACCAAGGGTCCAGTACAGAAAGCACGAATGTTAAACATCGGAGAACCCGAAGTGGCTGCTTCACTTGCCGCAGCAGAAGAGTCAAGGTGAAAATGACTCTTCTTTTATCATGCCGAAATTTGAGCTGACTTTTGCGAACAGTGCGATGAAACAAGACCCATCTGTGATAGTATGTGTTCCACTACTTATGGGTAACCTCTTAGTGCTATAAAATGCAGCTAACGAATTGTAGGGTGTAGAAAGGGTGGCCGCGAATGCGAGTTTCCACAACCGACCTCATCATCATCCTCGAAACATTCCAGGCACGAAAAGACTCGGAGTCCAAAGGATCAGTCTGGCAAACAAGAACAAAAGGACGAAGCCATGTCTGGGCTAGCGACGATCAAGGACGAGAGCGAAGACGACGAAGACATGCCTGCTTCACCCAAAGGAGGCCGACCGTCTTTGTCCCGCATGAGAACAGACAGCACTCAATCCGTCAGGCAGGTCGGCAAACAACCAAAGGTCAAGTCGGACATGTCCCCAGCGGCCAAAGATCATACAAGTCCTTTGTCAACAGACCTGTCGGATCCACGGTCAAGAGATGAAACACCCGCCTCGTCGGTCCGCACGACGACGAACTCGGCAGACATGCAGGCTCGACAAGCCAAAATCAGAACTTTCAAACCCGATCTCCAGAAATATCTGCAATTTCAACAGGAGTACATGACGTATTATCACTATTTTTACAAGCTGGATCCGACAGACTTTGTGCATAGCGAGATGATCGATTTAGCCTTGACTTATGAGCCTCTGCTTTATGCTGTTGTGGGATTTGCAGCTTATCACTATGAGTTGCAACAACCGAACCCCAAGTTGTCACACTTTCTTAATTACCACTCCAAGTCGCTATCGATGCTCAGAAAATCCTTGGAAAAGAATGCCAAAGTCACTCCCGCAACCCTGTTGACCGTGCTACAATTGGCAACTTTTGAGGAGTATCTTGGGGACTGGGTCAACCTTGTTGGGCATCACAAAGCGGCCCACAGTATGGTGAAAGAATTGTACACCCACGATACGATGATGGAGACCGATCTCGGACGACGAATCTTCAGCTGGTACGCTCGTCTGGACGTGATTAGTGGACTGATGGCTGGTAGCGAGACTCGACTCGATCGGTTGTGGTTCGAGGCAAACTCTAAATGGTACCACGATCAGATAGCGGGTGATGCGCAAAGCAACGTCGACGTCGAGGATACATTGGCGTATTTTGTGGCCGCAAACCGCCTCCTCGGCATGGACATGGCTGCACTTTTTGCCCGCTTCGCAAAGCGAGAGATCAGCGTGGAAGAATTCAACCAGGAAAATGCTACCATCGTGCAGAGACTCGACGAGATGAAGCGTCACATTCAGGCCTTCAACGATGAATATTACAGGGTGAAGGAGTTTCCCGTGGCACAAGAACGACCTCTGACCGAAGAGGACATTGTCAACCCTTACACGCCAGGCGGGCTCTTCAAAGGCGCTTTGTGGCCGTTGAACTTCATGTGGCTCGATTGGTACGGCATTGAGCTGATGCAAAAATCCCAAACCGCACTTCTCCTCCGGCAGCCCATACCGCCTGAACAGGAAACCGTGAGTTTGGAAGTGTGCCGAATCTACGAAGCCATCGAACGGTGGCCGGAAGCCCCGAACGGGGCGGTCCTCGGGATGCATGCCAGTTTGGGGATTGCGCTCGTCTTCCTCAACAAGGACGCCAAACATACCATGTGGGCCAGGAGGAAACTTGCCGCGGTCGAGAGACAAGGTTACATTTTCCCACCTACATTTCGACGCAAGATGGCCGAAATGTGGGGGTTGTCACGCGACCTTGCTAGCGGTGGTGGTGACGACAACGACGAGGTTGAAGATTGGTGGCTCCCCAACAACGAAGGCAACGTACCGATGTTGACGGAAATTCGAAGAGTGGTCAACGAGAGACAAGGGAGTGACACCGTGACGGCGGTAGAGTCACTCACAAACGTCCGAGATTTGAAGGCAATTTTTGCAAAGATGGACATTCGGACCCATTCGACCACAGAGAGTGACATCAACAACTTTAGTCCATTGAGCGACGAAAGTGCCGAACGATCGAGTACCATCAGTACAAGTCCTACCAGCATCAGTTTTGGTGGAGATACCAAAGGGGGTGGTGGTGGTAGTAATCAACGACAGCAGCAGCCGCCGCAGCAACAACAACAACAACAGGGGATTTTGAAACGAGGGAACTCATCATCGTGAGATGATGCCGGAAGTTGCCACCACCTGTCCATCTACAAAGTCATACATTAGAACTCTCTCTCTTTTTTACGAAGAGAGAATTCTGAGAAGTTCACGACCTCAGTTCTATGTGACGAGTCACGAAATATTGAACGACATGACTATGAATGCACGAACGAACGAACGAAAAGAAAAAGCACGAGACAACCTTGTTTATCTTTTGTTTCCACGCCAAAACAAAAACCCTCGAATGCCGATGCCAATGTCAATGTCAAAACAAACAAGAAAGTTTTTTGAGTGTGATATCCCTTTTCGTATCTCTTTTGTTTTATATCTTACTTTCGTCTCTCTACGGAGGAGTATGTTTTAGTTACCTTGGTCAATTAATGGAAGATGTTTCTTTTTGAAACACGAAAGACTTGAATTGTGAACATGTGTTTTAATCCGGTGTATCCCCAAGAGTATCCGAGTCCAAAGTATACGATTCGAGATCTAGACGAGGTCGTGTTGGGCTTTTTTTTTCCTTCTCTTTTTTCCTTTTTTCCCGTTCTTGCTCTTCCTCGAGACTGCTGGCAGTATACAACATTGAGGGTTACACTAGAGGGAAGAGAGGAAACAAAGCCCCTAGTAGATCAGTAACCATTGGTCTACGAAGTATGTACCGAGTAGTCACCTCGGGATTTGCCTTTTTAGCTAGCTTCGTACTCCGTAATAGTCGGTCTTTTTGACGGTCCCGTCTTGTCCGCACGGTGTTATTAGTGTGATAAGTACCTACTGTAAGGTTTCGACTGGAGTAGGGAGGGTACATACCCAGGGAGGAAGGGAAACGCGAGGGGGCGTTAGTCCCAAAACGACGACGAACACGAAAACGAAAACGAAAACGAAAACGAAAACGAAAACGAAAACGAAAACGAAAACGAAAACGAAAACGAAAACGAAAACGAAAACGAAAACGAAAACGAAGAAAATATGAAACCCCAGTGACAGACATCAAGGTGGAATGATTATTAAAAATACCAAGTACGATTGAGAGACGGGACACGGAATTATCACGGAGTACTTTTTTGGTGTATTCGTCCTTTTCGCGTTTACTATTTTTTTCTCCTTTGAAGAAGTGATTTCTGATTCACCACTTCTGTACTACCCTACGAGTAGAAAGGATATTATTGAAAGTGGACACGCATACTCGTACTGTGGCGGGGCACCGAAGATTGTTAGGGGGGAGGAGGAGGAGAAGGAGGATGATGATGATGGGTACTGTATCCTCATCAGAGTGGATCAGGATAAGAAGATACTGTACTGTACAGTAGAAACATGGCGGTGGACCGTCGTGGTTGTATTGTATTGAACATGGGAACCTCTTTTTTTGTGTGTGAGAGAGAGGGGGGGGGGTTGACGGCACGAAGTTACGGAATAAAATACCCCACTTCGAGGCTTTACAGTACATAGTATCCAGATACTCTAAAATCTCTTTAGCTATTGGGAGGGGGGTTTTTCACGGTCACGATATGTTCCGTTGAGGATCCAGTTGAGATGGGCAGAGTGGCAAAGAAGACCTACCCCGTCCATATGTCCAGACTCATGCTCCGTGCTTTCTTTCTCTTTTTCTTTCCCCCCCCCCCCTTTTTAACAGTACAGTGTTGTCTCTTTTTTCTCTCTGTGGCTTTTCTGGGCTCAACAGTAACGTCGTCTGGTGGGAGGTGTCTAGAGAACATGAATCTCTGTGAGCGTCGGAGCACCAGGCCGGTCCCCCTTCTACGTCTTTTTCTCTTTCATCTACGCCATAGTATGGAGTAAACAAAAAGAGAAACAGGACAACACGGGGAGAGATTGGCCACGACTTTGACCGAAATAAAGGACGAAAATAGAAACACGACAACTCCGCATCAAGTATCCCGCATTTGAAAAAAAAAACAAAGAGTACTCCGGATAGTACGGAGTACCAAAAAACCCAGATGGGTTTTGGTCATTGGAGTCATGGAGTATTGGAACAAGGCAGGCAAAAATGATCACCATGGACTTTGAGGCCATGACTAGGACATTTGTAAAAAAAAAAAAGTACCGAGCACTCTGTACATAGAAACTAATGTAAACAAAAGCAATGAACTCTCCTAGTGTACGAGGTACCGAGTAAACTAATAAAGAGTACTTCCGTAGTCCATTGACTACAGTAATAGTTGGTTGTATTACGGAGCAATTAAAATAAAAGGGGGGTAATTAAATAAGTGATGAGAGAGAGGGAGAGAAGGAGAAAAAAAAATACTCTACTCCGTACTTCGTACAAAGTTGTCTAGATTTCTTGGTTTATATTAGTTTCTACTGTACGGAGTACATACATAGGTACTCCGTGGCATTATTATGTACTTCCGTTCTCCGTTAGGTAGACGCTATCCAAGAACCATTCGCCGGGTCTTGTACTCCGTACAGGTTTTACGAGAGGAAGGGGACCATTTGACGGGAAGTGCCTATTTTGCTGAATGAGGCAAGGTTGGTAACTCCTTCCCAAGAAAAAGAAAAAAAAGAAGAGAAAAGAAAAAATCCTCCGTACAGTAATCTGTCTATACGAGTTGGGATATCTTTTTTTGGAAATGATAAACCATGATCCATCTGTACAAGAAGTCGTCTACCAAGGCAAAAAGTAAACAAAAGCAAAAGCAGAGATGTGGTCAGTTGTAACTTTTTACCCTCACAGTATGGAGTATTAATAACTATAAGAATGGAGTGGGTTTTTTACATACAACCCACGAGTTATGCTAGTACTCCGTACTTCCGTATGTATTTCTCTCCGTTCGAGAAACACAAAAGTTCCTCTCCCCCCCCTCCTTTTTCTTGTTTTTGACTGGGTTGATGATTTTGATCGATCCAGAAACCACTCCCGTACGACGGATCAATCAAATGCTCGTGTCATGACAATTATTTACGTACAACCCGTGTAAAACAAAGATACTGTATCAACAATATTCTCCGTCCGTGCCCCCAAACGATCCCTCACGGCTACTTCCATTCGCCAGGGGGGGGAGGGGGCGGGAGTGAAAAGAAGAGGAGTTATACTCCGTCCGGAAAGTACGGAGTAGGTACGGGAAGTATGTGGACAGTGTTTTGATTTTCAGTAGATATCGCATACGGAGACTAACACCGATTTCGTTCGTATCTCCCCCTATACCAAACACCATACTCCGGGTCCTAGGTACCTTTTATCAGTGCCATCTCGATAAATGAAATCAATGTGAGACACGGGAGATTGGTAAAAAGATCAGAGGAAACAAAAAACAACAAAAAAACTGCTTCTCGTATTCGTTCTCCGTTTCCCCTTTTTGAAAAGTAAACGGACGAAATAGTACCTCCGTCTACGGAGTATCAGAAGACAAGAAGAATCACTTCGTTGTACTACGGAGTATAGTAGTAGGTAAGGGGGATTGACGATCAATATCCCCCGTACACCGCTTTGCAAACCCCGATCTACGCAACCCTAGTACAAGCACCCTCTGCAAATCGTTTGGAGGCTTACCATCCGTACGTGATATGACGGATTTCTCAAGTCTTTCCCAAGTCGTCAAGTGTCGCGAGAAACAAATGACGATGTACGGAGAGTACGAGTTCTCCCGTAAGTCCTAGGATCAATTGGTCTTGTTGTTGATACATCACAAACTAGGCGATCTTCCGGCGATGCGCAATTTTTTCTTTGTACGGGCTAGGCCTGACCTAGAACTCTCATCGGCGTGATGGACCGCCATCTCTCTCTCTCTCTCTCTATCTCTTTTCTACCGTCAAAAGAACAAAAGGTATCCCCCCCCCACCTCTCCTAGAATGGCCCAGACCAGTCTAGTCCCAATGTCCAATGTCCAGAATCCATGGTGGGCATTCCCCTCAAACATTCACCCTATCTCAACACTACCTTACTCCGTACCTCTGCATATGACGGCAGCAAAGTCTGATGAACGTCTGTCCGAGTTCTTTTCTCCTTGGATCGAGTGGCCCCGTCCGTTATTGTTAGACGATGACAGGCCGCAACAAAACCTTATCAGCTCTGTCACTCGGACTAGCAACAAGAATGGCAAGTGTTGATCAGAAGTGCTCCTACTTGTACCCCAGGTCCATACGGCATACTGCATTGCAGTGATAGGAGATTATTACCCGAGTCCAAAACAGTGTGGGAGAGATTGTCATCCATGACCACCACCAAGACAAAACCGATATCAGTCAGTGGCTTGCTGATGGTGTGCCGAGGGAGGCTGCCTGCTTGAGGTTGTGGTGGCGGTGGTGGTGTCGTCCCCCCGTAACGCCTACTCAGAAGGGGTGATTGACAGGACTTGCTGTCTGTGTGGATGCTACCACAGTGCATCTCATCTTCTGGTTGGACATACCTTACCATCCACACTTTTTCGGATAAAGGAAATGCGCATCCGATGTGTAAGCCATGAAGAGATGAAACCACCATTATTTGGTGGTTGACGCGCATTGGAAATAGAGTGTACATTAATACATATGCATATGCATGCACGTTGGAGTGGTTTTTCGGCCCGACCAGAACTCGAAACTACCGACTTCGTCCACATCGAAACAAAAACATCCCTGGGGCTGACAGGTCCTCGTCTTCAAATTTAGATGAAGAAGTGCATGACCATATGCTGCGTGTCCGTGACACAGGTGGAGAATAATGCTAAGCTAGCTACCAAATTGCCAGGGATCCTAATTTTCGGTTCTTGAACAGGATGGTAGAGCGTAACGAGTGCAAGGGTTGACATCTCATCCGAAGTATGCGGTGTATTCCTGCCCCTTGAGACATCAGAGCGACCCTCTCTGGAGTACTCACTCATAACATCCCGAGTCAACGGATTTCCAAAAGAGCCAAGCCTCCCCTCAACGTCACTGCATTTCCGTTGACAAGGATTGATATCGGTGTCCGTCTCGATCCCTGCCGATCTTGAGACAAGTCGGCATATGCAAAAGATGTCCACGGCGATCGCGAACGAATTTAGCGAATAATGCGGCGGAAGAATAAACTGCCACTAACGAAATGACCGCAGGGTATCGAAATAGATCAGGTTTCGGAAATACAATGGTGGTTGCAAAAGTACAGAGTTCGAAGAAATTCTGCACCGACATCTCAACCGAAGAAAACGAGCCGCGGTGGGACGGTGTGATGGATTCTTGGATGATCAACTGGGCGCAGAGGTCGAATGACCAAAGACCGAGCCTGGACATGATGACTCCGGCGATGAATATTGCCGTGATGGCGTAGGGTGATCCCAACACCCCCATCCAAAGGGCCCCAACGGCACAAGTCAACCAAAGCATCTGCCATGACAAAAACCAGATACCTGCGCGCACTGGGCCGATCCTGGACATGACTCTGGGTGCCAGGAATGTCGAGGAGATTTCTGAAATGGCCGAAGCTGTTCTGAGGAGTCCTACTGTCGTTGATGTAATCTGTGGGGTCGGAAGAGCGAGAAGGTAAGTCGTCATTTGACCAGAAAAAGACAGCACAGTAAGGTATAGGACAGACAAGGCAAGTGAAGGTAGGAATGCTGTTTGTCGAACATAAATTCTAGCCGAGTCAACGACAAAGCCGCCGCATCGTGCGAACTTCGATCGAGATTCTGATTGTGCTTCTTCCGGTGAGATCAATTCGGATTCTTCTTGACCTTGTCCGCCGCCATCATCAGCGAGTGCAGGAACTTGATAAAAGACCCTTGCGATGAGAAAATACTCGATACCGACAGAGAGTGCATTGGTGAACAGAGTCGACCATACCGCGATACTGGGTGACCACCCATGCAACAAGGCTATCGACAGCGGCGAGACGAGTTTGCAAAAGAGGTCGATACGTCTCATTTGCGCATTGAGTGTTTGAAGTTCAGAGTCATCTCCCCCAGCGATAACAACCACCCAGTCTCTTTCCACTGCGACAGTGTTCATTATGGAGCATAATTTCTCCACGCATGCCAACACAATAAGCAAGACAAGCAGCAATGCCAGTATAGGCTTTGAAAGTGCTTCCTTTGCCTGGAATAAAAGGGCAAAGGCGGCACACGAGGCAGCCACACTGGCTCTTTGCCCGAGGATGGAAATGCGAATGGTGCTCAGACGGTTATTGGAATCGATGAAATTCCCTATGCTCGGTGAGAATGTAATGGCCGCCAGAGCACGGACAAGTGCATATATCGACATGGGCAGAAGCGTCCCGGGGTAGACGGTGGCCAGAAAGAGAACTGCTCCGAACTCGAAGCCTCGAGCATTCCACATTGACAGTAGATGGGACACATAGAGTGACCCAGCTAGTGAATTGGAACCCATTGTGAAAAAGTATCGATTTCCTGTGACCTTGCCTCTTTTTTTTCTCTTCTCGTCCTTTGGAGTCACTTGTTGTACGGAAACATGGTCAAACCAGAAGAAGCTGTTTGCTACTGCTCTCTGATAGGGGAGTGTGTGTCACCGCATCGTCAATCACAAACACGGAGTATTTCCAGTGCGATAAAGATGCTCACGATTGGAAGAATGTATGAAGCGGTCAACCTGGAATGTTATAAAAATACTGGTTGAGCCCAACATACGTAAGCCACCTTATCTTTGTCTGGCCGCTTTAACGACACCTATCGCCCTCTGCTCTCATCTGGCCGTCATCTCCATCTCCATCTCCCTTCCCCGTCCTGCTTTTCTCTGCAATGTGACGAGGCTTACATTTTCCTTATCAACAATTGGAATTTAGTCTGACCGATCGGTCTGTTTTCTCCGACCAGCAAGATCGAGCCAAAATCCCTCTTATGTGACAAGTCTACAATTGTCAAATAGCTAACCTACGACAAAACCACTTTCTTCCCTTTCTCTTGCGTTACCATGAACCCAGAAAAGAACTTATCCAGCTCATCATATGCGTCCATAGGGCCGACGTAAGATACGTACTGATCAGGTCTAAGCACGACAGAGCATCCGGCTGGACCGATTCCAAGATTCTCATAGATCTGTCCGTGCCCTTCGTGGTAAGACTGACCGTCGACGAAAATCTTCCAATAATCCCACCCTTCTATCTCGTCGAAGTTTCTGTAAACTTCTGGAAAATCAAAGAACGAGACTTGTGTTCTCGGAGCGTTGTGGATGGCCAGAACTTCGAATACATCGTCGTACCGTCCTCCGCTGGGTGTGAATCGTTTCAGGAACGAGTTTGGCGCGGCGAGCTTTGTGCCAACGTTCTTCAATTTGGCTGCCTGGACAGGGTCTCTGATGTCGCCGGCGAATGTGATGATGCGCCACCGACCGTTCGATCTGAGAAGTTCATGAAGGTGGGAAGGCCGGGCGTCGGACTGGTTGAGGATTTTGTGGCTGGGGATGCGTTTGCCGACTTCGACCTTGGTCGCAAGGGTCGGTATCGACAGGACTTGGTAGTCTGGGTTGTGTACGCCAACATCCGTTCCGTCACCTTGGTCTGTGGAGTTGCCTTGTTTTGCAACGATGAGGCTTGACCCGTAGTCGACGGCTATAGACCAGGTTGATGTATTAGCCCACGAGTTCTGACTCTCGCCTTGGAAGCCCAAAAGGTGGAATGGGTACACAGAATATCCACTTACCGATCCCACTCGCAAACATATTTCCTTTCTCAAATGCATTCTTAAACTCCTGAATACTAATCCCTTCCTCGTCCATGACGTCTTTCGCCGGTCGGCCGGAGAAGAGACGAGAAAATCTATGATCGAACGCAATCAAGTCCTGTGCGATTCGACGTCTTTCTGATTGGTAGGTCTTCAAGATATCGCGGCTTGCTATGCCCTTGACGACATTGGCGACTTTCCATCCTAGATTGTACGCTGTGCAAGGAGTACAGTCAGTCGGTTATTCAATACCATCAACTACCGCACGAATTGCTGCCATCCCCAGCAGACACAGAGAAGTGAAGAAAGACGAGAAACCCAAAGAACTCACCATCTTGCATGCTAACATTCATTCCTTGGCCTGCTTTGGGACTGGTGATGCGTGTGTTAGCACAAGAAGTAACCCGGCGACTCCTCCAACATCTTACCTGTGAGTATGTACCGCGTCTCCGGCAAGGAATATTCTCTCGTGGGAAGAGAATTGTGTTCCGACCCGTTGTCCGATCTGGTAAGCAGTCCACCAGTCGAGTTTGCGATAGTCGAGTTTATAGGGTGCGATGATGCGTTGCGCGGCCTGCAAGATGGTCTGGGGAGTGATTTTGGATCTATCGACTCTAGCACCAGCACTATCACCGATCTTCTCCGTTGTCGTAAGTTGGATATACAGACGGACAAGTTTGTTCTCGCGCGGAATCACCATCACACTCCCAGCGCTGGCGGAATGGATGGCACAACGCATTCTGATATCCGGGAAGTCGGTAATAGGGACTATGTCGAGAACTCCCCAGATGTAGTCTGTCGATTCGCCCTCCAGCTTAAAACCTAGCTGGTTACGTACCCAGGAATGAGCCCCATCAGCGCCTAGTACGTACTTTGCCTGAATCACTTCTTCGGTATTTGCTTTGCCATTCAGGTGAGCAGAATCATTTAGGAGATCTTGTGTATCGTCAGGTGCGATATTGCTTCGGAAAAGTCCGTCCATGACTGAAGTTCCGTTTGTCGAGGTCCCAGTTTGTTGCTGGGGGGTGGCTTCTTCCTCGCTGAGGTGTCGTAGAGTGACCGTTATTGGGTACGCATCATTGTCCTCTACAAGGGTCTGGTTGAGTTCGAGCTTAGATGGCATGACACCTCGTTCGACCCGGATATCGCTGCACGACTCTATCGAATCGAGAAAGAATCGCTCAATACGACCTTGGTGGAGAACGACTTGTTGAAACCGACTGATTCCAGGGATTGTGTCGGGTATTCTGTCGCTTCGACGAATGATGCCGTCCTTGTCCGGGTTCCAAAGGCAAATTTCCAGCATATGATTTGATTCGATCCAGGCCCGGTGACCAAACCCAAAAGAGTCGAATATCTCTAATGTACGGCACTGGAGGCCGTCGGCCTGGCCATTGAAGATCTGAGAGGTTATGTTAGTGGCAGCAAAAATCCGAATATGCATGCATACCTTGGTGCCACGCTTGTCGCATATTCTGGTTTTGATGCCGCATTTAGCCATCCACTCGGCCATCATGAGTCCAGCTGGTCCGGCGCCCACGATAAGGACATCGACCTTTTCGGGCTGCACGCCGTTCACTGTCTCGTTCGGAGCCACCATGTTTCAGAGATCTAAAAGCAAGTGTTTGTTACGTGAGGCCTCGTTCAGCGACCGGCGTATTCAAGGATGCTCAGAAACGATGACAGAGCCTGCACTTGTTTTTGAAACGACCAAAGACGTTTGAAGCATTTGTCAAGCTATTTATGAGCTGGCATTATGCATACTAGAACACCAGCCGCTAAATGCTACAAGACGAATGAGCATTTCGGATCGGATGAGTTTGGGGGATATCGGAAGGGCTGAGTAACTTCCGAAAGATGTGGGCGGTCAAAAGGAGATTCTGGGGTTCGGGGTTGGAGAACGGGACTTCCATCTGCATCGGATAGATACGCTGGTTCTGATTCAGACCATGCACTCTTTACCCACCCTTATAGCAGTCCCATGGAGGAGATAAACCATGTTAGAGAATGCAGTCGCGTGTGAACTCACAGTGTAACACGTTGTCTGACCAGGGTCACAAGCCGACTATTGTGCTCTGATGAGTGAAAATGTGGTATGTGACGTGAAACTTGCCCAATAGTACTTCCTGACATCGCACTTTATTGGGGTGCCTCTCCCTGTTGAATGCCAACTAGCTTGTTGGTCATCACCAAGGTGTTTTTCGTTGTGGTTGACGAAGAGAATCGTTCATTCGCCACAACGGAAGAATCTCGAGGTTATACATCATTTTGGCCTGCGGCATGTCACCACTTCAGAACTATAACAACAACTTCAGGCGTTGATTCTCTTTCGTCCGGTTTCAGTAGAGTCTTCGGAGCTGCCCTGTCCTCCAAAGTAGTGCTCGGGAAATGCATCCTAGCACGAGCGATCTTTTGGGTCACTGTTTTCCAAGCGACGATAGATCACCTTGAGTGCTCGAATCTCGTGTGGACTACAGACCGGCGCCTGATCGCACATATACAGCACATTTTGTGGATATGCTGACTCCGCTATAATGAGAGTCTGACGGGCAGATCATGCCACTTTGCTTAAGAGAAAGGTGCCTGATTCTGTAGTTGGCCAATATGTTTCTAGAATGATCACAGGTCTTGCAAAGCAGATGATATCCCGAGAAGACGTAACCTAAAACTGGAAGCTCGAACCAGCCTGACTCAACTCTAGATGAGTTGTGTTGAGAATACTCTTCAAAGAAGGTTATTCTTTCCTGGTAGAAAGCCTTCCGGCTTGTGTACTTACTGTGACATTGAGCCGATGATCAAGGTTTATATGAGCAGTTAGACAATAATCCAGTCGACGTGAATTGAGGAAAGATCAATGACATGAAGCAGTTCAAAGACGTTCTCGGTGGCTGTACATGACCAGGTTTCTTTGCACTTGTACAGAAATCGTTAGACAATGTCCTCGATCTGGTAAAGCAGCAACTCATCCAACGCGTCCTTCAGCCCTACACATGCATGGCGTACGGCAACTGTAGCACCAAATTACTATCTTGACGGCTGCCATTGCACATGTAGCTACATCCTTCTTTCACAACGTGTCCAGTTCTCTCCCGATCCCACGGTCCTTCGAGTCTTTCGTTCATCATTGTCATCAGAATTGAGCGGTGCATAGATCCCGATTCCGTTAAAACTTCTACCAGCACACTAGGCCACCTTTACAGAATGGCCAGCGGAATGTCTAACGATCCCTACGACGACGACCACGCGGTACTCGACGATGACTTTCTCAATGAAGGTGCGCGGCCATACCGGCTCAGTATGAGCATTACTGACGGTCTATAGAAGTCGAACCCGATGAACCTGCAACAACTTCCGATCGAGCTCCGCTGACAGGCAACATCCAATCCTCTTCAAGCGCACCCCTAAATCAAAATTATTTGACCTCAAGAATACCCGGCGAGGACAGGCGAGCGCCTCAGAATACTATAGATGAGAGCGTATGGGACACCGTATCTCGAGATCTCTTCGCCGTATGGGAGAAAATGAAGCAGGTGCTGTGGCCTAAATATTTGCTAGGAGGCATACTACAACGACAGGGTAGTGGTATGGGAGACGCCGAAAGTCAGGGCTTTGGACGAGATCTTCGAGGTCTAGTAGGCCGTTGGCCAGATGCAGACGGTATTCTACAAGGAGGAATGAGCGACGGCCTTCGAGACTGGGATCTATGGTACGTCCATCCTCGTTCTTGTACTTTTCAAGTGCGTGGTAGCCTTGTTCTAACAAAGACCTAGGGGTCCCCTAATCTTCTGCTTGCTGTTGAGCGTCTTCCTTTCGATGCACAAGGAGGGCCAAAGCGATCTGATCTTCTCTGGAGTCTTCTCTTTGGTCTGGATTGGCGAGGCTGTGGTTACTCTCCAGATCAAGTTGCTGGGCGGTAACATGTGAGTCTTCAAAAATACTGGTCGAGGATTATTTCTAACATTTTATCTTAGTTCGTTCATGCAATCCGTGTCGCTCATCGGGTATACATTGTTTCCTCTGACAATTGCTGCTTTGCTCAGTGCGTTGGGCTTACCCATGATCGCAAGGGTTCCAATCTATATTGTGCTCGTGGCATGGTCATTAGCAGCAGGAGTCAGTATCTTAGGTGGATCTGGAGTGGTCAAGAATCGCGTCGCACTGAGCGTGTATCCTTTGTTTGTATTCTACGTTGGGCTCGGGTGTCTCTGCTTCATCAGTTAATCGTGCGGGCAATAGACCTAGCCTAGGCCATTGGGCTCTATGTAATGTTTTATGGCTGTAACACAATGATGGTATACCAGAATGATGCACAAATCGACTTGAAACACGCTCTGTCCCTCTTATATCCCGTGGTCTGATGCAATCGTTCCTTGTTGTCGAGCGGGGTGTTGGTGTTATTATATTGGGCGAATTTGATTGTGCGGAGCCTGAAGCCTGAGCCCGAACCGCAATCAATCAGCGACTATCACACACTCATGTCAACTTGGGAACAAACCCTTCACTCGATGTCGATTGCCATTTCCATTTGTGCCCCCTGTCTTCTCATATCTATATCTATCGACGAGCCTCGACCATTACGATCGTCCCAGTAGTCGCCTTCGCCGTAACCCTTGTCTATCAGCCTATTGAACCGCAGGCGCTCTTCACTGCCTCACCTGCCCTCAAACTTCCCACGTCAATCCCAAGTGAAGTGCGTATGCATTCTGACCACACGTCTCTCACAAATTTTTGAACAATACTCTCCTTGTAGCGTGGGCGACGGCAACAGCAATAGACGCATCGAGTCAGGGATACTGCGCCCAGCCATTTTCTTCTGCGGGAAACCGAATCGAGCGCAACGTAACCATCAGGTTAAACAGTTTTGACACCCGACAATACAGTTCATTGGCACTGAGAGTACTGCCGGGTGTAGGATCGAGGAGAGCCAAGTGACGAGTACAGAGGCGCAAGCGCTACGAGATCAAGATCCAAGTCGCGTCACCGGCTTCGGCAAACAATATGGCTTCAAACAACGACACTATTCCTCCCACCGAACATTCAAAAGCCGAAGAGGATTTAGCACCTCACGACAACAGCTCGGATGGCGAAAGAGAAGAAAAGACTACACGGGAGAAGTTGAAACAGACAACCATCGCTAAAGGCGACGATCAACAGTCAGGCGAGGCAACCACAACTGATCCTGTCTCCGAGACGGTTGTTGAGAACGGGTCTAGAGGGCGACCGTCCAAAAAACGATCGTTTGAAGACCTGCAAGCAGAAGACTCACCAGCAGGAGTCGAAAACGGTGGTCCTCCACTACCGAAGAAAGGCCAGCACAAGAGGATGCGATCGAGAGAAGTCTCCGGCACTGATGAAGTCCAAGGACTAGACAAACTCTCTGATGTTGCAAGCCCGGTCCAAGAAGAGAGCGATGCTGAGGCACAAAAATCACCCGGTGGTCCCGGAGTCCTTGTTATAGCACCGTCCAAGGATCACGAAGAGGAGTCCACAGCTGCAGACAAGTCCGCAGAAACAAGTAAGACGACCACCTCAGCCCTCACTGCTAAGGATCAATCGAAAGAGCAAACATCTTCCTCCTCTGGTTTCGCCAATACAAGCACAGCCTCTCCATTTGGTTCTTTCAAACCGGTCAAATCACCATCTTCCGAGGCCGAGTCTACGTCACAGCTAGAGAAGGCCACCACAACATCGGCATTCGCATCTTCAGGTCTTTCTGCTTTTGCATCTTCTGAGAAATCTCCGTTTGGCTCAGTGGGCTCAACGGCGAAAGCAAGCGGTGGCTTTGGTGGAGGTGGAGGTGGCGGTGGAAGCAGTTTTGGTACCCCATCTCCTTTTGCAAGTAAATCCTCATCTGGTTTTGGCTCAGTTGGTGGATTTGGTGCTAAGGCTGGATTTGGTGGAAGCTTTGGTGCCCCGAAACCGTTTGGATCAGGCGGCTCGTCTTTCGCGGCTCCTGCTGGTGCAGCTGGTACTTTCGGTAAACCCAAACCTTTCTCGCCGACACATGACGATGTCGACGAAGGAAGTGACAACGATGGTGCAGGAAATGATGAAGCATCTGCTGTGGATGCCCCCCAAGATCCTAGGTTTAAGGAACAAGACGGTAAGCAGCATGATCTCTATGTCTCGATGATCAGAGCTAATTGAATGCAGTCGCGACTGGTGAAGAAGAGGAAGACACCATTTTCACATGCAGAGCGAAGCTTTATCATTTCGAAAAGGAATGGAAAGAGCGTGGAGTTGGCGTGTTCAAAATTAACATTCGATATGAACGCAAAGCTCTGGGCGATACAAGTGAAGACGAGAAAAACGAAGGTGAAAAAGATGTCGAAGCGGGCGAGAAGGACGACTTTTCTACCGTCGAGCGTAAAGCTCGTATCATCATGAGAACTGATGGTGTGCATCGTCTCGTTCTAAATACGCCAGTTTTCAAAGACATGAACGTTGGAACACACGACGGGAAAGAGCCAACAGGCAGAACAATGCACCTGACTGGATTAGAAGAGGGCAAGCCAACGGGCTATCAAATAAAGGTAACCTTGAATTTCTGGTCGAACTTTTGGGCCAATCGTTCTAACGATTTTGGTTCTGTTTAGGTCGGCAAAGAAGACGTCTTGAAAGACATTTATCACAAGATTCAACAACTCAAGGAGGACCTCTGAAAGAAGAACGACACGCGGCAGCCGGGTCGAAGGTTACGCACACAACAGATCGGACATGGTCTATGAGAAGAACTGGCTTCAAATCAGGATACACATCGCATTTGATTCCGTCAGCTCGGGAGGTTTCTTCCTTCCGTGGTGACGCTCACGATTCCACTCTTGACGAACTATTTTGACTTGATGGTGAGCAGGGATGAGTGAACGAATGTATTTGGTATTGGGCGAACCATAGGAATTGGTCCGCAGCCAAACAAACATCAACCTCGAGGGGCAACAAGAAAGAGGAATCGAGTTTTGATCCATAGATTCTAAGAATAGGTTTTTTTACTTAGAGGTCTTTGGTATAATTGTGTGTGCATCTTTTACTACGGCAATCGGGCAGATTGGAAGATGAGAGAATCACGAATGAGACAAGACATTTGATCACACTCTGTATTTTCAAATAATCCGGCTCCGTTTTGATGTGACGAACTTGTAGGCCAATACCGTAGAGTACGAGCGAGGAAATGGCCCAAGTTTTATATCGGCGAGGCTGAGACTGGGGGCGGCAATAAAAATATTCGGCAACATCACGACGGTTTTCATGTCGATATTTTCCTCTCTCGTCGACAAGACTAGAAATTGAATCCAAACTAAATTACAGGGCAACAATGACGACGACGACGACGACGACGACGAATGAATCGACCCCGTCCTCGTCGGACCGTCTGGCAGCCGAAATTTCTCTTTTGGAAGCAATGTATCCCGACTCGGTGACGTTCAACCGCAAGAGTCTCGAATTGACGTACAGAATAATGGGTCAGTATTCACAGCCTATACGGTCCAAACGGACAGACGCCAACGACCCGACGACAGGCAGCGGGGGGGTTTTGGTTTTACGTCTTCCAAGTACCTATCCGGACGACGGTGGTGGTGGTGGTGTCCCGGAATTGATTTCTGCATGCGACGGTACCAAACGAGACGTGAGGGATTCCACACGTCGAGCGATTGCGGAGCTCAATCTAGAAGGGGGTGTCGAGGTTTTGGATCAGATTCTTGCCACGTTTGAGGGGGTCGTATCATTGTCGTCGTCCGACTCTCGAGTGTCTGGCTCTTCTTCCACCGCAAATCCAAATCATATTGATTCCTCTTCCGAGACGATCACCGATCGAGACCACGACGACGACAACAACAACAACAACAACAACAACAACAACAACAACAACAACAACAACAACAACAACAACAACAACAACAACAACAACAACAACAACAATAACAACGACGACGACGGTGTGGACACGGGTGGAAATGGTACACCAGAATTGAAGCTCTCACCACCATCAAAGACTGTCATCATATGGCTCCATCATCTTCTCGCCACTTCCAAGAGGAAACTGGCCTTGTCACCTTCTGTTGTGAACTCGAACTCGAACTCGAACACCACCACAACGGCAACAATATCAGGAATGACCAAACCCGGGTACCCCGGTGTCTTTATCTTTTCTGGTCCTCGTGACTTGGTCGATTCGCACGTCAAGGAACTGAAAAGTTTGAACTGGCAAGCTTTTTCAAAACGTTACGATTCGGATGAGGCTACGAATGGCCTTTTTTCGTCATCAAACACGATCGAGATCGTCGACGACACCACCAAACCGACAAAACTCAAACGGAAGCAAAATGTTTCTGCCGCAGATGACGGCGAATGGCCCTTCACGCACGGTAGGAATAAAATCGTCGAGGTGGAAAGTATGGCCGAGCTAGTCAAGGGTATCGTCGAAGAACATCACCGTGACATCTTTTTAAGAGCTGTCGGTGTGAAATGATGAGACCCAGAAACGATGAAAGTCATGTTTATGAGATTATTATGGGTTTGGTGATTCGGTCTACATGGGTATTGTAGATTTAAATACAGGGTCACGGCTTTCACTCGCGGCGCGCTCTTAAGAACAAAACATACTCCGTATAGGTACGTCGAGACCAAAAAAGGGGGGAGGAACAAAGAATCGGACTCATCATTCGAGTCTGTGCCATCAAGTCAAATAATATCCTGATCGGGTTTGGAACTTCTTCATTTGCTAGTCCTAGCCCCTTTCCCTCGGTACTGGCATGAATATTCTCACTCACCACACGACAAAAAGAAAAAGAGGTCACTCAGTGCTCCAGATAGAGTATGCAAAGGTGGGTACCCCTATCAAATGCACCACCACCACCATCATCATGGCTAAATGCATTCAAAACATGTGTGGCTCTCGGCATGAAGTCAAGATAGTCAGGTCTAGATAACCTCCAGTCTTCAAACCCTCACAAACTATCTTCCCTCCATCTGGATCTCACCCTCTGCCAACCCTCCTTCTCATTCAACCCACCACGCTTCTCCAGTCCCATCCCACGCTCCACCCACTCCTGACTACCCATCTCACTCAACCGACTTAGAGCCCTGGCGAAAGCGAACCTCTCCTCGTCGCCACTGAACAAACTACTCTGCTTGAGCATACTCATGCTCATTCCCAGATCGTCCATCAGGTTCCTCATCACGTCGTCAACGTCGGCCCCTTCACCTTCCGTGTCCGAGGCCTTTGTATGCTCCGCCACCTTCTTGTCATGCTTGTCCACAGACTTGTCGTCCTTGTCCACTTTCTTCGTCACGCTCTCCAGACTCTCGTCGAGTTCCGTCTTGCTCAAGAACAGCTGCGACAGGGGTACGGCCGTGGTCAAGACGAGCTTGGCGTGCGACTCGTAAACGGCGTCGATAAAGGTGATGAACCGTCTAGCCCAGTCTCGCTCACGGTGCGTCATGCCCGGGACGTCGGTCACGATGAAGGCGTCGAAACTGCGCATCATCTCGATGTAATCCGCCGCGCCCGTGGCTCGTCCGATGAGGTCGTGGAAGGTGAACTTGGCGGCACGTCCCGACGCCTCCGGGATTTCGACCTCGCGGCCCCAGACCGTGATGGTGGTCGGGTGCGGAGGGTCGTTTTCCGGGTCACCCAGGAAATTGAACCACTTCTTGGCGTGCGAAACGGCCGCACGGTCGAGCGGGTGATGGTACACACCGGACGGCGGCCGCGGGAGTTTGCGATAGTCCGTCTGGGAGTCCAAGTTGATGACCTTGAGTTTGTTCTTCAGTAGATTGATGCACGGGATGAACGACTGCCGCTGGATGCCGTTCTTGTACAGGTCGTCCGGGTGTCGGTTCGACGTCGTCACCAAGACGACGCCGTGGGACATGAGCGACTCCAGCAGCCTCCGCAGGATCATGGCGTCCGCGACGTCGGTGCACTGGAACTCGTCGAAGCACAACACCTGGGCGGTCTCGGCCAGGTCGGCGGCCACGAACGGCACCGCGTCAAAGTCGTTGCCGTACTGCATGCGGACCTTGTGCAGCCTCTTGTGCACGTCCTGCATGAAGTTGTGGAAATGGATGCGCAGTTTCGACGTCATGTTGGGCGGGAGCGTTTCGTAGAACAGGTCCATCAACATGGTCTTCCCCGACCCGACGTCGCCGTACATGTACAGGCCCTTGGGGAGGTCTTCTGGAATCTCGCCGATCGCCTTCTTCTTCTTCGCACCTCCGAACAAGGACCCGAACAGGCTCTTTTTCTGGGGTTGTAGATCGTCGATCTCGGGGTGTACCACTTGCGGAGGGGTGTAGTCTCGTAGAGTGTCGTGCAAATCTTGTAGATGCTCGATCAACGCTACAATTCCCAAAGACACAAAAACGTCAGCACTTTGCCGCGCATACCACACCGCGCGGGGCGAAATTTCCAAACCTACATCTCTGATGTTCATCATCGCGCAGCCTTTTCGTCTGTACTCGCTCGTCATATTCCTCCAGAGGGCCTCGCGGGCTTGCCCCGGCGACTGTCGCAAGGTCGTGCCGTCTCGGGAACTGGTTTGAGGAGGTTATGTTTGGCCGATGAGGCCGAATCGCTCGACCCGACGATATTGTTTGTGGTCTCGTCGGCTGTCCAAAAGTACACACACCTCGGCGCTCGAATTTGAGGTTGTTGGATTTGTCAAAGTTGGCAACACGTCTCCGGCTGCTGCTGCTGCTGCTGTTGTTGCTGCGACGGTGCCTCAACGTCCTCAGACAATCCGTGCATATCGTCCTCGGTCTACCTACTGTCGCACGGGGAGAAAAGATAGCTCGGAGGTACTCGTGCGCCTTGAAGGCGTCTCCTGGACGCGGACGCACCGCCGCCGGAGTAGCTTTCATTGTTGTGTCGTCGTGGATCGCACACAGAGAGACACGGGGAGCAGCTAGAGCAATAGCAATGGCAACAGTAACACTCTATGCGCTGGAGGGAAACGCAACAAACAATAATGACAAAACAAGCAAAAAAGAAAATTAACTGCACGAAGCTGATTTCGAGCAAAGAAAGCGAAGATACATCGGGACCGCATCCGATGACAAAGTCCCCCAAATGCTCGGGCAGCCTCGGTGAATGTCGGCCAAAAATCTTGGGCCCGAAGTCGTGGGTCTGCAGTCCAGAATCCAACCTCAACCTACTCAGGTATGTAAAGAAGAAAAGAATTGCCGGTTGCCTGAGATTGTAGAAAGAGACCAAGTATCATAGCTAGGTGTTTAAGAGGTAAAGGAATATGATATGACAATTCATCTCACTCCTTATAAGACGCAGAGACTAAGAGCTATAATCGTTGAATCTAAATCACTCGCTCTCCCTTCAACGACAGCAAAAGCGATCCAAACCCCCCTCAAAAGGACCAATATCCTCGTGAACCATCCTCGGGATATACCATCAGCGCACGCAACGTGAATCCGCCCAATAGCCAGTTCCTTGTAGTAGTGACAAAAGCCCCTTCTCATCCAACGATAGCACCTGGGTTTGCACGGCGGGAAGAGTCCATAATTCTTTTGCGAGCTTTTTGTTGCGACAAGTACACCACGTATGAGAGACGAAAACCGTCTTCCTCAAGATTTCAACCGATTCCGTGCGCCTTGACATGACCACATTATAAAAACATTGCTCATCAGGTTGCCCTGTTCCCTCCCATTTATCGAAGCCAAAGAAGGGCAAGGGCACCCGGATCCTGCGTGTCTAGCATTGAGACCAGGGTCTGAAACAAAAGCTCAAGATTGCAATACAGCCGTTCTGGCAGTTGTAGCTCAACCCGCAGCATAGTTGACATGTAATGTAAGTTTGGGATTCCGCTGTAGAGCCTCGTCCAGATTGTCATCATTCTCAAGTTCTAACATACTGTTGCTGAGCTCGTCCTTGTAGTGAATGACAACGCCGTCGTTGAGTTTAAGTCGTTCTACCAGTCTTTCTTTTAGGGCAGCGAATGCAATATCTTGCGGGACGCGAATGGCGATGATGTCGTCTTGGAAGAATACCTTAACTTTCATTGGGCCACTGGCATTTCCTGCTCTCATGCTCGAAGAGGTGGATGCTTGTGTCAAGTTGCTTGCTTGTGAATGAAGGAAGGGAGGACCTCCGAGAGCCATGCCAGGGCCAGCTGTCATGGGTGGAGGTGGACGTTGTTGCGATGATCGAGAAGAGTTGGGCATAGCCATTCCACCATAACCTGTACCTGTGGGTTGCTGATTTGTGGAAACCCTCGAAAGTCCCTGTAGCGACTGCTGAGATCCTTCAGAAAGCCGATAATCTTCGCCGAGGGCGCTTGGGTCGATTTCGAAATCCTGGCCTGGTCTCGGTTTGAACAAATTTCTTACCAACATGCTCTTCGAGATGTGGCTGGGCATGGCGACAATCTTCTTGATGTACTCATCAAGATTCTGGCGTCGCCCGTTGGAGATCGCATCTGTGACATGGGCAACGGGTCCCGGCATGAACGGTAACGTACGAGGCTTCCCCTTGTTGCCCGCTTCTTCAGGAAACATTTCCAGCAGTGCAATCTGGAAGTCGTAGAAATCGGCATAGTATCTTGACAGTTCCCACCATCGCCCATCCTCCATCTGACACTCGATGATATACCAATACATGTCATTATCAAAACAGTATCTGGGCACCGAGGCACTCATTGGCGCCAAAGGAATTTGTGGCTGTTGTGAGGTTCTGGGACCTGAACCTTGAGACTGCTGGCTGTTAGCATGAGTGCCGTAGGCAAGGTCTTGCCAGGGCCCAACTTACGTAGGTATTGCTTGCAAGAGACTGCTGGGAGCCACCGTTTTGTAGACTCATTCTTGCCATGTCGGCCGACATTTGAGCTTCTGGGCTGGAAAACTTGCCCAAACTGATGCTGTTGTTCTTATATTCCGCCGCGAATTTCTTCCATTCCTCCACTTTGGGGACGCCAGCCTTGCGGACGGCCTCGAGCGGATCTGGAACCGACGCCATCGTCGCGGTGTCTTTGATGTCCACGAACGAAACTGGAATCAGACCTGGCCCTCCAAGCCGCCCTATCGGCTTTGCGACAAACCACTCTGGGTTTGACTGGGCCACCACGATGATCGCCTCACCGGCTTTCGCGTCCAGCTCGTCCGGTCTTTCCGCATTGAAATCATATTGCACCACGCCATAGACCATGGCACCCCCGGCCTTGCCAATCATGCTTGCACCTCTCATATGCGTCGGCGGCCTCGCGGTAGCGGTGGACTCTGACCTCATGTGTCCAGAGTGAGTCGAACCCTTCTCCGAGAAGCCCGAATCATGGCTCTCTGCTCGTTCTCCGGGGGACGACAGTGAGTTACCACTCTGGCGCTGTTGTTTGCCCACGACCTCGAAGAAAGCGACAGGGACCAAGCCCCTGGCAGACGGGATGAGCGGGTTGCACGCCTCGTACCACTCGGTATCGTCTTCACGGCTCAGAACATGGAAGAAATCGCCCTTGTGAAATGCCAGCTCTTGTCCGTTGCCATTCTGGGGCGCATAGTCATACAGCGCCTTGATGACCTTCTTCGGGGGCAGTGCCTGGATGGTCTTGGGTGTGATGGAAAGCGAGGGTGCGTGCCTAGATTCCTTGTCGCTCTTGAGAGATCGGCGAATGGCCTGGAGGAGGGGGGCACAAGGAACGAATCAGTATTCACAGGTCCAGACAAGAATGCGCATACGTGCAGGAGAGTGTGTGGACATTACCTTCATGGCGCATTCACGATGCCCCGCAGTGGCCTGAGAAAAAAAAAGGCAACGGAGGGAGGAGGCGATGATGGTGGTGTTTCTTTTTCGGGATCTAGAGCAGGCGCATATGCGCAGTCACAGATTGAAACGAGAGTGATCGAAGCTTGTGTGGTGGAGGAGATCAGTTGCGACCGGATTCGAGATCGGGTGTGTCTGAGGTGGACAAAAACGGGAGTCTGGCGCAGACAAAGGGGAGGTGATTGCAGGGTTGCCGTTTCGGCAAAACCGCAACACGACCGTATCAGCTCACGGATTCGTCGCTGCACTCCTCCTTTGACAAGATTGCAGGGCCAGGTGCTTGTAAAAGACCCAGCTGACGAACGGAATTCCACAGGTGTTGTCACCGCACTGTCCACCACTGTCCTGTACACTCGTGTGTGCGTCTCTGCGATGGTGAGCGAGGCAAAGATTTCACGTGACGGACCGCGAAGTCTGGACGGGGGTGTAAACCGTGTAGCTGGTAAAGATGTGTCCTCGCAGCATTTCCACGACCGAGGAGCGGGAGAATTTACATAAATACCTTACGTCTCAGCTTGATTATACCTCACTCCAATCTCAGTACCGAGAATCAACCTTTTTGTTTGCTGTGACCTCCATAGTTCATGGACCAAGCCACGCATTCAAGGCTCAAGTCGCCACAAGTAAACAGTCTGGCTTTTAGCCCGGATAGCTACAACTAATATTGTTGAGGAATTGGAGGCGAGATCAAGGGAGACCTGATGAGCACAACTTGTGATCGTCACACATGGTTGCTTGCACGGTCATATACTCTTCATGTTTTACATACACACCAAGATGAAGGCATTCACTGCGCTCCAGCAGCAAAATGTGAGCGTGAAAACAAAGCCGCAAAACTGGGCCATCATTGACGTAAATCCAATCAGTGGATATTGAGAAATCATCAAGCGCATGGCCTGACATGTACTTGACTGCTCCAACATTACCGAAAGCCTCACCTCCGTAAGGGTCAAGGGCCAAGTGGACGATCCATGTTAATCCTCCGTGACAGGTAGGTTTTTATGGTCCGTGATTCAATTTTCAGCTTTGTTGTGATGCCTATCTCCAAACTTGTCTAAAGACGAAGTGTTGAAGGCTGATTCCTCGAGGCATTTATCGGGTCCGCCAGCGCCAACGCTACATCGAGCTACACCATGTATTGCGCCAGTAAATGTTCACCAGTATTGCCAAATATGGAATATCCGTCTCTTCTGTCCAGCCCACCCGAATTGCTTTTGCTTTCATCTTGGTCTCGGAAAGAACAATGCCAGTGATAAGAACGTCTGCTAGGAGATAGAGCCTGCCTCGCAAGCAGGGGAAAAGGTAGAACAATATGATAAAGGGAGAAGATGACCAGTATGTGGGCGTGGAGCAAATGCGCGAATACTAGGAGAATTTTTCGACGCCGGCGGGGGAGATACCCTATTGCTTCCGAGACAGCTATGAGAAACAAGGGAATCACTCAAATCTGCCCCTTGATATCGACTTGTCCGAACGCTCTCGTCTTTGCGATGTGGAAGATCGAACCGGCTTTGCCACTGAGGAATCGGACGTCTCCATCACGTTCCTCTAGGAGAGTGTTGTCTTCGGATACGTGGTCAAGAATAAATTGGCAAGCTTCTTCATCAGACTCGAAGCCGAGTTCTTCAGTAACGAAGCGCAACCGAACATCTGGCTTGTACCTAGAGAGTGTGTCAGCAATGAAATTTCAATACATGGATTGGCAACAAGACTTACGATCTGCATATGCACGCAAGTGCAGCGAGTCGTTCCCGTTCTACGAACATGTCCATTAAATATGCGCCCATGTCCGGGACAGTAAGATATAGCTTGAAGAACTTGTGATAGTTTCCAAGAGCTAGAGCTGAACGAACCTCGAGGGCATGCTTGATGGCTGGTTCTTTCTTGTCTGCTGGGGTTAGATCGGATAAAACATCGTTCATGTCAGTCTGGTTGCACGTGTGAATAAAGTACAAGATGCGATAAGCCTTGAATTCCACCGGATGACCGCCTAAGTTCTGCTTGTACAGCGCCCTTAGCTGCGTTTGACACTGGTTATACTCACCCAGGTCACCCTTCTCTAAAGCAATTCGAGCGTGATATTCGTAGACACTCGTCGTGAAATCGTTCTTGATGTGTTGGACGGTCAGATCTTGTCGCAGCGATTTAAATTGATCGCATATGTAGACGTAGTTGCCTTCGCTGCGCCATTTCTTCTTCAGCAGCTCGAGGGTCTTTCTCAATACTTCCAGGGGTCGCACGTCATCAGGATTTGGAGCTGAAGTCAATCTGAAGTAGTTCTTTTCCAGCTTCTGACAGCGCCCAACTATGGGTCCGGTCACTTTTGGCTCGGGCGACGCTCCTCTAGATGAATCTTGTGTGCGCGGCGAGTTTGACCCGGTACGGTTGGCCTCGAACCTCCGTCTGCGTGACTCTAAACTAGCGCTTGTTTTACTTACGGATGAGCTCATGTCAAGTTTGAGTCGCTTCTCGGAAGTGGCAAAGGAAACACGATCTGCAAAAGATCCAGAAGGTTGTGCGTTCATTCTCCAGGGTGGTGTGGGTGTGTTGGACGCAACGTCGTCCGTGAGTTCTTGAGATTTGCGCTTACGAGGGACATCGGTGCGAGGCTGCCAGGCTGTGTTGGAATACTCCGGAGCAGGTATAGGAGGAACATAATGTGGAGGGGGAACAGGAGCAAACAGGGCACGGGTCCGCTCATCGTGGATCATTTGCTGAGGAAGTGGCAATTCTTTCCAGTTTATCGAGTCCAGCTTTCCGCTCTGCGTGGCCTCCGTTATGACGTCCTTGAGTCTGACTTCAATTTGCTCTTTAGTGACTCCAGGAATGGCGCTGACCTGAGCAAAAGATCTGTTGACGTAGTCACGGACATCCGGAGACCAATTCATTTTCTTCTTGGGTGGTTGTTGTGATGATGGAACCGAGGCAATGACCGGCACCGGCGGAGGTGGAGGGTATTGAGAGTGAGGCACGGCTGGAGGCGCATAAGTAGGCGGAGGAGGCAGACCAGACTGCGGTCCAAAACTCTGGCGCGCAGGAACTGAAATGTAAGCATTCTGGTTGTCAAGTGACGCGTAAGGTGAATGGGTTTGCCAGGGCGCTTGCCCAGGAGCGGGCGCGGAATACATCATTCGCTTGCGAGAAGAGTGTGAAGAAGTGACGCGGGTGAGAAAAGAGTAAAATGGGGAAACGAAAACAAGTACTGCGTCGAGAAAGTCGGGATGATGTTGAAGGTGAGTTGAAAGTCGGTGTCGCAAAGTTGGTTCAAGGATAGAGGATGGCTAGGAATCTCATTTTGCCGGCCTTGGCGACATCACATGATGAGACTATGATTGCGCTTCTACTGTTCACGGTCGCCTCACTCAAACCTTGAGAGTGATTGTCGTTTTGATTTTATCCGAACTATCCTTACAGACAAGAAGAGACATGCCGTGCCCTTGCTATAAACACCTCCCTGTCTTACAAGCCTGCGCCACTGATATCGCAGACAATGAAATGTTTATCAATCACGCTGCCTGCAATCAGCTTACCAGATCCAGGATCAACAGCCACTCCGGTCAATGCGCTCATCTGTGCACCATCATCCCAATACAAAAGTTCAGGTTCGTAGTTCTTTTTCTTTACGAGACGTACAACTGCTGCCTCGGTGTGCAATTTTGCGTTTAGTGGATCATGAAGGCGGCCCATGAGGCCTGCGATATCGGGGAATGCTGTCCCAACTTAGTGAATCGGAAGAACACAAAAGTGATTGAGGGACTTACTGGCCACGACAACATCTCCGGATTCTGGGATGAGGGAAAGATTGTCTGCTCCCGCACCCAGTTTCTTATATGGAAAAATCACAGTTAGCATTCACACTCCCACGCAGTTTTTGAATTGCGCAGGAAAGAGAGATTTGACTTGAGCAATCATGAAGGTGTGATCTGGGCACGCCAAAAAGACAAGGCTTGACTCACCACGACCTTCTTGGTGGTCAGTTGCTTGGTCTCTGGATCAATGGCGTAAATGGTGGTGGTCGCCGCAATCACGTCATTCACCATCAATGTCTTGCCGTCGTCGACCACAATCACTCCATTTGCATAAGGGTGTGCGTTGGTCGGTGACACTGTCTTGCATTCGAGAGAAGGACCTGCCGCTGAGCAATAGACCACGTCGGTGGCCCATTTCCACGGACCGAATTTATCCTCAAAAGTCCTGAGAAGACCACCGAAAGCCCCTCCGTAAAAGTAGTGATCATTCGTGATGAAGAAAGAGCTGTCTTTGGTCAGCCAGAGTGCGAAGAGAGACACGACATGCTGGTGACGGGAAAGGATAAACATACTCTGGACCGAGTGCTGCCACCGCGTTGGGCGTCTTGATCTTCCAGTGCTTGAACTCGCGAACGAAAGTGAGAGTGTTTGAACCCAAGACATGAGAGAACAACAGGATTTCCTCGCCTCGACGACCGTGGTTGACGGCAAACAGGTAGATCTATACGTTTAATTAGTCGCCTCAACTGTTAACCTGTCCTGCATACATTGAAACTTACCATTGAACTATCGTCTTCAGGCACGAAGATATCAATACCATGCAAGACCAAATCATGAGTTGGATCTAATCCTTCAATCTTCAAAGGGACGGTGGTATTGGTCTAATCAAATCGTTAGAATAGTCGGAAAGGATGTCATAGGTCATGTGCCATGGTTCGATAGTTGAGGGGGTATGATTACCTTGATATCGTATTTCAAAAAATACTCTCGATAGGTCTGTGCATTGACCGTATCGTGTAGATTGAGAGGTGGATAAAACACCTTTCGTGTCTCTGGATATCCGCATGCTATTGTTTTCGGGTTGTTAAGAGACAACCTCGACTCGAGATGTAGGTATGTCCAAGATTGACACAGAAAGACGTACCTAGGAAAGCCTCTCCTGAAGCTTGATGGATACGGACATCTTCACAAGCTTGTCCTACTGTTTTTATTTTGGTTCGTTAGACACCTCGTCACCCACAAAACAAGAAAAGATCTTGGGGTGAGCGAGAGTTGGACGAAACTGACCAGGATTCTTCCAACACTTGTCGTTGTTCAAAGCACCATGGTGTAAATGTTGAACCGCAGGTTGAAAATCCGACAACCTCCCACCATATTTGTCCAAAAAGGGTACGATGTAGGTCGGATTCGAGTACAAAGCTCCCAATGCCGCTACCAAGACTGGCACGGGGAGGAACTTGGTCCAGCCGCTGGACATTGTGGTTGATGGGTATATTTCGTAACGGCGACAACAACTGGATAATGATAAATCTCGATAAAGAGTATCAGATTTGAAGAAAGAAAAAAAGGACGTGTGGAAAAAGGACCGTAGGTAACGGAGTACAAGTCACGTTCGAGTACGGAGTAGAACTTTAGCTTTGTATCTCCCGTCTTACCCCGTACTCAGCAACTGACTGTAAATAGAGGGGAGGGGGGAGACCGCCGAGGGACAACCCATTCCATCCCATCATCACCTCACCTCACCTCACCTCAACCCCCGCCCCCCCTATATGCACGAACGAACGCACCCGTAATACAAATGTCAGAACAACCCCACACGACTGAAGATGGACCTACCGGCTTACTCCGTACGTTTCGAATGCCGCGGTTCAACCATTCCTTGACTTCGGACGGAGTATGTGCTGTACACCTTACCAACAGCAAGGAACGGCACCCGGAAGTATTTACCTACTCAAACAGCAGGTATCGAGCTATTGACCTTCATCCACTGCACATTCATTTGTATATTTCCATCGAGTTAAGCATCTTTGATCTGTTATCCTTATGAGACTACTGACATTCCCCACGCTTTGATTAATGTCGAATATGTATACTCGGTTGGCTATAATACAAATTACACCTCCTACTCGTATAATAAAGACTATTCACACTTCGATCTTGGGGCAGTACTCCATAGTGTACAATACCGAGACCTCAATATCTACTCGATAACAGGTCTTTCATCAACCTCCGCCATCTTTTCGTTAGTAAAGCCATTGACCCTCCCGTTTGATTTCGTCGTACCCGCAACCACCTCCACACCACCATTGGCTTTAACCCTGTCCTGAAAGCCATCGACCTCAACACCACTAATCAAAGCGTGACTAACTCCCTCTAGCCCCGCTACAAAGACGCACAACAAACTTCCGATAACGAAATGGCTTATGGTGGTACCAATCTCCAGCCAACTGCCTTCGTCCTTGACCATCCAGAAGAAGTTGAGCGTCATGAGATCGCTTAGCGCCATGACGACCATGAATAGAGCCGAGGACTGTAGACCTAGTCGTCTATTCAGTATGCCCAAAGCGGCGGAGATGATACAGAATGGTACCATGATTTTGAACAGCAAAAGGGCTCCTTGAGAGAATGGATCAAAAATCGGAATCAGCCGGTTCACGGCGTCGAGACTGAAACTTGATATCGATGCAATGTTTCCCGTTGAGAAAAATCCAGACTGTAAGAAGAAGAGGAAATATAGAGCTCGGCGGAGATCCGTCAACGCAAGTGTGCGGAATGTCTTCTCTGGGTGCAGGTTGGCGGGCTGAGACAACGCCGTGGAGGTAATGGTGACTCCATTCGCTGAAGGAGCCGTTACTGATCCAGACTTGGACTCGTCAAAGACCTGAATGGCATGCTCCAGTCGTACCCATGCTAGTAGCGTGGAACAGAAGGCGAAGTAGAACAGTCCTTCATAGGAGATGGTAAGGATTATGAAGGACGGCGAAAAAGTGAGAAAGATGATGACAAGGCGATGCAGATAATGCCGGTTTGGTGCCACTCGATGAACGAAAGGTAAGATGAGAGATGCGATGAGGGCGAACCAGCCTACGACCTGGTTGCCTAGTGGCAAACCCTTTTTTGCCTGGATCGAGGCGACACTTGATCGTGTTACGATGATGGCAAGTAGGATGACCCCTAATTGCAACCCCATGAGCATTCGAGAGACCATGTTAGGCTCGGACCCTTGGTGTCCTGATCTGGACATGGAATGAATCTCATGCTCATAGTAGAGGTATGCTAGCCCAGCCCCTAGCATGAGAAGACCACCAGCTGTAATGGTGTTTGCATCTTCAACCTTGATTACTGGGAGGAGAGTAAAGGTACTCAATACGAGGCAGCCCGCTGCCCATGATAGTACGAGACCTCTATTTTTGTTGATAAAGTCGACGCCGTAAAAAGCGGGAAAGATTGCGCCAAAAACGTAGCAGATGCTAAGCAGGATGCGATGAAAGTATGATTGTACCTGTCATAGTTAGAATATGTCAACACTTTCAATCTGAGGTCGGAGACTCACAAGTCCTTCGACAACCAGAAGATACACCACGGTCTGGATTGCAAGAAGTGTGTACGCCGGAATCCCTTGGAGATGACCAAAAAGGACTTTGAAGCCAGACATGAACGCCTGTCTCCTGGCGAAAACCTCTTCCCAGAAGAAGACAGGGAATAAAGCATACGCATAGTATGTGATGGGAGACCGTTCAATGATGAAAAAAGAATATAGCAACACCAGAATGGAAGAGAATGCAATAGTGGTGCCTGTCGTCCTGTGCTCTGGGGTTGCTCCGTGAAGCACGTGGAGATCAATCACGGTGGTAGCGGCATATGCAATCCAGCCTAGATAGCCTAAAGTGATCAGAGCACGAAGAAATAGCCAGTCATAGGTTTGTAGGTAGCGTAGACCCTGGAGACCATCGTTGAAGAGCTTTGAAGACATTTCGACAGCACTCTCGTATTCTTCTTGGCCTATCAGCCCCTCGATGACGGAGATTTGACGGTCAACTGTGGTGTTGCCGCCGGCAAAAGCTGGATAAGGCTGATAATTCAGCGATGTTGACCTCTTTTGTTCCTCTTTGACGTGATAGATCTCCAGAACTTGTTTGACATTCACAAGTGCTGCTACGGCCTTCTCACGAGGGCTAGCTGCCAAATAGCTTAGGGGCAGTCGACCAACTGAATTGACAGGGAATTCGAGCCCAACAAGGTATGCCATGAGTGCTGCGACATCTGCCTGATCAACGTCGTGTCGTCGAACATGGTCGAAACCCCAGTCGAATGAAAAGCCATCCTCGTGTCCCGGCGCTTTAACTTTGTTGTAGACCTCAGGTTTCGCTGCTCCAGCACCCCAAACAATCAATGGGGTCCTCGTATTGTCGGGATGACCATCACCATGACTTCCCCAGTCACTCATCCCATGGTCGGCGGTGAAAACGTAAGCCGTTTCGCCATCACCGTAGAAATTGTCTATTAGTTTTGTGATCTCCTCGACTCCCTGGTCAACGACTTTGATATTGTTCAAGTACTCTTTCGAATACGGCCGGTATCCATGACCAGTGGTGTCCAGCCCCAGCAGATGCAGGAAGAAGACGAGCTTATCGTCCCGCAGCATGGCATCAAGAGTTGAATTTGTGCTCGCCGATTGGAAAAGCTCCTTGACCTTATCAAATACCCAGATGTCCAACATTGTGGCGTCCGAGGTGAAGTCCTCGAAGTCTTCATTGTAATGGTCCGCATCGACACGACCCGGCACAGCACCTTCCTTGAACATGGGCAGGATGTCCGGACTCCCCCAACTCCACGTGTGTCGACTGCGGTTGAATACGCTGTCAAAGTCCACCGGGTTCAACTTCCACCCGGTAGTGACCGCGGAGACATCTTCGTACAGTCCGGCAATGAGCGCAACATGACCTGGTCTTGACTCTGTAGGCACTCGAGTATGCGAGACACCAAATGTGCCGTGCTCAAGCACTCGCGATCGTAGGAACGGCGCCAGAGGACGAGGGGTCAGGTCGGCATTGGCGGGATCTGGAGGACTCGGGTCTGGAAAGGACTGGAAGGCTTTGTCGGCGCGCAGTCCGTCGCCGACGAACAGAACAAGTCTTTTGGCAGGGGCGCGATCCACCTCGACCCGGTACGGTTTCATGCCATGAACAATCGGACTCGTGAAGTAGATATCGAAGATCGAGTAAATGTACACGAGGTGGAAAATCACGGCGAGGGAGAGGAAGCCTCCCCGGCTTAGTCTCGCCATTTTTGTTCAAGTTCTAGACGAAGGATCGACTTGGGTGAGAAGCTACCATTGTTGGTAAAGAAAAACAAAACTGTGCTCGCGCTGTACAGGACACTTTGGCTGCTCTACTCTGTTCTGCGAGGCGCAGTCTAGAGATCGCCCGTTGTCCTCAAAAGATTCAGGAGGAGCCAGGGAAATTTACTGATGCGGCAAGTCCGCCGATCTTCATACCACGGGGAGACTCAGCCTTGTGTGATAGGGTCCCTCATGCCGACGCAGGCGATTTATATAGGGGTTAGAATGTGGTCGCATTCATATCGGTATACCATCTAGTCGCAGAGTATGTCATGCGTCTCATAACAATTGCACAATTGTACCGCCGCTTCATTCATCCTGAACCAGGAAATTGAGCCAGAATTTCAATCCTTCTACACCCTCCTCCCGGCACAATGCACCTCTCTCTTCCGCCATCTCCAATTCTTCCACCGCAACTCCTAGACTCCATCCAAACTTCGCAGCTGCTTGCTGAGCCGTCACGCCGAATCCAAACGTAGACCATTCCCACGTAGGGACGTCTTCCGGCGTAGAGGAGCGTAGAGTGTCCAGCCAATCCCTCAGCTGTTTGATGGTCTTTTCGTCACTAGCATCTCTTCGTTGCACGGCCAAAAGCCCACTCTTGAACCTTCGCATCTTGACGGGGAGTCCGAGTCTTTCCCAGGCTTCCGCAGCTTTTTGAAAGTCAGAAGGACTCACCAGCTCCAGTCCATTCTGACTTCGGTTAAACATGGCCCAAAAGTCGACCAGACTCATTGTACCTCCTTGGCTGCGTAGAATACCTCTCCTATCATCTGTAGCGTATTCTGCAAGGTTTCGTGCCAGCTCAGAGATGTACAGTGTATTCGAGCTATCTCCGAGGATGTCCTTGGTGGTGACCATCCCCAATGCAGCGGCGGAGCGTGAGAGCAGAGGGTCGGATGATGTCCCCGCAAGGCCCAAGTCTGATCCCGATTCTGCTGCAAACTTCTCGGCAAGGGCAACAATGTCCTTCGCGGAAGCCATTAGAGCTTCCAGATCCCCAAATGCATTGCCCAGAACGGTCTCATTGTTTCGTCGGGTCTCCAACCCTCGCCGTTCGAGGCCAGCAATCCCAACAGCGGATGTACGCGGCCCTGCTAGGGGCGCAGGACTCGCGCTCTCAGTTGGCGTTGGGGACCGAATCTCGGCGTGTGGGATTGGTGGCGCGGATTGCAAGAGCCACTTGCGCTGGATCATGGCGTTCTTGAGTCGCTCATAGAATACTTTATCACCACCTGTGCGGAATGAGAACTTTACACATATCGACTCATGCTGCCCTTCCTCCAGAGACAGTCCGGCTATCTCGGGCCCGGGCGATTCGGATCTATTCATCGATTCCGTAAAGGCCACACGCTGTATCGAGGATGGTACTGGGAGTGGAGCAGAACAGAGTTCGCATATTCGCATACCAGGATGATTGCGAAATGTACACCGAGGGCAGGTAATGTCATCGCTGATATTGCCATCATCGTGAGTGGCTGTTGATCTGATCGCCTCGGTGTTATCCGAGGCTTGAATCCCACTTTCTGGGACTCGTTTTGCGTTTGCAGCGATGGCCGCCTTGAGAACCAAGGCGAAGGGAGGTTTGATGCCACATGCGAGGCAGGGTGGCAATGGGAAAGCCTCCGTGGCAATGGTCGGATCGAAGTTCGAGGGTACAGGGTTAGAGAATGAACAAATGGGACACACCCATGTGCCCACCACAACAGGTTCGATGGCCGTAGAGACAGTCGTTGAACGGAATGGACTTGTTGATCTGGACGTTGGCGAAGATGACGATGCCAGCCTCTGGAATTGTAGTGGTTGAGGCGCAACGGATCTGGTTCCGCTGCCAAACCCGCGCTTCAACGGCTTCGGGAACAGGGTGATCTTGGCCGATGATTTGAGAAATCCAGCCTGCATCAAGCTGGGATGAGCTTGGAGTTTGAGTGAGGAAGAAATGTCGAACTTTACCTGAAATTCATATTTCTCAACTTCTTTCAGGTCGACAGCCCACGAGTTACTTCGAGGATCCGCGTCGTCGACGTAACAAGCCCGGTGAGAAGTCAAATAGGCATGGCCTTTCTGGCAGCTAGCAATCTTGTATTTGCTGGGATTGACGTGAGCATGGAAATCAAGACATCGCCAGTGGATTGATTCTCGCACCCTTCATAAAGTCCAACGCCATCCTGGACCACCAGCAAAGTTTCATCATCGGCAAGCGTTGGGCGGGAGCCAGCAGTGAGATCTGGCTTTTTGAGGAACATCCGGCATTCGTCTCAGGCTCCGTATCATCTTTAACGGGACTATCGAGTTGCCTTGGGAATGCACACTAGTATGCTCAACGTTATCATTGAATGATGTAGGGATTGTCCAACATGGCGGCCTTGAAGACATTCGGACCAAGTGCCTTGTTATCATCCAAAGCGCCGATTATGGTTAATTTGCCGAGATGTATCTACTGCGGAGCATTCGGACGACATTTGTTTGAACTCTCTTGCTACTCGTATCTGTGCTTCATTTCACCATTGCAGCATCCGTCGAATCGTCCGAATGCATTCATGACGCTTCACCTACAGATAGTCTTCTTCTGAGCATTATTACAGGAAGTATGGAACAAAGTGAGTTTAGACAGCATGATACATTCGCTCCATTGGACCCTCTGACAGCAGGACATTTCTGGCATGTCTCGTTTTCATACAAATACAAGGTCGTCAAGCGTGATCCACTCCATCTGGGTCATCTTTTCATACTACATACAGCGCAAAAAGTCATGCTGCACGGGAGCAGGGTACGAGTAGGCTTTAATTATTACCTATCACTCGCCGCTCCTCGATCAGGTACGCCCGTCGCGTTCTTCGCTCTCGAATACCCTGGGTCCTTCTTGACACTGTCACCCTCCGCCGCGACCTCGACATCCCTCGCTGGCTCTGTATCCTCTGCACCTTGGCGAGTCACGTTGTGTCCACTGATAGGCCCACGAGGGTGATCACCCTCCTCCGCCAGTCTACGGAACTCGACATTCACGTCACCGTGAAGGCCACTTCCGCCCGTGGCGCCGGCGCCTTCGGGACCGCTCGTCGGCTTGCTTCTAGTATGTTGCCCTTCGTGGCGCACTTCGGTGCTCGTCTCGCCCTGGATCGGTTTACCCAAACCCGTGTGAACATCCGCGGAGGTGGCCCCCGGGAGGGTGCTCAGCGGATCGGTGCGAACACCTTCCTTGCCGTGAGAGCGGAGGACGTCCGGGTTGTTGGCTTGTCCCGGAATTTCGGAGATCGGGTTGGGTTGGTAAGTTGATTCCTTCGGTGCCGTCCCCGGAGGAAGTATCTGAGCGGAGAATTCTGGTGCGTTGTCGGCCGGACTGACTTTTTGACCTACTTGGTGCTGCAACACAAAAGTGTTAGCCAGTTGCTCTCTCTCACACGCACATGTATTGTCGTCATGGACTAGTCAAAACATACACCGTGTTGTTCCATAGGTTGGTCACGAGGTCTTGAAGGTTGGAATTCTCCTTGTGCATTGGTCATGGAGTCGGGATTTGTGGAAGCCATGTTGGAAACGAGTTTTGTTGTTGGAGTGTTCGCAAACGGCGATTTCAAGTTTGTGATTGTTTCCAAGGATTATTATCGATGATATGTAGAACGACTATGCGTTACAAGAGAAGAACTGTTCGTAGACGTACTCAGGAGAAAGAGAGGCCATGGAAGGGTTTTTAAAAACAAAAAGTGATCGTTGTGCATTCTACGAGGTATCTACTCATAGTGATGTCATGTTCAGACAATTGGAGGGAAAAAGTGAGATCATGCTGGGTACGAGTAACTCGCACACATAGTGATTCCGTCGACAATGCGCATGGGAAATGTCTCCCATGTACTCGTAGGAATTTACAAGGTGGTATTTGATCGTCAAAGGAATTTTGTAATGGAGGAGGCGAAAGACAAGTATATGACGGCACGGTATTACCTTCCCAGCGAATCAAATCTATATCCATTTGCGGAGCCTTGTCTCAACACCAATGCTCGACCTTGATACAATGGACGACGAAGGATGAGCTTGAGGTAGACCAAGTGTAATCGTCGTATGGACTGGGTTAAGAAACCTCTTCAGATGTGCATTGTGGGAATTGATGCTCCTGTTATCTGCGAGGGTCAGCAGTCGGAAAAGCACCTTGGGTATCTCTGATTCTGAAGGACCCGAGTGACAATTACAACTTTCGATCCCCATGACATCAAAATACAAAAGCCCTACTGACAAAACTCATAATCGGGACAACCCAGAGTACCGTCGTTTTGTTTTTCAGTATCAATGGTCGCATTACACCTGTGAGGCGAAATTTTAGACATCTTGATTCACCATCAGACCCTCCTCGTACAGCAGCTTTAGCTACCCATAAACTTTGTAGACTCCCTCACTTCCCCATCGAAAATGTCCGAAGTCAAGGCCAAAGGAGGAGCCACCATCGAAAAAGGTGACACTGTTAGCACTCCCGTACGTGCAAACACAAGATCTACTATTCGCCGAAGGAGAGACTGACAATATGCAGTACAGAGGAGGAAAGCATGAAGGACAGGTGGATATATCTCTGTTACACCCATACCCATTCAGCTGACCGTTCCAGGTCGAGCAGATTATTACAGACGACAACGAAGCCCAGCACACAGGGGCTAAAGGAACCAACCACGCACCCGCTGTTGTCTTCACCAACCAAAACAACAAGAAGGTCGCTCACAAGCCTGGTACTGTGACAGACTTGGACAAGGAGTAGTGAGGTGAATTCCTGGACCCAACACCAGAAGCATGATAGACAATATACTGAACTAACAAAATGTGCAATCTTCAGTTGATCTGGCCAATGTCACTTTCACCACCGATTACTCATCAGCAAAAGGCGGATTAAGATCAAGTAGCTTTATCATATCTCTGTCCAGCGCATTGCGTAACCATTCCTCACGTAGAACTTGGTGGCGCTCAAGTTGTGAAATTCTAAGGGCCGGATACCCAGGTTGGTTGCGGATCATGTCGGATTGGGGTTCTTTATGATATTGAGCATCCAGTGTGGCCAACATCTCAGCCATTTCAAAAGATGGCTGGTCCTCCGTGTATTCGACATTGCGAGGTTCTTGCCAGCTACTGTATTGGAGCCACTCCCACTCCCAGCCCAAGTCTTCCTTGGCTAGAATATAACTAAAGGGGACGCGATGTCCATCCGTAGACACGGGCCAGCCCCCAACTAGGTATTCTTCCAAATAGTGTTCCAGATCGTTCAAGGAGCCAACCAACGCATGACAGTATCCTTTGAGGATCTACCAAGGATACTCGCGTAGACTTAGAGGGGAGGGGGGATATCCGAGCCTGCATACCGGCAAACAGTGAGTCGTACCCTGTATGATGTTGAATGTCGTTATCCAGTAGTTCCTTAATCTAGTACGTTCATCGTCTGCAGGATGGATCACGTCCACCAAAACCACACAAGCCAATAGATTGGGCATCCCGGAAGGGCCTCTCGAGTGCAATGAGTCTAACCTCTGAACAATCTCTGTCCTTTGGGGTCCATGCAGCGGATCCTGGTCGATCATGTTGTCAATAGGCCCGAGCCTGCTATTTTGCTCATGGTAGGCGCAGCCCTCGTCTCTTCTTGAGAGATAACCTCTTGGATAGTTGCAAAAGCTGATGATGCAGGTCTCAAGTAGCGGAGCGGGTGGTAAAGCTTGAGGGCAGAGATGCAAAGCACGAAGTCGGAGGTGTACTAGTCTGGGAAGTATGTCCCGCAGAGATATACACATTCCTGCACTGTCGGTTCCTCCGGTGTCCATCTCAACACTCGTACAGCTTTGTGGGAGTGATCTGAGCAAGTCCGAGAACACTGCGCCAGGGAGGTTCGGTTCTCGACGCCAATCACAGCGCATATATTCTCCCTTGATCACCAGTGAGAAAGAGACTAAGTTACACATTCTGGACCGGATCAAGTTTGTCAAACATATCAGGCGTGTGATCATGTCCTCCATTGGTTTGGTATGTGGCCCCTGTACAGGATGGTACCCAAGCAAGGGCCATGTTCCCCGATCTAGACCTGGACAGGGCTTGAAGCGACTAGGCCATCCAGAATGTGCTGGAACAGTGAGCGATACGCTCAAAGTTTGAGTTGACTGAAAAGACTTGGGAGGGCCGAAAGCGTAACAACGATCAAGTAATAACCGCAACCGTTTTTCATCAAGGACGAGGTTCTTCGTCAGTAACGGTTCTCTAAGTCGCTTCTAACTGGAACTGACACGCAAAGTGGGAAGAAACTCATGGGTGGAAGCTGTATATCTGATCAGAAAGAGTGCCTCCCGGATAATATCATCATTGAGCGACATATCGGATGCTTTCTTTTTGAGGTTGATAAGATAGTGATGGTCGAACACTGTACTTGGATATGAAATTCTTATCTTGGAGAGGAAAGTGTATAGTGATTGTGAGTGCTTCTTGTGCTTAAAATCAGAGGATATCTGAGGGCGGTGGTAGCTGCTCAAAGTAACTCCAGTCTTTCATAATCAACATGAAAATAGTGCAAGAGCGATGGAGTTATACCATCATCAAGCGTTCACTCTCGTTGCCGAAATTGCCGATTGTTTTGTAGGTGACACTGTGTGAATGCTTCAATAGTCTTGGTTCGATATACCATGGTCTACTTGACAACCGCAAGTAGATATCCGTCATAATTTTTCGATCCCACCGTCTGGAGTACAACTGCGTCGACTCTATCATCCTTGCCAACAGCCTCAATCAATTGTCGTGTGCCTGCCACACGCGAGTCCTCTTGTATCGCTTGCTCCTCAACAATACGACCACCCCTGACCACATTGTCGACGTAGATACATGTTCTGGGTCTGATCATTTGCAGAGCCGACTCGAAATATGCCAAGTTGTTCTGCTTGTCTGCATCAATAAAGACGAAGTCAAACGGCTCGCGTTTGCCATTCTTGACTTCTTCCACCAGCCGAGGTAGGATGTCTGTGCCTGTGCCCAGCAACACAGAAATTTGTTCGCTCATGCCTGCACGTGCAATGTTTTCTTCTGCGACAGCTTTGTGGTGCGGATCTACCTCGATCGAAGTGACCTTCCCAGTCTTGCCAGCTCCGATTGCCAGCCAAATGGAGGAGTAGCCTCCTAAGGTCCCGACTTCCAGTATATTCTTCGCTCCTGTGAGTTGGACTTGTATGGACAAGGACTTCCCTTGGGACGGGTCAACTGCTATATCTGGCAGACCCTTTTCCAGTGAGTTTCTATGGGCAAACTCCAGTATATCATGGTGCATATTGCGCACGGGATTGAGCAGATGAGCCGAAGTGTACTCTTCGACTGCTTTCCAGCGAGGGTTCGACCCGGAGGATGCTGACCTTGGTGCCATCGTTGGAAGGACTGGCTTTCTCCAAGCCAACAACTGCAAAGTCGACGATTACAGAGGAGGATCGACCAGTTTTGCTTCGGCTTCTGCCTTTCTATGCTGTAAGATTGTTGAGATGTCCTGATGCAGAGGAGTCGCGAGGACTGCTGCGATCGTGTAGTCGCCGTCGTGACTGATACTTAATTGTGCTGTTTGCTGGGTGAATTTGCCGGCCATCGACGTATTCGGATCAGCGTTCGTATCGCAGATCATTGTGACGCGGCCTCCGATCTCGGTCTCGACTCTCAAGTCACCAAAGCTCAACAATGTAGCATCCCACGCTTTCTTAGCTGCTTCTTTGGCTGCCCAACGTCCGGCAATCCAAGAGGCAATCTGTCGTCGCTTAGACTCATCCTGAGTTTCCAGTTGTGTCCATAATGGAAAACGACGGCGAAGGTCGTCTAGCTCCTTTGCATGCAGAAACCGTTGCGCTAGCCTGGTCAAGCGTTTACTGTCTGGTTTGAGTGGACAGAGAATACGGTTGGTCGCGATGATGTCGGTCCCAATGCGCAGAGCGGCTGGAAATAGAACCCGCATCTGTACGCAAGGTGATAGGAGCGAGAACGATCACGAAAGGACTAGTCACCTCAAATTCGCGTTCGTGAGATCATGGGAAATGTATTCTGGAACAGTTCCAAGTTCAGGTATGTTTTGGGGGGAAACCGAAAATACTGTAGGCTACCTTTAGGTACCTAAGCTTGGCCTAAGCAATAACTGCAGTGAACAAACCCCCCGTACGGGGAACATGCCGGTACTTGTGGTTTTCATGTATCGGGGTAAAGCCGATTACACTAGCACTGACCTGCTAGCAACCCATGGTCCATTCAACCTACAAGCAATCTTTTCCAACGATTTGAGAAGATCTATACGAGCCTGTATCTTTTGCGCCGAACCAATCAATTAGGAAGGCATCCATACCATCTGGAAAAACGGCATTTCTAGTCCGCTCAACTCCGCAATGAGGGGGGCGTCTTGCCCGTGGCCATTACCAATATAAAAACAATTGATACCAGTTTCGCAGCGCATCTCATTCAGTCGTCGCCATTTCAAAGCAATCTCCCTAGAAGAGAATCCTCAAAATGAAGCACATTCAGTGTACAGGCAGCCCCTTTGAAGTGAGTCTTGACTCCTTGAGATGGGCCAGCCGTACATGCCACTAACGAACAATCGCACGTAGATTGGCCGGCAACACGGGCAGAGCGCCAAAACGGAGGTGCATGGAAGTATCGCTTTCTATGAGAGCTTTTTCAAAGAGCGAGCCAAGCTATCATGGCCCCAAGTTCGCGATGTAGCCAGAGCATTTGTCCCCTTGCTCGAGACTTCGTACCCCGACTATCTGGAGGAAATGAAAGGTGTGGCAGAAGGCGCCGACGTCGATCTTGATTCTGTCATCGCACTCAACGTTCGTACCGAGATCGCGTATGGTATGCTGAGTGACGGATGTACTGCATTTACTTGGAAGACGTCAGATGAGAGTTTCATTGGCCAAAATTGGGACTGGCGCATGGAACAGACGCCCAACGTCGTTTGTCTGAGCATTGAGCAGCCGCCAAAGCCGACGATAAAGATGATGACTGAAGGTGGTATCATCGGCAAGATTGGCTTGAACTCGGCCGGGGTGGGAGTCACCCTGAACGCGATTGCGGCGCCCGGCGTGTCATACAACAAACTTCCCGTACATGTGGCCTTGCGAAGAGTGTTGGACAGTACTTCCCGAGAAGAAGCAGAAACCGCTCTGCGAAAGGCAGGCGTCGCGGCCGCGGCTCACATCACAATAGCGGATTCGGCCACGGGAGCCTGTGGATTCGAATGCACTGCCCTGGATATCGTCGAGATGCCCATGGACCCAAAGGGCATCTGCACACATTCGAACCATTTGGTCAAAGGACACAAGGTACAAGGGTCATCTATGCTGCCGGACTCACCTTTCCGCCTGAGCCGCATTCAGGAATTGCTGAGTGGCATTGACAAACCGACGACGCAAAACTTCGCCGAAATGTTCAAGGACGAGAAAAACTATCCGGCCTCAATTTGTCGAGCTGTGGGTGAGAAGAGTACCATACAGACTCTGTTTTCAATCGTGATGGATCTGAAACAAGGCACCGCTAGAGTCAAGATGGGTCGACCGACTGAGGGCGGAGAAGTCTTTGAATTGAGACCGTGAAAAGGCTTAGATCTTGCTAATACTTTGTCCATGATAAAAGAAGATGCCCATGATCCGCTTTTTTTCAAACAAGTGCCGAAAGTGATTTGATATTCTCATCCTTCTAGTGTATGTACAAAAGTCGCAACTTGCGAATTTTCCATCTCCTTCCGAGGGGCTTTGCAGAACAAAAACGTTTCGTCTAGTGTGCCTCCTTGCCCGAGATCTTGTTTGCCTTGTCCTCTTGCTCGACTTGTTGCAGGAACTCTCTGCGAAGTAAATGGTCAGGTCATATACCGCGTGTGGTGTTCTTGGGCGAGCCGGGTTTCTCTTACTGAATGAATTTCTCCTCGTCCTTGCTCGAAGCGTTGATCGGAGGTGTCGTTGACTTCTTGGAGCCGCCACCTCGTGTCATGAGATATGGGATACCAAAAGTCGCACCGAGCGTGGCCATGGCCAGCTAATGACAGATGTCAGCGTTTCCATGCCCCGACAACACCAGCTTGTGTCATTTTGCGAGAGAGCAAAGAAATATCGTTTTGAGGTTTGGAACAAACGGGACAACGCACCCAGTGTGATCCGACCTGCCGGCCGGCAACAGTGTACATAGCAACCATCTTGACGAAGTAGGGATGTGGAGGAGGTGGTGGACTGGGGAAAGGGAAGATGTGTGGTGTCGTTGTTCAGAGGATGTTATTTCACTTCGTGAATTGAATGCCATGCGACTTTCGCTCGCTTCCGCAGTTTCGAGCTTCAAGAAGCTGCACGTGATTTGATTATACGTACGGTCAAGCATAAAATCAAAATTCAAGGCTAACATACGGTGAAACAAATGCGCCTCTACAGTCACCTAACTGTTCCTTTCGTCATAGCGACTCATCTTACCCCAAGACGTGCCGTGCAAGGCCGAGGCTCCCCGGTTTATGCTTTTGCTTGCCCGTGAGGCATATACAGCCTTGTACTACAGCGAAATAAAGTTGACTTTTGACTGCCTGCCTGCCTGCACTGCCCATCCTGATAAAAGCACACGACACCTCAGCAGATGTGAGTCTCTGGCACAACACCTCTCTCCGACTCTTCCACCTCTTGGAGCGTACCCTCGAACCATGGCGGAGCGCAACAACTCCTCCCCCGACAGGGAAGCTCCGCGTGCTCCGAACGCCGCCTTCCCACGGGAAACCCTGCCCAAGGACCTCCAGAAGATCATCGACCGACAGTCTCAGGATGACTGGATGGAGAACATCTACGAGGGCGCGGCGCCCGACACGACGGACACCAACATGCGGTACGCAGCCTACGCGAACCGCCTGCGGACCATCATGCTCAGCGCCCAGCGTTACGTCGCATACACCTCCGACATAGGCGAGTCGTTCCGGCCCGTCGCACACCCATGGCTGGTCCGAGGGGCCTACGGCGTCTCGTGGGCCTACGTGCTGGGCGACGTCGCCAATGAAGGGTGGCGAACGTACAAGAGGAATCAAAAGAGGTTACACCCCGACGGCGACGAATACCGGGACGCAAGTAAGACCTCCCTCGCGGCCCAGGAACTCACGAGGCCGCCGGTACACATCCCCGCCATCGAAGACTACCGGAGCGTCATGGCGCAACGAGCGGTCTTCCAGAGTCTGGCGTCGATGGGTCTGCCGGCTTTCACGATCCACAGCATCGTCAAGTACTCCGGGAAGGCTTTGAAGAATGCAAAGAATGCAACGATACGGACATGGGGTCCCATTGGGGTGAGTATTAAAAGACTGGTACCGAAGTTGTTCCTTTCCCGACGACTGACAATTCAATAGCTCGGCCTTTCATGTGTTCCTGCGCTTCCGTACTTTTTCGACAAGCCCGTCGAAGAGGCTGTGGAGTGGACTTTTTACCAAGCATTCAAGGCCATTGGCGGAGAGAAGGCAGTGGGAGATAGACATTCCGTCGGCCGGCAAGATGCCATCAAGGCTGAAGCCAAGATTTTGAAGGAGAAGAAAGAATTATGAAGCTCTTAATGGTTAAAGTCAAGCGTTGGTCCAGTTCATGATGTTTCATTAGCCCGCCACTCAATACGAGGGAAGTATTGTATATAGAACAATCCGCTTATCTAAAGGTACCATACAAAGACGAAACCTCCTATGACTTTCATGGACTCGTTCTGCTTACAAGAATCTCGCTAAAATACCATTCAAGTCACTTTCACGGGTTCCTTCTACGAGTATATTTCAGTAGATAGCATGTCGTGTTTCGTAACATTGGCTTTTGATACGTTATCTCAACCGATCACTCAGTAACGACCATGTCCTCGACCGCTTCCACCACGGGCCCGATAGTCACGCCCACAGCGAGCTGGTTGTCGTCCGCGGCTTGCAGAGCGACGATCGAGACCAGGGAAGCCATAGCCTCTATGCTCACGGCTCGGGAAAAAGCTGTACACTCGCTCATTACTCCTGGAGACACCTTCTCGCATTGCCTTGGCACCAGTCTGACTGGCTCCCGGAACCGAATATCCCTTTCTCATACTGTCTCTCACACAGTTCCGGAGAAACTCGGTCAGTTCCACCTTGGTCGGCAAGTGCTCAATACCCATGACAGCCAAAAAGTCTAGAAAGTTGTCGACATTTTGAATCTCTTTGACCTGGTGGGCAAGACGTGCTGCAGCACCGAACGGCGGAGCACCATGCGAATCATATAGTTCGTCGCGCATTTGAACCAAGGTTTTCCGACCGTGACCGCTGCCACGGTTCACGGTGAGGCGAAATAGGTTAATGAACATCAGCAGACGGTATGATGTCTTGGAAGCCTGAAACGTTTTTGACAGTCGATATTCGCAGACTTCATCCGGTTCCATGTACACGAGATCCACCTTACCGGCGCCCCTCCGCTTATCAAGCATCCACACAACGTTGCGAGTAACTGCCTCGCGGATGAGGGCGATTCGGAGCTGCTGAGTGAAGTCCACATCCGCAATGAGAGATGCAATGAGAAGATGTCCAAGGTTCGGACAATGAGCTTTTGAGGTGTAGCCATTCTTGAAGTCTTCGAGCACACCATTGGCGACCTGGACAACAGACTTGTAGGTTGTAGCCAAGCACAAAAGGAGGTGGAATATATGAAAGTATGACTCGATGGCCTTCTCTGAAGCATGCTTTAGGGTGCTCTTGCTGTCTTGCTGCTCGAGGACACGTTGCTCGAGTCTTTGATGGAAATTGCTGCTGTATTCCTGAGGCAGTGCAGCTTGGCTCAACCTTACTACAATGTCGTTCAGGAAGTGGTAGATAATATCTGATCCTGTCAACTGCCCCAGTTCTGCCGCGCGGGCGATGTTACCGAGACAACCACTGATACGGTCCTTGATTAGAGCGTAATGGCTGCGAGACAGAGGTAGAGGCAGCCAGGACCGGAATGGTGTTCCGTGGACAGATGTGCGAACGCGAAGATTTTTATAGGCATCGTCAGAGATAAGATCGAATTCGCTCGCGATCATTCTCTTTCTTCCTGGAGTGACAAGAGCATCCACTCCGATTCCCAATGGGGTATCCCGGAAGGACTTCTTGAGGACAAAACATTGTAATTCACGGTTTCGAAGAATGTTGAACTTTGTCACAATACCTCGAGGGCCGCCAACTCTGTTCCAGGAACGAGCCAAGTTCGAAAGGTCCTCGGATTCTAATTTGTCGCAGACGATAGCCAAGATTTCGTCCGGAAGACGTGCAAAAGGCTGTGTAGTGACAGCAGGAGCACTTTTGGGAACTGTGCCATAGGAGACGGCAACAGGAGTAAGAGTTGTTGCAGATCTAGAGTCTGTTGACGTTGCCCACCCTCGGGGATCGACAATCCCAAATTGGCAGAAAGGGCAACGATGCTGTGGATGGGTATTGCTAATTTGCCGGTATGTTCTCAGATCAACCTGCCTGCCTGATGACTGTTCGATATGATCGCTATTGAAGAAGCTCAATATCTGTATCGCTATACCCTGGAGAGTGTACGCCGGCGTATAGCCGTCCTTTGTGTTGAGGATGCTGGCACAGATGTATCTGCCAAATACGTTGGGGTGTCGAATTTGGGTGTCACAGGCAATGGTTGGTGGATGGAGCGGGAAGTCCTGAGGAATGTTGACCGTAAGGTGGATTGGCCTCTTTGCTTCCGGAGTAAGAATGAGACAAGCGCTGCGGATGTCTGTCCGGGGAATGAACGTGATGTACGGGTAAGGCTTTGATTGAAACTCTGCGATGTCGCGCAGGAGCCGTTGATGGAGAGCCATGGTGGTAGTCACCTCATAGATGAGGATGTCGTGTCAGTTTCTGAACCAGTTGGTCCCTTAGGAAATGTTTGAACGATTGTTGATAATGGGTTTTTCCTTAGATCAGTGGAAGTGACCCTATCACGGGGCAATGGTTATCTGGAAAATGCGAAGCAGTAAGAGGAGTGTTATATATCATGATAAAAGGCTGCAATGAGCCAGGAGGATGAGTCATTCTGTCTCAGGTTTGGATCGTTGAAAGCTCAAGCGAATGAAGCATCAATACATGGTGCCCATGCTCATCTATGGGCGTAAGTGGGGAGAGTGTGGCCGACAACATCTGAGGCTGAGCTATCGATTGAGGCCACAATCTTGACTCTGCCACTTACCTCTGTAATTGTATCATGATATACTGGTATCGAAATAGTCTTGATAAGACCTGCACATCTGTTGAAATCCACATCAGTCTTAACACGCGCTTTGTATGGGCTGGCCATTGTCAAATATGATTGTCCAGGAAACCGGGTTTTCATTTTGGCTATCACAGCTTTGGCGGCCGTGTTGGTCTCCATGCACATATCCTCAGTAGGTCTTCCCTAACTTCCAAGGAAAACGCAGGTTTGGCTGGGACCTAGGCATTCTATCAGCATTGCAAATAAAATAAGACGTTCGACGATGATACGCAAGAGAACAAATACAGCAGAACGACTGTTGCATATATTCCCTGGATAAATGTCGGCCCGACTCCGGACTCGGTGCTTTTGCAACTGACTCATCAATCAACCTCGATCGACAATCTTCATTCTAGAATGTCTTTTTGTACGACTCACGGTCTTTAAGCAGTCTCGAATAGACCGCCGTAGAAAGGGTCATTTACTTTCTCTTTTCTCAGCATAGACAACTTCCGGGAGTACTTCAATGTGCTGCTCGCGTATGAATCTGCACCTATGCCCGCCCTCGAGCCTGGACGAAGGGACGACTCGTCAAAGGACTCGAATGCCCACCAGAGGGTCCCCCTGCAAACTCCTCAGACCCCTATAGCGAAAATCCAACAACCTTCCCTAGAAAAAAATGGGCTGTCACACTGGAACACCTCCAAGTTAGGCTTGAGAGTGGGTGCGGATCTCATATCTGCAGCAAGTGCATCAGGCCTGATAGCACCTGTGATATGTGTCATAGACCGGTATGTGCAAGCAAGAGCTGGCAGAGATATACTCTAAAAAGAGATGTCAAGATATGCTGTTCCGCACTAGAAACATGAAAGTCGTCTCTATCCGCCACGAGATTGGCGTCTACTTTCCGGCTGTCTTTCACTGATTGACACCATCTTTTAGTTCAATAGTTGAAAAGGCTGCCAAAGGAGAAGCGTTCTCGTCCTGTCTCCTACGTTCCCTCCGTCCGGCCTGTACACAACCACATAGATTTCTCCTTTCTAAACCGTTCCTCCTCATATTCGGTCTTTACTTCTTGACCTACACCACAGCCAACACAGTCGACACGCTCACCTCGACAGTATCTTCGAAACCAGCTTCGGCAGTCTCCTCTGGGCCGGCCAAGTTCCTCGCGACTTCGTCCGTGAATATGAGTTTGTGCGTGTACAAGGACTCGCAATTCGTCCGCATGTTTGGCGCCCCGTCGCTGGCAGCAGCAGCCGCCGTACCTAGGCTCTCATATGCCCTATTCGCTGTACGAGACAGCATGACCATATTCGCCTCGTTCAATCTTCCTCCCATCATTGCCCCACAACTGGCGAATCTGGCCCCGAGCGTAAGATCTCGGTTCTCCAAGCTTCTCAGCACGGAGTCAGGGCGAGCGAACACCGCACAATTTTTGGCTCCTGCGGTGATTCAGCTCTTTTCCACGCCAATCCATCTTCTCGGGCTAGACTTATACAACAGACAAGGACGGCTGGGACTCGTGGACCGGTACTCTCGAGTTCTCCGGGACTGGGGTGTGAGCACGCTTGCGAGAATGGGAAGAATCATTGTAAGTCTGGCATTCTCATTCTGTTTCTGTTCCTGTGCTCCAACTAATACACACTTCAGCCTGCCTTTGGTGTGGGCGGCGTTGTCAATGCGAACGTGCGTAAAGATTTAATGACCAAAATTGACGCCGCATGAACCTTGAGACCGGAAGGTACAGGTATTAGAAGTTGATTCTCTCAAAAAGCAACTCGGTTTCAGGATCGGAAGGTTGGTATCGAATACGGTTGGCATTCGTGGTTGCAGGACGATATGGGACACTGGTACATGGGTATCTTCAATAATATTAGATAAAATGAGCGCAGACATGTCTCAGAAAGCACACTCAATACGAAATTACCACGGCTTGTATAATTTCTAGTCTAGAGAGTTCAAGAGTTCTACCTGTAAAACTGGGCGCCCTGCGAGTAAAGGCTCCTTTAGTCATAGTGATAAAAATGAGTTTGGTGAATATGAGACAGAAACGTCCAAGAAACGCCGCTTTGCTCCTGAATATGCGGCCTGAGTCCTTCTTTGTCAACGCCATGTTCTAATGGAATGGCCCAGCCAATTTCACTTCAAGACTTTAAAGATGCCAAATGCTTTCACTGCCACGTTGACCATTAGAGCGACTGCGGCTAGCACGACAAAAATTTGTCCAATTTCCATCCAATTGTTGAGCGTCATTTCGGTTTCGATGAACCCATCCTTTGAGATGCCTTTTCCCGTGTCCGCTGAATCGGGATCGGCAGGGAATCGACCAGTCTCATACCACTGTTCGAGGAGTTCGTCCTTCTCTCGCCAACGCTCCATCAGCCAAGCTTCGAATTCTTTGGCATCAGAAAGGGGGATGGAAGACACCGCAAAGCGGCGCCAATGCATGTTGACGCATTTTGGCGGACGACCTTGTAGATATGTCGAGCGGATTGTGAAATATTCTGGGGCAAAGCCTCCTTTCCTGCAGCAGTGTCAGCAATGTTGATGATGTGTCGAGCAAGAAAACGTACGGCGTTCCTTCATATGCAATGGTACAATCGTAAACCCAGTCGACTGTACCCTGCAATTGTTGAAGACAAAAGAACAGACCTGTACTTCGTGGAAGCAGAAGGTGTTTCATGTCTGGGATCGCTTGCTTTTCGGCCCATTCGCGGCTCTTTCTCTTCGTGTTCCTTGCAAGATTGGTGCCCTCTGGGAATATCAACAACCACATTGGATCGAGACCTTGTGAGCCGGACATGGGACCGCCGTGCCGCGTCTTCAGCTTCTCCAATCGATGCTGCAGACGCGGTTTGTCCTGGATCCATTTGCGTGCCATGAAGATAAATCCGTAGAACATCATCCCAGGGCCCAGCACAGGAACATACTTGAGCGATTCCTTCAGGATGATGAATATATGGCCATGCATCCGACTCGTGTATGCTATCCACCAGAGATACAGCCATTCGGTGTACACCTGGTGATTAGCAATATAGACGAGTCTTTCCGGAAAAGAGGTTTCCAACCTGCCAGACTTGTTCTTGGAGAATTGTCCCCGTAGATCTTTATCCCAACTCACTCTGACTTTGGTCGACGCAAACCACCTTGTCCCAGCAATGCCCACTACCCCAAACGACTGTTTGGTCAACGCCATGTATGCATAGTAGTAGTCCTTGTTCCACCAATAGAGTGGCGCGCCCAGGAACTGCGTCACATTGATTGAGACGCAGCCGCAGTTGAACCACGTCAAGAGGAGGAGAGCACGAAGTATTTGGCTGAAGGTACCATATTTGACCTCTCCAGCCGGATGTGGTTCTTCTTTAGGGGCCACCGGGCTACCGTTTGTTGTGTCTTTGGGTCCATTAGTCACAGCGGAGTGCGTCGTCCGGCTTCTGAGGGTGTTGTCTGCCATGGTTGGCAGGCTCGAGGTTCGATGTTGAGTATCCGCTTGTATGTCTAGAGATATGCACGGAGGAGCGTCAGCACTTGGAGGGACGGTTGCACAACAGGCTAGGCTGTCTCGAAGCCATCGGCCTAGTAGGAGGAAAACAATTCAACGCAAAGGGGTCAGAGAGGAATGGTTAGCAATGAGGACAGAGAAGCAAGATGTTCTTTATCAGGAATACGGTCACGATCTCATAGTGGTGCGCTCGGACGCAGGCACCTGCATGCAACTCATGATGCTGACGAGATATGGAACCTATGAAGGAGGCGGGGGCATTTTAGGGTGCCTGCTCCTATAGGCTTCTAATAGCTGCCTCTAGTGCCCATTTCACCGTCACCTGGTGCCGGATTTATGGCGACCCGAACAGCCCGAAAGCACCTACCACGGACCCAGTGAGCCCTGCGTCTGGGGGCACAATAAGGGTCTCTGTCTGGATGACTAAGCGGGCGCAGACAATATTGCCACGTGACTATCAAAATACCAGTCCACTCACAGTTGTTCTTCTGATGGTTGTATTCGTTCATTCGTCATTACTTTTACCATAGAATACTTTCTCCATGAACGGTACACAGAGGCTTTAGAATGCTGCATTCGCTAGAGGTTGTTTTCCAGCAAGCGTTGCGATCATATTTCAACCCACTCTCCAATTGACAGGTTCTCTAGAAAGACCTAGAGTTTCAAGCAATCATATCGTTTTCTGCTCATGAACGCCAATCTTGCGACCCAGCATGTCCACAACCCTGTCCATCAACCCAATGTCTTTCTCACCAATGCCCATCAGAAGGCTTTGGGGTTCTCACAGGGTAAATTGCACATCAGGTGTCGTTCATCATAAGAAACAGCTTTTCTGTATTGCACCACACCGTGGCCGAGCGTTTAGCTCGACGAGGCGCAATGCAGCATCACGATCGATAGACATCCTCCCACCTCGCAGAAATTTCCATCTAAGAGAAACTCCAGCTCACGAGCTTCTCTGTCTCGAATGGTCTCAGCCTCCACGGAACCTCCTATTGATCAAAAAGGATTGCTCCGAAAACACCACCGAGGCTCTCAAAGAATTCAGCAAGCATGTGGACTCGACCTATCCAGGGCTTAACATCATCATAGAATCCAAAGTATCCTCGGAGATCGGACATGAGTTGGCTCTTGATCATTTCACCTCCTCAGATTCCGCCGATCTACCACGAAAGTACGATGACAAAGTCGACCTTGTAGTGACGTTTGGCGGCGATGGGACAATCCTGCATGCTGCTTCTCAATTTGCTGCATCATCCGAAGTTCCACCAATTCTTTCGTTCAGCATGGGTACCCTTGGTTTCTTGAGCGAGTGGAAATTTGCCGAGTACAAGCGTGCATTTCGAGAGGTTTATATGTCGGGTGCCGCCTCTGAAAGACACGCTGTCATCCAAGGCTCGTCTTCCAAAGAGTCGAGCTCACAAAGTGATTGTACAGGCTGGTCATCAGTACGTGGAAAGTCGATGGGTCCCACACGAGGAGCAAGAGTGCTGGTACGGCAGCGTCTGAAAGTTGGTATTTTCGATGCAAAAGGCAATCGACTCAGCACTAACGGAGATGCTGCGCACGATGCGCATGCAATGAACGAGGTCATCCTTCACCGAGGTCGAGATCCACACCTCGCTATTGTCGATGTGTATGTTGGCGGTCGTTTCCTTACTGAAGCCGTTGCCGATGGTATGATTATCTCAACCCCAACTGGCAGCACGGCGTATAGCCTGAGTGCTGGCGGAAGCATCATACATCCATTGGTGCCATCTCTGCTGCTGACACCCATCTGCGCTCGAAGCTTGAGTTTCCGCCCTCTGATCCTGCCAGCAACCACACCAATAAGCTTGAAGTTGAGTGAAAAGAATAGAGGACGCGAAGTGGAAGTCAGCATTGATGGCATAAGAAGGAAAGATGGCATTGGCGTTGGCGCTGAAGTTCGCGTCTCCGCAGAAGATATCAAGAGCGAAGGTGACGGCTTTGTCGGTGGTATTCCTTGCATAATGCGAAGAATTAGTGGCGGAACGGAATCGGACGATGGTTGGGTGGGCGGATTGAACGGACTTTTGAAGTTCAACTACCCCTTTGGCGAAGAAATGTGATCATGATTTCAGCTTCATGGCCACGATATATCCAATGGCTCCAACTAATTTCCAACTAATTGTTTTTCGAAGCTTACCACTGATACTCTTCTTTGCCAGATTTGAAGCGAAATGTTGTCCTCTCCCAAGGGAGTAGTATCAACAGCAACGCATCGAAAGGCTCATCACCAGTTGTTGCTTGATCGGAGATGAGATAAGCTCTCCCTTCGACTGCTGACTCGTTCTGCTCGAGCACCTACAAGAGTTAAGGGTTTAGAGGGTGGCGATAGTGAGCCTACTGATGGCAACCCTCATGAGACTGAGAGGTTTGATGAAAACTTGTCAACAACAGAGCATTGCCTCAGAGTGGAAGTACCTAACGATTTCTGTTTGACCGAGGGTTGACTTCGATGTCGACACTTTCCTGTGCAAGAATGAGCAGAAAGAAGCACTGGGAATAGGCACTTGAGCATGGAGATCCACGCACGACTTTTTGCCGCTTCCACCGAAAGGAAAGAGGAATTGTTACCTTGACATGGAAATAAGACAAAGATTACGAACAGAGAACGACCGAATTATGACTTTGTAAGGAACGGAGATCAAGAGCTCAGGATCCTCGCACATACAAGAAACCAAATTTCAGATCCAAAACATGGGAAAACTCAGCAGACAAAGTATTCACGATCCGTGACGGTGCAGAGAATACAAAGATGTTTGGAGGCAGTATCAGTGGAATTAACAATACAAACACTGTCTGCACTGCCGCCCGGTGAGAGCATTACGGATACCCCTGGAACTTGAAGCCTCGCCAGGTCCGCAAATGCTCTCAGATTAACTCTACAACGCCTGGTCTTTATGGATAAGCCATTGCAAGCCGCTCGCTTCTTCACGAAAACCAGTGAAAGAAAAGCGAGACATGTCCATTGACACCCACTGAGACATTATTTTTGAGCCGACAGAGAGTGAAACCCCATAATGGTTGATTGTCTTCTCTGTTCAATGGTTCATTGATGACATGTTTTACCTCAGAATGAATTTTCAGCCTCTTCTTGAATTTAAGCCCTTCTATTTCCTTCATCACCCTTGCCGGCTCTGAGAACTTGCCAAACAGTCATTGCGACCAAAACTATTCACATTTGAGCTGGACAGAATATATATAAAATTATCTGTCCATGAAGCTGCCATTCTCTTCCCCATCAACAGCAACTCTCAAACTTGGGAACAGATTATTCCTCCTCAGCTTGCAAGTGCTTGAAAGTCTTGAAAGTCTCTACTTGATCTTCTTTCATAAGATCTTTCCGAAGAAGAGATCCTTCTGCCATCGAGAAATATTCCTGAACCCAGCTTCTCAACCAGACTATCAATCATCAAAGGGTCAGCGCTATGGCATCTGCAAGGGCACAAGCTCAGCTCAACAAGCGAATCGATCTCGACATTCCTGGAACAATACCGTCGAATGTTCAGGTCCAGCCGGTCATCCTCGCCAACCATCCTCCGCAGCCTCCATTCCCTGCGTACAATATCGGGTACAACGTCCAAGGTCGAGTGCAACAACACGTTCACCAGAACATCCCAGCTCGGCCACCGCCTGGACGAGGCTCAGCTCATCCTTACTATCTGAGCACCGAAGCCAACCTACATCCGATCTTGTTCCAACTGGAACCAGCTCCATCTCCACTTGCCAACGTGGATGTGCCACTGCTCGTCAATGCACAAACTGGGCAGGTCGAAGTCGGACCGGCCCCTCATTCCAGGCCCCTCCGGTACTTCTGGCACCTCCCTCGGTGGGTCGACGTCGACGTGCCCGGGCACACCATGGAGCTCTGGTTGCGTCTGGACCCTCGCGTCCGCATGGCAGACATCCTCGACCGGATCAACGTGGTTGCCAACAGACCAAATGCCAACGTCTTCAACATGAGGCGCAGTCGGTTCCGGGATGTCATCCACGTCCCTGCCTTTGACACTGTCCGTCGCGACCCGGGCGCGACAGAAGTCGAAATGATCGGGCGCCTGACGCGCGAACAAGTCCTGTTGAACACGGCGATGCGCGTGGACCTGTGCAACAACAGACTCCTGATGCCGGTGCTCGACAACACGAGGTCGACGAGGGGGTTTGTAGACAGCCGACTCCCCATCGACCACTTCATCAGGGCATATGCGCTCCCCATCCCCATCCCCTCGGACAGGCAAGTGACCACGTTGGCCCTCCGACACCGGATGCAGACTCTGGCGGTTGCACAAGGCCACGGCAAGGGCGCGACGGCGTACAACAACCTCCATATCAACATGGTCCCTCCTTGGTGGCACCGACGTCCCAACGCGCAACCGGCGAGGATCGCCGCCATCGACAACCTGACACACCGGGAGTGGATGGACGATTGCCTCAACCGCCACCCGGGGGTGCAGCAAGTTGCAGCGCCGGCACGGCGACCGTTGCCGCCACCGTGGCAACCACAGACACAACAACCACAGCGACCACCGCCTGCGGCGGGCGTGCAGCATGTCGCCACCAACGCGAACCGGATCATCGACCCACGTCTTCAGGGAGGAAACCCCCCTGCCGCGTTCCCGGGTCTCTTCAGACCCGGTAGGCCGAATGAACCGGAGGAGTCCAGGCACAGCTTCACGACACCGGACGGCGTCACGCATTATTACGTGGAGCCTCAGCACCGTCATGCGTACCGGTGATCACTGATGTTTTTTCCTTGGATTTCTTTTTGCGTGCAAGCAAGGTCAGCGTCTCGCAGGGTCAATGTCATGGACGGTTTGTTCGAAGAGGTCGTGGTTCGTGGATTGGTCAGGTGCCTGTTACCTACACCTGCCCTCTGCATCACTTCATGGTTCGAGAGTTGACAGACACCTGGCCCTGGGACAAGCACTGAAACAAGCGAGGTCGATGGAGACGAGAAAGTGTGTGCTTTGTCGCACCCATGCGTCGGACGCAAAAAACAGATTCGAGTTTCTGGGAGTGACTTTGAAAAGGCTTCGGGCTGACATCAGGGGTCTTTGGGAAATCGATTCCACATGGCGAGGAGCGTGGAATTGATTGATTGTCCAACACACTCTTGCTCTTGTCGTCCTTTGGGTCAGAGAAAGGAGATTCTGACCAAAGTCTGAACATGCCACTATACCCATGCTACCAACTCCATGAGATACCCCCGAATGAATTCATTCATTTTCATACCATGATACGACAACACCTCTTGAACCAGACGTGTTCATTTCTTCTTTTCTCTCTGTTCATCTTCTGTTTTTGATTGCTCTGTTCTAAAATAGGGTTGTTACTGTCGACAACAATCCCCAAGACCTCTTCTTTTGATGGCTCCTCTTGTGTCGCTCTATATTAGTAGCCACAACAGATTCTCCATCTGTAATACTTCCCGACTCTTTTCTTTCCATATCCTATTCGACTTGTTTCTGCATCATACTTATAATTGTCTCACTGTCTTTGTCTCTTTCTGCTCATACCATTCATACGCACCATGACTTTCTCCCCATCTATATCGCTGGCAGAGGATCGTTCACACACGGAACTCTCATCAATCAATCTGCAGGGGGGAAGTCCCTCTTCTAGTCATCCTCGCTGGCCTTTCCGTTCATACCTACCACCTTCAATCCCTGCTTCTCAACCTCTCAATACAAAGGCCTTTCTTTCTTCACGCTTTCAAACAGACAATGGTCACAACCACGACGACAATCCTTTCATCTTCATTGTGATTTGCAAGGTGCTGGATCCAGATATCCACCTTGTCAAATGATATGATGTGAAGGCCTTTTCCCCTTTATCAACGCAGCCTCGTCCACACACACACAACACACACATCTGTGTCTCTCCGCTCCGCCACGCTCAAAACTGCACAACCACCACCATCCGCTCCACCACGATCAATTCCTTCATAAAAATCCCTTCGCTTAGTCGTCGAAAACTATTCATCTTTCTGCCGACAATAGGATTGATTGTCTCGCCAAGCTCTCTGCTCACTGACACACTCACACTCCCGGCGATACAATGTCATCTTTCTCCCTCGCTTTTCCATCCTCATCTTTCTCACTTTTCAAACCATCCATCCATCTTACTCGAGAACTTGATCAGACAAGCGTCCTTGCTCGAACGATTCCTTGGTTCTTTCTTGATCTTTTTCAAGCACACATCTTTTCATCATACCCTCTTCGGTGTTCAAGCTCAATTCAAGGAGCGTGTCCATCTCTTCTTTTCGCGTGGTCCGATCGATATTCGAATTTCAAGTCGAAATCAAAACCTCACTGCCCCCAAAACAGACCAGACATATCCACTTCACTTTTCTTTTCGAAGACGACTCGACGATCCTTGAATCACCTCTTGCCCATACTGCAAAGATGTCTTACTTTCCAGATCAACAACAAAACATCAGCCACACAAACACGAGTAAGCACTCACCATCTCTTCATTCCTGTCCTTGAGTCAAATGGTTGCCAAAAAAAAGACTGACACACAATCCCTTTAGACGACGATCAGGAAGGTTCTCCCATGACTCGATTCAATCGTGACGGCTCACCTCTCTTCTTTCCTTCACCAACTCGAGATCGAACCATTACCGCCGGCGACAACGATGACAATGACGCTGACGTCGAGTATGAAGACGAGTCTTTCAACATTGATCCGCTTCTTTCTTTTGCTCCTGTTGCCGCGACAGGCTCTTCATTCACCGACATCGACCCCTATCATGAGTGGAACCCACATACAGTCATGATGAACGCTGCTCCTGCACCCCTCACCTCGTCGACCATGGAGAATGTCCAGATGATATCCTCCATCAAAAAAAGAAAGAGAGCATCGACTCCACCGGACGGCACAGAAACCTCATATGAGAGTGGGGTTCTTCTCCCAACCTTTGCTCCTCCTGCTCCTTCTTCGTCTTCCCGCCGCCCCCCTGCCGTTCCCGTCGCTCCTGCTGCTCGTGGAGCTGTCGAAGTCATCGTCATCGATTCGTCGGATGACGAAAGCGCTCCTCCTGCGGCCGCTGCTGCTCCTCGCGTTTCCGTCCGTCGTGCCGCGCGTGCCCGTGTTGTGGCTCCTGCATTTGCCGCCGGTGACGACGACGATGACGACGATGTCAACAATGGTGGCAACGCCACCGACAGCAGCGCCACCAGTGGCAGCAGCACGGGGTCCGCCTGGGACCGAAAATATGGCATGAAGCCATGGCCGGGCATGACGACCCAGCAGCAACTATCCTTGATGGATAGGCAGAAGTACTACTATGGGCAGGAGGGCACGCCGCTCCCTCCCAACCGCCCGTACAAGCCGTGCCCAAACTTGGGTGACGTTAAACGCAAGGCGGAGAAGAGGGAGAGGCGTGCCAAGAGGGCCGCCCTCAAGGCCGCAAGAGCCAAGGATATGGCACGCAAGTAGGCGTGGTCGCTGTCGAGGGGTGGTTGGGTGTTGGTGTGGGCGGGTGGTGCTGGTGCTGTTGAGATGACACCGGGCGTTTAGAGAGCCATTTGTGAATGTGAAAGGGCCGCCTTCACCAATGGCGTGGTGATTCTTGAAATGCGCAGGGCGCAAGATAGGATGGCAAATGATATGCGTTCTACAGATGATTTCCTCAGGACCGTCATTGACTCACTGACTCACAATAGCCTTGGAGTGCGCCATGTTGCCATCGAGATAAACGCTGCCGACACATTCGCAAGCAGTCATGTTGACGTCGAGATTGACCCCATTATGAGAAATGGCGATGGACAAGTTGTCAAATCCCTTCGTGTTTTATGCCCTTGAGGATGCTATCTCGTTTCTCCAGCAGCTCCTCGACCCTGCTAGGAGTCGGGGGTATCACAACGTCCGGTAAAACACGATAGCGACGTCGCAACTCCGGAAAGACTGCCGCAAAGCCTCGGCTGAAACTCCAGTTGTCGAGATTCCATATATGATGGGCGAAAAGATCCGAGATGGTCATCTTGGCTGTGTCAGGATCAACATCAACAGCCGCATCCAAGCCCTTATGCCAATTGACTGTCGTGCCGTAGGATTGGCTTGCAAGAATGAAGTCCCGCAAGTCATATATCAAGCCGTCTCGTAATTCAGGACTGACAAAGAGAAAAAACATCAACATATGTCATTGCCTCCTACTCACAGGACAACTTACAGAACTGGCAGGTCTGACGCAGGATGATGCGGTACAAGTCTCTGACAAGGTGTTGGACGCTGGCCTGGAGGAATATTTGCATATGTTTCCGCAGAGGGTGCAATGATCCACTGAGATGATAGGTCAGCTAGGCGCTGAGACATTGAAGAATCTCTGAACATACCCGCATAAAACGATCAAAGTTGAATATGCCAGCCAGACAGACAAAAACGTCAATGCCCTGCAAGGCGCGGAAATACTCGCAGGCCCAAGTCGAGACGGTATGCGGATCGCTCGGTTCTCTTGCACGAAATAAGAGGTCGATTTCGATCCTCTCTGGGCCAAGTATGTTTTCCTTCGGTTCTCCAGACTCTATTTGGCGACAGGCCCAGTCTCTGAAGCTGGTATACGCTGTCGCCATAGGGGATGCTTCTGCTTCCAAAAGCAACGGTCGCACTTCGTATTCAGGACACCGAAACGTCCGCATTTGTTGAGCTTGTATGTGTGGAGGGTAGCCTGCACATGGTATGGCATCGGACAGGGACAAAGGAGTCGCCGGAGAAGTCACAGACATGATGGAAGAATAGATGGCATTTGAGAAATGAAGACGGTATTCAGTTCTCAAGTCGAGTTCAGCGTCTGAAGCGGAATGCTTGGATTTGTCCGTTTTTAAGTACTTCTGAGTATCGGTTCCCTTGACTGCCGGTGCGTGCTGATCCCCGATGTTAAACATGTTCGAGCAATGAACATTGAATACCTACCTGTTCAAGCATACCCACAGCGAGTTCGTAAGTTTGCCATGATGACTTTGAGGGAGTGGTCAATGCCTTGACCATTCGTATCAGCTTCTCCTTTTCCTCCTCAAGCAACTTAATACGATCCAGTGCATGTCCCAATGCTCTATATTAGGTCAGCATTTCGTGATATTATTCATGGGAAAGGAAGTGTCAACTTTTTGTTCTTCTCTCGATCCCGATCGCCATATACACAGAGCGCTCCATCTTTGGCACATTTGTTGCACGCATCCCCTCCAGAGCATTTGGACCGATTTTGTCGACAACGGTCACATGCGTGAGAGATACGTTTTCTGATCACTTTGGGCGACAATGTTTTGGAATCGAGTCGGTTTGGGTTGGGAGCTGCAAAGATTCTGGGAATCGGACGCTTCTCGCGACGGTCCATAGGCCCTCAACTGGCGGCGACAGGCCCAAAGACTGCGGACCACCAATATGAAGCACTCAACTCGTATGGTTGTTTCTAGATGCGTGAAACCGGAAGGAAGATCATACGATTGTTGATTCGTCGGATGAGATGTCCGGAGAAGAGAACCAAAATTGCCACCGACAAACAAATGTTCAAACAGAAAAAAAAAATCACAGGAGAACGCTGGCAATTCGGGATCGACTTTGCACGGTGGACAAGAAGGTCTATGTAGTATGTTTACGATCCATGAAGCTAAGGTCGAGGAACGATATCTGCCCAAAAGCGCTGTCGCTAGAGTGGTTGGACCACAAGAATTTTTTTTGTGAGGTCAAGAAGATTTAAAAATGTGGTCGGGGCTCCTCCCGAGCCCGGCAGGAGCGACAGATGGATAATTTACCTTTATATTGACAACGACGAGAAAGAAAAGAGCAGGGGGACGCATGTCAATGTCAAGCAATTCGATATGTCCGAGATCTGCCCCGGATTCTGGCCACCATCGACTGGTCGAGACCGTGGCTGCAGTGGTTGGAGTCGCAACTCCGGACAAGGACGATTGGCTCATCCAGACTTTGCTCAAAGCAAAATACTGAAGAAAGCGTAGAGGTTACGAGTACTGTGAGTATGTCTCGGATCGACAACGGAGTTGCTCGACAGCCTAAACAAGGTAACGGATTGTGCGCAATCCAAGAAGAAGTGAAGAAGACAGCGATCTAAACAAGGGGCAAAGACTGTCACTCGGAATCCGGAATCAAATCATTGAAGACACGCATTCGTGTAAGTAGCAGTATGAGCCTGACATTCTGCTTCCTCGCATGAGGCAAGGCATTTCCCGCAGGACCCGACAAAGCTCATCCCTGGAGCAATACCTGGCGAGGTCGTGCAGATCTCAAAATCTCCCCACGATGTACGGAGTAGTGTACGGAGAAATGTGTCATTTGCCCTTGCTATCCCATCCTAGTTTAACTTCAACACATCTTCGTTTGCGGGAATGTCCTGGCCCCCGTCTAGGGTGTTTTCATTGCTTTTACCGGTGTCCGGAACAGATCCTAGTTTGGTCTCGACATTGACACCATTTCGAATTGTCTGCAATACCACACAGTACCTTTCGCTGAGTTCGATCAATTTGTCGACCTTGGACTTGTGTTCTTCATCAACATCAAGCTGCACAATGAGTCTGATGTTCTTGAATCCAACAGGTACTGCATTACCATCAGAATCTTTGATGCCCATGGTGCCTCTGAAGTCCAGATCTCCTTCGACAGTGACCGAGCCACGATTCATGGGAATGCCCAGACTTGTTGCGACTGCTCGCACCGTCACACCAAAGCAAGCCACTAAAGATTCCAGCAGCATGTCGCCCGAGCACAGCTCACCCGATGCATCGAAGCCTTCACCACCAGCGGCCTTGTGAAGACCAGCTACTTTCCGAGCCGCCTGTCCCGCTGCTAGGGAGCATGTCAGGCTGGTCGATGTTGGATCAAGACTTCCAGATGAGGACAATGTGACCAGCGCGGAGGAAGGATCTGATCGATATTTGTCTTTGAGAGGCTTTTGTTTTGCCCGTAACGTATTGGCGGCGACTGTTGCGGCGTCAGACATTGTAAGTATTTCTCTTGACTCGTGGCTCGGATGCTGGAGATATGTGAGATGATCCGAGATCAAGATTGGGAGAGTCGGCACCGGGAAGTCACGGTTGAACCAGCAGTCCTTTGTTCACGGCAAGAATCCAAACGTTGTCTGCAAACAATAGTTACTGGGTCATGGGGAACCCAGATGGACTACAGTTTGTACGTGAATTGCTCTGTTCAAAATCCGACTTACCCCTCGGTCCCCCTCATCGGCTCTGCGGCAGAAGCTCCGTCAGACCGTTGAGATGCCAGACACTGTACGGTGCTTTTGAGTCCATGGTAAGACACTTGACATTGCTGCACAGGAGTTGGCCTGGCTTTTCGAACAATTTACTAGAAGACGAATCGAACAACGACATCAATGACAGACAATATGAGGAAGACAATCTGGGCAATGGCGCAATTAATACCACCTAGTACCCATGAAGGAGAGGGTAAATGTCATTTGAAAGTAATAAACACCCCGGAGCTGTACGAGCGTGTATCGCATACTAGCGTTGTAACGAGTTAATCGTCACCTATTGTGCTTAGCGCAGGCATTTATGACATCAACAGCTTCTTCATGGACACTCTACCAACCACTCTCCTGCGCTCAGGGACACTCATTTTCACGCGAAAGATACAAAAGAGACCTATCGATTGATCGACCGGCTATAGCATTGTACGCCATCTTTTCCGTCACATCCACAAAATGGTCACGAAACACCTACATTTGTTGCTGTCTGACAGTTTCATCACATCGGAAAGAATACGGACACATACGAGACTCTAAGACTAAGAGCCACGCGTCTACTACATGCTCCAGATGTATCGCCCTTCACGGAATGGCCTCTGGCAGAAACAGTAGGTATCTAAAAAAAAAGAGGTTCTGGCGTCATAGGTATCGCAATGAATTGTCGTTCAAAAGGATCCATGAGTCCCCCAGATCGTCGCTTCAACATTTTCCTTCCCGTTCTCATCTTGTAAAAATTGAATCCGGCAAGCACAACGCATCACCTAACCATGAATGCTTCTCGAGACCGTCGCAAGCCGGCAGAGGATGAGTCCGACAGCAGCGTAGAGTATGAAGACGAGGTTGGACCTCAGCAGAGCGGCGACTCACTTCTCAACAAATTCATTCAATCCCACTCTCAAACGTCCGATTCTGCAGCGCGCCATCGCGCTTCAAAGCCACACCTATCTCACCCCGTGGTCATTACGCAGCGGCGGCCTGGAGACAAAAAGCGAGGCTTCATCAAAGCCTATGCCCCTGCGCTGGAACAATATGGCATTGATCAGGACACGTTCGTCGAATTTATCCGTGCCACGAACAAGGCCATGCAGGAGAACAAATGGCTCGTGGCAGTCCAATTAGCGGCCGCTGGGACTGGGCTCGTTCCGAATCATATTGCCTTGGGTGTTTCAATAGCGGTGCAGTTCGTCGCGGGCGCAATAGCCCAGGCCGAGGCCAAATGGAGGTAATGTAACGATCTTTGCTTGCCCTTCGACCTATGCGACATCAACCGGTGATGTGTGCCTACCTATATGCTGTACTGACCGAGCCATGACTGGCGCGTACAACAGAACGAACTCTTTCTTGGACCGCATCAACAACGAATTCTTTCGGCCCCGAGGTCTCTTCTGCTTGCTCATGTCTTACAACCCGATCGCGCTGGAAAAGAAGGATGCTCCAGATGAAGTCGACGCTGTGTCCAAGGCGGTCTCGACCTCACCCAAGCCAGCATTCGCGAGCCGTGCCAAGAGGAACCTTCGAAACCCGGTGGCCGCCACCGTTGAAGGGGAAGAAAACCTCCCTGCCGTCACAGCTCCGCTGGTCTATCTGGACAAGACCAACACCGACGAGTCTCGTTCGGGAGGAAATCCGGGGGAGAAACAAAAGATAGGTGACCGACTGAACAAATACTTTGACAAAAGAGCTCAAGCACGATATGTGAGTGGTGTACTTGATAACCAGTCTTTTCCTGAGAACGTGACGCTGACTGACGCAAACGTTGACACAAGGCCAAAGAAAGCAACGGGGATATCCTTTCTAACCCCGAACCTGCCAAGTTTAAAAATCGATACCTCGACCCGACCTCCGCGGCCAGCAATGGGGGTCTTTTGGGTTTGGTGTCGGGAGGGAAACTCACTCGGGATCCGGAAAAGGCAAAGCAAAGTATGCAAGCACGGTTTGAGTCTCAAGAGAAAGCCATCCGAGAACAACAGTCGACCGTGATGGCGCGCCTTCAGCAACAGTTGCAAGCCATGAACCTTTCGCCCGAACAACAACAGCAATACACCAAGCAGTACCAAGATATGTATGACCTACAACTGCAGCAGATTCAACAACAGTCGGACTTGGTTGCCAAGGGAAACCTGCAGCGTCGTATTGTCAAGGTATGTTGCCCATCCCGTCCATTGTAATGCCCTTTTCCGATGGGACATGATTTTTCACTGACGGTGCCCTTGTTCAGGACGTTCTCTACTTGATGATTGTCGACATGCCTTCGGATGAAGAGATGGAGGTCGCTCGAAGCCAATTGAAGACTTCTGGTCACACTCGAGCGACGGACGGTATGAACTTTGCCACTGTTGGAGTATGAGTACTAGACAGTCAGGGTATCCTTGAAGGTATATTTAGGGAATGAACCATATGAATATGAATATGCTACAAATGTCAAAGACTACTTTCACAGGGCTGTGGGGGTGATTGTGTTTGTCCTGCAAATGGCAGCTACGGATACTACATCCATGTCTGTGTGTGTGGTTGTTTTATGATCTACGAGTCCACGTTCCGTCTTGGGATGATTACCATCGCCCATGGAACGGTGAACTCCACGAATTGTGATCTTCAGTGTTAAGCTCATCTATTTTAACACCAAGAGTACGAGTACGGAGTATTTTGTGCAGTAAGTATTGTGGGTTTCGGGGTACCATCAGCACGAGGGCCCGAATCTGTGTATGTCCTTATTCCCCTCCATCCACCACAAGTATCGAACTTCCCGTAATTTTCTCCATATTCAAGTCGATCATTTTCTACTCGGATCGTCCACCCTCTCAATATTTCTCGCACCAAAAGTCGGCTGCGCGAGTACAAGTTTGCCTCGGTCTTATGGCTTTGTTCGTGACGCTTACTGACGATCAATTCAATATTATCCGCTCCGTGATGTTACGGTCACAAGTTCCCCTTTCACACAGACTGAACGGCAATGACGTCTGAAGTTGAGAATTGTCCAATCATCAACCTGCATGACCTTCTGTAAGTGGAAAAAGTGCCACTGACGTACATCCGCCTCTTCCCTCCACTCGTCCCTTTTTCTTAACGAATTCTTAACTTCCTAACCATCTTGAAACAGCTACCACGAGTACATCGTCATGGGCGCACATAACACATAGCTGACCAGCATTGTAGATACATACCTGATCCAACAGAATATATGTTTACGCACGAGGTAACGATTACTCGTAGCTATGGTCTACTCGCTACAACAAAACCAAAACCAAAACCCTCGAAAGAAGTAGATCTACTCGTAGTTTCAGTCACTTTTCTTATTCACTATTACAAGTAGGTATAAAAGAAATGCTCCCAGCGTCAGCCAAGATAAAACGGTCTGTTTTTCGTTTTGTATTGATTGGATGAACATTGTTTTTTATCTTTCTGATGCATCGCCCCATTGCAACCTTGAGTGGGAACCCCCCCTCCCAAGTAACTGCCAACATCGTACTCGGTACTTGTTCGTTCTCGTAAAGATTTCGCATGTTCCCTGATCATCGACATTTTCCCTTTCCCACTATGGGAGGTCCCTTAACTCTCACTCTCGGAATGAGGACTTTTCGGTATCTAGAATAAAAGATGGGGCAAGGGGAGGGGAGAGGGAGGGGGGGGGGAAACCAATGTTGCCCGCCTCAAGGTCGATGTCATCAGATGGGAAACCAATAAGCCACTATAGTAGTCGTAGATGGAATATAACGTGGCGGGATGTCCAAGATATTTATTTTTTTTGCCTACGGAGTAGTAGAAGTCGGATACAAAGTATTTGATTAAAACATCCATCAATCTCCATCTCCATCTTTTCATCTCCCTCTCACCTCCATCATTCCTCCCCGGCCTTCCTTTTCTGTTTTGTTTCAGCCTCTTCTGCTACCCACCTACGAGCAACCTTTCAACTCATAAACCTTTTGTCTTTTACTCCATACTTTGTATTCTTTGAGAGGCTATTCTGGAAAAATGTCAAAACTCGAACAAGACAAGGATACCTTCATCCCCGCCCCTCCACCGATCCACACACAAGAATCATCATCGTCCCATTCGGACCAAGCGACGTTTACACACCGCGAGCACGAAAATAACCAACAACAACGGCACATACTACAACAACCACAACACCGACAACGTAATCCCATGGACCCCAACCCGAACCCGTACCCTTACCACGCCGAACACGGACCTCCCATCGACAACGCCCTCAAGTACGCCGAGGCCGAGGAGGATTATCAACACCATAAGACTCTGTGGTGGTCGCGAGTTCGACACCACCTGCGTGACCCCTTTGCCGAATTCCTCGGGACTTTTATAATGATCCTGTTCGGTGACGGATCCGTGGCTCAAGTCACGCTCTCCGCGAACCCCAACCTACCAAAGAGTAGTCAGAACAAGGGTGACTATCAAAGTATTTCATGGGGGTGAGTTTTGTTAATTTCTTTTGGCTTCTTCACCTCGCTACCCCCTCTCATTCTACATTTCTACAACAAACAAACTGACACCTTTTTTTTTCCTTCGTGTGTAGTTGGGGTATAGGTGTGATGTTGGGGGTCTATGTCGCAGGTTGCGCCGGAGGTCACCTGAACCCCGCCATAACCATGGTCAATTGTATCTACCGAGGGTTCCCTTGGTGGAAGTTCCCCATATACGCCTGCGCCCAGGTGGCGGGATGTTTCTGCGGTGCGGCCGTCATCTACGGGAACTACAAGTCGGCCATCGACGCCTACGAAGGTGGTGCCTCCATCCGTACGGTCCCGGGTTACAGTGACACGGCGACCGCCGGGGTCTTTTGTACCTACCCCCAACCCTTCCTCACCAAAACCGGACAGTTCTTTTCCGAGATCGTCTCGAGCACCGTCTTGGTCTTTGTCATTTTCGCCGTCAAGGACGACGCCAATCTGGGAGCGGGCAATCTGGTCCCCCTCGCGCTGTTTTTCCTGATTTTTGGAATCGGTGCAACCCTGGGTTGGGAAACGGGTTATGCGATCAATCTCGCTCGAGACTTTGGTCCTAGATTGTTCACCTACTTTGTCGGTTATGGACATGAGGTTTGGAGTGCTGGAGGTTATTATTTTTGGGTACGTTTTCTGCTTTCTTTCGTTCCTTCTCCCTCTCCCTCTCTCTCGCTGTGCCATTGATTTTTCTCATCCCTACGATAACCCCTACTTTTCTCAGCTAACCGAGATGCAAAGATTCCAATGATCGCTCCATTCATAGGTTGCACTTTTGGTGGGTTCCTATACGACGCCTTCATTTACACGGGTGAATCACCAATCAACACCCCGTGGATGGGACTGAAAAGACTTGTCCACCCATCCAAAAAGGGAATCAAGGAAGCCTTTTACGGTCGTCCTGAGAAGGAAGTTTGAGGTATTTCTTCTTGCGTTGCCAATTCTTGACACAGATGGGTTTTTTTTCCTTTGGCGGCGTTGGAACATTTTGTGATGTTTCTTGTACGAATACGAAACGTGTCACAGCCCTGAAATCGGTCCAGGCTTTGTTGTATTTTGAAACAAGAAAAGAAGCTTCGTGTTTATTTGGCAAGCGATTGCTGTTGGTGTCTTGTACATCGTATCTGTATCCATATACTGTCGTTGCAATTGTTGGGCCATTTAGAATTGTATCGGACGTACAGACGAGTGTCAATCTTGTTGTGGCGAGAGCCGGCATATCGGAGCCGAGCTAGGGTGACAGGACCGGCGATAATAGATATCTTACCTAGAGTAGTCACATTAAATATCATGTCTTTTGTTTCTTCTTTTTCCTTTCATCTTCATCCTCGTCGTCATCATCACTGAGATCGGCGTAGATGGTCTTTGGCTGCGTCTTGCCCCAGGCTTTGGTGAACATCGGGTCGTTCTGGGCCTTGTCGGCGTACTTGAGCAGGGCCTCCCGGGGGTCCTCCTCCCTCATGGAGCTCAGGGGGATCCTCTCCTTGATGTGCTTCTCGTCCGGCTGGCCCCGCGAGAAGGGGGTCGACGCCGGCACGTGGGGCCTCCGGGGGTCCCTGGACTTGCCGGACGCCGTGAGGCCGATGGTGGGGTGCCGCGACGAGAACGTGCTGCCCTGGATGGCTTCACCGCTCGTGCCCGGGTTGACGATGGCGTCGCCGGAGATGCCCTGCGACATGTCGGTGGTGAGGCTGGGGTCGTCGTCGACGTGGCGACGTTTGGGCGGCTTGGACATGACCATGACGGCTCCCTTGTTGGAGATCTTGGGGTTGAAGAGGACGTGCGTCTCGGCGTTGGCGCTTCCCGTGACGATCTGGTTGAGCTTGTCGTGCCACAAGACACTGATCAACGGCGAACCCGGCGTGACGGCCGTGACGAGTTCGGGTTTGAGCGTGGCGGGGTTCAAGATGTAGAGATCTCCAGTCTCGGAACCGGTGACGATCGACGAGGAATTGGGTGCGAACATGATGTTGGAGGTCGGGTATTGGCTGGACGTGGATGTGTGAGTCGCGGTATTGACGGGTTGCTTGAATTTCCTCGTGTCCCACAGTTTGACGGTCTCGTCGCCGCCCCGGGTCACGACGAGTCTCCCGTCGGCGCTGATGTCGATGCCGCTCGTCCAGGTGTTGCTCGTGTGAGCCTGGCCGATCTCAGCGCTCGGTCTGTGGTAGGGGCCTTCGCCCCCCCACATCGACAGCGAGCCGTCCAGGGCCGCGGCGACGAGGAGGCTGTTTTTACCCTCGACCTGACTGCCCCAGGCCACGGCCGTCATTCGACTTCGGCCCGCCGCTCCCGCCAGCTTCGACTTGTGCACAATCACGTCCCTCTGCTTGTTGCGCACGTTGACGTCCCAGATCCGGATGGTGCTGTCGGTGCCGGCGGTGACGAAGAGGTCGGGCAGAAAAGGGTGCCAAGTGCCGCTGGTGATCTCGCTGACGTGGCCCCTGGTCATGTTCATGTCGCGCAGGTACATGTCGCCTTTGACAAACTCTGTGATTGTTTCGCCGTCTCTCGACAGGATCTTGGCCTGTGTCGTCGCCGAAACGATGAGGACCTGACCGGGCGAGTTTGGGTTGAATTTCGCGGTGTGGACCGGGTGCGTCTCTGAATTGGCTGACGTCTTCGTGGCGGTAGGATCGACGGACTTGAACGCCCGTAGTGTGTTTGGAGTCATGGAGGCGAAATCGTGCAGTTTGATCGTGCAATCCGTAGAACCTGTGATCATGCGGGACCCAGAAGGGTCTACCGTGATGGTAGTGACTGGACGGTCGTGCGTTTTGAAGACAATTTCATGAGAGATGGGATATTCATCTTCGTCGTCGTCAGAGTCGTCGGAGTCGTCTGAATCCGAATCACTCCCTGCTTTTGAGCGGGCTTTGGCTTCTTGTGCCTCTGGCACTTTACGTCGAGCTTGTTCCAACTGAGCCTGAGCATCGAAGCCTCCCGCTCCGCCTCCGAAGGAACTGGGAAGAATATCGCGTAGACCGTCCTCGTCCATGATCTGCGTCCAGAAATCGACTTGACACTCGACCAGGCTGAACGGTGCGAATTGATCAAAGTTGATTTCGTCTCATGCCAGATCTGTGCTAGTGATGTGGTGAAGGTGTCGAATGTTTAGAGACCAAGTCTAGTGTCCTAGAACGCCACCGAAGGATCTTGTTTGACTATTATTGCACGCGATACTGCTAATGGGCATTCTATGATGAGTATCTCGATATCATCGTTGCCTTGAGTGAGTGGTATTGAAATTTCGATATCGGAAATCGGACATCAATCTTGGCAACATCCGAAGATTTCCCGAGCCGGTCATCCTACAACTACATGACTACGAACACATGTGCAACTGATGAATTCATTACAGCATTCCTTTACAAGTCTGTCAATGACATTGACGATATATCTCGACTTAAACGAACCAAGTTATGTATAATTTAACTTTCGGAAAGTCCTACATAACATCGGATCCGATATATGCTCAGTTTGTGCCCTCCCGTACTGAAGTTCGTATCTCCGCGATCAATCTGCATGCCGAGGACGGGTCCGGCAAAGACATTTCTCTAGCCGAGTTCATACGGGTATACAATGCCCGCGACTAACCGTTCTCCGAACGGAGTACAAAGTAATTCGTACTTTTGCAGCAGTTTGTCATCTATAATAGCTAGTGACTGAGGACTGATTCTTCTGAAGAATCTCGGTGAATCCTCTCCCACAGGACCTAGCTCCAGACTTATATACCATACAGACATAACCACATACGGCATTCGGTGGTCCTTTCATCATGGGCACCCTTAATGACCTGTCGATCGAGACCGGCAAGTTTGGTGCAGCAGCCATCTCGGACAAGACCAATGCCTTCAACGAAATGCTCATGGAGATCATGGCGGGTGGTCCGAAGTGGTATGAAGTCGGGGCGGAAAAATATCGCCAGATGCGCGCGGCGGGCGAGACCCCCCTCCCAAAGGCCGTCTATCTGGACTCGGCAGAAGAGTTCGCCGTCCCGTCGCGCGACGCCGGGCGCGACGTCCCATGTCGAATCTTTCGCCCGCAGAATGGCAACCCCATCCGTTCGGTCTTCCTCCACATCCACGGTGGGGGGTGGGTTCTGCAGGACGAAAAGTCTCAGGACCCGATGCTCCAGGACATCGCCAACAGGACCGGCGTGCTCGTCCTGTCCGTCGGCTACCGCCTCGCGCCCGAGCACCCGTTCCCCGCAGGACCCGACGACTGCTACGACGTCGCCGAGTGGCTGGTCGACAACGCGACGTCAAAGTTCGGCGTGCCCATGGGCTTCGTCGGCGGTGAATCGGCGGGGGGCCACCTGAGTATGCTGGTCGCGCTGCACCTGCTGCAACATTCCGTGCCTCGATACGCGGATTTCCGATTCAAAGGCCTCTTGCTGCATTTCGGCTGTTACTCCCTGGTATGGACGCCTCGGGTCTATCACTTCCAAAAGCCTCGCGTCCTCGTGCTCGATCGAGATTTGATGGAAGCGTTCCGCGATGCCTTCCTCCCAGGCATGTCTGACGCCGACAAAATGCACCCTTCCGTCAGTCCCCTCTACGCCGACCTCGAGTCTCTACAGGGTAAACTTCCGGCGGCACTGTACACCTGTGGGACGGAAGACTGTCTACTGGATGACACGATGTTCATGAGCAGCAAATGGCTGATGGCCGGCGGAGAAGCCCTTGTCAAGATCATCCCTGGCGCACCACATGGGTATATCATGTTTCCAAAGACCGCAGAGGGGAGTGGTGCAGATGAAGGCCTAGATGCTGTAGAGCAATTTGTACTGTCCAAGCTCAACTGAGCATCGAATGCCAATGATAAACTTGAACAACGAGATACCTTGAGGATCGCGTGAGATTGGAAAGCTCTCAAGACCGCAGGAAGATGAATTGATCGATTGAAAGGATTTGCTGGGCTCCTGCTAGCACAAAGTCTGACAGTAACCGATCTTGGGCTTTTTCCTTTTTTTTTGGCTCCAAGTTGCCCCGTAAAACAGTAAAAGAATCCCGCGAGTTATACAAACACAATTTTTAAAGGCAGCTCCGTCTTTTGTTTACTCAATCATGTCAATGTCATCCCCATGCGGTTGTGCAACTGTAGCATCTCCGCTGCCATTCTGTCCTGGCGCAGTGCCGGCCGTCGTCCAATAGTCGTCCATCTCCGCGTCAAGTTCTTCAGCTGTCTTCCGTGGTCGACCATTGCTCGTCTTGTGCCCATCTGCATCTCTGGCAGCACGCTCTCGTCGTTCACCCGGTCTTCGGCCTCCACGATGGCTTGAACTTCTGCTGTCACGTCCCGGAATGTAACGATCAATGTTCTCGGGAGCTGGCTTTGTCACGTCACTCCTTCGATCCCTAGGTCCTCCTCTCCCGGCTCCGCGGCGAGCTGCTCGGTCCTCTTGAACATCACCCACAGGACTCTCACTACGTCTGCGGTTTCGACCTCCCGGGGCTTCGATTCTGTCAAACAGGCTCTTCGGATTCTCCACCCGATCGAAAGGATTGTCCCGTCGTGGAAGCGGTAGAAGAGTGAGTCGAATAGGCTGTCCTTTCGCGTTGGCGCCATCAAAGTCACGAATGGCGGCTCTAGCGTCTGCGACATGTTCGTAAGTGACGAAAGCCACTCCTTCGGAACGTCCAGCTCGGTCGTAGCGAAGCCGAGCGTCTATGACGGGGGCTATGCGCGTGAACAGGTCCTGACATGGTTAGCATTTTTTTGTGAACGGCGTCTGCAGACATACATAGATATCATCCTCGGTCAGGTCGTAGTGCAGATTGTCAACTCGAAGTTTAGCCGGAGGTGGTGGTTTTCTAGACAATCAGCTCAGGCCAACGCAATCAATCAACAGGCTTACTGGTCGGGCTCGGGCGATCGGTCTCGTCGGCGGTCTCTGCGTTCTTTAGAGCGATCATGGCCAGCATAGCCTGCGTTCTTGATCAGTTCCCATCATCTCATACAACAACCAACACTGATTCTCACTGTCAGGTTCGTCATCATATCGATCGTGAACCCAGTCACTGCTTCAATTAATATTCTGCCAGGCCCGCTGATTGGAATATCCATACTTGTCTAGGTTCGTTTGGTCATCTCTTGTGGACTGTGGGTGAGGAATATCTGGTTAGCTGTGTGACAAAATATTTGGCTCGTAACCCGTCGTGAAAGTCGGAAGTCGAAGATTCACTTTGAGAGTGATCCGAATTGATGCGGTGATCAATCAATACGACGAAATAGGAGGACGTTTATGGGAGAGGAGAGGAGAGTCGGACCTAGAGCATCATGGTCAGCAAATAGTGCGCAACAGTTTCCAAGTATTTCGCACCTTTCTGACTCCATCGCGAGGATAGTTGAAGTCTCTGCGACGGGACGGTGGAGGAGCCCTACGACCACCGCGATTTTCTCGTCTCTTCATGAAGTTAGCAACATTCGAAGTAAGAGTTCACTGAATTTCTGCCTTCATACTTGACGCTCTGCAATCGTATCGTCCAAACTGCGATCCATGGTGAGACTGGTTAGATTGCTTGGTGCGAATATTGGTCTTTGATATTTTATGTGCCAATAAGGAAAATAATGTGGTGGTAGAACGATGTCGCACGTGTAGCTGGAACAAAGTACGTCGCAACAGTGTGATTTAATTCACGTCGTTGGGAGATTCGCCGTGTGACAGCGACGAGTTCGCAGTCTTAAGACTTTGACTAAAGCGGCAGCAATGTGAATGTGACGTGTATCTACTACACAGCAAAGAACTTAAGATACTCCGTATTAACTCTACATGCTTCAGAATATGTCTACATACCTTTACCTCTCTAAGCAATACCCAGTGCCTACGATATATCTACCTAGCTAGTTTGGGCATAATACTTTGAATGCCCATTTGAAACGTTTTTCGTCATTCGTGGTCGCTCATTTTGTTGGATTCCGGATGTACTCCCCTTCAAGTCTTATCTGCTTAATCCAAGTACGCTGCGAAGGCTGGAGTCGTGATTGCAGTCTAAAATCACCCGACCGCCAGTATTCATGCCCTCTTGCACGTTTTCGACTCGGGCCTGCAAGGAGACACCTCGGAGAAACAATTGGTTGATGTTGGGAGTGAGGCCACTAAGTTCTCGAACAGCAACTGAGACCATGTTCTCCGCATGGTCTCTCTCGAGGTCAGGGAACTGCAGTAATCTCAGAGAAGGGATTCTGGATGGAGACCAAGGCTTCTGAGAGGGTCCAAGATACCATCCCTGAGGCATATAGCCCACTGCGATCGTGATAACCTCCAGGTGACTCAATACCTGGAAATTGCAAAAAATAGACAGATCATCTGAGCGTCGGATTATCTCTTCTTGAAGTCTGATGAAGGCCTTGTCCCCTTCACCGTAAAGAAGTGGCATGTTGACATCGAAGATCCCCAATTAGGCAGCAAGCAATGTCCTCAACCCGAGTACTCTCTCTTCGAGATGCCCACGACATACTTCGAGCTACTGGGACATCCGTTCCTTCTTTTTACGTCTCTTGGGTTGCGAGCACTTTGACTTTTTTTTCTTGGATAGATCCTCCGTCGCCCTGACGAAGTACAAAAACCACCACTTATTCCGTTTCAGAAAGGGTGTCATACCGTCTGGTACTGACAAAGTTCATACAGGGGAACGGAAGTAGGTAAACTAGCACTCGTTCTCTTCGAGTGATAACCGGCATAGATCATGCTGAGAACGCTTTACAGTCTTCGATGATATGTACTCCTGCGGCCAAAGACGTCTGTTAGCTACGACCAACCTCGATGGGAGAGTATCGACAGAGAAATCGATTTGACCCCTCTCGGTTATCCGCGATCTGTACTTGCTAGTGATCAATACCGTATGTGTCATCTGCGACTATGTATCCCACCCGGCTCTAACGAGCTTCAAATGCGCTGAAATCCTTCTCTCCGTTATGCCCAACCCATCACACATGAATTTCTCTTGCAGAGTCCGTGATATTCCCTCATCTCATTAGCCAACCCCTGCGTATCCCAGGTCGTATCTTCGCTTTCTGGTACAATGAGCGATTTCCTCAGCGTACTTTCAGCCAAGTCTTCTCTGATATAACTGTCTGACTGCGATCCCCGCGGCCGCAGAATCACTGATCATCCGTCTCGTCATCAGACTCTGAGTCAAGCACACGTCTGACATATAGTTTTGCATTACCTCTCAAGACCGTACCAATTCGTTTCCGATTGCCCATAAAGCCGTTCAAACGCACCACCATCATTGACTATAATCTCGATGAGCTCTTCGGTGACCGAATCTTCTGCAGGTATACCACGTATCACTCCAAGCTCAAAGAGGGAATCTTCCCATGTATTTCGCTCATCTGCGTCGACACTGAGAACTTCACCAGCAACGAAAATATACCGCCTTCCTAGGCTTTCTCCATACCATATAGCTTTCGCCTTTTCTTGCAGAGATAAACTGCTCCAATTGTTCTTAAGGATCGCGAGGAGGGTATGCTCATAATCTTCATGTAAACCTCTGTCAAAACCTTGCCGAAGGCTTTCGTTTTGACCGTCCGTAAGGAGAAGGAACCTACCGATCCCAGAAGGTGACCACTCAAGGAACTTCAAAGCGGAATGGCCCTGCGATTCTACGCAGCCGACACACATTTGGACTTTGAACACTCTCTCTTCAAGCATCTCGGAATCCAGAACACCGCTATCTGGCGGTAGAATGAACCTCTTGCTGCTTTCGCGGCCACCAATCATCCATAGCTCCACACTAGGCCCATTTGGCTGCAGAGGCGGACAAAGCGCCGGGACTCTGCTCTGCACGTCTTTTTTGATTTTATTCCATCCCTCAGCTTGGAACCATGAAATGTGGAACCATGATATGCTGGCGCAAAAAATGTGCTCCCAAAGGGGTCTCGTAGCACAGATGACCTTTGCTGCTGATGAAGTAGACCAATGATATTCAAAGTAAATCATCCGCTCCACCTCCAGGCACGGCTCAAGGACGGTCAAGAAATCCTTACTGTACCAAGCACTTCGTAAGTGTTGGCAATATGAAAGTGCCGCAGCAAGAGCTTTCAGGTCTGAATCAACCTTCAACAGTTTCTCCCGAATGTAGGGCTGGAGAGCGTATATGCTGCCAAAACAAAAAGCCATGTTCTCAAAGTTGGAGAGTTTTGGCGACGACATGAAGATTTCGGAAGGCACCAGGGGATCTCTAAACCATATAAATTCCCGCTTCCAACATCGAGTGTACAAGACATCGATTGGACGTTCAGAAATACTCCACTCCGTTCGAGTCTCCGCATTGGCAAATAATCTGTCCATAACAGAAGTGACCTGTTCCGACCATGCTTCTCCTGATATAGCGCTTGCGAATTGGAATGGCTCCTCAGGAAGGACGATCCTATCACCCAGGTCCTCACCTAGAATGGCTTTTGCGACCGAAGCATTCAGCAACCGAGTGGTAGCTTCATCCTCCGACACTCCACTGGACGCTAGGAAAGACGCTGCTTGTGGATCCTCCTGGAGGAAACTTAGTGCACTCCGATGGGTGAACCTCACTTTGAAGTTATGGGTGACCTCTAGTTGTCGATAGCGACGATTTCTTGAAGCATTGTGATCATGCCGATGGGGATCCCGGACGAATTCGTCAGGTGTCATCTCGATAAGTCCAGCGCAACGCGTGACTACAATGGTCTTCAGCTCCGGAAATCTTGTGTTCTGGTCTAGTTTCGTAAAAAAGTCACTGCCAGAGCCGTCGGAAATCGCTTCCAGCAGTTCGTGTTGATTTTGTGAGGCCAAATGTAGAACAAGCACTGGAAGGTCGGGTATGGCCCAGCAACTCTTCCTTCGAACGGCGACATCGATCAGTTTCAAGTATGGTTTGGGGTACTTCAGGTAGAACTTGTCCTGGCGTTCAAGAAGGTGAGTAAATAGCTCAGTCATACCATCGGGACATATTTTTAGCCGCTCCTCAAGCTCATTTTCGTCATCGCCACGCTTGGCCGCTTCTCTCAGAACTTCTGTCACCAGATGGGCCCAGAGAAACACGCCTTGTGCACGCGAGGCAATTGAGTCGCAGTGATCAGCAGCCCGAGTGCCCTCAAGTCTCCTATTACAATAGCTCGCGATATCGGTGGCGTTGCGTTCCTCCAAAAGCAAGGATGGAGATTCCTGAAGAGCGTCGTGAAAAGAACTCTCTGGCCGACTAGAACAGCAAATCTTTACGTGGCTAGACATGCGGGACACCTCTTTAACAGCTTCGAGCGCAGACTCCCCGACTTCGTCAAGGCCGTCGATGAGGAGGCAATACTTGGAATCGCAATGGGTGAGCAAGTATTCGAGCCACGATTTTAGTTGACTGTCCGACCATGACTGTACGCAAGACCCTGAAGCTATGAGGGAGGTCTTCAACTTCTCCGGTACTTTACCATCGCTGTTCTCTCGAATCTTCTTCGATAGATTTGGTTCTTGATTCAGGATCTGGAAACACAGTGACCGCCAGAGTCCTGAGGTTGACTTGATCAATTCATTTGGGGATGGGCGATAGAACCAGAAGGTGAGTAAACAAGGAGTTTCTGTGCCAGCCCATTGTTTCAATAAATCGAAGAATAGTCCACCATCTTCAATGTTTCTGGCAATCAGATCCATGAGGCTTGATTTTCCAGAGCCTGCTTTTCCACATATCCAAAAAACGCCGCTCCCTTCTTGGAGCCAAGCCGGAAATCTATTCTGGTCAAAGTCGTCGAAGATCCATTGGAATGTGTCGCCGAAATCACCCACGAGACGTTCGATCTGATTCTGACGATCATTCATATCAGGGAATGCTAAAGCATCCAAAAGGCGGCGCCTGAGTGAATGCTGCTCGTTATCATCCATTCGACTCAGACATACGGTGTGTAAGTCAGACACTGAAGTCATGATCCTGTTCACATTTTCATCACGTTGGACACGCTCAAGATCGAGACGCTTTTCCCTGTCTTCGCTGGCAGCTTCGAATAATGACGTTATCTTAGTAGCGTTCTTCAACTGGCCGTCCAATACTAGGGCTATAGCCGTTTGATGTTCTGTCGTGAGTCGTTGCAGTCCAGTGCGAAGTACCACTTCTGATTTCTGGGATGTAATCCTGCCGTTGACGTTCGAATTAGCCTCAGAGATAGTGGTTCACGAAGAGGAACTGTTACTGTGTGCAGATGTTTGGAGCATAGGCAGGGCTGGATTAGGAAGTTGGCGATTAAACCCACACTCACCACAAATCTGTCTGAAGGTGTAACCGTAGTACATCCTGCTGGCGCTCAAAATCCTTCTGCAAACTCTCGATTTGCCCCTTTCTGATTTCTTGTTTCCAAGTAGCTTTTAAGACGGCGCCGAACTTTGTCTTGCTTTTCTGTTTGCAAAGTTCCAGGTTGTCGAGGATAGAGCGGAGCTCATTGGCTGTCTCGAGTACTTTATCACAACTTCTCCTGATCGCAGAAAGGGCGGAGGAGGATGATCCAAGCGTCTGTAGTTCTCCCGCCAGGGTTTTGCTCACAGTTGTGATTTGTTCAGAGCATGCCTTGATCTTGTCATTTTCTTCGAGTGATCCCCGCCGATATAGCCTTTTGAACTCCTTAGTTATTGAAATGCCCTCGCCGACAAGCTGTAGCACATTGCATGCGAGAGCTAATGCGGCCAGACTTTCCATCTGCAAAGGCCACAGGACAACACTGTTGCCCGTTAGATGGCCGCTGATCACAATTTCAACACCAGAATAGCTCCGTATCCAGTTGCAGAAGAGCTGTTGGAATTTGAGACAAGAAAGTCTGGAAGGAGGTCAGGTGAAGATGGTGAAATCTTGTGCTCATCTCTTCAGCCTAGTCTAGCTCAGCGGCACCGCCACAAATTCAGATTCCGATACCACGCCGCGCAGCCGCACAGGAAGGCTGGGCTGCTTGTGAAGCCGCCAGAAGCTTCACCATCCAACTTTTGTGTAATTACTCCGGAGCCGAGAGCACAGATACATCAGTGACTGTGAGGCTTGACCGGCCATCCGCGTATCATTATCTACCAATACTATGCGTACCCGTCTCAAGGGTAATGAACGTGCATTACCAGAGGCATCCGAGCACCTGCTACCTTCAACATACCCTACTACCATAGTACAGCCAAACACCACTAAATTATCAAGTAAATGGCACTACCGACACCGACTGTGTGCTTGGTGCTTGTGTGACTACCTAGCGCGCCTTCAATCACGCCGGGCTGTCGATTAGATAGTAACTTGATTGGACAAGTGGTCTTGAGAGTGACTCCCGAACCGCCTGGCAACAACAGCCGAGAAGGGGCCTGGAATTCAGGTGTTCCTAACATGTGAAACATCAAACCCTGGGGCCTCTGGGGGCCAGATTATGGAACCTCGACTCTGGACTATGCTCACGCTACTCCGTACCTAAAGCAACACATCAGGGATCGCCTAGGCGCACTCAGGATTGCACGGCCACAGCTTGGAGTGGCTGAGCCATGGCTACGGCTTGACGGTGGGATGCTTAAGTCTGGGAGCGAAAATGGACTTGGGAGAGGTCAAGATTCGCCACTACTTTTATAGGGAATCGTCTGCGATGCTGACATTCCTCGATGCAGTAGGTATCGATCCAGGTGCAATGAGTACCATGGCGCCTGATCTCTCTACACGTCGCTTGAATCTTTTTATAACCAGACTTATCTGTAGCAGGATGTTCGGGATCGCGCAGAATAGCATTCATCTCCAGAAGATCGATCTCCTCATCGTCGACCCAGGTGTGGGAGAGGATTGCGTATGCAGGGATCTTCGCTCCCACAAAGACCTTCATCCGGAGAGTAGTGGTATCGATCAGCCTGATCAGCATGTCGATGAAGCCTAGAGAATTTGAATAGAATCTGAACAGTCACAATTGAACAATGAAAGATGCCGAGAGGGTGAGAACTGTGCCACAGTCATTCGGGGAAGACTAGTCGATGGTCAGAGGAAACAATGAAGGTGGACAAGGAAGAAGGGGAGACTGTTCGAGGCTGAATGAAGTCGCTTAAATCAGTGGCTGCTCGGATGTGCAGGGGGCCAGAGCTGGCCACGATACTACCACACCTTGATTCTAAGCGCCCACCATTCATTCCTACGAGTAGGAAATCACAGGGCTCGAGTTCTACTCAAGCTGGCTATCTTGGCCTCTCTCCTGAAACAGTGTTCTTAGCGTTTCTCTCGGTGCACCCAGACCGCTGCTTTTCATCGCATTTCCGCTGCCTTGCACGAATACTCGGAGCATTCTCGGAGGTCCGATATGTGCCGATATGTGCTTTTGGGCGAGGCTGTTAGATAAAAAGTGTTTTAGGCATATACATATCCGAACCCTCGGGCATGACGATGGTAGAAGGTGTCGGGCTCTCTATGCAAGATGGGGTGTTGCTGCCCAGAGAAGAGTTTCCATCTGGAGACGTGGGCGTCAAAGGTGAGTATAAAAGCGGCACTTTTTGGCCTGCGAAGTGTGTCGTTAATCATCCCGCCAAGATGAGGTTTGGTCGAACTACTCATCTTCACCCCCAATCGAGAAACAGAGTGCACTGATTTGAATAAGACTATTATCTCTTAACAATTATTCTTTCCCCTTAGATACCTGAGCTTGGTTTTTCGATAGGGCCATAGATCAATGAACACCAAGAAGAGAAAAGAAAGAGAGTGACTTCTTGAAGTATTCGTCGAGGAAACAACATCACTACTGCGCTGTCACGGCTCTCTTGGTCAACACCGCCGAACTTTCGTTTAATCTGCTCCAGTCATGGGCATCGAAACATGCTTGTCGACTCATCTGTACTGCGTGACTTGTCCTGGTTCTCATTTCCTCTTCAAATCTGTCGATTGCGTCTCTCTGTGCTCTCCCTTCCGCATGCACTTCCTTCAGAGCCTGACTCAGATGATACGCATCCAACATGCCGTGATTGGCAGCCTCTCCTCGATACATGGTCATGGCGTGCGCCGCATCTCCAACCAGAGTGACTGAGCCTTGGTGATTGTCCCACTTCAGACACGGCCAATCGGCCAGTTTAATCTCGAGAACCGTCGAACCTTCAGGGATCGACTCAACGGCATTTCTGAGGACCGGGGCAAATGGTGCTGCCCGCATCTTCATGTCTTGAAGTCGATCGCCATTTGTGGCCTTGACTTCATCTTGAGGCCCTTTGACGGGCCACGAGAGATTTAGCTGAACCCGGTATCGTTCATCCGCCGTGCCTGCTGTTCCGTTGATCTCGGGGACCTCGAGCATCGATACCCACATGAAACACGAGGTGTCCGGGTGGCAGCCTTGGAACAGTAAAGGATCGAGTGATCTAAGAGGTCTAACTTGGTCTTCCGTCATGTCGACGCCTGTGCCCACAAAGCGAATCGGAAGCTGTCTGTTGTGATAGTCGTCTGGACGTAAGAATTTGCGTACTGCTGAATTGCTCCCGTCAGCTCCCACCAGGAGAGCTCCAGTTGAAGAGGTTCCATCGGCGAACAGCGCCTTTATGCCTTGACCAGCAAACGCGGGCTCTACACCAACTAATCGTTTCGACCACTGCACCTGGTCTTTCACACCTTCGAGCAGGACTGCGCGCAGCTTCTCTCGATTGACTCTCCTCCGGTCCGACGGTGGTATGCGGAATTTGGTCTCACAGTTGGAGAGATTGAGAAAGAGAAAGTTGCCCTTGTCCTGTCGACCTTGTGCAGGATCTACTTGAACGCCGTCGATTTTCTGGAGAACTTGTGGCTCGAGTAACTGCTTGAGGTACGGCAACGCCCAGTGAATCGTGATGGCCCAACCTTGACCTCTTGCTGACACGCTCTCGTCGCGCTCGAAAATCTGGAATGGAATGCCTTCCTGTCTTCTTATCAGCATGTGGGCTTCCACTCTATCGGCTTCGTGTTATTCTACTTTCTTGAGTCCATGTGCCAAGGTGAGGCCGACGACTCCAGCACCGATGATGATAACCTCCTGATTGCCCATTTCGAGATCAAAATCGTGGTTGAGGACTTCGTGCCGTAGGAATCTTCTTATCAGCTGGCAGCAATAAGCACCTTATGGCTTGCGGCTTTCCAAGATCATGGACGGCAACAAAGGGTTCTTGGGTTTTGCAGGCACCTCACACTTGGCAGGGCCTACATGACAACACAATGCGGCCCAATGCAGCATGAGGTCGTAGTGACAAGTATTCTTTTGCCGTGTCTTTCATTCAACTGCACGAGTGACATTCGCGGTTTGAGGTCTGTACAATCTAAGAGGGCACACTTAAGTGGCTGACCAACTAGCTTAGGCAAGGTCAGGCCGAGGCAAGCGATATTGCAGGGTTCTGCACTAACGATGCACCCGTCGCAAAAGTCGATACTCTTTGCGCCGGCGAATTGTCAAACCCCAGAATCCGGATTGAACTACTGCTCAACTCAGCCAGCACCTTTTCAGTTTCAAAAGCAGGGCCGAGACCAAGTCGGCTAATGGTGAGATACGATGTGTGCCATCGCTTTGCGTCAGATTCGGATTGTTAAGAGGTGCGGCGACGCTCAACTCCCTTGAATTGACCCCTCGCAGATATCGAACTTACACACTGTTCCATTCCACTTTACCTTGTTCACAGCAAATCTACACCTCCGCCTGAGCATTTTGCTCTTACTCGATCACTTCAATGATGCCTTCTGCTACCGCACAGCTGAATGGTCATCATGAGGCGTTGAACCCTATTCATCCTGATATGCTCGATCGCCTTGACCCTGTGTTCATTGATCTTTACAATCAACACGTTGCAAACACCCCAAACAAACCCATTGATCTTGCCTTCCTACGGTCCAAATACTCAGTACTCTATTCCTATGGAACTGGACCCGCTCCAGAAGTGGCACGCATATATGATTCAACAATTCCAGTTGGAGATGACGTCCTATTAGAGATCAGAGTATATGAGCCTTTCACCGAAGGACCATGGCCTGTCCACGTCGACTTCCACGGAGGAGGATGGGGGTTGGGTGACCTGGACACCGAAGCCCATATCTGCAAACATATCTGCCACAAGGCCAACGTTGCGGTAATCGATGTGGCCTACAGACTTGTTCCAGAACACGTCTTTCCCACAGGCATTGAGGATTCGTTTGCGGCGCTCAAATATATTTTCCAGCACGGCGCCGAGAAGTTCAACATCAAAGCTGACAGCATCTCCTTGGGCGGTGTCTCTGCCGGAGCAAATATAGCCCTCGTTTGTGCCCATTGGGCAAGGGATGACAACATTCCATTGAGGTTGATCGCCGCCGGCACACCAACGATCGATGACCTGTCAGCATACGCCTCGGCCTCTGACTCGCCGTTCAAATCGATGCAAGAGAATGAGTTTGCCCCTACACTCAATTGGGCTCGGCTGGCATGGTTCGACAAGCTCAAGTGGAGTTCTCTATCCAGTGACCCTGCGATCGAGAGGAAGCAGCGAGAACGAATCGGATGGGTCAAGGATTTGCTTGAGGCACCCAACTTCAAGGATCTTGCCAAGACCGTCATCTATACGGCGGGGGCTGATCCTTTGCGGGATGAAGGTGAAGCCTACGCGATGAAGTTGGTTGAAAATGGCGTCGAGGTTGTCCTGAAGCGATTCCCGGGTGTGCCTCACCCTTTTATGCATATGGATGGTGCTTTATGGCAGGCGTCGCAGTTTATCGACATGACTTGCCGAGAGATACGACTCGCCCATGAGTGAATGTGGATTCTCTCACGTTCTGCTAGTCAGTCCAAGTGTCGGGGTTGCCATAACTTCATTTACTATGTCATGCGTCTCGTGAAAGGACTAATCATTGTGTTTCGAAGCTCTCTGTCGCAATGTCTATCGAAGTAGCCATGAGCGAAGACGGATTAAGCTACAACTGCTAGCCTACTGTAACTGAGCATCTTGAGCATTCCCAAAATCTAGGTGGCCTCTCTACACATAAACTCGGATCGTGACTCCCCAAGTAGTTCTATCCCGCTCGTCGGTTGTTACTGCCAATCACAATCAAGGAGGGGAGAATGAGTACCAAGATAAGCAACTCCAACCCTTCCATGCGCTAGATACCTCGATATCTCCATGGGTCCAATCTGATCCAAAACCAGCCATACGTTCTCATCTACACCAGGCTCTGTAGATCCAGTTCCATCACCGCCGTCACCGACATGGAGTCTCAAATGAACAGACGTATCATTTGTATGCGATGTGCGAAAATCAAGCAGGCATGCGACGGTGGTTCTCCCTGCTCTCGCTGCAACCGTCTCGAGGTCTCGTGCGAACCGAATCTGGTCGGCGGAGATTGCGACACTGGACGCCGATCGACTTCAAAGCCAGTCAAGATCACCAGAACCCAGACAGGATGCCTCAGCTGCAAGAAACGCAAGAGAAAATGCGATGAATCCAGACCGAAATGTGGTGATTGCAGGAGGCTTTGCTTGAATTGCACCTACATCGATCCCCCAATTGGCTCGAAACGTGTCACGCCCACGTATAAAAACAGTAGCCAGTCCCCAAGCGTTGGAAACGATGACACTACCGGACGCTCGAGCTATGAAGAAAACCTGTTCAACTTTGATGCCGATTCCCTGAACGACGTGGCTGATTCCATCAGCTGGCAAGATGTAACCGAAGTCTGGCCCTTGGTGCCGCAATCTCAAATGGCCGTTTACTCTTCAGACACGGGGAGCACACCGTCTCCAGACCCAGCGCTCTCTTTGCTGATGCTCTCGACAGCCCCGGATATCGCAACTGATGAAGACAAGTCCCTTCTCAACCACTATATGAGAATAGTGGCAGGAGTCTTGTCGAGACGAGATGATCACAGATCCAATCCCTACCTGTCCAAAATATTGCCAATGGCATTATCCAATCGACTGGTTATGGATGCCGTCCTTGCTCTTAGTGCGAATCATTGGAAGAAGTTACAACCCACGGTCTGGAAGCGAGGGACTATTCATCAAACCAATGGTAAGGCCGATGTATCCTCGAAATCTTTGTTGTCCTGACCTTATACCAGCATTGCAATCACTCGCAAAGCTTTTGCCCCATATCGAAAGAGAGTCTGCGGATGCAGCGCTGAGTGCGACGCTTCTATTATGTATGATTGAGCTATTTGACGGAACATCGTCTCATTGGAAATTCCACCTTGACGGTGCCCGCCGACTTCTCTCAGCGTTTGATCAGAAATCAAACTGGGCTCAACGGACAGAATACAGGACCTTCTGCCGCCAGCTTTACCATTACCTGGATTCCGCAACTACCATATCGACCTGTCACCCTCCACTCCTCGAAGTCGGGAAGGATGAGTCAGGCAAGGCCGCGACTCCAGAGGCTATATCTCCCCGCGACGATCTCGATGATGAAGCAGCATTATATGGAGTTCCCAAATCATTGTTCCATTTTGTCGACAAGATAAATGGACTAGCATATCAACGGAAATTCCGCGATGACCCTGTGTTCGAAAACATGTTTCGCGCATCGGCCACGAGGCTTGAGAAGGAACTCGAGCACTGGAGTCGAGATCACAAATCAAAAGCCTCACACTCGTCGTCATCAGATTGCTTACAGGAAATTCCCGCCCAGAATGCCACCACGGCTTTCGAGCAGGCTCTACAACTCCGTCTGCATCAAGTTGTTAATGGATATTCGCTGCACCACGACAAAGTGAAAGACTGTGTGTTTCAAATCCTTGATTCCATTCAGCAAATTCGATACGGCAGTCCACTCGAAAGTAGTCTGGTGTTTCCTTTGGTGATGGCAGGGAGCAGCTGCAGCACTGAGAGCGACAGGCTGATCATTCGAGATCGACTCATGGTTATGGAAAGGACACTAGGATTTCGCTACATCTACACGGCTCATGAGTTGGTGCAAAGGGTCTGGAAAGAGCGAGATATCAACATTGGAACCGAGACCGAAGTCAATTGGGCTGCCATTCGGTATTTTCAACTTCCAGGGCTCGCACTCATCTGACCGCCAAAACTACAAATCTCACATTACTCTTTAGACGAAAGGAGTGTCATAACTGTTCAGCCAGCTGTGCAACATGAGCATGAATGTCATAACCACAAATCTCTTCAATCGTCAACTTCCCAGGCCTATCCGTGGAGCTGCTCCAGCCTATGCGCTCACTTAGATCAGTTCTTGCACGTCCACTGGCCGATTGGACACGAGTTGCACGCTCTTTTCTTGTCATCTCATACAGCTTCAGTCTCTCGTTCACTTGCAGATGACCATACTTTGGGCTGAAGATGATTCCGAGGGCTCCCGCATCCTCGATTGCCATGCAAGCTCCTTGCGATTGGTCGGGCACCATGGGATGAGCAGCATCCCCCAGCAGAGCACATTTGCCTTTCGCCCAATACGGGTATGGATCGTGGTTGTACAGCCGCCACATCTTGATATCTTCGGCGTTGATGAAGAGACTGTGAAGTTTGGGATCCAATCCGGGAAAGGTTTTTACGAGATTTGCGGGCGTCGTGGATAAGTTCCAACCATCTTCCCGAACGTCATTCAGTTCGGCGGGGTAGAAGCAATAGCATGAGACGACATTGTTGTCTGAGCATGCCGACAGGACGATCTTGTTGATCCCATAGCCACCCCAAAACTCTATGGCGTTGTTGTTCAAATACTCTTCGAGACCGAGTTGTCGCAGTCGGTCAGCGGATATGATGCAGCGGTAACAGCAAGACGTCGAAGCCACGAATTTGGGAGTGATGCCCATCTGAAGCCGAGCAAGAGATCGTATGCCGTCGGCGGCGATTATGACGTCGGCGACCACCTTCTTACCATTCTCAAATGTGATCAATCCTCCCTCAGGATCGATTTCGACGGCTTTGTGCCACACTTCCAGCTTACAGGGTGTGCCTTTTCCCTGCTCCTGAACAGCCGTCTGTTTGAGGACATTATGCAGGTCGATCCGGTGGAAATTATTGTAGTCGGTCCCAAACTTGGCTCGATAGTCTCCCAAATCATAGGTGCTGGTGATTTCTCCAGTAGCCCAGTCGTGCATGATGAGAGATCTCAGAACGACGGGTTTCGCTGCCTTGATATCGACATCCCATTGTTGCAAGAGTCGCGAACCATTTGAGGCCACTGAGAGAGATGCACCGACTTCCCCTCCAAAATCATATCGCTCGTATATGGTCACGGCATGACCTTGTCGACGGAGAGCTATCGCCGCAGAGAGACCTCCCAGTCCGGAACCAATGATGGCTACATTGAGGATTTCTTGTTGATCTGGAAAGATTACTCCCGGCATGATTACTGCGAATTGTAGATAGAAGGGACGATAAGGTGACCAATTTGGCACAAGCCTTCTCTCGAGGATAGAAGGAGACTCTGGTATCTTTTCGGTTACAAGTTCTGTTGCACAGTCTAATGATGTATCTTGGTCAACTTCGATTTATGCTGTGACCCTCATGGCAATTCGGCATCCTAAGCCTGCATCCTGACCTGAATGCCAACGTCGCTCTACGCAGACCACAAGTCAGCATTTCCTTGTTGCCAGAGGGCTGTAAGAAGCCGACGGCAGTCCGTCAAGTTTGCAAAGATGTAGTAGATGACCGATCGACGTTAGCGACGGCAGTAAACTAGATTAGCCAGGCGGAAGAAGATTGAACTGATACGCCGTCGGATAGAGAAATCAATCAATGCCTTTGCGACGGGTGCATATCCATAGTTTGGAAACCGTCGACTCTAAGCATCCCATTCGGTCCCCGCTTGATGAGCGGGACAATTGCTGTGGGGCTGCAATCGACTCAACTAGTTCTTACCGAGTATGTCACCTAGGCCGTTTATCTGCGATACACCTCGTTATCCGTCGAGTACGCACTCTCGTTCATCATGGCTGCTGATACTGGGCTGCAGACCCTGGGCTGTATATGCCGTGCTCTTCTGCGAGACATATAGATCCGGCTTGGTGCAACGTTGCGTCGCTCAACTTGAATTGTGCCACTCCACCGAACCTTTGAGTCTTGCGATCGCCGCCACTACGTACTCCCTTGTCTTGGGAGCAGCGACGAGAACTATATTCGTGAAGACTCCTCCCTTCAGTCCACGACTCCCCCAACCTATTGTGTATGCATGGAGCCCTCCAAAGACATGAAACTGGCTACCGCCGACATGGCATCCACCAGCACCAAAGACCTCGAAGCAATACCTTCCCGGACGGTCGGAGAGGTCTTTGCCGTGGACGCCCAGGACTCGAGGCTCCTGCGTAAAATCGACTGGCGCATTGTTCCTCTGATGTTCTTGTGCTATTTCCTACAATTCCTCGACAAGGTGCTCATCAACTATGCCAACGTCATGGGCCTCCCCAAGGACCTCGGTCTACGAGGCAACGACTTCTCGTGGATGGCGACGGCCTTCTTCATAGCGTATGCCGTCGCGGAATTTCCACAGGGCTACCTGCTGCAGAGGTTCCCTCTCGCGAAAGTTTTGGGCTTCAATGTCCTGTGCTGGGGCATCACCATCTGCTGCTCGGCCGCGGCGCAGAATTTCGCCGGCATGGTCGCGCTGAGGACGCTGCTCGGCTGTTTCGAGGCCGTCATCAGCCCGGCCCTCGTCATGTCCACGTCGCAGTGGTACACGAAGCGCGAATCGGGGCCACGGTACGGCATCTGGTACTGCGGTCTCGGGGCGGGACAGATCGTCGGCGGGCTGGTGTCGTTTGCCGCCCAGCACGGGGACAAGAATGCCTCGTTCGACGGTTGGCGTATCATGATGGTCTCGATAGGGGCCTTCAACGTCGGCGTGGCGTGCCTGGTGCTCACCCTCTTCCCGGACAGCGTCGACGGCGCTCGGTTCCTGAACGCCGAGGAAAAGGCCTCGATCCACCGCAAGCTCGCCCTCGACCAGGGCGGCAACGGCGCCAAGGTGTTCCGGCTCGCATCGCTGCGGGAGGTGTTCCTCGACCCGCAGATCTGGCTCCTCCTGCTGCTGACCATCCTGATCGTCATCCCCAGCGGCGTCATCACGACCTTCTCGGCGACCCTGATCCGCGGCTTCGGGTACGACGCGAGGCAGTCGGCGCTGCTCAACATGCCGTCGGGCGTCGTGAGCATCGCGTCGACCCTCGTCTGCACGTGCGCCATCCTGCGCGGCTTCCCGCGCTGGCTGAGCATCGTGCTCCTCCTGGTCCCGACCGTCGTCGGCGCGGGCCTGATGTCGTTCGTCGACGCGGCGAACCAACCCGGCAAGCTCGCGGGCGTCTACCTGATCAACACCATCGTGGCCCCGCTGGCCCTCATCTACACGTGGGTCGGGGCGAACACGGCGGGGTACACGAAGCGCGTCGCCTCCAACGCCGTCGTCGCGATCGGGTTCAGCGTCGCGAACATCATCGGCCCCCAGACGTTTCAGTCCCGCGACGCGCCGGACTACATCCCCGCCAAGGTCACCATCTTCGCGGTCGCCGGCGGCGCCATGGTCGTCTCCGTGGTGCTGAGGCTGTTTTACGGTTTCAGAAACCGCCGGAGTGTCAAGGAAAGACGCGCCCAGCTGGCAGAGTTGGCGGCTCAGGGCGTCACCCGGCAGCTGAGAGAGGACGAGAACGCGGATCAGACGGATCGTACGAACAAGGCTTTTGTCTATGTGTACTGAAGTGCTCTACTGTCGAATGACGAATGCCGACTGCCCAACTGTAGGGAGGTGATTTGTGTAATCACTTTACAAGGCTTGGTAGGTGGAGAATAATGACCACCAGATTACCTCAGGTATCCATACGATACGAATCGAATAAATGAGTTGTGATGCACCGAAATCAATCTCTACGATTTATGATCACAGGATTTGGCGGCATATGACATCCACAGAAAAGGCATCCTTTTCGCAAGTCTTGTCCGGAAGGGGTGGGTTTTGCTGTGTGGCTCGTCGTCTGTCGAATCCGGCGGGATCTAAATCGACACTACGGAAAGCAGAGGGACCCGAATGGCCTGAAAGGACTCTGCTGTCAAGGTGACAGACAGAAAGAGAGAACGAAAGAACGAGTTACGGACCGTGGTCAATCCGACGGTGGAAGTCACCGATACCCTAGACGAGACAGATGAGACGACTGGACACAATCTATAATGTATTCGTATCGTAACGGCTTTTCTCGCACTCTGCTGGTTCGGGGCATCTTTCTCTCGTGGTGACGATGCAGTTGGATACAGCAGTCAGTCGCGAAAACCAAAAATCCCAGTATCCCATCGTCAGACTAGGTAGTCCAAAGCCATGCTCCTGATTGGCAGATCGAGGTTTTGCGACGGCTGCAGGTGAACTACCCCGTAACAGACTGGCCCCGAATCCAGCGCCACCCCGTCGGATCAGACGCAGGTACACACACATCTCCCCCTCTTGGTGCGTAGTCGAGACCCAGGACCTCTGCATATTGATGAGGACTACCTTAGAATGAGCTGTGCGACGGTTTACTCGGTTCTGGAAACGTGCCCCCGTAGAACGTGTCCAAAGGGACGATACGCGGGACGTTAACAAATCGCGGCCCGCCGCTCCTTTCTCCATCGACTCGTCTCGCAAGGTACAAATTTCGAAAAAGATGGCAACCCGTCCATCTACGATGGAGATGGAGAAGAAGTAGGTGCTTGATGGTGGACTGGTCGGAGTTCGGCTTCTCAGGGCTTGCCAATTTCTTCGACCTGGATCCTGACTTTCTTCGTTTCAAAAGTTGAGCCCATTTGCAGCGCATCTCACATTGATAATCTATATTCAACTTGACCATCTCGAGAATCCCAAGCACAACCTCGAGCTCTCACAATGCCTCATGCACTTTCTCCTCCCGCATCAAGTTCGCCGCCCTCGACTTCCGCCCTGCTCGTTCTTGTCACCGGCGCGAATGGATTCATAGCATCTCACACAATCCACCAACTCCTCGAAAACGGGTACCGAGTCCTCGGCACGGTTCGTGATGAAAGCAAAGCCCAGAGTGTCCTCAAGACACACTCGGCACTGACCCCCGACTTGATAAAAAACCTCGAGGTGGCCATCGTGTCCGACATCACCGCCCCAGACGCATATAATGACCTCTTCGCCGAGCACAAGCCTAGCGCCGTCCTCCACATGGCTAGTCCTTTTGCATACAACACCACGGAGTTCGAAGCGACTCTTCTCCGTCCTGCCGTGCGCGGCACAGAAGCCATCTTTTCCGCCGCGGCCGAGGTGCCGAGCGTCAGGAGGATCGTCCACACCAACAGTTTTGCGTGTATATACGATGCGTCTCTCGGGTTGAGGCCGGGATACACCTACACGGCGCGGGATTGGTGTCCGCTGACGTACGAGGACGGAGTGCGTGCGTCGAGCCCTCAGATCGCTTACCGGGCAAGCAAGGCTGTGGCTGAACGGTCAGCGTGGGGCGCGGTCGGCAGCCAACAAAACACCGTGACCGGGGCCGGCCAAGCCTGTGGGTACGACTTGATCTCACTGTGTCCGGCGATGGTCTTCGGACCATACCTGCCTACGTTACATTCCATGCCCGCTTCGATCGAGGAGTTGAACACCAGCAACAAGCTCATATGGGACGTCGTCTCGGCGGGAAAGGATGGCCAGGTGCCGCCAACGAGGGGTCCAGTGTGGATCGACGTGAGAGATGTCGCCGAGGCTCATGTCCGGTCAATTTCGTTGGACTTGACTGTCCACCAGAATCCAAGGACTGGCATGTCGGACGGCAAAAGGCAGAGGTTCCTTCTGGCAAAGGGCGTTTATTGCTCGCAGGAAATCGCAGACGTGTCTCGCTCCGCCCTACAGGTCGGTTCAGAAGGTCAAGAACCTCACGCTCCGGCACATCGATCATCATATCTCGAGCGGATTCCGGTGGGCAAACCCGGAGCGAGGGAAGCACAGTCACATTTTGGAGTCGACGCGAGCGTGGAGGAGAAGTTGCTAACCGGCAAACAAGGTGGATGGAGAGATCTCAGCGAGACCTTGTCAGAGTTGATCCCGCAGCTGTTTCAGATTGAGGCACATGGCACGAAGTAGTCGAAACCCTACGATAGGTAGTCAGATAAAACAAGTTTTCACGGTCATTCCTCTTTACACAGGAAATGCAGTCCTCTATCATCAGTTCGCCGGGAAAGAATGAAGGACTTTGTGTGTCAAGTCGAATGGAGACCAGTCTTGGAGGCTCCTGTCTGGTCCTATAGTTGGAAGGAAATGCGTCCAGATAGATGCCTCTAGTGATAGAGACAGGTATGAAGACGGTTAGGGTACACTTTGTAATATACAAGAGAATGGAGGCCCAGTTGGCAGCCTGAGCTGCTCGTTGCTTCCGGCTTGCGGGAGAAATGTCAAAGTCAGCATTGTCTACCGGCATCGCCCGGCCACGGCCAGTCGAGGAGAGAAATTGACTAAACCACTTCGTTATTACCAGTAGCATATCCGCCATCCTCAGTCAGCACACTTGCTGCCTCTGTGGTGTACTCGGCGTCCGGATCTACACCGATCGAGATCCATGCAAACAGACCATCCTCGACCTTGTCGCCCAAAAGAACGTAGTTCAGGACAGGATCGCTGTCGGTGCTGGTCTCGGTGATGAAAACCCGGTCCTCATCATTCTCGGTCAACGTGATATTGTTCATCGTATACGGATACACATTGCCGTTGATGTAATCGATGAGATCCTGGTCATAAAAGATCTGGCCAATGTGTCGGATGGTTCCGCCGCTGATGGTGCCATTCGACAGGAGGGTGGCGTTGGTATGGGTGATCATGTGGATGTGTGTTGCGCGACCAGAGTAGTAGCCTGGAAAAATGGAACGCCACGCGGCCACGCCGTCCGAGTCCGTCTTCTGAATGCCGCGGAGGAACGTGGAGTTGATGTTGGACGCGTCGTTCGAGTCGCCGTTTCCTGATGCGACGACGCCGGCGTAGACACCCGTGGCGTTGCAGCTGAAGCAATGGCACGTCAGTACGTGCACCCTCCGGTTGACGGTCACATCGGGATATACTCACTGCCAGATGTCTGCAAAGAGACCTGTGATGGGTTCACAGGTGTTGGTGTTTACAAACTGTTCTTCGAGATACACAGGCACACCTGGCTGAGTCTCGGTGATGTCGTGTCGGACAAACTCTCCTTGGACATCTACAAAGAGTTAGCGGACTTGCTTGCACGACAGGTCAATCCGTCTCACAGTATGGGCCGGTCTCTCCTTCGGGATTCAAGACGCAGGACGCGTTTGCATAGATGATCGACTCTACGTCAGCAGTCCAGGGGCTGATGTTCAACGTCGAAAGGTGGCTGGTATTTGCAACTTGACTTCCAAAGTCGCTGATGTTCACTCCGCCATCGGCTGCTCCGCCCGCTCCCCCAGATGGAGCCGCGCCGGATGGAACTGACCCAGAAGGCATCGAAGTGCCAGATGGTATGGCCGACCCGGAGGCTTGTCGACGAATGGACCCTACGCACCCTTAGTTTCCAGTGTCGACGGAGTGTCAGCACAACAACCGAACATACTCTTCTTCTGCGCCACCTCATCCCTCAACTGCTGGATCTTGGCTACTCTACGGCTGATAGATCTCTTTTCGAGGCCGCGGTCGCGAAGCTTTTCGGCGCAGTGGTCCAGGTTTCGAACGCTATGCTTGAGATATGCCGCTCGCTCGGCAATCTCTTCGTCCAGACTGTGACCTGGGTGGGCATTGATTGTTGCTACGAACAGCGCCGTAGCTGCAATAAGTGGCAGGCCGAGCTTGACCATTTTGAAACGAGTGACAGCCGCAACGAATACAGAGCCGGTTTGAGGACAAAAGATTGGTATGGGGCCATCTCATCTTCCTGGGGGGGCGTCGGGACGTCTTTATGTAGCACAATCCTCGACTCCGCCATGCCCCTGACGCGACTGGGTAGCGGTGAGCACGCATACCAAATCGTGTCGAACTGATGGCTCCGACTCCACTCTTTGGTCCTTTGGATCAATCGAACGGGAAATATGTGTAATTCCATTGGTCCAGGAGTCGCCAGGCATAACAGATGGCATAGCCCGAGCGTAGCTCCAAAGACTGCGTCAGCATAAAGTGCGTAAGTTCCCTTGCCGGGTTGATCTTGCGTCTGTCTCCTAGCCGTCGTGGCCGATGTGCTGCGCCGCATGCGATCTTGTGTTAGTAGCTCGTACTGTTCATAGAGACCGCCCAGGGTCCTTGGGGCTCAATGCTGGAGCCACTCATCCGGGGCCAGACCTTCAGCAGGAGCAGCCAGTGCCGTCCACGATATTTGCTACTGCATATGTGCGTCAGCAATTCGGGATTGGACCCTCGAAAGGAGAAAAGCTCTGCTTAGCACGACGGACGACGTCGTGTTGACGGAACACTGACGAGGACCGCAAGAGCCGCGTAATCCACCTGTTTCTGACGACGTCGCCAAGCTGAGTCTGTAAATCCACAGCAGATGCTGTACTTACGCAGACATCACATCCACCTGGACATCCGTCAAGCCTCATCACTAATGGGCGACATGAGAAAATCTGTCGTCACGGCAACATGCAAGGAGCATGGCGACTTCAAGGCGTATCGGTGGCGAGTCGACTGAATCAAGTAAAACCATTTGTTGGACTGCTCGCACCACCCCGAATCGACGGTACAGAGTGTGAAAAGTGCGATTCTATGCAAGCATCTTCACCCAGCTTTTCAGTATAGCATATCCCTAAGACACGTGTGGTCACACAAGTTTCAGAGCAGAACGGCCAAAACATTCCCCCAGACCTGCAGTTGTATTCCAAGAGGTCGACTCCGATGTCTGGCGCTTATCGTAGTTAAGGGTTTTAAGCTTTTTTCCGGAGCTGTAGGCGGGCTTGGCAGCACGTGATAACACGTGGCTCACTTATTTCCGACCGCTACGTCGGCTTTTACGCTCTTCTGTCTCCATAGCGGTCACTCCTTTACTTGTCGTTAGTCAATCTACACCAGAGCTCTCATAGTCGCCCAGTACTGCCATCGACCTAGTCAGGAACCGTTTGGTCATCGCCGGACTCTACACTGACAGTAAAAATACAATTGGCGTATCAGCACTCTCTACGGAGTGAGCCTTCTCTGCGTTTGTGGGATGGTCCAGCAGAGCTGCAGTAGACCCGTCCATGCGCCTCAACTTCGGCCTGTTTTGTTCAACAGGCACACATACCCACTCCCATGTGTTGAGGGGATTGTCAACACATCGGATGACGACTTTGTGGTGGCTTTCGGCCTTGGCCCGAAGTAATTTTCCAACGAGGCGCCTTTGGCATGTCCATTAAGCGCAACAACTTTGTGTTCGGGCAGAGATATGGCCACGACACTTGTTGACGCGTCCATCCAACATTCCCAGACAACCAAACACCTGTCAAATTTGGGGAGAGAGGGGGGGGGGTTTCCATATTTCCTGGTAGCTATTAGTGATTGCGGCCTACTTTGCTCTTTTTTCGTTCATCACTCTGGACGTTTCCTTGGATTCTGAGTGGAGACTTGAGCCGCTAATTGAAGGTCTCTTCAACAATCTGTGAGTATGTTTATTGTATTACAATGGGCGAAAGTTTTCCCTCGTAGGGACCTGTATCATGTCGAGAGGATCAAGTTAGCCTTGACGTTATATACTCATCCTTGTCCTGTCGACTGGTGAGGCTGTGGTGCTTAGACGCATGGTCGATTGTGATCAATAGTCGAGTAGAATAAGGCTTCTCATCAACATCACCTCTGCTACTTCCGCTTGTCAAGAAACCCGCACTTGTAGTGACACTGGTGAAGCGAAAGGCGACATGGATATGGATGGCTGACCACCTCATATTGAAAGAGATCAAACCCGTCGTATCCCTATTGATAGCGGCTTTGTTTTGCTTTCCTGCGTGCCGCTGACAAAACAGTACACAGGAAACCATGAAATGTACGTCCTGGTCCCGCATGTCTCGACCCTAGATACCACGAGGTGACGAGTTGCGATATGCTCGTGAGTAACGGGCGGCAAGTACCGCCATATGTCTCGCAGGGTGCCCTACAGGACTGTTAAATCAGCCTACATCAGCGGCCGCGGTCTCTTGTATGAGTTTCACGTCTACCATTTCGCTCTGACTGGTGATACGATTGGTGCTGGCGTAGTCGACCTAACTCTTGTCGTGACAGACAGATTCTTTATCATCAACCTTCGACAAAGGGGATATCTCACAACTCCTCCTCCCTACCCCCTGCTCTTCCTAGAGTTCTCCTCGACTGAGACAACATCGCACGGGACGGAGTTGGCCTGGAGGACCACTGCCTGGTGCTGGATACTTTGCCGCCAATTTTTTTCCTTCCAGAGTTGGTTCAATGCCAATACAGATGTCACGGCTTGTCGGTGTCCAGCTCCGGGTTGAATATTGTCAGCTCTTTCTGTTCCCCATCACTCACCCTGTCGTAGTGATAATACTTTCGCAAGTGCCACGCCCCAATCCCAGCAGAGATTAAGAGGCTCAGCATACTAGCTCCAGCCAAGGTGGAGGAGACAACAACAAGTCGCTTCAACTTCTTCTGCGCCCGCTTCAGGCTCAATAATTCCTCATCTCGCTCTTCCGTCTCACCATCAGGAGGCCCTGTGGGTTTTCCGCGGAGGACAGTCCTACTTCTCCCCAGAACATTGCCTGACAGGTCGAGCCCGGCAACTCTTACGTACTCTCTTTGGATGCCCAGAGTAAACACCATGGTCTCAAATCCTTCCTTGGGCACGCGAAATGCCTCTCGAAAATCTGTGTGGGTCGCATTCTCGAACGTGCCATCTTCCACCATCCAGTACCGCACCTCCGTGGCACCATTCCAACTAACATAGATAACTCCGTTCTGCTGCACGATATCAGGCTCTGTCAAAGGTAAACCCACCCAGGCGTGCTTAGCAACCCGATACGACTGTGCAGCCCCCGTTCCGAATTGCGAAGACGGCATCAGACGGACTTCGCACACAATGTCCCCTGCACGCGTGAACTCGACGTACTGCGCGTCTGCGCCATATCCGACCAGCACATTCCCGCTCGGTAGCGTCTGCATGGACCCTTGAGAAGATGAACTCATACGTAGCTTGCTGAGGTACTGCGTGCGGAGACGGACCGTCCAGTTCTCAAAATCAAGATCAAGCCACATCCCAGAACTGGGTTGGCCGGGGCCCGGGTTGGAATTATCGAACAATGTAATCGAACTATACTTGTCGTGCCAGCGAGCGTGATGCTGCGAGGCGAAGCTTATTGCTCGACCATGCGACAAGTCTTCGAAATCATTGCTCCTGCCACCTAGCGTCCACAGAATCTGCCCGGATCCACCATCGATATAGTATATGGCATGCATCCAGCGCGATGAGATCAGATAATTCCCTTTTGGATCCTTCTCCACGCTGTTCATATGGAACCAGTCCCAAGCACTATCTTTTGTGAAGCCGAGGTTGTCAGGACGCCACTGCGAGTCGGTGAAAGGGAGGTGTTCGGAAGCTGCCCAGGAGAAAAGCACCTGGTTAGTCTCGATGTCAATCTCTTGGAATATGCCGTCCCATATCCAACCGTCAGCAGGTTTGTCAACGGAAGTTAGGTTCGCAGGAACGATATGGTAGATAGTAATCAGAGCGGTTCCGTTCGGAGTGAGGTAGAATTCGTGTAGATCACCATCGAGATTGTTGCCGCCGGTCAGAGTGTATCGTAGGGTGTAATGCGAATCGAGCTGTCTTGGTAAGGCCAGTTCTGGTGATAGGTAGCAGCAGTTGTATTCTCACCATGTAATACAGTCCTGAACCGTGCCCTTTCACCCCATCATCACCTGCCCAAAAGGTGAGAAACTGCTCGTCACGATACGTCTGAACTTGAAGATTATATGGTTGCACATAGTTCGCATCCATCCAAACCAGACTGCCACGGCTATCCAGGATCATGGGCCCCGCTTGAGGGACAGCAAACCCCCGAAGCGAGAGCATGACCAAGAGTCCATCATCGGGACATGATCCTGCCTTCTCATAGACATTCGGTCGTGGAGCCTTGATTGACGTAGAATGGTATTGTTGCGCCACAAAATTTCCATATTCTCCCTGATCGTAGGACTTGTTGTTCGAGAAGGCTCCCTGTTCTGCGGAGCTGACCGCTAAGACCATCAAAGACGGGATGACGAACTGGAGCAGCCATTTCATCTCGTCTCAGCCTGCATGCGCTTTCCAAAAATCCTAGTCGATACAATCCGAGCAGGCCTGTAGCATTGTCCACATTGGCCGGGAACGAAACAGATATCAACATGTTTGCGTCTTGGGCGTTTGTTCTCTTCACCCGCGGCTCGAGCCCCTTTTGGACTTTCATAACGAAGCCAGTGGCGGGAAGAGCATTCTCCACCTCCTTTTTAAGAAAAGGTCAATGATTCTCATCAAGCTATGCGTGTGTACGTATGCTTTCGACATGCTTATGGAAGGTACCAACTACTGAGTACGTAGGTCCAGCACTGGTGCCCTGGGCTGCTCTGCCATGATTGGTCTTGAGACTGAATAGGGATGAGGCTCATGCGTAAGCGTTGTGCTTGGCGTTCACAGACAACCGCCTTTTTGATCGTTTTGAGCCGCATGGCCATATGTTTCACATGCGTACGTGTGGGAAGTCGCCATGCGCCTGTCTGTATCAATCACGACATAATTAGAGACAGTTGGAACACCAAGAAGTCATGTGATGAAGACAGACGCAGCAGTCCACTGAGTACTGTAGCCGGTAATGCTAGGTGATGATAACGAGAGACAAGTAGTGCCCAATGTCTGGAAATCCAAGGTTGGAATAGAATATACTAAACGGATTATAGCCAAAATCAGATCGTCGCTGCGAGAGCGTGAGAGAGAGAGAGAGAAGAAAGCGAGAAGAGGGTGAGTCGGGAGCAGGTCAGATGTACAGAGGGCGTGGATGGAGTTGGCTGATATTCTTAGTGTAGGGTCATCTTAAAAGCGGCACCGTCTCTGTGAGCGTGTTGAGCATTGCTTGTGCTGCCAAGCTGCGGCATAAATGGTGCATACCTGCTTCATACTTCGTATCCAAGTCGCATTGTATAATTTGTTCAGAATCATCTTTGAGAGTCGTCATGGCTGCGATTTATTCCTGTAAACCACTTATACCCTTGTTTTGATCTCGACCATAATACCTTTGCCGTACTTCCTTGATCGCTGGAAATTTCACCGAACTCGTGTATCTACTACCTCCATCCTCGGTAACCTCGACCAGGCCTACCGCACATGACTTTGCGTCTCCCAATTCGAGGCATCGATCTTTCTCGATGACCGTTACTACCAGTGGATTCCCTGCCGTCCCTTCCTCGACACAAACAGCAGGGTTGTATACCATTCTTGGTGTTGGACAACCCGATGGGGATTCTCAATTGCAACGATGGTCCTCATTCATAGGCATCGTTACGGCCATTGTCGGGAACCTGCTGATTTCCTTCGCGCTCAACACACAAAGATACGCACACATCCTCATAGAGCGCGAGTACAATGAGGGAAGGAAGTCACAGACCAATGGATCCGCGTCACCATCCGCCGGCGGGTATGGAACGAATACACAAGAGCAGATAGCGGAAGCACGGAGGAGAGTGAACCTGGGGATTCCTGATCGCAAGGAACGCCATGATGAAGAAGACACTGCTTCATCGGGAGACGGCCACACTGATGTGAGCTTTGAGGCAGCCATGGAAGAGGCGAGACAAAAGAACGAACCGCAAAATGACGACCAGGATAGGCCCTCATATTTGAGATCTCCCGTCTGGTGGTTTGGCCTTGTGCTCATGATCGTGGGAGAAATCGGCAATTTTCTCGCATATGGGTTTGCACCGGCCTCCATCGTCAGCCCTCTGGGAGTGGTTGCGTTGATTTCCAACTGTCTGATTGCACCTTTGATGCTGAAGGAACGCTTTCGAAAACGGGATTTCTTTGGTGTCTTGGTAGCGGTTGCAGGCGCCGTTGTCGTTGTCCTGTCAGCGCGTTCAAGTGAAGAAAAGTTTGGCCCCGGCGGTCTCTGGAAGACAGCCAAGAGGTGGGAATTTCTTGTCTATGTCATTATCACGATCCTGTTGATCGTGGTGTTAATGTACTCTGAACCACGATATGGTCGACGAACCATCCTTGTCGACCTTGGTCTGGTGGGACTTTTTGGAGGCTACACAGCCTTGTCTACAAAAGGCGTTTCCTCTCTTTTGTCAACTTCGCTCTGGAAGACATTTGCATACCCCATTTTTTATGTCCTGGTGGTGATCCTTGTTTTGTCCGCCCTCATGCAGATCCGCTATCTCAACCGCGCACTGCAAAACTACGATTCAACTCAAGTCATTCCGACACAGTTCGTCCTCTTCACACTTTCCGTGATCATTGGGTCGGCCGTTCTTTACCGAGACTTTGAGCATACGACGACCCAGCAAGCTGCCAAGTTTGTCATCGGCTGTCTGTTGACCTTTTTTGGTGTTTATTTGATTACAAGCAGACGCGAAGTCTACGATGTTTCCGAGGAGCAATTGCAGGACGACGATGAAACAATCCAGCTCATCGACGAAGAAGTGGAAGTAAGCGATGAAAGAACACCCCTGAATCGAGACAGGAAACCTTCGCTTCCTCAAAGTGCGGATGATCGTCGTTCGATACTGAATCGAGTGGACGAAACAGACGATGAGCCCAGCACTCCACAGCCATCTAGGCCTGCGTCATCTGTACCCTCCATCGCTGTCACACCCGCCGAGTCCTCTGAAAACCTTGATCGCAATCCCTGGGCAACCTCAGTAGAGCAAGTCGACGCTCCACCACCTCGGATGCCACAACAACTCCCCAGTCCAAACCCACCCTTACGCAGCGGCTCGTCCACACCCTTCTTCACTCCATTCACCTCTAGACCTTTTCATCGTTCAACCTCCTCACCCGCGGATGCAGAAACAATCAGCCGACAAAACACACCAAGACATCCCAGTCCCGAGCGTCCCGCAGAGGACGCGTCTGCCACAGCTCGTTTGCTCTCACGCTCGACTCGCGGGAGCATCTCCCGTCTCATCCCCGTCCCTGGCCCATTGCTGCCGCCACTTTCGTCTTCGCTGAGCGCCCTCGTTGCAGACTCGCTACGACGGGGCGAAGGCACGCCGTGGTCCGTCCGGGCCAGTCTCCGGCGCAGCCGCTCGAGCCGACACTCGGTAGACACACGCCGCCAGCCCGTGCCTGTCTCGGACGAGGAGAACCCGCTCGGCCTACACTTCCAGAACCGAAGCGCCGACCACGGTTTGAGTCGCGCGCAGACACATGAGGGCGCCGTCGTCGTCGACGACGGACTGCGCGACCAGGAACCACCGGGCAGGCACCACAGGCTACGGTTGCGCTCGCTCAGCGAGACCCTGTCCGGCATCATGGGCCGAGGCAAGGGGAAGAGGAGGGACGACGCCGACGAGTCGCGGTTCGATAGTGCATCGGCCGTATGATTTGGACACGAATGCCGTAATTTTTCTTCTTTTTCCCCCGTTGCCCTCGTATTCAATTTTTCTCATGTCAATGTATGCATGGGGGTGACTGACACGCCTTTGGAATTTTTTGTCTTGTTTTGCTGTTCTTCTGATTTGGTTCCGTACGGAACTCCATACCGGGACCCAAGGAATTGCCCGTCACAGGGACCGAGTCGATTTCGAAAACTTTATACAAAGTACTCCCTTGTCCATATAATCCATTGTCTACCCACTCACTGAGCGTTGTCGTAACATTACCGTCCTAAATAGCTACTAGTTGGCCACCTATAGTTATCACTTAATCATCATCATCATCATCATTGCATTGGTTATCGACTCTGGAATCTGGAAGGAGCCCTGGTCGTTGAACACCTAACTCCTAACACAGGGAGGGTATCTAAAAAAAAATAAAATAAGGGACACCTACTAACACACACATCTCACAACTTGGGGAATTCCTCAACGCAGCCGAGGCAGCAAGTGAGCAAGTAAGCAAGAGTCTGTTTTTTCTTTCAAAACGAACTTGACCGGAAACTAGGTGAGGTGGGTGTTTCAACGGTTGGCGTCCGAAGAGGTTCCTCCGGCGGCATCCTGAGATTTCTCGTCGGATTTCGTCGCCGTGCCTGTTCCTCTGGTTGTTTCCCTCTCCCGTTCCCTCCTCGCCTTCGCCCCGGCCTTCAGACTGTCCCACTTCTCCCGATACTTTGTGATGGTCTCCTTGAGCTTGGCGTTCTCGTCGTCCTTTTTCCTGGCGCGGGCATCGCTCCTCCTCAAGATCTCTTCCAGATCCGTGATTCTCTTGGCCAACGCATCGTCCGCCTCGCCTCCTCCCCCTCCCTTCCCGCTCGCGCGGCCACCTCGAGAGTTCTCGGGACTCATCAACGGACTGTTCCGTCCGACGACGTGGAGGCTGCGTATGCTCTGAGCCATGGCGGCGCTGGCGGTCTGGCTGGACATCTCGAACACGTGCAGCCGCCTGGACAGCGTGTCGGACAGGTGTTTCAGCGCCTGGTTCTCGAGCGCCAGTTCCTCCATGGTCTTGCCGTCGACCTTGGCCTCGAGGCCGGCACCGCGGTGGTGGCGCGCGAAGCGACTCGGTGGGCCCCCGGCGGTCGCGGGGAGAATGGTGCTTTGCGCGTCGACAAAGTCGTCCTCGCTGATGTTGGAGAGCGTGCTCGGCTGCCGAGAGTGGGAGTGGTGGCGCAGCACACGGCCCTCTTCGCGTTCGGCGCGGTTCATTATCTCGGCGTAGGAGATTGTCCCTCCGGTGGTGGGGACGACGTAGAAGGACTCGCTCGGGTTGTTGGCGGATGGCGCGCCGGAGACGGCGCGCAAGGCAGCACGGGATATGAGTTGAGAATAGTCCATGGCCGGAGCAGCCGGGGTGGAACGGGATGGCGTCTTGGGCGAAGCCTGTGCCACCGGGGGTGCGTTGTTGGCGGCGGCCTTGGGGGCAGGAGTAGGAGAGGACGACGTGAGTGGGAGACCGGCAAAGGCCAGCGGCGCACTGAGTTTGGATATCAGAGATTCGAATGTCGAGTAGAATTGTTGGAAGGGGGCGTCGGCGGCATGCTGGTCGACTTCTTCTTTGGGAGTGTTTGTGGCTTCTGGCTGTATCGGTGGCGCCCACGGCGGGCGTGACGCAGGGTCGCTTGTAGTCGGACTTGAGTCTTGTTTCGATATCGTCCGCGCCCTCGTCTCCTCTTGAGCGATTTGTCCGTCGGCGTTTTGCGCCGAAACCAATGGTGATATGGGCGTCGGTCGTTTCTGGCGGGTGCTGGGTATCCCTCGCGCCGAGGCAAGATTGCTTGCTATCGACGAAGACAGATCTCTCGCATTTGGTCTCAGGCCTCTCGGCAGTCTAGGAGGTTGTATGGCATTTTCGGGGGAAGGAGGTCGGGCCGTTTCTGAGGAGGCGGTGGTGGTGACCGATCCTGTATCCGTAGCGGCGGCCGGTCTTGAAGGCCCTGCGCCAAGCGGCTTCTGGCTTCTTTCATGACTTGTTCGTAGTATCTCTCCCAGCTTTTTGTGCTGCGCTTCCATCAACGAAAGAAGTCGACGGGCCTCTAGATCCGTCGACTCTCGAGCCGCAGCAGCGAATTCCGCCGCAGCCAAATCATATTCTTCGCTCGCCGCCACGGCGTTGTTGCGTTTGTGTTCGAGAGCAGCATTCCGAGCGTGAGTATGCGCCTAGTAGAGATGGGTTAGGAGCGGTTTCGCACCAAACGTGTTTGGGATTCTTCGTACCAGAGTCAGTGGTGCTGCGTCCATCTGTAGGCGATGCCGTCGAGGCTCCGAGGGAAAGAGGTGGTTAGGACTGGTTTGGCTCGCGATGCCGGTGTCTTGATAGCATAAGATGATTTCCAAGTGCACTGTTGCACTGATACCCCCTTTACAGGTTGCAGGTTCGGAGTCTGGAACAATGCGAATGATCAGGACGGATGCAGGCTACAACAAACCCCAAAGGGCCAATAAAGCGAGATGATGCAAGGCTGAACGACGGACCGTTGGAGATGGAAATGGCGGGGAAGACGCGAAGAGGGTCATTTATTTAGTCACAGGCGCCACTTTATAGGTGACTATGGCAGGTATTTTATATGCATCGCGTCACTAATCGTCAACGGCAAACGGTGCAATGAGTGGAAATTGCTTCAAACACCTTATGTCTGTTTGTGGTTCCACGCGAGTGAGTTGAACACGCAGAATCATGATTACGTTTACTTTTACGTTTTGTGGGACAAGAAGTAGCACAGTATTGACCTTAGACGCCCATCACTGTCAGGAACACCCCTTCGGAACCGTGAATTCCATTTCAGTACTCCGTACAGTGCTTATCGATTGCTATGTGGCCTCTTTTCAATCAATTTTACAAAATCTGCCTTTTTGAGCTGCCAAAAACATCCCTGCAAGTCATGCCAGTGCCGGACCTTTGCATTGAAAAAGGATGATGCCGTCTTGGGTCGTATTATTGTCCCCGACCACACACCCACTCGAAGAAAGCAATCAGTATCCATCACGACTGGCCCATGACTTCTATACCTGCCCCAACCTGAACCATAGGCCTACTAGGCAAAGTACTGCTGGCTTTTCGTTTCTCGGCGGATCTAGGTCTTTTATTGCCGTCTTCAGGTAGCTTCAAGTCCATGGTCGGCAGCGCAGGAGTAAAGACAGCAGGTCCAAATCGGTGCTGATGACAGAGCGCCTTGGCCTCGTGTTGTAACATGGCGGCGTCAACCTTCAGGCTGAAATCCATCAGATAGCAGAACGTAATCTCCAACCGACCGAGTTCGCCCTCTGAGACACCGCCCACTTTGCTGAACCGGGCATGAGGCCAACAGAGGTCCTCCAAGGCCTTCATTGCCACCCTAAGACAAGCCAGGAGCAACCGGTGGACGTTTCGCGGCGTGACCGGTAGAATCTTGTCGTAGACAGCCAAGCGCGTAATGTACAGAGACGACGCCAAATACACCGCTGTCGACATGGGGCAGTACTTGTGCATGCGCATGAGATAATCTTCGGTGGAGATGGGCGGAGGTCGTTTGGAGTAGAACTTCCTCGCCAACGCCCCGTGTTGGACGTAGGTCGGTTGCGCATGGGCGCCAATGATCTCGGTGACCGACGTCGGTTCGTGTGCGTGTGCTTCCGGAGAGCCGATGGGCGTTTTCACGAAGAGGACTCCATCGATGTGCTCGTGTGTTTGTTGTTGTTGGTCCGGTGGCCGCAGGCCGCCAAAGCTCTCCTTTCTCGGGGTCACCGTCACCGGGGCACTCGACTCGTGTTGTAGCTTCGACGACGACACTGGCCGTGCGGGAGAGGAACCTCGACTGCGCGCCGGAGGTGTGGGCGGGACGTCCCCGGTCGACTGGACCAGAGAATCCACGCTCCGACACAACATCTTCAGCGCCTGCACGGCTTCGAGCTTGAAGATGTCGACATTCTCGGCCGTGAGGCCATCGAGACCCTCGAGCGAAGGACTCTTGATCGAAGGGAAAATGCCCTTGTCGTTCTCCGGCTGCGGGGGTGCAGGCGGTTCAGTACCCCTGTGCTGGGTGCATGATTCTTCTTCCTGCTCTTTCTGGCTTCCTTGGCCTTCGGACGGGCTCATTGTATATGTAGCCGATTCGACAGGGGGGGGAAAAAAAGACGCAGGCTCTGTTTGTACCCTTCAGCCGACTTCGAGCATGAGCGTGAGAGAGGCCGAGGTTGTCTTTCCAGATGGCTGGCAGATGGGCTGCCACATGGTCGGGGCTCGTGTCAAGGCAAGTAAGTGACTGCGCTCGCGGGAGCAGCGATTCCAAAGGCAATCAGGCTGAAGTATACAGATGTAAGTCGAAGAGGAAGAGTTCTAGGAATTCGATCGGAATGAATGGGATAGATATTTGAAAGGTCTACTTGGGGTGAAGTTGAGGTCCACGACAACGATAAGACAAGACTCTTTTTGAGGTGCTGCGCGGGGTGTTTTGTGAGCTCGGGAGCTTTGACTTTTGGCTACTCCGTAATAGTGATGATGAAGCAATGCACAGAGACGGACGCACTGTGAACGGTGTAGGTGAGCAGTGCAATGAAGACGTAACCAACTGGTTATACTCTGTATTGGGCACAAGGATCAAGGACGACGAGGTTGATGATTTACTTGATCAAATTAATTTATTGATCGCACCACCAAACCATGGCACCAGCTTCTATGCCGAACAGACCGCGGCGACGCGGATAAAAAGAAAAGGTCAACAAGTCACGCGCCCGTGAATAAATTCCAAATGGAGCCTGGAACTGAGACGGAGTAAAATCATTTGGTCAAATTCTGCACCTCGAATCAGTCACCTGCAGCAGTCTAAGAGAGAAGATGGTGTTGTCGAGTTGGGCATCTCTGGGCTTATATACTTTATGGAGTACAACATGTTTTTTTAATAGACGTCGCTTTCTGGTGTTCCTGAAGAGCTGCAACTTGCAGATCTTGTCATTGAGAGGGAAAGTGGTTGATTATCTAATTCCGTGCACCTCATGTTCTCTCTGTAATACTCATCATCCCTTCTGTATCCATCGATCGCCCCCCAAGGTATCCACCCCAATGCGAGTTCTGTACAGTCTTGTCACTTGCCTATCCAAAGGTGCCGAGACCAGGCATATTGGATACCATCTGGATGTTTTGCGTTGTAAGTCTCGCCTCCAACAAGCTCGACCAACTCGTGCGATCGCCCCCAGGCAATTTTGCATCTCTCAAGTCGTTCCACGCTCACGATTGCGATCTGACAGCTGGGATCTTGTAGTGATCTCCTCCGTTGTGCATGGTACAATGTCCATATCACGTCGTCACTAAATGACATCCATACGGAGGCCCGAGACTTCTTCTGGCAATGATTTCGGAGATTCTCCTCTGTGAGAACTTGTTCATCCAGCAAATCTCTGGTATTTACATAAGGTTTGCATGACGTCCAGCCAGAACAACGAAATCCAAGGTCGTCGCTATAGGGGCTATGGGATTCCTGAGTCCACAACCGGATAAGCGTTAACGGTCTGCAGAATGTCTCCATAGGAATTGCAGCAGGGAATCTGTCATCGACCCATCTCATAGCGTACGCCGTACCGGCAGACATGATATCACATATATCTTGCCGTCGTTGCTGCACTGAGTCCAGCATTTTCTGTCGGTGGTCTGGTCGATGATCTTGTCTGCCAGTTCCTGTGCCCTCGGATCTTTCGATGGTCGCAAATGAGATAAAAACCACCTTTCCACGAATGCAATTTGTGCCATAACATCAACTATTTCGGTGGCCAGATTCCTTAGCCCTTCCAATTGTTACGATTCCAATTACCCTTCTCAATGCGTTCCTCTAGGGATGCCCCGTGGAAAGCGATCCTTCGGACCGGGCGCGTGATGGGAATTTCGTTGTGGTCTCATCGAGATGCATGCTGCGACAACATCCTGTGATCAACTTCGAGGAGAGGTTATTGTGCTATACCTCAACGTGTTCGTTGTTTGCAGAATACAGTACGAGCGCAATCATAGAACAGTCTGGGCCTCACTTGGGAAGCCGGGGATTGGTTGGAGGGCTATCGAGATTTGGAGGAGTCGCTAGTACTCTCTCCTAGCATAATTCAAATCGGTATAGAGAGTTTTTCCCAATTATGTGAGATCAAAGGTGGGACGAGCATGTCTTGTTCGCACTTCCAAGCTCGATCCAGAGAATTGGCTTCTGCCAACTTTTCAGCATAAACCATGTTGGTCTTTTTGACTCTGCCTTGTCAGCCTCACGGCCAAGCAATCAGGCGACAAGGCCAGATTCGAATGTCTCGTATGCGGCTGAATTTACCCCTCGTCGAGGGACGCCCTGAAAGCCAATGATGGATCAGCACATGCCCGTCCAGCTGGCATGGGCATGTCAGTCACTGCACCAGGAGCTGAAACAAAATACGAGCGTGTATACATGGTTGGAGGATCAGTCATGGTTATATGCTGCGTCCCTCGCCTCGTCTCATTCTCAAATTCTACCGTCGTATACTACTCTCCCTCAGCATCAGGCTAGCAAACTAGAACGATGTCCCGTCCGGCAGCGAATTATAAACGTCTCATTGTGCTGTGTGATGGTATGGTAGTCCTCATTCTTGCCACCGTCGGGGGCGTGTTCCTCGTCGTCATCATGTTCCCTGCTGACGGACAAATGCAGGGACATGGCAGAATATATTGTCAGGCAGTAGAACTGCATTCCCCACCAACATTGCCCGCTTTTCCAGAGCGCTGAGCCCTGTGGCAGTCGTCAAAGGTGAAGATGGCAAAGAACATGAAGTCGAGCAGATCGTCTACTACCAACCAGGCGTGGGTACCGGACTTGGAGATAGATATCGAGGCGGTATGTAGACACTCACGCATTGCTTTGTCACGGTCGGCCATGGTGAAGCGTCCGCCGGCAGTATCAAGTATATAAGGGCTGACCGTGCAAAATGTCGGACAGGGGCATATGGTGCCGGACTCTCAGCCAACGTTCGTGCCGCATACGGCTTTCTGGCTCACAACTACGACCCCAACCCTGGTGATGAGATCTTCTTCTTCGGCTTCTCCCGCGGAGCTTACACTGCTCGAGCGATTGCGGGAATTGTCAACTCCTTGGGCCTCCTGACCAAGCGAGGAATGGATTATTTCCCTCAGGTGTACGACGAGTACAGCAAAGACGGTAGCAAGAAACCCGACTTCGACTTCTCAAGCGAACTGCGAGCAAAGATCGGCGATCAAATTGTCGAAAGTGCCAAGGACGCCATAAAGATTGTTGGGGTGTGGGAGACCGTCGGGTTCCATGCCGAAGGCATGCTGGGAGAACAGTTCGAATTCCATGTAAGTCATCATGAAATCATTCCAGACTCCGTGCCCGATCAACCTTGTACCGGCCGTGGCACGCCCGAACGCTTACGGTACTGACGTGCTTGTAGAACGCGGAACTCTCGAGCCGAGTCTCCTACGGCTATCACGCACTGGCTCTGGACGAACGTCGTATTCCTTTCACGCTAACATTGTGGCAATGGCCCAAGGGCTACAAAGTCAGCGGCGACGGTAAGGGTCTGCAGGACATGAAGCAGGTCTGGTTTTCCGGCACTCACAGTGGTGTGGGTGGAGGTGACTATGACCCTGCTTGCGCCGACATCAGTCTCGCGTGGATGCTTGCGCAGTGTAGCAAGGACAAGAAATTGGCCTTCACTGACGAGGATCCTCCTCGCCCGGACGACGCTGACGAGTACTACCTTTTGCCTGACCGAGCGAATCCGAACCCCAACAGCAAATGGACAGCGCTCAAATCCCAACCGACAAGTGATCCGGATGAATCGTTCGTCGGGAGAGCAGCCGATTGGATCGGACACATCGCCAGTGAGGATCGTAGGGCCTTCCCTCTGGACCGTACCATGGAACGGATTCATCGCTCGATTCAAGACCGCAACATGGAAGCTTGGCCCTGCGCCATGCTTGATGGACAGCATCAGGGAAAGAGCTGGGATCTGAAGGCGTCATCCCAACGTGGGAATGTGCTGATGGAAGCCGAAGCAGATGAAGTGGCAGATGGGATCGAGAACAAATACATTGACAGAATCCGTCCAGCGCCGCCTTGTAAGGGATCTGGAAATTAAGCAGCATCAATCGCTCCTGGATTTAGGGGTTACGTTACTCCGTAGTTACCTGTACCTTTTTGGAATAGTGAGGAGTCTTGTCAAGCTTGAGTTAGGGACTTTTAGTGTAGAAGCAGAGTAGGTAGTCATTCTTGCATCACAGACCGATATCGCTTAACACGGCCGTCGCCTCTCTTCGTGATCATTATTGTGCCCTTTGGTGTGGTGTTAGCGGGGTGATGAGCATCTGTCCTGTGTGGCTCAAGATCCGAGACATGGCGCAGATGCTAGGCGGCTCACTAGGCGGTAAAAGGGTCGGGCCTCACCATCTTTTACCCACAGAGCGCAATTATCAGAGGCTGTATGGACGCCTTCTAGCAAGTTGTAGCCAACCCGAGCCAGCCTGATACCCAATCACCCCAATCAGCCCCCGCCAGTTTGGGGGTTGAAAAGCTGCCAGGACTCAGCAGACTGAGATGACAATTTCACGGAGAGGCGCCGACCCTGCCTGCTAAAATAAGTACCTGGGTAGTACCCGGTGCTAATGTTGAACCTTGGGTACCGCCTCAGCTTGAGAGCGGACGTCTGTTGAAAACCCTTCCAGTGCTTAACGCCGTGTTCGCTATGAATCAATGAACACGGAGTATCGAGTAACCGAGACCCAACACGTGGAATTGACCTCCAGAACGATTTCGAAATGTCTGGCAATGATAATTCCGGGACACCAAACGTACCGCCACCACCCTTCAACCTGGACCATGAGGCTGCGTATCAAGCTTGTGCGGCGAAGCTGGGGTCATCAGATACGGACAACTTCATCGTAAGGTTCAACAAGGACGCAGCGGAGTGCGCTGTCGATGTGAATGCGGACGAGGCGTTGCAGTGGTTAGACAGCAAAACCCGTGGCACTCACCGAACCGTATGGCTCAATTTCTGGGCGTCGCCATCGTCATCGCAGAAGAAAACAATCGGCGTCGTCGCCAGGAAATATGGTCTGTCGCCCAGGTTAGCGGGACTTCTTTGCCTGGCGACTCAAGCCCCGAAGACCCCTGCCTCCTCGACGGGTACAAGTAACAGCTCAGCTGTGTCCGATGCTTCGGAGGCAAAGTCGACAGCGACAACTGCACAGACCTCGCAGACAATGGACCTCGAAAAAGGATCGACGCAGAGTACACCGCTCAGTGAGCCCTTGCAACCAGGCCAAAGCAAAAGGACGTCTCCAAGCTCTCATGGCTTTGGCTTCCGCGATGTGGTCGATAGCCTTTGGCACTTTTGCTCGGTCGACTTTGGACGCCATTATATCTACGTTGGGTACAATGCTCTGTTCTATCTAAGTGGGAAAAAGAACACTCGTAAGGACAGACCATCCGGCCAACGCGTCTGGACGTCTCTCCTCCTCTGTGATGACGGTACAGTCATCTCCGTCTTCGAGCGACCGCCAATTGCAGACTCCAAGGCGATCCAACGATTGAGGGGCAACGTGCTTAACGTCTTTAAACACCTCTCCTCACTGCACGACCAGGATGATGCACAAGGCGCGTTAATGAAAGTCCGCGTACGGTGGAACGAGCATTCCGTGAAATCTCAAACGGAGTATTCCGAAACCGAGGCTGCAAGTCTCTTGTTCTATTACCTCTTTGACGATTGGGTGTCGACGTATAATTTGATCGCACGCAAGGAACACCCGTACCGCTCGAGTTTGGAGACGCTGAGAAAGGATATGTTCGACGCGGCCGATGTGTCACTCATTGAGCAAGTCCATAATACAGGACGACAGCTGACGGTGTTGAAGTTGATGTATCAGAGTTATGAGCTTATTGTATCGAGACTGCTCCATCGTCAGCGTGCCGCGAGGGCTCCGGATTTCATGTCGATGTCGACCCCGCCGGCTGCTCTGGAGCGACAACAGACTTGGGGTGACCTCAGCGAGATGTCGGCCGCACAGATGCACCCGAGCGATCTTATGTATCTGGACGAAGACTCCAGTCTGAGTGTCAAGTTGAGTATGTCGGCTGTGGTGCGGTTTGAAAGATTGCTTGATCGCATACGCTTGTATGCTTTGACGGAGATTGAAGAGTGTTTGAAAGAAAAGGAGTCCCTAGTGTTTATGGTGAGTGGCTTTCCCGTAGTGGTGGGGATTGACTGCTAACATATGATAGAATTTCAACTTGGTCACGCTGAAGGAATCGCAGGCTGTTGAACGATTGACTAGAACAACGATCCTGTTGGCCAAAGCGACCATTCTTTTCTTACCGGTCAGTCTGATGACTGCATATTTCTCGATCCAGTTACCAGAAATCACGGAGAAGTACGATCTCGAGACGTATTGGCTTTGCTTCTTGGTCGTTTCGGTGTTGTCCATTGCGTTCTTGGCGGCTTTTGGCTTTTATACGCATACCGTAGAGGGGAAGACCATTTACAAGTCCGTCACGAGGATGATATTGGATCTCTTCAAGCGAAAAAAGAAGACAAGTTAAGCGACATTCTGTTAGCTCGGGACTTTGGGCACTGGCCAGGGCATCATCTCCTGTTTGAAATCGTCCCATTTGTACACGCCACCTTCGCCGACATTGTATCGATAATAATTCTCGGTGCCAGCGGGAATCATTGCCCTGCGCAGGGTGATGTTGATGCGACCTTTGTCTGCCTCGCCGCCTTTCCGTTTGGGAATGCTGTGCAGCCAGTTGGATTGTGTTGGCCCTCGCATCAGGACCATATCACCACTAGCCAACGGGAGTTTGATGTCTTTAGTCTCAAGTTTCGGCTCGCCTTCCTTCGGAGGCTTATGTTTCATCAGAAAATCCCGTTTTGCGCCCAGCGTGAAGGATGCAATGGCCGGATCTGGACCTAGAAAGCGCTCATCATCACTATGGAATGATATGCTATCACTTCCTGACGCATAATAATTGACCAGGCAGAAATTGTACTTGGTATTGGTATTCGCTTCTGTCACGCGACGGAGGAAGTCAAGGCACTCTGGGAGTGGCCGTGGGCGACATTTGTATTTATCCTTGCGAACGGGCTTGGATTCGTCTGATGCTTCAACGATCTTGATGCCACCGTCAAGAAACCGGCTTGTTTCATCGAGGCCAAAGACCGTTGTGAAGCGTGGAGTATTTATGAGCGTCTCCTTTCCAAACCGCTTGATTGTATATTTAACGCGATAGAAAAAGAGTTCGGAGCGAAGAAAATTGAATAGTTCACGCTCAATGGACCTTGGGATGAAGGGTTGAAAGTATAGGAGATCGAGATGTGGCTGATCTTTAATCTCTTTGCCCTGAGCTGTCACTAGCAATTCCAGTTCCTCGGTGATATGGGCCGGGAGATGAGGGATTGGCCATGGGTATGTCGAATGGTTTGCCGTCTCACTGGATGCAAGAGCAGCCGCTGTTTGAAGGGCCGAGTCCGATGTGTGACTGATGCGAGCCTTTTTCGGGCCGTTTGCGAAGGGGAAGAAGGCGTCCAGTGTACGTTTGGACATCTTGGAGACAACGGAGTAGTTATGATAGTATCGTAGAAGTGAATATCATCTTCTTCTCACTCTCATGTTGTCCTATCACTCCTATTAGTACTTTGGCCGTCGTCCCTTTCCAACTACGAGTCATTGATGATATTGACGTCACTATTGACTGATTCGGGCGACGCGTTTTACGTGGGCGCGTCCAGGTAAAAAGCCGAAATTGATCCGGGTTGCAAATTCTCAAGCCAACTACAAGCTACCTCTTCTCTCCTCGTACAGAAAGACATAAGACACTCGCCTTCCGTTTCTCAAAGTCTTTCATCCTTCGGTCTTTGTCGCTCAACCCTAGAATTGATCGTTCCGCCGGGGTCAATGCGTTTGCCAGACCTATTATCTAGCCTGTGTTAGTCCTTGGTCGACAAAGGCTATCCCCGACGACTTGACCAATAGACCTAACCAACTTGCTCATCGGCCTCAGGCGAGGTCACTGTGGATCAGGCCGGGTATTCGACATAGGCTGCACATCTTCGGTGTGCATTTGACCTAAAAATGAAGGTGGCAGGATCAAGCCATGGTCCACAGTCAGTCAGCAATCTGGTCCTCATCACCTTGCGTTGGATCACCGTACCATTACCCACGATACCGTCCTGATCGTGCTCATTGGAGCAACGAACTCAGGGTATTTGAAGACGCTGAGACAGCGGCATGAGTTCAGCTGATCTGCTATCGACGCGCAGTGTCCTGATCGACAGCTCTGGTCATCATCGATCCCTGCCTCCCGCCTCCCATAGGATGGGACATGGCATGTACCGGCATTAGTTGACAGGGAGGCCAGGCAGTCCTCGGAATGTACAGAGCGGCGTCAGTCCTTCATGGGAAGTCATGAGGGATGGTGGTCTGAAAACCCCTCATTCTGGTCATGCATAAATTGGAAGACGCCAGTACTAGGTGCATGAAGACGTATTTTGACTCCTTCGGGAAGTAGCACTGACTCAAGCGGCACACTGACAGGACGCGTCAATGATGGCAATGCGCTGTCGTTTTCTTGACAGGGTAAGCTTCGAACTAATTGATGTCACAGGATGCTCGCATGCCGATGAGGACGAGCGACACGAATGCTGTGAGCGACGAAGACTCCAAAGGCAGCTCACCTAATTTGTGACATTGGCCTCAACGTACCGCTGCAAATATCAGTGACCTTCGTCGATACCACCAAACTCGAGTTGTTGCGCATGTTGTATAGTGATCGAACTAATGGTATCCACCACGCAAGCTACCACTCTAAAAGCAGATATTCAAGACTAAACCAACAGATACGGCATGGCTGGTTCGATGAACGAGTACGGCTCGCCTCGAGCTCGGAGTAACTCACCAAGTTAAGTTTACTGTGAGAATGCTCAATGCAAGCCTTCCAATTCGGACTGTACTCTCTTTAGTTCTGAGGCGGCATTTCTGATCGATACTCTCTATCAAGCGAGCTTCCACCAATCAAGCCGTTACCAAGTTTCCCCCAGGCTGCAGCTCAACTATCTTGCCGTCTTGAATGTATACCTCTTCCCACCCGATGATGATCTGCGAATTTGCAGGGTCGGCGAATTTCATTTCATCGGGAACAACCACTTGTAAATAATATGGATCCTTCTGTGCAGCATCGAAGCACGACATGTCAGGCATCAGCAGTTCGACAAAGCCGTCCCACTCGGCTATGGTGGCCTGGGCAAGCCCAGGGATCGACTTGGCCTGATTCCGCACCGAGGACGGGGTATGGTACTGGAAAATCCCGGTCAGCACCGGGTGGATGGATCACCAGTCGTACTTGCCTGGGTGTACTTGAGGACTCCGTGACGAGTCAACCAATCCTGAACCTGCGGGACATGTGTGTTCGTCCAGTACGACTGGAATTCTTCTTCCGAGAATGCCGGATTACGTTTGACAAGGATGGTAAATCGGAGGAGGCGCTGCTTAGTTGCCATGTTGTTGAGAGGTGCCAATGCTGCACACTCGTGTCACGACAGTTGGAGGGATTGATCAACGGCATGGAAAGGCAGGGTCTAAATGTATCTTCACCATTGTGTCCAGTGAGAATGCTTAGTGCAAGTCGGGCCTGCGGCTTCCGGTCCAAGCGAGACAACTACTCAAACCTCGCGCATTAGAGCTCTGGAGAGGCTGGTGTGGAGTTGCGCGTGCACGAACGAAAAGACTGACATCTGTCAAATTCCCAGAAATCGGCACACATTCTTCAGCGACCATTGGGCACCGCCGCGGTGGGGAAGGCGAGTATAGAGAGGCGGTGAACAGTAGCAACATTGCGAGACGTGTCACCGGACCGCGTTGGTTCCAAGATATGCACGACCCCAGCCACAGTCGCAAACACAACTGGACGGCTCGTCATACTTGAATGTCGTGCGATTGATAATTCACTAAGATGGTGTTTCAATGCGGGAAACGCCAATGGATGAGGAGAGACATAGGGTTTTCGGTCGTTCCCCTGAGCGTGAAGCGCTGGTGTCAAAGAGGTTAGATTTAACCCTCGATCGAGCTAACTTGCTGGGCGCGATTGGCCGCATGATATATACGTCCGAGCAGATACGCCCGATACCTTGATGCGCTGTCATCGCAGACCTCGAGGAGAAACCTTGTGGATGCTCCACACAGACTTCATGTTCATGCGCGCGAACGCATGCACGAGCCTTCCAAACGTAATATGAGCAGCAGAGATAAGAGCAACGTTTTCTCTACGACAATTTACCGATCTCGACTTGGGACTGACTTCTCCACCTGCTTAAGGTGACTAGTTTCGAAAGTGTACCGCCGGCGATGTCTTGTGAAATCAGATGCTCCTACGAGAATTACAAGGCGGTACACGATCCCAGACGTACATGAAATGTGGCAAATAATGTTGCACTTTTCGAGATGCGGCATCTTGAGCCGACTCGAGTTACAAGACAGAACGCTCTAAGTCAATCGGCAGATGCTGTGAAGTGTATGAGCCATGTTGAAGAGTACATTCATCGAAGACTCGTGGATGTACCCAGAGCTCTTCGCACCTGATTTGCTGAGGAAGTCACGCTTCTGTTCGATCGTGAAGTGACAGCTTCTCAGAGGGGCTCATAGCTTCACTATCTTACACCTCAGGCCTGAAACCATTCGTTGGTCACGTTGCCGCTGGAATCTATTTAAGCAAGCATGCTGCAGCTTGCCGTTTCCGATAATGAGGAGTTATCGTGAGCCAGGAACGCGTATCAAGGAATGTTTCCATGCCTTTGGACATAAAAACTGCCGCCGCCACTGACATAGTACCGTCACTTCTTGTCCCCCAGCTCTAGGCTGGAGCAATCTACTGTGCTCCAGACCGAATCCCAATATCCTCTTTTCACATACAGCGTTGAAAGTTGCAGATGAATATGGCAGGCTCAACGGTGCCTCGATTCCCTTCGCCCAACAGCGGCACGTCCAACATGCCAATCGCTGTCGTCGGCATCGGTGCCCGATTCTCAGATACCGCTACTGACCCAGAGAAGTTCTGGGAACTATTGGCAGAGGGACGAAGCACCAGTCAACCAGTGCCAAAAGATCGATTCGATGCTGACGCTTACTACCACCCCGACTACGACCATGCAGGTACATGCGTCACAACCAAGGGCCACTTCATGAAGCAAGATGTGTCCAAGTTCGATGCTCCATTCTTCTCCATCACAGCCAACGAAGCCAAATCCATGGATCCCCAGCAAAGAATGGCTCTCGAAGTTGCCTACGAAGCATTCGAAAATGGTTAGTACAATACCCTTTCTGATACTAGTGGCTTTAGCTCATGCCTGCTGTCTAGCTGGAATGCGAATCGAGGACTTGACAGGATCAAATACATCTGTGTACATGGGTACTTGTACCCAAGACTACTATGATTTGCTGCTCAAGGATTCTGAACCAACAACCATGCATTCCGTCACCGGCATCAGCAAGTCACTCTTGGCTTGTCGGTTATCCTGGTTCTTTGATCTCAGAGGTCCAGCTTTGACAATTGACACTGCCTGTTCGTCGGCACTATGTGGAGTTCATCTCGCTTGCCAGAGTCTGCGTACCGGCGAGAGTGAGACCGCGCTGGTAGCTGGCACCAATCTGATCTTCGCCATCGATACCATGGTTTCCATGTCGGCCATTCATGCTCTCAGTCCCGATGGGCAATGCTACAGTTATGACCACAAGGCCAACGGTTATGCCAGAGGCGACGGAATAGCCGCTCTTGTCCTCAAGCCACTGGAGAAGGCCCTTGCCGACGGCGATGTAATTCGCGGAGTCATCCGTGGCTCAGCTATCAACCAAGACGGCGGTGCCTCAGGTATCACCCTTCCTATCGCTGCTGCTCAGGTAGACCTTGTCAACACCGCATACTCGAATGCTGGACTCCCTTTGAATCAAACAGCCTACTTTGAGGGTCACGGCACGGGCACCGTTGCTGGTGACCTCCAAGAAACGACCGCCATGGCAAAGACCATTGGGAAAGTAAGATCCAAGGAAAGCCCACTCTATATTGGCTCTTCCAAAACCAACATTGGGCACATTGAAGGTGCTAGTGGTCTCGCAGGCTTGATCAAAGTCATTTTCTCGCTGGAGCATGGGATGATTGCTCCAAACGTCAAGTTTGAGCACCCACCCCCGTCAATGGACTTCGACGAGTGGAATCTCAAGGTCGCCACGGAATTGACGCCGTGGCCACTCGAAGGCGTGCGTCGGGCCAGCGTCAATGGCTTTGGTTTTGGTGGTACGAATGCCCATGTCATAGTCGACGATGCCTACCATTTCCTCAAGGAACACGGTCTCAAGGGTAGACATAATTGTATTGTCAATGAGCCCAGCAGCTCACCACACTCCACTGCAGATTCTGGTTTCGGTACTATGGACTCTAGTGTGGAGCTCTCTGATCCGTTTGAGATCAGCTTCAAGAACAAAATCGCCGCTTTGAATGCCCAACCAAGGCTCCTACCATGGTCTTCAGGCGAGAAAAAGGGCTTGGAGAGAACATTCTCTCAGCTCTCCGAATACTTGACGCAAAAAGCCGCTGAGGGCTACGCGCCTGAGGTGCTGGACAGGTTAGGCTTCACTCTTGCAAAGCGAAGAAGTATCTTCCCATGGAGGACTTTCTCGATGGCTTCATCATTGGAGGGTGCCGCTACTCAATTGAGTGCTTCCCTGGCCACTCCTGTACGAGCCAAGCAATCCACAGATATCGCGTTCATCTTCACTGGTCAAGGTGCTCAATGGCACGCTATGGGCAGAGAATTACTACCATATAGAGTCTTCCATGACAGTCTGACAGCATCAGATGAAGTCCTGCAAGCGCTAGGATGTACCTGGTCCTTGTTCAAGGAACTCGCCAAAGACAAAGACATGTCACGGATTGATGAGACTGAGTTAAGCCAGGCTTGCTGTACTGCATTGCAATTAGCTTTGGTGGACTTGCTGCGCTCATGGGATGTACTCCCAAACGCAGTCATCGGCCATTCAAGTGGTGAGATTGCCGCGGCTTACGCGAAAGGTGCCATCAGCCGTGCCTACGCGATCAAAGCTGCCTACTACCGAGGAGTGTACGCCAACAAGTTGAAAGAGGTCTCCCCTGACCTGAAGCTGGGCATGCTTGCTGTCGGCGTTGGCGAAGCCCAGATGAGGCCTTACCTCGAACCTGTCCAGGACAAGGTCACTATTGCTTGCTACAATAGTCCCTCAAGTTTGACACTTTCTGGTGAAGTTAGCAGTCTCGACGAAGTCGAGGAGGCTCTGAAGGCTGAGTCAATATTTGCCCGAAAATTGAAGGTGAACGTAGCCTATCATTCCACCTACTTGAATGGGATTGCTGAGGAGTACAGCAATTCTTTGGGTGATGAGAAGCCGCTTTCGAACTGCGACAGCATCAAGATGATCTCTACGGTCACCGGACTTCCTATTGAAAGTTCCAGCTTCGAGACATCCTACTGGGTCAGCAACTTGTTGTCACCTGTAAAGTTTGATCAGGGTTTGCAGAAGTTGCTGAAGGACACATCTATCGATCTACTCGTCGAAATTGGGCCACATGGTGCTCTCCAAGGACCAGTCAAGCAAATACTCTCGGCAATCAACATGGATCTTCCATCCATGTCATTGCTAGACCGGAAACGGGACGCCGCCAGTTCCACTGTGGAAGCCATGGGTCGCCTGTGGCAGTATGGTGTTGACGTTGACGTACCTTCTGTCAACAGTCTACAAGGCACTCAAGCTGGCACTCCCGCGCCACTGGTAGATCTTCCTCCTTACGCCTGGAATCATGAGAACAATTACTGGTGTGAGTCGACTATCTCCAAAGACGTCCGCTTCCGACACGAAAAGCGACACCATATCTTGGGCTATCTCATCCCTGGTGCTGTTCCGAATGAGCCACTGTGGAGAAACTTGCTACGGATATCAGAAAGCCCATGGCTCCAGCACCACAAGATCCAGGGCACTATACTATATCCAGCAGCTGGTTTCATTGCTACTGGCATACAGGCAATGTGGGAATTTACTGGCTTTCGCGAGGACGTTGCCGGATTCGAGCTCCGAGATGTCAAAATTGAAAGAGGTCTCGTCGTTCCTGCTGACGATGCTGGCGTCGAGACCAGCCTACAATTGAAGCCGATCAAGGTCGGCACCGCGTCGATGGAAGTCGTGTGGCACGAGTTTACTCTCTATTCCAGGTCGAGCAGTGATATCTGGCAGGAGCATTGCTCCGGTCTGATCCGGATCAAGCCTAAACAGCAGACTAACGCACTCTTCAACGATGAAGAAGCTGCTGAGATGAAACGTATGAGAGAACGACACATGGAGATCAGATCTCGCTGCACCAAGTCTGAGTACCCAAGACAATTCTATGAAGCGTTATCCACAATGGGTTACCAATATGGCAGTGTCTTCCGAGGCTTGAGCGAGATCAAATACGGCTACATGGAAAGTAGCTGTGTGTGCACTGTTCCAGATACCAGAGCAACCATGCCGTTCAACTTTGAGTTGCCTCACATAGTTCATCCCGCATTCCTAGACAGCATCTTCCACATGCTTCTACCATCACTCATGCCTGAAGGAATGCATATGAGCGCTGTCGGCGTCCCTACACATTTCGAGTATCTATACGTCGCTGCTGACATCAGTAAGACTCCTGGAGACGATGTCATAGGATACTCCGAGGCCATTCCTCCCCTGAGTCGAGAAACGCACGGTAACCTCGTGGTCATGGATGCAGGGCTCACTAAGCCGGTGGTGGTCATTGAGAACCTCACCTGTACAGCAGTGGCATCTGCTGGCAATGAGCAGGATGGACTTCGGCAATTAGGAAGCGAGCTCATTTGGAAGACCGATGTTAATGAGCTGGGAAGCACCATGGCACCAGCTGAGCTTGACACGATCACTACTCGACTTCTGGCAGAGAACCCGAAAGTCGCTGAAGAGCTCGAGTTCGCGGGTCTGACCTATGCTAAGCGGATTCTCAACTCGATCACACCTGAACAGGTGAAATCGCTGAAGCCTCATCATCAACTTTTCTACCAGTACTGTCAACACAACTTCGAACTCGCCTCGCAAGGCAAGCTTCCTCATCAAACAAGTGGCCTTGACTGGCTCAATCCGCCGGAGGAGGTAGAGAAAGACATCCTCTCTCGCGTCTCACAGGCAACAAATGACGGTCGACTCCTATGCCATCAGGGAGAGCATCTAATTGATATCCTACTCGGTAAGACAGAGCCTCTGGAAGTAATGATGGAAGACAATCTTCTCGACGCCTACCATGGACATCACTTGGGATGGGAGATTGCTCATCATCAACTGGCCGAGTATATTGACCTACTTGCTCACAAAAACCCTGAGCTCAATGTCCTCGAGATTGGTGCTGGGACCGGTGGCACCACTCTTCCTATCCTACAAAAACTTGGTGGAGAGAAGGGCGAATCGCCACGCATGAGATCTTACTGCTACACTGACATTACTAGTGGTTTCTTTGAAGCAGCTGCAGAGAAATTTGCGCCATGGGTCTCATACATGCAATTTCAGAAATTAGATGTCGAGTCCGATCCCACGGAGCAAGGTTATGAGGCAGGCAGCTATGATGTGATCATTGCCTCCAATGTCCTTCATGCGACAAGGTCCATGGACGAAACCATCAGCAATGTTAGCACTCTCCTCAAGCCGGGTGGAAAGCTGGTTCTGTACGAGATCACCAATCCCCTTCAGAGAGTCTGTATGATCTTCGGCTCCTTGCCTGGTTGGTTTGCTGGCGCCGATGAAGGACGACGACTTTCGCCCTGCTTGACAGAGAAGCAGTGGTCCGACTTACTCCAGCGTCACAATTTCTCTGGTGTTGACGTATCTGCTCGCAGCATGCCAAGTGAGCAAGATTACATGCAGAGCTTTATGGCATCAACCAAGAACGCGGCTGAGATTAAGACACAATTGCCTACAGATGTCGTCATCATCCAGCCCGGCGATGCTGAAGTGAACAACAAGTTGAACGAGAAGCTTGTATCTGCTCTGCAGGCCGTGGGAGTACAAGCCGCATGCCAGAGCATGGCTGAGGCTCTTGCTGCTGGCGTAAACAAGAAATTCTGCATTATCACTCTGGAAGCTGAGAAACCGTGGCTGATAGATGTTGACGCCAAAGATTTTGACAACCTTCAAGACCTCGTCGTACGCTCGAGACGTCTTCTTTGGCTCACAAGGGGTGCCACAGATGGACACGAGCCTGGCTCGAGTCTCATTACGGGCCTGGCTCGCGCAATCAGAGCTGAGAACCCAGGGCTCGTCCTCGCCACGTTGGATCTCGATCCGAGTTGGAATTGTGATGACCGGGCCAATATCGATTCGATCATGCGAGTCTTCGAGTTGTGCTGCGAAGAAAAGGAAGAAGCTGACCCCGATTGGGAATACGCGTTGCGTAGAGGGTCGCTTCAGATTCCACGATACACACCTGACGCCCCGACTGACGCAATGCTACAAGCTATGACAACTCAACGCCAACCGGTTGCTGGTCCGTTGAAGCAAGATGGTCGTCCTCTGAAGCTGGAAATTGGAGCACCGGGCATGCTGAGCTCGTTCCGATTTGTCTCGGACGAGAAAGTAGTAGAGCCACTTGCTGACAACGAGATTGAAATTGAAGTCAAAGCCACTGGCCTTACACCGAGAGATGTCCTCATCGCAACTGGCCAAGCCCCACTAGATGAGATTGGGTCCGAGGCTGCCGGTGTTGTCTGCAAGGTTGGCAATGCGGTTAACAACTTCAAGCTAGGTGACAGAGTTGTTACCTGGCAGCGAAATGAGGGCTGCTTGCGAACTCATCTGCGTAGCACAGAGACCTCAACGCTGGCAATCCCAGATAACTTGTCCTTCGAAGATGCTGCCTCGCTGCCTATGGCTTTTGCGACAGCGTGGTACGCCTTGAGTCTCCGGGTTCGTCTCGGAAAGGACCAGAGTGTGCTTATCCACAATGGCGCCAGTGCCGTAGGTCAGGCTTCGATCATGGTCGCCCAGCACCTTGGTGGAGAGGTCTTCGTTTCGGTGTCGACTGCTGAGGAAAAGGCTGTGGTTCAAAAGTACGGTGTCAAGAACGACAACATTCTCAGCGTCACTGATGCCGAGTTCGTGAGGGGTATCAAGCGCCTCACGAATGGAAAGGGTGTTGATGTAGTGCTTAACTCACTTAGAGGCGAAGCTCTCCGTCAAACCTGGCACTGTGTTGCGCCATTCGGCTATTTCATTGAACTCGGTCAGGAGGATATTCTGGGCAACACTGGCCTAGACATGGGTCCTTTCAAGCACAACGTCACATTCATTGGTGTCAATCTTCTTGAATTGTGCCGCAGCGGCGAGCAGATTGCTGCAACGCTGTTCGGCGCTGTTTGGGAACTCCTCAAGGACGGAAAGATCCAGCCACCACAAGGACTTTCCCAGTACAAGTATTCGCAGATGGAAGGGGCTTTCAATGCCATGCAGTCGACTGGCATCGGTAAGGTCATAATGACTGTCGAGGATGGTGATGAAGTCTTGGTAAGTCCACTGAAAATGGTTTGCCTGCGCTGTTAACAAAATGTAGATTGTACCCCCTGGTGCCCAAGCTCTTGACTTCAATCCCGACGCCAGCTATATCCTTGCTGGAGGCTCTGGTGGTATCGGTCCTTTGATCGCGGCCTGGATGGCAGATCACGGAGCCAAGAATCTCATCGTCCTCTCTCGGTCAGGCATCATGAGGCCCGATGCCAAGGAGGTCTATGATGCACTTGTTGTTCGTGGCTTAGTCGTGAAGGACATCAGATGCGATGTGACTGACCCTGTTGCTGTGAGCGCCGCAGTTGATGAATGCCAGAAGACTATGCCTGTCATCAAGGGTATTATTATGGGAGCCGTCAAGCTCGAAGATTCGGTCTTTGACAACATGACTTTTGCCAATTGGAAGAATTGTCTCGACCCTAAAGTGAAGGGGACTTGGAATTTGCATCAAGCTTTGCCGAAAGACTTGGACTTCTTTGTTTGTTTGTCGTCCATCGGTGGTTCGGTAGGCAACCGTGGCCAGGGTAATCACGCTGCTGGTAAGTTTGCTACACATGCGTATTTGCGAAGATTGGTCGCTGACATGAGATTCCAGAAAGCACTTACCAAGACGCTTTGATGGAGCACCGCCGTAACTTGGGCCTAGCTGGCTGCAGCATTGACATTGGTACCATTCTCGGTGTTGGTTGGATCGCCGAGAACATCGAAGCCGCCGCCATGGCGTATCTCCGGTCCATTCAATACCTCGGCATGCGCTTTGATGAGCTTCTTCTTCTCATTCAAGCTGCCATCACTGGCTACACGATGGAAGGGTACCACACACCTACCGTACTTGCGGCAGGTCTGGGAACGGGCGGCTTGGTTCTTCAACATGATGTCGACCCGCCATTCTGGTTCGATGACGCCAAGTTCCGACACCTCCGCATCGTTGGCACACACTCGAACGACTCGAGCGACGACCAGGAAGAAGGCAGTGTCCCGGTAGCCGCGCAGCTCAAGGCTGCTACCTCCCTCAACGAAGCTGGAGAGCTCGTGACCGCAGCCATCACGAACAGATTGGCAAAGCAATTGCTCATGTCGCCCGATGACTTGGACAGCATGAAGCCAATCAGCAGACTCGGCGTCGACAGCTTGATTGCCGTTGAATTGAGAAACTGGATCTTCAGAGAGGTCGGCGCTGATGTGGGTATGTTTGAGATTTTGAGTGAGGAGCCCATGTGCAATCTTGCAGTCAAGATCGCAGGAATGTCCAAGTTCTTACCCAAGAGCTTGACGGAGGGCGGGGAGGAAGAGGCCAAGGACAATGCCTTTGAGCAGAAAGGAGCTATTACAAACAGTCACTTCCCGGACCTGTCTCAGGGCGTTGTTGTCTAGGAGCCTTAGGCAAGAAGGCAAGGAGAGTCATGAGCTGGGATGTGGTTATACGGATTTCCTTTGTTTATCGGAGTTGGAGTTGCTTTTTGAATGATGGCATGATATTTATGATATGATAATGACACTCCTCACTTTAGAATGATCTTCAGCATGTTCATATCAAATTGTTCCTTCAACATGTTTAGCCACGTCCTGATAACTCGTACTGGAGGTTCGTTGGAGAGTAAAAATGGCAACTGAAATGTGCCAATTCAGTCTAATGCGAGAGATGCCTTCTAAAGCGGCAACCAGTCGAACTCTCTGAAATCCTCTATCTGAAAATGACTCCAGTCAGAATATCATGAGTACTCTAGATTCTTTTTCTTGCTCCAGTCACTCCTTGATGCTTTGTTTTTATGGCAAGTCTTCTGCGCTCGGTTTTTCCTCGCTTCACAAGTAATCTCATAGTTTCGGACACATCCAGAAAATTGAAAATGAATTCTCCGGATCTACCAGAACTTTTTCAGCCTCCGGTCAATAGGTCCATGCAGACTTTGGACAGATCATTCTTCAAGAAATCTGTCCCTTTGGCCGCTGCCACCGTGTTCGATCTCAAAGAAATAACGAATGTGCGGAAGCAACTCGAAAGGTCAGGAGACATGTTGAGGCTCAGCCCCATCAAGCCCCTTCGCAACGATGAGCAAACACCAGGCGCCAAATGCTTCTTGCTATCTCCACAAGTTGACGCCAATGACCCGAAGACATGGTCGCCCATTCTATCACAACTGGTGGACAACAACTTGGCGAAATTGAAGCCGTTTACCCTGACGCTGACTTATGACGACTGGACCATGCACAACATCCTTGAAGCTATCTTGCCGGACATCCCTGAAGAAGAGAAGGAGACTCCGGCAGGCTTCGCCCAAGTCGGTCACGTCGCTCACGTGAATCTACGCACGCCGTATCTGCCTTACAAATACCTGATTGGGCAGGTGTTGCTGGACAAAAACCCCAATGTCACCACCGTGATCAACAAGACCTTCGACGTGGGCACCGAGTCCGTCTTTCGTACTTTCCCATACGAAGTTCTCGCCGGACCGGACGATCTCGACGTGGTCGTGCACGAAGCGGGCTGCGAGTTCAGGTTCAATTTCGGCAAGGTCTACTGGAACTCTCGCCTCGGCACCGAACATGCACGGATCTTTGAGAGCTTCAAGGAAGGCGAAGCAGTCTGCGACGTTATGGCGGGAGTCGGACCATTTGCTGTCCCGGCCGGCAAGGGCAAAGTGTTTGTCCGGGCCAACGACCTCAACCCGGACTGTCACGCAAGTCTTACCGATGCTATCAAGCGCAACAAAGTCGATGATTTTGTCATGGCTTCATGCGCCGATGGCAGGGAATTCATTCGCCATGCAACGACGGAGCTAGCACAGGCACCGCGAAAGGTCGTCTTGAAGCCCAAGATCAGGGTGTCACGTAAGGCCACTGTAGAGGAGAGGAAAGCGGCCGAGGAAGCCGCCACGAAATCCGCACAAACCCTCGAAGAACCAAGGACATTCGATCACTATGTCATGAATTTGCCCGCTACAGCAATCGAGTTTCTGGATGCTTTCAAAGGTGTCTATCATAACCGTCAAACAGAATTCGCGCCATACACGAGTCGAAAACTCCCATTCATACACCTGTACTTGTTCCAAGCCAAGTATGCCACCGAAGAAGAGGAATGTCAGGAGATCTGCGAACGCATTTCCGAGAATATTGGGGCGGAAGTCAAGTTGACCGATCCTGAGTTGGAGATGAGCATCCGATACGTTCGACTCGTTGCGCCGAAGAAGAAGATGTTTTGCGCCAGTTTTCGAATTCCTGCCGCTACGGCCTTTGCAGATCCTTGACCTGACGAAGTTGAGGTAAAACAGACCTTTGTCCAGAGATGCTTGATTATGTTTTGAAGTTGAGCGTTCATGATCATACCTAAAAGAAGGCATTCGCATCGAGCTACCAGTCGAAGTAATCGCCAACAGTGTATGACAATCAAGCATTTGTGGCCTAGTGGCTTTTCAACAGAATCCGCAACAGCCGCCACAAAGGGCACCCCTTCAAGTACTGATGGCACTATCTTGGGCAACCTTCAATGTCCAGTCCGACCGGAGCCTCTGAGTAGGCATCGAAGCAGAGGTTGACACACTTGCAACATGTGATGGTGACATCTCCCGCCGTATAATTTGGGTCTTCACTAATTTGCCGACTCTGGTGCCTGCACTGCCACCACTTTTGTGGATGTGGGTAGTTGTTAATCCCGAATATCAGCGGTCTTGTCAACTTCTACACCGTTGTGGAGATCGCCGTCGTGCTTAGCGGATGATGATCAAGAGGCCGTCTGGGGTTTCTTTCCATTCGCCGTCTGTTCATCTCCTGATGGGACAATAGAGACAAAAGATGCCATGACGCCTGGATGGGGCGGTCAGCAACGCCACTCCACCATTTCAGGGTCAGAGGCCGGACAGACCTGCAGAGAACGTTGGATTGACGAAGACCGAATATTGGGAGATGCGACGATGACTATAATCTATCATTTGGTATCCGATTTGTTGATTAACACTCATGCTTCAGATCGACCAGTCACGCTGTTTCCCCATTCCAAATCTGCGTCAGCATTCTTGTCATCGGGTACGCCGATTATGTAGAGCTAGGGATGTTGAAAACGTTGCTCACCAGTTCAGCACAAAAGTTATATTCTCTTGTAACAGCCCTCGAACATGTCTTTGGATAAAATTGATCGAGCCATCTATCTCGCACCTCGCATAATCGTCTAATTGAGTATTAAGAATTTCTACATCTTCGAAAGATCTCTATATAAACAATCCTAGGGGCTATTCATTGCGCTTAAGCTAACATTATCTTGAAAATTTGGTGGCATCGTCGCTGGCGCTTTCTTCTTGGAGCAGTCGCTTAAAGTGTGAGTTTTTGCTAAAGTAAAAAGCGACAATGAGACCCCAGCCTGGAAAGCTCAGCAGTGTGGTGTGCATCACTTCGTGGTATACACATAAGAAAAACCGGCTCTGGACAGCGGCTACTCTACCATTGTTCGGACCTTTAACGTCAAACAGGCGCTCTTTGAAGGGATACTTCTGAGTTCCTATCATTGTCTATCTGCCTCGGCGTGCTCCCAGCTGGCTCGGTAGAGTGTCAAGCTATCGTTAAATTTATCTCCATCAATTCATCATCAAAGACTTCGCCTGCAGAAATGAACCCCAGTTCACAATCACGCCGCAAACTTTCTCAAGCTGGACTGTATGAACTCGACACTCACCTCTTTTGCGTTGAACACTCTCGGGACCACCTCGCAGATGGCCCTTTTTTGCGCAAGAGAATATCCAAAGCAATCCATGATGACCGTGTCGACTTCTGACTGTATCAGTTGCTGCCCCATATTTCGACACTCTAGCAGTGACGACTGCGGCGATAGAGTGAATACGTATATCGGGATGGTGGAAGGAAGCCGCAGTCTCCAACGGTTGAGCAACAGCTCTTGCTGCTCGTCAACGGGGACCAAGACCGCGGTCGTTTCAATCAGGCTTTGATGCTGTTGCACTTGATCGCGGAGAAGGTCTCCTGGCATGATGATAGGTAGCGTTGTCTCGCCCAAGTCGAATTCTCCCGTGCACGTTACCAGCAGTGCTGCACATCCTGTCTTGATGCCCTCTTGGATCCCCTTTCGCAATTCTGGCACCAAAGCCGAGCGGGAAATCAATATTCGTTGTCCGGTTCGGGTGCAGGAGCTTATTGGAAGTTCTCCCGGCAAGGGTTGGAATTGTGCGGCCAGTTCTTGATCGTTGTAGATATCCAGCGGCGCGATGGTGACAAACTCCATCTCATCTTTGAGGGCAAGGAAATCCTGATCTGGCACATCTTGAGTTTGGCCAATTTCCAGGAGGCCAATCTTGGTGCAGGCAGTCATGCTGTACGGAGTCGTTCTTTGCTCACACTTTCAGAAGATCGAAGATGTGTTGCGTAATCACGGGATCGTTGGTTTGGTGGAAGCGTCAGTGTTAAAGCTCAAGAGCATTAAGCCTCATCTATCAGTTGACCTCATTGTGAGTTGAGATGGACGTTTGATCCCCTGTGGAGCGGGCGTATAGCTTCTGTAATCGACTGACCATATACCGCGGGCGGTGATTAACCAGCGATAGATAGAGCGTAAACAGCGTTCCAGGTCTGCCCGCGGCCAACGTCTCAACCCGCCTCCCTTATCAAGACAGCCCGCCTCAGCCACTCACACCACCAGGATAGGTGGATCCACAGATACACTGCCGTTGCGCCCTAATCATCGTGAACTCTGCCCAGAGAGACTTGGAGAGTTCTCAAGGTCTACAGCTATTATATCTTTGACGTCCTGGCCGACTCAAGAGACGATGCAATTAGATAGCCCACCGCCCGATAAGACACCAAAGGCAGATTCCTTCCATCATGACCCTTAATAAACGTACTCAGACCTACTGCAAGAACTGGGCCGCGCAGGTCAAGGAGGACCTGCAGGTCGAGAAAGGCAGAGGGGATGGAGAGGACACCAGAGTCTGGTCCAACCAAGATCTTGATCCCACCCCTCCCCACAAACGAACCTGGCGCTGGTGGAACTACCTGCTGTATTTTGTCGGCACCGGCTTCAACAACTGGCAAGGTGGTTCCGCCGTCATCGGGGTCGGTCTGGGCTGGCAAGCTGCCATCGCCATTGCCTATATCACTCAGAGCATCTCGGGTCTGGTCCAGGCTCTCAACTCCAAGGCAGCTGCTCGCTACCACTTGGGCTTCCCTGCGATTGCGCGCTCCGTCTACGGCATGTGGGGAAGCTCCTACCAGGTCGCCGTTCGAGCAATCCTGGCCGCTGTATGGTACGCCACCAAGACTTATGAGGGCGCCAGCTACTTGAGCATCATGATGAGGTGTGTCTTCGGCCATGCATACATGGACATCCCCAACCACGTTCCAGCGAGCATCGGCTACACCACCAAGGACTTCCTCTGCTACTTCTTGGTCTGGATGATCTATACGCCTTTCTTGTTTCGCCGACCGTACCAACTCCGCAACTTCTTCACAGGCGCCTGCCTCGCAAGTTTCCCTGCGGTCTTCGGATTGTTCATTTACTGCATCACCAAATCGGGGGGCAAGCTCGGGCTGGGCGAGAACGCGGGTTCGGTGAAAATGGACACAAGTACCACCGCGTGGCTGGTCATTTATGCCATGGCGAGCTCGATCAGCAACGGTGCCGCATATATCGAGTCCGTTCCAGACGTGGCTCGATGGGCTGCCAAACCGACCTCGGTCATCCCGGCAACCTTGTTCTGCAACTTCCTCTATAATCCGTTGGCCGCCGTGCTCGGCATCTTGGGCACTTCGGCCTTGCAGAGCGCCACGGGACGAACCATCTGGAAACCATGGGATGTGATGACGTTCATTCTCGAGGAGAACTGGACCTCCGGCGTTCGCTTCGGCGTCTTCCTGCTCGCCTGCTGTTGGTTCTACCTCGTCTTTGCCCAGAACATCTCGTCGAACATGATCCCTTTTGGTGCCGACATCTCAATGCTCTGGCCCAAACATCTGACCATGACTCGAGGTTATATCATTGTCCATCTCCTGGCGTGGTGCATCTGCCCTTGGAAAATCTATGTCTCGGCAGAAACCTTCTTCAACTTCATGGGGGCTTACGGTATCTTCATGGGTCCAGCGGTGTCGATCATGCTGGTCGAGTACTACCTCATCAGCCGAGGCAATATCTTTGTCTCGTCCATCTACATCGGGAACTCGAAGAATCCCAACTACTGGTACACTGGCGGATGGAACGTCCAGGCCTACCTTGCCTACGTATTTTCGGTCGGTCTCTGCTTTGTCGGCTTTGTGAACAAAGTGGGGGCCACCGTCCCTTCTGCGGCTGAGAAAATAGGCTACCTAGCCTGGTTTCTCTCCTTCAGCTCGGGAGGTATTGTCTACTACCTCGTCAATCTCGTCTACCCGCACCAGAACATCAAAAACGTCAAGGGACGCAAGTGGGAGGAAAATGCTCGTACTGACGACGCCGATATAACTGGAGTTGAGGTCGTGCACACGGAGACTGCGGATGTGGAAAGAGAGGCATATGCGAAGGTGGCTGACAACAAGTCCGTTGTCGCTTCCTCCACCACAGACTAGTAAGATATATACACAGTGGGTTTTGGTCTGTTTCGATGTCATGTGAGAGGCGATAGTTGGACTTCAAGTGGCAGCAAATGACGAGACTGGTTGCAAGGACAGTAGATAGTGCATGACGTTGTCTCTCCTCATTCTCTTAGGTTTCAAATGTTACAATCCCTTGATTGCCTCCTGACATGACACTCCAATTTGGCTAGAATACCACAATCATGAGACACTCGTAATAGTAATGCATTTGCTACTTTGTCGGCTGCCACTACCGAGACCAACGAATGCACCTAGGCAAGGTGTACGCAGATCTTGCCTCACGGTGCCTCTTGTGGGATGACTCTACTCAGAATGGATTATATCGTCAATGTGTTTCGATATGAGTAGGCACAATTCTTCCTGCCATGGTAGACCTACTATCTGCAGCGCAAGAGGACTGTTGGCGAATATATGAGGCCCTTTGTCTGCGTGACGGTTAACAAAAAACTGTGAGAGGCAACTAGCGGGCCAGCGACACCTACACAAGCTCTTCAGTTCCCCGTCGCCAAAGTCATAAGGGAAATCCGGAATCCTATCGTAGGGTGTCTCGGCGTACCAAGCCTCACTGGCCACGTCTTTCACGAGATCGACTTCGCCGGCTGGCACGATACAGCACGGATAGTCGAGTAAGTTGTAAATGGCGGAGAGGGCAGTGGTTCTGTCTCACGATGTCAGCACGAAATTCGACATGTCACAGTGGTCGCAGACTGACATGTAGTGGCCGTGGGGAGGTGCTGGGTGAGGCGACGGGGCCGTGATTATGGCGTCCAGATCTAGTCGCTTCCACCTTTCCAGGTAATCTAGACGTAGTTGCTTCCTGGCTCGATGGTTTCTCCAGATCTCGATCGGCGTCAACGGCCTCTCCGACCAACCGGTGGCAAGTCGTGGTACGGGAGGCTCGCCAGACATATCCAGAGCTTCTTTGACCCCGACGCCACCCTCTTGTGTGTACATTGTAAAGATGATCCTGGAGCCACGTACGTGAAGGTCTGACCAGTCCAGAACCATCACCTCATGGCCTGCTCCCGCGAGCTTTTCTTGAGTTTCTCTCAAAACTCGGAGCACGGGTGGAGTCAGGTGTGTGATTTCGTCGTCAAACAGAAGACCAAGTCTCAATTTGCTCCGGGCACGTACGCTCGAGTTCCAAGGCATGGGCACGCAGTCGGCGTCATTCTCCCACGGGCACGCGCCAAGAGTCGAGCTCGCAAAAAGAACGAGAGTCTCAATATCGTTGGCGATTACTCCAGTGCAACCCAGGTTGCTGTCCGAATAGCCCACTCCGCGGGATCCCAGGCTGGGAATGCGGGTGGCAGAGGGTTTGAACCCATACACTCCGTTCCACGCTGCGGGGAGCCGAACCGAGCCGCCTCCGTCAGTACAGACGCCCAAAGGAGAGCCGAACAGAGCGACCAAGGCACCTTCACCTCCGGAGGACCCACCAGCGCTCAGTCGACGATTGCAGGGGTTGGTAACGAGCCCAAACACGTTGTTGGTCGATTCGACGAGGAGCGTTGCTTGGGCGAGATTGGTCTTGACAAACGGGATGGCTCCTGCTTGTCGGAGGCATCTGATAACGAGCGCGTCATCTCTCGCAATAAGACCGATCCTGGAAACCAGACCAGAAGTCGTTTCATGTCCGGCCACGTCCAGACAGTCCTCTTCAACGTCAATTCAGTCCAGATCGAAACAACAAAACCCCCCGAAGAACTCACCTTCACCGAGATAGGGAGGCCGTGCAGAGGGCCGGTGACTTGGCCTGTATCTGCGAAATACCTGTCGTGCTCTCGGGCTGTTTCCAAAGCCTCTTCCATGAGAAAATTCGTAACGCAGTTGACCAGCTGGTGAGCAATCGCCGCTCGCTTGCAAAAGGCGAGCATGACCCTTTCGCAGCTCCATTGTGATTTTCTGATCTTCGCCAGTATGTCGCAGTTGGAGGATCGAGTAATTTCAATGTCCAAGGAGTCGAGAATACCACTCTTCTCGGCGATGATCCTAACGTCAACTAGAGCCTCAGACTGTAGTGGGAGAGGTAGCTGCCACTCATCTGGAATCTGGGCCGCCAACTGCTGGCGTCTCCTACACGCCTTCGTCTCCCACGCCATTCCTCAGAGACTGGACGACATCGGTGCATTAGAGCTCCAGGCTGGTCAAAATTGCTTGTGCTCTGCTCAATCGACTCAATATAAAGCACATGTTACGAGTTATCAGATATCCTCGACCCAACTCTCGCGAAACACCCACCGACCCCCGAACCCGTGGACGGCCGTCAATTCCTTGCCAAGGCGCTAACATCCCGCCTGCGCTGGGCACTGATTGCGAAGCTCGAGAATCTTCAAGAAGCGAGTTTGACCCGCGGTCAACTTTGCACTCCTAAAATCTGATCTGAGGCCCCGCCTTTCGTCAAATGGCCAGCCACGTAGGCTCTCCTGCAAGGAGTATATCTCTTGAGAGGCAGTCACCTCCAGACGAAACGAACGGGAGAGATGCGGAAAAATCACGACCGTACAGGTCCAAGAAGAAGCCGCCGTAAAGCCACCTATTGCCGGGTCTGCACGCAGGAACAAGCACTAATGGATCCAGATGCGATGCGTGCCGCCGTCGGCGTATCGCTTGCCAGCGTGAGGATGAGAGCTCGCCATGTGCCTTGTGCAAACACCGCGGGCTGGATTGCACTTTCTTATCCAAACCTCAACGGCGCTCACGTCCACGGCCGACAGAAGGCCAACATCAAATAAGGAGTTCAAGTCCAGGTGACGATCTCCTTCCTCCTGGCCAGCCTTTCCGGTCGCAGTCGACTTCCGGTTCACGGCTTCCACTGGAACCTGCAGTCAAGAGCACAACGTCAATTCCAGGATGGACATGCCTCTGGTCCGGTCTTAGCGGCGACCAGAACCCGCACCTCTTACGACATCTGGCCTTTGACGACTTGGACATGTTTGGGGATCATCGGTGGATGGTCTGGAGGGTTGACCCTCGCCTGAGGGGCGCAGCCTACCTGACGGTGAGAGCCGCAAGAGCGACACCCATGTTCTAGCCGTGTCTGACATTGAATCACGTTCCAGCTGTACCCTAATCAACTTCTTGATTGCAGTGCGGATATGTACGACTACAACGACATTGACCGGGTCTTCAGCCCCTACCAGGATGAGTTGATCGATGTGTACTATGCATGCGTCCACCCGTCTTATCCCATCCTGGAGAGACAGGATGTGTTTCGCGCCCGGCGCAATCAGAAACAGATACCATGTTCGCTACTCGCCGTCGTCTACAGCCTTGCCTGCCAGTTTTGGGACAAGTCTCCTGCCTTGCGCCATCTCAGCTGCCCCAATGCCACAAGGCTCCGACCCTATATCTATTCGCTTCTGACCGTCGAGATCCGAGCCCCCAACCTGAATGTCCTCCAGGCGATGTTATTGTACTTGCAGCTTCCACCTCTCATTATTCGGGAATCCAACCATCCAGGTCATTGGGCAATGACTACGCTCACTGTTGCCATCGCACAGGACATTGGACTTCATGTTGACCCTGACACATGGAAGATTTCGCTACAGGAAAGAAAGCTACGCCGAGTTTTGTGGTGGGCCGTCTATGTCCACGACAAATGGATCTCTCACTGGTTGGGACGGCCATCGCATATCAAAAAGGGAGACTGGACTGTCGAGTCCCTGACGCTGAGGGATTTCGCCAACGCGGATGACATGCTTTCCGTAGATGAAGTTGTTCAGGGAAAGACCTTCATGGCCTTGTGCGAACTGTCAGAGATCCTCTCCGAGGTGCTGGACAGCTTCTACAGCATCCCCTCCAATGTTGAGGAGATGAACATTGACCAGAGCGCCTCGTTGGTCCAGAAATTCGTGCATCGGCTCCAGAGTTGGCGGGAGACGAACGGCTATCTGCGGCTGCCGGAAGTCAGGGCGGCAAGCGCGTACACGACCGCGTTCGCTGGCTACACTGTGGAAACCCTCGTGCGCAGAGCCCAAGCTGCAACGTTGCCAGGGGAAGTTGGTCTTGACGACAGCGGCCATCTAATGACAAGTATGATGAAACGAGTCTTTGAGATGATGCGCGACATACTGGAGAACCACCCGCTGCAGAGCCGGATGTGGTTGAGCTACAACAGGGGCAACCTAATGACGATGGGATCTCACCTCATCACCATGGTCTTGAGGAGCACAAACGATGAAGAGCTTGAGGCGCGTCGCGGCACTCTCTTGGAGTTCCGTGGCTACCTGGGCAAACTTGCCGAGGACAAGCGAGATTTCGAGTTTGCTCGGCTGCCGCTCCGGCGCCTGAATTTGATCATATCGGAGCTTTTTGGAAGGGAGGATGAGCTGGTGGAAAACATAGACCCCGGAGAAGCCGACGATCTGTCAGGGGCTAAGAGTACTTCTGCGATATGCAGAGCCGCGTTCAATGTCGTTGTAGCCCCCACGCCGCCTTGACGAATGCTCTATTTGAAAAATTAGTACGAGGCACCCCGACCTCAGTATCTCGGCACCCTTTGGTTTTCTGCCGTAGATGCAATATTCAGAGCCAAAGGAGCTGGGAGGCTCGAGATGGCTAGTAGGCTGCGACACCTGATTTTTTCATTGTACGATGTTGACTATATAGGGGAAAAAGAAGAGGATCAGGATGTTCTCAGCAGTCTAGGTGAGCGTTGGATTACGGCCGTGTCTAGACCTCGCAATTGCAACTCCTGTGTTGCAAGGACACCACTGGCGACAGTGTCGTGGCCACCTCCTTCTCATGTGGTCTAGAACGCGATTGTATAGACATTTAACATAGAGCCGGTCACCAATCAATCAATCCATCCACCGTTTTTACACGATTGCCGACCGTTGAGGCACTCGGCTCCTGCCCGTGGGCGAAGTCATGTGGGACCGGTCATGCGGCAGTGGAAGCCATTCGTTGAAGACTCCAGGTACGTAAAACGATTGATCAACTGTCCGGCCTAGACAATCACCACGGCCAAAACGGCGGCCGCGGGGCGAGATCTTGTTGTCACGCACGAGCGACCCTGCATGCGAGTATTTCTGCCATACAATGCATGGTAATCTCGGGACGTGTCTGGACCAATAGATCCCCCGTTCATCACCCTTGCAGAAGATCGACTGCACCGGCACTGTATCTGTAGCGAATCACTTGCATACATACCATACGAATGAACCGTGGTCCTTGGCTCCAATGGAAGGCCATCGAGGGCACTGTCGCATGGGGAACAGTGACCTGTCCCTTCCCCCCGTAGGCATTTTTTGTAAGCGCGTGGACGTGATTGATCAACTCGGTGGATTTTGGTCGAGTAATCGAAATCACTGGCACTTCTAGAGCTGGCGAAACTGCTCACCTGGCCAGGTTGTACGAACGAAACTACGAGAATAAAAAGCAGCCCTGCGTGAGCACCATTGTTCTCGCCCAAGAAACCGGATCTCCATCTGCGATTTTTCGGGCTGCCTCGCTGTCATGTCTAGCCATCCCATGTTCAAGACCTGCGTCGCCCATTTGAGGCCAGCTGTACCCTCGCGCGGCAGGGCTCAAGTTTGGCGACAAGCAACCTTCCATGGTCGAGGGGCCAGGTACCAATCTGCGCGCCAATTCGCATCCCATTCGGTCAAGGTGAACGGTCAGCGCCTGTGGGACTCGATTCACCACACGGCGCAGTGGGGTGATAGTCAAGATGGCGGCGTGAAGCGGCTCACTCTGACCGACGAGGACCAGAAGGTTCGCTCGTGGTTCACGGAGACGCTGACCGCCGTCGGGTGCAAGGTCAAGGTGGACCAGGTGGGAAACATGTTCGCCGTTCGACCCGGGGCCAACATGGCCCTCCCTCCCATCGCGATGGGATCGCATCTCGACACCCAACCGGCCGGGGGGAAGTTCGATGGCATTCTCGGGGTTCTCGGGGGGGTCGAGGTCATCCGGGTGCTGCATGAAAACAATGTCGTCACTCAGGCCCCGATTGCTGTGGTGAACTGGACCAACGAGGAAGGCGCTCGGTTCAACAGTGGGATGTTGGGCAGCAGCGTCTGGGGAGGAATGATTGACCTGGACGAGGCCTACTCCATACAGGACGTCGAGGGCACCACGTTCCGGGCCGCGCTGGAAAGGATTGGGTACCTGGGCAGTGAGGGCGCAAGCCACAAGAACAACCCGCTCGCCGCCCACTTCGAACTCCACATCGAACAGGGTCCTGTCTTAGAGGACACGAACAAAACCCTTGGGGTCGTCAACGGTGTTCAGGCGATGGGCTGGACATATGTCACTGTTCACGGCCATTCTCAGCACTGTGGCACCACGCCGATGGACAGACGAAACGATGCGCTCCTTGCTGCGACCAAGATGATTCCACAGATCAACGTTATGGCTCGTGAGACCGAAGGCATGAGCACCGTAGGTGTCTTCAATTCGGAGCCGTCGAGCCCCGGGACGGTCCCGGGCAAAGTGCGATTCAGTGTCGATCTTGAACACCTCGACAATGACGCCAGGGATCTCATGGTGAAGAGGACCAAAGAGATCTGCGCCGAAGTCGCCGAACAAGAGGGTTGTCAAGTCACTTTTGAGGATACCTGGGTCAGTCGAGGTGTGCGCTTCAACCCACTGTGCGTCGAGACGGTCACAGAGGTGGCTGAAGAACTGGTCGGCAAGGATGGGTTCGTCACGCTCCCGGCGGGAGCAGGACATGACAGCGTCAACACCTCTCATCACTGTCCCACCTCGATGATCTTTGTTCCCTCCAAGGGCGGCATTTCTCATCATCCCTCCGAGTGGTCGACGCAAGAACACTGGTAATAATTCCCCGGCAAGATTGTTTAGAGATTGTCGCTAACTTCGTGGTAGCACGCTCGGAGTTGAAGCTTTACTTCGGACGGTGTTGAAGTTTGATAAGAAGATTTCGAGATAGTTCTTCATCTCGCGTCAAGCGAACATGACTAGCCAGATGTAAACGTTGGTTGGATCTCTGAGAGACTCCAGTCTGTACTCGATGCCCAAATGAGCTGTGGTGTGTTGTCTGGGATGGGCTCTCGATGCTGAGGACACCAGACTATGTTTTCTGGAGGACAAGTGACTTGTGGCGTAGCTGACTGCCAAATGTCATCCGCACGGAGGTTGTAGGGCCAGTCGACTGCAATCTGGGAGTGGTTCCATAGATCTTTGCTTCCAGTGGAGTCGACGTAAGGATTGAGGGCGTCGAAAGTCCCTGGAAGAGAAAATTCTTGTTCTTGAACGCCGAAACTGTTCCATAGTAGAGAACCTTCATGATCCATCCACGGCGAGGATTGCCACCCCGTGAGATCGAAATGCGTGAGTCCACCGTCCGAATAGGATCCCCTGGTACCACGGACTGATTGGGATGGCGGGCTCGATTTGCAGTGATGAGTGTTTGGTGTATCGAGGTACGGCATTGGAATCGCCTCGTCGCCTGCTCGCCGGCTGCTGCTCACCGACAACTGTGCCGGAACATGTGAGTCGACGACAAAGGATGGCCTGTCGCCGCCATTGGTGTCGTCGCCGCCCTCTGCAGCATGCGACGTCGCATTCAGAGTATCAGTGTCTGCCCTTTTCGTGAGCTCCGCCACGCGGTCGACGGTGGCGATGATACATCGCCGCCCCAGTTTCCCGCACTGGACACAGGTGCCGCCGGTGTCGGGAGTCGCCACCAGACATCTGATCTTGCGCCTCCGACAGTGGTCTGTTTCACGGGGTCAGTGATGGAATGTCTGGTTCGCGGGTCGACCACGCGGCCGGGCATGTTCCTTACCACAAGCCTGGGATGACCGGTAGTATCCCAACTTGCTACCACGAGACTGGGCTCGGGAGAACGGTCGACTCATTGTCACAAAGCTGGGGGCACACGTGAGGACGAGGAAGGAGGAATGGTGCAAGACTGAAAACCGGCGGGGCAATCTTTATCACAGGGCGGAGGAGGGGGCGGGTGGAGCGGCCGGTGAGAAGCACCCGGAGACTCCTGGGGGCCAGACCCGTCGCCTTTCCAAGTGACGGACGCCCGGCAACCCTGCTTTACGTGGGATCCACATCACGTGTGACAGCAGAGCATCTAGTGCTATGAGGAAGGAAAACTCTAGATAGGCCGCAGGTGTGCATCTGAATGTCATGAACGTCTCGTCTCATGCGAAATATAGACACGTATGGACTCGAGATTCACGGACTCTGCGTGTTACAATCATTTATTCCAACTGACTAGGATACTAATTATCGGGCGAGAGCTTCGTTCGCCAGTCGCCGTACCGCTCTCTGGCCATCTGTTAGACCCTCTTCGAGGTCGTCGAAGGGCTCCAACCCCAGCGCCCTCAATCCCCGGTGAGACAGGACATTCTCCCGTCTGGCGCCGTGATCTGTATGCTGGCTCTCCTCCTCCGCTACGTTGTCGTAACACGCAAAGTCCTTTGGGACAGCCGCCTTCTGGAACGCGTCCCTCACGCCGACGAGCGACTCGACGTTGTACGGAGTCAACGGGATGCACGCATTGTACACGACACTCGAGTCCCGTGTGCCGGGGTGGAATCTGTCCACCTCGTGCACCAGATCGCAGTGCCAGAAGACGTAGTCTCCCGGGCGGACGGGAGGGATCCCGATCATGGACCGTTCAAGGAGCAGATGCGGATGGAATTCTCGGCTCGGAAAAAACTGAGTGTTCCCAGGAGTCGCACCCGGGAAAATGGGCTGGGTATCGTCGAAGGTTTCGTCCACGGCGAACAGCGGCCGCAGCATGATGTAAGCCACGGACGCCTTCAGACTGGGTAACAAGCGGAGTGTGCCTTCCCCCGTCGACGTGTGGGACAGCGACAACCAGCCCTGTAGGCTCCGCCAACACGAGCACGCGGCTCCGTTGTCGTAGAGGTCGCTTTTTGCCTCGTAGCGCCGGTCGGCCGCCCAGCCGTCCCAACTGTCCCAGTCGCCTTCAAAGATGGCCTGGAAGTTGGACCGGTTGATGGGGCACTCCCAGCGCTCGATCCCGCCGCTGTCCAGATGCGCCGGCAAGGTGAATTCAGCATCCTTTGAGGGATGCCGGATGCGGAAGCGGTCTGGGTAGACGACCTGGCTTGTCAGGTCGATAGGCAGGGAATCGTCGGCGACGTGCCAGAGCTTGCTCACGCAATCCATGGCCTTCATGACGCGCTCATGGCTCCGAATCTGGACCTGTGTCGGCGTCCACCATAGATTCCACGTTTGAGGGTCGTCCCTCGGAAATCCTCCGGCCTCGTGATGGCATCTCGTGTACTCCTTCAAGTCGGCCTCCCAGGTGGTGGCCTGGGCTTCGGATACGACATTGCGAAGGATGACACATCCACGATCTCGCACAAGGTCAACAAACCCTTGTGGCAGCGCTCCACCTATAAAAGAAACGTTAGCACCAAGTGTGCTTCAAAAGACGAGAGGCTTGCGTCGCCGACCATTATCGCACACATCATCGAAGTCGATCTCTGGCACGATGGTAGGACCATTTCGGGTAATGTGGTTCGCTTCAGTCTCCAAGACTTTGCACAGACGTTCATACGAGGCGATGACCTTGGCTTTATGCTGCGACGAGACCAACGAGCGCTTGATCTGGGCAAATCTCTGGTCGAGCAATGGTATCCTTGGAAGTATCGGTCAATCTGGACTTGGGTGTCCTGGCTTTATTGGAGCTGGCAACTTACTTCTTGCGACATCCATCGAGTGTTTGATCCAGGACTGCTGAGGGCATCTTTTTGTGGCTGATAGGGGGTTCCAGTGTGGTTGCACGTAGCAACAGTGCACTTTATTTCAACCCAATTCACCCCCTCACCTCGTCATAGGGGTTTGTCAGAGCGTTGATTGATCTCGGAGGAAGGATGAAGAGGAGGGAGGGGCAAAATGTCGGTGGGGAGAGTTCACCACGGGGCAACTGACTGCCACATTTCCTCGCCTTGACATTCTCTAGCTGGCGTGGCCGGTGGAGATCCTCGATCCCACCGAAGCTCTGGGTGGCGTGAACCAAAGGCAGTAGGTCGCATCTTGGTGACTTGGCAGGTGTAGGTTTATGAACTTTCACCACGAGTCGAGCGACTTTGCCCAATGGACCTGGACCTTTCATTGCCTCTATCACGGCGTGGTATGATAAATTTATCCCTTCCTACCAACTTGATGATGATACAAGGAAGTATCGTTGGCAATGTTAATCACGTTAGGCATGGCTTTACCAGGATAACATTGTCCACAAGTTGTATGCGCGATAGCCGCTTCCCAGATAGCTACGGGCGTAGCTAGCATTGCTCATTGTCGGATCGATACGTCTTTACACAGTCTTGTTCGGCAGGACGATCCTGCTCTATATGTACACTCCCTCGCTGCCCTCTGCCTTCATCTTTCTCCCCTTGTTAAGAACCCCCTGCTGTCATAATCCACGTGCGCGAAGGATATCTTAAATCCAGGTACACTAGCTTGCTACCGACATCATCTAACACTGGAGAGTTAACAGAAGTCCCTACGGTAAGTGGGTTATCTCATCTGGCGACGACCGGAACGCCATAGACTCGGAGCCTCTTGACACCACCGTCGGGCACGATGACCAGCTTCACGTGGCTCAGCGCTGCGCCCTTGACTTTATTCTCACAGTCAAAGATGTGCTCTTCATGGGCCCGGCAGTCCTGAAGCCCGCCCGTGAGATCCATCCAGCCCTCCTCGTCGGTCTGGCCGAGGGGCTCTCCTTCCTTGCCGGTCCAGTCGATGCCCCAGACCTGGCATTTGTCCGGGAAGTTGCCTCTGAAATGTGCCGTGTCCACGACCACGCTCTTCACCAGACCTGCCGCTCCCAGCCTCACGATTGCCCAGTCCGTGTGGCCTGGCTCGCGACTGCGCCGCGTTTCCCATCCGTCGCTCATGTCGACACCACGCCCTGGGAGGAGGAGGTTGTTGGGGCTGGAGTAGTGCTCGTTGCTGCACGCGATGCAGCGCCCGGCGTTCGTCGCCGCTGCGAGGTCCAAGCCTCTTAACGGGTCCGGGCCTCCGCCTGTGCCGGTCACGTTTGAGGGTGTGGGAGAAGCCGGGCGTCCGTAGAGGCGTAGACGCGCGATCCCACCATCAGGGTACATGTTGAGCCTGAAATGTGTGTATGGACGCTCCGTGGGAGTCTGCAGCTTCCACGCCTGCCGGCGACTCGGACCGCAGGGTTGCTTGCTCAAAATCATCCGCCATTCCCCCTTTCCGTGGCCCCATTCCAGCACCTTGTCGTCCAGAGCCTGTTGCTCCGTCTCAGATGTCATCGCAGTAGCAGGTGCAAACCCTTCCACACTGATCGCGGGTGCTTCGTTTCCGTTAAAGAAGGCCGTATCGACCTCAACCCCCCAGATGAAGCCTCCCCCACTCCGAATCATCTCGGGGCCCAGTTTGATAATCGCATAGTCGAATTCTTGTTTGTTGTGTCTTCGCGTTTCCCAGCCATCATACCAGCCGCCGGTGAAGACGACCTTGCCATTCCCCGAGATCGGTGGCTTGGGGTTGATCAAGTTGCTGGCTTCCGCGAACCATTCATCCGACTGGCCGATGACTTTGCCCAAGAGTCTTGACGATGACAGATCTGCCCATGTATCAGTAAAGTTGGCCAAGTATTTGATCTAGGATCATGATTCCCATACCGATCGTACTGCTTCGAAAGGCCTCATCAATATCCGCTGCAGCAATCAGAGTGCAAGGTGTTTCTGCCATTCCTGGTTATTTCTCGCGCTCGCGAGGTCTTTTGGGCATCCAATACCAAGATAGTCCTGCTCATCGTGACTCGGTTTTGTATTTGGGCAACAGCGACAAGCCAGACAACGTTCCGCTAGTGGCATGTGCCGGAGTCGATGAGCTCGGACGCGGCGTTATCGCTGAAAATCACCCAGTCCGCCCGCGGGCGAGATCAATCCACCCGTGCCTAACTCAGTTTCGGAGTAGAGCGTGGATCGCTACCGGCCAGATCCAATTATGGGGACGACCCACCAGACCACCCTCGCTTAATCGTCTCAATGCCTCTACTCTTCTTTGATTCATCGGGGTAGGAGTATGGTCTCGAGTTCGTCGGTGAAGGCTGAGAGTTGGTCGGCGATTGTACTTGCTCTTGATAACTCAGGATAGCCATGGATTTGGATCTGGTCATTCGCAATGGGACGGTAGTCTCAGCATCGGATATCCTTTACGAATGTGATGTTGGCATCAAGGTAGTCCCTCCCTAGCCATTTGCAGGACCAAATTGTTTTGATCACGGTTGTAGGACGGCACGATTGTGGTCGTGGGAAAGAATTTGCCGGCCAGAGCAGGGACAGAAGAGGTCGATGCCGGGGGAGCTTTTGTAACTCCTGGAGGTGTCGACTCTCACTGTCATCTATCCCAGTTCTACGATCCTGGCCCAGGGCAGGAACAGAAAACCCAGGCGACTGACGGCAACATTCCCGCAGAATACAACTTTGCAGGCGATGACTATGAGTCCGGGTCGCGAAGTGCCATCGCCGGAGGGACGACGACCATCATGAGCTTCGCAAACCAGTACCGGGACGATGAGAGCCTGAAACCGGTCATCGAGGAGTACCACAAGCTGGCCCAAGGCAAGGCCTACTGTGACTACTCTTTCCACGTCATCGTCACCAATCCGACCCCGACGGTGTTGAAGGAGGATCTTCCACAATTGATCACCCACCACGGACTGTCGAGCATCAAGATCTTCATGACGTACGAATCGGCCAAGTTGAGCGACTACCAGATTCTCGGTGTCCTGAACGCGGCGCGGAGCATTGGTATCACCACCATGGTCCATGCCGAGAATGCGGATGTTGTGGAATACCTGACCGAGCAGCTCGAGGCGAACGATATGGTCCAACCGTATCATCACGGAACCTCACGACCTCCGTTGGTGGAAGGCGAGGCCACGGTGAGGGTTCCTTGCCGAAAATCTGTGACCTGAGCTGATTCACCTGCGCTAGAACCGTGTCGTGGCATTGGCGGAATTGATGAGTGCACCAGTCTTGCTTGTCCATGTCTCGAGCGCTCTGGCGACCAAGGTCATTCGGAAAGCACAGACAAGGGGTCTGGTCGTACACGGCGAGACTTGTCCCCACTATCTCTTTCTGTTGGCCGAGAAGATGAAACGGACTGGGTTCGAGGGCGCCAAGTTTGTGTGCTCGCCGCCGTTGAGGGAGACCTCGGCGGATCTCGATGCCATCTGGCAGGGTGTGCAGAATGGGACGTTCACCACCATTTCCTCGGACCATGCCCCGACCAAGTATGATCATCCCAACGGCAAGATGAAGGGGTTTTGCAACCACGGCCCTCACGGAAAGTTCAAATACATCCCCAACGGGCTACCTGGCCTGGAAACTCGGCTGCCTCTCCTCTTCACAGGAGGAGTCTTGAGCGGGCGCATATCACCGCAGAAGTTCGTCGAATTGACATCCTCCAACCCGGCCAAACTCTACGGCATGACACGGAAGGGGGCCATTGCGCCGGGCATGGACGCCGATGTCACGATCTGGTATCCACAAGAACAGTTCGAACCGTTTCGCCTGTCCAACGACATGCTGCACCACGCCATCGACTACACTCCGTATGAAGGATTTGAGTTTCGAAATTGGCCGAGATACACGTTCCTGAGGGGCCAGTTGATGTTTGCAGAGGGCAAGCTTGTCGGTCCTCGAGGTGCTGGAGCATTTGTACGCAGGACACCTTCGGCCCTCGCTGCCAGTAAGCCAGTCATTCAGACCCAGTGGCTGAATTAGAGCCGGGATCTCTGGCTATCGGCTTCTATACGAGCATGCTTCGTAGCCTATCCAAGGACTCGATGCTCTTAGCTATCCGTGTAGCCAGCAATTCCCGTTCATCATGTGAAGTACGTCCAGAATGTGGGATACGTGGTTCACGAGAGACTCTTTGTGTGAGTGACATAGAAAGCGTCGATACGCAGCAATAACCAAGTCAAGTTCAGGAGCTGTGTCTCTCTGTGCCTCGATACCCACTCCCGTACAACTTTCATTTATTCAAATCCCAACGTCAAACCACACAAGATATACCCATGTCCTGCTTTCCTCAGACTTGCTCAGCTGCATCGCAGCCTTGGACCCCTTTCATCATCCCATTAGTATCCCCCCAAAACACGCTCATAAGACTCATATCCTTCATTCAAATGAAAATGTTGATTTCATTTCGGCGGGGACGTCCACGCTCATGCCCTGGGCCCAGCCCATGTCCATGTGGGAAAAAATGCCGATGAGGCCGTCGTCGTCGCCGATGATGATGACATCTTCGAGCATCACCGCCGTGACCATCAGAACCTGAACGATCACTGACACCACCGTCTGAATGGCCGTCATGATCCTTCAAAGCAGCAGCATTATTATTATCATCATCATCATAACGGTCGGCGTAATCCCCAATCGGACCTACACGTTCATGCTGTGGTTGTGGACTTGGTGGCCTTCCGGGTGCGCCTCGTTGCCCACGACGATGCGGTGGTGGAGGACTTTGATATCGACGATGGTGATGACCATGTCCATGGGCTGCTCTTCTTGGATCATGATTCCCGTGACGACCGTGATCGTACTCGTACCTCACCTCGATCCCTGGGAAACCTGGAAGTTCGAAAGCGCCACCACGGCGATGATGATGACGTCTCCAATGATTATGATAACCATGATCATAGACTTCGAGGTCTCTCCTGCCGTGCTGCAGGTGTTCTTCTTCTTGTGGGAAAACCCATTCAAGTTGTTCCCAACCTTGACCTCGACCTCGATCTTGGTGATGTTGTAGCTGTTCCCCGAACCCATCGTCATCGTCGAGAACCCATCTCCTACTCCTCCTACTCCTTCTTACGAGTTGAAATGGCTGATGTCCAAAGTCCAGTAGACCTTGTGCTCCACCTCCTCCCCAAGGTCGGTCTGCCGTGATGAAGTGATTGTAGACTGGCATGTTCGGTTGACTTCTTGGTGGATGGTATGGGTTTGTGTATTGAAATCGGTCTGAAACATGAATCGTGCGTGGGATAGGGAAGAAAGTAAAAGAACGCCATTGCTAAGTCCATCCTTTCGCACATTTATACGTTCTTTGACAGTCCGCCGTTTGATAGGATTGAATATTCGAGTGACATGATGAGAATACGACATCACCTCAGTCGTATTTGGTTTGCAACGGTGTCGAAGTGTGATGGGTTACCTTTTGATCAAGGTAGACGGCAGTGATGCGTGAACTGGAGACCATGAGGTACCTAAGGTAGGGACCAGACCTGCAACATATCTTCACTTCAACAACCAATAGTGATCCAGAACGCCCGATCGTAATTCATATCCTAGATATATTCATTGCAGTGAAATTTCCCTCAACATTGATCGCCTTGATGGCCCAACTAGTAAAAAGACTCACCACGTCGAATTGCGACTTTGTCACAAACATGGTCTGGAGGTTGGGCTTATCCTTGGAAACTTCGCTCTAGTGGGATTAAAACTTTGGGAGTCTGGCAGGTTTCCATGACTACTGTAGTATCTCTATACAAAAGGTATGAAGGGGTCATAGTCGGGATAAGTAATAGAAGAGCCCGGAGGGGGTTCGAATCTCCAAACTTTTTGTTTCTCAGTGGACATATTTTTTTGTTGTTTCTCTGACCAGGGTTGTTTCTCTAACCAAGGGAGGGTGGTGGTGAAGGTGGTAGAATCGACGTCAAGGCGGTGAATTGATGTACACATCACACTCATATAACGAACGCCTCTCGTATGAGAGTTGACGCTCCAGTCATTTGGAGAATGTAAATCACTCCAAGCAGATACACGTTTTGGCAAGCAACAGATAGGATCCAATCGGGGAACACTCACCCCATGAAAGCCTGTAAAAGAACAAAATGTCTGAACATGGTATGAAGTGGATGAGATGCAATTGAATTTTCATTATTCGTTTCTGCTGGAATCACTGCCCGAGAACCAAGTGTTCAACGGCGCATCCATCCAGAGTCGTCCGATAGAAACTCGGGGGTCTCAAGACGAGTCTTGAATTGGTCGTTGGCACCCATAGTCCACGACTACATGGTCGCACATACTCCGTGTAGGGTACAAAAAATGCCGAAGTTTCAGCCAGCGCTAGCTGGCTCTTTGATTTTGCGCCTGGCTTTCTCCTTCGTCTTCGTGATGTTGAAGCGTTCTAGATCGCTCTGACCGTTTATCGGGGCAGTACAGCTTACTGTGTCGATTCGAGACACGTAATCGCCACAATCACATTGCATAGCCACGGGACCATCATCCTGTCGTGGATGACCCATTGCACTTCAGGTGGCCGGCACCAAGACATGCATGACGATGCCGTTGCGCGACTTGAGCATCGTGAGCCGACCTTGACAGCCAATTCCCCTTCATCGTGATATGCGCGGCCGATAATAATGTTGCTTTAGTCTCTAAAGACTTTGTGTTCACAATTGCGCCTGTCTCTTCAACCTCTGCAATTCTCTGCAAATGCCCTCCAGCTCTTCTTCGCTGACGGTACCCTCCTCGACCTTCCTCTCGAGACTCGGAACCAGGGCTTTGGCCTCGTCCGAGCACGTCGGCACCAGGCTCCCGAGCTGACTCTTTTCAAACCGATCCAGGTGTTCGCCGTACGAGTTGATGATGCCCTCGACCTGTTGCGCCTCGGCGAGATCTTTGAAGACCGCAAAAATCTCCAAGTAGTCTCTAGTCTTGGCCGTCGTTTCCGTCTCTTCGTAGCCTCCGCCCCGTGCGGCTCGCGTGGTGAGCGTCTTTTGCAAGATGATTCGCGCTTCCGAGAGGTTCAGTGTGACTTCGTTCTGGAATTCGCCAAGTTTCAGCACGGCGCCGGCTTCGAGGTCCGAAGTCGCGGTGGGAGGCACTCGAGAAGGCGCTGCGTGAGGCATGTTGTGGCGGCAGGGTAAGAGTACTTTTTAAAAGTCTGTAAGGTTTGTGAGATTGATGTGGTGTTGACACCCGCACGAAGACAAAGTTGCATCAAACAAGCCCGAAGAGATGAATTGCGTAGGCACTAGCGTAGCCTTGCATTGCACGGATACTGGTGGTAGCCTTGTCGGAAGAACAGTTTTGCCGAAGACCGGCCTTCAACACACAACTAACCAGTAGTCAATAGCGCATAAAGAAGCAGATGCTACATGTTCGGCCTGGATATGACAATTTCGAAGACTACTCAAGCCATCTCCTCACACGAATAAGATGTAAACCGCCTACCACGAAATAGGCTAGATAACGTCGGATCATGGTGATCTCAACGGCGTAAAAGGATTACAGGGATGCAGATTGGTCCTTGATGTGATTGTTATATCAGTATATCCATTTGAATTACATATCCATCCCAAAAGAGAAAAAAAAATGCGAAGAAGCCTCTTTATGCAAAAGGCTCAGAACCAGCTCCGGCTTACAACACCAAAGCGCCCACTCCAGCAACAACCAAGAGACCTCTACCAACGTTGATTGCATGAGCACCTGAGGCATTGTCACTACCCACCGCAGCGCTGCTCGTCGCAGCTGTGCCAGCCACAGTCGTGCTAGCTGATGTGACAGCACCAACGAGGCCAGCAGTCGACGAGGACAGAGAGAACTTGGAAGTTGTAGTGGCTGAAGACGCTGATGACAACAGGCCACCTGAACCTGAGCCAGAGCCCGAGCCCGAGCACGCCGAGGACGTTGATCCCTACATCAGTTGTTAGCAGGGACTCCATCTCTTATGTAGAGAGAACATACGGCTGCACAGCACTTTCCAACTGTGCTTGAACAAGTAGTTCCAGCAGAGCAATAATCTATAGCAGATGGGAAATTAGCATTAGGCTTTTGCAATCTCGTAACAACCCAGGATGATACTTACAGCCGTCCTCGCAGCAAACCTCGCCCGCATTGGGATTGTAACAACCGGTGGAACCGCAAGCGACGTTACCAGCGCCCCATTTGGCAGCACAGCTGCTATCGGTGGTGCCCCCGGAGCCTCCACCCGAGCTAGTAGTACTGTTGTCTGGGCATGTATCATATTCTGGATCATTGGGATTGTAACAATGGTATCCATCGGCGCATTCCATGTAGCCTGAGCCAAAGCAAGAAGTGCATGTTGCACCGACTTTGGAGCAAATATCAGTGGTGCCGCTAGTAGAGGTTGGGGCCGAGGCGCTCGCAGTGGCCGTGCCGGTGCCAGAGTCGGATCCGGAGCCCGAACTGCTGGACGAACAGCTGTCGATGCCATAGTAGGAGTCTCCAGGAAGGTAGCAGAAGATACTGCTTCCAGGGCAGAGGGTATATCCGGCACCGAAGCATTCCGAGCAGGATCCGGTGCAACGCTTGTCCAGAGATCTGGTCATGAGCCTGTTGGCTGAAGTGGGAATTCGGGTGCGCCCAACTTCCATGCCCTTGAGGATCGCATCGTCAGCCTCTTGCGCTGAGGCAAGGAGGACCAGAGAGGACAGGCACAAAGCCGCTTTGGTGAACAACATCTTGAGTCTGTAGAAGGGACCAACTGAAGTGAACGACTAAAGTGAGAAAGTTGACTTGAGTTCAAACGGAGTAGTATTCGTATTGAGAAGGGAAAAGGAGCAAAGCAATGAACGAGCTGAACAACGCGGGCGCCTCGCGAATATAGCATTTCCATTTTCCCTCATGTTAGCCTTACGGTTCCCTCGCTAGGGTCGGGATACGAATACGCCACCAATGTTGGTTCTTTTTGGAAAAAGATTCCTTTGAATACTCCTGGGGAGCCATGAATATTGCTTCAGCCAACCGGCTGTGCATTTCTGATCCTCAGACACCAGTGATTGGTCCCTTCGGCGAGAATGACTCTTTCTTTGGACTGGCCAAGGAACGCGGTATACAAGTAGCGGCCAGCAGGTATCCTCTCCAGAAGTAGAGGAAGGGGTACCTGCATGGCTCCGGGGCTCCTCTAGCCATAGAAGGAAGTCCCTATCCAACCAGGAAGGCATGTACCTGGCTAGCAGGACCATGTGCTCTGTAGATCACAGGAACAGCCAACGAGAGGGTCCAACAAAATTGGAGCGACGACCCTCGGCAATCTTCTCATGCCGGTCGTCGAAACCGGTGTCGCGAAGACCTGGCCGAGAAGAGTTCGACTTTGAACTGTTAAAGCGAACGAGTGTGGAGGTCTCAGGGACCATCGAGGAGCCTCCTCCCGTGTTTGAAGCCACAAAGGGGCTTCATCTCTTGGCACGATGCTTGGCGAATCACGGGGGGCCGACAATGGTGAAGTTTAGTTTGAGGTCAGGCTGAATCCAATTTTTCTCGCCCAACTTCATTCGGATGGCGCCCTATGAGCGTCTTTGCTTTTCGCCCCAATTGAGATGAAGTTGGGCATCGCGTAACCTTGAATACGAGCCAGGCTGCTGGCTTCCGGGATTTTTGGTCGAGAGCGCGATTCGGCAATGCCCACTCTGAATTCCACGCCGGACCACAAGTCCTTGAAATTTTAAATCACGACTTTCCCGGCGCATGGGCCGCGCTAGAGAATAGCGCTCTGGACCAATGAAAAGTATGTCTTCGAGTAATATGTAAGAGAAACAGCTTGCCTCAACAAGTAGTGGCGATCTCTGCCACAAGAGGTTCGTCGTATTGAGAACCAATTATACTCATAGTGGCAGCAGTATGCGGGCTGCTGCTCACGGGCACCCCAAAAAGCATACCATAAATGACAACCAACCCCCCCAGTACCGGTGTCCAGCTGACTCGGAGAGTTCAAGACTCGACCGTTGGGGAGGGGGTGTGACAAGTGTACAATTGTAAATCACTTCCTCCATCGTCGCAAAGCTGTCGGCTCTAGCCTATCGTTGGTCGGCAAAGAAGACTGACTTCCCAAACGAACAAGCTGCATGTCGACCAGTCACGACCCTTTTGTTCGAGCTGAGCTTTATGCTCACCATCATAAGCCGTTGATCTTCAGACCCTTGAACTCCTTGGTAGTGTTCGTTATAGCAGTCTCAACCGGTAACCGTTCCATACTGCTGGCGCCGAAGAATCCGTGCACACCTTTCGTGCGACTGAGAACAAAGCTCGCATCCTTCGGTTCGGCAATCGGGCCACCATGGCATAGAACAATTATATCGGGGTTGATCTTGACTGCAGCGTCTCGTATATCCTGAATTAACAGGACACAGTCGTCGAGTGATTTTCCAGTCTTTGCACCAATGCTTCCAGACGTGGTCAGACCCATATGTGCTACCAAGCAATCCGCGCCTGCATGGGTCATGCGCTCAGCCTCGTCCACATTGAAAACGTAAGGCGTCGTTAGCAGATCCAACTTATGTGCTTCCGCAATCATAGCCACCTCTTTGTCATAGCCCATTCCTGTCTCCTCAAGATTTGCTCTGAACGTGCCGTCGATGAGGCCGACCGTAGGAAAGTTCTGTACTCCACAGAAGCCCATACCTTTCAATTGCTCGAGAAATTTGGGCATGATGCGGAAGGGATCTGTGCCACACACTCCAGCAAGCACACCCGTCTTGTTGACGATCGGCAAAACCTCGCTTGCCATGTCCACCACTACGGCGTTGGCATCACCATAGGGCATGAGGCCAGCCAGAGAGCCTCGACCTGCCATCCTGAATCTGCCAGAATTGTAGATGATTATAAGATCAGCGCCTCCCGCTTCGATGAATTTGGCAGAAAGACCTGTGCCGGCACCCGCGCCGACAACTGGTTTTCCATTTCTAATCAGCTCGCGAAGGTGAGATAAGACTTCGGATCTCGAGGAAGGAGGAGGCATGGTTGAGATGCAAGACTCGTAGGATATAATCGACTATGATCGATGTGTTATGGCTGCCACGATGGATCCGATATACTATCAGTACTCGATACTATCAAAAACATGTCTTGATTTCAAAAGTCGCTCAGCCGACGTCATTCTAACGAGGCAACGCGGATTTTGCGGGGGAGAAACAATAGTAATAGGCATGAAAGGAGAAAGAGGGGCAAACGCCATTCACAGCTCTTGACCCTGTAATTGCTTGTTCACATCCCTGCTGCAAATCTTCTGATGCGACACATGCTTCATATCATGTCATCGGTGACATCCGTGAGGATTCATCTCTTCTTCCATCATTGCTGAAGAATAGTGCGCCTCAGATGCGTGGAGGTGACCGTTGACACCATGCCTAAACCAACTATCCTCATTGTTGGCACTACTGACACCAAGCTCGATGAGATCCTCTACCTTCGCCAACAGATTCTGGCCCAAGATGCCTGCCAAACCAAGATCTTCGATGTAAGTGTTACACCTGGCAAGTCACCGGCCTGGGAAGAAATTCCTCAAGACGAAATCATTTCGCCACTACACGAGCAGAGCACGGCTCTCAAAAATCTCTCGCGCGGAGGGTATGTGGACAAGACTATCGAACTATGTGTGCCCCTAGTCAAAGACCTTGTCGACAAGGCCAAAATCTTCGGCATAGTCTCAGCAGCCGGCAGCAGTGGCTCTTCGATCGCAACAGCATTCATGCGCGAAGCTTGCCCCGTCGGGTTTCCCAAACTCATGGTTTCGACCATGGCAAGCGGAGACGTCAAACATTACGTCGAAGAAACAGACATTACAATGATGTACAGCGTTGTCGATATCGCTGGCGTTAACACGATACTCAAGCGCATCTTGTCTAATGCTGCGTCCGCAATCTCCGCAATGGCAGTATCGTATGCAAAATCTATGATTGACGCTTCTGCGGCAGACACAGCGGGCAAGCGCATCGCTATCACGATGTTCGGCAATACCACTCCTTGCGTGGACCAGATCAGGCGCATTCTGACATCAACACCACACGATGTATCCGAATACGAGATCTATGTTTTCCATGCCACTGGGTCTGGCGGGCGAGCAATGGAGAGACTTATCAGAGAAGGGCAAATTGACGCGGTTATAGATCTGACTACGACTGAAATTCCAGATGAACTCTTTGGTGGTGTGCTTACGGCTGGCCCGAATCGTCTGGAAGCTGCAGCGCAAAAGGGTATCCCGATGGTGGTCTCCGTTGGCGCTTGCGACATGGTCAATTTTGGCCCTAAAGAGAGCGTACCCGAGAAGTACAAGGATCGTCATCTAGTCGTTCACAATCCCGCTGTCACCCTGATGCGCACGACAAAGGATGAAAATAAACAGGTTGGAGATTGGATCGCGTCAAAGTTGACGACTCATGCCACAAACCCAGCCTCAATCAGAATGCTCCTGCCGGAAGGAGGAATCAGCATGATCGATGCACCTAATCAGCCTTTCCATGATCCCGACGCTGACAAAGCACTATTTGACAGTATCGAGGAGGGGCTCGAAGGTTCTCAGATTGAAATCGAAAGACATCCACTGCACATCAACGATGAGATCTTTGCCGGGCATGTAGCTTCAGCCATTCTGGAGGTGATGGGAATCACACCGAGAAAGTATCGGTTGGCAAATGCGAGAAGGCGGAAGTGGTCCTTCGACCATGGGTCGACGGTCATGATGGCAAGGAGACTCAGCCAGATTGAGGTTCCCGATGCGTAACTCAATAATTTGGGAGGCGCGCTAGGATGGAAGGGCTTCTCTTGAATGATGAAAATGATTGCGGGAGGATTGTTCGGCTATGGGGTGTCTGTGTCTGCGCTTCACCTTTTATGTATACCAATCCACGTCATCGGTCTTCTCAGAATTAGGATGTTCGATCGCCTTAAGAGGCTTTGCCTGAGTCACTATTATCAACCTGCAATTTGAGCTTTTTTATGAGAGAAACATTCGAGCAAATCGAAGTTGCAATGCTACCTCTCATGATCGAAAAGCGACTGAGTGGTTACGGCGTATTCATCTGTATAGGTGGTTTAATCTAAGCCTGCTGAGATGGGGATTATTTTCTCAATCCCCTTCAAGCCACATACTTTTAAAGTCGCTTGTTTCACAACATCCACGCTTCATCAACACAGCCGCCCTTCACCCAGCTATGTGCAATGGACATCACCACCCTCATGAGTATGGCAATTCTGGCAAACATCAATGAGCAATTCGATTATAGCATCAGGATCGTTGGACTTACCGGCGGCAGGCTCGATGTTGTTGAAGGAGCTTGAGTGGCTGTTGGTGACCCAGTCGTCGAGGCGGGTGCGGGAGCTGGTGTCGCTGATGCTGATGCTGACGCTGATGCTGACGCTGAATGGTCATGATCATGGTCATGGTCATGACTCTCACCTGGGCAACCTTGTCCGGGAACGGCTATGTCGTATGCATACACCTCCAAGGCAAAATATTGCAAGGTGTCACTATCGCGGGTGGATTGAGTCTCGTTGCCCTTGGCAAGCTCGATGACCTCGTCGTAATCTCCAGCAAAGTGTTCGATATACTCTCCACCAATTGCTGGCATGTGGTACAGTCGATGCAGGAGATCCGATGCCCAGAACGTGTTGGCCGGCGATCCAGCAACGTTGTATCCCAAAGCACACATTTGATTCAGCGAGCGACGAGTTTCGTAGCTCAAATCGCAAATCACAGTCTCGCCGGTCGCGTTCTCACCACGCCAGTGACCACCCCAACCTGAGTCGTGTCAGCGGATCTTCAACAGCCCATCATCATGTTGGGGGTGACAACCTTCCAGAGCACAATTTCCATCGGGATTGTCGCAGCGGAAGAGCACTCCACTCTTGTCACCACTGACGATGATTTCGTACGCGCCGATAGCGTCATATGGAGGTCGGTCACCGAAGTATTTTTGATAGACCTCGGATTCATTACCCCATCGCAAGATGTGCTCCTTGGCATGTTGTACCAGCAAGACTGTCTCGTTGAGAGCGGTCGCAAGTTGGTGAGTTTGGGATGCGTTACAGCTCGAGTGAATAGGGAATTGTGTTACGGCACCAGCATCCCATGCTGTGGAGGTAGTGGTGAATGGTGCTTCCTGGCGCACAGCAAGAGGTGCTGGAGCCGCAGAGGCGACCGCCACAAGGGCAAGGGGAAGGGCTGAAGCAATACCAATCATTGTGTTTAGTGAATGTTCGAAAGCGGGAGTTCTTGCTGAAGAGATGCCTATTTTGACAAAAGAAGCCGAACTGAAGCAGGTCTATATACTCACGACAGTCCATCCTCTAGTTCCTGCCTCTACGTACCTGTTCCTTTCACCACGAGCTATTGGAGGCTAATGCAGGTCCGACATCATCAATGTTCAAAGTTTTCCGCCCTCTACAGGTTTTTCTTGCACTACAGACCTTAGCGGTCACTTACTCCGACAGTATTCTGGTGAGTATGAGCTCAAGAATGGTTTGGTGCAGAGGTCTCAGTGTTCATGAGGAAGATCCAGCATTGATGCCGAGAAATGCCAAGTTGAGGACAATGAACGCTGCTGGGTCTGATACCGTAGAAGAAAATTCAGACTATGGTCTTGTTCCTCTTGGGATCTCTCGAAGTTGCTGGCTATTACCCGCTCATTTCATCCTGGAAGACAAAAGGCACAGGGCGGAGACACCACGTTGTGATATGCCAAGCATAGTCCGCTCCGCTTCAAGGCCGAGAGGAAAAGTGAGGACCTTAACATAACGCACTCAGCCTCGAGGTTGGGCCAATCGATGCCGTTTGCATGTCATGCCGACAGCGGAATACTCCATATGTCTTCATGGTCTTCAGCTTAACATCCCACACGGTGTGTCTCCCACTCTTGGCTCTCATCGACTTTGTCAAGACTGTTCGCATTCGTGCCTTGGCTTCACAACCATGACCAAGGTGACGACCGGGTTTACACGGCCATGTCACGCAATGAATGGCGACATCCGCAGGGAGAAGTGCACCCAGAGTCAAAAACGTGAAAACAGGCACGGGATGACCGAGGTGGGCACTCAACCACACGGTAAGTTGTCGGAAGAAATTTCTCGCAAGCAGAATGCGTACGGGTATATTAAATCAGCGTGATACTTCAAGATATTACGTTTGGGGTTCTTTACACTTCCTCACGCATCGGACAATCTGTTCACACCGAGTCCCTCATAATGCTTTCAATTTCGTTCCTCGTACTTGCCGGGGTCTCCTCGGCCATTGGTCAGGTCACTTATACAGGATGCCATAACCATTCAACCGTGGAATACTGTTACGGCCCTGATGGCGAGGAAACGGCACTTGCCACGTACACTTCGGTGCCCACCATGACGACATTCTCGACATCAACTCTTCCCGCATCTGTTTCAGCATCAGCATCAGCGACGACTTCGTCTGGTCAGACTACGGCTGTCACTGGATGCCATACTCATGAAACCAATACCTTCTGCATCAACGGCATCGGAAATGAAGTCCAGATCTCCGGAACGGCGACTGCCACTGGAGCACCACCGGCCCAGTACACTGATTGTCACTCACACGGAAATGACCAGTACTGTATCGGTCCCGGGGGAGAAGAAGTCCAGGTAATGTCCGAAGGTGCACACTCGGAGAGCGGCCATGATGAAGCGGATGGAGACAAATCTGAAATGGACTGCCATTTTCATGCCGGTGTTGAGTGAGTCAATTCAACTTTTAATTTTGCCTTGGTGTTCTTTTGCTGAATCGTGTCCAGACATTGTGTCCCAAAAGGTGGGTCGGAAAGCAGTAGCAGTTCTGCGTCTTCTGCGTCTTGTGAGCTTCAAGAGCGAGATTACAACATTGGGCTGCGAGTGGGAACATTGTTTGTCGTCTTGGCCACGAGTGCAATCGGTGTATTTGCACCGATCTTCATGGCCAGACTACCCTTTCAGAATATCAACTCCATTCTGTTCACGACTGTGAAGCAATTTGGTACTGGGGTTATTGTTTCGACAGCATTCGTTCATGTGAGGGGAAGATCGCAATCCCAAATTGGTCGTTTGACTGACAATTTGTTCTAGCTTTACACACATGCGTCGCTCATGTTCAACAATCAATGTCTAGGGGCATTGGACTACGAGGCGACAACTTCGGCGATTGTCATGGCAGGCATCTTCATCTCGTTTCTCTTCGAATACCTCGGACATCGTATCATTCTAGCTAGAAAAACTAGAAGATATACCGACACAAGTGCGAACGCTACGACCACGAATTTGCCCACGAAAGAGGATGACTCCACGCCAACTTCTGCTACCTCAGTTCACGCTGTGAATTCTGTCACTGGTCCTGAAACTTCACGAAGCCTCGCGAGTCTGGGCCACAGCCATGGTTCAGCAGTTGTTGATCCGACCAATCCAAACTCAAAATTGTCCGTGTCTATAATGGAAGCCGGTATACTGTTTCACAGTATTCTGATCGGTTTGACCCTCGTTGTTGCTGGAGATTCATTCTACAAAACCCTGCTGGTTGTCATCGTATTTCATCAATTCTTCGAAGGCCTGGCCCTAGGTGCGCGGATCGCCCTGCTGCCCAAAAAAGGAACAGGTTCATCTTTCTGGCGAACCAAATTTCCGATGGCCACGGCCTTTGCTCTGATCACGCCTCTCGGAATGGCGATCGGGCTGGGGGTCATACACAGTTTCAACGGCAATGACAGGGATACCATTCTCACCATTGGAACCCTGGATGCGCTTTCCGCAGGGATATTGGTGTGGGTTGGCATTGTAGACATGTGGGCCAGGGATTGGATCATTGAAGGTGGAGAGATGACTGCGAGGAATTTGGGTTATGGAAAGATCGGTCTTGGTCTCTTGAGTCTCGTGGCTGGTTTCATTGGAATGAGCGTGCTGGGAAAATGGGCATAATGATGGGACCACGACGGGGATTAAAAAAGTCTGGAATATGAATGGTTGGAACTTTTTGGTCGATTCCACTAATAGCAACATTGTCTTGAACACACTGCCTTGAGCCCTGTGTATTTCGCAGCCTCGTCTTCCACAGCCTTGTCCCACCGGCGCCACCCCGGGGAATCAATAATCTATGACATCGTCCTTTTTTTCCCTGCGCGAGGAACATGAACATATGTAAATGTATTATTGTTGACTTTCCCCAAGCGCTTCTCTCTTCCTCTCCCCCCATACCTAGGCTTGTCCTGTTCTCTTTTTTCCTCTCTGTCGGAGTCCTCCTCCTCGAGAGCCATGCTGGGCACATGTCCAGACCGCTTATGCGTATTCCTTATACGCAGCCTCTACCGCCGCCGTTGATAATTCCTCCGTCCGCATCCACCAAGCAAGGTGCAATCGCCGCTCTATCTCACTTCCTGACCACCTCCGCCGGGCATGCTTCGTCGTCTCGGGGGAATAAGACGGTCCTCCTGACCGGAGCCGGAATCAGCGTGGCCTCGGGCCTCGCCGACTACCGAGGGCAAAATGGCACGTACACCCAGAACAAGAACTACCGACCCATCTACTTCCACGAGTTCGTGGCGAGTCACGAAGCCCGTAAACGTTACTGGGCTCGGTCGTTCTTGGGTTGGCGCGGCCTGCACCGTTCATCCCCCAACGCCACCCACTTTGCCATCCGCGACTTGGGCCGTTTGGGTCTCGTCGACAGCGTCATCACGCAAAACGTCGACTCCTTCCACCGTCTCGCGCACCCGGCCCTCCACACGGTCGAACTTCATGGCTATCTGCGCAGTCTGGTCTGTCTGAGCTGCAAAAACCTGATGGACAGAGATGCGTTCCAAGCCCGTCTGGCCGAGTTGAACCCTGCGTGGGCGGCGTTCTTGCAAGAGTTGTTGAGGTCGGGTGCGCTGGAGACGGAAAACCCGGTCGAACGACGCAAAAGGGGCTTCAGAACCAACCCCGACGGCGACGCCGATGTGCCCGGAGCCCCCTACACCATGTTCAGGTACCCCGCTTGCCCGACTTGTCTGAAACGACCTCCGATCTTGAGCGACGGGTCAAAGGGCCACGTGGACGTCGACAAGGACGGAGCGTGGATTCCTTCGTCCACGACTACGAACGGAGTGGGTGTCTTGAAACCCAATGTCATCATGTTCGGCGAAAGTATCCCTGCGTCTGTCAAGACTGAGGCAGAGGCCGCCATCGATGCAGCGAGTAAGATTCTAGTTGTTGGAAGTTCCCTCGCGACCTATTCGGCTTGGAGACTCGTCAAGCATGCTCATGAACGTGGGATGGGTATAGGGATCTTGAACATGGGAGGTGTGAGGAAGGAGGAGTTGTTCTTTGGTGAGCACCGTCATGAGACTGGCAAAAGTGATGGTGCTCATGACGGTCTGTCTGCTTCGAGAAGAGAGGTCGTGAGAGCTAGTCTTCCAGCTGAGGAGATTTTACCAGCTGTTGTGGATCTTGTCCAGGAGCATCAGAACCAACATCAGTACTAGCAACACTAGCCGAGGGTACTTTTATGGGTGTAGGGTCATCCCGTGCTCTATTAACTCCTGTATAGACTCTGTATGCATACACGTACACATATTGTAGCATACAAGAAAGTAACTTGGTAGAATTTCCATATCAACAATTCAGTTTCGTCTCGTCATTTCGTATCCTCGTATGCTATAATCGTATGCTTGTATTACTCCTCGCTCGCTTGTACCACGATATTGGTACATGTAACATTCCAGAAATAAAAATCCTCGTTCCCACAAGGAAAGAAATGGACACAATACCCAAATAAATGCAAGGTGAGACACGCAAAGCCCTTCTTCCTTGCCATCATCTTCCCTTGGGAAGAAATGCGCATGGGCACTTTCATCTCTCATCCTCATTCCTGTCTTGAAAAAGAATCCGATCGACTTGGATTTCAACGTTGCCGAGCTCGGTCCAAACACTTCAACATTTACAATCAACCACAACATGCATTGTACACGGGTCGATTCCGGTTCTGTTTTCACACCTGTTCAACGTGCCTGATTTCATTTTGGTTGACATGTCCTGGGACGCCACTGGCGTTGGGTTTTCTCTTTTCATTCTCCTTCTCACTCACACCACCACCACCACCCATCATACTTTGATTCCTCAATGCGAGTACACTGCTTCTTCTCCTCTCGACGGCACCACGACGGCCGAGGTTGAGTTCCTGGGCGAATTTGCTCCTGTCCCTGAACCATTCACCTTTCCAGTAAAAGATATAAATGGGGATGATGACCACAATGGACAAACAAGCCAGGATCGTCGATGGCAACTCGAGTTTGTACTTTGTACCGATGTTTTCGTAGACTTTATATAAAAAGTCAATACCCAGGCAGACAGACGGACTCACACGGGTTGGGGGATATGGTTGATCAATGAAGGGAAGTAGAGTAGAAAAAGAGGGAGACGCACAAGGTGTACTGTAAAGAGCGGCGATACCTGCCAAAAAGTCCCTCGCTAGATCATTGCCACCGGTCGCAGAGGCTGCGTAAGGACCGTACGCGGCAATCATGTAATCTATCGAGCTCTATTTCATATAATAATCAGTATATCGTATTCCCACGGTTCATCTCACGGTCGAACAAGCAAAAGGCAAAACTCACCTTGTATATTCCATAATTGGCCATCGCGATGAGAACGGTAAATATAAGTGGTGCTATCCATGGTATACCATAATCTGGGCCCAGACTCGTCCAGGCAAATCCAAAAAGGCCAATGGTTTCAAGAGGGGCAACTACATAAATTTCAAAAAGGCATTAGCACGTTACATACACCGAGTACGACAAGAACATTGTGTTGTCAAACAGTAAAAGAAAAAGGAATGCGGGTGCCTCAATGCGGAAAATATAGGTAGGTGGTCATGGATAAGTACGTACGGAAAAGTAACCACCACAACCTAGACTCGGGACTTAGTTTGTCTGGATCTTCGTCACGTATCTTGTTATGATGTCTGATGACGGGTAGATAGGTGAGGTATGCAAAGACATAACCTATCAGGGAACTGTTTTGTGTCATTGGCAATTCAATCACTCACTGGTCCTATACAGTCACAACGAGACCAAGTCATAGTTACTTACGACAAGAAAGCGAGACCGACTTGATACGGTTCCCAATTCCACTGTTTAAAGACTGGAGTAAAAGCTTCGAGAAAGGTAAAGAGTAGAGCGTCACTGAACCCGCTGAGGAGGGATAGGAACAATACGATAGGCTCGGTGAAAAACATCTGAAAAGGTCTGGCCCAAATCTTGCCAAACTCTTTCAATGGGAACCGAGGTTTCTTTAGCTCATCGGGACCGTAGAAGTGAGTCTCGCCATTCTTTCGACGTCTCTTGGCTTCACGGTCGAGGAGGATGGTCGCTCGTGTTTCGGGGATGATGAGGAAATGAATGATTTGAACCGCACCGCCGATGCAGAGTTGCATCCAGAATATCCACGGTAGGGATCTGTTTGTATATCTGTCAGGGAAAATTGTCTCTCTACTGTCCTTTATCCCCGCAAAAAGAATCTCCTTCATAAATCTTGGCCATGGTGATAAAGGGAAAGGAAGGAAACTCACAAATATTGCCCTACGAACCCTCCAATGACAGCACCAACGGGGGCACCACCGACGCTGGACAATACCACAAAGGCCACGGCATATTGAAACCCGGAATCCTCGGGTTGATAAAGGTCGGCAATGACGCCCAACGTGACCGAACCACCGGCGGTCGAGAGACCACCGAGGGCCCGGGCGACGACGATGGTGGCGAAATTCGGAGCCAGGGCGGCGGGGAGTTGCCAGATATTCACCAAGAACAGACTGAGCTGTTGGGTAGGCCAGCGGCCCAACTCTTCGGACCACGGCGCCCACAGTTCGCACCCAAAGGCGTAACATATCAGGAAAATCATCTGACCGACCCGGGCCTTTTGTTTGCTGATGGTGTACTTCTCGGCCAGGCCGTCGACGCCGTTGGCGTAGATGCTGGCGTTGAGGTTCATCGAGGTCTGGATCAGGAGGATGGTGACGAGGATCATCCATTTTTTCCACGCCGGGAACGAATAGCCCAGTTTGTCGTAGGCGTCTTCTTCGGTCAGTTCGACCTTACCGTCGGTGCGTTTGGACCGGTCGTCGCCTTCCAGGTTTTCGGCGGCCAATTCAGGTCCAGAAACACCGAGGGCACGTTCGTGGGACCCCGGTGGGGAGGAAAGCACGTCTGGTTGTCGTCGGTGCCGGTGTTGTTCATGATGGGAGTCTTTCTCGGTGCGAGCGTGGTGGTCACCGTTGTTCCCCAGGGTCGACTGATCAGACACGGACATGTTTGGCGTCGATCCTTGTATCGTGTCGGGGCCAAGTCGGAGTACGTTGGCCTTGAATCGGGTTCCGACGAACACCTGCGAGGATAAGAAACCGTCACGGGGCTGAAGACAGCAAGCAAGTAGTCCAAGGAACAGAGTTTTGTGTGTAAATCTCAAGGAGAAGTTGACTCCGTACGAGTGCAGACGGAATAGAATGGGGGAAACAAGAAAAGGGATCACACAATACCTATAATCTGCACAACAAGTGTGAAAACTGAAAAACTTGGCCATGATGCTGGGGTTCGCATTCTTCCGATTCTTTTCGCACGCCCACTCCAAAGAACGCCGTTCATCATCACATTGTGATTGAAATGCCCAGACACGGGTCATGCGGTGATGATGACGGCGATGATGCGAGAGCGTATAGGTATCGGCCCCTTGTCTTTGCTTATGACTTCATCAACGAGCCAGCAAAAGTAGTACGGAGTAGTACATATACAACATACTAGTTACCTCGTAGCGCTACGGGTGTGGCACGCGGGCACCATTCAGAGCTCACCATCCAACAAGGGGGTTTTCTGTCAAAAGAAAACCTGGGGGAAAGGGGGGAGGAGGCCGGCTTGAACGAAAGCCACATCCCTAAGAGCGTACGGAGAACAGGAATGGAAATCATGGGGCAAAAAAAAGGCAAGATTCGGATACGACAGCCACCATCATGATCGATATGTGGTTTCGCCCATCTGTGTTTTGGAAACGAACGAATTGATTTGGTTGATGTTGAAACTTCTCCGCCCGATCCTCACCAAATAATGCCCGTTACAGGTATGATGAGTAGCTTCGTAGCGTCTTGGTATCTGTAGAGAAGGGAGTGCGCTGGAGGGATGGCCTATACAAAGTGATGTCAGTGGCGCGCCTTAACCAAGCATCAACTACTCTCTTACCCTGGAACCTCGAACCTCCCAAGAACTAACTAGGCATGCTTATACTCCGTATGTTGTTGGCATACGTAACGTCGTGGTGGTGAGTCGCAGAGACGGATTTCGTGGTGAATCTCTTCCTCCTCCGAGACAGACACACACAATCGAATGTAGTCGTCGATCACTGATTAATCCAAAGAAAAATATTTGCCGTCTACTGATCAAGCATCTCATGGTACAATTCTTTCGCAATTTCTAATCTGTTCTTTTGGTTTCCTCCTCGTAGGCTCACAAGGAGAACTGCCCTTCTAAATCCGTACACAAGATCGCTAAGGTAAGTACTACTGCGAGTACAAATACCATGCAAAATGCAAAAACAAAAAGATCGATTCCAAGACCCAAGATCAAGAAATGCCAATATGACCTCTTGGATTGCTTGTCTGGGCTACCATCAATCTGCTCCATGTTGTCGAGAACCTCTTGCTCGCCTACCCATAAAGGTCTTCACATTTTGGGAAGGAGAATTCTCTGTCCACCCTTTGGATGAGGGTTTCCATCTTTTCCAGTCGTTCCAGGATTGAGTGTCTCAATAGTTTGATTGACAAAGGTTCTTCCAGATCGCCCTGATCGATCAGTGCGCAAACTCGACAAGCTATTGCCATATTGCGGAGGTGGAGGTGTTCGTCCTGGAGCAGGGTGATATTGCACTGGTTGTTGTGGAGGTTGGAAGATATATTGCTGCGGTCCACTACCCAACATCTGTCCAGAGCTTGAAACCCCAGCGCGTCCGTTGGGAGTGTGTCTGAACACTTGGAAGCGATGACCTGACCTAGGTGGTGCTGGAGCAATATGTTGACCTGGTCCATTTAAAGAGACCCGAGGCGAATTTCTCTCGGCTGGTTCGGTTGCTTGCGATGGACCCGAATTTGTTAGAGGGCTGGGGGTGTCGAAATTGAGGATGTGTTTGAATGAATTTGGTGGTGGTACTGGCCGGCTGACTGGCGGGAAAGGGCCAAGATGAGGCGAATATGGCCTAGGGAACGCATCGTTCGATGCCATGGTAAATGACGGTGCCCCGTAACTGCCGTGACTGGTTTGAGTTGGTCTTCTCCATATTGCCACGTCCGCAAGCGTAGATAGCTTGAAGGAGCCACTAGTATCTGAGTCGACCCGGACTTGAGATAAAAGTTCGCGTTCTGTCATACGATCAAGCTCCTTGAGGGCTTCATCTGTCAGAGCACTCAATCTCTGTGATTTCTGGCGGTCTTCCTCCTCTCGGTTTTCTCGGTCTCTTTCCTCCATTTCACTCAACAGAGGTGCAATGATATCTTCGTCGAGGACTTGTTGTCTAGCTCGTTCATCATATGTGGCGAGTTGCAATTTGAAGGACTTTTCGTCCATGATTCTTTGTGAGACGTAACCTCGAGGTTGTGCATCAGGCTCTGGAAGTTCATGGTAGCGAAGATAATCACCAAGGTCGGATCCAGTCTCGGTGTGGGTTTCGTCGTGATCCTCACGATAGGCACGCTCGAAGAGCATGATGTCTCCTTCAGCGCCCTTGAGGTGTTCTTCATGTGCCTCTTGGATTCGTGTCTATGCTGTGTTAGCTGGAATAGCTCTGCAATTGTGTGGTGGTTTACCTTGAATTGCTGTTCAATGACCTCTTTCTCCTGTTCCAATCGTTGCATCTCATGTTCCATCTGCACTCTTTTTCGTGTCTTCATCAAGTCTTGAATATCCTCCATGGATGAATTCAGACCTTCTATGACGGTCTCAAATTCCGGCACTTTCTGATGCGCCTTTGGTTTTCGCGCAAGCTTGGAAAGATCCCGAGAAGCAAGCTGGTCGAGAATGTCCACTTGCTGAGCGCCAACTAGAGAGAAGAACTTCTTCAACTCATGCTGTCTTGCTTTGAGCATGGAGATCTCGACACGTTCATCTTGAGTCAATGGACGCTTGCGATTCGGTGGCTCCGGACTGTCACCACCACGTCCCCTCCTGCCTTTTTGCTTCCCCTTCCGGTTTCCCGCTCCATTCCGGTGGACGCCCTTGCGAGCGCGAGCGCCACCATTGGCAGTGCGCTTAGGAGAGCGCGAGTCCGACTCCTCGCTATTAGACGTTTGATGTTTCCTGGTGGTGACGTCTGTGTTGGAGATAACCGCGTTTGTAGGGGGAATGTCCACGTTGGACAGGGCGGCAGTTGCTGCTTCAACAGGTACTGTAGAAGCTGGAGGGGCGATGGCGGTTGGCTCTGGTGATGGCCGCTTGGCTTCAGGAAGGCCTCCGTCAGTGTTGAACTCCGTTTCGGAGAGTTTCCGCTTGGGAGTGTTGCGGGGTGATGGTGGTGTTATTGATGGCTCCGATGATGAAGCCAACGTCGACGATGATGCCGGGTCTTCAGAAGAAGTGTTTGGAGGAATTGTGCTCGTTTGACCCCGGCTTCGTGTATTCATGTGGAAGCTGGTGGTAGGATCGCGTGCTGAGCGTTTCCGAGACATGTTGCTAGTAGAGTGGTCAGTCAAGAAGTTATGCTAGACCTTGTATGACTCGGCTGATCCACGCTAGGAGGAACATCGTGGTGGGCAAGAGCGTCTCAACCCCAGAATCATCCTGATTGTGGCGCCAAGAAATTGGGATTTGGGAGATGATTGCAATGGAAGGGGGCAAGGAAGGTTCAGGAATATTTGGAACAGCTGAGACTTACAGTCGTGACTTGGGATGGGAAGATAGCTTTGTAACGCGGTACGTTTGAACCTTCGTTTTGATGCTGTGAGCATAAAAGTTTGACTCTAGAAGGGTGGATGGACGGTAAGAAGGTTGAATGTGTAGAACGGCGCAAGGCAGCTCCTGGTGCAGCAAACTTTGCTTCGATGGCTGTTGCAAAATCTTTGTGAGATATTGAAACCATATAGGAGCAGCTTCTTGAGGCATCCAAGCTTGGGGATGATGTTGAGAGGTGCGAGGGAAGAGATGATAGCATTCGGGGGCGGAGGTATTTTGAGCTGAAGAAAAACTAGATGAACAATAGCATGAATAAAGTCCATTGATGCCATTCAGCCTTGATGGCTGACCGGTTTTGTGAAAATCCATTCTCAATAGGCCTGTAGGTGAAGTGAATAACAATGGGTTGAGGTAGAAATGGTTCGTCAGGTGTTCTGAATACTGCTGACCTTTTTCGGGAAGTGAAGCATTTTGCTTGGGCTCGGAATTGACCAGCCCAGCCCTTGATCCGCCGCCCCTTGCCGCTTTTTCAGACCCACTAACCCAGAAGGGAATGGACTACGGTAAGGGCCGGATTAGTCGAGGTAGCCAATCACGAACAAGGATTTGACATTGAATCTGCATCGATGTGATAAATACCTCTTTTTAAGGCAGCAATGTCTCTTACTACGACCATATCTGTTTCACCCTGAGGAACAGTCAGTGTTTGTTGGAACTTATTCGATCCAAGCTATGGAGCCTAGGCTACATATGGGCCTGCTCGACTCTTCATATCTCATTTCAAATCCCTGTCCGTTGCCACCAACTCCGTGCTAAGTACAAACAAATCATCAGACATATTTCAGACATTACACAAAAAGATGCGGTGCCAGTAGCCGCGGGAAAATAGAATGAATCCAACCATATTCCATCACAGAAGTTGGCTCAAACGACTGCTAACAGATGTTTGTGATTTCCGTCGCTCCTTCTTCACACTTTTCCGTTTCCCGTATCCTACCAGACTGCTCCGCGATCCTGCTGAAAGTACAAATCCTGGTAATATAGGAGGCAGTTCAGCATCATCCACAATCGATGGGCCAGGACTACCTAAAGTCGGACTGTCTGGAGGTGAAGTACTATTACTTTGAGTTTCTGATTCTGATTTGTCGATGCTTGGCATTGCCTTCCAGTGTCCCTTGGAGAGATCTGTTTTGCTTCGCAGTCGAGCCAGAGTCTGAGGTGTCATGGGCTGATCTGCCAAGGGCGATGCAGTCACCATTGTTCCCGCTCTCGCAACAGGTGGTGGATGAGGACTGTTGGGTCGAAAAAGCGGATGTATCAGTTCAGGCATAGAATTCTTGTACTGATGAAATGCAGGTGGCGGAGGCTTGTTCTGTCCTGAAGATGTTGGGCGTGAGAAGTTGGGTGGACTTGAAGGTGGCGAAGATGCTGGCTGTCGCGGTGAAGAGCTCCAACCCACGACTGTGGCCGTATCTGAGGTCGCTGCATGAGGAGGCGAGCTGGAAACAGGAGACTGGGGAAGAAAAGGACCATCCAAAGCGTCTGCTGGGGAATCCGGTCGGCTACCTGGGATCGGTTCTAGGCCATGACGAGGGGGTGGTGGCGAGGAATGTATGGCGGCGCGCATTTCTTGGTGTACAGAAGATGTGTCCCAGCTGTCAAAGGCACTGTCGATTGCCTTAGCTTCTGCTGCTGGAAAGGGTCCTGTGTCAAATGACGAGCGATTTGAGTGTCGGATGAGTTTTGTCCTTGACGATGAAGGGCCAACCCGGGTCGCAGAAGACATTGCAATCGAACCACCCCTAGACACTGGTGTTCTTGGTGGTGAATTCAAGGTCGCCTCTTGAGAGCCAAAAGACTGGTTCGTTTGCTGAGTGCTAGGTCTTCCGGCATAGCTCATTGATGGAGCTCTGATTCCGAAATCCAAGTCCAACGTCCGGGTTCTTTGCTTCCTCAATACCTTCTTCGTCCATGCTGCGAGAAGCGAATAAAGAAGGACCTGGCAGCAGAGTGAAACACCCCAGACGCCGAACAAGACACCAAGGAGCACTATCGGAGCTGCATGTAGGACGTTGGTTGGGACGCTGGACCTTCTTATGACAAGCCATACAAGAGTAACCCCTGAGACGCAAATACTGATAGTCGACGTAATTGCGCCTGCTGTGAACAAACTCCATGTCGTCCTTTTTCGACCAAGTGAAAAGCTCCTCAACCTCCTCACATACAGTGTTGAGAAGCATATAATATTCGCAAGATTTACTATGCTGAGACCAAAAGCGACGAATAGAAGGATCCGTAGCGTCGACAAGATCGTTACGTCCCTAAGACTCCATGCAAGGACGAAATTCAAGAAGGCGCTCGCAACAAGGCACAGATTTGCGAGCAAAACAGTCAACCATATCGTCATATGTTTCTCCATTGATCCGTGCAAAAACAGCTGGTCCGTGCAGAAGATTGACGTCGTTTTGCCAGGTTGTATGATGATCTTCTACAAACCCGAGAGCCTTTTCGAGAAAGTGTACTGTTCGAGCTGGAAGTTGACATCCAGACGGGCAATTCGACGGTGAATGAATGCGTGGATTGTGATGAAGAAGGTTGACCGCCGTCGAACAGAGGGTCGAGACGCAAATTCAACGAACGAGCGGAATGGCCTTTTGATCTCTAACGCGACCGATGAGCCTAACGCGGTGTGTGGTCGGGGTAGCCCTGGTCTTTCACATGGATAAGACAAACAGCTGAGGGAAAATACAGTAGTGAGCGGGAGGGGCAAAAAACCAAACACGCCTCAAGAGTATGTATGGGATGGAGGAGGGGCAGACGTCAGAGGTTGTGGAGTTCCCGAAATTGTTTATATGCATATGCATGCAGGATGGAGTTTGAGTAAACAACAATTAGCAATTAGCAAATACGAAAGAGAACAAAGTTGGAGGGCAAGACAGACAGCAAGAGTCCCATTTGTTTGTTACGAGGTAGTCCGTACACCATAACAATATTTTTTTTTCCTCGCACGCGTCTCGACGTTGCGCAAACTCACCAATATGATCTAGCCTGGAGCCGGCACCCGGGGAGGGCAGCTGGCGTGTCATGTTCGTGAAAACTTGGGATAGCGAGTCGAGCATCGACAAGGTTTGATCGGAGACGATTGACGCGCTACAGGGCCCAGAAAGACGGTAATTGTGAGCGATGGGCCTAAGATCGATAGCGGAAGCGGAACGAACACAGCTGAGAGGAACGGCAGAAAGAGGTGTTGTTGAGATGAGAAATCTCGATGAGTGTTGTTGTTGGTGGCGGCCTCGCAATCTCGTTATCAAATCTCATTCGCTGGAAGTGGAGATGGGAATTTGCTGCCCTTGACCAAGCCACAATTTCCAGCCGCAAGACAACAAATAGTCGCGTGGGGAAGCACATTGGCTCTCCCGGCCAGTGATAGATAAGCTGAGAAGCAAGGCATACCTTTGAAAATGGATTCAAGTGTACGGAGTATGGATACTGGGTAAGAGTAGTGTGAGGTGGAAACAGTGAGGTGGAAACAGAGGTGGCAGTAATATCCGTAAATTTTCCTACCGTAAAAAATGCCCAACAGCTGATTACCTGGCCATCTCCGAGGCCAATCAGCGGTCAATGAATGCTAAATCCAACAGCCCATGGACAGGAACAGAAGTTCTATGGACCAGGGAAACATGATGGCGGTGGTACAACAAAAGAGGTGCTTCCGAATTCGACAACGACAGGTCGAGAAGCATCTGGGGATCGTTGTTTGATGGGTGACAGACGGCGAAGCCACGATGAAGCTGGGGAAAAAGAAAGACACCAAAATCTCCGAGATCCAATTTCGAAGTAGTTGGCTTGGCATATCGTTTCCTTGTGGTTGGTCAGCCTTTCTGCAATTCGCAATCCGTCGGATCAAGGTGAAATTCTCCGGAAGAGACAGTCAGGTATCGCGCATACTTCAGCCAAAAAATGGTGGTCGACGGCAGAAGAACTCGCTCCATCAGCGGAGCAAGGATATTGCGTCGCCTAACATCAACCGGAAGTTGAGACCCTGGCGACCACTGAATGTCATGCAGTTCGAAAGAGCCAAATCACCGTTGAGTACGGAGTACAATCGATCGATAGGTCCTTTGATGGCTCGTTACCGCAGTCATGTCATTTTCTAACATCGTCTCGTGTTACAAAGAGCTTCCGAATATGTGATTTGTCGATGTCATGAGGAATTCATGCTAGACAAAAGAACCAGACTCCGTCAGCGCCAACGCTAAATGCAAGAAGACATAGCCTCGTCCAAGAGAAAGCAAACATCTCGCGCTATCGTGTAGCGGCCACCTCTTGCTCCATTTGCCAAACGGCGCTTTTCAATTCGCTGGGGTCATTTTGCTCGTGCGCGTACATGGCAGCAACACTGCCTTCGATGTCCTGTACAACCCCTTCTAAGCCGTTTAATAGTTGTTCAATCTCAGCTCGTTCATCGTTGACCTTGGCCGCCATCATCGCGTTGTCTTGCTGTGTCGTCTGTAGTTTGGAGGACACTTCTGTCTTGGCCTGCTGCAAAAAGGGCGTCACATTGGCGCCGTACAGTTCGTCTGCGGAGAGGGTGTGTAGTCTGTCCTGGTCAGTCTCTACATGCATCATGCGCAGACACGAGAACTCACGGCCTGTCAGGCGTTTCGCCTTCCACACTGCGATTTTTCCTGGTTCTTGCATCCTCAATCATATTATCCCACTGATTAAGGCCCTCAATGACTTGTCGTTCTTCAAGGATCTTTTCAAAATCTCGTGTGCACTCCTCTTCCAGCCTGGTATTGAGTTGTTTCCATACACCCTCCAATGCCGTCGGACAATATTTCGCAGGTGTTGGGAAACATGAGCTGAAATTGGCGTACGAGTTCGCTCTGATTGAGGACGACAATGCACCTGCAAACACTTTCTGAAGCGCCGCAGCACGAGGCCCCGGTGTCGACGCGATCGGGGCCGCAGGTGGAGGGGAAGGCGAATTGGAAGGCCGTGTATTCATTTTTTTGTATGTTCTTGCGCAGTTTCTCGTCCTTTTGGAGGATACCAGCGACAAGAAAATTGAGAACGCGGGTATACAATAGTCGATTGCGCCGTAAAAGCCCTGACCACGTAAATTGTAGGCGAGGCAGCACGTAAACAAAGTGACATCATTTTTTCGGCTTAGTCCCGGCGCCGCTTTTGTTTTGGCCTCCAATCACTTTATGTATATTCTCTTGAGGCAGAATTCTCTCCCTTGTATTACCATACAAATGTATATGGACTCTCTACAGTACTGTTATTCCGACACGATGAAGACGTATATATTCTTGGGGCGGGAGGAGAAAAAAGATGATCTCGCTCTGATGTCGCTGTTTCACCGGCAGAGACCTTGCCCCGACATGCTTACTCAAGCCTCTCGCCCTTCTACATCTACATCCCATCAAGGATTTGGTGCCAAACTTTTCGCTTCGGAGTGCAGATCAAGAGCCCTACAGTTGTTCATTCCCCAGCGTGCTTCTGTGCTCGTACTTGAACGTTGTCTTCAAGCCAACAATGTATCACTCACCAAATTTTTCGTAAAATTTTCTTCATACATTCATGTACGGAGTATTTGTCCCCCCACATCAATTCTTTATATGGGAAGGCTAACGAGCCCAGGCGTAGCCACCTTGCCTCCCTTTCATAGATCTGTGTTCTCACACTATTCAAAGTAGCAGTCTCTCCAAACGGGCGGATCAGATCAATACCCATGTATCACCCTGCATAAGGGGACACAAATGCTCTTCCCTTGACTTGCAGATGTCAACAAGGTACCGACAGAACCAGACTCCGCACCTCAACTTCTTGTATCATAACACATACAATGTATCCACGGACCTTGTGCGTAAGAACAACTTTGTTACTCTTCTTTTTATAGCCTAGCTTTTGTCGTGTTCGTCTTCTTGATAAGTTCCATAACAGCATCAACCCCAGCCTGCGCAACCTCGGTATCTTGCTTGGGCGTCCCCGTACTGCACCCGATCGCACCCACGACTTCGCCGTCCAGGACGATCGGAATACCGCCTGCCACGTACATGAAGCGGCCACCGTTGCTGCTGTTGAGCCCGAACGCAGGGCCGCCAGGCCACACGGCCTCCTTGTACACGGACGTCGGGGCGCGGTGGCCGGCGGCTGTGAAGGCTTTGTTCTGTGCAATGTCGATGGAGGTGAGTTTCGCACCAGGCATGCGTTCAAAATGTAAGAGGTACAGTGAGGCGTCGACGATGGCGATGTTCATGGGGACGTTGATCGCCTTGGCTTTTTCGATGCAGGCGGCCGAGGCGACTTTGGCGGCGGCATGGGTGAGGTGGGCAGGACGGTGGATCGCGGACATTGTGAATCGTTAGTATTCGCAACAAGAGATGGTCGCAGATATTGTTTGTATGTCGAGGTGCGGTGTAAGTAAGGTCGCCGGAGAGTCTGCGGATGAGCGGGAGATATGTGGTCACGCAAAGTAGAATTTGTGAGATGCTCTGTAAAAAGTGCAAAGTCGTAGAAAGTGTTTATGGTTAATTGGAAACTTGTAAACTGTGTTGTCAAGGGAGGATTGCTACAAGCATGTCATTTGTGATACTATCAATCACTCCTACGGATCTGTTGTATCTTTAGCATGCGGTTGTACTGTATCGTTTCCGGTTGAATGTTTTCACGACTTGTCGATACAAATTGAACGGCGACGTCAGCGACGGGTTGTTCGCCGGTCCTGCATCAGGTGCATAAGCCGAGGCAATTTCAGGATCTGCATAAAACTCCCTGGACCGTACAATTGGAAGCTCTTCACAATAGGGTGCAGGTTTAAAGCATAGGCCAGATTAAAAAATCTAGGTCGAGACGAAGACCAGAAAAAGATTGCCTGTATCCTCATTTCCTCGTCAACAAACTAGCCTGCAATCCATTGATCTTTTCAAAGGGGCGATTCGATCCCGAGGTCGAGTACTTGTTAAATGAGGATTGTCAGACAAACGAACCCAGGCACAAAATCAGGCAGAATACGTCCATATCATATTTTGTCTGACACGCTTTTCATTGTTGGCGTTTCCTCTTCTTTAACCCAATCCAACCCAACGGGAACATCACGACGCAGGAAGGACTGCAGACTCTGTGATCGCATGCCCTCCACTTGCCCCATAAGTGACTTCCACGGAACCGAGAGCATCGACACGAGAATACTAGAATACAGTACCTGAATCTCAATGAATTTGCATCTCCGCACGATATCTCGGAACCGTGGATTTTCTGGGGAAATTTCCAACTTCTTGGACCTCACCTGCCCCGCAAAAGGGCCCTTCACCGAGGCTGTCACTTACATGTTCATGGTCGCGTAGCACAGCCTGATGGCTTCTCCAGCTGCGAGGAGCTCGCGGACTGATGGCTAACCCCTCACAACTGGAGCTCAAGTGGAACACAGTTCAGCACATTTCCATACTGTCGGTTTGTTCTGTTCCGAGGTAGGTGTCCACCTGATCGATATACATACCTGACCGTGCCTGGACATAAGTGACCTTCATCAAAACCTTCCTCAGACTTAATCCCTGCCCTGCATAACCATATTCGAATAATCTTGTTGATACTCCCATCTGCCTGATCCACAGAATCCAGCTCGAAGATCATCAGTTCAGAATGTCGGGAGAGTATGCTTACTTGACGGGCGGCGCCAGTGGTATAGGCCGCGCTGTTGCTGAAATGCTAGTCAAGCACAAGTACGTAGCGGCCCTCATTTCAAGACCTTGTCTGACCAATATGGCTTACCGGGCCGCAGCATCAAAGTCTTCATCGCCGATCGCGACCTCGACGGCGCCCAAAAGCTCGCCGACGAACTCAATCAAAAAGGCCCAGTCGCGAAATGTGCGCACGTAGACGTCGCAGACTGGAACTCACAAGCCAAAGCTTTCAGCCAAGCCGTAGCAGACTTTGGACGGATCGATTACGTATATCCGATCGCCGGTGTGGGCGAGCGCGCTTCAATCATCAACAACCCTTCACAGACTGGATTCGAAATGCCAGATCTATCTGTGATTGATATCGATCTTACCGGCGTCTTGTACACGGTCTCCTTGGCGATACAGCAATTCCGAAAGCAACAGCCTGGCAAGAACGGATTCAGGGGCAAGAGTGAGTTTTGTTTCTTCCCTTTTTCCTTCTTCTTGCAAGGTAATCGCCTAACGTGAGCCAGTTGGCTGTGTCGCGAGTATCTGTGGCTTGTATGCCGTACCGACCGTGCCCATCTATACCACAGCTAAGCAGTAAGTTACCTTTGCAATTCTTTTTTGGAGTATACTGATGATGGTCGCCAGTGGCGTCGTCGGCCTCACTCGCTCATATGGACATTATCTTCCCGAGGAGAAGATCACCATGAACGCCGTTTGTCCCAATGTTGTTCGCACAAATATTTCAACATCCGCCTTTTACGATACTCTCGACAAAGAAGGAGTATTGGCTCCAATTGAAGGTGTGGTGGATGTATTTGAGAAGCTACTCGGTGACAGTCCAACGTCAGGAGAGTGTTTCGAGGTAGGACCGAACTATAAAACCCAAGGTGCCGTTCCGAGAAAGGCGCCCGAGTTTCTCGACAAGGAAAGTAAGAGGGTGTGTGAGTTGATAGAGAAGAGATCGCACAAGCTGCACGAGCCTCGTTGAGCAGAACTATCATCTGGTTCTGACGACCCCCATATCCGTGGCTGTACGTGGAAAAGGATGTGGATAGTTGCAATCCGAGAATGAACAACACACTGCCGGTTTGATCTTCAATGTACAGTTTTCCTTTCTCACTTCACCTCACACTCTTGAGGGCCGCATCATGACGCTGGTTCCGATGTTGAGCCACTTGTCTCTACTTGCAGTCAACGATGATACTCAGGCTCCCGAGGCTTATGGTCCTCGCATTCGCCTTTGTTCATCATGAGGAAGAGAGGTAGTTGCGCCGGTAAGCATATGCTTTTCTTGGCCAGGACGTCTCGAAACTCCTTGAGTAGATCGACCATGCTCATCGATGCTAGTGGCTTGCCGAAAGACTCTGACCTGCTGCACTGCAATGAGCTCTGCATCTCTTTCAGTATCATGTGCAGACTGCACAACTGCATGCTGATTGCAGGAGGCCGGCTAAGCTTTCAGAGTGTTTATAGCCATCCTGGGCATAGGCGTTAACGTTCATTCTCAGACAAGCATTGCAAAGACGAGCTGACCTTGAAGATTTGGCAGCTTTTGGCAGATAGGAATGTGGAATCGTGTAAGGATTTGTGATGTGGTCTGCACCGTCCAGATCCAAACCCATCTGGGCCAGCAAGGGAGCTAGGAATGTACATTTGTGCCACAAGTTCGTCCTTCTTCACAACCTCAGGTTCACGCGCGATGGTGAAGCCGATCTCTGGTGAGTGGAAGTATCTCAGCTCTATTGGCAGTAGATTTCTTTTGTATGAATTGGAGAAGTCAATTCTTCGATGAGACACCAAAAGCCTCAGAGGAAATCATCAAGCAAGATAGCGATGGTGTTGAATCACATCTGGTCGTTGCTCTGACTCAAAAACTGCTAGGCCAGATCACACTGTTCCCACAGCCACTTTCCAGCCCTTTGTTTGTATGGCAGAACTGTGGACTGGTGCTTTCTCTTCGCATCACTTTGGAACACGACCAATCATGAATCACCAAAGGCCTATATGCGTTTTTGGCCCCTCTCGTATACGTGACATGCCCATGAAGTGTGAGTAGAGCGCTTCAATGAGTGCTCATAACCAATCAGCAACACCTCCCACATTCTTCCTTGTCACCAGCTTTTTTGTCTTGACTGCTTTCCCAGGGAGTTGAAGGCGCGACCTGAGATAGGATGCGTCGCCATTCTTCTTGATATCCGTGTCCATGAATCATAACATATTGGCTTTGGCTACATGCTAGAACAATTCTTCGCCGTCAGACTATTCATAATCCATGCTGCTGCTTGCAGGCGCCAATAGACTTTGCAGAGAAAGGAAAACAGGTGAATGGGAAGAGAATTGGAAAGGGGACTTTTGGTTCTTTTCAATGTTGAAGGCGGCGTCGCGCCTAGCGTTGATACATAGGAGACTGATTGACATAGGCAAGATCTGCTTATATAATATGCAGTGCACGTGACCACAAACTTTGTCGTCGCAGGCCCCAACTGAGGAAACAAGTGCGAATGGGATCATCACGACAATCGTTGAGAGTACGGAGGACCCCTCTCATATTCTACTCGTACCACAACCTTTCATATGACTGTCGGCCATGCTGCTCGGCCACAGTCTCTGCTACGACGCACTGTATCCTTCGTAACGTTCACCCGAGCCTTCTGCCACACTCCCCTCAGAATGGCGTCCCTTACTCCCGCCGATAATTCTTCATCTGCCGTCCCTCATGTTCCTATCCCGAAGAATGGCGTCGACTACAGAGGCAAGATCGTTCTTGCACCAATGGTGCGCTCAGGAGAACTGCCTTCACGTTTGCTAGCCCTGAAATACGGTGCGGATCTAGTTTGGGGACCAGAAACAGTTGACCGGTCCATGATCGGGACAACTCAACGCACAAACCCTCGTACGGGTTGTGTAGAATGGAGTCGGAACTCGAACAATCAGAATCCAGATGGCCCCGAGAAAGATTCGGTCATATTTCGCATCGACCCCAAACGAGAATCGGATAGACTGATATACCAGATCGGCACTTCCAACCCTGATTTGGCAGTGCAGGCAGCAACGCTTATCGCACCCTATGTACGTGGAGTCGATGTTAATGCAGGTTGCCCGAAACCGTTCTCTACCTGCGGCGGCATGGGAGCTGCTTTACTCAAAACACCAGACAAGTTATGCGACATCTTGACGACGCTGGTGTCGAAGGTGGGTATACCGTACGAAATTGGCATCAGTGTCAAAATCAGACTGCTCGAAACGCCGGAATTGACATCGAGTCTGGTCAACAAACTCTGTAAGACCGGGATCACTGGTCTGACCATACATTGCCGGACAACACCAATGAGGCCGAGAGAACGTGCCATTCGTGAGCAACTGCGGATGATTGGCGACATATGCAGAAGTCACGGCGTTGCCTGCTTGATGAATGGGGACGTTACATCTCGTGACCAAGGACTCGCTCTTGCAAAAGAATATGGCGTTGATGGAGCAATGATTGCGACAGCTGCTGAAGCGAACTCGTCCGTTTTTCGATCTGGACAGCAGGGCGGCCTTTTGTATTGGGAGGAAGTGGTTAAGGAATATATGAAGTTCGCCATCAGCGTTGAAAACAGATACAGGAACACGAAGTTTCTATTATCACAACTTATGCCTGGGAAGAGTCCCAAATATCAGCGCATTCAGATGTCGAGGAGCTACAGCGAGGCAATAGCCATCCTGGAAATCACGGACTCCGAATTTGTGGAAATGGCCAAAGAAGTCGATCATGTCTTGCAACTTGACCTCCCCAGAATGACCAAGGCAGACATGAAGCGGCTCAACAAACAACATGCAAAGGAGAACCAAGCGAAAAACCAAGAAAAGAAGAGAGCTCTAGAGCAGAGTCATGATCGAGGCACGGAAATTCCGAGTCCAAGCGAAGAACGAATGAAGAAGCAGAAGGCAGAGATAGCGGCAGAAAACGCCGGCTTTGAAGGTCTTGGACAGGGTGCCATGGCCGTTGCAGTGTGATCAGTCGACGGCACAGGCCCATTAATATTAATTGACTTCACCATCGGATGATCAAGATTTCAGTTTAACAGTTTACTCCAGACGACGTGAACGCGCCAGTGAGCGCGTTGAAATGCCGACCTTGTCCTCGAACGAGGCTGTCAGATGCTATATCAAGGATTCTATATCCAGCATGACCTAAGCAAAAGGCGAATATGCTGAACCAGCGAACACCAGACCAAGTCCCCGCTGGAGGATCGTCGCCACATCGTCCCAGTAAGAGCGGCCAGATGTCCTCTCCGTGTCGCTAGATCTTGCGTCACATTGTATAACAGATGCTACATTCTAGCAGGCCTCTCACAACATTGTATGAACAATATCAATGAATTTCGAGTTGCAATATTTCTTGTTCCAGCGCCGTGCTCCTCTATGCCTATCCGCCTTGCAGATTCACCTTTATAGATACATATTGAGACAGAAGACCGGACAACTAACCTAGTCTTCCCGAAACTGAGACCACCACTTAGAGCCAAGTAGCTAATTCCGTTTGCACAGAATCTCCCCAGCGGAAGTTCTGGATCGTATACAAGCCGCGAGTCCTCGTGGAAGCTCTTGCTTGCGTTGCTGCGTAAGCAATGGTGTCTGACGCACGCTGGACTGTAAACTCGGACTGACGAATTTCGAGCGTTTGTACACAGTATCATCGGGCCTGCTACCAATGCCGGTGAAACCTCTTGATGCCGTCTGTTTTATCCTGACAACTCCGCCTTGCGATCCAGTACTCTGGCATGCCTGTTCACTTCCTCCACGATGTCCTGTAGACTGGTTCTCTTGACTTTCTGTTCCGTGGATGCTGTGGGTTTTGACGCACCCGAATCCCAGGTATATTTCAGCGTCTTGCCATCTTTTAACCCAAGCTCCAACGTCGCAGGTGCAGTAGACGTTCGAGCTAATTGTTTTGCGGAGATTTTGATGGACTTGTGAGCTTCGGCGGGTAGCAGATTTAGGAATAATCGCGGGACCTTGGAGGCAGCTTGAAATGGATTGAATGCCGTCTTAAGAGTGGTTATGTACGTAGTTATCATCGTGGGTCAAGTATGTGCTTTTATTGAAATTCTTTGTGCAGTCGTTCGGTCGTTTCGAGATGCTGCTGCGGAAAATAGGTGAGGACTGTTGCGAGCGAGATGCGTCAAGTTCGACTATGTATTTGCCTCTCTTCAGGAAAATCTTGATCGCTTTTTGTAAATGCTCAGGAGTGTTTCGAGAGTGTGGCGTTGTTTGCGCTCGTATTGCTGGTCTAGTGCTGGGTGGTGATGGTGGTGGTGGTGCTCAAAAGGATCGCGGAAAATCCCACGCCAAAGAAATTCCGAGGTTTGCCATGTTTGCATTTCCAGAACAAGCCACGCCAGCATTCACGACACATGGTCACCAGCACCAACCTACCTGTTCATAACGTCACCACTCAACAACTACCAACATGTCGCGCTCGCTGCATCAGCGTCTACAGGCGCTTGCAGACTCGTACAAAGACACTTTGAATCTCATACAACAACTCCGAACCTTTTCTGCTGCGTCATGCCCTGATGCTAACCCAGACGAACGGAGAGTCGACCTTGCAAGCGAAATCCACGACGGTTTGAAAGAGCAGGAGGACACGCTGGAGATACTGAGACAAGAACTAGACGATGACTCAATACCCATGCAACGACGAGCTTCGCTTGCAGGCGGGGACCGGGAAAACGAGCGTGAGCGAAACGCAGACTTGTTGGCTCGACTGACAGAAGATCTGAAAAGCGCGCGTGGCCACTTCCGGAGGGCGCAGCTTGTGGCGAAACGAACGGCCAACACTGAGAAGAGAAAGGAGCGGGAACAATTATTTGCAGACCGGAAGGGTGACGGCAGCCATGCACGATTTCGGCCTACACACGATAAGTTGACGCAGGATGAGCTGGCCGAACGGGCCTCCGAAGACGTGACCATGGCATTGCGACGGGTGCACGCGCAGATGGAGGCAGAAGTGTCGCGCGGTCAATTCGCCCAACAGACCCTCGACGAGAGTCAAGAGGCGCTGAAGAGTCTGAACGAGAGCTACAGTGGGACGACGGACCTGCTGAAGGCCTCGAGGGGGTTCGTGAGCCAACTGGTGCGCAGCAACAAGTCGGACACGTGGTTCTTGAAGAGCTCGTTCTACATCCTGGCGGTGACGATAGTCTGGCTGATCTTCAGACGGCTTCTGTACGGACCTTTGATACTCTTTGTTTGGTGGCCGCTCCGCGCGATGTGGTGGTTCACCCTGACGAGCTTGGGGGCGATTGGCCTCGGGAAGCCCGAGTTGGCCTCGGAGCCTATGCCGAAACCGACCATGTCGATATCCATGCCTGGGGTGAACGCGAGAGGAATGCCCACGCACAGTTCGGGCATTCATTTCAAGAGTATCAGTTTGGCCCCGAAAGGCGCGGGATGGCATCGACAGCCGGCGCAGGCCGAACCTTCCCAGGTCATCGAGGAGAGCATGGTGGAGAAGATAGGGCGTTTGACGGAAGAAGGTAAAAGCCTTGAGGATCTCACGGATGAGGAACGCGAAGCACAGTCAGAAGAGCAGCCGCGGAATACAAAGAAAAGGATGATGGAAGTGGAGATTGAAACTCCTGTGGCTTCAAAAGACGAACTGTAGGATGAGTTGGTTGTTGTCCACATTTTGAATAATGAATACCATTCTCCGCTGGAAAAGACTGTTCTAGTAGTAACAGAAAGATGACTGCTCCTTACAACGCTCCTGAAATGTGGCAGCCTTGTACAGAGTTCTCGTAGCCTTGTCCCTGCATGTGGCGACCGCGCCAAGCCCATTAACGCGACTTTTGAGTCGAGCGCGTCTTGGATGTTTCCTCATGCATTCAATTGATCGCATGTCTCAGGCGGGCCAAAACGAACCAGCATACCAAATTCGATCTTTCCTCAAGTCTGTCAACGTCTTGTACATACACATAGGAATCGAACCGACTCCATCAAGATAAGGACAGCGGCATTGCATCGATTCCAGATTGTGTCGTCCTCCCACGATGGCCAACTTCTTCGACAATAAAGCCCGTGCACAAGCGGCGGCATCGGGCTCAAGTTCGAAACCAAAAGCCAACGATGGCTCCGCCGCCGCCGCTCCTCGAATGGCACCGTGGGTGGAAAAGTACCGACCAAAGTCGTTAGAGGACGTCCGATCACAAGACCACGTCGTCCAGACACTGAACCGAATGGTCCACGCCTCGAATCTACCGCACCTTCTACTCTACGGGCCTCCCGGGACTGGCAAAACGTCGACGATCCTGGCCCTCTGTCGAGAGCTGTTCGGGCCCGAGTTGTTTCATTCGCGGGTACTCGAGTTGAACGCCAGTGACGAGCGAGGATTGTCCGTGATCAGAGAACGAGTCAAACAATTCGCCGCCCTGCATCTCGTCAGTGCCCCTGCTTCGAAGGAGTATCGAGATCGGTACCCGTGTCCGCCGTTCAAGGTGATTATTCTTGACGAGGCCGATTCCTTGACACAAGATGCTCAGGTGAGTACTGACCTTTTACTTCGTGCCATATGCAATGTCGCTAGACTTGCGCAGCTAATGTATCGGAATAGGGCGCTTTGAGACGAGTAATGGAGATCCATAGCAAAATCACCCGATTTTGTCTTTGTTGTAACTACGTCTCGTAAGTATGCCGTACTCATACCCTTCGCCTCCTGCGTACCCGTTTGCCTTGTTGTCCATCTCGAAACATGACTGCCCGTTGACCACCTACCGAAAGCTAACATATTTTTTTGTCAAGCCGAATAATTGACCCAATTGCATCTCGATGCTCCAAATTCCGTTTCAAAGCGTTGGAGGGTGACCAAGCATCGTCACGGATTCAACAGATCCTAGCTACGGAAAACGTCAAATACGACGACGGCGTGATCGAACGGGCTTTGAAAGTATCGGACGGCGATCTCAGAAGGGCCATCAATTTGCTTCAGAGCGCCGCTCGATTAGTCGGAGCGACGCCCACACCAAATCAAACATCCACAAACGGTCAAAGTGGAACAGCCTCCTCGGCCAACAAAAAGACATCAAAGACCATCCCGGACGATTCGGACGAGGAAATGGGCGGAGTTGGTGACAATGATGATGTTGCTGTCGGAGACGGCGCCGCTGCCGCCCCTTTGACAGAAGAGTCCAAGAGTATCAAAGTCTCCGACATTGACGAGATCGCAGGAACGTTCCCGCCCGACCTGACGGACAGACTGGTCGAGGTCCTGCAAAAGGGCAACACTCGGAACTACGACGCCATCGCGGCCGAGATCACCGACATCGCCGCGTCGGGGTACGCGGCGAACGAGGTGTTGGCGAGTCTACACTCCAAACTCGTGTTCGATGACCTGATCGACTCGAGGAAGAGGTACAAGCTCACGCAGACGTTTTCGGAATTCGACAAGAGGTTGGTCGACGGGGTGGATGAGCATCTCGCGCTGCTCGATCTGTCGTGTCAATTGGCCGGTGTTTTGGCCGCGTGAGAGACGAGTGAGCCTGTTCGAGTCAAGATCAGGCTGGGCCTCGACCCGGGTACTCCAAGAGAGAGCACCAGTAAATGTCACAGACACGGACGAGAACAAAAGGGGTGTGGTTTGGGTGGGTCGTAGAGAGGAAGTACTCAAGCATCAGCGATTGGCGTTGTTGTTGGGGGGGGGGGCATTCGAACAACAGGGTATCTAGATTCTTTGATACGAATGAACGGTTCTTGAAAAATTCTCTTTTCAAGAGCCTCAGTCCGGATCCCGATGATGACACACACGTCAACCTGCTGGGTCTTTATGTCAAGGAACCAAACTCACGTGGTTCTCGGAAGATATATCGTTTTGAAGGCAACCTCTGAAAAAAAAAGATGGAACGTGAAAAGTGAACTGTCAATAAATGTACAAACAAAATACGAGCTAAATACCCCGTACTACGGAAGAATCGAGGAATCTGAAAGTCCTTGGGAAAATACTGACTGCATTCGAGTACAAAGTTTGCACAATTTACTTCTGTGAGCACATACACACATGTACACGCACCGCACCAAGCACACGTCCGTAGCCCCTCCCCAGTGTGGTCTCTGCCGATGAAGATATGTTCTGGGATAGGATGTGTGGGAGTCGTGCTTGTTTGGCCACGTTACTGTACCTACACCTCCACGGCCTTGTCGGGGCCCTTGGTGCTCGAAGCGGCGAGCATGTCCGACTCGGAGCCGGCAGCACCGCCATCCTCCTTGCCCTCGAGGACGTTCCCTTCCCGGCCCAACATCTGGTGGGCGATGTTGACCTTGGGGCCCGTGAACCACTTGTGGGCGTCGACGACCCACCAGACCAGGGCCAAGAGCATGGGGCCACCCCAGACCAGACAGGTCCAGTTCATGCCCGAGGCGTCGAGGTCGGAACCCGTCAGGCTGGGCAGACACAGGATCGGGATCATGAGGGCGGTGAAGCAGGTTGACAACACACCGATCGGGTAAGAGTACTTGCCCAGGTGCCAGGGCCCCCGGCGGAATCGGTTGCCGACGAAAAAGGTCCGGATGGTGATGGGGATGGTGAAGGCGACAAAGGCACCGATGGCACCGACGCTGAAGATGGCCCCGATGGAGGCCGTGCCGCCGAACAGGAGCAAGGTGCAACAGATGCCGATGGCGCAGTTGAACCACACCGCGTTCACGGGCGTCTTGGTGTAAGGGTTGACTTGCTTCCACCAGCGAGAGCCGGGGAAGCAGCCGTCTCGGGCGTAGGCGAAGGTGACACGAGACGCGGCGATCATGCACCCCTGGCCCATGGAGAAGCCGCAGACGATGGTCAGGGCGAGCATGGCCATGGCCGTCTTTTGGGGTAGGATCTCGATCAGGTAAGACGCCCAGGGTTGACCCAGGTCCGAGCCCAGGACGGCGTCAATGTCGATGACGGTGTAGGCGACGACGAGTTGGAGGAACCAGCCCATCAGCCCGCCAAAGGCCGAGGTCATGACGATAGCGCGAGGGCTGGCGATGTTGGCGTTGCTGCACTCCTCGGCCAGGTGGAATGGCGCATCGTAGCCAGACATGGTCCAGATGACGGCGATGAAGGACATGAGGATCGCGACGCCGTTGGGGAAGTCGGTGCCCACGTGGAAGTTGCCCCAGACCGTGCTGCTCTTGGTGAAGCGAGGGAGACCCTGGTCCGGTCGAGTCGTGGCTGCGGGGATGGTGATGATGACAATAATCAGGGCGATGATGTTGAACGTGCTCCCGTACGAGTTGAACGTGGCGATCCACCGCGTCGGCATGGACGAAATCATGGCGTGGATGATCATGAGGAGCGTCGAAAGAAGAAAAACTTGATAGTTGGACGGCACGTAGGACGGGTCGTTGATGGATCCGGCCGCGAGGATCATGGACGCGAGTGCGTAGTCGACTGACGGCGCGCCTGTGACTTGGGCGAGCCAGTTCGACCAGCCTGTTATCCAGGATGCTAAAGGACCGTAGCCCGATGGTGCGAGCACTGCTGAGGCATAGTATAATCCACCAGATGTCGGCATGGACGAACATAGTTCGGCTATTTCGGAAAAACGTGAATGAGTGGTGAAGAATGTTCTAGGGAAATGTGTACTTACCCATGCCCATGGCGATACATTGAATGAACCCCATTGCGATCAACCATCCCCAAACCATACCGGGTGTACCTGCGTAACCCATGCCATAAGACAAAGTCGATGCGAAGGAAGGGAGTAGTCCAAGCACGGCGAAGGATACACAAAAGGACGTCCAGAGAGAGAATTCACGTTTGAACTCGGGTCTATCATTTTGATTTGGACCAGTCAGTACACAACATATTACTCCGTATACGTGGTCTTGGTAAAGGGTAGAGAGGATGGGAGAGCGAGAGACAGGGAAAGAGGGATTCTCACTTGTAACCCAGAGCAGCGAGGACTTCTTCATCGGCAGTCAATTCCCTGTCGTAGATGGGTATTTCACCAGCGGAGAGGACAGAGGTCACTGGTTCTTCGGCGACGGATTTGCGATGCATGCCAGATGCGGTGCTGGGATTGCGCTCTGCGCTCATGATGACGGCGGCGGCGGGGGCGGTTTGTTGTTTGGTGGCACTGATATTGGTGTTTGGGGGTTGTTATGTATATGCATGGACTGAGGGTCGATCGGCTGGATCACCACCGTATACGAGGGTCTGTATCGATGGAATGGAGAGGAGGTTGGTTATGGAAAGAATCACTGGTAGGACGACGAGTGTATGAGAGTACGAGTGCTCGTCCACCAAGTTTTCAAGTTGGATGTAAGGGAGTATGTAGTATATATATCAAAGTCTCGGAGATAATAAAGAAAATACAGAGTAGGCGAGAGGTTGATGATATGCTGTACGGATACAAGAGTAAGCAAGGGAGCTTTGAACACAACCGTCATCTAGACCCTTATAGTAAGTTCAATGATAGCAGGCCATGCGACAGCAAGTAATAGGCGACGCGAGAGAGAGAGAGGGAGGGAGATTGCCTCCCCGCCTCTCTGGTCGAGATAGACTAGAGCTCGATGAGGAAACTTGACGCTCTCTTTATCGGAGGCGAGCGATGATGAAGGCGAGGAAAGTTGGTGAGTGGCTGAAGAAGCGAGAATGTCAAGAGATAAGAAGAATTGAGGAGTAAGATGGCCCTGGCTCACCGGCTGACTCGATACGGGTGGCCTATACGAGTGCTTATAGGGTACTTTGACCCCCTAACGGTGCTCCCCCGGAATATTAGTTCCAGGTGGTCGACGGGAGTCAAGGAATAGGTGCCGTTGAGTACCCACTCCTCCCCCGGCGCCAACTGACGCTTATCTTTGGAGTCTATAATGATGCCTATCAAGTTACTCCTTCTGCTAAGATATTCCCGTAGTATCCGTATTTTGTACAAGCGTTCTTACCCCATAAACATGTGCCACGAGGTCAACCAGGGACCTCAGACTTCGATACTGTACACCTCATACATAAACAGGAATACGTATGGCTTTATAATCTCCAGGTTATTGTCGTCTCGAGTCAGTATGAACAATGAATGCGAATTCTTTTTGCTCGACCGTCGAGCGATAGGGAAGCATTTGATTACACCCTCTTATTTGTCCTTATCATGTCAAAATCCCAGCTACGCCTTAAAGGTATCCTCTTTTGGTGGCAATGTTACCTGATCATATCGACTGTATATCACTCGTATCTATCCTTCGCCGATTTTACCGAGTACACAATGCACAATTGCATCCTGTGCTCATGCTGAGTGTCCGCCATGCATCGGGAACACCAGTTAAATCACCTTGAACCGACAAGTAGCGGGAAGATCTCGGATCTGCACACGTCCTCCTCGCAGCTGAACCGGACTATCATCTCCCAGGTCGCCTGTTCTTTCCCGATAAAGCCAAACAACTCTATCCCAAATCAAGTACATCTATCCATCCGCCTCAATCTTCAACAGGAGTGTTGTTGCTTCTGCGACACACAAGAAACAAAAAGAAGAAAAAAAAGAGGCAATCTTGCAGGGGTATCATCATACGATCAGAATTAAAATATCTATACATGGTACAAGGTCATAGGCGCGTATATCCATCCACTCCTCCCGCTGTACAATCTATACTCCAATGAGTAAGTGTAGCCAAAGACAGCCAGAAAAAAAGACACAAGCCAGTCGAGATCCTTTATTGCTCGCTGGCTTGACCGTCGCCGACAAGTGAATTCTCATTCACACCCAAGATTTTCCTACACGTCCCTCGAGCATCTTCCGGCATTGTCTTCCACAAGAGCTGGCGAACTTCTTGCCCAACTTGTTCGACCGCATCGATTGCCCACAAAACATCGAGGTGCTCGTACTCCTCAATGACTTTGCTATGAACCACATTGACATGAGGTTCACGTCCTCGCTCAAAGCGTCTCAGCAGTCTGCGCCCATCAACGAGGTCGTCACTGCCAGCGACCCACAGAGCGAACGGCGGCACATGGTCATCATACCAGGCTGTTCGACCGCGGTCTGCTTCCTTTGACATGGCATCTTCTCGTCTCTCCTCTTCACTTTGGTCCTCGACATCCTCCTGCTGTCCGAGCTCTCGCGTCGCGAGAATGCACCTCTGCTTCGTGAAGCATTCCCGTCCGAGCCACCATCGCATACTTTCTGCGCTGACATAGACGGGCGAAAATTGAAAGAGCCGGTCTCGAATTCCACGGTCCCATCGGGTATCGGACCAGTTGAAGAGGAATGAAAAAACAAGATAACCCATGAAACCGTAGATCCGCCCTGGCAATATTCGGTGCATGGTCATCATGAGTGGGATGAAACTGTGGATGCCGAAGAACATGCGGAACATCCTGGGAGAAATCACTCTCATGAACTTGAGATACATCTTGTCGATTAGTGGCCCGGCATAGACAGCTGGAGCCAGCGCGCAAAATACGCTGATCTTGTCTCCAATGTCGGGTCGCTGCTCTTTCGCTAACGCCACAAACGTCTCTGTGGTCCCCTGGCTGTGACAGACGAGTCCTAGCTTCTCGAACCCGCTTTCTTCGAGCACCCTCGAGATGAGTGCAGGTAAGTCCATGACTCCCATCTGGCGAATGTTCCATGCCCACATCCTTGGATCCTTGTACTGGAGCAGACTGTGCTCAGGCTCGAAGCCGCATCGATTGTTCCCTAACCAAACATCGTAGCCGGATTTGCACAGTAAAAACGCTAAACTGTCGTCATCGTTGGCACAATACGCTCCAGCACTTTGCAAAAGACCATGGATGAGCAGGACGGGGTACCTCCTTTCTCCGTCCTTGAACTGTGTCTGGACGTGTTGGTGGAAGCTATTCTCCTCAGGGAAGATCTTTGGGGATTTAGGTCGGCGGTGACCGTCCGGGGAAGGTTTATATTCGTTAGGGTCATAAAGGTGCCATAGAGTAAGGATGAACCCGTCTTCTGTCTGCACCCTAAATTCTTCTGCGTCGAGGCCGACTCGTCGAGCGTAGTATCTGATGTCGCAGACAAGTTTGTCCGGTCCGCCTTCAAGAGGAGCATATCTCTCTTTTTCCTGGTACAGCGAGTCTTCTCTTGGTCTATTCTCCGAAATGCGCCTGCGCTTTCTGGCCACCCAATCTCGGTCTTGTTCCCTGCGTATGTCTGCCCTTCTCTTCTCTTCCTCAACAAAGGGCCGTTTGGCGTGGTGTTCTCGAAACGTCAGCCGCAGCCACAGACTTTTGAGCAGGCGCGGTATCGTTGTGAACAGCGCCCCTAACACCACGACGAGCAGGAACCCGGTCGACAAGAAGAAGGATGTGAATCGGAAGGTGAGACATTGTAGGTTGCGGAGAAACGTAGGAGGACCGTACAGAGGTAGAGGAGGAAACAACGGATGGGTATGGGACGGCGGAAGAGCCTCATCCAGACGACTCGTCTCGCTCTCGCGGTCGTCCCGCAGCAGCTCCTCCCTGTTGACGTCGTTCTCCTCGACGTTTCGAACGTCGAACCGACTCAACCCTCTGGGGCGTGGGACCTTGGGACGGTGAGGGCGACCTTCGGCCCTGGCTTTGAGGATGTTGATCTTGTGGGCCTCCTGCACCGGCACCGAGGGGAGTCTGTTGCCGTCGCTGGTCTCGATCACGGGGTCGAGCGGCGTGATGAAGTTGGCTTGAACCGCGACACCGCGCGCGCCCTCCTCATCATTGTCGCCGTGGTGGTGAGCATTGCAACCCGCTTCGAGGGACAACTTTTCGGCTTGGTGCTCGTATTCCACCGTCGCACGGGTGCGAGTCCTCAACTGGGTTTGCGACATATGGACAAAGTGTGGAGAGAGTCGGCGTAGTAAACATGCGGATGCTTGTTTTTGTCTTGTTTGTTTGCGGGACCGTTATTGTGGACTGTCGTTGATGTCATGGAGCTTCTAAGGGTTTTGTCTCGGTGCCGCAAAGGTGAAGACTCTTCCTGCGCACTTGAGTAGGAGGCATGTATACAGTAGATGGTATATTTCACCCAAGGTATGGAGTAGGTAACCAGGGTATCACATCAGGTAGAAAGGAGAGGAAAGATACAGAGAATAGATACTGGAAAGTGACCGTTGAGCGATGGTGGCGGCGGCAGTGCACATGTTACAGTAGATACAGTAGATACTGTATGTACTGTACCTAATACCAGGGGATCTTCATCGCATCATTCATTTGCGCAACTCACCAGAGTGGTTGAAAAATCTGGGTCATCTTGGGCAGGAGGTGGAACCGGTTGATCTCGTCCGCGCCAGATGATGAAACGATGATTGCGAGCTGGGAAAAAAAAGGACACATGCTCGCGAATCCTCTCTCGTTCGCTTGGGGGATGTTCAGGTTGTAAAATCAGGTCAACATCGACATCATAGCCGAGCTTGGAAGCCAATCAGCGTTGACTAGATCCAACTCCATAGTGATGTTTGACGCTAACCTACAATGGCAGGAGAACGATGTTTGGTCACATGACTGCTTTCGTGAATCATCTTTACTTCAATATGTTACAGAACTGCGAGCTCATACTGTACTCGTATATCATTACACCGTGACTAGCCCTGATGAAGGCGTCTCAATTCAACCATGTCGCTGTCAAAGAGACATATCCGGCCAATCGTCCGCACTCAGCTCAAAGAGCACGGAACTCAGCCATCTAAATCAATCTGTTCGTTCATCCATGAACCTGCGAAGTGGTCCGGGTTCTGCATCCTGTCGCCATACATTGCAAGATCCTCGCCTGTAACGCCGGGCATGAATGAGTTGCGACTTCGCGACCACGATTGATCAACGGGTGGTGGGGAAGCATCCCATTGAACCTGAGGCTGTAGATAACCGGCTCTTGTATAGATGGAGGAAGCCTCAACGTATCATCATGGCCATGAAAATGCTTACTGCAACTATGGGATGGACAGAAAATTAGATCGCTCGACGCTGATCCGGCCCGATCAACTTACTGGCTGCTGTAGCAGTGGATGATATAGTTCAGATGAGTTCTGTTCGGCAACAGGTGGGATACTCGAAGAGAGGATGATGGCAGACTGTTGTAATCGTTCTCGACGTCTAGTGACACTATATTGGTAGTTGATCTGGGCGGAATACCTTCCCACCTAGGACATCCATACTGCTTAGTGAGTACTAAGTGCATGGGGTTTTCCTGGGGATATATGTTTAATCCAGTGAAATTCCTTCCAACAAAGTACGCCCTGATGGCCACTAATAAGACTCACCGCGTCGAAGTGCGACTTTGGTCTAATTGGTTTGGAGGTTGGGCTTATCCTTGGAAACCAGCTGCTTAGTGGATTAAACTGGGAGTCTTCGGCGGTTTCCATGACTACTGTAGTATCCCTATAACAGGGTATGAAGGGGTCATAGTCGGGATAAGTAATAGAAGAGCCGGGGGTTCGAGCGTCCAAACTTTTTGTCCCTCGAGATATTTTTTTGGTTTATTTTTCCGCTGTTGGTGAAGGTGGTGAAGAAGATGAAGCAGGATGTACAAGTATCGCGACTAGTTTCCTTCGCATCCACATTCACTCATCGACATTATCATATTGGCGGGCGGCGTTTAGAGAGAGCTTCCGCTTCATCCATTATAGGCGATATTCCTATGGACTGCGAATGTGGACCATATTCGTGGAACTATGAGTAAGTTCAAGAGCGACTTTCACCAAATCGTGGCGGCAATGCTCTTCTTTCATCAAAAGCCCGAACCTGGCCAGCAGATACTCGGGATCTCGCTTGTCATTGGCAATCTGTAATAGTCCGCACACTCAAGGGAATCCGCCGGCGACCTCTGAACTGTCGTAGACAGATGATTCATGACCTGCTATTCAGCTGTACAAAAAAGCAGGCGTTGATTTTAGGTAAACGAGGCTAGACACGGCGCTGCTTTTGAATATGTCACGTGAACTTCGATTTCTCTTCCGGCAGCGATGTACCGACTCCCACATCGATGAATACCAGACATTAGTGAATCAGTAGAAGTGAAGTGCGTTGTCGGTCGACCATAGCAAAGCGACAAGGCTCATTTCTGTCTGCGCGCATTTTTATCGCCTCTGGGATCGAATCTTTTCCTCATCTACCGTTCCACTTTTACATCTCCATCACCATGCTCTTCTTCAGGTGCGTTTTACGAACCTAATATTTCATGACCCATGCACTTCGTCCTACGACTAATCTGCCTTAACTCACAGTTTCTTCAAAACTCTCACTCAGCAAACCGTGACGGTGGAGTTGAAAAACGATATTTCCATACGCGGCACTCTCAAGTCCGTCGACCAGTACCTAAACATCAAACTCGACGATGTCACGGTCCTTGACGAACTCAAGTACCCCCACCTCAGCTCGGTGAAGAACATCTTCATTCGAGGCTCCGTGGTCAGATACGTACACTTGCCACCAGACAAGGTCGACAGGGGCCTCCTCGAGGACGCGTGTCGCAGGGAAGCCATGGCGCAAAAAGGAAAGGCTGCATGAAGAAGATGAAGGAGAGGAAGAAGTTGAGACAAATGCCGGGGTTGTTTTTCAACAGTGCATTATGCTACTCTGAGCCATGAAGCTCAGCCAGCAGGCCTGCGGTTGTCATGGACCACAATGATGAATCAGAGACTAGGCCAGAGCCACGTCAATCCTAGATGCGACAAAGTTTGTGTTGACTGGATCTGATCTTTGGTTGGGAGGTCGCGCACTCTGTCGACTCATGCACAGAATTACTGCTATGAGGTTTGCAAGGCAACACTAAAAACAATGCTGGCACAGAACAATCTCAAGAAAAGGGTGAAGAAGAGGAGCGTTGCCGTATACTGCGCTATCTGGCTTACTATTAGAACTGCCAGGTAGAATTGGGCCTCTTCTTCGATCGCTTATGCTTGAAATGCTCCCACGAATGGTCCCTCCAGGACTGTGGGACACTTCTATGGACATGTCTTGGAATGAGGATGGGCAGCTTGGCTACGGCGATATGGACAATATCGCAATATGTAAGGGCAAATACAAAAGATGAATGATACATGATGTACACCCAGACTCTCGTTCATACCCCGTACCTCAACTTTCCATCACCACTTCCCCATCCTTCTGCACCGACTTCTACTTTGAAAAGGCCATTCTTTCGCTTTTCCGATTCCCACTTTTCAATCCAGCCTTTCATCTTCTCTCTGCTCCTCGCACTGCCCACGTTGACCGTTGGAATGACGCGATTGATCCTCAAAGCGCAACAAAACATGGTCAGTTCCCTGAAAGAGCTGTGCTCCGAATACGGCACACCGAAACAGTTGGACTCTCTCGTGCTCCCCCTCTGAGGAGCCAAGTCGCGTATAGAAAATCTACTCTTCCAGCCATCCGAGGTCAGAACCGTGCTGACAGCTGGATTCTCAGTAAATCGAGACGTAGGTGGCCGATAGGACCAGCCTGTTGGTCTGAAACCCACAACGCGGGCAAAGTGCCCCTTGTAGCTTGTCATGTACTCGTGCAAGGTCTCTGCGCGGATTTCCATCAACGTCTGCATGTGCACCGACGCTTCAAGCGGGTTCGAGGTAAGGAGAGCAGTCAACTCGTCGTCCTCCAGACACTTGCATATCCGCATCTTTGCAGGTGGTGCGTAAATCTTAGATCCCAAGGCTTTCGCAATACCCAGGCATATGCGCTCTTTGCCGATTGAATAAGTTCCGATCACAACGAGCAGACGCCCCCTCTTCTTCGGCTTCCTATCAGAATCGTCTCCTTCCTGCTTAGGCAAAGTGCTCTCGCCCTGCTCGAGGAACTTTTTCATTGTGCTACCGGCACGGTCTGCTTTCGTGCGTTCCCAATCGTCGTTCAGGTCTACTATTTCTTTCGACAAGCTGATGCACATCTGGGAACAGGCATCGATGACGTCCGACTGGCTAGGAAAAGAGTACTTCGGCGTCAGATATGTGGTGTCGAGGTAGCAAGTGTCGATTACTTGTTGTTTCAGCTGTCCCGTGATGCTGCACATAACGTCAGGTTGCAATAGAGGATGATTAACATGTGCTGGACACGCGCGGAAATCTCCACAATGCAGAATGCGTGTGTTTTTCAGGGTGCCATCTCTGTTCTTGCCAGTAACCTTCTCAAACAGGTACAGCGAAGATCCAGGGCAATGGTTGGCTGGAATCATGGTCACACATACACCGTTGGTATTGGGGACCTCGACCTTCTTCTCAAATTCAAGAGGAACAACCCATTTTGGATCAACCTTTAACTGCTGTAGCATCAGATTGCAAGTGACCTTGCTAGCATAGATAGGTCCATGGCACCATGACGATGTCAGGCCGATGTAATGATCACTGTGGAAGTGACTGAGAAAATAGGCGTTCTGACCTTCCACCTTACCATAGCGGAAAGCATCGACGCAAATATAGAATCCTGGCATGATCTTGTAGAAAGGACAGGTCCGTTGATACGCTGGCTTGCCGCGAGATCGGGATTCGTGTGCAGCTGCCTCTGCCCACGCCGCATCTTCAGCGTGTCCGGACATCAGGCGAGTGAAAGCAGAGCCGCCCTTAACATCAGCACCGACAGAGAAAGGGTTTGACTGTGCTGGACGAGCAACCGCAGCACGTTGGAAGCGTTTTGTGCCGACTACTTCTTGACCAGGAGCAGAAGACGCCTGCCGCGGTTTCTCGGGCGCCGAGAGAATATTCTCCTTGGGCAGAGGTTCGGCTGTGCCATCTAAGCAAGCATTGACGTGGGTGGACGCTTGGCTTTCGGAGAGACCTTGCATGTTACCATTGCAAATGGGACATAGAGGAATGGTGTCGTTTTGTTCCACTTCAATCTGAAGATCATCTTCCATAATACTCCGGGGGGTTCGCACGCTGTCCGCACCGCTCTCGGACTTTGAGTCTTCTTCAAAGGTCAGACCCATTTCTCGCTGCTCCTCCATCCATCTTCGTTCCAGAAATTCTTCTCCGCCTTCATAAAATTCGTCTTCCTCGAAATCATCTTCACCAAAATCTCCTGCGTTAAAAATGCTAGTCTCTTCCTGAGGTAGTTCTGGGATATTTGCAGCACCACTCGTACGCTCATGCCGGTCGTGGTCAGCGGCGTCCTCATTTTCTGGAGCTGATGGTATCAAGGGGACGTCACTGGTTGTAATTCCTGTTCCGGGGTCAATGTCGTCCTTGTCATCCGGCTCAAATTCTCCTACTTCACCCGCAGCTGAATTTTGTTCGACAGTGTCGTCAACAGCGCCCACCCAGTCTTCATCTTCTTCATCGCTTGAATCATCCAAAAATCCACCCCGTTGCTTCCTCGCTTTCACAGGCTTTGTGTCATTGTTCGAGTGCCTTCCCGTATCAAGTCCAGTAACCGAGCTTTTGCGCTCTGGAGAGGGCGTACGGATGAAGAAATCTCCGTCGTCGTCGGTAGTACGCCTCCTCTTCAGCGGGCCTTCGTTTTCGTTGAATCTCGACGAGTCATCCTCAGAAAAGGTGCGTTCATCTCTGCCTAGAACATCCTGCTCTATAAAGCTTTGGCTTGCATCCTTGAAAAATAGAGGTAGGTTTGATTTCGCGTCTACCTCGTTCTTATTATCTGCCTTCCCGAAGAACTGAAGAATACTTTGATTCTGGCGAATGCTACTCTTCTTTAAGCTGGGTATTCTGGACGCTGGTTGGCGACCGAGAACAGGGGTCTTAGACATTGGAGGAGCCCGATTTGCTACGGACGCAGGCGAGGCAAAGTATCGAGACGAGGTGACTTGCTTGTGGCCACCGCTGAGTGGCGGAGTAGGAGGGCGGCCGGTCGACGGGAGCATGGCATTCGAGGAGTTTAAAGATGCATTCTCTCGAGGATTTCTGAACATCGCTATACAGTGTCCACAGATATCATGACTGCATTGATCTGTGTAGATTGTTGTGGCGTGGGAAAAGGACAATGGAGAAGAAAGACTGCGTTTTAGCGTGGATGTTCATCGGCTTTGGCGCTCCATGACGCGAAGTGTAGGCGTTAAGTGGTTTCTCGGGGGTCAATGCTTAGAACCTAATAAAATGAATTGTTCGACCTGCATAAGGCTGCCTGTTCTTTCACTTCACGAGGCTACCGCTCCAGCTAGCTAATGTTGCAGGGCCCCGTCGTGTTGCTAGAGCTACATTTCTGCATTAAATGTACATATGCTTCTATATGCATTGCATGGTATATTCCCTGGTCGAGACTCGTACAGTTGAATTGCCTCGTTCTCGTTCTCGTTCTCGTACTCCGAAAAGCGAACAACGCGCGCAATCACGTGCAAGCGTTGACATCATCGCCGGATCTCGCCAGGTTCGTCTGTTGATCAAAAAGTCCTGAGCTGGCGCAACAACATCTTCAAGCCGACTCATTTCAAGTATCCAGGCCGATTGCCTAGACGAGCTGCTACCGCTGAGCCGCAGCCATCATCCACGATTCTAGCGTATGTCGGCGGCGATTGAACGGCTCAAAGATGAGGTAAGTCGCCGACGTCGAGCCATGCTTCCATCTCAAGCTTTACTCATGACTCTTCCAGGGCACGAGGCAGCAAGTCATCGTAGCTGGCGGCGTAGCAGGACTCGTGTCCCGGTTTTGCATCGCACCACTTGACGTTGTCAAGATCAGACTACAGCTTCAGCCACATTCCTTGTCGGATCCCTTGTCGTGTGATGGCATAAAAGGCCCCATCTACAAAGGCGTCTTCTCGACTTTGCGAGCAATCGCTCGCCAGGAAGGCATCACGGCGCTATGGAAAGGCAACGTCCCCGCTGAAATGATGTACGTGTGCTATGGTGGCATCCAGTTCGTCGCATACCGGTCAATCACGCAGGCCCAGAGTTTACTACCGACCCGACCACCACCGTCGGTCGAATCCTTCATTAGTGGTGCAGGAGCGGGTGCAGCTGCGACCACGGTGACATATCCTCTCGATCTACTCAGGACCAGATTCGCCGCGCAGGGGTCCGATCGGATTTACCGGGGCCTTTTCGGTGCCGTACTCGAAATCAACCGACATGAAGGACCCAGGGGGTTTTTCAGAGGTGCCAGCGCCGCCGTCGGTCAGATTGTGCCGTATATGGGTCTCTTCTTCATGAGCTATGAATTTCTGCACCAGTACATTGGGGGAAAGACTCTGCCCTTTGGATCTGGAGACGCCACAGCGGGCGTGTTTGCCAGCGTCTTTGCAAAGACAGCCGTATTTCCACTTGACCTGGTCAGGAAGAGGCTGCAAGTACAGGGCCCGACGCGGACGAGGTACATACACACCAACATCCCCGAGTACCAAGGCGTCATTCGTGGTCTGGCAATGATCTGGCGACGAGAAGGATACCGTGGCTGGTACCGAGGGTTGACAGTCAGCTTGCTCAAGGTATATATTCCCCACAATTCCTTGCTTCGCGAGATTTCCAAATATTGACTTGACAAATAGGCCGCTCCCGCTTCCGCAGTCACAATGTGGACGTACGAGCGAGTCCTGCATGCGCTGATCAACACCGATCACGACGATGAACTGTGGGAAATTTACAATCCTTACGACGATGATGATTACGATGACTGAGACTTAGCAGGCGTTGATTTTGGTTCCGAACTCTTTGAAGGAAACTTCTAATAGCTAGGTCGCTGTGTCACTCTACCAAACAGTATGATAGGCGGTCTCTCATTAGGGGGTCACCAGTCTAAAGAACAATCAGCCCCTTGGCTGGTACTGAGATGGACATGCCACTGTGTAAAACTACGCATTGTACTTATAAGATCCAGCGTAAGTTGTCCCGTCCTCAACCGTGACGCTACTGGCACTAACAAAGTTTTTGTGTGAGCTTAGTGTACTATTATTACTTCTCCTTAAAATATCTGGCTACAACCCACAACCTGCTGCCCAGCTACCTTGACTGCTTCAGTGTCAGGAGCATCGGTGAGGAAGCTCGGGATTGAATTACGGGCATTCACCCGTGGTGGCGTCTATCTCCGGAGATCCATTGATCGTACTTCTTTTTGGTATGAATTCTGTTCGCCGTGTCAAAATCTACGAGGCGAATTGCAGGCGTGGATGATTTCCAGACGGGCACTCAATGCCACAAGATCGATTTCGAGCACGAGACCTTCACCGAGGCAGGCCTCAGTCTGTAATCGCAGGGGGCCATGTACGAAAATCCCTCATTGAATATTGAGGACGACGTTCAAGCTCGGTTCTAGTAGTTTTGGAATGTACATTTTCTATAAGCATGCCGGATGGTATGTCTGGGTATCTAGATTTATCAGGGGCATGGCCCCTCTCGCACTCATCTGCCGAACCTCATCTCAGCACCGGCATACTTCCATAGCCCTCTCAAGAAGGCTTGATATTCGACCCTGGTGCTAGTCCTGCCCGACACATCTCCACCCGAGTCACCGACACAGAAGATCTCGCTCAATCGGATCTGCCAGGGAGGGTAGCCATCAAGTTTGACATATGGTCCAAATACTATAACGAGATCAGGCTCCCCGGCATCGGCCTCTTTCCTCGGTTTCGTGCTGTGTCCCGAGTAATCGGTGATGGCGGTCGTCGCGCTGATCTCGGTGTTGATCAAGTTGGAAGTAATATCCTTTGGGCTGATTTTATGCGACTGTGCCATCTCAGCCAGTGTCCGCGTGAGGTCGACGAGTGTGTCCCTGCCGTCCGTGGCCGAGAGGAGAAGGAGGTCGAGATGTTGGCGGGAACGCTGCGAACCATGCGTAGCCTCCTCGGCCGAAGAGCGTGCGGGAATCCGCGGCGAGGGCACCGGGGAAGGGCTCATCGAAGGGTGATTGGGTGCGAAGACTCTGAGGGTCGGTGATGCAGGAGCAGGACCATAGTAGGACGTGAGCTTTTGGCTGACGACCTCTTGTACGCTGGCCATGTATGTCTTCAGAATCCCCGATTTTTCGTAGATGCTCAGCAACGGTATCCCCGCCGACGCGGACCAGGCACTCAATTCTGCCACCTCGTCCACGAGGGCCTCGAGTCCCCCGTCTTCTTCGCTCTTGTACTTCAATATCACACTGAGGTGTCGAGGGAGGCGGTCGAGGTTCTTGACGTCTCGTTGTATGTACTCTGGGGTGCGGTGGTGGTAGTGTCGAATGGCGAGGGCGCGGTCGAGGGTGGCGTGGTATATCTGGCGCAGGCGGACGTACATGCCGAAAAAAAGTTGGATGAGGAAGAAGACGAGGGCATGGAGTTTGGTTTTCAGAAACGGTCGGATGCGCCGCTTGTGGCCTTTGGACGCATGGCGAGACGTGGTCGTGGAAGTGCCGTTGTCCATTCTGGATGATGGCGAGGGAACAGCCGGTAGGTATGGCCGCAGGAGCTTTTCACGCTCTGCCGCAGTGAGCAGTTGTCCACCCGATGCGACATCTTTGCGATACAATTCGGTGGCGGCCGGATTGAAGGGAGCCATGTTGAATGAAAGAATGTCATCCACAGAAATGTCAATGTAAGAAGCCGTGAACAAACTGGTAAAAGTTCGAGTACGCCGTCAAGCTCGCCAGGAGCACTGTTGCGGTGTGTTTACCAACAATACACTGGTCTCATTCTCGTCAAGGCCGTCAAATCGTGTAGATTAAGTTATGGACAGGCTGTTCATCCAAGCCACTCTGTACACGTTGCGCCCGCCAACATTTTTTTGGAGGTGGTTTCCAGTTGAGTGCATCTCGCAACCTCCGAGGTACAACCGGCTTGGGGGGTAACGACAACGTCCTGCTTGATGCCTAACATTCCCAACTGTAGTGTAGCTACTCGCATCCCGCATGGCTACCTACATAGGTACGGAGTAAGGTAGGAGGAAACCCCTTACCCTGTGATCCTGCCACCTGTATGGAATAAGGCCTCGCGACGCCCAGGCCTTACTCGTATCTTTCTGCTCAAGAAATAGCTTCTCCATTCGTCTTCCTATGAAATATTTGAGCTTGAGGTTCAACGTCTCAGCTTTAATTCGGCCATCAGACAATGGGCGTATCACCCACGCCCTTCTCAACGCTCGCAGCAGATCCGCGAGATTCCCATGTTAGTGTGCCCCCTTGGTGTTGTAGAAGTTGATGTCTCTTTATTGCGATACCTTTCCGACATCCACCTCACCTGGCCTGCGTCAATAGCATGACAGACCCTTATAGCAAGGCTAGCCATGCTCACCCCACAGGAGCCCATGAAACTAGGGGATGATTTTGAAGTTGTTGGAGCTGTGGTAGATCAAGAGATATTGGTAGGTAAGCATGAATTGTGGTGCATCGTGTAAAAGCATGCTAGCAGCGACGTAGAAATCGGGAGCGTGACTCCCGCGGATTCATGCTCTCTCCTTCGGTCTACGCCAGTGTCCCTGAGAAAAGGTAAGGTGAGTAACAACTCAGCGTTGTGAAGAGAGTCTGAGAAATCCTCGTTGCATTCCCTCGACGACAATGAAGCTGACACGAGTTCCGTAGACTACCTTTGCTTCTTCGCCCTAAACCATCTTCCTTGTAAGCGAGACTATCAAAGTCGAGCGAATTATGTTGTTCATGGTGGCCAAGGTGCCTTAAGATCCGAGAGTTCTGGGCTGATTCTCGTGAACTGTGCGGGTTTGTTTCAGTTCACCAAGCGCAGCTGCCCAGATAAAAGGAACCTCGCCACATCACCATGTGGCAGGCACCATATCAATATCCTTATCCAGGCTACGCACCTATCACTGCCAATGGTCGAACATATTATCCCTCGTATGATGCGTATAGGGGCTTCCGAGACGACGGAACTATTGAGAACGGGTCAGTTGATTCACTTTTCCCCATCGCTTCACCTGTCTCAATATCCTGCACACCGCCAACACCATGACAGCACTTCACCATCTCAAGCATGACTTCTCGCTCGATGTGGATCGAACGAGGCCCTGATGGTCGTCCATACTTCGTTCGAAGCAAGGAAAGATTGCCATCTACCCGTCAATTGCTGGCCGAGGTTTTGTTTCCCCGAAGAGCGCGCTCACTGTTTGTCAGGCAATCTCATCAAATCAACCTCTCGCCACGCTCTCTCGAACAGCCTGCGCCCCGAGACGATCCTCCAGACACCGAAACACCCAATCCTGCCCCTACACCCGGCCCGTCCAATATGCCTCCACCGTCACAAAGTCAGCCTCAACCTGTGAACATGTATTTGATGCCAGCCCAGCAACAAGACAATGAGCATCCGCAACTACAGGGTCAACATAGTATGACATTAACTCAGCAAAATCCTCAGTTTCCTCCGCCGTTTGTTCCTCCCATGCAATTTCTACCTCCACACATCCCGCCAACCTTTCCACTTCCTTCCCTACAACAGCCAGTGGTGTTTGGAGTGCCGCCAGCAACATTTACTCCGCCCCAACCGGGGCTTCCAAACGGAATACCAGGAGTGTTCAATGGCCCTGGACTTCATCCTATGCCCGCTCAAATGCCAGGGTTACGCCAGTCGCACACTCCGACTGTCCCCCAATCCAGACCAGCCGAGTTGCGGTACAAATGTGAGGTTTGTGGAAAGTTTAGATCTACTAGATACCATTACGAGAACCCAATCCCTCCGGGACGGCTTCCTGCAAGAACTATTTGTCGCAAGTGTCGAGAAACCGCGACTGACACGGAAGATGGCTCGAGCGACGGTCCACCTTCCAATAGGCCTCCTCGGTCGCATGGGCGTCGAACACCAAGATCAAGATCCCGTCAAACACCGGGAGTAAGCCTTCAATCACGGAGAAGAGCTCGATCTGTAGAACGGCTTCAAGCTTTTAGCCAGCGGCATGACCGGTCTGTTGATCCATCTTCTTCGGAGTCTTCTCTATCTTCTTCCTTGGAAGAGTGCTACAGGAGTAGACGTCGTCCACGCTCGAGTTCAAGACACACGGAACTTGTGCGACATACCCAGCGAATGCGGCTCTCTCCAGTAGGGCAACTCATCCTTCGTGACTTCGACGAGGATAATAGTCGACCCAGAAGGAGACACCAAGATGTGGGGGCATATGGTGGCATAGACCGTCGCCGACAACATACACGCACGGGAACATCTATTGGAGAACGGGATCGCCATGAACAAGCTTACAGACGCGGCGATGGGCGTTGCGATGACTTCCTGACCGAGGAACATCGTCACATCCATCGTTCACGATACCAGGATAATGCGCGACCTTACTCTCCTCAACACGGAAGGTCACGGTCTCAAGCACCACACCGGCCTGGCCTTGATGGGGAGATTGACGACCATAAGAGAGAATCAGGGGAAATTCTCAGCCTGAGCGAGACGCATCCACACCAGCGTCACCACGGAAGTCGAGGTTGTGGAGGATCGTCAACAGCTACGTCTTCGCTTAGTTCCTCAGAGCTGCCTGATACAGATGGCCCACGTCGGCAAACCCGGTCAGGAAGAGATGGACGCTTCAGGTCCAGGTCGAGACGCCTCGGCCACGATGCAGAATTGGCAGGTATGATGAGGCCAGGAGATGAACTGACATTGATTGAGAGACATCCACCATACCCACCCGACGACTACGAGTGGTACGATAATGAAGGCATGAGGGTCCGTGTGCGCGAGTATTGACGGGCCATGCAGCTTTAGCTGACAGCACCATCACCATGCAACAGGGTTCCTAGTGAGCAAGATTGTCTCGCTGGGGTCATCATCGTGCCCAAATAGTATTGCTACTACCAAAAACGTCCAAGCTCGAGTGACCTCTAGTTGTCATGGCTGTGTGGGCATAGCAGCTTCAAGGCAAGGGTACTTTCGCATTGCGCATGCAATGTTGTCTCCTCGGCTCGAAAGTAGCTAATTGTGGATCTACTGGCGTTGCAGGAGCAAGCAAATGAAGAGGTCGGCACAGGATGGAGCGTGACTATACACCAGAAGCATGTTTTACGTACATGGCAAGGGTGCAGAGAAAGTCCCCAGACTTGGAGCACTCGTCCCAGCTCAGTGGAGAGATAAATGCTACTCCGAAAAAGGAAGAGGAAGGCTCACCAGGCCACGTGGAATTGATTGAGATCTAGGTTCAGTCTCCCGGGCAGCAAGATTGGCACTACGAGGGAGACGGTCAGTGCCAATTGCATGGTAGCTAGACACGATGGTTTCAATCTCTGGATCAGGTGGCGTCAACAAGTGGTTTTGGAGAGAAACAGCTGAACAGGGTTCTCGCCAACATTCGGCGTTATGTGCAGGGGTTCGAAAAACCAGACAGGCAGCCACCTGGCCCGGTCCTATATAGTCAAAGCTCTAGATCAGACCTACGAATTGTCGTGTTGCTGCAGCGAGTTGGTCCAGGGGAACACAAACTCGGACAGTCGGGACTCAATAATTGCGTAGACTCGCTTGGGACAAAGCCAGAAATGATCACGAGCAGGGGTGGTGAAAGTGTTGAAACGCCAGCTGAGGCAGAGGTTGCCAGCGGCAAAGGGCATCACACTAGCGATGCATGATGCAGGCAGGGTACATGCGAGGAGATAGCATACATTCTGGCGATGAATTGAAGAGAGTGATGCTGACAGGCTGGATACATGGATGACGGTGGATGCTCGTCTCGTATTCCCCAAGTTGCCCCTTGGTCGATCTCTCGCCAAAGCTCGGAGCACTCACACTGTCTTTGCACACGGCTCACGATTTGCGATTTACAGTACAGTAGAGACTACGGAGTACAAGGCGGAGATCAAGGGAAGGGTTGAGAAAATCATGGTCGCTGACGTCGAGATTGACTTTGCAATCCAATCTTTCCCTCTCGATGTTCAAAGAGACCCGTTTGGTCTTGCACGTTCAGAGCTTTTCTGACTGCAGATCCAGAGACTCGGCGCCGATGGACACAAAATCACACGGAAACGGATACAATGATCAGCATTCTAGTACTCCGTACTGGTGAACGTCGTGTCGACAACAAGCCCGCTTCCACGCAAACCTGTGCACAGACCGACTCCAGTGTCTCCAGTTGAAAGATTCCGTGGCCCCGGTTCGGCGCCTGGCAAGGCCCGTCCAAGCATCTTGGAGCGTCGCTAAAGCCTTCAAGCTCGGTGACAGTGGCGTCTTCTAAACCTGTTCTCAGTTAGTAAGATCACTGAGATGTCGTCGAAAAGCCATCAACTTCTGGCGTTGGACCCCCTCTACAGCTGTCAAAGGGACATTTCTCGCGTTTTTCTCGATCGCCGTTCACGCTTCCGCGGCCGGCACTTGCCTTATTGAGAGTTTCGAACCATTTGGGACCGCTGCTCGATTGACATGGGGCGCGGATTTGACACATTTCGTGGGCCGGGGAGGAAAGCGCTGGCGCTGGCTTCGATGCGACCATCCCTGCGACACCATGAAACCGTCTACACACTTTTGGGGCATGGCACATGTGATAGAATGATTGTTAGGAACCAGTAGAGTGTTCATCCTGGTATGCGTTGTCACGACGATCTGTACCGAAATCCATCCTAGCAGCCGAAGCAACGCGGACTGCGTCGAGAAGGATGGCCCGAACTTTGTGAAGCATCTTTGCACAATATTGAACTTAAGCATTCGCCCGGGATAACAAACTAGTAGCCTGTTGCGGCAAGGGACTGTCTCTGGTTCGCTACATGGCCGCCATGGACCAGGCATATCCTTGTCACGCATTGGAAGCACCACTCCCCTGGAGTGCGCCTGTTGCCTTCTTCGCCTGGCTTCGTACAATATTAGGAGACTAAGCTCTGCAAGCAGACAAGATCCAGCATTTCCGGTTTGGCACTCAGTGTCATCTTCTCTGGCACATGGCAGCTCTAGATACGCTCCCCGTTATTTGGGTTGTCTGGCATCAAAAGCAACCACAAACTTTAGTCCAGGCCAGCCTTCTTCATGCAATACGAGATGTCAAATACTATTAGCATCCAGGACAGCTCCCCCTGCGTCTCTGCTACTTGAGAAGGTGGCTGGTCGAAGCTGGGGGGGCTACGCTCAGTGAATCAGGTGCAAGCTTTGGGCCTCTCTAGTGCATCTTACGATCCGACCCCTCTTTCCCCGGTCTTCCATGGCGCAAGCGAATGGCACCGAACTTCCAGGTGCCTTTCATGACAGACGATCACGTCCTGGACAGAGACTAGACTAGGCTTACCAGGCGTCTCTTTCGCCCACCCTCGACACAAGTCTCGACCGATCCGACCAGAAGTCCTGCGTGATCCACCTTTCGCTTGAGCATGCCCTTCCGTGGGAGAGAGGGGTCCTCTTTTGGTGACTAGCCTTGTGATGGCTGTCCGCGATCCTGAAGCGATTACCTGAAGTGGACTCTCTTCGCGGTCTCCCAGCAAACAAACTCGGACATACCGTTGGAGGAGACAAAGAAACGGCCATCAGTTTGTCCTACAAAGAAGTTGCGGCTGTGAGAATGCCGGGGCCATGCAGGGGGTGGGGTCGCAGATCGATTGCTTCAAAGAATGTTCCAAGATGACAGAAGTATCGGACAGTCTGCAAACACATGTGGTGGTGGCAGTGGAAAAGGGATTTTTGGCTTTGGGCATCGTCAGGCTCACATGGGCTGTCGGCGCGGCAAAAGGGCAACCTCCTAAGGTAGAATGCGCAGCCATGGGTCGGGGCTAACGAGGCTCTCGCATAAACCGGTCTGCCCTGACCAATCCCATGGCATGGTGGCCGCCAACAAATGGTTGACTCAATGCTATGTCGGCATGGTGGCTGCGACACCTCAGGCGACACACTCCCGGCCGTCTTTGAGGTTGCCAGCCCACAGCTGCATGCTAGCTGGCCAAATGGTCCCACTGTGATGGCTGTCGTTGGCCCATCTTCTGCCTAGTGCGGCTCTGCCAGCGAGGATTCCTTGGTGACTGGTCGCTCATCCCTCCCTAAGGGAAAGAGATACCAGGGAATTTTTGAAAGGTACTGTACTGATATACGGAGAACCGACACACCCAAATCCGTGGGCTCTGTGCTAGTATTCTGGCCCCTTTCTGCAATCGCGCGAAAAGCTGCTTTGTTTGAGCCATGTAGATTGATGCTTGCCAACATGATGGACCCACCCATCCACTGGCTTTGGTTCATATAACCAAAACGTTCAGGTCTCTGTACTCTATAAACAGCCCTCAGGTCTTGACTTTCCTCAGTGCTGGCTGGGACAGTTGCAAATCCACATGCTTTCTGCACTTCATTTTGTCCCTCCCTACGATTCTCAAGACTTCTCGAGTCACCCAAATGCATTCACACATGCAAAGCCAGGATAGGCTCGGTGGTGTGCCTGAGTACCTCCGTGGGCATTACGGGGGCTACCCTGCTCCATCATCTTGGGATGGCTCGGATGACAACTCCTGCATCGACCCTCAACTGCGTTCCCTACAGCACGAATATCCCTATCACAGCCTAGAGACTTTTCATGTCCCCTCGCAGACTTATGCAGGCCGTTACTTTACTGCCTATGACCTTGCCGCCCATGGCTTCGACCAAAGTCACAAAGATGTGTATGAAGGTCACCTCTATCACCACAGCTTTCCCGACCTTCTACCTGGAATCATCGACGAACACCGCCAGACTCGGCAATTGTCTCCTTCCGCAAACACGCCGTCTAGCACCGGATCTTCTTCAAGCGATTTTGGATTCAGTCCCGATGCACTTCGATTCCCACAGGAACCCCCTCTGGCTTTTGAAAGTCCGCTTTCAGCCCACTCACCACCCGGAATGCCTACTACACCGCAGAACGTGTGGGCACCACACTACCCCATCATCATCCCGTCTGTGGCGGCTACTCCTGGCGGCAATTTGGCCTTGAGTATGCGAGACTTGCAGGTTACACTAGACCCTGAAGATGAAGAGAGCTCCATCAACTGCGACAGAGATCAGATCCCTACCAAGATTCAACTACCACAAGAGCTGGAACTTTCGGAGCAGCTCGCCAGCCCTCCAGCGTCGTCAATGTTTGACGAAGATGAAGAGATGCTCCGAGATTCAGGTAAAAGCGAGAGTGACAATGACTCGGATTTCGTCCCCGACTCTGCTTATGCTTCCCGTCGTGGCCCTGCAGCCTTGCGCCACTCCCTGCGGTCGCCACGGCAGCAGAAACCAAAAGCAATCAATGACCCTCAAGCACGGATTCACAAGACCTCCACCACCCAGGATCATGCACTTGCAATGGGCCGATCTCGATTGAAAGCTAAGAAGATCTTTCCCCAAAAGAGGAGCCACAAGTCCAAGTCCTTCCCCTGTAGTTTCCATCACTACGGCTGCCCTGCGGTTTTCTCCAGCAAGAACGAATGGAAACGCCACGTGTCTTCCCAACATGTCCGGCTCGGCTTCTACCGCTGTGACCTAGGAGCGTGTTCATCCGAGTTTGCACCACATCAGCACAGAGGTTACAACGACTTCAATAGAAAAGACCTCTTCACGCAACACTGTCGCCGTATGCACGCGCCATGGGGGACGAAGGATAAAACCATGGAGAAGGTGAGCAAGAAAGAAAAGGACAATTTTGAAAAGGAGCTCGGCCAAATTCGTGCTCGCTGCTGGGTCGAAGCCCGCAAGCCTCCGGAGAAGACCAAGTGCGGGTTTTGTGATAAGAAGTTCATTGAAGGCCAGGGGCAGAACGGTTCCGTGCTCGTGAGAGCTTGGGATCAGCGCATGGAACACATGGGCAAGCACTACGAGAAGGACGGGTTCGTCGCAAAGGACGAACGAGTCGACCTGGGCCTACAAGGATGGGCTCTGAGAGAAGGTGTCATCAGGCAAGCAAAGACTACGAACCGGTACCTGCTCGTTGGCTTGGAGCCGGCACAAATAAATGAGAGTAATATTGTTCCAATGAAGTGGAGAAGAAGTGGGAGGGTTGTACGTCGAAGGGGCGGGGAAGATGATGATGAAGGAGAAGAAGAAGAGAAGGAAGAGAGAGAGAGTAGTGTTTGGATGGAACTTGACTCCAATGATGAATATGAAGATGAGGAGGATGAAGAGAACAGTCTCAAAGCTCCTGATGCGGAAGCCGATTGAACGCGAAGATGAGCGATGTTACTATATCGAGACACACCATATGGAAGTTTCTGGTCTTTTTTCTGGAGTTCTATGAATGGGATGAACATGAGATGAAAAACTTGGGCTGGCATGAGGACATTGATGACAACAAAGCTGCATCATTCCCTCGTGCCGTGGGATGTAATGATATGATATTGGGATACCCTATATAGTTGGTTGTCTGGATTGGAAAATGGTAAATTCTTTTCTTCTCGCTTCCTCTGATTCTTTTACTTATCGACTACACTCAGAGGTGTTGTAGAAGTTCCTGCTCTCTAGGACTCGTTGTTTGTCTTTGTCACACTTGGGGTCTTGTTCTCGAGGTGTTTATCTCCTGTGTCCCTTCATTGTGTTATCTTTGTCAAGCGTGGTCTCTGTTTCTTGTCTGTCTTTATGTCGACATCTTTTCTTTGTTTCAATGGGACATGTGTGCGCCTCTTTGATAGTAGCTATCTTCGTTGATCCACCTTAGAGAAGCACACTAGGTTTACAGACCATACAAGACTTTGAAATTACCTTCAACCTCGACGACACATACCCAGTCAACCACCACAATTGACGAAACAAATATGCTGACGTTATTATTATCAAGGTACATCGCCGCCATAATGGGCACGACATTTCTCGTCGTTCAGGCTTTCCCTTCCGACCGCCGAAGCCACACTCATGTTGATGAACCTCATGACGATCTCGGACTCGAGCCTCACAACCTGACAAACCTGAGCGCTCGCGGCGGGGCCCCTACTGACGCTGTATCTCAGCTTCTCGCCATCGCTCCTTCTTCAGATACATGCGCAGACGCACCCATCCCGTCTGAATGCACGGTGACCACAGCCTCACTCGCGCAGATCATCATCGCCAGTTTCGGGCGCCACTCCGTCACCACCGGACTCGAGCAAGCCGCGCTTTTGTCCTGGATGGCGTTTGAATCGGCCGAGTGGAAATACAACCGCAACCATTTCCCTGCGCCGGGCCGGCCCGGCCAAGGAACGAGGGTGATGATGATGCCGAATTACGTGGCCGAGTTTGCGAGTGGTTTCGAAGAGCTGACGGACGAGGTCACGGCTGCGGGTGGTGATCTGGACAGGATTCTGGATTCGGTACTTGGTGACGAGTATAGCTTTGCGGCGGCGGCATGGTTTTATGATACACAATGTACGCAGGAAGTGAAGGAAGGTGTGAAGACAGGTGGGGAGCAAGGTTGGGAAGAGTTCGTGACTGGTTGTGTAGAGACGACAGTGACGGCGGACAGAAAAGGGTATTGGGTCAGGGCCTGTGAGGCTTTGAATATCGTTGTTGTTTGAACGGGTCAGCTACGTGGTAGCTTCTCCTCCAATACAGAGTAAGGCTGCAAGAAATATACTGACAATTAGATCCCATTATTTCAAGAGCAGATGACTCCTTCTGCTTGGGTAGCTTAGGTGTGGATGGATTACATAGTAAAACTGTTCCAATGCTTGGTAGTTCTTGAACATCAAAAAAGATATATTGACATTCCGTACTCCAGATTATGGTGGTTGGTAAGGAACACCCCGTTGTTTACGCATGATTTTTAGCCGCCGCATATGTCTGAGACAATGTAACGCTGACCACCCTACAAGAGCTTTTCGTTAAGGACGATGCTGTATCATCTTCGCAGCTTCCACATTCAGGAAATTCTCCCTGGACGTAGTTCGAACTACACGATACCAATGTGAACGGTTTTGAGGCCTCCCATGTTTGGCCCCCATTACTCTACAACAGTGTCGCAACCAGCCTTCGCCAGCCTTGTACACCCCAAACCTCCTTGAGAGCCCGGTCTCTTTTCTTAGCTCTTTCGCTAAAGAATTTACTGTTGACTGGCGCGTGTCACCAGACCTCGTTGGGTCGTCGACAGTGATTATGGCTTGCCATTGGTGGTTGCGGCCATTTTCCTTTTGGCAATCTCAGCTCACAACCTGAAGCAGCAACAGCGAGGGGTATCGACCTCATAGATGGCGCTGTCCTCAACTCCTCGCCGCATGAAATTCGATACATGTCAGCTAAACTCGACCACATATCCCCGTGGATCTCATTGTACAACTTTGCACGAAAACTACCCACAGTCCGTTCCCAGTGTGCTTTGCCAATTGAAACGGTTCGTCCTAGGCGATGGACGCAAGCGAGAGAGGTATGGCCGATGATAACAAGGCCAATAGCAAAGTGGTCTCTTTTGAAAATCCCGAAGCAAAACTGTCTACACTCAGCACATTGTGGAAGGTGGCCATTCAAAAATTCTCCAAGGAGAACCACGTCAGCATATCGGAGCTCGAGCTGGAGGGTGACTTCCCCAGCACTGGTAGTGGTGCGGAAAAGGCCAATCTGATGTGGCAGAAAGCCCGTCATCCTGATGATCGAAAGGATAAGATAGTCACAGCTGTTGGAGGATGCTTAGGCTGGATAGACATGGCCGTTGAATATCTGAAGGATGCAGTACCTGACGGAGTCAGTACATTTTTGGGCGTGATCACGCAACATTACTGACTGTCATTGCAGTACGGAACCCCCGCAAAAATTGTTGCAGGGACGATTAGCTACATGATCAAGGTTGTATCCAGGTGTCTTGTCACTGAATGCTCCGCTGATGGTCAAAGGCTGCGAATAAAATGACCAGCGACTTCGATCTTATCGAGACAACCTTTGAGGGCCTCAACAATGCCCTGCGGGACATTGGCCTGCTGAAAAACCATTCCACTAGAGAAGATCATTTTACATATCGATTAATGGAAATCTTCCTGGCCATGTTTGATTTTTGCAGCTACACTACCACTCTTTTCCGCAAGCATACTCGAAGACGTATCCAGAAGTACATTCTTCCATTGGTCAATACATGCTGACGTGTCACCAGATATGTATCTTCGTGCGCTCTTCAAGGGCAATAACGAAAAGATTCAACAGAAATGCGATCACGTCAAAAAGGCGATCCAACAATTCCGAGACACTGTGCCTGTCAAAAGCTATGCGACCGTACTGGAGACAAATGAAAAAATTGACGAGTTACCCAGCAACCTCATTGTTGCAATACAATCGTAAGTGTTGCTCACGAGAAGCGGCAGAAAGTAGTTGCGTTGTGAGGTTCTCATGATATGCAGAATGAAATCCTCTGATCTACAACTCCTTCTTGGGCGACAAAAACCGACTTTCAAAGATATATTGGAAAACTTCCGAAAGCGAGGCGTCAATGTTGACGCAAAAGCAACGATGGAAAAGCAGATGGAGCTCATCAAGACTCGTTCGGTTGCAAATACCTTCTCCTGGATTAGAGAAGCGCCTACCTACTCATCCTGGTTGAAAGGCCAGCCGTCCCCGTTTCTTTACGTGTCGGGTTCTTCAGGAGCAGGCAAGACATACTTTATGTACAAATGCTGTCGAATCCTTGAAGATGGCCCTAAAGCGACAAGTATAGCGACGCAATCTGACAAAGGAAAGCAGATGGCATCAGTGGCATGTTTCTTCTTTGAACCAGGCAAGGAAGATGTCCAGTCCTTTCGAAACATTCTCGCCACACTTGTACTACAGATTGCGGAACAGGACGTCAGGTTGTGTGAGACGATGGCAAAAGACCTCGAAAAAGTATCCAAAGACGACGAAGCAGGCATGGTCACGACTCTGTGGGAAACTATGATCCTGAAGAAATTTGAAAGGACATCGGAAGGGTCTCCACGGACGTTGTACATCTTATTGGATGGTATCGATCAGATGAAAGCTGAATACTTTTCAGACATGATGGATCGTTTCAAGGCGCTAGGTCCAGACAAACACTCGATTCGGGTCATGTTATCAGGTTCTCGGGACATGGGTAACAAAGTCGACCTCAAGTCGCTATCAGAAATCGACTTGGACGAAATGACAAAGTCGAAAGGTGACATTGCCAAAGTCATCAATGATCGCATCCACAAATCGGCTGCTCTCAACAATCTAGGCCTCCACTTCAAGGAAAAGATCACGGACAAGTTTAATCACTGGGCGAACAGTAAGTAGTCCGACGTGACGCTTTGAACAACTTGGAAGGCTAAGATTCTCCCGTCAAAAGGTGTAATGTCGTCAGTAGATCTCATGCTAAGCTTGATTGAACAAAATGGGGGAGATAGGTACGCAGCAGCCAAACTCATGGAAGAGGCTGAAACCCCCGAATGGCTGTACAGAGCAATGATTAGACTGGTGAAAGTCAATAGGAGTGACCTAGTGCGAAAGAGCGTGGAGAGATTATATTCATGGTGTACATATGCGAAACAACCACTCTCTGTCGATGAACTTCAACATATATGGTCAATCGACACAAATCTGGGTAAATTCGACATACGAGAAGAGATTCAGGGAAAATCGTCCAGGTAAGTCGACAATGTCGGCTGGTCTCATACGGACTAACGTGATCTGAATCCGCCCAAAAAATATGGATCTTGCTGATGACTCTGAACTGCCTACAGTCTACTCTGCATCGAAACACTGCTACCGGGCCAGGACGATGCGGCAAGCTCCTTAACAAACCACGATGTAGTTTCATTTCGCCAGCCCGCCATCCGTGACTTCATAGAGACAGAAGGACACGACATGATCGAAGATCCCTTGCAAGAGAAAGTGAATATCTTCAAAACCCTTTGCGCGATCCTGAGCAGTGGTAGTGCAGATGGCGATCCTTTGAGAAAACGGCTCCAAAGTTACGCCTGTAGAGAGCTCATTCGACATCTGGATGACATTGATGTCAAAGCTACTTCATCGGAACAGGGGCGGGATGTGGTGGAAGGTATTGTTCGAGTCTTGTGTAACGAGAACGATGTCTGCTCTGTTTTTGAGACTGTTTTTCGGGATTCCAATCGATTCTCGGTGGATTTCGATTTGTATGAGTCTTCTGGTCTAGGTGTCTTTAACATGGCTGGGAAACTCGTGAGCACTTAAGACCTCTGGCAGAATTTGCACTACCAAAGCACAAAAATGCTGACCTTCAACAGACAGCATGGGCGAAGAAAATGAATTTTCATGACGAAGAAGATCTCTCTCTAGATGCGACAGACTGGGTCGAAGCAAGCATCATCATGCCACAGCGGATGTTGGAAACCTTGGGCTGTGGACATCTTGAGAATTGGGTCAAAGCTGTTACAGTGTCAGAGGCTACAGTACCGTACACGCTAGCATATCGTTGCTTGTATATTGTGATACTTTCTCTTGCAACAACACTTTTCATTCCCCTACTGATCAACTGAATAGGTCGGCATATTTGAAGATCCCGCCTTGAAGAGACACATGGACCTACCTGTTCTTTCTCCCGACGAACTCATGACCGAGTACATTGCTAAAATTATGCTGAGGTATGCCCGAAAGGTTCGTCATTTTCCGCGGGTGAAATTTGCCAAAGCACGGATTGCGACGGCGCTACTATTGAGTGAGGGCAATGACGAGGATCACGACAAGGCATTGCAGTTTTACACGGCAAACATCGTTGACAAATCCACTCCTGGTCCTGAGAAATTCTACTCTCTGCTCGGATCGCCGAATACTACGACCGCAAGGCTAGAGATGTTACTGATGACGAAGCGAAGGAGACATGGATCAAAGTTCAAGAGTACACGAGCAAGGCACTGCAACAATTGGCTCAGGAAAAGGGTGCTTTGGGCTCCGAGCTCGACAACGGACGGTGCTTAGCGGCATTCCTCCTCAAAGCAAATGCGTCGATGAGGCTTGCCGACGATGCAAAGGCTCTGGATACATGCGAGGGATTACTGCAGGCTTTTGACCTCGGTGAGGTCCAGTGGGGTTTCCAACTGCTGGATGCTCTGACTATGGTGGTAGAAATCCATTATCGCCATGGACGTTATGCCAGGCTTGTTCATCAAGTCTTGAACCAGAAGGCTCCATTGAAGTGTGCATGGTTCTGTCACCGGACTACGATTATGAACCACTCGGTTTATGCAGTTGACGCTTTTCGAGAAGCCGCAGTTCGCTCAAGGCGAGTTGACATGAGCATTCGCCTATGTGAAGAGGCGATCGAATACTGGCGGGAAAACGATTCAACCATGGCCATCTTCCTCCAGGATTATCTAGCCGTTATCTATCGTCGAGATGCTCGGACTACCGTAATGGCAGAAAGGCTGCTGGACAATATCATCGAAACGATCCAAAAAGACTACACTCTACTCAAAGGCGGCATCCTGCGCAGCGTATTCCCTAGAATGGTGGACATACTTTCCGAGAAATGCCACTTGAGCCAGTCGGAAGTCACGAAAAGGGAAAGCGTGATGAAACTCACAGGCTTCATCAACGAGTTCAAGGGAACCGCGGTTGTTGAGCCCATAACGTTCGCGGTCGCCCTGGTCGCCCTTGCGAGGATGCAAAAAGACTGCCCTGGGTACGGAGTGGCGAGGGCGATGGTCGAGGCTGATCGCGCCTTCAAGCTGTGCATTGCGGATCTCGAAGACTCAACTGGGGCTAATGACGGTCTAGCTTTCTGTGCACTTGCCCGAGTTTTGATGTTTGCAGGGTACGACGTCGATGCCAGCGTATCCCTATCACTACAGTTCTCCGAAGTTCGAGACTATGATGATTCAGAGTCTCGTTCTCAAACCCCCGACAGTGCGTTGAAGCGATGGAATACTAATTCTAGTCGCGGAACTGGTTCCACCAAGTCAGACGAGGAGAGTGGCCAGGATGATGACACGTCTTCTACTGTCTCTACCACACAAGACGGGGGAGTCGACAACCATGATACGCCAAATGTTATACCTGAAGAGCCTGCTTCCAATAGCCGTCCACTCCTCCTCGGCCCTCCAGAAGTGGAGCCAGTTGTGAACAACGAGGATCAGATAGCAGCAACATCTGATGAGACTGACCAACGGAACGATCCAAATCATTGACGAAGCCCCAGCCAATGCGTCAACCATCAAAGAGTCACAGCATGCCAATGGCACACACGTTGAAGGTGATGTTCGGCTAACCAATGGGGCTCACATGACAGCAGACGGTGAGGGTGCAGCAAACCCGGTAGATAGCGTTCAAGATGCACAGCCGGTGTCTTCAAGTGCAGCCTCGGTCGTTATGGCTGAGGCACTTGATACCGTATCAAAAAGTCGAGCAGAGAAGACGATGAGTAGTGGAAGGGATATCGCTCAAGAGGAAGAGGTTTCAGACAAGATGAGGGATGTCGAGTCGGATACGCACAAAGAGGAAGAGGTTCCAAATCCACGCGAGGGCGAAGATGTGTTCGAATACGGACAATTCGTATACTGCGATGGGCGTTGCAGTCTGAACCCCATCACCGCTTGGCCTCTGACGGAGAAGTATTATTTTTGTAATGACTGTGTCGACGTGGCCCTCTGCGGCAAGTGCTATCCGACGCAGACTCAGTACTACGAGGATTACGGACAGGGATTCTGGTACAAGGTCTGCTGGGCAAAGCACGAGTTCCTCGAAGCGCCCATCGACGGGTGGAGAGGAGTCAGGAATGGAATGATTCGGATCGGCGACAAGGAGAAATCGTGGTTCGAATGGCTCGACGAGGTCAAGAAAAAATGGCAGAAGAAGATGAATGAGTTTGGCGAGGGTGGGTTGAACTCAAACGAGCGTATTGGGACGTAATCATATTGTGACGGACGACGGCTCTTGATCGATGGACACTTTGAAATGCCGTTGTAGCAGTTGAGATTTGAAGAGAATATTAAAAACATGACACTATATGAGTACATGTATAAACCTGAATTTAGGGGTGCCGCCAATACTCGTTGTTAAGGCCCGGGCCCCTGCATCATGACTGTGTTATCTTTTTCTTGTCTTGAAACTTTGGTTTGATAGAGATGGAGATGGAGTTGTCAATGTCTGATGGGGAGATTGAGTCTTGGACCCGTCCCTTCCCCCGAGTGAAGAGTTGTCCAGTAGGTCCCACGTTTCAGAAGGCAGCGAAAGGACTGACCCAGGCAGTTTGGGTGGTTCATATCGAGTCGTCAACCGTCAAGGAACATGTCTTGTCTTTTCCGGGGAGGAATGGGGATTGGCTCTTTCGAGATCGTCTGCTTTGATGGATCTTTGTCGATTTGGGGATAATTTTGATTGATTTCGTCCATCATATCGTTGATTGTTTTTGTGATGATTGTCCAGACGACTCGGTACGTACTTGTGGTGAAAAAAATGCCCTCCTCACACCCTCTCACCGTCATCCGTCACGTCCTTGAGGACCGGTCCTTCATTGGCTCTCATTCACCGGCCTGGAGACACCCCTCCGTTGCCGCACAGTTTTGTCGTGGTGTCGACGTTGCGTTTCTCCCTCTCACCCTGGGCTTTCCCACCCCGGTGAGTCAGACTGTTTCCGGTCCCTTCTTTTTTTTTTGTTCTTGGTTACCACTCCTTGACCTTTAGTTTCAACGGCAAATGGAGGAGCTTCTGTCCAAACGGCGTCGAACCCGGTAGTCTTCCAGCTCTGATGTTCATCTGTAGGGACTGGTGTAGGAGTCTCGGTTCTCCCAGTTGAGCGTCACGTTCCCTCCTCATGGCCACGAAGTCGTCCTCGGACACGTCGTCCTTCAAATGCTTGTTTTGGGTCTTGTGTTGTCGGACCGTCATGTAAGGTTGTGGCAGGGCACGATCCTCCGGGGGGTAATCGTGACCGGTCCAGATTTTCACGTCGTTGGCCATGCTCAGTAGTTTCTGAGTCGACTTGTAAAGGTCGTACGCACTGCCTCCCGGGAAGTCGCAACGGGCGGTGCCAATGTCGGCGTGGAAAATCGAGTCTCCACAAAAGATGTTGTCTGTGATGAAGAAGAAAAAAAATGAATAGTCCGTCAGTACTCACTCATACAAGACATGTCGGAGGTCAGAGACTCTCTCATCTCGGAGGTAGGGAAAAGGGGATGAAGGTGTGGAGTGTGCGTGTGTGTCTATACATGTGGGAAGGATGATATATCTCACCTCCAATTTTATAACCAAGGTGGTCTGGAGTATGACCTGGCAGATGAATTGCCTGGACACTCATGTTTCCGATCTTGAAAGTTTCGTCGTCTTCGAATAACTTGTCAAAAACGTTTTGGTACTCCACGGTTGGCACGCCGTACTTTTGACCAAAGAGGTCTTGAACTTGGTCTATGCGTTTGCCGATGCCGATGCTCGGTGCCGTGCTTTGGTCTTGAGACAACCTCGTGCGAAGATACGTCGCGGCCGTGGGGTGGTCGGCGTGAGCGTGAGTCTCTAGGATCATTTCGACTCGGTAACCTTTTTCCTTGATCAACGCGAGAAGTGCGTCGGCAGAGGTCGTGCTAGCCGTCTGCGTGGATGGGTCGTAGTCCAAGACCGGATCGATTATGACGGCTTTTTTGGTGTCAGGGTCGGCCACCACGTATTGCCAAGTTCCAGTTTGATCTTGAAAGACTGGATGGATGGACGGCTGTTGAACGGTCGCTGCAGTGCCGGCTCCAGTGGCGTACGTCGCTCGATTTACGGGTCGGTGGGCCGGGGTTTTCCTGGACATGGACACGATGGCGGGGCCTGTGCGGGAACATTTGGGTGGTCCACAGTTGCCTTTGTGTGAACATGTTTGACGGAGATCTGTTTTGCTGAATGATCTTGCCGTTGACGTGCTGTATGCAGCTTTTGTCAATACCCGGTCAAGTGGACTGTTGCGAACACTGGCTCGGATGGTGATGGTGGTAGTGCAAGGAGTGGCGGGTAAACTGGTGAAAACGTGGCGAATGTTACTCGAACAGGTACGAGTTGCTAAAGAAGTCATACTGGTGGTGCTTTATCGATACAAGGTACTCGGGAGGTGAAGTGAACGGGGTAAGAAACAAAACTTATCGAATTACAATTTCTGATGATGAGTTGTGAAAAAAGTTGCGAGGCTATATGAGGAAATCAATCTCAGTCCACCCAAAAGAACTTTCGGGATATGACAAAAGAGAGATTAGGGGTCTAGACAAGGCTTTCGTCAATCAATTTAGTGCCCGGGGGGTTTATCAACGGCTGATCAAAGTACAGAGAGGATCGCACTAATTCTACTGGAAACGGGAGTACGAGGGCGAGGGGACTTGATCCGATAACTCCACAGTACAGTTCCCATCCTCCAAGGAGGTACAGGAGGCAACAGGAGGTACGGAGTACAACACTCCCTACTGTAGGCACAGTATGTACAATAGGTACCAGTGGGTAGTCAGACCACGATACAAGGCAAGGCTGAAAGGACCCACTTCGGCGACTAGCGGAGAAGCTTCGCCGAACGATGAAGTCCGTTATAAAATCTGCTGATGTGGAAACTTTTCTCCTTCCAAGTCCCCGATCGACCTGCAACCCAGCCTTTTGTCGACCTTTTTTGATTTTGTTGTTGTCGTTTGTATTTTTTTTGTGGTCGTGTGATTCTCATCTCACTTAGTCTTGTCATTGAGTCAAGTCACATCTGCGAGTCTACAGTTCACTCTACTCGGACCAAAAAAAATGTTCAACAACCGAGTGGTGGTCCACGCCGGACGGTGTACAGCAAGGGCCACGCGACAGAAGGTTTCGTCGACAATAATGACAAAAAGAAATCTCGCCAATGTCGCTCCGGTCGATTCGGCCTCATCAAAGAGTCACAAGGTCGTGGTCATCGGGGGCGGATCTGCGGGTGTCGCCATCAGTCACCAACTTTTGCGCACGGGCAAATTTGCTCCTCGAGACATCGCCGTTGTTGATCCCGCGACCTGGCATCACTTCCAACCTGGATGGACACTGGTCGGAGGAGGCCTCAAGAAGAAGCAGGACCTCCGGAGACCGATGAAGGAGCTGTTCGACCCGAAACTGGAGTTCTACCACGACAGCGTCAAGGGATTTTCACCCACAGAAAACTTCATCACCCTCTCCAACGGCGACAAGGTCAGTTACGAACAGTTGGTCGTCGCTCCGGGAATCAAGATCGACTATGCCAGCATCAGGGGTCTGTCGGAGGCTCTGGAGGATCGGTCCTCGTCGGTGTCGACCATCTATGGTTATGACTCGTGCGACAAGGTGTTTGAGACCATCCAGCGACTCAAAAAGGGAAACGCCATCTTCACCCAGCCTGCCGGCGTCATCAAGTGCGCCGGAGCACCTCAAAAAATCATGTGGCTGGCTGTCGACTTCTGGAAGAGGGCCGGCCTGTACGATCCCGGCAACGTGGTCAACTCACCCATCCAAGTCACATTTGCCACCGGATTGCCCGTCATGTTTGGCGTGCCAAAATACAGTGCCAAGCTCAACGAGATGCGTGAAGAGCGTGCCGTCGAGGGTCTGTTTAAGCACGACCTGAAATCCATCGACGGCGACAATGCCACCTTTGCGCACGTCGAGACGGGCGAGCAGGTCACGAGAAAATTCGACCTCTTGCACGCCGTGCCGAAGATGGGCCCCCACGACTTCATGAAGACCAGTGGACTGACCAACGAGGCCGGCTACGTGGACGTGGACGAGGCCACTTTGCAACAGAAGAACTACCACAACGTCTGGTCGTGCGGCGACGCCTCCAGTCTGCCGACATCGAAGACGCTCGCGGCCATCACCTCTCAGGTTCCCGTGTTGGTCAAGAACCTGATGGACACCATGGAAGGCAAACAACACAACCAGACCTACGACGGCTACACGTCTTGCCCCCTCTTGACAGAATACGGAAAAGTCATGCTCGCCGAGTTCAAGTACGGAGGAGAGCCCAAGGAGACGTTTGGTAACTTGATGGGCATCGACCAGGCTACCCCGAGACGCGCATTTTATCATCTCAAAAAGGATTTCTTCCCATGGATATACCACAAGGCTCACGTCAAGGGAACGTGGCATGGACCCAAAGGCTGGAGACCATGAGCTTCCGTCACACATGTATGACTATATTTTTTATTTTTCAAAAGAAGGAATTATTGCTTTGTATGGAATTTATTTTGAATCCTCAGTCAATGATACGAATAAAAGAGAGCAATTAAAGTGTGCGTACCTCTCCAGTGCTGTCGATGGTATGGGCTTAAGGGAGCAGAGTACAACCCTCAACGTTGTTTGGTATTCAGAGTCGACATTGTATCTAAGCCGAGTCTCGTACAAGTTCCAAATCAGTATTATGTCGTATGCGATGAGCTTATCACCCCACCCAAGGCAAAACAGGAGTCAAGTCGCCGATTTTCAATCGCTCAGGTCGAATGAAGGCGAGGACCCGGATGTGCGGAGGACCCACACCCCTATAGCCCTACGCGGTACGGATACAGATCGAGCATGTTCCTTTAGCGAGAACGCCGTGTTTAGGTCCATCGAGGAACCCGCTCACCTGGGTCACGGCCCGACGAAAGCTTCTATGCATCTACCGGTCGACCGACCGACTCTTCTTTCCATCAAAAGTCAGTCAGGCGTGAGGCTGAAAAGTGGCACCTCTCACACCGGGAATCAACATCATCATCATCATCATCATTCGCCGTAGCTGGTTTTCGGGAATCGCTTTGCCTCGCCGTCGCCGACGCAAGTCCTTTCATGTACCTGGAATACCGGCAGAATAAGGAGGAATTCCCCCTAACCACGATGGTCGGGGTCAATCAGATTTCAGTCAGAGTTCTAGTTAGGTCTTTACGAATTTGTTCCTCCATGGGACCAAAAAAACCATGGGCCAACACCATTTTGATTTTTTATCTCGCTCGCCCTCGAGTCACACCCCGTAGATGTACGTTCGATTGAATCATCTCACCACTTGGGGTCCATTGATACTTGTTTGTTCGTTCCTTTGTCATCTTTCCTGTATAGGTGAGCTTGTCAATGGATCAATCACAATGACCACATTACCAAAGACACCTACCCCCGCCGCCCCTGGTGTGGCGGTGGTGGTGCCAGCCGATGAAGCCAGAAAGACATCTCAAGAAGAGAGCGTTGCCTCGGGGAAGAAGAAATCGAGAAAAACACATTATCCTTTTTGGTTCGGTGGGAGCGCTGCAAGCATGGCTGCATGTGTCACTCATCCATTGGATCTTGGTATGTTCAGCTATTGCTTCTCTTATTTTCAATTCCACATTCTTTCAAATGGTTCGAAACTAAAACATTACTCACTACTGACCAGAAATATAGTAAAGGTTTGCATACTACCCATGTCCCATAGCACAACATAACCACCTCACCAGCAAAGCCGCCTCGGGGTGGTGGCATCTACGGATCGTTTGAGGTTTTTTTACTGAGTTGGAATATTTATTAGGTTCGTCTTCAAACTGCAGCCGGGGTTCCTGGCTCGACTCAGAGAAGCATGTTGGAGACGATCGCAGGCATCGTCAGACATGAAGGCATAATGGGTTTCTACAGTGGTTTATCCGCCTCCGTTCTACGTCAAGCGACCTACTCGACCGTTCGGTTCGGAGTGTACGAAGAAATGAAGAGGCAGTGGATCGGTGACGGCGATGGCGAACAGCAGAAGCCTCCCAGTTTTCCAGTACTCGTCGCCATGGCTTCGATATCGGGTTTCATGGGCGGTATCGCTGGAAACTTCGCAGACGTCCTCAACGTCCGTATGCAGAGAGACAAGGCGCTTCCTGTGCATGAACGTCGAAACTACAAGCACGTTTTTGACGGTATTTTGAGGCTACAACGGGAAGAAGGAGTCAAGGGTTTCTTCAGGGGTTGGGTGCCCAACAGTACCCGCGCTGCCGTTCAAACAGCCGGACAGTTGGCCAGTTACGACACCGTCAAGAGGATGCTGATGGAGTATACGCCCTTGAGAGAAGACACCCTGTCGACTCAACTCGCCGCTTCTTTCTTGGCCGGAGCCATGGCGGCCACGGTGACGAACCCCGTCGACGTCGTCAAGACAAAGGTCATGGCGGGGGATGGAAAGCCGGGGGGTGTCGGTGAACTCGTCACCACCCTCTACCGTCAGGAGGGTCTTTCTTGGGTGTTCAAAGGCTGGACCCCTAGTTTTTTACGCCTGGGACCGTGAGTTTGTTCGCTCCCCGTCTCCGGTTTGATTTCGATTTTCCATTGCCGCTGACCTGATCTACCTGTGAAACACAGACATACAATATGTACTTTTCTATTCCTAGAGACACACCGGAAAGTCTATCGATCTTTGCAAGGAGAAGATTGAGATGGTTACCACAAATGTCATTCCTACACTACACAACACGGTCTAGAGTCACCCACGACCTTTTTGCATACTTGTCATCAAACTACAAGTCCGCTGACTGGCGATGAGAATATGACTTAGGCTGCAAGAGTTGACCTCGACCAATTTTCCTTTCGTAACGAAAATCTTTCTTCCAAGGAGCCAGAAGCAATCACAGGACGATATAGAAGACAACGTTAGTTTTATCGAGATCCTTGGAAATGGCATCTAGATTTTCCCTACAGCCATCATTTTACGAACTCTGAGTTTGGGTGCTTCTACTCCGTATCACACATCTTGACACTCACCTCCGGCCCGTGTCGATCCGCAAGGCTGAATCCCTTGTGGAGTAACGGAGTGCGAATTGAAGGGTGATATCGAGTTCAAGCCAAGAACTTTATCAGCTGGCCTTCAAAGTTTGGGTAACGACAGACAACACCCAAGAAATGGAGATATGAATTGAGCCATCTGGAAAAACCACAGACGCAATATAAGATGATCAAAGTCATTAATTAATTTCGTACAAAATGTTATCTTCCCGGAACAAAGGTGTCCTGAATGTCCTCGAGAACGTATCCCCAAGATGATATTGACCATCAAATATAGATCGTTGGTGAAGGGGAACTCAAATGAAGCACCGGTCACCATAGATTCGAAATCTTCGATTCCAAGAACGAGAATATTTTAACCAAAGAAAAGAAAAGAACCATGGAATGTGACCGAAATGGCTCAATCCAAGTCGTAGGTCTGAAATTCCGAGGCCGTTGCTCATATCTTCGTGAAAAGAGCATGCTGAGAAATGAATAATAATCGTAGTGTAGCATCTGGTTTCGCCGTTGTTTTGATCGCTCAAGCAGATCGATCAATCAAAATCATCTCTTGGTCTACCGTCTAACCAGTTCCTAGCCTTTTTCAGACTAAAAGTCCTCCTAGGTCTTGGATCCTGGTAAGCTTCATTGCTGCCATACCCTCTGCTCGGATCATCGAGATACTCCTTGCCAATGATGCCATTACCTCTCAACTTATTAGGCGGATCATGAGGCTGGGGGTCTGATGGCGAGATACCGAGAACGCGCTCTTGTTTTCTGAGACGACGCATCGGAAACTCTCCAGATCCACCTGAAACGGGAGGCTGGCCGGTATTGAAGCTGGATGGTGGCGCTGGGGAGGAATGCGAATCACTTACAGTCCTGGGGACCTGCATCATTGGACGATTGTTCGAGGCCGATCCGATGGTCAGAGAGCGTCGTGTGCTGGGATGCTTGCTGGGTTCTAGACTATGGTTCGGAGGTGGTCGGCTCTCTGTATCATAAAGAATGTCATGGCTTGTAGTGGCGCGATAAGGCTGTGAAGATTGAGGATTGCCGCCTGACTGCTGCCAAGGCTGCATTTGTTGAGTTGCTGGAACCGCGCCTGACTGCATCTCATGATCCGACTCTTCGTCACTAAGAAACTCATCCGTCTTTTGCTGCTTGCGACTGCCAAACAGGCTAAATCTTCGGCGCGGAGTCGCCGTCTTAGGATAGACCTCTTCATCAGTAAAGCTTTCGTCATCACTTTGTACCTGGCCCCAGCTGCCTTCTGGACCGTGTGAAGCTCTGCTGGGCCGTCGCCCAGCCAGCCCAAATCTATTGAGAAGGGTAGGCTTCCTTTGTACACCAACAGTCTCATCAAGCTTTTCGCGGTCAGAGCTACCATCATACCAAAGAGCTGGAACAAGAAGTCGATAAGGTATCGTTATTCCAGCGGGTTGCTTTTGGCTAACTTCAACATTGAGCACAATATCAAGACCCCCTTCCAAGTTGATGTGGTCGTTGACATCGATCTCATTGCCTTCGGCATCAACAGCAGGAATGTTTCCCTTCCTGGCGGCCTTTTCCGATAGATTTGTCGGCCGACGTTGGAATGTATTTGGGCGTGCTCGAACACCAGATGAGGATTGATCAAAGGACGACGCACGTGGTCGAGCTGTAGCTTGGAAGTCGCCGGATGATTGCCTCGAACCAGATGTAGTCCTATCCTGGGAGACAGAACGTCCATTTTGCCGGATTGTGCCATCATGCGATGCAGAGCCCTCCTGCTCATACATCGCGTCACGGTATGAGGTGGGCGGCGCTCGTCGAGAGCTCAGTCGACGGAGTAAAGCTCTAGGGTTGACATCTTCTTTACTGAAAGAGAAACGTCGAGGGCGTGCCTCCAGGGTGCCTTGCGCCTCATCCACGTCCTCATCCTCTGACATGACCGGGCTTTCGGTAGGTGATGGCGGAGGCGTCGACCCAGGGATATATTCTTGGATGGAGCACCAATTACGGCGTGGTAGAAGGTGTGTGTTGTTTCGCTTCTTGTAATCGACATCATGTGTAAACATTGGAATCATGTTTTCGTCAGTATACATATCCAGGTGATGAGTCTTGTTGCGTTTATTCAGGATGTCCGCCAGCATATCCGACGGTGGTGTGTTCACAATAGCTGATGATATGATGTTCGGCATGTATCGGTGATCTCTGTCTTTCGGTATCTTGAGCTTGGGATTGGAATGGAATTGACCGACAGCTGCGAGATGAACATCTCCACTTAGAATGGTGATTCGACACGATTTCTCTGCTGCGAGGTCTTGTAGGTCTTTGATAAAGTCGTTCCGTTCGCGCTTGTGGCTTTTGGCGGTCCAGTGGTCATCCAGATCATCCAAGATCTCCACGCCACCGTCAAACTTGTTCAGGAAACCACCTTTCAAGACCCCTGCTCTGCCCAAAGCTTTCACGGGGTCCATGAGACGACTTGTCAGAACGTTTTCCAACCAGACTAAGCGTGGGTAGGCGATTGGCACTCCTAACAGAATGAGCAAATGCTTGGTCTCGCCCTCGATCAGTTCTTTTCTGCATCGCTCGAGGATGATATCAAGGGTATCAACGCTGAGAACTTCATGACGCATGCGTTCGGTGCGGCAGTCTACGCCGAGAAATGCAACGTGCTTACCCAATTGCATGAAGACGCTTCTGCTGACCTGCTTGATGTATGGTCCAGGCTCTCTCCCGAGTACCCAGCTTGGCTCATGAACCGTTGTTTCTTCTGGGACGCTTTGGTGTTGGAAAAGCATGTAGTATTTGAAAGCAATATTACCTATGCCCGAGAACACAGGGGTTTCCATGAAATGATGTGGATATGAACCGAAACCATCAATAATGTCGTGGTCGTCCCAAATGTTCACCATTGGAATTTGACTGGCTGCCATCCCAAAGAGACCCTGAGAAAACCACATGGAATATCGATTGAGGTAAAAGGTCTCAAGTTCTTCTTTCATCTCGTGCGTGAAAGGGGCGCTGTGCTTGTGCGCAGGGTTCCGCATCCTAGTCCACTCGCCAAAGTGTTGAGTCTCAATCATGACTCGATCATTATAGATTTGATCACCGCCACCAATCATGACATGGAAAGGGCGTGTCTCGTGAGTATTCAGGACGTCCCTCCACAATGGATCAGGCCCACTGAAATTATTTGGATTCACTGAGAGGCTGAATCCATTGCAGCTGTGGAACATGATATTCATCGTCTGTCCTTGGGCTGGCACCCAGAAGCCAGCAGAAGCGCCTCGATTGATCCGATAGGCGATGTGTTGTTGTTGCTCCATAAGTTCGATTTCAATGTTGAAACGCCAGAACGTTACGTCTCGGTCGGGATCAGCATACAATCTCGCGCCTTTGACTTCGGAATATCTGCCGAGCCGTTCGCCATCTGTATCAGAGGTTCTCCGGTTAATCGGCGTATTGTGATAACCATTAAGGTCGGTGGGACTGGGTGAGCTTTCGAAGAGGCCATCATCGTTTTCAAGTTGAGATAGATCTTTACCTTCTTCGAGGTGATCAATCGGACGAACATACAATGCGCGGCCAGTCCTAGAAAGCTTTGTCAAGCCAGCCACAGGATCAATATATTCTGGCCTTAAACCATTTTCTCCCACTTCATGAGGAGGAGGCGGCAGCAGTTTCTGAGGCTGACAAAAGAGGCGTAATGTTGGCGGCTCCTCATACGAAGAGTGTGAATCTTGCGTTACAATTAAAACGCTCCCTCGCCATACTTCACGATCTATCCCCTTCTCAACCTTGACCTTCTTTATGCCTGTATACCGAAGCAAGGGACCGCATCGTAGGTAAAGTCTGGGCTTGAACTCCGCAGTCTTGTCATCGATGGGCACTTCCTGGCCTGCTTGATGCGATACTGACGTCGATCGACTCCGGCGTCGCCCGGACCCCGTAGCAGGCTGTTCCCACCAAGCTTTGCCTTTATCGAGTGGAGCAGCAGCTTCCGTAGAGAAATGTTCGGCAGTGAGTCTTGCTATTCCAGCCTCTTTCCATTCATCGACCGGACGCCGATTCATAGGCTCCTTGAAAGAAACGCTGGACTTGCGCTGTCGTTGACGTATAGCATCGGCAACCTTTTCTGGTGGCGAACGTGGGCTGCTAGGATGTGGGGAGGGCTGAAGGCCTCGAATTGCTGGAGGAGGTGTATGTGGAAGATGGCGTTGACCGGCGGGTGAGTTCGAGATAGCCGTCCGTGGCGTCAGATCAAGGTTCTCAGACTTCTTAGTTCTGCTCGCGGATACCGTTGTTGGCACCGGAATCCGACTTGGTTGAGGGTCAGATGGTATTGCTGGGTCGAAGGATGTTGGTCGAGGCTTTTGAAGTTTTCGTGATCCGTCTCTCGCAAGAGCATTGGGCGCAGAGACTCCTGTCGGTTTTTCCAAAGCTGCTTTGTGAGACGCATTCTGTCTCTCCACCAAACTTTCTCGCTGGGGAAGACGTCTGTTTTGCGTTTCTTGTGCACGAGGCTGTCTGTCAATTCCACCCGACCGAGATGATTGTCTACCTGTCGATTGGGGTTCTTGTCGTTTCCTCGACTGTATTGTTTGAGAAGGTCCACTGGCCAACTCTGCGCGGACCTTGGACACAAGTTCTGGTGACTCATTTGTGTCCACATCATCGCTTCGATACTTGGTGCTTTGTCGGCGAGCTTTGCTCGTGGAGCCTGTCTGCAAGGGGCTTGATACAGTGTAGTCAAAGCCAGAAGGACCTTCGCCAGACAGAGTTCTGATGTCAGGCCGATGATTGTCCAGTGTTGTGCTGTGCTGTAGCCGTTGTCGGTGAGTCGTGCTGAGATTTCGCACTAATCCCGCATCCTCCAAGGTCGGCACTTCTGCCTCAATTGGAGGCTCGCGACGAGATGCAGTACGTTTTGAACTGGAAACACTCCTGTGTGTGGGTAATTGCTCACGGGAAGCTTTGATCTCGTTGTCCATTTTGCTGGCATTGCGTTCTTGCATAAGCATTTCCGCTTCTTGGACCCTCGCGCGCTTGGCCTCCTTGTTGATGTCGTTGAGGGTAACCTCCAATTTCTGAAGAGGAGACCGATCAGGAGCCCAGTCACGTCGCTGAGCCTCGTCGCGGAGTGCACTAGATCTACTCACTGCTGAGATTGGTTCTTCAATGTGTCGTGGGGTTTCTGATACCCGGCGAGGCTTTTGAAGTACCCTGGCAAGGTCTGCGGATGGTTCTCGTGCTGACTGCGCCTCTCTCCGAGGTATGGCCATAGGGCTATTGCCATTGAGGACGGTGGTCTTTAATCGCAGACCATCGGTAGCAAGGGGCTTTCGTGGTATTCCTGGCGCGACATCTTCCTGATTGGCCTTTGATACTGAGCGCCGCTTGGGATTGATGTTTTCATCTTCTGGGTAAATCCCATCCACATCGGCAAAGGCTTCTCTGTGGAATGGCCGTCCTTTCGCCCTCTGCGAGAAAGACCTATGCATGCCTGGTTCTGCCCCTCCTCCGCCTCGATATGCTATCGGCGGTCCTCGAGGGACTTCTGGTGCTACTGGGAGTGGAGGTTGCATGAGATCCGTCTGGTCGGCAGATTGAGACTGCCTCGAGAATTCTAGGCTGTTTCGACGATCCCCGCCATCATTGTTTCTTGTCCGTGTATTGTTTTGGAGGATCATATCATCCAACACCGGGTCATGGTAAGACTCGTGAGGATTCATTGAGGTAGCGATTTACGCAGTGCTGTTCGATTCAAGGAGTAGCTGGCAAGGAACGAGGTCAGTTCAGGATGTTTTACGCTTTCTGTTGAAAGCCATGAACAAGCAGTTTGAGACACTGGAGGAGGATCTCTGGTAAGGCTCTCGGCTGGGAGTGCAAAAGAAAGGTGTAGGTGTAGGTGAAATGCGCAAATGCCGTGCGGCTGTAAGCTGAGGGACTGCAATGCGGTAACACAACGACGGGATGAAAGTGGTATGAACAATGATGATAGAGCTATGTGATGTTAACATTATGTACAAGAAGAAATCAGAAAGCAATCAACATAGTAAAAGAATCCTGCAAAGTGCTTGTACGCAGGTGAGGTACCCATGTATCCGCGTGGCTGGTAAACTCGATGACCACGTTAGAGAAACAGAACCGAGTAAATCTTGCAGCAGGCCAAGTGCCAAATCAAGTCTCTTTCCGGGGCATCATTCGTCACTCGCATGGAGCTACGGGCCGCCGAAGGGGGACCGCTTTAGGCGTATGTTAACTGGAACAATGTCCAATGGGTGGCAATACATAGGGAGGCTAGAGACAATGCGCCCCTTTAGTCTCTAACTGCTTGTCCACTACAGCCATCCAATTAATGGCCAGCATGGGAAGATTGTCCGCCTGCGATTTTGCGCGTAGCCATCCCTGCGACTACGACTGCGGCCTGTGAATGCTTACAGTCTGTACAGATTCACCAAGGACAGATCCAGTCAAAAGTTCAATGTCCATATACAGACACGTTCTATCCACGCCATTTTATCCTCCAGAGACACCAAACTAATCAGTAGACACCTCCATTCGTTCCTTTGCCTCCTGATCACTCTTTTGTACCCTTGGTCCTCTGAAACGCCTACCTTGCACGATTCCTCCTCAAACTCCTGTCCTAGGAAAAAGTTCCTTCCCACTCAACCTCGATCTCGACGACCTGCGAAATAGACGCTGTTAAAGTGTACTCCTCGATTGTGTCATAGGTTGGTTGGAGGAATGCCTGTTCATTCACGGTAGACTTTTCGCCCTCGACTTAACATGCGGCTGCCATCATGGCTTTCGCTATTTCTTCTGGCTTCGCACGCAGTGGCTGCGCAGCGGGATTACGAGAAGAATGACTACTTCGCCGTTCATCTAGGTCCTACTGCCGACATCCAGGAAGTTGCTCGACTCTTTGGAGTTAAGCATGAAGGACAGATCGGGGAGTTAAGTGACCACCACACTTTCTCGTGCTCAAAGGGTTCATGTCCAGACTTTGAGGCTTCGTTACATGAATTAAAATTACGGAAGAAAAGATGGAGGAGAGGGGACATTGGCTTACAAAAACGCGACTCCTGGAGACAACTCTCCATTGAGTTGGGAGGCATACTCTGGGCCGAGCAACAACATCTTCGACATCGTCATGTCAAGCGCATACCGCCTCCAGGGCCCCTCGTTTCAAGGCAGGACAAGGCAGATGGCGGGACCGATGCTGAACAGCAAGAGGCCATACAGCGGCTGAATAGTATTGCCGAGACGTTGGATATTTCTGACCCCATCTTTAAGGAGCAGTGGCACTTGTTCAACCCGCTGCAACTGGGACACGACCTCAATGTGACCGGAGTATGGCTCGATGGCATCACGGGTAATGGGACCATCTCCGCAGTCATAGATGATGGTCTTGATATGGATAGCAACGATCTGAAAGACAACTACTATGCAGCGGGCTCCTATGACTTCAACGACAAGGGCCCTGACCCCAAGCCTCGGCTGTTCGACGACAAACATGGCACACGATGCGCTGGTGAGATTGCTGCCGTCAAGAACAATGTTTGCGGAGTGGGTATGGCATACGACAGTAAGGTCGCTGGCCTGCGTATTCTTTCCAAACCAATCAGTGATGAAGACGAAGCAACCGCTATCAACTACCACTATCAAGAAAATGACATATACTCGTGCTCGTGGGGCCCGCCAGATGACGGAGCAACAATGGAAGCTCCAGGAATCCTCATTCAGCGAGCTATGGTCAATGGTATACAAAGTGGAAGAGGTGGCCTCGGATCGGTCTTTGTCTTCGCAGCGGGCAATGGTGCGGCCAGTGAGGATAACTGTAACTTTGATGGGTATACCAACAGCATCTACTCTATTACGGTTGGAGGCATTGACAGAGCTGGAAATCACCCGTACTATTCAGAGGCTTGCTCGGCACAGCTTGTCGTGACATACAGTTCTGGCCACAATGATGCAATCCACACGACTGATGTGGGTGTCGACAAATGCTACACCGGCCATGGCGGCACGTCAGCTGCTGGTCCGTTGGTGGTAGGCACTGTTGCCCTTGCACTCAGTGCTAGACCGGACCTCAGTTGGAGGGATCTCCAGTATCTTTGTGTTGAGACTGCCATTCCAATACATCTAGATGACGGTAGCTGGCAGAACACGACCATTGGAAAGAAATTCAGCCACACTTATGGCTATGGCAAGGTTGATGCCTACCTTTTCGTCGAGGCTGCAAAGTCTTTCGTCCCCGTCAAGGCGCAAGCGTGGTTTCACTCGCCATGGCTCAGCGTCCAGCATGCGATACCTGAAGGTGATCAAGGGCTTGCTGCCAGCTTCAACGTCACGCAGCAAATGCTGGATGAAGCCAATCTGGAGAGACTGGAGCACGTCACTGTTACGATGAACGTCAAGCACGGCAAAAGAGGCGATTTAAGTGCCGATCTGATCAGTCCGGATGGTGTTGTCAGTCACCTGGCAGTAACTCGCAGACCAGATGTTGCTGATACAGGATATGATGACTGGACCTTCATGTCTGTCGCCCATTGGTAAGCCTTATTTTGTATCCGGATCTTTGTTCTCGTCTACTGACAACTCTGTAGGGGTGAATCTGGAATCGGCAAATGGACTGTCGTTGTCAAAGACACCCGCGAAAACGAGTTCAATGGCACATTTATCGACTGGCGTCTCAATCTCTGGGGTGAGAGTATCAATGAGCAGATACAAGGCCTTCATCCATTGCCTGATGAGCATGACGATGATCACGAAACAGCCACCGCGATCGTCAGCACTACAAGTGTAGATGCAGCTCCGTCACCAACATCACTAGCAGCAAAACCTACAGACCATATCGATCGGCCAACAAAGCCTAAGCCTGGCGATGACTCTGATACAACAGCCACAGCCCCGACCACGAGTACCGGTTCCGAAGCCGCTGCCACCACCACTGGAGCAGTAGAACCAACGCATACCTACTCGGACAGCTTTCTGCCCTCTTTCTTCCCAACTTTTGGCGTCTCCAAACGCACTCAGATCTGGATCTATGGCTCCATCGGCCTCATCATAGTCTTTTGTGCTGGGCTTGGAGTATATTTTGTGCTCCAACGAAGAAAGAGATTGCGAAACAATCCCCGTGATGCATATGAGTTTGAAATGGTCGGTGACGCCGACGACGATGAGCAGCAAGGTCTCAACAACCGCCGCACTCGCACAGGTAAAGGTAGAGCACGTCGTGGGGGAGAATTGTACGATGCATTTGCTGGAGAAAGCGACGACGACGACGACGACCTCTACAGCGAGGACGACACCTACCAGGACACCCCCAGTAACGACACTAGTACGGGTTCTAGAGGTGACAGCCCTGCAGGGCGAGAGAAATAGAATACTCTTCCTGCAGTCAGGCGGAAGCCTGCTGAAAACGCGCGATGAAATCCTGTATTCCTGTATAGTATCCAGTATTATTACGAGGTAGTTCAAAAATACAGCCGACCTCCAAACCCATATCTCACAAAGAGAGCGCAGACAAGAGCCTTGAATCGCTAAATCTCGCTCTCTGCTCTTGCAAGCTAAGCATCTGCATGAACTGATGAGCTCTGATCGCTTGTTGTGACGGTTATCTTGTAAGCATGGCCATAAATTTCATGCCGGAAATTACGTGTTATCCCTCTTGGACAATGCGCGCAGCCAGAAGTCTGGCCTAGTGAGGAGCCCTTGAGCCCTTGCAATTGCAGCAGGTTCGGCCGCTCCCAGAATCCATCTTTCTTCATAGCCCACGAATAAATGATTCCATAAACGATCCGACAGCAGCATCATGAGCCCTAGAACACGATACATATCATGGTGGCCGGCTCAAGGTCGTCGTTGAGGCGTCCGACGCGAGGTCACAACTCTCCCACGTCCAGCAGCCCATTAATCGAGAACACACCGCCACTGCTCCCAAAATCCGAAGACAAGCCTGATGCAACGCGAAACAAGCGTCTTCGTACCTCTACCATCTCTGGAGAGCAGCAGATCCTGAAAAGACGACGATTATCGTCCAACAGAACCGAGATACCTGAACTACGCATCCCGTTACGAAGTCGCGGGGGCCTGCCTAGAGTCAAGTCCCCGGCGCCATCTGCAGCTACCGCCCACAATGCAGCCTTTCCAAAATTGCATGCAAATTCCCCTAACATTGGAAAACCTCTTGACTCACCGAGCGGCAAACCCCAGTATGATCAAATCAGAATCATCGAAGAGAGGGCAAAGGCCTCAATACGTGGCAGTGGAGGGCTGTCTGCGCCGCGGGAGGAAAGGCGGAAGCTACGCTCTGAGGACGGAGGGTCACGAGCAAAGACAGAACTGGCACAATACTTTCCTGATTTCGAGGATATGCTCAGTTTGAAGCCTCCTGATCCTGGTAAACGTCATGAACGCCCCTTGTGTACCACTGCTAACACAGAACAGAAGCCTTGACAGTACGAAGCAAGGTTGTCCTCGTCGATGACACCCCTGGATTCGAGCCAGGGAGCCCTCGAACAGATCCCTTTGGCGTGAATAAGCCATTACACAACACAGAAGTCATTCAACTCAGTCGAAGAGGCATCTCGACCGATGTTACTGCCGAAGATCCCTTGGACGAGGAGTTATATCTCAAGATCCATGGAAAAGCAGAAAGGCACGAAAAGCAAATGAAGAATGGTGATCGAGAGAGGGCGCAGCATGAAAAGTATCAACTCGAAAAGCTGTTGGATGATCTTCGTGGGCCAGATTGGCTTAAGACGTTAGGAATTTCCGGCATCACAGAGACCGAGAAGAAACGATATGAGCCTAAACGACTGTTGTTCATTCGTGAGACACAAGCATTAATCGACAAATTCAAACGGTGGAAGGAGGAGGAGAGACGCAGGAAGATAGAGAGAGAACAAGCATTGCTCGAGGAGGCTATGGATGAAGACGAAGAAGACGACGAGACTACGGAAGAATCGTCTTCTGATACAGACGATGAAAGTATAGAGACTGCATCGACCCACGCAGCTAACTCTAGTGAGATCGATGCCCTTGCATCGCAACAACTTATCGATGAAGCCAAAAACGCAAATAAACGCAAGAAGCTGACACCTGTGTCGGTGCCGGAGATTCCCTCACCACCGCGACCATTTGTATCATTCTTCGACAAACGACACCTGCGCGATGCAGCGGTCTCAGGACGGCAACGGGGACGTAACATACTGGCTTTCGGTCACACAGTGCCAGAATTTGAAGACTCAGACTTCGAATTGCCTAATGATGTTCTCACAGAAGAAGCTATAAAAACCAGTCAGAGGTCACGGCGGCGTATACGACGTGGGATCGACGAATGAAGGTGTATCCTGGACGAGCTCAGGCTGTTTCTTTGCATGGGTTGTACTTCAAAAAAAAAAGACGGGGACATCATTATGAGACTGATAGGTCTGTTTCACGGATTGGCACGGGCTTATTTGTAGGACTATTGGGCAGCACCACATGGATATGGTTGAAAGGGGTCTCTGCTTGCTAGAGATTGAAAAATACAGATGGGCAACGATTATCACAAACAGCGATTTTCAAAGACAGCAAATTTACACGCCAACAGTATCGTCCATTCCTACAAAGGATGCAGTGTTTCCCTTGGGAGAGATGTCACACGACAACATCTTAATCCTTTTTACTTCTCGCATCCGTCGTGACACCAGTAATTACCGTATCTGAGTGCACGTTGCTTCGATACATGATGTCCTTTGAGTTGTCTTTGAGGCTTTAGAGCAATTTCGGCCTTGGAATATGCCTGATGCCTTCTTTGGAAGTAAACGTGCCATAAACGAAAGGGACATGAGCCGGAGATATACGGATAGTTTCCGGAGACGTATCGCACACCGTCCACGATATCGATCCGCATTTAATTCTCGGTGTACGGAGGATGAAGGATGAAGGATCAAAGCCTCGAACCGAAGAAGGTGTTGATCGTGGCCAGAAGGAGACACGAAACATGTGGCGCCGTCCTAAGTAAGCGAGTTTCGTTTACAAGCTGGTCCTAAATTTGGGGTCCAAGCCTCAGCCGCAGTTCGAGGATTCATCCTCGAAGGCAAACAACTTCCCTGTCGTTGCTGACACCAGCTACGGCGAGAACATGTACGACTACCTTTCTCTCGGCTCTCCTGGCTTTCTCGCCTGGTGTATCATGGGCGGAAGCGCTGCACCGAGAGAAATCCACGGAGCCTTCCGTTGAGCGGACAACATACAAGACCAGTCACTCGTTTCTACCAGAAAGTCATTCGAGCCATCCAGCCTAGCTACGACTGTCGAGAGTACCTGCAGGCTCAGTCCGACGAGTTTGAAGACCCATATACTCCGTCAGCGACCAGAGACGTTACAGCATGGTTAGAGCGCTGGCCAGTATATGCGCCGTCGCAGGCCTGTGCTTTGCGCATATTGTGACGGCATCAACAATCACCGCTGCCCCTGATGCCCTCGAGCCTCGCGCTGCACCTACATCCACGAACATCGCATGTGGCTATGCCTCCAGTGCCTCCAAGTCGTACTTGTCGGCGCATCCCTCAGGCAAGTTCTAGACGAACATACATCCTCGGGGCAATCACTGACTATTGCCAGCCACGTCTGTCGAAATACCAGCGGCCCTTGCCTACGAATGCTTAAAATCCATACCTAATATTCAGGGCCCTGCCATACGCCTGATCAACTCGTTGCGAACATACCTCGAATTTCAGAGCACGATCGAATACTTGCAGAAACCGCCCTCGGGATTTCTCTTTCCGCCCGTGGACCTCTATGGAGAGCTGAACAAGATCGAGGATAAAGTCCTTGGTGGACAGTATGAGAGCGAATATGACATGCAAGTCGACATCTTTTCGTTGCTAAGCTCGGCTCACGATGGACATTTGTCCTGGTTGGGAGACCTATTGGCTGTCTTCGAGTTCCTCCGGGGTGGTGCGGACAACTTAGGATTGGTCTCTGTCTCCATGGATGGTAAAGAGGTACCGCAGGTCTATCTTGCCAGTGATCTTATCTCGAACAACGCGGCAGTAACAAAAGTACAACCGGTAACAGGTTATATTCCCTCACCTGTCGAGAGTATCGATGGTGTCGATGTCGTGACTTTCCTCTTAACTCAGTCGATGGTCGGGTCATCTCAAGATCCGGATGCACTGTGGAATCAGAACTTCTTCCAAATCGGCAACCAAGCGGTGCGATATTTTGCTGGACCACTTTACTACCCTGGGCCTGCGACTAATGTAACCTTCACCAATGGCACGACTCATCATATCTCAAATGTGGCAATAGTGCGTCTTCCCCTAGACGGTATAGCCACTGGCGAGGATGCATATTCTATTTTCTGTCCAGGAGCTTTGGAATCAGTGACGGCTTCGGCCAGCAGCAGCGCCGCCTCTTCTACAGCTCAAGCAACTTCGACAACAGAGACCCCCAGCTCACCCACGATCCCTCTATATCCGTATCCTGTAATCAAACATAGTGCCGACTCTGTGGCAGGATACTACCTCAACGACACAGGATACACTGATGTTGCAATCCTGCAAGTGCGAGATTTCCAGGCGGCCGACGAAAATCCCTTGACATATTCTATGGAATTTCAAACCGTGGTGCAGAAGTTTCTAAATGCGGCCGTGAAGACAGGAAAGAGGAAACTCATTGTCGATTTCCAGGGCAATCCAGGTAAATATCTTCCTCGTCAAGGTCTCTCCGTACGCTAACAACCGTTCAGGGGGCAGCATCGATCTTGGTACGGATTTATTCGCCCAGCTGTTTCCCTCTATACCACCGAATTCAAAGTCAAATATGCGTGATCATCTCGGATTCTGGATTTTAGGCAATATCGCATCATCTAACGCCACAGCTGCGCTGCAGACGCCAGACGGTGGTGAGGACGAACTCGTCTCCGAACTCACATATACACCCTTATCATATCAGTCCGTAGTGACTGACAACTTGACTGCTTTTTCCGACTTCAACTCGTTCTATGGACCCAACGAGATCTATGGTGCCAATTTCTCTGCGTTCTTCCAGAACAATTACACCGACGCTTCAGCTTCCGACTTCGATGGGGTCGGCATCGTCATCACGGGTACCAACAATCGCACAAATTTCCGCCAACCGTTTGCCCCGCAGGATATTGTTGTCCTCTACGACGGCTACTGCGCCAGTACGTGCACCGTTGTGAGCGAGTATCTCAAGACGTTGGCAGGCGTACAGTTTGTCGCCGTCGGTGGCCGCCCACAGTCCGGGCCGATGCAAGCTGTCGGTGGGGTCAAGGGGACACAGGTATACGAATTCCTGGGCAACATAGACAACTGGGTCACGCTGTGGGAGAGCCCAGAGAATACGCTTCTGGACCTGGCGAACGGGACGATATGGACGAACTTCACGCTCGAACCGATCCTTCGTAGCGAAGCCGCGAACTTGGGCGCCGGCGCGGCCGGTGGCGTCAATGGACGAAATCATTTTCGGTTCGGTGACGAGAGCGAGACGCCACTGCAGTTCGTCTACGAGGCGGCCGACTGTCGGCTCTGGTGGACCAAGGAGATGCTGTACGATCCGGTTTTCCTATGGGAGAGGGTGGCCAGTGTCGCGTTCAACGAACGAAAGGGAACACAGTTCAACTCCAAGTACTGCATCGGTGGGAGTACAGGACACCCGACGAGTATTTCTGGTGGATGGAAGACGGGAACCCTAGGTCCTCAGACCCCTCCAGCCAACGCCGGTGCATCTGTGGATGGATGGAAATTGACCGGTCGTCCTCTAGGTGATGGTGGCAATGGCAATGGCAGTGTCGGTCAGGGTCTTGGATCGACGACGGGCACTGGCACCAAAGTCGAGAACAATGCCGTGACGGACGACGCCGTGGACAATAACACTGCCTTGAGCAGTATGAAGACGGCATGTGCGAGTTACTCGGGGGACAAGTGGCTCGTGAAACTTGTCTGTAATGCCTTGGGGGTCAAGGTGGATTGAACCACAACAGTAAGGCAAGACAATTGTGGTGAGGTGTTTATTTTTTTCGGTTCCATGAGAGCAAGCGTGCATTGCTGGGAGTTTTTGGGATCATCTCACTAGTTGGCCAGATAAGTGAGTGACATTTAGTTGCTGGATCAGGTATTGTATACTAAAGTATCTGAGGAATTGACCTGACCAGAAACGAAACCCGCGGTGTTGGCAAAAAGGTCATGAAAGGAGTAACGGCAATGATTGCTTTGTAGGACAATAGCCATTTTCCATAAATGACCTTTTGTTTTGTGTTGAAACATGTCTCTATCCCGGGCGCGACTTGGTCTGGTCACAGCTGTCCTGTATCCCACGTGTCCTGGTCCATTCAAATATAAATCATACAACATACAAACCACGACTATTACCTAGGTAATTGCACCATTCATACACTCATCTTCATCTTGATCCCACTGTGAGGCTTGTAGCCCACGACCTCGAGTTCCTCCAACTTCCACCCGTCCATCTGTCCACTACCCCGGTCGTCACGCTTGATGTTCAAGGTCGGGAACTCGCGCGGGTCACGCTGCAGTTGCTCCTTGAGCGCGTCGATGTGGTCCAGGTAGACGTGCGCGTCGCCCATGGTGTGGATCAGTTCGCCGGGGACGAGGTCGCACGCGTGGGCGAGCATGTGCGTCAGAAGGGCGTAACTTGCAATGTTGAACGGCACGCCCAGACCCATGTCGCACGATCGCTGGTACAAGACGCACGACAAGTGTCCTTTTGCCTTTGCCTTTTGTGGACCGTCTTCTGTCGAGGAAGTCGTCGACTTTGTTTGACCCTGTTGCTGCGCCGCCGCGGCAAGAGCCTGTTCGCCTCGAGGGGCGTCAGGGTAACTCACGTAGAATTGAGCAAACATGTGGCACGGCGGGAGGGCCATGAGTTTCAGGTCGGCCACGTTCCAGGCGCTGAGGATGATGCGGCGGTCGTAAGGGTTGGTCTTGAGTTTGCGCACGATCTCGGCGATCTGATCGACACCCTTGTCCGTGTAGTCCGCGTGGCAATCTTTGTAAGGGGCGCCGAAGTGGCGCCATTGGAAACCGTAGACGGGACCCAGATCCCCTTCTTCGCGGTGCGTGAATCCCAGATTATCTAGAAACTCTCGAGACCCGTTGCCGTCCCAGATGTGTATGCCGGCGGATGAAAGGGGTTTGGAACTCGTGCACCCGGAGATGAACCAGAGGAGTTCGGTGGTGACGGCGCGGAGGAAGACACGTTTGGTGGTGAGGAGTGGAAGCACGGCGACATGGGCTGATGAGGAGGAGGAGGAGGAGGAGGAGGAGGAGGATGAGGGATCATCGGAGGGCGAGGACGGTCTAGAGAGGCTGAATCGTAGTTGGGGTGGTGCGAAGAGTGAGAGTGTCCCCGTGCCCGTGCGGTCGGGACGATGTTCGCCGCGGGAAAGTATGTCGCGGATCAAATTGAGGTATTGATGTTCTTCATGATTGGAATCTACTGAGGGGGCCGAGGGTGTTGTTGTTGTTGATGATGATGTTGGCGTGGAAATGCCTGAAGAACCATTTTGTTGTTGGTTTTTCACATTTTCTTTCAGGAAATTTATCGAGTTGCCGGGAGGTTGAATCGATTCCTCGGTCACCGCAGAGGGAGCCATAGTTGATAATCCTGGGACGAGGATGGGTATGGTATTGTTTGAGGGGTGTTGAGTCCAATTGTGAAGTCGCAGTGTGTGTACAGCGAGAGTTGTCGCAGTAAAGTGGAGTTTTGAGTCTGTACAGAAAGGCAACGCGAAAAGACGCGTAAAGAGACGCGGTGGTGGAGGTGACATCATTGCCCTGTACGCGTACAACTATGCGAAGCAATTCATCAACACCTGTTATATATATTTACAACACGTTGTGAATATTGTACTCGTCATTCTTCCTTGATCAGAATATCACATTTGTTCTCTATTTGCTTACCCCAGGATATTGTTGCGGTGTTCCCCACCACCTTGACATTAGTCAAAACGATGAACGCAACCATGTCAACGACATCATCGCAAGGCTGAAGTGGGAAAAGCAATGAACTCCAACATCAGGCTGACTCCGTCAAATGGTTCGCATTCTATGGTCTGCCTTTTCCCTGGGTCCAAGGCAAACATAGTCAGACGATCAATAACTTTGACTAGTTGCTGGGCATCAAAGGTAGGGCAACCCATTGCAGTTACTCTGTAACGAGGCGCAAGGCGATGACATGGCAAGGCAACCACTGTCCAGGAAACGATACCAGGCTCAATTTCCACAACAGAACGTACCTTGCAGATTATGGTGCATATCCGAGGTCTGAGGTTATACAAGACGCCTCTTTTGCGAAATGATGTTGGATATTGATGAATTTTCGATTAGATGCTATTCACTACAACAAGGCAAACAGTCCCTGCTTAATAGCTGGATAGAATATGTGAATGGTTGGTTATCAATGCTTCATAGCCTAACAGCAGCTGAATTTGATGAGGCTGGAAGATAACGATGATGCTCGGAGATCCTGACATATATAAAGGACTTGGAAATCTTGATGAATTTTTCAAAGTTTCATTCATCACTTCTGTCCATCAATCGCTCATTAACCTTTGAGCTAACATTGATCTTTCATCTATCCCTCTGGCAGTTCTCTTCCCCCGCCAACTTCTTTGCCCAAGCCAAAAAAACCAAGATGCAAAAAATGGCGGTTTTTGACCAGGAACATTCCAAGTAAGTATCAAGCCCCCTCAATACCATGATGTTGCTCGGGATCTTTATCTCTCACCACAATCACAAACTTGCCCACGATGTTAATGGTGCTTATGGTGTGCTCGACAACCCAGAAACTGACTGATAACTCCATAGGTCTATTGCTGATCTGGATCGACATTACCGCTTTTCAGCCTCCTCCATGATCTTGGCCAAACGAGGTCACAGCTCATTTTGAGCAAATTTGGCCTTGGTGGGAGAGCTCACACCCAAGAATCATCATGTCGAGCATCTTGATATCTCGGTGTTGAGCAGGAAACAAGAACCAGCATAGTGTATGACCTATGTCCATTGGAAGCTACAGTCTATAGCTTTATCAATCCACGTTTGATCGCGTTTCATCATCTTGATCGATGATGGCACGATTCTGTCCCAACTCCCCCTTTGCATCATCGCGGGGCGGGTGACGGGACATATCACGTTTTTCATCTGAAACACCTTTTTCGGAACGGAGAGGAAAATGGGGGGTCCTCTGGGGGATTGTGAATGGATTCTCTGCAATCCTCATGACCTATAATGGAGCCGCTGAGAAGAAAGAACATGTCTGGTTGTACGCATACACTCGTTTGGAAGGGGAGATATATTTCGACGTGACGAATGAAAGCAATATAATTTCAAATTCAGTTTCTGTCCTGTCTCGTCACTAGTCTTGTCAGTATAAGAAGCTCACTTACCTACCTAGGTAGCTTAGAGAACATCAACCAGATCAGGTAAAGAGTTGTTCGCAAACTCATTGAGCAGGTTTTGAGCTTTTAGTCGAATGTGTTCTGTAGATGGCAAGGTAAGCCCCGTATTGTGATCGTCAACGAGGTCGCCCTCCTCATCAAGATCCATGGCGCAATACTCTTCAAAAGCAAGTTTGATCTCGCCGAGTACCTTGATAGACTCTAGTACTGCCATATTCTTGACCATGAACATCAATCTCGCTTCGTCAATGTTGTGTACTGCGTAAGCTTCTTGGTCACCGTGAATGTCGTCGAGACTTATTTCCTCGTAGTGGTATTCAGTGCTCTTCTCGTTGCGCATTTTGTGTTTGTACCGTATCTTGCTCATCAACTCGATGAACAATTGTACAACCCGAATCACTCCGACTTGGACGTTTCGTAGTTTTGCAAACCGACCGAGACCAAGGTGTGTGGATGGTTCCGTAGAGATCCTCGCCCCCGTGTTAAAGGAAGAAGAACAAGAAGAAGAAGGGTGCTTGGTTCCAACGGCATGCGTGTGGTCCACCAAACCTACGCTCGCCGTGGTGAACTGTGCGTAAGTCATGGTTTGTAGGTACGCGTGGAGTGTAAGGATGATCCAACCTTAACCTATTGATAGAGCAAAGGACCGGTGTTCCAGCACTTTCTCCTGGTTTAGAAGAGTGTAAGGTACAATCACCGCGAAGGTTGCTGAGAGATTCAACTTGATATGAAATCCACGTTCCTTTGCATGTTCTTTTGTAATTGGTGATAATGATACGATGTCTTTGATCGAGAAACCGAAAGCCATTGTCTCTTTCATACTCTTACTTTGGTCAGGAGTCATAGGGTACAATGAAGAATGAACAATGAACAATGAATCAGTGTCCCTTATTCAGAATCCTCTTCTCACAAAACAGTACATCCTTTGCTAAATCAAATGTAGTTACAATTTTGACTCGTGCCGAATCTGTAAATCATGTCTACTCAGATCATGTATACTCTTTTTCCCCATATTGCCGAGCATATTGTCAGTGTCTGCCAATAAACACCTGAGGACATGCTCCACACCCTGTTCACCACCGATGGCGAGACCGTACATGTACGGACGGCCAATACACACAGCCTTGGCACCCAACGCGAGCGCCTTGAGTACGTCAGCCCCCGTGCGAATACCACTGTCAAACAACAGTGTCAACTTGGACCGCTGGACGACCTCGTCAGCAGCAATATCAGCCAGAGCATCAAGTGACGCAATCGCTCCATCGCACTGTCGACCGCCGTGATTGGAAACTATGATGCCATCCATGCCATATTCGACGGCCTTGCGGGCATCTTCGACGGTCTGAATACCTTTGAGAACAATCGGACCGTCCCAGAGCTTCTTGAGAATCTCGAGATGTTGCCACTCTCGGTAGGTCCCAGAGTTCAAGACATCCAGCCAAGCCCGGGACTTTTGCAAGACATGAATGTTTGTCAAGACGCGAACGGCGCCGTACGCCGATCCAGGGCGTTTGAGCATTGTCCATAACTCGGCCAGCTTTTCACCGTAGTTTCGCTTGTCTTGTTTCAGAGATTCCTCGTACCGTCTATTGAAAACGGGGTCAGAATGTCCGATCTGACAGCCGTCGCCCCAAATGAATGGCAGGTACGAGGTGTCGAGGTCAGTCGGTCGCCAGGCAAGATTGAACGTGTCCAAGGTCACGACGAGGACCTTGTATCCATTGGCCTTGGCCCGGTTAAGAAGGCTGACGGTCACTTCTTCCCACTGCGGTCGTGGCCAGTAGAGCTGGTACCATCGGTTGCCGTCTCCGTTGGCCGCCGCGATTTGCTCGAGGGTTCTGGTTGCGGCGGAGGAGGTGATCATGGGCACACCGACCTTTTGACATGCTCTGGCCGTGGCCTCTTCTCCATCTCGGTGCATGATATTTTGAACGCCTACAGGTGCGACGAGGAGCGGACTATTATACCTTGTGCCGAATAGTTCAATGCTGACATCTCGTCTGGTGGCATTGACGAGCATACTCGGCTTGAGACGGTAGCGATCAAAGGCGGACAAGTTGGCGGCATTGGTCTGAGCGCTGCTGGCAGAGCCATAGACATAGCCAAAGTTAGAGGCTGGCACTTTTGCTCGTGCTAGAGATTCCCATTCTTGAGGTTTGGTTGAAAACAGTGGAGCACGCAATGAGCCGTAGACTTCACGTTGGTAGGAGGAGTACGCGTCCGGATCAGGCTCGGTATAGGGCTGGTTCCATTGTGAGGAATCACTTTTTGTATTGTTCGACATTATGAGATGATGAGTATTGTCAACACAAGAGGTGATAGCCAAGGCAGCCCGTATAGAGACACGTCAAAGATGCTGTATGGGGGAAATAGAAGCAAAAGTACGGAGTACATCCCGGGTACTCTGTATAACCGACAGATGGGAGAGCAACCGAGGTTCAAAACTCAAAGGTCAGGATGAAGTCGAGGCGTGAATCTGACTATTCCAATTCGGTGAGCACGGGAAATGGTTGTTCCGTACGCAATTGAGACACGACTACGAGTACTGCACGACAGAGTGGTGAGCACATAAAGCGTAGGTTGTATCGTAGATACCTTATTAGTATGGCGAGTAGATTTAGCGGCACATCATCATCTTGAAGATCACCGGAGGGAATTAGAGGAGCTGCAAGCATGAGTACTGCTCTAGATACGAGTACTAAATAGTATTCGAAAAAGTACCAATTTGAGCGTAGATCGAGACATTTACGTACACATTGCTGGAACCCTACGGTACGAGCACGAGTACTCAGCTGAGAAGTGCCCAGCTTATTTATACTACCTAGACTTGTAGCGGTGGTCGTGGTCCAAGCTGGAATTTGGTAGAGAAGCAAGTGTAGCTAAAAACTTATAGGCGCTATCAGGTGCTGAATCCACCTATAAGGGGCTCGCCTAAATTGAGCCTAGGCAAGCCTAATGTCTATCACCGACTAAGTGTAGATCCTCGCAAGTTGCCGCATCATCCATCGTTGATGACGTTGCAAGCCCAATGCTGGACGTGACGCAGGTTTCAAGACCACAACCAATCCAAGGTTTCTGACCTCATTTCTTTTCGACTCCAGGAGACCAACAACCTGCAGAGAAGTTCTTCTTCACCTTCTTCCTGTATTGCCCCCCATCTTCACCTACGAGGAATATCCTTCTCTTATCCTTAAACCCGATGCCTCTCTGACCGCCTACGACTCCCCGAGCTCCTGTGAATATGGCCCACAAGGTGTTACAGGACAACTTCGAAGTTGACTATGTCATTGTCCTCAGAGTCTCCTCTGATGACAAACAAGCCGGAGCAGCACAATTCCAAAAACTTATACGTGTCCTTGCCGAGACGGGCCTCACTACCGAAGTCCGTCGTGGTGATGAGACCTCCCTACTTGTCTTTGTGAAGGCGGCCGATGAACAAGCTTTCGCCGAAGTTGTATACAGATCCAGAATCAAGGATTGGCTCCATGGTATTCGACAAATCCAGCCTACGAAAGACCCGGCAGAGACACTCACCTCAGAGCCATTGACCCCTGCTGAAAGACTGCGGATGATCCACCACATGATCTGCTGTCCTGAGGAAGAAGGAGGAGCCGGAATTACTCCCAAACATGGTCAATGGAAGTCAGTTGAGGCTGTCTTCCCTCTTCATGACCATGTGAAGAACAAGAAATGGTTGGCCGAGTTCGCTCGCAAAACGTTTCTCACACCAGAGGACCTCGACGAAATCAGGAATTCCATGGGCGAGCAGGTATGTGTTTTGGGCTGCACAGTTACATACAGACTGACATGTTGCAGATTGGCTACTACTACGCTTTCCTCCAGTCATACTTCTCTTTCCTGATATTCCCTGCGGCGTTCGGGTTCTCCAGCTGGATATTGCTTGGAAACTTCTCAGCCATTTATGCTGTTGTCAACGGTCTGTGGTGTGTCGTCTTCGTGGAGTATTGGAAGCGACAAGAGCAGGAACTTGCCATACGATGGGATGTCAAGAACGTGTCTTCAATCGAGGACAAGAGAAGAGAGTTCGTCCCGGAGAAGACCATCACAGATTCCATCACTGGAGAAAAGATGGCATACTTCCCGGCAAAGAAACGACTCCAGCGCCAACTTCTGCAGATACCACTGGCAATCCTGTGTGTGGTGGCACTGGGTGCAATTATTTGCACTTGCTATGCTATTGAGATTTTCATCTCCGAAGTCTACGATGGCCCACTCAAGTCTGTTCTCGTCTTCCTACCGACCATCATCCTTACCCTACTGGTTCCTGCTGTCAGCAATTACCTCACCCAGTTCGCTGAACGGCTCACTTATTACGAAAACTACGAAACTCAAGATGCTCACGACAAGGCCATGATTTCCAAAGTCTTTGTCATCAACTTTATAACCTCATACCTGGCCATCTTCCTGACGTCGTTTGTGTACGTCCCTTTTGCCTCGCTGCTTGTTCCTTACCTCGACATTTTCAGCCTGACAGTCAAGCCTTTCGCACAAAACGAGAAACAAATGCAACCACCATCGCCTGCCCAGTTCACGATCAACCCTAACAGGATTCGAGATCAAATGATCTACTTTGCAGTGACTGCGCAAGTGGTCAACTTCGGTATGGAGACCGTCATGCCAATTCTTACGCAGAAAGGGACAAAGAAGTACAAGGAGATGCAATCTGCTCGAGCCGAGAAGAATGGCGGCACTGTTCCGTCGGTCTCTGCCAACGACCCGCCCGAGGAGAAAGACTTCTTGACTAGAGTTCGAGAGGAGGCTTCTCTTCCTGACTATGACGTGGCGACCGATCTTCGTGAGATGGTCATCCAGTTCGGATATTTGGCCCTCTTCTCAGTTATCTGGCCCCTAACTCCAGTCTCATACTTTATCAACAACTGGATCGAACTGAGAGGGGACACGTTCAAACTGACTGTGGAATGTCGACGACCCAATCCTGCACGCGCTGATTCGATTGGGCCTTGGCTTGATAGTCTGGAGTTCCTAGCCTGGTTGGGAAGCATCACTACTGCAGCCTTGGTCTATATGTTTAGCGGCGGGCAAGGACCAGACGGTCGTCCGCATGCCATATGCCTGTGGGCGCTTCTTTTGGGGGTATTTTGCTCGGAGCACATCTTCCTTGTGGTGCGAGTCATTGTGAGGTATGCCATTAGCAAAGTTGACAGTGCAGCAATGCGGAAAGAACGGAGTGAACGATTTATGGTACGCAAGAAATTTCTCGAGGACGCTGGTCTGGCCGATGTCATCAAGTACTCCTTGCCAAAGAGTCCATTGAAAGCGACATCTGGCGATCAAGCATTTGCAAACATTACAAGAGATAGCCTTGAGGAAGATGCCAGACGGGATAGTCTTAGGAGTACTACCGCTTCTGATCGATTCTGGAATCATCAACGCAGTTGGGCTGAAGCAGAAAAGGTTGGGTTGGGTATGATTGACCTCATGGATGTCAAGGATGGAACAGAAAAGAAGAGCCAGTGATCATTTTGAGTGGCGTTGGTTTGATGGATTGCTGGCAGCGGTGTGTTTTTGGTCCTCAAAAAAGAAACAAAGGTGGGGTCGACAGTACCGACAAGGGGGGCAGGGATGGTAGGATGGAAGCATTGAGGAAACAAAGGATTTGCAAGCTCAGATGAATCTCTGAAACGGTACGGAGTGCTTATGAGTAACGAAAATGACTATGGAGTGTCCGCGATTATGGGTTGCTGTTTACGACTCAACATTTGATGTTCTGTACTCGCACTGTAGATGAAGATTCGTTCGTGAGTACGCAGAAGTTGTGTACGATCTCTTGTCTTATCGCGATGCATGCAGTACAAAACCCTGGCCTCGGCTCGCTTATACTCGTGTGTCGTGCAAAGACAAGGATGAGGATCTAGATCCAATGCACTAGTCTCGATCGTCTGTTTTGGCGACGACGTCATCACTTGGACACCACTGACCACCTTTGAAGCTCCTTGAATCACTATTTTGGACCATGATCCACGCTCAGCTGGAGATTATGGTCAGGGATTCCAGGCCCAAGGATGATTGACGGTGACCAGGTTATTTTGGATCTCTTTTCTTTTGGGTCATCTATCTTGTATACATCTTGTATTTTTTTGTTATTCTACCGCTCCCTCCTCCGCATTGTGTCGCAAAGTCCACACCTGAACGTGTTTCTTTCCTCTGAGTCAATCTCTCTTTGGAAATAAAAATAATACGCGGTCCTGTGTACAAGGTAATCTCTCATCAGATCCGTCACAGCCATGGCGACCTCCTCATCCCATTCCGACAACACCAAAATAACAGACCAACAAAACCCGGAAGAAAAGGCCAATGATGAACTGTCTCAACATTACCGCTCGCAGTCGAGGTCGGCGTCGATCAAAATCACAAAACGTACCGACCTTTCAGTCTTGTACAGGGTCGTCCGGACCCTCATCAGACCCATCCGGCCCAGACTGGTCAAGATAGGCAACGACATGCCGGCCGGGAGTCAACGGTTGTCGGCGCCGAAACGGAGAGGGTGTGAGGCGATTGAGAGTCAGAGGGAGGGAGTGTGGGAGTATACATTTCGACACGTAGAAGCTTCTCAGATCCAAGCACGGTCGCAGTCACAATCGAACTCACGATCGCGGTCACACTTGGATAAGGACAACGTCATCAACATTGACCACGAGAAAGCCATTCGGACGACCGACTCATCAAGCACATCCCCCAACGCGACATCATCATCTCGAAAAAAACAAAAACATCGAATCTATTACTTCAGCGGAGGAGGGTTCCAATCGCCCCCGAGCGGTGGTCACTGGTTGTTTCTGGGTAAATTGGCCAAAGATTTACAAATGTCCTCGAGTGAAACCGACGCCACGGAATTCGAAGTGACACTGGTGGCTCAACCTTTGGCACCGGCCAGTCCGGCGCCAGACGCTCTGCCGGTGTTGAGGAGGTGGGTGACTTCGGTCCTTGACGATGCCGCTCGACAATCCGACACAGACAGCACAGTCACGGTGACACTTGCCGGAGACAGCTCAGGAGGAAACGTGGCGTTGAGTTTAGGAATGTGGGCCGTACAAGAACTTCCAGACCTCGCGAGGAACGCCTTGTCTTCGATTCTTGTCATTTCTCCTGCCGTCGATTTGAGGAACGTCAATGAAGAGATCAAAGTGGCCGACAAGTATGACCCGATCTTGACGATCGGGTTGACGGGTGACGTCGCGTGTGCTTGGGTTGGAAGTGTCGAGTCGAAAAGGAGGCCCAAAACAAACAGGACGATGACAAACACAAACAGAAACACAAAGACGGAGATGGACAAGGACACCGACACAGAAACGGAGGCGAAAAAGGGTGTCGGTATGAGGGAAATGAGTACGAGTGACCCGTCAGTCTCACCGTTATTGCATTCAGACCCGACATTTGAAAAACTCAGAGACAATCAAGTCTGTGTGCACGGCGTGGTGGGGACTCACGACGTCTTGGCCCCCGACGCGCTCGAAATGATGAGAAAGTGCGACAGGTTCGGCGTCCCCGGGGAATGGCTGGTGTGGGAGGGTCAGATGCACTGTTTCCCCCTCGCGGGGGTGGGTGACATCTTGGGCCTGAGGGAGGGCAAGGAGGCGAGGATGTGGATCGAGGACGTGTTGAAGAGGAACGTGGTTCGGTCCCGAGAGTCGACATGTGTCGTTTGACAACGCAAAAGACGTGGGTCGCAAAGAGGAGGAATATCTCGTACAAGTAGAAGCCGCGAAAGCAATATACCCGGGACGGCGAAGTGTAAGAGTATGGGTTATGGATATGGATATATATGGGTACGTTGATATATGGGAGGGTTCAATCGATCGACATTCTCGGGCTTTTTGGTATTCGTACAATTCTTCTCATGGTAATCACGAATTTAATCAATCACTTTATAGACTTTGGCTCATCGAGAATACCATTCTCTCCCAACGTCACAATGGCCTGTAACAACATCTTTCTCTCCTCATCTTGCTCCTGTTCCACCATGACTTGCCATAACCCCTTTCTTCGACCAGAACCCGATCCATCCACCGTTTGGGTTTTGTCACGTTTCGAGTTGCCATTGTTACCACCACCGCCGCCGCCACGTGCATGTTGAACATCGTGCGAATGCCGACAGTGTTTTCCGAATCTACAACGTCCATACTTTGCAAACGCCCTACACATTTCTGGTGCTGCAGGTTGAGACGTCGACGGCAATGTCGGTGGTCTCGAAGAGGCGTTGGAGAGAGCATGATGTTCTAGCGCCAGCCGTTTCGTGCTGAGAACTTCTGGACCCGAGTCTGCATCATCCGAGTCACTCCCAGACGCAGAGTCGGAGTTCCCGTCACTGTCCGAGTCTGAATCAGAATCAGAAGAATCAGAGCCAGAAGACGAAGTAGCATCCGAATCCGTCAGGTCTGAACTTGATGTGTCATCAGCGACTGGTGGCTTGACCTGATGGTTGTTTGTAATCGAAGAGCTAGGCTGCTGATGCTCTTCGGCAAGTCTCAACGCTTCCTCGGCCTTTGCTAGTCGTTCTTGGGCTTTGAGAGCCTTTGCACGTAACCTTTCCGCTTTTGTTTTGGCATGTCCCGCCGAGTCAGGCTGTTTTGTATCTTGTGTCCGCGCTTGTGACTGCGATTTCTTTGACTGGACTGATTCACGCTGTCGTCTTCGTGCTTCGAGGGCCTGCTCTCGTGCCTCACGCGCGGCTTGCATTTTTGCGGCCTTCTCCTCTTTCCACCGTCGCTTCTTCTCTTCGGCTTCCTTCTTCGCGGCGTCGACTTTGGCCTGAGTCGGGTATCGTTTCTTTCTCTCCGCTATCCAGGCCGCTATTTCAGCCGGCGTGCGCAGGATGATGTTGTGCCCACCATACTCGATCTCTAAGCCTGATGAAACTTTGTTTTGAACAGCCAGTCTTGCCTCTTCGCCCTCGTCGTCCTCCGGTTCGGAAGCAGGATCGACTTTCATCGGCGTCAGGCCAAGGAGGTTCTGTTTCTTCTGGGCATTTTCTACCTTGTGAGTCGGTGGCTGTGGCTGAGGCGCAGCTTGTGGTGCTGGTTTTCGTGGGAGGAGATGCTCGATGGAGGCGTTAAAACTCGGTACTGCCGGGGAGGCTGCAGATACCGGCCGGCCGGGTTGGTTGTTCGCAGGCTTGAAGGCAGTATTGTAATCTCTCTTTTGGGGACCATTCCATCCTCCTCCACGGTGAGACCCATGTTGTTGTTGTCTGTGATTGGAGTGGTATGGACCATGTGAGTGACCCCCTCCTCTCCCTCCTCGACCACCTCTCCCAAAACCTCTAGAGGATCCTCGATCAGATGAAAAGTTGTTGTTGCTCGGTCGGTTGACTGGTTCTGTGGCTCGCTTAGGCGGAGGAGGCGGAGGAGGTGGGAAGGAGAATGGTTGACCAGACATGTTATGGGATTGATTTCACAGCATTGTACCTAGGTGTGTCGCAAGATCAAGAATGTGCTCTTGATGATGAATGGCAGACGCCAGGATAGTTGCAACAAGTAGGGGAAATAGAACATGTCAAGAAATTTTGTTTACAGAACGACGTCAGAAAGAAAGTCTTGTGGGGTAAATAACGGCAGCCTCGTAGCCTCGCAGCCTGACCGGAGTTTATGCTACGAGTAGCCTATCAACCTGAAAGACAACGAGCAGGAGTACGTTTGACTATGTGAGTATGTGTGGGAATATACACAGCCATACCGTCCTATCAGTGCGAGTTCAAACCATTTCAAAGAAGACAAGATGGTTCATGAAATGCAAGAAGTATTTATTCGGCGCAAGGCTGTTAAAGCAGCATCTTATCTACATGGATTTTTGATTCTTCGTGTCCGTCCATTTTCGAGATATTCTATTAATAAAAGTAAAGTCGGTGCCGGGAAATCCGCCTGTGGTTTAGGCGCCCTTCGATTTCGGGCTGCAGCTTTTGACATCTATAATGCCACGCACACGACTTTAACACGGGAAGTGAGCAATAATGGGCGAATCTTATTAATGGGTGTCACTGTCCTCGTCCCGGAACCAAAACGGCCTTGGACTAATAGTTCTGCGCTCACAGATCCTGCTGGTGGGTTTTGTACGTCTTCAATGGCCGTCCAACAAGGTCTGATTGGATCTGCAATGCCAGAAACCGAGATCCAAACCGGGCCCATGGCGCTCCTCCACCGATAAACCAAACGCCAGGTTCTGTCTGGGGTCAGCACAGGAGTGTCCTCCAATGGAATTGCTTGCATATTGAAGAGACACTCACGTTTCATTTTCTTGAAGGCGCCGCGCAATTCGCCCTCCTGATCGATGCCCCAGAAGTTCTCCAGCTGGCTTTTCATCGAAGTACCCAGAATCTTGACCGCTTCTGGAAGCATGTTGGTGTGAAACCCCGTGCAAAATACAATGGCACCTGCTTCGAGTTCGCTTCCGTCGGCGAAGCGAAGACCAGTAGGAGTAAACTCGGTCACTGTCGCAGGGGACTTGACCTTGATCTGTGATTGTCGTGAGTGATCCAGAGCGACAACACGTTTCCACGGACAACAATGATAGAGGGAAGTGTCATCCACGAAGTAACAATGGAAAGGGATAAGTTTCAACAACATACCTGGCCAGCAACTATTTTGGCGCCGCCACCAACATCGGTATGATGGCCTCCGGCACCGTCACCAAAGGCACATTTGACCATGTCTCCAGATTTTTCGATGGCAAATCCAGCTTGCTCCAGTGCATTGAGCCGTTCAGGCTCTCGTGCCATGCGACCCTTGTAATACTCCACTCCGATGAGTCGAGAAATAGCAACTGGAAGAGAAATCGTTCTTCTGTCGGCAAACTCCAAGTCGCTGCTCGCCGTATAGTGTGCTGTTGAAGGCTGGAGTCAGCCTTTGCTATCAGTGAGCCAACATGACGCCGAGATCTGCATACCATCCATCAATTCTTTGTACCATTCTATCGGAAAGACCGCTGATCGAGGAGAATTATGCATTAGCCAATAAACACTCAGATGGGTATCATTCCACACAACAGAGACTCACGGGTCGGGCTGCGCTGAACTAATGTCACAGACGAGAGTCCAGCGTCGACCATGTCTTCAGCCACGTCGTGTGCTTCACAATGCAGTCAGCGAGATCAGGCCACTGTCGCAATGAGACGAAGACAGCGCACCTGTGTTTGCAGATCCTACCACCACTCCAACCTTTCCTTTCCAGGCACGTGCAGACCTGTAGTCGAAGGAATGCATCACTTCTCCTTTGAAGAGGTCCTGGAAATGGAGTTGTCAGCCATGTCAACCACCCGTGAGCGGCAAATTCCATACTCGGTTGGGCAATTTTGGCATGTTTGGAATCGCACCCAGTCCACCGATTGCCAGGACCAGATGCCGTGTACGGAATCTGATGGTATCTCCAAAGCTTTGGATATCCAGTGTCCAAAGGTTGTCTTCTGTCTCGTAAGACGCATTCTGGAGACTCGAAGAACACCTGACATCCTGGGATGCCACTCATCAGCGAAGTTACTCGTTTTGATCTCATTCCATGACTTACAAGACCATGACGTTTGACGTATTTCTTGTATAGCCGGACCAGGTCAAGACGACCAGGGAATTTGGCGTCTTCGGGTGCAAACAGGCGCCCAAGCGGGAAGTCTGAATATTCTTTCGTCGTGTGAACTGAACGATGCCAGATTTCGATCAGCTCCTATGGCACAGCGCAGGCATGAAGCTAGATATTGGCAAGAGGAAGAGAACTCACATCGAGCAGATTCATATCGATTCTTCCAGTTATCGCCGAGTTCAGGATTTCTCTCTATGACAACGACCTTGATTCCCATTGCGTGGAGACGGCCAGCGACGGCCAAACCAGAGAACCCGGCTCCAACGACGACAACTTGGAAATCATCGTCTTCGCTAGTAGTATGGTGAGACGAATCGCCGTTCGTGATGACGCCGTTCGTCTTCGTTTTTGGCGCTGCAGCCACGTCGGGATTGGGAAAGCCAATCAACTCCTCGAGGAGGGTGGTGAACATCCAGATCTTCCATTGCGAAGGGGAGGCGGGGTCGGGAACGAGGCCGACGAAGCCGGAGCACTTGGTCGCTGGGTCGCCACGACACTCGAATTCGTAAGCAGTCATGATCCATGAAGAACTGTCTCCGGCATGGACCACTTCTGCAGTGCCGGGGATTACTTTAAAGTTGCACGGCTGGTGAGTTCGAGACAGCTTGTTCCAGACTGACCATACGCGTTGCACACCATAAAAGGTCCGGAATGTCCCTGTCAGTGCGCATAGGTCTCTCCAGACAACGCCGTCGACGAGATCGGATTGGTTCTCGTGTAGGGTGTCCAGGAGCGCGACGCCCGCGGTGGCAACGGCATCTATGCCCACGTCATCTATGCCCACGTCATCTGGGAGTCGTGTGTGCGGTAGAGAAGCCGGTAAGGACTCGAAGAGGAGAGTGTTGGTGTCTTTGAGCGACACGATCTTTTCAGCTCCTAGAGAGCCCATACTGAGTGATGTGAGGCTGAGGCTGAGGCTGAGGTTTGTGTAGGCTCGTCAAAATGATGTGATGTGATGTGATGTGATTGCCAGGACAGGACTAGGATCGTATATCAGAATCTGGATCCTGCGAGTTATCGGGCCGAGTATATACATTACCTACTGACTGTCTTTTCGGGACAGACGTCTATATTATCCCCGGACTCTTACCACGCCTGGTTGTGGGTTGCAGGAGGGGGGGAGAGCAGCACAGGACAAATCGGATTTCGGTGGAGCAGTTGGTGTATACTCTACGTGCAAGGCTGGTACGACGACATCTGAACCCTTGGACTGGGGATGTCTTCCCTGGTCAGTCGGCACACACTGTGTACGAAGGCGGCAGCTCTCCCTCTCATATCCCGGACGGGGGCCGGACTGATCGACAGCACTCACAATCACACCTTGAAAAACGAAATGCTGTCCAATATCATCTTCCTCAGTTTTATCGTGACCGACACGAATAGCGCGGTTGGAAAGAGGGCTCGTCTATAATCACAGTCGTCTCCGGATTACCAACAAAGCATTACAAAGATTCCGTTGCTTGTACTGCGAATCCGGTCTAAATCATGGGCACCGAGAATGTTGCCACCATGTCGGACGGCGTGCAAATTCCATACCTCATCGACGGCAATCCAGAGCCCAATGCACCATTGATAGTGCTCTGCAATCCCAGTCTAGTCGATTATTCCTTCTGGGACGAGTTCCTGACTCTATTCCGCGCGAAACCCCAGAGCGAACCCTACCGCTTTCTACGATACAACAATCGCGGCCGAGTCCCCAACAACACCAACACTACAAATGCGCCACTGACGCTAGACCGCCTTACGGAAGATGTGGTCGCGATCCTGGACACCATAAACGTCGACAAAGCCATGGCCATGACAGGAATCAGCCTCGGAGGCTTGACCGTCGTCAACCTAGCTCGCAAGTATCCCGGCAGAGTAGGTGCCGTGATGCCTTGTGATTTCTTCCCGGAGAGTCCGCCGAGCAATCCGGCCGTTTGGAACAGTCGCCTCGATATAGCCAGGAAGGATCCTCTAAGCCCTCGAGATGCGGACGGCGTGCGCATTTGTGGCAGCGACTTGGCAAAGGTGACTGTCGAGCGGTGGCTGTCTCCTAAGAGCGTGAACGGCGGTTTGGAGAAATCCAAGATTGATGGGCTGGTAAAGATGGTGGAGGAGAACAGACTCGATGGCTTCGTTAGCATTGTCGAGGCTGTATCGTGTTATGATCTTCGGGAGGGACTGGCTGAGGCTACGATCCCGGCGGTTCTGGTGGCAGGAAGAGATGACGCGCCTGTGTTAGCGCCGATGAAGGACATGGCGGGTGTCTATGGTGATGGTGCTGGCGCCGAGTTCAAGATCATTGAGGATGCTGGTCATTTGCCGGTTGTAGATCAGCCGGAGGAGTTTGTTGGGATCTTTGCGGAGTTTTTGGAGGTGACTTTAGTCCAGTCGCAGTAGACAAATTCAACTGTGTTGCCGCAGAGAGATGGTGTTGCAGTGCGGTAGGAGTAAAGAGAGTAGTCAGAAATCCTGGCTCAAAGATATCAATTGCCCCTTTGGTCAGGGATCCATGAGCCCCCCCCCCCCCTGGTGATGGCCAACGCCGGAATCGCCGTTCTTGCTCGTTGAGAGTCAGGTCACGCCCAATGTCCACGGACAAGGCATGCTCGGTCTAGCATCATCACACTCGTACAACATCAAACCTCGATCTACTGTGGAATCTGCGAGTGGGCGGCACAAAAGTCAAACGACCACAACTGTGCTGATCCGAGCAACAAACATCGAGTACTCGGAAATGTGCGGTGACTCCTGTCGGCTCGGCGCGGAGGCGGAGGTACATGGGATGTTCCCGGACCCAGGCACTGCAACAATTGCTTTGTAGCTTCAAGTACACGGACGCTCTGGGTCGGATAGGCATGTCGGCAAGTCTGAGCTAAGTAGCTTCATCCGACTTCGGTTCCATGTCTGTTGCTGCGTTGCCTTGCATGAGAGTTCCACGACATGCTGAAAACGCCTTATCGTGTTGCTCAACCGACTGTTGGAACACTGAGCGTTGGGACAGAAGTGTTGGAGGCAGTCTCAGCAACGCCCGAGCTTGCCGTTACACTGACTAGGCCTTGATCATAAACTCCAGTCATACTATTCAGAGCCTGCTGGCATGTCTCAACCCGCTCGCAATGTCGGCGTGATAGGTGCAGGTGCAATGGGGTTCGCACTCATCGAACGACTAATCAAGCGAGATTTCAGTGTGTGGGTCTTCGACCCTTCGCCTGACGCACGCAAGCGATCTTCTGATGCTGGCGCCTTATGTGAGGACTCCGCAGAGGCTGTCTTTGAAAAAGGGATCCCTGTCATCACTTGCGTGGCGTCTCCAATTGCCTTCAAGAAAACGGTTGAGGCTGCTCTTGCGAAACCCGTACACAATGGCGCCGCTCCCATTATCGAAGCAAGTACAATCGACACCGCACTCAAAATGGAGGCGAGGGCGCAGTTGGCTCAGGTTGGTCGCACCTTGCTCGATTGTCCGGTCAGCGGCACGAGCTTACAGGCTCGCAATGGCGATATTATTGTGTTCGCCAGTGGTGATGAGGACGCCTTGTCTGTTTGCGATCCTATCATTTCAGCAATTGCACGCAAAACGGTACGGGCGGGCAAATTTGGGTCGGGAATGAGGCTGAAGCTACTGGCGAATCATTTGGTGGCACTGAATTCCATGGCCGCTGCAGAAGTACTTGTGCTCGCGCGAAAGGCCGGCCTGGCTCCGGAAATGGCGCTGGAAGTCTTGACTCAGAGCGCAGGGAATTCGCGAATGCTCGAGGTGCGTGGGAAGATGATGATTGCTCATGACTATCTCCCAGCAACGGGCAGCATCGACCTGATTGTCAAGGACGGTGATATGATTCAGAATTTGGCCCGAGAGGTTGGATGCACGCTACCTCTGTTCAGTCGAGCACATTCGCTTTACCACTCGGCGCAGGATGAAGGACTGGGGGCACATGATATTGGAGGAATCCATGGATACCTTCTCGGGCTCAACAGTGAGCCATAATCTATTGGTGATGCTGAGGATGTTTACATTCTGTTGTTCACTTTCCTCGTCCATGGATGAACGGATCTCAAGGAGTTGTATGCAGGAGCACACAACGTGGTACAACCGGTAGAAATGTATGAACTCAAACATATCAAGTACAGGCTGGAGTATCAGACCGAGCGGAGATCAGTGGGTTCCGCGGGTGCTTTGACGGGGAAAGAGGCTTCGGGATGAGGTTGGGGTCTGTAGAGGTTAGGGTCGGCTTGTGTCATCCCGAAGCTGGCATAAGTATGCAATTTATTTCTTGTCATAGAGTTGTAGTTTAGAAATAGCCAGCAAGATCAGATAAAACTCCCATCTTCCAACGAGCCAGATGACTTGAATGGTGAAGCCAAACCCCTCAGGACACTGCAACATGATTCCAGCTCTGCGATATTACGGTCCTAAACAGCTCCGAGTCGAGTCTGTGCCTCCAGTGTCAGTATAGTACTCTCTCCTGTTGTTGCATCCCAGGACGAATGATCAACTTGTGGCGTTGCGTAGGCTATGTGGTCGGCGCGAAGTCCGCATCAGGGTTGCCTACTGCGGTATCTGTGGTTCTGATGTCCACGAATATGAGCATGGCCCAATCTTCATTCCGCCGGCCGGCGCACGCAACCCTCATACGGGCCTCGAACTACCCGTGACCATGGGTCATGAGTTTTCCGGTACTATCACGGAAATCGGCTCGGGTGTCACGAACCTTTTCATCGGCCAGAATGTCGTCGTCGACCCGGTCGTCCATGATCGCCATTATGGACTTCCCGCATGTGAGGCATGCCGCAACGGTGTGTACAACGTTTGTCAACGTTCTGCAGTTTGTGGGTTGGCCCATCCCGGCGGGGGTTTGGCACAGGAAACTGTTGTTCGGGCCAGTCTGTGCATCCCTTTGCCAAACTCGTTGTCATTGAAGACAGGCGCACTTGTTCAGCCCCTTACCATCGCGTGGCACGCCATTCGAATTTCCGGGTTCAAAACTGGTAATCGGGCCCTCGTGTGCGGCGCTGGCCCTGTAGGACTTGCTATTCTTGTCCTGCTGCGTACGTGGGGTGCACGTACAATCATTGTCAGCGAAGTGGCCGAAGCCCGCATTCGGCAGGCTGAAATGTTTGGTGCCGACTTGGTCGTCAATCCAAGTAATGCACCGGAGATACTCGAAACTACCAACGTAGCCGAGTTGGTACGAGCAGCCGTGGAAGAAGTGACCTCTGGGACAATGGTAGACGTCGCTTTCATGGCGGCCAGCCACCAATCAGTGCTAGACGCGGCGGTCGCGTCCACAAGGATAGGCGGGACGATACTCAATGCTGCTGTCCATGCAACACCGCTCCAAATCCAACTCAATGACCTTACCTTCTCGGAGAAACGGCTGCTCAGCAGCATGCGCGCCACCGATGAAGACTGGAAGGGTGTCTTGGAGGCGCTGGACCAGGGCCTGGTACCAGATGTGGATGCTATGATTACCTCGATTGTGCCTCTGAGCAAGGCCATCGATGGTGCTTTCCTCGAGTTGATCAACAACACTTCGGCGCATGTGAAGATACTGGTCGAGCCAGATCAGTAGGTCACCGACGGCAAATAGCAGCTCGAGCCAGAAACCCTCCGCCGTAGTTATTTCTACACATATCACGTGGTAATCCGGCTGACTTGCCGTGACTTGCCCAACTTACCCTATGTAGTTAGTTCCTTCCCAAAAGGCGGAATTTAAGTCTCTAAACTATTGTATCAAGGTAGCTAAGTGCCTAAGTCAAGGTAAGTCTGGGGAACACTGCAGGCCACCGATACCAACTTCCTGTCACTTTACCTCTCCCACCGTCTCCCCCGGTACATATCTGAACCTACGCCGTGATCCCGACATCATGTCACCTCATACTTGCGACATCTGCAACTCTAGTTTCCAACGTGCTGAGCATCTTGCTCGGCATAAGTTGTCTCACGGTGCCCATCGGCCCTTCGAGTGCACCAAATGCAATCTTGCGTTCTCTCGACGGTAAGCAAACCTTCCAGATCTTTTCAGTTCTGTGAGGAATCTGCTCATCTGTGAGTCTCGGCTGGCTTAAGAGACACGTTGCAAAGACATATGCGTGTTCACGACATGGGGCCGACCGTATCCCACGGCTCGTCAGGAAGGGCGAAGCGCGCCTGCCAGAAATGCTCGCAAACCAAACTACGCTGTGACGGCGACAACCCTTGCAGCCGCTGTTCGTCCAAAGGCTACATATGCTTATACAATCCCTCCAGGAAAGCCCCCAGGGTATGCCGCCTTTCTGAGCCACAACAAGTTATCCTCATCTAACATGTCAGCAGCGGGCAATCGACCAAGAACCCCGGAACGACCAAGAGCAAATTTCTGTCCCTCCCATCAGGGGCCCTTCGGTTCTCTCAGGAGACCACATGAGAGCGATAGGGTCTGGGCAAGATGATGAGGAAGTAAACAACAGCGCGATCCAGAATTCGTTCAACATGTTTCCCCCTGATCAAAGCTTGAGTCCCTTTAATATGGACACAAACAACTGTGTGTCGGCCTCCTCGACGACACAGCGACGGAGCGATATACCGCCTCCAATACCCAGCGACAACAGCCATCAAAATGACATGCAGCAGTTTGGGGAGTCGCTGTCACAAAACACAACCTTTGACTTCCAAACCTATGACTCCACCGCATTTGGTGCTGCTGTGCCTCATCTTGCATTCTGGGAAGATCCTGCGTTCATGGCTCCACTTTACCTCGACCCTTGCGTTGATGGCGAAGACTCACTGGTGATGGATCTGCCCAACGACGAACAATCAAATCTGGCACCAGCGGATGGACAGACGGGTGACGACTCTGAGTCGGACCAGGCGCCCATGCCCAGCTTCCTCGGAGCACGGCAAAGTCCAGAGCCACAGCACGGACAGGCTCTTCGTCTTACAGAATTCCTTGCCAATGTGTGGCCAGATCAAGGTCGCAGGCGTGATTGGGCTGGGAAAACCATGTTTTCCGACAATCGTTCTGGAGAAACACTCTATCCACCACCCCTTATGGGCACATTTTCGCCTATCCTGTCTTCCACGGCAAATCACCAGATATGGGAGGCAGAAAATCTGGTTCATGTCAAGCCTCTCCCTATGGGAATCTATACTCATATTGTTGCACGTTTCAAGGAATTCAACAGCACCTCTAACCAATACAATCAATTTGCAGCGGGCGACTTTCCGTCGATTGCCGCGTGCAATGCTTTTATGCAGCTCTTCTTCGAGCACTTCAACCAGCTCCTTCCGATAATCCACCAAGCCAGTTTCGATCCCGCTCAAGAAGCGTGGTTACTGGTTCTGTCGGTGATGGCGATTGGTTCTCGGTATTCCCAACAATCTGTTGCAGTAGAATGCGCGGACATCCTTCAAGAGTTTGTTCATCGAGCTTTCCAAGCGACGGTAAGCCTTTCATTCCTCCTTGACTCCTATAAACTAATGCCACTTTAGATTGCAAAACACTATGACTCCACGTGTGAGCCATGGCTAGCACAGAGCGGGCTTCTCAATCAGATTGGTATGCAGTTCTCGGCCGACCTCAGATTGACAGAAGTCGGTCAATCCAATCGCAGTCTAGTCACGTCAATATGTCGCAAGGTAAATTGCTTCAAGGAGGCAGATCGGAGCATCGATACCTTGAGAAGTCTTCCAAAAGAAGAGGCATGGAAGATATGGGCGCATAGAGAGAGCATGTCTCGGCTAGCATATGCTGTATGGGTAAGTTTCAAGATTTCTGTGTTATCATCTCAGCACGCTCAGGATTGCGTCCCCCCCCCCCCAATGTGATGTCCAAACTAATCTTGTCTTGCAAATTCAGTTTGTTGATGGGCAGTACGCCTTGTACCATGACTTGACGCCTATATTTCCCACCGAATTACTCAGGGTGCAGCTCCCGTGCCCGGAAAGTTTATGGCGTGCGCCGAGCGCGACAACCTGGAGGAATATTCTCAAGCAGAATGGCAAGTTTGCTGAACCTGAACCTGAACCTGAGCCTGAGCCTGAAGTGGCATAGCTGATTATGATTCTCACGGAACAGACATATACCAGCCACTGAACATCAGACAGGAGCTGACCTACCTTTACAAAACCGGCTCTCGACGACACGGACTCGGTGATTTCGCTATTCTCCTCCTGCTTATGGGGGTCTTTAGAGGTGCTCTGCAGCTACGACTTAGCTACCAAGAAAGTCTTTACCTGCAAGCCGGTGGCACTCTGGGTGATTCTCCACACAGTTCATCAGGCCCATTGCCGAAAAACTTCCCTGGGTCCAGCAAAGCAATGCAGTATCTACAAATCCTGTGCCCAGAGGACGACTCCAGGCACGGGCGCTCATTACTCAAAACAATCACTTTCCATCATTATCATATCATTGGTGTTCTTCTGGGCTTGAGCCTTGGGGAACTATTCTGCTATTGTGGCTTTCGTGTTACGAAAGAAGAGGTGTTCCGATGTCGAACTCGCCTCCACTCCTGGATACAGCAACGCGGCATCGAGGCCCGTCAAGTGGCAATGCATGCTGGCCGTCTCTTTGGATACATACGCCAATCAAGCATGTTTGGATACTATGAAGGGCGAGCTTTTGTCATAGCTTGTCAAAGCCTCTGGATCTTTAGCGAGTTGAGCAACATTACTCTCCCGTCAAACAACGAGCCCCATAACACCGAAACTCTGACTGTGCGCCTTGATCAGAGCTTAAGCCCTGAAGATGAGCAGGCTTGGATACTGAATGGTGCACACACTCGTCCCTACTTGGCAGGAGTAGGCTGCATTTTGGGTCCAGACGGAGTTTCACGACTCATTCGTGAAGGATCTCGAGTTCTTGTCGCCGCACGCACATGGGGCTTTGCTCCAGTGTTGGGGAGAGCGTTGGAAATATGGCACAGATTGCAAACGCGGCCAGAGACGAGCTCATGAAGCATAAGGTTGTCAATTCTTGTGACAAAGAATTTCAGATAGCCGAGATCTTGAAGACACACTCGAGTGGAACATTCAGCAGGTGCAAACACGGTCCGCGCATATGCGGACAGGGCAACGATACGAGCGTGTACATCTTGAAGAAATCGATTTGCCATCTATTATGCCAGCCACCGCTCTCACAACGTTCCCCTTTCCCCGAAATGAGAGAATTTGGGGAGAAGTGCGGACGAAGTCCCACAGACGGCGGTCGACGGAGTACTGAAGTCTACCCTCGACCTCAGCCAATCAAAACACGTCTTACGGGGCCGAAGCATGCTGATTGGGCATATCGTATGACCGTATGTGCCCCGACACTCCCCAGCAGGGCGTTCGCATTCTTTCAAACCAGCTCACGTACCCAACTGGTACGACGAACGGAGGAGCCGGTGCACGTCTTTGTACATTAAAGCAAAGTTCTGCAGGAGCAGCGCGACTTCAGCCACATATTCCAGACACAATTTTATCGCGAGTTATTGTGAGACTGAATATGTGTTACATGTTCTAGAATAATGGCACAATCTTTGACAAAGCTTTGGGAGCCTTGGGATGGCAACTCGACTCAAATCGATCGATTTAGATGTCTCGCAAACAAGAGGCATAGCCTGCATCTCGGTGAGTCGGAATGTCTCTTCTAAAGTCCTTCAACCCGTCACTCACGCATGCTGAACTGTTGTAGGTGACTATCACCATCTTTGGAGATGGTCTACCACGAATCTAAATGATTTTTGGATGCTTGTCTGGGAGTTTACAAAAGTGAAGGCGTCACGACATCCATCATTTGCCATTGCGGCAACCGAAGCATCCACGCTTTATCCTCCACCGACTTGGTTTCCGGGAGCACAACTAAATATTGCACAAAACATCCTGGAGACTCCACATGTCGACCAACACGACTCAGAGAAGCCTGTACTCACTGGAATCCGCGAAGCTGTTGGCGAGATTGAACATGTTACGCTCCCCCAACTGCGTGATCGTATTGGGACGCTTGCGAATGCCCTAACACGAATCGGTGTCGGCAAGTCCGATCGTGTTGCATGTATTGGAGCCAACAGCATCGACACTTACACGATACTCATGGCCACTGCGGCAGTCGGCGCCATATTTACTTGTTGTTCTCCTGAGTTGGGTGAGCAAGGTATTTTGGACCGTTTCATCCAAGTTTCGCCGAAGATTTTGTTTGCCGACGACTGGTCCCTGTACAATGGCAAGCGTATTTCTTGTCGGGCCAAAGTCCAGTCAGTGGCGGGAATCCTGAAACAAAAGGCCCAGTTACGGGCTTTGGTTTTTGTTCCACGCTTCAATGACTCCTTCCCGGATCAAAGCCGCGAGGGAATCCACAGTCTCAGCACGTTCACCGCGGGGGTGTCCAAGAAGCTAAACTTCGTGCCCTTGAACTTTTCTCATCCATTTATCATTGTCTATTCTTCCGGCACCACTGGACAGCCCAAATGCCTCGTTCACTCTCAAGGTGGTGTGCTTATCAAGCACAAATTGGAACAGATATTGTGCATGGATATGAAAAAAGATAGTGTCTATCTGCAGTATTCCTCGGTGCGTATGCTTTGCGGAGATCTTGGTTGCCTTGACTGATCTGAGTTGCAACAGACTAATTGGTTTATGCATATTTACGCTCTGCTTGGTCTGCTGAGCGGCGCAAGATCCATCTTGTATGATGGTTCTCCTTTCCAGCCAACCGTCCGTCGTCTCTTGATGATATTAGAAGACGAAAGCGTCACTCACTTTGGTATCAGTCCACAATACCTTAGCCTCCTCGAGCAAGCAGGTGTCAAGAGAGAAGACGTGGCGAGTCTGAAGAAACTGAGAACCATCACGAGCACAGGATCTGTCCTGCATGAATCTCAGTTCCATTGGGTCTACAGAACCTTCGGTTCCGTACACCTGATGAGTATGTCTGGTGGTACAGATATTGCAGGCGCATGTAAGTCAATTTACACGTTCGTAGAGTCTCGAGCTAATGAATTGCTGCGATAGTCGTGGGTGGTGCATCGACTTTACCTGTGTACGCTGGCTGGTGTCAGGCTCGAACCTTGGGCATGAAAGTCGAGGTTTATTCTGAAGAAGGCAAAGTCATTGATTCCACCGGTAACCCTGGAGAACTGGTGTGCACGGCACCCTTCCCATCAGAGCCTGTTTTCTTCTGGGGAGATCCAGAGGGAAACCGTTACCGTGCTTCGTACTTTGAGAAGTATCCAGGCAAGCCATGTCCAGGCCCTTTGGAAGACAGCTGACGGCTAATCAGTGACAGGTAAATGGTGCCAGGGAGACTTCATCCGCCTAGATCCCAACACACAGGGAATCATGTTCCTAGGCCGCAGCGACGGTGTTCTAAACCCCTCCGGTAATATACGATACCGCTCGACATAGCTATGCCACTCACTCGCTAACAATGAAATAGGAGTACGTTTTGGCAGCGCAGAAATCTACAACTGTCTAGCTGCATTCCATCAAATCGAAGACAGCCTATGCGTGGGACGTAAGAGGCCATCTGATCGCGATGAGCAGGTCTTGTTGTTTGTGAAGATGGTCCAAGGACACCGATTCGACCAGCAGCTGAAGACAGCCATCGAGGTCCACATCCGCCGGACACTCAGTGCGAGACACGTCCCTCGACTGATATGTGAGACTCGAGCTATACCAATGACCGCCACGGGCAAGAAGACTGAGGTTCCGGTGAAGAAGATAGTGTCTGGCCAAAAGATTACTCCGAGCTCTACCATCGCCAATCCCGATTGCTTGCAATGGTATGAACAGTTTGCGAGGCCCGATGATCTGGGCAGCTTGAAGCAGACTGCAAAGCTGTGATGTGCTATGATCAGGACGATGGAGGTGGAAATATTCAAATAGCACTTGTGTTGGGTTGTGTAATAATCAAAGATGCCAATATATGAGACTGATACTCTGCAATGAGTGAGTCGTCGTTATGTTGTTTGTAATGCCCGAGACCATTTCCGTCTCTCTAGTCTCATGATTTGAACCTCCTCATATCCTAAAAAGAGAGAACTAGACAAGGCCTTGAAATCATCAAGATACAGTGGCGAAGAATTTTACGCACCAGTCAGTGTTTTCGCAAACAACACTGAACAAAGCTTAGAGAGACAAAATCATTTGCACTGTTAAATCGTTGTTCTCTTCCCTCCTACTTTTTGGCGGTGATTGTTGTGGCAGAGTATAGATGCACAGCTATTTGTTTTGCAAGACGGTGTGCTTGGACGATTGATTAAGCAGTATGTAGGCCCTTATTCCATCCTACTTACCACCACTTGTCCAGAAGTCGGGATCTTCGTGATCGCCCATCGCACAAGACCCGATCACCTTGGAAAGCTACAGGACGGCACAACAGATTTAAATCGTCATCTTGTATTGTGGATCCCTGTCGTCTCCATAGCCGATGAATTGATCGTATTTCCCGTTGGCCTTGTCTCGGTTGATTTTGGCACAGTAGAGAATATTCACGATGACACTAGAATCCGTAAATCAGCACGTAGGATGGGGAAAGACGTACCCGTAACAGTGCGCGAATAGCGGGAAATGAGGGAGAAGAGAACTGGGGCAGAAGAGAAATGCGGGAGAAGAGATGGAAGGGAAAAACTTACGTGAACCATCCGAGGATCAGAAGTGACATGACGATGGTGTGCGACTCGAAATATCGAGGCCCCTGCTCGGCTGGATAGATGAATGCTGTATACGAAGAGGGCTCTGGTCAGTCTGGAACAGACGTCGTGCGGGTACGAGCGTCAGGGATTCAGGGAGGAACTCACATCCGATGAAACCGCCACAGTTTGCGACAGCTAGTTGGAGACCTGTACACGCAGACCACAGACGTCAGCATATATCATCTCCACGTTCCTTGTCGGAACCAAAACCTCGAGGAGGTTTCGATGATCGTGTCCGTGTCTTGTCCATGTGGGGATGCAGCGTTGTGTACGTACCGGATGAGGCGGCGCGTTTGTAGTGGCCAGAGCAGTTGTTCGTCACCCAGACGATACAGGGCGGGGCACTGCCGTACAGGCCCGAGGCGATCAGGCATGTCATGGCGAATTTGACGTGGACCTTCGAGTCATCGACGTTGGCGATGACCGCGTATCCGACGATCGCCACGGGGAGGGTGATCAGCATAAACGGACCGCGCAGCTGGTACCGATCGGACAAGACGGCCACGGCGATGGTGAAGACCGTCGCCACGGCGTAGGGAATGACGGACCAGAGCTGCGCCGAGTTCGCCGTGTAGCCCAGGCCCTTGATGATCGACGGCAAGAAGATGCTGATCGAATAGATGCCGGACAGCATGGTGATGTACGTCAGGGCGGCCAGCCAGGCCTGGAGGTTCAACAGGCCTCGTCGGACCTCGGACCAGCTGAACTTCTCGGCCTCGACCTCGCGTCCGCCTTCGACGTGCGCGGTCGCGTCGACGTGCAGCCGGGTCGCTGCGTATTCCCTTTCCTCGGGCGTGAGGAACCGGGCGGCGGAGATGGTATTGGGCAGGAGCGTCACGACGACGACGCACACGACCATGGTCAGGAGGCCCTCGATCAGCATGATCCAGCGCCAGCCCGCGTCGATACCGCCGCGGGGTCTTATGGCCGACAGTCCGCGGGCCAGTAGGCCGCTGAACGCGCCCGCGAGCGTCGCGGACGTGTAGAAGATGCCGATCCGCAGAGCGAGTTCTCCGCGCGTGTACAGTCCCGACAGATAGACCACGATACCCGGGAGGAGACCTGTCAGGGGCGGGCGAATGTGCCGGGCACGTCAGCTTGGAGGCCAACATTGCAGTCGGGGAAGATTGTGGTTGGTTTCAGTTTGACAAAAGGCAGACGCAGACGCAGACGCAGACTTACCGCCCTCGAAGAGGCCCAGAATGATTCGCAGCACGATGAAGCCGGCGAGATTCTGCACAAACGCCAGACACATGCCGAGAATCCCACACGCGATGCCCAGAGCGGCGAGCCATCGTCGTGGAGTGACGATCTTCAGGAGGAGCACCGATGGAACCTCGGAGATGATGTAGAAGACGTAGAAGACGGCCAGGGCGATGCCGTATTGGTGAGAGTTGATGTGGAGGGACTCGGGGAGGCCTAGGATCTTTGCGTTGCCCACGTTGGCGCGGTCGATCCAGCAGCAGAGGTAGAGAACGATGAGGAGTGGAAGAATCCTGCTCGTTGTCAGTCGTTGCGCGCCCTATTGCCTTCTCTCCATCTCTCCCCCTCTTTATCTTTTTCTTTCTCTCCGTCTCGAGGAACGAGACACGGCAACCCCCCGGGGGCGAACAGAATGCACGCGCAGTATCTTACCTGAGGTCTGTTTTCCATAGGATCTTTCGTGTCAGAGCCTTCTTCCGGGCCGCGTCCTCGGGATCAACTTCAAGCTGCGAGGTTCCGACGACGATGGCATCTTCGACGTGCTTCTCTGCCACAGGATGGGCATCGCTCTTCTCGTCGTTGAGAGTCATGATTTTTGTGGTGAGCCGAAGTCGTCAGATATCCTTCGCCAAGCGCAACTCGGTCGAATGCTTGGCCGGTCTAGGGATGAAATGGAGCGGCGTAGACGGGGTTGCTGAATCAAATCGATGGCCCTCTTCTCTTACCCCGGATGTCACCGTGCTTTTTGTGTATGTTTTTCGCGGGGTTCTGTGGGGTGTAGGAGATACATCTCGGGCCGGTATAGCAGTACTGTATCATCTACGCCGTGCCGCAACGTGCGGTCTTCATGGATATTGGCTGCAACATCCAGCCTTGCGAGATGTGGTCCGACACAGATGGCTCAAAAGAAAGTTGGACGATGAGATGGGCTCTAGGGTTTGAAGCGCGGGCCGGGGAGGGGGCGGAGTGGAGTTACTCGGAGTCCGGGGCCGAACGGGGTGAAGGGGACGCCTGTTGTGACTAGTTAAGGGGCAATGAATACATCGCAGCCCGAGCCGTGATATGGGGCCTTTACATAGGTACGGGACGGTGTACCAGCACCATTGCTCGTACAACATCGGCAAAGCCGTCGTCGTTAGTCGTCGTTAGAAAGGGCCAGAGCGGATAAGACCTCGAATGAAGAGTGAGTCGCATTGTGAAGTTCGCGGGTGGTGCAGCTATCGTTGACAACCTCAACGTCGCCTCAAGTTCGTCCAGGCTCTATACTTGAGCTCATCGTCTCTCAAACATGCGTCTTGCGTACGTCGAGGCCGATGCCATCAAGGCCTCGTTGAGCAGCGATGCTGCCGCTGTTGTCGACCGGATCCTTCAACGACGACATCCACGTGGACTGCAGCCCCTCGATCGGGCCATCCTGCACTCCCCTTCGTTCGCCGACGGATTCAACGCGCTCATGGACGCGGTGACGAACCATCTCACTTTGACCACCGATATCAGCGAGATCATCATGTGCAGAGTATCGATCAGAAATCGATCGTGGTACGGATGGGAACATCACGCTCCTCTGGCCCGGGCGAGTGGTGTATCGGACACTGGCATGAAGACGTTGGCCGAGGATCAGATTGGTGCTGATGCCAGGGAAAGCGGGCTGACTGACAAGCAGTGGACCGTGGCAAGGTATACAGACGCCATGACGGCTGATGTTGAGGTCGCAGATGAGCTGTTTGCCGCGTTGAAGAGCCAATTCAGTGACCAGGAAGTGGTTGAGATCACAGGCACGGTGAGTGAGGCAATCTCCTGGTCCAGTCCAATTCAGATCACTAAAGTTGGGCTGTTTCAGGTCGCGGCTTATAACTGCTTGAGCAGGCTCTTGGTGGCTTTGAACGGTAAGTGGCGGCTTCACTATGAGCTCCTATCTGGATGACATAGGCAGACTGACAGCTGCAGTGGCTGAGAGAAATGGTCCGAAACCTTTCTGATGCAAATACCTTATATCGCGTATTTTGTAGGATATCATATGTGTCACCTTCTAAAGTCCAATGCTCAGCCAAGACGTGTATGTCTCTGTCCTTCTCCCTACACTGCCCAGTCTGGCGGCTTATCGTTCTCCTCGCCAACATCCAGTGCTACCAGAAAGCGTCCGACCATATTGTAGGTTGCAATCGTAGCCGTGAGTTCGACCATTTGCTGGGCACTGAATCCTGTCGCCCGAACCTCGTCAAATAGCGCTTGAGGTACCGCCACCTCTGTGGTCATGATATCAGCATATCTCAGAACAGCCCATTGCTGATTGTTAAGGACCCCTTGACACGAAGGAGACCTCTGCTTCACGGTTTCGAACTGATCAATGGTGAACCCTTTGCAGTGTTGGAGTATAGGAGCGTGCGCATTCCATTCGAACCAGGCCCGGTTGATCAAGGCAGTACGACAGATCGCAATTTCGCGGATGTCTTCAGCTAGCGAGTTCTTGGTCCGGATGGCATCAAATAGAGTATTCCAGCCTGAATTAATCCATGTCAGGGGCAGGTTGTAGCATTACCGGATGGATGAGGGCATCCTGTACATACCATTGGCTATTTCTGGTGCATGTAACAGTGTCAAGTCCAGTGGGAGTAGACCTGTTGCTCGTCGACGAGTTTCGATCCGCTGGACGATCTCTTGATACCCAGCAGAGAGGGTCCTCGATGGGTGCGCAATATAGTGAAGACGCATACTTATTTGTCTGCTCAGTCACTGGGTAGTAAAGATCACTCATCGATCACACCTGAGATGGAATGGAACGTGAGAGCAGTGCGAGTAGTACAAACCCATGGTGTGGACAGCAGCTGCAGATGATATGAACAAGTTAGACGGTACAACACACTCATAAGGTAGTTCGATACTCCCGAGTGGGGGATCGACCCTGGACCGATTTGGCCGAAAAGTGGTGATATAGAATTTGGGAACACATTACTTGGCTCAACACACTTCTCTCACAAGACTCACTGATATCACCTTGGAGACCTACTAGATCTTCATACATTTGACTGCCTCTGAGAATATTAGACCATCATGGCTCACCGCGACAACGATGAGCATTCCACAAATGCTGGGTCGAGGCTATCCGCCACGAGCTGCATGGTAGCTATCTCTGACCACTCTACTTGCGTTCGAGATAGTGGTGGCGAAGGCATGCCAATCGTCCTTGTCCATGCCTTGTCGATGGACGGCCAAATGTGGATTGAGCACGGTATCTTCGAGGCTCTAGCAACATCCTAAGACAAAATCGGCTCGTCACGGAGAGTTCTCTGTTAGGGTCTGCGTGGACATGGGGACCGCAAATGATGCACCTGGCATCACGTCTCTGTCTCAGTTGGCCGGCGATCTTCGTGACGTCTTGAAAGCATTGTCTATCGAGAAGATCGATGTGATGGGCGTTTCCTTCAACGGTGGAATCATTCAGCTATTTGCCCTCGCCTATCCAGAGCTTGTAGGTTCAGCGGCTTTCGTTGCCACCACCGCGACTGGAAGTCCACTCATGGCAGACCGTGCCGCTCTCGCAGAAAAGAATGGCTTGGAATCCTTGGTCGAGCCCACGCGTTCGCGCGGGTTCTCCCAGACGGTTAGAAAAAGAGAATCTCTCGCTCTCGCTCTCTCTTTAAGAGAATATAATGAAGCTCGTAGAGGTTGCCTCTGCACGTTCTCGAGGCGTCGTGGTTGGAATAGTAGGGATAAAGATCTTTCCAGGGTGTCTATGCTTAGCGTTCTTGGCATAAATGGAAATCCGCCTCCAAAAGCGGCGGTACCAGCCGCTTAATTCGGCAGGAAATTTCACTGCACCTCTCGTTGAATTAATTGTAAACCAGACGAAACAGAGTAACTATCCGAAAAGATCATGCCTGGTCTTGAGTCAGATAATCTTCAGCCTGCATTTGGCTCTTGTCTTCGGGAGCAACATGTTCATTCTCGTAGGTTGCGACTGAACTGAACGTCTGCATACTAAAGTTCAAAATTAATTTCATTTCCAGACCAAATTCGATGATCTCGTCCAGATCCCGCCTCATGGGTTCACAAACAACCTAATAACTTCCAAAGACCTCGAGGACCGCATAAATGAGAAATTTTCAAACAAGGTATGGACCGCGATTTTGTCTTCAGGCAGCGCCCATTTCTGAACCATGGACAGGTTGTGCAGAAAGTCGGACTGTGTATCTGCATGTATGACCTCCTCAAGGCCTCGGACGGATTGATCGGCACGGGCACGGGCAACGCAAACGTGAACGGTATGGCTATCTAATCATTCGAAGCTCTCTAATTCCATGCTGAGGGAAGTCCAGTCACTTTCCGAATGATCGTTTTCAGACCGTTCAAGGGCGAAATCATTACGGGCACCGTCCAGAAATGCACACCGACGGGCATTCGAATTACCACGCAGTTCTTCGATGACATTTTCGTCCCACAGACGATGCTATTTGAAGGTTGCGAATTGTGAGTCGCGTTGAGTTTCGCGACCCCAAGGCTGCGTTGGTACTGACGGAAGATTAATAGCGATGAAGCAGAAAAGACTTGGGTTTGGAGGACAGAAGAATCTGAACTCTGGTTTGATGAAGGTACTGTCGTGAATCTACGGATCGAGGCCGAGAAATGGCATGACCAAGCACCAAAAGGTCCCAACGAGGTCGAGAAGGAAGGTGAACGTAAAGTACCATACGCAATTGAGGTAGGCAGATGCTTGTATAGCTCGTGGAGATTGCCCGTCTAACACATCATTGCAGGCGTCAATGGCTGAGGCTGGTCTGGGAGGAGTTGAATGGTGGTAATTCAGCTCTTCTCAGAATGCATTCTAACTACAAGAATGGGCCTTCAAGGAAGGTTGACCAACACTTGAACCCAGACGATCTCCTTGACGCCATAAATGAGCAACTTTATGCCAAGGACATCACTACGCCGACTGCATATCACTCAACAGAGACATCTCAGTCCAAATCACAATTGCCATGGACACAAAAGAGGAGTCGAGAGAAATTGGCAAAGGAGCCCGATCTTGCAGATTTTGACAAAGCCGCGTATAAGCGGCAGATGGCCATGCCTCATCCTGGTTGCATTCGAGGCCGTTACTCTGAGCTATGGAGTACGAAGAGCAGAATACCACTGGCGAGTCTGCAAAATGGTTTGTCATCTTCGGGCACCACAAACGCGCCTAGGGTGATTTAGGTGACCTAAGCAGTGGTAGTGGCCCTGGAATGCGCCTTTTGACGGGCGTGAGACGCGGAGTTTACTTGAGTAATAAATAGGACTCGTAGGAGCCTCGGGCTTCAATGTGTTGGATTGTCTTTGCCCGCAGGGTCCGATACTCTCTTATCATGTGAAAGCACGTCATCGTATTGAATCGAACCAGAGACAATTTACAACATTGGTTTGGATGACAATTCAATTCATTTTCATGACCCTCTCAAATACTTGATTCCTTACTCCCATACAAGATATATAAATCCCTCTACGATCACATCGCCACTGCTGACAATATTTAATACCATCCTCCCCCTCCTTCTCCTCACTAGAAAGAAAAAGTCCTGGTCGAAACGGTGGTGCCGCATCCAACCCCGCCCTTTTTTGTATCGCCATCAAACCAGAAATTCCCTTTCCTCACACCTTCGCCTACACACTCGCCAGACCCTCACAATGACGATCCCAGTCTCTCCTCGTCCTCTCCGACCCAACGAGCGTATCCTCACCAGCGAGGATGGCGCGATTCACACTCCAGCCCGGGCTCCCTCCCCGGTCCACCAATTCGGCACCCTCGCGGTGCACGCCGGTTCACCTCACGATCCCTCCACCGGCGCCGTCATCGAACCACTCTCCCTGTCCACGACGTTCGCACAGACGGCCGTGGGCAAGCCCGTCGGGCTCTACGAATACAGTCGGAGCGCGAACCCGAACCGCGACAACTTCGAAGAGGCCGTGGCCTCCCTCGAACACGCCCGGTACGCCCTGGCGTTCGCCTCCGGGTCCGCGACGACCGCGACGATCCTGCAGTCCCTCGCCTCGGGCTCGCACGTAATATCGGTGTCGGACGTCTACGGCGGGACGCACCGGTACTTTACAAAGGTCGCACTGGCGCACGGGGTGGAGGTGACGTTTTCCCCGTCCATCGAACTGGACGTCGAGGAACTGATCCGCGAACAAACCAAACTCATCTGGATCGAGAGCCCGTCGAACCCGACGTTGAGCCTGGTCGACATCCGGAACGTCGCCACCGTCGCCCACAAGCACGGCATCCTGGTCGTGGTCGACAACACGTTCCTGTCCCCCTACGTGCAGAACCCGCTGGACCACGGCGCCGACATCGTCGTGCACTCCGTCACAAAGTACATCAACGGCCACTCGGACGTGGTCATGGGCGTGGCGGCCTTCAACTCGGACGAGCTCAAGGAGCGACTGACCTTCCTGCAGAACGCCATCGGCGCCGTCCCGTCGCCGTTCGACTGCTGGCTCGCCCACCGGGGCCTGAAGACGCTGCACCTCCGCGCCCGCGAGGCGAGCAAGAACGCGCTGGCGGTGGCGCGCGCTCTGGAGGCGTCGCCCAACGTCATCGCCGTCAACTACCCGGGTCTGGACTCGCACGGCCAGAGGGCCATCGCGTTGAAGCAACACCGCGACGGCATGGGCGGCGGCATGCTCAGTTTCAGGCTGAAAGGGGGCCACCCCGCCGCGGAGCGATTCTGCCAACAGACCAAGATCTTCACCCTGGCCGAGAGCCTCGGCGGAGTCGAGAGCCTGTGCGAGGTCCCCAGCGCCATGACCCACGCCGGCATCCCTAGGGACCAGCGGGAGGCCATCGGCGTCTTCGACGACCTCGTCAGGTTGAGTTGCGGCATCGAAGACGCCTCCGACCTCAAAAAGGACGTCCTCCAGGCCCTCGAGAAGGCCGTCGTCGGTCCAAAGATTTCGAATGGTGGTGGTGGCGGCGGCGGTGGTGTCGTCAACGGGGCCGGCGGTGGTTTGTCGAGAAGATGAAGAGATGCAACGGCGAGGTAAAAACGAAGATCTGGAAGGGGAAAAAAACCGAAAAACAAAAATCCTTCATTGTCATGTCAAAAATTAAGGAATACATCGTCAAAAAAAGGACGGATGAGATGATCATTTCTGGTGACTTGGTACGGCCAGGAATATTTGGATTGATACACGGAGTTTCACGGGCATATATCCAGCAGTGGCATACAAACACACTTGGATACCAAGATTTTGCAAGGGATGGTTTATTAGATTGCTCTAAGGTAGCATCACCCACTATTCACCCATGTGTTCTCTCTGTCTTGCGCTTCCGGGTGCGCTCAGGATTTGTAGAGTAGTACTGTACGGGTTGGTAAATATTGGTCTCTTTTTGTCTTTGCAATGACTTGCGTACGAAAAGGGGGTATCTCATCTGATTTCTTAAAGAAAACAATCGAGCACATATCAATCGGCCACGACACAGTCATTTCAACGCCCCCAGCATTACACCACTCAGTATCGCATACCTCAAAGCTCGTCCAACACTCTCAACCGCGCATCATCCACATTGCCCACCTTCGTGTCTTTCCCAATCTTCACCGTCGCCGGAGTGTCAGTCGTCGTGCCTCCCTCCTCTGTGTCACAAGGCAACCCCTTATTCCTCGCCCTGTTTCTCTCCGCAGCACTCTGGATCAGTCGCTTCACGTCATCCGGCACGCCTCCGCCCTCAGGCAGCGTGACCTCGACGCTCGGGAGACCCAGGCTGCCATTCCATGCCCCGCGGGTATAATCGGCTAATTTGCTGTGTACTTCGTCCCGCCTGGACAAGGACTCCCTTCCCAACACGAGGGCCAACACCGCAACCACCACAAGTAGACTAAGATACCATACCACCCTGCCCACGCGGACCCAAACCTTCCGTATGTCGTCCTCTTTACGTTCCCAGTTCTTCAAGATGATTCTAGCATTCTCCAGTCGCAAACTCAGATCCTCGGCTCGGTCATTGACCTTTCTCCCTCTTTCCGACAGCTCTTCGGCCTTGGCGTTCCGGACCTCGAACTCGCCCTTGAACCGTTCGACTCTCCGCCGCGTGTCATGATCTAGTCTCTCGCTCTCCTTGTCAAAGTTGTTGATCAATTGCGACGTTTGCACCGAGAGGCTTTGGAAACTCGTAATCGTGGCGACGAGACTGCCTATCGTCTCGAGCAAGTTGTAGTACCCGTAGTCAAGACGGCGCGTGATTTCTACGCCTTGGGCCGTCATGTTTGCGATGCGCGTGCGCATTTCATCTTCCGCGGCGGCAAGCTCGGCGTCGCGACGCTCAATGTCGACCTTCTTGACATGGATGCGTCGTGCTACTCGTGCTTGGTCGCCTCGGTCTAGGGCCTGTTCGAATGACGTTTTCGGTCGTATTTGGGGACGGTTATGAGGGTCGGATGTCGCCCGGAGACGAAGGTCTAGGTTGCGGCCATCGGCATACTCTGACGTTTGAGAGACGCCCGGAGGATGGAGACTGGCACCATTCTGGCCTCCTGTAGTGGTGGAACTGCCATTGGAATATGTGTGCAAACTTGTGTTTGTATTGATGCGATGGAGGTGCCCGCGTTTCTCTCGCTCCGCGTTGAGTCCTGCCAGGAGATGTGGGAGAGCCTCTTTGGACTGCTTGGGTTGTACACGGCGGAATGAGGATGTGCGTGTCAGGGCGTCAGACTGCGTCGGACGGTGGCCTCTTTTGTAAGGCGCATCACCGGCAGTGCTGTTACGAGTCTGAGAATGTGATAGGGAGTGCTGGTGTTGTGAATGTCGATGGTGTAGGTGTGAGGAGCCTGGAATATGTACGCGATGCAGGCGCTCAGCAGTGCGCTCGAGTGCTGAGGCGGCGGGGAGAGTAAGGGCGTTGCGAGGTTTGGTCTCAGCCGGGGAGAGATAAGACCTCGACCGGACATGCGAGGGGCGAGTGGGCTGGAGGTTTGCTCCTGCAGTTTGAGGTTCTGTTGGTGATGGGTTCGGCTTGGATGGGTCGGTATGGGACCGGGAGCGTGCGTAGTTAGGACGGGTTGGTGGTAAGGGATGGGGGATTCCCAGTTGTTGGGACATGATTCATGCGACCTAAAGCCTCGAGCGGATGTACAAGTTGATCATGGTGACTTGTACGGAGTAACACTGTGTAACAAAGATATGAGTTGTAGTTGAGGAAACATTGATCGAGACACACAACCTACGGCTACAAATCGATGACGACTTGTCACGTGTTGCATTGGCCGACGAGGCTGCAGCCTCGTCATCGGATCTAACCTAGGAAAAGGGGCAAATCGCAGACTTGGCCGTGCAAACAACACCGTACGAGGTTAGTCATTTGGACAAGTCGAGTAGTATTCTATCTTACTACAAGCTCGCTAGCAAGGCTATGCATTTGCAAGAATCAAAGCGAAATCATGTCACCAAGTTCCAGATCTCCAATCTGAAGTGCCAATACAAGTGTGCTAATTCTCAATCTGTGCATCAACTTTCATGCTCTCGTACCTCGTTCAAGCCATTCTGTGATCGAAATGCTCTCTGGGAATACCCTCCAGGACAAGGTTCTCGGCTTCAAAGGCCGCATTGGCACTCTTTGGAAATTTCAGGCAATCTTTTGGGGGTTCATGTTTCGTTGGGGCTTGGTTTCTGTGTGGACTGTATGTCATGTCGTGCGTCGTTGAAAGTGTGGGACGAGCTGGTGTAGCTTAGTACTCGACACCACCATCATCCTCAGCTTCCAGGCTGTCACTGGCCACCTCTTCGTAGTCCTTTTCGAGTGCAGCAAGATCTTCACGGGCTTCTGAAAATTCACCCTCTTCCATACCTTCACCGACATACCAATGGACGAAGGCACGTTTGGAGTACATGAGGTCGAACTTATGATCAAGTCGGCTCCAGGCTTCGGCAATGGCAGTAGTGTTGGAGAGCATGCTAACACAGCGATCAACCTTGGCGAGTTCACCACCTGGGACGGGCATAGCTAAAAGTAAGTTAGTATGAATTGTTAACCAGCACATTCGGGCAGAACTTACGAGGTTGGTAATTGATGCCGACCTTGAAGCCAGTGGGACACCAGTCGACCAGGTGGAAGCTGGATTTGGCCTTGAGCGAGGCAATGGCAGCATTAGTGTCACGAGGTACCACATCCCCCCGGTAGAGAAGTGCCACAGCCATGTATTTGCCGTTACGAGGATCGCAAACAACCATCTGGTTGCTGGGTTCGAAGCATTGCAAAGTGAGGTCGTGTACCTTGAAGCTTTCATGAGAGGAGCGCTTGGTGGACACGACAGGCGCGTAACTGATGAGAGGGTAGTGGATGCGAGGATATGGCACCAAGTTGGTCTGGAACTCGTTCAAGTCGACATTGAGAGCACCATCGAATCTCAAGCTGGAGGTAACAGACGAGACAACTTGAGCAATGAGACGGTTGAGGTGTTCGTAGTCTGGTCGAGGAATGTCCAGATTGCGACGGCAGATATCGTACACGGCCTCGTTGTCAACCAGGAAAGTGCAGTCGGCGTGCTCAATGGTGCTATGGGTGGAGAGAACCGCGTTGTAGGGCTCAACCACAGAGGAAGAGACTTGAGGTGCAGGGTAGACGGCGAACTCCAGCTTGCACTTCTTTCCATAGTCGACGGACAGTCTCTCAAGGAGGAGAGCTCCAAATCCAGAACCGGTACCACCACCAAACGAGTGGAAGATCAAGAAACCTTGCAGAGAAGTGCAGTTGTCTTAGAAGCATGTCAGCCAATGCGTCTCTTCTTCGCATGTATTCAGAGAGGTGCTTACCGGCAACGCGACGAATCTTGTCCAAAACATCGTCAACAAGCTCTTTACCAATGGTGTAATGTCCTCTTGCATAGTTGTTTGCCGCGTCTTCCTTGCCACTGATCAGGAGTTCCGGGTGGAAGAGATGTCGGTAGGCACCGGTTCGGATTTCATCGATCGGGGAAGGATCGAGATCAACGAAGATGGAACGCGGGACATGCTTGTTATTTCCAGTCTCGGTGAAGAAGGTCTCGAAGGATCCAGGATCGCCGACACTGGCTTCGGGGTCAGGGCGACCATCAGCCTTCAGGCCGTGCTCGAGAAGGTATCTGAGGAGGAAAATTAGCAATCAGGAGGCGAAGTAGCGGTGGGCGCGTCGGCAGGCCGTACAATTCCCAAGCTGCATTACCCAACTGAGTACCTGCCTGCCCAATATGCAGGTGGCAGACCTGGTTCAACAGTCAGTATGTGCATAAGGTCAAATCCATGAGTGTTTCTGGTATGGCTGGCCCCTTCACGTGGAATGGGCGTCGTAGAATTGTGGAGGGGTAGAGCGAGCACGGAGTACATAAACAAGAGGGATAACTAACTTCTCCGCGCATTTTGATTGAGTCTGCGAAGTTACCAATTCACGGCTTGGTGGAAGGTGATTGTAGAAGAGGCGTTGAGAGTAGACAACTGTGTTGTCGATGGTAATGGATGAGGAAAGGCAGCGAGCAGACTGACTGGGCCTTTGTTTAGGAGAGTCCAAAGTTGTGCGCAGGAACAGTTGGAATGGCGATTTGTTATCGAGCCATGTTGGTGATTGGCGCATCAACAAAAACAGCCAAACACGCGCCAAGCCCGCCACTTAGTGAATTGGAGCATAGCGCCCACTCTGCCTAGAGGAGTGTACGAATACGAGGTACTTGGGTGTCCGTGGGCAATGTAGGGGGGATTGTAGGTGCCTCCAGAAATCCCCGATAGGCATCTCGACGTAGTTTCTAGGCCATTTCTAGGTAAGCAAGACGCCTAATCATGCCCGCCTAGAACTATCCAGGCACAAGTACTAGAGGTATCCCATCCGCCATTGCATCACTGCCGTCCATTTCCACTTCCACCTGCGTCTTCTGCATCGGGTGTATCTACTCCTCCTCGTGTCACTTCTGTACCTGCAGCAGATTGACGTACTGCATACAATCTTGACTGGCTGGCTCTTGGAAGCGTCTACATCCTCCATTGTTCCTTGATGAACTTCTCCGATCCCGAATATAGGCGTATGAACAGCCATGAGCTTACTGAAGAGTGTTTGCTATACCGTCAGGCACCATCTTTTCGAGTCCTTGGAATCTGTTGGCCACCACTCGTCATGGTATCGAATGCTGCCCATGGTATGGTCTGGCTGGGGCATTGTGAGGGTGTGGACGCAGTAGGAGCATCTCTGGATTGACGACGGCGGAATGAGAATGCAAATCTGCTCGTCGAGATGAAGTCGTTGTCTTTGCTGTACTGCCCGCGACAGACAGCCTCACTCAGGTACAGATCCAGGTTCAGACCGCCCAGTATAATGCGTCTTCTTCACTTCCACCACTGAGTTTTGATCGCGACCTAGAGAGGGAAGATGGTCTCAAGCTTTGAAAGAGGGAGGGCGCGACGCGGATGCACTGAAAGCCACAGTATTGAGGAATCGCTCACTTTCACCGCGGGCCAGGGCGAAAAAGTGAGCATACACTGAGGGCAACACTGCTTCCGCTTGACTTGACTTGATTTCACTTCACTTCACTGCCTCTGGTAAGTTATTCGTGTGAAGGTCGCGACGCGCCGTGTACATGAATCCGTTCGAATGCCAAAATCATCTTCTCTTGCCTCGTCCTCTTCCATCACCACTCCCATCAGTCCCCCGTTCATTCATTCTCGCGCTCTACCAATCTTATCAGAGTCATCGTCTTCATTATCTTCGTCTCCTGCGCTGCGCTCAAAGCTCATCTCGTCGGCGACAGTGAGCTCTTTGAGCTAGTCGCGCGATGAACCTCACAGGTAACAAAAGATATCCCCAAACATTTGCGACAGCCCGCTCACATCATCGCAGGTAGCGGTCGAATGCCAGTCATGGCCTGCGTCGTGACCCTCGTTCTATGCCTCTTCGCTGGTCTCCTCTGCGCTGGTCCGGTTCAGACTGGTACTGAGCTTGTGTCAAATCTCCCTGATGCACTCAGTCGATCTCATCCCACTAGTTACTTCCCTGAATCCTTCCGTCCTCACAGTCCCAATGACCATCAGTCAACTTCAACTTCGAGAACTCCTGCGGTCTACGGTGGTGTTGATAATCCGTATGGACCATGTTCTGACTGGCATGTACCTGCTACCACTCCGGCTGCGTCAATGCAGTCTCGAGATCCTGAAATGGGAAATGACTATGCCATGGTCTGTGGCTCCGACTCACACAAGTTCACCACCAACACTTGTGCAGGATCCCCATTTCGCTATTATTGCACAGCCAAAGGTTCATTGACCAAGAAGGGCACTTACAACTCACACTGTGCTGAAGTCTGCCGCTGTGTCAACCTGGCACCCAAGCCCTGTCTCCATGGTGTTGTAGCTGTTACCTGTTACATCTCGGCTGATGGCACAATCCTGGACTCTAATCTCGAGACCATCGGTGACACCAGCACAGCAATTGAACTCAGCAATGGCACGTGGCTGCTCGATTCTGGATCCCCGTTACATGGCCTCGAACTACGCGCACTTTCTGGATCAGATGTCTCTAAAACATCAGCTATGGCCATCTCAGGTCGAGATTCGAATGCTGCAATGCACGATTATGCGCTGGTCTGCGCCGACCGTGGCGGCACACAGAGATGCAAGGACCGGAGTTACTACTGCAAGTCAAGCGGCAGAGTGGCCTACAGATTGTCAGATTACTTCTGTGACACAGTTTGCGAGTGCAAGAACCTGAGAGCACAACCGAAGCCATGTGCCAACATCTACGAAGCCGATCTGCACAAATTCGTCTGTTTTGACGACATTGACCCCTTCATGAATGCAACTGGTCAAGACACTTCCAGTAATCTTACCATCAACAATAGTGTCCTTAACTTTACGAGTGGTTCTGTCCGACGCGACGTTAACTTGCCAGCACTAACCGACCCCGGTTGTCATCCTCAAAATCAGAAGCGCCGACTCTTGCTGTGCCAGAACCATACGCAAGCTTGCAGCACCGAATTCGGATATTGTTGTCAGACTGGAAGCCTGACTAGTGCTTCTCACAATCCAATTTGCAATGACATCTGTAAATGCATGGACATGTCTTCCGGCCCCATACGCTATTGCACTCATGGTCCAAACTTCAGCATTCTGTCCGAGTGCTTTGTTGATGGCAATGCTATTTACAAGATCGAAGGTGACCTCATGACTGACTTCCTCGGCAATTTCACGAATGCAGTGGTCGGAGCTTGTGCAAATCTGTGGATCGGTGAACCTGGCATGTCACCATATCCTCCCATCGATGTTCCTCCTCCACAAATCACCGATGTAGTGGCCAAGCGAGACGAGGAGGTGGCTGATATGGCACAAGACAAATGGGTCCTCGCCTGCCAGAACAAGGCACACACACAAACCTGCCGAAACAAACTGCACTACTCATGTGATGGCGCAAAGGTCGTCACGCATCAAGATTGGGACTTTGTCTGTGAAGCTATTTGCGTTTGCTATGATCAGGACCCCGATCAGATTTGTGTCCCTCGCCACGCAATCAGTGGTGTCTGTCCTCCAGGTGTCCTGCAAGACCCCCCTACCGTTGGATCTGAGAAAGATGTGTCAATCATCACTGAGCGCCAAGATACAATGAACAGTGACTCCATCAGTGTCTCAGAGCGTTCTCTTGATGACAGTGGGAGGGATGCACCATGGTACTTCATCTGCATGGCCAAAGACAGCGTCAATACCACTTTGACAAACTACTGTTTGGCCGAAGGTTACACATGTCCTCATAATGCTCCTCGCCAACCTAAGCCACTACGTCCGGAGCACCATGACCCGCTGTGCGAAAAACACTCTTCTTGCTCTTGCCGAAAGGCTTATACACCATCGCATGATGATGAGGGCGCCATGATCCAGCGTGACCTGTTTGCATCCAACTCCTTGTTTGTCCCAGCACACGTCTCACACGAGGTAAAGAGAGACCTATCAACTGATCGCCAATTTTTCTCCCTGGCTTGTGAAACAGGAAACCATCTCAACGTTTCCCTAACCAAGTACTGTGCTGAAAAGTCTTATCACTGTGTCCCTGGTGAGATACTTTCAGAACTTCAACATGATGGTCCTGTCGATGCTCAGTGCTCTCAGAGCTGTCACTGCCGCACTCCCTTCACCAAGGCTGAGGATCTCTCTTCTCGTTCCGTCGCTGAAGCTGCTGAACGCAAGTATTTCTCCATGGCCTGCAATAGTGGAAACCATGTCAACGCAACTCTGACGCATCACTGTGCTGAAGAGTCGTATCGATGTGTCCCTGGAGAAATGCTCTCGATTCTACGACATGATGGTGCCGGTAATGCCCAGTGTTCCCAGAACTGCTATTGCCGCACTCCATTTGTTGGAGCCGAAGGTCTCTCCCCGCGTTCTGAGCTGGTCGGCGATGCAGGCTACAGTCTACATTGTGGCCACCAGGGCGACGAGTTCTACCGCACTGGCTACCATGTACTTTCCACTCGCTGCCAAGTCCTTTGGGGCTACACTTGCGACGTGGATGGACAAGTGCACCACGGTGGTACACCGGTCTTCAAATGCGACGAGACCTGCAGTTGCCACAAGTCCAACGATACCACCGTTGTTGGAGCTTAGGTTTCTGTGCCAGTGGTCTCGTCCATTCCTTCCATGAGGAGTGGCGGTCACGAGTTAGCCACAGGCAGACCTATGTCACTTGTGCAGAAGAACACAACAAGTTGTGATTTTCTTTCTTTGCGAATGGAGAGACAACGGAATGATTAGTGATGCTCTTTTAGTTCTTTCTTTCTCTGAGGTGTGGACAACCAAGGCTCTCTTTCGACGATATCCTTGATTGTGTCCTCAAGGAAAAAGGGGTGTGATGATGTTGTTGTTGTTGAGATCTCGAATTCGATTTCGATTCAATTCGCTTGCAAGATATGAAGGCCTAAAATCTCGCTCTCTCACCAGGAAATTGATTCATTCAACCGGTTGGAGGAGCGATGGCCATCGTACAGGAGCACCCCGAGCTTGCGATAAACCAACAAAACAAAATACCATGAACCCTTGAAAGGTTTTTCGAAGGGGGAAGAGAATTCCTTTGCATTGTGTTTCGTGGAACAAATCAACACAGACAGAAATTGCAAGAAAACTTATTCAACCAACTCGGTTTCCTCCTGTTTTTGTTCTTCTTTTCTTTTCTCTTCTTCTGACCGTATGAATGTAAGAGCTTGTCTCCTTATAACAGTGACAGTAACAACGATAAAGGGCCATAACTCGCCACTCACCACAACGTCGACCAAGCCTCAGCTTCGGAAATGTGCCCAATAACATTCTTAATGTCACAAGGAATTCAAAAATATGGAACGACAAAAATAAAAAGGCAACAAAAATTGGTTTCGCTTCCTTGGCAAAAGACTCAATGGTCAGCCTAACTCGAGGCTCTTTATATACCTCAAAAGTCTACCAATCGTCATCATCATCCTTTGTCTGTCTCCCACTCATGGCACTCTGTCTCGCCCTCAACGCCTCAGCCAGTCCTCCAGCGAGACTGCCACCACCAATACTGTTTGGCGTAGCACGACCCGAATCGGTTCCACTTCCTGTCCCTAGACTCATACCACTATCTCGAGCAGGTGAAGCTGCTGGCTTTCGTGCCGCGGGCACCGGCCTCTTCGCTGGAGGGGCAGGCGGCGTCGGCTTCGCTTTGCCAATGACTGGTGGTGTTCCAGGTTTGGCGTGTCCATTCGCAACCACCGGCACGGGAACAGCTCGTGGTGGCGCGGCCGGCGGTGGAGGAGGTGGAGGTGGAGCGGCACGAGCTTGCTCAATCTCTTCGACGTACGCTGTAGGCGTCCATCCTTCCTTCAGAGTTTGCACATTTTTACAAAGCCACCAACCTATACAAATGGGTTAGTAAACATGACACAAAAATGCAAGGTGCACAAGAGAAAGGCTCACCATTGTTTTCCTTCTTTAGAATCTCGACAATATCTCCGGCCTTGATGTTTAATTCGTTCTCGTTCGGAGAATTGAAGGCGTACTTGGCTTTGGCTTGAGGCTTTGATGGGGCAGCAGCGGGCGCCGCGGCAGGAGGTGGTGGTGGAGGTGGAGGCGGAGCCGCACGGCCAAACGAAGAGGCTGATTCATTGCGGGTATGGGAAGAGGGCCCATTCAGTTGGGATGTGACAGTTTGGTGAACAGGTGCGGCGGCAGGTGTAGGGACAGGCCGTGGTGTTTGAGCTGCAGGCCGGGCTGCGGGCACAGGTCTTCGTGAGGCGGCTTTTGAAGGCTGACCACCTGGCCCACCAGGGCGGAGTAGCTTGCCACTTGTAATAGGCTTCGCAATCGCTTTGCCTCGAGGAGTAGGCCGCGAGACAGACGTCGGTGCTTCTCCCTGAGGAACGTGAATTGTCCCTGACTTATACATATCGTCTCTTGTTATGGTGGAGTCTTTTTGAACTTTGACAGAGGCAGGTTTTCCTGGCTTCTTATTGTATTCGATAGTTGGCCCAATCTTGAGATTCATTCCTCCAACAGCAACGGTTTTGAATTGAAGGAAGAACTCTGTCTTAAACACGCAACTGATGAGAGGATCAGGTTCTTGAGGCGAACCGACACCAAGCGCAAACCAGTCGTCCCGAAGGCTGGACGTCGAAATATATTTGACTGCACCCACGGGTATTGTTCTTTCGGCTGAGATCTGCAGCTGGTTATTGACCACGGCCTGAACGACAATATAGACTGACTTGTTGGTGAGCACCAATATCCTGGGCATTGGTTTGGAAGACCTGCCGAACTTGGCCACCAGCAATTCACATCGTGATGAGAAGACGCATCGTTCCTGTGAGCTGAGATTGATGGAGTCTCGCAGAACTCGTCCTTGACCGCCAGGCATATTGAGACCTAGGTAGTCGCCGAAGAAACGTCTCGAACCGAGCAAGCTGTACCTGCGACGTTCCTTGCGTCCGCCCAGTAGCTGATGCCCTCGATCTCTGAATTCCACTTCTTTAACCCCGACCTTGGACTTTCGCCAAAACCTTTGGATCCTTGTCGCCGCTTCTGCTCGGTACCTCAAATAGTTTCTCCAGGCTCGCTGAATGCGGACTGCCATGTTGTGCCAGTATCGATCTCGCATATGTTCCAAACCGAACAGAGTTTCAGGGCTCTTAATGAAAGCCTTTGTAGTACCCATCTGGTACTCTTCTTGAGGAATGCTTGTGTCCTTGAAGATGATTTCCGAGGCTGTCCTTACATCACCAGTATATGTGTATTCACCTGCATATGACAATCTAGGCGACAGCAGTGCGAATCGTTCGACAAATTTATCAAACGCTTGGCGGTAGGCAAAACCAGCTCTCCGAATGCGGACGTTCTCCTGAAGACCCAGATACTTGATCTGATGAAGAACGTTTGCTTCATTGTACTCTTTCGGCGACTTGTTCTCGTTGGGCTTGATGGTTCGAATGTACGATGGCTGTGCCTGCATCAGAGTGTCGACAAGCTCGTTGGCAGAAGCCTTGATCTTATCGCCCGCAGTTGGTGGTCGGCGTTTGTCATCCTGGTTGACCTGGGCGGGGAAGAGCTCATGCAAAAAGCTGTTTGAACTCTCGCCAACCAGGTTCAGAAGATCTTTCAACAACTGATCCTTGTTCTTGTCTGTCATTCCTGCAACCTGGTAGTTGACATCACCAGCGTAATGCTTGATGATGAATTGACCTTGTCGATTTTCGAAATTGGGGTTGCTTGACAGGAAGTTCAGTCGACCCACGAAGGTTTGATCCGCGGCTCCAGAATCAGCATGAGCCGTAGCACAAGCATCATTGAGGGCTGCAAAGACGCCAGGCGGTCTCTTGTCTTCGATCAGAGAACAGACAACCTTGTTGTCAAAATACTTGATCGGTGTCCACTGAATCTGCTCACGCGCATACTCTTCCTGTTCAGCCTTGAGTGTCAGCTGGATGAAAATCTGCTGCAGCTTTTCATTGACATAATTGATGCACAGTTGTTCGAAAGAGTTCTTCTCAAAGATTTCGAATCCGTAAATATCGAGGATACCGACAGTGTTCTTGACGGCTCCTTGTGCTCGTAGGGAGACATTCGTTCGCGAGACAATCCAGTCAAAAAGCCTAAAGTAGACAGCCTTGGCCAGCGCATCACGTACAGCCATTGCCTGGACGGGATTAAGAGGTGATTCGTAGATAGATCCTCGTCTGCCACCGCCTCGGGCCGTTTCAACAATTCTGATTGTCAGCGCCTTGTGGACATGAGCTGACTCGACTTCTAACAAGTATGCCACAAAATCAACGACTGACTGATCCGAGATATCAACTCCGCCCTGATCGTTTTCCCGGAAGGTAATGTTTCCGATCCACAAAATCGCGGCCAACATGCGGAAAATGTTGTCTTGCTCGCCTTTGGTCAGTCCAATGATTTTCATCGCTTGAACAGTCTCGTTAAGATCACTGGCATCATCTATACCCGGTACGTCGAAGCATTTGGATCTGCTGGTATATACATAGGATTGTGGTTGTTGAACGCCAAACATGTCTCTGTACTCCTTCGGCGCTGCTTTGGTGAACTGATAGAAAATGTGGAAGTTTCGCTCGTTCGTGATCTGTCCGACGACTCTCGAGGACTCCAGTAGGTAATTCGTGATTTTGGCGCCCACAGGCTCACCATTTTGGTTGAATTCGAGTTCCAGGTACTTTCCAAAGCGGGACGAATTGTTATTTCGCAGCGTTTTGGCATTGCCGAAAGATTCAAGCAGTGGGTTGGTGGCTAAGACCATATCTTTCGTCTTCTGAATCCTCGAATCGGTACCCCCAGAGACATTGGCAATGTACTGCATCAACCGTTTGGCTGCTTCCGTTTTGCCAGCACCCGATTCTCCGGAAATGATGACACACTGGTTATCCTTGTATGCCTTCATGTTATAGTATGCAGACTCGGCGACGGCGAAGACGTGGGGAGGGACCTCGAGTCTGTTCCGTCCACGATAACCGTCCAACACCTGGTCGGTGTAGATTCCCAAGTCCCGGAAGGGATTGACCGACACCAACACATGGCCAATATAGGTGTAAATCTCTCCATGCTCGAATCTCTTTTTTAGGTTGTCATTGATAGCTTCGTTGGAAACCTTGCTCAGCAGCGTAAGATCTGATACCCCGACTTCCTTCTTCTTGGTGATTTCGAATGTGGCCTTTTTGATCTGTGGCTGCCCGGAATCTGCATGACTTGACTTTCCTCCACCGAAGAGAGAGGATTTTGGTACACGCGAGGACTTGCCTTCGCGACGCTTCGTTTGACCCTAGACTCTGGGTCAGAATGTCTCTGTGCGTGATTTTAATGTGCACCGGGCTTACCATTGTAACGGAGGGTTGTGATTAGGAGCGCGCTGCGCAGGGAGGATGTCGTTGATGAAGGTCCGGTTCACAACAAGACCTGCCAGAAGATACAAAGCGCAATGGTAGAGAGTGTCAAAAGAACAAGATACAAAGAAGTGCGGCCTTGCCTGGTCGCAATCAAAAGCGCAGGCACAATGTTAAAGCTGCGAGTCGCAATGGCTGTTGGTTGTGTTGGGTATGACATACAAAACCAACGGCGGCTGCGGAATTAGGTCAGCAAGCCACAGCGTATTGGTATCGTATAGAACGAGTCCACCATCCAACAGTCTGTGACACTTTCTATCTCTCTCTGTCTCTTACTACGCAGTATGGATACTTGTAACAATACTGTACCCGTTAGCCTGAAACTCGTCCCTAGACCTGGCACTGCTAAACACGGCTCAATGCCAAATCTCCCACACCATCGCCACAAAGCTGCTACTTCGTTTGTGGCTGAGCAGTCTGTGCAGCCTTGTGGACGCGCAATCACAAAACGTATGTTGATAGCAGAATTTGACTGAAGCCTGATGCTATAATCTTTGTGGAGCTAAGCATTCTTCTATCATGGCATTCTGTCATAGTCTCGATCTGCGTATAAAGTGTATTGATTGACAGTGGCACTGACATCTATACGTCCTGATAGACACCACCGCCGCAATGTAGATACCCTGCTATGAACAGCGAGCTTATCCTAGATTTCAATCATGACAACGGAAACAAGTACTGATCGTGATATCAAACAATTTTTTTGACATTGGGAGTCGGGTATCTCGTATAAAATGTACATTGGAGAGAGGACAAAATTAACTCGGCAGATGCTCAGACGGTGCCTTACAAAAGGTCTCATCTCGAAAGCCATCTCACCGTACCACTGTTTCCCTTCGTCCTGACTTTGACTCAGTGGCACTCTGTTCGGCTGCTAGAACCGCTTGCTTATGCTTTTCTTCCAAGACCTTATCAGACTGAACCAGGATATTCTCTGCAGGCCCAGGGGCATTCTTGCTCAAAGCCTCAGACGCTTCCTTGTCTGGCTTCTCTCCAGATACGAGGGATGCCAATCGAGAGAACCAACCGACAGGCTTCTCCTCTTCCTCTTCGTCTTTATCCTCATAAATCTCCGGAGGCAAAATCCTCACAGTCCCGTGCTGCTTGCCGTTCTTTTCCTTCGCTCGAAGCCGTAATACCTCTCGCTCTAGCTCCACCAATGCTCGTCTAGCGGCTTTCTCAGATTCTTCCAGATCATTCAGACGCTCTGCTACGTCGTCTCGTCGCTTGCTTTCCTTGCGGCCAGATCTCCATGACTCGAAAACAATCAATCCGGCCGCAACCCCAAATAGAAAGGTTTCACTTATGAAGGTGGCACCGGATTCAATAGCCTTAGCTTCAGAGAGAGGCTTGATCCTGGGTTTCGGTCGCGGTTTGGGCGGCTCTGATGCCTCTTTGGCCGCGCGCGCGGCTGCCTCCTCTTCTGCTTTTGTTTGTGCTTCTGTTTTGACCGTGGGTATACTATGTTGATGCTTTTTAGCCTCAGCTGCTTTGGCTTCTCTCGCAGCCTGCTTCTCAACGGCTGCTGCGTCTTGTAAAAGCCCTATCCGCCATCGCATATCGATTCGGTGGAGAGTTTGGGCAAAAGAAATGCAGGTTCTCCGGAAACCCTCATGTTCGCGAGCTTGTTTCTTTATAAAATTCTACAACTGTCAATATATTCCACTCTGTTCTGTGTGACCAGCACTTACAGCTATGGGTTTCGCAAAAGTCCGGACGGCCAGCGACGTGAACTTGAGAGCGAGCGACATCTCGGCACACGGTGCGAGGCTCTATGGGCGTTCCGGCTGGCTGGTGGTCGACTCTCATATAACGTATCTACCATCTTGAATACATTATTGCAACATATCACATCATGTGGAGAGTTCCATTCGTAAAAGCTGAAGCATGCGATTACAGGCAGGATGTCTTGCTTGCGGTACCAGTTGGTGTCGGGGATTTTGACCTGAGATCCGAATGGCCGAAGAAGAGCCGCTGACTCAGCATCTCGATGGGTCGATGCAATGCCAAGAGACTAAATCGACCAAACGTCACTTCCCTTTTCGGCACTTTGTTGACAAGCAGCGACAGCCAATGGGTGCATGGTAACTAGGTACAACCACCGCTTCTTGTTGTATTGTATTTTGGCATGCATCTTCATTGATTTGCAGAAGACTAACATCTTACCAAAGTCGATGAACAAACACCATAGCTGACGTCGCTGCACTCATCTCCCTCTTCCATCCTTAGCGACCATAAGTCGCGTCCTGACATGGATGTCCTTTCTCCTCGTCCCGTCAATCTCCCTATGCAGCCACCACCACTGCCAAAGGCTATGAAGAAGCCTCGACCCGAACTGAAAGCAAGACCTGAGGAGAAACCTTCGAATCCAGATCGAATCGACGACAAATGGCGACCACCTGCGAGCATCACAGAGCCTGGGTCATCACCTGAGACGTACTCAATGGGCAGAAAACTAGGGAAAGGAGGTTTCGCAGTATGTTTCGAGGGTAGGTCGAAGCGGACGGCAGAGATATTCGCTCTCAAGGTAGTCAAGGCAAAAGTCGAGCAGAAAAAAATGCTGGAAAAGTTCCGTACAGAACTCCAGATACATGCGAAGATGCACCACCCGAACATCGTTGAATTCTTGAGGGCCTTTACCATTGAGGACTACACCTATGTTGTGCTCCAGCTCTGTCCCCATGGCAGTCTCACCGAGATGGTCAAAGCTCGAAGTTGCCTCAGTCTTCCAGAAGTTCGAAGATTCATGATCCAGATCTGTGGAGGAGTCAAGTATATGCACAAACGTTCTGTCATCCATCGGGACCTCAAAATGGGAAACATTTTCTTGGACGCACACATGAACATCAAAATCGGAGATTTTGGCCTTGCCGCTGTTATGGCAGATGAACAGGACAGAAGAACGACTCTTTGTGGTACGCCAAATTACATTGCGCCAGAAATTTTGAGCAAGTCTGGCAACCGAGGTCATGACAACAAAGTCGACACTTGGGCAGTAGGTGTGATCTGCTACGCCATGCTCATGGGCACCCCTCCATTTCAGTCAAAGACACAGCAAGAGATCTACAGCAAGCTTCGAGGATTAGAATACGAGTGGAGGGTAGACAGCAAGAACTATATTCCACATCAAGCCAAGGACTTTGTCGCGTCTTGCCTAAACCTCAATTCCGCCGAAAGACCTGAAATGGATGACCTTGTCCAGCACGATTTTTTCACTATGGGCGCAATTGCTGAGGAGCTCGATCCGATCTGCCTCAAAACGACACCGACATGGTTAGCAAACGCCGATCCACGAGGTGACAGAGTACGGTCTGGCTACGGGATGAGCCTTGGTAAGCTGTGTCGGGAATGTGGTGTTGGACTTGGCTCCGATGGTCGACTTCGTCCTGGTGTTGGTGTTGGTGCTGGCATATCCGCTTTGTTGGAAATCGAAGCAGAGAACCGAGAAGGATGTGCGCCCGTAATTCCTTTACCTGCGGGAGTCCTTTACAAGCAGTTTTCAGACGCACATGCCGAGTGGACAGCACGCCAAAAGCACCCCCTAATGACGAATCGAGTCCGCAGTCGCAAGCCAATTGCCGACAAGATAGAAACCCTTACTTCGACTGGAGAGACCGCGGCCATTCCGGGATCGATGTACCGAGCTACTTCGGTATCAGTGTCGTCGACAGCTCGGCCAGTCCAGAGCTTTGCGGCCCAACAGCGACAACAGGCACTGCCTTCAGCGGCGCCTCGAAACAACTTGGCTGAACTTCCTAAAAGTAAAGTGTCTGAGGTTACGGAGCAACCAAATCAAGCCCTGTTGAGAGAGCGGCCGTTGAGAGCAGCTACAATTCGTTCAACAAGGAGCACCACATTACGTGAAACAGTTTCTCACACGTCGAAGACACTTCCCAGATCGGCGACTGTACCCGACGCAATTGATGGCCTTGCGAAACAGATCGAAGCCGGCATTGAGAAAGCAGAGCCGCGCAGAGTCAAGAGTGGAATGGCTCTCAACAGACCGCCTGTTGAACAGAAAATCGTTAGGAAAACGTCACGTGCCATGGTACAAGTAGTAAACGCAACAGTCCGTCCGGATTCATCGTCCTCGAGTTCTTCAGGTTCACTCGGTGACCTTCCCATTCGTGCCCTACAACCGATCACTGCAAACGATCGAGATAGGTCGGTTGCCGCCACCGAAAGCCTGCAACCTTGCAACAGGGCACTCGAAAAACCTGCCTGCCAGCCTCGTGCTGCATCCCCTCCTAGGAAAGTTCTTCCCAAACATCAACCGAGGATCATTGAACAAGGCGAGGCTACCAATTCTGTCCCACGTTCGTCGGCCTTTGCTGTCCTCGACTCGCTCAAGGGCATGCATAGAGCTTTAGATGCCCGAAAACTTGACGAGGCCGGTCGTCGTCCGCAACCAACCTATGGCACACGAAAGGAACGGGAGGAATCGAAATATCCCCGAGTCGAAAAGTGGGTAGACTATTCAACTCGGCATGGCATAGCATACATCCTCTCCGATGCAACTGTCGGCATGGTTCTGAAGTCTTCCGAAGACAATGACATGCCAAGTAGCTGTGTTGTCATGCGTAATGCAAGCCGACATACACTAAAGCGAGCGAAAGGCCTGGAATACCAATTTGTGCCTCAAGGTCGCGATGCGCATGATGTGGAGTTCTATGAGCAAAGTGACTACAAAGTCGATATGAAGCGTGTGGACATACCAGCTCAACATTTCTGGCTCGACTTGGAAAAGTACCAAGGCCAAGTTCCGGCTGCCAATGCCATACAAGCCAATTTGGTCGGAAGCGAGGCCGAACGTATGAAAGAGGTGGGCTTACTGGACAAGTTTGGCAAATACATGAACAAGCAGATGGGAGGCACCGATTCAACGGAGCGTAAAGCCGATGGCAAAAGCAAACATTTTGTCCACTTTTACCAGCGAGTAGGGAATGTTGGAGTCTGGAGGTTCGCAGACGGAGCATTGCAATTCAACTTTCCCGATCACACAAAGTTGCTCCTTCGTTCCGAAGAGTCAGGAAAGGAGGACCTGCGATGCCACGTTGATTGTGTTTATTTGGTGCCGACTGACGCCATCAGTCTAGCTCATCACGGAATCATCACAGTGGAGGCAATGGAGCGGCGAGGAACTACCAGCTTTCCATTGGAAGACATCATGACGGATGTTTTGCGTCGCTCAGAGACGGAGATCATTCGCACCAACGAAATCAAAGAGAAGCTGAGTTGGATTCGGGCTGTTATCGGTTGTTGGATTCGGGAGGGTGGATTGGGCAAGATGGGTGAAGAAAAGCTTGGTTGGAGTGGTCTGCAAGAGAGAAGAGATGATAAGCGAACGAAGCTGCAATGGGCGACAGTGGGAAGATTCGGTGGTGACGGCGAGGGCAAAGGTGTCTCGAAGCAGCCATAATGTAGAGAGACGATGTTTGAGAGTTCGATTCATCTTTTTCAGCGAGGGTGTTGAAGGGCGTTTGGTATGACGTGGGTCAAATACAGGAGGCATGAGTATGATGAGTTATGAGGTATTCATTGGCTTTACTTTGCAAGGAAGATGTTTCTGTTTCATGTTTATTCGTGATTCTTGTTGGTCTCTGGCTTGCAGAAGAAAGAATAAATTGATGGATTTCTATGATGCCGGCTGACTAATGTTTGTATTTTGCCAAATATCGAGTTTACGATAAGCATCTTCCTGGATGCCTTTTTGTTCCCTGTCCTCCACCTCGTCTTCTTCTTTTATATTCTATCCAAACTGATCACTATATTGACGATCTATATTCATCATCTCTTGACCAATACATAGACACCCTGATCACCATGGGAGGTGGACCAGATAAAGAACACGTTGTGATTATCCTCAGCGATCCCGAACCCGAGCACATCACGGCATTGTTGAAGCGACAATTCCCATATTTTGACATTACATACTACCAAGTTTCGAGAGAGGGTAACGGACCCAAGAGTAAGAATTTGGGAAGTCAGGTACCTGATGGTGAGTTTACGATACGAAGGCAACAAACTTGTTGTCACTTGTTTGATTTGATCTCGGTCATGATTGAGGATGGAGTAGTCATAGCAAGAGGTGGCTTTTGTTGCAATCCCTACTCGTTGCGAGATCAATTTGGAAATATACTGAACCGTCCTGACTCTTCTTGTCAATTCCACGTTGAATAGCTTTATGGAAATCTGCAACCATCCTACTCACACTCTTTGCACTACCGCCTAAACCTGAACTTGTACCAAAGTATGTCACTTTTGATATCCTTCCTCTGATCCTATCTATCGGCATTTCTAATGTATTGACGGCTGACACCTTATCCCGGCTCAAAGTCTCAAACTCATCCATTTGTTTTCTGCCGGAGTGGACCACTGGTCGAACCATCCTATTGTCAAAGATAGTGAAATCACCATCACGACTTCCAGTGGGATTCATGGTCCACCTATAACGGAGTGGATCATCATGACGACCTTGGTTGCTAGTCGTCATTACGCTCTCGAGTATGAATGGCAAAAACAACACCATTGGGGTCAGGCAGATAGGATGAAATTGACAGGCACTGATTGGGTCGGGAAAACTGTCGGTATAGCTGGCTATGGAAGTATAGGTAGACAAGGTATGTTTACGACCGTCCTGCCAGCGAAACCATTCACACTCGTACCCACACTAAACTCCCTTCTCGTCGTCAGCCGCTCGAGTATTCGCCGCTCTCGGAGCAACCATACACGCCTATACCGCATCACCTCGAACTACACCTTCGTCGCGAAAGGACAATGGATACTATGTACCCGGCACCGGTGACCCTGAAGGCACGATCCCAACTTCATGGTACAGTGGTACTTCCAAAACTTCACTTCACAACTTTCTTGGGTCCGGGCTGGATGCACTTATCGTAGCACTTCCTTTGACACCGTCGACCCGTCATATCTTCGGCGCCGACGAGTTCAACCTCCTCGGGTCATCAGGAGGATCCCACAAATCCAAAACTACCGGCGGCGCGAATAAGCCTTTCCTGATCAACATCGCAAGAGGACCCATTTTGGATCAACCTGCTCTCGTGGACGCACTCAACAAAGGCGTCCTTGGTGGTGCTGCTCTGGACGTGACCGACCCAGAACCTTTACCCAAAGATGATCCTCTGTGGTCCGCCAAAAACGTCATCGTCACCCCACACGTCAGTGCTTTGGGAAAGGAATACATCGATCGTGCTTTTGATTTGTTCGTGACGAACTGGAAGAGGCACGAAAAGGGAGAAAGAATGTTCAACGTCGTGGATAGGAAGAAGGGTTATTGATCGACACACCTACTGACATACAATTTGTCGTGCAAGCATACTGGTGGTGTGACGTGGACGTGAGTGTAGAAGAAGTTTGGGTGAACATGAGATTGTATATACAGACTAGTAGCCGGATGAGATTGTGAATACCGAGATGACATTGTAGATAGGTCATCAATGACAATGACAATACCTGATCGGAATAGAAAGAGAATATTTTGTGTCAAGGATTAAAAAAGGTACAAATAGATTCAAACCAATGGATCCAAAGTCATCGCTTTCATGCAAAAGAGGTATAGAAAAAAAGCAAAAAGTAGCTCAGGAAACCCAGCTCATACAAAGTCGACATTCCATCTCATGTCCTCCGTAGTAAATGAGTGCTGACATCTTCTTTTAGTTCGTTCGATATGGTTTAATCATTCAATCGTTCAATCGTTTCAGGATCATTCAATCAAATTTCGTCAAAGTCGTGATTGGCGCCGCGAGGCTGAAGTCGGTCGTAACATGGAAGACAAATGTGTAGGGGGGTCGGTGTCGTCAATTCGTAGGTGCGACAATAGCTGCAAGTTCGTGAGTCAAAAGGTACGTCAGTTCCAGTCTTCCTGGATTCTGCGCTGTCTCTCTCCTCTCCCTTTCCCGCAAGTCTCGGTCACGCAAAACAACTCTTCAACACCCTCTTCAACAGACCCTGCTTTTTCAAAGTGTTGACGTCCACATCCACCACGTCCCCCTCGGCGTGCCAGAACATGGAATCGAGGACCTCGTTCCCGAACCTCTCCCTGGCCTCCGTGGTGGTCCAGCCGTCCTTTCTGGCCACCTGGGCCATGAGGTCTCTCCACTCGGCCATCTCTCGCCTGTACCCGCCGTCCTGGCTCTCCGCGCCCTTGAGGACCTCCTCCCACCGGCGTCCGCGCACCGTGTACCCGTACCACTCCTTCGCCCAGTGCGGGCGGACGGGGATCGGCTTCCCCTCGTGGTCTTTCTGGCCGGCCCACTTGTCCAGCACCTTCTGGGCGTAGGCGGGCCAGACGTCGGCCACGGAATGGAGCGTGAGGATCTCGATCGAGCACGTGCCGTACGCGTGGCCGCGTTGGGGCGCCAGCGTCACCTGGGACGATGACATGATGCGCATCTCGAGCGGCATGCGTTGGGGGCACTTGTCGATGGACTCGTAGCACGTGATGATGGCGTCCCACCATGCTCGTTGGACCGTGGAAAAGTCGACCGCGGTCTTGTCGACCTTGGTCTCCATCTCTTTCCCATGTGATAGATGGCCGTTGGCGTTGCCATTGACGTGGCCATTGGCACCGCCGTTGACAGCAACCTCTTTAGCTGGGACTTTGGGTTGGAGTGGAAATTCAACTTCGAGATCTCGCACCCTCACGTTCTGAACGCCTCGTTGGAAATGGAGGGCGTCAGGTAACCATGTCTTGATCTTCTTCCCGTGTTCACCTACATCGTCAAGATTCTTCATGGCCAACCACGTCAGGACCTTGGTTTGGACTTCTGGGAGTGCCTCTGTGGCTTTGAGCAGCGACGTAGCCTGCTGCGCAATGTTGACCGCGATGGTGCCAAAGACCTGTAGGATGGTCTTTGCGTCGCTGGGGTAGCTCGACGCACCCGAGAGCTCGGATGTTTTGTGCCACGAGTTCACCCAGACTTCGCTCGAGTATGGGAACCAGAACCATTCCGCATAATCAGTGTCGAGGGCACGGGTCTCAAAGTCACGTTGGATCTGTGCTTTGCGGTCAGGAGTGAGAGGATGCTTTGGACGTAGCGGCCCGGGAATGGCAGAGTCCGGGAGGTCCGGTGGTGGAGGGATTGCTTCGACGACGGGGACCTTGCGTGGCTCCATGAGGGCACAAGACATGGGGTCGAACTCGAGGACAAGGTGCGTGACCACTCCCATGAGTCCGAAACAACCTGCTGCCGCGCGGAGCATGGCCGGCGTGGACATGTCGACTTTGCAGAGTTTGCCGTTCGCGTTGACGTACTCGATTGCACGAACGAGATCGGAGAGTGTGGGATTGTTGATTCCAGCTCCATGACTGGTTCACGTTAGCTTCGATCGAATCAGAAGGGCTGTGTTGGTGAAGGAAACAAAACTGCAAAGAATGTATAGAGTGACGTACCATATAGGTGCGTTGGCTCCTCCCATTGTGATCTCAACCTCGATGATGTTCATAGGAGGAGTGACTTTGCCGGTGTCGATACACCATCGCCTCAACTGTTCATTCGTGGTAGAAGTACCCACTCGGACGTACTTTTTGCCGTCCACGAGCTTCGGTCCTCTGACGTAGCTGTTGTCCACGACGATGATCGAGTTGAGGTCCTTGGCACCAGGTTCGAAAATGTCGCCCGGGAGGGAGGTGAAGTTGGGCAAGACGGAAGCGTCGACGAGACCCAAGGACGAGATCAAAATGTCACCGTTGTTGCCGTTCTTGTTGTCATGGGACCGTCCGAATACCGGAGACCATGAGTGACCTGGAAAGAACCCAATGAGTCAAAGTCACGAAACTGACCGAGGACCGAAACTGGCCGACTTACGGAATCCAGACACTCGCACACCCATCCGGTGCTTCTTTGCGTACTTGACAATGTCGCACACGTCTTCGGCCGTGTTTGGGACACATGTGTATGCCGGAGTGTTGCTCACTGTCCTGCCCCAATTCTGGAAGGCAAGGTTCTTGAACGACTGGATAGAAGTCAGCACTGACGCCGGTGGGCTTTGGGATTCTCCCCATGGGCAGCTCATACCGGAACATACAGAGCCTTTCTGGGCTTCCTGACTCCCGGGATGACTTTGGCCAACAAGGATCGAATGCGTGAAGGAATGCTGGAAGGGAAAGCTGCCAGCAGCGAGACTGGCTCATTGAGATCTGTCGGCACAATACTCTCCAGACCACCCTTGCGTAAATCACCACGCGTCTTGGGGAATTTGTCCGTCTGGTACGGGCGATATTTTTCAGCCGCTTGCTGAGCATCGAGTTTACCGTCGACAAAATCATTGAATATACCTTGGACCTCGTCGTCGTAGTCACCGATAATCTTCTCGTAGGCGAAGTCTTTGCTCGACTGCTTAAATGCATGCAAGAACCGCCTAAGGAATTGTTCCTCGTTCACCGGTACATTTGGATCGAACCAGTCGTCAATTAGATTTGTGAGACCTGGCAGCTCATCGGTATCGATATTCTTCCTCAGACCCAAGATACAGTCCGTCACAGACGTGTCAGCGTGATGCCAGTGATTTTGATCCGAGTTTTCAGCCATCGCGGCTCACACCTTCACCTTCTAGTTACCATGCAAAACGAAAAATGGGATGACCAAGAAGAGAACTAGAAAAAAAAAGAAATGGAATAATTCAAAAGATGACGGCCCGGTGCAACTCGTATGCCTTTGCCTTGATAACTGGGGCCCATGACGACGTAAGGGGTCGACGGCCAGACACGAAAGAGCGGTGATCCATGTGGTGCGTTGCTGTAATACGAAGAATAGCTGCGCCTTTCAAACACGCGAGGTTGATTTCCGGGAAAGTAACGTGCAGTAGCTGCGGGCACCAATGTACCTACCATTCATGATGCGACATGAGGCATCAAGCTGAGACTGGCACGGGCTATAAAAGACCAGTGAGGTCTTGCCGGATACTCAGCTAGGCAAAGATGCAGATGCTGCGTTGTCACGGTACGATGATCGTTGATCGGGGCCCGTTGAGAAACGGGAAGTTCATTCTCCGCGACCTCGCTTGACAAGTGGTTGATAACGTGCCAGCGTGGCAACGTGAGCACGTCAATCTCAGGTGAGGAGACTCGGCGCCAAACTGCCGGAGCCACTGAAATGAGGATCGTATTTCGTTGGGTTCGCTCCGGCATGGGTTGGCGGCTGATTGTTGCATACGCGAGCTGTTCGGGACGTGGGATTTTTAGGCACCTCATTTGCCTCATCCCCGTAAATAAAGACTGGGGAGTAAGATTGGTGACCAGGGTCGTGATTTCTCTCTTGGCTGCCGGAATACAACGAAAGGAGACAACTCAGTATGTTCTCGATGGTAACGGAGTACAAGGTCAAGAATACGAGGACGGACACAGAACTGGTAAATTCCGGACTCCGTAAGAGAGCTCCATACTCCTTACAGATACCTCCTCTCCAGATGAAACAGCCTCCTCAGGTATGTACAGCTAATGGCTCCGTAATATCCAATCCTCGAAGCTTCCTCCCTTCTTTATCATACAATCCATCCGCCAAGGGCGGCCTCACTGTCTTGCCATTGTATGGCAACTCGCTCAAAAAGCCCCAATGAGATGCCTGCTTCCAACCCTTCTTCTGCCAATCATTCATGCTACCCTTGGGAAAGAAATCAAACACGTCTAGAGACGCCGGATCGTGGGCAATGACAACCAGCACGTTCGGGTCGGCGTCGAATTCCTCCAAAGCTCGTGCCGATTGCCGTGCCAGATCAGGTTCTCGATACCAACTTTCTGGACCACCCGTGATTCTCAAGAAGGGTGTCTGAAGTCGATCATATCAGCTGTGTCACCAAAAAGGAACTCGGATCTCAACTTACTGTGTGACCATTTGCTTGGTCCCGGTGAGACGACAAGAAGGCCGTACAAGGGCAGGGCCGGGGTATTCGCTGATCAAGTACAGCTTCCGCCGGGATCTGATCCGGTAGTGGTATCGACTCTGTCGGTCTAATGACTCCTGCATGATGGCACACATCACCTCCCAGGAAGACAAAGGTATCTGGCGTGGTGCGGACCAGACCAGAGATATGCCCGATCGCATGTCCCGGTACGTTCAAAAGATAAAAGCTGCCGTCCCCAAAATAGTCGTGTGCTTGGAACTGTCCAATCTTCAAGTCGTCGCTGAAGGACATTTCCACCACCTCTCGACCCTCGAAATCTGCCTCGTGAAACTCCGAGTCTGGCTTGGTCGGGTATCCAGGTAGGAATGCGTCGCGAAATCCAGGCCCCACGACCAACCGGACACTCTTTGGCAGATTACCGGGAGCGCCGACATGATCCCAATGATGGTGACTGAAGACCACCGCCTGGACGTCGTTGATGTCAACGCCGCCGTCTGGGAGCATATCTATGACATCCTTCTTCACCCGCAGACCAGCCATGCGCTCTCGCATCAAGTTGGCCAAGCTGGGCACGAAATTCTCCCAGTCGGTGCGACCACCTAGGTCGAAGAGTAATTCGGTCCCTGAGGAAGCATGCTTGATATGGAACGAGTAGGTCGGCAAGTTCAACCACTCATACCCCTCGATCTTTGGCTCTACAAGCCATAAGGGAGGAGTGACGATGTCACAAGTTGTGTTGATGATTGAGAGTTGGCAAGTATGGGAGCTTGGAGGTATGTTTAGGAGTGATTGCCCCATGGTTTCATGTTCTCTGTCTCTCAGAAAAGTCTCCCAACCTGCTGAAATACACAACTACTCGCTAGCAAAACATCTCCAGATCTTTGTATCGAGATCCAGTGGAAAGTACCACTCCCAAAGCCGAGGGGCAACCCACATTCAAGCCGGTGGTCCTCCCCCGAGAAAAGAGGAGGGGAAAACACTCCACCAAAAGCCACCGGCGTTTGATTGCAGTTGGGGTTCTTTCTTGCAGGTTCCTTTGTCTCTGGTAATGCGGGCTTCGCCGCACGGGAACGTCCCACCAGATTCGGCGGGTCGATCAAATTCACATTCGAGTCTTTGGGGTAGCACGAGCTGTCATCTTCGTAGCTTCTGCTAAACCCTCACCATTTGCCCGTGTCCCTACCCTCAATCTTTTCACTCTTATGCGGAGTGCGGAGATCTTCAGCCTGATCAGCCTCGGCAATGCCGGTGTCTCTCCCGAACTTGACTCCCAAGTGGCGTACGAGGAGTATGGACGAATACTCTAACCAAATCGTCTCGTTCGCTATGCCTTACCATCGACCATCTAGGTATCAAGTATCATGACACTCGTGACTAGGTAGGCAAAGTCGTCTCTGAAAATAAAAACACCAGGCCTTTCCAGTCTTTACCACATCATGGGCTCTACAACAGGTCCCATGATGGACGCCGTAATATTCAAGGCGCCATGGAAAATGGCGACCGAGAAACGAGCCATTCCAAAAATCATCGATCCGACAGACGCAATTGTCAAAGTGTCGGTGGCTGGAATATGTGGGAGCGATTTACATTTTTATCGGGGTCATCAAAAGATGGAACCAGATTGTATATGTGTGAGTTTTTGCTAGCTGACAGTGACCATTTTTCTCCTGCCCGGACTGGCTCCTAGCTGATAATCGGGGTTTGAACTTCACAGGGCCATGAGTTCGTCGGACACGTGCAGGAAGTTGGATCGAGTATCAAAAAGTTTCAAGTCGGGCAGAAGATAGTTTGTACATTTACCATCACATGGTATGTACTTTTCTCCTTTTTCTCTCTCTCTCTCGTATGCCGGTGTCGATGAGGATGCCAATGATCGCTGATGATTGTCAATCGTAGCATGGAATGCTGGTTTTGTCGTCACGGCTACACCAACCGCTGCATCCACGGCAAATCCTTTGGGTCTTTGGGGTTCGACGGCGGACAGGCAGAGTACGTGCGCGTCCCCTTCGCCGACGGCACGTTGCAACCGGCACCCACCTCGGTCGCGGATGAACTGCTCATCATGATGTGCGACATTTTTCCGACGGGCTACTACGGCGCCGCACGGGCGATACAGTACTTTGAGACGCAGACGCGCGAACTCGACGCCATCAACGCCCGCACCGACGACGGCGGCATGTTTGAGGCCCAAAGACTTCAGGGGTGTGTCTTTGTCTGCCTCGGCTGCGGCCCCGTGGGCCTGTGTTCTATCCTCACGTGTCTCACAAAGGGCGTGGGCACCGTGTTCGCCGTCGACGCCGTCGACGACAGACTCGCCGAGGCGGAACGCTGGGGAGCCATTCCCCTCAAGCTCGGTCGGGACGATGTCAAGGCAAAAGTCCTCGAGGCGACCGACGGTCGAGGCGCCGACGCCGTCATCGAGCTCGTGGGGAACGCGAAAGCGTTGAAGTCGGCATTCGAGCTGGTGAGGCCCGCCGGGTGCCTTTCGTCCATCGGTTTTCACCAGGGCGAGGTCCCTTTTACGGCCTTGGAGGCCTACTCGAAGAATCTAAAGTAAGTTGAGACCCACACCGTACCGCACACTTTGTCGTCGCACATCTGCAGGTGCCCCGGTAGAGGAACAATCTTTCCATGCCTATCGTGTGCGTGTTATTGGGAGAAAGAGGAAGAGGAAACAAATAGTAAGCAAGGCTGACACGAGACTCCCTAACCTGAACGTAGTATAAACATGGGTCGAGCCCCCGCGCGAAGAGTCTTCAATGACGCGTTGGACGTCTTGATTGCGAATGCGGACAAGGTCAGGGAATTCGTCACGCACAAACTGCCAGTCTCCGAGGCCGCCAAGGGGTACGAGATTTTTGAGAAGCAGCAAGCGAGGAAAGTCGTCTTGGTGTTTTGAGGACACACACACGCACACACACACTCTCTCTCTCGTCAAAACCGGGTGGAGCTGAGATTCATTCATCTCAGGTATCTCTGTATCGGCGGACGACGATTGACGGACGCAAGGAAAAGGTGTGGATGTGAAAAAGATTGAGACGAGTTCGGCTCTGTCGGTGCATGACAAAAGACACGGGAACAGCAAATTAGAGAAAGATTTCACCAACTATCTACTCGTGCAAGCTAAGTCATCCATGCACGGTTTTATGGTCGAGGCAGGTTCGCGTCTCGATCATCGCACGAACGCCGGACAAGATTTCTAAAACATCCCCATCTATCCAGAACCATATATGCAGGAATGTGATGATGGTCAGACTATTCACAATTGGAACGGAAAAGGGGATTCTGCGACTCCAGAGAAATCACCGCTTGGTCAGGTTGTCGTTCGATACCTCGTGCGCACTCGACCGTTACTTGGACTACCACAACCGATATTAGCTTGATATTCTTATTGAGGAGTGACGAAACAAATAAAAATATCCTACCTCGAGTTCTGTGGCTTGAGCTGCCTTTTCATGCGCGGCGTGACCATGGTGTTTGAGTTCGTCCTCGAGGGTACCGGCAACCTCGTCACCAAACAATCGTCCCATCTCCTCCATGGGGATGTTTTTGGTTTCGGGGTAGTAGAAATACACAACGAGCCACATCGCGGCCGTGCAAAACACAAAAAGTAGGTAAAACTTCCAGCCGCAGTTGGCGAATCCCGTGGGTGACGCCTGTAGAAACGCAATGGACGCGAGCCATTGACCTATTGAACAATGCCGTCAGTATCGAGGTCCCTTTGTTTGGTGGAACTGCACTTCCGGGTGCCCTCAGACACACGCCGACTTACCAGACACAGACAATGCAATCCCCTCTGATCGAACCTCGGATGGCCAAATCTCGGACATGTAGATGTACATGACTGCATCGACCATGGAAGAAAACCAAGGGATGTACCAGAAAATGAAAAACACTCCAGTGACAAGAACGGCTTTGTTGGTCGTCGGGAGAAACGACGAAGCGACCGTCTCTCCGATGAGGGCGCTGATAGACCCCACGAGACCAATGAGAAGGGATCTTCTTCGTCCTAACCGATCGATTATCAACGAGGAAGTGGTGTTGCCAATAAACGCAATAGCCAAGTATACCCAGTACAACGCCAACGAGAGAGCCGCACCGACTCCCAGACCAGGATAAAGGATTATTTGAAAATTGTTGATGACCAAGACACCTGTGCCCTGGATCCCAAACATGATCCCAAAGCCAAGGGCGCATCGATGGAGGTATGACTTCTTGCTGAAGAGATACTTCCAGCGACCGACAAACGAGGTTGCGGCACCGCCACTATTTAGCCGTTCGAGCTGAATTTGTGCCACCATCAGGTCAAACTCGGCGCGCGCGAACGCGTCATCCTCATCACTGGGAGACCGGTGGATGCGAGTGATGATTCTCTGAGCTTCGTCAAGGTTATCCTTCAAAATGAGCCATCGGGGGCTCTCCGGCATCCAGAACGAAAAGGTGAACAGGATGGCGGGAAAGAGGCACTGCAGGGCCAGGGGGAAGCGCCAAGCAAAGTTTCCGTCCTTTGCAAAGTAGCAGCCATAGCTGACCGCAGCCGCGATGTTGTAGCCAATGGCAAGACCAGGTCCATGTTGACCGACAAGAAGGCCTCGTGCTCGTGGTGGGGAGAGCTCCGCTGCATACATTGGGAACAGAACCAAAATCATGCCGACACCAAACCCGGCGAAGAACCGAAAGAAGAGGAACATGGGAATGTTTATCGATCCCGCCGTGAGGGCACCCCCGACGATGACAATGAGGCTAGCGATTTGAAACGACCTGAGGCGGCCGAATCTGTCTGCTGTCCACGAATTGAAGAAACATCCAAAGAACCCTCCAGCTTGCGACAAGGAAGTGCTTAAGCCTTGGATAACAACCATGTAATCGTAGGCAGACTTGTCGACTGATTCGTCCGTTTGCAGGTTCATATACGTGTAGAAGCTAGGTTGACCCTATAGCTATCAGCACGAGAGCTCTCATCTAGGCCCATGATACTCACCAATGTTGTTGCCACTGCAGACAAGCAGTACCCATAGATGATGGAGCCGACAGCCGCAAAGGCTACACATTTGTAGTTGTAGAGAGTGAGTTTTCGAGGAAGATCCTCAATATGAACGTCGTCCTGAGACCTTTGAGGTGCCATCTTTGCAGCTGGGCTTGACAGGCAGATACTCTGAGATTTGTGTAGACATTGAAAACCAGAATATGGGAATCCCCAGAATAATAGCCGAGGACTTGGGGTCGGGTAGACAAGATCTGCGAAACCGGAGCCAAAACAAGGGGTACCCCCAAAGATATGAACAGAACATTCTTGCTCCGTCAATTCTCGCTTAAAAAACGACGATTCGATTAGACGACAGGCGACTCCAAACGTTTCGGAGCCCAGGCCGATGTCAAATGTGGCTGCTGGACCTGTGGTCGAAGCCCTAGATCTGGCCTAACCGAGGATCAAAGAAAGCTGTGCGGAACCAAGTCATGATACAACAATTTGGCGGTAAAAAGCAGTCCCTGATATAATTTCTTAGCCTGTCACTTTCGGAATATTACCAAACCTGTATGTTTCGGTGGTCAGTCGTAGAGGGTGGGCCATTCGTCAAAACCATGGTATCCTTCCTCATAGATGGGTGCACCAACTCTCCAAGCAAACCAGGCACATAACATTTCTTGATAAAAAAATACTGAGAGCTGGAGACGAGTCCACCTCGAAGGAAATGCTTCTTGAGCTGTGATACTCGAGGATACGACGACAAGAAAAACATGGCAAACAAGCAACGGCCAAGCAGCAGAACATGACGGGAAGTTGATTGGCCACGTACCCTTCCTATAACCTACCAAAAGACTTGTAAAACAACGTACGTTGCTATTGGGTACACACGGCCAATGTTGTCGTCAGTCGCAGGTAAGACTTGGAGTGTTGAGGAGCGTTGAGGGATGTTGTCGTGGCCGAATATCTTCTTGTTCCCAGACGATTGCACTCGGCTCACTTTCCCAAAATGCCCTCTACAGTCAATGCAATGCGGCTCTTGCCAAACCACCAGCAACTGCGATATCATTCTCATGAACAACCGGGTTAGGATTTTGCCGTCCATTGATCTGGTCGGTCGTACGGAGGCTTCGAAACCCGGGATACTGCTCGGCAAGAGACTCGCACGTGGAGTTTCGCTCAGCTCGAATGAATCGATATTCCGCCCTACATTTGCGCCGGTAACCAACCTTGATCTCCTACGAGCAACCCGAAGATTCATGTGAAAGAATGAAGACGTGGGAAGCATACAAGAACGGATGAGTTCAATGGAAGATGCATGTCAAGAGTGGAGGTAAGAAGCATTATACATTTCAAGCTTTCGACGAAGACACCCTCATCACACGACAAAGCCACAATCCCCCGAGGATAAAGCGACAACAATGCAATGCCCACCGAGTCTACTTCTGGGCTCATCTAATGTTCTCCAAATGCCATGTCGTTCCTCACAATGAATTCTCGAGTTCAACGACTTCCTTGAGAGCAGCCTCGAACTTGGCCACATCCTCCTTGCTTGGCTTGGGCAGTGGTCGTCGGGGGTACCCACCGTAGCCATAGTACGTCTGCAAAGCACTCTTGGTGCCTGTGATGCCCCCCGCAATGACTCCCCAGTCACCGCGAGCGACGATTGCTTGGATCTTCTGTGCCTCCTCAACCTTGCCTTGGGCATACAGGTCAAACACCTTGACGCAAGCCTTGGGTACCACATTACCCAGACCAGTGATGATTCCAGACCCACCAGCGATCATTGTCTGCAAAGTAAAGTCGGCTGAACCGCCCAAGCAAAGCCATCCCGAACCCGGATTCGTGGCAGTGGCGGCGTTGACCGCATGAGCAATTCTGTTCAGTTTGCCAGTGTTTCCGCAGGTCAATTTGCATCCGACAATCTTGGGATGTTTGGCCAATTTGATGATGGTGTCAGAGCTGAGATCGACGCCCGCGACGGCACCGGGGTAGTTGTAGATGAGGATGGGGATTGGCGATTCAGTGGCGACGTCCTCGAAGAACTCGACGAAACTTTCTTGTTTGTACGACGCCTTGTAGTATGACGGAGGCAATACCAAGGCATAGTCGCCGCCACATTCGTACGCGTCCTTGCAAAACAGAACGGTCTCTCTTACGGACTGTGCTCCACATCCTACCACGATCGGCATGTCTGAAAACCCGGCATCGTCCAGTGCCTTTCTCGTCGTGCTGGTGACCAACTTTCTCTCCTCTCGAGTGAGGTGGACAGCTTCACCGTTTGACCCTTGGCAGGTGACGGCTTTCAGACCTGCCTTTGCGAGTCTGACTGCGTGTTTGGCAACCGCCGCCACATCCACATCTTCGGTCTCTGGGTTGAAGAATGTCACCATAGGAACATTGATGCCTGCCTCCAACTTTCGAACCGGTCGATGTCCATTCATCTTGATTTCCCCTTGTGTAGAAATTTGGGTCTGGGTATTATATATCTGTGTGATAATCTTCCTAGTGTGTAACACGAAGGCTTTTTCCTCTTTGGGACGGGAAGAAATAAATCTATGTGTGTCGACAATAGAGAAACGAAAGAAATTAGAGAAATTGTAAAAGAAGAAACAAAAGAGGAATGATAATGATGTCGAGAGGGAGGGAGAGACGAATAAGACTTGGCTATCACCGCAAATGAAAGTGGCACGAACGGCTGTTACGGCATATTAAGGCGTATGACTTGTGTTTTATGTATGTACACACGGCACGACGCCGACTCTTTTACTGTTTGGATGGGCTTTACGGTTTCGTTTGGATTTTGACACAAAACCGAGGGAGGCGGAGGAGGAGGACAATCGCCCTCCTCGAACAATGGGTGGTGACCATGTGTGGAGAACGTGGGGTGAGTACGAGGTAGAGAGGACAACCATATCAGAGTCACAGTGACATATTTCGTTGCGCGGGCATATCACCAAAGGGACGAGTTCCAGTAACAGCGGGGAAAACTGAATTGTAAAGGGGAGTTGTCCGTACGTATGGTGTCCATTGAACTACTGTAGATGTAGGAGGAAGGGCGTGTCATCATCACCACCCTGTCAATCGTTCCCGCATACTCCTCTCCATAATAATACGAACTTGTATGTACCGAGGTGCGTACAAAACGATGGCAAGTACGGGAATAGGGAATATTTTTTTGGTAATGATGGAATCTCAGTACAAATATGGCCCGATCGGTGTACATTCTTCAAGGCATCCAACAGACAAGTATATGGTCTATTTCTATTTTTTATTGATATACTCAATTCTCTTTTCATCAATCTTGGATAGTAGACAGCCAACGTTTCGTAACTTATTCAATATTGCCTCGAGGTTGTCCTTTGTGCGTTGAAGAAAAAGTACAAGTAGTTCAAACAAGTTGCAACGTGGGGGTTTTTCTCATCAAAAACCCCCACACAACCCACGACCACCACCAAACACCAACACCGGTCGCCGAGAAAAGGGATGAGGAGATTTCTTGGTAGAACATTGCGGGTAACATTTGGGAAATAGATCAAGAGAGCAAAACGCTTAGGTACAGTAGAATGCTTGGTAGGAGGAGGTACTGTAACGTCGGGTGCAAGTTTACTAGGTAGATGATTTTGTCGTCAAAATCACTCCCTCCATCCCTCATTTACTACTGTGGTCGGGGTTGCTGTAAGTGCCTCCGCGGGCCATCTATGCATTAGCCCATCAAACACCTACAGTACACCTTACCTAGGGAGAGGTAATCACTTTTCCCTGTCTCCGCCGCCGACGAAGTAGTTCTGCAATGGGGATATTATCCTCGTCGTAAAACTCGACTTCCTCATCAACACCGTAATCTTTGAGCCTGTTACCCCCCGAGTCTTGCCACCCTTCCTCGCCACTACCGGCACTACCTTTGTCGTCGTCGCCGTCGTCGTCATTCTCGGAATAGTAGTCATTCTCGATTGGTGTCCCATTCTCCTCTTCGAAGCGCTCGTGGAATGGTTTCCGCCTCTTGACCACAACACCACCCCCATAGTGCTCCGCACGACGCTCAAAGTCGGCCATTTGACGTTTTCTGAAAGCCAGTACCTCATCATCGGGCGAGAGGTCCCCGTGTCGATGGACAAATGCGTCCTTGGGGTCGAGAGGTCGAGCGAGTCGTGGCATTCGATCCGGGTCCGGGGGAGGCCAACTCGTCCCGGGGTCTTCGAATCCGTTCGTCTCAAAGTCGACGCCGCTTGTTCTGGGAGTTGCCGAGAAAGGCCAGAGCCACGCAATGACGTTCGAAGTGCCACCCATCCCTTGCACAATGTTGTTCCATATGCCAATGTCGTAAGGGAACTCTTGTTTCGTTATCCGGATCCTGATCCCGTCTGGGCCGTCCAAGTACCCTCCGAGAGCACGTGCCCGCCGTAGCAACTTTGCGTGACGTTCAATCTCCCAGCTCTCGATCGTGGTCACGTTGCCTCCTAGACCCCAGACCGTGCGCAAGAAGGTGACGGATACCATGAACAGAGTCAAAGAGTTGACAACGATCAAGAAAAATAGATGAATCATCTGTGGTAAGGTAGGTCCGAGGTACTGGTTTTGTAACGGCTTTGTTAGCTTGTCACCTGGGGTATGATATCTGGACAAGAACAGTAAAAAGACCAACAAAACGCCTACTTACACTTGGCATATGTCGGTCGTCCCAGATGATTCGTCCACGCTCGAACAAAAAGTACTCGAGGTAACACATTGCAGACACCGCGTACCATAGGAATCGCATGAAATGTGGAAAGGTAAAATGAGATACGCAATTGACGGTCCAAGGACAGTGATGGTCCATTTTGGGAATGCACCTGATATCATTGATTACTCGTCAATGCTTATTGATCAAGGCACTGGAGAGAGAGAGACTGGACAAACCTCTTGCAAACTCGACAATGGTGAGATCGAGGAGGCTTCAAGGCCTCACATTTTCGACAGTAGCGTTGTCTCGCGATGGCTTCATCTGCCGCGGAGATTGTCGGAGGATGTTGTTGATCTTTGAAGTCATCTTCTGGTCTCCAGTCCCGAGGCACTCGCCCGGGATCCGTGGTACAGGCTCTTGCGTATGAGATCCATATACACACCACCAAAGTGTTAAAAATGATGCTCTGTCTGCGGTCCAGCGGACCAGGTGCGATGCTGTAGAAGAGATATTGCGATGAATATGACAGGAAAGCTATTAGCAATGTCACCGCTGGTGCAGCGAGTTTCGCCAATCGTGACTCTTCCATCTCGCGAGAATCAAAAAATGACAGATACTGAGATCCGTTGTACCATCATAGCGACAATGTGTGCCCAGGCTAGATGCCTGATTCCGAGACGTGAGAATGGCTGTAATCGATCCCCAAGGTTGAATTCAATAGATGCCCAGACACCACTTGCTGTGTCCTTTACTCTGTAGAAAGACTCCCAACTGCCAACACAATGTACAGAAATGGAACACTTTTCCTGAGGTATTTCACTGGCGTGAGATGGATAGTTTCTCGCACCGAGCTGTTTCTCCTGACTCAGCAACAACTGATTTGATTTTGCCAAGACAACGCGTGAATCGCGTAAAGTGGCCTGGGATTTCATTCATGCTACGAACTTCATACATGTCCAACCGGTGTAGGAGTCTACACCTGTGCAGATGGGCCGAAGATGCCAATCGAGGCATTGCCAGAGACCACGACACGGGCTCTTGGCTCGACACTTGTTCTCAATGACGCAAAATCAGTCGTCAAAGAACTTGTCGACAACGCCCTCGATGCTCGTGCCACGGCCATCAGTATCGAAATCTCCAGCAACACTATAGACACCATCCAGGTCAAGGACAATGGAACCGGCGTCGATGTACAAGACAGACAACTTCTGTGCAAAAGAGGTTGCACTTCAAAAATCAGGTCTCTACATGATCTCAGTCGCCTTGGAGGTACATTTTTGGGGTTCCGCGGTGAAGCCCTTGCCAGCATGGCAGAACTGAGCTCAGTTGTGAGTGTAACGACACGAGTGGAGGGCGAAGTTGTCGGGACGGCCCTGGAGTACACGGCTGCGGGCTTGAAGAGGTAGGTTTCGTTTTCACTTGAGTTGTTTCTCGCTGTGTCATGACAATTTCAGTTCCGCTTCAGCTTCTCATCCGGTTGGCACAACGTTTCGAGTGCAAGATTTCCTCACCAAGATCCCGGTGCGGAAACAGACGGCACTGAGAGGCGCCACCAAAACACTACACTCTATCAAAAGCCTTCTTTTCACGTATGCCTTTGCCCGGCGTGACGTTCGATTCTCTCTAAAAGTCCTCAAAGCTAAGAACGAAAAATCGGACTGGATCTACGCTGCTAGTCGAAACGCTTCTTTGAGTGAAGTTGCTACCAAGATTGTAGGAAAGGAGATCGTATCGGAATGCAAGCCATACAGACTCTCTCCGACTGAGGACGAGGAAGGCATCGAAGATGGTTGGTCGCTCGATACACTTCTTGTTTCTCCAGATGCAGGTGCGATATCCATACCAGCGTACCTTTTGTTTCTGCTAATATCACTAGACGTCGTGAAAACCCGGAGTGGTCCGCAGTTCTTATCGGTGGATGGCCGGCCTGTCAGTACAGAACGAGGTATAATGAAGGAGATTGTCAAGAGCTATAAACGCCATGTTCACTGTATTTTACCCAAGTCCACCTCCGTATCTCGGCCCTTTCTTTGCATGCAGATACGGTGTCCTCCTGAAAGCTACGATGTAAACGTTGAGCCTGCAAAGGATGAAGTCCTCTTTTTCCGACCAGACATCCTCTTGTCTTTGGTTGAGCGTCTTTTTAAGACGGCGTACGGTGATTTCGACACAACCACCACAGGATCTCCTGGGCTGGAATATCCAGAAGTCACCATTACGTCTGCTCCGAATACAGATGCCGCAGACTTGCAAGATGTGGGGACATCGACTCTAATGGACCGAGAAGCATCTCCTTTGGCCTCCTCAGAGATCGGAGACAGTTTTGGAGCGACCACGAACCCATTTAGCATTGCCGCCATGAACAAGATAGTCTTGCCGAGAAAGATGGACGAATATGCGGAAGCCACAGCAACTTCAGCCTTTGGGGCGAGACTTCCAGCACGTGGACCTGGCATGTATACTCCAGAGCTTCTGCGTGATACCCACAGACCAGAGTCGGGACAGCAAGAACAACTTCCATCTCCCATATCTGAAGCCGGATCCGATGTCTTGCCTTATCAGAACCCAGGGCCTCCGAAGAGACCTTGGCCTCGGAAGAATCGACAGATCTCGGACATGAGTTCTGATCCTCGAAACCATCACGAGATCGACGATACCCCTGGGTCACAGCAGATGGGATTGGAGACGTGGCTGACGCCGCAGAACCAGCTACAATCATCGATTTCTCAAGCTGCGCATCGGATGGCCCAAGGTCGAACTCTACCAACTCATCATGATATCGTTTCAGCTCCGACCCAGACTGGAAATAGGACGGGGAATTCCCAACGAACCCCAATCGCTGGTGGAAGGCTTCAGTCTGGATCCGGACAAAAGCCCTTTAAGTCCCCTTTCAAGCGAGCTATGCATGCATCTTCACAGTCGTCGCTCGACTCAGCCACACCTTTCAATGATTACGGAGCACCTAGTACGGGTTTTGGTAGATGTATGGAGGTTGGCGTCCAGTCTTCGCCACAAAGAGTCAGAGATCACCGAGCTTCTGAATCAGACGAGGGTCTCTCTCCGGGGTCTGCTGAAAGTCCGGTAGAATTAGCTGAACCAGTTGATTCTCTCATGCTCAGATCTGAGCTGTCTGAAATTATGGATTTCGAGCAGAGGAAAAAGGCCGCAATCGCTCATCAAAGGAAACTCGCAGCCAAGTATCCATCGACGTCACTTCGGGAAATTTTGCGTCAAAGGTACCGGGGTAACGAAGCTGGTCCAGAATTAGACGGCACTGGGTCGGTTTCGGCCAGCGACTTTGAGGATTTGTTTGCCGACTTTTCGCCAGACTCAATATCCAAGTCCAACAATCCACATCGGAATCGCTATCTAGCTGCCAAAAGGGGCCTCCTCTCTCATTCTCATCCAGAGCGAGATGAAGTTTCGGCCACAACAACAACAGGTTCTGATGATGGTGATGCCGAAGGCCGCTCTAGCGAGGACACCTGTTTTGATCTCCCTGAACAATTACATCCACCTTTTGAGGATGACGTTGACGACCCAAGAGTATATCTGAGCAGGCAAAGACGCCGCCAACAAGCCGGCAACTCGAAGTTATATCGAACCAAATCCTCCAAACTGCCTTTTGAAACGATACCTCCACACGCCATGACCTTGAAACTTGCGATAGCATCTCGATTTTTCAAGGACAAGCAGACGTTTGAGCGTTACGCACGGAAGCTTGGGTCAGTCGACAAATACGTGACTTTCGGAACGATACAATCTGCTGATAATGATATACACGAGGCGATGAATGACGATTACACAAATACATTACGAGAGATGGTAAAAACGAAATATCGATTCAAGAATTCTGAGGGAAAAGAGATTGTTCCACATTTGAAGATCAATCTGACGGGAAAGAGAGTTTGATGAGAGTGAGCGTGAGTATGTATATAGGCGTTTCTGAGTAGGTGCGTCTAGGAGGGGGGGAGGAGGTCTGATGAGTTTGAGTTTGAGTACGTACCTAGATATACATGTATGGGTGTTTCTGGGTGCGCGTTTCAGGCAGAATAAAGAACAAGGGGGGAGTTTGTAAATTTTGTTGATGTCGTACTTTACAGTTACCAAAGGGACCTCATGCATTACTACATGGATTACTTACATACAACTTACTTGTGCGTCTATGGGTTACTACGGACTTTGTGGTCATTTAGTTCCCGCAGGAGTGACACGATGGTTCAATATACAGTACGGAGTATGATATAGTGTAATGCTGATATTGCCACTCTGTTTCGGAGTGTCTAATCTATAGCGAGTAATCCACAGGCACCAACTTGCTCCACCACTCGATAAACTGAGGCTTCTTCCTTCCCCGGATCAAGTCGTCCACGGCACTACCATATCGGATCAAGGTGCGTTCACTCCACGCTGTTCCGATCAAGGCGATACCCACTGGAACATTGTGCGCGTTGAGCCCGATTGGCATTGTCACCATTGGATACTAAAGTTTTGGAAGATGTTAGCCCAATTCAATTTTGACTCATCACTGTCACCAATTGTGGGAGGACGGAGGATGGGGGTGGTTAAAGATGGTAGGGGATAAGGGCGGAAAGGGAAGTAAGTCAGGACAAAAAACTCACCCCAGCCGTAGCAGGTAAATTCGTCGATCCAGATCCCGACGGGACAAGGAGAGCATCAACTTTGATCTCCGTGCCATTCGGGTACTTGTACGACAAGGCCGCGTCGATACCTTCTGTCCTAGACACCCTGTCCAGGTACGCAAGACAGTCATAGTACGAGCTGTTCATTTCACCTTTCGTGGCGGCACTGTCAAGGAACGCGTCCTGGCCCGACTTGAAGCCCGCGACGGTGCCGGGGATCCCACCCTCGACACCGGTGTATTCGACGTTGTAGGCGATCAGGTCCTCGACGGACCTCAGGTTCGTGTTGTTGAGCTCCGACAGGTAGTCACGAATGTTGTTGTAGAAATCCACATTGACTCGATACCCAGCATTCAACAACGGCGAGGGCCCGAACGACCAGTCCCAACCCGAAGGACTGAGGATGTCCTTGTAGTGAGGGAACTCGGTTCCGTTGATTATGGTCGCCCCGGCCGCTCTCAGTCGGTCGACCACTCGCAAGAGTTGTGACAGGTCTGCCTTGTTTCCCGTCTGGTTCCACAGGGACAACCACGGGAGGCCGAACGTGGCCCCTTTGAGGGCGTCCTTGTTGGCGAGGAACTGCGTGTAATTGCCGTCTTTGGGGGATCCTTGTTGGGCCGAGGTGTAGTTGTCCCGGGGGTCGACACCGACGATGCCTTCGAGAGCGTAGATGGCGTCTTTGAACGTGCGGCCGAGGCTGCCCACCGTGTCTTGGAGGATGGACTCGGGGACGACGCCGGCGCGAGAGGTCAGGCCTACGGTAGGCTTGAAGCCGATCAGGGATGCGCGACGGGCTGGACCGATCACAGAACCGTCGGTTTCGGTGCCAAAACTGATGGGGACCATGTTGGAGGTTACGGCCTGGCAGGAGCCAGACGACGAGCCACCCGGTGCGGTGGACAGGTTGAACGCGTTACGAGACTGGCCTCCGCGGGCCGAGTATCCTGAGGACTTCGAATTGGTTCGCATACTGGCCCACTCGTCGAGCGTGGATTTGCCTAACAAGACGGCACCTTTCTCGCGGAGTAGCTTGACGACGTGCGCATCGCGAGGGACAATGGAGCCCAGAAGAGCGTAGGAGCCGGCAGTCGTTTCCATTTTGTCCTTGGTGGCGATATTGTCCTGGACGATCGATTAGCATAGACCAGAAGAGCATGTACCGCTCAGAGTGTTCAATTGCACGTACCTTGACGACAAACGGAATGCCGTGAAGAGGACCGCGGACAGTGCCATTGGCGCGTTCAGCGTCGAGCTGGTCCGCAATCATTAGCACATCTGGATTGATTTCTAGGATAGCACTATTTCATGATCCTGTTAGCTGGAGACTGTCACCAGGAGATGCAAGCTGGAAGGCACTCACTTGACGTATTCGTTCAGCTGCAGGATATGACCGAGGTAGCATTGGACCAGTTGTCTGGAAGTCAGTTTCCCGCTGCCCATCCATCCCTGCATTTGATCAATGGTTGCCTCTTCCAAGTCTACACCGTAGCATTCGGCCATTGAAAACGGATTCTCCTGCTCCGAAACCCTCGCCGAAGCTGTGCTGTTAGGGTTCTCCCAGGCACCTGCATTCTGCGGGAAGTAAAGACTGTTGTCGGACAGGTAAGGCGCATCAAGTTCCAGCAGAGACGCCGTCCCCTGGACAGTGGACAGGGAATTTGCCGTACACAGCAAGGCTGCGACGGTGGAGAGAACAGATGCTTTCATCTGGAGAAGTATTGCTTTTGACTTTGTGCCTTCCAGGTCAATCAAGAGCAGACAATACGGAGCCAACTCAAACAGGGAGCAGCAGACAGAGAGTCTTTATTCGCCACTGAGAAAGATTCCCGAATTGTGACGGTGCCAACATGTTGGTGATGATTCACCTACTGAAGATACTGCGGGCCTTTCCAAGAGAAATAGAATCGCGGGCTTTTCGATAGTCAATCATCCAAAGCCGCTTCGGCGCATTCCAACAGCCACGCGACAGGCGATATTCAATGCCAGGAACCGGGGCAGAGGCACTGTACCAACCGCGTGGTAGCTAGTCATCATAGGCCAAGGAGCTACCTAGCTAGTCGACTCTGCAAACAGCCCATGGTATTGACAATAAAGTAGAGTAAACGGGTCCAAATCACTTGAAAAGGGATCGAATTGTCTTATCAGCGGGTCGGAAAGATGCAGATAAGGATGAAGTCGGACTGTCTCGGTTTCTAAAGTGGGTTAGAGACTGTGTGGAGTATGCTCCGGAAGAGGATGCCGACGACTTCGAGATCCATGAGAGAAACATACCAGAAACTGCTACCATTGAACTTGTCGTGCTTGGGATTTGTCCTGGTGCTGTGAATGGCAGAGTGTTGTACTCCGTAGCATATTCGCTACAAATGAATCGAGTCATGTTTCATCTTTGCACGTGATTGTGGTGACTCGCGGAAAAGACCAAAGAGCCTCGCCGACATTTTTGAAAAACTCACAACAAGACTTCTTATGGAATCAAAGGTAAGTCTGAGTCTATATCGTAGTCGACAACGCTTCAACCATCATTCCTGCGCAGGTAGTCAGCTTCTCTCTCGACATCGATTAACGAGCAGACGTTGGTGCAACCAATCCCTTATTAATCCAGGCCGGAGTAAAAACATTCCGACCGGCGTAACTGAGTGTATTTGAATCCACAGATATGTCGGGGCCATCTTTTATCCCTAGAAACATCTCTCTCCATGCCTTATACTTCATTGCACCTTTTCCTCCCGATAGTCAAATTCTATGGGGTCGATGTTATAGACTAATTCTAGGCCTGGAGAATGATCTCCTCTAACCCCAATCCCCATACCTGGACACAAATTCTCGCAATTCTTACAGTTTTGTTGTGACCTACCATCCCGGTCGGTCAACTCAATATGGCTGCAGAAGACTCACCAGTTCTTTCTGGCCCCATTCAGCCAGAGCGCCCAGTCAAGAAGCGAGCCTCTCAGGCTTGTCAACAATGTCGTTCACGAAAAGTAAAGTGTGATCTTACGTCGAAAGGCCCGCCATGTCACAATTGTCAACTGGATGATATAGAATGCACGACATCTCTGTCGAAGAGGAGCAGAAAGTATCGTTTACAACAACGGAAGAGGACCTGGGCGGATGAGAGTGAATCTAGACCATTGTCCGGTGGGCAGCCGCTCCTCGATATACCCTTCGACCCGAACGCTGGTCACTCCATGACTCCTGTCGCAACTGCAAGTCGAGAGGAAGCCCAAAATCCTTCCCGCATCACTGAAGGCCACGATACTAGGCCCCAGCCCCTTCCCAATGCTTCTGACTGCACAACGAAGCCATCCAGCGATCCCATTGTTGCGGATGTTGATCGGTCTGGCACAGCTTCCTTCCAACTCCCCGCCTTCATTCAGCCCCCATCACGCGAGTTTGATATGGACGAGCTGGACTTTTTGAAAAGGTATGGAGCGCTCTCCCCACCTCAGCAGTCTCTTCAAGACCAATTATTTCTTTCCTTTCTCCTCTATGTGTTCCCTTTTCTACCGGTACTTGACGTACAAGACTTCATTGATGCTGTCGAGCAGCGTCGACCGGACCGGCGAATAAGTTTGATTCTCTTTCAGGCGGTCATGTTTTCGGGGACGGCATTTGTCCCTATTGAAGCACTCCGAGAAGCTGGTTTCGAGAGTCGCATTGCAGCTAGAGCCATTTTCCTCCGCAAGGTCAAGGTTCGTATACGATATCTTTTCCGTTCTATATCATGGTCTGATCGGAAATACAGCTGTTATACGACTCGGATTGGGAAAGCGATCGTATTGTCCTCATACAAGCAACACTGCTGCACGAATGGTGGTACGTTTCAAGCGCGGACGCAAAGGATCCTTGGTACTGGCATGGTTCCTGCCTGTCATTGGCAATAACGACAGGTCTGAATCAGAAAAGTACAGATGCCCTTCCCGATCCCAAGATGAGACGCTTGTGGAGAAGGATCTGGTGGACGATTGTGTCAAGAGACCGACTTATGTCTCTCATCACTCGGAAGCCAATGCGTATAAAGGACGACGAAATCAATCTGGCCCGCTTGAGGTTCAGAGACTTCGACACCAAACCCTACTCCACTGGAAAGCCGCTTCTCGTGGCTTCTCCTCTCGTAACCGAGAGCATCGGCAGAGTCATGTTGGCAGAAATGTTCATTGCACAAATGGAAATACTCTTGATAGGCGGGAGAATCATCGAGCACACTTACAATCTCCAGATATTTGCAGCGTCGACGTGGGCAACATACTATGTTCCCAAGCCAAAAAGTGATCTCTCCATGCAAGATTGCCATCAGCTGAAAAAGGAGGTAGATGACTGGACTCGGAATTTGAACCCGTGGTGCCGACTGCAGTGTTGCGATGAGGAGGATTTCGGACAGCAGGGCTTCGGAGTGTTACGTATTAATTCAATGTCGCTGAAATTACTACGTTTCATGGCACTGGAAACTTTGCTTCGGCCTCTGACTTTCTCCGGGCGCTGTCCTGGCATGCTGAATGAAACCGAAGACGAGTCCACCATCGAGGCACGGAGAGATGTCACTCAAATTGCCGCCGATATGACGGATCTGCTTTCGACTCTTAGGACTGACAATTTGCTGGAATACGTTCCTCCTCTTTCGGTGGGTTGCATTCATACCACGCTGGCCACCTTTCTTGTAGACTTTCGACTGGCTGGTAAACGTCCTCCAGACGATCCGAGTCATAAATTCCACGATTGCGTTCGGTCGTTGGTACAACTACGGGACGTGTGGCCCATCACCAAGGGCACGTGTGCATTGGTGAAACACGGAACGGCCAATAACCAGATATGGTTCGCCAGGACCCTCCAGATGTTGGCTCCGATGGCTCGAAGCAATGCGGCGGGGAGCGGACAAATCGATAGCTACGGTCTGCAAACATCTTCTACTTGGACGCCAGCGCAGAGTGAAGGAAGGGATAATGAGTTCTCCTCAATCATATATGGCGACAAACTACCCACATGGCCTGATAGGGCGGAAGGGACGCCTCAGCAGGGCAGCAATATGGCATCCACGTACCTATCATCCATGTATCCAGTTCCCTGGACAGCTGCAGATTTCGAGGTCCTCGACCTGGAGGTCTGTCGGGAAATATACACGAGTTACACTTCTGAGTCTTTCCCTGCTGCACAAGGAACGGCTCAACATATGTATGGCGGCGAATCGCTTGCGCTCAACCCGACAATTGGCGATATAGCGGATGTGTCTCTACAACTTTAGCGAGGAAGCAAGAGTTCGTCCGGGACGATCTCGTTCAAACTTCTGTAGTAGTAAGTCCAAGTCATGAGCCTTCCTCTTTCTGATTGGCTTGATCCTCGAGAACGCCAAACTTGCTTCGTACGAGCACATGTTGATGCTGGCACTTCATGGAGGAAAAGGCTGCAAGGAAAAAGCACCAATCAGATGCCGAGACGGACTTCATCGTCCTTATCAATCTCGACGACTCGTACTCGGCAGTGCTACAGAACCTCCTCTTTCAACATCCCCGGAAAATCACCATCTCTTTCAACAGTCATGGAGAAGCGCGCTGCCCAGGCTTGTCTCGTATCTCCACATACTTTGTAAGTCTGGTGAGCCAGAGATTCGATGAAAAGGAGCTACCTTCCAAAGACAGTTTAGAGCTGTGGACATCACCCTTATCTCTAACCCCAAGCCTCGCGGGAGGCGTCGCAAATGATCGACAGGCAATCATTGAAGATGGCATGACGAGATAATATCAATTTCACTTATTCCGTATGAGTACCACAGAAGCTCAACGTGGCTCTCGGCAGAGGGAATGCGGGCTTCTCCCCCCGAGAACGACCAAGGATCCAAGAGGCAAAGACGTCCTTGGCCATTCTGATAAGGGTCAGACAACGCCATCGTCACTCGTGCAACCTGTGCGGCCACTCTTAAAAGGGTCTTGGTTCCTGCGTGGACACATGGCTTCCATGCTTGATCGACCTGCTCGCGCCCATTTTACCAGTCATGAAATTCACCACCCCCAAGTTCGAGAGACCTCATCTCAAGGTTGAACAGCCCAAGTCGTCGTTTGCTGAAGGGAATTCACGATGGTAAGTCTTCATTGAGCCTGTCCTGTGCCTTCTGCGTTCCGACGAGCTGTGCTTGCACGATTCGAAACGATTCGTCCCATTCGAGATGTCATGCGAGATGGCATTCTGGGAAAAAGAGCGTGCAAATAGAGCTCTCCTCTGGGCGCTTCCTCATGGACTACAATCTCCAAATTACTGACGTTGACTTCAGGACCAACAAGGATCTCGACCCTGTTCCACCCGCACGCCGTAAGTGGGGAGTGATTTCCTTCATTGCCTACTGGGTCTCGGACGCCTTCAACGCAGCAACATGGCAGTTCGCCTCGGCGATGTTGGCTGTAGGTCTATCATGGCGTGAGTCCTTGGGCATTGTGGCACTGAGTTTCTTCATCATTTCTTGGGTGGTGAGTTGACGTCCTGTCTCAACGATAACAAAACTCATCTAACGAGCGTGAATCTAGATCGCGTTCAACGGTGCCATTGGAGTACTGCATCATGTTCCGTTTCCTGTCATTGCTCGAGCGAGCTGGGGTTTCTGGGGCTCATATGTGGCCATCATCTCCAGAGCCATTCTAGCCATCTTCTGGTTCGCCATCCAAACCATGAACGGCGCCAACACGGTCCGCGTCATGATTGGAGCCATATGGCCGTCGTTTTTGAGACTCAAGAATCATATCCCGGAATCGCAAGGTATCGATACTGCGACGATGATATCCTTCTTCATCTTCTGGCTCATTCAGATCCCGTTTGTCATTATGCATCCAAACCAGCTTCGCTTCCTCTTCATGGCAAAGACCATCATTGTCCCCGCGGCGTGGCTGGCCATCATGGCATGGGCATTCGCCTCTACGGACGGAGGCGAGATCTTCAACCAGCGCGCGACGATCTCTGGCTCGGCTTATAGCTGGGCTTTTCTGTCTTCGATGACGTCCACCATCGGAAACTATGCCACCTTGTCAGTCAACCAAGCCGACTTTTCCAGATATTCACGTGTGTCGGTCAAGTGGCAGTGCATGTATGTGCCGATGCTACCGGCATTTTTCACATTCATTGCGTTCATTGGTATCGCATCGAGCAGTGCAGGGGGGTATCATTATGGTATAGTGGAATGGGATCCCATGGCTCTCGTTGCTCACTGGGACAATCGGGCGGCACAATTCTTTGCAGCTTTTTCGTTCGCGTTGGCTGCTCTGGGTGTGAATATCTCTGCCAACAGTTTGTCGGCTGCCAATGGTACGTTTCTCGCTGTCCCGAGACTGAAGACTGAGCTTACCCTTTTGGTCTTTTCGAATCAGATCTCATGGCCCTTGCTCCCCGATACATCAACATGCGCCGAGGTCAACTTCTCACCGCACTCACTTGCTGGGCACTCGTCCCCTGGAAGATCTTGGAGTCGGCAGGGAGTTTCCTGAACTTCATGTCGGCGTACGCCATATTCCTCGGGCCGATCGCTGCCATCATGCTCTTCGATTTCTGGGTCATCCACGAGCGCAAATACGACACGATCGCGCTGTACAATCCACACGGCATTTATAGATACACGTATGGCGTCAATTGGCGTGCCATAGTGGCGTTCCTGGTCGGGGTTGCTCCTTCACTTCCCGGATTTGTCAATGGAATCAACAACAACATTGACGTCGGCAGTGGGATTCATCCGTACCAATTCGGTTGGCTTCTTGGGTTCGTCGGCACGGCTATTGTGTACACGATTCTATCGCTCGTCTTCCCGGCCAGAGAGACTTTTATCGACCGTGCTCTACGCCCTGATGAGGTGTTTGCCCAGCAAGGAGAAACTGTAGAGGAGGAAGAACATGGCGGCGCCGCGATGCAAGTTGACCAAATTGATTCCGAGAAGGGAGGTATCAGACGTCGGTTAGAGAAATTTCTATAGATTAGGTCTTTCTTTTCTCGTGATGAAGGATAGAGTGCATTGCCAATTATCAAATGGCAATGGATCGAATAGAAGGTGTTGATACGGTCATAGATTGTCTAAAATCAATTCGTCCAAGTTTGCAGGGTCGATGTGCCAAAATAATGTCCCGTCTGACTCATGTCATTGAGTGCTGAAAGGAGGATAACGTCAGTTTTGAAGCCGTCGAATAGAAATTCTTTTCCTTGAAATGCCATGAGAACTTCTTTGAATAAAACCTGAACGACCCTTTTTAAAGACAAGTAGGTATCAACAACACGAGTATTCACAAGCTTTTGTCCTTGATATTTTTTCCCTTGCCCCCAACAATGTCAACAACATCGGGCGAGACGTCTCTAGGGAAACTCCTCTCGAGCCTCACGCTCGTTCTTCAAGAAGGGACTTTCGTGTTTCTCACAATCCCTCACGAACAATTCACCGCTCCATTCTTGTTTCCTCTTGACGACATCCAACTCTTGTTTCGCGAGGTCGAAGGTGTCACTCTCGTGATCAGAAAGGAGCTCGCCGATAAACATTCACTTCCGTACCAGTACCCGAGCCGGATGATCACTTGTAACGTCCATTCCAGCCTCGAGGCGGTGGGGTTCATGGCTCATCTCTCCACGAAACTCGCCGGCCAGGGTCTGAGTGTGAATCCAGTCAGTGGATATTTTCATGACCACTTGTTCGTGCCGGTTGAAAAGGCAGTCGTGGCGATGAAAGTGTTGGAAAAGGTGAGGGAGGATGCCGAGCGAGCCACCACGAGTACGACTACGACCACCAGTGCAACTACTACGAAATAGTGATTTGGACTTTGAAGCGGAGCTGGCCATGGTCATGAATATTCAGCATTCTAGGCTATAATCCAGATAGGAGTTGCGTCAAAAAGAAAGATTGAGATTCATCAGTCGTCAAGCCGTACTGTACTGCATGTTTTGGTCGGCTGCGGAGGCCATCGACAAGTTTGTATGCCACCACCACCATCATCCCGACTCTCGATCTACCCCATCAATCAAATATCTTTCGGCAATGTTTCAATGTCCTGTACATCCTTTGGCAACACACTTTGGGTCGGGACAAAACCTTCATTGTCCCATCTCGTTTGGGCATCCAACATGGTTTCTTTCGCAGTCTCAGGTCTGGCCACAAATTCCCTGACTGCTTGAGCGGGGAAGAAATGATGGAGAGCCACGAACGTGACGGCCGAGATTGAGAACCCGACCAGGAACGAAATGTAATATAGTCTTGTCCATCCGATGGAAACGGTGATGGAACTGTTGACGTTGCTTATGAATCCTGGCATGCTGGGGAAGACTCCTAGTGCCCACTGAGACAAGAAAAAGGAAAGAAATCAGCATACTCGTTCTTGGGAATTGTTTTGGAAAAGCGACACTCATCGTTCGCTGCTGAAGGGTGTACTCACAGCAATTGGTGCACGCCAGTTGATACCCCAAGTATACCAATACACACTCTCTCTGTTTCCACGGAACAAATCGTCCACTTTGATTTTGCGTTTGTTTACGATGTAATAACTTGAAATCATGAGACCAATCTGTGAAAATCGTTAGAATGCTGCAACAGCGACCACACAGAGACAACCAATAATGCGAGGAGCGCTCTTGCTGATCCTCGGTTCCGTGGCATGAAGAAACAGCACTCACCATGGGTCCAAGAAAGACACCATAACTACTCAATACGGCCAAAAAGGTGGAAGCACTCGCCAGTAATTGCCAAGGGTTCACCACCATGCTCAATAATGCGGTAATGTAAGCACCCCGTCGAATATTGATGAATGTTGGGAAGGTCGCAGCCAGATCGAATCCACCACTGAGGGCATTGCCGGGAATGTTGATACCCCATTGAGAAATGACCAGAGCGGCGCCGGCGAAGAAACCTGCCGCACGACTGCGGCTGTGTCCGGCTCTCATCATGGCGACCAAGAGGTCCGGCAACGACCACAGGGCCTCACCGTAACGTTGCTGTGTCGCCGCGGTGACGAGGATGCCAATGACGGAACTGATGATGGAGTAGGTGGCGGCGCTGGCGATTTGACCCCAGATGGCGTCTCGGGGTCGTTTCGCGAACCTCGCATAGTCGGATTGATTCAAGATGCCCGCGGCGATACCTCCGATGGCGCTGATGATGCCGTACAGGACCATCCAGCCCACCGATGTGTCTTGGATCGCGGGTTTGGAGGATATCGTACTGCCGAACCCGTCCATGGTCGCAAGGGCCCAGATGAGCAAGACGACCTCGAAGACGAGGATCGATGCCACGCCGACGTACAGGAAGACTTTCAATTTATGCGGCCGGATCCAGATCAAGGGCAAGGAGATCAAACAGAAAATGACGTAGCTCAGGAACGTGGCCGACGTCAATCCCGTGGCGTGGATGTGGTTGGGGATGCGATCTTCGAGGTTAGGCCAGATGGCTTCGAGACAAACGTAGACGCATTGTCCGCCGATCCAGGATTGCACGGCGTACCAAACCAGAGAAAGGAGGATGCGGTTGTAAATGACGAAACTTGACCCGTACATTCCCCAGACCTGTGGATGTGTCAGTCTCAGAGACAGAAGGAAGAGTGACGAGGTAGATAGAGATGATCCACTGAGGAAGGGTAAGGTACTCACATAGCGATTGGCAATAGGAAATCCCAAATGGTAGAATGCTCCTGGCATCGAGTTCAGGACGATGAAGACGGTGGAGAGAATTGCGCCGACGATGATTGCAATGATTGCTTGCCACCATGTCAAACCCAAAGCTATCAAGGAGCTTCCAGTCATGTATGACGAGATGTTTGTATTGGTCCTGTGATGGTGAGAAGATCAGTACGTGTTGTATCATCTCAAGCATCTAAGGATCTCTCGACGAGGGCTGTTTTGTTGGCAAGTTGCGCATCGACGCATCGTTTTGCTTCCCGTCCGGGATATTCGTGAGGTATGCGACAACTTACAAGACCCCTGTAGCGATCACTGTCAGTGTCACGTAGTACAGTTGGTAGAGTCGAGCGCCGACTTACATAGATTATGGAATGTCCAGAATGTCCATGTCCGTCTTCCCTCCTCGATAGGTTTGATATCGTTATTAATCCACTGATTGCGACCAGGATCAGAAACGAAAAGAGACTCATTGCGGTGGTGAAGCTTACCCTGTCGGAGACGGTGCCCTCTTCTGGGACTTCCAACTTCTTGATGATTGTTTTAATCTTTGTCATGATTGTGGAATGCGCCGAGTTCAGAGTTGAGTACAAAAATCAAGAAGATGATGTGTTTAGTCCCGTGTCCATAAGGTGGGAAGTAACTCAAAAACCAAAAGTCGCGATTAGACGCAGAAACTCTGGGAGAGAAAGACAAGAGTCGTCAAAAGGGCACGAGACAAATGATATGCATTAATATTGACAGTTCGTTTAAAGGGCAAATGCAGTATTGAGTTTTTGTAGGGTTATCTTTCTCCCCCGAGGTCCAAAGTCGTAGTCAGTATGGTCTAGACCACAATCCGTAAAGAATAGAGTCAATCAAGCTAATCGGGCATTTTGCCTTATCTTTCGCAAGATTCTTTGGTACAGCTTGCGAACTCCGTCAGACTCCTCAACTCGGGTCTCGGTGTTGTTGTTGAATGGTGGACTGGGAGTGGCCTAGAGTAGCGGGCAGATACTGGACAAGCATTTCAACAAGAACGCGGTAATGGCTAATGGGTAATGGATACTTGTAAAAAGATACGAAACCTCGGAGGAGGAACTGATCAAAAGTGACCAGCCGATCTTCAAAGCAGCCGAAGCCTAGATATCAGAATCCGCCACCCCGAATTCTGGCAACGAATGATAGACGATAGAGGCCGAGGAAGGGTTCGTAGATTCGTTTCGAGCCCCTCCATTGCTGGGTGGGTGCCGGGTATAACCTGATCTTGCTTGGTTCTTCAGACCACCTAAGCGTACTGTAAATGTCCGCGGCGGGAGGGGAGACTGTCGGTGCACGATGTCCCAGTGGATACCTAAAGAACGCCCTTCTCTCAAGTGAAGTGGGACAAACAACCCAGTCGCTTCGGGGGGGCGGGCATCTCCTGCGACTTCGGAGGACGCAAAACGAATGATCCACGTAGAAAATGTCGTGCGATTCGACAGAGCAGTCAGTTCATCCCAAGTCAAAGAGCCGAGAGAAGAATGATTGGGAGCCTATTCCTTACAGTAACTGTCATGGATACTGACTGATATATGAGCAAATAGCTCAAGCATTCCATTCTCAATCTTTGTTACAGTACGTACATGGTAAAGCCTTTTTTATTTTCGCCGAGCTTCAAAGAGTTGGATACCAGCAACACCATTACACCATTTCGAGAAGTATTGAAACCTAAGGGTGGCACTGGTCAATTGACAAGGCCAAGGATAACGATAGCTCACCACGGTGGTTTCATGCACCAAGTCAAGTCTTTCCAGTCAGACTCCAGTGACCAAAAATGTATCGTATAGGAATCGACGTTGGCGGGACCAATTCGGACGCAGCAATCATCGATATAAATAAAATCGACACACCATCTCGCGGAGTCTTAGCGACATGCAAGACACCAACCACGTCCCATGTCACGCTGGGTATTAAAGAAGCTGTTGAAAAGGTTCTCCTCGAGTCAAAGGTCGATAGGAGTAAGGTGCTGAACGTCGCGATTGGGACCACCCATTTCGTCAACGCCGTGGTGGAGAATGATGCCAGGAGGTTGAGCAAGGTGGCAGTGATCCGTCTGTGTGGTCCATATACAAAGAAGGTACGTCTTTCCACCAGAGTCCATCTCGACTGTCTCTCAACTTCCAGTCTTATACTGTTGCTATGTGATATTGACTAATCGTTGGCCTTCTAGATTCCTCCATTCTGCGACTTTCCATATGCACTGCGAAATATAATCGAGGGACCCCATTACTATCTGGACGGAGGTCTTGAGATTGACGGGCGAGAAATCGCAACGCTCGACCCTGCCCAGATAAAGCGGACCGCAGACGAGATTGTCAGCCAGGGCATCCAATATGTCGCCATCGTCGGTGTCTTTTCAGCGCTGGACCATCAGGGAATCCACGAGGAGAAGTGCAAGACTGTCCTCCAGGAGTACTATCCTTCGCTGTCAGTGGTGTGTTCCCATTCCATAGGAGGACCGGGACTCTTGCCTCGGGAAAATGCCACGATTCTCAATGCGTCGATTCTGGCATTTGCTCGCAAAACCATCAAGGGCTTCAGACTCGCCATGTCCAAGTTGGATCTCTCGTGTCCACTTTACCTCACACAGAATGATGGTACACTCACGGATGCCGCCGTGGCTGCTGAGCTTCCTATCAAGACGTTCGCGAGCGGTCCGACGAATAGTCTTATGGGAGCCGCTTTCCTCCAGGGACTCGATCTTGGGGACAAGAAGATGGCGGATAAGCAGTTTGTCGTTGTAGATATTGGTGGAACGGTAAGTGTTGTTTCCCCCCTCTGGCCGTAGTAGACCAAGTTCATGCTCTGTGGACATCATTTACAGGTGCTGACTCGTGTGTTCCATACAGACCACCGATATCTGTGCTTTACTACCCAACGGCTTTCCTCGACAGGCACCGAACTTTGTCGAGGTCGCTGGCGTGCGTACCGCTTTCAGTATGCCAGAAGTCTTCAGTATCGGTCTCGGTGGTGGGAGTCGAGTACGACAGAGTGCAGAGCATGGCGGCAAGGTCACCGTCGGTCCTGACTCTGTGGCTCTACGCCTGACGACGGACGCGATGGTGTTTGGGGGAGATGTCATGACGTCCACGGACGTTGTCGTTGCCTCGGGTGCCGCCGCGAATATAGGCCAGGCCGAGAAGGTGAAACACATCTCTGCCGAGCTGATCGGTGCCGCCAAAGCGGATATCAAGAGACAGCTCGAGAGGGCCATTGACAATATGAAGGTCTCTTCGGCACCGGTGTCCATGTTACTCGTGGGAGGAGGTTCGATCATCCTCACGGACGATCTGGATCTGGACGGCGTCGAAGAATGCCTGCGGCCACCTCATCACGACTCCGCCAACGCTGTCGGTGCCGCCATCGCCAAAGTCGCGGGTGAGATCGACGTCATTGAGGTTCTGGCGGGACGAGACGAAGACGCCGCCGTCGAAGCGGCGAAACAAGCCGCCATCAAAGCCGCCATCTCGAACGGAGCCGACGAGAGCACCGTCCAGATTGTCGAGATCAAAAAGATCCCTCTACAATATGTTACGAATAAGGCCACTAGGTTTGTCATGAAGGCAGTGGGGAACCTCAAAGTACGAGACTCTACAGTAGTCAACGGCGCCGCCGCTTCATCCAATGGTGTCTCCAGTTCTGACACCGGAGAGGACTTTGAGGCTATTGGAGAAGAGGAAGTGAAAAAGGCCGAAATCACCAAACTTGCAAAGGGAAGTCTGGCCAAACCCGCGCTTGACGTCGACCTCACGCAGTACCGTCCACGAGTCGAAGACGGAATATGGTACATCTCTCCCGTCGACGTCGAGATGATTGCGTCCGGAGCTGGTGTATTGGGGACAGGAGGCGGTGGTTCTTCTTACCTCATGGCCCTTTACACTCAGAACCTCTTGAGAGAGAGTGGCGCAGCGGGAAAAATCCGAGTCATGCGTCCCGAGGACCTGAAAGACTCGGACATTTGCGTGTTTGGTGCTGGGTATGGTGCCCCCAGCGTGAGTGACGAACGAATATCCTCCGGGACCGACGTCTTCACTGCCATCGACGCCGTCAACACCATATTGGGTATTGAGGACTTTGACGCCATCGTCACGGACGAGATCGGTGGCGGCAACGGTCTAGTCACCATGCCCACGAGCGCCAAATACGACCGACCCATCGTAGACTGTGACCTCATGGGTCGAGCGTACCCGACCCTCGAACACGGGACCCCTTATGTGTACGGGTTCCCTGTGTTGCCCGTCGCCACGGCCGACTGCAAGGGCAACTGTTCGGTCACACTCACGGCCGAATCAAACAAAAAAGTCGAAAGCCTGATCCGAAACACCTGCATCGAAATGGGCAACTCCACGGGGACCGCAGGGAGACCTCTCGAGGGGAAAATCATCAAGAAATACACAGTCACCAACACCATCTCCCAAGCTTGGTACCTCGGCCGTGCGGTCCATCTTGCAAGACAGACGAAACTGGACTTTATCGAAGCCATCGTGAGTTTCTTCCACATTATCCCTCCCTCCACCCCCCGGTTCTTACTTCTAACACACACACGCACGAAAACAGGCCAGTATAACACCGGTCAAGTCTTTGTATACAGGCAAAATCGTAGACGTCACACGAGACGTGTCACGAGGATATACTGTGGGAAAGGTTGTCATTGCACCACTTTCGGCGGACGAGGAGGAAGGGACTACCACCACCACCACCACTACTACATCTCATACATCAACAACTCCAGTCACTGAGAAACGACACCTAGTCATCCCCTTCCAAAACGAATACTTGTCCGCGGCCTACGTGGACAACGAAAAAGCAGAAGGCCCCGAACAAGTCATCTGTACTGTACCCGACCTCATCAGTATCTTGGGTCAGGACGGTGAGGCTTTGGGATCGCCGGAATTACGGTACGGCCTGAAAGTCAGGGTCATCGGCCTCCCCGCTCACCCTCTGTGGACCTCGACGCCGGAAGGTCTCAGAGTCGGTGGACCGGAATTCTTCGGTCTCAATACCGAATTCAAAGCCATCGGAGAGTATCAAAAACCTAGAAGTGTCATTGACGAGTTTGACACGGTCGTCGGCAAAGGAAAATAGTAGAAGGAAATGACAAAAAGTACAGTAGACTTTGTAAATTGAAGACAAGACCTAGGCTGGCATAGCGACAAAGCCTCATAGAAGAAGAGACGGTATATAGTCATTTCATGATTCTTTAGGTACTCGGTCGGCTCGATCCAGTCACATATCACATTCGTGATTGCTACCTAAAATACACTTGAGGGTTTATGGATATCAACCTTCTCCTGCAGCAATTGCAGGCTTGACATTTCTTCTTCTTGGGTCAAGGGGCTCAGCCGTCGGGACGGCAGGAGGACTGTTGAGGCCATTTGACTTGACCTCGTTGTTTGTTTCTAGCTCTTCCTCCTTTGCCCGCGCTGCTTCCTGCAAGAAACCGGGCCTCCATTTCGTCAGTACTTTTGCTGTCGCAGTCTTGGCCTGCGAGTCTCCTTCGTGCCAGATTGATTGGATCGTGTCTAGGACCAGATTCCGAACAGGTGGACGCATCATCAGGAGATACTGCATGGAAAGTATACACATGCTGAGACGTTCAGGATCTCTAGCCAACGATTTGACCCTGTTCAAGAGCTCTTGATTGATTGAGGGAATTTCAGACAAAAACCGGATCAAGAGGTTCCTATCTCTTGCATCGAGATAGGGCAGAAGGCGGTCGAGAATGCGAAGTACCCATCTGTTGTAGTTTGGTAGATGTTGGAGCTCGGGATGCGTTTTGGCTGTCATCTTGTCGGCGTACCATTCTTCCGACAGCCATGAGATGGCGATGTTCAGACGAGATCGGAAGTCATCTAGAATATACATGAACAACGTCTGCCTGATCCGATTGGCGACATTTGGCGCCTCGATATCTTCCAATTTCACGATTGCACCAGCGTTCTCATCGTCGCTCAAGGAATGTGCGAGATCTTCTAGACACGATGGCGCTCTTGTTGCCAGACGGACAAGGATCGTAATCCAAGAGTCGCGATCGTTGGTGCTTGCAGCTAGTCGATTGAAACCGACTTTGGTCTTGGGATGAGCCTGACCGGCCGCGTCCAAGGAGGTCACCAGTTGAAATACATGACCGACAGTTTGGTCAGATAACGTGGCCACCTCTGCACCGGTCAAGGGAGGAGGTTTGGGGAGTTCGAATGGGCCCAATTCGATGGCAGGTTGGGCGAGTTGTTCAAGAGCCTTCTCTGTAGTTGGCTCAATATTGTGTTCGGAACCTGAGAGGAACTCTGGGTCATAATCGTCTTCGTCGTCGATACCTGTCGGGCCTGCCAGTGGCACCGCAGGTACTGGAGTGGGCAGGTTCATTTTCTGGAGATGGGTGTATCTCGCTCTTACCGCATTGATCGCTTCATCAAGCAAGTTTGAGTCAACATGCTGCAAAAAGACACCGGTAACTGTGCTGACAATGTCATGTGGAAGTAGTGTTACATCAAATTGTTGAAGGCTGATATCCTCTGTCAGGGTATACAGCTGAGCGTAGGAGTTTGGTGGTGGCGGCATGGGAGGAAATTTGCGTGGACCGGCCGTAAGCTTTTGTCGTTTCGCATCGTCGAGACCATCCGTAGGTTCTGCAGGACGTTTTTGAGCCGTTGGGTCTGCGAACAAAGTTGCTCTCGATTGCTGCAAACGCATGAGGTATGCTTGTATCTTTTGTTCTAGCGGATGATTGGGACACGTCCGCAGTACCCATTTTAACAGCGCTCGTGTTGTCCTCTCCATCGACCGAACAATAACCATGATTCGAGGGGTCATAGGAGAATTGACTTGCTTTATAGGGTTGAAATTGAGGATGGCAGATACAATCTTGGTTGAAATGGGAGGTCTGGTTCGAATAAGAACTGCTAAGCAATTGAGAGTGGCATCAATCACAATCGGATCCCTGCTTCATAGTCAGCTTTGTCGTTGATGATCGAATATTACACCACATACATTGAGTTCTCGAGGAAGACACCCAACAGTCTGTCCAGCAAGCCTGATGCTTCAGCTTCGAGGTTTGGTAACTGTAGGAAAGGATGAGTTCTCGGGACAAGAGCTATAGATACTTCGTTTTGGTCGGGTCGCTGCAGAGAGTGGTCAGTAGGAGGTTCAAGGCGATTGTGAGAGCAACTCACTCGAGGATCTGTAATGACTCCAGGGGTCTCGACCTGCACCACTTTCTGGACGAACTTGATGCAGCATATCCTGATCGCAACCGGGGCAGAGTCCATGCGCTGCAGGATGTTCAACTTCATTGTGCTCATTTCTTGCCATAATGTAGCCTCCGGGGGACGCGATATTCTAAGTATCAGTCAGAGTATGTTCCAAGCAATTATTCATAAATCTTTCTTGTGGCTCTTTCACCAGAATCACGTACACTCGTCTGAAAACCAAAGGATATAAACTGGCCGCCGCCTGAACCACGCCCTTGACAACCTCCATGTCCTGCCCTTGCGTCTCCAGCATTGCTCTTAGGACTGGTACCACTTCCGTCGACAACTGCTCTTTCTGTGCGTTTGGTAGGGAAGGACTTGAGAAGGCTTCGGCCAGAAAGTCTGCGCCCCATCTTCGAACTTCGACATGGGGAGTAGAACCGATGATAGGCAAGATCCCGGGCAGGACCTGATTGTACACTTGAGGATCCCCGAGAGCGAGTTTACGAGCAGCCTCGAGCTGAGGGATCATCTCAGCTGGGGTCGCTGCCGTCGTCATGGCGGAAGCGCAGTGACAATTCAGCAGATGCGACTAAGGCAAGATCACGAGTCTACAGACAAGTTTGAGGTTTGCAGAAAAGGTGGAATGTCGACTGTCGATTCGGCTGGCATTTGGTGAGGATGCGAAAATTGGTTCGACTATAGACACCACCAATAGGGCGATTCAACAAGAAGAATAAGAAGATAATATACACATCAATGAATAGAAAAACCGGGGAATTAATAAAGAAATGTTGGGTAGTCTTGAAGGTGGTGGTGGATGTTGTTTTATCGGCCCCTACATACGAGCAAATGACGATAGAATCGACGCGCAGTCTATTGTACCTATAGTGAGTTATTGTGCAGGGAGAGCCTATTGAGCCTATTGAATGCGCCTGGATCGAATCCACCAGCCTCACCTCAAGTAACTGGAATCTCGTTTTTCCCTTCCGGCCTTGGCAATATTTTACCTGCGCTTCTACTACTTTTTGTACGGCGACTGGGTTCGCGATATCAACTTTCATTTAAGAGCGACAGGGTCTTTCTTGCTCCTCATTTGTCATGACCCCAGACTGAACTAGATCTTTAATTCAAATAACCGCCGTTTCACCTGATTGGTTCACGCTGTCAAGATGATGCACCGATCGAGACAGGCCTACATAGAGGAGGAGCCTCAGGTAAGTTCAGCCCAGCATACTTCCTGTTTGCGCCTCATTATTCACACATGCCTACAAGGCTCGAATACTGCCGGATGCAGATTTTCAAGAGTTGGAATGGAAAACTGACGGATATGGTGTGAGAAACAGGATGTCGCAATGGGTGTAGATCTGGCGAGCATTCGTGAGTGGTCGCCGTCCACAGTTGTTAAAAAGTCTTTACATTAACACGTGCCTAGCCATTGACCGAAACTATGACATACACTCAGGCGCAGGGGGAGTGGCTCCCGAAAAAGCCTCCGCCATTCTCTCACAGTTCGATCGAAAGCGAAGACTGGCACAACTCGCAGTCCCCACCGACGACGGGCGGGTACGAGCACGCCTGCGGGAACTGGGTCACCCGATCACTCTTTTCGGAGAAGGACCGGCAGAGCGAAGAGATCGTCTGAAGGTGATCGTTCTTGATCAAGAGGAGGCCGCCGCGGAAGATGGAACCCCAATCGACATACAGATGCAAGATACGCCACAGGATGAAGGAGATCAGGAAGAGGAATTTTATACCGAAGGCATACGAGAGCTTCTCGAAGCAAGAAGGGATATTGCAAGGTTTTCTCTCCCGAAGGCAAAGGCCAGGATCACGAGGCAGAAAGAGGATTCGTCAATTCCGCTACGGACGCATGTTAAACACCGCAAGGAGATCAAGGAGAAGCTACACGGCTTTGAACTCTTTGGCTCACAAATCGCAGGAGAGAGACCCATCAGTATCACACGTTTCTCACCGAATGGCGAGATGGTTGCAGCCGGAAATTGGGGTGGAGGTATCAAATTGCTCGATGTGCCCAATCTTGAGGAGAAGGCCACTCTGAGAGGTCATACAGGAATTGTGGGAGGTCTGGCTTGGTATCCTGGTGCGACTCTATCAACATCAACTGTTTCGTCCGAAGCCGTAAATATCGCCAGTGGTGGTGGTGGACAAGGAGGTGCCAGTGATATTCATTTGTGGTCTCTAAGCCAAGACACACCCCTCTCGACCCTTCAAGGCCATACCGATCGTGTTTGTCGTGTGGAATTCCATCCGTCAGGGAAATACCTAGCCTCAGCATCATTCGACACAACATGGCGGTTATGGGATGTTGAAACTACGACGGAATTACTCCTGCAAGAAGGCCATTCGAGACAAGTGTTTACTGTCAGCTTCAACAGTGATGGTTCGCTTCTGGCGAGTGGAGGCTTTGACAGTATTGGACGAATCTGGGATCTCCGAACAGGCCGCACTATTATGATCCTCGATGGCCATGTCCGCGAGATATTCAGTCTCGATTGGGGCATTGATGGTTATCGAGTTCTCTCAGGCTCTGGAGATGGTTGGGTCAAATGTTGGGACATTCGACAGGTGAAAAGCTCTGGAGGAATTGGTGCTCACAATGGGAACGTGTCTGACCTTCGATGGTTCAAAGGACTTGATGCCGATACATCCTCCGTAGTCCCAACAACGGGTGTCAGACAAGAACACAACCCTCGCAAGGCCGGCACATTCTTCGTCTCTGGAGGTTTCGACAAAAACGTCAATATCTACTCCGCTGATGACTGGTCACTGGCGAAGCAACTAAGTGGACATTCAGCAAATGTACTCAGCGTCGATGTCACAAACGATGCCAAATGGATCGCCAGCAGTGGCCATGACCGAACTGTAAAGCTTTGGGGTCGCAATGACATGCAAGGACTTTATGACTGAGATTGGAGCTGCAACCGTGAAGCGTTTCATCAACCTTGATATTGGCATCTCCAAGACATACATCACAAGCACGCACCGACTTGTATTCGTTGCATTTCTGTGCGCCCAAATACTAACCTTCAGCGGCCCTGATATGGAGGTTGCACCGCTCCAATTCGTCACAATTTGCTCGGGGGAACATTTAAGTTGCTCTAAGCATACCGCAAAGTGTTACGCTTGGCAAGATCGACAACGGCATCTGTTCTGATGAATGGGAGACGGCTGTCAAGAACGCTCCAACAAGGACCAGCCCGAGCATTGTCCGAGAAACATGCGACTTTTTCGTGTCTGCTTGCCACAGAATCATGCCACATTTTCTGCCATCTGTGCATCCCGCAGACTAATCAGACATTTAACAGAGATGTGTGTGAAGAAACGAGTACTCTTTACTTGTGGCCATACCCAAGAAGAAATGGTTAAAAGCTGCGGACACTCTGATTGCACGGTCATTTTTCGACTAGAACGTGCTGGATTAGTATGTCAAAACTGCGGAGGAGGCAGTTGAAAGGGAGTGCCGGGCGCGAATTGTAAAAAGTCCGCATCGTTTTCTGCCACAAACATGAACAATACTGCGGCTTCACAGAGCTCTACGAAACATGCGACAACTGTATGGTTTTATGATGGCTGGAAATGAGCCCTTGCGACACAGAGTCCATCACAGCTCAATGCTGACGGCGCAAATGGCATTGGTCTCTTGCGGAGGAATCGACTCAACATCACATGTGCAAACTTTGACCTCTCTCGACATTCTCGTGTACCGTCCTCATCATACTACCTTGTCTGATCGCTAGACGAAGAATTGTGAAACAGACCAAGTCTTCTTACGGCAGTCCACGCACATTCTACCTTTCCCACCGATTCCCCCACCGGAGAGATTTCTACAGACTCCTTGGTTGAAGCGAGTGAAGTCGACCAAAACACATGTATCAAAAGAGATCTTCGCATACTCTCCTGTTGTTAGAGGGCTTTCTTTGAAAGAGGAATTGCATGGCGATCTGAAGTATGATTTTATGTCAGGAGGCAGAATACGTTAGCACTTGCGATGAGGAACACCTTGGTCTGTGGACTATACGAAACGAAGCTATGGTCGGATGGTGACGAACGGCACGAGTGAAGGGGAAGCCTCTTATGTATGAAAAAGTACATACGCACTCCGGGTATGTACAGGAGTCTAGAGTATCCGCCATGCAATACAAGAAGGTTTGAGGTGCCAGATCATTTACAACTGGTTGACTTTTGTTTTATGTCGACCGCTTCTATCATATTTATTAGGTAGGAGCGCCCTAGTCACTGTCTTCTATGACCATGAACGTGTAACCAGGTTTTCGCATTCACACATTCACCAGAAAACTTCGAGAGAAAAAAAAAGCCCTGAAACAAAAAGTTATTTGGAGGGTTTCGAAGCCCTGACCGTCTGCAACGGTCAGCGCTCCTAATACTCATCCCGACTATGACCATGCACAAATCTCAACTCCATTAGAGGAACGTATTACTCCGTAATACCTGTAAGACGGTACAGTGGTCATGGAAAGCAGCCGACTCCCAAGTTTAATCCCACTAAGCTGGTTTCCAAGGATAAGCCCAACCTCCAAACCACTTGTAACAAAGTCACATTGCGACGTGGTGAGTCTTTACTAGTTGGGCCATCAAGGCGATCAATGTTGAAGGAAAGTTCACTGGAATAAACATATCAAGGGCACAAATTATCAAGTGAATCCATATATTGCTCAAGTGAATTCTGCCATGACTATATCGGGACAACCTAGACCAGGTCCTTTCTGTGGGATACTAAACTTCTCAAGGTGTACTATCAAAATCAATTCAGGTTCTGTTTTCCTGGCTAATGTGCAAACGACTACCACTGGGCCTAAAGGTTTTCATCTCCACCTCATGTCCACTACAGACGACCTCTCATCTTGATCTCAAAGGTCCGGATAGGAATATACGCCAACAAAGCAATGACGACGGCGAACTCGAAACCCAAATCACCGGCCTTTTTGGCGATGGGCCCCGTGTACCAAGTCTGGTCCATCGAAGGGATGATGAAGGCCCACGCGATGACGACGGCGGAGATGGCACTGAGGCCCGAGGGTAAGGCGCGGCCGTCGTTCCAGATGGCCGGGTCGAAGCTGGCCGGGTCGGCGTGGCGGAAGTAGAACCACTCGGTCAGGAAACAGGTGACGGAGGCTCCGGCGTAGTACCCGATGACACTCAAAAAGGAGACGATGGAGGTGACGAAGGACTTGGAGGCCGGGATGGCGACGCCGATGATGGCGGCCGTGGCGACGACGGCGAGTAAGGCGCGGGGCACCTTGCGCAGGATGGGAGCGAGGGCCGTCAGGTTGAACGAGACGGTGTAGACGTCCCGGGCGCACGTGGCCAGGACCGACGTCCCCAAGAGCACGAGGATGAACTGGCCGAACCCTCCCAGGCGGCCGATCAGGATGGTCCCGATGACCCCTCCGATACCGTGGCTCGCGTACGCCGCGGACCAGGCGGGCACCGACGACACGGCTCCGCCGATGGCCGCGCCCAGCACCATGAGCAGCGAAAAGGGAGTCGCGATCCCAAAGAGGCAGTAAGCGGCGATGCGCAGCCTGGGGGTCTTCGGGGGCATGTAGCAAGCGTAGTCTCCCGCGACGTTGGCCCACGTCACCATGTTGCCCGCCGCAAAAGCCACGATGCCCATGTACTCTTGCGCCTTGTGGGTGCGAGACGGAGCCTGCTGAGAGAGCTGGTCGCCCGCGGCGCCGACGAGGACGACGATGGCGAACAAGCTAGGGATCCAGGCCCAGCGCGTGAAAAAGTGAAGCACCCTGTAGCCCATGAATCCGATGGCCATGCTGATGACCATGATGATAGAGATGGCCCCCTCGATCGACAGTGTGCCCGGCCGCACGGCCGCGAGACATTGACCGCCGTTGATGCTGCCAGTCACGGCGAACCCGCCCACCGTCAACGTAACGATGAGGGTGGTGAGCATGTTGCAATATTTGCTAAGTAGCTGTCAGATCATGTTCTCGACCGGGTTCCACCAATACTGTAAGTAGGACAGAGAGTAGGAGCGGTGACGTCGAGCTTACCCAAAGCAATACCGTGACTGAATCATTTGTCTCATCCCCGTTCGAGGTGCGATGGTCATCACGTACGCGGCAGGGAGGCCGAAGAGGAATTGAAGAAAGACAATCATGCACGCGGCCGCCTTGAGGTTTAGCCCAAACCCAAGAGTGACTGCGGAGCCGATACCGATACTGCAAGACGCCAGACGGCAGGGTCTGTTAGTTTCTTGCTTTTGTCCGGTATATGGTGCTGCAAGAGGTTTGATAAAGGGGGTTCCACTCACGGTAACAAGCTGGTCATCGAGGTTGCAAAGATGGTGAGGACGTTGATGTATCGCGTGTCGGTACGTTTCTCGACGGGCACTGGTTCAGCCCCTCGCATTTCGAGACCGGCGAAGGACAGTCTCTCCCAAATGGAGGCGCCGATCTTGGGTGGTTCAAAGTCATCCCGGATGATCTCCTTGGTGGCCTCTATGGTTCCTTCTTGGGACGACCCGGTCTCGAGGTCACGAGCGATGGGGTCTTTGCTCTCTTTTTGAATGCTAAAGTCTTCCATTGCAGGAACGGCAGCGGCAGCTACCAAACTCGTTGTCTGGAGGGTGTGGAGTCTTTCTTGCCTTGTCCCGAAAGAGATTGCCAAAGTACGGCGAGATGGTGGGAGATGGTAATGAGAAAGGAGGGTAAGGAGGAGTCAGTTCAGTTTTGTGTGTGCTCTCATATCAACCAATGCTTCAAAAACTGGCAAGAAAGGGGAGGCGTATTATGTATATCTTGATATCGTCTCGACAGTCATACTCAATACCTAGGCACTGGGCATGTGCTCGCTGTTCTAGACACAAAGTTGTCGTCTCCTGGGCTTGGTGGTGGTAGGATAAGTTGCCGCAAGAAGGCTGGCTGGCATAAGCTAGCCAATGCCAGACTGTGGTGTCGACAGAGATAAAGATTTACTTTCGTCGCTAGGGTCAGTGGTTGTAGGTGCAATGTGCGCCCGTCTCCGGGGCCATAGCTTCAGGTCTAACATTGCACTATGGGGGAGTACGGTTGAGGAACAGTGAGAAAGGCGCGATCGAAGGAGCGGCTGGCAGGCAGGCAAGGTCTCGAAGGATAGCAATAACACTACCGTCCCTTGGAAGACGGCACAAGCTGGGGTTTTTCGAGTAACGTAGTGGATCGGTTGCCGCTTCTGTTGGGCTGTGATGGGGATCCACTGATAAGACACTTTGGCCGGGGACAAGGCTGTGCGACTTGATTGTGTGAGTACTACGCAAGGCTGAACAAAATAGCCAACGACACCCAGATGCATTGAGTGTTCGTATGGCTTGGATGCGTCAAGAGCGAGTCTGTAGAGTTTAGGCAATATTTTCATGTTCATGCTATGCTGTCTTGACCTTCCGAGGAAATTCAGAGTGCAAAGATGAGGTAATACTAGTTATGTCGCCACTGGTCGGAGCACTGACGACTATACACGTCTACCAACCAGTCGACAATCTCTTCACTGCTTCTGCTTCATCCACAACATCACCCATGTAAGACTGGATGTCAAGCAGATTATGCTGTTGAATTAGAGGAGATCGATCTCCGCAAGCAGACCCCACCACCTAATTAGATGGTTCAGTTAGTAAAGATCATAACTAGACTATTCCTCCCCGTATGGCTCACATCAGGGAGACTCACCATCGGTCGAAAACCATAGCACATGGCATCCATGGCCGAAGCGCGAACACATCCACTGGTACTGACACCACCGATGACCAAAGTGTCCACGTTGAGAAGCTGAAGTTCTGTGGCGAGTGTGGTTCCAAAGAAGGCCGACGGGTTTCGCTTGAGTATCACCGTGTCTTCCGGCCCTGGTTCCAGTCCTGGGAGCAAAGCGTCTAGCCCCCGCGTGTCGCCATCCTGCCATGCCAGAATCGTCTTTGTCTTTTTGGCTTGGACCCCTCCGTCCCTCATCTCTGGATGGTTGTAACGCACTTGAGCCCAGACGACAGGGACCCTTCCTTTGCGAGCGGCGGCGACCAGCCGCCTCATCGAATCTGGACTGGCAGCTCCCTCGGCGTTATGTGAGAGATCCAACGGTGATCCTTGTTTCCAATACGCCACGCAAACATCGATCAAGAGGAGAGCCGGTCGAGACCCCCAGCCCAGCGGTTTGCCGTAGCCAAGAGGTGTTGCGACCGACAGTGGTACTCGGTCGACTAAACACTCGGCCACGACCATTTCTTTGGGAGTTTTGGTTCTTGTCTCCAAAGTGTTCGCTAGATGATTATGATTCAATTGGTGCTGTATATCGTGGCATAGGTCAAGTTGTATTCGGGGGCATTTGAAGTGGAGCCCTACTCTGCCGCGACCGGCCGGCAATTGATGTACTCACTACTGTCATGCAAGGGCAACGGACTTGTGTCAGCAATCATGGTTGGCCCCCGACTTTCGGAGGAGAGCCCTGTAACTGTCTTATTTCACAACTAGTATCTCCCAGAGCTATGCTCTGGCTTCTTGATATGACTTGAGATTTCGGTGCACGTGAGCCTTATCCAAAAGAAGCCTTTCCAGATCGTTTCCGTCATGTCGAAGAAGGAGCACGAAATCCATGACCAGACTAATCTCTTGACGGGAGGTCGCTTAATTATCACCTTTTGCGCCCTCGCTTCTGCTCTGCTGGTCACATATATCGACCAGAACTCGATTGGTGTAGCCTTGCCCACCATCGGTAGAGACCTCAACAGTGCATCGACCATCGTCTGGGCTGGTACTTCTTCACTTATCGCCAACACGTCTTTTCAGGTTCTTTATGGCCGACTGTCAGACATCCTGGGCCGAAAGGTCATCCTCCTTACCTGTCTGTGCCTCCTTGCACTGGGAGACTTATTATGCGGCTTCGCTCAGACTGGACCACAGCTGTATGCCTTTCGGGGTATATCCGGTCTTGCCAATGGAGGAATCATGGCGTTGGTGATGATGGTAGTATCTGATGTGACGACTCTGGAGCAGAGGGGCAAGTAAGTATCTACCATCAGTCAAAGGCCAACAATCCTGTTAATCGCCAATACTAAGGCAAATTTAGATATCAAGGCATTCTAGGTTCATGTGTTGGACTTGGTAACACCATCGGTCCCTTTGTTGCCGCTGCCTTTACCAAGAATGCTACTTGGCGAGCCACATTTTACTTCATTGCTCCACTGGCAGTGTGCATTGCTGTGATGTTGTACTTTGTGCTGCCGCCCCAAAGCATCCCTCCGGAGCCGTTGAACGCAAAGCTACGAAAGATCGACTGGGTCGGCATTGTCTTGAGTTCCGCGGGAGCAATGCTTCTTCTCATTCCAATCTCGGGCATCGGCGTTCAATTCGACAGTAAAAGTCCTATGGTCATATCCATGCTCACTCTGGGATCTTTGTTGATGGTCGCATTCTTCCTGAATGAGTGGAAGCTGGCTCGACTTCCAATGTTCCCATGTACGTATACATGTACGAACGTTCCGAGCTATTGCATTGTCATCTGACGTGATCAACAGTGAGACTGTTCAAGAACCCGGCTCTTGGAGCTATGCTCATACAAAATTTCTTGATTGGCATTGTCTTTTACAGTCTGCTGTACTATCTTCCAATCTACTATCAGAGTGCGAGACGAATGAGCTTGCTCACCTCGGCAGCCATGATCATTCCCATTGTCATCCCGCAAGCCATAGCCTCCGCTTTGTCAGGCCAGTATATCTCTCGCAGGAAACGATACGGAGAGGTGCTGTGGACAGGCTACATCTGCTGGGTGATTGGAACGGCCTTGCATTGTATTTTCAGCCGTACTCTCTCAGTTGTCGCCATAATCTTCATTCTCATCGTCGAAGGTGTCGGTGTCGGCCTGGTCTTCCAACCAAGTAAGTTTCTTTCTTGTCACTAATCCTGAAACACGACTGACGATGAATTACGAACAGCCTTGGTTGCAGCTCAAGCTCATGCTCCAAAACAAGATAGAGCAGTAGTAATCAGTGCTCGCAATTATATTCGTGCACTCGGTGGTTCTGGAGGACTGGCCATTGCATCTGCTATTTTCTCTAACTCACTGCTGAGCAGTCTTCCCACTAGTCTACCAGAGAATATCACACAACAAATTCACGATTCAATCTTTGACATGCCACCGCTTGACAATTTGTCTGTGCAACAGCAGCATCAAGTAGAAGATGCATACGTCAAGGCGGCTAGGTCTGTCTTCTACCTATGGGCAGGAGCCATGGCTTGCTGTCTGGTTTTGATGGTGTTTATCAAGGATAAAGGTTTGACGAGGCAAGAAGAAAAAGTATCTCCAGCTGGAGCTGTCAATTCGGATACATCAAAGCAATCACAAGAGCCAGATGTCACCACTACTATACAAGAGACCAAATCACCCGCCTAGTGAAGCTTCCAGATGTATATATCAATTTACTATCCGCATAAAATGAATATACAATATTATAATAGGAGCCTTATTCAGGGGAGATTTAGTCTCCGGAGCGACACAATCTGGAATCCGCAGTGAAACCTCCCATGCTTTTAGACAGTGTAGGGGTTTGTAAATAGTAAGAATCAAGAAAATGCTCGCAAACCTTTTTCCATATTGGAGTCGTCCCATGCTGACAGGGCGATAATGGTGGAGCCGGGTGGATATTCGACAACCGAGAACAAAAACATCCCGAATGTGTCAAAACCCCCTTCGCCTCTTCGCCTAGGCGGAAGAGACCACCAACAATTTATTTTGAATGGTGTGCTGCCCAAACAATCCCAAATTTTCTTGCCATCTCTAGTTCAAGATAAAAAGACCATGTCGGAAGCACGGTCACGAGTGGCTCATCAACCATTACACCCGTCTATCCGCGACAAACTTGATCCTGAATACGTGTCCCTTCACGACGAGGTGTTACAGTACGTCAAGCCGAGTGAGTCACAAGGCTGGACGCCGGAGTCCAGAAAATTTGTCTCACCGCTTGGAGCTGGAGCTCAGAAGGACGTCGAGGTAGGAAGTATCACCAACCACGAGATCGAGAATGGTATTCAGGCTAGAATTTTCACCCCCGAGGGAGAATCTGTCTCGTCTGAAGGCTGGCCTTGTCTGGTCTGGCTACACGGTGGTGGATGGGTGAATGGAGGTTTGAACAGTGAGAATGGTTTCTTGAGACACTTTTGCAAATGTAAGTACAAGTTCCGTTTGTCTGCCGGGTTTGTGATACAGCACGGCTCCAAGGCTCGATCAATAAAGGCAAGGTCAAACTTACACCTGTGCCGACATAGATCTCAAATGTGTCGTGTGTACCATCAATTACCGACACGCACCTGAACATCTGTATCCCACCGCCGTCGAGGACAGTTTGACGGGATTGAAATGGCTCGTGAAGTCAGAAAATTCAAAGGCAATGTCGATAGATACGAACAAGTTGATATTTGGTGGATTATCAGCGTGAGTATTTCTGTTTGTCTACTTGTTCACCCCGTCTACCTGCCTCCTGTGCCAGGACAGATCCAACAATGGGTCGATGGGTCTTTTACTGACCGAGAACAGTGGTGGTAATTTGATGGCAATCCTATCACTCAAAGCGAGTCAACTCGAAACGCCGATCCGTCCGATATTTCAATGTTTCATTTGTCCCGTCATCGACACCACGGCGACAATAGAGACGACGTGGGCTACATCAAGACACTCACCATGGCTCACACCACAACGCATGACTTGGTACCGAGAACGGTACTTTGGGACCAAAGACACAGACAGGACAAAGGAATGGACTGCATCCCCATGCTTCGCGCCAGAAGAGTTACTACGACTCTATCCCAAAACATTTGTCGCCGTGGCCGAGTGTGATCTACTGGCTCCCGAGGGGCTCGGGTTCGCCGAGCACTTACAGCAGTTGGGGGTCTCTACAGAGGTGAAAATCTACAAAGGCGCCACGCATTCCATCCTGATACTTGCCGGTATTCACCAGATCGGTAAACAGCTCGTGCACGATGTCTGTGAGCGTGTGGCGGCCGAGTTGGGGATTTCTTACGATCGTGAACTTGCAAAGATTGAGAAACAGGGAAATTCGACGTAGGAATCTCGACACGAGTGATTTCCATTTTCATCTTTGCACCTGAGGCGTTGCTGCTTCAGCCTGAGCCGTCGGGACCAAGCCCTATACGTGACTGAGAATAATGTCATTCAGTCTGAGCAACGGTTAAAGCAGGCCTCCATCTGAGCCAGGGGCCTTGTTTCCGGCACCCGCCTATAATTGCTCCTTTGCTCTTCTAATAGTTCAGCGAAGACTGCCTAAAAATTGGGCACTTTTGAGTTCGTTTGAAGAAGGGACCGACTATGCTTGGGCTATAAGTACTTTAGGGCCAACTTCGTAGTCAAGGCTGTTCTGCCCAGATAAGCTTCCGTCCCAGGGACATCCTTATGTGTTAAGTCGGGCTGAGACGTCACGGTCACGGTCCAATCTGCATGAACACCATCAAAACGGCAGAGTAACTGGGAACCAAAGCATTAGCACGTTTGCTGAAATGATTTTGGAATAGAGCTGCAAATCAACTTACGCAGCAGTGGCGGCTAAGCTCTCAAATGGCTTAGCCACCGAAACGGCTTGGACAGTGGCCAAGAAAACTCCTATGCAGATTGCAATCACGATAAGCTGCTCTTTGCTTTTGCCATTTAGGATATAAAGTATCCACAAGGGAACCGCAAGCATCATAAAACCAGTGATACAGATGACAAGGTTGACAAAGCCATCTACCCGCTTGTCGGCATAATGAATTGCACCCTCAGTGAAGGCAGGATCGTGGTGTGAGAGTGTGCGGAAGAGCGTGTGATGAAAGACATGGAGCTTTTCCAGAACACGACGCAACAGTGTTCGTGGTAATCCGGCAACCGAGAAGAGGTCCGGATGGTGTGGTTCTCTGATGAATTCGATCTCATCCTTCGCAATGGGATCTCTATATCGGCGAAGCCACCTGTCGACGTTCCCTTTGCTAGTGGCAGATGCTTCACCCCTAACACGGAGGGCGCTGTAAGCTGTGATGAAGCTGTCTATTATCTTCATTATCAATTTCAAGCTTCAAGTATTTCACACTGGTGAATCGTTGGAAACTCTTGCTCGGAATACTCACAGTAATCTTCTAATTTCGCCTTGATAGTCTTGATTTGAAACTGGCGATCTTCATCGTCGCATTCGAAAGAACCATTGTTCAAGTCATCTTTAGCCCCATACATTCGAACTTCATCCATCTCAGTCAACCCACTCTCGAGCTTCGTGATCTCCCATTGTAAAAGGAATATCACTCTCGCGGCGAGGCTGTCGAAGCGTCGGACCACTAGAAAATCTTGGGCGGAAGCAGACCATTCAGAGAAGCCCCTGTATCCAATGTACCTCCATGACTTGACCTTTTGCTGCTCAAGGTCGGGAATAGGATGTTCGTAAATCGTACCGTCACTCATACTCGCCGACCCAAGCATGTATATTTTACAGTAGAGTCGAGCAACCGAGATCAACGCGAGCCTCGGGAAATAATCTGTCGCAAGGCCAACGGGTGATGGTGACGAAGTGAGGGTCATATCCCTTTAGTTTGACTTGGAATGTCATCGAACCATGCCACATAATGGTGTGATAGGTTTCCATGCATTGAAGGGGTGACAAGCTAAGAAAAGCGCAGGTTACAAGAAAAGTTTCTTTTCCTTCTTCGACCAATCCACTGGTTTAAACGAAACTCAACAAGGCGTAGCATTTCCTGACTAAATTGCCCAGTTTTGCTGTATATTGCAATCCGCTCTTTATCATTGGACTCAACGTTGGGCATCCTCGCATCTTGTTTCGTCCAGTCGCTGCAAAGTTCGTGTTCGATGCCTGAAGACTCAAAAGCAAGTCATTTAAGCAGCCGCAACGATATTCTCTTGCCAGCCTTTCCTCCTCCCGAGTACAAGTTTCTCGCTGCTCTTGATGTACAAAGACTGAGTCATCACTACTACCAAAGTTATCCACTTATTGAGCGAAGCATTCGGAGAGGACCAAGGCAATGCCCTCTAAAGTTCCCAGCGTGATTGGAGGAAAAGCGACGGGAACGCTTCCAGTAAGGGAACAAAAGGCCAATACACTTGAGTTTGCTGATCTAACCGGTACAGGAAGGGCAAGACAGCGAGCAAGGTCGGCATTATCGTCATTTGGATACAACGACACGAATTCGAAGAAATTATCCTTATGGGACCCTTCCCGCGGGAGGAAAGTCGGATCTTTCTAATTCGAGGAGATTTCCATCAGGACACGACCAAGTTGACGTTGACTACCAAGAGGGCGGTGGCCGCCAAGACCCCTCGCCAAAGGTGAAGAATGATGCACAAGAAAGAATGGATGCACCAACGTATAAAATCACAAAAGAAAAATTGAAAGACTTACACCAGAAGGTGCCCAAGAAAGACTCAAATCTGAGAGGGGATGGACGGCAACGCCCGAAAAACGAGAACCCTTGTCGAGATTGGGTCTGCTGTAAACACTACAGCCAGAAGCGTCGAGTCCATAGCGATCAAGATCTCAACAGATGTCCACCGTGCCAACACAGAATGTGCAACAACTGCGATCGTGTTGAAGACTATCAAGGGTTATGGTGGATATGCTGTAAGCAGACTAGACCGCAACATGTCGTTATTAACCCAGGCGATGAAGAGAGATGCTCCGCCTGCGGGCATAAGAGATGCAACAGTCGTTGCGGATCGACATAGCCAGTTTAGGCACAAGGTTCAGGACCTTAGGTACCAAAATTGTACCCTCGTAGAACCATCGTGTAAGATTTCCACATCCTCAAAGAGAGATATCTCTATCAAGCATGGCGTGAGCCTCAATAATAGCTGGGGCCCAGAAACGGGACCACCAAACGAGGGTAATGAGTAGCTTGAGTAGCTCACCCTGAAGGCTGAACCGAAGTTGAGCCTGCCCTGGCACATGAGTTCCAGCGACGAGGCCACGGGGCCCCAAAGGGGGTGTTCGAATAAGTTCGATATGGGTGATCGATCTTGGGTAGATAAGACAAGCATTGTGGAGCTCTCCGGGGAGATTTAATTCTATTCATCCTTGTTAGTACCAGGAGTCGAGAGTGCCATGCACAAGAAATTTAGGCAGCAGCGGCAAACCGGTGCCCTAATATGAGAGGCTCGTCTGGCCGATCTTTGAGGAGCCAGATGAGGGCCCCCCCTGCTCTGTAGGTTATGCTGCTCAGGCAGTGATCAGGGAACGACCTTTGGACCACTGCCTCGATGCTGTCAGCAAGGTGAGCTGGCCCCGCCAGCCCTGCGCCGTCATTGAGCCTGGCGCGAGCCATCGGGGCGCGAGGTGGACGGGCGTCGAGGAGTCCGGTACTTTGATACAAGAAAATGTCGGTGTCTATCGCATGGATCACAAAGGGGTGGTCGATGCCCAATGACACCCAATCATTGCACTCAGATTTCAGATATTGGACGGGAGTTTCGTTACGTAAAATGCTTCGACGCGTCTTGCCGGGACCGGCAACAAGTAGAAGCACCAATTCCCAATCTCCTCCCATTGCTCTCCTGTTGTACACATGCATTGCCCACATACCTTTACTGTAAACTAGGTATGTTCGGTGTTCCGTCGGTCGACCTCTCGTATGGTAGAGACAATAAGTAGTGGACTGGCTTCTGCCGCCCCGTATGCCACTATTTTGCCGCCCCGGAGAGAAAACTCCAATGCCTCAGATTGCCTAATGACCCTGGACTCTGATTTGGCCCAGCATCACCATTTGTATGGTTTACGATCTTTTGTGTCGCTGTAGAGAAACTTCAATCTTACACGCAAATCTTGCGTGGCAACTTACACCTTCAGGTGTTCGTCAATACCTTATTGTGTTTCTATTCTGGTCTGCTCTGCGCTTTTCTCATCTCATCTCATCATGGCTACTACAGCCGCATTGGATCCTTCACATTGCCCCGGCTATGCAGCTGAATGTGGCGACCCTTCAAGGACAAAGAAACTCGGATTCGGTAAACGACCGGCGGTTTTGTTGCTTGACATGTGTGACGCCTATTTCAGCCCTCAATCTCCATTGGTGTTGGACCAGGACACTCTGGATCGAGTCTCGAAGGCATGGTCGGAAATCTTGGACACTGTGAGAGAAAGAAGACCAAACGCCGCCGCCGACAAAGACATCCCGATCATCTACGCCCAGACATTCTACACACACCCCAAATGCCGTGACGCTGGTCTGGCCATGCTCAAGAACGACCATACTGTCTTCTTCCAGGCCCAACATCCACAAAACCTCACCAGCCTGTCCATGGCCCCCCCGCAGATTCACCCGAATCACAACGACTCCATATTGAAGAAGAAGTATCCTTCGGCCTTCTTCGGGACGAATTTGAGCACGCAGCTGGCCGCCATGGGAGTCGATACCCTTATCATCGGCGGCTTGACCACGAGTCTGAATGTGCGGGCGACCGCCCTGGATGCCATGCAGTCCGGCTTCAGACCCATCGTGGTGGCCGAAGCTTGTGGCGACAGGGTTCGGGAGTTGCACTGGGCGAACTTGATGGACGTTGGAGCCAAATATGGTGATGTCGTGGGTGTCGAGGAGGCAGCTTCTTATCTTCGAAACGTAAAAGAATGAATAACATACGTGTCATTGACATGTCATACAGGGTCATCAAAGTCACACTTGCCAGTCACCCCAGCCCATATGGACATAACCGTGCACAAAGTCAGCCATGTCGTTATCGAAAGAATCATGTAGCATCTCAAACGTGCTGAAGTCCGGCAGGGAGAACGGTTGCTGAGATCCAGAAGGCTGAGGGCCCGCGGTAGACCTGTTTCCGTGGAATGGTTCAATGAGCTGCAGTCGAGGTCTATCCGAGCCTAGCGCTGCCGTATCGCTGAGGAGATCGAGGTAATTGGTCGCGAGAGGCGCCTGCGGTTGCTGCTGCTGCTGTTGTCCCATTGAAGCAACGGACCGCAATGGTGACTGTCTGTCGGCAACGGGCTGGCTGTGATGATGTTGCGGGTGATTATCTCCGGATTTGTGACCACTCGCATTGAAGGCTGTGGTATGAGGCTCGGCAATACGTTCATGGGAGGATCGAGTGACCGTACGTGGTGTCGTACGTGGTGTCATACGTGGAGTTTGGCTTGTTGTAGCCGCCGCCGAGTTCAGGAAAGATCCTTGGGAGGTAACATCACTCAGAGCCTCGCTGTCTCGACTGGCTGGCTGTTCGGCTAGCTTGCGCAAAACCAGCGTCCAATCGTGCACTGTTGGCCATTTCTCCTCCAACGTCGACAAGATTTCCAGGGCTCTGTTGAGTATTTTGCTCGCCGAAGCAGACAATTCGCGGCACAGCTGTGGCCAGCGCACAAGGTACGAAGCAAGTGAGCCGCAGATGTAGACGCAGAACGCCAGCATCGCCGGAAATCCGTCGTCAGAAGACCGGGTGGTAAAGAAAGCGTCGATAATGTCGTATAATTGCCATACATTTGAGAACAGCTCGAACGACATTTGCTCCCAGAAATCCTGCGGAGCGTTGTCGGTGGCGGTGGCTCTGTGACCCAGGAGTTTGGCGACTATACTTTCCAGGTACAAGCGGCGTGGGACGATATGGTTGAGTTTCATGATGGACACGATAGACAGATATGCCAATTCCACATGCTGCGCTTTGAAACCCCGGAGGTTCCAGGCCGACCAACGATGTTCCACGGGCATGTTTTGTTCCCATTGATTCAAACTCTCGGTGACTTTTCTATACCGGCTGTCGGGGACCCAGGGCTGCATCTCCACGCTCGTGTTGGCGTTTTCTTCATCCTGAGAGAAATCCCGAGCTATCGTCCCCCAGAAGTCGTGGGCCTGGACAAGTGTCGCGAACAGGGACCGCGAGGGAAGCAATACTAGTGACGAATTTTGTCGAGCTGGCATGGTGCCGGCTAGGGCGGCACGTACTAAAGGCACCCGTCCGAACGCGAAATCATCCTCACTACTCGGCAACAAGGTCGTGATGTCTGTTTTCGCAAAGGATGCCGGTAGGTGCTTTTGCGTGTAGAGGTTATCGTGGTTTTGAATCACCCAAAACGTCCGCCTTGCTCGTTCAGCATTGACAACGTCAGTCGCCGAAGCATCGGGCGGGAGATTATACGTTTCTTCTCGGTGTAGTCGGAGCACCCCAGCCATACGCACCGCGATTCCCATATTGATGGAGCTTCGAGCACGGTCACCTTTGCCCCAGTCTGCCATGCCGAGTAGGAAGAATGCTTGCGCGTTCTCCAGGCACGTTTCCCACATCTCGTCGGCTATCATGATATGGGCGATCTCGGCGAAGAATTCGGATGCCTGCCTACTGCTGCCGAACCGTTTACATAGCGGTGGTGTGAAGCGAGCAGATATTGCAAGCATGCTTACGAGGAGAAACATATTGACAGACCTGCGATCATTCTCTAATTGTTCCAGAAACAATGCTCTAGGAGTGAATCCTGCCGGACTCGTTAACGACAGGCATCGTAAAGGTTGGATAGCTCCTACCAATTTGGATGCACGTGGTGACAAAGGTTCGACAGCCTTGAACCAATTCTTCATGAGGAGGTAGGAGACTCCATACGTCCGATGTATACACTTGCATCTTTCGTGCCGTCATGGGAGACAGAGTCTCTGGAATCTCAATTACAGGATCACTAATGATGCGACTTAGCTAGGGTTTTTTTGCGTATGCAATCAAGTCTCACCTGGGAGTGCCTGCAAGCTGTGCATTATCACTGCATCTCATCCAATTAGTCCGTCGCCGTCGAATTAGTTGGTGTTGCACCCACCCGCTTTGCGATGTAGAGCTAGAGACATCGCCTGCTGGTTGCTGGACTCTCTTGATTCGGTACTACTAGACTTGTTAGAGTCTTCGTTGCTTCATCATTAGACTTTATGGCTTGCTCTTCGATCCTGGTCATCTCCCCGGCTCGCAAATCCGCTACAACCCCTCGTCAGATCGATGGACTCATAATGACACGTAAAGTATCAGTACCAACCATGATTGTGCCTCTGATGGTCCTGCTTGACGACATGGAACGCAAGGAATCCGACCGGCATCTTGGATACATTTGCTGCGAAGACGCCGACATCTAAATGCATGATCGAGTTGTCAGTGAAGGCACCCTATTCTACCAGAGAGAATACGTCGCGGCAGTCGACGACCAAAAGAGTCTCCAGAAACATAAATTCTTTACTTGTGAGACAACACTTACCTTCTGCACGCAATCGAGGATCTTTTGAACTTCACTGTCTGTGATTGCACGTTGACATTTGTTGATCCTCCTTGCTGATCGTGGCCATTGTCAGCCAACATTGGGTTCGCTTGACGAAGATGATGCAAATTAGGGAGCACGTTGGGTTATGTCGCCTCATTTGTTCAGACAAAGTTGATGCTATGGCACGATGTCTTTTTGCCCGGGTGCACAGGGCGACGGACTTGGTCGGCAGAGTGCCTTCGAGGCTTTATCCCGGTATTAGAAATGAATAAAGGACAATTCACTCCTTATCGACAGGTTGGTATTAGCTCTTTGATACTGAGTAGTTAGTGCATTGAAACCAATTAGCTAGGGTGCATTGGACAGCTGTGTGGGTCTTCCACGATAAGGACCCTTCAGCCACCAACTTGTCCGGGTCTGTTAGGCTTGGACCCCTTCTTCTGGGTGCTCTAGACGTACAGTACGCAGTCCTGGGCAATGATAGTCCGGATATGGTGCACTCATCCACGGCGAGAATCTAGTGAGTACTCGAGTAATGTCTGATGCTATCTCTGATCTGCGCTGCTCCTGATATCTCACTATGGTAGTACTAAATGGTTGGCTTCTTTATGCTGGTTTTTGGCCCAACTGCGGCAGTCCAGCTGCAGCAAGTCTCTCGTTAACTTCATCCAGGTGTTCCATAAAATGGCCCTGGAGATCATCCCAAAAGTCGCCTTCGTACCCTTCAATATCTGTGGATTGCTTAGTAAGGGAGTAGCGAGGAAAATAGCAGGGAGGCTCACGCTTGATGCTTGGGTTTCTGTCCAAGGCAAATCGCGTTAAACTGAAATGGTTATTCAAGTGAAACATGAAGCCTGTTGAAATAGTCTGTCAGCCCATTGTTCGTGAACATTTGGAGGGGGATGTGTCTCACTCAGAGCATTCTCGCCCATAATCTCAGGCTTCAATTCTTTCGTCGTGGCCTCTTTCCAGGCCTTGTACGCATCTCCGTGAGGCATGTAGGAGTTTTCGCAACTCAAGCAACCAGCTTGAACATCACGGACCGAGCCATGATACTCTCCATAGATCATGCCCAGCATCTCTGTGGACATGTTTCGGTGATAGTATGGTGGGCGGTACGTATCCAGAGCTGTGATGTGCTTGGCCGTGTAGACTGCAAACTCTGACAGAGACACGTTTGGCGTCTTCGATTTGGCGACCAGGACCGTATAGATGGTGGGATCGCATTGTTCTTTCATCGCACATGCAAGCGGCACAAACTTCTCCATTGCGTACTTGAATGGTACGTAGCTTCCGTGCCAGCCTACTACATCGAAGGGAGTATGGCTTTGTTTATATGAGAATAGATCACCGGTAAGTTTGTAGACGACTAGAGCAAGAGTGTCAATACCGGATCCAAGGTTGACCATCGGGCAAACTCACCTTCCCATTTCGAGTCGTCCATATCAAAAGCTGCGACAGGGTACTCGAAATCTCGGGGATGGGCCAACCCGTTCGAGCCAATGACTCCAAGATCAGGGAGTTCGAAATGTGAGCCAAAGATTTCGTGCACGTATCCCCTTGCCGGGCCATCTGGCAATGACACTTTCCATTTCAATCCCGCTTGAACGACACAAAGCTCGCCAGGCCGAACCATGAGTCTGCCCAGTTCAGTCTGAATGTCGAGTCTACCTACTTGTGGTAGAATCAGGAAGTCTCCATCGTTGTTGCAAAATGCTTGGTTCTTCATCGAAGCGTTGCAAGCGTACATGTGCATTGCCAGGCCTTCCTTCATAGTCGGATCACCCCATCCACCGATAGTCTTGAGCCCTTGGATAAAAGTGACAGATTCATTCTCTTCTGGCCACTCCAACGGACCCCATTCATAGGTGAGAGGGGTGAATTGTACGTTGGGATTGTGTTTCGAAAAGCATGCCTCGAGCTAGAGCCCTTGCAATCAGTTGATGCCTTCAAGTCAGAATAGATATCAAAATACATCAGGAGTAGGAGCCATTGGCCTTGGCCGAGAGTGTGCAACGGATGGTCTTATGCGATACATCCACACATGTTGAAGGGTGTCTCGGTATGATACGAAAGGGGTCCCATTCAATTGTTCAGAGTACAGATCGAAAGTACATCTTTGAGGAACGTTCCGACCGGGCTCGGGGAGGATATCTGGACTGAAACCTCGATCAGCAGCCGCCTCCGTAGACCTAGGGTACAGAGCCGCAATACTTACACAGCTTCCGTCGAAAAGTAGTTGCCAAATCCCAGCTGATATCTGTAAGGGTCTGCCTCTATTGGCGCAGTGGTTTTTGAACCCGCTGCAGAGGCACCGAACTTGTTCATTGACGAAGGCTTGGTGACCAACACCATTTCTGAAGAGTCGCCCATTTGTATCGTGAAGAAATCAAAGAGAACGTGTAAAATGTCTCGTATTGAATTCGTCTACACACGCTGACTGTGATGAAGATGCTGAAATGCTGCCTAGACTTTTGTACTTCCGAAACACACTCTGTATTGTCACTTTGCTCGGGGGATCTCCAGTCGGCCTGTTCCAAGTGAGGCCGACATGGTTGTTCGGTGAACCTGGATATCTGCCATTTGGCAACTCAAGACTTCTGTCTCCACCGAGTGGCCAATCTCATATTTGAGCAACAAGTCGAGATGCTAATGACTGCTTGTATCTGAAGAAAAAGCAAAAGGAGCGGCTGGCTGGCAGGCCGGCAAGATAAGCGGCAAGGTGAATTGGTCGACGCCCTAGCGCCACGAATGGTTCAACCTGTGGGTCACTGAAGCTCTTGATAAACCACGTTTGTCAAAGGCTCCACAATCGTATCGCAATCCGGCCACCGGCACAACGAGGGAACTATGGCCTTGACCTGCACACATCAAGCAACGGCTCAAGGTCCACCGTGGTTCGTTCCACTGACGAACTGGACTGTCAACACACAAGGACCCCAATGATCTTCTTACGACCAATCGAGAAGGGATCATTTGATATCGTACCGCTAGTGATCAAGTGGAAATGAGTTGTCATATTTGTTCAGCTTGAACCCTCAGTGCAGCAGCAGCAGTCACATCTCAGAGCTACTTTCGACAACAGACGCACGATAATATGGAGGTTCTAAAATCATTTCTGTCGTCTCCGACACGTATCCTCGTCGTTGTCCTATTGATAGGAATTTCCGTTTACCACGTCGCCAAGAGGTCGTTGAAGAGATATCCTTACCCTTTACCACCATCACCACCTGCAGAGCCTCTTTTCGGACATTTTAGAAGCCTCCCTCTTGAAAATGCTCATCTCAAGCACATGGCCTATGCCAAGCAATACAGTGAGGTCTCCGCCGATGTGATCATGAGAAAGTACGATTGACCAAACCCCTTCAGATTCTGATGTTGTTTACTTCAATGTCCTTGGAAACCACATGATCGTTCTGAACAGTCAAAAGGCCGCAAATGAGATCCTGGATAAGCGTGGTGCCAACTATCAGGACCGACCCAGCTTTGTGCTCTTCGATGTCATGGGCTGGGGTCTGACTTTGACTTTCATGCCTTACGACCACCGGTTCAAGATTCACCGATCGGCTCTCCAGACTGGATTCACCAAGACTGCAATTGTCAACTACAGACCCATCCAGGAAGATGAGGCCAGACAGGCAGTAGCGAGAATCCTCAAGCGTCCAGAGACCTGGGAGCATTCCCTCAGAAGGTGAGCCATAGCTTACCCACATACGTTTTTAAGGGGAAAGTAAAACCGCTGACTCACTTGCCCTTAAGATTTGCATCTGGTATTGTTTTGAGAATCGGATTCGGAGTCACCGTCAAGTCAGATGACGATCCGTATATCAAGATTGCAAAGGATGCAAACTTGGCGACCGCAGAAGGAGGCAACCCTGGAACGGCACTCGTCGACTATCTTCCTTCTTGTAGGTGTTCAAACAGCGAGTGACCAAACAGCCATGTTGACACAGACCCACTCTCCAGTCCGATACATTCCCGAGTTCCTCAACTTTTCACAAACACTTAGACATGCAAGACGGTGGAACTGGGCCATCAAGAATCTTCATGATATACCTTTTGCAGCGATCAAAAAGGAATTTGTGAGTCACTTGACCTCTAGTATCGTCATTCTGCAGACACACTGGAGAGACTGACTATTTCTACTCGGCACACAGGATCAAGGAACAGCAAATCCATCCTTCGCGTACTCTCTACTGTCAAAATATTCCGAGAATGAGAAGCAAGGAGTTCCAAACTCACTCACCATGAAGGACATTCAAGGAGCGTCCGGGTCGGTGTTTATTGCCGGATCCAACACTGTGGGCATATACCAGGACCTGTGTCTCGGATCTCTGACGATTGACCTTGCTAACCTTTCGATACTCAGACCTTTGCCACCACCACAGTCGCCCTCTTGAATCTTATGCTCAATCCAGAAGTGTTCCGGAAAGCCCGAGCCGAAATCGATCGTGTGGTAGGAAGAGACAGACTTCCCTCGCTGGCTGATAGACCCATGCTTCCGTATCTCGACTACATTGTAGAAGAGACGACCCGATGGCGGCCCCTCTCACCTATCGGTATCCCTCACAAATCTCTCCAGGACGACACCTACAATGAAATGTTTATACCAAAGGGGTAAGTCATAGATTGCTGTTTGGCTTGCTTTGGTTTTAATTCGCTTGATGGGTGCGTATTGCTGACCAACACTCTTTGGGAACTTCGTAGGACATACGTCTACTACAACACATATGCCATGAGCAGAGATCCGTCAGTGTACAAGGAAGCAGAGACGTTCATGCCCGAACGGTTCATTCCCAAGGAGGAAGGAGGGGCAGGAGAACCATATCTCGTGGGTCCGTTCGGGTTCGGTCGAAGGTGAGTTTGACGACCTTCTCTCTCCTCAACCTCCGAGGATCTTCTTTGCCCTCAACAGTCTCGGAACCTCCCTCTGACGATATCCTTGGTTTTGTAGAATCTGTGTCGGACGTCACCTCGCACAAGCATCAGTCTGGATCTTCATCGCCACGTTGATCGCGACGGTCGACGTGTCCAAACCTCTAGATACCAGTGGAAGACCAATCGACCAACCTATCAAATTCAGTACGGGTCTGTCGAGTCACCCGGGGAAATTTGACGTTGTTTTCAAGCCGAGATCCTCGGAGGCAGAGACTCTGTTGGCAGATGCTGTCGGTGATGCGCAATAATGTGTCCTTTGATGCATTCGATAATCCATAAAAAGGGAGAGGTTCATGTGCATGCTGACGTCCTCTGAATACTACATGGGACAATGACATTATTCACTGCTTCACCCTCAGTCTCCCATCTAATTCTCCGTATCCGTAGATAGTAGTCCCATGTTCCACAATGCGTTTCATATTTACTCTCATCTACTACGTAGCTGTACCTGCCGTACATGAAGTAAATCAAAATGTCGAATCGGTGAATCTACGGCATCGGGTATTGAACAGATAGATCCCTTGATTATTTCGGGGGCTCACGGGGTTTCTGGATCCGCCACATACCCACACGACACACTTCGCCTACTCGCAGAACGTACAAGTGATCACACACCCCCTTGATTTCTAAAGAATTTTTACGGATAATGGAGTACTCTGGATGACAGCCACCCACCTACTACAATCCGACAGTGACAGTCTCTCTCGCATAAGCGAAAAACCACCAAAAAACAACCGGCCCCAGTAAATCACGGTCGGTTATGCTATAGCCGAGATATGGTTCATAGCCTCAATATTCGGCAGCACGGCTTCCAGTTGGTTTCGGGATTTTTTTGGCTTCTAAGAAAGAACGTGCGCCAATACTAATAAAAACCCAAAATTGTGTCCCGTACTCCGTCTCTCTGATGGGTCCAGATTGCCCAACGGCAGTGCGGCGGGTTGAAACCTGCTCCTGTCTTGAAGGTAGGAGGTGGAGGAGGAGCAGGAGGGGGGATACCGAATGAAGTCACCACTATCCAACAATGCAGGGTCATGGGCCACCATGGTGAGGTGACATTGTGGCCATAGCAAGTGTTAACCTCTTCAAAAGCGTGAGCCAGTGCGTTTAAAGCGATTCATATATGTATATCTCGCTAATTCGCTATCTCTCATGGGACATCCTCGGGTGGTGGTAATCCCGTTGTTTGAATGACCACTCGGGGGTAAGTAAGTCGAGTGTGGGTTCTCCCCTGGCTCTGCCGTTTTCAACTTGTAGGAGTCCACATACATACATCCCACCAGGGCCCCCAACTTGCCATTCACTCCTCAACATCTGCACAAAGTACAACACTCTCTCTCCAGGATGCTCACACAAGAATTGAAAACATCTTCGAGAGATGAGGTCGATGGTGCTCCTGTCAAGGTCACTCTGAGGGGCCCACAGAATGATCTTATAGTCCCTTCGTATGATGAACTCCCGCCTGTGGAAGGAATGCCTCATGGCTGCACATGGGGTCTTTGGGATCGAGAAGGCCAAAAGGACGAACTTGGTACATTGAACCTTTTGACCCCGGCGACGATACTTGCTGCTAGAAACGAGATCCAACATGGCATCAGCCTTGCCATAAATTGGTCTCTTGACAACTGTGAAACCCCACATTCAGGCCGAAGAAAACCCAACCACAAAATCATGCAGCTACCCGACTGGGTAGGACATGACGACGAAATCCAAATGAATACTCAGAGTGGTAGTCAATGGGATGGTTTCCGTGAGATTTCCTCCTGCGGCTTGACATGTGGTGTGGTTAAAAGTCATATGCTAACCACTCTGTATGTAGGACACTGGGCTCATCAGCCCTCGAGAACATACTATAATGGCGTCTCGCATGCTGACATCACCAGTCTAGAGACTCCACCCCGGAATGGAATCGACCGTGAGATATCCATGACCGAGTTTTGCTGCAGCTAACAGAAAACGTAGAATGGTCAAAAAATGGAGGTATCGTCGGAAGAGGAATTCTTCTCGACTATCATTCATGGGCCCAAGAGCACAATATTGACTATTCACCAATTGACCGCCATCCCATCTCGGAAAAGGATCTCGAAACAGTTGCAGCGTGGCAAGGCACAGAGTTCCGGCAAGGTGATATCCTACTCATACGTTCGGGGTTTGTCAAATGGTACAAGGAAGCCAGCTCCGAGGATCGACGGCGAGGAACCGTTGGTGGTTCGACTTGGGCCGGAATCGAAGGGACGGAGGAATCCGTGAAATGGCTCTGGAACCGTCATTTCGCTGCTGTTGGGGGAGATGCCAACGTTTTCGAGGCCTGGCCGGCAAGGCATGAGAGATGGCGTAAGTCTGGTTCTCCGATCGATGTTGCAGCGTCGCTGACTTTGGTGACAGGTCTTCATGACAACCTTATAGCACTCTTCGGTATGCCCGTGGGTGAGATGTTCGACCTGGATGAGCTAGCAGAGGCGTGCAAGAAACTACGCAAATGGAGTTTCTTCTTCACGAGTGCACCTTTAAACTTCCCAGGAGGCATTGCGTCTCCGCCAAACGCAATATGTATTCTTTGACATAATAATAGCAGGAATTAGTATTATTATGAATCCTAATTCAGAACTCGTATTCGAAATCTCCCCATGCGGTGTCATCAAGAATGCTTCCCCAGTCTGGAGGATAACTGAACGGCATTGCCGGGTTGATGTTTTCGGAAAATAAATATCGGCTCGCAGGATGATTCTGCATAGCATACATATGGGCCTGAGCAAGACCTGGATCCTGGTACTGCGACTTTTCGGCGAACAGAGGCTGTTGAGGGACCATTTGACCTTGCACTGGTACCGTTCCTTCGGTGTATGCTTGTTTTGTTTGCACAGGCGAGGCGTTGACTGGCTCGTGCGGCAAAAGCTCATCACCGTTGCGGATGCGTCGGACGATTTTGGCGAAGAGACGGAAGATCCATCCACTTACAGGCCAGGTACTTTGCAACTCTCGCAGCGCAATCATTGCCAGCCTGACCTTGACCACAGCAAGTTGTTCCTGGACTGGTTGACCCGAACAAATGTCAACTGCCTGCATGCCCATAGCCGCAAACAAGGAGGGCACAATGTGAATAGGACAATGCAGAATGTGCGAACGAGACAACATTTCTTCCACTATGCGAATCATCCGATTGGCGGCATCCATGGCTAATGTATGTGCCGTCTTCATTGTGGGAGGCGATAGATCTTGTGGCTTGATCGAGCGATGAGTTACAATTTCAAACCAACTTGAGCAATTAGTCCAACATCTAGGAAAGAACTGGATGAAGCTTACCTATGCGCCACATGCAACATACTTGTCCACAGACAAGAGCTGTTACTCTCAAGGTCCAACTCAAGTGGCAATTGAGATTTCCACTGCTCCAGGGCTTCGGAGCATTCTTGAAACATCGTGGCATTGTCGGAGGTTGTGGAATTGAATGCCGTGAACGAGCTGTGAACGATCCTTTCTGCGATAAAGGACAAGTCCACGAGAGCCATGACATATAGAGCATCACAAGACTCAGGACGACCAAAAACGTCCGGTCTAGATGCCGGCTGCTCTTCGAAGTCTCCTTCATGCAATAACTCAACATCGCAATCTTCCTTACGAATGTGAACTGGGCGCCCGAGAGCAGTTGCGGCATGTTTATCTTCTGCGAACAAGGACCACCATATTCTCTTCCACAGCGAACGATCTTTTGGTTTCATGTCCGAATGCTCGGTGGATCGGTGCATACCAAGCGTCAGAGCCAAGCTGATAGCAATACCTAGCCAATGCCAGGTATCTTTCTGATCCGTTGGACCATTCCACCAGAAGCTTATCAAGAAGACTGCTTGGACAACAGTGACCTTGTTGGGCTCATGATCGTTGTCATAGAGAGCCTTTGCACGTTTGAAAAAGGTCTTGCGAGCATGGTATCTCGAGTCAAACCCGGCCTCTCGCAGGACAGCCATGTCGCAATGTCCAGCAGCCATGAATAGGACGGACTGGAGAAGGAGATATGACGGAGGCCGAGTTGGGTCAGCATATTGCGATGCGAACTCGGTGCGATCAAGTATAGGATAGTGAGGGTGAACGTAATCGAAATAGGTGCGGAAGAGCTGATAGCAAGTATGTACATTGGGAACGACAAAGCAGCCTTGCTGCTGGAGGAAGGTCGTTAGGCTGCTGTCATCGTCATACTCATCCTCTACAGCGGCGGACTGGCTTTGGGGATTGAAGCGCACAACATAGTGCCGTTTCCGGGTTGATCGGGCTGATTCTGGATTCGTTTGTCGCAGCAGATGGGTGAGATTGAAGGTCTCTCCCATGTACATTACGTGCACAACTCCCTCTTTGGCCTCTGAAGTGATCTCGGCATTAGTAGCCTTGTCCAGTACTTGGGCATAGAGCGTCTCTTGTGCTTCTTGTCCCGTTTCAGGCTTTTCATTGTCACAGGGGGAACTCGAGGGGCGAGATGTGTGCCCAATCGGCGTCTCTTTCGGTGTATGCCGTATGTCCCTCAAGGGATCATAGACATTGCCATGTGCAACCGCTGTGCCCGGGATCGGGATCTCTGCGGCATGCTGGTCGCGCGCGATGGGGGGCGAAGCTGAGGAAGTTGAGATTTTTCTCCTCTTGCCTCGCTTGCTCTCGATGAGCATACACTGTCGGCCGGCCGTCTCGCAATTGGAGCACGGAGTGCCTCTGGCCGCGGCATTGCACTTTACACGACGTGAGTGACACCAAGTGCATGCCACAGCCGAGCGTTGACGAGGCCTGCCGCGCTGGGTCGACGAGGCTTGATGAGCCTGATCCATCATAGGTGGAGTATGATCAATGAAGGAAGGATATTGAACGTGGGAAGCAGAAATCATAGCCTATGCCCCGGAAATGAGCTCAAGATAACCTTCTGGAAATGAACGGCGCAGGGTGGAGAGTTGGGGTATTTTAGTAGTGGGTGTATGTAGTGGGTAGGGGGTCATGCTGTAAAAGTAACAAGGACAGGACATTGCCCGCCGAGCTGTTTGAAGTCTTTGAAGCCCTGAAGTATGTTGAGAAGAGAGTCGAGACACACGAACCCCTCCTAGAAGGATTCGGCCAATTATCATACGATGATCATTGGCAGAACAAAGAACCGGAGAAGATGGAGGAACTGGACAATAAAACAATTAAAATCCACCCATATGCGACGCTCTTGGTGATGGAGACTATTCGCCAGATATGGAGCATAGACATGTGCCTGCAATACGCTGGACATAAAGTCGATCTGCACCTAGAGCAACTCGTGTGCTTTCTACCCCGAAGCCAACGCATGTTATTGTACAATCCTCGTGCCAACGGGTTTAGTTCCAGCGTGTCCAACCTCGTGTTGAGAGAACATGTGTCGGAGGGAAGCATGATTCTCCAATTGCGATTGGAAAGGGTGGTCACTACCTGGCCCAGAGGGAGTAATTCTACAGCGAGCCTCATGCAGACATAACGATTCGGCATGCAACCATGGACATGCTAGCCCTTGGTTCCAGCAGCGAAATGGTAAAGATCCGCTCTTTAGCAGGGAAGGGGGCGATGGGGAAAACCACCTCCCGGTGGGAGGTACTCGCTTGGCTCTTGGAGAAAAGGCACCAACGAGAAGATCTTTGCCGCCTTCTACCGGGCCTCTTCAGACTGGGGGGCAGTTAACGCCCCGTAAGCACCCTCTCCTGATGACGGAGTAGTTGTCAAATGCCAATGTAGCCGTATGGGGCACTTGTTAAGCTTGCTTTCCAAAAGGTCCAGGTGCAGAGAACGAGTCTCTTCGCGTAGACGAGGTCTATTCCTCCTTACTCCGTCCAGACAAGTCCACTACTTCCCTGGCGAGGCACACAGTAGACTCTCTCAGTCCCAAGTGCCCATGATCCTTATGTACACCAGGTACGTGCCGCGCCGTGAAACTCTCGCGTCAAAGACCTGGTCAGTCCACAACTTTCTGCAAGAGTCCCGATATGAATGAAAGAAAGGTATAACCGAAATCATCTGGGTATAGCCTAAGTACAGGGGTGCGTGTGGCGACCAGGTACTCCAGTCAGTACTCCAGTACTCTCGTACCCAACAATTAGAACTCCCTTGTCTACTGAGTACGAAGTACAACCAACACCACGCGTGAGCATTTGAGTCTGACATATATTGCCTCAGTTCGACCCCACTACATTTCCCCCCCGGAGGTCCTTTTTGTGTGCCTGTCCTTGCGACATTGTTCTCATCAAAAGCGCTCGTTGACTTGCCTGATTGCACACTATGGCAAGGACATACACGCTCTATAACCTACGCATCATCCTAGTCTTGACCCTAGGGAGTCTTACCTTTGGGTATGGCTTCTCGGTCATCTCCAACACCATCGGTCAGCCGGGCTTCATTTCCTACTTCAACCTCGGCAACGATTCTAGTTACGACAATGCCATCACCGGCACCATCAATGGCCTCTACTGCGCTGGTGCGCTCTTCGGAGCCTTGCATGTCGGCTGGATGTGTGAAGCTCGTGGTCGGAAGGAGACCATGTACCTGGCTTGCCTGGTCAACGTCATCGGCGGCGCCCTCGAGACTGGCTCGGTCAACATTGCCATGTTTCTCGTCTCGAGGTTCATCTCGGGCTGGGGTATCGGTATGATGGTGGTGTTGATTCCGATCTATCAATCTGAAATTTGTAAGTGCATCAAATTTTGGCCCGCAGGACGTGCTGTGACTTGGATCGGGTGACATTCGTGTTGTGTCGTCCAAGCGAATCCCCAATAAGTCATCGGTGAACGTACTTTGATTCGCTCAATCAGTTCTTCGGTCACAATCCAATGGGCTCGGCTAACTGGAGAGCAGCACCGCCGAATGCTCGAGGATTTCTGGTCGGCCAGCACGGTACTTGGATTGTTCTGGGATATGCCATTGCAGGTTGGGTCGGTGCAGGGACCTACTACTCTTCGAACTTGTCATTTCAATGGCGGTTCCCGATCGCATTGTCCATTCTCCCACCATTGGCATTGGCAATATGTGCGCCTTGGATTCCCGAGTCTCCTCGATGGCGTAAGTAACGAGAACGAAACTGAAATCCGACCTGTGAACTAATGATGACAGTCTTGACGCGGGACCGACGAGATGAAGCCTGGGCGATTGTCAAGCGACTCCATGGTGGTGCAGTCTCGGACGACAAGGGCATGCAATATGCCCGTGAGGAGTTCTATCAAATGACAGAACAAGTCCGGGTTGATGGAGCTGTTTGGAAGGAGGGTGGTTGGCGTGGTATGCTAACCAAGAGGTCGTATCAAAAGCGCTTTTGGATGGGCTTCTTCATCCAGTACGCGGCACAGTCGACGGGAGCGCAAGTGATATATGGTGAGTTACACTGTCCTCAAGTAGGTAACATTGCCATTGTTGACCGTGTTCCAGTCTATATCGTTTCACTGTACCAAAACTTGGGTCTCACGGGTGGCGTGCCTTTGATTCTGGGAGCGGCATATGTCACAGTAGCAACCATTTCCAATTTCATCGGAGCTCTTCTCCTAGATAAAGTCGGACGAAAACCACTGCTGAGTAAGTTTGTCTGCTTGTCTGTGCGACCAACACCACTAAATATTGAATCATCAGTTACCGGACTCACGGGGTGCATGTTGTCCGTTTGCCTCGAGACCGCCATGATCGCAGAGTATGCGGGCACCACAAACAAGGCTGGCCTGTCGATGGGCGTCTTTTTCTCATTCTGTTTCATCAGTTTCTATGGTGGCGGTATCGACGTGGTCGGTTATGTCTATTGTTGTGAGTACCCGTATATTTTTGTTTCCATTTCAAACCCGACGGACGTCCGTCGCCCCATCAAAGTGGTATGATGACCCGACGACAAGGCTGCAGTCTTGATCGGGAAGCTTCTCTGCATGTTCTCCCGAAAGTCCTGTCGTCATGCGTCGTTGTGGCAGCGGCCGGGTGGCCCGACTATAAGCAAGAGGGACCCCTGGCTAACGGATCTTACCTGCAGCGGAGATCTTCCCGACGTACATTCGCTCGCAAGGCGTCGCCTGGTCGTTGGCGGGAACATTCCTCTCGACCTTGGTGTATGTCGAGGCAGCACCGACGGCCTTGGCCAACATAAAGTGGAAATACTATATCATCTTCATCTGTTTGACATTTGTCAATGTCCTGATATTCTATTTTTGGTGTCCCGAGGTATGTGACATTCCAAAACGTCCAACGTCGGACGTCGGACAAGGCTGACATATTCCGTAGACCAAGGGTCTGTCTTTGGAAGAGATCAACGCCTTATTCGGTGACGAAGTGGTGGTACATTTTGCCGATGCTACCGAAAAGCAAAGGCATGAATTGGCCGCCAAGGTTCAGGCAGAAGACGAACAACGGGAATACGACGCGAGAGGTGGCGAAGCCGCTCCTACGAGTACCACGGCGGCTGTGAAGGCATAAGAGAGGTTAAAAAGTACGAAGAAAGTCACACGAGCTGAAAGTCACGGAACTTGAGAATGTGGGGAGGGGGCCACTACCTCGAGGGTGTCCTGTACATACTGTACTCGAGGGTCTGGGGGTCATACTGTAGATGATGGTGTATTATTGCCTCAATCAGGTCCGTGGTGGACAGGTAGCAATTGGCCATTTCTCCCGTTCGAGAATTTGACTCTCCATCAGCAAGAGATTGTCGATCAAAGTGCTGATCAGGAATTCTTGTGCTCGACTATGTCGCAATATACAGTGCAACACTGGGTAGTCCGTAGGTCAATGGAAGAACGATGACGTCGAAGAGGTCCGGAGAGGGAGGGAGGGCGGGAGGCAGTGGGAAAGGATCAGGGGTCCTTGTAGATAGTCCGTAGATGGGTCCAGGATGCTGGCAAGGCCGTGGCTGGGAGAATTTGGGACGGTGAGCATATATTGGACAAGGGAACAGCATTGCCCTGTGGCTGCATTAGCTGCCGGATATTAATATCCTCGCTAAAAGCAGGGATCTCCTGTATGTCACCAATGACAGGCATCAGAGGCAGGAGACTATCGTGTATGTCAGCCTCCTATTCGCTCAAACGCCGTGGTCCCTAGTGATCTCAACCCAAGCCTCTGCCGGGGACTAGGAGGAGAGAAACCTGCTAAAAGGGGCTAAACTGAGACATTGTCGTCCATGCAAGTCAATCAACAAGAGAGAAACTCTGCCTTGTCACGATGGCTCGTGTCACCAACCACTAACAAGGCGTCACCGTGGTCACTATCCGTAGTTGTGGCCTACGGAGAGTGCTGTGCTCAATGCTTCCTCGACGAGTACATGTATTTGGCTCTATCACCAACCTCGTCATTTATTTTCGAACCGACAGCGCACTTCGATCTTCTTGTCTCGTGCCCTCTCCAGTCACCACTTCTCCCTCCTTGAGAAGTAAAGCTCCCACAACTTTTTCACCTTTTTGTTGTTGCTCCCCAGATCTTCGTGGCAAGGACCCATCGAAAGTCACCACCACCACTAGGCTCTGTGCTCGCTTCTTTTAAAATTGGCACCCACTTCTCAAAAGGGGCCATCAGTCTCCAGGACCACCAGCTCTAATAAACTTGTCGGCTAAGAGAAATGAACCACTGTTCAAGGAGGGCTTGACATTGCCACCGGCCAGCCAGAGCTAGAGAAAACTGATAGACAGACGTCGTTGTTGTCTGATCTTGAATTTCTTACACTTCCCATTTCCCAAGTTCGATTTGAAGTCGAACCCATTGTTGTTGTCATACAGTTACGGTTGTATGCGCGCCCAACAAGCAAAAAACAGAAAAACAGAACGGCACTGGAGGCTTCTTTTTCCCTTCTAATCCACAACCACAACAACAACCCACGTCACGGCACTGGGCATATTTTAAACACCACCGACTTTCCAGCCCATGTATAGTTCAAAACCAGACTGAGATACTACAGCAGAAACGATATAAAGGAAAACCCGTTACTACCGTATGATGCCCACGATGCAACCGGCGTCGGCGGCAATAAATCCATCGCCGCCCGCGACGGCTTCATTTTCTTCTTCTCTTGCTGCAGACAGCAACCAGCCGACTCTCCTCAGTCTGCCACCCGAGGTGAGAAATTTGATCTACCGCTTCGCTTTCCAACAACCCGAGCCTTTGCGCCTACGATGCCCCTCGCAACGACGGTTACGCCCATCGCGACCGCCTAAGGACGACCCTCGGGCCTTTCTGGATACCTGCCACCTCGTGCGCTCCGAGGCTTTGTGCTTGTACTACAGTCTCAACTCGCTTGTTTTTCGCTCGACTGAACATTTGCTGTCGTTCATCGCCGACCCCGAAATCCACCCATGCATCAAATCCTCTCTCGCCCACGTCGCCGTCGATTTTGGTGACGCGACCGACGCCGACTCCATCCTCAAAGACCACATCGTCCTCGTCGACACGTGCGTGGGCAGCTTGCCGCGCCTGAAGGCCCTGGAAACCCGCTTCTACGCGCGCACGATGGACTCGTGCTCGTTGCAGCATTTTCAAACTCTGGCCCTCGCGCTGGACGGTCTCGACGCCGAGATGAACGCCTCGCCCTCTCCGAGATCGTCTCGCTCGTCGCGCAGTTCTCGACAAAGTTCGCGACAGAGTTCCATTTCGAGCCGCGCGACGTCGCCCGTCTCCGAGGCCAGCAGCATCTGTTCCAGTCCGATGGAACTGGTTTGCGAGCCCGAGTCGATCAAGCCTGTATCCGAACAGCCCGAGCCAGAGTTCGACATGTCGGCAATCCAGGCCGAAGTGCTGGAACAGTATTGTTTCACCCCTTCGGCAGCGGTGGCCTTTGCCTCGTCCAAGCTCAAGTTCTCCGTCGCCGCGTCTTCGCACGTCTACCCCGGCGCCAAGCACGATAAACTAATATGTTACAATCTCCGCATCAGCGCCGACGGGGTTCGTAGCGCCCTGGGTGACGCGAAGGAGGCTGTCGAACAGCGCCTTGAGCGTGTCGGCATGCTTCCTAGACGGCTCAGTGAGATGTACGACGTCGCTGCCGACGGTGGATTTCATCAACGCGTACGCGCCACCCTCGCCTCTTGTGCTAGGATTGATGTCGGCGTGTCGTGAAGCCTTGATTATACATCAACATCAAAACAATACCCGACCGGAGTTCCAATCTGTCACTTCTCCGTGCTTGGAGTTTCGACATTCCCGGAGCCATTGGTCACAGCCTCGAAAATTCTCGGGGGCCAAAAACAGCAACTGCGCCGTCTTCGAGACATGACATTCAGAACTCGCGGGGGGCCTTGGATACCCGATATCTGGGTTCTGGCCCCCGCGAGGCTGAATGAAAAGCTAATCGCCAAGTGCCAAGTTGCCAAAATCTCAGGCCACCCTCAAGGCAAACTGAAAACTCTCTGGCTCCCCCGACCTCCGACCTCCGTTACTCCGTGGTGGGGTGGGTTGTTGTCGTTGTGGTGTTGTCTTTTTCGGTGATGGGGGCTGAGAAAAAGAAAAGTCCGGACAAGGGTTTTTTTTAATTAGCTCAGCCCTGGCATGATCGACCGCAAGGAACAAGGCGAGATTTACAACACCACCAAAAGAGGCAATAATGGCCAAGTGCCAGTCCTCGTACTCGTACTCGTATTATTGCGGAGTACGGAGGATCTTGTACAGCTGTTTCTCTGTCCTTATACTTCCTGACGATTCTCCTAGTCGTCCTTTCTTGTTTCTCACGGGGAGGGAGATTTTTTTTAATTGGTTTCTTTTTTCAGATACCCTCTACACGGAACCAGGACTCTTTTTACTGTATGTAATTCATAGTGGTAGTACCTTTTCAAGGTTTTACGAGATGACGAAAATGAGATATGATCATGACCTGCCTGCTTACATCTTTCTTCTGTTCCCTCTAGTTTTCTGACCTTTTCTTTCGGGTTGTCAAAATATTCGCGGAATAGGTATATGAGTTATCATAGTCAGTGGCAACTAAGGCATCCCAAATTCATTCGCGGAGTAGGGAAGACGGACAATAAATAGCCTCGGGTCATCGTCTTCAATCTCCATGATGGACATTTACCGTCGGTTTTTGTTCACGACAGAGAGGATCGTCCGGATACGTACAGACTATCTGTCATCGACCCTATTGACTAGGGGCCACCTTTCTCGAGGCTAGATGACCCAGAGTCTCTTCCAGTCTTTTCCACGCATCCTCGACCATATCCGGGATGTCGACGTGAGCGATGAAATGTCTACCTTTGGGACCATAACCGTTCTCGTCATCTCTCAGGCGCGGGACTTCCCCCAACAACAAATCCGTGAATCTCGACCAACTCCAAAGCTCTGATTCTTGAATCCCCGGTACTTGAAAATGTGATTGTTTGCTCGTCTCGTCCACTGTCACTCGAGGGACAAATGTCGGACATGCTGAGAATATCGGTGATGGTGAAACATCGGCGTACGCTCTTTTGAATGAAGCGACGGTCCGTAACGACATGGTAGGATCTTGAACGATGATGAATGATTTTGGGTTTGAAACGCCATGAGCTTCGAGAACCTTGCGAGTTTCTGTCGCATTGGATCCGCAATTGGTCGACTCGTCCTCGACGATAAGCCTCAGAGTCCCTACTGAGTTCTGAACGTGGTCATTGACACCTGGGTAGAATCGTTTCATCACAAGTTGAAGCACTCTGGCTTCCGGCATGCCTTGGATATTGGGTGATAACGAGTGGTACTTGGTACTGTTCCTCACTGATTCGTATAAGAATTTGGTCGAATGGCCAATCCCACCGCAAATCACGACCGTTCTGGCCAACTCGGGTCCCCGTTTCTCCAAGGTCGAAAACACCTCGTGGGCAATAGGTAATATAGAGTTGCCGCAGAATACCAAGACGTCAGCAGGTTCGCATGTCGACAGTGAGGAGATGTCTTCGCAAGAAATGAACTCCGCAACCGTGTTGATGTCCGCTGTGGTGGAAGCGGAGTATTCTTGATCCATCCTGTTCAATCAATGGTCCGGATGTTCTCTGCTACAGTCCGAGATTCACGCAAGCAAGAATGAACCGCTTCGAAGCGTCTACCCGTGTCTCATGCAGGGTCCAGCACAGTCCTACTCACAACGATGATCTGGGAAGTGAGGAATGTGTCCTACTCGGATAAAACACTCTTTCAAATGATCAGCATTATTGCCAGAACATTTTCTGACCTGAGTGATGAAAATACGAGTATGGGTCAAAGGTGTGGATGTGTGCAAGGGCCCGCATGTGCTTGGTTTACATGTGTCTCTGGTTCACCGTAATCATTCATACTGGTTCGTCAACGATAGCTTCACCATCAGCTTGCATATGAAAGGATCAACTTTTGCTCAGGGTCATTCGGTGGTCGATGAGGTAAATTCACCGTATAGACCTGGAGTCAATAAGAAGCCTAGTACTTCGTAAAGCTATCACTTCGTCTCTACCGTACTCGTACTCGTATTCCCGCCCACAAATGGTTTAGTCATCAGGACGACCCTCACGTGACTCGGTTCTTAGTATGAGCCGACGCTAGTCCATTCCTGGGAATCCCGTCATCCTCTCTCCCTTCGTCGCTCGGCTGGAACAATCTTCACTTTGGACCGACATTGAACTCATGACTCGGATTCTCTCCGGTTTTCCATGAATCCTTTGTCGGTCTGGTTGTCTGTAGACTGGAAATCGCTGTGGTGTTGTGTCATCAAAACTTCATCCCGTGTTACTGGCCGCGCATAAGCCGTACAGTGAGAAAAGTTGACAGACTTTGACCGAAGTTGTGCCACTCTGAATCAGTCATTTTCGCATCACCACTTTAGGCTTTGTTAAATCAGGCAACCATTTTGAGAATTGTTCTTGTTCTGTTGCAAAATGGCAGTGGATAAGCCCCTCCCGGTCGAGACACTTCTACCCTTCAACTCCAATCGTTCACCAAGCAACTTCTCTTACACTTCGAGGCCACAGCCCCAGGAATTGCGCATGGACAGTCAATCGCCTGTAAGTGCCGAGGAAGACGATGGCACGGAGAACGAGGCCGAGCGACCAAAACGTCAGAAGCGATCCAGAGCCTGTGTGGCATGTCGAAATATGAAGATACGATGTCTCCCCGTCGAAGGTCAAGAAGCATGTCTTGCTTGTTCCAAGGTCAATCGAGACTGCGTCATGCCGGGACCTCCGCGCAAACGCCAAAAGACCGTTCACAAGGTGGCCGAGCTGGAAAAGAAGATCAACGCCCTGACTGATGCCCTTCTTGCCAAGCAGCAAGCCGAACCATCTCCACCGACAACATCACCGGAGAAGGAACAGACAACCAGCGCGAGTTCGGCGCCATCTGCGATTGAAGAAACCTCCAACAGTGGAGGTGATTCCTGGGCCTCCAAGCCCCCTGTGAACCTCGATGAACCTCGCCCCCATCCCGTGGATTCAAACACCGCCTGCCCATTTTCATCCATCACTGCTGTCAAGGATGACTATGTCGATGTTGTTGACCGCGGGATGGTGTCCCTGGAATCGGCCACGACTTTGTTCAACCATTGGAAGCAGCACATGTCGCAGGGTTGTCCCATAACTCTTTGCCCCGCAGGGATCCAAGCACACACCATACGAACACAACGGCCCATGACATTCCTAGCGATATTGATGGTCGCCAGTTCTGCTATGCTGCCTTCTGTCCAGTCGACACTCGCGACGGAAGTCGCTCACCAATATGCTCAAAGAGTGTTGTTTCACGGAGAGAGATCTATGGATCTGGTCCAAGCGATGCTTCTCTACTCTCAGTTCTACGTTCGTCCTCGAACCGCAAAGGATCTGGCGTTTCACCAACTTTCACAAGCCGCCTTGACGATGTGTTACGATTTGGGGATTGGGAAGAGATCGAGGGTGCGCAGCAAATGGACACCCCAGGAACATCTAGAACTCGCTCGAACATGGCTTGCGGCATGTTGGGCAAATATTTCGTGTGTTTTATGTGGTCATGACCTCTATATGCCTGACTAACGTTTTTGCAGGGTCTCGACCGTTCTTCGTCTTCCCACCGCCGCCAGGTTTGATGTCCACGCTGAGGAATGTATACAGGTGGTGGAAAGCAGCCCACATGCGTTGCCCGGCGATAAATGGATGGTTGCACAAGCCAGACTGTCGCGAATCGCTCAAGAAATCTCCGACGCCTTCAACATGTGCGATCCCGGTGCCGAGTTGAATTTTACAGACGGCAGGACCCAGCATCAACTCAAATATTTCCGTCGACAATTGGATGAATGGGAGAAATCAGTTGATCCCAGTATAGACAACCGTGAGTGGTTTTGAGCTGGCACAGGTGCTCATTTATTGACGACTTCCAGGTCTGGTCTTACATCAACGATGTAGTATTGATCTTTACATACACGAAGTTGCGCTACATTGGGAACACAGCCTCGACGACTGGAAACCGGGGAACATCGACTACGAAAAGAAAGGTCCTGAAACAATTACCTCTCTCCACATCGACGCTCTGGCTACTCTCCTGTCCAGCAGCCACAAGCTCCTCGACAACTATCTCTCACTCGAAGTCTCTCGGGCGCGGGCCTTGCCAAATCTGTACATCGTGTGGAATGCGTATGCGATCGTGATACTCATCAAGATCCACTGGATCGTCTTTGGTCCCGGGTCAAAGGTCAACTCGATATTCGCCTCGGAGATCAAGACCGACTATTACCTGGACTCGATCACCAGCAAGGTCGTTCAGATCACGGCAGAAGGACGGTGCCCGTGCGCCGAGGCGTTTGGGTTTGTGTTCAAGAAATTGAAAACGTGGCACCAGCATCTCGGAGGCATGAATTCGGACGACGAGCAAGCGCAGGACGTCGAGGCCCGACGACAGCGAAGCGCGCAACTCTTTGGAAGCGAGCCACTCACGTTCATCCAGACCGTGAGGAAGGAGGAAATGGCGAATCCGGACGCCCAACAGCAACAGGTGTACCCGCCTGCGTCACTTCCTCACCAGCGGTTCATGATGGCGGATGGACTTCTCGGGACAAACTTGAACGCGGCCTACGATGCAGCCAGCTATGGAAACACGAATTGGGATCAATTCAATTTCAGCACCGAGGAAATGGACATGTTTGATGTCTACATGTCCAATTCCGGATGGATGGGATATTTGCTGTGATGAGGAATTGCCGAGACTGAATAACACCGTTGAACAAGGTTATACTTTGACAATGTGCTGTTGATCCGATGATTATTACGATCACCACGCAGCGAACGCTCTTCAAAAAGACGTGCAAAAAAAAAAGAACACCCAAACGACAATCCGAACTCCATCCCACAGACCAAAAAAACAAACTCAGCACCAACCAATGATTCCTTCGCCCAGGATACGTTTACTTCCTTGATCGAATACCGATACCGCCCTGCCGACGATCCCATCACCTCCAACGCCCAGGTTTAGCCGCACGTTTCCTGTTCTCGAGGTGGCGGCGAGCGTGTCGATGATGAAAGAGTGCAAGATGGGATTGTTTGGAGTGTCCTCTTCCTCTTCGGAATCCGAGCCAGAATCACTCCCGGCCCCGGATGACCATGATTGGGTTGTTGGAAAAGAGGAGGACAAAGGTTGGCCATATTTGCTATTTCCACGCATTCATTGTCAGTCGAGTTCCGATTTGTTTGCCGGATGGGGGCTGGGAAGGATGGTGACCAAAATCAAGACTTACTGGATCCTGAGGTTCAAAAATCCCCTTCCGCAACTGCCGCCGTTGGTGGTGTCTTTCTCGCCTTCAAACGTCGACGTGGTGGCTCCTGGGGTCTTGTTCGACAGGCGTAACCTTCCTCGAAAGGCAGAATTCGCTTGTGCGTTTGGATGAATGACGGCCACGAGGTCGCCGGATTCAGGGGCAGGAGGAAGATGTGAATCTCCACACATTTTTTTTTCCTGCGGTTGGTTTTTGTTTTTATTTGTCGATGGTTATACGACTGAGCTATACAAAAGTTCTCGTGTCGATCAGTGGTGGTCGAAGTTGTGAGGGAGATGTGGTGGCTGAAGATGTGTGTAATGATGTGCGGGAAAGTAAAGAGAGAAGAAGATGGTGACGAGTATGATGTTCAAGTTTAGATGCTTGTGTCTGTGTGTGAGATTATTTATCGATGTGCTTTCATCGAGATATCCTAGACGTTGGGTGGGACGGTTTGTCGACCTTTATGTGTACCTCAAGTGACTCGGTGTCTATGTGATGGAAAAGGAATAACATGCTCTCACTCCTCTCAATTTCATGGGATCCGGACGGAATGGGGAAAATAACATGCTCAATATAACCCCCGTACTTGTTCACGTGGTTGGAATGGTCCTCTATTTTGGTCTCAAGGTCCTCAGTTGCTCTGTTTGGGTTATTACAAGTACAATGGCTTGGCTGAGCCGAAAGCCTCGAAATGAGATGAAAAAAATGTGCTCATGATCGCGGTCGCAGAAGGCTGTATGTACGAGCAAGTTATTTCTCAGGAAATTGCGGAGTACGGGGGATTTTCAGAACAATAATCAAATCCTGAAGTCCGACGTATGTTGAGCACGTTTTTTAATGTCGAGGCGCTGAGCGACGAAACTATTGAGTGAGCAAGTTTTGATCCAGAACGAATTGAAGTGGGCTGTGTTTTGTTTCTTCTCTCCCGGTCGCCGAAATTGAGATTGACCCGCAGATCACGTGTCGCTTCTTGGAACAGGTCTTATACTCCTTGTACTCCGTAGTAGAGACCAAGCCTTGAATTCCTTTACCTTTGCCTATTCCTCTCATTTCGCTCAATACAAGGTGATGGCTTGATGACATTGGTCATTATGTGTTGCTTGCGTGCTGGAATACAAGATACGCGGTTCCCCGGCGTTACCCTCAGGTATCCATCGCCACAGCCATTGCACCGACAACAGTTCCAACCACCAACACAGCCGTACGGACACTGTTGTGCCACATCCATCGACGTACGAGATTGGCGGTGGTAAAAGTTCGATCTCTCTCTACGCTTCGTCTCTCGTTGAAGGCGTACGTGAGTGCCATGACGGAGGGGACGTGGGGGCCTGCGAGGCGCTCTGCACGTCTCGAGAGGGCACCGTTTGTCCTTCGGAGAAAGGTGAGTGCGTAAGGAACCCCTGACGCGTTGAGGATCGCGGCGAGAATGTATAGAGTTCGTATGAGAGAGGAAGAGGAGGATGATGGTGCTGCTGTGACGTGGCCAATGCGGTGGAGTTTGTCAGTTGAAATCACCCTTTTCGTAATGCCGGTAGGAGTGACATTGGGATCATGACGATACTTTGTACGGGACGAAGAGGCAGAAAATCATGCATATAAGAAAAGACAAGGCAAAGTAAGAAATGGTTGAAACTGACCTTGATAAGCCAAATACCCAAAACTCAACGCATTGATAAGACACAGAGGTCTCGAAACCTATAACGGGAAAGCAATTCTCAACCCTCAAATCCATACGAATACAATACGGCAGATGCCACGGCCCGGTGACATTGTCATCGATCGACACAGTCCTGGAAAAGCTCACATAAAACCCGTCGAGGTATATCTCACGCCACTGTTTGGCCATCAATGCTTCCCCAGGGGCAAAGAGGATCGCCGGGACCGCCGCATGGGACAAAGACCATGTGTATCCTACATTTTTGTTCCGAATACGAATCAGTCGGGCTGATTACAAGTAGGATGGTGGTGGTGGTGGTGGGATTTGTGAGAACCATCAGGTGACAATGGGGCGGAGAACGGTTTATCAGAAAAGAACAAAATTTTTACCAGCAAAGATTCCAGATGAAGTCAATCCAGCCACTTTGGCGATTGTGATGGCTTCCATGGTTTGTCGTCGACAAAAATGATTGACTTGATTTACACAAGACCAATCTTGACAATAGTGTGTATCGACGGAAGCGTCCTGTGTGCTCCGTACTGTTGACTTCTTGACAAGGCTGGAAGGCAGGGCAATAATTGGGTAATAATGAAGGCAAGGCAGACACTTTTTTTTATAATGGACAATTTTGTTTCACTTCAACCTTCCGTACGATCCGAAAGAAAAGAAAAGAAAAGAGAGTCAAGGGCCATGAAATATTTAAACAGGGTTGAGGCTGACATTTACAGTAAGTTTTTATGTACAGTAGGTTGCAGTCTATGGCGTGAAATTAGGTATCTGGCCCCCTCCCGCCCTTCCTGGCACGGAATGAGGTTGCGACTGTGTCTACAGTAATACTCCGTACTCTATCGAGGAAAAACGTGTATGGCAGGGATAGATTAAAATTGGGCGCCGGCGGTACGCCGTAAGCAAAGGAGTCAAAACCTACGGATACCTATCTAGGTACCTAGTTGGCGTAAGTTTATGGCCGGAACCCTTGATGACCAAAGGTATTTTAATTACTGTGTATACGGAGTACACCCGTACGTTTGGTGGTTAGTTTGCACCCCTACTTTGTACTATGTACTAATGGTCAGGCTGATTACGCAAAGGTACAGTTGAAAATGTTACTGTGAAGGTGCCGAAGAAACCAAAAGGATCGAGATCTGGCCCCCACCTTCATGGCCCCTCCCTTTTCAATGACCTACTGTACCCAGAAAGTCATAGATATATGCGTGGGACAAAATAGAAAAGGGACAATGGGTTTGGGATATCTCAAGACCACCAACTCGTAATCGATGATGACAACAAGTAAAATGTGTATTCCGTACGATTGAGGGATATTCGACACCACGAACGGGAGGAAAATGAAGTGTGTTGAATGATAGTCCCTTAATGGTCCTATTCTGTAGTTGTGTGCTGCGCGCTGTGTTCATATGCAATCCACGTTCACGATTAGGTCTACACCAACAAATTCCATGACTGTATCCTGAGCAATTCTTATCGTCCCTGGCCATCCCGTCCGCCGGAGCATAACCAACGAAAAGGTCCAAAGATGTCTTCATAATCCAACAAGACTTTCGTTGATCCAAGCAAGCCCTAAATTCTGCATTCGTGAATACTGCGATACTTGGTTCACTCGTATGCCGACTTTCATGTCATCGGGGGAGAGTGATGAGGGACGCCATTCCAAAGGCTTTTGGTTCCTGACCACAGAATGGCTGACCATGAGCCACGGCCACTGATCGACGACTAGACCAGATGTATTATGATTCATGCCTTCCCATGAATAGCATGGTTCGTTTCTGACTCGAAGATTGTACAATTATCAAAATATGGCTGATAATCGGATGTCGATGGTCTGGCAGCAGGGATTCGATTTTCTCCGGATGCTGGTCTCCTGAATTTAACGCTATTTGCACAGCTCATGCTGCAATCTCAATCTTTTCGTGTTGGAAGTATTGAATCCTCGCCGGACTTCACTTCAGGCGAAGACTTGCCGGTTGCCACACGTTCGAGCCTCGTCGTTATTTTTCCAAACACTGGCTCCAGTTTGAGGTTCCAAATTTGACTTGCTACTGCTAGACAAGCTGCCAAAACCATGGTCGCAAAAGCACATTGAAAAAACCCAGGCACAGGATATCGATTCACATAAAACTCTCTGCCATCTTCACCGGTCTGAACAAAGGGAGTCAATGACTGACCGAGGTGAAGAACCCAGGCAAAAATAGTACGCAACAGCATGCCGTGAAGCAGATAGATGGCGAAGCTGACTTTACCAAGCCACTCCAATGGTCTTTGACTGAGAACCCAACGGGCGTGAGGAGAGATGATGATGCCAAAAACGAGCACGATTCCACCAAGGGAACCATACATTCGGTCGACACTCTCACCAGGCAGAAACCGGACTCCGAATGCGTGCATCCTCCTTGACCAGCTGGCCGCATCAGGATAGCCTCCTGGATAAGACATAAGGAAAAGGCCGGTAAGAATAGATGATGGGGAGAGAATATGGGAGACCTTGGAAAGAGCTTCGGCACCTCCCACAAGACTCATCTCAGCCAGGATGATACCAGCGAAGCAACAAAGTCCAGTCCATGCTGAGAAGTTGTTAGTAATTGATACCCATAGATGATGGCGCACAACTTACGATCGCCAATAAGCCAGCTCCAGTTCAGGCTCCAGCCTATCAGCACAGACAAAGTGGCAGTCCTCCAAGTTGGGGTCATGGTTGCAGTCAGAAACAGAGCACTGATGATCATAAAGCTTCCCTGCAGCAGGTATATCAAAGCCCATTGTGGTTGATCATAGGGGTTCTCTGGTCCAAAGGCCCAAGTTGCCGAGAGACCGCGAAGTAGATCTTGTACGGCTTTCAGCCAGTTTGCGCTTGGCAAGGGCGTGGTGTTGTTCAACCAGAAAGCATCACTCAGTCCTGCCGTGGAGTACAAACCCATGTTGCAAATGAACCAGCTTATGATGGTTGCCACTGTAGCCGGGAGAACAAGCCGGAAGATGCGACTGAAAGATGATGAGGCCAACTTGCTTAGTGTCTTGTCGGCTTGTCCTGACCGAGCCAGACGTAGGGGTGCCAGAGCGTTGACAAAGCCCATGAGAATGAAAAAGATGGCGACCCATGAGTGTCCGCTAGCAACAAGACGAAACAGTGGTCGCTGAAAGAGTGAAGGAGTTGTGCTCCCCGGTGCGCAACATGGTGGTATTATGCCCCTTGCGTAGCACAAAGTCAAGTGTGAACAAACGACCATCATCGCGGCGATGCCTCGCAGACCCTGTTTGCCACACGCGTCAACAACTGAACCTCTGGGAGAGAGTGGACGTAGCATGACTTACGTGAGCCCATGTTGTATCTTTCAGTACTTCTGCCTTGGCTTCGGTTGACAGGTGAAAGAGTTCTCCATAAGATCTGAGCACACTTCTCATCTTCTCCATGGGGAGAATGTTGAAGGGAGAGGAGAGTGATGAATGAGTGGAATGGTGGATCGATGAGCCAGAATATCCAACAACAAAAAAGAGATGGTACGGGGGTTGAGTACCGAGCGTGGACGTGAAAACCCGGGGAGGAATTCAAGCTTTTCGCTTCAGGTTTCTGACACGGTCGAGACTGCGTGGTATGTTCAACTTTGTGGCTGTCGGAGAGCAAAAGAGTGTTTCACATCAGACTGGATCTGAACACTCAGAGGACGAGGGTCCAGTAAAGGAGCGACCATCAGTGCGGGAAGTGCCTACCGTCGCCCCATGAGCCCCTGTAAGATGGAGAGGTGGACGCCACCAGATCCGCTTATGATGGACGCGCCGAGTGCCGAGTTCATTCCAGGTTCTAGTAGGTCATTCCTACAACGTGAATGGGCGCTGGTACAAGCATAGTGTCCCTAGATAGTAAGCCTATAGGTACTAGTACCCCGTACAGGGGGGTTCATTACAGTTCTGTACTGCTAAACAGGGGTCTTCGCTTGGCCGCTACTAAAAGAGTCCAAACCCCCTTTTTAGCTGCAACCGCCATCAAACCCCTTGACTTATGGAACAAGTTTCGAGCCAGATCTGCCTACTTATTGTATTCTAATGATCGTCAATGGGGTTTCGGATTTTCTTTGATCTTTCGCAGTATGAGTATCACCTGCCCACACAAGTTGGTCGGGTCACTGTGGCAGACTCAGAGTCAGAGTTGCCGCGAAGTGCTGACGTTGCCCTTGTATCCTCGTTAGTTTACAAAACACTGGCACATGCCATGTTTGATGGCTCGGTGTTTTCACGCAGTAACGGCACAGACACGAACACCCATGCATGCAATCAGTGAGTTGGACTCATAGGCACCACCGGTACCGAGTTCAATGTGTAAGATCATGTCAGCCTCATTTTGAACCGCGTGGTAGTGACACAAGGAGTTCTAATAACACCACAACCTACCAATAAGCATAGCGGTGGCGGTCTTGTACGAGACAAACGTACCCCGTATGTGACATTCTCAACCCGCCTAAAGCCACACCTGAACTTGTTGCGAGGGGAAAAGGCGTTGAGTGATGAATAAATTGATAACAAAAAGACTCTCTGTCCGAGAATCCCTATCAATACAATACATACCATTCATGCTAAATTACAGCGATTACTACTCGTACTCTTACAAGAAGAACAAATCAGATGCTTGACGCGTTATGTGAAGATCGCCTTTTCAAATGCAGCGACATCGCCCCCTGCAACCCGTACCGCTTTCAACGCAGCCTCGCTCAACTTCTTCCTCTTTTCTCGAGCTTCCAGTTCTCGACGAGCTCGAGTCTTCGAACTGCCACTTGGCGCCACATCGCTCATCAACTTGGCCGAATCGGCTGGGGTGAAATTGACAAAGCCGATCTTGGGAACTGCACTGGTTGGCGTCTTGGGCCTCTTGGGTGTTCGAGGTGGTCTCGACGAGGATCTGGTTCGGGGTGATGGAAGCGGCGGCTCTTGTGAAACGGTATGATCCCGCATTGGACCTGATTTGTGGATCGATTTCCTGCGACTATGAGTGTAATCTGTGACTGTCCTGGTTGGTGAACGCCGGGTAGTTCTGCGGGGGCTGATAGTCGTTGGCGAGATAGGAGGTGAAGGAGATCTTGACGGTGAGCGTCGTTGTTTGCGCGGTGTCATGAAAGTGGACTGTTCGGAAAAGATGTAGGACGCTGGGGGCGGAAGAGGTGGGTATGACGACAACGACGGCGCAGGTACTGGCATTGTCCGCGCTGGTGGAGAGTAGATCACCGGTTCTGGCATTGTAGACGATGACAGTGGATCGTAAGACGCCTGTTGACCAGTTTGTTCCCATCGAGGATACTGAATGCCCAGTCCGATCAGCGAGGCAGTAGCTGGCTGCTGCAGGATCGGATGTGGAATACGTTGCGGCGTCGGTGCAGCGAGAACAGGGTAGGTTTCTTCAGGCTCCAGTCGTGGGAGCGGCGGATGAGAAAGAAAGTCAGCGGTAGTGGGAGGAGAAAAGACCGACTGCGAATGCATCTCGACACTGGTGTTCGACGTATAGGATCTTGCTTCGTGGGAATGATGTGAGCTGCTTGATGATGGATCACTCCCACTGCTGGGCGAATGAATTGACAGCAGCCCATGTGAAATGCCGTCAGCACGTGGCGATCCAACTTGGTATTGATACAAATTCGGCCGCTGTTCGGATTGCTCAAGCAGAAAGGGGTCGATTGCTGCTGAGCAACTTCCACCTCCAAGCGATTCTGGCAGAACAGCAGGGAGTGCAAGGGTGTGGTTTTCTGCCACTCCCGCAGAGTTCTTCTCACGAGTCTTCATCGTTCTATAGTGATGCCGTGACGGTGAATGAAGTGGAGCCTCACAAGAGGGGCGGAGATGAAAATTTTGAAAATCTTGCTGCCATGTACTCGTGTCCCCATGACCATCTCTTGAAGCGATGGGTAGTTGTGCATACATAGGGCTCGGCGAGAGTGTGGCTTCGCGTGTGAACGATGGTCTTGTCAAGTCAGATGAATCTATTGCAGCAGCATATGGCGTTGTTGCATATCGCCTGGTTCGACTCGCCGAGGTGGTGTCTAGAGACGCTGTTGGAATGGGAGCTTTTGGGACGTATTGATTGACCAGATTCATTGTTTGATGGTGGAGAGGCGGTCGCTTTGTTTCGAGCCGACGTACTTTCTCCACCACCAGCTCAGAAGGCTGCTGTCTGGGCCGCAGACACCATACTCCTTGTCGCCACGGCTGAGGTGAGGAATCCCGTTCTGGTGAGGGAATCGTTGCGAGTGAGGCTTTGTTATGATGCTCCTTAATGGCTTCATTGGCAAGAAAATCGTCAAAGATGCCAAAATGCTGTTGCTTCTCGTCATCACCTTCGCTCGCCTCCAGCTTGTACATATCCTCGTTGAAGAACTCATCGAAGGAGTTGGACTCCTGTTCAGGGGTCCCAAATAGCATCATGTACGCCTTGTCTTCTGGTCGCATGGTATCGTCGGGTGAGTCCGCAAAAGACATGGTTGACATGGCCGCATATCCTGCCGTTATCTGGGACAAGGGGTACTTGAGTCGATCACGGAAACACGGAGAGAATGTATCATAAGTGACAAAGATAAACAATGCTTTGGAGGGACCTAGGAAACCTGTTGTCAAGACGAGGTAGGAATGTGATATAGTGGAATGCGTAGCAATTGTGGTCCCAGCGCCGATTCAAGGACGCTGCGTCCAGGTATGGCAGAGCTCATGACCACCATAACTAGGTAGGCATTCGTGGGTTGGATAAGTAGAAACAGGGGCTCGGCCTACTAGGAGGAGTCCGATTGCTTCGAAACGCCTTTGAAAGGTTCAGAGTCGAAGGAAGATGGCCAGAGAGAGAGCTCTTGGTGCAACTCCCTTGACTGGACGATTCATTGATCAATCACACACAAAAGTGCACATGTTTAGCAAACAATCAAAAAAGGGAGAGCTTCTCAGAACGAATTTGCCCTGGAAAGATGTTGCCTGTACCACTCATTGCATAACTCAGTAAGAGAGTCTCGAAGATGAATTCGTACACCCTTAAGACGACCAGGAGGTATGGCTCATCCTCATCGGCTTCTCAAGTTCTGAAGACCCCAGAGATCGAAATTTTGTACTCCGTAGCGTTTGACCAGTTGGACAGAGTGCTTCTATGGATAATGAAACGGGGGTTGATGGGTGAGATGGGAGAAAGCCAACCCTACACGTGATCCCCCGCGATGCTAGTCTGAGGGTGGTTTAGCGCCTTGCTCGGTACGGATAATGGATTATTAAAGCCCAGACTTGTCTTTATTGCCCTCACCTGTGGCAACTACGGTGACTACTGTGACGACTGCCTTCTCCAATCTTCTAGGTGGCACTTGCCTATCGGAATTAGCGCCGTTGTCATTAACGCTTGGCGTCACAGCCACCGCCTTTGCCGCCTGCTTCCTCATCACTCCTACTTAAGGCTTCCTACCCATCATTCATCTCATCCTCTCTTCCTATCACTCATAAACGCAAAATCATCTCCTGAGATCTTCAAAAGTCTCTCTCTCAGTCCGTTCGTGATATCTTCTACTTACTACACTACTTCATAAGAAACCGCAATCATGCAGATCTTCGTCAAGACCCGTAAGTGACTCACCCCCACCTGATCTAACGCCACCTGAACTCATGCTAACATCAGCCCGCAGTCACCGGAAAGACCATCACTCTTGAGGTCGAATCCAGTGATACGATCGACAACGTCAAGTCCAAGATCCAGGACAAGGAAGGAATTCCTCCTGATCAGCAGCGTCTTATCTTCGCAGGAAAGCAACTTGAAGATGGCCGCACCCTGAGCGACTACAATATCCAAAAAGAATCAACCCTCCATCTTGTCCTCCGTCTCCGTGGTGGTATGCAAATTTTCGTCAAGACCCTGACCGGCAAGACCATCACCCTCGAGGTTGAATCGTCTGATACCATCGACAATGTAAAGAGCAAGATTCAGGACAAGGAGGGCATTCCTCCCGACCAGCAACGCTTGATCTTTGCAGGCAAACAATTAGAAGATGGCCGCACTCTTTCAGACTACAACATTCAGAAAGAGTCCACCCTTCACCTTGTCCTCCGTCTTCGCGGCGGTATGCAAATCTTTGTCAAGACCCTTACGGGCAAAACTATCACACTGGAAGTCGAATCCTCTGACACCATTGACAATGTGAAGAGCAAAATTCAAGACAAAGAGGGTATCCCCCCGGATCAGCAACGATTGATCTTCGCAGGCAAGCAACTAGAAGACGGTCGAACTCTCTCAGATTACAACATCCAGAAGGAATCCACTCTTCATCTCGTCCTGAGATTACGAGGTGGTATGCAGATCTTCGTCAAGACTTTGACTGGAAAGACAATTACCCTTGAAGTTGAGTCGTCGGACACTATCGACAACGTCAAGAGCAAAATCCAAGACAAGGAGGGTATTCCACCTGACCAACAGCGATTGATCTTTGCAGGCAAGCAGTTGGAGGATGGCCGGACGCTGTCTGACTACAACATCCAAAAGGAAAGCACTCTGCACTTGGTGCTAAGACTTCGTGGTGGTCAGTAAACATCCACCAGTTTTATGCATATTCTCTCTTACGACATGAATTATGGGCGCCCTTTCCTTTGGTTGTATGGTATGGAGACTGCAAGCAGTCATGACACGAGATCTTGATACGTGGTTTGCATAGTCGACATTGCTGGTGACGCGACCAGGCAATGAGTAGTAGATTAGAGAATGCAAAATACAATCACTGCTTCTCGATATGTTCTTTTCCATATTCCCCTGACTTTCCTTGTAGATATGTGTGTGTATCGTTTGATAAATAGAAATGAATGCAATGCGGAGCGCGGTTTAGATGTTGTTGCCACCGAGCGGGAAGGATATTCAATACCCGCCACTACTCGACGGATTCTCTCCAAATCATTCTTGATTCCCGTCGACCACGATTCATTCCTTTAATCCTTGCCAATGTAATATTTGCCAGCATAATGCCCTGGCGAAATGCCCGACTATTTCTTTCACATTGCCATTGAACTCTTCACAGTCGTTAATCCTCCGACGAAAGCAGACAGGCAAACCCCGCCCTCGCCCTTCGATCGATTCTCCAAGGCCTTGAAGCCCTTTTCACACCATCAGCGTCGTCGCTCGAAAGATCCTGGCGTACACGTGAAGGAAGACCCTTCCGGACCTCGCGCACCGGCGCATCTGCCGTGGGGATCCGACGCCGACCTTCCAGACATACAACATTCGCACCCGTCAGACCATAGACTTGACAAGATCCTGTTGCGGGGCCAAGACATGTCACATTCAGAAGGAAAGGATCTAGCCATCACAGAAGACAATAGCATCGGAAAAGGCATCGGAAGTGCCATCTCCGGACACCATCTCAAAGGACGGTACGAGCCATTAGAGGACCCCGACAACGCGGAAGGGTGGGGGATCGTACACCTCTATAGAGATAGCGAAGAGACATCTGGACTGTTTTCAGATTCCGCCTACAGGTCGAGTGACTTATGGAGCGATGGTCTGCGCAATCCACCTTCCGGCAAGCCTCATCCTCCACCAAAGGACGAAGAATGCACAAGTCTTTGTATCCTGGCGGTGCCCTCTTACATGACCCCGTCCGATTTCCTTTCGTGGGTTGGGGAGGATACCAGGAGCGAAGTGAGCCATTTCAGAATGGTCCGTACTTCACGGGCCAACAGATACATGGTATTGATCAAGTTCAAACACGGCAAGAAAGCAAGAGAGTGGCAGTACGAATGGAATGGCAAGGTCTTTAACAGCATGGAGCCAGAGACCTGCCACGTTGTCTTCCTCAAGTCTGTCAATCTGTTACATACATCATCAATGGAACACAGCAGTGGCCTGAGCTCCCCAACCACAAGTTACCCTCGCATGTCCAACGATCCCTTCATCCCTGCATCGACTACTTCGAAGCCTCTAGCCCCGCGGACGCCATCACTGGTCGAATTGCCCACTTGCCCTGTCTGTCTGGAACGGATGGACGAAACAACAGGCTTGCTCACGATCCCATGCCAACACGTATTTCATTGCACGTGTCTTGAGAAATGGTCTGGTGGAGGCTGTCCTGTCTGCAGATATACCCACGACGATTTCTCGTCTCGCGTGGGATCTTCCAAGTTCAAGACTCTCAAGGGGAACGAATATGAGCCCAATGACGGACCACTCGAGTGCGAGGTTTGCCATGTTGACACCAGCCTGTGGCAGTGTTTGATCTGTGGCAAGGTTGGTTGTGGAAGGTACGAAGGAAAACACGCTTACGCGCATTTTGAAGACAGCGGGCACACCTTTAGCATGGATCTAGAAAGCAAAAGAGTTTGGGACTATGCAGGTGACGCCTACGTGCATCGTATTATCCAGGATGCAGCCAAGCCAGGTGAGAAACTTGTTGAACTTCCAGGCAGAAGACGAGAGCCTACCGCATTGGAAGGATCGGAAGATATCGAGGTGGCCAAGATGGACAACATCGCTTTGGAGTACACGCATCTGTTGACCAGCCAACTGGAAAGTCAGCGTGTGTATTTCGAGGAAGTCGTTGAAAGAGCTGTTGATAAAGCATCGGAAGCGAACAAAAATGCCGAGCGAGCCCTGGAGGAATGTCGACTGGCAACGGACAAGTTACGTGCTCTTGAAGACGAACATGATGTCGTGGCTAAAGGACTTCTTCCTGAACTCGAGAGAGAGAAGAGTCGCCTGGAAAAGCGTTGTGCCAAGTTTGAAGAGATGGCTCGATCCTTTAACCAGAAATTCCAGGAGGAGAAGACCCTGAGCGCGAACCTCATGCAGAGACTGAAATACCTCGAAGAGACACAGATTGACCGCTTGAACAAAACGATACAGAGTCTCGAGGAGGACAACGCTACCAAGGATCTGTTGATGGAGGGTCTGAGAGAGGAGCATCGGGATGCAATGATGCAAATATCAGCGCAGAAGAAGTTGCAAGAAATGGTTGCAAGGGGAGAGCTGGAACAAGAGGATCTCGATGGCGCTATTATCGAAGCTGGACCCGCAAAGAAGGTGCCACTGCGACGAGGCCGTCGAATCGTCAATGGTCAGAGTCGTACCCTTGGTTCTTCAGGTCCTTCGCACTCGCTTCGGGCGGTCCCTGGTCCACTGCCCTCAGTCGAACCGCCTGCTAGGATTCATGCTGCTTACCACGACATCTTCGGTGAGATATCTGCCAGCAAGGACTGGGATGAAGGGAAAGCCAAGCAGATCATGGAGGACTGTAAATCCAGACTACTTGGTGAGGGATTACTGGTTCCATCATCCACCACTGAAGGCGAGGGCTCCGACATTGAAGGTGAGGTTGAGCACGGTGATGACGGAGAAGGGAGACCGAAGAGCAACAGTGCAAACAAGAAGCGAAAGGGCAAGAAGAAGGCTAAGAAATGAGCTCTTCTGGTACTGGTCCCTGGTCTGGATGGATGGATGGTGAGAACACGAGATGCTGTTGAGTGACATGTGTAATTTCTTTACGACAATCAGGAGTTTGTGGAATATCCGGGATGAACAGGACCTGGAACGGTGTTTTGATTATTACGAGATACCCCGGCATCTGCAAACAGCGATGCACAGCATTTGGCGTTGGCATGGACAGTGATCGATCGATTGGTTCTGAGCTGTCATATTGTACAATTTAAACATATTTCTTTCCATGTCCATACAGACAGGACAGGTCTTTTCCACTGTTAAATCACTTGTATCAAGCAGTGGTTGTTTGTTATATACACTTTTGTACTCGTACACGTCTATCGTTTTTCGCTCGCCGACTATCATACAGGGTATCTTCGGGTCGCTTTTTGGTGGTGAACGTTCGCTTATGTGGATGTATGTTTGTACAGTTCATTGGATCAGTCCGCTTTTCTTGACTCGGAAGAAATAGTTCCCAAACTCTTCGCTTCCCTGGACGCTCTTCCAGCCGAGCGCCGGGACATAGACGACGCCTTGGGTGTGAAAGTCGGTCCAGCCGGAGCGTGACTCGAAGTAACCCCGCAGCTCGTCCGGGTTGATGTACTGGTCCCAGTCGTGCGTGCCGGCGGGCACGATGCCGACCAAGGGTGCCTCGGCGATGACTTTGGTCGTGAGCCACGCCGTGGTGGAGCGGGAGATGGTGCTGCCGATCAGCCACCCGCCAGGTTTGAGGTGGGCAGAGGCAACGTCGAGAAACGCCGACGGCTGCGAGATGTGTTCGAGGACCTCGAAGACGGTGATAAAGTCGTATAATTGCCGTCGCTCTTGCTCCTGTTCCTGCTCGGGCGACACGTGCCGGGACAGGTCCTCGATCGCACAGTTGAGGTATGTAAGTTTCGGAGGGGACAGGGCTGGGTCGGACCGCTGATGGGATTTCGCGACCTCGATCACGAGCGGCGTGGGATCGATTGCGGTGACGGAGCGCGTGGAGGGGAGCCGTGCGGCCGAGGAGGCGAAGATGCCTCCTCCGCAGCCTATGTCGAGGTATGTGTATTTCTGGTCCGGGGTGGTCGGTGTCGATGTCGTGGGTGAGAGACAGGGTTTTATAAAGTCATGACGGAGGGGGTTCATGAGGTGCAGGAGCCGCGAAGGGCCGTGAGGATCCCACCATGTCGAGGCCAGTCGGGAGAAATGACTGACCTCGTCGGCGGACACGGAGGAGGACGACACGGGAGGAGAGTGTGTCGTGGAGTGGTTTCTATTATGTGGTTGGATTGATCCGCCTCTTTTGAGCCATTGTCGAGAATGCGCGTTTCGAAAAAGCGTTCGGGAAAAGGCATCGACAGGTTCACAGGCAAGCTGAGTTGCTAGCCTGGATACTGACCTACTCATGACTCTCCTGCACCTCCCTCTCCGGTCATGTGCAAAATGCTTGATGAGCTTGTCTTGGTTCTTGCGTCCGATTTGAAGATTTTCCGAACCACACGGATACGACGAATACGAGGGCTGTGTACTCCGTGTAGGGCTGGAACGTCATAAGGAGGACGTGCACCGAGCGACCGAAGCGGAGGTTTACTCGGGAAGTCGGGATCGACTATTGACAAGCTCTGACTCAAACAGCGATAAGGTGAGGCAAAAATGGTGGTCGTACGTACGGAGTAGTTCGCTCGTACTCTCGTATCTGACTGCCCAATGCCCACACTTCATGTGAGAATCTCGTGTAAAGTGATGCCCGGGCCGGAACAACGTTGGTACGAAAACAGAGCCTGCGCTGAAATGTGTACGGAACAGCATAAGCACAAGACTTTCAACCACCAGCGGAGTTTCTGGGCGCAGTCTCGGCATGGCCTTGGCCACTGTCTTGGCTTTCGTGTTATTGGATCGCCGACTCCGAGCCAACCTTTTCGCCTCGCCGTGACACGTTATCTCTGCTTCTTCGCCTCTTGGGATCCAGTGGTTTTCCCGCGTGTTAACAAGGAACCGCCATGCATCTTCACCCTTGGTACTGTTCCGCTCCCACGGGCAAGGACCTTGGCGAGCCACCTCAGGGTACCTTCAGGCTTTGATGCCAAGGGTACTACATCACTTGATATCTCTTGGCCCCTGCGGAAGGTACGCAATGACGGAAGTGTTGGGCCCGAGACGCACAGGTAAGAGTCTAGTAGTTAGGTTTGAGGAGAGAGTTGCACTGTTGATCATGCACATGCGCAGTCTATATAAGAATGCCATGAACCCCGCTCCATCATCGAATGCTAAAAACGTTTCTTGAACAAAGACCCAGTCCAAAGCAGGGGAATCAACATCTTCACTGCATTACCTCTTTGTAGATTTCCAACACGCAAATCTACACATATGTTGTATGCCATAGTTTGTACAACTTGCCGCTAACCCAGGAAATCCGACACACTCTGGATCTCGTTCAGCAATCGTACCGCAAGAAACACTAGCTGCCCGCAAGATGGGCAAGAAAGGCGAAAATGCCGAGCAGAACTATCCCAAACAACCCTTCCTGCTCTCGGTCGAGGAGATTGTCGACCATCTCCAGACTCGCATCGAGTCGGGCTTGAGCACTGCGCAAGTCGATCAATATCAGGACAAATATGGCCCCAACAAGCTATCGGGCGAAGGCGGCGTCGCCTGGTACTCGATCTTGGGCAAACAGATTTCCAACGCCATGATTTTGGTATGTCAAGCAACAGCAACCTTACAAGAACCCTTTTATTTCCTTTTCCAATCTTCTAACGAGGACTAGGTATTGGTGTTGGCTATGGCCCTCTCCTACGGTGTCGAGGACTTCGTAGAAGGAGCAGTCATCACTGCCGTAATTGTTCTCAATGTCCTCATTGGTTTCTACCAGGAATTCCAGGCCGAGAAGAAAATGGACGCCCTTCGATCCTTGTCTTCGCCCTCCGCAGCCGTCATCCGCGATGGCAACGAAATGACCATCCCTTCGGGCGAGGTTGTGCCTGGCGATATCGTCTCAATCAAGACCGGAGATACCGTGCCCGCCGATCTACGAATGTTTGAGGTCATGAACTTGGAATGCGACGAGGCCATCTTGACGGGAGAGGCTTTGCCCGTCGCCAAAGAGGTTGATTTCGAAGCCAAACACGGTACCGCAAAAGAAGATCTTGGACTCGGCGACCGCTTGAATATCGCATATTCATCGTCGACCGTTACCAAAGGCCGCGGTAGTGGTATCGTCGTGTACACCGGTATGTCAACTGCCATCGGAGGCATCGCAGCATCTATGCAAGGTAAAAAGCGCAAGCCAAATCGATCCATGTCCAGAAAGAAGTATGGCCCAATGCAGCCCGTCAAGGGAGGCGCACTTCGTGTCTGGGATGGTATTGGTAAATTTCTGGGTCTCACCGAAGGCACGCCACTTCAAATCAAGCTTAGCAAATTGGCCTACGTCCTCTTCGGTTGTGCACTCCTCCTTGCAATCATCGTCTTTGGAGTCAACAAATTCAATGTCACCAACGAAGTGGCGATCTACGCCATTTCCACTGGTATCGCCATCATTCCTGAATCCCTGATTGCCGTGTTGACCATCACGATGGTTGTCGGTATGACACAGATGAGAAAGAGAAAGGTCGTCGTTCGACAACTGAGTGCTCTCGAAGCTCTCGGTGGTGTCACAAACATCTGTTCAGACAAGACTGGCACATTGACCCAAGGTAAAATGGTAACGCGAAAGGCCTGGATTCCGGGAGCTGGCATCTACAGCGTCGACAACTCAAGCAACGCGTCCGACCCGACCGAGGGCACCATCAGTCTCGGCAAAGCACCCAGCTCACGCAAGGACGCCGAAGCCGACCGACAAGCACGGCAAGAAGCCCTCGACCGAAAGCGTAGTGTGGCCGGTGTCCTGTTCGACGTGCCGCAGGAGAAGTTGCAAAAGGACAATGAAAAGACTGCGCATACCGAGGAACCGGTCGAAGATAATCCCGAAGTCAGGCCCGAACTACAAGCTTTCCTCGAAGCCGCTGCTCTCTGCAACCTCGCCACCGTCCGCAAGGTCAACGAAGATGGCACTGAGCAGTGGAAGACCACCGGTGACCCCACCGAAATTGCTCTCCAAGTATTCTCGCACCGATTCGACTATGGCAAGAAAACGCTTCACGAAGAACACGGCTGGACTCAGAAGATGGAGTTTCCATTCGATTCCTCCATCAAGCGTATGACCGTTGTCTACCAAAAACCCAACGAGGACCACTCCACGATTTTCACCAAAGGCGCCGTCGAGCGCATCATCGACCTCTGCGCGACGGTCGGTGTCGGTGAGCACAAGGAGGAAATCACGCCTGCCCTCAAAGAAAGTATCCTCGAACAGATGACCTTCCTCGCCGAACAAGGTTTGCGTGTCCTCGCAGTCGCTCGAAAATTCACGCCCCTGGAGATTGCAGAGCATTCAGACATTGATCGTGCCGAAATCGAAAAGGACCTTAATCTGCTCGGTCTGGCTGGGCTGTACGACCCGCCTCGTCTTGAAACCAAGGGGGCCGTTCAGGCATGCACAAACGCTGGTATCACCGTCTCTATGCTCACCGGTGATCATCCATCCACGGCCACCGCCATTGCCAAAGAAGTCGGCATTATCCCCAGGAACATGGGCCAACTTGCGCCCGATGTCGCTGCGGCCATTGTCAAGACCGCCACCGACTTCGACAAAATGACCGACGAGGAAATTGATGCCCTACCTACTCTGCCCCTCGTGGTCGCCCGTTGTGCTCCAGAAACGAAAGTACGCATGATCGAGGCACTCCACCGACGACGCAAATTCGCCGCCATGACAGGTGACGGCGTGAACGACTCTCCCTCACTCAAGCTCGCGGACGTGGGTATTGCAATGGGTCTCAACGGTAGTGACGTCGCGAAATCTGCATCCGATATTGTGCTGACGGACGACAATTTTGCGAGTATCGTCAATGCGATCGAAGAAGGACGTAGAATGTTCGACAACATCCAGCGATTCGTCTTGCACTTGCTCACCTCCAACGTCGGCGAGGTCATCTTGCTCATCTGTGGATTGGGATTCCAAGATCAGTCTGGATTCAGTGTGTTCCCTCTCTCGCCTCTCCAGATTTTGTGGATCAACATGCTCACGTCGTCGTTTCCCGCATTTGGCCTCGGCCGTGAAAAAGCCTCGGCGGATGTCATGGAGCGTCCACCGCATGACAACAGGAAGGGCGTCTTCACCTGGGAACTGATCACGGACATGCTGGTGTATGGCACCATCCAAGGCACGTGCTGCCTGATGACGTTTGTCTTCATCGTCTACGGTCCCGGTCCCGACGGACTGGGTGAGGACTGCAACCGCAAGTACAACGAGTCTTGCAATGTCGTGTTCCGTGCACGTGCGGCCGTATTTGCCGAACTCACCTGGCTGATCTTGATCTCGGCCTGGGAATTCAAGTCCATGCGACGAAGTATGTTCAGGATCAATCCGCACGACACACGGACGTTCCCCTTCTTCGCGGACATCTGGGAGAATCAGTTCCTGTTCTGGTCGGTCACCATCGCCTTCTTCTCCGTCTTCCCCGCTGTGTACATCCCCGGCTTGAACACGGACGTGTTCAAGCACAAGGGAATCTCCTGGGAGTGGGCGCCGGCCATTGTCTGCGTGTTTGTGTTTGTTTCGGGCATGGAAGCCTGGAAGTATGTCAAACGTACAATGGGCTGGTTCGAGGAGGAGGAGACCGAGGGCATGAAGGCGAGGAGGCACCAACGCTCGGCATTGAACTTGAGGCAAGGCTTCTTCACCATGGCCAGGAGCTTCACCAAGAGCAAGTCGGAAGAGAAGAAGGCGCCCGGCTCGCCGCACGAAAAGGAGGATACAAGGGTTGTTTCTATGCCGAGGAACAGGGAGGCTGTTTGAATGACACATTTGGGTTCGCACTTTGTAAAATTCTGTGTGAATGTATGATCATGGCGTTCTGGATGAGTCAGTTACGAATCTACTTTGGACGAATTATTGGTAAGAATGAGTTGCCAACGTTGTATATAGCCCAAGACGCAAAATATTATGCCAAAACCCTCTGATCGACTAATCTCGCGTGGTTCGAGTTTCTGTTTACCGTTCTTACGAACTCCAGTAATGCTTCTCGGTTCAAAAGATGAATGAAGCACTCTTATGCCCTTCAGGGCGTACTTGGGTAAATATTCCTCACCAGATCTGATGTGCAAAAACTCTTACAAGTAGCATCGCGGTAGGCGAGAGCAGCGATTTTTCCGGTAGTCACACCACTCCTCAGCCAGGGTCCAAGGTGATCATTGCGTTACTGCCAAAACGAGTGTGCTGTCCCTACTGAGGCTACTGGTAGAATCGATCCGGCATTAGACACCATTCAGCCATCCAGACTGGGTGATCGTGACGCTCCCCGCATTCTCAACATTTACATCACAAATACTCCGTAATTAATCTACCTGAGATGTTCCGTACACATATTTCGATGTGTGAAACCACTCTCCTCGGCTCAGAGCCAACAGATGCTCATCTAGAGCAATGTATCATAGTTTCAAAGTTCACACGCCTGCATACGCAGATGCAGTCGTACAAGAATCACACAAACGTCGAACCTCCAACTTTCGAGCGTGTGAACCATGCAGGAAACGTAAAATTCGCTGCGACGGATGCCGACCATGCGAAAATTGTCAACGTTCTCACACCGAGTCGTCTTGTAAATATGTCGAAGGTACTAGGCGATCGTCATATGTGAGAAGGTGAGTTTGCACTCCAAGACGGTTCATGGGGGTCCGCTTTTACGAACCATGTAGGTCGGCTGAAAGGCATTCGCAAGAAGTACAGGACTATCGCGACGTCTTCGACCAATTATTCCCGGGGTCCGACCCAAGAAGTCTCAAAGGACTGTCTAGAGGGAGACTCATCGAATTGTTGGTATCCAATAAACTGCCACCAGACGTATCGCCTGGGACGGTGACCGTAGATGACCCAAGCCCACTCAGCGACGAGGCTGAGGTCCTGGAACGCTTTCAGCCCATGCCCGACGGTGAGAACTCGACTTTGGGTGATGAGGATGACGATTTAGCCGATGACGTTAACGCCCTCTCCTTGTCCGTCAAGGGAGCGCCTTCGTACGTTGGCATTTCTTCCGTCGGGGCTGCTTTGAGAGTGATTGAGTGGCTTCGACCGGGGAGCTTACCGAGAAAGCCACCAACCTCGCATGATGACCAGTCTCACCAACACGAGGAAAAGACACAAGATGTTCAGCCCGAGGAGGTCTCTGCAAACTCGGCTTCGTCTCACTGGGAAGAAGTCCCCCTGATAAATGCTTACTTCGAATTTGTCCATCCCGCGATACCTCTCATTGACGAAAGCTCCTTTCGCAACACATATATGGCAGCAAAGCGGAAAGACCCACGATGGTCCTTGTTGCTAAACGTTGTCTTGGCCATGGCAAGTGTCGTCGCCGGTCCTGTTGCCGAATCTTCCAGCCATTGGATGTATTTTGCCAAGGCAAGCGCGCATTTGACATTTGAGACCCTCAACCACGCCCATTACGAGATCATCCAGGCACTGGCAATACTGTCTGGTCTGTACATGCACGTCCTACAGCGGCCCACCGAAGCGAATGCCATCATGGGTGCTACGCTGAGATTGGCCATCATTCTGGGGTTTCACAAAGACTTTCCGGAAACAACGACTCAAAAAAGTACATCGTCAATCAATGCCGAAATGCGACGGAGGATATGGTGGTCGCTATGTATGCTGGATTCATGGGCAACCAACGGACTTGGACGTCCGACCATGGGGCGAATAAGCACCGGGGTGACAGTCAAGCTACCTCAAGAAGGGATAGTAAGTTTGCTTTGCGACAATGGGAGCATCATCGAGAAAATGGCTGACATGGTAACAAATGCAGGAGAAATCCCCTGCTCTTCTCCAGCTTGTACAGCAGAACATTTATCTGACCATACTCAGTACCAGGGTGGAAGACGCACTCGCTGCATCCCCCATCCTCAATGAAGAAAATACGCTGGCCATGGACCAACAGTATGCAGATTGGTTCAATTCGTCCTTTGTGAAAAGAGGAGGTCAACTTCATCGAGAGCGCCTCGGTGTACATGTGATGGCCAACGTTATGAGATGGCGATACCTTTGGCATCGAGCGATTATTCACAGGCCCTATCTGCTATGGTCCTTGACTTGCAAACAACGTCCGGAACAATTGCCGGAAAAGCGGCAAAGGGCTATATCTTTGTGCTCGCAACATTGCCAAGAGCTGATCGAGGATATTGCTGCAACTTGGGACGAAAGGAAAGCTTGTCAATTTGCCGGCTGGAATGCCACCTGGTTCATTTACCAAGCCTCATTCACCCCGTTGTTGACATTGTTCTACAAGTTTTCTGACCCTGAAACTATTCGGGACAGTCAGCGCCAGATTGAACTGGTGTTGAACACACTCGGCCATCTTCAACCGTGGTTCGCGACGGCACAGAGATCTGCAGAAGTGGTCCGCTGGCTGTATGCGGCCAGTCAATGCCCGTCGAATAACGGTGGCACCTCAATCACAAGTGGCCCAGGTCCTGGCAACAGCCTTGAGGGTGCAGATATCCACGCAGATGTACAGACGGCTGGAAGCGGCGGGATATTACCTGACAATGCTGTCGCAGTAGGCCTGGAGTCTTTTGAGTCTGCTTTTCCTCCTCCTTTTTCAGATGACTTCCTTGGTGCATTGGGCTGGACCACTGAATGGGATGCCATGTTGGATATTGATATTCCTGGTCTCGAATTTGGCATGGACCCCGATGTTTAAGACGAGAACCGACTGTAAATTCACATGTTGGTCTTCGAATCTATCACAAATGTATTAGATGACTAAGCGGCCTCGGGGCTTTGACGCGTCGCGGTCGCGTTGTTAATAAGTTGTAAGCGAAACCTCCACGAAAGGGACGAGACAACAACAAAGGCCATCATTACTTTGTATAAACACCAGAATTGTCTGATTACAGAGCACAGGCTGTCGTCAATTACGATGACTAGGTTCTGTGTATAAAATGCAGTCACACAAGGATGATGGATCATCCCGCCGAGGCCAGCGGGACGAGATTGACACCATGCCTCGACCGACTCTTTCGCACGTACGTCAAACCAGCGAGCATGATTCTAAAGATCGAGCACATTTCTTGGAAGATAAAACGATATGACTCTAGGAAAGTGAAAGAGGTTTCCAATCTGCATCATACCTCTGCTTCACTAGTCACAACCACAACCACAAATTCGAAAGCAAAGTACCTTCACCTAGTAGTCTCTGACGATCAACTTCAAGTCCAGGCAATCTTTGTCCCACCGTCAAACACTGGCAAGCATCTCAGATTACACAAAGGCGACATTGTTGAGATCAGGAAGTTCCAGGTCAGAAAGGCACCCCGCTTGAATGGTCAAGGACATGTGATCTACTTGAGTGTGGACGAATGTAAACGGGTCGGTCCAGATAGAGAGATCAAGGCAATCGGCGAGGCAGAACTTGAGTTCGAGGGTGGATTCCTCCGCGAGGACGTCGACGAGGCGAATGACGATGCAATGCCGATTGATTCGGCAGATGCTAGGATTTACAGGAAGCCTTCACCGGTACGATTGGCGGAAGCTTCACTTGACTTGGATTTGCCTGGGAAACGAAGCCTGAGTAGTACCCTTGGACTAGCCACAGACGCCCGGTATCAACCCAAGAGGAGACATCTGCACCAGCGATCGAAACCACCCAAGTACGACACAGGCTCTGACGATGAAGTAGATTCGTTTGATACTTTGACAGTATCACAATCACAAATTGAAAATAGAAGGGAAGCACTCAGACGAATCAGTCAGCATTCACTTCCTCATACACCAGGCCCTTCGAGTCTTTACTATTACAGCGAAGTAGTCAGTGGCGACGATGACGACGACGACGACCTGACTGAAGAGCCATTTCTACGACCAGCCAAAGAGTATGGATCCCCATCTGTCTATGTCGACGAGGACAGAAAGTTGAAGGAGACATACCTCGTGAAAGACCATCAATCAACTGCGGTGACAGAATTCCGCCATGGCTCTGCCTCGCTTCCAATCCATACACTCTCCTCTCTTCTGGATTCGAAGTCCTCCTTACCAAGGACATGCTCCGTCCTTGCCGTTGTGAGTTGGGTGTCGCCTTCGATCATTTTCAAGCCCAATACACCATACCCACCCAAACGGCACATCAAGATCCACGATCCATCCATCAGTCACCGTCAGGCTGGTATCACCGTGGCTGTGTTTGTGGATGCAAAGGGCTTCCTGCCACCGATTGGTACAATCGGCCTACTCAGAGGTGTCGTCGTGCATACTTTTGGTGAAGAAATCATTTTGAACAAGTATGCCAGACACTCAAGCGCTTCCGACAGCACCATGGGCACATGTCCAGATGAGCCTGAGGATTGGTTCGTGACAGACCAAAGGACATTGGACGATCTTGGCTTTGACGTGACACCCTTACAGATTTGGTGGAACGAAAGAGTGAAGAGAAAAGAGGGGTCAAAGTGAATGAGAGCTGATATGTATCAATGACTTTGGCCTTGGGAAGTGACTTTACTATCTGAGGATCGAATTCATGGAAATATACTGCAAAATGGTATTGACTTACTCCCTGTTCACCTTTAGAGGTCCAAATTACTCGTGAGTACCAACCCATTTTCTAAGAAACCACTAGTCACTCATTTCTTGTTTCTCTATCCCTCACACTTTACCTACTTTCGTTGTGCTTTTAATTGAGATTTATTCACTCATTCTTAATAGTATGTGAATGACTATCTTTTGTATGGGATTCTTTGAAGTCTATCATTTATTGAGCCTTCTTCTTACCATAATTTTCTCTCTCGTTGCTTCTCTCTCAAGAGATTCTATCTTTTATTTGCTGGCTCTCGTATCAAAACTGCCTCCGCGCTCTCTCTCTCTCTCTGTGTGTGTGTGTGTGTCTCTCTCTCTCTGTGTGTGTGTGTGTGTCTCTCTCTCTCTCTACCAAAATCTTCACACCTCATATTCTTCTATGTTTTCATTCTCTGAATCAAAAATTCAAGGCCGATACGAACCTTTTCTCATCACCAAAGGTTTGCGTTCAACAACAATGAATCCACAACCAGCGCCACCAGGCTCAAGGGACAGCAACGTCAACCAGCCGAGTGTGCTCGATCACCAGGAATTCCTTTTGGAAATGCGACTACAAGAGATCGAACTTCAGAGCCAACAGATTGCACTGGAGAAAGAAAAGCTCAAGGCCAAAAAGGAGCTCCATCTGATTAAAATGGCACGACTCGGACTTCATCAAAATCGGTGAGTTTTTAATGCTTTGCCTCTGTATTCTACCTTTGAAATTGAGAGTCGTTCGAGGTTCTGAGACCCTTTCTAGGTCGGGATCTCAGACACGTCAACAGCCAGGACCACGTCCGACATTTGGTTCACCAGTCTCCGCCGGATCGTCTGGGACGATTCCACCTCTACCGGCCGCACGTGGAAGTGCCACCCCCCAGAAGCCGCCATCAACAGGTCGGCAGACAGTCCATGGGGCTACCTCTCCGCCTGAAGATTTCGGAAGTTCCTTGTTGAGACAAGGCAGGGAAATGAACGCGCAAAAGGGCCATTCTCCCGCAGGATCTCGACCCGAGTCCGTAAAAGGTTCTTCGTCTGAAAAGGGCAAGGGAAAACCCATACCACACAATCGCACAAACGATCCCGACATCATTTACGTACCAGGAACAGAAGAGGAGGAGGATGATGATGAGCCGGTGACTTCGAATCGCAAGCGAACGAGACCTGTCTCGCTCGAAACTCCAAAGACGAACAGAAGAGCTTGCTCATTCAAGGGCATTTAAACAGAATCGACATCGGGGATTTTCTCGTAAGGCACAATGTTTTGGCCTTGGAGTGAACTTCGAACAAGGCTGACCATTTTATCGTCCTCACCACCACAGAGACTCGGAGTCGGACTCGTTGAAAGGTTGAGACTCTTGGGGGACCTCTAGTCACCAAGATTCTTATCTCGAGTCCTACAAAAGGTGCTTAGGCGCTTTGGCAGAACCATCAAAATTGGGACTTTGAGAATTCGATACTAGGACAAAGGACTGCACTTTCAAAATTACTCATTCTACTTTGATTACTCCGTTTAGTGACATTTCCTCACAATCGATACTCAGTAGATCACTATAGTGCGTGATGGAATATATTCTCTGCACCAGTACTGCCCTTTGAAAATCGCCAAAAACTCTCTCCCTTGATAGACTCGAAATGTGTGTTGTTTTCTTTTGTTGATTTGAAAAGACTATATCTACTCAGAAAGTCCTATACGAATCTCTACAACATCATTCTTCGCTTGATCTCTTTTCAATATCGAACTTGACAATCTTCTTACGACTCGACATTTTCTCTCGGCTCACTTTACCGTCCTATGTTCTTTCTTTCTCTTTTTGATTTTATTTGTCCTTATAATTTGATCATGCTTTTAGAATCAAGAGTAGAGAAGACCATCTATACAAGTAGACATTACCAGTCGAGGTTATACAGTCACCACCAAAATCAGTCCTCATCACTTCCGTAAAGTGAAGCTTCAAGGTATGCAATTCCTTCCTCCTCAGTAATTGGCCACTCGAAAATCAAAAGAGTGACAGCCTACGATTCAACAGGATGATTCACTTCAGTATAGTAAACCCCCTTCTTGATAGGAGTCTAGTTCAACGACAGACTTCTTCATACTTCTTTATTCAAGATCATTTCATTGTCATCATTAAATCATCAGTCACCATCTAGTCCTCCGTCAACGAGAACATCGACACGTTTCGTCACACCGGACACGTCTATTCTAACTATACCGTCACCACTGCACCAGTGACCATCCCAGCAAGGACGCAAGGTACACAATATCAAGATGTCTTGAAGAATATCAAGCAAATGTCCAAAGTTATTGCCCGAATTTCTCCCCTTGACCCAACTTCAACCATGGACATGCTTGCCAGTCACAGCCTTGCTTGTAAATTTCTGTACCCCACCACTTGAACCCATCCATCACACCGGGATACACGAACCCGAAAAAGACCACGACGAGTGAGAATGCCAACCCCGAATCCAACGCGGCGGACATGGTCATGGTGTATTTTCCCCACCAGGCGGATGCACGACGCTTCATGACGTGGTTGAATGCAAAGCACACCACTCCCCAGATGGAAAAGTTGAGTCCCGTGGCAGGCGGGATCCAACTCAAACTGCCAAACAGGACCGGGAAGTTGATCTTGCGCCATATCGTCTTCTTCTTGCCGCGACCCATGACCCACACAAGGATGGGTGCAATGGCCCCGACCAGAAATGCCCACACAAGTGGCCTGTACAACGCCCCGGGACCAAAGAACCGCTGTGGACCGACGACACCCCACAAGATGCTCCCGTTGAAATGCACCCGCGCAATGGGACAATTGAATCCGTTGATCGCCTGGGGAGTGCATATCCCAGGAATGTTTGTAAACATCCAGTTCAAAACACCAATCTGTACCAGACTCGAGACCAATGTGGCGACCATCTGAACCTTGAACAACAGTTTTGGTGGGATTTTCATGTAATGTCCCAGTTTCAGATCGGAAGAAAACTTGATGCCCTGGGCAGAGCTAATATAGCAGTACGTCACAAATACCATGTTGGCGACTGGGCGGCCAGGGAAAACCATGCCGCAAATGAGTTGACAGATCAAGTACAGACTGCTGTGTTGATTCGTGATGGCCATGACAATACCCACTGGAATGAACAAAACAGTGGTGATGCCGAGTGCCATCAGCAAACCGTACCAAGGCAGATGAACTGGATAATATTCGACAACAAATATTCCAACGGCTAGCATCACCACAAAGGTGAGTGCATACCATATCATGGGCACATCTTCGTATCGTCTCATTAATCGATTGTGAACATCCTCACCTCCAGCTCGAATGGTCTGACTACTGACCCTGCGTAGGCTGTATTCGCGGTCTGGATTTGGAACGGCTTGGTATCCGATATTTGCTTGTTCTTGCTTCTCATTGAAGGCTTGTTGTGACTGTCGCCATATATCACGACCATGCCAGCACGTCGTATGCGTCAAAAGTGCCGAAAGTGAGGCAAATTGTACGCCGTAGGAGAGGACGTAGGTGATGGGAAGGTAGACTTTGGAATAGTTGTCGTAAGCCTCCTTGTCGAATAGAAAGTCGGGGGTAAGAATCTTGCTGACGTCGTATGGTTTGCCAGAGTTGTCAAACACAGCCGAGGAAAGTATAGGCAAATATCCTGAGAAGAGGACATTTTTGTAGTCTGTTTCCAAAAGTCAGTACCTTTCTTTGCGAGGCCAGAATCCAACATACATAGAATAGGTGCCACAATCCACATGACTAGAACCAGTCCTCCTACTACGTTAGCGGCAGCCCACCACGGGGTCAAAAGTGGAGAGCCGATATAGGCAATCTGAGCCCAGTCAAAGGTCACTGGGAAAAGACCCAAGCCTGAAGCCACACCGAACTAGGATGGTTAGCTGTTGAAAAGTCCGCTGGGATAAAATCGCTTACCAGGTTCGAGACAACCACATTCTTTGGCGCAAACCATGTGACGACGCTGAAGTAACTCAATGCTGGAAATAAGAGCCCAGGAAGGAAATACCATGCAAATGCTGCAGCCCAGACATAAATGAAAAAGCGATATCGTGAAATCCTCCATCCATTCGCTGGCTTGTTTTCATCCTTATGCATTGTTGTAAACATGGCCGTCGACATCAACGTGCCGGGCCAGATCATCGCTGCGGGTCGAACCAGAAACCTCCTCGTGAGTCCAGCAAATGCATAACCCAGAATTTGGGTGGAAATGGTGAGGAGAAGTTGGTAGAGAATGGGAACTTCCTGTTTGTAGAACTTGTGTTGCTCGACAATGACATCGGTCGCGAAAGCGAAACCAAAAGACACGTTGCTGCTTATGTATACACAAGCATGTTCTTTCTCGTTCCAGCGACCTTGGGCGAGCCAAGAGCGTATCCGTTGGCCACGCGATTGTGGAAAAACGCTGTCTTTGGTCTGGAGAGTCCCACTGACAAAAACCTCGTCAGAGTCGGAGCTTCGCTTCAGGAGCAAATCCCATAGTTTGCCCATAGGATGAACCAGTACTAGTGCTATGACCGGAGTTATAGCAACGCTGGGATAACGCAAGGAAAAGAATAAATTGGTGGCCGATCCCGCTATCGCGAAAAACAAGGATAAAATCCACATGCGAGGTGTATTGATGGACAAGGAAGCATTATCAGTCGCCGGGACTGAGGCTCGTACTTCAGGATAAGGAGAATTATCCGGGGGGTCGTCCTCCGCAGCGGCCTCGTCCTCTTCGTCTTCATCCGTGGTGGCATTTTCAGGTGTACTGTCGGGTGACGATTCCCCTTTACCCTCGCCGATCAGTCCATTTACCGCGAAGGACGTCTTTGAATCCAACCCCATGCCGATATCACTGGCTGACGAAGAGTGCCTCCGACGGGTTCGCGGCCACTCTGTACTGCGAAAGCGTCGTCGAGCATCCGCAAAATGGGCATGGTTGCTCTGGGGTTCGTGTTCCGACTGTACCCTCTTCCCACGACTCTTACTACTCCGTGGCCGAAGGTGTCCGTTCTCTTCGTCCTCTGAGATTGAATTCGACCTCGACCGTGATTCCAAGAGTGGCACGGCGCCATACGAGCCGGTGCCCAGCGCGGGAGAGGACCGGATAAGCAAGAGAGGACTTCGAGACATGATTGCGTGCCAGACGCGCGAGGCTAGACCACGAGGCTCCTGGTCTTGCAGAGGAGGCGGCGTCACCGGGAATTGTGGAAAGGGTTCGTGGAGATCAGAACCATGCAAGGAACCGGCCGTGGTACTTCGCTGATCCGGACTCGGTGATGGTTCAACAGCATCTTGCTCTGCACCTTGGAGAGGGTGAGAGGGTTGGATGTGAGACAGGGCAATGCCTGGGTCGGAGGAGGTAGGTGTATGTTGTTGAGCGAACCCTGGGAGCATAGCATGGTTTTAGGAAGCTTGAGGTGCGTCACTGAAACATGGGCGCGGTGGAACAAACGAGGGTAGAGGAAGCCCAGGGAGCGCGGGATGTAGTTGGCTCCAGAATGCCCAATGTAGCGGCGAGAAGAGCCAATGCAGCCCACTCTATGACACCAATTATCTGATAAGATGAGATCAAATTTTGCACTTGGTTGGCCATGGCGCCTATCACCGTGAGCCACAACAACACGGTGGGCACTGTCACTCACACACCACCAAGGAAAGATGCGGATACGTTAGGTAGAAGTCGTACTCGTAGTCGAGGGCGAAGCCCGGCAGCTCATCTGACCATCAAACCCTTTGAGACACTCGACTGCAGGGTAGGCAGATACTGAGACGGACACTCTGTACCCATGGGACCGCAGTGTCCGCCATACCCCAGACAACGCCACAAGTGCTATCCAGATCATACAATTGTAATTGCCTATACCGAAGTGTATTGTACATCTACTGTATTTCACTGCGCTGCGGCCTTGTCACCGTTAGCCATCTGCTTTGTCTGTTCCACTCTACACCCGCCGTTATCGGGTTGCAACACGACTAGGATTCATGCAGAAATCTCTCAACTAGTTACTGCATGCCAGGCACCATTTTTATTCTCCTAGGGACATATCTATGGAGCTCATGACCCATGTCCGTCTCTTCAATATGCCCCGACATCTCCGCCGGCTCGGGTCAACATATCATAGACTCGGCCCGGCAGCTTGTACTTGACCAGCCCAGCAAACACCATCAGATCCTTGGCCATGTCACTCAGTTGATCTTTCATCCCATCCGTATCACCGCTGTAACCGGCTTCCCATCTACCGTTTCTTAGGATGTTCTCCCTCTCCCCTCCTATGGCTCGCACTGCCCACACCACACTAATTCCAGCACACCGGGCAAGCACTTGTGGCAGTTGAGCAAAAGAATCAGCTGTAGCGCGAATCTCTGCGATCTTGCCATTAGCCCGCAGTGGCAAGATATTAAGATCATTGAGCTCCTCCAGCGCGGTCATGAATCGGGGTGGCTGCGCTTCGAGATTGGCTCTGACTGACAACAGCCGAAGAAGCACTCCGCACACATCTCGGTTGCTCGCTGATATCTTGTTGTAATAGAGCGCATTGTCGTTGTAGAGAGAAATCATGTTGCGAGCGAGCTCCACCGGAGACGATGTAGATTGGGTCAGCGACAAGGATGATTGAGGCCCATTGCCTTGTGTGCTGGCGGCTGATTCACTCTGTCCGTCGGCTCTTCGTGGTTTGAGTGGCTGCAACTGTATGGGCGACTCTCCAAGATCCAAAGACACCGCATCGGCGAGCGCCCGGTTGAGCACTGTGACAACGTTGTCGTAGTCCTCGCACAAGTGATATAGCAATACCGCGTCAGATATCTGTCCGCGCTGGTCTGCAATTGCTGCAGATTGACTAGTGATCGATCGCAAAAACTCCTCGCGGGAATCAAGATGGATCAATTTTGCACGCAACTCGATCGCCCCTGGGATCCTCGTTCCATCGCTTCGAATATCGCCAAGCAGTTTGGCAAATTCCCGAGTCTCGAGGCATAATTCTCGTAAGCACTCGTGGCAAGCGTTGGTATGAATCATTCCTAGACTTGCAGGCTTGAGGTCGGAGTTCAGACACAGTAAAGAAAGGTAGTCGACAGCGGCAATCGGCAAGGCGGTTCGGAATGTACCAGTGTAATAGGCCACAAGAGGTACAAAGTTGATCTGTGGCAATTGTGTGGTCGAATATGTCACTACAAGATGTGTCAGTACGTGTGCAACAACGACAAATGGGAAGAGACTTACAAAGCTCATTGCCCGCAATGGAAAAGTCCGAGACTCTGAGCAGGCCATAATATGCAAGGGCGATGGCAAGATGAACCGCACTGGTAGGATTGAAATGGTGCAGGTACTCCACTGCTTGCTCAAACATACCGGCGAGGACTTGCATGAGCAGGAATGTTCCGTACGCACTTGAGCCTTCGACTTGTGTCTTCTGGAAATGTTTCTGACCAATCTCGGTCACAGTCTCCCGGATTTGATCCAACCCAAATATTTCTCCAGCCAACTCTTCACTTCGACCTGTCTCCCGGGCAAGGCTGAACTGCAGCCACAACCAATCCTCGACGCCTTGACCAATGGCTTCCAAGTTTCTCGCCGTCAAGTCGCAACGGCCGATGACTTTATAACACGCAACTTTGTACGGATCAACCGTATTCCTTGGAGCCAGCTTGGTCAATTTCTGGTATTCGTTATCGATCATGTTCTGTACTCCCTTGGGCAACCGTCGGTCTGGACTATCGGCGTAAGCTGTCACGTATGAGATGACTCGTCGATCCATGGACTGGAAAGCAGGGTCATTCTTCACATAATCTGCTGCTTCCTTTACACAACCACTTCTCAACAGATAGAAAATGAGAACCCAACAATAGTCGCCGTTTTCGCCTCCGACCTGTTGCAGTTCTGCTCCATCAGGGACTAGATCTCGGCGAACAGCGCGTATCCGAATGTAAGCCCGAATAATGTTCAACACAGATGGCTGACCACCCAATGCGGCTTCGCGGGGATTTTTGTCAACGAGCGATCTCAAGTCACGCCAGAATGCTTTTTCGAGATAACTGCGGGAACCTTCCAAAGCTTGTTTCTTCAGCTTCAGATACTTGGCATCTTCATTTTCGTCGAGATAAGCCCCCATAAATTGTCGCTCTTTCAGGGGCGTCTTCCCTTCTCTGGTGATTTCGCGCAGTGCATGGTAAGCATCAATCAGCTGTCGAGGACTGTCTCCAGGATTTTCGCTCTCTGCTTCAGCAAATTTCTGCAAAATTGGGTAATCTTGGTCTTGTAATCGTGCATTGTTAAGCTGTTGGACTTTTTCAATGAATGATCTTTCCTTTTCTCGTAGATCGCGTAAGTTTTGACCCCTTGCCAGGCCAGGAGCGGCAGAAACAGGCCCATCGCTCTTAAAGAAGGATGTTGTGCCAGCGCCAAAACCAGGAGTGCCGATGATAGATTTGTCAATCGCTGTCCGTCCAAAAACACTTCTCACAGTTTTTGAGGCCCCAGCAGATCCAGTCTTCTCTCCTTTAGCAGACCTGCCGAACCCGCCTCCTCTAGACTCTGTACCGTCGCCACCAGCATCGGGAAGTGCGAGGCCGAAGTGCTGCATTATCCTCATCTTCTGCTCTTCGAAGTCGACACCAAGACTTTCCTCAATAAAACTGTCAACTTCTCGATACACTCTATCCATGCTTTCCCTTAGCATTGCATCACGTCCCTTGACACGAACATCTCTAAGATAGGCACTTGATTCCTCAGCGAAACTTGGTGCAACGTTTCGCGAGGCTGACAGAGTCTCATCGGGACCCAAAGCTTGAAAATCCCTGTATGCTTGTCCCGGAGCGATTCCAGAGCCAGCAAGCAGGTAATGAGCCCGACTCTCAGCGAGTGTGTCTGCTTGCCTTGAGCCACGCTGCCTCATTTCTTGTGCACGTCGAGCAAGATCTCCCAGATCCATATTGAGTCCGGACAGCTGACCCATGGCAGCATTACCCTCCGTCTTTAACCTCGGTTTCTTCTTCTGTCTCTCCAGTAAACTGCTAAAGTATGCGGCATCTCGCGTCTGTGTGGGAGGGGCGTCGGTTTGTTGTTGGGTGGTGGGTGCAGCGGCGGCCGCAGGCTGTTGTCCGGTCGTTGCGTTACCGAACAGCGATATCCCAGAGGCAGGCTGTTGGGTTGTAGATACCGCAGTCCCGAACAGACCGGTTGAAGGTGCAGAGGTAGCGGTGGTAGACCCAAACATACCTGCTGATGGCGCAGAGGTCGTAGTGCTCGTTCCAAAAGAAAAAGAGGGGCCTGATGTTTTTGGCGGAGCACCGAGATTAAACAGACCGCCGGACGTATTGCTTGTGTTGTTTGTTGTAGTGTTGGTATTGAGGCTAGGGAAACTGAATGGTTGCGATGTTTGTTGCGAGGTGGAAGCATCAAAGATGGATTTTCGTTTACCCTGCGCATCGGTTGTACCTGTGTTCAGATTGAGGCCAGAGAAGAGGCTGTTGGAGCCTCCTTGGCTTGAGGCAGGTTGGCCAAACATCTCAGCTGATCAAATGAGGCTTTCAACCAGCGCAGGATCCATGGTCCTCTTGCAAGCGCAAATGAGAATCCAGCGCGTAGCATACCCAAAGGTCCGGAGAACGCGTTGGCTTGGCAAGTTGATGCCGCTTTAGTTCAGTATTCAGCCTTGTGAAACTCTGCTCCGAAGGCTGTAAGCACCCATGAGGGCCCGGTCTCAGTATTGTGCGGAGCTTCATGTCTGAGTATCCTAGTAGGGATACGGAGTGGGTGAAGGCACACTTAAAACACGCATGAATCTTGTAGTTTGTAAGTCTCTGTCTCTCTATATTGTGTCATGTTCTGTATTTCTTACGATGTTATATCTCAGCCTTGTAGGCCTCGCTGCTTTAAATTTTATCACCTGCTTCATGATGATTGCGGCATTTCAATTACATTTGTCTCCTTCCGCGATTGTGGTTGACATTTTCGCAGCAGCCTCAATGACAAACACACTGTTCTCTCATCTTTAATTACTGTCGCAATATATTCAGACAATGCCTGTCTTTCCGTCCAAACCCTTCCGCAGAAGCCAAACCCACGGACAAGACTTGGGGGAGCGGATTGCTTCTTCGTATCGAAATAAGATTGCGCGAAACCCATTCCTCTTTTTCGGACTACCTTTTATTGCTCTTATGGTCTCTGCCTCTTTCCTCCTCACTCCTGCGACGGCACTGCGGTATGAGAGTTATGATCGAAAACACAAACAGTTGACCGATGAAGAGGTCATGGAATTGGGGCTCAAAGGTCCGTCTGGCCAAGGAAGTCTGACTTATAACCCTCGACGAAGAAAGCTGGTGAAGGGCGAGCTCAACGAAAGAGACGAGTATTACAGACTCATGGCGAAGGACCTAGATAATTGGGAGCAGAAACGAGTAGAACGTTGGAAGGGTGAGCCAGACGGAAGGCTATGAAGCCAGCACAGTTCCAAATCGTCAGAAGCACCGCATCAACAGTGCAACGATATTTTCGGATCCACCTGCCTGAGTGAAGGTCTATGAGGACCGGCCGCCTCCACCAAGCAGGCGAAGATTGTGCTACAGTCGGTAGAGGCCAAATGCCTGCTCCTCTCGACAAATATCGAGCCCAGAACAACTGGCTCTCCTATTTACGGCGGCCGAAAATCGATTTGCATTGTGACTTCAGAGATCAACAAGGTGGGCGCTGAAAGCCTCGGGTGGTTCTCGTGCCTAATATTAGAAGTTGCTGAGTTCAAGTCACACGAATCTGTGACAGGGCAACGACAATATTCGGCTACGGCGTGGTCTTTGAGTATCACAAGAACCCCACAGATACGTCATTTAATAAGAAAGAAATATGGTCACGGGCCAAACTCGAAGGTATCTCGGCGCAGATGAATAGAATATTCAAGGTTCTCCAAGAGAGACTACCAGAAAACGGCTTTTGGAGGGCAAAGCTGCTGAGTGAGAGTGACACTAGAGCCGAGCTTGCATCACAAGTGAGGTCTAGACCTTTCCCACGAATCCTGTGTGCAACCACCGTAGAGGATGACGCCAATGGTGGGTTTGGCGAGCATGCATCCGGATGATGCGAGTAGGAATTGTAGCAGCTCGGTTGAGGATTGGGGACTGCGGCATCAGCAACGTGCTGCAACAACCAGTGTCTCGTACTGGTGTAAGAGGAGGAGTTGGAGCAGATACTGTAGTTCTGAGACCACGGCAGATGCCGGTGGCACAGACGTCTAGAACTCAGAGTGATTTGGGCAGTCGGTGCCCTGAAAACGTAAGCCCCGGAAACAATATTAGCGTGTCAAAACCACGTTGATGTGGAGGAGGAAGAGAACATACTCGTACGAGTACTCGTCCTGAACCGAAGACTCACTCGTACCCTTTGTGTCGGGTCTACAACGGCCAAACGTGGTAAGTGGTGGGATAGTCACCTAGCTTTGAGATGGTGGTGATGATGCGAATGACATTGGGTCATATGCTACGTTGTCGGTAGGCGACTGCTTGGTGAACCTGTTCTGATTGGGTTGACGACGGGCTATCGGGTGCACAAGGTAGTCAGTGCTCACCCCCGTTGACGAAGGGATAATCCACTCTTACTGGCATTGCATGGCACTTCGCTTCAATTGGGGTGGCGTATCGATTCCAGCCGAGGGAGAAAGTGGCATGACCCGAAGGGGATTCTGGTGTTCGCTTACCATGGGTTGTCCAATGCCACGCGCTTGACGTGCACTAGTGAGGATAATGGCGTTGAAATTATGCAGTACAATGGTATAGAGAAATACCATTATCGTGTACGGAACATGGCAGTCGTGGTTGTTAATGTCTGAGAGAGGTGTTGGATTTACAATCAAACACCAACTGCGATTTCGGAGTCGTGGTGTCTGTAGTAGTGGCGTAGTCTGTACAGATTCATAGGCGGCTCAGTAAATCATCGTTCTCTGACCCTTAGAAAAGCCTAGAACAAGGAGACCCTGAAGCCCCGGCAGAGTGGCAGAGGGTGCTGACCCGTAAAGACCCTTGAAAGCCTGTACCAAAGAGGTGTAGATATGCTGGTGTGCAGATCTGTGATCCAGTGAGACACACTTTGCCGAAGACCCTGCACGCCCTTCGTCTTTGTGTGTTACTCGTACTCGTACTGTAAGAGTATCCTGCTTCACATTATTATTCACAACATCATGTTCGTAAGGAGCAACCAAAAGCATGAACAGGCCAGCAACAAGGGTGAGACTGAAAAATGACCTTTTGTTTTTTCGCCCTCGTGAGCGGAAATGACATACAAGGAGCACGGGCTGTCTTGTTACTACAATACGGAGCATGCCTGCGAGTAAGAAAACAGCCACCCGGGAGCCTCATGCTCGATTAAGGGCCCGGCGACGTCATTGTGCACCGGGGGAGAAATTGGCTCAAGATATGCTTGTTAATTGGTGATTGGGGGCAAATTCTTATGGAGTAGTCAACACTCCCACCCTAATGGTGGACATTCGTCACCTGTACGAGGAATATCATGCTCCCCCTGGCCCCCCGGTAAAGGCCTTGTAGGTCATTTCTAATCCCCTATTACACCACCTACGGAGTACCCAGTACAATACTCGTACTAGGCGATCCCTACTCGCAGTCCTGTACTGTACTGTATCTCTACCCAGTACTCGTACTGATCGTAACTCCCTTACAATCAACGTGTTCCCCCTCTGAGCCCTGGGTTCTTTGATTATTCTTTTTCCTCAATCCTCTACTCCATACACGACAAGACCCTTTCCCTTCACCACCAAACTCATTCACGTCCTTTTTGTTCCTGCAGACAATGACTCCGAACATGGACCAGACTTTTCATTCCTCGTTCACCGTGTCGTGTGCACCGTCTAGAATCACCATGACGTAGTGCTCAGCTGCAGCTTTCCAGCCTGTGCCTGCGCCTCGCCTCAATATCTAATCAAAACTACATCACATTCGACAGTATCTACTCAACCTCAGCACCACCACATAGACTTAATTACGACAAAAACCACCTTTGCGTCCCTCTTAACCATTTTAATGACCTGCCACCACACCACCACCTCCTCTCCTCGCTCGTCCGGCCTGGCGACCAATGTTAACATGTCGGCCGTCGCGACTACATCGATAAAGTCGCCATCACACTCACATTCGCATTCAAAATCCCACTCACACTCACACTCACATTCGAGGTCATCTCGTCCCTCAACCACGCCGAGAGCTCAACCTGTCGCAGCTTCTGTCGGCCAACCTCTCCCTCCACTGCTCTCGCCGCAATCCCGCTCCCCTCACCACACAAAAGACCCCAAGAGCCCAAGCCCCAGCTATTTTGGCTTTGTCGTTGGTGGCGATGATTCAATACCGCCAGACTCGAATCCAGGCGCTCATGCACGCCAGAATTGGAACTTTGGCAACGCGGGCATCCAGAGTGGTGTGCCCACGCCCCGGCATGTCCCAGTTGAGGCAAATCCTGAATTTGAAGCATTTAGAAGGCAGTCAGAACACAATCACCGCTTTGCATTGAACACAGCTTTCAGCAGACCTAGCCAATCCAGAAACAATTCAACCTCGACCTCACACACTGAAGCACCATCGCCGTTGACTAAACTTCCAGAGTTGGGTCGCCGAACGAACACTAGCGAGGACTCCACAGGTCAGGGTCCAAAGACGAGTAATGCTTCATTCTTCGACTTGCCGAGACAACAGTCACCGGTATCCCTGAACCTACCTCACAGCGTGGCAGACTATCAACATGCCCGACTTTCCCTCCCCGACAATGGGCTTCGAACGCCGCCGATGAATCTCGTACGCCAGACCTCGCGCTCGGATACTTTGCCATTATCTGGTCAAAAAGATATGGCTCCTTTGGCGGCGCCTGTCCATATTGCCGAAATATTGAAGGACGAATCTAGCCTGGTGCTCGTACTTGACTTGAGAGTGTACCAACAATACGCTAACTCCCGAATACAAGGCGCTTTGAACTTATGCATACCAACTACCCTGCTCAAGAGGCCTGCATACAACGTACAGAAACTAGCCGACACCTTCGCTTCTGGTCGGGATCAGGAAATGTTCTCAAGATGGCGAGAATGCTCTCATATTGTAGTCTACGACGCTAATTCCAGCTCGAGTAAAGAGGCCGTCACACCTCTCAACGTACTCAAAAAGTTTACCACCGAAGGATGGCATGGTGTCGGGTTGGTCGTTAAAGGTGGTTTCCTCGCCTTTCAGAAACAGGTACCTGACCTGGTCGACTCAGGCTCTGTACAGTCCGGAGCTGGAAACTCGGCTCAGCCATTATCAATATCTGCTCCTGCGAACGATACACTTGCAGTAGCCGGAGGCTGTGCCATGCCTACCACCAAGTCCGCAGCGAATCCCTTCTTCGGCAATATCCGGCAAAACATGGATCTCCTCGATGGCGTGGGTCAAATGCCCATCAAAAAGCCTACAAACTTGTCATCAGAGGCTGAAGGTTCGTTACCTACCTGGCTCAAGCGCGCGTCATCCAACTCCGACGATGGAAAGCTGGTATCAGATCGGTTTTTGAACATTGAGAAGTCGGAACAAAAGCGGATGCAAGACGCACTCAGCGTTCACGTTTCGTACGGCACCCCGAGGTCCGAGAAGCCCACCAAAATTCAAGTTGCGGGAATTGAGAAAGGTTCCAAAAACCGATACAATAATATCTTCCCCTACGATCACACCCGAGTCCGACTGCAAGACGTTCCCAACGACAGCTGCGATTATATCAATGCCAGTCATGTCAAGGCCGAGTATTCAAACCGACATTATATCGCAACACAAGCTCCCATCCCGGCCACGTTTAATGACTTTTGGCGCGTTGTCTGGGAACAAGATGTTCGCGTTATTGTCATGCTGACAGCAGAGGCTGAAGGTGGCCAAGTCAAGAGCCACGTATACTGGAAGACTGGGGAATTTGGGGCTCTCAAACTTAAGCAGCTATCGGAGCGTCGGGTCAGTCTGGAGTCAAAGAGCACAGCACCAAGAACACCTGCATCAAGTAGACCTACTCTCGGACCTAGAAGATCGACAACAGCGAACATTCCCTTGAAGGATGACGCCAAATCTCCGACGACAAAGTCTCCCAGTGCTGTTGTACGCCATTTCAGTCTGAGTCACTCTGCACATCCATTCCAGCCTATGCGAGAAGTCACTCAGATCCAGTATGAAGATTGGCCCGATTTTGGTGCTCCTGCGAGTCCCAATGAACTGCTTGGTTTGGTGGAACAGGTCAACAAATATGTTCGTGGCTCCTCAAGTCCTTCGTCGGTCGTAGGACCTGATGAGGCAACACCAGAAGGTGCACGCCCCATTGTGGTCCATTGCAGCGCAGGCTGTGGGCGAACAGGGACTTTTTGCACCATTGACTCGGTCATTGATATGTTGAAGAGGCAGAGACTCTCTCATGAGGGTGGAGGGGACAAGATGGACATCGACGACGGAGACTGGGTCGATCGAGACGATGTCGATCTGGTAGCAAAGACTGTGGATGATTTCCGACACCAACGGCTGAGCATGGTTCAGAATTTACGACAATTCGTTTTGTGTTATGAAAGCATTTTGCAATGGCTGGTTCAGCAAAACGACCCAACTCACACGAAGCGACCTGGTGTTCGCGACCCTAGACGGAGTTATGGTTGATGTACCTACGGGGAGTATCACGTTGAATACGATGAGTCAAGATGGGATTTGAGCAATGAACAAAGCATAGCATGAGTTATGGTATGGTATGGGATAGGGATGGGCTGGGCTGGGACTAAATACATGTGCGATGCATAGCATGATGGTACTTATCAACATACCTTAGGTACCTACGGAGTTTCATTGCCGAAAGACGCTGCCGGCATTCCGGGATTGAGGTTTGTTTTATGCAGCAAGGCAAAGTACTTACCTAAGTTGGGTACTTATTTAATACGACTTTCCATACTTTTGTCCTCCATACAGGACAATGGACATGGCTTTTTGTTCATTCTCTCTTTTTTTTAAGCAATACGTTGATTAACATGTCTAGTTGTCCGATGTTGACGAGAGTAGGAGGTTCACCTCTACCGGGGGGAGAGAGTGAGTGAGTGAGAGTATACGAGAGTGTGTACCATGTAATTCGTAATGGATCCTCCGGTACTCCGTACTCCAGATTTATGAGTTCCTGTACTCTCCGGAAGACCCTTGGTGGAGAAGAGCACGTATTCCGTGATGACAAAAGTGATGAACCCTACTTAGGAGTCAAGGTACGAAAGGGATGTTAATCATAGATATTTAGGTGTTTTGAAGTTGACGAGAACAGTGTTGTGTTGCGAAAGGGAAAAAAACCCAACGTGAACCCACGCTGTTCCTTTCAAGCTCGCTTTCTTTTTTGGGGGGTCTCTTTCTAAGAGGGAGGACGTCAGAGTTTCATATCATTCTAAACCCGGGTACGGACTTGAACGTTCGGATCCTGCAAAGGGGGGAAGGATTACGGAGTCCGAAAGAAAAGGAAATATATGATGTCAAGAAAGGTGACAGAGTAAATAACTCCGTTGAACGGATCAGTCTGGCGAGGATGGGAAATGAGAATCCAGAGAACACCCCCCCCAAAAAAGAATCAAAACACTACCAAGTACACCAAAGTACTTTGTAGACATACTGCAATATATACCATCAACTATTCTATACCCCCAAGGCAGTCATCAAACATGATCCGTCAACGGATACACTCACTACCTGGTCATCAATATTTCGCGAGCAAACAATACAGAAAAACCAAAAAGGTAATGCCAAAGCCACAAGAGTCCAAAAACAAAAAAGAAATTCGTCACTTCCGATCGAAATCAACCATGATTTCTCCGTTGGAACCGATAAACAAAAAAAGACCAAACAAAAAAACAAAAGCAAAAGGTCCTGTATGTAACCAAAAGCGAGTGAATGACGACAGGGTATAATCGTATAATTGGTTGCAAATTTGTGTGTCCATTCCTCCGCCCGTCGACGCCCACGCTTCCCACGCTCCGGGTATCATTCATGGCAAGGTTGTTAAGAATGATTAATGTAGATCGTTCTCCTTTTTTTCAAGTGGTAGAGGTGTCGATGATGCATGCATGTCGTTCCATGATGACGACAAAAGTCGGCCGTGCTGAATCGTTCCGGAAAAGGGCCCGTCTCCTTTCACTTCACTGTAGTTGGTACTTGGTACTCGACAAGTGACGATGGCCCCGTTGCTTTGCCCGTCGTTTCGTATCTCGCTTGTTCTGCTCCTCACCCGAAATCGAACACGGCTTTAGGGGCTAGGGAATGGTTTGGGTTGTTGAGATTGTCCCGAACCACGCAGTTTCTCTCTCGATTCACCCGTCGTCCATCGTCGCGATCGGATGAGTTCCCACAAGGCCAACAGCGCCACCGCTGCTCCGATGACGAACAAGGGGATCAGGTTCCATCGCCATCCACTGATCAGTCGAAGGTGGTACTTCAACGTGCCTCTATCGCTAGAATGCGCGAGGTCCAGCTTGAGGAGCGCCTTGAACCAGTTGTCCGGTGTCCAGTGGTCGAGAGGGTACATTGCTGGTTCGGGATTTTGTTCGGCGATCGTCAGGTTGATCGTTTGATTGTCGGTCTGGGCAACTACCACGTTGACGTAGATCAGGGCGGAGAGCGTCAGGGCCGCTGACAACCAAGTCATGACTACCCAGAAGATGAAGAGAAAGGAGTGGTTTGTCGCATTGGTCTGGTTACATCAGTCAACATCAGCTTTCAATCTTCTGTGCATAGGATGAGCTGTCTAGGACAAGTAACTCACCTTCCTGGCCCGTCTATTTTCGAACCAAATGGTCAATAGACCACCTAGGCCGATCAAGATAATGGCTGTCCCTGCTGCGCCGTTGCTTGTATGGCCTTGGTCGACGTATAGATTCTTGGGTTTGCCATGGATGTCGAAAGATCCAGATGATGTATCGACAGTGAAGAATTTGCCAGCTCGTGCGTGGAGGAAGCCAACCGTCGCTGAGATCATGCTCAACTCGATCAGGCCATCGATCATGAGAATGGGCAGAATGATGTAGAAGGGGAAAAATGGAGATCGAGCCATCTTGACGGTAGTCGGGGTTTGTGTCCTCTCTCAACGCTGATGTTGCAGATATTGTTCAGCCACGTAGGAGTTATTGTCCACCTTCGTCGCCTTCCCCACTTGTTGACTGCTTGTGGTATATCGGCCACGCTCTCTTCGCGACAGCGCAATATTCATGTACGGTCGGTCGTAAATGAACAATTCGAAAACAAAAAATGGGAAAGTATCAGCAGTAAGTAGTGATTCAGCCCTTGAGCAGCCTTAAATGAAGTAACGTGGGGTCAAAGGATGGGTGTTGGCGTTATTATAATAGCATTTTCCGGACAAGTCCTGGTTATGGTTCCGCTTATTAGGCTGGACGCCGGTACAAGATGGTGCGCTTGTCGCAAAGCCACTAGGGAGATTGACTTATACCAGAGGCTCACCAGGCAGGCCAGGAGCTAGAATGGAAATCTGGGACTTTGCATGCCCAAGAAAATCCTTCCAGGTGGCACGACTCACCGATGTGTTGCTAGGATGAACCCTGGCAATTGAACTCAGACCTACCGAAAGTCCGTCAACTTGGCAAACCACAGCCAGGTGTCATCTTCAACGGGCAACGACTTTCCTGTTTAGGGCCCGACATTAACCCTAGCAATGTGAAGACAAAGGTAATCACTCAAAGGAATGGAATACCAAGACTTTAGGCCAGCCAGGAATGACAAAGGAACAGGACGGTCCATAGGAGTCCGATACGCCGCCACAGAGCCTCGTGTTCAGCCGTTGATCTTGGCCGCCGCCGACATTTGTGGCTGTCTGGAAGCCAAGGAAAGTAAATAATCACCGCTGCATACGAGTCCTCGTAGAATGTTTGGCAAAAGCCCGATGGCTGGCTTATTATCAGATCAGTACTCCGTACTCCGTGTGCGGTGGAAGGAGTCGCCCTCTGCATGTATCATGGCAGTGCGGTGGACAATCATGATCCTGACTTGATGACAAAAGAGAAAAAATTGGAATCTCGTTTACTCGACCAGAGAATCAAAGAAATCGAGTTTAGTGCTGACGGCCTGACCGGGGTCGGAAGCAGCCAACTTGATCCAGAGTGGCTCCGCCCATGTGGCCAAGGATGCCTTTCCAATTAAAGCTCAATAACGAGGCTGTGACACTGTTGGCCTGGTCAGTCCTCGTTCGCCACGATGGAAGCTGTTTGATAATCGTGCCATGGGGTTGTTTCGATCGTTGTCTGTCATGTCATCGTCGCAATGCCTAAGATAGAGTAGGGACTGAATTGTGGCAATAATGAGAGGCAAGTCGGTCTTGCACGTGCTGCCAAGATCCCAGGTTGGCTATGTAAGTTATTACTAATCAGACATTCCGCCTTGTTGGTAGCCCATCACACGTGCACACCGCGACCTCAGAGGAGAGGAGGCACCAACAACATCCTGAGTCACTATTCCAGATGAACCCATGTCGGTGACGAGCAACCACAAGTGGTGACACTTGTCTTGCAGACCAGCAATGTGCGTCGATCATGCAACATGCGAATACGAAGCGGGGAAATAGGTCGCGAGCATCGAGCCGTTGTTTAATTCGTATCCCAGAAGCTTCTCCCCAGGGTTCAGATGCCTGATTTCTCCGCTCAATTTCTGCCGTGTCCAGGCAGAAGTCCAGGGATTCACCGCGCCAAGTCAGATGACTCCGCGTCTGAGTGGTCACTTCAATACGAGGTCGCCCGTTTCTGCGAACGCGTTTGCTGTTGAGAAGTGAAGGAGGGACAAAAAGTGTCGTAATTAATGATCTTTTTGACTTCATACCGTCGGGCATGGGACAACCATCTCTGCGATTCAAAGGCAAGAAAAGGTATAAAAGAAAGGTGAGCCACATCGGGATGTCAGGTTGTCAAGAAGTTCGTCGATGTCTCCTCAAAACAACACCAGAGAATCCACCAACTTCCGAAATTGTAACCTTCACATTTAGGCATTGAGATCACCGCTATTCGGCTGTAATCATTATGGCTCCTAAAGAGGTAGGCAGGTCCCTAGCACACTCGGGACACAGATCATGAGCTGAGAACTTCCAGATCGTCACATATGAGGAGTACCTCCCTATGCGCCTTGCTCTCCTCGAGAAAGAGAAACAAGCCACACGTGCCCGGGACGAATTGAGCGCTGCACGTCGCCAGCTACCCCTAGTAGAGGTCGCAACATCTTATAAGTTTACCGCCGTCGACGCGGCTGGGGATCACAAAGAGGTCACTTTACTTGATCTTTTCAATGGCCGCCCTCAACTCATCATCTATCACTTCATGTTCGACCCAAGCTGGGATGCAGGGTGCAGCTCTTGCAGTCTTTTTGCTGACCACATCCCACCACTTGAGCACTTGAACTCACACTCAACCTCGTTTGCCGCAGTGTCTCGTGCTCCAGTCGAAAAGATCGAGGCGTACAAGAAGCGCATGGGTTGGAAATTTCCCTGGGTGTCGAGCAATGGCACAAACTTCAATTATGACTTTCACGCCACTCAAGATGAGTCTGTTGCCCCTATCCAGTACAATTTCAAGGACAAAGCAGAGCTTGAGCGGCGTGGTATGGACTATTTTGCCCGCGGTGAACAGCCGGGCCATTCAGTCTTTGTGCTTGGTGGCGAGAAGAGTGGCATTGGAGAGCCTGGAAAGGCGTACCATAGCTACTCGGCCTACGCTCGCGGTGGTGAACATCTCATTGGTACATTGAGCTGGTTGGACATGGCACCATTGGGCAGATTGGACGGTATCAATGGGGTTGCCGGTCTCGGATACAAGAGACGTGACGAGTATACCGACGACGACCTGAAGGGCATTGAGGCCAGGATTGGTGCTTAACTTACAAACTGTTGAGGGGTGAAATTGTAAAATTGGTGGGGATGGGACCATCAAATATCGAGCAGTCCAAGATACTCAGTATGTTCAAATGATATGTGTTTTCAGCGGTGTTGAGAGAGCGAGGTTCAATGAATTGCAGTTGTCCTTTGAGCACGACGCTGGTGAGGTGCTGTACAAGCCATGGCCGAAGCTCCCCAAGCTTCCCCCACGAACTTCTCTCGGCGAACGCTAAATAATCATCAATCACCCACAGCATCACGGAATACTCCGTCGTCTCGAAAGCGAGCATTTTGTGATACTCCGTACCTTCAGATGCTACTCTTCCGTAGCAATTGGCCACGACTCTCTCGATCGACTCCAAATCGCACTTTACTCTTCCATACCTTCGCGGCCATGGCACCCAAAACTCAAGAACCCCAAATCGTCTCCGTCACCGACCTTCCCTCGGCGCAAGCGAAATGGGTTGGCCTCAAAAAGATCGACTTTGTAGATCAGACGGGCACCCCTCGATCATGGGAGATTGCCGTTCGCAAGACGACCTCCAAGTCCGGTGTGGATGCTGTGGCCATGGGCAACATCTTCGTACACCCCTTGAAACCTCCGAGCACGATGCTCGTCATTCAGTACCGTCCTCCGATCGGTAAATATACCATCGAGTGGCCTGCGGGGTTGATCGACGAGAACGAGACCCCCGAAGAGGCTGCCGTCAGGGAAATGAAGGAAGAGACTGGATATGAGGGCAAAATACTCAACACGGGACCTGTGCTGTCCAGTGATCCTGGCATGACCAATGCGACCCTCAAGCTCGTCATGATAGAGGTGAAGCTAGGTGAACAGGAGGATATGATGCCGGACCAGAAGCTCGACGAAGGAGAATTGATTGAAAGAGTCATGGTTCCCTTGTCAGAGCTGTATGATCGATTGATCGAGTACAGCAAAAAGGACAATTTTATGGTCGCGGGCAAATTATTCTACTTTGCCGCGGGCATGCATTTCGCTAAACACGGTGGTTACATCTGAACAGAATCTACAGGAAGCTCTTGCATACTTGACATGACCAACGGTTCGCTCGAGTATTGCTTCCATCGCCGTAACCTTTCAAGAGGCAGATCAATGCGAGCTGTGTGGGACAAAGCCGCCTTACACCAAACTGTTTGAGAACGTTTCACAGTCTGCTGGCAGAGACGCCCTGTTCCCGATACAGGAATATATCGATCACCATGCACCTGTCAATAACCACCGAGTCTAAAAATGAAGAAACACGAATATGCTATGGTCCAATGCCGACTGACCACGACTTATAATGGCAGTTACATTCCAGGCTGAACCTCTTCAAGATGAACACTTGTGGTGAGTATGGCTTGGGGTGATCCAAGTGACTTCTAGCTGGTAAGGCTAGTTTTCTTCATGATCTTTTAGATTTTATTCCTATCTGCCAAATCCAACAATCTAGAGGCACTTTACCCAAGTCAGGCTCGCTCTTTCACATATTCGAACAAGGTATTTATTTATTCTCGTCTCAGCGCCGAACATGTCTAGCTTTCAGCGGGGTTATCATAGAACGGAAAGCCGACATGAATGACTCTAAATAGATATATACACGTGCGATATTAAACTGAATCCGTCAATACAATACTCAAGAACCGTTGTTGATGATCAACTGAAGATGTCTACTCGAACTAGTAGTTAGTGATTATCCTGTGGAGTAGGAATTGGTATTGTACGATCCCGTGAATAAGCGGCTGCCAGTCAGTGAAATAGATGCTCCGTCGTTACATCAAAAAGTACCTGGGGTTTCTTTTTTGGGATACCAAAAGGGGTTTGCTTTCTCAGCCTTCTATCCCACTCGTGGAGAGGAGGACAACGGATCTTGGATAGAGTCTGGCAGAGCAGGATTTATTGGGATTCACTGCGCCTTTTTTCTCCTTTTTTGATCGACCTCTTCTGTACGAGTACAACAACTTCGTTTCCCTGCTGGTAGAAACAGGTTGGAAAAAATATATGCGATGTCGGGCATATCCGAGAATCCCATCACCGTGGATGGTATCGCCGACGTTGTCAACGCTGCCACTCCGGCCTCACAGGCTCTGGTTTTGAGTCGAAATTCCAGGTCTCCTCAAGGTCTACGAAAGTACCTTTACTCGGCCCTGGTTGGATCCGTGGCCATCTTGACGACCTTGTACCAGACCGGCACAGGACTGTCCCTGTTTGGACCTAGGTTCGAAGCCACCGACTACGCTGGCAGGACCAAACATGTCTTGTCGACGACACCACTCATCGACGGTCACAATGACCTCCCTTACATCCTCCGACAAGAGTTGAAGAATAGAATCTACGATCCTCGCTTCGACTTTCGAGGCCACCTGTTGAGTCACACCGACCTGAGCAAGATCCGTACCGGTCAACTCGGTGGACAATTCTGGTCGGTTTATATTGAATGTGCCGCGGAGGGTGTCCCTCAACTTGAAGAACCGACGGTAAGTTTTTTCTTTGCGTTTCTTTGCAAAGACAGACCAACTATCACACCCACAGAGACAAAGGCATGGACTTGGTGTGTTCCCAACACACCAAGAAAGTGCAAGGCAGTATGGCCTTTCAACTCAAATGCATACTAACGAAGTTTGTATTCATAGTGGATCGTTCGAGATACACTTGAACAGATTGATGTGATTAAGCGACTCATCTCACAACAATCGAATGATTTACAATTTTGTACCACACCAGTTTGTGTCAGAGAGGCTTTTGCCGCTGGTAAGATAGCTAGTATGATTGGTATCGAGGTGAGTAGAGCACACAAGGCATCCATCAACAGCAGCAGCAGCAATTTCCCTCCCGGAGACTTACTCACGTCTTGTGGAAAATTTCCAGGGAAGTCATCAAATAGGGAATTCCATAGCCACTCTACGACAAATGTTCGAATTGGGAGCCCGGTACATGACCATCACTCACAATTGCGACACACCTTTCGCGACCGCCGCCACCACGGTGGCCGAAGGGGGAGCTGACCGTGGCCTGACCCCTCTCGGACAGAATCTGATCGAAGAGATGAACAGACTCGGCATGCTCGTCGATCTGTCACACGTTTCTCCCGAGACGATGCGTGATGCTTTACGGGTGACTCGGGCTCCCGTCATGTTTTCACATTCGGGAGCCTTTGGTATGACGAGACACTTGAGGAACGCCCCGGACGACGTCCTCTTGAGCTTGAAATCCAACGGCGGTGTCATCATGGTTCCATTTGTCGGTCCTTTTCTCAACAAGGAGCACCCAGAGGACGCGAGCATCCACGACGTGGCAGATCAGATCTTGTACATTGCAAACTTGATCGGTTGGGATCATGTCGGGATCGGGTCTGACTTTGATGGTACAACCGACCTGGCTAGAGGATTAGAGGTGAGTTTATTTTCCTTTCCCCCCTTTCGAACCACGTTGTTCTCGGCCTTTTTCGGTACCACGCGCTCATCATTGACTCGTTATCAGGACACTTCCAAATATCCGGAATTGATTCAACTCTTGATGAAACGTGGGGCGACCGACCGACAGATCCGTCTTCTCGCGGGAGACAACATCCTCAGAGTTTGGGGTCAAGTCGAAAAGTACGCTCAAAAGGCACGACGACAGTCCAAACTTCCCGTCGAGGTCGTGTGGGAAGGAAGGAAATGGTTCCACGGGCACGACTCGGATTTACCTCTTATGTTTCGTGACAGTAAAAAGGAGAGAAGGGATAGTTTTTGAGTATGACTAGTAGACAAGTTGGAGCTCTAGATTAGAGGTCTAGTCAGTACGGAGTAGAGGGCAATAGTATCTTGCTCGTACGGAGTACGTCTCCGTATAAGTACCCATGTTCCAGTCCATACTCTCTCTACTCCCCGACTCACCTTACAATCTCGAATTTCTCGACCCATCTCGGTTCGACCCACCCCTCCGCCCGGAAAAAAAAAAGGAGATGGTACATATGTCAAAGGTTGTCAATTTCCACGGCAATCCGACGCCTCTTTAGCCCAGTTGGTAGAGCGCGACACTAGTATTTCACCAAAAAATGACAAGTATATGTCGAGGTCACTGGTTCGAATCCAGTAGGAGGCAACCCCCAAAACGTCCTACATTAAGGCCCTTTTTTTTTGGTTTTTGTTTTGGTTTCCGATACGCGTAGTTCTTGTGGGAAAGGCGGAGTACCCAGTAGTGAATACGGAGTACGAAGTACGATCTTGGTATTCAGTGATCTTCCTTCAAACCATCTTCACCATATATGCAGTGCATACAAAGGATACACAGGCACCAAGATCTACATCTTCATCTTTCTTTTTTCTTCTTCTAGAAAATATAATGTCTCAAACATATTATACATTAAATGGTTGTCAAAGAGAGATCGTGCTGTGCAATATATATATCCCTAGGTACGAGTACATGCGTAGTGCCTTGTTCCCCCACCCTCACCACACATAGACAAACACGCACTCTTCTCTCTCCCTTGAGAGAAAACACCACCACATCGTTTTTGCCCTCATAGATGACAATGATCCATTCGAATGGAATCTTCCCTTATTCTTCTTGTTTTCCCGTGTACAACTTATCTTTCCATACCCCCCCTCGTAAACACAGTAGTGTATACATATTTCCGATCGGACTCATCCTCACATTCTCATTTTCGTCCAAAGAAAAGCAGCGTCGTTCATGTGTGTGTGTAGCAGCAGCAGCAGCAGCAGCAGCAGCAGCAGCAGTAGCAGTAGTAGTAGTAGTAGTAGTAGTAGTACTAGTAGTAGATGCGAGCAATGACTTTTCCCCGAGGTATTATAGAGACAGAGTTGTAAAAGAAGAGAGAAGAAAAAATACCACAAACTCTCTGCCTTTCTCGAGATACTCGTTGATTTGAATGGTTTCATGTATAATCCAACTTTTCCTTTCCAAACACCCCCCACCACACCTCAATTACGGACGCATTAACATGACCTTTTTTCTTCTTATTATTATCCCGATGCTCCCCACTAGAAAGCATCTTCCAGAGGACAATCGACCGAATCATGACCGTCCCTCTCACACAACGCGCACCATTTCTCAGGGTCGATCACACCACTGGTCCGGCCAGCCAACATACCCGCTTGAATACCAGTGCCCTCGATCATGGCAGGTGCCGGAGCGGGAGAGGGACCAGGTGCTGCCGAAGATACGGGTGGCTCGTCCTTGGCTGGAGGCGTGGGAGGTTTGTCGTCGTCTACAGGCTGTAGAGGTGGAGGAGGAGGTAAGGTGCCCGTGGGTGGCGGACTCGTAACGTTTGAAGCAGCACCAGCAGAATTATTGTTATGTTTTCGACTGACCAAGGGTGCTGGTCGATCCGAGTCCGCTCCCGACAGGATCTGACTTTGATCGCCACTTCGTCTCAGGCCTTCGCGGACAACGTCCTTTCCGCTTCTCTTGCCCAGACTACCCTGGGCCTTGTTGCTCTTACCAGGTCCAAACATGTTGGAGCAGCTCAAGATGTCATGGCCACTCTCTTCACAGATTTCGCACCACAGGGGCGCACTCGAGCTGGAAATGTCCGTCACCCCATCGTCCATTTGATCGTGTTTAAGAGGGGATTGGCTTCGTCGGTGGGAATCTTGCCAGTCGTGGGCATTGCCCTGTGGGCCAGAACTGCGTCCTAGGACAACGGTTCTTTGACTACCCGTGGTACCTGTGCTGAGGTGCTTTCGGTCCATATCTTCACTGTTTTCTCTGGAGTGTCCTCCTGGAGGTGACCGGATGGAGGTATGTAGACCGAATGCGGAACCTGGCATCGGAAACTTTGAGAGAGCAACGCTGTTTCTCAAATGCTTGACCTCGTTCGCAAGTTCCTCCTCATGCGCACTCTTCTGTTGCAGTAACATCTCGAGATCCCTGATCTGTTGTCGCATGCTTAATCTGTTCTCCTCCCCATCTTCTTCATCGGACGGCTTGTCCTTCCTCGTCAGTCCATTGGGCTTTGATCCGTTGATCTTGGGGGATTTGTCGTGGGCTTCGTTGAGACTTTGTATGATCGCTTTCAAACCTCTAATCTCATCGTCTTTTGCACCTAGTTGGACCTTGAGATCGTCGACGTCGCCCGCGGAATACCCATTGAGCTGTTCCTCAGTCTTTAAACGTTCTCGTTCTCGTCGCAACTCTGACCTCGATCTCTCGACCTCCCCCCTCAAGAACTCAACCTCCCCTCGCGCTTCGGCTTCTCCTCTCCTTGCATCCTCGAGGCCTTCTTCGAGCTCCTGCACAAGTTCTTCGAGCTGCTTAAGCTGTTGTGCAACGGACTCGACATCCTCACTTCGATCTTGGAGGTTTCTCACCTCTTCCAGCAGTTCGTCAACCCTCTTTTCGTAGACGCGTTCTGTCTCTGTGCTCGCCATTTCCAGTGTGTCAATAGTGCTTCTGAAATCAGCACGATTTACATCGAACTCTGCGGTGAGTAACTTGATCTTGTCGTTCTTCTCCCTTATGATTTCTCTGAGCTCGGTCACATCTCGAGGCAAATCATCATCTTCGTCGTCTCCACCATCTCTTTTTCCGGCCTCGAGGTTGGGTAGGAGTTTTTGTAATTCATTGAAACTGCTCTCCATCTCCGCAAAATTGGCGCCCTGATCACGCAGTTGCCGTCTCGCGACATTGAGCTCGTCATTCAATTCGCGAATCTTCTTTTCGTACTGCTCGACATCCACACTCCGATTTGCATGGGGTGTTGGCGTGGGCGTATTGTCTCCTTCCCCAGAGCCTTCATCGAAACTTGACTCGGGGCCCAATGAGGGGCTTGTACCGCTACCCACACTGGACGTGTTTGTGCTGTGTCGTAAATTCTGGCTAAAAGTCGTCGTCGGCCGTCCTGTACTGGGACGATATCCTGGCCCACCATTGGTGCTCTTCCCGAGGCCCAACCCGATACCACTTGGTCGAGTCTTGGGTGTAGTCAGTGCCTTTCCGGTCGGTGTCACGGTCTTGCGGAGCGGGCTCGAAGGACGTGGTAGACTTTCCCTGCGCGCTGGGGGTTTCAGCGCTGGGCTTGCGGCGCCAGCCCTGACTCCTGGTCCTACCGACTGGCTGAAATTTGGTTTCGCGATGCCCGTCCCAGGCGTGCGACCACCTTGGTTGAAACTACTCAGGCGCGTGGGCGTTCCAGCGCCTGGGCTCGCACGGACACCTAGGCCGATTGTCTTTTTGACGGCCTTTTCTACGGGTAGAAAAATGCCTGATCCGGGTATGGTGGTTTTGAAGTAGAATCTTCCGTCAACCTCGCCAGAATTCTTGCCTCTGGGTGCGTACTCTGTCGCCAGTTGGACCCCTGCAAAGACGCCCTTCTTCCCAGTAACAGGTCCGATGAATTTGACGGTGCCGTGCATGTCGCCCGGCACCAGGACCGTGTCGCCTACGCTGAGACCGGCCATGGTGAGTGTGTCCTTGGCTTTCCACTGGGGCTATGTATCTTGTCTAAATCTTGCAAGCGAAGTCTTCAGAAAGAGGTGTACATGTGAATCGCAACGTTCGAAAGGAGGCAGCGCAGGATGAGACGATCATCGGTTGGGTATCGATTCGCATTGACGTGGGAGGCCGTGCGACGAGCGTGGTTTAGAGAGAGTAATTCCGAGCGGAAGAGTGTCTAATATGCGCGTCAAGTATGGAGGAGGATGGCAAGGAGGATTTTGGGTCGAATGGTCTCTGAAGTGATGGAGTCGTTGCGTAGTTACACGGGCATATACAAGTAAACAAAGGGACGCAACATGCTCAGCCAGCGGAAAGAAGCGTGGATGATGATTAGTGGTTGGTTGGAGTAACGAAGAGTTGCTCCTATAGAATCTTCAGAACACCTAACAACAAAGTCTAGTAGTCCATACACGTACAGTACCTCAATACCTATCAATTACTCCGTACTCCGTACTTACTCCTCAAAAAAGGGACCCTTGCACATCTTTCGGGAGCATCGTGGCGCGTAAATTGTTTGACTCGCTTAAATGAAATCGAACCAAACATGTGGCGTATCTTCACGGCTCTCTCGACAATTAAATCGCTCGCTCGCTCGCTCCATACGCCTGGTCACCACTACCGCTACCGAGACGATGTACTCCGTACTGAAAAGGAGACGCGGATCTTCGGCTATGGGGGTTTTTTACGTCTTTTCATGAAATTGCACGCGCCACCCATCACACTCACGCCCTCAGCCTTGCCCATATGGATCGAGAGATTCGAACATGAGAATTGGACGCCAATGCCTTTCCTGAGTGTCTCTGATTATACGGAGTACGAACCCATGAATCTGTATTGCATTTTCATATATCGAGGTAAAGTAGCTCAGCCGCTACCAACAACAATATCCCCAACACCTGTCTGAAGCGCATTCTGAAAAGGTCCCTTGCATCCATACTTTTGCGTAGGTTGGTTTATTACCCCTACGACCAGACTACCGCCATCTCCGCAGTCTTCCCTATAGCTGGAGTCGGAAGGTGGCCACCTCAAACGGTCTCAGCTCAATATTGACGCTGATCTTGTTCTTCCCGGACATGGTCAAGCTCTCCAAGTCATCTTCGAGCACATTGGTCTTGTAGACCTTCTTGACCGGCAGAGTGGTCTCAATCGTCCCTCGACTCTTGCCACCCATGCTCTCGTATATTCTCAAAATCACACTCTGTCCCGGGCGTTGAGTGAGCTCTCCGCGGGAAACGTCCTCATCATCCTCGCCACGTTTAATGCAGTCCAACACCAGGGACCTGGCACCTGTAAGGTGAATTGCGTTGAACAATTCCTTGGGCCTGTCGTCGACCATGGAAACTAGCTTCATTGGGTGATTGAAGTTGTACGCTGCACGTACAGTGTTGGCGCTCAGAGCACCTTGGTGAGGCATGATGGCCCACTTGATGTGGTGGCGTCCCATGTCAGCGTGTGCATCCGGCGCTTTGGGTGCACGGATCAAGGACAGTCGCATGAGATTTCCACATGTTGCGAATCCATACTTCGAGTCGTTCAAGATCGAAACACCGTAGTCAGCCTCCGACAAGTCAGCAAACTTGTGGCAGCAAACTTCAAATTTCGCCATGTCCCAACTAGGAACGCGTCAGCAACATCCGTAACAAGATAAATAGCCACTTACCTGGTGTTATAATGGGTTGGACGTCGAATAATACCATACTGTGTCTCGTAGCTGGCTTCGGTGTTGACCACATCAACTGGGAATTCCACCTTCAGGAATTTCATGTTCTCACGCCATTCAACTTCGGCGTCGACAGACACATATCCGGTGTCACTATCACCGTCACACGCATCGAGGCTGATCGTTGTTTTCACCCAGCTATCTTTACTGACCTGCGTCTTGGTAGCAACACTGACGCGGTAAGGCCCGTCTTCAACAATTTCAGAGGCCTCCGACTTCAATTCCCTCCGAGACTCGAGGTGGAAAACTTCAACATCCCAGGCCTGCCAGTAGAGCGGTTTGTCATCGAAAATGACCAGCTGATTTGCTTTACCTCCTTTAGCAATGACTTCACGATCCGCTTTGAGGTCGATCAGGGATGTGATCACACCGGCTTCCACTTTGACTTGGAATTTGCTGTTCTTCATCATGAAAACTCCCTTCTTAACCTCTTCTACAGAGGCAGTAGACTGGATGGCAGAGGCTGTGTGAGTCTTGACGGCGCCCTGTCCGCCCGAAACAAAGGTGTATCTCTTCTCTTGAGCCTTTGTTTGCGCCTGTGGGATGCGCACCAGTTCGGATCGTTTCCATGGGGCGGTGTTCACCGCGGCAAGCTCAGTGTTGGGTTTGAGATGTTGAGACAGGCCAAGCACGATGAGAGCTTCTTCCTTGACCTTTGCACCGAGCTTCGCGTTGTGCGCATAAAGAGCGTCGGAGTCATCATAGCACATCTCTATCGAACTCCCGGGCAAGCAGTCGTGGAACTGGCAGAGGAGAACATTTTCCCACATCTCGTCAATCTCCTTCTTGGGGTACTTGTAGCTCTTGCTCTTCAAGCTGGCTAGGGTTGCTAGATACTCAATATCATGCAACATGATTTCTTGCTTGCGATTGTTCAACTTATTGTTGGCTTGTGTCGTATAAGTGCCACGATGTAACTCAAAGTACAGTTCACCATACCAAGTGACAAACTGGGTACCGTCTGCGACCTTCTTTTCGAGATTGGCGAAGAAATCATCAACAGACTTGCCCATTTGCACGCGAGGCAAGAGACCAGTAGTGTCACTGAGTCCACGACACCTTCGCAGCTTTTCAAGCATGTCTCTTGTAGGGCCACCACCACCATCGCCTTTTCCAAAGACGAGCAGTGATGTATTGTCTTCATTCATACTCTTGTGCTGGGTCACACTGCGTCTGACATCTCCAAAGTGGGCATCTGCAGTATAGGTCTCACTTGGCGCCATGTGACAGATGACCTGGCTCCCATCCAAGCTTACCCAGTTGAACGTGGTGTGTGGGAAGTTATTGATGTTGTTCCAACTCAACTTTTGAGTAAAGAAACGTGACATCCCAGCAAGACGACACAGCTGAGGCAACTGACTCGAATACCCAAAAGTATCCGGTAACCAGAATGTCTGGCATCTTTCGCCAAAGTTGCTCTCGAAGAAACGCTGGCCGTAGAGAAATTGTCTGACCAGTGACTCACCACTGGGCATGTTGGTGTCGTGTTCGACCCAGCTGCCGCCGATGGGCTGAAACTTCCCTTCCTTCACCTTTGATTTGACTCTGTCAAAAACGTAAGGGTAGTATTGTTTCAGCCACTTGTACTGCTGGGCTTGACTACACGCAAATCTGTGTTCTGGGTATCGGTCCATCAGGTCACATTGATTGGACCAGCTTCTGGCGACTTTACGCTTCGTCTCCGCCCATGGCCAGAGCCAGCATGTGTCGATGTGGCAATGCCCGATAGCATAGACGATGCTCTTCTCGTCCGAGTCATACACCTTTGAAGAATCGACGTTCTTTCCAATGTATTTCTGTGCGATCTGTCGACCTTTTTCGATCGACTTTGTGGAACCGTTATCGGCAATGAAGATGTCCATGATCTGGTTGCACACTGAAAGCGCTTCGTGCTTCTCCCAGCTATCGCCTGGAAATTCCCTCGCAGCATCTCCAATGATCCAAAAGTCGACATACAGCCGGCGGGCAGGGAGGTTGACGTCAACAATCTGTGCCTTCGATAGCGTATAGTATTTGTTTGGATCTGGGGGCTGAATGCTGTCGCCTCCAGGGGCATTGCCGAACATGCCATTACATGCCATCTCGATATAGAAGATATGCTCTTTACCATCTCTCCAGCTCTCTGGAAGGATCCATTCCGTGCGGTCTCCGCCTCCAGTTAGGCCTTGCAGCGGGTTCCCATCATGTGTCCATACTAAGCCTTCATTGTTTGCATCCCAATGGAATTCCAAATGCTCTCCGTCACACATGTCCTTCGGCACTGTGAGCTCAATCTTGAACCAATGAGTTGACCATGATGGGCCAAAGGATTCACCTCGGTGGGTAGGCCTGAACGCATGGGATGTTGCTTCTTTGAAGGTTGGCCGTGCAAGGTCGGGCGGAGAGTAGACGGAGAGCTTTACGTGCTCGTCGTCGTCGCACACATTGTGGTAGAGTTTAGCAAGAAGGCTTTGGTTCTGGTATTGTCCGCCTGAGGTGAATTGTCTCAGACTGTTGGATCCGTCAGCGTATTTCTATCGGTGACACCCTCCCCTAAAGACACTCACCGGTCTGTGTAGATATTCTCAATCTTCTTTCCAACAGGCTTCGCACTGAGAATGGGGTATTTGGACGTTGCCGGACGAGGCTCTCTCTCTCCTCCCATGACTACCGACCTTGGTAGGGTGCTGCTCTGTATCTATGATAGGACGGGGACCGGGAGGTCTCACAAGGGAGATTTGGGGGCCTATTTGGGGGCCTATTTGGGGGCCTATTTGGGATATGGACCAAATGCTATGCGTTGTGTCTGGATTTGACACAGTCGGCTTCAATGAAAATACAAGAAGGGAGTTATCAAGCTGGGCAACTCAAAACCTAAGTCGACACATCCATTGTTATCTCCCTGGAGGTCAGTCAGCAGTTGTTGTTTCATCGCAGCTGTACCTAAATGCGGGGTGTATTCTCTTCTCCAACCCGGACGCCCATCGATGACGAGGCTGGGTCCATTCGGAGCTAATCCATATTCGGACTTCGGCGCCAACCTGACGCAGGCGAAGCTGCAAGGTACACAGGTACTCGTACGCAGAAGTGTCAGTCAGTCTAACAACCTCCTGTCTACTCTCTGTTTGCTTCCATATCCTCCTTTGATGTATGATTGATCTATTGTGCGAGTGTCTCTCTATAAATAATGGACGTCTAATTGTCGCTAGATCCAAGATTCTCCTTCATCACCCATGAATGGATCTCCCAAATGCATCGCGCTCGTTTTCCGTGTTGGTCCAACCAGCACAATACTCTGCTTCAACATCCTTCGCCGCTTCTGGGATGTTCGTCCGGTCAGCTTCCGTCTGGCGCCCTCGAGGACCCCCACGAACTGACTCTGACCGTTTTGGTAGGCATTGCCCAAGTCGATGGACCTTCCTGCCTTGTGGTTGCGCTGTATCTTTGGTTGTTGTTGTTGCTTCTTCGTCATCTTTTTTGACCATATCTCTGCACCATAAACTTGGTAAGGTGTGGCTGGCTTTGCCAATTGTCTTGGTCGTGGCATTTCCTCTTCCTGGTAGTCTTGCAACACCGGACCCCGCTTAGACAGAGACAGTGTCCGCCATAAATGAGAAACGCCTTGCTGCAAGCTCGATCGGGGGCTATCACGTTCTGATTTTTTCCTGGATGGAGTGTCTCCGGCCACAGCAGAATCATTGGTGGCAGGTTCAGGAAGAACATGTTCCTGTCCATGTGCATACTCACCTGAAACCATTCTCGGATCGAGGCTGGTCCGCTCCCATGGTCGATTTGATGCTGATACAGGACTCTGCACAAAGTCGTCATCCAGCCAAGACTTAGAGAGCCTGCTGTCAGGAGTATGGTGCTGTGGCCTCTCTTTGCCACTATCTCCAGGGCTGACACTCTGAATGCTGGATTGATTGTCCCAGTCATCGGACACAGGACTAGGTAGTTCCGAATCTACTAGTCCCGCTGGAGGAGGTAGCAGATCAGAATCATTGACATCCGATATGCTGCCGGACATTGCACTGGGGAGCGGAGGTGTACGGGAGATGATGAGGGATAACTCGATAGGGGAAACTTGTGGTGAAGGAAGCGCCAAACTGTTATTCGCAACTTGACAATCGTGGTCTGGCGATGACGCAGACAAGGCAGACTCCAATTCATTTCGTCGCTCTCGAAGGGATCTGGAAAACTCAATGAATGTCGGTGCCGCCTTGTTGCTCAGCGGGCCATCGTTTCCTGACAGAAGGGTAGGCTTTAGTGAAAAAACAGATGAGCTGTCGTCAGCTCCAGAAGTCCCCAGTGGGTTTGGAGATGGTGTTTTACTGACGCTGAGTCGTCGGATGAGTAGTGGGGCTATAGTATCTCGATACGCCTGTGGTTGATGCAAGGCTGGTAGGGCGGGAGTGTCGATCAATTCCTGCTGCCCATTGTACATGCGGATGATGTTGCTGATCGTTGTGTCATTGCTGTAAACACTAGATGATCGTCTTTTCTCGAACGGCTCAAGGGGTAAAGGTTTATCTCGGTCAGAAGGTGTGGATTTTGTTGATCTACTCCGAGGTACATCGAGGAACAGACTGCTCTGAGATCTGGAAGCCGCAAGTTCCAAACCCTGTCTCTGTAGTTCAAGGAGCGCTTTCGACGGCGGTGGAGGAGTCATGAGCCTGCGGTGCGCCGATATAGGTCGAGAATTCATATCCATGATTGTTCCGAGGACTCGACAGCGAGGGTCATGCTGATCCGAGTCAATCAAGTGCTTGCTGCTCAGTAGAAGGGTTTCTTTCTAGTGATACATGATGCCTCTTTCAAAAGCCGAACACACTCTGGCCAGGGCATATTGTTGCAGAAGTGATACAGCAAAAAGAGGACAAAGAAGTCCGCTTTCAGCCACCACACCAACGAGCCCATTGTTCCCTTGGCACCCCATGGCAATGTAGACAACATCTTCAGGATGCCGAGGGTAAATGTTTCATCATCTGAAATTATAGTAAGGATGGTAGAGGATATTTTTGGGCTTATCGGAGCACCGAACCGCCCACATTCCAATGACTACCGCATTCTCGAAATTCAAGTAAGATCAACGCAACCCTCATAAATTTGCAGCTTTGACCAGGTCTTCTTTGGTAAGCTCATCGGTTGGTCGTCTTATGTCTCCTAATCGTCCAACTCTGCGTAGACGGTTTATCATATCCTCATCGCCAAAATGACTGTTGTGCTCGAACGTGGGCTCTTGGTGGTAGGCGACACGTGCAGCATCGACCAAGATCCTCGCAGTCATACCGAACACTCGGTACCTGGATAATTTATCCAGGTGGTCGGCGGTAGCCTTTTGTCCCTTGTTCCTTTTCGGTTTCGAGACGATTTGATTTGTTACTGGGACAAAGAAATTGTGCATACGCCATTGATTCTGATGCCAGTCGGTCCAAGCGCCTTTATACCAATCACTTGGATCACCAGGAAGGTTCTCCTGATTAGGTAGATCTTGATGGTACAAGAAGTTTCGGAATGGAGCAGAGAAGACGGCGGCTACTTCTCGAGCGTCTAGCCTCGGGAGGAGTCTCTCTGCGACGCTCGCGTCAAGCCCTGTCTCGGGATCATAAGAGTGAAGAAATGCGACGCAAGGACGGACAACAAGTTCTGTTTTGGCCAGGTTTGTGGGCATTTCGCAAAGGTGTTCGACTCTAAAGGGAGGAGGTAGTGCACTCTCGCGTCTGGGAAGACCAATCTCTTCGGATGTTTCCCGTCTAGCCGCTTCAAATGCTGATTCTCCTGCTTCTGCCTTCCCTCCTGGTAGTGCTGCATGTCCAGAGTATGAACTCAGGGTACTCGCTCGCATGGTAATGACAACCCTCAGCTCACCCGAGGGGTCGGCAAAAAGAAGGATCAGGACTGCAGCTTTGCGCGACAATGGCATTGCAGGCCATACCGTTTCCGGCGGCTTGTACTGTCTGAGTCTTTCAAGAGCCGCCTATCGAGGTTATGATTTTGCCGAGGGATCGAAGTATGGGACTTACGGCTGATGCTGGCGATAGAGGAGCCATGATTTCTTGTTGACTCTGCGACGAAATCCACCTCCGAGACAGCACAGACAGGCAATTCCGACTACGTGACTTGGTCAGGATGTTCCTATAAAACATCGGTAGTCATCCACAGAAACGATGGAACGGCTTACGGAGGGTTCGTCTTGATATTATTGATGACGGAAAGACATTGCCGAGGTATTTATCTAAAAGGGCGTCTGACATCTAGAAGCGGCTCGCGTATCGTTCTACCATCTATCGAATCACGTTTCTACGACATTGGGTGGGAGTGTTTCTTCACAGGACGTGCAATTAACGCACTGAATTGAATGTTTTCTTATTGAGTCTGTCAATCAAATCCTCCCGTTCCTATACCGACGCCTCAAGGTAGCATAGTAATCACCGATGGGCCATAATGTCGTCAGTCGTCCTGAGCCTTCCTCGAGCCTCCAAATCCAATCTTCTGTCGCTTGGTTGCCCGACCATCGGTATCATCATCGTTTGTGGCAGTACTCTTTTTCTTCTTTTTGTCGCCGCCTTTCTCATTCGTAAAACTCCCCGTCGGAGTACCTGCGTGGTTCGGTGTGCTTGTAGAGCTACTGTGAGAGTCTGAATCGCGCATGTAGGATACTGAACTGCGAGAGAAGACCCGATCTGAGTCAATCACCACGGCCTTTCTTCGACCAGCCCCTAACCCGCCTCCAGCCGCGCTCCCGGATATTGTGCCTCCTGCAGATGTCGCTGCCCCCGCTACAGCAGACGCTTTGATGTAGTTGTCAAATCCCTTGACAATGTTGCCTGCGATCGAAGTCTCTTCGAGATAGGCGGTCTCTTGACGGTAGATCTGGTCTTCCACAGCAGCCTAGCGAGGTCAGCACTCCTTGTCTTGAACTGTGCAGGTCGACCCACCATGTTGCGATCTAGAAGGCGTTTCTTCTGCAAGGTGTCGCGTAAATCACGTCTCAACTTCTCGTAATACGGGAGGCCAGGTCTGTCGCCACTGGCTGCAGGCTTCGCTGCCGTGCCAGTTGGCGGTACATTCTCAGCCATGGCACGGCGCGATGTCTGTTGGCGATCGCGACGATTTGTTTCGGTTTGCGCTGATGCTCGAAAGTCTAGCCTGCGAGATTGCGCAAGACAAGGAAAGGATTCGATGGAATGAATACGGGAGAGCATATGACCGCAAAGTGCAAGGCGCCTGCGCCGCGCATCAGAAGACTCGCTCTACCCACCCCTTCAATCATGACATCTCTCAAGTCTGAATAAATTTATTCTCGAGGATCTATACTTTTCCTGGGTTTATAGACGTTTGAAACTTCCAAGACTCTAAATCATGAATCATTTCGGCATGGGTCACGGCGGTATGGATCACGGAGATATGGACATGGGGGACAAGTGCTCTATGAATGCAAGTATTCCATGGGCGATATGAAAGCGCGTTGTTGACTCGAATAGATGCTGTTTACTTGGTCTTCGGAAAACCTATGCATCATCTTTCGCCAATGGAGAGTTACTAGCACATTCTCCCTCATCGTCTCGCTCCTAGCGATCGTGCTTTTAACAGCTGGCTACGAGTGTGTCCGCGAAATCAGCAGGCGATATGAGCAGCAACATAGTGCTCAAATGGCGGCTTACAGCACCAGTGGCACCAGTACGTTCTTGACGCCTCCTTCATGCCATAAATGTGTCTGATCTTGTCAAGGCGCATCACCTCAATTGAACGAATCAAGCTCACTGCTCGTCGTAGGAAGGGACTCGAAGGCGACTGCGGAACGAAAGGGAACAATCATAAAAGGGTTGCTTTATGCCGTGCAAGTGTTTTACAGCTTCTTCATCATGTGGGATCCCAATATCCTCTCCGAGAGATGATGCTAATATGACAGGCTCCTATTCATGACCTACAATGGCTGGGTAATGCTGGCTGTCGCTGTCGGAGCGTTTGTTGGATATCTTGTTTTCGGCCGTAGTTTAACATCCACCAAGTCTGTGGCCTGTCACTAGACGTGCAACATGACATCCTCATCGACTGTCTTCCTCTATATCATCGGCAAACCCGAAGCTGAAACCACCCGAGTCTTGTACAGCCTGGCTTGCATCATTTACCAGTTCCTCCCACTTCCTCTTTTTGACTTCTGCAACAGAGGCCGCGAGCTCAGGGTGCGCTTCCCGTAAGCGGTCCATAAAGAGTGCGTGTGGGTCGGCAACATTGTCTTTGAAACCAGAGACCTGATCAGCCTTGTTCCGGAGGAATTTGACGGTAGATCGAAGATGGGCTCGAGGAACGAAATTCTGAGTGATGGCGATGGCTGGGCTGAGATTGACCACGAGATGCCACCATCCAGAAGGGACATGTAAGACTTCTCCCTCTCGGCATATACCTTCTAGACAGCCAGATGTGCTGCGTGCCTCGGCATGGAAGGTTAACAGCCACTCCCCAATACTTAGAGGCGAGGTCACTTCGCTTTGATCCTCGCTCATATAGACACCCGGCGGCAGCACATCACTCGGAAACATAATCCAATATTTCGAGCCTCGAATTATCGCATTCCAGGCGCTGGTGGCATTGGGGTCCTTGTGAAAAGTACTTCCACTCCTTTCGGGTCCAATAATCAGCCATCTGTGATCTGGTCTTTGTTCTCTGAGCAACGTGAATAAGTCGTTTTGGAAGGCGTCCGGTGGAAGATAGGCCTCCTCGACATCTACTTCCAGGTTCATTTTCTCAACGAATGCCCTGTCAAACAGATACAGCGGGCTTTCGTCCTTTGTGGTGGCCATGTATGCCGAATACTTCTCGAAGGGCCAATCCACCGCCTCTGCACGAAAGGATGTTTTCCCGTATCTGGCGAGCAGATAATCCTGATCCCATTCTTTGTAGGCCTGCCATTTCTTCACAGGTTCTGTTAGAATGAAGGGCCGATCAACCCATGCGCTATCAAACTCGGAGGCGGACAGATCCTTTACCCTTGGTATCTCGTTGTGTCTGGGTATGCTGGAAACATAGGGTTTAAGAGAGATTTGTGAACAGAGAAACGGCCGATGCAAGGCATCAGAGTACAGATGTCGGCAGTCCACACTCGCAAGCTTTGGATTGGGAAGCCGTCTCACCGATGCTCTCCAACTTCCACGCCACGAGAAGTCATCTTTTTGGTCGTTGATTGCAAAATCTCGCCATAATTGGTCAAATGTCGAGTATGCGTAGAGGCCGCGACAAGTGCTGCCCAACGCGACCAGGGATGACTCATCCAGGAATTCCAATAACATCAACAGTAGGCTGTCTGGCAGCTGACCAAAGGATCCCATGTATTTCTGGGCATTCTCAGTCGAGGTCAGGGCATTTCCTGCCGGTCGCACTCCAAGAGGATGCTGGTCGGTCTCATCTTCCAGGGCTAATGAGTCCTCCGAAGTTTCCTGCTGCTCTTTTAACACATCATGGTCGTCTAGAATTGGTATTTCCGGGACTGTATCCGGCAACAAAGTTGTAGTAGAGATCATTCGTTGTTTTATGTCTAGTCGAGGCAAAGTCTCAAAGTCAAAGAGATGCACGTGAGGAGTACTACTGTAACCTGACGGAATAGACTACACGAGAGCAATCCAGCATTGACTAGAATGACAGTGAGTTCGTTTGATTCGAGACTCAAAAATTCCCTAGGACATTTGCCACTGTGGAAGATGATGGACAAGGCTGGTCTGAGTAATAAAGGCAAAAAGCCAAAGTGTTTGGGGTTTGGGTGGCTATGGTCGCCCCTAGCGCATTTTGCCAAGGCAGTATTTAAGCCTGCGCAAAAGTCTCTATCCAAAAAAAAATTTGATCTTGATCTCTCCCTGACATTTCACAACAACACTTTCACACAACTTACTCTAGATCATCCGGATTCTCACGAAAGAGAATCCTTTGACCTAGAAAACAGCACAAAAGCAGTTTTTTGAGACTTAGACGCCGCAGCCGCGCCTAGGTCTTTTCTCACGCCACCCTCACCCCGCGCTTTCAGATCACAGGCGCAGTTGCCAGTGATCCCACGACTTCTTTCGCAATCATGGCGGACAAAGGTCTCGAGGAGGTCCCAGAAGGTATGTGTTCATCGATCAAATGTGATGCTGACGGGAATGTCTCGATGGCATTCATGTCTCGCAGCCACGCCATGGACCACAGTAATGAATATTCGCTAACTTTTCTGACAATTAGGCCAAATCGAATCCAACTACGATGAAGTCACCGACTCCTTCGATGCGATGAACCTGAAGCCTGAGCTTTTGAGAGGTATGTTGATATTCCATGAAACTGTCAAAAATCACGGGCGGCGCTAACAAAATTTTCAGGTGTCTACGCCTATGGTTTCGAACGACCATCCGCCATTCAACAACGTGCTATCATGCCCGTTATCAAGGGTTCCGACGTTATCGCTCAAGCTCAGTCCGGCACTGGCAAGACCGCTACCTTCTCCATCTCTTGTCTTCAGAAGATCGATACCAACCTCAAGGCCTGCCAGGCTTTGATCCTTGCTCCTACCCGTGAGCTTGCCCAACAGATTCAAAAGGTCGTTGTGGCTATCGGCGATTTCATGAATGTGGAATGCCACGCTTGCATTGGTGGTACCAATGTTCGGGAAGACATGAAGGCTCTTCAAGACGGTCCTCAAGTCGTTGTCGGAACTCCTGGCCGAGTTCAGGACATGATCCAGCGACGCGTCCTCAAGACTGACAACATGAAGATGTTCATCTTGGATGAAGCTGATGAGATGCTTTCTCGTGGTTTCACCGAGCAGATCTACGACATCTTCCAGCTCTTGCCCCAATCCACCCAGGTCGTCCTTCTCTCCGCCACCATGCCTCAAGACGTTCTCGAAGTCACCACGAAATTCATGCGCGATCCTGTCCGCATCCTCGTCAAGAAGGCTGAGTTGACTCTCGAAGGTATCAAACAGTTCTACATTGCTGTCGAAAAGGAGGAATGGAAGCTGGACACCCTTTCTGATCTCTACGAAACTGTCACCATCACCCAAGCCGTCATCTTCTGCAACACCCGAAGAAAGGTCGACTGGCTCACTGACAAGCTCACTGCTCGCGACTTCACTGTGTCAGCTATGCACGGTGACATGGAGCAAGCTCAGCGTGATGTCATCATGAAGGAGTTCCGCTCCGGCTCTTCTCGTGTCCTGATCGCCACCGACCTTTTGGCCCGTGGTATCGATGTCCAGCAAGTCTCCCTGGTCATCAACTACGATCTCCCTGCCAACCGCGAGAACTACATTCACCGCATCGGTCGTGGTGGACGTTTCGGCCGAAAGGGTGTTGCTATCAACTTCGTTACTGCCGATGATGTGCGCATGATGAGAGAAATCGAGCAGTTCTACAGCACTCAGATCGAAGAGATGCCAATGAACGTTGCTGACCTCATCTAAGTGGGGGTTTCTTGATTGCAACAAACCGACCAGTTCCATTCCCAGCATATGGAAGGCGTTTTGTTGCTGCTACTGGTTGTACGCGACTGCTTGAGAAAAGTGGGATGAAGCTTGCCCTCCGACTGCTTGGCTCAAATGTCGCCGCAGCACGAACAAAAAGTCATGTAATTTTTCAGACTTGTTAACGGGGATTCATCGCTATGCGATGAGCATACGAGAGCGTGGTGATACCACATTTGACGGCTTTTGAGTCGTTACTGGTGTGGCACCTCGCGCGGGCGTTGGTGATTTTTATTTCCTTAATATGCTAGCTGGCAATCGTTGGCTATCGTCTCTCAGACTTGCACTACAGAGTGCACTTCATAGCATTTCTCATGTGACACGAAGGATGAGGACAATTGTTTCTGCGATAGACTGGTAGACAAATTGAGCAAATTGTGAAAAAGTTCCATGGGTGTCGACGTCTTTTTACGCCTTTTCTTTCCACGACGGTACTTGTATTGTGCCTCATTTGCAATTCCTGTCACTGACCACACAAAATCATTTCTGAATGCTCATCGATCAGTGCCAAATATCTCTTACTTGTCTATGTGCACAATGTTATCTGATCGAAAAGCCACAGTCGGCTACGCAGTCGACCTCCTCCGGTTCCATCAAGTGAGACGTGAGAATGCCTATCTCCATGCCCAGACGCAGGCCTACCACGACGAGCTCACTTTGACAAAAGCTGAGGTGAAAGAGCTAAAGACCGCTGTGCAGCAATGTCAGGCTGATTCAGAAAATTCACACTCTCTATCTAAATGGTACGAATTAAGGGCCGATCAACAAGGTGATCAGATCAGACGACTTCAAAGGGATCTTGAAATGCTCAAGGCAGAAACATCGAAGCACCAAGATGAATCAGAGCGAAACCTTACACATGCCACAGCCGAGACAAGATTACTAGAAGAAAAGCTCTTCTCCCGGATTGAGACCCTGTGTCAACAGGCAGCTGATACCTCAAGATCTCGTCTCCAGACCCTTAATGTTCGACTCGATGGATTCGAGGCCGTTCTTTCAAACAAGGCTGATCTGACGCTCGTTGAACGACTGCATCGCTCTATAGATCCGACACAGCCTCCTCATGCTTCACTGGATTCTGTGAGCCGCGTTGATAACAGCGTTGAAGGTACACACGATGCCTGCTCTGTGGATGCAATGGTTGACATGACTCCAAGAACATCTAGGTTTACAGGTGCACGATTCCCAGGCAACATACCTACCAGAGATGCCAACAAATCCTCCTCTGAATGCCCATCGTGATGCTGCTGTCAAACCTGCAGTACAACCCTCAATTCCTTCCGACCTGGATCTGGATGAAAATGTAAACACTGTCAGTTACGCAGGTCATCGAGTTTTCGGCGTTGACGAGAATGATTCGCTAAGCTTCTTGTCTGAGCCTCGAGCACCAGCAGATGAACTCACCAAAGCCAACAATCTCATGCAAGAGAGATTCGAAAGCTGGGAGCATTACTACTCCCGAGCTCTGCGCCTTGTGCAGACTTTACCTGCTACCTTTGAAGAGATGGTTGTACGACGATTTGCCGAGGGTATATTCCAGACAGTACAAAGAAAACAATGCCAACAATGGTTGGAACTGAAGGGATGGGCTTGGGAGAATGTAGGCTCATTCGGCAGTATTAGCTCGCAGGTTCCGCCGACACCAAATTCGAACAATGCTGGGAGCGTTGAAATCTCAGCACGTTACTCTAAGAAAGTGGAACTGCTGTTGGGGCAGGGAGGATTAGCTAAATGGAGGATGTCAAATACCTTGGCCAACGTTCCAACTGAGAACAAGGAGAAACCTGCAACGGTGTCGCTGCGACGAAGCCAGCGGCTAATCGAGAAAGACAACCGAATAGCCATGGAAACTGCAAAGGGATCAATAGATTCGGGGTCGCAAGTGATGGGTGGCAAATTCCAGAAGAACATACCTGATTCACGCCTGCAGAAGCGCACCGGCCAGAAGAGAAATGCACCAGTGTCAGAACAATATGGAACCCTTAGACCCAAGGAAACACATTTTGCATCAAGAAAAAATGACAATCGACATCTCAAAGCTACAGCAGGGCAAAATGCTGCGGCGGCCCGAGGCAGGGGGCCAGACGATGAGGAGGGGAAAGCACAATCGACTGCGATGTGCAAAGACACTGAGAGCATTGGACCGGGATCAAGCGAACAAGGACCTACAGGAGGCAATCGTAAGAAGCCTCGAGGTCATGTCAGGCATTTGCCACGACTCGTACCGCAGAAGAGGGTATTCTCAAAAGCTTCGAACGAAAGCAGTGGTGACGAAGGGTATCTCTACGAGCAGCCCGTCAAGAACAACGATGCTCATGAAATGCCTGCTGCCAAATGCAGACGTGTAGAGCGGCGCCTTCCTCTACCGCCACCTCCAGAGATTCCCATCGTGTCAACCTCAAGTGATGGGTGAAGACGCATGCCGCGTGGAAGATGGACAGAAGTAAGAGAGGTTCGGGTTTTCCTGGGAGCAGAACGTGGATGGTTTTAATATGTCGGCTGTCTTTCATTATAGATGGCTGTCCACAGTATGTCCAAAGTTTTGTGAAGATCGGCAGCTTTGAGAAGTCTCTGAGCGAGTGCGTCAAGTTTCCTTGAATTCGTATGCTCCTTCCGTGGTGTCGTCTACCACTTGCACCTCAATTCTTGCCTCGACCACCTCCCTACCGTCTGCCTCTAGACCGCATTTTACAACATCTCCTCCAACCAGTGGGCCTACACCCTTCGGCGTCCCTGTCAGGATGATGTCGCCCTCTTCCAAGGTCATGACCTTGCTGATGTCGCTCATCATTCGGGGAATATCGAACAGCATCAGGTTGGAACTGTCCTTTTGCTTGATGGTGCCATTGACGCTTAGCCACAGCACCACGTCGTGGGGGTCAGGTATCCGGTCAAAAGGAATCTCATGGCTTATGGGCAAGAAGGTATCAAAACCTTTTGCTATGCTCCATGGCAGACCCTTCTTCTTTGCCTCGTCTTGCACATTTCGGGCGGTCAAATCTATGCCAAGAAAATAGCTCTTGATGTAACTCAGCATCTTGGAGTCCGAAGCTTGCAGATTCTTCAGTCCTTCCGGAGAGGGTGTCTTTCCGATCACTAGACCAAGTTCGACTTCATGATGCAAGTTGACCCCGCGAGGTCGAATGACTGGCCCTTTGTTCGGCAGCAAGATAGAAGAGGGAGGCTTGAGGAAGAAGAAAGGCTGTGCTGGTCGGGCAGAGTTTAATTCAGTGATGTGGTCCCTGCATCTATGTCAGCGTTCCTGGTGAATCCATCTACACCTTGAGATGTTGGAATGCATACGCATAGTTTCTGCCAATGCAAATGACCTTTCGGCAATTTGCTTTGATGGATGCCATCCTGGTGTTTGTTGCGCCGGGGCAAGTAAATGCGGTGCTTGTGCAGACCCTGCGGCTATCGTAGTCCGTAGTCTTGGTGGAAGCCGTGCTCGTATCGTAAAGCTCGCCCTTGCTCCGTACAGAACTTGGTTTGCACCTTTAGCAATTGGCGGGGTTGGAAGCTTGCATCGGAGATATTTTATCCGATGTCGGATTTTGTCGAGAGCCTTGTAGCTTTTTCCCGCCAATCAGGATGAGTTCCGGCAATACATATCACAGTCGCCGTCATTCCTTCCATGGACTCTTGCTTCGTGAGCAACAGACCCTTGCATAATCTTTGCTTGAGATCATCTCAAAATTCTCGGTTCTATACACACCACCAAGGTGACATCAGCATCTTACCTTCTCCCCGGGTTCACTCCTCTTACCACGGCTAGCAGTCCGAGATCCAGGGTTGCTAGCTTGTTATGCGTACCAAAAGCCTCGAATACTAGACGACTTCAAAAATGCACTCCGCCTATTCTGCCTTGCATTGCATTATCAGGTAGATGCGTTACAAATCACGCTCTGCGAAGATTCTAAGCTCGCTATAGACGTTTTAGGTTTGACATCGGACACAGGGTGTCTTTCTTTGCCGCCATCGAAGAATGCGAGGTGTTTACGAGACCTCCCTTTCCCCCATGCCCACCCGTTCATCAGTTGATTCCACCAGTCATCTCCTGATTTCAAAGATCGCTGGATGAGTTGAACTGCAACAGTCAGATATCAAAGACCAACATGCACACCACCTGTTCGGGCCTAGGCCCAGCTCTTTGCAAGTTTTCGTTGAGCTGATCGCAGTGTGCGACGAGGTGGACTTCTTGCTTACAGCCCTGATCACGTACAGGCAAGACATCATCCCCATCAGACCACTGTGGCGAGCAGACTCATGTACAGCTAATCTTGCTGTGTCCACAAATGATGCTTCTACACGGTGGATTGGTGGCGTCTTCAGGGATACCATTGTCTTGGTTGCGAGCGTCGAACTCGCACCATGGAGTGGGCAATGGTTACACCACACCGTGGTGCAGATCTTCCTTTGCCGCATACAGCCTCGTGCACATGTGCGGGCCATTTCCAATTTTTCTCAAGCTCTTTCATGGCATCAGCGGTATTGAGGCGAGATCTTTCGACGTCAATGGCCTGGTTGATGACAATTCATTCTCTGGTACCGGACTCAAATCGAATGAGTCACTCGCTTGATCAACCCATGACATACGTGAAGGTGAATTAATCACTGTATGATAATTGCACAGGTTTGTGTATTGAGAGGCCTAGGTCTGATCGATCGTGCGCAATTTTGCGGCCGCGTATATCGTTGAGCTCGCCTCTTGCAATTCCAGCTCGCCGCTTTCCAAACACAATGCATTTCCCAGTCACCTGGTAGAGTGGCCATCTAACCCCTGGACTGGTCTCCGGTGAAAACAAGATATGAGCGCAATTTGACCACACTAGGATTCACCAATGCTCGGCTCAACAGCGGCTTTTAAGCTACAGTGAATGGCCCAGGATGCCGATTGCCTCGCGTTGCAATTTTCCCTGACAGCATTGAATTGGCTCAAAGCTTACCAAATATACCTCGCGTAATGGCTTGCATGGCCTCTGGGGGCGCTACAAGATTTTTTGATACGAGCTGGTAGACTTGTATTTGCCAGAAGATGATGTTCGGGGCGTGTGGATCGCGCTTTGGTGCGGGTCTTGTTCCGATTAGGCTGAACAATCTTCATCTTCTAGATATGGTTGGCGGACACGACTCCAGCCGAGCAAGAGGCGTGGATGTTCCTGGTTGCATACCTTCATCCCTATGCCCAAATGCTTCCACAGGTACTCGGGACCCTTTTCTGCTCAACCTGCGGCTGCCATTACTTCTCTAGAAAGGGGATAGCCTGTGCACCGGTATACCTCTGGATCATGACAGCAATCGAAATCGTTCCTGCTCCATCCATGGCGGCCATGGAACCATCACCCAGCTTCTGCGCCATGCGCACATCGGATCTCACTCGGCTGGTGACTGTGCCTGTGTGAAATAGATATGGATTACTATGTCCTGGTTGTAGGGCTGCCATGAAGTGTGGCAAGTACATCAGTCGCCTATTCAGTATAGTCATCGACTCTCTGCAATGTCATCTTCCTCCTCATCACGACGCGGGCGAGCCAGAGCTAGCAGCAATAGTACTCCGGACTTGCTTTGGGTCAATCGGACCCCGGAGTCTGAGACCTTGTCAGCCACACGACAAGAACGAGATGAACTCCGGACGATCACCAGCCATGCCAGACACTGGCGGGCTGCATTGCGTCGACAACAGAGACTGTACAGCGCACAGAACGAAGCAAGCCGTGTGCAAAGCGTTGTCGGATGGGGAAGACAAGGCAATCCCTCAGATACCAGCTCTGCAGAGACTTCAGCAGCACCTTCGCCTGCTCCACTGAACACCACGACTACCACCACTCCAGGAACTCCTTTTCCATTCCTCGAAACGCCCGATGATGCATGGTGGTCGCAGGCCATGTTTGAAAATGCCGTGAATGTCTGGCTACCATCCATATTTCAGAACCTGGATGCTCTGGACGGGGCTATATCTCCGAATTCGATCGCTGACACAATCAATCGTATTGTTCAGGGCTGTCGTGACAACCGAATGCATATGTACTCTCTCCTTGCGGCTAGCAGCGGCTTCTTCAAATTCGTGCTACATCTCCAGCCGGACCGCAACGATGCTCCAGAATACTGCATGAGTAAGGCACTTCAGTACTTACGACACCATCTGTCCGCTCAAAGCCAGCCCGGGCCCCAAGTCGACGAAATGTTGATCTTCGATCTGCTTGCCCTTTCTACATTCGAACGGTACACCACAGCCTTCGAGGGTGCAAGGACGCATCTCAACATGGTCACCCACCTGGTGCAGATGCTGGGTGGCATAACCGCTCTTGAAGCACCCATGCGAGCGCTATATCGAGTCTGGGATCTTCAGGTCGCAGGGGGTAGCAGAGACACACCATTCATTGCTCTTGACTGGGACCCTGGACTACTACCGCATGAACAAATGCGTGATGTTATCCTCCCAGGCCTGGCTAGAAACGGTATTGTCCCCAGTGGAGTGGCGTTGGTACAATACGGGAGCAGGTTGGGTCCTGATATGCGGACATTGGTCGTCGACGTGGCTCAGTGGTTTCAAGTGTTGCAGTACTGCCATGTGACCAATTTCTCACGATCCGCAATAGAGAGATGGTCTGCGCAAAGATCCTATGCTCTTGTCCATCGGCTGCTTGCTATGCCACATTTCGATCCAGAATCTCCTGGTGGAGCGCGTGGCCTAGTTTCGGAACGTCTTCGCCAGCTATTTTTGCTCTTGATAGCGGATATGGAAAGGACCCGAGCTGCAAGGTCAGCCTCTGCAAGGCCGACAATACCCATCGCAGACTCATCAAGATTCTCCTTCACAGACGTGAGTCGACTAGGAGCCTACTGGGGTCCGGATACCGAAGGCACTCAACAAGGAGATGTCCAAGACGAAGAGCTCAAGTTGTGGATGGTTTATCTAGACATACAACTGGCGCAACGAGATGAGGACCAACAGTGGTTCATCGGTCTTGCCAGGAACATGACTGCACGACTTGGTGTCGGGACAACTGATCATCTTGTACAGCTCATGTCAAGGTACGTCCATCGCTGTACGGTGACGGGCATGCCAAATATCGAGAGGCTTGAGAATTTGGTGGAATAAGGCTGGATTCCATGTCGCCCATAACTCCTACATGTTGCGATGATAACGTCCAAGCATGAAGCCTGTGAGTCTGGTAAGTGACTCCTCTGAAGCCCATACTAGGGCGTCCTAGATGAGTAAAAGGCTATTGACATACCTCTCTAGAGAGCTTTCAAGAATCTGTCTACTGTGACAGTCAAGAAATGGGAATGTTACTGAAGAAAGACTGTACACGCCGAGGATTGTAGTCGGAGTTACTTTGCTGAATTCACATTGATACCCTAGGGAACATGTACCCGAGTTTTCAAAACAGTCATTTTTCAGTTCACTACTTATAGAATATATACACATTCGGACATGGAAGTCACTTGACACAACCTCTGCCATGTTGAAATCTTTCAAACATGCATAAACGAGGGAGGCGAGAAACACACACACACACACACACACACACACACACACACACACACACACACACACACACACACACACACACAAGCACACGAACGCGCACCCGGTTCCTACTCCCCTCGTTCATACATTGGCCCTATCGTGGCTCATGATCAACATCATCGTCAATTCTATTGTAGACATTATTGCTAATTTTACAGTGTGCAGATTCGGAAGCGTATGCATCGTGCAGCAAGCAAAATGTTGCTGACTGTTGGGGCATGAACCATAACAGGAGATGGAGATTGTCCGGGAGTTGGTGCTACACTGCAACGTCCCTCACCTGCAACCGCACCCTCCGTAAACGAGACGAGATTTGGGTCACAGCAGAGTGTGGGTGGTCATGCAGGGTCTACTCTGTTTACGGCGAACGGGGGGTTGTTTGATGTGTACGTATGTATGCAGTGGTGGTCTCTCCTACTCTATCCCCGGCCTCTGACTGCTGCCCCTTCTTGTGTTCATGACCATCACTATTGCCTTCCGTACGTTTTGTAGCAGCGAAAATCACAGGATCAGAATGGTAACACCTGTGCGCACGTCTTGGGTTGAGTGTGAAAGGAAAGGAGAAGCAAGATGCTTGAACCTACGCTGGTGATGTCCCAACGAGGAAAACGGTTTTTGCCACCTTCGGCTTCCGGCGGTTTACCATTTCCATGGTCCCATGTATGTCGAGGTCAGAGGCGAATTCTCGCATCAACGCTTAAGGGTTGACTAACGTGGTGGTGTGGTACGTGGGAATCAAAAGGTCAAAAGGGTAAGGGTTGTTGTTGTTGTTGTGGTTATCAAGCCGAGAGAAGCGGGTGCTTTCGTAAGCGGCATAAGCGAGGCCTCGAAGTAAGCGAAGCCCCGTCCTTGTTTTCCATATGTAGAGAGAAGAAATATCGGAGTTTGGCATTTTGTTTGTTTGGTCATTATTGTTTAGTTTATTCCGTGAAAACGAATGACAACCATGCTTTACTTCTCCGTGTACGGATGGTTTAGAATTCGATCGTCTTTGCGGAGTAGAAGTGTGATGGAAGAAGAACCTCGTGGCAAGAGTTATGTTACAAAGAAGCTGTGCAGATATTTGAATTGGTTGCAACTTCAGAAACCGCATCTCCATGTACGAGAAGAACTATGAGCCGCTATGAGATTTCGAAGAGAACAATGGCCATGCATACTGCCAGATCCTCGACGTGGGCCGCAAGTTCATCACGCACACCGGGTCATCATGTACGGCTATGACGCCGACGTCGTCAACTTTTGGGCCGAAGCGAGCCAAAATCGCCTTCATGGACATTCCAGAGACCTGTTCGTAAACCTGGGAAGACTGAGGAATGATACGGAGACAGTTGAGTGAACGGAGACCCGCGTATCGTTGCGACAAACTGACCACTCTCCTTATGTTAGAACAGCAGGCCGATCATCTTCGTTGTACACAGCATGGGCGGTCTAGTTGTTGCTGATGCCTTGCACCGAGCCAAAGACGCCCTGGATAAGTATGAAGAAGACGTCTACCACTTGACATACGCCATTGCTTTCTTGGGCACGCCTCATCTGGGGGCGTCACTGGCATCCTGGGCCTCTGTTGGTGCCAAGTTTCTCTACCCCCTCAAACGGACCAACATACCCTTGGTGGAAGTACTGGAAAAGCGATCCGAAGAGCTTCGGGATATTCAGCGCCGTTTCCATCTGATGCTGAGCAAAAGAGCGACCGCCTTCTCACAGCGATCATCCGATTCGCCCTACCCAATCAACCTTTATTGTTTCTTTGAGTCTGAGGCATTGAAAATAGTGGGCAAGGTCGTTGAAGAGGAAAGTGCCGTGCTGAACGGTTGGGGCTCGGCTTCCATCCATGCCAACCATATGGGAATGACTCGCTTTCCACATGAGAATGACGATGGATTCAGGAGAGTATGTGGGCGTTTGTCGGTCTGGGTTAAAGAATTAAGGGCTCTACGCTCAGGCCAGAACAGCGCACAAATAGCAGTCCAGACTTCCACTATGCCTGGGGCTACGCAGAGCTCCGAACTGGAGGCTTCCAAGATCCAAGGCGTAGAGGCGCCGACCTCAGTGTCGGCTCAGATACCTCCAGCCACTGCCCTGTCACCACTCCAACAGCATCAGCAGCAGCAGCAGCAGCAGCAGCAGTACCAGCCGTCCCCTCCGCCGCCCCAACAAGCTGCCGAGGCCCCGAGTGAGACACCAGACCCTGGGCAGGAGCAACCGAGTGAATTACCAGATCGGCCGGCACAGCAGGGTCGGGGAGAGCGACCAAAACAGCTGCCCGCATATTTCCCGATTGGACAGCCAGCAAGAGAGGAGAAATACCCAAAGAAATCCAAAAAGAATAAGAGCACCGGCCCAACGTTCAACTTCAATAAGCCCCGTGGAGGCCAATGGCAGGTAGCAGGGGGTGATATAAACAATCGCGGACGTGCATTTGGCGGTAAAGCTAGCAATGTAGAGGACGACAGCGAGGAGGACGATTCTAGCGAAGAGTCGGCCGGCGATGATTGAGTTTAGATGCTCGCACTCGTAGCCCTTGAGGCTTGTATGGTGACGAATGCACTACGGTTGTCTCAGGCTCGTCTGCGGCTTTGTGGGAAGCTACTTCCGCACAAGCAGCGTGCTCACGTGTTGATCCGTTAGACCACGCGACGCCCTCTATGAAGGGCACATTGGTCCAGCCCGGCGGCCTTGCTGGTATGACGACCTCGATGGTTGCAGACTTGGATTTGACACTGCTCGGCAGCCCCAGTCGAAGAGACCACCCGATGTTGGTTTCGCCCCGTGACAGACACAGGCGACCGCGGTCGTCTGCATGATGAAGATGACGACGAAGGCAAACGTACTGCGCTTTTCGATGCATGACTCTACAACACTATTGAATCTGATCATGATCTGTATCGACTTCAGAGTTCTGCACACGGACAGCTGCATCACTTTCTCCATGACCGCCCTTGTCATTGCTCTCTTTCGCAGTGGTTGAGCCCCGAGGATGTGGGTATGGAGATGTTGCATCGGCGTATGCGTCACTAACGTCGTGACTCGAGGCGTGCTAGAGTCTTCGCAAGCGATGCCGGAGTAAGAAGGGTATGCCGTGCTACGGCCAAGCTGAAATCGATCTGAGGTGCAGCTTACCTCCATGACAACAACGTCGTTGGTAGCCGTCGCTACCCATTGCCTGGCGCTTTTCACTAAGCCATCCAGTGGAGGAATGAGATGGACATCAGAACGATGCTCGACGTACATGGTGACTGCCGAGAAATCTGGCATATACGCACAGCGTGGGTAGGGGACACTTGTGGACTCGGTCATTAAGAGGCACATCAAGATGTTTGCTCTATCATCTAGAAGACCTCATCAACCACAGGGACTTGAAGAACAATAAGTTTGAGAGTCAGGATGATATACCGGATGACTTTCGTCGACAGATCCTCGTGGAAGAATAGCAGAGGCGCGGTCCTAGCCTAGGTTGCCACGAACCACCCGAGGACTCCGTGTCCAGAGTAGGCAAATGATATCGTGTGCGTGTTTCATGATATGTATTTGCATTATATATTGCCATTACAGCATTGCATCAATCTATCTGTTCTGTGCTATACCACAACAAGCTCTATTCCGCACAGTTTCTCCAAAGCCCTCTTTCCAAGACAACGCTCCTTTCATCCGTATACGTTCTAAATCCCGCAAGCAGGACTATCCCAACGCCGGAGCATATCTCTGCCTGAACATATACCTAGGTATTTGGCTCTGGTCACGGCAATCATCATCATCGCCGACGACACCCGACAGTCAGTTCGCCAATAAGAATCTTCTTCGCCACCTGAATGAAGCTCGTGCTGCTTCACCAGTGGCTATGCGGTATGTCCAACAGACAGGACCAGCCTCAACACATGCAACGAAGGAATCTGGGTGCGTTGGAAAGCTACTATGTGTCGACGGAAACTCTTAGTGTTGAGCTCCGAGACTTCGCTAGAGGTCAGGTATGTCCTGTGTCAATGTTGAGTGACATTTGCAGCACTCAATCTGCCGGCTCTTTTCAGGCGACTTGCAGTAGTGGTAACACCCTTCAACGTCTCAAGCATCGGTAAACTTGGGAGGATCATCCGAAGCACCCGAAAAGCTCAAGGGACATCGGCTAGTGCGACAGCCACGGCAGCACCAAAAATCGCAGCTTCATCGGTCGGCCGGAGTACAATCTCTTCGGGAACAGATCGTCGCCCTTCTTCTGACAACATCTGTCGAAGAAATTCTTCGCATCTGCTCTTGAACCCCGGGTATTTGAGGATGACACTTCCATTACACGCAATTGAAGTCCTTGGCACACCCGACGCTGACTTGGGATTAATATCAGAATCTTTCTGCAAAGCCCATAAGGCATGGATGGCCACAGATATGTATGCAGATGCCCGATATGAGATTGCTTCGGCTGCCGTTCGCAAGAAGGCAACTTCTTTCGTAGTTGGGGGATTTAGCAACTCCAGAGCTTTTTGGATTGCCGGAATTGAATCCTCGGCATTCTTCGACTTGTCCAATTCCAGTCTGGCCATTATCTCGGTGTCCAGAGAGTACGGTTCCCTCAAAACACGTGGCATGGTTCCCTCGAACAATTCACCCGTTTCGACGCCTTCAAGGATAATCAGTCGGAGAAGCTCGCCGAGATAACGACCAGTGGTCATGTATTCTAAAGGTTGGAAGTCGGGTCGTTGATGTTGTTGGTTCAATGCTTCATCCCATCGAGTCTCCGGTAGGACCGACTTCCCAAACATGGATATTTCGGTATTCGTGATAACCTTGTCTGCCTTTTCAAACCACGATGAATCTCGTGCCCCGAATTTGGATCTTCCCATACACGCCACGGGAAGGAATGCAGCCGCGTTCGTTCCAGTACCAAGAATCAACCCCATGGAAGTGGCAGGCTCAATATAAGCCTGAGAAAGGAGTGTGGCCGAAGAATCGTTGATGATTGCTTTGACATTGACATTAATCTGCTGACGAGAGCATGCGGACTCGATCAACCCAGCCAGATCCATACCGATGGTGTCTTCGTGACAGGCAAACCCTTTCCCCATACCCTGCATCTTTCCACTCCGGTGGCTTGTTTGTTCAATGGGGAAACTCCAGGCCAGCCCTAGTGACACAGACTCATGCTGCGACCAATCTTCTGGGTGTGCTTGTAGAATGTCTCGAATTCTACCAGCAATCCAATCAAAAAACTGTGTAGACGGCAGTCTTCGTATGCGTTCATCAATTTTGAAAGCGCTCATATGCTTGACAGTCATGGGGGACTGCTGTCCACCTCTTCCACATAATTCCACCATAGCCACTCGGAACGTAGAGCCACCCACATCAAGGGCGACATATGTCCCCTTCTCTTGGCCGGTCGGTAAGGTGTGGCAGAAGGAGGGTAGCATGCAGGCTTGGCTGTCTTGCAATTTGGCCTTGTACTGAATCCGAAGAGCAGATGACATGGACAACATTCGACGCATCGTGCAAGGCTGTCTGAATAGGCGCATGATTTCGTCCTTTAGAGAATCGAGGGTGTAGGGGCCGGCTGTGGTCTCGACCACCGTGACCTTGGTCGATGAGGACTTTGGTGACACCGCCATGGTCTTGAGGGTGGAGGGAAAGAGGAGCATCGCCGCCAAATGCCGCAGAATGCTGCGGAAGAAGTCGAGGAGGGTCATGGCTAGGTAGGTGAGGACGACGACGGTGATGGGGATTCAGTGGGATCGTGGTGAAGGGTAGTCTTCTAACCAAGAAGACAAAGAACTGGCATCATGTTGAACGGGTCTGTTTGAGCAACAAAACACCCCTAACAAAAGGAATGAGATGTCACGAGCAACACAGAGTAAGTGAGGGCCGTAGTGACATGCCAGTCAAGCGATGTGATAAAGGGCAGATGGAGTGGCAGTAGCATGACATGGGAAAACAGATATTTCCCAGTATGCCACACAACACAACACAAGACTGGCTACTGAGGTAGTTGGGATAGTGTAGATTTCGAGTGCAACTACAACAGAGAGGAAACAAACATCCCTTGTGACGGAGGATCTGGGTCGTGTACGGGAGTACTCGTAGAGAGGGAATGTTGCGATGGAGTGGACTACGGTGACAGCCGATGAAAAAAGGTGGAGGAGATGATGTGCTGGGACGAGGCGCGATGAGGGGAGGGAGGATGGCCACAGTTGGTTCTACAGGTAAAATACTAGGTACCAGGTACTACTGTTTGGGTGGCTAGGGCACCGACGCAGGCAATGAAGTTACGAGCAATAGGTGAGGTACGACCTCCAAGACACCTAAAGAGGCCACCACTACGGAGTATTGAGGACCTGTTCGGAGTAAGCAATACTTCCGCACCCTCGTACAGTCTGAGTGGTAGTACTCCGTAGCAGTGGACGAACTGTAGTAGGCGCAGGCGCAGGCTAGTAACTCGTACTCGTACTCGTATGGACCGCCGGAGGTCGGCGTAGTGCACCGATGGAGAATTTCGCGGCGGCCAGTGTCACTTTGTAGAGTCGTGAAATACCGTTACATCAGCCAGTCTCGCCTCAACAATCGACTCAACGATCGTCCTCATCCATGCCGACTATGTAACTCGTCAGATGTGCCAAAACTCTTTGAGTATCATTGATGATTCTGGATGTATCCTGGCAATGTCCCATCGCGCAATCGGACCCGACCCATCCCAATCCTCTGGCCGCCGTGACCTACTCAACGCTACCTATTGACTTCCACTGCTTGCAAGTGCCGCCATGTCTCGAGTTGTTCAACCTTGAATGGCGTTTCCCTCCCAATATGCGTGATTGTGTAATACATGGGGATCAGAACTGCGGAACTGTAACAGGTTGATGGCCGGACCCTCTGACTTCGAAGTCTGGGGAGTCGTTGTTTCCTGGAGGCCGAACAGATCATGCCATCTTTGGAAAACGGCAGGTAGAGACTACCAGACCACACGTCCTTGGGATGTATCTCCTCGGCTTCCGAAACAGTACTCGTTGCTTTTTCCCGACTGTGTCTATCTACCTCCCTCTGCCGGTAAGTCGTCAAAGTTGACGCAGTCAAGGATGAATCGGCGACACTGCGCTGGTCATTGTCCGCCGAAGCCTGCATCCTTGTCCCTTGTCGAGTGTGAAGGCGATTTTATGGAGATGAAAGCTGAGACAGCGACCTACCCTTGAACACTTTCCGACCATCGCGATTCATTTGAGGAGGAGTGTGTTGTCAAAAATGATGAGTGTGCTAGGAGAAATAGTGAGGCCTGCAGAGGAATATAGTCGACGTTTGCCCCTCTTCAGTCCAGTTTCAAAAGCGAGGCCCTCAGAAAAGATCGAGCCATGTTTCCAGCAAACACCTCAAAAAATATCTGGGGTCTACGATGCAGGAAATAGAAACCTGTCTCGGTTTCGACGACGAGCCCCCCTCACCATCAATTGGCCCAACAGCTCGTACACGAATGAATGTGCAGATACAAACGCCTTGTTAGCGTTGTCCATTGGGTTGTGCAACAGAGTACTAGGGTCAGAATGTTACAAGTTCTGCATTTTGACAAGGACATGCGGTCTTCCTAGGATCATTTGTTGTCATGTATCTGCTAGGAGGGACTATTGAAATCCTCGGCAACAGTGGCTCATTGTACTAGCGGTGAATCCCTGCCTGAAGATGACCACCCCAAGACGGCTGTAATCTAGCACTGCATATTGTTCAAATCCTGATCTTGTGTCTCGATCTGCGGTCCAATTTGAATCTCGGCCGCCTCTGGTGCGACGTGGAAGTTTTAGCAAAGCGTCAACTTCTTCAGGACCGTCAAACATTGATGCTTGACCGCCACTTTCAATTCTCTTTCAAGATGCACAAAAGCCAAACAGCCCTGTTAGCAGTTACTGAAATTTCTGAAAATTTCACCACCACCATGGCCGAAGGAGCGTCTTACATGGAGAACAACTGTGTGTGGAAATTGTTCAATCCACCACACTCCGTAATCGTCTTTCTATGCCTGCTTCATGCGCAACATATTGGGGTTCACCAAGGATTGGACATTGGATCCTGGATGCCCCCGATCAATCGGAAATGTGTCTGAGATTAGGAACCCCGGATGGCTTTTCCCGCCTGCAGAGGTGGTTCCGGCAATTGGAAGATCCCTGCAATACTGTTGAACTAAACACAAACTAAAGCAAGCCCGGAGCGCCTCAAGCAACGCTCGTGGATCGAGCGAGATTCTGCAGCTAAACAAGCTGTCCGGGCTCGCCTTCGCTCGCTTAAGAAGACACCGTTGATGATCTGGCCTGGCTCGAAAGTTTGTCACGCAGAAGTACGGATGATATGGCTGAAGATAGTCAACTTGGGCTGTAACACTAGCAGCAAAAAGAACAACGAGGCCAACTGAAATCTGATTCGACCACTGGCAAACCCTCCATGGCGAATTCTGCCGGTGAACCGTGCGTCTGTCTCAGACTTGTTCTAGTGCGTGTTGAGCAGCGACAATAGGTTGAAGGCCATTTTCGACACGGCCATGCTCAACACCAAAAACGTTGGACGCTGCGAGTAACGAATTTTATACATGTTGAAAAAAAGACCTGGTGAATCAGGCCATGCATGTCTCTGCTTATGCAGGTGTTTGTTTGTTGTGGGCGTTGTTTTGGTTCGGTTGTCAAGGGCGCGATGATGCCTCCTTCATGTACGGCTTGTCTAGCTGCCGCAGGTCTCTCGAGCTCCTCCAGTCAGCAGCCATCTCAGCCTGGTTGAGTTTTGGGTATGACAGTTCAAGGAGCTCGTGGGGTCAAATACAACCACCAACCACCATCCTCGCCGGTAGTCTGCTTCGTCGGCAGACCGTTGTCCCCTGCTCTTTTCTGGAGCCTTTTCCTTGTCGCATGGTTTGACGTGCCGAATATGCAGCTTTGCTCGACCTCTAGCATCCCCCCAGTCATGTCATGACAGTTTTGCTTCCTCTTTTGTCACTCTGCAGTTTTCTCTATTATCTCTACCAGCCATATCATGGCCTGCAAGGCTCTGCGCTTTCCTAATCGTCTCTTTCATTATCATCTAGCACTTCGTTGGTCTCATGCTCGTACTGTGTCGCAGACTCACCCCACAAGACCTTCATGTACAACGGCACAGGATCTACTTGTTAACCACGTCAACTCCCTTTGACACTTCCGCTGACATCAATGCTCCTCTCATGCTCACGCAAGCAAGTCAATGCTTAAGCCTAAATCCTCATATACTATAGTCCTGTTCACGATATGGAATCACGAATCCGCAAGCTGTTTCATTCTCGGAGATCGAAATCTCAGCACCATGCCGACCACTCCGAGCTAGATCTACACAGTATTCCTTACACTACGGCGACACCCCAGAGTCGCCTGCCAGTTATCATTAGCCATGCTTTACGAAGGTCTTCCCTTGGAAAGCGTCAAAGTGACCTTACGACAGATCTTCGATCTTTCTCGTACCAATCTACCCTCCCGGGCAAGCCGCCTCAACTGGGAGAACGACCTCAGCGAGGCAATGGACCGGTGAAATTTCAGACAAGCCGTCGGCTGAGCTCCGGCGAGGTTCTCATCAGCCAACACGATTACGATCGAACATTGGAAGACATTCGACAAGGCGATATTATCCTCGCCGGCAAAGAGCGAAAGAACCCACGGGCATTGTCACAGCCTTCAGCGTCAATGCCACGACCGAGACTGGCAGTCCTCTCAAGTGCTCCCAACTCACCACGGTCGCAGTCGGCTTTCAGTCCAGTGCGCCAACTAGCGGACCAATCCCCCCAAAATGAATACTACCCACGATCGCCCCCGGCATCGTCCAACTTCATGCACGAGCGTCAGTGGTCGGTTGAACAATCCTATCCCTCCGCTGTGTCTGGCCCAGAAGTTATGGGCCTCGGCATATCCAGTCCAACGCATTCGCTCTTTCCACGTCACATGGCTTCCACCGCATCTCTACTCGAGCCTCATGAAGAAGGCAATCCTACTCTACAGGCCTTGTGGAGGGCAGAGCACAGTCGCCTTACCTCCATATATGGGGAGGATGGTGTGGAGGGTGCCATATCGGAACTCGAAAAGTGTAGGAGTCCGTCCACCAGTCATTATGATTCAAGATCAATGACACCATTCATCTTGGACCCATCTCCGTCATCGACTGTATCACTGCAACAAAGTCCATGTCTACAACATGACTTTGGGAGAGCCAGAACTCCGCTCAGAAGTCATATGTCGACTTCGAACCTTGAGCTTGGGTATCGTGATGATAACTCTGATGGCTCCTCTCGTAATCGACATTCTTTTCTCTCCAACAGCGGAGGATCTTCCTTTTTCACTACACGGACCAGCATGGTAGAGGAGTCTCCGATGACTAGAGATGATCTCCGAAGAATAGTCGATGATATGCGAATGACGTACCTCCAGGCGCTTGAGGCTGAGGTGCCTCCCCCATTAGAGAGATTGCCTGACCTACCGATTCCCAAATCTAGGGTCAAAAAGCAGACCCAATCGCTAGCTTCATCCGCGTCTGTTGAAAGTGGCCTGAGGTCGATGGCCGGTCGAAGTAGGACCACATCTTGGCAACCACCTTCCACAAGTCGGAGGACATCAGCATTTTCCCCATCCATCAGACCACAGAAGAAAAGAGCCAGCTCTGGCCACAGCCGCAAGACGTCAACCCAGCCAGTTGCTGGCATCACAGCATTGTCACCCATCAAAGCAAGCCCAGCGCGTCCGAAAAGGGTTGATGCCAACCAGGAAATTAGCACAGGATTGAAACGTGCCGATTCCACCACTTTGGGCTCTTTAGCAAAGGAGCTGAAGATCCTCGACAATCGTTCGTCCACTAACTCATCACATCCGACGCTTCCCTCCTCGCCCACATTTTACGACTCGTCGAGCTCTGAATCGATTCCCGAAATCTACAAGAATGCTCCTTTGGTGGCAGTGAAACCGCTGACATCTCCTGCGCCACCCACCCCAAGAACGCCTCAGCAACGAGTCGAGAGTTTCGATGCATCCGCTGGTGATACGTCCTCGCATGAAGAATCCAACCGTTTCTTTGCGGACGCAGATATTGATCTCGCACTTGACTTGGATAATTTTGAGTCACTTTGCGATGAATTTTTCAACTCTCCAACACTATCAAGCGACAATTTCAGTCATGTATCTTTTGAGACAGGGGACGGGAGAATGAAGGACAGTCCCGTTGCCGGCACTCCTATCTTGAGCCCATATTTAAATGAGGTCAACTTCCCTCTTCCCTTTCATACCCCGTCCATGAACACGGCTCCCCCTGGAATGTTTTAGGGTACGATGCACTTTTCGCCCTCCCGACTTTCGGCTTTTCGACTTTTCGGACGACCGATTATCATTTTTAACTATTGAATTTTGATTACGACTACCCTTCCCGTTTTCTCTTGGTTCTAACGACTTTTGATGCCATTACTCTTGTATTGACCTTCTACGATGTCCCGGAAATTGAGCTGAAGCGGCCGACGTTGGACGCTCTACTTGTTTCCTCCACGAATTTTCTTTCTCTTTTTTCAGCCGACCTTTGTCGACGACCTTTGTCGACTTATGATGTTATGTATCGATTTGCTCTAGAATAGTGTTCGGAACAGGCTCATATTCTGTGACCAGTCTGTGGGAAAGGTTTCGGTTGGGCTATGAGAAAAATGATGGCTGCTCGCGCGGCAAAAGACCCAGAATTGGGTCACTTTGATGATGTTGAAGATTAATACGAAGATATCCGAGGAAATGTACTCCGTATACTTGCGGTTTCTGCAAGGGAACGAATGAACATAAAAACCCGTGTTTGAATGTTTCGCATTTGGTTTCTGATTTTTGATAAAGGAGAGAGTTGAAGTGACGAAAAACATTCGCTCGTTCTATACCCGACGACTCGTCATCCTCCCCAGTACTAGTTCATACCTTTGGAACATCGACTCATGTCCCAATGTCCTGATCAAGCGTGGGATGATCCTTTCGCGAATGCTTCTGACAGTCAAGATGAAATTTAACCGAGTGTTAACCGTGGGAATTTCCACCCTTTGTTGACTTTCCCCAACGAGCCAATGTCAGAATTAAATATGGTATGAATGTCAGATGGACCGTTCCGATATTCTTATTCCATTTCAGTATTGAGACGAAACACGATCGAGACGCTGTTACTAGACTGGATGACAGTCCTCTACAGGTATTTTACCAGTCTCGATGTCGCTGTTCATTCCCACAAAGCTGGGGCGATACCCCGTACTCCGTGTTTTAATCACAATCCCCACGGGTCACGTATCGGTACGGGGGAAGAGAGGTACCGTACTGATACAGTGACTGGTTATGTCTATGATGATACTCAATAGGTTGGTCTGATACGAGTAAGTACACGTAACCTGCTCCATACACCACCCGACGACTGACCCGTCATTCTGGGGAAGTTCTCCCACTACTTGGAGCAGAAGGGCACGATGGGATGAGTCCAGTATACCGAGCTTCTTCTATAACTCTGTTCCATTTGGCTCGGGAAAAGGATGGGACAGATAAACTATATAAATCTCCTGACTTTCAGGGTTGTTGAATGTCCACCTACACCGTCTCTTGCTTCTGCCTCTTCTCCGTTCTACAACACCGCACTCACATACCTTGTTCCACCTACTTTGCCTGAAGCACTTCCCCGAGGCTTGATCGAACGTTTCTTACTAGTCTGTGGACACTGTGGACAGTGGGACCTGGCGACATCAAGCAAGCCAAATCATGGCCAAACTGACAAAATACAACATCCTCATTTGTCTCGTCGTCTCCTGGGGAGGGTACGCGTATGGATTCGGCTTCGCCATCTTCGTCACGAGTATCGGCCAACCGGGCTTCTACGAATACTTCGACCTCGACCCTTCGAGTGACTACTGTGCCAACATCCTGGGTGCCATCAATGCCCTCTTCAACTTTGGCCTGGCCGTCGGGGCCCTGGCGCAGGGCTACCTCGCCGACGTGATTGGGCGAAAAAAGGCCTTTTACATCGCCGGCGCGTCCGCCTTGGTCGGTGCCATACTCGTGGCGTCGTCGGTCAAGATCGCCATGCTCATTACTGTTCGTCTCCTTCACGGGTTTGGGTTAGGCATGCTGATCTGCCTCGTCCCTTTGTACCTGACCGAAGTCGCTCCTCCACATCGTCGCGGTTTGCTTTCGGGTTTGACGACGATGAGTTTTGGTATGGGATATTTCACGTAAGTTCGTACATCCTGGAAGAGCATGTAATTTCAATCTACTGTCCTCTCCTGTCTTCACGATTAACTGACTGGATGTGTGCATGTATTCTAGGTGCGCCTGGATCTCTGTTGGTTGCTATTTCGCTACAAACAGTACGGTGCAATGGCGTATGCCGTTGGCTCTAGCTTGTATTGGTCCTTTGGCTCTTCTGATCGGATTGCCTTTTATCCCTGGTACGTCTTGTCCTCGACAATTGCACAACAAACGCAAGAGATTGGAAGAACTAGGCTGACAGGAAGCGAAAAACAAAAAAGAATCACCACGTTTCCTTACACTCGTCAACAAGACGGATGAAGCTTGGGAGGTCCTGAAGAACATTCATCGTGATCCATCCGACGCAGACGACTCTTCTGCTCGTGCCGAGTTCACTCAGATTGTCCGACAGGTCGAGTTTGACAAGTCGATGAAGTCGGGGTACATTGAAATGTTCCGAAAGCCTTCGTGGAGAAAGAGAAGTCTTTTGGCCATATTCATACAGTATGTCTTGTCGTTCACCCACATCATGACGACCATACAAAGTCCAGATGTTGACGTTGTTTTTTGCATAGGTTCGCCGCACAATCTACAGGTGTATGTCCTCCAGAGTCGAATCAACTTCTCTCTCTCCCCCCTTCTCGTAACTAATACTTTGTTTCCAGATTCTCGGTATATCCAACTACCTTGTCTTGATCTTTGGAAGTCTAGGCATGACTGGTGTGATGCCTCTCATCATCTACGGTAAGATTTCTGACCTCGATGCCACAAGCCGTCGCTATATGGATTATTACGAGTCACTTTACGAACTGACATGCTCTTTTATTCGCGCCACACAGCATTGTACACTTCTGTCGGCACCTTTTTTGTCTTTGTCGCCATATATACAGTCGACCGTGTTGGTCGACGAACAATGTTTCGTAAGTATCCCCCCCCTTTTGTGTTTTCATTATCAACCAAAAGCTAACACGGAGAAAACAATGACACAGTCATTGGATTTCCTGCTTTAGCATTGTGTCTATTACTCGAAGCCGTCCTTCAATCACAATACCTGGGCACTGACAACAAACCCGGTCTTGGTGCCTGCGTGGCCATCATTTATGTGTATATTGTCTTGTTTCAAACCGTCGACGGTCCAAGTTTCATCTGGATGAGTGAAATCTTCCCCACGACCATCCGAGCCAAGGGCATCTCGTTGGGATTCTTCTCTTACTTTGTCGGTGCAATCACTTATACCACACCGGCCCCGTTGGCTTTTAGAAACATGTAAGTTGAGGTCTCGCAGCTGTTGTCGGTTTGTTTTGGGTAGTGTCTCAAACTGACATGATGGTGCGATAGCAAATACAACATGTATTTCCTGTACATGGGTTTGTGTATCGTATCGACCGTCATCGTTTACTTTTATTGCCCTGAAACGAAACAGATCCCGGTGGAAGAGATCGGTGCATTGTTCGGCGACGAAGTCATTGTTCACCTAACGGCCGATGGTCATGGGATCGTAGAACAGGAAGAGATGGTCAAGGTGGAACAGCAGGCGACTCATGAGGAAAAAGTGTGAACGAATCGTCGGTTGTCTTGTGGGAATGGACCTTTGATAGATACTCATAACAGTGATTGATCAAGCAGGCAGGTTTCATCCCTTCATGGTGTGAACCGTTGCAGGTCAACACTGTCCATATCGGTACTATTACTACTCGTAATTGCATGACAAGTACCAGTACAGAGTATGTATGCACCCAATGAGCAGGTTCAGGTTCCACCTCCACATCGTTGACAACAGTGAATTCGAAGTCGAAAGTCTAATAAGGATCCTCTTTGCCCTCGTACGTCAAGTTCTTGCCAGATGCTGTCTCTCGGGTCGCAGAGTCGATCTGACCATACGCACAAAGTCAGCCACGAGTACTCACTCTTGATCATGTATTGAAAAGAGAGAAAAGAACAAAGACGGTACTCACCACCTTGGTCATCCCATTGATACTCTCGTCAAGAGTGATCAATACCTCTGGACCCATGCCGAAGAATTTTGCTCCTGCCTTACCCATGTCTGTGTCGACGAAACTATTGATGACACAAATCAAGGTCAGTGTTCAAGTTTTTGTTTTGGGATGAATTGGGGCAAAGAGAAATCATGGCATTTGGTTGTTTCAAGCAATTCGAACGTTCACGTTCAATCGGGTAAACGAGAAGGGGAACTCACCCTGGTGAGAGAGGAAAGGCGATCAGGTAGGGATGTTCCAGATGAATCTTCTTGGTGATCCAATTCATGGCCGCCTTCGAAGGGCCGTAAGCGGCGTTGGGGACGGGGACTGTCTCCTGAGCTGCTATGGAACCCGCGATGGTCCCCAGAGTGACGAATTTCGGGGTGATGTTCTTGTTGCTCGATGACTTCTTGAGCAAGGGCAACACGGCTTGGAATAAGAGGGTGATACCGACCGCGTTCACACGGTAATGATCGATCATGTCCGAAGGTTTGGCTTCGGCCACGGCGGGCCAGATGGCTGAGATGCCGGCGTTGGCGACGACCACGTCGAGATTGTCGACGTCGTGTTTGGACTCGAGTTTTGCCACGGCATCGAGGGCGTCGGTCTCTGAAAGGCTGTCGATCTTGACCACGATCAAAGAACTCGAGGGGTCCTTGGGCAACGACTGGAGCGAGACACTCGTCGGGTGTTGTAGATCTCGCACGCCAGCTATCACGGTGTTGTTTGGACGTGACAGGTATGCGGCCACGAGACCTTTGCCGATGCCTATAGACTGTAAGGATCTGAAAGAATGGTCAAGCCTTTGAGGTGTGAAGAGAAAGGAGAGGAATAGTCACCTCTATTTCCACCTGTGATTAAGTATGTGGTCTTGGTGGTGGCGGTGGTAGCCATCTTGTATCAGTATGTCTCTATGTGAGCAATCCTTGTCTCATGTAGGAGGAAAGATCTCGACGAAAACTTGACATTCTGAAACTGCCATCTCCATCGCATTTTTGGTAAAGTACTTATACTTGATATTTTTGTGTCTTGACAAGTATATTATCAAGCAAATGTCAAGTGGTGGATCTATATCAGAGAAGAGCATACACAATGCACAAGTAGCAAGCAAGCACTCCGTACTGGGACAAATCTAGAGAATTCGGCCGAAACGTCCGTTTGGTGCCAATCAGAAGTCCACCCGCAATGTCAGAATTCATGTCAGAAAAACCAGTCAGAAAGCGCGCCTCGTGGTTATGCAAGGTCAGAAAATCCCTTCTTCATACTTTCTGCACTGTCAGAATAACAATCCTCAAGGACTGTTTTGAGACCTGGTATGAGCATTCTTGATTGGGGCGCGTTGTTTCACAACTGGGTCTGCGCTGTTGATTTCTCAGCATTGGTGCATTGCTAATGAGAACACATTGAGGCCAGGCATAGTGACGACTTTGCATCGAACATGCGCTTGTTGTCCTCAGTAGATATGCAATCACGCTCGAGGTTTGATCAACCGACAGTTGGCCGCTCCCTCTTTTCTCCAGTTGCGCGCGCATCAAGCCCGAGGGTTGTCAATAATTCTTGATAGTTTGCTCAATCCTTACTACCGTATTTCTCGCGGTAGATCTTCATCTGTTCGAGTTGTTCAGGGCCAGCACCTTGTAGTTGTCCAGCCTCGATGGCCTCGATCAGGTCCTCGAACTTGAGCACGGCGCGAACCGGAATGCCCAGTTCGTCCTCTGCGACTTTCATGGCACTCCTCGGTTCACTGTCACTCACTCTCTCTTGTCTGGTCAAAAGGAGAACCACTCCGACGACTATTCCACCTTGTGCCTTGATGATCGATACCGCCTCTCGCATCGCAGTTCCCGCCGTCATGACATCGTCGAGGATCACCACACGCTTGCCCTTGAGTGGTGCCCCCACGATTGTGCCCCCCTCTCCGTGATCTTTTGCCTCCTTTCTATTGAATGCGTAGGACACTCCTGCGAATTGCTTCCCGCTGAACTCTAGTTCTCGCGTCACGATCGCACTCAGTGGGATTCCCTTGTAGGCTGGACCGAATAGAATGTCAAATTGAGGAGAATACGGGACCTTTGAGTCTGAACCGGCTTCATCTTTCCCGAGTAGGAGTGAGAATGGAGGAGAGGTCAACACTGAGGCATAGGAACGGGCGAGCGCACCCAGCAGGGTGGACGTGTGGAGGAGGGAGGATGTGAAGAAATAAGGCGATACTCTGCCGGATTTGAGGGTATACGTGCCGAATGACAGGACCGAAGCCTCGAGAAGGAGAGGTAAGAGTGTATCTTTGTACGATTCGGTCGCCATGGCTGTTGCACGAGTGTTTACTGAGACTAGTTGTGGTCGTTTTTTTTCTTCTTGTTTCGGATTCCCCAAACAGATCACAAAAAGTCGTCATTTATTATTGCAAGCCAATCGGTTTCTTGGCGATCGTCAATCTGCATCTGCAGAACAGGAACTTTCTAAACAATCTTTACGACATTGCACACTCGCAGCTTCACTATCTAATGCCCGGATCCTTTGACCTCTTCTCACTTCTGCATATCTTGAGGAAAGACAGAGGCTACAAAGTCTCGGATAACATCATCCTCATTGGTGAATCCAGGTTGACCAATGTCTCGCAGGATCTCCTCAGCTCGTGCAATTGGACCCGGGGCATACGACATGTCTCTGCCAGAAACATCTTGATCGCTTCCTTTTACTAACTCAGGACGATCTGGAAACAGCTCACGGACTTTACTGCGCAGATCGTTCCATGTTCGGTTGACATGATAGGCGAAAATACGCTCGTTCTTGATCGACTTCGACGCCACTGCTGCTACCATCAGACGCGCCGAGTCTTGTACATCGGTAAAGAACGCTTTGATCGACATGTGTTAGCAGCTTGACCAGATCCCAGCTGTGTACATGAGAGAAGGATTGCTTACCTAGAGGAAGGGGAACGCCCTCCCACTTGCCTTGCAAGGCACGTGTCAATTGCCCAGTTGACGATGTGACGCCAGTGTTGAGGTTGTCCATGTCCAAAACACGACCAAACTGACCGTCTGGCACAACACAATTGGCAACAAACGGTGGGTTATTTGTTTTGATCCAATCCCAGAACGCAAACTCTGCTAGAGTTCGTCCCGCACTGTATACGTCCACAATCCGCTGAAAGGAAGAGTCTGTCGACTTTTGACGAGCTCTTTCCACTGCTTCATGGTTGAACATTTCTTCTGTGAGTTCCCGAGGCTCGCCATATATGGTGTCTGCGACTGCTTTGGAACTCGAACTGAGGACGTATCGTTGCACACCAGCTCGAGCGGCGCTTTCGAGGGTATTGATTGCGCCTCTCACCATTGGTCCAAACACCTTGGTGGGATCTGCATCGAAGATAACAGGCATGGATGGATATATGACTCCTGCCGCACCTAAAACAACCATGTCAGCATCTGTTTGGAGAACATGCCTTGGGAGAGTGTCAATACCTCGAAATGCATCTTCGAATGCTCTTTCGGCCTCAAAATCCGGAACCTGGACGAGGTCGAACTTGCCTGACCATGTCCGATCGAAGAGATTGTACATCCAACCGCGATGTTGTTCAACGTTTCGAACTGTTCCGCGGACTCGATATCCTGCTTGGAGCAGTTTCTCACATGTTTCCAAGCCCATATAGCCATTGGCACCAATGACTACAACAAGAGAGCCTAGAGGGATTGCTGGGTTTGCGATATGCATTTTGGTTTCTTTCTGAAACTAGAACTGCCTTTAGGTGAGGTAGGCTGATTTGTTGTCGATTCTGCCAGAAGCCATGGTGACAAAGGCATTGAAGTCCTCAAATATATACCTGGTGTTCGTACCATACACTGTTCTGTGAGAGCCATGATGAATACCAACACAGAATGGATTTTTCATAGCAGCTTACGAATTTGATACTACTTGTTGTCCCATTTCTAAGCATTCGATACATCTTCCTGGGACGTTGCAGGTGTATTATAGCAGAGTAGATAGGAAATTATAAGCAGGACCGGAATTCCGTGTGCGAGTCTCTTCATCTCTGATTTCCCTCGAGTTTCGAACTGCGCCTCGCAAGTGTATACTCAACCCTTCAATAGTACGGTGCAGTATATTAACACTGATGGCGATGTCGGAACAAACACGGGCGAAGTGGCATAAAATTTCCCGCACTTCAGGCCCTCATCGTGCATGTCATAGATGGACCGGACCAATTCATTCTTGCATGTGCAGACCGCTCACGACTGTGCAAATCTCATACTCCACCACGTTCGGCGGGATTGACTTCGGTGGCTGCGGGAAGCACCTCTTCTTTTCTGTCAACATTTCGACTCTGACAAACATTTCTCTACCTTGTTGAAGCCAACTTTTTTTTACACCAAATGCAGCGAGAACTTGCCGACAGGTGGGCTCGTAGCCGTTATATCGGTTGATTCGGAGGGGGAGGTAAACGCAGTTGGTCTGCGTCGTTACACCAGGGAAAGAGAGGCCCAACATATCAAACAAAAATACAAAAAAGAACAAACACAACAACTGTCGCTTCCGATCCTTTTAGCACTCCCTTGCTTCCCTTCCCTCCTGGCCGCAGAGAGCCACCATGGTCAATATGCATATCTCAGAGAAGCTCGCTTCGAATTTGAAGGAGAACAAACCCAGCTTCTCCTTCGAGTTTTTCCCTCCCAAAACTGCACAGGGTGTCCAGAACCTTTACGATCGAATGGACCGCATGCACGATCTTGGTCCTCTTTTTATAGACATCACCTGGGGTGCTGGTGGAAGAAACTCACAATTGACATGTGAAATGGTCAACGCAGCTCAAAGCCACTATGGTTTAGAGACTTGTATGCATTTGACTTGCACGGACATGGAACGCTCACAAGTCGACCGGGCCCTCGACCGGGCCCGCGATGCTGGTTGCAAGAACATTCTGGCTCTGCGAGGTGATCCACCCCGAGACAAGGAGAAGTGGGAAGCAAAAGATGGAGGATTCCGACACGCAAGAGACTTGGTCAAGCACATAAGGGCCAAGTATGGCAATATCTTTGATATTGGGGTTGCTGGCTATGCAGAAGGATGTGATGACAATCGAGACGTGGATGTTCTGATTGATCACCTGAAGGAAAAAGTTGACGCCGGTGCTACGTTCATTGTCACGCAGATGTTCTACGACGTCGACATCTTCCTGAACTGGGTCCGAAAATGTCGAGATAGAGGCATCAACGTCCCGATCATCCCCGGAATCATGCCTATTTCGACTTATGCATCGTTCATGAGGCGAGCCGAGTGGACCAAATGCAACGTTCCCAAGGAATGGTACGAAGCCTTAGAGCCGGTGAAGAACGATGATGCTGCAGTAAGGGACATTGGCAAGGATTTGATTGCCCAGATGTGCCGTAAGATTCTGGACGCTGGCATCTTGCACTTGCACTTCTACACCATGAACCTGGCACAATCTACGAGACTGATTCTTGAAGAGCTGGTATTGACCCCAGAAACCTCAGGCAAGCCACTAGAGAAACCACTGCCATGGCGTCAATCTCTTGGCTTGAATCGTAGGGACGAAAATGTCAGGCCAATATTCTGGCGCAACCGCAATACGTCCTATATTGCCAGGACAGCAGATTGGGATGAATTTCCCAACGGTCGTTGGGGTGACAGTCGAAGTCCTGCTTTCGGTGAGCTTGACGCGTATGGAATTGGATTGAAAGGCACGAACGAGGCGAACATCAAGCTTTGGAACAAACCCAAGACACTTCGAGAGATTACAGAACTTTTTGTCCGATTCCTCAACGGTGGATTGGAAAGATTGCCTTGGAGCGAAGGAACAATTTCGGCAGAGGCGAGCATCATCAAAGAGGATCTCCTCAAGTTGAACAAGCGTGGTCTCCTGACCATCAACTCACAGCCAGCTGTTGATGGAGCGGCCTCTTCTGATCCCGTTCATGGATGGGGACCACCTGGAGGATGGGTATACCAGAAGGCGTACCTGGAGCTGTTGGCATTCCCTTCCATGATCGACACGATCATCGAAAGGCTCAACGCCAACAAAAACCTGACCTACTACGCAGTCAACAAGCATGGCAAACTCATCACCAACGCAAAGGACGAAGGACCAAACGCGGTGACATGGGGTATCTTCCCTAACCGAGAAGTGGTTCAACCTACCATCGTCGAGACAGTGTCTTTCCTAGCGTGGAAGGACGAAGCTTTCCGACTTGGAGAGGATTGGGCCAAGTGTTACCCAGCCGGCTCCGCATCACGCAAGTTGGTCCAGGAGATGATGAACGAGTGCTACCTCGTGAACATTGTCAACAATGATTTCCACAACACACGCGAGATCTTCACCGTCTTCGAAGGCCTTGAGGCTGAAGACCTTGACCAGGTCTTCACCGATGACGGTGCTGATGTCCAAAATAACCCCTCCAGAGACGTCTTAAACGGCGAAGCCTCGGCGTCCGAAATCGAAAAGAACATTACGAATGCAAACCAACAACGGATCCCCTTCCAAACCAACGGGGTTGCCCCAGTAAAATAAACGGATGATCCTATATAGGACATGTGCTGTCAACCAGCTCTGTCGATGATACGCGTCCTAACGCATACGTGGCACAGGACACATTACGAGACTTTTTTGCTCTTAGAGAGACCCCCAGGAGCTTTTATCACGGTGGCATACTTCAACCACGTTTTGCCCCGACAAACCATTTTTGTTTTTATGTTTTTATGTTCCCCATCGGCGTTCCATGGCAAAGAGACAAGAGGGAGGTTGGAATGCACGATCAGAGGAAGAATTTTCCCGGCGGCATTTGGAACACCTTTTGATGGACTTGATAAAAAAGATTGGAGCGAAAAATATCTCATTTCAACATGATACCCCCCCAGAGCGTGACGAGAGAAGAAGAAAAGTGCGGTATTCCTGTTTTTAACGAAGCGACGATGTGATGTCTACGAAAGAAGAAGAAGAGAAAAAAAAGAAGAGAGAAGAGAGGGTGGTGGATGGGCACGGGCAGGTACTATTCTGCCAGAGTGTGGTGACTCGTAACGAGTGAGTTAGTTTGGTGGACTTGAGGGGGACCTTTTCAACCATAGGTCCCCCTTGCAACGACGTCCTCTTTTGTTGACAAGGTAGCTTAGTATCAGAAAGACTAGGAATACAACAAGTGTAGCTGAGCGAATATCTGTGCCTCATCGTCGCCATGTGAAGCCGCCTGAAAGTGGTGCTTTGTTCCTGATCGGTAATGAAACGACAATTATAGAGTCGAAGCGGTGTTTTTTTTAACACGGGATATCCATGTTATTATCCTATAGGGTAGGCCTTGATTATCTCGTCGAAAAGGATCTCTACGGGTACACTTGCTTTCATGACTGTCATAACTTATCTCCTTCTGTCGGAGGACTTGTCGACGGCGACATGCGGCGACCGTGGTTGTTCCGGCTCCAGCTCCCCCGGTTCCGCCGTCAAGGGGTGGTCGGGTTCTGCGATGATCATGTGCGGCGGCGGGCCTTTGGACGGCCGAGGAGATACTTTCCGGTCGTCGTTGTCATCGTCAGCCTTGACCGACGATGGTCCTCCAGCCGGCGGCACATCAGTAGCTGCCAGACCGAGTCTCGTCGCTCGAGGACTGGCGGTCAACGAATTCGCGATCCTCGCACTCGTCGTGCTCATTTCGTTGCCCGCTAGGTCAGAACCCTGCCCCACCCCGCCGCGGTGCCTGGCCTTTTTCAACTCTTTTGCCAACGAGTCGTCGCCGTCCTCCTGCTCGGTCTCGTCGTCGTCGTCGTCGTCGTCGTCGCTCCCGTCGAAGAAGCGATCGCTCCACCTCGCGCTGTCCTGCCTCGTCAGTCTCGAGAGGGCCGCCTTGCCCGAGTTCGAGCTCGAGTAGCTGTTTTCGCCGGCGGCACTCACGCGAGACACCAGCTCCGAAACGTCGTCTCTGGACTCGCGAATTTCGGATTCCGTCCTGGGTCGGTCGGGCCGCACGATGCGGTCGTCGACTTTCCACTTCATGTGCAGTTTATTGTGCAAGTCCTCGTCATGCAGCTTCTGGCTTGTCGGCGATGTTGCGGTGGACCTGGTAACATATTCGTCCGCAGTGTGGGCACGGATCGGGCTCTTCGCCGCAGCACCATCATCTTCTTCGGTCTCGTCTGCAGGTTGATCAGTCTGCCCTCGCACCTCTTCGCCCTCGACCCCAACCGCTTTGGCATCGCTTGCCTTGGCCCGTTCAGAATTCGGCTCGTCCTCGTCCCGTGTCTGCGCGGCTGCGGTGTATGCAAAATGCGTGTCGCACATGTGTTTCACCACGGGCCATCCGTACGCATTTGCAAACATACGTCGGACGATCATGTTATTATGTGCATCCGGTTCAAGTCGTACCAAAACCTTCCGCCACGAGAGGTCTTTGTGGTACGCTCTAGCAATCTTTTCCTCGATCTTCATCGATCCCACGTCTTGGCCGTGAGAAGGCGACAAGGTTGACGTTGAGGAGTGGCTTGAACTTGAGCGCGGGGGATTCGTGCTCCCGCTGGTGGTCAACGATGAATGGTCAGAAGGCATTGACGGTGGCTGGGATTCGCTTCGTGAGCCAGGTTTACTACGTATCATGAATGTACGTTGGCGCTTGGCAGGCGGCGGCGGTATGTCCCCTGGGTGATATACGCGATCGTGCCAGATTGTCCTGGGTCGAGCCGCTGGGTCGAGCAGAAACTCTTTCGGAGGTAGGGGAGGATTGAGCAGATCACCAGCTGATTCGAAGAATGTTGTCTTGGGCGGCGCTTCCACCTCACCGTTTTCTGAATTATTGGTATACAATGATGAGCCACGTACCATGCTCTTTCCAGGCTCATCTGAACCTTCGTCATTATCGCGGGAATTGTCTTCTGAGGTTGTTGGCGAACTCCTCTCGGAGGGCTGGTCGAGATGGTGCATTGTTTGCCCACGACGATAAATCTTTTTCGTCTTGTGAGCAGGCTTCTGCTGACCAGCCTGAGGCTTGAACAAGTTCAAGAATCCAGTAAAGATGTTGGGAGCTGATGTCGGCGTCTGTGGCTTTTCCACAAATTGATGCTCTTCCGGTTCGGCTCTTTCTTCGTGGTCCAAGCCCTGGCTGGCTTCTGCTTGGGGCACGCTTGATTCGGGATCCGGCGAGGGCATTCCTTGAGTGCTCATGTCATCGGCACTGTCGCCGAAGAAGTCATTCCAGGGAAGACTCTTTCGAGGGGCGCTTGCATTCTGACCCGTCATTTCCGCCCAGCCCCATTCAACCATGGTGCCGACCAATCCGTTCTCTCTTCTGGCTTTCTCAACCCGACCCAGACCTCGCCAGTCAAGGAACAACAGGCATGATGTTCTTAGTGGCACAATTCCATCATTGACCACATTTGAGTATACTGTTCTGTTTCGGAATTTCTTGAGGGCGATATGCGCAGGGCCCGTGGGCAATATCCGGAGTAGTGGCTTTGCACCAGGATCGGGCTCTCTCTGGGCCTTTTGGGCTTCAGGTGTCAAGCTGCCTATGACGGCACCCCAACCATTCTTTGCAATCGTCGGAGCACGCCAGGTAAGACCCAAATCTTGCCCAGTCCTTCCAACCAGGCCGAAATCGAGTGCAAACTTGACATAAACCGGATTTTCATTGCTTAGTCCCAAAAAGGGGGTAGCCATGGCGACAAAATTTACCGGTTTGATGAGGTCGAAGAAATCTGGTGAATGCTTCTGAATGTAAGCTACAGCGTACGTCTGGATGAGGCCGCCGAGGGAATGACCAATGAAACTGATGCTGGTGATCTTGTAGGGTAGATTGTGGCTCTGGTGGTTCTCATCCTTGATGATACTGCTGTTCTTGTGCGCTGGAGATGTGTCTGAATTCGGCGTTGGCTTTGAAATTGGCATCGACTTGGACAAGGACTTCCCTATCGAACTTTTGACCGGAAGATACGGCTGGTCCGGATATGTGAGTGAGAGCACGTATTTGGCGAATCGTTTGCCGAGATACTGGATGCCACGTTCCGTCCGCACGGCGTTGCCATTGAACCCTCGTACAAAGACTTCCTCTTCCTCGTCGTCAGTAGTCTCGTCTTGATCGGCTGCAAGCGCCATGTCCGGAACAGATTTCGATCTCTGATCGACGGCTTCTCTCCCAAACTGATTCGACTCGGCCATTCGCTGTGCTCTCCTCTCAGCTCGTCTCTCCTTCGCATCTTCGCGGGCCTGCTTGGCGGCGGTGTCGATCGTCTCTTTCATGAACAACATGTCTGCACCCAGATTACTGTGTAGGCCGTGTGTCAGCAGAACAAGATGAATCTTTTTCTGTTTCCGCTGCTTCTTATCTTGCTTCGCCGAATGGTCTCTCTTGTCGCCATGCACTGGTCCCTCCTCAACCTTGACATCTCCATGATCTTCCCACTCTGGAAATGGTGGTGAATTCCAGAGGCTTTCGGTATCATCAACTGCCAGTCTAACCGCCTTGGAGAAGACACCCTTCGGTTGCACCGTGTTCTTTGCCCGCTTCAGCTGGTGATCCTCCAGTCTCCCAGGGGCGCCCTGTCCAGATCCGATGACTCCATGGAAACCAAGGTCGACCGATTTCTCATCTCTCCCTACCAGGACTTCATAGTGTACACTCGCAGTCTTCGAGAAGATGATCTGTGAGGCAACTTCTAAAACCCAAGTAAAACTCTTGCGTTCTGCATGTCGTTTGCTGTCGACGTGATGCGCATCTTGTCTGACTTCTTCAGGAACCTTGAGCTTCGCGGTCCACGTTCCACCTGCCTTTAGCTGCGGCTCATATTCAGGTATGCCTTCTTCTTTGATGGTCTCGTGCTTCTTATAAGGGTCGAAGGTTGACGGATAACAAGAGACATAAAGAGTGTAGGGTCCATGAAGATAGGCGGCTCGCAAAGGAATCGCAGAAGTGTTCTTGATTTTGACATACAGATGAGCCGGAGGGGGGAGGATGCGATCGAGACTCGGCGTATAGGTCAATGTGTACCTGGAAGATATGGGTCAGCAGCGGTTTCTTGTACGACAGAGGAAGTCTTCTAACCTTACCACCTCACCGACCCGAACTGAGCCTGTCTGATGAAGCAGAAGCATTATGCCAATGCATCCTTGACCCGAGATAAACTCGGTCGTGAGAACGAGAATGAATCTGAAGAGGATCGGACGTGTCGGATGTAATTAGATTATGACATTATTGTGCTGGAGTCTTATGCATCTCCCCGCAGCGGCGCGCGTGAGCCCAAAATCAATGGGCACCACATGCCATACGGGGGTCACTGCGCCTCTTACGGAGTACGATAGGAAGAAATAGAGAGCCGCACCAGTCAGGCGGCCTGACGTAGATAAGCAAGGCTGGCAAGGCTACGACTACGATACTCAAATCATCACGTGTGCTGCATCCGTGTCCTGGTACATGAGGTACGTTGCGACTTTGCAGATGTGATAGGCATGATCATTCCCACTTAAAGGCTCGTTATAGGTGGCGACGTTCTCAATCAAAGGCTTTTGTGTTGTTCTACTGTGGAATACGTGAGGTAATTGGGATGATTGAAAGATAAGAGCTGCCCAATTCGAAGTACGGAGAATTGCCTCGAGTTCAGTAGCATCCTGCATGGAGCCTCAGCTTCAGCCTGACGCCGGCCAACACTCAGTATGTCGTCCTGTAGACACGATGTTCCTCATGCAATTCTTCCCGACGATTTTACGTTCGAATGCATGCAAAACCCATTGGTGTGTTTATTGCTTTGATTCGGCATAGTGGTAATCTCATCATCAAATACTCAGAATGCACGATTTCTACCATAATAGACTACTCAACGATCCCACCAAATTCCAGCCTCGTTCTGGCAATCGGTGTGTTGAGATCATCCTATCAAAAGTAAACAGTACCCGTCGACTGAAGTAAGTGCATACTGAATCCTCCTAGACTAACGTCTGCTCTTTACTAAACGAGCGGGAGCTTGAGGAGCCTGCCATACGGGACTGGGTATGCCGTGATCATGTCAATATCACGTACCCAGATGGTCGCGGGCCACGACAGCCACACCTCAGACTTTTGATTGGGAGCCCTGAGCAACACCAAGGCGACGCAGAGATCTTGCCGCTCCCCATGTCAAGAGATACCTTTGAGGCAGTCAGAATTGCATGGGGCTTTCCAAAGGAGCTTCTCCGAATGATGCTGAGTAGCCTCCCGATTGCTGATGACTTTAAAGCAACAGACGTGAGAGGGAGTCTAGTTACTGGAGTAATGATTCGAAGTGCAAGATCTCGCGATTGGAATTTCTGTCTAGCTCTTGCTTACAATGAGAAGACCGGGTTGCTCCATGGTATCTTGAATGGGATGCAGGCTGACGAGATTGAATTGCTTCTTGATTGTATTCAAAGATCTGGGAGGGATATTCTGGATTCAATGTTGCTTCCTATCTTCCTCCTCGAGCTGAAGGTACATTATTTTGCAGTGCTGCTTGAGAAGCGCGCAAGGGGAATCGAAGAAATTGAATACATGACTGGAATGAGGCACGGCTTCTCTTCCAACCCAAGGCGCAACATGAGCATGGTCAAGGATACCGAACGAGAACGTATGCTTAAAGAGCTGGACTTCGATCAGATTACCCAGAAATTGACGGGACTCACCGGGACATTGAGCTTTTGTGAAATGACATTCAGCTCGAGCTTGAGAGCTTTGAACAAAGTTGATGCTATCAGGTCGAGGCTTACTCCCCAGCGAGAAACCCGAGAAGAGGTCGACACTCGTGTTTCATATTTGAGGGAGCTGTTGATCGGCTCTCAAGCCCTGGGTGGTGTTCTCTTAGACCGCACAAAGGCTCAGGTCCAGACGGTAATACACTGTGGTTGACTTGTTAGAATATCGATCAGAGGTTAACTTCTCGGGACAGGTGTACAGCCTCATAGGTCAGAAAGACAACAGATTGAACATCGACACAGCTGCAGCGTCTCGGAAAATCGCCGAGATCAGCCTAGGTCAAAACACCGCAATGAAAGACATGGCTGAAGATTCGAGGAATGTTGCAATATTGACCCAGAAGGATAGCACCAACATGCGTATCATCGCGGTAGTGACCCTCCTGTTCCTCCCCGGAACATTCATGGCAACCTTTTTCTCTGCCGGCTTTTTCAACTTCTTTGCCGAGAAGCAACAAAGGGGTCAAGTTGTTTCCGAATGGATATGGCTTTACTTTGTCCTTACTGGAGGCACGACAATTGTTGTCTTTGTATGCTGGATCTGGTACTCGAAGAGACAGAGCCAGGAAATCCTCAGAATCATCAAAAGCGCATCCTCTGCAGGCACTGAAGCCGCCCAACTCAATTTTGATTCGACGAGTCCACATCACCTGTCGCTTCCAGTTCAGCAAGACGATCGATCTATGTCGATAGTACCAGGGGGAGGAGGAGCACCTGTTGCCCGAGTCATCAGCTCGCGGAAAACGTTTACCTAAACATATCGGTGACAAGGATCCGCAGTTAGAGTGATATAACTCGAGATCGTGGGAATGTTCTAGTTTCAGGTATCACAAACCATGCTGAATATTTACAAATCCATAGCAATATGCAAGCATCTCTATCAGAAGAGGTCTCGCTCGGATTGAACAAGTCATCATTATAGACTTCTCGGAGGATATGAGATTTGGTGTGGCGGACTATATGGGCTCTCAACAACAAAGAGCGAAGTTATGGTTCACACAAAGCTACAGGCTGCATGCGATTTATGCTAGGATCTAAGTATGAGTAGGGCGCTGAGGAGCTCGAGTACCTTGATGTTTCTTTGAGGCAGTGGCACCTACAGTGCTTTACTGAGAGTCTAGCACTAAGAAACTAGAGCTGTTGGCCACTGCCAGGATACTCAAAGGGCTCCCTTGATGGTTCTTTGTTACTAGGATTGCAACCCCTTCCTCAGAGAACACTTTTGATAATCCTCCCGTCTTTCTATCTCCTTCCATCGGATCCTAGACAACCAATCGACAAGCCCCACATTTCCACCTGATATCATGCTTATCGACATTTCGAAATATCAAAGGTCATACATTAGAGAAGAGCATATTCCAGTGGTCTGGCATCCATTATTCCTTCCCCATCCTCTTTAGTCACGATCCTTGTTTTCATGCAAAGGAGCCGGCTGACAGAGAACGTTCATCACGTAGGCTCTCGAAGCGGAAATCGTCTTATTACCTCGCAAAGAGCCTTACAGAAGTGTCATCATTACCACTCCCTCTTTTGTGAAGCCGAAAACAAAGAAGGAAAGAGTTGCAGCAAGGGAAAAGCCATACAAGCCACATGCCTCAGTCAGACGCTCTGAGAGGATTGCACAGACAACGCCAGTGAAGAAGCAAGATCCTTCTGGAGGATTGGTGCAGCAAGAAATATTACTTACTGATCCTCCACCAGAAATCAGAATGCACGTCCATGAATCTTTCACAAGCTACACAACGGAATATGATGAGCAAGACCAGGAAAGCATTCGGTGCACAAGGAGGCCTCTGACCTTGTTCTCACGTCAAGTCAACGCTGAATGGACACCTCTCTTCTTCAGTACGGCCACCATCCTTTTCAAAGCAGATCGCACTTCCAGTGTTGGATATCATGAATCAACAGATAGCGATGCAAGAGGAGGAGAGCGGACTCGAATCCAAGCGAGTATCTCGAGATACATCCGACTCCCTCTTCAACACTGTTCTTGTCAAGAAGTTGGAATACGAGCATGAGCTCTCTCAATCCTGCAGAAGACGACACTACCTTTTCCAACAAACACATATCGCTGATGACAGGCCTCATACGATTATCACATGCAATAAAACGCATGAAGCTGTCCTTGCCCAATCTAACTACGCTTAGTTACATTGCAAGATTAAACAAGCGGATGTATATTTGCTGCATGACTCCGGCACTGAACGGACATGTTGATAATGATGAAGAGTTCAGACGCATAGACCTTCACAGTCGACACCAGGTCTTAGCCCAGAGATTCCTTGGGCACAAGTAGGCCTTGCTCAGGCTGTACCGGTATTCAAAACAGTCACGCAGAAGATCCTGTTCTTGATGAGCCTGAGCTGAGTACGCGAGATACTGTCGACCCGAAGGCCCCTGACTGACGCAAGCCTCGCTGATCGGTATCACGTGACAGTAGCCTCGCCTGATCGAAAAGTGCACTTTGCCCTTCCCAAGTCGATCGGTCCACTAGACCGACCGCGATGACATTCTTTGGGGGCGTAACTCATAATTGACGGTGAGAAAGGGTTGTTTAGACATTGCATTAGCACCAAGGGCTACGTAAGGTGCGCTTGGAGGTAACTACGTACGAGGTATCATTCTGTTCGCTGATCGATTTGAACGAGGGAGTTCTCGCCTATGTGACACACACAACGCCACATGCATGTGATCCATACACCGGGGGAGATAATCGCCGCTAAAAACAAGAGGAGCGAGAGATCATACCCTGAGCCTTGGAACACCCCCGCACCTAATCAACCTTGACAAATACTCCGTAGGGTGTCCCGGCAGCAGTAATCTCGCCTTTTGAGGCCTACCACATAGGGGGACCCAGCTGGCAGATGGCACGTCGATAGGGTCGTGACCATTTGTCTTGGCCCTCAGTGCTTTTCGGCCATCATACCTTCGGGGCCAACGATTGCACTCGCAGGTGCCACGTCGGCAACCGTCTCGTCGCTGAATTTCAAATCCTCCTCGATATCGGTGGTGTCCTTGACCTTGATCCAGATGACGGGAGCGGCAATGAGGAGAGAGCCGGCCAACAGACCCCAGTTGGTGGCGAATTGGGCCATGAATGAAACATAGTTGGCATCGAGTTGTGGTGAGATGGCACCACCGGCGGATTGAATGCCCTTGTAGAAGCCGGCAAAATTGGCGAGCTTCCGGCCGTTGTTGGTCAGGGATCCCATGAGCCTAGACAAAGACACTGTTAGTTGATTCAAGGCGGCAACTGGGGGGTTAGATGACGCTTACCAGTATGCGGTGGTTTGCCACACGGAGTCGTACATGCCGTAGAAGATGAACAAGAACATTGGGCCAATGTAGCCCGAGTCAGTCCAATCAAGCTTGACATAATCGGGGGCAGTTGTTTCCGCACGGTTGTAGGTCTTCTGGAAATCGTAGCCACCACCCCAGATGACAAAGGTGAGGACGAAGAGGACGACCATGACACCTCTGGCGCGAGTCCTGCGGCTGAAACGGGTACTGTCGAGGGCAAAGCCAAAGATGAACGATCCGACAATCTGGAAGAAATAGTACAAGACGCTATTGAGGGCGCGAGTGCGGATGTTGAACTTTGGCAGATTGACATCTTGGAAATGGTAGGTATAGAACCAGTTGCTGGCGAAGAACAGCGGAAAGAGGAAAATAATGTACCAGTCGCTGAACAGGGTTTGCCAGAGACCGAGGAGTTCCGACTTCCAGGTGGGGTTCTTCATCATGATGACTCGAGAGCCGTCAGATCGCTCGACAAGCTTTGGGTCGCAGAGGAAGCCTGACAGAATGAAACCAGCTACCATCAGTACTATGAAGGCAATGTAGGTTCCATCCGCGACTTTATTGCTCTTGTTGTGGATGCTCTGACCCAGTGGGATCAAGCCGCCGATCACAGCTCCAAGGTTGAAGATACCCCAGAAGACGGCAATATATCTGCCCTTCGACTTCTCCGGAGGGTACGACAGCATGACGGAGCCTTGGGCAGTCCAGAGCAGACCAGCACAGACACCGAGAACTGCACCAGAAAAGATGAGGAAACCCGCATTTTGAGTATGGTTGTAGCAGAGGATCGCAGAAATGTAGAGACAGTACCCGAAACCTCCGATACCAAGGGTCAGACGAAGACCGATGGTGTTGGCAATGGTGCCCGCGAAAAAGCCGACGACAGAGAAGGTTGCATAGACAGCAGTGTTGGCATTGTTGATATCGTGCGCACTCACTTGGCCAGCCGCCCCCAAGCCGTTGACTGCGTTGTACATGCCGGGACACAGGAAACAGACCAGGGCAATAAACACGATCTGGAACTGCGGTGTCGCGTATGCAGGTATAGTGACCGGGCCGATCTTGAAAGTACGGTACATCCAAGCTTTGCCATGCGGTCTTGCTTCAGCACCCATGATCTCAGGTGCCGGAGTATCCGAGCCAGCACTCGTTGTTGCCATCTTCTCACTTGTGGGTTCAGACATTCTTCAGTAAGATAGAGGAGGAAGGTAGAGCAAATCTCAATTGCGGATGGTGAGGTAAAAGAGATCGCAGGCGTTGCGCCTTGACAAATAGACTTTCAGAAGGAGGTTGCTGTAAAGCGGAGTAGGGTTGCGGGATGTGAGACCACCTGGGGCAGAAACCTGTGGAGCCTGGTGTTGGTCTTCACCTTCAGAGTGTCGCGTGCGTTGGGAACGGAGAAGTCTCGAGGACGAAAGAGGGTCAAGGAAGATGGATATAGAAGTAGTCAATTGTCGAGAGTGACAACAGGTCAACGACACGGTGATAGTGAGCTAGGTTGCTGCGCTAAACAACCCTCACCATGAGTATCAGCAGACTGTCTGAGATGGAAAGATAGAAGAGTGACATTGTAGCATACCGACGCAGACACAGGAGCATCTGATAGAGCGAAGGCACTCAAGATAGTGGCCAACGGGCAGCCCCTAGTTGGTCCCCGAAAGGCGTGGTTCGTCGTTGCACGGCAAACGTACTCCAGACTCGTGGAGGTGGTGTTGATTCCAAGTGTCGATTAGAGAGGCTCGTTCAATCATTCAGGCTTAGCCGACGGCGACAGGGTATCATTCTGGTAAAAGCCATCCGGAGATTGATATGGCTCGCAAACCGTAAGCCTGACGGTGGAGTGCGAGAGATAGAACAAAGTCCTAGGGTGGTGAATAACTCGATCACCTGTGAGTGGCTTGCGGAGACAAGGGTGGTGTTGAGAGACCGGGGATAAGTACGTACTTGGTACCTAGGTCCATGTGTGTATGATTGCCCCTAGTCCTTTTCTGGAAGAACGGAGCACGTGACTCTCCCTCTCGATAAGAATGTTGCATCCTTCTCCGCCTTGACGTTACATACACCCTTGTGCTTTTTGGATTGCAACTCTCCAGAACAACGTTTCATCCATTACTCTCGTCGTTGCATCTTGTGTCGCTCCCTTTGGTCTTGCTCGTCGTTCATCTTCGGCGACGAGTCTCGGCCTTCGCTTCGTGTAGGGCTGAATCAACAGCTACATGACTACGAGAAATTCATCTCGTCTCTCTCGACCGCAAACTACTTGACCAAGTTGATACTACCAGGACATGTCGCCGTCGCGGCTGAACGTGCCCAAGCACTGCAACATGAGAGGCTTAGGGCTCGTGCCAATGCTGATTGCTGTACCACCTATCCTGCCAAAGCCGGTGAATTTTCTGAGGAACCACTCATCTCATTCTTTTTGCGCTCTATTCCGTCGTCTGCCGTTTCCAGATCCAAAGGGCCAGTAGAATTTGCTAATATCGTCTTATGCACTCACGGGGCTATGACGTGACACGCTCCTTGACACACTCTTATTCATCGCAGTCTGCCTTTCTTCACTTGACTTTTCTCATTCTTGTAGGGTACTCCTACAGGCAATCATTGCTCATCCATTACCTTATACACATTCTCACACACTTGTCCGCAGGCGTCAGTAGCAGATCTCAACATGGCGACCTCGAATCCGCGTGTTATCAAGTTTACGAATGGCTACCTCCTCAAGGACGGTCAGTTGGTCTCGGAAGATCTCTGGGTGTCATCGGAGACAGGCCGCATCATGAGCCCACAGACAGCATTCTATTCCTCGCGACTAACGGCAGACAAAGTTGTCGATCTACAAGGCAAGATCCTCGCTCCAGGCTTCATTGACGTTCAAATCAATGGCTCCCACAATTTCGACTTCTCCACCCCCAGTCCTGAATTTGCCTCCAGCTTCGCGCACACCCGGAGACAAATGATCAAGAGCGGATTGACGTCCTTCGTGCCGACCGTTATCAGTACCCGACCACAAGCCTACCGTGCCGTTCTACCGCATCTTGGTCCATCGGGGAAAGCCAGGGACTTTAGTGAAGGTTCGGAAAGTTTGGGAGCTCACATTGAAGGTCCGTTCTTGTCACCACTTCGTAATGGAATTCACAATCCGGAAGTGCTGCGGGAGGCCAACTCGTGGGCTGACGTGGAGGAATGTTATGGCTCATCCAATCTACAAAATGTCCGATATATCACTGCTGCTCCTGAAAGAGGGCAGATGATGTCCCTGATCCCGGACTTTGTCTCTCAAGGCATCGTATTCTCGGTCGGCCATTCTAACGCAACCTTCGAACAAGCACAGAATGCTGTCGCCGCTGGAGCATCAATGGTCACCCATCTTTTCAACGCTATGCGGCCCTTTGGACACCGGGATCCTGGCATCTTCGGTTTGCTTGGACAGTCGGCCCCTTCCACCCCTGTTTCGTCGCCAAAACACAGTCGGCAGGCTAGTATATCACCTTCGCCCGAAGGTTCACCTCGATCGTCGAGACGGTCAACACCTCGGTCTAGTCTCAGCATAAGCACATCAGTTGCGGATTTAGACGATGAAGCACGGTATAGACAACCATTCTTTGGCTTGATCGCCGATGGAATCCACCTATCAGCTCAAGCACTGAAGATTGCTTATTCCGCACATCCTGCAGGTGCGATCCTTGTCACCGACGCGCAGAAATTTGCTGGTTGCCCGGATGGTGCCTATGAGTGGCGCGGAGAAGATCGCTTTGTCAAGGAAGGAAAGCTACTGAAGCTCGAGAGCAATGGACGAATTGCTGGAAGTGTTGTTGACCTAATAGACTGCGTCAACAATTTCAAGCGCTTCACAGGATGTGGCACGGCCAAAGCACTGGAATGTGTTACGAGCACTCCTGCCAAGATGCTGGGGAAAGACGTAGAAGCGTCCAAGGGAAAGCTGGAGTCTGGAATGGATGCTGACTTGGTCGTTCTCGACGAGAAACTAGATGGGGAATTATCTGTACAGCAGGTTTGGAAGTTTGGAGTTCAAGTTGCTTGATATCGTCTTTGGTTATTGGCAAAGGTGCATTCAGCTGGGAGTTATCAAGGTGTCAAGAGTCTTCGGTCTGGCTTGTTGCAAACGACGATATGCCCTTGGGAATCTATCTGGGTTGATATATTTCTTTTCATCGGAATTTGGGCTAGGACGATATTGCGTCGAGAATCTTGAATTACCTTTTAGAATTGGTTGGAAATTCGTCCTGAACACTCTTGAAAATGAGTATGATGTATAACAGCACCCTTCAGAAATGGATTCATTCACTGTCTTGCGATTACGTCTTCATGTGTCGTCTGTGATCTCTTTACCGAGCTTGCAACCGGCAAAAGCGGCCTGTCGTCCAGCGTCCCTAATCCTCCCGAAATTCCTCGCGCACGGCCAACCACAGTCTCTCAAACGGTCTCCGTGTATAATTCGTGATCGCAGCCTTGCTCTAGATCGTGAACTATCATCTCATATGTCCTTACCCTGAACAGGAGGCTTCAACAATATGCCTCAAATCGTCATCGAAATATAGCACTCATTTCAATGGCACAACGGATGAAGGGCGACCATCGTGGCGCGGGGTTTCCGTGCTCCCGGCTTTGGCCAGACAGAATCAGGTCTAGCCTCATCCTCGCATTCTCTGCGCCCCGCGTCGATTTGTTGAGGACAACGAAGCTCGATCAGGCGGGAGGCGAAACTTGAGGCAAAGCTTCACCGCATCTCCGCCGACTCTTCCTCAGAACCATCACTCATATCCATCGCGTTCGATTCATGCTACAAAGTCACTGTAGTTGCCATACTTGATCTCGAAAGTGCTGTGGTCCGTGTTCTACGACGCGACCAGCCACAGCTATGACGGTCAGGAAGCTGTACACTCCGGAGTAAGCTGATTTAAATCATCTCAGTGGGCATCAACTGACTTGGTAGGGTTCTCTTGAGCGCTCCCAGGAGATCCGCAGCTGTCCCGAGTCCAGACGGGAAGCTGGCCTTGTACACACAATCGACATATTCATTTGAGAGCCACTCGAGAACAAATGAAATATGTGTCCTAGATCTCACAACAGCACAATCTGTCTGCATCAGCAAGGATCCCAAAGCCAGCGAACCTCGATGGACCGGGACTGGCCATGAAGTTGTCTGGCTTAAGGAATGCGACAACGGAAACACCTGCTTCGTCATCACTGATGCCACTTTGCCCGGAAAGTGCTATACTGCAGGCACAGTGCCTGGCCCACTTTCTAGTCTCAAGCTATATGTCATCGAACCAGGCAAGGTGGCCGTTGCTGTTGCCGGCAAAGCAAACCCAGATGGTAGCCTGCACAACCCCAAAGATGTCCAGAAACCTCGCAGCTCGGCCCGTGTGTATGATTCACTCTTCGTCAGGCATTGGGACACGTATATTACCGAACAACGCAACAGCATTTTCACGGCCTTGTTGCAGAAGTCCCAACCAGTCGTGACATCACGTCAAGGTCGATACAACGTTCTTGGATTCAAGAACGCTTTGCAGGGCTCAAAGCTCGAATCTCCGATCCCGACCTTTGGCGGCATCGATCATTTCGACATAGGCCCAACAGGTCTGGTCTTTGTAGCAAAAGATCCAGAGCTCAACCCTGCTACCCACACGAAATGCCAGTGTTATTTCCTTCCCAGAACAGATTTAATGGACATGAGTCCCCCCAAATTCCGCAGAATTCGCGTTCCCGGACTGAACGGCGCCGCGACATCGCCAGTCTTCTCACCGTCTGGCGAATCTCTCGCATTTCTCAAGATGAGTGTTGATGGATATGAAAGTGACAAGAATCGAATAGTTTTCGTGCATGGCCTTTCTGGTGACCACGAATTTTCGGCCACCGAACTCATGCACACCTCCGACGGCAAAGGTGGATGGGACCGCTCACCCTCGTCCCTCAAATGGAGCGTTGATGGCAAGACCCTACTTATGGAAGCCGAAGACAATGGCTGTGGTTGCCTGTTCGCATTAGATGTGGAGCTCCAAGCACCAGGCCCAAGCTGGCGACCTCGCCAAATCACTCAATCAGGCTACATTATCGATTTCGCCCCTCTTTCGGCCGATTCTTCCCTCTATCTCGTCTCGTCCAACAGTCTCGTCGATAACAGCACATACAGCATTGTTGATACGTCCGGAGAGCGTGCGACCACAATCATAAGCTCCATCTCGAACGGTGGCGCACGCTTTGGCTTGTCTCCTGACCAGGTCTCGTCGATCTGGTGGAAGGGTGCCAATTCTCATCCAGTACACGCCTGGATGATGCGCCCGTCATTCTTCCGCGCCGACCACAAGTACCCCCTGGCATATCTTATCCATGGAGGCCCTCAGGGAGCCTGGAATGACCAGTGGTCTACACGTTGGAACCCTGCCGTGTTCGCGGAGCAAGGATATATCGTCGTCTGTCCGAATCCTACTGGATCTACAGGCTACGGCCAAGCCTTCACGGATGCGATTCGTAACGAATGGGGTGGATTACCTTACGAGGATCTTGTCAAGGGGTTTGAATACATCGAATCGGAACTCGACTTCGTGGATACGTCACGTGCTGTAGCTCTGGGCGCATCGTACGGCGGCTTCATGATGAACTGGTTCCAAGGGCATGACCTCGGTCGGAAGTTCAAAGCGCTGGTGTGTCACGATGGCGTCTTCAGCATGACTGGACAGCTGGCCAGCGAAGAACAGTATTTCCCAATTCACGACCTGGGCGGTCCTGTGTGGGAACGACAAGAAATATACGACAAGTGGGACCCAAGCCGGTTCACGAAGAATTGGAGCACGCCGATGCTAGTGATCCATAACGAGTTGGACTACCGGCTCACCATCTCAGAAGGACTGAGTGCCTTCAATGTGCTCCAAATGAGAGGCGTTGAGAGTCGGTTCTTGAGTTTCCCCGACGAGAACCACTGGGTGCTGAAGCCGGAGAACAGTCTTGTCTGGCACCTAGTCGTGATTAATTGGATCAATAAATTCGCGGGCTTGCCAAAGCTAGTCGATCGGGAAGGTCGTGATGGATCAATGTCTTCCAAGCAGAGTCAGCCACGGGGCCTTGTGAGGAGAATTGGTGCAACGCATCTTCAGCAGTGATAGCACGCATGATTGTAGGAACGCAGCAAGGTGTTGGTGTAATGGTGGCTGGTTATGTAGGCTTGACTTGAGCATCAGGCGAGTTGGATTTGGATTTAGCGTAGGCGAGGGAAGGCGTGAGGTCGGTGGAAGAAGTTCGGAAATCTGGCACTTCTCAAGGAAGCCTGCATAGTGTGAGAGCGGAACGAAGATCTCGGCTTTTATACATGGATTATCTATGATACAGAGTCATCTCTAGACTTGAAAGAACCTTCTCTTTCAGGAGGCTAGTAACTGGCTTCAAACCAGAAATTACAGTATTCTCCACTGTGAGGCGCTGGAGCAGTACTCTATCCGCCTCCCGGAGTCGTGAATGTGCTCTCATTGCATGTTGATACAACAAGGCTGTGTGACCTTAGTTATTGCCATGCTTACTAAAGCACTCTTCCCTGACCACCTCAGAGAGCACTTTGTTATCCAAGGGTTTACCCTCCAACGGTCCTCCGGGACGTAGGAGTTCTTTCATGACAGGTCCGGGCTTAAGTTCTCCCCCTTCTCCTCCTCCTCCTTTCTGACCTCCTCTTAATGACTCTACCGTGGCTCGTACGATGCTGCGCATCTCGCCCACGTCCATCATGGAGACAGTGCCCATGAGTTCATCGACGACCGCAATTTCCGAATCCAACTTCTCCAGGAACTCGGGTCGGTTTGCGTCGATGGCCTCCTTCTTAGCCGTCTCGCTCGACGAGCGCCGCTTTCGGAGCAGGGCCAGGATCTGCATGTCTGTTTTGATCGGCGTGGAGGAGCTGGCGGCTTGGTTGATCTCTGAGATTGTGCCGCGGATCACGGTTAGTCTGATACGATGATGGCATTAGTCACTGGACTTTGTCTGGCAAAGCAAACACGGATGAATACCTGGCTTGGTCCTTAGCCCGCATAGCAGCTTTCAAATCCTGTTTGAGTTTGGCCAGCAACGGGGAGCTCGGTGCTGCAGTGGTCGAGTTCCAGCGAAGACCGGAGGTGGTGTGACGATATAGACATCTTGAGCAGAGTGATCGTTCCACAGAAGACAGGACTGATCGAGAGGCGCTTAGGGACGACATGTCGGACAGCCGTTTTGTTGTATTGGGCGATCGAGAATATGTTGTAGAACTCTACCTTGATCCGAGAACTAAAAAGATGTTCTGCTGTGCACGACAATCAGATTTCCCCAGATCTCAGTTGGAGAACAATGTTCCTGGGACTAAACTTAATCCGGTTGAGAATCTTTTGGTGTCGACACTCAAGCAAGGGATACTATTGTTGTATAGAGCGTTTCTCACCATTTGCCACAAGCGAACCATACGATATGTCTAAGTAAGTTCATTGGACAGTATGTCCTGGACCCTTCATTTGCAAGAGCCTTAGTACTAAGGCACAGGATGGTGCCTTGACTGGAAAGACCGGTCTTGGGAGTACCACCAACTACCAACTTGGCAAGACTGAAGGTTTGTAGATCTTGGAGTATAGTAGACGTTCTGGAGCACGATCTAGCATACCTATAAGTCATTTAATATACCTATATCCCTCTTCAAGTCCATAGTATAGAACTACGAGGCTGGACAACGTGTAGCTGCTGATGTAATCATGGCTTGGCAAGGCTGCCCTTCAATGAGCGCGTCTGAAGCTGCTTTGCCGAGCGCAGGGAAACATTTATTCAAGACGAAGGGTAAACCATATTTCCATCATTAATTGGTACCAAGTCTCCTATCCTTTGGCAGTTTCCTTGAGTCTTGGACGGAACCCTCCTCTAAATTTTTGATCGCCGCCTCGTGCGGATCGCGACCATTAATGCATTTCCAATAATTTCAACTTTGCGGTCGACGCGACTTTGGCAACCATGGCCACGACGATACCACAAACACCAGCCCGGCCAGTACCTGGTGTATGGCCTCAAACCCCTGCCACAAGACCTGTGATACCTGCTCCCTCATTCCAGTCTCCAGGGACGCCGCTCTCCCGGCCCAGCATTACACCTCACGGCACCTCCACAAGTCTCGTAACCACAAGAGCCGCCGAAACTCCTGCCCAAAGTTCAATAAGGCAACCTGAATCTCTCGAGCCTCTCGAGAGGGCCGCACGCACGATAAACGAAGCCTTTGCGAGCGAATCGAGATTCCCAGAGGTTGAGAACTACTTGGCTCAGGGCTATTCTGCAGACTATGATATCCAAGGCTCGACGACATGGGCGCCGTTTCAAAAGGCTGGGGTATACAAAATCCCGGATGAGATATTTGAGCAGTACAACAATGCGCAACTGTCCACGAGTATGGGACTCTTTGCGGAATTGAGGTACGCCTGGACGACCATCGACAATGCACTTTACATGTGGGATTATACAGCGCCGAAGCCTGAATTGCTCGGATTTGAGGGACAACCGCATAGCATTCTCGCAGTCAAGCTGGTGAAGCCCCGAGCCGGTGTTTTCCTTCCCCATATTACACACGCTATCGTTTTGGCCACGACCTCGGAGATAATGCTGCTCGCCTTGGGAACCGACCCCAGCCCGGGCGCATCTGCAGGACTTTCGCTTTTCCAAACTGGAATGTCGACTTCGACAAAGGGCTTGGATGTCAGCGTCATTGCCGGTTCGGCGAAGACTGGAAGGATATTCTTTGGTGGCCGGTCGGAGAATGAGCTCTACGAGCTCTCTTACCAACAAGAAGATGGATGGTTTTCTAGCCGCTGTTCGAAAATCTGCCACACTGCAGGCGTCGGAAAGTCTTTGACTTGGACCTGGGACTCGCTGCGAGGAGGGGACAAAGAACACGTAGAGCAGATTGTTGTAGACGACAGTCGCGACATGCTCTATACTTTATCGTCTTTGTCCAATATCCGAGCATTCCATAGGGAGTCGGATGGTACATTACGAAAGGTGATTGACAAGCCTGCTGTGCAAATTTATGCCAATATAGGTCACATCATCAGTCAGAATGAGACCATCAATCCTCGCGTCCCGATTGTCGCAATATCAGCTATTCCAGCCTCCGAGGCATCGAGGTATCACCTTGTTGCCACAACTGCCACTGGATATCGGATTTACCTGAGTGCGACAAGTTCGGGATACTGGTCAGCGTCTGGAGCGATTGGGAGTATCACGATGCAAGCACAACATGTGAAGACCCCTCCTGTGACCAGCGCGCCTGGACTGTCGCTGGCTTCCGTGAGCACAGATCCTTCCAGCAGCGTGCATGTACCTATCAAGACTTTGACCATGACAAGACTTGCAGCGAGATATTCTCCTGGATATTTTTTTGGGTTCGTCGCCAGGGATGCCAATGCCCAGGTTGATCAGTTATTTGTATCCGCTCCCGATGCTGGTAGACTCATTCGGCCGGCTGAAGCTGGTCAGCCTGGGCGCTCTACCGAGACTGCGATTTGGTTGTCCCTAGGCAGCCGTGCAGAAGATATCGGACTCGTGGTCCCGTATTCACCTCCAATATCTAATCCTGCCGGTTACGGCAATGACTTGGCTGTTCAGTTTGATAAGCCCACCCCTGAGGTGGCTGTTCTCACGAATACCGGCGTTCACATCATCAAGCGGCGACGACTGGTGGACATTTTTGCTGCAGTCAGCCGACAGGGAGGTTCTGAAGGTTTCCAAAACGAGGTCAACAATTTGATCAGAGCTTATGGTAGAACCGAGACCTTGGCAACAGCTCTCGCCGTCGCTTGCGGTCAAGGTGTTGAAGTAACCAAAGACACATACTCTGCACGGATTAACGACCCTGAAGTACTGGAGTTGGCCCGAAAGACGTTCATTGAATATGGTGGCAAGCCTAGTATCAATCAGAATTCGATCACCGACAAATCAGTACCGCTGATTGATGCTGTACGACCGTCACCCCGACATGCAGCAACCGCCCTATACATCTCCCGAATACTGCGATCGACCTGGCGCAATGTGATTGCAGTTGAAGCTACCACTCCCACAGGGTATCAGATCAATCCCGCTGTACCGTTGAAGAAGCTGCGAGACGTGCAAGAGGCTTTGTCATCTCTGCAGAGGTTCTTCAAGACCAACAAAAGTTTCATCAAGGGTCTAAGCGGTCCAGATGACTTGTCCAATGCCAGTACCAAAGATGATGAGATTGCCCTCAAGGGAGAACACCGCGCTCTTCATTCCCTGGTCAAGTTCGCTTCTGATACCATTGAAGGCCTCTCCTTCGTCCTTGTTCTATTCGATGAGAAAGTTGCGGAACTCATTCCACTTTTGCCAGAATCCTCGAGGCCAGGAATGCTCAAGTTGACCTTTGAAGAACTCTTCACGACAAAGACCGGCTACGATTTGGCAAAGGAATTGGTCAAGGCCATTGTTAATCGCAATATTGCCAAAGGATCCAATGTCGAGACGATAGCCGAAGCTTTGAGGAGGAAGTGTGGCAGCTTTTGTAGCGCGGATGATGTTGTGATTTTCAAGGCCCAAGAACAACTTAAGAGAGCCAATGAGGCAGGAAGCAATGCCGAGTTCTCTCGCAATCTACTCAACGAAAGCTTGAAGTTGTTTGAGCAAGTGGCACACAGCCTTCCGATGGACTATCTGCAATCAGCTGTCAAGCAGTATACAGAATTGCAGTTCTACGCCGGTGCAATCCAATTAGCCTTACGGGTGGCGCATGAAAAGGACAAGGCGAATGAAGCATTGTCGTGGATGGTAGATGGCCGCCCAGACGCCGATAGCCGAAAACCGAAATTTGACCTGAGGACGCAATGCTATGATCTTATCCACGAGGTTGTCAGTGCGGTCGATCGGAGCACTGAACAAGGCCCGAATTTTGTGGACGGCAGGCCTACCCTTGCTGCCACAAGGAGGAATGAAGCGTATGATGTGATTGGCAGATCCAAAGACGAAGCGTTTTTGACCAATTTGTACGATTGGTACATTCAACAAGGCTGGTATGATCGGCTGCTAGCTACAGAATCGTCTTTCATCGTCACCTACCTTCAACGAAAATCGTCCGAGGACATCACGTATGCTGATCTTTTGTGGAAGTATTACGGGCAAACGAGTCAGTTCTCAGACGCCGCAAAGATTCAACTACAGCTCGCCAGAAGTCCTTTCCCGTTGACTCTCGAGAAGAGAATCGAGTATCTGAGCAGAGCAAAGGCCAATGCCTCGACGTATACACCTGGGGGGAATCGCAAAATCAAGCAGCAATTGCTTTTGGAAATTTCGGAATTGCTCGACATTGCCATCATCCAAGACGAAATATTGCAGCGGTTGCGCGATGACGACCGGTTGGCAGGAGAACGCAAGAAGGAGGTGCTGGATCGCGTGAATGGTGTGATCCTCGACATTACCAGTCTGTTCAACGACTTTGCAGACAATGCTGGATATTATGATATTTGCCTGCTGATTTATCAGGCGGCAGACCACCGTGACGCATCTCAGATCAAACAAACGTGGCAACAATTGTTCCAGGTGGTTCACGACAAGACTGTGGCCAAGGGAGAAATCCAACCCTTTGAGGCCATGGCCGAAACGGTTCGAAGCTTGGGGAGCAAGCTGCGAGTTTCCGAGACGACATTCCCGGTGGACACGCTTTTGTTGATTCTCGAAAAGTATTCGTTTGAACAACAACGGAACGTCGCTCCACCTCACTGGGTGGTTGATATTTTCCTGGATCTGGAGGTCGCACACGAAAGACTTTTTGAGGTGCTGGAGACGGTGTTCTTTACTGGAGATCCACCGTTCATGGGCACCAACCGGAGATACATCGCTTCTGATTTGGTGTACGTGGTTGGGAAATGGTTCCATGATTCCATGAGGGTGGGGTCCATCATTTTTGGCAGCGAAGCCGGTGCCGCTCGCGTGGCCGAGACCCTGCAGGTTGTTTTGCAACAAGGGAAATCTGCAGGTTTGGACGACGAGACTATACAAATCTGTCGTGCGGTGATTGAACAGGTTGGACAGGTTTTGGGATGAAAGGATGGAAGATGATGACGCGGCGGTCCTTTAGTTTTGCTTACCCAGAAACATACCTAGCATAACACAATCTACCTAGGTAGGCAGCAATACGAGGTTACTTTGGTACGTTTGGTACACTAGTTTTGATTTCTGGGTACAGGGATCTAGATGGCTAGGTATGAGAAAGCATGTGGCTCAACGATCTGTCCGTAAGGGGGAGGGGGGGAGAAGCAATCAACAAGTATGTACAGCGATGACACTAAATTTGATTTCGTATATATAAAAACGTGAAGACGTGAGGAAGCACCTGAAGTATACTTAGCTAATTTGTAGGTAATCTACTCTGTATGCGCACAACTTGAAAAATGTTCAAAACATACCACGAGTCTACCACGGTGCGTGCCTATTGGTTTTTGTTTATCTCGATCAGGTTCTTTGTTCTATTTACCCGAGGTTTTTGAACCCAAACCACCATTTAGTCACCCCTACGAAGTACTAAATTAGGGGGGGTTTCACCACGACGACGCGTTCATAAATAACCATTCTCATCTTGTTTTTCGATATCATTTTGATTTCGTCTTGATTGCTTCCTCCTCTCTCTCCGTCGGGTACTACCCCGAATGCGGTCGTATCCTGTCTTTCCGATCCTTGCGCGAGTATTCAGATAATCGGAAAAGGGTCAACTCACTATCCATAGACCACTTCAATCTGTTCAATTCATCCATCATGGCACCACCACCGCAACACCTCCGTCGTCCTCGTCGTCCACTATCGTCGAGGAAATTGGACATGTTGTACCTGGTCTTTTTCACCATTCATATTCCAATCATGCTCTGTAAGTCGTTTACCCTGAGACCTTTGATTAGAGATGCACATTTCCTTCCCTCCCCTGGTCTTGCTTCTCCTCCATCGCATCTGACTACTCTCTTCTCACCCTCCCTACATCCCCCACCATCATTGTCAATTTCCACATATACCGCCGTAACCCATGTATCAAAATTCTAACGATATCAAAACAAAATATATAAAAAAACAGTGGTCGACCTAGGTCCCTTGTGGCCCACCAATTTACGTCCCAGACTTTCCTACACTCTCCACGAATACATGATCATGAAATACAATGATAAATTCTTTGCGAACCCACCGAGATGGTTCAATTGGTACATGTACATCGAGGCCTTGTACCATTTACCTCTTTCTCTCTGGATGTTACGGGCCATACCAAAAGGTCACTTTGTCTCTTGTGTTGCTTTCTTTCATTTCTTCCGTATTGTCTGATGACTGACATGTTCAAACGGAATCGCCGTTAGACCACAAACTGCTGGGCCTGAATCTTTTACTCTTCTCGGTCGAGACTGGTATAACCACACTCACATGTGTCGCCGATATCGGTTCTTGGAATGGTTACGTGACCTCACAAAGAAACCGACTATATCGATTATACGTTCCTTATTTGGTTTTGGGTATGTTTCTTTCTTGGGATTTTGACTCTCCAGGAACACTTGTACAAAAGTACACTGCTGACGTATTCTCTACTCAAATTTGTTTTAGCCATTTTTATCGGTGTTGATTCTTTTATTCGAGTCAAAAAACAAATCATTGCTGGTTCTGATGTTGGTGCTGTTACCGAGAAGAAGGAAAAGAACAAGACAACATAATAGGTGAAATGACACAAGTAACGTACCAGACGACAGTCAGCCTTCTATTTCTGGTAGAGGACTCGAAAAGGGTTGAGAATGAAGGGGGAAAAAAGGTAAACTGTAAGAAAGAGAGACCAAATACAGCACCAAAAAATGATGAATTGGTTCCAAAACGTGTATGAGAGTGTGATTTGACTATGACTGACCAATTGACCGACCGACCGACCGAGTATGACTTGAGTGACCAAGTATATGTGTTTGTCGTCTAAACCATCTCAAGATATCAACCACCTCATTTGACTCGAGATTGGCAGAACTGTATTGGACAAACTCCTTACGCCATGCAAGTGAGATTTCAAGGGTAGGACGGACTTGAACGAAGAAGGAATCTGCATCAACTGACAAGAGACATGGGGTACTTGTTTGATCTGGCAAAAGTCACATCCAATGTAAGATTCAACTTTACATTCTCTCTCACGTCTCTCACTCCTCTGCCAAGGTCTGGCCTTCTCTCAGTCCTTCCACCTTCAACTCCTCGCCCATCGCCCGACGGTAAATGTCCCGAACGTTCTCGGTGACGGTCTCGAAATGACTCGAAGCGTCGAAACTGTTGGAGATGAAGATCTGATCATTCACACCGCTCTCCAGAGGTTGGTACAAGGGGATCGGTGGACCCATGAACTTCTCTTCGATCCTACCCAGTCGCTCGAGGCCAGGTTGAAGTTCGAGGTGGTGGTTGGCGGACGTCTCCGCGATGGTGGAAACGATGGCGATGTAGTAACCCTTCGGGCAGACGTTGTGCGCCGACGACACCATGGCGATGTAGATGTCGTGTTTGCGACCGACCTGGGATTGAGGGATGATGAGCTGCAACGAGTCACTGTCGGCCGTCTTGTCGAGTGGGTGGTTGAGAATGCAAATGGCCTTGAGCAGATGACCGACGACCTGCACCTTGCCAGGGAAGTAAGATGGGTCACCCAAGATCATTTTCGTCTTGGTGCTGAACTTCATCCCTTCTCCTTCCTCGCCCCGCTCGCGCATCGTGGCCTGGATGCCGCTGACCTTGCTGCCGTCGTACTGAATCTCATCGATGGAGGTGTTGAGCATGTACGTTCCTCCGTAGATGGCGGAAAGACGGGCGAACCCCTGGGGAAGTTCACCGAGACCGTAGAGGGGGTAAATGTAAGGGGATTTGCCATATCGAGCCATCGAGTTGGCGTACAGTCGGATCCTCTCCACCGTCTCTTTGCCCATTCCCGGAGTGTCGATGTATTCATCCGTAGGGTAAAGGGCCATGGAATGACCGATAAAGTCTCGGGTCGTGGCTTCCAGACCAAACTTGTCGTAGACTTCTTTCATGGTGCATTTGTTGAGGTTGAGTCCTGCATCAGATATCTTTGCGTCAGCCAACGTTCCTCGTCACCACCTCTGTATGTCTCATCCTACGTACCATTATGTGTAGCAGGGTTGTTCTCTTCAAAAGCACCAACCCACTCCAAGAATTTCTTCGCCCTTCTCTTTTCAAACAGTCCCATCAAAGGAGAACTCAGCGCTTCGCCAGCGGTAGATGGGACCTTGGCCACAGTCGCCCTGGGCCCAGTTCCCTGCTGCACGAAGCTGCCTGCGATTTGTTTGAATTCGAGGTATCGAGTGACGTCGGTGGAAACGAGAATGTTGGTGAGTTCGCCATTGGCCATGAGGAGTTTGGGCACGAGGTCGACGTTCCAGTCGTTGATCCGACCGTATTTCTTCCATGGTTCCTGACCGTCTTGAAAGTTGCCATATTTCTTGAAAAGCTATGTATTCCCAATAGTGTCAGCCCGGGGTTTTAGGTCTTTGTGTTCTCCTCGCACTTACAGCCTCGATATTCACTGAAGCGGCCTCACTATTCGTAACTGTCAGTGTGTGCCCTATGGTCATCTCTACTCGTTCTTATAAAAGGCTGCGCTCTCGTACCCGCCATAATGATCGTTTCGATCGATGTGAAGGACCTTCTTGCCTTTGACAGACAAGACACTACAAAAAAGTCAGTATTTAACTGATCGCATACCAAAAAGTCTGGTCTACTTACCCGGATAGAACACACTCAGTCAGACCTAGTCATCAACCAACACAGTCAGTATGGAGGGGTAGGTGATGATTTGTTGATTTTTGGGGGCCATTCGTACCTGTGCCTAGAACAATGACATCGTATTCTGGAGCGATCTCATCCATGGTCGGTAATGTGAGATGGTGAAGATGAGAACAAAAATAATGATATGCAAGAGGGTAGAGAAGGGAAAACGCAGGACAAGTTCTGAACTCAGGGTCGGTGAAGCGCAGTGTTGTTGTCGCACTATCCCGTCGCAGGACTGGCGGTCTCTCCGCAGCCGAAGTGAGGTCATGAACCGCGTTTTATCTTCATGTGCTTCTCCGTAATGAAGAGCCCCTCAGCCTCGTTCAGCCTTGTCTGTCATGTAGAGGACTTGACAACGACAGCGTTATCACCAGCTAGTAATTGACGTAAGACGCTTAGCTTACAAGATAATCTACAGGGTTATACTATATGCTATCTGTATTGACGAGTCGAATAAGCCTTTTGGTAAAATCATGTTGACCATGTCTAAAAAGCAAAGTCACTTCAACCAGCCGTAACATTGCTCTTTGCAGCCTCCTGCTTCATACGTGCTCGCGCAATCTCCAACTGCTTCGACAACCTCCAGGGGTAATCAAAGGTGTCCATGAAAATTTCACAGAGCTGAAAAGATATTGTTAGCTTGGCCTTACGAGTCGTAAGAAGTGGAAGTAACGCACCTGGACCATTTCTCCACTCCCAAAGTCCTTGTCGTTCAAAACAGCTTCGAGATCCTCGACGGTCTTCGCAGCTCGGCTCTTGGCTTTGATACCCGTCTCCTCTCTCGCCCCGAAGAACTCGAGCATTTTCTGATGATCCCACAGCATACTGACATCATTGTAACCCTGCTCAGGACCGTGAATGGCCCTTTCAATGGCGTATCCGTTGTTGTTGATGACGAAGATGATCGGTTTGAAGCCATAGCGAAGATAAGTACCAATCTCCTGCACAGTCATTTGCATACTACCCTCACCGACGATGAGTACGACACGCCCGGGATACTTCATCTCTTTGGCAGCCACGAGTGCTCCCAGGCACGAGCCAACGGTGTATCCGATAGACGACCAGAAAATCTGTGTAATGTATCTGGCATTCGGGGGGAAGGTGGCATCAGGCATGCCGAACTGTGCGGTGCCAGATTCCGCCAAGACGATGTCATTGTCCTTGAGGAAACGGCCGAGTCTCTGCCAGACAAAGGATTGTTTCAGTTGTCCTGATTTAGAGTCGTTCAGGACTGGCGGCGGAACCTTCTGACCATTTTGTGGGCGAGGCAGATTGTACTTTTGCGGCTGTTTTTCCAATTCTGCAACTAGGCGCCGCAAGATAGGCAAGAAATGGTATCCATCATACTTTTCTCCTTTTATCTGCACGAAATCGTGCCCTAGACGCACTAGGTTCTCGTCTTTGATTTGTCTGGTGAAGCCGCCCGTATTCGAATCCGACAACAGTGGACCGAGATTGATAACCAAGTCGGACTTTTCGACCGCCTCCGCCACTCCAGGGAATGATGCTTTGAAGAAATTAATATGTTACGGTATTGAAAATGAGGTGATGCTCACCTTGACCATTGTACAATCCGTAATAGTATGAAGCTGTCTCGTCAATGACCCCCTTGGACAAAGGCGTTGAGAAACTGGGAAAATGGGTGATCTGGGCAAGTTTCTTGGTCAAATCGAGACCTCCATGCCTGATAGCAAGTACGTCTGCGAGGATAGAGGGATTCGATGCTGTGGCGACCGAAGAGAGGATCTTCTGGACAATCTGGTCTTCAGTTTTTGCGTCGGGGTTGCGGAGCGTCAGGTCTAGTGGTGTTTCTAGACGTTTGGCATCCAGTTGGACCGACACCACATCTGTAGGAACATAGATGTAGACTGGTAGCCGACTATGCATGCAGGAGACGATAACTCGATCGATGTCGTCCGCCATGGTATTGTCTTCCATCAGATATGCATGGTCTTTGCGGATAGGATCGGCCATCTTGATGTAGATTGCATGGTCCATGTTTGGTTCCATGGTGTGATGAAGCATGACTCGGGCCTTTTGCACTATTTTCGGTTGACAACCATATTAGTTCAAAGTCCACATATACCCCCGTTTGACACACGCGTCCGTGTCGAACGGTCGACTTACTGGCTCTCGCTGGCATGCCAACGATATGGATCATGCCTGCGTGTTCTGCATATGCTCCAGCAACACCGTTCATGGCCGATAGCTCTCCCACGGCATAGGTCGTAATCAACACGCCTGGTGCCCCCTTGATCCGCGTGTAACCATCAGCCGCGTAGGCACCGTTGAGTTCATTGCAACAACCAATCCATTTGAGACCGGGAACATTGTAAATCTCGTCGAGTAAAGTTACTATGGGCGAGTGTGGTCAATTGACTGTGCTTACGCTAGAATGGTCGTGGTCATGTGAACTTACGGTTGAAATCTCCTGGAACACCGAGGATGTGTTCAGTGCCCAGTTCTTTAATCCTCCTGAAGAGATACTGGCCCATTGGGACCGTCGAACCCGACATGCTTGCAAATGGTGATCTGGAGAGGAATATGGCGATCAAACGTCAAGGTCAATACACTCTAGTTGAAATAGTCACTTTGAACGAAAAGGAAACTGGAAAGGAACACTGGAATGTTGTTATGACCGAGGCACGTTCATGGCTGCGCTTATTCGCGGATCTGACTATGAGAGGCTGCGGGGGATGACATAAGCATGGGTCGGTAAGCCACACGCCCTAGAGCAACACCAGAACCCCATTAGATATTATGAAGGGCGGAGTGCTAGAGTTGACAATGTACGGATATAGTGGTGAGGAATATCATACGAATAGCACACCCCATCACTAGGCGAGCATCAGCACTGTCAACACCATTGGGATCGGCTGGCTTCGGAAGTGGCTACACCCAGTCAGAGTGCACAGTAGTCTTACACCGTACTCCGGATGTAATTCCACAACCGCGGCAATTCCCACTCTTCTCAGATATAAGCAGGGGCTGCGAAGCCTCATATGAGTTTCCATACTCGGTCTATCAAATATTTATCAATAGGGCCGGGCGAATTCATCCAGTTGGTCAGATTCCAGATTGACCGAAAGTGAGTGAAGGGCATGTGTCATTGGTAATTACTAGTATAATAACATTGCCCTGCAGGCTGTTTGCATCGAATGCGTCCCTGATCATGGAGCCCAGTAAGAGAAGACGCTGAGAAGCCGTTAACACCCATAGTGAGACCTTCTTTTCACCCACATCGTTGCCACGGCCTTGATCATTCACAAGATCCCAATGACAATGTCCCCGTTCAGCGAGGCTTGAACCCTCAAGTCCACCTCTAGATTCAACTTCACATGAATCTTCAAGCTGCCCGACACATTTTTCACCTCTTCCTTTGTGAGACCTCGAATGGCTCGTGGATTGTTTCGATTATCGAGAAGACCAGGTTGCATAGGTTGGAGGCCTTGCAGCGGAGCTTGTTTGGGCACGTTATTGACGACTCCCTCGTCGTGGTCGTCGTCGGAGTCAACATCAGCTCGATTCTGTCGGCCACCAGATGTAGTGTCGGAAATGCCGCTGTCCGACTTACTGAGCAGACAACGAAAGTGTCAGTAACCCATGTCCCCTGGGAGTGCTTGTGAAGACTTACTTATCCGCCATGATCATTGATGGATGTGTAAGAGCTCTCCACGCTAGAATCCGCCAAACATTCGAGAGTGCTGTAGACACCCGACAGCGGTATATGATTGCTGGACTTGATGCTGGCTAAAACAAGCAGGAGTCTTTGAGTCAGGAAAAGGTGCGTGATACCACAATTTGCTGAAGGTCAGGTCGCTGCAGTACAAGTATTCGTCTCTGGGGCAGGTCCCAGACTCTGAACTAATACTGCCAGTGTACTCGTAATCCGTTGTTTCTTGATCTGGTACATAAATCTCCGACTCTTTGGAATATTAGCGTTCTGAAGACTACCCAATACGCCATCATGGTGCTTATATTCTCCCCTTGTACCTTCCATCCTCGACTCTTCCTGACGTGTATGTTGCGTCACGAGGCTGATCATCCCTTGTCAGGCGGCGGGTCGCGCCTGTCGAGCAACGCCCCGACACCCGTCAAATGGGACCACAGTTTTGCCCTATGGAAGTGTTTGACACGGGTCCTCAAAGGCTATAGGACTCCGTTGGCCGCGTTGAGACATGTCCGCAGTACCTAGGTGACTTTTGACGTCTACTATATTGGGAACGCTGCAAGCAACAGCATTTCCGAAGGCGCTCATTTGGCGACTTGAACTCCGGAGCACCGAATATCGCCGCAGGATTTGCTCCACAATGTTAGATCAGGTCCAAAGATCTTCCCCCATTAGTAGGTAGAGACGGGAAGGTATGAATGTTTGTGGAGTTCAAGATACACAGCACTTGTCCGGATCAAGAAGAGGGTGAATGATTGTCATCGAGATCCACGCGGATCAATTCGACCTCAACCACATCCTTTCCATGACTCTTGTCTCCGAGACCATTATCATGCACGTCGAAATACAGAGCCCATCGATCCGGACTTTCCTCGACCGCCACGAAGCCTTCCCAATTCCGAAAAGTCAGACGTGGCTCCCCCTTTTTGCAGAGTTTGAGATCCATCGGCCCCGTGAGCTGAGATTGCGTGTCGGCGCGAGTTCCGTGCCTCAGTTCGAAGGTCGCATGGTCGATATATACCCAGTTCAAGAAGTTGTCGGTGTTGATGGTCGTCACCAGCCCGTCGTATTGTTTCTCCGGGAAAGGAAGAAAATAGCCAGTGAAGAGATGCTCTCCTGGGTTCTTTTGGTCGCTGAGAACCAAGCGTCCATCCTCGAGAACGACGGCTCTGTCTGCCAGCTGTTGCTGTCGTTTGGTGCTCATCCTAGCCGAGGGACGGACTGCGAGGTGACATTTCTGCCTTTTCATCTCTTGTTGGCCTTGATCTGATCTTTTCTGTGCTTGATCGGATAGTTGCATTGTTGATGTGGCCAGTAAGGGCGCCATGGCCGCTAAGGTGATGATTGAGAGCACCATCGTAGCTGTGTGATCTCCGTTAAGAAAGCAGGTAGCGTACATTCGGCTTCTGAACGAAAGTTGGCCTTGTGCTCTCCAGGTTGGTCAGGCGTATTGAATAAAGCTCGAGATTTCCGGACTGTAATAAATTAAAGGCTCTTGGATGGATCCCTAAGGCTGTGACAGGGGTTGGATACGGAGTATAGCCTTGATATCCACGGTTTCCTACGTCATTGCTGTCAATTCAAGTATTTCTCCCGATATCCTGAGAATGTTTCCGAAATCATTGAAACCATCAGTGAAGAAAACATCTTTGATTCTATCAGTCATTACTAGCTACGTGCTCCATGATCTCGCCATGTCTTTTACTACCTATTTCTCAAGGGAAGCTGATCCCACCATCCACTCCGAGCAGTTGTCCGGTAATGTAAGATGCACCAGGGCTTGCGATGAACAAGATAGACTCAGCCACCTCTTGCGCAGTACCCTCACGCTTGATGTGCTGGTTGTTTCGGAGCCTGGCCCCGATAGGAGAGCCTTCCATACTCAGGTCCGTCTTGATTGGACCCGGCGCAACGGTGTTGATTGTGATCCCCTTTGGTCCCAGTTCATCCGACAAAGCGACCGACAGAGCCGTCAAAGCTCCTTTCGAGGCGCCATATACTGGCAACATTCCAGAACCAAGTCTCGCAATAACACTGCCGACGTTGACGATACGTCCACCAGCCTTCATGTATGGCAGAGCGGCTTGGATCAACAAGAATGGACCACGGACGTTGACATGGAACACCGCGTCCCAGTCTTCGAGTCCCACGGAGGAGATACCTTCTCCATTGACCACTGCCGTTCCCGCGTTGTTCACAAGGATGTCAATGGTGTTGGTGTTGAAGGCCTTCAATGTCGCGTCGACGAGCACCTTGCCAAAGTTGGCGGCTCCAGCGTCGGCTTGGATGGCAACAGCCTTCACCCCCAGACTCTTGAGCTTGGCGACGGTCTCTTCCGCAGGTCCTGCAGAGCTGTTGTACTGAATAGCGACCTGGGAGTCTTGTCAGCTAGGCGACCTAGTGCACTGAGCGAGGATGGTACCTACATTAGCACCTTGTTCGGCGAATGCAATTGCGCTTGCGGCACCAATGCCGTTTGGCTTTCCGGCGCCGGTGACGATGGCGACCTTTCCCTTCAAAGACTGCGAGGCCATTGTGTCAGGTTGGATTGCTGGTGATAAATCTTCTGGTGTAGGTGCGGAACGATTTGTTTTATGTGAGTTTCCGATATGAAGGTATTTGAGAAACCTGTGGGATTGAGCTTGTTGCTGTTGTTGCTTTGATTGTTGGGACATTTGTTTGATGAAGAGTTTGATCGAAGAGCTGGAGGCATGGGCCCTTAATATACGTCGAACAGCTGCTGCTCGGCTTCATCCAAGGACCACGAGCTGACAAAAGCGCGCCGCTTTGACGCTACAAGACATCGTGCAACTGTTAACAAGAAATCTGCAAGGCTCTGGCATCATATCCACGGATGGAGCGAATGAAGTGCCCTGTCCTCCGGGCTTTGCGATGCTAAGTGACTGATCATGGAACCTACGGGGTGGTGTTGGCCTCCACCACGTTAGAAACTGCACTGCGTAGTAATCTGCGGAGGGTCGGAGCCAGTTTGCTTCCGCACGCTAAACTATATATGGCAGATATCCCCCACTTTTCTTACTAAGTGGCTGCGCCTCTAGCGGTGGCTTGCGGTATTAAGCGAATCCGCAAGGGACCAACGAGGATTATGTAACGAGCAGATTGTGTCATTCCTCCCCAACAGACCCTTAATCCTCAAAATCTGGCATGTGTTTCAGATCAACAATTACAAGCCTATCAGACAAGGTCTCCTGGATTATCCTCAACCGGGCTCGAATCGCAGCCTCATGCTCCGGCTGATAAATGATGGCTGACACAATGATGCGAGTGAAAATGCCGATACCACGTCGGCTCACGGTGGCTAGAGAAGAAAAAAGAGTATAAAACAAACGATAGATGCTGAGTATGCTGTGGCTTTTCATTCACAATCACATTGAAACATCTAAAGACCTCTGCTCAGTTCTCTGACAGAATATACTATCTCAGTCCGAACACACATCACATCCCCAAAGAACACAATCATGCCATCAGTCCTCCTCATCGGTGCAACGGGTCTCGTCGGAGGTTTGCAACCCAAGACACCACACTCAAGGATGAATACTTACAATGTCCTATAGCCCGATTGGCAGCTGACATCAAGAAGGCACATCCCGACTGGCCCTTGACCGCCTTCTACCGTAACAAGACCGTGGACGACTATTTCAAGAACACGGCGAAAGTCGATCGAATTGTCCATGGTTCATTCTCTGACACAGACCTCGTCCGATCGCTGAGCAAAGAGCATGACATTGTCATTAATGCTGCAACCTCTTTTGATGGATCAGTTGTCGATCTGATCATCTCCGGAATGGAAGAGCGACCGGAAAGCAACAAGGGCACACTCATTCACCTCAGTGGAACCGGAAACTTCATCGATTTCGGAACGACTGGCAACTTCAATCCCGAGAGCAAAGTCTGGAATGTAAGTCTTCATCCTTCTCGAATTGCACCAGTGAACCATGTGGTTGACGATTGCAGGATGACAATGTCGAGGACATTAAACTCGTCAACAAGAACATGTTCAACGGCCCCACGGACGTTCCTGTTCTCGAAGCCGGCCAGAGAGGCAAGATTGTGACTTACATTGTCTGTCTCGCAGTAACCTACGGACAGAACGTCCTCGGACCAAAAGCGAATTTGGGAGTTGGTTATATGATCTTTACAGGCCTTGCAAAGGGTCTTGGATTCGTCCCATACATCGGCGAAGGCACTGGCCTTGTAAGCACAGTAAGTTATATTGTCTGCGTCGGGATGAACACTTGACTGATCAGTTCAGCTTCACGTTGAGGATGCAATTCCTTTCATCACAAAGATTGTCGGTGTTGCTGGTACCGAGAAGCCACAGGGCAGCGCGTACGAGAGATACTATATCCTGCACGGAGAGAGATTGGCCTGGAAAGACTTCACAGCTGCTTTGGCTCCAGTGTTGTATGCCAAAGGACAGATTTCATCACCAGAACCGAAGAAGGTCACCGTGGATGAGGCTGGCGAAGGAGAGGAGAAGCATCTCCTCGCCGGCAACATGCTTGTCAAGGGTGATCGTGCAGCAAGAATGGGTTTCAAGCCAACACACGAGTCCATGCTTACTGCTATGAAGAAAGACCTGAGTGAACATGACTTTTAAGATTGTTGAGGATGATGGGAATGACTTGGAAAACCGAATACGGAGTATGTAAGCAGTAATTTAAAGTGACCAATCATAAAAGCACCGAACATTGAATTCATTCTGGCCTTGTTCGGATCATTTTCCAACGACTCTTTTGCAAAGAATCATCCGAATCCTCAAACACAAGGCAATAAAAATGGCGAGTCGGAGATGGAACCTTTGTAAAAAAGATCATTGTTCAATACAAAAATAGACACATCCACATTTATCAGAGGGGCAGACTAACAGTGGGAGCTACAATGAACGAGCAGCCATTGACACCGACTGGGGAATCAAAGCCTCAACGAAGTGCCTGTGAGAGATGTCGAACTCATAAACTGAAATGCAACCGCACTGCGTCTGATGGCCATCATGATCAATGTGACAGATGCGCTAAGGCGGGTTTGCAGTGTCAGACATTCCCTTCTTTGCCTCCGGGAAGACCTCGACTAGACACTGACCACGGCCGACCATCTTCACGGCGATCGAATCAAAAACGGAAAGCTACTCAACAGGCCTACAGGACTTCTCATCTAGGATCGCAAGAAGGAGCATCAAGCCATCCGCTGCCACAAGTAGGCGCTTTCAATCATGCGACGCTACCAGCTGAATCTTTCACTGCGGACGAGTCGATGCTGCAACCATCCGCCAGATCAGATGTTACAGGACACGCCACGGGCAATATTCAGTCTACAGCCGCTTCAAGCTACGACACGGTCGACATGCATAATGATCATGACATGGCCTTTGATGACTTTATGACCTTCCCTGGGCTCGATGGTTGGTCTGACCTCGGCCAATTCACCCAGCTTCTCGGAGCCAATCTGCCTATGGCGTCGCAAGTGGATAAAGGGTATCACTATCTTGATAAGCTCACACGTTTGAATGCCGAACTACTGAGATATACCGCGAATATCGACAGCACATTGCCTTCCAGTACTCAACCGTCGCACCAAACAGCGACTGTCGGAAGGATGCTAAGTTTCGTCCAAAGTTTTCTCGAGGTACTAAAGTACTACTTGATGACCATGCCCATCAAAAGTGCCCCACGCTTTGAAAAGCAATCGAATGCGGACGTCGATGATGATTCCGAGCCTGAGTTCGGGTCTGGGGAGGAAGAGCTGAGAATTCGCATGGACTGTGACGAACCCGGTGGTGGAAACAAGTCGTCCACATCTCAAGCGGTGGGCTCGAATGAGGAGCGCCCGGGTCTAGACTACCCGACGGCTCTCGCCTTGAGTACCGGTTATGTCTCGCTGGTCCGGTTGTATCGTGGTTGGTTACAAGGTATGATGGGAAGGTTACAGGATTCCGCACAACGAATACGAGAATATGCCGCTTCGAGACGTTCAGTCGCAACAGGTGATGGCCGTCCGGAGGACCCCACTGCGAACCACATCGCCTATTCACAGCTATTCAGCGATATTCCCCAGGTGTTTCCCGAAGTGTACCTGGATGGCTTTGATTTGGGTGATTATCGATCTCTCCAGATCTCGGTATTTATGCAAGTCAGTATGGATCTACTCTGGCGAGCAGAGCGAGGTGTTGCAGCGTTGGTTGCGACTGATTCTACTGGATCGAACGCTTCCAGCGGCACCCTCCCAGTCCTCCAAGCAATGTTGCTGCAGGAGGCTATTACTGGCAGATCTACATCTGCTCCCCTCGAAAGGGATAGGCGAGCCATGCCAGAGGAAATTCCGAAGGAAATCGGTCTGCAATCGCTCAAGGTAAGCATGCGTGCGATCCGAAAAAGTCTTCGGAGTAATGTCTGTCTGCAACTCGAAGAGGGCAACCGATCCTCCGAACAGGGGAACGCGACGTGGTAATACGGATTTTCAGAGTAGGCAGGCATTCCAAGTATAGTTGAGGTCGATCAGAAAGCTTTCTCCCACCTGACGAGAAGCAACATTTCCACCGAATCGATATCTCTCGGAGTTTAAAATTCAACTTTGTTGGTCCTGAAATTTGCTCCGACTTCTTCGCCCAGCATTTACTCCGAAATCCCTCGAGGATATTTATATGAAGATGAATGCTCGCAAGAGAGACGCAGCTCTAATCTGACAATTCTCGGTGTCCTGAGACTGTCGAACAGACCTAAACCCCCTCGCAACTCCTCTCCCACTTTTTCGACAAGTCAAAAGGTCATCATGAGACCCAACGATATTGACCCCGGCACGGCAGATGATACTCCTCCTTCTACAACTCAGGTCTCCGAAACACACATGTCTTCAGAATTGAGTAACAAAGAGGAGGCAATGGCGGCCACGGGTGAAGGTGTTGGCGTGGCATCAGGTCAGGATCCAGAAAAGCCAAATGCCTCTTTCCAACCCACCGCCCGATTTTGGGCCATCATGGCCACCCTCTGTGTCGTCGGTCTTCTTGCGGCCTTTGAAAATACCGTGGTGGCGATTGCTCTACCCGTCATCTCAGAAGATCTCGGTTTAGGAGAAAACTACGTCTGGGTCACCAACGTGTTCTTCCTGACAAGGTGAGTACTCATTTGACGTCCTCACACTCCAAGTCGTAGACGCATGCTGATATCTTCTGTGTGAATAGTGCCGCCGTGCAACCTCTGTTCGGTCAACTGGCCAACATCTTTGGTCGTAGATGGTTGACCATGGCTATCGTGGCTTTTTTCGTTCTTGGTAGCGGGTTGTGTGGCGGAGCGACCAAGGGAGCGACACTGATCGCAGGACGAGCCGTCCAAGGCGTAGGCAGCGGCGGAGTCAGTATGATCATCGATGTCATCGTCTCTGATCTGGTCCCGCTGCGTGAACGAGGCAACTACATCGCCATCGTCTTGTCTGTTTACTTTGTCGGCATGTGCATCGGGCCTTTGGTTGGAGGCGTCATTGTGGACCACACTACATGGAGATGGGTACGTTGAGACAGTCCCGGTTCGGACCTTGCTGTTCCGTCCCAAGAAGCTAACCGAGTGGCGTCGTTTGGCAGGTCTTTTACCTCAACCTACCCGTCGGCGGCGTCGCCATGGTCATGATCTTTGTATTTCTCCAGGTCAAATACGACAAGGAAATGTCGTTTTTCCAAAAGATGAAACGAATCGACTACGGTGGTAATTTGTTACTGATCGGGTCCACCGTTTCGGTTTTGTACGTCCTGACCTACGGCGGCGCCAAGTACGGATGGTCTCACTGGAGCATTGTTCTTACCCTGGTGTTGGGGTTGTTGGGATTGGTCTTGTTCATGGCATACGAGACAACCTCGTGGGCCACCGAACCCGTGGTCCCTCCTAGGCTCTTTGCAACCCGGACCTCGGCCGTCGTGTTCGCCGTCACGTTTCTCAACTCGGCCAACCTCTACTGGGTCTTGTTTTTCTTGCCCGTCTACTTCCAGGCCGTGTTGCTGGCCTCACCCACCAGGAGCGGAGTGTACCTGATCCCGATCATTGTCATAGCCGTGCCGACGGCCATCGTCGCCGTTCTTCTCTTGACCAAATTCGGCAGGTACAAGCCCCTTCACCTTTTTGGCTTCGCCGTGTCCACGCTAGGTCTGGGTCTGATGACTCTCATCGACGAGCAAACCAGCACCGCGGAATGGGTTGTCATATCAATGGTGGCCGGAGGCGGTGGTGGTTTCGTACTCAACACGCTCCTACCGGCAGCACAAGCGGGCCTCCCGGAAAGTGACCAAGCCGCGACCACGGCGGCCTGGTCGTTCACCCGCTCCTTTGGGTCGATCTGGGGGGTGGCCATCCCGGCCGTGATATTCAACAATCGGTTCAGCGACTTGGCGTGGCGACTCCCCGACGCGACCCTGAGAGATCAACTGGGCCACGGCAGGGCTTACCAGTATGCCTCCAGTCATTTCGTCAAGTCTTTCACGACCCCAGTCGCCGAAGCACTGATCACAACTTACTCACTCGCCCTCAAACGGGTGTGGGAGATTTCTATTGTGATTTCCGGAGTGGCCTTCCTCTTGACATTGTTTGAGAAGGAAATAAAGCTTCGAACCGAACTGGAGACAGATTACGGTATGGAAGAGCGTAAAAAACAGGAATCTCAAGCTTGAGTGTTTTTTTCATTCAGAATTCATTTGGCAAGCTTTCCTTTTCTTTCCTTTCCAAAAAAGCTCGACTTATCTAAAGCTTCGAGGAAGGCTTTACCAAATTCGACGCCCCATTTAGGACTTTTACAGCTTGATCCATCATTTCCTTGACAATTTCAGCTGCGGTTTGGTTGGGGGTGTTTACCAATGCCGAGACAACACCCATTGGTCTGCGGTTGAAATCAGTCAAAAGTCCATCTCGTGATGCTCTCGTTTTGGGGGCGAAGGTAGAATGTAATAGAATTGAGATGCAGTCAGGATTGAAAGGATAGTGAAAAGCATACCTCAATGTAGCTTGATCTTCAACATCTTCAGGGATGCCACCTTGATTCTCCAACTTGTCCATTTCATGTTGAAGTGGAACGACACCTTGAGCCAGTAAGGACTTGATTTCTTCCGAACGGTTCGTCTCCCAATCACGGACGTACGGCGTCGCCAAAGCACGGAGGGGTCTCCCTGTCCAAATCGTAGATTTTATTGTAGAATCGAAACCTGCCGAAATAATACTGTTTGTGACGTATCAGTAAGCGTGGTGTTCTTTTCTCCCCCCACCAAAGGAAGCTGCCCTCAAAGAGATCTCTTTGCATCCGAGAATCGAGAAACGATTGTCTGGTCCTGGTTGAAAACACTGGCCATGTATGTATAACATTGAACGGGGGTAGACATTCGAGAAATGTGGAAAGTGCAAAACTTACTGCTTTTTTGCGACTTCTGGAGCACCAGATTCTTTGGCCGTGACGAATCTAGTACCTACCCAGACGGCCGATGCACCCAACATGAGTACGGAAGCGATACCGCGACCGTCCGCAATACCTCCCGCAGCGACCAATTGAACAGGTTGACCGGTCAATGGAGATTTGTATTTTTTGACAATGTCCGCACAAGCAGGAATCAAGATGCTGCGGACGAGGTAAGTCAGCTCAGACTTTGCTTCGTTTTTCAACTCGCATCATCGTAGGGGGACCTCTTCTACTCCGCAAGGACAGCAAAAAAACGTACCTGGTAGGTGTTTCGCCTGTATGTCCACCAGCTTCTGCACCTTGAGCACATATGATGTCCGCTCCAACGGCACAAGCTTTGGCGACATGTTTAGGATGCCCAATCATGTTCATGTACAAGACACCGTGGGAGTGAAGTTTTTCGACAACATGTTTCGGGGCGACTCCGACGGCAGAAACAAAAAGTTTCGCGCCACCGGCGATGATGATGTCGACCAACGTGTCCAGGTTGCCTTTGGTATAGTCGACCTTGACCGTCCTGTGTCAGCCTCGTTGTCGTCGTATGTCGACCGTGGATCATCCTAGGTTGTGGCCAACTTACATTGGTCTTACGAGCTGACCCTCCAACTTGAGGTATCAATAGGTCGACACCAAACGGTAGAGATGGATCTTTTAGATTGGCCTATGAATGAGAAATCGGTTAGCTATTGGCAATTTTTGAAGTCATCGATAGATACATTGTGCTGGATATGTGGACGGCAGTGTAATAGCAAATCATGTTTACTAACCTTCAGTTCATCAATCATATCTTTGAGCATTTGTGGTGTGTACCCAACACCACCGATGACACCTAATCCGCCTTTTCGTTGAATGGTCAGTGGATAATGTTGGCAATTCATAAGCATCACTAGGCGTTCCGTGTTGTGCAGTTGACCTCAAGTCTCTCGTCCATTGACAATGATATTGACATTGCTGGAGGTACTGACTCAGGCAAAACGACAAAGGTCGGGATCTTGATCAAAAACTCACCTGCATTCGAAACCGCTGCAGCAAGAGGTGCACCCGAAGTCTGACCCATTCCTGCCAACAAGATGGGGTGCTGAATCCCCAGCAATTGGGTGATTGGTGTTGATATCGACATTGTGACAAGTTCGAGCCTGAAAATCGATTTTCCAATGAGGTATGGAGTATCTCTCGTGTAGTCGATACCAGTATCTGACCCGAGTATTACCAAGGTACAATCAGAGTCTTTTGACTTCAGAGTACAACTATTATACCTCAGGTACCTAGGTAGACAGTTAGATAGGTATAAAGTATAAGGTCTTCTCGAAATGAAAACCACTCCTTGACGTACCTCACGAGACCCGATTGATTAATAAATAAGTTCTTGTACAAGTCCAGTCCAATGTAGTCACCAATACAGTACGGACAGTGAGGAGAGTGCTTTGAATATATCCACCCGCCGCTGAAAGTCTTCACCTAGAATCTTCGAGATCTTCGTTCACTCCGTAGAATCAAGTAGATGTTAAAGACGAGGGACTCGAGACGATGATGAAGAATACGGAGTAGTAAGCGTTGTTATTGCCTGTATGTAGTCAACATACTTGCATCTTACGAGAGACCGAGGAGGAGGCATTGGTTGCCGAATTTCCGTTTTTGCAGTTATCCGCCAAAGTACCGAGGTTGCTGACTCTAACCCCTTCGTCCTATATAAAACTGTGGAGGTGACGGAGACCTACCTAGATTACTCTTTGTATATTTACGACGCGGAAATCACTGACTCGTTCACTCGTTATTGCAAGGTGCAATTGTACATCAAAATCATCAAGTTTTGATCAAACACGATAAATACCATTATTCATTAATTATTCAGAGCAACATCCATCACCATGTCACATCTTCCTCCTTTGGTTGCTTCCCCGCGCATCAAGATTCCCACCTTCTGAACTTTGGTAAAACTACTGCTGCACTTGAACTTGGCGCGGAAGTGGAACTAGGTAGAGCCACGGATGATTCAGTGTGTGTGGCCGTAGGGTCACCGGTCGTACCACCGTTGGTACCATCGACAGGTTTGGTGCCAGTGGCAATGTCCATACCATTGATGGCACGTTCAAAGAGTGCCAAAGCGGCGACGGGTTGGTAGTATGGAACTTCATGACCAGACTCGTAAACTCGAGTGAAGGAGAAGTTGCCATACTCACGAGTCTCACCGTACTCGACACCATCAACGACGAAAGGCGTGTACCCGGAAGCGGCGAACTCGGCAGCGTGTGGCCACTGCGCGGCAAGCGAGACGGCCTCACCGCCGAACCAGTTGCAAATGTAGTCTGCGTCACCGTACGCGAGGGTCACGCGGACAGAGGAACTGTTGATGATCGTTTCCAAGTCCTCCAGGATGTTGATAAAAACAAAATCTCCAGTCTGTTGGAAGGCATAGTATACCTCGTTGTTCGCGTCGGCCGTGTAGTTGGTGTCGACCCCCAACGCGTTCTGGACGGAAGCTTGGTTGAGGTAATCGAGAAAGTATGTCGGTGGGGTGGTGTCGTTGTAGGGGTGACGGATGTCATAGACACCTCGATCGCCGTACGAGTAGTAAGGAGATTCGACGTTGTCACGACACATGGATTGAGCCTCACTACAGACTGCCTGTCCAATGAGCGTGGTGGTGTCGGCCTCGGCACAGAATGAGATCTGGTCTAGACACCCGTTGGACATGTAACAGGCAAACTCCATATAATCGTGCACGGTCTGGTTGACAAGTTGAATGCCGTAGGTGTTTTCGACAGCAAATTTGGGATAGTATGGAGCTTGAACATATTCGGAGATGATGCCATTGATGATGCCTAGGTTGACAAATTCGAAATACTTGCCCGTCTGGGTGCCGTTCTGGATGGCCTGGTTTTGCTGCTGGAAATAGTTGAAGAATGCTGGGCCATAGTGTCCTAAAACTTGTGTCAGCTAGATCGACTGCCAGTGATATCCCAGCACATACCTCCGTAAGATTCGGTCCATAGATTGAACTTGGTAGATTGGACCTTGGAGTCAAGCTGGGGCAATGCCGAGTAGAATCCTTGCAACACTTCCCATGCAGCCACAGCGGCTAGCTGAGTTGTATCTGGATCACAAGTTAGCATTGTAAAAACATCTACCGGTCTATGGCTTTACCGATCTCAGTGATATTGATGACTGGATATCTTCCGGTGACGTTTGCTTGAGACGCATTCAGGAACCCTCCAAAAATGTCCAATGATCCCGGTGCCTGGTGTTATGTCAGTCTGACTTCTATTCCCAGCGCTGGATTTGCGTCTACCTTGGACCCGTATGAGAAACCAACACCGAGAGGCTGACTGAGATATATCATATTGGAAGCCTCGTTCCAGGAATGTGGGTTTAGCTGCGTCATGAGATCTTCAGTGACGTTGCACGGTCCGTGTTCTACATGTTTGTTAGGATTAAAAGTCCTTGAACCCATTGCCGCGATCACGTACCTTGGAACAAGCCAATAAGAGAGTCACTGCCAGGACCGCCATTCAGCCAGAGGGTGATAGGATCATTTGCAGGATCATTTCTTGATTCAAAGAACCAGAAAAAGCTGTGAACATTCTCGCCGAGGTTGATGAACCCGGCATAGGAGTTGACACCGGGAGTGGTCTCACAGACTCCTTCTTTCCCAGGCTCTTTGTAGGTGATGTTGGCACCGCTGGGACTGATGATGGTCTGGACGTCGGTAGGCTCTGCAGGGAGTTGTCGCGGTGAGACTTGGAGTTTAGGTCCCATGCCTCGACCATTATGCACCACAGGACCGGGGACTGCAGCCACGCCGGCCGCGAGGACACCAACAAGTGGGAGAAGCATGTTGATCTTCGTAGTGGAAGTTCGTGTTCTCACTCTCAGGATGAACGCTGACAATCCGATGTGAAAGGCCAAAGAGAGATCTTCTTTTCACTCACACCGTAAGCACTGGTGTCAACAGAGCCAAGGGAATGCTGCATCTCTAGAGAAAACGCAAGAAAGAGCGGGAACGAGCATGCACGCGAGCTGTTTATGTAGGACAAAAAATGTCCAAGATCAATCGGCATGTTCCCACGTTGGACAGCCTCATCCGTGAGTGACAATATTTCTAGTGCCTGCGCTAGCTTTGAAGCTTTCTTGGAGCTTCTACAGCTCTTGACTGGTGTAGGAACCGAGGCGAATCCTTTTGGATCAGTATCAAGTCATGGTGGTTCGCCCGACATGGTGTTCCTGACGTTCTAGAGTCGATACTCTATGACGTTGGCTTGTAAAGAGAGTAGCATTGTGACAGGGATTGATAGCTTCAGTCAAGCTTGGAGTGGAGTCACTGCATATGTACAGTATGCTCAAAATACTGGCTTGTACCAGGGGTGGCTTAGTTGAAGCTCGATGAGCGCCTTGTCCATCCGCATATGGCAGGTCGCCAGGGAAGCAATGGAGCTTTCTGTCATGGATATGCATTTTGTATTCTGGAGCGTGGGGTTGTACTACTGATAAATAGTCCGAAGTATGTGCTAAGGCCAAGATTGTCAGCGAAGAATGATGGATGCTTGAAGCTCCTGTCCCCGCCAATTCCACTTCTCACTCTTGTCCATGAGAATACCATATTGGATACTCCCCGCGAGTACTTAGGTTGTTAAATAGTGTTGTAGTTCTGTCAAATGTTTCCTCTTTGATACTGCGAATTTCTCCAAAGTCGACTTTTGAGATGTTCGGCTAGTTATCTGGAGCGAAGACTCGTTCGATTCGATTGAGTATTGTGTAACTGGTGGCGGACGACAAGCTCCTCTGTGGCATTGCTTCGGCAAGCCTTCGAGCCGATGGAACACAAAGGGTACCTACGGATATGCTGGAGGGGCCAATTGTTCCGTGTTGCTGACTATTGGTCGGCTTGGATTGACATGCTTATCGTTCTGCATTCTGCGATCGACCGGCAGCGGTCCATGTGGGACAACACTGTGATCATCGTAGTGTGTCACTATTTGCCACTGTTTGGAGGAGGAAGGTGACATCGCTGCGAATTGAGCTTCCTTCGATTAATATTTGCGCTAACGCGGAGTAGACCGGTCATGCAGGTTTCCATCGTGGACAACGGACAAGGAATTGAATGGTGGCAGGGAAACAAGGTACTGTATGTGCTTGTAACTTTTAGGCAGTTGGATCAAGGTGGGCGATCTGCTCCGAGGCCTTGAAGGAGCCTGCAATAACCGCTCATCGGCCAAACACCTACCTGGCTCTAAGGCTCTCTCAATCCACACCAGTTCAGCTTTAGTGTCAATTTAACGAATTCGTGAAGGGAAGACACATGCTGTCGTTAAAATAGGTGTTTACCCAGGACAGCAAAACAATACGGTAGGCCATAGAAGAGCCCAAAAGAATCGAGATGAGGCTCAGCGCCCGGATTTTACTTGGTATTGGAAGGAATTCACCAGATTCGACATAGGTGTGCACACGCTGGAAAAGAACGAAGACGACGACATTTCCCACCAAAGGCCAGGGTCACGCTGTCGCCCAAACGCCCAAGCGTGGCCCCAGCTACGAAAGGACTCTATGAAATTTCAAAAAACAATTGGAGCTTACCTTCCTCACAAACGAGGACATGAGCGAGAATAGCTGAACCGTGCACGGTATGCCACTCTCGACGAAATCGTAGCGAACCTATATGGCTTCGGTGGAAGCTGGGCCTGCGTGATCAATACGGAGACTGCATGAGAAGGGTGAGCCTGACCAGAGAGACCTCTACTTCACGCTCATGCAGGGCGGCCTTCACCACCTACAACGAAGACATGCTGTCGTCGTCATTGCCCATCGGCGAGTCTTCGGTCTCACTCTGAGGCTGGATCCAAGGCTCTTTGCATATCTCTTCTGGCATCGATATCACAGAACTCCGATAGAGACATGATAGTCGATTTCACCAACCATCGATCACGTAGTGTACTTGAACGATATGAAGGGTATAGGAGAAGGAGCAACTGAAGGCGGTTAATCGAGCAACTTTGGGTCAACGAGGAAGTGAGCTTAGTAGGGATAATTTCCGTCTGACGAGTTTGACTGCAACTTCCTGTAGCACTTTGTTGTAGAGTTATGGGAAAAGTACCCCTCGTCAGACGGAGTATTACGGCTGCTGCGCTGCAGCTTCACATGCCATCAACGGTACTGAAAAACAGCCGCATTTTCGCTGCCATTTACATTATTGGAACTTGTTATCGTTTTCTGCATAAAATAAAATACATAATTTGCTGTGTACATCATGAATATATTTCATCACATGTTGAATTCAAAGTCTGGAATCAGGCTGCGACGCTGATACCAAGGTCAACTTCAAGGTCACCACAAACATCGAGGCTCTGTTCAGCATATCCTGACATGTTGTCAGCCTCGCGTGGCTCCCGTTTCGTCGCCATGGCAAAGGAATTTCCGCTCGAGTCCATCTCGCTTCCGTCGAACGCATCCAACCATGATATATTCATATCTATCCCGTCTTCCACGCTAGAAAACAAATCGTTGCTATCTTGAAAATTGACCAGGGAATCAAAGTCCGTTTCAACCAGCTCCGAAGAAAAGACGTTGTTTTCTCCTGTTCCATGACAGGTGGCCTGACCAACATTTGTCCAGGTACCGTCACCGCTTTCCATGGAGTACGAGTGTAAATCACCTTCTGATCCCGCTGATCCCGGAGGTGTGAATGCGGAAAGCAGATTCTTCTCCTCTGGGGCCAAGGTCGAATTGTAGAGTAACATGTTGGCGGTTTGCATGGCTTCCGGTGGAGGAGTGAGCAGCAGTTGACCACCGGGGCCTTGTTTTGCATCGATCTGGGGGCTGCTTGAGGCGGAAGAGGTGGTCTTCATAGGCATGGATGCGGCAGATACATGAGAGTTCGTCTTCCGCACGGCAGCATCGAGGAACGAGAATGCGAAATCGGCAGATGCGTAAATCTCCCGTAGCCGCTGCAGGGCCTGCATGCAAAATTGGAATTTGCGGATACTGGCTTCTCGAGTCTCCATGTCGGGAGACTTCAGATCGAGGAGGTGAATGATGATGGCTGGGAGGAGGCAGGTTACCCCGGTGTTCGGTAGGAATCGTATCATGTCGTGCACGAAGAGGTCTCGGTACATGTCTGTAATGTCGTTGGCCGCCTCGCGGACCTTCCTCTTGGACAAGTCTCGTAACTCTGGAACCACGACTACATCTGGCGCAGATGGCAGTATTTGTGGACGATGAAGGGCGCTAAGAGCCGTGAGATAAATTCCTTGCAACAGGGCTCTGTGAACGTTGAGAACCTCGCCATCAACTGCATTGGTCCGAACTCGAGAGCCTGGTGTAAAATAATGGAGATCTTGCGGCATGTCTGTGTACCATGCTTCCAAATCTCGATCACATCGGATCACGTCACATGAATCTGCAGCACATTTCTTGGGGACCAGTCTCATGGTCGTCTCTTGTGTCGCTCCAATCTTATGACCGAGCGTGGAATATTGAACAGCAAGGACCTGGCTGATGCATACACATAACTTGGCCAGTGCGATGCACATTCTCGCCAAAGCGACCCTCTTCGTGCTATCTTTGGCTGTAGGACAGCCACCAAGCATTCTGGTTAGCTGCGTGGGCAGGGGCTCGGTTTCAAAGTCTGCCAGCTCGAGCATGGGCACATCGGAGTCTCCGTTGCTGATCCGCATGGGGCGCCGCATGCCGATGGCGATCAAACGGTCTCTCATATAACAGCACCACCATATTCTCTTCCAGAGTCGACACTGCTGTGAAGACATTAATGGTGCATTCGAGGTGTCGCAATTCAGTCCGATGGTTCGTGCCACAGAAATAGCCACACCTAGCCAATGCCAGACGTCTTTGGGGTCATCGGGATTCTCGTACCAGTAGGTCATCAGCAGAACGCTTTGGACCACTGTGACTCTATCCACCTCGTAATCGAAGTCGTATAGAAGTTTGACTCGCTGGAAAAAGGCCTTTCGGGCCGCTTTGCGTGTAACATATCCTTGCGCAACCAGATATCGCATGTCAATATATGCCGTGGCGGCAAACATAACAGCTTGGAACAGCAACAAACTGGCTGTGTCGCTAGGTTGGTCTCTTTGCACGATAGCCAGAAATTCTTGCAGATCGAGAAGCGGAAGGAAAGGGTGAACGTATTGAACGTAGCATCGGAGGAGCTCGTTGCGTAGACCTGGTTCGGGAATGATAAAGGCGCCTTTTCTCTGCAGATATTCGAGATCCTCCATTGCAATCCTCTGCGGAACCGTCTTTATATATGCCGGTAGCGCAATATCTGGCCGACTTGACAATTGTGGGAAGTAGTTGGACCCAGAACACAATGTAAGCGAAGTGGGAAGCGTCTTAGTACTAATGTTCGACATTCGTCTTGTACGCTCCTCAAGGCTCAATCGATGACCTTGCGTTCGGTCTGAATGCTGAATGTCAGCTGAAAGACAGCAGCGAGAAAGAATGACAAAACTTACACAACATATGAGGGCGGTGATGGCAAAGTTCGAATTCCAATGCATTAAGATTCTGGACGGGCTCCGCACTATTAGAGAAGGTGGGAGCAAGATCACTCAGACCATCGATATCGTCAAAGATTGGGAACTGGGGTGGTTGTTCCTTCTCCTCCTCGATCGAGTGGCAGGGAGAGTGATGGAGCACCTCTCCCTCAGGAAATGTTTTCCTCCTTCGCTTTCCTTCTGTGACGATACACTCGACTTCATCGAGTCTACAGTTGGTGCATGGTATGCCACTCTCGACGACGTCACAGCGGACCTTTCTTGATCTACAGCAGTGACATGCTTTAGATGCCCTCCGCTTGACTGTTCGACCGGTCGTTGACAGCCCGGCCGTTGATGCTTTTCTTTTGGTAGAGTTATTCATGGCGTCAACAATGGAAATGCTCTTGGTAAGACAGCGAAGATTGTTAGTGTAGCAAAGTCACTTGGGCAGGAATAATAAGCTTGTAAAGTGAGAAGTATAAGCTGTAATCTCTGGCCAGGTAAGTGAGAGGAGGGACAAGAATTGTAAGAGTGGTTGGAGAAGCTCCAGATATGTAAAAAGCCGAGCGATGGGCCCTGGGGACAGATATGGGGAAGGATGAACGGATTGAACGTACAGTAGACCCTCTCCCACTGGGTCCACCATATTACTCGTGCGGTATAAACAGACTGGACTGGCGTCGATGAGACTTTTCTTTGTACCCCAGACTACCTCGTTCGAGACGAGCTCGTTGATCGTCATCAGCGATTGGACGAAAGGCTGTGATGGTTCATGCTCAGACATCTGGGGACTAGCCTTTCCGTGCCGAACGATTTCCAGGACACTGGTACTTGGGTATCCCCCTTCGAGACACTTCGCTGTTCCTCAGGGAGGAGTGATTTGGTTGAAGACGGCTGTAGTCATTGTCTTTCTGCTAAACCATTTGATCTGAGAGTATGACCAGGCGAAGCCTACGAGTTCGCACTTTGTTCTTACACATGGAGTACCAAGGAGATTTGACCGCGAATCCCCGCTGAAGGGACCCCGGTCTCCACGAGGGTGGTCCAAAGGCGTCGCACCACACGCCTCTCAGCCCTTTGCAAGGCAAACTAGGACAGAATGCGTTTACTGCCTCGGTTCCGATCTTAATCCGTGCCGATTACCCATCGAAAAGTTGTGAATCTGACAGCATTTGGTAGGCTATGCATGCACAGGGAGAAGGGGCAGACAGCGATACCGGTGGAAATGACCGCTTCCGAGCCCAGACAACCGCTTCGAGCCTTTGCCCAATAGCGCCAACGACTCGGAGAGGGTCTATTGGTGGACGGCCTGGGGTCCAAGCAGAGTCTGGCAGGAAGGGCGCTCAGCAATTCAAACAGGGAGCGAGGCGGGCGATTGATTTGGGGGATGGCACGTCTCCGGGCTGGAGAATGTGGCGCTTCCCCGTGGGTCAATCATTTTCGAGAGACATTAGCGTCGAGTCGAAATCTCGAGGTCAGTTCTCGAAAATGAAGGCTGGGCAAATTCAACTCGAAAACTCACTGGTCAAAGCGAATTGGGCAAACCGCCGGTTGCCTTTCACGGCAGCGATTGACAGTAGTGTGCTCCGTAAGGAAAATGAAATCCGTTGTGCCAGTCAGATGATGGGTAGGAAGAGAGCCTGACAAGGATCCAATCCACTGTGGAGGAGGTGGCAGAGGAGAAGTTGGTGGGAGAAAGGAGGAAAAAGGCGGGGAGACGAGTCAGAAGGGGCTGACTCTCCCCCTTTCCTTGTTCAATCACTCGTTGGACCTTTACTCCATGCTGATCTACTTCCCTTGCCCTGTATTTTCATCTGCGTAGTTGTAGTTTATTATAGCGAGGAACATACTGAAAAGTGTTAAGGGTCTTTACTGCCGATCAATAGCAACCTTTGCTGTGTGTGTCCGCAACAGACGAGCAAAATTGAGCATCAGTGACGCCGTGACAGAGGTTCCTCCGATTTCGCAATCAATGAGACAGAAGTCGACCCCTCGAGATAGTTCCCAGAGACCATATCGGTCCTATCACCGACCATGGTTGACCTATCGGTGGAAATGGCCGCCTGGAATCATGCTTGGTGCCGTATGTACTGTAGGCATGATGGGACAGTCCCTGGCAGACATGGACAGCCCTAGGTCCGAGACCGGACACGATTCCACCGGAATCAATGCATGCATAAATTCCATGGAATTACGGAACAATATGTGCCTTCTCCAAAGAAAGGGAAGCTATGGAATATTCTTGCTCCGGCAATGTACAGTCGTGCGCAGCCACAGTATTGTTCCACGGCTATATGACTAGGCGAACCGCAAGCAGTTGAACATGCTCATTGACAATGGACAAAGTAACCGGAGGTCGAATGCCGGAGTAAAGAAGCTTGCTTGATAAGGGAAGCAACCGCTATATCGCCGAGTAGCCGTGGAACATAGCCGTGTTAGCCGTGGAAGCTGTACCCAAGAGATTAGCCCATTCCTCTAGGAGTATTTGACTATTAGTATGCATAAGAGTCAAGGCCTAGAGCGATGCAAGAAATGCGTGGGGAGATGGATTGTACAGCGGCTCCGCTCCAATGTGCCACATCTCGAGTACGAGCACGAGCGCCCAGGCTGGTGAGGTCTACCACCATACTCGCACTCGTACTCGTATGCAAGTTCTGGCCTTGTTTCCGCGGGGACGATCGTCCTTATCGATAAGCTGCGGGGAAACAACACGTAGACACGCGCACCCTTCCTAGGTACCTAATGCACTCCGTACAATTCTCTGCATCAATAGTCCGGCTGGATGGCCATACAAATACACTATGATAGACGCGCCGGAGGAGGGAGACGGTCGTGCTAAGCCTATCATTCCTGGCCTCGGTGAAGATGACAGCAACAAGGCCGCTATACTTATTCAGGTTCTGATGCACTTCGCTTGCTTGTGCGCACATGTTTGCTGACCGATCTCAAGAAAACATATAGAGGTTATCGAACCCGCCGACAGCTGAAAGGCTTTGGCCTTGATGCAACCACCCGGTGGTATGAGGTCAGTGTCATTGTAACCGTCAAAACTACGGCTTCGACTAAGTACTCATGAAGTAGGCAGTGAAAGATGCACAATACCAGCAACTAACCACACCAAGAGATTCCGAACAGCCCTACACAAGCTCTGACAACCATGCTTCACATGGAGAGACGCCATTATCACCAGCAAGGAGGAAATGGTTCAAAGCCACGGATATCGCCCGGAGAGCCGGAGCAGACGATCGGTCGCCTTCAGTGTCGGATGTATCCTCTGACGAGAATATCGAGGCGGAAGATGCAAAGAGAAAGAGACAGGAGGCTAATGAGATACGGAAGAAGACTGCAAAGATGATGGATCTGCAATACTTCTTGGAAATGGTAGACCAAAAACACCGATACGGGAGCAATTTGCGCAAATACCACAACCACTGGAAGGCACTAGATACCACTCAAAATTTCTTTTACTGGCTCGATCATGGAGACGGCAGAAATGTCACTCTCCCGGAATGCAGCAGAGAGCGCCTCGACAAGGAACAAGTCCGCTATCTTTCGCGAGAAGAACGTCTCAATTATCTTGTCAAGGTCAACAGCCAGGGTCTCCTTGTCTGGGCAAAGAATGGCGAGTTGGTGTGGACCAAGGATGAGCTGTACAAAGACAGCATCAATGGAATAGTGCCCATATATGACAGCTCTCCTAAATGGCAGTACAACGTGCCAGTATCAAATCAACATCAATCCAGCAGTAGTTCCTCGGATGACTCGTCAGACGAAGAGGACGAAAAGGATGAGAATACTGGAGGCGACGAGGGCGAGAGATACGTCAACGAAGAGGTGAGTGGTCTTTTGGGTTCTTGCAAATATTACTGGATGTCTAACGGCACTCCGATATCAAAGTTTCATCGAGCCAAAGGACCAGCGAAGCTCAAGCATGTGTCGGCAGCGGTACTTTTCAACCATATGATCAGAACTAGCTTGAAGAAGGGCCACAAATGGATCTTTGTAAGTTGATGCTTGCTGCCCTGTGTCGAGCCACGTACTGACCGGATACAGGTCGCAGGTTCGTTCCAGCTTTGTGTCAACTTTCCGTATGAGTATGCTCACTAAAACCAGACACCTCTCTCCGTTTGTACATTGGCTATAAGCAATCAGGCGCTTTCCAACATTCTTCCTTCCTCCATGGTGCCCGCATCCTAGCGGCTGGTCTCATAAAGGTCAAGAGGGGACAGTTACGGAGATTATCTCCCTTGAGGTGAGGACAAAATACCACTGCACCACTGGCTCAACTGAACATACAACAGTGGTCACTATCGGCCCCCCGCTATCAACTTTCGAACGTTTGTGCATAGCTTGCGTGACACGGGAGTTGACATGTCCCATGTCTCTATTTCAAGAAGTTACGCCATCTTAGTCGGACTGGAAACATATACGAAAACCCGGAAGAAAATCAAATCTGCAGAAAAGAAAGCAGTGCGCGAAAAAGACAAGCTCATCAACCCGGAGAAAGTCAAGGCGGAAGAAGAGGCTCAGCAAGATAAGTCCAAGAGTGCTGAAAAAGAGAGACTGCATCTCGAACAGCAACGCAAGGCTGCAGAGGCCAAAGCAAACGAGCGAAAGGCTGATCGAAGCATCAGCGGAAGACTGTCGCGTGCAATGACAAAGCTCAGATCTAACAAGGAGAGCGATGAGAAAAACCCGAGACGACTACCGGGAACAGGGCCTGAGGATGGAATCCCTGCCCCAGAAGGACGAAGGTGACGAGGGGATGGTTTGGGTGAGAGGAGATGATGGCTCGAGCAAGAACATCGCCATAGATCCCCGGATGTTCATCTTGCAACACCCAGCACCAGTGCAAGGACGGATGCTTGTCTAGAGAGATGGCTTCTAGCTATCACGAGGCTTCGTGGCACTTGTGTCGTCGAGATCCGGAATCCCATGTCACCTGTCCTGAGCAATTTTCCTGTAATAGAACAAAGTGTCATCACTCCGAAAAGTCGTATCGTACTTTGCAGACCCATGTTATCATCGAGGCGACAATCCTTGTCTATCCTTCGTAAAAAGTAATGACAATGAGACCAGTCACGGAAGAGAATAGCTTTGTGAGACCTCGAGGTACGAATGCAATACGAGGCATCGATAATGGGTGATGTCAAAGTGCAGATGTGGATGGCCACCGGTGTAAAAAAAAGTTGGTGAGATCCCTGACACTTTTCCACCTTTTACTGGCTCTTCCAAGAAAACGTGCGTTGCTGATCCCTGTCCACATCTTTGACTCTTTTCCACTCAGCACCACGCGTTGTGTCTGTGGCTGGTGATCCGTACCGCCTTTCAACGTGCCTTTGTGATCGGCCGATGGTCATTGACTCAAACCACATACCCACCATAGACCCTCCCTCGGCACCCTCGCCTACACTTGTCTCTTTCCCCCACCGGACGAGGATCTCAAGAAAGCTGTGGCAAAAGCCTCCATTTACCGAAGAGCAAGTAGAGGTCCTGAGAACCACCAGTGCGTCTGGGCATGGTGTGCAATAAGACAAGAGGCACAGTGTTCAACAAGCGTCATGCAGCCCAGAGGTGCAGGCAAAGGCATTGTCACTACGAAATACTACAGTACTTACGGGGTCCTCCGACGCCTCATTTAAAACATCCCTGGGAATGACACCAATGACAACGGCCAAAGACCCCGCCATCGACGTGAGCAACACGGTGCAAAAAACCTGTTCTCAGGAATTCGGCTGGGGCGGTGCGTCAACACTGGACACTCCCTAAGCCACATCTGACATCTCATAACGCCTAAGACTTCGGACCACGTCTCGCTTCTCCACTTGGCGTCGTGTCAAGCCCGGATCCCTGCCGTAACTCTACCTTCAATCCTTCAGATGTCGACCCGGAAGATAGGGACACATGCGGTGCTACGCGAAAGAGAAAGAAGTCGCTGTTCACCCTCGAACTCGATACGGAATACACATCGCTCGGTAGACATCGCTTTCATCATTCGACCTTATGACGGAGGCTGGAATGGCAGCAAAAAGCCGAGCAACAAATCAAAGAGTGGACGCTTCGTGAAGCGGCGCTTGACATCAGATCCTCCGATCACTCAAGGCGGGATCCTGGCATGTCTGGGGATATACCCTGTTCACATGGGTTTCGGAGCATGGCATTCCTTGTCGCCGTCACTCCTCTTTTCCATGCTCATTCGCGATTCTGCATTTGCTTTTCGATCGTCAATCCAGACAGGCCAGCATCCCCTGCAACCTCGTCTCTTTCCACGATGCCATTCGCTGGATGGATTTTGATCCCATCCAGACCTAACTTTTCTGTGCCACACTCTTACCTCTTCGAGTCCCTCATGTCTCCTGCTCTGACGCAATGGCTCTGCTTGAAACAAGGAGCTGGCAGCCACAATGAGGCACCAGCTCGCTCAGAAAGAGAGGAGCTTCGAGCTTTCTCACACCAGGATAGCAATGATGAACAGTGACGTAGGAACATTTTGCTTCTACTACTTGACGACGTATTGTTCCCTCAGCCCAACGCGATTTTTTCCTTTCTGTCTCTCAAGTCCATCCCATCCATCAAATTAATACCATACAGTGTAAATTATCAAGATACCCAGTTGAGAAGAAGACAGTTGCCTGAGCGTGAAAAAGCAACGTCAAAAGTTTTATGATACTGTATTTTTAGGCAGCTGATGACCACGAGTAATCGGAACTCATCAGCCTCGTACGCATATTACTCCTTTCCTCCAACGCCCAGTCGCGAGTCGCGATCCTCTCAACAGTCTAGCCCAGCAACAGTCAGGAGCTTTAAAAGCACAATGCCGTCCCCAGCAACAGCAAGGTCGGGAAATCCTCCCGAAACACCCACAAAGACTGGCAAGAGCCCTCAATCACAATCCACTTCTAAGCTTACTGGGAAAGATATCCCGAGAGGTACTCCTGGACGCAAGCCGCCCAAGCTCGGGGCTTCCAAGGCGACCCCAAAGAAAGTAACCGAAGATGCTCCCGAACCGAAAGAGGCCGAGAAGCCCGTTGAAGATGTGAAAGAAAAGGCTGAAGACACCAGCGAAGATGCCCAGCAGAAAATCAGTCTGAAGGACACCGAAGAGCCTGGCGGAAAGGTCAGCCAGCCAGGTAACGACACCGGTGCCGAGAGCACCTCCGTCGCCGACACGAGCGAATTGTCGGAAGCCAACCCCGAGCCGGTGCCTGATAGCGATGAAGACGAGCAGGAGACCGCCAAAGAAAGCAAAGGCGTTGCCAAAGACGAGGGCACCGATGAAGGTGACGAAACCGAAGGCCCCGTGGAAGAGACACCTGCCGCCGAGACCGAAGACGCCGCTGAAGAGGCGGAGGACGAGGCTGAGGGCAAGGGCTCCGGAGCACTCGGAGGTCTCAAGTCAGCTGCCGGCGGGGTTGCCGGCGGCGGCAAGAAGCTCGCAGGCCGTGTCGGTGGTGCGAAGGACACTGCCACTGGTGCCGCTGGAAAGGCATCCAAGGGCGATGTAAAGGGTGCTGCCGAAGATACTGCTGGTGATGCCAAGGACACGGTCACAGACACGGCAGAAGACGCCAAAGACACCACCGAAGACACCGCCGAAGAGGTATCAGGTGATGTTCCTGATGCTGACGGAGCAGTCGACGGCGCCAAAGACACTGCCCAAAAGACCGCTGGTGACGCTGAGGAAGCTGCTGGTGAAGCCAAGGAGACCGCCGAAGATGCTGTCGACGGTGTCAAGGACTCTGCCGAAGGTGCCTTACCAGACTTGTCTATCTTGAAGGGTCTCAAAGTTAGCGAGAATGGTGACATCCTCGACGACTCGGGTAAGGCCGTTGGCAAGCTCGAGGAGGGCGATCCTGCTGATCTCGAGGGCTACGAGATCGCTGACGATGGGGAGATTCTCGACGAAGACGGCGATGTCGTAGGTCGCGCCACCGTTCTTCCAGATCAAGCTGGTGACGTTGCAGAGGGCGCGGAAGATGCCATTGACGACGCTAAGGATGCCGCAGAAGATGCCGTCGAAACATACTTGCCTGATATCAACGTTCTTGATGGACTCGAGGTGCAAGAGAACGGTGACATTCTTGACAAAGAAGGGAATGTTCTTGGCAAGATCACGGAGGGCGACCCAGCCGACCTGGTTGGTATGACCCTTAATGCTGATGGTGAGGTTCTCGACGAGGACGGCGATGCTATCGGACGGGCGGAGACCGTCCCTCAGCCAGTGAAGCAAGCTGCGGAGGATGCCGCAGGCGAGCTTCCAGGTGTCGACGCACTCGAAGGCCTTGAAGTTCAAGAGGACGGCGCTATCAAGGATTCCTCGGGCAAGACACTGGGCAAGATTACCGAAGGCGACCCTTCAGACCTTGTTGGTCGGACCGTGAACGCAGAAGGTGAAGTCCTCGACGAAGATGGGGATGTTATTGGCCGTGCCGAAGTCGTGCCCGAAGCAGCTGGCGCTGTCGATGACGCGACGCCCGATTTTGTGCAGGAAGCCTTGGACAAGGTGGACGAGATTCAAGATCAACTAAAACCCAACCTCACAATTGTAGAGGGTAGGAAACTCAACAAGAAAGGCAACATCATCGACGACGAGGGTGAGGTGTTGGCTAAGCTTGTTGATGGTGATATCAAAGCTTGTGCCGGCAAGATCCCTAATGAAAACGGCGAAATTCTCGACAAGGACGGCAATGTCATCGGCCGCGTCGAGGTTGTGCAGGGCGAAGCCGCTGAGGAGGCTATGAAAGAACTTCACCCTGAGCTTCTCGAACAACTTGAAGATGCGCAACAAGCGGCTGAGGAGGCCGAGAAGCAAGCCGAAGAACAGGCCGAGGACGCTGGAGACGCCGCCGAGACCGCTGAGGAGGCTGCAGATACCGCTGAAGGTGCAGCGGATGAAGCCAAGGACGCCGCTGAACAGGCTGCAAAACCCGACTTCTCCCAACTTGAAGGCCTGAAGGTGAACAAGAAGGGCCAAGTTGTCAACGAGGACGGGGATCCAATTGCTCGTCTCGTCGACGGGTACGAAATTGATGATGTCCGCGGCAAGAAGATCAATGAGAATGGTGAAATCTTGGACAAAGATGGCAACGTGATTGGTAAAGTCGAATTCATTCCTGAAGCTATCGAAGAAGGCATTGTCGAAGTTGAGGAAGCTTCACCAGATGCGCCAGACACCTCCATCCTCGAAGGCCTCAAGGTCAACAAGAAGGGCATGGTTCTCAACGAGGAAGGTGATCCGATCGCTCAGCTTAGCGAAGGCGAGCTGGAGACTTGTGCAGGCAAGAAGTTGAACGACAAGGGTGAGGTACTTGACAAGGACGGCAATGTCATTGGCAAGGTCGAATTGATTGCCCAAGAAGGTGAAGAGGAGCAAGAAGAAGACGACGGATTGCCTCCTTTATCCATCCTCGAAGGCCTCAAGGTCAACAAGGCTGGCAAGCTCGTCGACAGCGATGGCAACATTGTCGGCGAATTGGTCGAAGGCGATGCCAAGAAGATTTGGAAGGCTGGTGTCAGCTGTGACGACCAAGGGCAATTCTGGGACAGCAAAGGTCACATCATTGGCCGAGCTAAAACTCTTCCTCAAGAAGACAACGAAGGAGAGGCAGAATTTGCCGGATTGGATGGCCTGACTGTTGTTGCCGACGGCTGGGTCGAAGATGATAACGGAAACCGAGTCGGTCGAATTGTCGATGGCGATGCGAAGAAGCTTGTTGGCCGTGCAGTTGACGAGGATGGAGACATCATTGATAAGAGAGGCAATGTGGTCGGTCATGCGGAGAGATATGAAGAACCCGAAGCTGAGGCTGAGCCTGAACCAGAAGCTATTGACTTGTCAGAGCTAAAGGGCCTGAAGCCTAACAAGCAAGGAAACGTGATTGGACCTGACGGTGTGCCCATTGGCCGTGTTGTTGAAGGCAATGTCAAAGAACTCGCCGGACGATCAATTGACGAGAATGGTCAGATCTGGAATGACCAAGGCAAAGTTATCGGAAGATGCGAACTTATCCCGGCCGAGGAACGAGAGGCCAAGCCTGAAGGCCCATTTGCTGGCCTTGATGGTCTTCTTGTCGGCAAGGATGGCTTGGTCAACGACGCCGAAGGAAATGTCGTCGGCAAGGTGGTTGAGGGCGACTGGAAGAAACTTGTCGGCCGTGCTGTCGACGAAGACGGTGATATCATCGACAAATATGGCAATGTCAAGGGTCATGTTGAGCCTTACGAGGAACCCGAAGAGGAGGTCGTCGAGGAAGACTTGTCAAGCCTGGAAGGCAAGACAGTGAACAAGTTGGGCAAGGTTGTTGACGAGCACGGCACCATCTTCGGAGAGGTCCTTGAAGGCGAGATTAAGCACCTCATTGGCTGCAAGGTCGACGGCAAAGGACAAATCTGGAGCAACAACGGTAAGGTCATCGGACGCGCAGGTCTCATCCAAGGTGGCGACGATGGCCGGGCCGAGGGACCATTCTCAAACTTCGAATCCACCACCGTGTCCAAGGACGGTCTCGTCAAGGACGCCAACGGCGAGATCGTCGGCCGTGTCATTGAAGGCGACCCCAAGAAACTGGTGGGTCGTCGCGTGGATGACGAGGGCGACATCGTGGACAAGAACGGCAATGTCATTGGCAAGGCTGAACGATGGGAGCCTGAGCAGAAAGAGCGCGAAGTGTCTCCCATGTCTGGCTGCCGCATCAATAAAGATGGCGAGGTCCGTGACAAGAACGGCGAGGTGATTGGTAGACTGACGGACGGCAATCTACTTGCTTGCGTCGGCAAAGAAGTCAACGACAATGGCTACGTGGTGGACCAGGACGGCAACAAGCTCGGAGAGTGTACATTGATCGAAAACATTCCCGAGCCCGAGGAAGAAGATGAGACGACACCAGAGCAACTCAAGGAGGAGGAGGAACGAGAGATTGCCAAGAAGATTGGCAACATCATTAACCAGACGATTGACCAGATGAAGCCAATCTGTGATCAGATCACCGATGTAAGTTGGGAGGCCATTGAAACAGAAGTACATGCTGACCGAGAATTGCAGAAAATCGAAAAGGCCGATCGCACGCCTCGTGAAGAGCTCGACGAAGAGAAACTCGTGCAGGATGTCAAGCCTCTCATCGAAGAAGGCAGTCGTATCTTGGGCGAGTGCAATGGTGCCATCCGCGGCCTAGACCCCGACGGACGCATTGCTGCTCAGGCCAAGGCTCGCGCTGCTTCCGGCGAGGCTACCCCCGAAGAACATCGTGTCGCCGAAGGGTTGAAGGAACTCACCTCGACCATTGTCAAGTGCATTGACAATGCCAAGAAGAGAATCTCCGACATGCCTCACGCGAAGAAGAAGTTGAACCCACTCTGGGGTCTCCTCACGGAGCCACTGTTCCAGATCATCGCCGCCGTCGGCTTGCTCTTGTCTGGTGTCCTTGGTCTCGTGGGCAAGTTACTCAACGGTCTAGGTCTGGGTGGCCTGGTCAACGGTATCCTCGGCGGCCTGGGAGTCGACAAGCTCCTCGGTGGACTGGGACTCGGTAGCATCGCTGAGAGTCTAGGTCTGGGAGGTGGTAAGAAGAAATAGGCCAGACACGGTTGGAACCGAGTATCACGACACTTTGTCTCTATTCAGTGATCTGTTGGTTGTGAGGATGGACACTTTTGATTCCAACGATCAACGAGAATGATACGAAGGTCGTGTTCTGGAGAAAACCTCATTGTACATTAGCTATTTTTCGTCCATGGTCTGGTCATGTTGGGTGGCATGGTGTTAACTTTGGGATCGGTTTTCGGGGATTTCATTTGTTATGTGTGTCTAGGCAGTATGAGTGGTAATAATTTCTTTTGTTGTTGAATAGGTGTGTTGAGGTTATGAAAAATACGGGGTTACCTCTCTTTCCATACTGTTGGCATCCCACGTGCATGTAGTGCGGAATACTTCTCTACTTGTGTACAGTACTTGTCTATTCATATCCCAGGTGTTGAGGCAAGTGTGCCCCTACAACAGCGACCATGTTTGAAACCGAGATGTGCATCCGCAATTCAAGAGGCCTGGACATGATCATCACATGTTTAGTCTTAGTACGGAAGCGACATGAAGGACCCCCGTTGTTTAGTGGCGTTACAGAAGGACCACAAATTCTGCCGGCAGAAACTTGACCGTGTTTTTTTCCCTCGGACCACAAATTTCCTCGAAGTGACACACACCAGCATTTCGCAACCAAATCCCATCGCCGATATAACATTCCCTTCCAAGAGGTTTGTGTCTTCCGTCCTTGCCGTCGTTTTTGCACAAAACTTCAGAGTGACGTGACAATTTTTGATTCTCGAAGCAAATATTCGCATCCTCCCTAATCATGCCTGTTCGTGCTATTTCTGTAGTTCAGTAGGGAGTGCAGAGGACTACGAATAACATGTGCTCAGCGACGTATTTCATTGTCTCGAACGAGAGACACCCAGGAACAAATACGCGGCGAGCACATTCACCGGCTTGCTGCAGCTACGGAACGACTTTTCCACGCGACAGTGGACTGACATTCTAGAGATAGTATGTGTGTTCCCTGTTAATTGCAATGTATCACAAGAGGTTTGCCTCCTACAGTCCACAGAGATACTCATCCATACATACAGTACTGTACTATTTAGTACGGACTAGACCTGTCGATCGTCGATTCCCAGACAAATCAAAGATACGTACGACGCGGCCTAGCGAGTCTAGACACCGCCTATCTCGACCTGATCCACCAATGAGGTTTTTTCGTTGCACCCACCACCGTCGAAATGGCAGGCGGTGAGATTCTCGCCAAGGTTCGCGCATTTCTTCTACGAATACGGAGTAGATAGTCCATAGTGCTGTTTAGAACATCCGTACTTTGATATCCCAAGTACAGTTTCGAACTTGGGGGCGGGAAGGGAAGAGACGGAAGAGAGGTTTGAGTGTTCTACCGTTATCTTGTGAGTCAGCTGGTATGACTACGAATAATCAAAGCATGGGAAAGAGAGAGTTCGGAATATAGTCGGGCTCGCTGGTGCTGCCGCTGGTTACAAGGATGATCTCGGTCTCTGCATCCGCCCCAACAAGGAAAAGTATTTTGTCTGACGGAAAAAATCACTCGGCGACTAGGCTAACCATTTGTCAGTGTTTGCCCAAGTCTTCACTTGTCAGACAACAGATATCTACCTTTTTCCAAGTCATTTGGTCTGCAGAGCCTTGACTTCGACCCTTCTTCGCCTCCACATACGCTACTCGATTCACACGCTCGCTCGCACTGCATTTTCCACTTCCTTCAGTCTCTTTCTCGTTTTCTTCTTCCTTTCTCTCTTCTCCTCCTTCCTCCTCCTTTCTTCTCACACCGTTCTGCTCTTAGTGTTTCTACCATTCTCGCGTTCTAGAAGACATTACCTACGAGAACACCCCATCCTATCGGACCGCCATCTGTCGAGGACATTCTGCTATTGTTGTGCTGCTGCTGCGGGTGGACAACAGGTCGTAAGAGACGAGGGTTTACAAGAGAAAATGAAACTTACACGCAAAAAGTCCAATCCCTGCACCGACGACACGTTCCCAACCACTCAGTTCTTGATCCTAGGTGTGTTTCTTCTTGAGGAAATAGACCGAGTCGACTCAGTTCACTGACAATCCTTGCCAGCAATATGTCGCCTTTCCGAACCGATCGCCATCACCGCCATCTTTCCCTATGCCTGGCTCATGGTCAAGACTTTTGGCCTCGGTGATGCCTCTTTCTACGCCGGCATCCTCATCGCCTCCTTCTCTCTGGCCGAGGCCCTGACCAGCATGTTCTGGGGTGGGCTCTCCGATCGCCTGGGACGAAAGCCCATCCTCCTCACGGGCCTCGCCGGCACGGTCGTATCTCTCCTCGTGGTCGGCTTCTCGACCAACTTTACCGTCGCTTTATGCGGAAGAATCATCGGGGGAGCCCTGAATGGAAACATTGGTATGCACATGAAAATCGAACAAACCATGATGGCAACGCAAGGTTAACAAAAACTTCCAGGGGTCATTCAAACCATGGTGGGAGAATTGGTCACCAAGCCAGAACATGAACCCAAAGCATACGCCGTCATGCCTTTTGTGTGGTCTATTGGGTGTATCATTGGCCCTGCCATCGGTGGGTTGCTTGCAAATCCCGCAAAGTCCTACCCCGACGTCTTTCCCAGTAATGGTTTATTTGGTCACTTTCCGTGGCTTCTACCCAATCTGATCTGTGCCGTGATCATGCTCTTCAGCATCATCGTCGGCTCCTTCTGGCTCCAGGAAACTCATCCCGAGTTTCGTCAAAAAGGTCCTGACGAGGACCCACGTTTCGATGTCACCGAGCGCACCCCGATGATGCTGACCGCTGGCGCAAACGCCGATGCCGGTACGGATTTGAGACGAGACTCGTTCGGAACGTTCAACGAAGTTGAGATCCAGAAAACCCTCCGATGGAAGATCAGCGCTCACGGCAGCTCTCGAAGTTCGTCAATCTCCGACAAAGGATCTCAAAAATGGTTTACCAAAAGGGTGGCCATGCTGACCCTCGCCCTCAGTCTATACACATATCACTCCATGTGTTATGACCATCTCTTGCCCATCTTTTTCGAGGACAAGCCTGTTGATCAGGTCTCGGTTTCCTCTCTGGGCGTCCTTCATATCCCAGGTGGGCTCGGTATGTCGACCAAAGATGTGGGTGTCATTATGTCTGTCAATGGTTTAATTGCCTTGTTCATTCAAGCCGTCATCTTCCCCATTGCCGCTGAGCGCCTTGGGGTTTGGCGAGTCTTCGTCCTGGTGACGATTTTGCATCCCGTGGCATTCTTCATTGTGCCTTACCTTGCTCTCCTCCCGCCGAATCTCCTCTATCCAGGCATTTATTTCTGTCTTACCGTTCGAAACCTTCTCTCCATTCTCGATTACCCGGTTCTCCTGATTCTCCTCAAGCAGGCAAGTCCTTCCCTCTCCACTCTCGGTCGCATCAATGGTTTGGCAGCTGCGGCTGGTGCAGCATGTCGGACGGTAGCACCACCCATTGCAGGTTTGTTGTACGAAAGGGGTTCCCAGATTGGTTTTACAGGTTTAGCATATTTCGGCGCAGGCGTTGTCGCTATCGTTGGCGTCGGTCAATTATGGTTTGTTCCAAGGGAAAAGTATACCTCGACCGTGAAGGCAATCATTCCGTACATGGAGAATACAGAGGAGGCAATTCAAGATGTGGTTGACGTTACTGTTATGGATGGCGTTGAGGAAGAAGAGGAGGTTTGAAATATCAGTCACTGTCGGTCGACAATATATATGGTTGGCTTTCGGGTCATATGAGTTCCACTATGTTTGGTGTCTGGGAAGATGAGGATTTGTTCTTTGTTTGGGGAAGGATACACAAGCATGACTGTACAGTAAGAATTCACGACTCCTTATGATCATGACCTGGGATATTTGCGTTGGGATGGCGTTTTTTCGGTCGAGGGCAGGAATATCAGAAATTGAAGATCACGATTATGATGGGCGTTTTAAACGCCTTGGAGATTTCGAGTATGGCAGTTTGGAGTACAGGATAAGGATTGCGGATAGTGGACCAGGGGCATAATACAGACATGAAAGACGAGGAAGTCTTTGGTACTTTTTTCATTTTGAGGAATAATAAATCTTTTACAAAGAGAAGTAACTCATTCGACTTCTTCCTCTTACAAACTATGACAAGTCATCGAGGAGTTTCCCTAGCTACCTGGGCAGGTAGCATCCGCCATAATATAACGGCCACTCGCAGCGACTCCAAACCGAGCCGCCATATCCCGCCTTATTCGTTAGTCCCAATGGCCGAACCAGGAACCCCTTTGCTGACTCTACACACCTCTACCAAAGGTCGTCCATTCCGGCGACTCCACGTGTCTCATGCATCGCCATCGTCGAGAAAGAAGCAATTTCAGTACAAGCGCCTGGGGTCCCCCCTTGTAAGTTCCAGTCAATCCATGTCTTCACTGCAGATTATTCCATGCAGACCATGCCACCAGCGCCTTTCCAACATCCCAGGCGGGTGTACGATGATAAAGATGGAAGGCCATGCACGCTGTCAGCGGAGGAGTGCCTTCTCTTCCATCTTCCCAGCCTCCGCTCTTCATAGCTGTCCTCTCTTCTGATGGCTTCGAAGCGTGATGTCGTCACCATCTGGAACGATGCGGTGAACAAATACAACGAGAACGCTCCAGCTGGTATGAAGATTGAAGAACCCGAGGCCAGTCAAGTCACGAAAATTCATGACACTCTAAAAGTGCCACAGGGGCCAGACAAAGGCCCCATTTTCAAACGGATCCTCAAGATCCTCGGAGACATCTCAAGGGTGGCTGAAGGGGTAGTGGAAACCGTTGGTAGTCTCGTGAGCATTGCCTATCCGCCTGCAGGGGCCATCTCGCAAGCACTGGCCTATGTATTCAAGACCTGTAACAAGGTTTCGAAAAACCTCGAAGAGATTGCCTCCTTCTTCGAGACCATCAAGTTCTTTTTTGAGAGACTCTCTCTACTGGAGGACAGAATGCCCCCTGAGCATGCGTTTTCGGAACCTTTGACGAGGGTTCTTACCTCCATCCTCCACATCTCCGGCATCGCCAGAAGATATGTGGGCCAAAACCGAGTGCTATCTTTCGCCAAAGGTTTAGTCAACAAGGACGAAGGCCTCGCAGATGCCTACGTCGTTTTGAAGGATCGCATGACCGAGCTTGAATCCAGCGTGCTCATGGCCACCTTAGGCACTGCCACCGAAATCAACATCAACGTTCAGAGGCTGCATGAAGCTGCAAATGTGCAGACAGATATGTTGGCCCAGGTGAGCTTACAAACAGACTATGCGATACAACGCTTGGATGCAATTTTCAGAAAGGAAGGGATAGAGGAACTCGTCCCGGCTCTTGGATCTGCCGAGACCGAGGATTCGGCGCATTGCAAGTTGAGAGCGACTCAGCTTGCCATCCAAAAGCTGAAAGACCGATTATTCACCTCTGTCGAAGATCAGATTGAACTTCAGATCCAAGAGCGACTGAAAGGATTTGAAAGTGCGTACCTCAAAGGCACCTGTGAATGGGTTTTGGATAATGAGACTTGGAAATCATGGTACACTAGCGGCAAGACTAACAGGCAGGAAGCATCACGCCACAATAGCCCATCTGGACAGGTCAACATTGACAGGGACAGAGCATTGCGACTCAATGGCCAATCTGGACAGGGCAAGAGCATGCTAGCGTTCTACCTGTTCCGCTATCTCAAAAGTCGATCTGAATTAGCTGTTGGTCGGAGAATTCTAGTGGCATACTTTGATTTTTGTAACGATGATGGAAGTGTGCGCTCACTCGAAAGCATGCGCTGTTGTTGTGCCCTACAAGCCGCCGAACAAGATCTGGCCTATCAAAAGCGCTTGATGGGAAATGAAGAGGCAGCCAAAGACCCACAGGAGTCGAGGAAATCAAACGAATCCATGAGGAAAGAGGATCCAAAGAAACCAAAGGAGTCAAAGGCTACCTCTGGTCCGGGATCTGACGGCGATCGCACATCCTGGAAATCACTTTTCCCACAGACCCAGTCAAAAGGTCAGAAAGGCGAGACGATATTATATCTGATTCTCGATGGGGAGAATGCATTGGACGAATCAGCCTGCGAGAAACTTGAAAAGGAGCTGAGGGACAGAAGATTGGAATCCCAATATTGGGTTCGAGTCATCTTGACCAGGAACAATGACGAAACGTCCCAGTGCAACGTCCTTGACATTGGACTCGGCCTTGAAACTGATCTCAAGCTTTATGCCGGCGCTGTTCTACCACAGTTCCCGCGTTTGTGGAGGCGCCAACCTAGCCGGTTGAAGATCGTCGATCAGATTTGCAAGGAGGCACAAAGTGCGTGACAGATCTCTACGTTTTCCCTCTTCAATTACTAACAAAGGCCAGGCTATACATACATAAACTATGCTCTGTACCATCTGAATCAGATTCGAAATCGGCCCTCTGATGGGTACAAGCTGGCAGAGCCCAGGAATCTTTTCAGATCAATCTTCGAAGATTGGGGAAAATGGAATCCCAGCCCGGGTACCAAGAGCACCCGGAGCGATATTGCTGTTCGACGGCTTCTCACCTGGCTGATGTTTGGCCAGGCATGCATTACACTACGATGTGCAGATCGACTCCTTAAGCTAGAGAAACAAGATGAGGCCAGCCAACTCAATATTGATGAGATCCTTGACGGTCCCCTTGGCTGGTAAGTTGACACCTGAGCTCAAATCATCTCAAGGACCCATATTGACGTAACAGTATCTTCTCTGTGTCGGTCAGCTCGAAGGTGATTCCAGCAAGTGTAGGAGGGATAACCGAGAAGAGCACTGATGAGGACGACCGCGGCCTCCTTAGACTGTCAACCAACAAGATCAAGCCTTACTATCTGAAGAACTATAAATCGCTGTATTCGAGGGCCAGCACTGACCAATTGCACCCTCGAGTATTGATGTTCGAAATGCTCACGAAATTTCTTACTCAACCCCATGATCAAACGTATGCGTGGAGCGAACTTGTCTCTTATGCGGCTTCGTCATGGTGTAGTCATTTGAGCGATTTGATTAAGGACAACACCCTGCAGGAAGGCGCCAACAAAGAAAAAGTTGTGGACAATATACGAATGATTCTTAACCCAAATGAAACGAGCTCCCGGGGCCTCCGACTGTTGGAGAGTCGCGTTGATGTGGACAACACCGAAAAACATGTCTCGGTCTTCGGGGATCGAGAACTAGCGGATTCTAGGATCACGGAGTTATCAGAGTACCTTGGAAAAGACCTGGAAACCTTCGCCATAGGGGCGAAGATGCGCAGTTCCAAAGCTGACCTGAAAACTGTTTTATTAGCTTACATGGCTGAGCTTCATATCTACCAGTGGTTGAGTGCTAAATATCCACGCGACGCCTACATTTCCTTTCGACTGGCACATCAAGCCCTGGACGATTCGAAGGCTTTTCACAAGAAAATTGAAAGCCGAGCTACCAAAGGCAATGAGACAAACCGTTGCGACTTGTTAAAATACACAGATTGGAAGTCGTTCGAACAAGTCTTGGAGCACTTTGGCATCAAAAAAGCTGATAGCTCGGCTCAACAATTGAAGTGTCTCTCAATGGCTCTGCGGTACGATAAGCACTACCCTCAAGCTCTCACCGAAATCAAGGAGGCCCACAAGAAAGACCACAAGGGCGAGTGGCGCGAGAAGTTTGAATTGCTGGACCGCGAAGCCCGCATCTACTTTGGTCAGTACGAAGATGCAAAAACTCCCGGAGACAAAAAATTAGCGTTAGAAAACGCTGTCAACACTTTTGACGAGGCTCTAAAAACATTTCCTTCGACGGACGCCGAGATCCTGGGCCCAGATCGTTGGGGACGACTGATGATCTACCAGCTAAAGGCGCTGGCCGAAGCAGTGCTACATAAACGGGATGAATGCAAGGCAAGTGTCAAGGAGATCTACAATAATTCGAGTCCAGAGACTCCAGAGACTAGAAAGATTATTCTTTATTTTGACGACATTGTCTCGGAGATGGCTAACGGAAGCCCTTCTGAAAAAAATCCATCAAAAAAGGAGCTGTCGAAAGACGTCGTCGACCTATTGCACTCGGTGCATAAAGATCAACTTTCCACCCTGTGCGCTGAAAAGACACACAGGCATCTCCAGCGTGCGGTCCAACTACAAAAGAAGCCCAAAATGCTCGATAAATTGTATGATGAGGCAGTAGTATCCTCAAAAAATCGCGGTGATCTTTTGGCTGTAAGCCGGCTGTGGGCGTGGCGAGGAACATTCGAGCGACTAAAATCTAAAGACGAGACGGCAAAAGAGTATCTCCAGATCGCACTCGATCTCGCCATCTATGGAGATCTCGTTGCCAGAAGGCAGGCAAGCTGGCAGTTGGCGGACATTCTTCTAGACGACTTTTTGCGGCCAGAGCCTCTTGATGAAGATGCAACACCTGTCCTGGCCTGCCAAGAGACGGCTCGCGATCGACTGGAGCAACTCTTAAAATCAGTCATTCTGCTACAGGAGCCTAGCTTCCAACCCGAACTGTCGCCAACCAGTCTTCCGCTGACCATCATGTACAGGCACCTGGGTCCAATTCGGACGTTCAAGGAGAGGGCAGATGCAACGTTCCGTGCCTGTCTGGCCGCCCTCGAAGACGACACCCAATCGAACGATGCGCCCAGCTTGCGGATGTTAGCAAAGACACTGTTACTTATCCCCGGACTTGAGTGGCATGCAGGTCTCGCCTTCTATTACCAGTTTTATACCGTTACTAAACAAGCCAGCGGAAGAGAACTAAACAGACAGGCGAAAAATTCAATTAAAGCCTTTAATATGGTACAGGGCTCACGAAAGAGGTCTCGCCGACAAAAGGGTGGTGCGACGGGAAATAACGATGAGCAAGACCAAAAGGTCGAGTTGGAAGTTGAATGCAGTAATTGTGCTGCAAATATCGACAAAAGAATGCTCAAGAATGCGTCTGTTCACCTATGCTGCGCTTGTACCCACACTCTGTTGTGTAATACATGTTACAAGAAACGTGATGAAAAGGAGAGTTTGGAAGTGCGGTGCGCCTCCCAGCACCAATACATCAAAGCACCACCCGTAACCGAGAAGACGCAGAAGGAGAAGACGCAGAAGGAGAAGACGCAGAAGGAGAAGATGCAGGAGGAGAAGATGCAGGAGGAGAAGAGGAGGAGGGAGGTAGTTCCAAGCCCGGATAATAATGATGAAGAGATCCAAGATAAATGTCGCACCTGGCTTAAGGATCTGCAGAATACATGGGCCAATCAGTGGAAGGAATATTTGTCGCCGACAGTATCCGTCTAGGTTCATCCGGAAACTGAAGAAGCACATGATGGTGAGACGTAGAAAAGGAAGAGATGTGATCATTCTGCCAAATAACAGTGTTTTTCTGGTGTGAAACCTCACATACGTTCTATCTCAATACCCCAAGACGCTCACCAAGATCGGTCATATCTTTGCTGGACGTAGGGCATCATAGATCATTTTCTCAACTTCATCGGCCAGACGCACTACGTGCTTGTCTACGACACGAGACAATCAAATTAGGGACCGAGTCAAGGAAGGTGTATTTTAAATGCTCACCTCCGTAGGGAAGAACCTGAGCGGCAACGATGCCTCCTATCCCACTCGCACGATCGGCAAACCAGTAGAGATTCGGCAAGCCTTCCCACCAAGCTGTACCCGTGGCTCGACCGGTGGCGCCGGGCCGCAACGTCAAGGCAAAGGAAAGACCCCAACCCATCGTGTCGTCCCGAGAGAGTTCGGAGCCTTCTTTGGGTGTCGGTGGTGGCGGTGGAAAGATGGGGGTCGGGTTTGCGAGGAGAGGTTTGGCAGACTGCCATGGTTCATCGGTGTGGATGGGTTTGTCCGGAATTTGGTCCTTGAACATCACTGCTTTTTTCAATGAGAAGTTTGCTGCGAAGAGTAGTCATCAGCTGTAGTACTTACAAGCTACCGTTTCCGGCTTCAAGAGTTGTAGATTGGCCCGCTCGTTGAAACCGTTGTTCAGAAGAGAAGCTATAATTTCTGTGGCAGAATGATGAGCCGAGCGTTCACCCTCTTTTTTTTTGGTCCTGTTCGACGGTGTATGCGCGGATGACCAACTCAAGGCAAACTTACGAAAATATTGATCGGGTCTGGCAAACAAGCCACACCCACCCATGTGGAAAAGTCGTTCTTTGTCCTCGGCCGTTTGAGCCAGCAGTGGTCGTCGGTTGATGTGTTCGGTGTGGCGCAAAGATGTGCCATCTGGGCCCCTCTGGTGCATGTAAGCCAGCCGAGACTTCATAGATTCGGTGGGCAAAAATGTGATTTCTTCGAGCCCGAGGGGTCGAACGATGTGTCCCTGTACGTAATCGTCGAGGGTCATGTCGGTGACTCGTTGTACAATCAATCCGGCCCAGTCCAAGCCGACACCGTATTGGAAAGCCTCACCCGGTTGATTCACCAGTTGATGCCGGAGCAGCTCAGAAAAGTCGGCGTTGAAGTCGTCTATCCCGGTCGGCAAAGACCATCGTCGTAGCTTGACATCGTCAAACGCATACCCAAAGCCGGCTTTTTTTCGACAACGCCGTCATCGGGCCGTCCCCGTCAGTTCAGGTACAGGTAAATGTTTCCGGATCTCTGATTGAAAAGTTTTCACCGCCGAGTGCACTCACCCGTATGACTGAGAAGCATCCTTAGAGTGATTGGTTTCCGTTGTTCTTCCAACCTTAGGTTTCCTGTACCATCGTCCTCGACAATCACCTTGAACTTGGACAGCTCCGGAGCCAGCGAAGCCACTTGCTCGGCGTCATCCAAGGCCAACGCTCCCTTTTCCACCAGCTGCATGCAAGCTATGGTGGTGACGAGCTTCGTCCAAGATGCGACCCAGAACACAGTGTCCCGGGTCATGGGCTCATCCGACTCTACCCCCCTCGTTCCCGACACGTGAGAGAAGAAAACGTCCCCTTCATGATCGAAAGCCAGGTAAAGGAGAGGCGGAACAGTCCCTGACTGCACTTTCTGGTCAATGGTGCTCTGTATGCGCGACCTCGTCTCCGGGTCAATGAGCCTTCCCATCTTACTCTAGGCGTCTTTGGGTGTCGAAGATTTGCGTCTTTGCATTGGAAGCAGTGCTTCCAAGGAGCACAAAAGTCAACGTCAAAAGTGAAGGAAAATAAGGAGGGCGAAATTCCGTAAGTGAAATGGAGCTTTTTTATATGTTGGGTTCGGGAGAAGGCATCAGCGTCGTTCCAATGAAAGAGCTGCTTCAGTGGCAATAAAAGTAGAAGGCTTGGGAGTTGCTCGTTGAAAAGGCTTTCATGACGATTTTCATACGTGAATACAACAGACTATATGGCAAAAACGAAGCTAAAATGAGACTTTGACGAATTGCGTACGTCGGGGGCAATTGAGTAAGCAGTTCGTATGAAGATGAGGTCCTGTCCTATTCTCACAAATTTGCAGAGACTTTTCAAATGATTTCCTCCTGGTCGAGTATCGTTGGAAATGTACCTAATTAGGAAATTCGGCCAACACGCGGAGTGCAGATCTCGAAAGTGGGTCTCAGTGGGCAGAGATGGCAACTGGGGAAAACGAACGCATGCATGTCCCAGATTTCCCTCGGCAAGCTAGAAAAGGTAGGGTCATCATCCTCTCAGAAATTAAAAAAGTTCAAACATACCCTCCGGATCAACTCTAGAATCCTCGACCCTTCATTTCACCCAAACAACTCCCCAGTCAACAACCTGTGTCCTTTACCAAAAAAAGGGGGCAAAAGTGTGTTCGTTGCGATGCCTGATTTCGAAGGGCTCTCTTTGAAGGGCAAGACTGCCATCGTCACTGGCGCATCCAGGTAAGAGGATACAAAACAGAGCGTTGCATACATAACGAGATGGGACAAAAAGACTGATTCTGTGTCGTCAGAGGTATCGGCGCTGGTATCGCACTATTACTCGGGAAGCGAGGTGCCAACGTCGTCGTCAACTACGCAGGTGCCGCAGATCGAGCCGAGAAAGTTGTCAAGGCCATTGAGGAAGCTGGCTCGAAAGCGGTGGCCGTGCAAGCCGATGTCAGCAAACCCACGGGACACCAGAAGCTGGTGAAGGCGGCACTCGATATCAGTGCAACCGGGAAGATTGAAATCATCGTCCACAAGTAACAAGATTCTCCCATCCTATCACTTGGTCGCCAAGACGACCATTTTTTTCAAAATACTGACAGGTCCTTGTACAGTGCGGCTCTAGGAGAAGAGGCGAACCTTCCAGACATCACCGAAGAATTTTACGACAAACACCTCGACTGCAATCTTCGAGGTCCCATCTTTCTGACCCAAGCGGCCTTGCCACACATCCCTAGAGGGGGGAAGATCGTCTTCTTATCCTCGGCCGCCGCTCGCCTGGGAGTCGGTGGACAAAGTGTTTACGCCGCGACCAAGGCGGCGAATGAAGCACTCGTCCGGGTTTGGGCCAAAGAGTTGGGCCAAAGCCATGGAATTACGGTGAACGCAGTCAATCCGGGTCCAGTAGCGACGGGTGAGTTTTCATTTTCTCGTTTGGATTATATCTCACTCTCCCTGAGACGATGATGGAAGGCTAATGATGTTTTTTAAACGCAAAAATCAGATCAATGGTACGCCAGTGACGAACAATTCTTCAAAGACATGCAACCTTTGATCGACTCTACCCCCGCAGCCGCAAGGGTGGCCGAGGTGGATGATATCGCTCCTCTCGTGGCTTTCTTATGTACAGACGATTCTAGGTGGTCTACAGGCGGAGTGCTATGTGCGAACGGAGGTTTATACAACTAGGGAATATCTAGATATATAATACACGTCAAAGTGGTTGGTTAGACTGTTCCTCTTCGACACATTTTTTGGCTTGCAAATGGGATTCATCCTTTTTCCAACTCACCATCGTGACTTACTACAGGAAGGAAGATTTTTCTATCTGAATCACGCTTTCAAGGTCAAAGGGTCGGACAAATTTGTGTCTAGTAAAGCTTTTAACCATCTAAGCTTTGTAAGATGAGCATCCTACAACTTTTATGATCTAAGAAGGTTCGGTACTGCCAGCGTGGTGCACATACATAGAGATAGACAGGCCTCGAACTGCTTTTTGTATTTTGACCATTTACACGACACCGGTCTCCTGGAATCCTACCCAGAGCGTGGGGCCGTTTGTTGTGCTGCGGTCGAATAGTAGGAGAGCCGAGTTTTATTGAGGATGCACAAGGAACAGGGTCGACTGCTCGTTTCCATCTTGCTTGAGAGGATGGAAGCGCTATTCCTTATGCGATCAAGGCTTCCGCTTGCATTTCTATGTGCATGCCTGGGACGGCCAGGGCGGCAACTCCGACCGTGATCCATGTTGGTTTGTGTCCAGGGACTCTCCTGCGCCAAACTTCCATCATCTCACCCTCGAGCCTGACGTCCAATAAGAAACTGGTCATCTTGAAGATGGCGGCGAGACCATTCTTCACTCCAGCCGAAAGGAGCGCCGCCTCGACGCAATTGAAGCAAGCTTCGATTTCTTCCCGTACGGACGAGGTGACGAGCTTGCCGGTCTCGAGGTTGAAGCCTGGCTGTCCAGACGTGATCACGATAGAAGTTTGTGCCGGTATCGTGACGGTGTGCGAAGTGCCATTTTCTGCGAAAAGTGTTCCTAAGGGGCCGGGGGTTTGAGTGTAGGTTAGGCCGGACATGTTTGGGGGTGGCTGGGTTCCCGTAAGGAGGCAAAGGTAGGTACTTAGGGGTGAAGACAATAGGATAGAAGGTGTGCGATATTCATTATATACTCACACCAAAAAATCCCAGATGACAATGTGAGAGAATCATACTCCATACTTACCACAAAATTGGGCTCATACCTAACCTTCCTCCAACAAATCGAACCGGGGTTAGAAATATGGAGTCACTCTAACCGTTCAAGGCAGGTATCCCCCCCTTCCCCACCAATCTTCGAGCGGCGGCTACGTCTCCTTACTCGCAGTTTATCCGCCATGTGGAAATCGTGCCGGACCGGCAACGCCTGATCAGGTAGATTTCTCAACCTCGCCGAGAGAGGGACTTGGGGGGCCCTTATCTGGCAAAACTTTCAACTTCTAGCGGGCCGTTGTTTTGCTACCCTTAGTCCAGAGGATTTGTGGGATCGCTGAAGGTTAAACATCGTATCTGGCTTACCGTGGTTTATCATGGTTTATTATAATTAGGGCTTCAACTTGGAGCTTTTCGCGCCTGTCATCTCCTCAGTAATCATTGACTGTTCTATCCCACCAAAGACCATTTCCAACTGTAATGTCTCCTTATCAAGCAAATCTCTCGCACGACGGTCAGAAATGGACCGCAAAGGATGGGCTTACCCGGGGCCTCCCGACTTATGGTGTCATCAAACCCGAGAGTCACATTCGACAGCAGAGCAACAACGACAAAATATGGGAGGTAATAGTCATCGGCGCTGGTTACACCGGTTTAATTGCTGCTCGTGACCTCGTCAAGGCTGGTGAGTCCGAACAGAAAAAGAAAGAAAACATGGCCGATTGGTGATGGCATGGGAAAAAAAAAACACCACCACTGACATTTTCGAAATACTTAGGCAAGAAAGCGCTTCTCCTCGAAGCCCGCGATCGTGTCGGTGGCCGTACCTGGAGTGCTCAGGTCGACGGTACCACGTACGAGATGGGCGGCACTTGGGTGTCGCACGTCCACGGCCGTCTGTTTGCCGAGATGCAAAGATATGGTCTGAAGGACGAGGTGCAGATGACGCGTACGGACGACGGCGGTTGCTCTTATTTCACCCTCGATACAGGGTCGGGCTCGCGGAAGCTCTCACTCAAAGAGGCCAGCGATATGACCATGCGGGCGTGGAGGATCTTTGTCAACTTTGACGGCAACGACGGTCGGTCCATCTGTCCACTGCCATACTCGACCCTGGGCAATTCACGGGTCACGTTTGAACAGGTCAAGGCCGTCGATCAACTGTCGTGCCGTGACCGCATCGAACAGATCCGGGACCAATTGAGCGCCGATGAACTTGCCCTCCTCGAGTCCCTCGTCCCTCACATTTGCGCGGGAGCCGTCGAGGACGTCGGTTTCCTAGAGATGCTTCGCGCCCAGGCTCTACAAGGTTTCACCCCCGAGACGTTCGAAGAGGTTTGGACGTTGTACAAGATCCGAGAGGGCCAGTCGACACTCGCCCGCCGCGTTTTCGACGATGCGGTTAGATTGGGTCTCCAGTATTCCTTCAAAACCCCCGTGAAATCCATCGTTCAAGACAAACAGGGCATCGTCTCGATCACGACGACAGCCACCGGCGGCGAAACCACAACCTACCGGGCCAAGCGCGTCATCAATACCATCCCTCTCACCGTCCTTTCCACGATCCACTTTGATCCTCCCCTCTCGCCTCTCCGCCAGGAGGCCATCAAAATTGGTCACCTCAATCACCTCACCAAGATTCACGCCGAAGTCGAAGGTGACCTTCGTGGTCTCCGAGGATGTACGTGGCCCGGCGACCTCCTCTATGTCTACGGAGACGGCTTCTGCGCCGGAGAAAAGTCGACCCGGATCACCTCGTTCGCCGGCGACAATCGAGGTAAACTCGATCCACTAAAAGAGCCCGAGAGGCTCGCCACCGCGCTACAACGATTTCATCCCATGAACATAAAAAAGATCGTGTTTCACGATTGGCTGTCGGATCCTTATTCGATGGCAGGTCCGGCCTGGTACCGGACTGGATATCTCACCAAGTATCTGGCCGAACTTCAGAAACGCCACGGCAATGTGCTGATGGCAAACTCCGACTGGGCGTCCGGATGGAGAGCTTTCATCGAGGGAGCGATGGAACAGGGCGCTCTCGCCGCCGATACCGCCATGGACGAGGTGGGCATTCTTGGTGCCAACACACCTCCCTTGTCAGCTCAGTCCATGCTGTAAGGTCACGATATAGAAGAAGGAATAATAACAGGGAGGCCAGAAAACAATTTGAGAAGTTGACCTCCTTGAACAGAATCTGGAACAATTCAACTCTACAATATATACGTACCAAAAACCCCTGGCGCCCATCCCATGCTGTTGTTATAATCTTGCATCTGAACGGGGGTAAGGAGCCTGGCGAACTTTAACTGAGTTTACAAAAAGCGCTTCCGTTCTAGTTGACTTTTGTGAACATCAACTCTCATGTATACGCGTAGCTTGTTCCGGACATGGAAGTATTTATGCCATACCACCAATGCACGCGTCTATAATAGTCACTGATGTAGGAATTGGTCTCATCATCAATCTTGGTCTCTGGAGTTGTCCACTGCCGTTGTGGCGAATTCAACGTCTTTTCCTTGACGATAAAGCCTGCAAACGTATGGGAAACTCCAATCCCAGCCATCGCGAATGAGAAAAGCCGAGGGAACAGAAGCCTTCAGCACACTGTGACTTTCTTGATCACCCTGGCAGGACTACCCACCGCAACTGAAAAAGGGGGGATATCATGGGTCACCACGCTTCCTGCACCGATGGTGCAACCGTCCCCGATGGTCACGCCGGGGAGGATCAAGGCACAACCACCGATCCAACAGTCGTTGCCGATCTTGACTTCCTTTGCAAACTCGATGTCCTGGCGACGGGATTGGACCTCGGTCTCGTGAGTCGCCGTGTAAATGTTGACACCGGGGCCGAACATGACTCGATCTCCAATGGTGACTAGACCACAATCGATGATGACTAGGCTGTTCAATTTCAAACTTGTCGTTAGCCGCCACAAGTCGAAACAAACAGCGGGGTTCCTTAGGGTTTGTGATCCGATACTCACTTTGAGTTGCCATAAAATCGGTCCCCGATGGAAATGTTACAACCATAGTCGAAGAAAAAGGTAGGCTCGATCCAACAGTCCTTGCCGACCTTTCCCAACAGTTGACCGAGAGCACCCTCCCGAAACACGGTCAATGATTCCACCGTTGCATCTTCAGGAAGATGGTCATTGTACTTCTTTGTCAATTTTCGCGCACGGAGACGGGCCTCCTTCAGTTCAGGGACAAAAGAATCATATCTAAGAAAAAATCCACCAGTCAATTCAAAAACATCAGAAAACTTCTCCCGAAAGAAGAGATATTGCGTTTTCAATTCCCTTCCACGCGAAAGAAAGAGATGGGGATGCCACTTGCAGTAGACCCGATAACATCCTCTCATACTGTTCGCACCAGGGAACATGATTCAACTCTCGTGCCCGTTTGATGATTTCTTGGTTTTTGTCTTGTCCATTCGGCAAAGCTGCCTTAGCATTTGTATGATGGCTCATTCTTTCCCTTTCAGAGACTCTGTCGGCTAAATATCTCCCTGCTCGGTACGTGTTGATTGGCAACTTCGGGTTTCAATAGATGTCCGTATCTTTATATTGAGGATGACGACGTCTTATCTTCACAATAACACACGGTACGTTTTTATCATCCTCCTGTGGCAAGGAGGAAGGATCTAAACAAAACATGGCTTGCGTCCAAGTTGATGAGTGAGACGGGTGGCTGCTCATGAAATTGCCGTCTTTGGTAATTTCCCCAACTTCAGGTAGCGTGGGACCCACAAGCTTTAACGAGAAGCCCTCGCAAAGGGGGGTACACCCGCCCTTCTACGTTGTCTCTGTCGAGGGTTACTTGGCTCTCGCTGAGGCTTGAACAGCCCAGGCAAGAAAAGAAGTAATCATGTTCCGAAAATCCGGGTAGATTGTAGCGTTCTAGGTTATGATTGTAAGAGATTCCACAAGTTGTTTTGTCTGTCGGACAACGCCAAACGGCAGTCTCAGCTCCTGTCTGATATAGTAGTGACGGGGCAGTTACCAGCCTCTCTTCCGGAGGAGTATATAGATACTCTTACCTGCCCCAGGTCTTTCTAGGGATGCAAATACAGATTCCTTTCGCCCTTCTTTTTGGCCCACAGAACTTTGATGGTCTGCATGGAACTACACAGGGTTGATTTTTCCGTAAATTATGAATAGGCGAGCCATGCATAAAGATATCTCACAGGGGTTCCTGGGTTCGTTAAGGGCTGTATTGACTTTCGCAATATACGGTAGAATAAAGAAAAAGATTGAGAGTTGTCCAAAATCTTGATATAGCAATCTTCATCCCTGGAGTACGACAGTAAGAGTCTTAAAATACTTTCACGAGAAAGACGCATGATTCTTTCGTAATGATTACAATGCGATACAATCACACAATTCTCCTTGAAGTTTAACGTGCAATCTAGGCGGCGTGGTTGTCGATAGGGGACACTTCGGCGAGCCCAGCCTAGTGTACGACTCACTTTCTGCCTTCCCCGAGGTTGGACTCCCCCAGTCCCCCAAGTCTTAGGCGTCTCCCGGCAACCATCACCTAACACACAGGGGGCGTCGTGATGACATGACAGACAAGATCTCTGAGCTTTATATCATTGACGGGCGTCGAATTGACTCGCTAAATACCTACCCGTAGTTGGAAAAGGTTTAGTTGAGTAAGTTGGCGGGTAACCGATTTTACTACCCCGCACTCTTTCTTGAATCAACGTCCACCTTATCTCTACATCAAAAGCTGATGATGATAACGTACTGTTCTCACTGCTGGCCATATCACAAAGTGCAAAGAAGTCCATTTGTTTTGTGCACCCCCAGCCGTTTGGCGTCCAGTCAGGAGCATTTGCATCATCAACCAGCCATGCCAGCGACATCCACATCCCGGGCACCAGGTACGTTGACGACATGGGTCATTTGGGAACTGATCACACTGTCTGACGTCTGACCGATCAATCACAGGACCAGCTTGTGAAACCTGTCGCAGGAGAAGCCGGAAGTGTGATAGAGAGCGTCCGCAATGTAGCAGATGCTTGACCAAAGGATTGGTCTGTGAGGGCTACCCGACACAGTTTAAGATTCTCGGCCTAGATACGGGGCCCAAGGCTTTTAAAAGCAACAACACCCAGAAACGAAAGCGAGCGCCGCCCAAGCCGAAGAAGCGGAGTTCGAATTCGAATTCGAATACAGAAAGCGGCTCAAAACTTCCTCCATCCAAAAAATTCAACGTTGCCCCCATTCCACCACCAGCCTCCGGGAGCAGCCCGCACCAGGGTGGTCCTTCCATATTTCAGACGACGACGACACCGCCAATCACGAGCTTCTCATCACCTCCAGCCAACTCCCAATGTTCCAGCAGCAGCCCTTCTTCCGCCTCCTTTGCGTCGTTTACGCGGTCGACCCAACTTGACCATATCCTAGCACAAGAACAGACGTGGACCCGTCTCAACCATTTCGAGAATTCATTGTGCGAGATCCTCAGCGTCCATACCACCATGACCACCAATCCTTTCCGGGATCACATCATTCCACTTGCCAACCAGCACTCTGGTCTTTTGCACGCCGTGCTTGGACTATCAGCCTGCCATATGATCAATTCAGGTATTGACAATACACCAAAAGCTCACACGGCGGCTCTGGAGCATAGGCTATCGGCGATCCAGGAACTAGGCGCCCTCCTCCTCAAGGAAGAGTGTTTTGGGTTGGAGGACACGGAGGAGGTGCTTTCGTTGGCGATCGTCCTGATCTTGGTGCTGCACGACATTTGCGAATCCGGAAAGTCGTTTCACGGAGCTCACCTGAACGGCGTCGCGTTTCTTTGCGCCAGAATCGTTGCGGGACCGACGACCCCGTCTCCGACCAAAACCTTTTTGTTGGCCGCCCTTTCATGGTTGGATATCCTTCGAGGATTCACCGGCGCCGAGAAGCTGGCATTCGCCCCTAGTGTCCGCGACTTTGTCTACTTTGCGGACGGCTTCCCGCTCGAGACGGCCGTCGGTTGTCCAGCCGAGCTGTTTCGAACCGTCGGTCTGGTTCTTGAGTCTGGGAAGGCTTACCGTGCACAGGAACTGAGCACCGATGATTTCGTGGCGGATCTCGAAGATGCCGAGGAGAGGATGCGGAAGTGGGACGTCGACCAGAACGTTTACCCTACCCAGGATCCCGAGTGGAAATTGCTCGCCGACGCCTATCGCCACGTCTGCCTTTTACGCATCTTGAGATTTCCAAACCCGTTCCAGACACCTTGTACCGATACCAGGATCGTGGAATCCGTGGAAAGCATCCTCGACGACTGTGCCAAGATGCCTTGGTCGTCGTCGATGTACAAGCGGCTTCTGTTCCCCCTGTTCATGGCCGGTGCCGACACCGTTTCGGTCCACCGCCAGCACTACGTCAAGATTTGCATCGCCGAGATCTTGGACAAGACGAAATTCCCGCAGCCCGCGGTGATGGAAATCCTCGACGCCGTCTGGCAAGCGCGGTCGTCCTTGGAGGTGGAGAGCCCCCTCGCCCAGCAAGAGCAAGGGAACGTTCCGTGGATGGAATTTGTAAGTCTTTGCCTTGGCTGGCCATTATCGAACCTCCTCCTTGGTTGGGCTACGATGAGCTGACTCGTTTTACACGCATTTCTACAGACGTGTTCGACGTCGCTCAAGAAGCAGCACGATTACTTGTTCTTTTAGGGACATTTGTTCCTGTATAAATTCGGCCAGTCCCACGTGTTTATTGACCCACTCCTCCTTCCGTCCGAGGAGACCTCTCTCGGTGCTGCTGCTTTTACATACTCAGGAAGAAGCTTATTCCTATTGTTGACGAGATGAAACGTGCTCATGGTTATCATGTAATGCTTGAAGTCTGTGATCTACTTTGAGGGCAACGAATACCCACGAAATCAAAACTCCTCCGAGTAATACCATCACCCCAGATTCTTGCCCCATCTCACTCTTAATTTCTCTCGTGGTTAAATTCAATCTCACTCCCCACCATCAAGACGTGGTTTTCTGTACATCATTCTCCTGCATATTGCATCTTCTTATCTTTGCAGTGAAGCTTTTCCAGTGGTTCTGCATCTACCAAACGGCCCACTTCACCATGTACATGCGCTGTCGCCAAGACCACGGTTCAATGTCGTCGTTGTCTACGCTTCAACTGATGCCCTTCGTGAGGAGGAGGCGGTGGGATTCTTGGCCCTGGAAATTTGATTTGCCACTTGGATCATATCCCATTGAATGTGTGGACCTTCGAAATTCCTTCCGATGGTGAACCAGAAGATGATGAATATGGTGAAGAGACCAACGAGAATGACGCTGGTGTAATTCATCGTGGCGGTGGATGTCGGGATGCTCGGTGGGAAGCAAACCATGACACCAAGAATCACAATCCAGAGACAGGAAAAGGCGTTGCAGAAGTATCCGAGCCAGCCAAGGTTGAGATACCTCGGGGGGAGCTTTTTGCGGCCCTGGAACAGAGCGATCCCTTGAGGGACGGCGTAGGTGATGTTGAGGTACAGTACGGCACCGGTGACGATCGAGTTGAATGCGGTGGTCGACGCCAGATACAAAAGGCCATAACAGCAAACGAAAACGAAGGCGGCCACGGTTGTTCGGACGGGGAACTTGAAGTATGGATCGATGCGTGCGAAGTAATTGGAAAATGGAACACCGTGCTATAAAATCGAATTGGAGATTGTTAGTGCCAAAGAACAGGAAGAAAACAAACCTTGTGGATCGGCAAGAATCGGGATAGGCACTTACATCACGAGCAAATGCCCAGGCAATTCTACCTGCAGTAACCCATTGTGCAGTGAGACAGACTATAGCGATCTCTGTTAGTGTCTCCAGGAACTCTTCTGCAAGAAACATGATCATGATGAATCCCCAGTGGGAGCACACTTACTGACGTAAATAACGGCGAGCCAGATGATGGTGAACGAGGTTGCTGCTTTGCTACCTGTGCTGAAGATACCAATGTCAGTCATCGCGGGTCAGCGATATTCTGGGAGGGCGACATCACCCACGCTTGATAGACAATCTCCAAGCTGGGCAAGGGAGAATTGATGACAGCGTCGAGATCGTTCATGCAAAACATGAGGGCCAGCATGATAGGTAGCGCCGTCAAAATGCCCACGAGCATGGTAGCACCCATGACTTGAGGAACTCTCCGGCCCGGTTGTGACATTTCCTCGCTGATGTGGATGGCTCCGTCCGTACCGCCGAACGTGTACATGGCATTCGTGATGCCGAGGAGCCACGCCGTTCCGTCGTTCCATCCACTGGTACCCAGACCACCTTGAGTGATCCATGATGCCGGCTGGACTTGTTGACGCATGGCGAGGACGATGATGAACATCAAAACCATTCCAATCAAGGATAGGAACAACGTCACTTGAACCGTCACCGAGACCTTGGACGGGGCCAGAAAGAGTGGGACGACTTTGTGGGCAGGACATTAGCACCGTTCGGTTCACCTCTTAAGCTCGCGTGGACGTCAACTTACTTGTGATAAAGGCACATCCGACGTAGACCAGCCAAATTTGATAAGCATGGATCACAAAATCCGGGTGGAAGAAGCGAGCGAGCCCGCAGATGGAAACGGCGGCCAGTGAGAGACCCGAGGATGTGACAACCCACCATGCGACGACGGACATCCAACCAATTATAAAGGCCGCAAATCTCTTGTGTTTCTTGGGGGCAAGGATGTAGCAAAAGTGATATTGACCGCCGGAGCTAGGGAATGCCGAAGCCAGCTCACTCAGCCCCAAGGTGACGGCGAACTGTACGAAGAAGGCCAGTACCAGACCGAATATGACCATCCGTGGGCCGTTGTAAATGAGGTTCTGGCCAAAGTTGCTCTAGAAACAAGTAAAAATATCGAATTAGTCTTGTCCCCAGTATTACCATCTCGCAACAATCACACAAGAGTTGCTTAAAAGTGCAACAGCGGTGAGAGAGAAGTCCCAAAGGCACACACATACCAGATATCCAACCCATGAGTTGGTGATGGAAAAGGCTAGACCCAAGGCCGAAAGCCACTTGAACTGTCTCTGCATGGCCGGATCATGGCCGTTGGCTCGCAGGACGACGTCGTCGGCATCCTCAACGCTATTGATAGAGCCAACAACGATCAAATCCTCTTTGTTTAGAGGAGTCTCGGCCGCCGAGTTATTCTTGGTCTCATCTTTCAAGCTCCGGACAGAAGAAGCGTTGATGGCTGTTTCGTCCATGATACTCCCGGTAGGTATAGAAAGGGGGCTTCAGGCAATAATAACGTTTTTTTCGGAGTGTGTGTTGGAAGAACGCCAGCAGGCTGCGGTTCAGATTGCAAGAGGCAGGTCACTGTCAGAAGGAAGAAGATGCCAGCTGCGGTCGGCCCAGGGCATCATTTATGTAGCGCTTCGCCTGTTCAAACTGACCTCTATCAAGGTCTGAAGCCGAGCTTGTGCAAACTTTCCGAAAGGGGTATAGAGAGGTTCGTCGTTATCATAACCTCCATGTTCTTGATTAATCAGGGCGAAGGAGATTGAACCAAAAATCCTGGAGAGACACACACTTCGTATCTCGGGGGAAGAGGCGTTTTCTCAGTTGGCAGAATTACCATTTCTGGCCTAGTTCGAGTGGTGGGGCCGTGTCTCCCAGGCTAGTTCCATTCCGGGGGGCGTTATAAGGGAAGCGGCCGTCAACTTACAGTTGGTGACTGGCCGAATTTCCTCTCATGGTCAGGCGCTTCTTCTGGCATATGGTGATAGTTCGAAAACCCGAATTCTTGAGGTTCCAAAAGTATGAACGAGGATACCCTGATTTGGAAGTTTTCCCAACTAAACATGGGACATGCTGGATTAGTTCACATTACGCAGCGACTATCGTGGGCGAATGGGACTCTTCCCTCGTTTCTTGCTTCGATCGATGCAGGGTATCTTGATTCAAGGATGCTCCGCTCCGGAATGGACGAATTGCTATATCAAGATGATAGTTGAAAAAGAATGAATCTGGAAAGTCGAGCCAGTTGCCAAGATAGAGTGTGGAAATTTCCCCAAACCTGAGTTCTGATAGAGTATATATATCCTACGAGACAGCGAATATTTCACCTGGGGATACTACTTTGTACACCCTTGCCACAACTTTCGATGGTAGAAGAAGAGTAAAAGCTCGCTCAACAGCCAACATGTCTTCCACCTATGCTCCCCAGCACCCCCTCGACCCGATCTCGCCGGAGGAGATCAGAGTCGCGACCAGGTGCCTGCAGAAACACCTACAGACAAACAAGATTCATTTCAAAGTGATCGATCTGATTGAAACACCAAAAGTTGCTGTCCTTGCGTGGCTTGAGCAGCGACAACAGAGACTGCCGGAGCGGAGGTCCCGAATTTATTTCCACGCCAATGGCTCACATGTCCTTGGAAAAGCAGAGGTCAATCTGACCAAGGGAATTGTCGACAGCGTCATAGAACTACCCGACGCCCAGGGCCCTGCCGACCCTCTTGAGATCGAGCGTGTGCACGATGCCTGTGATGCACACCCACTGGTCAAGGCCGAAATTGCAAAGTTGAACCTCCCCAAGGGCGCGCGAGTGATCAATGACCCTTGGTGTTACGGTACAGATGACGCGAAAGAACGTCGACGCTTGTACCAGTGTTATATGTACATCGCCCTCAACGATGACAAGGAGGCAAATCATTACTCACTTCCCGCTTCCTTCTCCCCGGTGTTCGACGCCCATACCCTCGAACTTCTCCGGATCGATCAGCTCCCCATGGGATCGGGCAAAGACATCGGAACTGATACCCGACCCTGGGACCCTGTCCCGGCGGTCGAGTACTCTGCCAGCGTACTGGGAGATGACTGTTTCCGCAAGGACGTCAAGCCCCTTCAGGTCAAGCAACCGGAAGGCGCATCGTTCACCGTTGCAGGACGGACCGTCTCGTGGCAGAAGTGGAATTTTCAACTCGGATGGAACTACAGGGAAGGACCAGTGTTGCACAATGTCACGTACGATGGCCGTTCTCTGTTTTACCGGATCGCCATGAGTGAGATGACCGTGCCCTACGGTGATCCGCGGTCACCCTTCCACCGAAAGCAAGCGTTCGACCTGGGAGACACCGGTCTGGGGACAAACTCAAACGCCCTCACGCTGGGTTGTGACTGTCTGGGTCACATCCGCTATTTTGACGGGTACCGCGCCGCAGCGGATGGAACTCCTGTCATCATGAAAAACGTTGTCTGTATGCACGAGGTCGACCAGGGCATCGGCTGGAAGCATACCAATTGGCGAAACGAGCAGGCATCCGTGGTGCGCGATCGCCAGTTGGTCATTCAGTGCACCGCGACCGTGGCGAATTACGAGTACATATTGGCCTTCATCCTAGACCAGGCAGCCAACGTCCACGTCGAAACGAAAGCCACGGGAATTGTTTCCACCATGCCCATCCGACAGGGGGTTCTCGATACCAAATGGGGCACGGTGGTTGCTCCAGGCGTGATGGCGACCAACCATCAACACATTTTCAGTGTCCGGATCGATCCAGCATTGGACGGACACAACAATACCATCGTGTACGATGACTGTGTTCCTCCTGTCGAGGAGGGCGATGACCCGTACGGGTGCGCCTTTGAGGTCAGGACGACAAAGATCCAGAAGCCCGGCGGTTACGATCTGGACACCGACAAGTCCAGGGTCTACAAGATCATCAACCCTTCGATCAAAAATCCTGTTTCGGGGAAACCGATCGGGTACAAACTTCACGCGATCCCTTCTCAGATGATGATAATGAAGCCCCGAACGTTCAACTGGAAGCGTGGCGTCTTTGCATCCAAACCCATCTGGGTCACAAAGTATCGTGATGAGGAACTTTGGGCCGCCGGCGAGTTCACCAACCAGAGTCGCGAAGATACCGGTCTCGCCATCTGGGCCAACCGTGAAGAACAGGTGGAAGATTCCGACGTAGTCCTTTGGCACACATTTGCCATTACTCACGTCACAAGACCAGAAGGTAAGTTACCTCTCTCTCTCTCTCTCTCTCCAAGATTTTCTTGTATGGTGGATGAAAGTGAGACCCAAAAGACTGACATTTCTCGCAGATTTCCCCGTCATGCCGACAGAAAAGATGATGCTGTCGCTGAAGCCTACCAATTTCTTCAATATCAACCCATCCAACGATGTCCCAAGGTCCAATCAGAAGATTAACAAATCGACTTTGGAAAACCTCTCGGATGCAACGCCGTTAGCTTGTCATTCACGACTCTAAGGCGTGACTTAAAGAGTTGGCGCATTATCTTGACACCAAATACGGAGTAATAGTGGTCACTGGTCATAATATACCTTTGTCCGAGTGCAGTACGTCTGGGAAAAGGTGCTATGATGTTGGGTTTCATGTTTGAGGAATGGTATGTTTTATAGACCATCTATACTCATCATATCTTTAAAAACAATAAGCACCGGAACAAACAAAGCTCATAGTCGTTCAGCACCCGATGCTCGATACTCAATATTTAGATCACTCGGTGACCTTGGATTTTGGAGATATATGATAATCATGGGGACGCACTTGGCCGCTCGGGATGACAAACCACGGTGAGCGTTATGCTCCATGTCAGCCAAGCAGGTGCCTTGTTCCGCTTCCACCCCAAGGTACCTAAGATTTTGCATCCGTCCGGTAATGGGGATGGTGGTACGCTGTCGATAGAGCCCGCTTTTTTTTTCATCAAGATATTCGGGCGCATTTTAATGACTATAACATCTCGCAATCCTCGGTGCATGAAGGCGGTGCGGTCGACAAAATGGCTGGCGGCAGTACAACACGCAGTCCACGCGACCTGGCTTTCCGGATTCTCGATCAATGTTTGGAGGAGCGCGGGAAGACAGATTCCTCGAGGGGGTCGATAATGGATATTTCAGATGCGGATGTGACTACACAAATCCGCGAGGATCTTGCGATACCTGGCCGCTCACCGGTGGACATCGACACACTTTTGGACGCTGCCCGTGTCGTTTTCAAGCACCGTGTGAGAATGGACCATCCGCGCTTCTTCGGATTCATCCCGTCCCCCGCGAGCGACGCCTCATGGCTGGGCGAGATCTTGAACTCGGCCTACAACACCCACGCCGGGAGCTGGATGCAGTCTTCCGGCCCCAGCGCCGTGGAAATGCAATTGCTCAAGTGGATGGCGAGTGACATTGTGGGATTCCCTTCTCCCACCGCCGGCGGATGTTTTGTGAGTGGCGGATCCATGGCGAACTTGACGGCATTGACGGTCGCACGAGATCAGAAGCTACCACGTTTCGAGGATAGACCATTGGCGGTCATCTATCTTTCTCAACAGACGCATTCAAGTGTCGCGAAGGGGCTGAAGGTGTTGGGCTTCCACGACAACCAGATCCGGAGGGTCGCCTGCGATTCGTCCTTCCGCCTCGACGTGGGCGAGTTGCAAAATGCCATTGCAGAGGATCGTAAAAGTAATAAGATCCCTTTCCTGGTGGTCGGCAGCTGTGGTACCACCAACACGGGAGCCATCGATCCGCTGACAAAGCTTGCGGACCTCGCCGACAAGGAGGGTCTGTGGCTTCACGTGGACGGGGCATATGGAGCGTCGGCACTGTTGTCCAGATCACGGCGGTCACTTTTTGAAGGGCTCGAGCGGTGTGACAGTCTCTCGTGGGACGCCCACAAATGGCTGTTCCAGACATACGGATGTGGCATGGTCCTGGTTCGTGATCGCAAGACTCTAACCAGCAGTTTCAGCGTGAGCGCCGAGTATGTGCAAGATGCGATGGAGACTGAAGAGACGCTTCCCAACTTCTGGAACTACGGCATCGAGCTGACCCGGCCCGCGCGAGCCATGAAGTTGTGGTTCTCCTTGCAGCTGGAAGGGTTGGACAAGATCGAACGAGACATCGAACACGGCATTCGGCTGGCTGAAGTTGCGGAACAGGCGCTGGGAGATCTCCCCGACTGGGAGGTGTCGTCTCCTGCGCAGTTGGGCATTCTTTGCTTCCGGTATCGACCCACCCAGGAGTCTGAACCGGCGGATCTAGATGCAGTGAACCAGAGGATCTCTCGGACGGCAATCGAGGAGAACCTGGCTGCCCCTCTGACGACCCGGCTGAAGGGTGCTCTGGTGCTTAGAATCTGCTCCATACACCCCAGCCTGGAGGAGGACGAGATGCGGAGGGTGATTCGAGGCTTAGACAGGATAGCCAGATCTCAGTCTTTGCCAGCCAGCAGAAATCCAAGTCAAGTATGATGGCACTCGCTTATATTCAGATAACGGCTTGAAGTATATAGCAACTGGCTGGTCGATTATTTGTGGGTTGATCGTTTTCTCGTTGCTAGTACCACCTGGCGCTGCTTGCCTTTTTATGCAGACGTGATACTCTGGTTAGCACAATCTGGTTGAGCCATCCCACGACACGACGGACGTCAACAATTCGGGGAGAACACTCTCCTGCAAGCTCAGGTCAGGGCTGTCTGGAGAGAAGGGGCGAGTGGGCGAGGTCGATCATAGCAGAAGAGAGTAGAGCAGTGTTGGATTAGTCAGCCGAATGAGGGAATCATATAGGCATCGATAAAATAATGTAAAGGCTTCACATTTAGCCGCACGACGACTTTTGTTGCAGAGGGAACTGCGGTTACTGAGACGTCGACACTACTCAGAATATTGACCCTGTTACTCCGTACAGTAGAGTACTAAGCTCCCAACAGCACTGCAGGCGAACACAGCCAGACGATGACTGCTGAGTAAACGGACCCTGGCTACATGATACAAGCCGGGCCGAACTATGAAATCGAACCGTCCATCTTGGCTGTTGATACGGAGTACAGCAAAAGAGGCGTTTCTGGACACTACTGGAGTTTTTTGAGCATTGAACTAATACGCGAAACAAATCAACCTTCTGACTTCCAAGGAGCGATGTGACCGTTGTCTCAAGCTATGAAGCCCCTAGGCTGGGACGCCTGATCTCTTTTTTTATTTCTTTGCAACGACTCCATCAACAGTCAGCCCATAATTAATTCCACGCCAAACCCCCGACAGGCGCAAAACTTTCGATAAAAGATGGCAATTCCATCGATCTCTAATGGTTGTTGAGTGTGACTGATGACAGGGTGAATTATCACGGAGGTATACGGCGTGTAGATATATACGGAGTATACATATCCTCATCATCATCGTCAATAATGCTATTATTATCCTTCGGTCTGGGTTTATTAGCAACCACCGGGATCATTACTGCGACGGTAGAAGCAAAGTCAACAACGGTCTCAACGACAGGCAACTGTGGTGTACAGTCTGACGACACCGTCCTCACATGTTTGGGTTCTACTTTCGGTAACTGTTGCTCGACTCACGGCTTTTGTGGTTCCAACGCCACCTATTGCGGAGGAGGATGCCAGACGGCATACGGGTCTTGCACTCCCAACTCGGGTCTCATCAGCGTCGACGGTCGATGTGGGGGCTCGTCCGACCCCGGCGATCAAATATGCCTAGGAAGTGAGTTCGGCAATTGTTGTAGCCAGAACGGATTCTGCGGTGGCAACAGTACCTATTGCGGAACCGGGTGCCAGGAGGAATTTGGGACCTGTGGTGACGACGATGACTCTACTGGAGTAGCGGCCAACAAAAATACCACCGACACGGTCGGGTTCAAGGTCGGAATGGCAATCATGGCCGTTGCGATTGTCGGTATCATCGGACTGGTTGCCTTCTTTGTCGTGCGTCGGAGAAGAAGGGCCGCTACAGCTGTCGTGTCAGCGAAGCAACAAACTGATACAAGTACGAGTACAATCTTTTTGGAAAAAGGACCGGATGATCACAAGTCCACCAATGCCGGTTTGGGTTCTCCAACATCAACCACGAGGAGCAAGTTTCAAGAATTAGATGCCGACAGTACGACCATTCAAGAATTGTCAACATCCTACAATGAGTCGACGGACGACAAGAAAAAGTCAATGGCTAATCATACTGTTGAACTGGAATAGAAAAGTTCCATGTGGGCAAGGGTGGGTGGGAATTTTCAAGATGATTTTGTGATCGCCGGAAGAAGCACAGTACAACTTTCCGGATCTAAGCCATATAGAACAGATAAAACTTGTCAGATACTTCATTATTCTATTACTCCGCATATCTCTTCTAAAGACGTCCTTGATGGGTATCATTATCAATACTAAGAAGACGACACAACTTCACCCAACTTTGGGGCGCGGTCTTTCAACCAATCTCTAGCCTTGGCCACATCGTTGCGCTCCTCTTCCAAAGCCTTGACACACCATTCAACCTCGTATTCGCCTTCGCAGGCCATCATCGCTCCCAAACTCCGCCGACTTTGACTGCCCTCGTCGACGCAAAAGACCAGCCCAGAGGTAACCCCTTGGGCGAGCTGATCCATTATCGGTTTGAGCATAGGCAGACCGTCCTTGGCCGAGATCGCGTTGGTAACGCCAGTAACATTCGTGTGTCCGGTCTTGCACCACTCGCTATTGCGGCACCAAGACTTGCCACAGCCTCCAATCAGCTGCTGCAACAATCGACGTTCAATCCTCCGTCTCAACATCTTACCTTCGGGGTCGTAAGACGTCACATAGAGAGGGCCAAAACATTCGTTACATAAACCGAGCTGTTCCTTCTGTGTCCTCGCTTCGTCTTCAGGTCTGATAATCCGACCACAGATCTGGTTGGAACAAAGTCGAGGCCGAGGACGGGAAAACCGTTCTCGGTCGTGCAACCGAAGATGTGTCTTCATGTCCCGCAATCGAACAATCTTATTACAAAGGTGACATTCCGTGGTTCGTGCGCCGTCCGCGAGCTCATGCGGAGTAAGTCCAGACAACAGGACTTCTGGGTCGGTGAAAGACGGGTCGTCAGGGCCTTGTTGGGGGACCACAAGATGACAGAACTGGCACAAGATTTCTTTTCCAGGACATGTCGTCGTGCGGTGGTGGGCCAAGATAGGGAGGTCGAATGCTTCGAAGTCACAGCTGGCACACCGCAAAGGCTCCTTGGGATGGAAGATGGAGTCATGCTTGTGATGAGAAGTTGGGTCGTTTCCGTGGTCATCGTCATGAGGACAGTGCCAATGATTTTTCCACGTATCCGAGTTCTTGAGAAATACATCAGAGCATTTTGGGCATAAGATGTTATTTCGATAACAGAATGCCTCATGAAGAGGAAGTGTGCGTTTGGGTACAATCTGGCGACAGTTCTTGCATATCACCTCATCATCAGAAAGCTCTTGGGAAGCATCATTGCTCGAACCGTCTTCTGAGGTGGAGATCGAAAGCTTAAGAGTGTACGGGATAGGCTTGTTCTCATCTGCTGTGTCTGAACCCGGATCGTGCCACGCGTAGACGGCCACACTGAGAGATTCGGCCACTTCGAGATCGACATTGGTATGGGAGAGCTTAATTCGCTTTGTTGGTCGTCCACTGAGCTCGCCGAAAACAAATTCATCTTGTCGTGGTTTTGATCTTTGTCGCGCAGAAAACGGACTGACCACAAGATCCAAGTTGCTATTCTCATCAGATGCCTGCAGAACCACCTCCAAATCCTGGCTTCGGTCCCAAGTCTTCAACTCATAATCGACGTACTCCCCAGATAGCACTTTGCCATGGACTTCTGTATCCAGAAGTAAACCACCCCCAGAAGAAGAACCTTCTGGCAACTCCTGTTGGCGCCTCTTCCTAGCGAGTTGCTTGCTCAGTGTCTCCTTGGCCTGGTCTTCATTCAACGGCTCAATGTCCACCTCAAGGTCTGTGTCCACAATGCAAATTCCATCTCCTTCAGGCTCGAACTTGTCCACTAAGAAGCGAAATCTCTCGTGACGTGCACCTGGGACAACAAGGAGTTCGCCGCTGGTTAGAGTTGTGTAGTTGTCTCGTAGATATCGTTCCAACAAAGACTTCCAATCCTCAGGATCGTAGCCAGCCTCAAGAGGCCTCAGCTTGACATATGTTCCTTTTGGCAGACTCTTCGCATGTATTGCGACCGTCTGTCCTTTTTCTTTGGCAGGGTCCTGTGCATTTGACATGGCTACATCCCCGCCAGGTGTGCTTTCTCGCGACGTTCGAGACGACGAATCGTTGGATAAACCGAGTGCTTCTCTCAAGCCACTGCTTAAGCCTACAGTGCCTTCTATGGCTGAGAACTCTCTGATTCCAGCGTACACTGCTCGTCCATTGAGGGGGTTCACGAGGCGGAAAGTCAGAGGGTGCGGTAATTGCTGTTGACGGTCTTCGACAGCGGCGCGGGCATGGCGCTCGGCAGCGAAGGTATAGGGATTGAAAGGATCGAAGGTCGAGGTTAGATTTCTAGAGGAGCCCTGAACTGAGACGACAGGCGCAGCTGCGAGAAGGGCTTCAAGAGCTGACTGCGGCAAAGTGATCTTGTCTCCCACCAGCCTTCGGTTCGAGGGCGCAACCTCTAGTTGGGTCGACCATTTCAGGCCATCGGGTGACAAGGCCATAGTATTCGAGTATGTAGAAAAGGAAGAAGGCAGATCATTGAAGGTCTGGAGTTGTGTTCCGCCATCTTGACAATCAGATCAGGCACAGATGTGACGCGCAGTTTTCGAGAAGCGTCGATGATGATTGTTGACAAATTCGGAGTATACGAGCTTGTCTTTCTTAAGCACTCGGTGGCGTCTATGACGGCGTCTCTATCAAAATGGGCTCTTCCTAGTAGGATAAATACAGTCTATTTCTTATACCGTGTATGTTGTTCATATTATATTCGATTCTAGATGGTTTTGACTATGGCTTCCCATTCAACGAATCCCGCCACCTACAGTACCAGGAACTTCCTGACCTTGCTGTATGAGAGAGCGTTCTCAATTCATTAGCCCAGTCTCTGATGACACCAGTCCGCCCATTCTGGGGGGGTTTCATGTCCAAGACTGAGTATGTCAATATCGCTGAATGTTTCAGGCTGCTTGGGAAGCGATGTATGGATTATGTAAGCCTTTGACTTGGGCAAAAGACTCTTTCCAGCGGCTCGACGCGGATGTTGACATTGCATTAACATCTCGCGATGCATCAGTCATCACCTCTTTCGACTTGTCTGTAATTCTCCGGAAGAATCCTTTGTCCAATCGAATCATGTTCAACGAGTGTCAAATGTGATACACATCCTGCGTGATCCGCGGCTTTCCACAAAACGTCAATGGTTATTAAATAGCAAGAAAGTGCTTCTGGAAGGAGCTGAAGCACTCAACAGATGTGTCAAATTTGCCACAGCGAAACTTGAGCAGAATCAGCTACCCTCTGTGTTGAAACTTTCGAATCCAGATGGCAGAAGTCGCTCCCAGGAAGAAATCTTTTGGGTTTCTAAACCCATTCAAGACCAAAAATGACAGCAGTCGTTCTGGTTCAAAGGCAAATTCAATCTCAGACCTATCAGTCGAAGAGCTCAAAGTCCCAGTAAAACTGAAATCTACCAACAAACTGCGCAAAAAATCTTCCCCAGCAGTGCCTGCCCACAGCTCTGCGGCAAATGCAACCAAGAACAGCATCAAACAGTCTCGACAGACGCGAAACGCTTCATTCCCAGCAATTTCCGTCGCAGATGAATGGGAAAGGGACGAGCAAACTGGTGAACGCAAAGATCACACAGACCTGCTGCATAGCCTGGCTCATCGAGAGTCCGACGAGTCCCTTGCAGAGAGGACTGAACTGCTATTTCGAAATATACCCTCGGTGCCGGGGTCAAGATTCTTATCAAGACTTCCTTCATACGTATGGAAACAAATAGTGGAATCCCTGCCACTCGCTGATGCTGCAAGTCTGGCTCTGTCTTGCAAGGCCTTTTGCAATCTGATCGGTACTTCCGTCTGGACTGCTCTGAATAATGGCGACAATTTCCATGCCAAAACCGATTTCCTCGGTCGTCTTGACAAAGATCTCCCTGACCACCTTCTGTGTTTTTCATGTGCCATTTACCACGTTAGGAGTCAAAAGGGAAACGAAACGTTGCGACCGACCAACATTGCAAATCCTTTATTTAATTGTCCCAACGCATTCAATCTAGAGAAACGCATTTCTCGAAACCGATTGACGGTCGGCCGCACATTACCATTTCCATTCTTACAGCTTGTGCTGAGAGCGCACAAGTACTCCGCAGATCACGGCGTTGCGATAGACTCGTTGGCGCGCAGATACACAGACCGAGATGGAGGATGGACGCATCAGACACGTTTTGTTGTCGTGAACAATCACCTATTGGTGCGCGTCATCAGTTCATCGTTCGCTACACCTGCACTTCCCCCGGCAGGCCTAAGGAAGCTTCTCTACTCTCACAACGATAATTTCAACCCATACTTTTCTGTTTGTGCGCACTGGAGAGACGGTAATCTCATGCCAGCCGTTAAATGCGCCCTCAGCCATATTCCGAAGCCTCCGGATAGCGGAGGAGTGGTGGGCGTTGCAGAAAAGGTCAAGCTTCATTTACACCCTCAAAACCCCCTGATCACACTTTGTCCGGAATGTCGACCAATGCGTAGATGTCCAGAATGTCCGTCTGAATATCTCATCGAATTAAGGATGCAGGAAGATAAAAGCGACCCGCGCAAGCTCTTCAAGTATGCCATCGTTGTCACTCGATGGTGCGATCTGGGCGATGGATCTTCGCCGCAGAGTCCTGAATGGTCAGCTTGTAATGGAGAGGGTACCTTTGATTCATTTACGGCCCTGGGAAGGAGAGCAATATCAGGGGTTTTCGAGTCGCAATTCACTGTGGACCAAATTCCCGGTCAGAAGATTGTGTCGATGAATCCAAGCAAGGAGAAGCGCGGCGAAGCAGGACATGACTGGTACTGAAAACGTACCGAACAATAGTAAAGTGTATGCAGCTCCAAGGGATATCAAGACATGTGCCGCTATCCGGGAAATGCTACCAGGAGGAAATCCGCACCAACGTGCACTTTGATCGTCGTCATATTTACCCGCCGGCATCACCAACATGTCACTCAAACATCTTTGTGCCCAGCGACGTCACTTGAATGCTTAATTCATAAACAACATGTGCGCAGAATCTCGAATTCCGCCATGAGATGGAAACTGATCTGCCATCCAGCCTGACGCATTCTCCTGGATGGCTGCATGAAGTACATGTTGCGACGAATTCCTGTGGCTATGCCAAGAGTACTACGAGTTCAGGGTCGCTTGACGAAGTTGGTCAAGTGGATACAAACTCCGCCGGTGGCCTTGCAATGATACTCTCTGCACTGCCTCAGGAAACATCGCACGCGACTAGCCAGACGAGAGATCCCCGGTCCAAACATCCTGTTCACGGCATCACGCAAGAGTACGAGTACACCAGTAAATTACGCTTAGAACAACACGTATCTTTATCCCTTACATCATTGTTCATATCGCTGATTGCAGACGTCCAACTATCAAGCATTCCCGACCCGGAAAGCCTTGCGAGTCGGGCAGCAAATCTCGAGGAGTATTCGTATACGAGTTCGTCTCGTATTATCCATAGATCTCCATTACAGATATCAACAATGCCTTGGTCCATGCCCGCCTCGTGGTGGTCCCCCACACTACCCACCTGGTTGACTTGTCCCTGGATGAGTCGTTTACCGGTAGAATATTGGAAAATTACGGTTCCAGCGTGGCGTTGTTGCGAGGATGTGCTGCTTCAGCCGTACTCTGGCTAGTCGTTTATATATGCTTGATCCAAAGCAGGTCTTGCCTCAACAAGACTTAAAATGCAAAAAAACTATCAAGCATGCCGCTATCTCACATATGAACCAACTGCGGTACTTTTGCGCAAGTACAAACTCTCGCTTCAGAAGCTCACCTCTACCTAGATCGGCATATCATAATACCATCCGATCACCGAGTCCGAGAGCGCAATGAGGTCGGGACATGGATTGTTTTTAAGTGTTTCATCCTTGCTCTTTTGTATTCTTCCAGCCGACGTTCAAGCATTTTCACCCAAAAACGGCAGACTATCATCGACACTGTACGACTGGGGCATATATGGCCCTTCCCCGAGACAGTCTTACCACTCATCCGAACTTCAACCACCGCTTCTGAACTATGCTAGGTGGGATAGTCGATGCGATGATAGTTATACAGTGTTAGGACCCCGTGGCCGAATGGTCTCACAACCTGGACCAATGATCTTTGATGCAGAAGGCGAGTTGGTTTGGATGGAGGACACATATGGGCAGGCGTTGGATGTAAAGGTGCAGTCGTACAGAGGTGAACAGTATTTGACCTTCTGGACTGGGGTAGATTCTGGGACGTTCGGCACTGGAAGATATATCATGCTTGATCCGAGCTATCAGGTCTACAAGACAGTCACCCCAGCAAATGATCTTGAAGGAGACCTGCACGAGTTTGAGTTCACAGACAACGGAACAGCACTGGTGACCAGCTACCATGCCACGACCGCCGACTTGACACCTTTTGGGATCGCATCACCGGGCTGGGTATACGACAGTATATTTCAAGAAATCGATGTTGAGACCGGGGTCTTGATATTCGAGTGGCGTGCTTCCGAGCACTATGACATAATGGATACATTCGCGAGACGGCCAGACTCGTCGGATAGGGATGACAGGGCCATCGGGAGGGAGCGAAAGTCAGCATGGGATTTCTTCCACATCAATAGCATCGACAAGGATTCACAGGGAAACTACTATGTCTCCTCACGTTACATGCATTCCATTACGTGCATTGGACCCGCCGGCGACATCCTCTGGGTCCTTGGTGGCAAACGGAATCAGTTCAGGGACACATCGGACGGCAAGGCTACTGACTTCAAATTCCAGCATCACGCAAGGATTCATGAGAACAACACATTGACCATCTTCGACAATGGGAAATATGACTCAAAGTCGGACAATGCTGAGTATAGTCGTGGGATCCAAGTCCAACTCGACCTTGAAAAGATGACGGCAACACTGGTGGGCGAGTATGTCCACCCCAGCAAGATACTAGTCGGCAGCCAGGGGTCTGTACAGCTGCTTCCAGATTCTGGTCATGCCGTGGTCGGATGGGGATATGTACCGGCTTTCACCGAATTCGACTCGGACGGATCGGTGCTGTGCGACGTTCATATTGCACCTTCCATAACCTGGAAGCTTGGCTGGGTGAAGAACTACCGTGCGTCCCGCACTTCGTCCTGGGTCGGGAAGCCCGCGACTCAGCCGGACGTCTATCTGCGGCCCCGAGAGGGCAAGGTGTATGTTAGCTGGAACGGCGCCACCGAGGTGAGCCGGTGGCTACTTCAAGGACGTGAGGGACAGGGAATTCATGTCGACTTGGTTTCGGTGCAGAAAAAAGGCTTCGAGTCGCACATTGAAATCACCAATGACATGCCAACGTTTGTGCGTGTGGTCGCACTCGACAAGCAAGGCAATTCCCTTGGTCTCAGTGAAGAGTTGGACCGCACGGTCGGCAATGCTCCTTCTGAAGTCTTCAAGATCGTTGGCGTCGGCGTCTTTATTGTCAGTACTGTCTTTTTGGCCTGGGTGCTGAGAAGGTGGATCCCAGGCTACGAAAGAGTTCGAGAAGTGGTGCATGACATACAAAACAAAAGATTCAAGGGCGGCATGCTTGTACCCAAACGGCTTTCTATTGCGAAGAACGGAATTCAGGAGTCGGATGAGGACAATATGCAAGATGAGGAGGACTTCCATGATGACGTCGAGAGGGGATTGCTTTCTGGTCGAAGCGGTGCGACCAGTGTAGAAGAGCTTCAACCGTTGTATCGTCAAGACGAGGCGTGATGTGACTTGTTATTGGAGGACACGTTTCGGCAAGATACAGATATCGAGTGCACATTTGAGAGTATATTGAACCCACATACTTGGTGTCCTCATACGAATGAACCCGTAAGATTCTGTTCTTTTTCGGGGGGAACACAAATCTATCTACCACTCCACATCTTTCAGCAAAGCCATGCACGGATTTTGCTGGCCATTGACTCCGTGATCATCGTCGACACCTCCGGTTCCTCGTCGAGGAGTGGTCGGCTTTGCGGCCCATAATTCTTTTCCGATGGTTTTCTCTAGCTCGACGTGTTCGTCGAGCACGCCCAGAACCATCTTCTGGAAAGCGTGCACGCCTTCTTCGTGGAAAGGGTGCAGCGTCCCCGTCTCGAACACTCCTCGTTCGAGGTTCTCCTGCACCCGTTCGCACAACTCCAGATCCTCGTCGACGACCTTCCTGTAAAACTTGACCATGCGTTCGTAAGACTCGGGGGTCGAACGTGGCGTGTCGAGTTTGTAAACGTCGTACTCTTGTCGGGTGGTCGTGGGGGAGGTCGGCACCGAACGCATCAGGTGCATGAATCCCGTCCCCGGGTTGGGCGAGAAGTGGCCGGCCGGGAAAACGTGGGTTTGAGAACGACCGGCGAAACGTGACGAGTCGAACTTGTTGCTACTCAACACCGAAGCTTTGGGTTCGCTAAAGTGGGATATGTAGGTGTGTTGGTCCTGGCCGGGGGAGACGTGGTAGGTGTCGAGGTCGGTGGTCTTTGCCACGTCCGGGTGCGCGGTCAGACAGTGGTAGCACTTGCAGGTTTCCATATCAGTATACTTGCGATTTCAAGACCCATGAGAGTAGGGGGGAGATCGTTTCTTATACCAACACACACCCACACACACACCCACATACCTCGTTGTAATTGTCTTGCATCACCTTCCAATTAAAGGCTCCGTCATTGGTCCACGTAAAGTCATACTCGACCTTGTCCCAATCGATGCCGGAGTTCAAGAGGACTTGTTGTCGATCGAGATCCCCATACTGAGACCCCCAGGAGATGGCGGGGTCGGGATTCGCGTCGAGATTGACGTACACAAAACCGTTGCGGTCGACGTGGACATGGACCGGGAAGAGGTGGATGGCAGATGGATCAAAGGTCGGCACTGACTCTGGCGTGAACCGGGGTGCTTTGGTCAATTTACCGTTCAAGTCGTAGGACCATCCGTGATACTTGCACGAAAAGATGCGAGCCGTGCCTTGTGGTTCTCGAACGACAGGAAACGCTCGATGTCTAGATAGTTGGGGGGGTTGTTGGGTCAGGAATGGGGAGTTTTTCTTCATGGCTGTAGATTGCCGTTTCACATTGCTGCTATACGGGATCACACACCTGCATATGTTGTGGAAGCCGACTAAATCCCCTTCTTTGTTCTTGACCACCACGAAATTGAACCCTGCCATCTCATATTGTACAAAGTCACCCGTGTTGCGATATCGAGCCTTGTGAGAGACGAGGAACCATCGTCTGGAGAAGATAGCTCTCTTTTCTAATTGATATATGGAGTGTGAATGGTAAAAGGCAGCAGGGACTGAGATGTTCAAATCAGTTGATATGGACTTGATTGAGAGTCGTTGGACCATGACCTCGTGTATCTCAGAGACGGGATCATGATTGTTGTTGACGACACGCGTGCTGGACATTATGGGGCTCGGTTTTCGCTCCTCAGCTGGGTAGTTAATTCAACTTGCATATCCAATTGGAGAGGATCAGGGTCATGTATATATATATATATACATATACGTGAATGCTGGTCATTGAGCATCTATACCTTGATGAACGAAATGTCTCCATGGACCTTCTTGGTTGGGACATTTAGTCCGGTTGGACGATGTGTGGTGAGCCAATGGAGATGCTTCTTTTCGAGGGATTGCATATCTACAGTGCGCAATGGGCTCGAGACCTGACAAAGCCCGGTGTGTTCACCTCGCGACGTATTTGATTGCCGTTCAGCTTGGAGATGGATGGATTGTAAGTCTTATATTCGTATGGTGTGTGGACGGAGTACCTGGTCAAACCAAAGGAGGAAGTCGACGGATGCCGAGGCCAAAGCGTGCAAAACCCTCTAATATAGGTGGTTAATGTTCCGATCCATCCGGTGCTTTCAATCTCTATTCCGGAGCAGCGTTATCGTTTATCCGTCGTTATCCTTATCTCGCTTCCCCCCGCCTTCCTTTGTTACTGCTGCTCTTCTCTCTCTCTTCTTTTGTTTCTTCTAAACATCGAGTCCATTCCATTCCAACTCACCTTTTTCTGATACAAACACCATCATCCAGACCACCAAGAAACATCAGAAATGCAGAAATGATTTCCATTCGTAACCTCAAGCTGCGCATGACGCATGTTTGATATTTCTGTTACCCCATATTTTCTCAGCAGCGTGACATTGCTTCCATCACATGAGTCCCATTCTTCGCTTACCCTCGGAATCCGTGCCACCATCGAGATTGTTTTCATTACTTTCATTATTTCCGCTCCGCCTTACCACATGCGCCCTATTCCATCCCTAGACTAAACCCCTTTTTGACTCTTCAATCTTCACAAAACATCCAAGTATTCCTCAAGACCTTTTCTTACCACCATTTCTACCGAGTCTCTCCTTGTAACCAGCCCTTTATACCAAGCGTGATTGATAGCGTCGAATCAGGAGAATCAGCCATGTCATCCTCAATGTCCTCACAGCCACAACCTTACAAATTCATACCATCCGACTCCAAGGATGACTTGGACCACTTCATCGACATCATCACCGATTCCTTTGCAGCCACCGCACTCACAACATCGTTCATAGTGGACAACGATAAGACGCCGCCACCCTATCCTTCAGCACTGATCGACAAGGAACGTCGACGTAGACATTTCGCCGCAGGGATCCTTGACAGCGCTTCGTCTGGTGCTGAACTGGTCCAGGCAGGGAGCTGGTCCGCCGTAGCGTTATGGGAGCCGCCACAATTTCAAGGCAAGGCATTCATCGACTCGAAAGCTGACCCAGGAGCCCTTCTCACTGAATGGCGAGGGAAAGTCAGAGCTGCAAAGGCCAGATGTCTTGCGCTACCTTCGAACTCGAGTCCGTCGACAGACTCGGAATCTAACTCGACATCGGACTCAGATAAGGGGACCGAAGTACAACTCCGACCATTTTATCATTTATCGTTCCTGGCTCGAAATAAATCCGTCTCCAAGGTTGAGGGTAGCATAAATGCCGTCATGACTCCTTTCTTGAATCGAGCCAAAGATGAGAACGTTCCTGCTTGGCTTGAGGCTACTACTCCCCAGGCCGCGAAAATATATGAACATTTCGGTTTTCGCGTCGTCGAGAAGATCACCATTGGGAAGGGAAAGATTGATCCTGAGGGATGGCCAAGTTTAGATGGTCAAGGAGAAGGTGTGACGGCGTGGGCGATGGTATATGATCAGCATTTGAGGGATTGAGTGCTTCGACCTTGACTTTTCATCTTGGTACGACAATGTCTTGAGCTTCGGTCTTGCGCGAGATCGCACTCGGGTGGCCATAGGTTTGTCACCTGCAAAGACAGTCAAGCAAGGGAGGGGACGTTGACTCACATCACGCTCTTCCAAACAACGGGTATCTCCTGCTCGGGGGTCTCCTAGCCTACGCTGGAAAACGCGACTCATGACGAAAGGACGACTTGCTCGAAAAGAAACATTTTGGCTTCAGCATGGCCAAGGATTCTTCCCGTGGCTGGTTGTCAAGTCGAGGTGGCGCAACTCGGTGATGTTTCACCTTTGTCAAATGGCACAAGACCATGAGGGAAGTCGCATGAGGCGAAGAATTCGGGATCTTGGCGAAGCTGTGTTGTATGGTCGATACTGAGTAGGTGACAAGGCTTCTTTGGACCATCCATCGCCTTGGTCACCGCCTCAGAAATTATCACTACGCGTCCGCGAGGACTGCCTACCTAATTGATCCTTCACCTTTTCCATCACCGCCCTCGCGCGCGCGCGAAAATAATTCGGTCCCTATTTGTTTTTGATACCTCGATTTTTGCCTCCAACGGCAGACTTCTCAGGGGCCTCACCCATACAGGGTCATTCTTCGGCCTCCGTGTCCCAGTGGCACGGACTCAGGTCGTCGAGTTGAACCGTGGAGGGTCGATCCTTCTGAGGAGCAGTCTGTTTGATACCAAAAAAATTCTGGAGAGTCCTGTCTCCCCTTCAACTCCTGAAGGGGAACTCGGGGTCCGAATCCTTAGAACCTGGGGCCTGGGACCTGGTTCAGAGGACGCATCTTGAAGTGGCTCGAAGGAGGTTTTCTGACTCCGAAGGAGGGTTTCCCCTCCGGGTGTGGTTAGTTTTTGCCGGTCTCGGTGAATTCTCTTTTTTCTTTTTTTTTCTTTCTTGCGCTTGCAGAGACCACCTACAGAATGTTATGGAGTGGCCCTTGAGGTTGTTTGTTCCTGTTCTCTCAATGACCACTACTCCGTGTTCGATCCTCGGCTTGGGCCTCTTTTTTTCCCCATCTCGTATCAGTAGAGAAACCCCTCGAGGGTGAAGTACTTCAGGGACAAGTCCAAAAGACAAAGACACTGTTCTCCATCGCCCTTGAATGGAGAGATATTGAATAGTGATACGGTGACGGCCGACGACCATCCCCTGTTCTGCGGATGGGGGATGAATGGGACTAGAAAAAACAATCATGTCAGAGTAGCAAGGTGAGATATTGTGTGGTCCAATGCAGATTTGATAGCCCAAGTCACGGGCCTACCAAGAACCCATCTTTTGCTCTTTTTGATATCTCTACATGGCAGAAGAAAACGAAGGACGCCAATGAATCTGCACCCCCGAATACCTATCGGGCACATACCCCCAGATAGCTCGTATCGAAGAGAGGAAAGAAAAATTCATCCATGATAAGCCCGACTGAATGTAGGTCATCATCTCTCGTCCTCATCCCCCGCCCAGTGTGTTTGTATTCATATACACCCTTCTTCCCTCTCTGTTTCCCACACCTCCCGTACGAGTACGGAGACCGACTCATTTCACATTCCTCACTACATCATCCAACGCCTCTGCAAAGTACTTGACATTGCCGGTGTTGAGACCCGCCATACTGATTCTTCCATTCTTGGTCATGTAGACGTGCCACTTTTCGCGGATCGCCAGAACCTGCGGTTCGCTGAGACCCGTGAAGCTGAACATGCCGATCTGACTCGTGATGTGATCCCAGTTACCGGGTGTGCCGAGTCTGTCCAGTTCCGCCTTCAGGCTCTTTCGCATCTCGATGATCCGTCCAGACATGGTCCGCAGATCGTCCTCCCACTGGCCGAAAAGTCCAGCGTCGTTGAGGACCGTGCTGGCGATTCGTGCACCGTAGGCAGGGGGGTTGCTGATTTCACTCCGTTGTAGGATGGCCAGCTGACTCGACACGCGCTTGGTGATGTCCTGCGCTTTGGCGCTCGGCGCGGCAACAAAGTGGAACGCACCGGCACGCTCACCGTAGAGACCAAAGTTTTTGGCAAACGACTGGGCGATGACCAACTCAAACCCTTGTTCCACAAAGTGTCGGATCGCCCAGTTGTCCTTGGCCAGGTTGCCCGAGGCAAAGCCTTGGTAGGCACAGTCGAAGAAGGGGAAGAGCGAACGCTCACGGCACACCTGCGCCACCTGTTTCCACTGCTCTTGCGTCGGGTCCACACCGGTAGGGTTGTGTGCGCAGGCGTGCAGGAGCACGATGCTGCCCTTGTCCGCCGCTTTCAGCGTACTGAGCATACCGTCTAGGTCGAGCATCTTTGTCTTTGCGGAGAAGTATGGGTATTGTTTGATGGGGAGGTGGACGTTTGTGAAAATTTGATTGTGGTTGGCCCATGTCGGGTTCGACACGTAGATCGTCGGTGACTGGAGGAATTTCGAAAGGAACAGACCACCTAGATGGACGGCTCCGGTGCCAGAGATGGTTTGCAGTGAGCATACCTGTGTGTGTGTGTGAAAGACTGATTAGCATTCGAACGGACCAGTTGGGAGTATCACACAAAGTGGGTGTGAGGGAGGCTGCTGCGCATACCCGTCCTTCTTTGATGGCAGGGCTGTCTGATCCAAGGATCAACTTTTGCGCCGCCGATGTAAAGTCTGCAAGACCGGCGATCGGGAGGTATTCGTGGTTCAGATTGGGGTCATTTCGAAGAATCTCATCGGCCTGTGTCCATTGCCATGTCTTGATTAGTCTTGGTGCATTCCTTGAACGTTGCTGGCGGAGTGACCACCCACCTTCTTCACAACTGGCAAGACCCATGGTTTTGCATTGTTGTCTCTGTATGCGCCGATGCCCAAGTCAACCTTCTTTTCATATGTATCTCTGCGGTATGCTGCCATCAGACCAAACAACGGGTCTTCTGGAGCCTGTGGCACCACATTGTCGCTGAAGCGAGTGACCGCAGCAGCCGATTCTCCCGTAGAACCCATGGTATGTTGATTGACCTGAGAGAGACGAGAAGCGGCGTTATTAGATTGAGACGAAAGAGAGTGGGAGGAAGATTTGAGCGGTGAGGACATGTTGTTTGTGGAAACCAGACAAAGTGGCGTGGTGGTCACCTCCGGTTTCACGATTCGTGCCGGGGAAGGGAAAAAAAGTGTCGAGAGGGACGGATGGAACTTGTACGTACCTGTGTGGACTGTGGGCGGACGGAATGAACGTAATTAAGCTTGCGATGCTGGCAAGTCTTCGGTAAAGCGGTGGAAAGGTAGCGAGGTTAAGTCTCAGCACTGAATACAAGTATTTAGATGATGCTTCGGAGCGCAGATATGCTTGTGATATCCTGACTTGGCCAATCTATCCGTACGAAGGACTCTCAGTACGGAGTAATGAGGTACTTATTCAATGGCCATCAGCAATTGGGATTATATGGCACAAGGCGCGCGTTGCTGCAGCTGAGGCATTCAACAGCCCAATGCTCTCTCCACCCACCCCGAATGTGTTGGAGAAAAAGTGGTCTTAGGTACCCGTGAGCACCTAGAAAAAGCCAATAAGGCGCGCCTAAATATCGTCTGACCGAGCAGTACTTTGGTGGAATTAGGATAGGCCATCTTATGCCTACAGGTCCCTACCAGATACAGCCGTTTACGTCTCTTGTAAGTTGGAAGGTAGGTACTCGGGCTTCATATATCTTCATGACTTTTGATTTTGATGGCAGAGTAGCTATTTCTCACATCTTTGATTTCAATGGATCCCTCTACTACTGCACTCCGTACCCCTCCATGACTCCACCGTCGTTTCTCGGGCGTCACCGGGGCAAAGGAGCATCCGGGGAATACCATCCTTTGAAGGTACTGTAAAGCGGATGTATACGGGGTTGGACGCCACCAGCGGTACCAAATCTCGGCGACTTGCCCGTTGACTTCGGAAGTATCGTATGTGTAGGCAAATATATGTGTACATGAATGGTAGATGTCGATTCACACGCCTTGGTGAGATGTTCAATGGGTACCGTTGTATAGCCACTCTCGACCTTAGCTTAGAATATCAAGTCCCAAACCACCAAGAACGAACAGAAGCCAGCGGTGGCATAAAACACCAACCGTGCTGTGCTCCCTCTCTCACTTGCCTTCTTCAACTCGCGGTTCCCCTTGCGCACATTCTCATCTGTATTCGCGGCATCTGTAACAAGACCCCCAATCATCTCTCCCTGAACACTCAGATGTCCGACCAAGGTCTGCTGTAAACTGCTGATCTCCATCAGACTCTTTTCCACCTGCGTAACTTTGGCCAGTTGATTGTTGAAATGCTCAAAGATCCCCTTGTTCTCTTCTTCGAAGAGTTGTAGCTGTTCTGCAGATAAATCTTGCTGCCCAGACTGAGCTGGGTCGTTCCAAGGCTTGTACTCGTCGTGTCCTCGCAGATCTTGATTGCCATATATTTCCGTAGGAGATGCAGTCAACGTGGCATCTCGACTTGTGTTCACACCCTTGTTTCTCGGATCGTAAAGTACGCTCATCTGCTTCTGGCGCTCGCGATCCAACCGTTTCTCGACCATCTCTTGCTGCATGGTGATAGCATCCTTCAGCCTCTTGCCTAGGTACCACAGCACGCCATCTCGAAACGTCTTTGTCGTCCAGGCTCGTCCTTCATCTTCCAGCTGCGCACTCGACTTCCCGGCGTCCGTGTTATCGCCGTCGCCAGCTGCCCAGCGCCATAAGATCCCGTTTGGTCGCCCATATCGTTTCTCTAAAACCCTTTTCGCGGTGTCGTGCTGTAGGTCAACGGCGGAAGAGAGATCACTGATCCTGCCATTGATTTCCCGAAGAACTGAGGATGTTTCCGAGTCGATCGCTTCTCTCTGCGAGTCGTTGAGGTGCTCAGGGATTTCCCACTCTTGTGCAGAGGACAGAGATGATGGAGGCTCGGTCCGACGGGAATGGCGAGGTGGCTGTGCCGTTGATAGATAGGGTGTTCGGAGGGCTCGTAGGTACCTAAGAAGTGACAAGATGGATTGATTCTGCAAGAGTGAGCATTTAAAACACCGCCAGAAGGGCATCGAGGGGGCGTACTATCTGATATGCCTCCTTCAGAAAAGCGTCAAGGTTGGACGTAAGGTCTCTGGTTCGGCCGATCACAGATTTTGACGAGTGCTTCTCGACCAGAATGGAGGATAATGTCACAGAGAGATCTGTCATGGCACAAAGTACTTTGGGAAGAACAAATTTACAAACATGAGCACCCACAGGAAAGATTCAAACCTTTGCGTCGATAATGCTGTTCATTGAACACGTCGCGTCACTTTTTGTGGCTTCTCCAACTCGGCGGAACCGCGAAAGCCTCGTTAAAAGTGACAACCTCGCCATGTCTAAGGCACCACTACACTACCTCAGGTACTCTGTACGTCTTAAACCAGAGGACTCTAGAGTGGTTTAAAGCACCTACTGCTTAACTCTATTCTAGGAGCTTTAATCTTGAAACACCATCTTGTCCGAATGATTTCTATTTGGGTGTCGTCGCTGTTACGCAGCAGTCATGGAAAATACTCTAGCCGACCCATTCAATAAATATACAAGCGCCTTGTCAGGACCGTTTCCCCAACCCCAGAGAGCCATCCCATACTGTATCATCGTCGTAGGCTATTCCTCCTGAAATTTGTCTCCCGAGAAAAATTCCAGCGGCTGTAGTAAACACAGCGAGCATGAAGAAGCCGTCAAACCATCTTTGTACCCAGGCGGGCTCTAACAGTCCAGCCCCGAGCGCACTGTTGATCACACTGCCCACTTCCTTGGGCATCATACCCCTGAGCATAATGGCGGAGCTAATGACGTACATCCCACTGATTTGACTGATCAATAGAGCAAAATTAGTCTTTGTGGCATGAAGCACACCCGGCATGAAGCGAGCAAAGAGGTGGAACGTTTGCGTGACTGCCGTGAACGATGCCAGCAACATAGCCCCAGAGAGGAGGAATGAGATCTGCTGGGCCCAAGAGACCTGGTCGAGTGAGGGATACACGTGCCGCGCAAACAATGCAATTGTATACGTGACCGGATCTGTGTCGGAGGTTGTGGAAGTCCATGAGGACATGCGCCGGATTATATTGACGGTGGTTGTACAAATTCGGCAGACGCAGTACAGCGCAAAGATATAGGAGAATGTGAGAGACAACCGGCCCATGGTTGTAGTCGCCTTCAATTGGGTAGCACGCCGGGCGCGCATGATAGAGAGTGATGTCTCGAGTTCAGAAGACATGGTTTCCAAACCTGACAACTCGAGTTCCAGAAGGTTTCTTTCCTGCGTTTGTTGGTCTCCTCTGAACGAGTTGATCGTTCGTCCCCAGAAGTTGGTAGTAGGACTTTCCAAGGTCCTCTGTTCTAAAGCTCTCAGCTTCTCTCTCTTCTCTGCAGCCATGTCTAGCGTTGCGTCCAGTCCAGCCTGCTTCCGAGTGATGTCGTTTTCGGCAACCGGTCTCACTCTAGGCCCAAAACATTGCCAAATGGCACTGACAGAGGCGAAGCCGGACAGTAATGCCATTAACGAGACACCCGTGATTCCCAGTCTATCTAGACATGCTTGGAACAAACCTTCATGTCGGCTGAGACTCTCGGTGATGCTGGCTGATGAGGGCAGTAAAGCCCCAATGGCCCAGAATCCTACTAAGAACGCGGCGTAACCAGCAAACTCCATGACCCAAGCGAGGCGAACTTGGTGTCTTTTTTGTCCTCGAAATTTATAACCAGATTTCGTTACAACTGAAGATATTCCCAACAGCGGAATCGCGACCACCAGGAGACCTAAAAGGCTGACCACGGTGATCTGAAGTGCAACACTTCTCGCAGTGGGATTGAACGAATTGGATATTTCACAGAGTAGTAGTTCTGTCAGGACGGCCGACAAGGCTATAGTAGAGGCGAATGTGCTCGCTGCGATACGGCGTGCAAGCTGCTGAGTGGCAGGTTCGATGGATGACGTCGCCGGCCGGGGGAGTCCTTTGTAACCATCGTGGGCCTGAGGGTAGGATGAGAGGAGAGGGTAGACTTTGCGATAGGCGACAAAAGTCAGCACTGCGAATGTCGCAATGAATGGAAGAGTCGAAAAGGCTGCCTTGGTGCCAAATTGTTTCGAAGGGTTGAGGTAGTCGGGGGTGCATTCGTCACAGTCCTCGACTGGGCTTGTGGGCAGCATTGTTGGTAGTCTGCTCTGGTCGGCGCAGAGGCGTAGTATTGCAGAGCATAACTCAGTCACTCAGTTCATCGAGGAGGAATGGTGATCGAGGGCAGAGGCCATCAAGGGGTTTGGAGAGTCGCACGCCGTTGTTGGTACACGTACGCTGTACCACCATTATATGTAGTATTTAGCGACAAGGGTTGAACGGGCGCAGGGGACGAAATACAGTCCCTGCCTAATGATATGCCCTGAGGAGTGCCCGGCCACTAAAAGAATATCTCCGGAGCTGCAGAAAGATGAACGCGCTATCGATCCGGAGCACCAGTGATAGCCGCCGATAACACGATAACCCTGCACACCCGAGCATCTGGTCAGTCTAGATGCACGCACTAATCAAATGGCTTGTTTACGATGTAGCTGAGGACCGGAATTGAGAGAAAAGTTATCTTGGAACCTTCAGCGGTCATATTGAGATGTCTTTGTATTTAAATGTGTTTGGTAGTACCCAAAGTAGTCTACTACCACTGTCTTCTATGGCCACCCTCCTGTTGCTTGAATACCTTACAATCGATGCAGACAAAGCTAAATGCCGTGGTGGTTTGCGTTGAGCAGCTGTGTCTATATTTCACACCAGCATAAGCCACCAGGGGTCGTAATCTGACAAGGATAGCACCCAATATCCCAGGGATCTGATGCTTGCTCGGTAGAGTGGGCCGGCTTCTCAAGATGAAGTAGTGGTATACATATGTCCATTTGCAAGGAGAATCGATGTCTTCCGCAAAAGATGAGATTCTGCGCAGTGGGATCAGGGCTGCTCCAACAGTGCGCTTTGCATGAGCTGTTCTAGTTGACTTCCGGAAACCCAGATGGGCGTTGACCATGGAAGAGTAGGAATTATCGTGGCCAGAGGATACATCCGAAAGTGTTATCGAGAAGGCGACCGACCATGGCTCGGTGACCTTCTTTGTGGCTTGTCTCGCAGTATATCCGCCAACCAGGGCGTCGTCTCTCTTACAGACGGCCGTCGTTCCTCCACGATCCTGGGCACCAACAGGTGAATATCCTCTTCATCAGAGATAGCCGCCTCGCTGTCTGCTTTCTTCGCGCCATGCCTAGGTGATTTGGGCGGTTTTTCGTCCCAGTCTTCCGCAAGAGCAGCAATACTCGGGCTTTTCATGGCCAGGTCTGCTCGTGGGGCACTTTCTGTGCTCAGATATCCTATGGGCAACGCAAAACTTCTTTCGGGAGAATCTTCGTCGGAGGTTATGTCGCTTTTGGCTGAGGTGACCCGCGTGAGTGGTCCACCATACGTGCCCTTCAGAATACCCCGTTTAGGTTGACCGATCGCCTTTACGACGGCATCGGCCTCTTTTTGAGTTGCTTCCATCGATATTGAAGTGCTGTTGGCCTGAGCGTACAGATGATTACCTCCAGCCGACTGGGCATGCTCAAGCATACTGCTATAGAGACTTCGACCCGTGTCCATTTGCCGTTTCTGTTTCTTCTTCATCCTCTTCGATGTGGGTCGGACAACAATGACGGGGACAGGAGAGTGTTGTAGGCAATATTTGGAAACCGAACCAGGGAGAAGCCCTTGCATGCCTCCCAGGTTTCTCCCTCGCGTGCCGACAACCAGTACTTGGGGTCCGTATAGCTCAATCTAAATTACTGTCAGTCAAGGCATAAAGCATCCTATTTTCCAAGCTCACCATGCGCTGAAAGATCTCTTGAACCTTTCCAACAGCCAACTCCATGATGATGCTAATAGCCTTCTCCTCCGAACTGTTTTTTTTGACAACGCTATCCAGTAGCTTTTGTGCCTCTAATCTATACTTGCCATGGTCGTATGATGTTTCCCCTGGTCGTGCATCTTTCTCAATCACCCGAAGGCAAACGATCATGTCCCCATCGTCGACTAACTCGTCTAGCATCCACTCTAGCGCATACTCGGAATAGTCTTTTGCATCTGTCCCGCACAGAAAAGTCCTACTTTGACGGTTGTGTGTATAGTCGCGATGCTTGTAGTTCAGGGTAAAGGATTCTGTTGATGCATCTCGATTGTCGAAGGTGTCGAACGAGACACCACGTTGGTAGTTTATGGGAGGAGGGGGCGACGATAGTCTTCTGGGCACATTGGAGGACATTCTAGCCGTGCCCTGTGCGACACTCTCCCTTCTAATGATATCCTCTGCATCCGCAGTGTGGAAGTGTATCAGCGATTGGCGCCGTCCTGTCTCGGGCTGATCACTTGGTTGTTGAGGTCGAGGAGGAGGATTGCCTGCGTTCTTCCAGAGCTGTCCAAACTTCAAGTCTTTGCCATCTTCCGGCGACACAGGTCGTTCCGATCTGGATGGCTCCGATGGCTCGTGCGCCTTGGGGGGAGCCATCTTTTGAAGACAGGCTACGCGCGGGGTAGGACTGGACTGTATTCCAGCAAATAAGGATTGGGGTGGGTTAGCGACGGTTATGACCTAAAGGCAGGGGGCCTGGGAGAGACCAAGTGTGGATGAAGGGACTACCACGCTCGTCACTGAGGAACCGTCTAGGCCTTCAGGGTTGTCAGCACGGGGAAAGAACTGCTCTCCTTCTGAGAGACAAGCGGCGTGGCGATGGAGGGCGCTCCGAAGATGTCCTGGCCTGGCCGGCGTGAAGCTGCATCAGGTCAGAGGTCAGAGAAGAGCCAGAACACAACATGGCCGGCAATCTGAGGCTTTTCAGGTCATGACCAGCTCGACGGGCAGGCTTGGCTTTCGAGCTATATCTGACTCAAGTGTTCAATTTGAGGCGAGGCCTGCGGGGCGCGAATGCTGTCGGAAGATGGTGGAGAGACAAGCGGGAGGGAGGATTTGTTGTCGGGAGACGATTTTTAGGACGAGACAGAAGTGAAAGCTGCCATATTGCCATCATTGTTGCCCACAATGCCATTTTCTAGGAGGCGCAGGCTCATTACGACTTATTTTCTCTAAGATAGGCACTTCAAGCCGGGTGGGTTCCCTGGCACTCTACGTGGTTCGGATAGGCGGTCCCAAACAGCTAGTTGTGGCTTTTGGGGCTGTCGCCACAGCATGTGCTTTCTCGGCCTCTCCGAGCATGCTTATGCTGACTCTTATTAGGATATGCCATCGTTATATACCTAGCTACAGCCCATGAAAAACGGAACAATGCTATATGCTGATCACGGTGGTCCTATGAGATTTTAAGACCCGTGATGCCTTTCCACGCTTCGGGGTCAGTATCCTAGTATTTTTATATTGACATGGCCGAGTTTATGTGAGAGACGACCTCGAGATATTCAATACAGGATGTGTACACAATCAACTCGGACAGCACCTTCAGCCTCGGTTGCAAAGCCTTGAATAGATCATGCAATCAGGCAAGCCATGTGCTCTTCACTCTGCCAACGAGATGAGATATGCGAGGGAGCTGCTCTTCTAGAAAGAGGCCCTATAGAGTAGAGAGATGCCATGGTTCTGAATCCCACAGCACTAACGGACTGATATCACTTGCCGACTCTTGATTGGAGATCCTTGGTTATACTGTCGGAGATTGCAAGGGTGATATAGCATCTCCCATTTGGCGATCCCACCATCGCTGGTGGTGTTGGTAGTGAAAGGGGCGCAATGCCTCTCGCATCTAGAGGCTGTTTTATTCTCGTAGCAAATGCAAGACTAAATAGACCTTGGTATCTGAGGGAAGTTTGCTGTGACCACCATCATCTCTTGATCTCTGCATACGGATACGAAATTGGGTCGCCCTGAAAATACATCGTGGTCAATACCGGTTGGAATGTGCAGATCCGGAGGGGAAGGATAGCTTACCTTGCGCAACCATATCTTTGTCCGCTTCTTCGTCCCTTGGTGTTCTACAAAGACGTCCCTGGCATATTCTGCCTTCCACTTTCGGATGAATCGCGGATCCCAGAGTTCACTCGCAACCCCCAAATCTTTGCAACACCGCATCATCGCATTGGATTTGCACCCTTCAGAAGCAGTCGGTATGCCATCCTTGTTGAAGTAGTCTTGCTCTCCTCGCGCTATAGATACCAGTCTGGTGTGGTGTCAGCTACTGCAGCAGCTTAAACCTTGCGTATGTCTGTCTCACCTGCCGTGCGCCAGTAATGCATATTCTCTTGTGACAGCCTTATCAGTCACGATGGTGTCTCCCCTGGGCGCGAGACCCCATCCTCCTGGCCCAAATGCTCTATTCAGGATGCGTCTATATTTTATTTCTGGCAGGTATATGATGCCGTCTGGTTTGATCTCCACATCGTCTGGACTCAGCGGCGCCATAAGCACGTCTGCCGCTTCTTTAGAAAATGGCTCAGCAGAGAGCCCATGAAACGACTTCGACCAATCGACATGCGCAGGATCCTCCTCTTGTATCTTGAGAGGCTGTGCGTCTGGCTGGTCAGGGGATTGGTCGTTTGGAGGTGCATTGGGACTAGCAGTGGTCTTCGTAGGTTGAGTTGCGGTGGCCTGGGCTCTCCGAGATAAAGAGCTCGTGAAGATGGCGCGGGAAGGATGGTGGAGTCGTCTCGAACGTCGGACGAAAAGATAGGAGGACGAACTTGAAAGATCTGGTTGCAGTGAGGGAAGAGTTGCAGCACGTACACCCGACAACTTGAACGGTAGTCGAGGCAATTGCAACATGATTAAACAACGAACAAAGACAGTCTCCAATTGCTCTAAAAAAGGAATGACCGAGATAGCTTGGAGACGAGCGTGAGATTATCGTAGTAGTACAATCGAAGAAATGAATGGAGTTTCTGAAAGAAGTTGGTCAACAACTGGAGAATCGCGACGCCATCAGTGATGCAGTGACGACCAAAAACACCAGATCCCGTGACTTATGTTCGTCGAACGAGCAGAATCAGTTTCTCTGCGCACTGTCTCCAGAAAGATTCTATTTCTCTGACAGAGCAGTGTCTTTACTCCGAGTGCGTTCCTCGTTTCCCTTGCGCTTCCAACACTGTCTAAAAGCCTCCATCTGTGGTTGTTCATCAGTATCTAGAAATCTGGGGTTGCCGAGGACCACCGGAGAGCGAGCAGAAAACTCACTTCATTCCGACAAAGTCTCCAATCCTTCTTGTCGTAGTAACAATCGTTCATTCGGAGCTGTTCCTCTGCGGCACTGCATTAGATTTACATTGCCACAGTCGGCGGATGGAGGCTTCGGCATACCAGCACAGCCCGTACTGAAAATCCTTTGGTCCCTGTCGACGATATAATCAGCGTCGCCGTATTCAAGCTCATCTAACGACATACCACTCATCAAGTTCATCATCGTCATCGACCTGAGTCTTTTCTACCTTTTGTTCGCCGGACATCGCGACTTGTTGTTGTGACTTGGGATAGAAATACAAAGGAGGAAGAAAGGTTCAAGTTCTTTTCGAAAGGTCGAGTGCCGAGCTCCTCATCTTCTTTTCTCACCACATTACGACTGACAAACCCGCCACCCACCATGGCTACGAAACGGATGAACGTTCTTGTCTACTCTGGTGCGCTCACTCAGGAAGCATGGCGAACCAATCAAAATCTAATGCTCTCAGGAAACGGAAGCACCGTTGAATCAGTTCGACATTGCCTCTATACCCTTCGAAGGCTGTTGTCACCCAACTACGCTGTTATTCCAGTCACTGGCGATATGATCATCAAGGAGCCTTGGACAGCAACATGCGCCGCTCTGGTCTTTCCTGGTGGTGCCGATCAGGGGTATTGTAATACCCTTAATGGCGAAGGCAATAGGCGAATTCGTCAATTTGTTGAGCGCGGTGGCAAGTACATCGGATTTTGTGCTGGTGGCTATTATGGTAGCAGTCGATGTGAATTCGAGGTAGGCGACAAGCTGATGGAAGTAATTGGCGACCGAGAACTTAGATTCTTCCCTGGTGTTGCCCGGGGTTGTGCATTTCCAGGTTTTGTCTATCATAGCGAGAAGGGTGCTCGAGCTGCGGATCTGAAGGTCGACAAGACTGTCATATCAGCTGGAACTGTGCCCAATGTCTTCAAGTCCTACTACAATGGAGGCTGTGTTTTTGTGGACGCACCAAAGTTCAAAAACCAGGGTGTCGAAGTCCTTGCGAGCTACACAGAACCTATAGCCGTGGACTCAGGTGAAGGTTCTGCTGCGGTGGTATATTGCAAGGTCGGTCAAGGTGCAGCATTACTGACGGGTCCACATCCAGAGTTCGTCTTTCTGGGGAAGCCAGCTGATGACTGGTCACTGACGAAGCCTAGATTCGCATCAGCCAACCTGGAACCCAAACCAGAGGTTCCAGGGTTCTCAGAGGTGATCAAGACTCTAGCAGCCGATGAAAAACATCGAATGGATTTTGTTAAAGCATGTTTGACCAAACTCGGTCTTACAGTGAGCGACGAACAAAATGTACCCTCCCTCTCTTATATGCACCTTTCCTCTTCCAGGCCGTCCGACACGAGACAGTTATTGTCTTCATTACAGCATCTCATCGAGAAAGACGAACAGCAGGAAAACTTTCTAAGGGACGAAAACGATACATTTCACATCATTAAACCTTCGTCCTGGAAGATGGAAGACTTAGCGGCGGCGTTGCCATTGCAGGCTGATAGCAAGAAATCTGCTGACCAGCTCGATGGCAGCTCCGATCGAATAGTCGACTATAATACGGTTACCAAACATATAGTTATTCACGATGACACACAGCCAGAGTCCAAGTCAACGCCATATTTTAACCACCGTGCATTTTATGCAAACCTTGAACATTACCAAAGCCAGCTTCCTGGCAGTTCAACGTTTGGCGCACATTTGCTTTACGGCGAAGTGGTGACTTCGACAAACACATTACTCGAAAAGAACACCAAATTACTCCGGAACCTCCCCCAAGGCTTCACAGCTACAGCCACAGTACAAGTTGCTGGTAGAGGCCGAGGATCCAATGTGTGGGTATCGCCTGCCGGTAGCCTTATGTTCAGCACTGTCATCCGTCATCCCATGGCCCAGATGCAGACTGCGCCCGTCGTATTTGTTCAGTACCTGGCAGCGATGGCGATAGTGCAAGGAATCAAATCTTACGATGGCGTGCGTTACAAAGATATGCCGATCAAGCTGAAATGGCCCAATGACATTTTTGCGTTGGATCTCGAGAAAGCCAAGGAGAATGGAGGTGATAGAAACGGAAACTACACCAAAATTGGCGGCATCCTTGTGAACAGTCACTACAACACCAAGGAGTATATTGCAGTTTGCGGAATTGGGCTGAATACTGCCAACGCTGCTCCTACCATTTCCTTGAATCAGCTCGTACAACTTCTTCCGCGCAAAGTCGAGCCATTTACACTGGAAAAGCTTCTGGCCAGGATTCTGACGGTTTTTGATGATCTCTATGCACGTTTCCTGGTCACAGGCTTTGACGAAACCATGGAAAAGATCTACTACGAGCATTGGCTGCATATGGATCAAATTGTCACGCTCGAAGCCGAAGGTGGCCAGCGGGCACGCATCAAAGGGATTACGCGAGATTATGGCTTGCTTATTGCCGAAGAGCTTGGTTGGGAAGACCGAGAGACTGGTAGAAGGTGGACGTTACAAAGCGACGCCAATAGTTTCGACTTTTTCAAGGGCCTCGTGAAGGTATGTGACAGTTCCAGCGAAAATCATTGGTTCGAAGCCGAATCCGCGGAAATGCATGCTCATCATCCCTGCCGTCGAAGAGGACAAGTGCTAACAAACTTATACCCTTTGCAGAGAAAGCTCTAAGTAGAGTCCGAGTCCAAACAACATCGTCCAAGGAGGGAAAGCAAGTCTATCTTGTGCTCAGCTCCAAAAGTCAGCATTCATTTCGACGAAGACGCTCCTCCGTCAAAATATGCTGACTGGACTCGGTGTTGGCGCACTAACACGGAGCACGAACACCCGAGGGTCGCTTATCCCGAAAATCGCCCAAGGTGGAATTCGTTCTGTAGCACATAGGCATGGCAAAAGTGGACTCTTGGATCACTCTGAGCAACTACGAAAGCCAGAGTCGCTGGAGGCGCGTTATTCAAGAGCGTGTTTGCCTTTTCCTCTTTCATCACATTGACAACTTGTCACCTTGGCCCACTACGTGCCCAGAGAAAGAGTATGCAAGACAAACCTTTGGTGAGGCTGGTCGCGTGCACTACTCTACACCGCAAGACTCCGAGCTCTGCAAAGGTTGAGACCATGCATGAAAGGGCCTCGTGTTGGAGGGTCTCGACCAGGGACAACTTCTCCTTAAATTCAGTTGGTTACGGCACGTCAAACCAACTTCGGCTCGGCATGGTATCAAATGCAGGGCATCGGCGATCTCGTTACTACGCTCAGCTGGAGATATGTTCCGACACGAGACAGCCTCATGGTGGTGCCAGCATGTGTCTTGTATCATCCAGGAGAGAGGCACCAGAAGAGGCAGGTTGCATATGCTGTCAAACGATACTTTTTCTCACCACAGCCAAGGTGGACCGTTGATGTGTTGCCGCAGTCAATGAATGTCGAAGCCAACCCTTGTTGCCCTTTTTGGCGGATGCTGGTTACCACGCTCGTTCCCAGCACGTTTGCAACATGATCACCGCCATTTCCCCGCCCAGAACAGTACAAGGAAGAGCAATCACCGTTGCAGAATGTGTCGGAGTCTGTCAGTGCCATGTGCTTCGTCAATGCCTGTAGCCTCCTGAGTTTCCCTGACTCTGTCGAGCTATTGGGCCCGCGGAGGGGTGAGGTCTAAACATGCTTGTAAAGGTTTCACTGTTAACTTGATCGGCGACGCTCTGTGACCTTCGGGTGACTGAGAAGTGGGTGCTACCCGTCCTCCGACTGGGCATTGCTCTTTGCACGCCGCCGAATTCCACTGGAATTGGTCAAATTACTGGAATTCTTCAACCCCTGTCAAATTTTGCCCGAGGCATGCAGGCTCACTAGTCGCCAGGCTGGGGTTGCAAGGACGAGGTGGTAGCATGGCGTGATGCCTCGTTGCACTGCCCGTACCATTATTTTCCCTGCCGTCCGCGCCAGTGGGAGGCTGTTGAAAGGCCCAGGGTCTTGAGTGACAGACAGCCATGGGTCGAGTAGCGTACCGGCTTCCACTATTCTTGCCAGGATGGTGATCTGCCCATCCTCCCCCCAACGGTCTTGTGAGGCACACCGTATGGATGACTGCAGCGTCGAAGTTCGGTACTCTCGTGCACACTGTGACTAATGCTGTGTAACACAAAGGACCATCAACGGGATTCTTGTGTTACATGTCGAGACGTCCTTGCAATTCTTTCCGCCGCAGACCTCGCAACCAAAGCTACTCCGATGCACTTTGAATGCCCAGTAATTGCAGCCGACAAGGGTCCAAGTCCGGGCGTGGCTTTGTATGTATAGTACAGTACATATAGAGAGGGTCACCTAGGCGAACAATGCACTAATGCACACCAAGCGAGCGTCTGATGGTAAAAGCTGCACCTGCATGTTTGCTTCTGGAGCGCTTCATTTACGTGTCCACCATGAGAGTTGTCTTGACGTAATTCTAAGCCAGGATCAAGCTTTGCAAGTGAACATGCATCTTTATCTCTATCTCTCTCTCTCTCAATCACGGCGTCGAGTGTAAGGCTTGTAGATATTTACCAGAAAAATGTCGCTAGGCAGAGTCCCACTTCTCACAACACGAGTAAAAAGGCACGAGACAACTTTGGATAGGGTGGAATACGGCTGTATGGCATCGGCCGATGTCCTCGTATTGTTATGTATATTCAGCCACTGAACGAATTGCCCTTCAACGAATCACCCGAACACTGTAGAATCCACCCCGACATGAAGGTGGCGAGGCGGGAGGATATCCCCGTCGACACATCGCATCATCTTCTCCACCAGCCTGAGATCTCGCTCACTACGAGTAGAATTTTACTGTACCCTCTCCATGAGTTACCAGTCGTCAGTCGTACCTTCTCACGGACCATCGAGCCGCGCACCTTGGTATTACCATCTCAGATCGCGATTGTTCACTTGTACAGCTTGTACAGGTTCTAACAGACCACCATATCTCAACGTGGTCTTATACTTGCGTCATTCGAGGAGTGCCTCCTCCCAGACCTCGTCCCTGCAGCATCTTTAGCCGCAACGAAGCGAGTCCAATCGCCTCCAGCCTCGTCTAGCACCCTTAGCCACGGTAATCCTACTGTATCTTACACCAGTGCTCCAAACAGTCCTGCAGTGATTGTCAACCACTCCATTTCGAGCTTAGACCTCTTCCACCACGACAGTACGAGTACAGATACCCTGGCCCTTGGTCAGTCCTGACCTCCGCGCATTCACGTCGTGCGAACTGGGAAGCAGACCGCCTTGGTCCAGCTACATCATACGCTCCTGGTCTCATTCTGGTCACTTTCCACTTTTCCCGCCTTGGAGGGGTCTCGCTGTCGGAGGTAACTCCACGGAAGGAGCCATTGTAGAAGTACTAAAGGATCCCCTGCCTCCATGATCTGGCAGAACACCAGCGTCTTTTAGGGCTGCTCGGTGCACATTGGCCTTTTGCCTTTGTGACTCTACTTGATCTGCCGTCATCATGGAGACCGTTTTCATCACAATCCACGGTGTGTAGTGTACAAGCGCCTCTCTTCTCTTTCCACAAAGCTAACAGTGGTAGACCTCTCCCGTGATGCTCGCATCAAGTATTGCTCAGACTCTATTGAGGACATCTTGGGGTACCTGCCTAATGAGGTTATTGGCAAGGCCTGTTGGGAATACTTCCATCCTGATGAGATCCCATTTGCGCGCGAGATTCATGACCGTGGCATTGAGCTCGACAAGGCATCTGTTATGAACTACGCTAGAATCAAGCACAAGAATGGCGAATGGATTGGGTGTGAATGTGTGTTTACTGTTGTACACGATGTTCTCGTGGCGAGCACTGCCATCTATCGAAGGGGTCCAAAGGCGCAACGTAAGTCAGAGCATCATTCTTCGAGACACCATGGACTGACTTGGGTGTAGTGAGAGCTCTAGCCGGAGCCGGGATACGCCGCATATTCTCTTCATCTCCTCGAGACCCTCGCTATCACATGTTGTCGTACTTGTCCAACAAGTTCAATGAGCAACCAAGCGCCCACCTACCAGAGCCCAGAGCTGCATTGTTCCTCAATCGCTTCACTCGCACCTCCACCATCATGTATGCTACCAGCAGTGTATCAACCATCCTTGGTCTGGACCCAGAACAGATCATCGGCAAGAGCTTCTACTATTGCGTGCAAGAAAACTGTCTTCAAGACGCAGTCAAATGTCTCGAAAGCGCGAAGGCTAACGACTCAATCGCCTACTTGAGATTTTGGTATCGCGACCCGTTGCAACGAGAGAGCCGAGCACATTCGGAAGCCTTGCCGGATGACGAGAGTGATGAAGACGAGGGAGGTGTTCCACTTAGAGGCTCTGAGACATCCAGCTCAAGTGTCTCGATGGCTGATGCCTCGACGCCACGTCCCATTCCCGCAGCAGCGGTCAACGGCTCCGGGCCAGCCATAATGGATCAGCAAGGCACAAGCACTTCCTCAACCTCGGGTACCACTGAAGGCAATGTGCGCGGCCTCTTCGATAGCCCGAACCTAGGCCGCAGAGGCTCATCCCAGACACCTCCGGAAGATCTTCAAGCAGGACCGTTAGAGATTGAAGCTGTGGTCTCTTGCACGTCCGATGGACTCGTTGTGGTTCTGCGCAAGGCAAGCCCTCTCGTGCCGCACACCCTGGAGCCCACAGACACTCCGTATTACGCTAACGGTCTATTTGCTTCTCCCTGGGCCCCGGAACCAATTATGCCCTCTATTGCTGGGCAGACTCCTTTGTCCCCATCTACCTTGGACTCCGGAGTCGGGGCGCAAGACTTGGTCAATACAGGCTTCATGGCTGCTATCAAAGAGGTGGCCGTGTTCGCCTGGTCCCTTACCGGTATCAATGGCTCGCTGGCGCAGTATGCACGTGGGAATGCAAGTGGTGAAGCCCTGCCCCCTGACGGTCTACCAGTCTGGGATCCAAATGCTGAGGTTGATGAACGACACAACGAAGAATACAATGGCTTCCTTGGAAGTACGCACCGGCCTACCCAAGGTGAAGGTAGTCTCGGTGGACCCAAAAAAGATGAGGAATCAACCAGTAGTGAGGACGAGGTGGTTTGGAAGCGAACTCCAATACTACCACCCTGGCGACGACCGAAGAGGAGAGCACATCAAGATGCTTTCGGCGGTGATTTGCATGATGGTATGGATGGCGGTGCTGAAGATGGCGGCAGGAAGAAACATGCCAGGTCGCATGATAGTTCTGGCACAGGCTCCGGATCTGCTGGTTCAGGGTCAGGTTCAGGTTCAACTTCCGGTACAGGGTCTGGAGCTGGCTCTGCTACAGGATCAGTCTGAGCCATAAATGCTCGAAGCGCTTTTCAAACAAATAATCTTTGAGGAGAAACGATAGCTACATACCTTCATTTTCATTGATAGGAACGCTTCATTGACTTCAGTCGCATCTTCCTGTGAAGCATTCATCCATCGGGTCTCACGTGATCTCGCGTCGTCTTGGAGTAAATGTTCGCGTTTAATCTGTTTCGTGTTGGAGAATCCGCAGTCACTCCATGCCATGTTATACCTTGATCCTTGATCAAGCATACTCCGTACCGACTGCTCACGTCGCCTCTACCGGAATCTAACCTCTCGCTCTTTATACGCCCAATATGCCTCTGAATACATTACCAAGTAGAGGTCCTACAGGTGTCGATCGCTATCTGCACAGCCGTGAACCCGGGGCCATTCGACCGGAGAGCCGTTCTCTAACACCACAACCTCGACGAGAGAGGTCAAAGCAACGTGCGAACGGCGCCGCAACACGCGGAGCGCGGCCTAACAGTAGCAATGGCCATGCCTCACATACACCCAAGTTTAACAGGCAAGATTTCGCACAGAGTATGAAACTCCCCGTGCCCGATACCCTCGCCAAAGCCAAAGCACGTCCGACACACTCGCTCCATCAAGATCTTTCTACGACGAAGCCAGTACCGATCGTTTCGCAGTTCCAATTGCCAGCTGAGGTGAAACAAATCCCTCGTACTTCAAAGTACACAAGCTGACCATTCACTAGTCGAAACTAAATGCCTTTGATGACACACAAAGCATTCACTTTGACGACTCAACGAGCTTTGCGGACGGCCCCGAAAATCAACGGAATGCAACCTTTGGTGGTTTCAATAATCCCCAAGACGAACAGCCCTCGTCCAATCCTTTCGGGCGGGAAAAGCAACACTTCAAAGCCCAAAGATTTACACAACCACAAGGGCCCAACTGGCAAAAGCAGATTGATGGTAGAATACGGCCCGGAGAGCTTCCAAAGTATGGAAACACACACGACCGCGGGCCACAACCCAGTGTCCCACCGAGTGAAGAGGCATACGACGATGGTTACGAGCCAGACGGGGAATATGCCGACAACGACCCCAACACTTGGGACACGCCCTCGCGGGCACGGATGCCGCCCCCTGAAAACGAGCCCACCAAATCGAAACCTCAACCACCAGACATGGAGGAGCGGTCTCGGAGCCCCCACTTACACCATCACCGCGACCAACAACAGCAACACAAGAGTCGTTTTCAGGTTCACAAGCAAACCGTCGTGGACAACAACGCACCAGAAGGGTCAGCTACGATCGATCAACACCCCCCCCCTCACGCGGCGGCACAGGCGCGTCAAGATATTCAACCGGCAGCACCACCATTCTCCTCGAAAATATCCTCCTACCATGAATCGTCCTCGGAGGAGGAGGAGGAAGAGATGGCGCGGCCGACCGTGCGGGCCCCCTCTTCGCCTTTGCCTCCATCAACAACGACAAACAACAAGCGTCCACGGACAGAGGAAGCTCTGGATTTTAGTCCCGCCGACATCACGGCTAAAACGATGGCGGACGTGGACGCCGTACCTTTTACGACCGACCCGTCCTGCCCGCCGCCCGTCGAGCCTGCTCTCGACTCTCATGGGACTCCGATGAGTCTCGCCGCCAGATTGACGAATCTCACAAAGATGCGCCACGAGGACCAGAGACATTTGTTCAGGTCCCTGACGGACGCCGAGCGAGAGCAGACGGCCGCCTGGTTCCTCGAGAGGTTTCGGGTCGACGTCCAGAGGTTGATGGACGTGCGGTTCGAGAGGAGGAGGACGGCGCTGAAGTACGAGCTGGAGGTCAAGAAGCGGGACGCCCGGGTCGAGGCCAAGCAACAGGACGTGGACGAGGAGCTGGCTGGTCTCAGAAAGGGTGGAGGCGCACTCATCGCCGGGAAGGGTGCCGCCGCCGCCGCCGCCGTGGGAAGGACGGGCTGAGGGACTGATGAAGTGACTGGACCTCATCGTCGGCGTCGTTGTATCTGGAGTCTAGGGCACGGCAGTGGAACCGGGGATGTGGGGAGAGCTTGTTATACGAATGTCATGACGATCACGAAGTCGAGACGAGACGAGTACGTTGTTAGCATGCTCTATTTGCAGACGATGAACAGATGATGAAATTCACGAATCGCCAGACATGAAAACTCGAGTCAATAAGATGTGGAAATGGAAATGGAAATGGAACTCTACAGAGCAACTGATCACTCAGACACGGCGACGGCAACATGCGCCGTGTGCTTTTATTTGGTACATCTAATAAACAAACCATGTCCTTCACCTGTACTCTCTTTGTCTCTTGTAGAAATGTGGACATGCACCCCTCCCGGATCGAACGGTTGATCCGTTCGAACACAACCTCTCTCAGTACTCCGCAGGCAGAGCTATTCGCCTAGAGCTCTGCGAATCGACGGCAAACCCTGTAATAGTTGTTGTAGTATGATCGGAACTCTCGAAACATGATGCCGGTATAGGACTCCCAGCCAACGGTATCCCGCCATCCTCGGCGCAGAAAGCAAGGCATAGTAGACCATGTCTTCCATAAACCCCGATTTGAGTCTGCGGGAAAGGCTCCCTCATTCACAGAGTCACTGCCATACCAAGCGTTGCCTTCTCAATGACTCATGGACCGAAATATCGTGCCTTGACGGTGCCCGGACAGCGGTCGTCATCAATGTTTCGCGAACAAAGCTGACTCAAACCCCCCCGAGTCTTTTGTATTTCAAGTCTTTTCATGATCACTGCCAGCAGCAGACTCCTCAGTCTCGACATCGGCGTGGTCTGTATCGACTTCGTCCTCCGCCTTCTGGACCAGCTTGCCCAACACTTTGGCCAACCGTTGATAATCCATGAGCAAGTCTTGTACCTCTCGGATCTTCAATTCACTGGCATCCGTTATCGACATGAAACGTGACATGGGCGGAGCCGCCATAATACTCGGGAGTTCTTTCCGATATGGCGCACGGAGGGGAACAGTCCCAGCTCCGTCTGCTTTGCTCTCCGTTTTCGACCCGTGTTCATCGGTCGTGGCACCTTTGTCAACGACAATTGTCGGAGCAGGAGGTGTAGGAACAGCAGGTGGAGAGGCAGATACACTCGTCCTACCTCCAAATCGTCCAAATGCACCTCCTATGGCCGAACCGATATGACCAATAGGGTTCAGACTCGTCCCAAAGCTCCTTACAGAGTCAAGGGGATTGCTGCTGGCTGTTTGCATTGCTGAGGCTGCGGGCTTTTGCAAACTCGCCAGTCCATTCGGTGGGGAATTGGTCGCTGGTGCACCAAAACCTCCTCTTCTCCCGCTTCCGCTACTTGTCATGCTGTCCACACTGCGCTCACGCACAGTAGTTCTGCGGCCTCCAAATAAACTCAGCATTTTATCTTCGGTCTTGGTCAGATTTGGGGGTATCTGTGCATGTTGACCATCACAAAGTGAGCTTGATTCACTCAAAGCGTGATCGTCTTCATCTGGTGTGAGAGGTCGGTTGACGAGCTGCCTGGCTTCATCAAGCGTTTTGGGGACAACGACTTCAGCATTAGCGTCCCCGCTACTTCGCTCTTTTAGCTTACCCATCAAGAACTTGAAGCTATTGTCTAGTGTGCTGGAAATATTTTTGAATCCTTCCTCAGCAGTAGAGCGCACGGCTTCGTTCGCATTGCTTATAGGCTGTAGGAGATCGGAAAAGGTGCGTTGATGGCGGGTAGCTGGTGCCGGAGCCGACCTTTCCGGGAGTGGTTTGATGATCGATGATGCAGGGCTTGCTTCAACATTGGTGCCCGTAGCACTGGACATCGAAGTGGCTGTGGTTGGGGTAGAAGGAGTAGGTGCAGTGCCTGCTAGAGGAGGAAACGCTTCGAGTCGGGTGGGACTTTCTGATCCTGTCTGTGAGAGCACCTTCTTTGGTCCCTCAGGTAGCTCGTCTGCTCTCAGACTTGCAAGGTCGACATTCTCCAGAAAACTGATGGCAGCCTCAAGATTCGTCAAGCAATAGGCAGCTTCGCCGTCCATCTTCGGTGCAGCCCTGAATCGTTGGATGAAGTAGAGATTACTGATGATGTTGATGCCTTCGACAGGTGATGTGATCAAGGTATAGATCAGAGTCGGCAGAATTTCGTCGGCAGATGATGAAGACGGGTGTATTGAATACAAGGTGTCCACGATGGCTTTATGTGCGGCGGTCAAATGTTGCAACTTTCCAAGAGGGTAGTGTTCGTCGTTCATCTTCGCAAGCCCTTCCCTTGCCGGTATCAAGGAGACCTGTATGTCCTCCACAGTCTTTTCCGTATCTGCATTCCATTCAATTCCCAGGTCCTTCAAGCCGATGCCTACCAGGGACAGTGCTGCGGTCTTTGATCGCAACTTCTCGTCCCTTACCTCATCTAGCGTGCTCTTATGTCTCCAAATCTTGTCGTAGATCTTCTCGCAGACTCTTCTCTCCACCGCCTCCTCCAACAGTATCCTCTTGTACTCTAAGAGTTTTCTCTGTTTCCGTTTCTCTGTTACCTCAGACGCTGTCAACATCTGTTGAGAGCCTACGGACTTGGTATTGGGAGTCAAACTTGACCCTTTCGCAGGGGCGGGTGATGCATCTCTGTTGAGCCGAGATCTGAGGGCAGAAATATGTATGGAGATAGCACCACTTGCTCTTGCATAAAATTCTTGAAACAAGTCCGATAATTGATCGATCGATGGAGGCTCATTGTAGATTTTGGCACCCAGAGAATCCACAAATCTGTCCGCCAGACTCGCCAGTTCTATCGGCAATTCATCGAATCGGTCTGGCAGAGTCTGCGATCGTCCCATGTCGGGAGAGGGAGGCTCATTCTCTTCATTGATGGGTTTAACGAAGACATCATCCCTCCTGGGTGACTTTGGGGATGTGACAGACTGTACTGTACTGGCTCGACTTCTGTTGGGAGGGGGAGAGGGATTGTCGGGTTCGTAACGGGTGAATGACTTGGTAGATATGGCAGAAGGTCTCGACTTCAGCGACCCTGTGGACGCAGTTCTAGACATCACGAATATGATGCATTCGCAGTGAGATGTGTAGACAACTGGCGGATCGTATCGGATTGTGTTTGGACAGTCGAAGTCGGACCGTTCAACATGAAACGCAGGTCCGCGACAGTTGGCGACCGTGCGGTGGCATACTCGTCAGTCTTCTAGGGGCAGTCGTGACACGCCTAACATAGCATTCTGACTGCTCATGAATGATCAGTGTCTGACACCTGAGTCATCTGTACGAGTAAAGGATTCGTTGTTGATGCCTCGAAGGCAAAAAAGCATGTGATTGGAGTTGAATTGATGCTCCGCAGTTCCGATCACCATCGACGACGTCAACGCCTCAATGCGCTATTCACTCACTAGGTAACCATCATCCTCAACCCACCGACATCTTCCATCATTTATCAACACATCCCACACAATATGAAGACACGGAAATCACTTCATCCAACATGCAACTCCAGAAGGAGAGTCACGGCAGGCATGCTCCTCTCGTTTCTTTCCCTTACCTCCATCGTCGACGCGGCGAAAGCCCCCGCCATTGACCCTTGGTATCCGTTGCCTGCGCCCAAACAACACAACACCCACGACTTCACACTACGACACATCTTTCATCGAGGCACATACCAGGACCCGAACTTACACAAACGATATGACTTTCGCCCTCAAGAGCCTCTGCTTCTCTCCGAAGAGGAAGATGGGTTACGACGCCCCCTCGCCGAAACGCCACACTTTACAGCGAGATCCGATTCCATGGAGATTGAAAGATTAGTGGACAGAGAACCATACAACATCGAGCGGTATCTAGAATATGCTCGCTATACTGGCTCTCCTGCTATCCTGGACGCCTCGGACTGGTCGATGGACGAGGTCAAGGGCCCCAACATTTCTGACAAAGAGACCGTTCTCAACCTCGCTATAATGGCAGCCGATGCTTATGCAGAAATACCAGGCGAAGGAGACTGGCAAGATGTTGGTCAGGGATACAACAGATCCACTGGGTTTGGCTGGCAAGGTGATGGTCTTCGGGGGCACATCTTCGCTGATAAAGGCAATGAGACCGTCATCATCAGTTTGAAAGGCACGTCCCCGGCCGTGTTTGATGGAGATGGAACGACAGCCCGAGACAAGCTCAACGACAATTTATTCTTTAGTTGTTGCTGCGCCCAAGGCGGACAGTACTTCTGGCGACAAGTGTGTGATTGCTACGACAGTACCTATACATGCAATCAGACGTGTCTGATAAAGGCCCTGCGAAGAGAAAACCGCTACTACCGAGCAGCAATCGACCTATACACTAACGTCACCGAACTCTACCAAGACTCGAATGTATGGCTTGTCGGGCATTCCTTGGGTGGAGCAGTGACCAGCCTTCTCGGCCTTACGTTTGGTCTTCCAACAGTGACATTCGAGGCACCAGGCGATGATCTTGCAGCTAAGCGTCTTGGTCTACCCAGACCACCATCTTCCGACCCTCATCGACCTCGTACCAAGTATACCGGCGCTTATCACTTTGGGAATACAGGTGATCCGGTCTTCATGGGCACCTGCAATGGAGCCACAGCAACATGCACACTTGGTGGCTACGCCATGGAATCACAATGTCATACGGGAAAGCAATGTGTATACGATACAGTGAGTGACTACGGCTGGCGGGTTGGTATCGGGAATCACAAGATCCGCAATGTCATCGACAGCGTGATCAAGAAATATGACAAAGTACCCAAGTGCATACCTGACGACGAATGCGTTGACTGTTACAACTGGAATTTCTTCGAGAGCAATGGTTCTGATTCCACGACTACGAGCTCAACATCGACAACGACGTCTACACGGACGAGAACGACAACTTGCAAAACACCAGGCTGGTGGGGATGTTTGGACGAATCATCCACCACGACCCAGACAACACCTGTCACTTCCACAACTTATACAACGACTACGTGTCTGACTCCAGGTTGGTTTGGGTGTAAAGAAAGTGCCAACTTGACAGTGACTACGACAACAGCGGTGCCAACAACACCTGCTACTCTCACGAGCGGTCCTATTTCAGCAACTTCCACGTCGGCCACATGTGAACATCCAGGATGGTGGGGATGTCGAGACCCGACGACATCTCCAAAAGCCACACCTTCACCAACGGTGTCACAAACTCGAGCCACCAAGACGGACGGACCACGTACTTGCGAGACACCAGGAATCTTCTTTGGTTGTCACGATCGCCCGCATCACACGAGTGCAGATGTTTCCTCAACCACACGGACGGGAGTGGTCACTGATAGCCTTAGTGCGACAGGAAGCAGCACACGGCCGACGAGTACGAAGCCAGGACATGGTGGGAAGAAGAAACACAAAAAGTGCAAACATCCTGCCTTTTTTGGTTTGATCTGCCTCGACGAGTATGAGGAAGTTGAGGTTTTGGAGCTGTAGAGTCCAAGTTTTTTGCGACGAGAATGATGATGGTTCTTTCTTTGCGTGTTTCTGGGGCTGTGTATTTGTGGGATATTGAGCGATTGTTTGCACGAGGCGGCCAGGGACTTGGATGGTTTAGGAGTTGTGGTTGGTTTATGTAGCATCGAAGCATCATTTGTTGATACGCCATTCATGAGATGTCTGTGTTCGGTTCGAATTTGGTTGTCTGTGTTGGGTTTTGTTTTGGGGCGCCATGATCACGTCAAGATATTGACTTGGTTTCGATATACGAGAATTACTTTACAGAAGTATTCAATAACAACTACCCTGACGTTGTCAGTCAACAATACTTCCGAGGTATAAACTTGGTTTCCAATCAAATTCATCGCTGCATATGAAGTAGTGACTTTCAAAAGTATAGAATCTATTGAAGAGGTTCATGCCCTAAAGGTTCGCATGCTAGGTAGGTTTCATAAAAACAAGTCATACTTGAGAAAACGATCCCACACTTGACAAGTTCCCCCCCTGATTACTCCTTCCGAGGCAGGTATCGATCGTTTAACCCCCCTTACAAGGGGGAGAGTCATACCTACCGACCCAAGGTAGGTACGTATCCTTTTACAATCCCAATGGATTCTCGGCGGTTTGTTTCTTCCCACCGATTGAATCGGTCGTACCTTTTGCGGTGTCACCTACTGCCTTTGTTGTATTTCCGAGCTATGCAAGACACAAAACGGACAAGTGTCAGCGAATGCCACTATTTACTGGGGTGAGTATGATGAACGTACACCTTCAGTTGCACCTCCGACAGTTTTACCTACACCCTGACCGACACCAGAGACGGTATTACCGACCGTGTCCTGTTGGGAGAAAGGGAAAGTCATCAGTACCTGTCTGTACAGAGGTAAAGGGGTAAGTGTTGAAGTAGCATGTCATGGACATACAGTAACACCACCTACGGTATTTCCAACCGTATCGGTGACACCTCCGAGGATACCACCTAGGCCACCTTTGGGATTAGTATTGATAGCGGAGTGTTGATTCACGATCCCAAAATAAAAAGATAAAAGACGCAAGGGGAGAGAGTGGGGGGGTTGGAAAGGAAGACAGTGCTGTGTGATGTAGATGCCACTCCGTGTAAGGGGTATACGAGTACCTCACTTGGGCCGGTGAGGTAGATGGGAAGGTAAAGTCGATAAGTCAGAGACATACCTTGTCCACCTTGCTTTTGTTGTTCTTGAGACATTGTTAAACAGTGGGGGGGGGGATCGTTTTTGTATGCTTTTGTAATGATTTTATGTCACGTAGTAAGGTTGGTACAGGTGATGATGTTCAGGTGTAAATGGGGATCTAGGACAAGTTGACGGGATGGGAGGAAGAATATATATACATACACACTGTAACGAGTGTTTTGTTCCCAACGCCACTTTCCCCCATGACCTTACTTACCATAGCCCAAGCCATGCAATGAAAATGCAAGGCAGACACCGATGATCCTTTCTGCGAGGCGAGGGCGGGAACAACAAAGGGACAATTCCATCATCGGCATCACAAATTCCCCATGCTTGCATCTCATATGGAGAAAGGTTGACGTCAGAAGAGCATCGAGCGAATGAATCTGACCCATCTGAACAGTTTAGGGGGTCTGGGAAATCCAGGGATCCCTTGGCCACGTTTCACACGGCCACAGTTGGGTGGCTTGAGTCCAAGAGGATGGGGGGTTGGAAGTGTGTGGGCTACGAGTACGAGGGGAGGAAGTATTGTGATCCAGACATCCCTGGAAAACAATGACGATCACTTTGACTGTGATCGAGTCGAATCGACAAGTAAAAGACATCATACTCGTAGTTCGTACAGAGGAAAAAGAAAGAAAAGGAGGGGGAAAGATCAAAAAGCAGGGATCCTTGTCTCGAATTACGTAGTTGCTTGACGAGTGAGACTGAAAGGCTGTGTGTGGGAAAAAGAGAAATGCTGGGCCAACTTGGAACAACACAACTGCAAGTTTACTGCAGGTCGTGAACACATGGTACACAAGGTCAGAATAAAAGTCTGGATCTATGATTGACAGGTACGGACTAACAAGATCAAATCAACCATAATGAACCACAGAGTCGGAGTTGGATGGTTGTAGTAGTATCAAAGCATGAACAAAATACATTCTCAGTGACGACCTCATCGGCTGCATATACGTCAAATGCTCAAAGTCGTCATCACAACCATTAAACTCCTGTTTATCCAAGAGACATGGCAATGTCTTCTTGAACGCTGAATGCTCGATGTCCTCCGGTATTGTCTCTCCACCGATCGTGAACATCATCTTCCGGCCCATCACGACTTCGATCACTTCTAGTACTGAGCTGCCCTGTATTCTTCCCACTACTACTCTTGGAATCACTTCGCTCACGCTTCGAGAACCAACCTCCACTCTTCTTGCTTGTTGTGGACTTGGTAATACTGGCAGCGTCGTCGCCAGCCTTTGATACTCCAGTTACCTGATCGGCGGAAGAGATTGGTGGCTTCTCAGGGGCATCGGCAGATGCACCAATACCTTTCGCAAAGTCCTTTGCTTTCTTGACCTTCTCCTCTTCAGTATCAGAAAGCTGCCGTTTCGGGGTCCCCGTGGGACTAGGGTCAATGCTGGGTATGGCTTCTACCAGTTCGGCATCTCTGAACCATTTTCGTCGTCGGGTATATCTTCCCCAACCATCCTCTTTTCTTCCGTCTTCCCATCTATTATCGTAATATATCCACCCCCCACCGTCTTCGACCGTGTCTTTGCTGGCATTTCCTGCTGAACCAGTCTTAGTTTGACTGGTAGCCCTCTTATGCTGCTTGCTATCACCATGTTCGATCCTCCATTCAGATCCCTCAACCCACCGCCACCTCGAGTGTCCGCCGTCCACCTCCGGCAGTTCAAACTCGTCTTTCGATGGTGCTGGGTTGAGGTGTTCATCCGTCCACGGACCACGCTCATAAGCGAACAGTGAGGTCGTCCAGCCAAGACCGATCCATCGTCGCTGGTTTTCGTATAGAATGAATGTGAAACGAACGCCTGATGAGTCTGGTCTCTTTTTGGTGGCAGCTTCTGATGCTAAGCCAGCTTGAGATTTTGACCTGGCCCCAACAATAGACCGCAGCAATGAGTCGTCTTTTGATGGAGCAGAGGTATCGAATTGAAGTCCTGTGATGAATGCTGCAGTCTTCCGTAAAAACACAGAGCGCCAGAGGATTACCCGTGCTACCCTTGCTGGCTTGGAGTGCCATGTTAAGATTATAGTGCCAAATGTAAGTATGACTCGACGGGTCGTAAGAATGTAGAAAGGGGGTAAGGTCAGGAAGATCCATAGAGGAGTGACCAAAAGAACTCGAATGAAAAGAGTCGTCAGTGCGGGTCGGGTGGTTGCAGCAGTTGGTGTCGTTTGCGTAGAGAGGAAGTCGGTCAAGGCAAGAAAAGGATTCAGTAATATGTTACAACGGGCTGTGAGCTCCTGAAGGTTATCAACGATCTCGTCCAAAGTCTTGTGTTGCGAGCTGGCTTCCGACGCTTCTCTCTTGTGGCCTTTGACATGTTTGTCGCCAGTCTTGCTCGTGGAGGATAAAGGGGAGTATCTCCTCGAATACATTCCCAATATCAACCCGACCACAACTATTATCGGGCTCGCAAAGCGGATAATCTCACTTCCATAAAGTGTAATAGCCCAGAAAGCGGCAACGAGGAGAAAGGACTCCCAAGGGTCTGGTGTACTCCATGATAGTAGTCCAGCAAGTTTGTTCAGTGGCAGCAAGAAAGGATGAGAGTGTGCTAACGCTCGAGTGATTTGCGGCGGTGTCGCTACCAAGAGAGGTGATTTCTTGTGGACTATGATGGTGGAGCGTTGCTTCGAGGTGGCGGAGTACCCAGAGGTGGTGGTAGGAGAAAACGCTGCGAAGGTAGGCGGGTTTGAATCCCAGGTTTGCTGGGTGGTGGAGGGTTCAGCGGTAGATGCATATGGACCTGGTCTGGACATTGAGGACATCCAGGGTGTATCTGAGCTTGTAGTCAGTGTCTGAGTGAGCTGGGTGTAGGGCAAGAGTCCTGTACCAAATGCGGCCATACACTACGGATCATCCAGACTGTCGGTGCGAGAAGTAGTGGTGATGACGTGCGTGGACAGCCTGATCAAGGATAATATACATCGTCTGTCTGAACGAGTGGTGGAAGGATGAGAATTGCAGAAGTAACAATGTAGGTCTTCAAGGAGAGAGGCATGTGGCATATGGCATGTGCGTAGGGCCAGGCAGAGACGTGACATTCTCGGACTGCGGAAAGCCGCGGTCTGTCGACATCGTCATCGCAGTCCCTTCGACTGTAAGATCGGGTCACATGATGGGCGCGGTTTAGCCGAAGTATGGCCGCCCGCATCAAAAGATTTCCTGCAGCTTCCATGGCGAGATGAATGCATTTGAATCTATTGTCGCCATCTTCGTTGTTCACTTCAGCCAGTCTTTCCCTTCTCTTTCGAGCCACCCAGATGGTGAGTATAGATCTAGTGACTTCCCCGGTCTTCAATTGACAAGACTAACTCGGCACAGGCGCATCGAATTATCGCCCAGATTGTCCTTACGGGCGGCCGAGTCTTCGGGAGAGCCTTTGCAGAAGCCTATAAACAAGCCCAGGCCTCCTCTCAGTATGCTAGAGCTGCTTCAAAGAACGATCCCGGCGCACTGAATACTGCAGCTTCATCCGGAATGACTCTGGATGAAGCTTGTAAGATTCTCAATGTCAAACCTCCCCAAGGCGGTCGCATGAATATGGAACAAGTGATGGAGCGCTTCAAAAAGTTATATGATTTGAATGAACCGAAGAAAGGTGGTGGCGGTGGATCCTTTTACATCCAGAGCAAAGTTTTACGAGCGAGAGAACGGATAGAGGCTGAGGCGCGATCAGCCGAACGGAAAGCGCAAATGGAAAAAGAGATCAAAGAAGGTTGGAAGCCCAAAATGTACAGAGAATGATGTCCTGTGCTAACCGTCAACAAGGACGGTGACCACATACCTCTGCGCCGATCACCAACTCGATTTCGACCGACCACTGAATCTACTCCTCTACTCATCCTTGACATATTTGCATAGCGCATGGCGTTGGGCTGGACACATTATTTTCAAGAATTGTACAATTAAAAATCGATTACAAGGATCATTCTACAAGCGACCCAATTGGCAGAAACACTTGGGTGATTGGTTTCTTGGACCAAGCAGATGCGAGGTTGATTGTGCAGACTGAGGCCCGAGAGTTTGTGACAGAAGAAGGCCTAATGGGACGGAATTGCGGGTATGCGTATCCTTCAGGCGCTCGATTACAGCCGTTTCGGTCCCATACATGCGATGTATAAGGGATGGACTAAAAGGAGATGGTATCCGAGGGTCTCTAAAGACGCATCATGAGGGCACGAAAGTTTCAAGCCCCGCGAATACCTGCCTCATTGTGGGCAATATGCTGGGAGAATTGCTGAAAGAGTAAGGGTTTGTACTCTCTTCTCATGGTCAATCTCCCTCGCTCCTAAGATCAGTTATATTATCTATCTCAGATACTCAGGGTGAAAGGAAATTGGTAATCCGGCCTGACCACACAATCAGAAGTCATATATCAAGTACAATCGAAAGATCATACGGCCAAAGAAACCGAAATCACTTCTGTCTGTGTCCTCAGGTGATCAGGAAGTTGGTGTCGGCATGTCGCTCATGCAAGTCGAGAGCAAGGAACATCATTTAGTGATTGTCAATATCAGGTGCTCTCTACTTCACATCTGCTGTATTTCTGCTTTTGAACTTGACAAATTGTCTACGTACCTAGAGATTGAAGTCTTGACATTTACCGACCCCAATCCTCGAGTACCTACATCAGGTAGATTAATGGTGATATGGCGACATGTGGTACCGAAAAAGCGTAGATATTAGCGGCATGTACTGTATATGTATGTATCATGCATGCAAAGAAAGACCAGATCGTCAACCAATGTGAGAGCGTCATGGATCTTGGTGGCGCCTCCCTCGATTCTCCTTCTCCATCGGCGTCGAGGCTGCATTATCTCTACCATCTCTTGTGTAACCGTCCACGTACTGGTCTGACAATTCTAGTACAGTGCATCGGATCTGTCGAAGTTCCGCTTCCTCCATCTCCCACCTCCTATCCAACCTTCTGTACTCCGTAGAAAACTATGAAGTTCTAGGCCAATGCAACTCTTATCCTGCTTCTCCCTAGCTTCCGTTCCCTTGGTTGTATTGGCTGGCGGTTTGTGCTCAGGTACGCCCCACCGGCATTTCGCAATCGCCCGAGGACCAAAAAAAAAGGCGGTTGACCCATTAATTGTTGAATGGTTTGTCCGCCAACACCAAGAGAAATATGTATATCTCATAGAGTGTTCTCTTCTGTCTGTTTCATTTTCCTTTTCCTTGTTGACTCCTTCTCACAGCCTGGAAACCCCAACGCGCAACGTGAGGGACTGATAAACCATGCCTAGGCCACAGTCGCCGCTCTCGGAGTCGCTGCCCCCGTTGATCTTCGGAACCGCCACTTTTAACTATCAGGTACGATTGATAAGCCGATAACACCAAGACTGTGTTTTGACTGACATTCTTTGGAGTATAATCTCGACCCTTATGCCCTAGGGCCAACACCCCTGGTCCAGAAGGCTCTTGCTCTGGGAGTGCGTGCTTTCGACACTTCTCCATACTATGGCCCAGCCGAAGAAATCCTCGGGGCCGCTCTCGACACTGATCTAGTTCGGAAATACTATCCACGAGAGAGTTTTTTCATTCTCACCAAAGTCGGCCGTGTCGCCTCAGATGCCTTCGACTATTCGCCGGAATGGGTACGGAAGAGTGTACAGCGCAGTTGTATGCGATTGAAAACCTCTTATCTTGATGTTGTATACTGCCATGACTGTGAGTTTGTCTCACCACGGGAGGTCCTTGGTGCAGTCCGCGAGCTTCGGCGCATCCGAGACGAAGAGGGCACTCTCAAATACGTCGGCATTTCGGGATATCCTGTGCATGTCCTTTGTGAGCTGGCCGAAATGATCCTCCGCGAGACCGGGGAGCCTCTTGATATCGTCCAGTCATATGCCAACTTCACTCTGCAAAACACTCGTCTCCTCACCGAGGGACTCCAGCGACTTGTCAACGCTGGTGTCGACATTGTGCCGAATGCCAGCCCTCTCGGCATGGGTTTGCTGAGAAGGAACGGGACCCCTTTGGGAGCCATGGGTAACTGGCATCCTGCCCCAGATGGTCTTCGTCAAGCTTGCATTGATGCTGCCAAATGGGCGGATTCTCAGGGTGAGAAGCTCGAAGTGGTCGCAGTTCGTTTTGCACTCGAAAATTGGCTGCGTGAAGGTGCCAAAGTGGGAGCTCTAGGAGACCCACTCGGCGGCAATGAGGCGACCTATGGTCACGTACTCAGCCTCCCCAACGAAAAGCTTGGAGTGTCTGTCATGGGAGTCAGCAAGATTGAGGAACTCGACGAGACAATGCGAATCTGGAGAAGTGTCCTCGATGGCCTTGCGGACGATCTTGATGCTGAACCGGGAACCATCACCCCTTCAGACGCTGTCACTGATCATGAATGGTCCCTATGGCGGCGACAGAACATTCGTGTCCTTGCAAAAGGAATACGCACAGTGATTAGCCAGCCATGGGTCGATTATACCTGGCCATCACCTGATCCTGGTTTCGTGAATCGGTTGTCGACGACAATAACTCACGTGCCTCAGTCGCCCAAACTGCCTGTTGCTTCACCAGAAGGAGCAATGCCCACACCGCCCTCGGAAGCAGCAGACGACGGACACGGCAGTGATGTCCCTGGATTGGCCTGTGAAGAGTGAAGAGTAATCGCCAAGGTCACCACACTGCCATTCCTAACTATTTCGTTCAAACCAAGTTATTGCTGGAACTCCTCGTTATTGTGATCATAACTCGAATACGTGGACTCAACGTGCGAGAACCATGGCTACAAGCTCGAATAACGCGTACCTTGGATTTCTCATTGCTGGAAAGTACACTGACTTCATCATCCAATGTCAAAATGTCGAGTTCAAAGTCCACCGGATCATAGTATGCACCCATTCCGTTATGTTGGATAAAGCTTGTGGAGGGCTTTTCCAAATGTGCCACTATCGACAACTTTTTGATGTCCTCTACTGATCTTGATTCAGACCGCCGAAAGTGGTAGAATCACGTTTCCGGAGATAAAGCCAGACATCATGGCTCGGGTCATCCTTTTTATGTACTCCAGAGATTACAACTCTTACCATCTCCCAACTTTCTACATGACATTTGTCGGTGACGACACGAAGGACATGAAGGACCCGAAGGACACTGAGGATACGAGGTCCGATACAGAAGAAGAGGACGGCTACCGGGGCGAGAATGGAGATATCCAAGCGGGCGGCCTAAGAACTGCTCTGAATGTGAATGCCCTGATGTACCAGTGTGCCGACATGCTAGATTTCGAAGATCTGAAGCAGGTTGCATGCAGGCGATTCATAGATCACGCAAAACTTGTCTACGGGATGGATGGATTTGAAGAGCCCTTGCGCGTCGTTTACGAGTCTACAAGGGAAGATGACAAGGATCTCAGATTCCAAGTCACTTGCTTGTGCATTGAGAATTGTGGTCTCCTTGCTCGGCGAGAAAAGACGGCAGCTGTCGTTGAAGAGTACAATCCCCACCTTTGGGCTGTCTCGGTGGAGGTCAATAAGCGGAAGATGAGCATCACGAGAGCCGTTGACGACCTCAATGACGAGCTGCACTTGAGAGGTTGTAAGCATCTGGTTCCAATGAAGCGGATGAGCCTGAAGGTATCCACGCAGGACGACGTACACTCCATCACAATGAAGTGTCAGCTATGCTCGGGCTGACTCATGCCATACTGATGTGTTTAAATATTGGATAGACTGGTGTTTCAACGTTGCCATGACATCTGGTGCAGGGAGAAGACAGTGCTCGTCATGAGATGAGAAATGCGACACTGATACTCATGGCTCCACCGTCTTCAGCAGCGAAAGCGAAGACACGCTCTGTTTTGTTGAGACTCGGATAAGTCGTCAGTGGGAGTTTTTCTCCCGTCTTGACTTCGAGATTCATATTTCGAGATGAAGATCTGAGATGGAAGAAGTGAGATCAATCAAGAATGATCGTGACCTTGAACTTGCTCTTTGTTTTGACGGCGTGCTTTCGATCACACTGGTGCCATCATTCGTCGACCTTGGTTGAGGCAGATGCCTGTCTCTGACGGCCTCGTTATTTCCACGGATTGACATACCCAAATGTTGGAAGGATGGAAGGGGAAGGCGCAGTGTGTATGATCAATCAAACGGCTCATAATGCATTTCTTCTTCTTCATCCGTACTAAAGCAAACTTGCCACCTGGGTATCAAAAGGGTTCCAGTTCCTATCCCATGTCTACTATCACCTTTGCCGTCATTTTTGGAAACCACCAACATAAAAACACACCACACAAACACACATCCTTTGCCAAAGCGCGCCTCATTTGTTTGCTTGCAAAACGCTCAGAGGTTCATTCGATATCGACGAAAACACATTGCTCGACCGCGGCGTCGACGGCGCCTTGGATCGTCCACCTCCCGTCCCAGAAGCGTCGCCAGATCGTGTCTTCGCCTGCGACGTTGCCGACGGCGTCCTCGAGACCCCTGACTCCGACCATGCCCTCCCTTTCTCTCCACTGCCGCTCCGCCTCCTCGCCGGCGCTCTTGACCTGCGCGTCCTCGTCCTCGGCCCGGTACAGATCGCACTTGTCACACTCGCTGCACTTCATGCCCGGCGTCGGGCGGAAGTGCTCGCAGAAATGCCGGTAACCCTCACCCCCTTCCGTGTTGTCCCCCGACTTGCCAATGTTCTTCCGACACAGGTAGCACATGCTGTACCCGCACACGCACGTCAACTTGTTGCAGCCGGAGGACTTGACGAAGCTCGTCCCGCAACGGGGGCAGGTCCGCTTCACCGCCGCGGTGCGGGCGGCCTCGACCGTCTTCCGCAGAGAGAGGATCAACGGTTCGTGGCACACGTGCGGATCGTGCCAGGGTTTGAGACATTTCAAACACGATTTCCGTGAACAGGACGGTCGTCGACATATGAACCGTGAAGTACGTCTCCTAGACGCAGCGTGCCCCAAGGCGGTGTAGAACAGCGCGAGGAAGTAGCACGGAAATATGATTAAGAAGGGGAGGACAATGCAGATGATGGAGGGCATGAGCTCGAGGAGCATGATAAAGACAAAGATGTTGATCCCCGTGGGTCTGCGGAAGTGCCACGTCAGGTCCGCAGCAGAGTTGCGGTCGTAGACCTGCATGGCTTCGGCGTAGGAACAGAAAGGACAGCGGATGATGGGCAAAGCTGACTTTTGTAAATTGTCTTCGATCAGACGATCTTCAAACCTGGTCCAGGTTTCCTTGCCGGATTTCCCGCGTAGAATGGCTCGCTCAACAAGTTCCTGAGGGATATAACCGTCACATGAGTCAGTTGCTAGACACTTTAGCGTGCCTCGCTCCACTTCGACCGATTTAGCCCAGCCTTGTCCAAAGATCGCTTCATGGAGAGTTCTTCGAACACAATCGAGACAGATAGTATGGCCGGAATCTGTGCACGCCGAGACGTCCTCGAAAGGAACATCGTTGTAGCAGACCTGGCATTCATAGATGGCACCAGCCTCCTCGGCCTCTTTCAGATTAAGCGCCTGCGCAAGTTCGAGGTCGATAGTCTGCTGATGGGTCTTCTCAGCCGCCTGCACGCCGCCTGTGAATAGAGCGGAAAGTTCTTGGTCAAGCTCTTGACTCCCAGTGCTTAACAACTTCCCCGGGCTCGTGGCCGTTTTTGCTCTTTCTAGCAAAATCGACGGGGCCTCGTTCTGAGGCTTTTTCTTCTTGAACAGACTTGCAAATGTATTCCGCCATGACCTGCTCGCGATCGCTTGTAGTGTCGGCCGTGCCAGTGTATAAGAGCAGTTGACCTCGGCCAGAACCGCGTCGATGGCACTTCTGCTCAAGCCGCTGAACTCGCGCCCTAGCGTCAATTTGACGGCGTCCACATAGTCCCTCGACCTGAACTGTTCTTCAACGGAGATGGAATCCTCAGACGTTCTCGGTGGGATATTCATTCGTCCTCTGGTCCACTCCACTTTATACTTGATCATTTGCTCCGTGCATATCGGCAACCTACTGTCCCCGTCAAAACGGACGAGCAATTCGCGGAGCACTTCGAGCTTGACATCGGGGAAGAAGTCGGCGAGGACGGCCAAGTCACGATTTAGGGCGATGGAAGGGTCGTCTTCATCCTGACGAGGGAGTGACTCTCGAGAGCCGGCACGGAAGGGGTTCTTGCGCAGTACTTCGGCGAGCGTAGACCCGGGGGACGTCGATGTTGTCTGAGAGGTATTGGCGGAGGTTCGACGTGGTGAAGAAGGAGAAGAGTTAGCGGATCGTTTCGGTGACCTGGAAGAAAGCCACATCACACCGATTGCAGTACGCAGACATGGTCATTGGGAATTCTCTGGCATGTAGAAAGGATATGTTACGAGTTCGCCAGGCAGTGATTATCAATAATGATCGAGCCTTTGGAAATGCAATACGGAGTACGAAGTACGGCGTATGAGACAGTGTGCCACAGTTTATTATTATTATCCAGTGACAAGGCCGTGGCAAGCCGGGCTTTGCCTTGGTGGGCTTATAGTGACTCCCCCATTTACTACCGCCACTTCCTGCCTATTCTCGCCGCCATGTTCAGATATTTACGCAAGCAAAAAAAATTGTCAACATCAACACCACATTCCGCGAATGTGAAATGATATCAAAAACAAAACGAGACCAAAAAAAGGGCTCAATCGGGATTCGAACCCGAGGCCTGTCACAGTTCACAGTTTTCAAAACCACGAGGGGGTAACCCGAAGCGACAATCATACCACTAGACCATTGAGCCGCGTTGCAATCTGGAGCGGAATTTTACCCGCAAAATTCGGATATTCAATATATATCCCTGCTTATCATTCGCGAAGATCGTCTTGACACTATGAGGAAACATGCACATTTGTTCTGGATCAGTTTTCCTACAACAACTATCTTATGCAGTCTACGTGAAAACCTTTTCCGTCGCCGCCTCTGTCGAGAACTTTCAAGCACACCTCACTGCCCTTTCGTTGGCTTCATAAATGCATTCGCTACCGACGTGAATTTCGTCCGGCCTCCATCGGTCTCTCGCAGTCTTCCGGATTCCGGTAGAGTTCCCCTAAATCAGTGGAGCTCACTTTCAACTCGAATATGCAGACTAGTCAAGCTATGATGCTTGGTCCTCCGAGATCTAGGATATATTTATTCACTTTAACTTGACTCGGAACGACTATCAGACCAATCTCATTCATTCAGACCTGCAGTTAGAGGTCCTTTTTTTGCGATATTATTTACAATGTCTGGCTACGATTCAAGTCACTTATCACAGGCCGATTCTGGAAAGACATCCCGAACGCGGAACTTCATCGAGACCTTGTTCTCCAGAAAGGACGACTGGGATAATGCTTTCCCGGAGGCGCTGGCGGATGATCTAGTCTGGATCACGAACGGCTCGTCTCCGATATCTGGACGTTATGAAAGCAAGCAGGCCTATGCCGACAGGGTTCTCAAGCCGATGCATGAAATTGTGGAAAGGATCCCGGCCCCGACTGTCAAACATATCTTTGCCGATGGGCTCTGGGCCGTGGTTCATTGGAGATGTGAAGGTGTCAAGGCTAAGAATGGTGCGAGCTACGAACAGGACTATTGTTGGCTCATCAGGACCAACGGTCATCCGGAAAACAAGATAGTCGAGATCATATCCTGGTTCGATCCAGCCAAGCTGTCCCTGGCAATGGAAGGGACGAGTGTGACGTTTCCGGGTGCACAGTCCAAGATTGAGTAAGATCTGGGGGCTGGATTGTGGTCTGCATAGACTCTTTTGGAATTGGGGGACAGAGTACGAAGTATGTAGGGATTCAGAACGTGTTAGGACTGTTACATGGAGCCATTGGATAAGCGTTTGTACGCGGCTTTAATATTTGCTGCTATACCTCACTCCGGACTGGTATAAATCAATATTCACATATCCTTCTTCCCCGAATAGTACTCCGGATAGGTTGTCTCATAACCCAGTATCCATCGTCCCCAGAAAGCCATCACTATCAAAAAGATGCGACTCGCGATGACTCCGGGCCATGTTTCCGAAATCGGCAGAGCCAGCGGTGTATCGGCACTGTGAAGGAACACCAGTAACTGGAAAAGGCTCGGGGCCACTTTGGCGGATCTGCAATCGTCGAGGTATCCAAAGAAATTCCGGAAGAAGCGCTGTTCAGTCTCGTACTCCTCCGGGGCGAGATTTACGTCCAGCACGAGCGGCTCGGTGGAGCTTGCGTTCTCGATCCGGTGGTAGATTTGTTTTTGGATCGCTGCCGTCTTTTCGAATCCTTCTTGGTCCGACAAGACCTTCCAAGGCTTTGGGTTGAGCCCCTTGTATACGTTGACGCTGCCGGAAACGATCCGGAAATGTTCCGATTGATTGATATGGTAATGGTGAGGTGGAACCATGATGGATTGAGGTTCGTCGCCCTTTACGTGCGGAGGGTGGACATTTCTCAGCGTGTATTCGGCACCGGCGTCCCTGAACTCCAGAGATGACCTCCCATCTTCGTAGACGATGGGATTTTGATCTGCCCGGTTGGTCCGTGGGGGCAACGATGGCCTAAGAAAGGCAAACATATTGCTGAGCAAAGCTATTCGGGTGATAGTAAGCGAATGAATCAGAGATAACACTCAGGTGAGGAAGGCTATGGGAGAGAAGGAGTACCAGTTTAGAAGTTGCCACGGGGATCCGGTGCGCTTTATCAAAGTCCGGATGGAAGGGGTGCGGCCCGCCACTACGGTGGCTGGATTCCTCCCAGAGTCTTGATCCGTGTAGATATTTATTGAGGGTAACTGATTGAGACCGTCAAATACGACTGTCATGCCGGTTCGAGTGATTCGGCTCTTGATACTACCTTCTGTTTACATTTGCTGGAATACTGGCCAGTAGAGCCTTTATATTGACAGATATAACTATCATCAAATTGTACAACTTTACGTTATGAAGAACCCTTAAGTACGCGCCACATTCGTAAAAGGGGTATTTGCAAAGATGACCACAGAAGTGACTGTGGCAGTGTACCGGTATTCCGGCACGGACGTCAGGATATAAACTACTCCTTGAGAAGATTACGTCTTGCAAGTATCAGGTATATGGATGATGAAAGTCACTGATCTCCCAGATCAAAAAAGTCCAACGAAGGTTGTGCACAAAAGAGCTCCCAATCTAGATCGTCGTCAAAGTGATATTTGCCTTGGGAATAGTCCTTTACAGCAAACATCGGCTGCTCCTGAGTGATGTGGCCACCAAAGGAGTGATTCTGTAAAGGAGTAGCACGCCCTCCAGAATTGTGTGCAACGTTTTTCGGACGGCTCTGCTGTCGGGGGCCTTCACGTTCTGGGACGTGACCAGGAGCAGGCCCCATGAGTCCGAATTGTGATGGATGGATGGTCTGGGACGCCTCGGTATTTTTGAAGAAAGTAGCACAAAGTTCAATCAGGGAACTGCATAGTTTGTGCACCGCCTTCATTGAGGCGTGGTTCTGCGCCAATGAATCAAGGCCATTGGCTGTGTCCTGAAGGAGTTTAAGATCGAGAGGATCTGACGTCGCAACAATATTACTGAAAACACTGTAAATCGGCCGCAGGGGATACAGCGGAACAAGCCTAGAAACGATTAGACGAAGCTTATCGTCCGGAACGTGTAGAGAGACGAAGCCTACCATGCCAGGGAGCTCATCGACATTTCCCGAAACGAGCAAGGCTGGGAAACGAGACGGAGTAGAAGGTTTAGAGATGACAAGGAGTTTCGTGCGTGCCGCAGACATTCGTAATCGGAACGTGCATCATCGGCTCTTGATGTCAAGCGAGTCAAACTCGTCATCATAGATGAATAGATGAAATCAATATTCATCCATTCAAAGTTTAAGAATTCGTCTTGGCTAGAAGGTGGTTTGGCTCGAAACTGGGCAATGATTAGGCCAAAAGTTCAAGCGTGATAGAGAGGTTAAACAAACCTCTTGAGTCTGGGCGAATATTTGATTCATTCGTCCCTGGCAAGCCCTCAATTTCTCATGGCCGGGCAGATTCTCCATACTCGTTCCAGCTTGTCGGCTGGAAGCTAGCATGGCAGTGGTCTCGCGGACCATGACCTCTTGAACCTTCGAAAGCTCTAGGAGAATGAACAGCATGGCATGAGAAGGCGTAGTGACATCTAGCCTGGAAGTATCCAATCGCATATCTACCAAGCACGATGGTTGATACATGTTGGCAGATAAGGACTTGTCAAAAATATAACATTTCAAAAACACCAGCCGGGTGTTCATGGCTTCCTCGGGCGATGCAATAGTATTGAGCTCACTCAGTGTCCTACCTCCAAGGCTGGAACAAATACGACAAGCGTTGGTGTTGAGTCGCCAGCAGCGGCGCATGTTGCCAATGTCTTGTGAAAGCATTGCCTTCAAACAGAAAGATGAGCGAATTATTTAACGTTAAAATTCAGCGGGGGCCACTTACACCTGACAAAAGTGCCTGTAACATGGGAATATCTGGAGACGAAGTGAGGTCCATTGCGTCCAGAGCTGCCATGGCATTTGCGCAATATCTGCGTTTCGAGACTTGAAGATTCTCCATCATGGCAGCACTTTGCCCTTCCGATCCAATGGCCACTAAATACGAATATGAAATGTAGTTGACGCAGACAACGTAGTGAAGCCTCATTTGTCCGTGGACTTCATGATTAATCAGAGCGAAGGCCATATCTTCAAATGCTGAGTTTGATACATTGGTGTTGATGTCGAGATAATATGTCATGGAGACACTATGGCGCTTTCCTGGGAGCACAGTGTCAGTCAAAATCTCCCGGTATTGAAGTTAAACGCCTACTATCCATAATGGTATGCACAAACTCAGCGGAGGGGTATGTGGCTGGATCGTAAAAATTGCTCCTCGGAGTTAGATGTAGAGATTCGGCTTTTGGTTGCATGATGGCGACCTTTTTGGCAACTTGGATAGCAGCTTCAAGAGCTCGACGCCTGTCGGCATCGCCGTGACCTGGTTGATGCCGCTGTTGTGACGGTGTAAGGTATCTTTGCAAATCGATAGTTCCCAATTCCTCATCTCGAGGGTCAGGGCCGTCTCTGGATTGGTCAGGTGAGTTGCCAACCTCAGCATCTGTGTCTTCTACCGACGGAGAGCGTGGCGCCTGGCTTTCTTCGCGAGCCTCATGCCCCTGGCTTGCACGTGAAGTTACTTCCTCCGAAGCATGAGTTCGCCTTCTCTTTGCTGGATGTGTCGTGGTAGAAGAGCCTCCATCATGTATTGATGTCCATCCGGGATCATTCATCTGAGAATCACCTGATTGAGGTCTGGACGTTCTTCGTGGAAGTGAATCTACAAGTCTACTGATGCCTTCGAGGACCATATTGAGTCGGTCATCCTCATTCTTGTTCTGCTTGGCGCTTGATTGCTTGGGTCGCTGCCGAAGACAATCGGCGCGTGCCACGAGGCAGTTGGCGCATGGACTTTGTCGGTTACATCTGATCTGATAGTCGTCAGCCTCATTTGAACGACAAGTCCTGTTAGGTCTGGGCTGCGATGCCTATTGACCTTTTTGTAGTGACAAAGATCACACTTTGATGCAAGAGTCAGCTCTGGACGACATTGATGTACTGCTTTTGAGACTCACCGCCGAGGGCAGCCGTTGATCTTTGTGAGGATTCATTGTGGCCTGATGAGAGTAATGTCAGCCCGGCGATCCGGGCCAGAAGGATAACACCAAGTCAAGGCAGCGCACTCTTGCCCACAGTATTTACCTCGTACGTTGACTTCCTGGTAGAGGTTGCGATTGTTCCGGAATTTCGGGTTCCGGATTTCCAGAATGTCCCGCTTAACAGCCCCAGATAGCGATTAGTCAATGGACGAGGCATACATAGTGCGCCCCACAAGTGACCCACTAAAGGAGGGGTTTCATTCAGACACACGGACTCTTCTTTCTCCCGGATCTTCACTGCCAAACTCTCTCCATGCCCCAGATATCAGGCCTTGGAGGCAATCAATAGAACTACGTTGACTTGTAGCCAAAACGGAGTCATATCACGAGAATGACTGTCGTTGCAATTGCTGGAGGTACAGGCGACCTCGGCCGTACCATAGTCGAAGCTATCGCTAAGACTGGCAAGCACACAGTCTATGTCTTGAGTAGAAATGTTCGGTACATTGCCTGAAAAGACATGATCGGCTTACTGATGTGAAAGTCTAGGCCGATGCCACACATCCAATAGCAGCCGTCGCAAAGCTTGTTGCCCTGGACTATGGCAGTCCTTCCCAAATCAGCGATGTCTTGCAGCAACTTCATGTTGAGACGGTCATCTCAACTTTGAATCTGAACTGGCCAGGGTCTCCTCAGGCACAGCTCAATCTCATCCAGGGCGCGGCACAGTCAGGAGTTGTAAAGAGATTTATCCCAAGCGAGTTCAATATTGATTACAATGTGTCCGAAGAGTAAGTACTCCGCTTTCGAGACACGAGACGCCAGAACCTCCAACGGATTCTACTTGCAATATGGATTGACATTGTATACAGTCGAATGCCTTATCCTCCACGTATTGATCAACTCAAAGCTATACAAGAACTCGAACAGTATCCTCAGTTGACATACACTCTCATAAGAAATGGAAATTTCATGGATTACCTCGGGCTTCCGTTCGCCGATACGTTTTTGAAACCCCTCTATATGGTCGTGGATCTTCCAGCTGCAGAAGCTGCAATCCCGGGCGATGGAACAGCAATGGTGACCTTCACCCACACTACAGATGTAGGCAAATTCGTGGCGGCACTTCTTGATGTTCCTGCTTCTCGATGGCCACTTGAATCAACTGTTATTGGGGAAAAGATTGTACTGAATGACTTGATTTCTTTGGCAGAGAAGGTCACAGGTACGTATCTCGCTCCTGAAATTGTCTATGTTGTCCGCTAATATCATCATTGCAGGCCAGCAGTTCAAAAAGACATTCGACTCCCTTGAGCGCTTACGGAAAATGGAAACCACGGAGTTGCCGTCAAACAGGCCATCCTATCCATTCTTTCCAGGAGGAAAGGCTGAGCTTGACATGGTTGTCAGTACTATGATGGTTGGTATGGCTACAGGTGTGTTCGATATCTCAGGAACAAACCTACAGACACTCGCCCCAGACATCGAGACCATGAAAATCGAGCCGTTCTTGAAAACGTGCTGGGCAAAGGCACAAAAGCAAGAAACTGGGTGACAAGGTCAGGGCCTAGTTGAGATGGCTCTTTTCTGCCTGTCGCGTAATTTGGATTCGAACAGTTCCTAGAGACGTATATACAAGAGCGTAGTCACTAATATCCATTGCCTCTGACTGTTCACTGCTCAGTGCGAGACTATGTTATTGGGTCAGAGTTTCAAATACTGTCTTCACCGCTATGGCGCAGTCAAGCGCTCAATGGGAGCCACGTGGCCATCATGTAGGATGGATCTTAGTTCCTCACTACTGTCCCTGCAGTAGGACGCTCGTTGCTCTAGTGGGTCGTGTCAGTGATTTGTACTCCACACAAGCGACTTGCGGCCTCCGGTACTTGTTCGCCTCTATCACGGAAATCCGAGGCCGATTTCCTTCCGGGGCCCAAAACTAGACTCTTCGATATAGTCGGTCATTACACATCCTACAAGCAGGGCACTTGAATGCCATTGACCAAGCATCCCCGAATCATTCGAAGATAACTCGGAACCCGAGAAGCCGAAGAAGGAAGCTGAGGATCTCGGCCAAGAGATCCAGACTACGGGATGCTTGGTCAATGGCCAGACAATATTGCTACGTGTTTAGTAGGTTCCGGAATTTGGTAAGTCTCGGAAATGTAAGTGCAGAGTCGATACACTATCTCATGATCGAGAGAGTAAGCTTCGGGCAACTCTAATAGACCATCAAAACACACCGGTTGAGAACATCAAGATTGAAGATCATCTCTGAAGACGGTCACTCATAAAATAGTTATCGACAATTGACGTCTTTGCTTGCATCCAAGCCAGAAAGAACAACATTACGCTTTCAAGCCATTCATAGCTCTCATTCACCCCACGAAGATGGGGAAAGAGGAGCCAGAGATCAAGCGCATCTTCTGTGCCATTGTCGGTGGTGGCCTGTGTGGTGTGTCCTTGGGATTTCAGATTATTAGCACAAACACTTTACACCACGACGAATTCCGAATTTTTGACAGGAATGAAGACTTTGGAGGAGTATGGGAAAGCAACAAGTACCCTGGAGCTGCATGTGATATCGCTAGTCATGCCTATCAGATGAGACTTTACTTGAACCCTGGTATGTCTTTGTTTCATGTCGCCCTCAATGTTGCATGAAATCTTGGGCTAACAACATTCAAGACTGGTCTAAAAAGCTAGCGGATGGGAGAGAAATTCAGCAATACTACTCCCGAATGGCTGACTCTCGGGGAATACGCCAAAGTACAATCTTTGGTGTGGAAGTTCTTCATGCAAGATGGAATGAGGATATACTGCTTTGGGAGGTTCTCGTGAAAGATAGAAAAAGTCAAAAGCAGACGAAATGGCTGGCAAACGTCCTTTTCGATAACGGAGGAGGTTTTCATCGACCAAAGTATGCCAACATTCCTGGGAGAGACGTGTTCAAAGGAGAACAAGTCCACACCGCAATATGGCGGGATGATATCGACCTCAAAGACAAACGAGTCGCTCTAATTGGCACTGGACCTAGTGCTGCACAGGTCGCGCCTCGAATCCAACCTCTGGTCAAACAGCTCTACATCTTTCAACGTAGTTCAGGCCATGTCTTGCCCAGAGACAACTACTCTGTCCCGGCGTGGATGAAGTTACTCTTCAAATGGTGCTACCCGGTCCTTTGGCTTTACCATGTGTGGTGGTTCTTATTTGTGAGTTGATCTCTTTTTGTTGAATGTCTCCTCTGATACTGAGCTGACTTTTGCTTTAGTTCGATCAGACAAAGCCGATGTGGCTAGTGGGAACTCCGGAAAACCAAGCAATGCACGACGCAAGTATGGCATTCCTAGACAGAGAAGTTAAAGATCCGGCGGTACGAGAAAAGTTACGGCCCAGAGCAGCATTCGGCTGTAAACGGGTGCTGTTCCTGGATGACTGGTACTCATTGTTCAACAACCCAAATGTCGAATTGATCACGGATAAGCCGGTCAGACTCACCGAGACCGGGGTAGTATCGAAGCCTACTGACGACATGACCCTGGAAGAACGAGCAGAACTGCCTACAGGTAGCTACTTGAAACGAACTGACACCGTTGATCACGGCGAGACCACCAGAGACGTTGACGTTGTCATCTGGGGAACAGGCTTCGACATGAATGACTCGGGCGGCCATTTCCAAGTCTACGGGGTTGACGGAATCAATCTGTCACAGACGTGGAAAGACTATCCTCAGACGTATTGGGGTATCGCGGTGACCAAATTTCCCAACTTCTTCCTGGTCCTGGGCCCCAACTCGGTCAACTACTGGTCGAACGTGACAACCGTTGCGGAAATTCAGCTCAATTGGCACTGCAAAATGCTCAGACACATCAAGCAACAGTGTCAAACCAAGCTCTATGCTCTCTATCCTCGAACGGATGTCCAAGAGGAATACAACCACTGGCTCAAGAACAACCGAGGCACCCCTACCTTTCTGGCACCAGGATGTGCGACGTACCATGTCACTCCATCAGGAGCCACGCCGATGTACAATCATTACAGGATATTCCATACTTGGTGGAAGCTTCTATGGCCAACATACAGCGAGTTTACTCAAATAAGCAGGCCACGCACTCAAATAGCGTAAAGTGAGCAGGTTGATACTGTCGAATGCCTAAAGCAGCTAGACAAAATCTCATATATAGTTTCGGGTTTCTGCTCAACCTCTGAAATACATAAACTATTTCGCTTCAACTTTTGACAAAATGCATTCATTGAGAAAACTTAATTGTTTTGTGGCAAGATCGATGGAGTACTTAGTATTTCTTTTGACTAATTGGTATATTTTGACCATGAAGCTACTATGATGCAGTGATCTCAAGCACAGCTTTGCCAACATTCTCCCCTTTGAAGAGAGTCACAAGTCCTTCCGCAGCGTTGTCGATACCTTTCGTCACGCTCAAGACAGGCTTGATGGATCCTTCCTTGATCCATTCCTGCACATTCTTCTGGTGTTCCTCGCCGTATTTATTCCAAAAGCCGTCGTCGAACACCGTAAACCCACGCCACGTGATCCGCTTGGACACGATGACCCCCGTGTTTCTTATGCCATACTGTTTGTCATATGGGATGCTGTACTGAGAAGCGGCGCCACAAGCGACTATGAAATTCTGTAAGAACAACTGTGTATACTCTGACACGAATGATTTGGCTTACCTATCCTTCCCCAGTCCTTCAAGACCGTAATAGCCGCTTCTAGCTGTTCACCGCCGACATTGTCGTAATAAACTGTTTTCTTTTGTTAGACACTAGAAGAGAGAATGGTGTGTGGATAAGGGAGTTTAGTTAGTCGTACTGTCAATGCCTCGAGGAGCGAGACTCTTCAGTTCCTCAACGATGTTGGCCTTTTTGTAGTTGAAACCACCTTGAAACCCGAACTTGTTCTTGATGATTTCTAGTTTCTCATCACTCCCAACGCTTCCTATCACCGTGAGACCTTCCCGGAGCGCCAATTGTCCGACCATCTGACCAACGGCACCGCTGGCCGCTGAGATGAAAATGGTCTCGCCTTTCTTGGGCTTTGCGACTTCATACAGGGCAGAATACGCCGTGATACCAGGTAACCCCAAAGGGCCCAAGAACAGCTTCAAGTCCAAGTTGTACGGATTGCGAATCAACTGGAACTGCTTTGATGCTTCCTCGTCGACCGTTGCGTACTCGGCAATCGGTGTCATGCCGACCAACTTGTCACCTGTCTTGAAGGTGGATGACTTGTCGGCTCTGAGAACCTCCACCACAGCGCCATTGACTATAGGTGCACCGATATCAAAGGGCTCGAATTCCCTGGCTTCATGCGGTTCGACCAATTTGTGTCTGAGGTACGGGTCGAAGGATGAGTACAAGATGCGAGCTACAAAGCCGCCGGAAGGTATATGATCGATGTCCAATGGCCGATCGACCAGTTTGATGTTCTCGCCCGGCACTGGAAGGCCTACAGGGGATTTTGCGAAAACGAGTGTCTTATTGGAGACCATGCTTGGGACTGAGAGCCAGTATTTGTGATCGTGGGCTGCTTCGGAGAACCGATCTAAGACGAAGATTCTAGACCAAAGCAGATGGCATAGTAGACAGAAGAGCCAGAACACTTATCGCTTCATCCAACCCCGAGGGATCTTTGCTGAGAAAGCAAGGGAAACTTTCTTTTTTGGGTTAGCGTGTTCCATTTGTGGATCCTCATCCTGAGTGTTCGGACTATTCACGCAGAGCGTTTCCGTCGAGGCCGGTAGATTACTTTTGCTAGCCCTTGATTTCCGGAGAGCCTCCATGTGCAATCCATAGTATCCGGACGGCCTTTTCGACTCTGATTAGAGCGCGAGCGGTGGAGCGAAGCGCTACAATGCCCCCCGGCGGTGGACAGTGCATCCTGGATGCTCTCGGAATGCTTTCCAGTATGTTTTTATATTCCTGAATGCTCGTCCGCGTCAATCAGACTAGCTAACAAGGATGAAACCGCACTTCCGAAGACCACACGATGCAGCAATCTCTCAACCCATCAGAAAACGGGAAACAACATTCAACAAAACATCCATTCCCCCAGCTTCCTCGGCTAGTCTGAATAGGGCTGTTCTTCTAGCAGTGATTCCTTCGTCTTCCATATGGCCGAAGCATGAGCTGAAACCTTGACTACTAGGTCCGTAGACTGTCACTCGTTGATCAGGCATGAACGATGGTACCACTTCCTGGCCTGCTGTAAAACTGATGATGTGATCCGCAAACACTCTAGCGACAGCCTTTTGAGGTTCTGCAAGGGTGTGGTTGAAGTTTTGCCAAAGGTATGCAATGTCCAGCATGTGATTTGCGCGATCTTGGTAAAGGCCTGGCCACGGGTTACCTTCGTTGAAGTGACAAAGGTAGGACTTTTCCCATGTTTGAGACAATGCCACAGAAGGCGCATAAAACATTATGTCCGTCACGAATGATATTATCCGAAGAAGTGCGTCTTGGTCGGAGGTGCTATCTTTGATGTGGTAGAATTCGAGGATTTTCTCGCAAGTGGCTGTGTGTTGTTGCAATTGTGGATGTGACCTGACAGATTCTTGGAACGCTGCACGAATTCCTTTCTCTCGTGCGTTGAGGTTGACCAGTGCCATAATAGTACCCTAGAAGAACAGTGTTAGGCTACTACAAAGTTGACTTTGCTTGGTGTGGGTATGGTATTGGCCTCACATCAAATTCTGAATCAACAGACATCAACCGGGAGCACCATTTCCTGCCGGGAAGGGGAAACTGATCTGTATCTCTTATATTGGAGAAACTCGCAACCTCGGGAATTATATCATGATCAACCACAGGGCCCAGAAGCATTGTTGGAGTGACTTTTTGCAAGAAGTCAGACGGATTCATCTCCAGGAGCGACTTGATCTGTTCAGATGCCGGCAATTGATCCAGTCCTAGATCTTTGATGACGCCTTTATACACCTTTTCAGCCACTTGAAAATCACCAGCCCTCATCATGAGAAAAGTCCCGCCGAGCAGGATGCATTGCTCAAACAGAGGTTCACGTGAATGCAAGTGATAAGTTAACGAGGCTAGCACTGTGTCAGTAACTTCAGAGGTTCGAGCCAATGACCACTTACCTGCCCCAGCGCTTTGTCCGATGGCGGTGATTGCATCGGGATTGCCACCAAATCCTGCAATGTACTTTTTAATCCATTTGAAAGCTGTCTGTTGGTCCCGTAGACCATTATTAGTCCCAAAATGGCCCCGTTTCCGGAGTTCTTCAGATGTTAGAAATCCAGGGATACCCAAGCGATAACTATATCAGTCAGAAACTCTGATAACGTGGCTGAGATCACCACCTACTTGATGTTGATGGCTATTAGTGGTTGTCCACTCTCGACAGCCATTTCCACAATGTGAGACTGGTCGTAGTGTGGATAAGAACTGGACCCAAAAGTAAAGCCTCCTCCATGAACGTAAACAAGAATGGGTAACTTGGAATCTTTTGGAGGCAGCACTTCACCCTTGAACAGGGGGACAGTGATATTCATGTTCAACCCTTCAAGATCTGAGGGAGGAGGTACCACTGGCTTGTCCAGACTTTGTTGTATGAATGACATCTCCATCTCGCACGACTCTGGTGGATAAATAACCGGAGGACTGTAAGGGTATTCAGCATACCACTGCAGAAATTGTATACCATACATACCCATATCTAGTAGCGTCGATATCTTGCTCTTGTGAAGCCAAGTTGATCTCTGGTACTGCGAATCGATGTTTCAAGACTCCGTATTTGAGTCCCAGAAATTGTACTGCTCCATTTGTTCGGCGTCCCTTCAGAATCCCAAGTTGTGGATGCCGCAAATGAGCCACTGAGTCTGACATCTCGGTGTTGATACACTGTTCTGGATGTGCTGGCTGTGAAACTTGCAGTGCTGACCTGGTAACTTTTAGCAGAAAAGTCGTGAAACCAAAGTGGGTATGGTTTATGAAGTATCGATGTACGACTCCACCAACCCCGGCACCCACGCGGTCCGGTCTACCTTGCAGAGTTCGTACCGGCATACTGCACTGAGATAGGGACCTTGATTCACGTTGCATTACTGCCACGATATCCGACGGCCTGTTCAGATTAGCCATCACAATCGTACATTGATGCAGGCTTGTCGTACCATACCAGACCCAGGTTGCTAATTTGGCTATATAATTCTCTTATTGTGTTGTACCAGAGTAAGTCTGATGCCCACGATCGAAAACCTTGATCATTACAAGATGGCCTCGATAGATGATCCTACAACTTGGTTGGCGTATGGCAAGATAGATCCAGAGCTCGGTGAGGTATGTGGATCGGATGTATCATATACGGAGAAGCACGACTGACAGAAGTCCTCCAGATACTACGGCAAGGAGGTAAGCCCAGGTTCGACAAAGACAACCGTATAGAGGGCATACCTGCTGTTCGAGAAGCCTGGACACCACTGTACAAGCAGTTTGCAGAGGCAGCACTACTCCAAGCCCAGCCAGATGTTTACAGCGAAGAGGTCCTTGTTCGATGCAGGGACGGACACCTCGCTCGTTGCTTGATTTACAAGCCGACGGACCCTCCTCCCAATGGGAGCCCTGTAGTTGTCCTTTTCCATGGCGGAGGATGGTGTTTTGGGTGTCCTGAAATGGATGCAATCAATTGCATCAAAGCTGTTCAAAGGTACGGCGCAGTGGCACTCAGTGTTGACTATCGACTTGCTCCTGAATTTCCTTTCCCTGCAGCAGTGAATGACAGTTGGGATGTTTTGCAATGGGTGAGTGACCAGACCAACGTCCTTGTAATGATTTCCCGAGCCCTTACCCTCAACTCCTTAGGTTGCTAGAAATTCATGTCAACTAGGCGGGAACCCTTCACTCGGCTTCATCATTGGGGGCACTTCTGCCGGAGGCAACATATCAGCAGCATTATCTCACCTTGCGAGAGATACGGGAATGTCACCGGGCATAACAGGTGTCTGGCTCAGTATCCCTGCTCTTCTCAGTCATGATGCTGTACCAGAACAATATCTGCCCCTATATCTCAGCCGTGAGCAAAACAGAGATGCCCCCATACTCCCCAAGTCTGCAATGGATATGTATGAGGAAGCGTACAGACCGGAGCTCTCGTCAGAACTCTGGAATCCATTCAATTGGAGCTCTGGGCATATGAAGCTCCCAACTCATTACTTCCAGATATGCGGCATGGACGTCTTGAGGGACGAGGGTTTGCTCTATGAACGTGTCCTGAAAAAAGAATATGGGGTCATGACAAAGGTGGACATCTATCCCGGTCTGCCTCATGTGTATTGGGCAAATTTTCCAACTCACTCAAGAAGTAAAGACTACGCAGAGGACACAAACAAAGGATTTGGCTGGTTATTGGATATATCAGCTTCTGGGAGGCTTTAATGACACTATATAACAGATGTTGCAGATTTCATTGAAGTAAATAGAGGTTTTCGAAGTTACAGTTTTGTTATCCACAGAAAGATTCATTAAGTACTATACGCCTTCTTCATGAAGCAATCTATACACTTGTTTTACCTGACTTAATCTTATGACAGTCGCGTAATCTGTACTGCATACTTATTTCCGATCCACAATTCATTGAAAGAGGAGGCATTGACCACTGTCTCAGTGTCCATATGCCTCATACACTTCAGCTACATGACGCTTCATGTCGTACCTAGACACAAAGTTAGCCTAGGGTATCTGGCATTGTCAGGGAATCTTACAGGTTCATCTCATCGATTGTGAGCTTTTGCTTCTCATCCGCAACGCTGTACTTGAGGTTGTTGGTATTACTTGAGAAGCCAATGCGTTCGGTGATGTTTAGCCGTGCTCTTGCACTCGCGGCCTGCACCTTAGAAGCACGAGGCTTTCGAACTGCTTCAAAGATCTCGAAGGCTTCACGCACATCCCCACGGAAGTGCCTTTTTGAGAATACGAGGCCGAGTGCCGCCGCGTCCTCGATGGCCTGGCATGCACCCTGGCTTTGATCGGGCATCATGGGGTGGGCCGCATCTCCCATCAATGAGCACAAGCCCTTGGCCCAAAATGGATACTCTTGATGAATCCAAAGTCTCCAAGGTCGAATGTCAGTCGAGATCTTGAGGTGTTCGATCACATTTGGATCGAGCTCTGGGTACGGATCAAGAAGCTCTTTCAAGGAGGCCACGTAGTTCCATCCTTCGTCCCCAATCTTGCCTTTCCCTCGGGGGAAGAAACAATAAAAGGAGAGGATTTGGCTGTCATGACATGGCGAAAATACAATTTTGTCGTCTCCATATCCTCCCCAATATTCGATCGCATCATTAGTGGCATAGTCGGGCAATCCAAGTGCCTGAGCTTGCTTTCTGTCCACATTTGCGTGAAGGCAAGTAGACGTGCAAGGCTTTTTGTCCGGAACAATCCCCATACGAGCCCGTGCGGTAGACTAGATGCATGGCTGTTGTAAGTTCATCTTCTCGAGCAAGTGACCACGTTCTCACAGATCATACATACCCCGACCCCGTCTGCAGCGACGATGGCATCATGTTGCACCTCTGTGCCATTCTCAAACTTGACAAGACCGTTTTCAAAGTCAATATCTGTCAACTTGTGGTCGAGTTTCAACTCTGGACGGATGCCCTCGCCCTCGCCCAGAGCAGTCTCCATGAGCATCTTATGCATGTCTTGTCGGTGGAACATGTAATAAACCTTGCAAGACCAGTAAGCAGTCATTGAAAGATGTCTGAAATCACAGCCGAGACACTTACATAACCCCACCGTTCCTTATAATCTCCCAAGTCGTAAACATTCTGCTCATTGCCGGTGTCCCAGTCCCGAGATATCAAATTCCGCAGAATGACAGGTTTGCCAATTGAAACATCAACATTCCAATCTTCCAGCCATCTCGTACCATTGGCTGCGCAGCTAATTGAGGCTCCGACCTCTCCAGCAAAATGTGCGCGCTCATACACCGTAACTTTGTGACCAGCTCGACGCAGAGATATGGCAGCAGCAAACCCACCAAGACCACCGCCGATCACTCCAATATCGAGTTGCTTCCACTTGGCTTCACCAGCAGAACCCATCTTCTTTCAATGGTTATCACCTTTTTGACGTTGAAGAAATACACCGGGTTGAGTTGACACCGTTCTTCGTCTCCAAACAGCAAAGTATTCCACTAGTTCGGCCGAGAAAGGATAACAGCGAATGGCTCTATGATGGTTTGAATTGCCCGTTTTTGATCTCCAATCGGCGTCTTATTGAGGTTCCGGATAGAATGCAAGAAGCTGTTATCGATGTACGATAATCTCGAACAAACACTTCGTACCAACAAGCCAGACACATTCAGTTAGTGTGGCGTACGCCAAACCGGAATCCGGTATACCGGACCCTCAACAAAGACGGAACTTCAACATCCAAGGGCCATCATAGCATAGGAAAGGCATACGGAATGCCATTTCCGATAGTTTGTACTTGTACCAAAGCATAGGCCAAAGTCAGTGGCGAAGATGGACAGACTGGCACAGAGGACTTTGCCATTCCTTCACGGCAAAAGTGCTCAAACTCATTCAACTCCAGGACAGCTTGAGAGTTTAATCTAGTACCAGTCAACACAGCACAATGTCGATACCTCGTGTCAATCGGCCTCTTACCGATGGCGGTAGCTACATCTTGCCTCAACTGGAGGGCGAGATCTTCACCATCCCAGGGTTCAAGAGCGTGTTCCGGATGTTCGCCTCCCAAGCACAAACTGATAATGGCATGGCCGTTTTCGCTTGGGACGGTGTGAAGAATGACACTGCACCCTTCCACCATCACAGATATTCACACGATATTTTTCTGGTGGCTGAGGGTACCATGTTATGCTGGAATGGTGATGAATGCCGCCTACTTGGACCCGGAGATTTTGCCTCGGTTCCTCCTGTAGGTGACTTCTCATGTATTCGTTGGGGACTGTAAGCTCACAGCTCGTGAAATGTTAGGGAACCATCCATAAACCATATCCACAAGGACCTGTAACCAAGGCAATTGATCTCATTACGCCAGGAGACTGGGTCAACTTCTTTCGTCATGTTTCCGACAAATTCGAAGGCTTGATATTCCCAGAATGGGATGACCGGCAACAAGGCATGTTCCCGAATCTTGTTGGAAATTGGGAAGAGGAGTTCGACGTTTTCGCTCACCCTGACCACGTTGGATGTGAAGTTTCCGACTGGTCAGAGAAGGACGAAATCTTGCCTGATGGAGAGGTTCCCTACTTTTTGAAAGCGAACAAAGGTCCTCGATGGCTGCTGGGTGGTGTCATGTCTCGGCCATTCATGACCACAAAGCAGAGTGGTGGCAGGTCAGCCATCAGCATCATTGAGTCTTCCAACGCGTACAGATCCAGCGTGTTCCAAAAGAGGCTTTCGTTCTCCTCTCACCACTGCCTTGTCATGTTCGACGGCGAGCTCAAGGTCACCATCGGGGATGGAACTGCGAGTAGTGTTCATCCTGGGGAAGTGTGCTTTTTACCAGCCAACGTTGCTTTTAAACTGGAGTTCGCATCGAAATATGTTCGCTTCTGGAGCTTTGCAAGTGGAAATGGTATGGAAGCCCTCGTTGGAGAGGCTGGTGAGAGATTTCCCGGGCAGGCACTTCCCGACCAGGAGCAGCTATGGGACGAAGGGAAACTCAAGCAAGCATGTGAAAAACTCAAGATCACTATATCATGATCTGTCTTGTTTTAGGACAGAGTTTGGTCCATACATAATGGAGCGATATGTCAAAGTCCGAATACAAGTGTGTGTACTTTGAGGATTGAGTAGATGCTTTCTTCATCAAATTGTGTAGTCAGCTATAGTCTAGTACAATGGTTACATTCTAATTCTAAGGATTTTCTTCAAGTGAGTATTCATTCATATCTGTGCCTAATCTGGTCTCCTGGTCATCCTGTCATACTATCGTGTGTCCTCCATTCACATTGATGTACTCTCCATTGATCCATTTTGATCGAGGTTCGGCCAGAAAAGCGACAGTCCATGCAATATCATCCTCGTCTGCGAGGCTGCCTTCGCACGGAGTGGCCTCAGAAAAGGCTACCTTGACCTCGTCCAGCTCATGTGCAAAACTCTTTCGGAATGTCTCCGTATTGACAGGGCCCGGTGCTACTCCATTGACAGTGCAGCCATATACTGGAGGTAATTCCTTGGCCCAATTCTTGATCATGGACTCCAACGCTCCCTTGGTTGCAGCGTAGGCAATCAATCCAGGCTGTGGGAGTCTCCCGGCTCCAGATCCTATGCAAATAATTCGGGAGCCTCCCAAGACGCCAGAGTCTGCTGCTGGAGATGAAAGTTTGTATGGTGTAAGATGCGGAAGGGCGGCCTTCGTCAGGAAGAAAGTACCCCTGGCATTGAGATTCATGGCTCTGTCCCATTTCGTTGCATCAATCTCCCAGGTCGGACCGTGAGGGACAATTGCCGCATTGTTGACCAGAATATGTATGTGATCAAAACGCTTAACAGCAGCATCGACCAGAACCTGCGGGCCTTCCATTGTAGAAAGATCCGCACATACTGCAATCCAAGACGTAAGGAGTGTGTTGCCAACAGCTTCGCAATCTGCCCTCAGGTCGGGAAATGGGTAGTTGAGAACAATATTGGCACCCCTGGCTGATAATTCACGAGCTATAGCAGCACCGATCCCGGTAGATGAACCAGAGATTACTGCTGTTTTTCCAAGGAGCGTCTTGGGCTGTTGAAAAGTTGATGTTGGAGTTGCGTCTGCCATTTTTTTCGGTTTGAGAGGTTTGGGTAATTGTGCCGTCGTCGAAGCTCGCACTAGTTGTAGAGCTCCAGCGATGTGCTCTTGTTCATCCAATTTGAGAAATGACAGATACAATACCTACTGGATCGTCTTAGTCATTGCCATCTCGGCATGAGCTCGGCGTCACTTGGCTGGACATTGGTGATGAGTCGAACCTGGTCTGGAATACTTGATTGACGATGCTTTGTGGGGTCGATAAAGGGGATCCGGAATCCGCAGTCCGGAAGCCGACCTTCGCACACCCCCCGGACTCTACATCGTCAGTTCCACACTGTTGGTAAGTCAACCCCATCCTTGCCTTATCTGAAATTCGCGTCTCCGGATGGGTAAGTCCTACGTCGTTTCCGAGCGCGGCCATGATCCGACCAGATCCTAAGGAGGTTGCGAGACAACTGTCGGCTTGCACATTCCTTTCAGGCAAGAATTAAGACTCGATATTGGCCGATCTGACAGCAGAGTGGCTGACCCACCTAGTTCGATAAGCCTAGTCCAACTGCAGAGGCAAGCAGTAGACTGTAACTACGGTGTGGGCCAGATCGATGGACAGAAATCGAAAGATTCCAGTTGACTTCAGGTGTTTGGAAAAGAGAGCATCAACAGAGGGTCAGCTTGATCATATCATTTCGGCTTGATAACATCGTCTACTGTTGATAATGGCACAGTCAAGCTTTCCAATTGATACAATGTTTCTTGGACATTTCTCCAGAGCGTCACAGCTATCGATCTTCGGCGGCACAGCAGTCACGTTTAGTGCTATTGGTATAGCCATACTATGTGCTCTGCTCATCATCATTATCCCCTACCAATTACGTCCAAGATTAAAGGTTCCAATACTCCTTCAGGAAGAAGTGAGAACTGCAAGAGATCGTCGACTGGCATATTGCTATAGGTCAAGGGAATTGATGCAGAAGGGTTACGACCAGGTCAGAGTCTTCAAGGCCATTATATGTATCGAGCCGCTTACAAATTATCAGTATCACGACGAAATATATGGTTTGGATACCAATGATGGTAATAGTGATTCACAGGCGAAGGAAGCGCACACTGACATAATGTCACAGGCATCAAGCTCGTTCTGCCAGTCCGATATCTGGATGAGCTTAAAAGCAACCCGCATCTTAGCTTCCAAGTATCAATTGACAATGTCGGTAGTTTCTTCAAGTGGCCCTGATCTTTGACTAACAATAGACCAAAACCAGGATATGCAAAAGGATTACACATTCTTTGGTGGAGCTCCAGATAATGTGATCAACGCTATCAAGGGCAAGTTCAATCCATCTCTAGGTAAGCCGTGCCAATATTGTAGAAACATGGCCAAAGCAGTAACTGACGTTCAATCAGGTGCTCTTACTCCGGTCATGCATGATATTGTCATTCAAAACAGGGAACAAACAATTGGTGTATTTCAAGGTACGATTCACTATTAGAATTACTGGTGAGATAGTCCATGCTTAAATATCAAGCAGATTGGACTCCGGTCAAAATTCACGATCGGATTCTGAAACTTGTTGGCTACACCAATGCCCGAGTCTTTCATGGCACAGCAGCGAGTCGAAGTGAAGAATGGGTGGACTCATCCACTGGATATGTGTTATCAACATTCGATTGCATAAGGGCTTTAAAAGCATGGCCACCTTACCTGCGACCTTTTGTTCATCGCTTCATACCAGAACGTGCTGCCATCAATGATCAATGGCGGAGAGCACGCCCTTTCGTTGTTGATTCACTGAACCGGAAAAAAGCTTCCGGTGGCAAGTTTCTGGAACAGCCTGGTTCGATGCTAGACTACATGACCAGCGGCAAAAACGAGGACATTGCTTACGATGTAGAGAAGCAGCTGTTGTACCAGATGACGCTTGTTGCAGTTGGCACCGTGACGACGTTTGCATCGATTGTTCAAGTCTTGTATGATCTTGCCGACCATCCAGAATATATTCCTATCCTTCGAGAAGAGGTCCAAAATGCCGAACGGGACAAAGATGGATTCTTAACCAGAGACGCGGTCTTTGAGATGAAAAAGCTTGATAGCTTTATCAAGGAAAGTCAAAGGCTTCATGCCCCAGATCTTTGTATGTCTTCGCTTTCCATCCATTTTATAACTTGTTTATGATGCCGAGGAGAAGATACACGCGATTAACGAACTGACTTCATGCAGCTACATTCCAACGCGCCGCTACCTCTGACATCACTCTTTCGAACGGCCTGTTTATTCCAAAAGGAACAAAGCTCGAAGCTCCTACTGCTGCGATACAGGTCGATGAAAAGATTTATTCCAGCCCCGAGGAGTTCGATGGTCTTCGCTTCTATCGTGATCGGCAGAATCCAGGAGAAGAGAACAAACACCTCTACGTCAGTGTCGGCCTCAATGATCTGTCGTTTGGTTTCGGTCGTCACGCGTGCCCAGGGAGATTCTTAGGACATATCAATATCAAGCTCATAGTTTCAGAGATCCTCTTACACTATGATGTCAAACTGGGAGAAGGGCATAAACGACCAGCGGATCAAGAGTTCGAAGCAATCGTAAGTTCTCTACTTGCTCCTTTACTACTACTGATAAGTAAACGTTGCTCGCGAACCACCACTGACTGACTTCTACACAATTTAGATTTCTCCAGCTCCAGATGGGGAGATAATGATGAGGTCTCGGCCACTGTAACGAAGTAATCTAGAATTCTATGACGAACTACTAGCCATGCATGGCCTCAGAGGGATGTAATAGGGGTGAAAATCATTTGGATGAGTCATCCTCTGTAATCTGTTCAATCTTTCTACATAGTAGTACGAGGAACAGACAGCTACGGGTCTCTTCTCTGACAACAACGCTTTACGGAAAACCGGGCTTTGAATTCCAGAACAAGTCACATTACATCTTTGGTAGGAAAGCTTCTTGTCTACTTCCCGTGTTTCTCAAAGACGATGTCGAGGAGCACGGGCCGCCCCCATGTTCAGCCCGCGTCTTTAAAATCTAGCACCCTCGACTTCGAGGCTTCGGGGTCAACGGGTTTCCATGCCCCCAGACTCTTCCCCGGAGCGGAGAAGCAAGCTTGTGGCAAAATTATCTCTACATGGCCATTTCGCTAGAGAATCTCGGATTCGCTGTCGCAGAGAGTATGGTAAATTGGGAATCAGTGCGGTTTTAGTGAACGTTGCCTCATTTCCTCTTCAGCAACGTCCGGGCTGTCCGTAAGAGATCCCTATCATTGTCATCTTATCGGGGTTGTCTGAAGACAGGCTCCTATACCAAGGGGGCTGATAAGTTATCTCTGGTGCCCGGAACTCGGTGGCCGGTCTTTCCTGAGCTCTATTTTGGGCAGTTTGGTGGCGCTTCGTATACAACCATTAGCTTTTAGCTAGTCTGCCCCTCCTTGGACCTCGTCAAAATCATTTATATTAGAGACAATGCTTCACACGACCAGAACAATGGTTCAGAATCGTTTCCTGTGCAGTTGTGCTGTTCCACAGTTGCAGAGTTCAAAAAACAAATACAACCAAACTGCTTCTGCACATCCTTTCTATCCAACATGGACACTGCAGAGTCTACAGCTTCTGATCTTCAGAAAAGCGGGTCCAACGTGAAGAGCAGTAAGTAACATCCACCCTTTCCTGCCTGCTGGTTTCCGTTTCTGAGCAGACTCCTACAGATGTCGAGTCTAACATATCCATAGCCGGAGAGACTGGCACATGGGATGACCTTGGAGCGTCTCGATCTCTTCCTCTGAAAAAGGATCTATCTTTCTACGGTATTCTGTCCGCCGGATACAGCATCAGCAACAGTTGGTTGGTGGTCGCTGCCAACCTGTCAATCTCGCTCTTCTACGGTCCGGCGAATACAATCTGGGGTCTCATCGCGACAACCATCATTTACGCTTGCGTCGGTCTGACTCTTTGTGAGCTGGTGTCCGCGTATCCGACTACTGGTGGCCAGTATCATTGGACGTCTATTCTGGCCCCGGCAAGCGTCAACCGCGCTTCTGTAAGTCTTTTGAGGGGAATGGGAAAACTTCTGTCGTATCTGGTTCTGACTTATATCACACATAGAGCTATTTCTGTGGCTTCCTCAGTTGGTTTTCATGGCTTATGATGTGTGCTTCGAGCATGGGAGCTGTCGCCAACAGTATCAATGCTCTTGCAATCAATGCCAACCCCGACTACTTCATGAAGCCTTGGACTATGTTCTTGATCTACGAGGCTATCAATGTCCTAGCACTTCTGTTCAACCTCTTCTTGCACAGAGGCCTAGGCAAATTCTATGAATTTGGCTGTAAGTAACTTTAATTTGTGTTTTACTTCTACAAACGAAAAGTATCTGACTTTCATAGTCATATTAAGCTTGGTGTCTTTTGTGGTCATCACGGTAACATGCCTGGTCATGCAACACGACAAGCAACCATCTTCATACGTCTGGTTGTCTACATCGGAAGGATCTGGCTGGTCTCTTGGAACACAATTCATGATCGCATTGGCTGGTCCGGTCATTGCTTTCATGCCACTTGACGGAGCTGCTCACTTGGTCGCAGAGGTCAACCGACCGGCTGTCGTGGTTCCCAGGACAATTTTGGCCTCTCTGATCATTTCGTTTCTTTCGTCCCTCGTTTTTGCGCTCGCGGTCCTCTACTCGATTTCGGATGTAACATCAGTCCTCACGACACCTTCTGGCTTCGTCCTCTTCGAACTCTGGATACAAGCCACAGGGTTAACGGCACCTGCGATCGCCTTCACAGTTGCAATCATCGTGATGCTTCCTATCGGAAGCGTTGCCTGCCAGCAGGTTGCTTCCATGATGGCACTTAGTCTTGGGTTAGATCAGGCTTTGGTCTTTCCTGGAACCTGGGCAACCGTGAATAAAAAACTCAATACTCCTGTCAACGCTTTGTTGTTGAACTTCAGCTTGATGTTCCTCGTGGGTATTCTGTTCTTGGTATCCACGCTAGGTATGTCCCTCACTCCGCTCATCCCATCACTGTCATCAATCATCAGGGGCTGATTTTGAAACCTCGATAGCATACAACGCCTTGGTAGGAACGGCCATCGTCCTGCAGCAGACCACTTTGGCCATACCCATAGTGTGTTTGTTGTATAATCGCCGTTCAGAGCTTGCCCTACCACGAACGCGTCCATTCAGGCTTCCAAAAATAGTAGGCTGGGTTGCGAATATCGTATCAGTGCTTGCGTTATCAGTCACGACAGTTTTCTTCTTCCTCCCGGCAAGTCGACCAGTGACGGCCAAATCCATGAGTAAGTTGGACCCTGGACATCCCCTCATGCGTGTTTCGAAATGTTCAACTCAGGCTAACACCATTTTGTGTGTTTTAGATTACGCCAGTGTCGTTGTGGTTGGATTCGTGACAATCGCTGTCGTCAATTGGTTCGTTCATGCTAAAAAACATTATCATGGGCCACGGTCCATTCTGCTTCATCACTAGAGCTTTCAGGCCTACTCGGGGGTATGCTTGATTTTTCTCTCAAGCCCAAGGGGCGGTGTATCTTTGTACCTTATGATTGGAAGAACAGGTGTACTCATGCAAGGTTCATATGAGTTCCTTTGATAGGACGGTAAAATGGACAAACCACAATTGATCGATACCTACCTAAATATGGTGCTTGTGAGATGTTTGTCCCAGGCAGGCAGCAACGTAGGCCGAGTAATCTAACAACGGAATACTCGAACTCATAGTGTCAGTGTTGCCATTGATGTCCTCACGGACCGAAATCCCCGATGAAATCGCAGTGACCCATGGGATGGAGTGCTGTACTTGTAGTTGTCGGTTCATGACTAAGGAAATCCGATAGCGGGAGAGAGAGCAAACGAAGGTAATGAATGATGGATGACCTGGACTATTTCCCACGCCCTCCCAGCGACAAGGTTGCATGGGAAAAGGTGCCTGAAAAAGGGTTGAGGATCCATTGGAGAAGCCGGTCTCTTTACATTAGGTAAGCAGGCTATGATTGGCGGGTCACAGGGCGGCCACAAGTCCGCCGAACAAGCGTCCGAACAGCATCTTTTTTATCGCGTGTAAAGCATTTGGAGGGTCACATATCCGTACTATCGCTCGCTCTCAAGGCCACTTGCGCCGCCAGTTTCTCAATTGCTTTCCGATTTTCTTTCCTCCTTCCAACTTCTTTTGAGGAGCAGGGTTGATGTGGTCGTGTATCGTCAAATCCACCTATCTCTCACCATGGCTTCTGCTCTTGTAGCCTTACCGCGAGCCTCCCTGCCGGCCAGGCGATTGCTGCTGCGGCCTCGTTCCAAACCAATCGACCTATCCCATATCTGCGTGCGATGCCTATCTCAGCAGCAACACCTTCGCCAGCGAGTCGCGCCCGAGCGTCAGACCACTGAAGGGCTGAGTTTCCTGGAAAGAGATGTTTTGTTCAGCGATAGACACATCGGCCCTTCTCGAAAGGATGAGGTGCAGATGGTCAAGGCACTCGATCCGCCGGCCAAGGATCTCGACGACTTCATCAGTCAGACACTGCCTGCAGATATCCGTGCTAAGAAGCCTCTGGTCGTGCAGAACATGTTTGGGAAGGAAAACGGCGAGGGCCTGCATGAACAAGGGATCGAAAGAGAACTCCATAGCCTGCAAAACGCTAACAATGCGTGGCGGTCTTTCATCGGAGCAGGATACTACGATACGAACACACCTACTGTGATTCAGAGAAATGTCCTCGAGAACCCTGCATGGTACACCAGTTACACGCCTTATCAAGCTGAGATCAGCCAAGGCCGTCTCGAGTCGCTGTTGAACTTTCAGACTCTTGTGACTGACCTCACGGGTCTCGCCATTGCCAATGCCTCAGTCCTAGACGAGGGCACTGCTGCAGCAGAAGCCATGACCCTCTCAATGAACGCTCTCCCAATGTCTCGACAGAGAAAGCCTGGCAAGGTATTTGTGGTATCGGATCGTGTCCACCCTCAAACAATCGCAGTGCTCGAATCCAGAGCGACGGGATTCGGCATCAACATTGTGGTGGGAGATGTGCTGAAGGATGACTGCAAGCTTGTCAAAGATCAGGGTGCCAACCTGATTGGTGTGCTAGCACAGTATCCTGACACAACGGGAGGTGTCTTCGACTTTCAACATCTGTCAGATGTCGTCCACACTGCTGAGGCAACGTTCAGTGTAGCCACCGATCTTCTGGCTCTGACTCGTCTCAAGGCTCCAGGAGAATTTGGCGCCGATGTTGCTTTTGGAAACTCCCAACGATTCGGTGTTCCTCTGGGATATGGAGGCCCTCACGCGGCTTTCTTCGCCTGCAACGAGAAGCACAAACGTAAGATCCCGGGTCGGCTTGTTGGTGTTTCCAAAGATCGTCTTGGAAACTCAGCTCTGCGTCTAGCTCTTCAGACTCGCGAGCAGCATATCAGAAGAGAGAAGGCCACCAGTAACATTTGCACCGCTCAGGCTCTCCTCGCAAATATGAGCGCTTTTTACGCCATCTACCATGGTCCACAAGGTCTCAAAAAGATTGCGGAGAGAATATCAGCCATGACCAGGTTTGCTCAACACATGCTCAAATCTAAAGGATATGAAATTGTCACGGAGGGCTTAGGAAAAGATGGATCGGTTCTGTTTGATACAATCACTGTACGTGCAAAGGACCAGAATGATTATCAAAAGGTCTTAGCGGCCGCACAAAAAAAGGAGATCATGTTACGTCGTCTTACACTTTCGGGTAACGACAATCTTCTCGGTCTTTCCATTGACGAGACCACTTCAAGCAGAGATCTGGGCCATCTTCTTGAATGTTTTGGCGTCCCGAACTCTGAGTACATGGCCGCATTCAAGAAGCCAGACTTTGTCGCAGCCTCGAACACTGACCCAATTCCACCCGCACTAAAGAGACAAACACCTTATTTGACGCATCCCGTTTTCAACTCGTACCATTCTGAGACCGAGTTGCTCAGATACATCTATCATTTACAGTCAAAAGATCTATCGCTTGTCCATTCCATGATCCCGCTTGGATCCTGCACCATGAAGCTTAATGCGACCACCGAGATGCTGCCAGTATCCTTCTATGGATTCTCGAAACTTCATCCTTTTGCTCCCATTGAAAACGCTCAGGGATATGTACAACTGTTCAAAAGATTGTCCGATGCTCTTACTGCGATCACTGGCATGCAAGATGTCAGCCTCCAACCCAACTCTGGCGCTCAGGGAGAGTTTGCTGGCTTGCGAGTGATCAAGAAGTATCTTGACAGCAAGGAGACGACCAAGAAGAGAAACATCTGTCTGATCCCTGTCTCTGCGCACGGTACTAATCCTGCATCAGCTGCCATGGCAGGAATGAAGGTCGTTCCTCTCAAATGTGATACGAAAACCGGCAACTTGGATGTGGAAGATCTTAAAGCGAAATGTGAGAAGCATAAGGACGAGCTGGCTGCTATCATGGTCACCTACCCAAGTACATTCGGTGTGTTTGAGCCTGCGATCAAGGAGGTCTGCCAAATTGTACACGACCATGGAGGACAGGTATACATGGACGGTGCCAATCTCAACGCTCAGATTGGTCTGTGTAACCCCGGCGAGATCGGTGCTGATGTCTGCCATCTCAATCTGCACAAGACTTTTTGTATTCCTCACGGCGGAGGTGGCCCTGGTGTTGGACCCATCGCCGTCAAAGAGCACCTCCAGCCATTCCTGCCATTCCACCCTCACGTCGACCCTCACCAGGGTACCAATCGGGCAACGACAGCCATTTCTCCGGTCAGCTCTGCTCCATGGGGTAGTGCTTCAATCCTACCAATCAGCTATGCCTATATTCAACTTATGGGTGGCAATGGTCTCAAGCATGGAACGGAGATGGCATTGTTGAATGCCAATTACATCATGTCTCGTCTCCGACCTCATTACCCAATTGTCTACACGAATGCGAACGGTCGCTGTGCACACGAGTTCATTCTGGATGCTCGTGGTTTCAAGGAGACCGCCGGTGTCGAAGCCATCGATATCGCCAAACGTCTCCAAGATTATGGGTTCCACGCACCAACAATGAGTTGGCCGGTCGCAAACACTTTGATGATCGAACCGACCGAGTCGGAGTCGAAGGAAGAGCTTGATCGGTTCTGCGACGCATTGATTGAAATCCGAAAGGAGATCAAGGCGGTTGAAGATGGTCAGGTTCCACGAGAAGGCAATGTCCTAAAGATGGCACCCCACCCTCAAGCCGATCTGTTGGGCAAGGATTGGGATCGCCCGTACACCCGAGAACAAGCAGCGTATCCACTGCCATGGCTTCGAGAGAAGAAGTTCTGGCCCACGGTGGCTCGTGTTGACGATGCCTTTGGCGACACCAATCTTTTCTGTACCTGCACGCCAGTCGAGAGATATGAAGAGGAAGGATTCACTGGACTTCAGGCCCCCATGCCGACGTAATTCCTAAATCGTCGTTTCGGGTTAGCCCAAATATATTGTATCTGAATGGGGATTTTTTTTCTACTACTACTACTGCATGATCGGAGTTTTCAACATCTCGGGTCCGAGGCACAGCACAGCACAGCACAGCACAGGCAGGCTTGGTACTTTTTTGCTTTGGTAGCGTCGGTTGGGTATGAATCAGGATCGGTGTCGTGTTTATGGCAAAAACAAAAACAACAACAACAAAGCTGTGGTGAATAGATGATGTTTGACTTTCAACGAGTAATGAGCAAAAGCGTATGCGGAAGTTTGTGTTTCTTCTCCTCTTGAACTCGGAATTGCTACGGGGTGTCTCTTTGCATGTGTTATCTTCCACAGGGATCACACTTGAATTTCAACATGAGCTGACGGTAACGGGTGTACACAGATTGAGAAGTTGTTGTGTTCCGACAAAGAAAATAACGGGGAGGTGGAGTACTTGAGTATCTGAATACTTGAGTGCTTGAGTGCTTGGTGCGGAAGAAAGTTCAAATTGAATTGAATTGAATTTCTCAATGGTGCTATTCATACAGTTTTGATGATGATGAAAAACGATCGTCCCATCTTTGTCATGACCGTTACTCGTCCTTCGGGGGGGCGGGGGCTATTAATGCTCTTTTCTTCTTCTTCTTTCCACCATCACATCAACAGAGACATGGTACATTTCTTTCAATATCCGAGTCGTTGTTGGTGGTTTTCTTGCACGACTCAGATTCTCTTTGCGCCACTCTTCCACTCCCCGGCGTCCTCCACACCCTGAGCGACCTTGCGAGTGCCATTCTCGAGTCCTGTGGCCGCATTGTTCAACCCGTCACCCAGAGGTTTGCCGAGGCTCCCTGTCGCGCCAGTTATGGTATCACCGACTCCTATGAGAGAAGTTGGTTCGTGTGTCGATCGATAGGTGTGATCTCGAGTGAGATTCGAGATTGATTCTTTAGAGAGAGGGAGAGAAGAAGAAAAAAGGGAATGCAAAATGGACATTGGTATTGGTATCGAGGACACTGGAGATCGTGACTTACCCCTACCAGCTGCACCGGTGACACCTCCGACTGTACGAGCTACACCTCCAACGGTGTTCTGTTGTGGACATGTACAAAAAGTAATTAGCCAAATCTGATTTGGATCTGTGTGGATATCATCATGATGATGATGATGATGATGGAGGGGGGGGAGGTATGAGGGCAGAGGGTTGTGTGAAACAGGACATGCATACACCAATGGTGGAAGTGACGAATTTCGCCGCACCGGTGACTCCCTCGTCGGAAGATGAAGTATTGATTGGCATTTTGTTTTTGTCTTTGGTTTTGGTTTTTGGTTTTCGGATCTGTGCTGACTTGTGTAGAGTAGGGTAGAGTTGACGATTTGAAAACTCGTAGTCACGTATACCTAGACAGGCAATGTCGTTGGTTTGTTTGGTGGTGATGGGAAGGAGACCCTTGTGTGTGTGGGTGAAATGTAAATTCCAGTTCCAAAGGCAGGCTATATACCCAGACTCGGTCAGGTAGTCAAGAAAAGACTTGCGCGACGCACTCGAAGTATGTGTGTGAAGAAACAAGATATTCCACGCGAAAAATCACCAATTGGCGGTTCACAGTGGTTTGTTCAACGGCAACAACACCCCCGTACCAGTTTTTGTATTGCAGCGAAAGTTGAAAGGATTCCCAAGATATGACGTCAAACGGCGGGTGGGATTCATCATCCTTTTGGAGAAAAGTAGGGAGGGAGAGAGTAGGGAAGAGGCGTAATCAAACCTCAGCATGATGTTGGTCACGCCTGATATCCTTGATCCCTGATCCTTGTACGTACACGTAGAAGAGAGAGAGAGAGAGAGAGAGAGAAAACAGGCATACCGTACGAAATAATCTACTGATCACGCGAATAGGAGTAGGAATACCGACACTGAGGGGCGGTCCGATAGCCGCACCATACACACCCCACAAACGGCTGTGAAGGTGCAACGAGAACAAGTTCCCTACAACGAGATCCGATTGTCATAAAATTACTCCCGGTGGTAATCCGTAGGTAGACAAGTCAATGCTCAAGGGGATGGAACAAGCCGAATCTACTTGACAGTTAAAACGGCCCCTGATTAATGGGGATGTTTCTACTCCGTACCGCCCAGGAGTCCGAATTGTCATGTATAAACAAGAACAAATAACAAGAACAAATATTCTCGTCCAAGTCTCGAGGCGCAGAAGGTCAAAGTTATAAAGTGTGACTGTAGCAATTCATTCATAGGTATCAAATCGTAGACAACGTTATCTGTTTTGTATAATTCTCACATTTGAAAAAAAAAACAACCCCGCCACGCTCGCTAAAACAAGGACATGCGAAATATAGTATAGTACTACTCGTACATGGATGGTGGTACAGTGGGAAGATTTGTTGTTTGCAGCTTCGACGGGAAAAGGAAAAAGCTTTGGCGGCAAACAAGACAAGATAGATGTCGGTGTTATTGCTGAGTCCCATCATTTCCCTTAAAAAACAAATACAGGCGTGTAATGTGTCCTGTTGAGGTGACGACTTGCAAAGCGTATCCAGCCGCTACGGCTCTGTGGTATATCGTGTGGGTGTGTGTATCTAGTAATGGTCATGTCCTATATGCATCCCCACCAGCGTCAGTGTCGTTATCTCCCAAAGCTCGACAATATAGGAAAAGTCCAGAGGGTATAACTCACGTCCAAGAGGCTTTGCTCTCTTTCCAATATCCTTGGCACTTTGTTGTTTGATCTTTGCCAGACGAGCCCTATCGTGTAGATGCACGTTAGTGACCGTCTCATTCGTTTTTCAATCCACAAAATACAATCAAGGTCAAGGTCATGGTCAAAGGTCAAAGGTCAGGGTAGGGATGTATGACTTACTCCTCGGCGGCTTCCCTCTCCAACATCTTGACGTGTTCCCTGGCCTCCCTGACTGCTGTACGAGCCTGCATCAACGCACGGTCGGCGTCACGTTCGGCGGCCTCTGCACTGGCGACTCTCTCACGGGCACCGATGATGCTGGGGTCCTCGTTGTTGTGGCGGTTGAACAGGCCACCGCCGGAACTGCGAGAGGTAGAGCCCGAGTGCGACAGGCGGTTACCACGGCCGTCGCTGTTGTACTCGGGGGACGACTCGCGACGTTTGTTGAAGAAGCCTACGCGTCTGGGAGATCCGTCGGAGGAAGAAGACGAGTGTCGAGGATGACGGGTGTTGGTGTTGGTGGTGGTGTTGGGTGCAGCCGGGGTTGGCTCAGTGGTAGACTTGTGTCCGAAGAGACCCATTTTGGTTGATCAAGAAAGAGGATGTGATTGAAGAGGGATATTGATACAATGAGGATATGAATAAGCTTGTTGCTGTTAGGGTTGATGGAGAACTGAAGCTTGGTGTTGAAGATGTTGGAAGATTGGAATATCTGGTATCAAGCAGGACGAACAAGCTTGATTTTATAAATTTTGGAATTGCATCGACAGTCTCATTTCGCAAGTACAGACACAATCCCGTCCTGCCTTATCGAACCCCTTCTGGACCCCCTTGTCGTGTGCATTGAATCCGGTTTTTCTGATCTTCACAAGGGTGGTGGGTGGGTGACGTAGAGAAAAGGACTCTTCGTATCAAAGCTTGGGACCAGGGATCCCTGGAGATCGTCAGCCTCGTTGGCCCAAACAGAGTCAAGATGACGCCAACATCTCGGCTGTTTTGGTACGAGTGTAATGTTAATGGTGTGATTTGATGCCTGACACGACGACGGGAGATATCTGGGATTGAAACATGGGACGGGGAAATATTATGCATGACGGCATTTTGCATGATGGGGAGATTACAAGCAATCGCCCCCATAAGCTTGATTGGTTCGCCTCGTTTGACACATCTGGGGGGCATTGTGGCTGAGAGACCAGGCCAGGTCTGTTCTCGGAGCATCGAGCACATACGAGTACTGAACACACAAGGTAAAAACCCTGCATGCAAAGTGAAGAAGTATTGACAGTTGACGGGCGACAAGAGAGTTGCAAATGTGTACGTTCCTCATAGTTCATAGTGGCGGATCGCGCCAGCAGCCATGGCAACATCCGCCTGGTTGCGTGGATCTTTATTGGTATCTACATCATACATGCATTAATCGTGGTTTGGCTGGATAAAATCCATCGTTCCTCTGCTTGATTCTCCAGCTCAGACCTTCTCAAACTCGGAGCACTTCTGGATCTCGTAGGCGAGTTAATCGTGCCTTCACACTGACCATGTTGTGACAGCAGTGGCAGCCTCGTGATGACGTAGGAGGTCTGACAGATTGGGCCTTTGTCACGTGTGAGGCTCGACTTTTGGCCATGGGCTTTCTTCAAGTAGCCATGGATCGCTCGAGAATCGACCCCAGTCTCCCGTCGTTTTGCTCAAACATTGCAGTGGTGACTTATACTCTCACAGAAGTATTGGAGTAAATCCATGTCTTCGGGCTTGGGTCGAGGGTCGTCATGCGAAGGTGTGTGGTCAATTGGTGGCAAATGTTCATTGAACATCAGTGCCCGTTTGACAGGAATTTCACGCTTTGGCAATCCATCCGCTGTGAATCATAAAGTCAAAAATACGATTGGCCTTATTGACGTCAATCTGGGAAAAAGGTTAGCATGACATCAAGGGCTCTGTGCGTTCTCACTTACTCTGCAGACTCCACGAGCCTCTTTCTTCTTCATGTGGCCGCCTTGCTTCATGGCTTCCTTGAGTAATCCTTCCTTCAGTGCCAAATATGGCTTAGGGCGGATATGAAGAGCGTTGCATAGTTGAATCTCCTCCTCGCTGAGCAACTGCAGATCTGGTGCGAGGCTCTTATCCTTCTCCAGATTCCACGGAGTCACACCGGTCAGTGGCGGGACCTCATATCGGACTTTGGCTTTAGGACCTGATGAACTGTCGGGGCCATTGGCTTCAGCGAACAATTTGTCAAAGTCGTTTTCTACCGCAGGCTGACTATCAGTGAATTGAGGAATGGTCTTTGGCTTGCGTTGGAATCGAAGTGGCAATTCAGGTGTGGTCAATTTGGAGGCTTCGGTCGGTAGATCGGGTTGTTGCAACTGACTGCCTTTTTTGGGTATCTGAGGCATTCGGTCGAATTGTCCCTGAGGTTGATTTCGTGCTGCCCGAGCCTGTTTGTCGCTTTCGTACTTTTCTCCGCCTTTCAGATCGCTAATACCCATCTGCTTCCACTCTTGGAGTTGGAGAATGGCAATACGCAGATTGTGTTCCAGGAGCAGATCTCTATTCAGCGCCTCGAAATCTTCGTGATTCATCATTCTGGCAAATGGTTTAGCCTTGTGTAGCAGGTCTTTCTCTTCCTTGGTCCGTTTCTTGTCAAGAAGTTGATTCTTCTTGTACTCGAGGAGACTGTGTTCGAAAATGATCTTCTTCCTATCTGTGCGGGCTCTCAGCCGAGAGTTGTAGATGTCAAAGACAGTCATCTTAAGAGTAGTCTCTTCGTCCATCTGGCCAGTTGTCGGATCTAAGCCATTACCAGGTTCAAATGACATGTGTTGGACAGCCTCCTCGGCATCATTGGCGAATTCGGTTTCAAACTCCAAACGGCCAGGCATGAAACCTTGGACTTCGTGGCATGCCGGAACAGAGGCCGTGGGTTTCTGTTTGGGTGTTGCCGGTGGTGCATGTTTGGCAGTCTCTTTGCGCTCTTCGATGCGTCTCTTCTTACGAGCCTGGAATTCGTCTTTTGGGATGCGCTCAAAGAGTTCGGTGTTAGCGGGATCGGCTAACTCCGGTAGAGGAAACAATGGACTGTCAACGTAGGTGTTGATGTAGTGGTCGCGAACTTCATCCTTTTCCCGATAACCTCCAATATGCTCAGCGACATCGGCCCAGGAACCAAGCCCATAGCGTTCCGAGCCTTCTAGCAGGAGGAGTTCTTCGTCGGCACCCCAGTCTTCGGTGTAAATGGGGATCGAGTTTTGCTCGACGACATGGTATTCGTGTGTACGTGGATCATGACCTTTGCTATGTTCACCCCGTGCGAAACAAGGAACACAAAGATCGTATTCGCGACAGGCAGGATTGGCGCAGGATATGCGAACGGTAGAGGTTATGTCAATCGAACAGACGTCGCAATGGTATTTGGTGCCGCCGTCGCCCCCTCTAAGGGCTGCATTCTTGCGTATGACACCCATACTCCTCTCTATGCGTGCATCCTCTTCTATGTCCGAGTCGGGAGACAGATATCGCGCGTAGTCATCAGGTATCGTCGCGTCGCAGGCAGCGGAATTGAGTGGGTCGCCTGGGCTAAAAGTGGCAAGATGAGGTGTAGACGGTTCTGAATCGTCGTCAACGTCGTCAACAGTGTAGCAGACGAGTTTCCGTGTAGATCGAACCGGTCTGGAACGACGTTCGGGGACGGGTAGAGAAGGTGTTGTGGTGATAGGCAGGGGTGATGGTCGTACTCTGGAACGGCTGACGTCCTTCACCTCGAACCGCCCCCCAGATGCCAAGCGCGAGGGTCGCACGTGACTCATGATCGGCGTTTGGCCAGTCGCAGGCCGAGTGAGGGCTTGGTAAGTGTTGGTGAGTGTCGGTATCTGTGTCTCCTACTGACTAAGTCGTTGTAACAAAACACTCATCAGCTTCGACAACACAGCGGTTGTAGGACTGGCTCCTTCAAACACACCTGTGCAACACCTTTCACATCTCTAGACGGTCCCTTCTTTGACGCTGTTGTCGTCCCCTGCCTTGCTTTCAAATCAGATCAGCTGCGGGCTTCAACTCACTGTTCCCTCACCTTTGCCTTCTCTCGTCGGTCCTTACCCCTCCTCGGCCGTTCACAGCCACAATCCTGAAATATCGTCAATCGTACTGAATATTGCTGCCTGTGGCTTTCAGTCTCTCACCTTCAATTGTAAACGTATCCAAAATTTATCCAAGGTTGTTAGCGTATCAACGCAGGCAGGGTCAAAAGCGTCAAGATGTCGTGGAAATTGACAAAGAGTATGTGATCACAAATATGAGAAGGATCCGCGGATCTAAAATATGTTCTTGGGTTGTGAGTCCTCAGCGCTGACAGAATCTTAGAACTGAAGGAGACACACCTTGCGCCGTTGATGAGCGGGTCGAGTCGGTCGACATCAACTTCCACAGTCAAGCCTGATGAAGCTGCGCCGTCGGTAGATGCCAACGATCTGACAACGACTCAAAGCAACGTGAGCACTTCTTCGGCTACAACAAATGGCATTGGTATGTCTGGAGAACTCGGTACCCGTCTAGCAGTCTCTAATCATGTATAGCCGCTTCTGAGGCACTCACCTCACCGCCGGTGCAAAATACAAAGCCGGGTATCTTGATAGTCACGCTCCACGAAGGAAAGCAGTTCTCTCTGCCACAACAATACCAGTCAGTCTTCAACAGCTTCTATGGATCAGGCGGGTCAGGCTCCGTTAGACCAAGCTCTTCATATGCAGCTGGATCGTTAACATCGGGGTCGTATGCGCCTTCGAACCGACCGGTATCTACTCATGGTGGCATCAACGCTGCGCCAACTGTTCACGGTAGATACAATAGTAAATATCTACCATACGCACTGCTTGACTTCGACAAGTTGCAAGTGTTTGTCGATGCAGTATCTGGCAACCCGGAGAATCCACTCTGGGCGGGTGACAACACCTCATTCAAATTCGATGTCTCGCGTGTCTGCGAACTTAGCATTCAGCTTTATCTTAGGAACCCAGCTGCAAGACCAGGAGTCGGCAGAAGTGAGGATATCTTCCTTGGCGGTGCCAGGGTCACTCCGAGATTTGAGGAAGCTAAGAATTTTGTTCCGGACCCCAAGAAGAGCAAGAAGGAGAACGAGAAGGCCGAAGCCGCTTGGAATAGTCAGGAGAAGCAAGCAGGCCAACTGGGCACCGAATGGATAGATATTCAGTTCGGCACAGGTGCAATCAAAGTCGGCGTCAATTATGTCGAAAACCGCCAGGGCAGTCTCAAGATCGACGACTTTGAGTTGTTGAAGGTGGTCGGTCGAGGTAGTTTCGGCAAGGTCATGCAGGTCATGAAGAAGGATACCGGTCGAATCTACGCCCTCAAGACAATCCGCAAAGCTCACATCATCTCCCGGTCTGAAGTCGCACATACTCTTGCAGAGAGGTCAGTTCTTGCACAAATTAACAATCCGTTTATCACGCCACTCAAGTTCTCCTTCCAATCACCAGACAAACTTTACTTCGTGCTGGCTTTTGTCAACGGTGGTGAACTCTTCCATCATCTCCAAAAGGAACAGCGATTCGACATCAACCGATCCAGATTCTACACTGCAGAGTTGTTGTGCGCTTTGGAATGTTTGCACGGTTTCAAGGTCATTTATCGAGATCTTAAGCCTGAGAACATTCTTCTCGACTACACTGGTCATATTGCTCTTTGTGACTTTGGATTGTGCAAGTTGGACATGAAGGATGAGGATCGTACCAATACCTTCTGCGGGACCCCTGAGTACCTTGCACCAGAGCTCCTACTCGGCCACGGCTACACAAAGACTGTCGACTGGTGGACATTGGGTGTGCTTCTCTACGAAATGTTGACTGGACTTCCGCCTTTCTACGATGAAAACACCAACGAAATGTACCGCAAGATTCTACAAGAACCGTTGCACTTCCCTGGTCCCGAGATTGTCCCTGCAGCAGCCAAAGATCTTCTTCAGAAGTTGCTTGATCGCAACCCCGAGCGTCGACTTGGTGCCGGTGGTGCAGCTGAAATCAAGGCCCATCATTTCTTTGCGGGCATTGACTGGAGAAAGTTGTTGCAGCGCAAGTACGAGCCTAGCTTCAAGCCCAACGTGGTAAGTTCAGTTCAGGCATGGCAAATATTGAATCCTCTAACATGGAGTAGGTCGACGCTAGGGACACCGCAAATTTCGACAAGGAGTTCACATCCGAGGTGCCTAAAGATTCGTATGTCGAAGGACCTGTTCTTTCTCAGACAATGCAACAACAATTCGCTGGCTGGTCATACAACCGTCCTGTCGCTGGTCTAGGAGATGCTGGCGGAAGTGTCAAGGATCCTTCTTTCGATCGTATTCAGTAAGGTTGAGCGTGGTTTTATCTAGTGTCTGCGATGAGACATGACACGACACGAAGAATGATTATTGAGCTGTTGGACTTTCAAGATTTGGGCCCGGGTATGTTTCATTGCCAGCCATGGAGAGCTTGGTCGAAAAGGATTTTCGGTTCAGCTAGTCACTCGTACATAGCTTGAGCCTTGGTTTCACACGGGCTCAAGCAAGCATGTTGTGTGTTAGATTTCGATTTGCATGGCGTCGCAAGGCCGTCTGCTCTTCGGCGGTAAATAAATAAAATTGATGGGAACAGCTGACACGGCCTGCGGATATGTACGTGGTCATTCGTAGAGAAGTTCACGGAGCACTTGCGAACGTTCTGAAGCCGACATATACACAGAGCTGGCCCTGCACTGAGTAGTCCGTATAATACACTACGACACCTCGGACTGGCACGATGAATTTACTCGTGGAGTTTCTTGATGCTGAATTTCTCCACATTGTTGAGAGCCGAAATTCGGTCCTGTTTTCCCCGCATCTTGAACTGTTCCGAGATCAATCGACATTTGCGAGAGAGGGACAACAATCTCGCAACATGACCGGTGCAGCTATAAGAAGGGGCCTGAGGTGAAAAGCCCCCAGCTGGTGAAACTGAGCGTCTTCTTCTCCTGTCGTCTTTTGATGTTTTGGAAGTAGTAGGCGGCGCTCTCTACTTTTATTGTTAGACACAGCTCTCGATCGAGGTCTGGGGAAACGCTTGTACCGTCAGTCATGGCTGCGAAGAACGTCCTACGCCGGGCGATTCTATATGGTATGTTGAATGCCCTCCTGATTGTGGCGTACGTGATCATCTAATTGAGCATTATTATCATCATTTCAGTCCCTGGCTCGTCCCAGAGATTCCTCGACAAGTCCCGGTCCTTGACGGCCGACTGCGTCGCGTACGACCTCGAAGACAGCGTGACTCCCGGCCTCAAAGCCGAAGCACGCACCGCCGTCCGTCGAAGCCTGGACCAAAACTTGCCCGGGGGGATCAAAGAGCGCGCCGTGAGGATCAACAGTGTAGGGTCGGGCCTGGCGCTGGCCGATCTACAAGAGGTGGTGAAGTCGAAGAACCTGACGACGTTGGTGGTGCCCAAGGTCGAAGGGCCGGGGGATCTGACGTTCATACGTGATGTGCTGGAACACAGTCGCGCCGAGCAGAAGAGGTCGGGTCAGGGCCAGCAAGAGGAGGGCGCGGACAGCACGAACAACGTCAGCGTGCTCGCTTTGATCGAGAGCGCAAAGAGTCTACTGAGTTTGAACGACATCTGCCGCGCCGCACCGGGCCTGTTGCAGGGCCTCGTGTTCGCGGCCGAGGACTACGCCCTGGACATGAGCATCACGCGGACGCCGGACCTGACCGAGTTTCTGTACGCGAGGCAGGCCATCGCCACGGCGGCGCGGGCCTACAACCTTCCCAGCACCATCGACTTGGTGACCACGAGTTTCAAGTCCGAGGCCGACCACGAGTTGCTGAGGGCGGAAGCCGAACAAGGGAAAGGGATGGGTTACAATGGGAAACAGTGCATCCACCCGAGCCAGGTCGACACGGTGCAGGGGATCTTCAGTCCCAGTGAGCGCGAGGTCGAGTGGGCCGTCAGGATCGTGATCGCTCAGAAACGAGCCGAGGAACTTGGGAAGGGGGCGTGGGCGATGGACGGAAAAATGATCGACGCTCCCGTGGAAGGCAAGGCGAGGGCCATAGTGGCAAAGGCAGGGTTATGTGGTTTCGACGTCGACAGCCTCAGGGAAAAGTGGAAGGATCAGCAGCCGGAATGAGGGATGGAAAAGGGAAAATAGATCATAAAATCAAAAATCCAATATTGATGAAAAGCTGAAAGAGAGGAAAAGGCACGCCTGCTGTCCTGATGCTAATCTCTTCTCAATTAAACAGTAACTCCTATATCTGTGGTGGCTCATATTTTGAGTGTGTATCCAAAAAACCGTCTGCTGCTGCTGCTCCTGCACACGCCTTTCTGGATGTGCATTTTTGATACTCTTGCTAAAATTAGAATTCTGGTGTGATTTTGGAACTTTCTGGAAGTCGAGTAGTAATGAATCTTCTCGATTGGTCTTTGGGGGGGAAAAGGATTTTCTTTTCTATAGCTTCTTCATCGTCTTGCGCAAGCTGCCGTTTGAAGTGGCGCTGTTTGAATGGTCCGAGAAGGATTGCGCCTCTTTGTGATCCGCCTCCTTTCGCTTGATGGTCAGACAGTTGATGTCGAGAACGTCGCAGATGCGATTGATGACTCGCACTGCCCACGTAAAGTACAACGCCATAGCGTACAGCAGGTAGGCGTAGAGGTACAGGCGCTCGAAAGTGGGCGACATCTGCTTATAGCCGAACAGGGGAAGCCAGGCCAGTACGGCACCACCGATCAATGGCGCCATCGATGATGTCCAGTACGGAAAAGGTCGACGAGTCAAATGATGCAGGATGATCTTGGTTGTAAGTCTACCGAAGACGAATGACATGGTCAGAGAGAAGATCAAAAGGTGGTTGTTTGCCAACAGAGTCGAGTAAGGAGAGCCGAGCCACGCCATGCAGCTTCCTATAAAAATAATGATCGGCGCCCACTCCAGAAAGACCGGCAGTAACGGTAAGTCTGCCTGGTGCCGGGCTTTTGCGACGTGGTAGACGCAAGCTGGGAGGTGAGCCGTGAAGAAGGCCACCAGAATTATCGGCACCCAGAGGTCGCGGAAGGTCAGGTCGGAGGGAATGTCGATGGGCAGACCCTCCGGGAGCGAGACAAATTCTGCCATGCGGTGTGACCAGATCTGAGGGCCCAAGTAGCCCGAGAGAACCATCACAGCGCAGGCGAGTATCAACCCTTCAGTCGGCCCGTTGAATGCACCCAGATACAGTGTATGGGTGTGGTACGTTTCCCAGGTGGAAAAGAACATGGGCAGACAAGGAACCAGAGCTGTAAAAGCACCCGTCTTGCTTGGGCCCAGTCCCATGGCGGCCGTCTCACAGAGGCTCGCCAGTGTGCAGTTGAGTGAGTCGATGCCATGGTCGAACAGCTCGCCAAGAGGACTCGAAGTTCCTGTCCGTCGAGCTTGTTTGCCATCGATATTGTCCATGGTTGAATACCTCGAATTCAAGTCAGACTCACACTCAACCGTCCCCGTCGGGACAGCTTCAAATCACTTACAACCACAACCCAGCGGCGAAGCTGTAATAGACCCATGTTGGGCCTGGTCCGACAAGATCAGGTATGAAGATCTGAATAAAGACAACATTGACTAGAATGCAGACGAAACCCAGCAAAGTGACCATGTTCGGGGCGAGCCACATGGGTAACAGCTTGACCGCGCCATTCCACTAGATAGGGGGAATTAGCCTGAATTGTCAGTCTACTGTTGCTGAGAAAGTAGTATTTACATAGTGCCGCAATATATAGTTTGAAATGAACGATTTGTCCACGCTCTGGTACTTGTAGGTCATCAGATGGACCATGGCCTGGTCAGAGAGAGGGTCTACTATGCAGAATTGCGTGTCAGCCAAAGCTGCCAGCATCCGGAGGTGCGTATGGGCTGATAGGCTTCTACCTACCTGACTCGGCCATTGTTGTTGCGTCGGGGTCTTGAAGCAAGATCGTAAAGGTGTCTAGACGTCTATGCCGCTGAGAATATCCGGCAGAATCGAAGAAAAAAGGGAGATTCACGAGAAGAGGTTTCCAACCACTACCTGTACATGGCGCATAGGGGATTTTCTTTGAAAGAATGGCAGTGATTGACAAGCAGAAGCTTCCTCTAGGTGAGGAAGAGAACAGAAGAATTTCTCCAACAGATTGAGAGAGGGAAAGAGACGGAGAGAGTGAAGTTCTGAAATTTTAGGGAGTGGATGCGTATGTAACATGTTCGCTTGTTATTGTCCAACGAAGCAGCATGAAGTCGGCGCGTGAACCAAGCTGGTTTGGTCTGACTGAAGGATATTTCAAGTGTCCAGGCCCAAGGAGCCGCCTGAGAGATTCGCATGGGTCGCTCGGGTGGTCAAAAAGAGCAGTCAGACAGAGTATGCTAGTGCCAAGACCATATTTTAGGCTGTGGAATTTAGTGAGGTACTACAGGCAGAGAGTGGGTGACTTTGCGGGAATGCCTTGTCATTCAATGTCATTTGATATCTTTAGGTGCCTATTAACGCTATCCTCGGCGTCATTTAGCGTCATTTGTTCTCCATATCATTTTCGTTTCTCACGTGCCGTCGCGTCGCCATCGGCTTCGCTCATCGAACATCGAACATCGAATATCAAACAATAACCTTCATGGTATTGATCGTTCTTGCTATCCAACCTCACAACAATTGATAGGCAGCCTCGTTGGGATTTCTATTTGACGCCTTCTCACGCTGATACTTTCTACGTGGCTGGTTGCGCTGGTCACATGACTACCTTCTCTTACCTTTGATCACTATGATTCTTAGACGGTGTCACTTCGCCATCGCATAGCTGAAACTCGACTTAGCATGCTTATGATGCAGATTCATTATCAAGACAGGATCTCCAACTAAATCTCGTCGCAATGGATTCTGCGGGCTTTCAGCAGCCGTCGCTGGCGCCTCCATTGCCAGTACCAATCCCGTCTTTCACCGTTGCACATCAGAAGGTCGACATTGATGTCAATTTCAATCAACAAATTGCGGGGAGAACAGAGATCACCATTTATCCCGATTCTCAAGACCTGCGAGAAATCAGACTTCACGGCCGCATATGTGTTGTCAAGAAGGTTTTGGTGAACAACCTACCTCCTCCTTCAGTGCGCCACGAAGATCCTTGTGAACAACTTGCCCTCCATTCCAATAGTACCGCTCATCAGCACCATCTTCTGTTCGAAAAGATCGCTCGATCGGTTGGTCCTGACCCAGATCCGGATCTTATCGTCACTCTACCTAAAAAGCTGAAGATCCTCCCCGTTGAAGTGGCTGAAGTTCACACGCAAGCCTCGGGCTCCATCAAAATCTCAGACCCTGCTATAGCAGGTCCTTCTGCTGCAGAGACCACGCAGGCCTTGACAGACACGACTGTTGCCAAATTCACACCCCTCACTTTAGTGATAGAATTTGAGACCTGCCACGCTCGAGAAACTCTTCACTTCGTGGCAGGGAAACGTGGCAGCGGTCGCTGGCCTCATGCCTACACTCGATCGAAGCTTGGGCGCGGGGGTGCGTCATCACTTTTCCCGTGTGTTGATCTTATCAACAGTCGATGCACCTGGGATATATCCATCAGATGTCCACGGACTGTGGGTGATGCTTTAAATCAAGCCCTGTCCGTTGATCTTTCTTCTCTCGACATTGACCCGTCTTCCCAAGACGCTCGGCACGGCTTTGAAAGCAAAGAGATGACCGTAGTATGCTCCGGTGAGCTGACCGACGAAATTCTGGACAAGAGCGATAACACCCAGAAAACGGTGTCCTTCTCCTGCTCACAACAATTAGCCCCACAGCAGATTGGATTTGCTATCGGCCCCTTTGAACGCGTCAACCTAGGCGAGCTTCGCGATGCTCAAGAAGTGGAAGAACTTGGTCGCAACGCTGTTGAAATGCTGGCATTTTGCTTGCCGGGCCGTGCAGAAGAGACTAAAAATACCTGCCTCCCCCTGACGGAAGCCATCGACTTTGTTGTACACAAGTACATCTCTTGCCCCTTTCGGTCATATTCGATGTGCTTCATCGAAGACATACCCACAGACGTATCCATTTTTGCCGGCATATCGATGTGCAGCACGAGGTTACTTTACCCCGAGGACGTTATTGATCCTGCTCAAGAGGTGACAAGACAACTGGCACATGCTATTGTAGCGCAATGGATTGGCATCAATGTCATTGCAGAAGAGCCACGAGACAATTGGGTCATTATTGGTGGCGCCTACTTCATCACGAATCTCTTCATGAGAGAACTGTGCGGTAACAACGAGTATCGGTACCACATGAAACAATTAGCCGACCGTGTCTATGAGCTCGACCACGAGCGCCCGTCAATATACGAAATGGGTGCTTTGCTCCATGTTGATCCAGCTGAATATGAGTTCATTGCTATCAAAGCACCTGTTGTCCTTTTCATCCTGGACCGTCGCATCGCGAAGACCCAAGGAACTTCAAAAATGCCAGCCATACTTGCAAAGATCCTTACCCGAGCCCGAACTGGCGATCTAGTTAACAACGCCCTTTCGACCGACCTGTTTCAGAAGACGGCAGAGCGGTTTGGTCATACCAAATATGACGACTTTCTGGCACAATGGGTCAAAGGTGCGGGCTGTCCAAGATTCTCTGCGTTCCAGAGGTTCAACAAGAAGAAGCTCGTTGTGGAGATGCTCATCAAGCAAACCCAAGGTACTACAACAACGGACCGAGAGCTTGATGTCGAGTCATTCATTCGCGATGCTCGTGAAGACTTCCAGACTGTGTATGCGGCTCCTGCACAACCTGTTTTCACAGGGCCTATGACGATTAGAATTCACGAGGCTGATGGAACGCCATACGAACACATTGTGGAAATCAAGGATGTCCAGACTACATTCGATATCCCTTACAACACAAAATACAAACGACTCAAGAGAAGCAAGAAGCAGCGAGCAAGAGCCAGCACCAAAGCCGCTGCCGAGGTCGGAGAGGAGGAGGGTGAAGCTCTGGTCTACTGTCTCGGCGACGTTCTGCAGAGCGAAGAAGATGTTGCCAATTGGAAGATCACTGAATGGAGTGCCGACGACGAAGAGCGGATGAATTCTGAGTCGTACGAATGGATACGACTAGACGCTGACTTTGAATGGATCTGCCAGATCAATCTCCAGATGCCAGGGTACATGTTCACTTCACAGCTTCAGCAGGATAGAGATGTCGTCGCGCAGCTCGAAGCGTTGAGGCATATCTCAAGTTACCCTGCGTCGCCACTTGTGTCATCCATCTTCATCCGAACGTTGATGGACAGACGATACTTCCATGGGGTGCGTTCGCTAGCAGCGCAAGGCCTTGTAAAACATGCAAGAGACGAAAATGATGCAAAGAACATTGGCTTATTCCATCTCAAAAAAGCATTTGAAGAATTGTATTGTATCACCGAACAGGGTCTAGCCATGACAAGGCCAAACAACTTCTCAGATCAACTGGCATACCTTTTACAATGCGAGATCATCGAAGCGATCTCCAGAGTGCGAGACAGCCGCGGGCATACACCAAAGGAAGTCAAAGAATTTCTGTTGGACAAGCTCAAGTTCAACGACAATTCTGCCAACGATTACTCGGACGCTTTCTATGTAGCTCGACTCATGAAGGCGCTCACGACCGCGATTATTGCCCGCCCGCAGCACCATCTCGGCGTAGATGACATGGACCTTGACCTCGAGGATGAGATGCATGAGATGAGCCAACTCGAGAACCAATTCGTCGAAGAAATTGATCGATATCGTCGTATGGACGAATGGACCAGCTCGTTTCAAAACTTGTATTCGCGAACAGCACTTGAGTGTCAATCAGTCCTTGCTGCCGCCGGTATCAGTCAATATTCACCTCTGCATTTCTTGCAGTATACGCGTCCGGGAAACCACGACATGCTCCGGCAAGCTGCATACAATGTCCTCATAACGCCGAAAGCCCTCGATGAGCCGTCAGTACTTCGTTATGTGTTATACTGTATGGTTGCGGACTCCTCCCCATGGCTTCGACAGAGTCTACAAAGAGCTTTTGGTAGAGTCCTGGCAAAGCGTGCCATTGGTGACAAGAGCGCTACTGTCCAGCCTGCGGGCGACGGACTTGTGATTGAGGATACAGCTGCGGCCGACGCTCGACAGGCCGATCTAGCTAGGCGGCAGACGATGGAAGGCGCAATGGCTGCCCTTAAAAGGGAGCTGGGAGGCCATGAAGCTCTCAAGTCTGCTCTCTGGAACGCTGTGTGCTATGACCAGATTACCCTAGACGATTTGCAGACCATGCTGGAATTCTGCCGACTACTCTACGAACCAAAGAATGAAATGAAAGTCAGTCTACGGATGCCACGGTACTGGCGGGTCGAGAATCTCGGGAAGGTAAAATATCCTTTTTACTCTGGATTTAAATCTCAGCTAACGCGGTGTTGTTTAGGGCAAGCTCAGATTCGTGCCTACTCAAAAAGTCAGGGCGAAGGCCGTACCGAAATGGCAACCTCCTCCTCCTCCTCCGCCGGTGGCTCGTCCAGAGATGTCTTCTCGACCCAGTGTTGGTGGCAGTGGAGGCTTGAAATTGACGTTCAAGATGGGTTCGCAGTCGTCTCGTCCCACACCCACTCCTCCCCCGCCACAGCCGTCGCCAAAACAACCAGCAGCGCGACCACAGAGTGCTGCGCCTGGTCGTGTCGTGCTCAAATTGAAGCCTCCTCCGAAGGACTAATCGGTGGCAAAGGGTGTCGATTCGATCACAACTCGAGTATTCGTTTGCAGCGAAAATTGCGCATTGTCATCAACACTTCACTCCCGGACGCAACCCGAAATCTTAGACTTTCCACCATAGAGGCTTGTTCGCCGTCGATACCCAGATAGCATGTTTTGTATAACAGTGTAGCATTCGTAATGCATTCAAACCAAACACATCTTTTGGAAAAGCCCAGAGCCTTGTACCCGATTTTCATGAATCTTTAGGAGAACATGATTTTTTGAGCCTGCGCCTCGCGTCCATGCCAATCAACATTTATCGTGGTAATTCCAATGCGCCGTCAATTTTGATACTTTGAAGGATTCGTTTGGTGATCATCGTCGGTCATCGCCCATGCGCTCCAGGGCTTCGAGCATAACAACGCTGTTTCCACGGATGACTACCATTCCTAGACGTTCGCGTTCACCGCCTGGCTTCTCTTCGACGGCGTCGTCCAAGACTATATTGAGAAAGACCTGTGTTTGGTCAGTCACTCGTTCTTGAGTGCGGCAACTCAGGAAAGAAAACGAAAACATACATCGTAACCTCTCAGGATACCAATGACTTTTCGATTGGCGTTGAGTTGGACAAACAGGCGCTTTTCCATGTACTATTGTTTGTAACGCGGGCAGGTGTCAGCAAAAGTACCGTCATCACATATACGGGAGGGACATTTTATCTCCAGCGAGCAGGAGTAGGTGGGTGGGTAGGTACAATACCTTCCTGAGTTCTGGTTGTGCTTGAGGCATGGCGGCGGCTGGGAAGGGTGCTGTGGGTGTACTGGGTTGAAGGTGGTCTCGAGGAGAATATTTGCGCGAGAATAAGAGTCGGGCTCAACGTGTTCGATCGCGGAGAGAGGATTTGCGACAATTGTTGTATGTTTCTTTTCGGAATCGAAGGCGCAGGTCAAACACTTTTTGGCATTGCAATGCTGGGTTCGAGTTTGCGGAGAAATTATGCCAAGGTTTGAAGATTGACTCTAATCGGGTGTTGTGCCATTGCCGCTTTATCACTCACTGGGTTGTTCTCAATCTGAGGACACTCTTACAGTGTAAGGAGATATTGAAAGCGGCAACTAGAGACAGGCTACAGCTTATGTGCTTGCACTCCTTGCACCTTCTATTCCTCGAGGGCTTCGACATGGTTTTCTCTAGTTTTCTGACAAAGCCTAAGAACAAGGCATACTGGAGGAATGGGTCCATTCAATCTGGTCAAGTGACCATCACGAAGACAGAGCCCGAATCTACGGATAATGCAGACCCAAAAATGAGGTCCACGATAAGGATACTTTTATGCGACTCAGGGGCAGGCAAAAGGGTAGCTTGCAAGTTCAGCGACGGCCTCAGTGGAAGGTGCCTTGCTTTGTGAACTGGATGTACATGTGATGCTCAACAATGGAGGCTATCCCTATGCTTTTGTTCGATACGACCACATCTCATCACATCACACCAACGACATACAACGTACAACATATCCCCAGTACCAGCCAGCTCGATCGATATAAAGGTAATGGGAACTTTCTGTTTCCGAACAGCATCACTTTGGGTCTTGATACGTGAGGTCACCGTCAACGCACTAAAATGACACCATGACTCGAAAAGTGTGGCCGGATAACTGTTGGTGGAATTCACGAAGTGGTAAGTCATAGGGTGATACCACCTCAGTGCAAACGACGGATGACTGCAAAGGACCGTTTGTGGAACTACTACAGAACAGTATAAATTTGATTCTTTTGCGCCAGACTCCTACTCACCCCAGACTCATCATCTTTTTGGGTCTCGTCACAGTGTCTACAAGGAACCATCACGATCTTCAAACCTGAGGGAGGGTATACATACTTACGTTACACTCGTCTGCCAAACTTGTCTGTCATACCACTATCGAGTGTCGGCCACCGACGAATATCACGCAGCCTCGGAAGGAGGGACAGATATATTGAAACCACGATCCGGTTCATCAACGGGGAGGTTGTTGTCACACGTACAACACTCGGCCTGTTTCCCCCTTCAATGGTTCTTCCAGCGTCACCTTCGCTCGAATCTCAAAACAGTACGACGATAGACCCGATATCGCCAATGGCTGAACGAGTATATGCCCCACCTGGACGGGTATCGATTGCTTCACAGGCTCCGGAACCCGAACCTGACATAGATGTCACAACGACCACGACCACGGCCACGACCACGACGACAACTCAGGCCTGCACAATTCAACCACAAGAGCCAGCCACGGTCGTCACTGCTCCACCCCCGGCACACGTCAGGACGAACTTGAGAGGAGGATGTGATGACATGGATGACGGATGTTTTTGGTGCTTATTTTGCACGGGAATGATGGCCTGTTTCACGTGCTGTGAGGAGTACGATATTTAGGAGCTATTGACATGTTGAACCATTCAACGAATAGATGCAATAAACGAGATCTTCGACGCTAGGGCAATGGTTCATATGCGCACAGGAGTCAGTTCTACGTTAGGAAGGAGGCTGAAAACGTCACAGTAGTTTGGTACGACAACGACCATTGGCACTGTTTATCCAACATTTAGTGGCGTGGGATGGACAGCAGCAAAATCAAATGTCATGAGGGTAGATTGAACGACTTCATGGCTTCATCTTGCCGATGGCCTGCTCTCAGGCGTGAGCTCCAGCCAGAGGAATAACACCTGACGGAGGACTTCCTGCACCCACAAAGGTATCCACACGTCCTTTGGTCGCGGCCAAGACGCCCTGAAGCTGCTGGCCGGAAGCTCGACTTGAGAGAACCATCTCCCGACCTCTGGGCAAGATGTTGCTAGCATACTCCTGCAACAGATCCTCGGGCGCCTGGGGGACACCACCTGCCTTGATCAACAACCTACCCAGGTCACAGGCATCACGGATGGCGGTGTTTGCCCCCTGCCCACGAAATGGGACCATCGTGTGAACAGCATCGCCGAGGAGGGTGACTCGGCCACGAGGGAGCTGTCTGGGTGACACGTACTCGATGAATCGAGGTGGCCGGGTGAGCATACCTTCGACTCCCGTGTAGTCGATTATCTTGGTCAGAAACGGTGCAAAGTTCTCGGTCAGTTTCTTGCTCCTGTCGAACAATTCCTGTCTGGTTGCATTCTGAACCCACTCCGCTTCTGCTGCCCATTCGCTCTGAGTTTCGCCCTGGCTGGCATAGGCTCCCGCCCAGTAGTAAGAGGCAGAAGATCTATCGGCTTGGATCTCCCTGGGTCCAATCATCTTTGATTTCGTCAGCAAGGTGTGGTAGGTAGACTTCGTATGTATCCAAACAAGAACTGGCTAGGATTGCTTACATATCGTATCGTTGGTCCAGCGGCCAAAATACCTGCAGAGGAGAAGTCGTGTATTGGTTCAAATTGCTCTCGCGACAACTCGCATTGTCCGAATATGGGAATCCATTGGCTCGGCTCGAGTTTGGCGGCGTCGGGTTCGGTGTAGCCTGCCAAAAGTTGTTCTCGGACTTTGGAACGAAGTCCATCACCGCCAACAAGCATACAGCCTCGGGCGGAAGTACCGTCGGTGAAAAACGCCGTGACCCCTTCCGCGTCCTCCTCGTAGTGTGAGAAGATCTTGCCGACCTGCAGGTCAAGATGCTGAGAAAAGTACTCACGCAAACGTTGACGATCGCCCCTGATGAGATGTCCCGGTTCGTCGGGGAGGCGATTCCCCAGAACAGCCATGATCTGGCCAGACGCTGCTTGGACGATCGTCATGGTGTCTTTGTTGACTCCAATGTTGTGATTTACGCTCGTCGTGTGAATGTCACCGAGATCATCTGAGATCAGCGGCGGTAGCTCGTGCAGCGCTCTGAGGTAGATAGCATTGTCAGCAAACCATGTCCCAATAGATGCAAGTCCTGCTTACTCAATCAAGGCAAATGACCATCCTTGACGGCGAGGATCAATCTTATCATCACGCTCAAAGATTTGGAATGGAATGTCATGTTTCCTCAGGATTTGTGCCAGTGCAAGATTCCCAGGGCCAGCCCCGATGACAAGGACATCCTTCTGGTTGGTCGCAGCGGAATTACTGCTCATTGTTGGCTTCTCGCGCTGTGGTGCAGGTACACTCGATTGGTCTTTGAGAAGGCGATAAAAAAATGAAGAACTGAAGTTGAGAGAAGTTGAGAGGAAGTCGATATATCACTCTTGTCGCTTCAAGCATGGGAAAGTATGAGAACTTATAGCATGTAAAACGTAAAGCTTCAGACAAGGAGCCTTACCCCAGATAAGTTGTCGGCGTCACAACAACCCCAGGTCCGACTTGGACTGAGTAAAAGAAGTGTCCACCCGGCTGGAAAAAATCCTTGTTTGACCCGAGCTCGTTCATCTTGGTATCTCTATCACGTTGAGAAGGCATAAAGGTGCTGAAAGTCCAAAATCATCCTATGCAGATCACAAGGGACGGAGGTTCGGTAGGACCGTCAAAGATACCGACCTTTCGATGATAGTCTGGGTCATGACTGAAGTGGTAGTTGGGACAGGGACTTCTGATTCTTATTTCGACTCCGAGCAGCACTTGAGGACATCGAGATGGTGCGTATATAAGAACAAGGTATGGAGTGGCTGCCATACTCGTTTCCAGAACCAATGAGCACTCTGGCGCAGTGACTTTCCCGCACGAGGACATGGTTTAGCGCACTTTATGTCAGGTACTCGGCCTCTGTCGCTTCCCGGCCGAAAACAGGTAACGTAGAATAAGCTAGGATTCGTGGTAGCAAATCCTAGATGTGGTAGTTGTTCCAATGGTACTCCGTAACGTTACCACTATCAAAATCCTTATATCGCCTCCAGGGCTATTTGGCTTCATAACTCGGGGCAATTGGGACGCAGAGATACCGATTCGAGACATGAGAGTCTCGTCAAAGCGGAAGGAACACGCGCGGCTGAAAACGTCTACAAAAGGTCTGCATAACTACTACAAAACTACTACCAATCTCCGTGTCGGTGCATGAAATAAAAATGAGTTGGCCCTATTAGGCAACTTCCTTACCATATAAAGAAAGTCTCACAAAGATGACTTCGGGTTGACTTCCGGGCGAGGGCCCAGATTCCTGAGAGAAGCGAGAGGACGTAACTTTCATCTCGTGGATAAACTCCCTATACTCAAGCAATACTTTATGGTGGCTCACACGTTCAGCCTCGAGGGTCGACAATACGGCGTAGCGCACTTTGATTGTTTTGTGGCTAATGCCTAGGATGTTCTTTGGTTGAAGAAGTGCGCGAAATGCTACAGCTTTGAGCCGTGTGTACCCTGTAACTGCCTGGATAGGAATAGCGTGTCGTGAAGGCGGCATGCACAATAGTCAGTCGGCTTACTTAAGCACGGCTTAGGCTTGCTGGGCAATGCTTCGAACCAGCCTCGATCTACCTGCAACGCAGCGATCTGTATTTTAATGTCGCTTGGTCTTGGATCTGTCTCAATATCTGATGTGGTATCGAGACATGATCAAAAATACTGGACTTTGACCTACCGTTGGGTCAGGCTCACGAGGCGGCACTATTCGGCGGTATGACGATGTAGTTGACGAGCTCGCTGGAAGAACCTCTCAACCTCGCGAGGCACTCATGGTTGCATAGGATCTTCAATATTCAAAGCAAGAAGATGATGGAACCATCGATCGTAGAAAAAAATCAAAACGACAGCTCAACAACTCATCTCTGACAATGCCGAGCCGTAAGAAAATAAAGCCTCCATCAAAGTTCTATTTCGTCACATTGCAATCCGAATCCGACGGATCAGGATGGCGAATGAAGAGGTCCCACGCGGCAAGGAGCCATGCGGCATATTGGGGCGGGCCTGCTCAGCAACAACACGAAGCCAACAAGGACGCCTTGAGACAGGAAAAGAACATCGACTCCATCAATGATGCCGCTGACAAAATCCCCAGTGTGCTGAGCGACAGCAAAGTTGGAGCGTTTCCTTTGGGACCGATGACTATGCAGCGCCGAAGGTCAGCGAGAGCTGAGAAGATCAAGGACACCTATGCCAAACCCATGGGGACCTCCAGATGTCCGAAGCATATTCAACCGAACTACCTACAATACCTAGTTCCGGCACCTCTTGATCTTCAGAAGACTGTCTCTTTGTCGACGGCATTCTTGCCAATGTTTAAGTTTTTCGGACAGCAATTTGTTCAGAAATTCATAACGAGTGACCACGAAGACTATTTGATCATGTTAAGTGGATACCTTTTACTCAGTTACGCACATACCATGGCCTTGACGGGACAGGGAAACAAAACCAAGCTCCTGCAACTCAAGAGTCAGGTTATCCAGAGGATCAGCGCAAAGATCAAATCTTCAGGCAACTCACTCAGTCCTCGATCTTTGACGGGAATTCTAGCTCTTGGTGCACCAATCGTCTGCCTAACTTCCCAGGATTTGCCTCAATCTTTGAGTATGTGGGAGTATATCAATGCATCCCAACAAGGAGACTTTTTGTGCTGCAGAGATTCCGCCGAAACGGCAAAACGCGCTCTCGATGAACGACTTGTTCATCGCCAGGCAATGCGCAATCTCTTCTCAAGAAGCAGCGCCACGTTCCAGGATGTGGACAGCATTCATCTACTGGGCTTTGTCTCCAATTATATGAATGTGTATGTCTCCACCGGACCGTTTGTGCATTATAAGACTCTGCTGACAGGAATGTGGTAGATCATTAGCCATCGATGCTGCGGATCACATGGATACTCCACTAGCCAATATCGAAGACCTCTTTCCGACTCTTGACGACCTCAAAGATACTCCTCTGCCTGCCCAGTGGACTTCTCCATTAACTCACCAGTGGCATTGTCCCAAGCCTATAACGCAACCCGATTCAGAGATGGTGACACTGGCCGACTTGATTCATTGCTGGTTGGCAACCTTTGTTGACGGAGACGGCAACAGCTTGTCACCCACTGACGAACTATTAATGAAACGGGCGGAATTGCGTCGTAAAGCTGAAATTCACACAGCCGCAGCGCGACCGCCCAGAACCGAATTGGAAGCTATGTATGAGTGTTGTCGATGGGCAAGTTTGATGCTGTTGACAGTCGACAAGTTAGCTGTCCCTATGTATGTCGCCGCAAGGCATGTCAAAATCAAACCAAGACTTATACGTTGTCTTCGTATGACTGATTTGACAAACCTTTGGGGTTTCCACAGAGGCCTGCTCTTCTGGGTGGCGGCTATTTGCCAGTTCTCGACGGTGGGCCAGTGTTTTCCTCTGCTCTGCACCACCCTTTTTGCGCGTTTTGCGCAAGAGCTTGCAATGTCGGAAGATTGTGCTCAGATCGCGGTCAAGCCTTTGAAGGGGCTGAAACAGTTCGAAGGTCTCTGTTGTCAAGCCAGGCGCTGAATTCGATGGTTAAAGCGCCAAAGTGCCGCACGAATGGACCGCCGGGATGGGATCGCACCCGGGGTAGCGAGTGACGCTTGTTCGCATCATCCCTTTCAGAAGGTCCAGGCAAAAAGATTACAGGACAAATAGATTGCCCAGGACTGACTCAGCCAGTACGAACGAGGTTGGTCCCAAAACCGCGTGTTTATACAGGTAATGAGGACAATATAATGGCACGAAATACCTCTGATTTCTTGACCATGGGCCGACTAAGGACTTAGCAATGAGCGTTAGTAGGCATCAATGGTGTGAGAAGCAGACGCCGCGAGTCTCCCAAGAACAGTTCATTTGGGTGTCCAGATAGACTTGTGCTTCCGAGTAAGTGATGTATTGATGTCCAAGAAAAGATGGGTCTGTCCACGAGATTGCAAAATCTCTGGATGTGACAGACGTTGATTGAGCTTCAAGAGATACACGTAACACATAAATTGACAAGTATTAATAGCAGCAAATATGATTTTGGCACATGTCCCTGTCAAGGGGACCTTCATCAAAAGCTCGCAAAGTCTATCCCTACCGCGTCTGTGTGTCGACATGAAAATGCAGCTTCAAAAGAGCAAAAGAAGGATGATCAAGCCCAGGATTTGAACAGGAGGCTGCCGGAAGTGTCGCAGCAGTAAGAGATCGACAGGGATCTCGGGATTAATTGCTTGGTGATCGATTGGATCGCCAAAGCCTTGAGATTACTGGACGATCCGGCTCTCGCCTTCGCTTGTGGGCAGCTGCAATACTCGCCGTAGAGTACTCCAGCGGTACGTGTTACGTGGCCGACAGGGAGTCGGGTGTCTCGTCAAACATTAGGGCTGATCGTCCTCGGTAGGAGGAAATTCGGTACGTGTAATTGGCGATACTCTGAGCAGTACAATACTTCTTCGTGCTATCAGGTGTTCGTGCTCGTCCGTCCATCAGGATACTTTGCACAGCCCCTTATACTCCATAGATGTTGTGAGACCTGCATGCCAGCATGTGATATGTTGAAAAGGTCGAGAATACTGTTGTAGTGATCTATGTCCCATCAATTAGCAATAAAAATTGAGGTGCGTCGAGACATCTGGGGCTTATGGGAGAGCAATGCCTGGCGGTGTTTCAGACTAGGTATCAGTCGTAACCATGGTGGACGCCACAACCGTGGACACCCATGCTCCGGGCCTCACAGTGCCCCAGCACTGGATGGGCGAAGGATGATTGACAGGCGTGACATGCCAGGATGTTTTTACCCAAGACCAGCAAGCGTGGGTAACAAAGGGCGCAGGCGGATTGAACTGAGGCTGTGAGTGGCCACGATGCCTGCGGTTCCTGAATTCCCTCGTCCAAACAATCATCATTTCTTCCCTGTCGCTCCAGTTTTTCCAGTTCCACCAACTTCCCCCCTTCGTCATCTCGATTCCATCGCCAGCGAAAATATCATCACACTGCAGACGCATTGGGAATTCGGTCACGGAATCCGCCGCAGGCTTCAGGGTCAAGGGAGGGAGAAAAAAACGTGAGCAAGAGAGAGCATTCGAGAGACATACGACCTCATTTCATATCTCCTTTCACGTTCAACATATTTCTTTGTGCTCGTTCCCTCTATTTTCATTATTGTTCACATACAGCATCACGATCTAGCTGCGGCTACTGACACTTCTTTTGTCTCCGCAACTTCATCTCCATCGTCCTACATACGTAAACCACCACTTTCGTTGATCGTCGCCATCGTTTTCTACTGTACATTCATCTGCGAACACCCGTTTGACCGAATACATTCGCTTGAACCTCAAACAGAACAACACAGCTCTCTGGGAGACTGCTTCAATTCATCAGTCGCACCTCCGTCTCTCTGGCAGAGCGTCCTCGACTTCCCGATCGGCTACTGAGCAGATCATTTCACTGGGGCTTCACTGCCCACAATCTTTTCTTCACTTGCTCCGCTCGGTGACATCACCCGCACAGACATGTCACATAAGGGCTATAACAGATTTTCAAGAGAAGGATTTCAACCACTTACTCACAAGACATCCAGAGACAGAACCATGAGCAATCCCAACGATATCACCATCGATATCCCCATGACCCGGGTCACCACCGCCGGCAGTGCCACTGGTGCCCGGAAGCAAGGCCTCTCTCCTAGCCGTGCGGACCAAAATACAGACTCGAGCGAAGGGCTTAATGAAAAGACCGAAGAGCACCACTATTTCAACAGAGGTCCGGAGGGAAGACGGAGAAGATACAAAGATCAAGGGCTGGAGAACAAGACGCGTGACGATGGCAAATTGAACGCTGCTGGCAGAATTTACATGAAAATCTACAATTCCTCGGTCATCACTCGCTACTTCATCTACGTCGCGCCGCTGGCATTGGCAATCGCCATTCCCATCGTCATTGGTGCCACTGCTGCTCCCAATGCACGCATTGGAGGGGTCAAGATTGTATGGTTCTTCTCTTGGATCGAGGTATTATGGGCGTCTTTGTGGGGTTCAAAGCTGCTGGCCAGATTTTTGCCTTACTTGTTCCAATTCTTCAGCGGCGTCGTCAGTTCTGGCACACGGAAGTATGCTTTGGTCCTGACCGCCCTCGAAATTCCCCTGTCTCTGGTAGGATGGGCAGTCGTCTCATTGACCACTTTTGTTCCGATCATGACCCTGAATCCCGACCAGAGAGCGCGCGGAGAAACGGGTCTCAAGGATTGGGAATCCATCGTCAAGAACATCCTCTTCGCCTGCTTGTTCTCAACTTTGATCTTCTTAGGCGAGAAATTGCTTATCCAGCTTCTCTCAATCAGCTATCACCGAAAGACTTTCGATGACAGAATCAAGGAATCCAAATACAATATACACCTTATCACAATCCTCTACGATGCGTCGCGGAAGATGTTTCCCATGTATTCGCGAGAGTTCCTAGAGGAAGATTACCTAATCAACGACATCCTGGATCTCGCCGACGCCAGCAAACGGACAAGTCTTCTGAAAGGTCACAAGAGATCTGGCTCTGCAACTCCCATGAGACTTATTCAGAACGTTGCTCGTGTGGGTGACAAGGTAACATCAGCCTTTGGGAATGTCGCCCAAGAGATCACCGGAAAGAAGGTCTTCAACCCAACAGCGTCACATTCTATCGTTGTGCAAGCACTCGAGCGAAAGCACTCGGCAGAGGCTCTAGCTAGGCGTATCTGGATGTCCTTTGTTCTTGAAGGCAAAGACGCGCTCGGAATTGACGATCTAGTCGACGTTCTTGGCTCGGAACAGGAGAATGAAGCTCACGAAGCCTTCGAAGTTCTCGACGTGGATGGCAACGGTGACATTTCACTGGACGAGATGATTCTTCGTGTCACAGAGTTTGGCCGACAACGTCAATCCATCGCAAGCAGCATGCACGACGTTGATCAAGCCATTCATGTGCTTGACAACCTGCTATGCACGGTTGTCTTTGTGGCTGTAATTTTCATCTTCGTTGCCTGGCTGAACAAAAACTTCACAACAACGTTGGCGACTGCAGGTACCGCGTTGCTCTCAATGTCTTTCGTCTTCGCGGTCAGCGCCCAGGAGATTCTCGGTTCTTGCATCTTTCTATTTGTCAAGCATCCATTCGACGTGGGTGACAGAGTAGACATTACCGATAATCAGTATGTGGTGGAACGCATGTCGCTATTGTACACAGTCTTCCGACGTGTCAAAGACCAGAGACGAACACAGGTTCCCAACATTGTCCTCAACGCTCTATGGATTGACAACATTTCCCGCAGCAAAGCGATGCGAGAGCAGATCAGCATTTTTGTCAGCTTTGACACCACTTTCGAAGACATTGATCTTCTAAAGAAAGAAATGACCCTCTTCGTCCGCGACAAGGACAACGCCCGTGACTTCCAGCCGGACATCGATATTGAAGTGCTAGATGTGTCTGACCAGAGTAAGATGGAGCTGAGGCTCGAGATTCGTCACAAGTCCAACTGGGCCAATGAATCAGTGCGGGCGGCTAGGCGAAGCAAGTTCATGTGTGCGCTTACTCTGGCCTTGCGGAAGATCCCTCTCTACGGTCCTGGTGGCTTTTTCCCTCCTGCTGGTGACAAAGCGAATCCAACATACTCTGTCACCATCACCGATGATATTGCGAAGAAGAATGCGGTAGAGTTCGATGACGCCAAGGACAAGAGCAGATTGGTACCTTTAAAGTCCCCAGAACGGGATCAGAACAACCTGGAAAAGACAGAATCTCAGAAGACTGATTTTCTGGGTATGTCAACCGGTGTTGAAGCTTCAGAAGCTGCCGCGCTCAGTCACTTGATCCAGCGAGACGTTGCGGTCGATCCTGCAGAACCACTCGATCAGCACCAAGAGCTTGTTCTGAACAAGCAGCGGTCGCAGGATGTGGAGGAAGTCAAGAACCTCCTGAAACGCGAGTCAACGACTGGCCGCCGTCGTGCAGCCCGTCACAGTGGTCTCTCGGTGTCAGAAAGCAACGACCCTTCTCGATTGGGCTCTCGCACTATCCCGACGGTTCCGGGACTTTCACCACAAGTTCCCGTCGATGCTTCCCAACGCGAGAGAGTTAGTTATTTTGAAGACACAAACCAACAAACGACTCACCCAACAGCGTCTCAGTCGGGATGGTCTAATGTGGCTCCGTTGAACTATGGTCAGCAACAGCAACCTTATCGACCCTCTGGCCCTTCGGCATCAGGGTCCCCGCCCGCAGACACGGCTAGCCCCAGTCGCTATGTGCCTGGCAACGCCTTCTCTCAACAAATGCATTCACCGCCGCAAGTCAGCCGGGTACCGGTGCCGGGGATGCCAGAACTCAAGAAGAACCTAACGCAAAGTCCCCCACGATAGGAGGCAGTTGGATCAACAGAAATGATACAAACGATTTTGAAATAGAATTAGACGAGCTTTGCCCACGTGTGGCGGAACGATGCTATATGGATGCGGGGTTAATATATGGGATCATCGGCGTTGAATTTTCAAAAATAGCACTTCAAAAGAAAGAAAGTCTTGCTCATATGAGTGGAAGATGTCAATTAGTTGGTGGATTGCTAATGTCTGATTTCAATGAAAAGATATTCTGGCTACTCGTACGGGTACAATCCAGATCAACACCGACCTTTCAGTCAGTAAATATTCTTTGAGCGAAAGTCGTATTTTAATCAGACATGAGAATTCTTTCCACCTGATACGGAGTACTCCATAAAGATATATCATATCGAGAGTAGACACTAAAAGTACAAAGTTGTATACATGGACAGTGGTATAAACCCCAGGTGAGGTAGGTAAAAGCTTACAAGAGCAAAGTGGAGGACGGGGATATGTCGACGTTTCGTGTGAAAAGATGTGTGTGTGTGTGTGAGAGAGAGAGAGAGAGAGAGTTTTTGATGCGTGCAAAAATCAAAACTTGTCCTTTCTTCCCCCATGGGCGGCTCACTTTGCGAGTTTTTTTATCATTAATATCTCACAAACACCCCAGAGACCAATCTCGAACGACCACCACTTCCACTTCCACTTCCACTGCCGGACCGTCGTTGTTGTTGTTGTTGTTGTTGTTGTTGTTGATGTTGATCATTCTTATCCTTGCCCTTGTTGGTGGCGGAGGAGGAGGAGGAAGTATTACTTCCGGTGGCAGCATTCGAGGAACGGGAAGTATTACTGTCCCTGGTGGACTGATGAGATTGGTGGTTGTTGTTGTTGTTGTTGTTGCTACTCATCATTTCTCGACCTTTACCTTTGGGACTGGTGGGTTCGATTTCGGCCTCGACGCCTTGCCTCGTCGTCGTCGTCGTTCTTTGAGGACGTTGACTCGTCGACCTGATGGCTGCGTGGTCACTCCAAAAGTCGGTATCAATGTCTTCCAAGGAAAAATCGTCCAAGATGGTTTCTGTCGTTTCTGCTTCTTCTGGGACAAACGAAGTTCTTTGGTGGTGGTGGTGGTGGTGTTGTTGAGAAGATTCCGGTGAGTCGGTAAAGGACGTAGTGGAAGATGGTCTGGATCCTGATGTTCTTTTCCTTTTTGGGTCTTTTCGGCTTGATGTCGATGGCTTGTCGTGTGATGTGCTTCTTTGTCGTGAGGATGATGATCCCTCCTCTTCCATGAGGGAAAACGACAACGGTGATTTTCTTTGTCAGCCGGCAAAAAGATGTCTCGATGTGCTGATATATGTATATCTGGAATGAGAACTTGCTCTCTCCTCAGTTCCCCCTTCCACGCCCTTTTTTTTATACCAGTTCTCGAGGAGTACCTTTGTCTGTCGGAATGACTCTTCACCACAGAAACGAAAACACTGAAGCCTAGCTTTGGTCAAGATTGAATAGGTCTAGGGTCCGAGTTCATCCTCCTCCTCCTTGAACCCCCCCTGGTCCGTTCGCAACACAGCCCCTGCTTTTTTGACTTGTTTTCTTTCCAAACCAAAAGTTCCTTTGGAGGGCACCGGGGGGGTGGCTTTTGTTGTCAGATATGCAAGTCAATAATGACCGGTGGTAACACAACACGCACGCCACCACCGAAGGAGCGTAATATGATACGGTACAACAAGTGACGAATATTTGCCACAAGTTATTCACAAGTCCCCAGATAGGTGGCAACGACAAGATGGGGGCGTAGTGTGGGTGTGTGCAAGCAAAGCAGTGATGCACTCGGGGGAGGTGTGTGTGTCGGGTCAGAATCGTCAAGATATCCCCAAGGGTCTGCCTTGATATACATAGACACGAACAACAAGTCAAACATGGAAAGAGTATTGGTCCGTTCCCAAACCAAAAGGACGCTATACCTATACCAATGGGGGCGGGCAGGGGGGGGGGAGGGAGGAGAAGCCCTTTACCTTGTTCGTACCTTTCGGCGAGAAAGGTGAAAGAAGGCTCAGCCATGTGGCATCATCATCATCATCATCGTCATCCGGCTGGTCCCAAGCGGAGGGTTGATTGACCCATGTGCAAGGGTCCGTGGATCTTCTTGGGAAGAACAAAAAAGAGTACGAGACGAGAAAGAAAAGAGTCATGCTGAACATTCGGCGTTACATCGTTGGTCACATTTCTTGGGAGTAAATTAGATTGGCCATGACTTATGGACGGGGGGGGATCTGTTGTTTGGCTCAAGGATAATACGGAGTATCTGTAGAAGGTAGACAAGTCTTGTACTGTACCGAGTACGGTAGTGCTTTCGACTCATACCCTCGTACATTTGAGGACAAGTCTGAGCGGAATCCCCGAAGCCAGAAAAGAAAGAAGGAAAAAAATTGGATACCCACGGCAAACGCTCAAAAGGAGGGGATTGGACAAACTACCTGGATCGAGGAGTGACTAACTGTACAGATTCAAGCGAGAAGGGACTAGGGAAGTCTGTTCTATCCTTGTGCCTGTCTTTTTCGTTTCCCTTGGGGGTCCCGGCGGCGCCGTGTTGCTGGGAAATGGGAACAAGGCGACGACGTCAGGTTCATGAGTTAATACCCTACAGGGTAGTGGTGGTTCTCCGGTAGCAACTTTACAATATCACCGGCCCGAGATTTCTCGATTTCGCCGATTTTCCCTCAAGGCTGCGAGATTTACCACGTACACGTTGCGAGATATTTTATCTTTGCTGCCTATTTACTGACACGTTCCCATCTCACAAGAAGCCCCCCGGGGGGATGGAGAATTCAGTACTCGTAAACGCGTCAGATGACCCTCGTCGGACCTTCTCGTCTTCTGTCCCCCGTTCTTTTCCTTATCCCCCCCCCTTTGCCCTGCCCTACCACTTGCACCAGGACGGACTCACTAACTTACTCGTAAAGAGAATACATGATCGCGTTTGGACCCCAAATAAACAATTGGCCATGGCAAGTAGTCCAGTCATTCCGTAACCCGGTGTAAACCCACCTTGCTGTGTATCGTAGGGCGACCATATCCGACCCAAAAAGGTTGCCCCATGATGACCTTGCTGAATAATGAACCAAGGCCACTCTTATCGGTCTGGACCTTTGTAGGATGATTAATTGACAAATCCCCGACACCTACGGATTGACTCAGTGAGTATGTAGTCTTGACTGTAATCTACTGTATTCGCTGGACATCATTGATTTCTGCCTGCTCTTTCGACCCTCTTTTTTTTCCACCTCCTTTGGAAGTTCCACCTGCCGAATTGATCTCTCGACTTATTAGGCTTTGATGCTCGTCAAAAGACATGCACAAGGTCGTCATGGCGCCCCGAGTGAGTATACGAGGTACGAGTTAAATTGTTTAAACGAACTACCGTAGTGTACGCTTATAATCTGCCAGGGCAGACTCACACAAGACTCCTTCGCAGACTCACTGGACCTATTATACTACCCGTACAGTATATTCCCCACGTACTCTCGATCCCGCGCCGATTGGATCTTCCCCCTTCCCCTTCCCTGCCTCCATGTAATGTGGCTGAATGTCTGCCTTGCGCCAGGCCTTTTTCCCCCCTAGTAACAAAACCAAAAAAAAAATCCCTCGGCTTTTTCGAAACTACTGTAACTCCCAATTCTTGGAAATACTTCATTCTACCTCGCCAGCGGGGGGGGAGGAGGAGGAGGAGGAGTACAATGGGGTTGAGTGAGTCACATTGACAAGATTGATGCGCCAAAAAAAAAGATGGTAGAAGTGCCGATCATCTTTGGAGACGCTACGAGTAACACACTACTACTGTACTCCGTACGCCTGCACCATCTAAGGTGGTCGGTCCTCGTGGAAAACAAAAGAATCTATATGTACCGAGTAAAGGTCCTGTGCCTTTTTTTGGTCTGGGGATCTATTCTGAGGCTTCAGAGTCCAGAGACCATGTCGGGTCGGTCGATCAATAATGGTTTGTTTTGATGTTTCGTTCATTATCCAAAACAAGTTGACTGTCACTCTGTTAAAGTTCCTTTTCCCCTTTCGGTAGGAACGGAATACGGAGACGGACATGGATACCATTGAGTATCCAACAGTAGTGTAGGTATTATGAGTTCCTACAATGGGTACGGAGTACTGTACTCCGTACATACTATGACAAGGCAGTGGGGGTCCAAATTTAGCCAGGCTAAATCTTCCCTTCCCCCTTCCATCATTGAAACGCGTGACTCAGGCAGCAATTCCAGAAAGGGCCTTGGGCTCGATCTTGGGGCGATCTTGGTACCGAGTAGCACAACAATAGAGTGGAGTGAGGGAATTTACTAACTCGTACTTTTTTTTTACCGTTGGACTCGTACAGAGTTAATACTTTCGTATCCTCACGGACGACTTTTGACATGGACATTCAATTTCTCATCCGTTACGGCTTGATTGAACAACTACGAGTTAGATGTTTACGGAGTACATGGATCCTCCGACAGAACAACGGGTAGTCGGTATGATGATGGGACAGGAACGCCGGATGGTACTGTAAAAGCCATCGTTTGTCCTTGTTGTCCTTGTTGTCCTTGTCCTTGTCCTTGTCCTTGTCGTTCCGGTGTTGGCAACTTTCTCACAATACCTCGCTCGGAATTCCGAAAAATTGATCTGGGTGGTACACTCCGTAATCCGGTATTACAAGTGTTCGATACTGAGATTCCCAATTCTTCTCTATTTTTGGACCATTGTGATATGAACAACAACAACAACGTCATTCACTTTTTCCCAGATCCAAAAGACACAGACGCTAGGCACATCACGCAGACATCCATGTAACCGATCAAGATCAGCCTTGATCATCCATCATGACTCCTGCGCAGTATGCCTCACTGATGATGATCGTACTCGGATCACGTCCCCTCGTACGGAGTACTCCCGTTGGTCATTCGTTTCTGTTCTTTTCTATCTTGAGCCTCGTCACGAGCCGCATATCTACCCGAAGAGCCGATACATGGTCCCACGGGTTGCCTGTGATCCTATTCATCATGGATGTCTGAACGTGTCTAAATATACGGAGTACTGTAACACATTTTGAGGGTCTGCGGAGAACCCGTCATGTTACAAACTTCGACTACTTTGAAAAACTCGTACTGGACCCGTCCGACGGTGTGGACGACGAGAAAGTCCACCGATGATGTTTACTGTACAGACGTTTGTTTCGGTGAGTGGCCCCCTTGAAGCCGGATGAACGAAAAAAAAAGCAAAACAAAACAAAAACCAAGTCAAGCTTCGAATCTTAAATCTTCATCTTCATATCATTCACAAATCTTAATCACATCATATCATTATATCTTCAAAAATCATTACTCCAGATTCTAACGATGCAATGGAAAGTCGTCTCCAGGAACAGCAAACCACAGCAACTCCATTCGTCCAATGTCAATCCCTTCCTTGTACTCCGTTTGATGAGATAAATAGTCTTCGCAATCTAATGCAATCCCCAGAAACTCCTCAAATGCCTAAAAGCCCAAAACCCGAAGCTCTTCCATCGCTATGATGTGATAAGAAACAAGATCAACTCTGTTTCCCCCCTAAAACTTCTCCATGAAACCCTTCCGGACAGTCCACATCCTTGCTCGTTTGCCGTAGATGTACATGGGAATAGTGCTGATGAGACAGATGACCTGAATGGCTCCAATGGCCAAAAAAGTGGTCCGTGGCCCATCATCCTCCAACCATGTCGCAAAGAACAAACTAAACACCAAACCGTGGAAGATATTCTTGCTGAAATTCAAAGTTACGAGTGCTTCACCAGCATATTGTCGATAGCTGTCGACACAAAAGGTGATGGACGTCGTGCTGCCCAGGGAACAACCGAAAGAAATCAGCCCAAAGAAGATGGTTGGAACGATCCAATTGTCACGCTCTTGGGCGGACCAGCCGAATCCCATCAACCCGATCGCCGTAGTGATCGCAATAGGAATGCCCATGACAAGTCGAAATTCGGGTTCGTACACACCACCGTTCTTCCGAGACATGTATCGTACGATGATATCTGACACTTTGCCGGCAACTGCAGTACCAAGCACGCCTCCAACAAATGGAGAAATATAGACAAGGCCGGCCTGTAATGAAGTGAAATTGTAGGCTTCACGATTCTTGTAGATGGAGCTTATCGACTCCGATAGCACAATCAGCCAGCCCACCGACAACGAATACACAAGCGCCGACCAGAGGACGCTAGGATAGGCAAACAGTATAAAAGGCCGGCAAGCCACCAGAAACCAATTAGATTTCGAAAGTCTTCCATTCCACGGCTTGAGGGTTTGAAGGTAAGACTTTGGAGGTGCGTGACGGAGAGTCGTCGTGTACCGCGCGATTTGAGGACTTGGACTAGGGAAGTAATCCTCGGTTGTCCTCGACTTTTCCGAAGCAGTAGGACTCTGAAAGGCAGTCACGGGCACCGAAACCGGATTGGGAGATGTTCCTGGCACGGCACCCTGTTGTTCTATGCCAGCTGCCTGAGCTGGTTGGGTAGTCGGGATGTTGTGGTGACGGAGATAGTCGTTATTCTTCTCCAACTCCAAATAGTAGGGCGAATTGAGGTTGTGTAAATACGGTGCTGGAGATCCTTTGGCTGGTGGACTGGCTTCTGGCTCAATGATAACTGGATTACCTGACGAAGTGCGAGGCCCCTTGGTCGGAGTCTTGTCATCATTGTTTCCATCATTCCACTGTGGTGGCAAACCACGTAGGTCCGGTGGTGGTGGCATGGACAGTCCAGTAGGTTTGGGTCTTCTTCTTCCTGACGTCTCCTTCACTGGTTCATTCGCCTGTACCACCTTGTTGGCTTGTTCCTCCTCTTTCTCGTCATACGATCCATAGGCAGTGCTTCCCTCCGAGATGGGTTGATTAGTTTCCTCAGTGTGACGAGCATGATCAATGGCTTCTGACTTGTCGTTGGTCGACTTTGTACTCTCCGCATCATCTTTGGTCGCGTCGATTACATCTTCGAATCTAGCATGAACGTTTTGCTCATGCAACATGTGCTGTCTGGGTGTCATTGTCTTCTCAATGGCCTCTCGTAAAGCCGCAGGGTCGGCCATGTTCGGCTGTGGTTCGTGTGGCTTCGCATTGGCCAAGGGATGACGGAGGATGCTGGATAGACTTCGTTGGTGAGTTGGCCTCCTGGACTTGGGTCTGGGCGTCCGGTCCCAGAATGTCTCCGGCACGAAAAAGAACAAAAGGCAGAAGCAGAAGCCCACGACCATGGTGACAACCCTGGAAACTGTGAGTATTGGGTTGGCGGGTGATGGCTCAAGGACTTACCAAAAGACCCATCTCCAATCTTTTGCACCGATGATGACAGCACTGACCAGAGGGACTAAATTCTTTCCGCCCAGGAGAAGAAGAGTGTAAATGCCGACTCGGAAGGCACGTTCATGCAAGAAGAAGATCTCTGCAATGGTGGCCGAGGGCAGACATTCCACTGGGCTCACCGAAATGCCCTGGAACACGCGAGCTGTGGCGAGTTGGGCGTAGCTGGGGGCCACGGCGCACCAGACTGAGGTGACAATGAACATGACAGCAGAGCCCAGATAGACGGGACGTTTACCCCAAAGAATGGCGGTAGGGGAAAATATGACACTGCCAACACCGAGGCCCATCATGTACAATCCCGTCGTCAAGGCCACCCTCGAGTAAGACACATCGTAAGTCTCGGCAACGTTGTTGAAACCTGCGGCCAGGATGGGGGTGATACCTCCACCGACCATGCAGTAGAATCCAAGGGACAGCAAGGCAACATCTCTTCTCCAGGCCGGCCAGTTCAGCGGGTCGTTCAAGGAGTCATCTGGCTGCGGGTCCAGGATGAACTGGCCGTCTCTTGTCTTTTTCTTGGTCTGGTGTGAGGGACGTCTCAAGGGAGGAGTGAGAGGCTGCGCGGGCATAGAGGAAGAACTCCTCCGAGCATGTTGATGCTCGAGTCCGAGGGGTTCATTGCGGGTGGAGGACAGGAGGAGGACGGTTCCGGGGACTTCCTCAGTCTCTTTGTCATTCAGGATTCCCAGTGACCATTTCTCGATCTTTGGAGCCATGGGTCGAGCGTGAGGGAGGGAGGGAAATGGCGGCTACTGCTCATAACTAGGTAGGTAGGTGAGAGGGAATGGTAGCAGTGCTGGTATGAATGGGCGAGCATATAAGGATATTTAGGGCCAGTGTAATCAGGGTACGTAGGTTGAGATTTGATCGAGGGTCGTGTTCGGTCATGCGGTGGTGGGTGGTGGATTTGACAATCTGGGGAAATGGCGTTGAAGCCACGAGAAAGAGCCTTGTATGACAGGTGAGATAATCAAGGCTGACGCGGATATGAACGGCCGAAAGCCCCTGTGCGAGTGCTAAAATGGGGACAGGGGGCTAACTTCCAGGCGGGTCGTAGGGGTCTACGGGTAAATTTAGGGCCTGTTTTGTCAACTCTCGCGACGCGTTCTCGGTGGTGAGGCTAGGACACCACGGCTGTGTCCCAGGGACTCCTTAAATCAAGGGTCAGACACCTTTGCTTTTTTCTTTTGCGCCGGCTGATATAGGCACGTTCTTATCACGTCACATTGCATGTCAAGTGGTCTTGGTGCGACGTTGATATCTGTCTCTCTCTCTGTGTGTTGGACCTCGCCTACCCTAACCATCCTCCTCAATGGGCCACCGGGACCCCCTGTGGCGCCCCTAGAACGCTCCGCCCAGGGCAGCCCAGTGGCCGCCGAGCCTCTCGCGTCTTTTCGCCTGCTGCACTCTGTCGATCGGGCCTGTGCCAACTCGACCTTGACCCTGTTCGCTCCACCGTCTTGCACATGCTCGGCCTTCCCACAAGTCAGCTTGAATAATCTCTCTCATTATGCTACCATCGACGACCTGCTGACCAGCGTTGAGCATCTTCATGCAGACCGCCCTTGCACGTCCCCCACACCATCACCAACTACCTTGCTGCAACAACGATCCGTCAGATGACCGAGACGACAGGGCTGACTCAAGACGCCCGAGAGAGAAGCCACCAGGCTGAGGGAGGGACGTGGATGGGGGCACACGGGATGCAAGACACGGGGCACGGGCTACGAGTCCTAGCGGGATTTCTTGGGTGTTGTTGATTCTTCATTCTTTACCGAGAATGCGTCTCATCATCCACAAACCGAATCCCTCTGTCACACGGGAGCGCACTCGTGACAACGAATCTGACAACCACACCCCCTTCAAGTCATCTCTGAAAGTAATCTTCTGCTACATCTTGTCTTTGCAATCAACCGGCCTCCTTTCCTTGTCTGTGGCAATTTGACTCCGGAACTGAAGATGTGAACAAGCCTGTCACCGCGAAGAATAGCACCAAATATTTCGTGAATTCGTAAATTGCCAGACATATAATGTAACGTTGAACTTCCTGGTCTTTCGCTCTAGCAAGAACAACAATGTAGAATTTTCCAAGTCTGTATCAATCCCAAGTTTTCCCTTCAGTCTTCGCTGAGTCTTTCGCGACGGGCACCAAACAGGCCTAATCCCAAAGATGTTTCATTTTCTTTACCACTCCCGTTATCCAAAATCTCCCATACCCGTGGTCTCCATTCTCCTATGATTCCTCTACCCTCTTTCACCATTTGCAGTCCCTGGCCAAGGTCTCGCGACTGTATGGACCCGGTAATGTTGACACTGCCAAAAAGATATTGAAGTCGAACGTCGTGCACCTTGTCTTTGAGCAACTTTGCGCACATCATCTTGACCTCGTCACCAACGTGGTCCACGATCGTGGCAATCACGTCAAGAATGAAGTCATGTACATTTTTGACCCTTTCCTCTTCTTGCTTGTTGTTGACGTGAGCGGTCCCGGCTGCGAGTGTGGGGTGTGTGAAAATGAGTGCTAGACGCACAAGTAGCTGGACTTGCTCACTCTGACCCTGCTTCGTGTTTGGTCCGATTCGTGCGGCAGAGATCACTGCCGACCGTTGTAGACAGACCATGTGAAGGATAGAATTGAGACAGTTGAGGGTCGCCCACGCGCTCGACCCGCCAGTAGCCTCGAAAGAACTAGCATTGGGGCTGGACGTCACCATCTGTGCAGGGCTCACATTGACTGAATTTCCGGGAAGACCGCTCAGTGCCGCGGCATGACTGTTCTGAGATTTGAAAATTTGTGTCAATTTTTCAATCAACTGGGTCATGAAACCAGGCATGGGGCTAGTATTTTTGACGCAAACACGAAATGCTCGGTCCACGATTGCAGAAAGATGTTGGACATCACTCGGAAATACCGCAGATAGAGGGCTCGATGTCTTTCCCGTAGGAAACTTCGGCAAGGCTTCCAGGAACTCACTCTCCACCTTGTGTCGAAGTCGATTAGCAACTTCTGGACCAGCTGTGTGCAGCCACTGGGCAACATTGCCTTGCTGAGCATCTTGGTCCCGAAGTGTCCGTTCCAGGGTCTCAGAGAGGATGTTCACTAACTGACTCTGGCCGTCAGAGGGCTCTTCCGCCCGAGCATGAGACATCAGCCACAGTCGCAGCTGTATGTGTCGTTGGGAGAAGATGTTGATGCCACTAAGGAGTGCTCGCAGATCTACGGTGTCCGTGACTGTGTTCCCAGGATGCAAAAGGCCGTCGACCGTCTGTATTAGTAGTGTTATGACCGAATCAGACAGATGAGCCGAAGTGAGAGGGGGATTGATTGCCAAAGAATGCACGAGCCTGATTCGTGAAGCTGCTTTTGAGTCTTCCTTTCCCAGTTGAATGAGCACCTCCAAAGCGCGCTGAGGTTCTCGTCGACAATACTCGATCCATCGAGTTCGGGTTTGGTAGAGAGCGAGGTTAGAGAGTGATTCCTTGTCCGGTATGTTGACCCGGCGCAGTAAAGTTGCAGCAGAAGGAAGCTTGCGCAGTTGTAGCTTGGTCATATCCAAAGCCTCCAGAAAGCCAGCAAAAGTGACACAGCCAGCTCCAATCAGGTTTTGGAACAAGGAGGGACCGAAAGTGTCATCGAGAAACGGTGCTAAACGCATCAACCATTTCTGAATTAGTTGATCTGCCTGGCCTTTCCGACAGAGCCGCAGTCGGCTGAGCAGTTGACAGAACGAGAACAAGGTCAATGAATCGTCCCCAAACTTCTGCTGTTTTTCAATGCGATCCACAAGAACCGAAAACAATCCGTTCATGGTTTGCTCCGACATGTTTGGCTCGGACTGCAATATTGCTTCAAAGTCTTCGACAAATGTAGCTCCGGCTTGTTGTAACGATTCCGCGATGCCGTCACTATACGGTGAGCACGCTGCCACTGCCCGACCACGGTCGCCTCGGACGAAATCCTGCTGCAACGACTTGACTGTGGGCGTAGCGACAGGGAATGCACTGCAAAGATCGAGCAATAAATTTGTGAATAGTGGCATCGCAGGTTTAGTAGAGCGCCAGGCCATGTAGATCTGACAAAGTCTCCTTTGGAGAACCTCAAAGGCGCCTATTGCTTGGAAGGCCTCGGAGTGGGCTTGAATTGTAGCTGCAAGAGATGCCACCATTGCGTCATCTTGGCTGTTACAGAAGATGCCTACCACATCGGCGAGAACAGGTTCGTCGTCCATACACTCGAGAATGTATCGAATGAAGGAGAATTGTGCACAATCCGTTCTTGTAGAGGACAAGAGGCCGGATGATGTGGAGAGTCCAGGCATATCCCGCATCGCCATCTGCACGGCCTTCGCACGAAGCCACATGGAGATCCTAGACTTGACGCACCATGGCAGGGAAGCAAAGGAGGGCTCTGATATCGTCGGCGTTGATGAGGAGGCGCCTATAAACAGTTGTGATAATTGTTGTTCCATGTAGCGGATATGATGTTGATAAAGCTCCTCCTCCGAACTCAGGTCGAAGCCACAACGTGCCAGGATCGAATTTCTCAAGTGTACGACATGCGTGCCGGTGTTCTGGAGCGACAAGTCAAGGAGAAAATAATTGAATTCCGAAAAATCGCAGATGCTGTTCGTTCCTACACCAGTATCCTGGTCCAAAGTGACTGTTCCCGCCTTAGGAAGACCTCTCACCATAAGCCACTGCAGGTACTTTGCCGTCGGAAAGGAATTAGATCTCGAAAGTTGTGCGATCAAGTGTCTCAAGCATTGAGGATCCGCCGTGGTCTTTCCCTCCCGGCAGGAAGAAAGAAAATTGAGGATAACATTGTCCACCTCGTGACCTGCTCGTTGCCAGCGTCTCAATAAACGTGCAAAGAGATATATGCGGGCGTTGGAGGATCGGAATTGTGTGCACGCCCATTCGATGCAAGTAGATATCACAACGTCAGTATCCGAACAGATAGTAGTGAGATCTACCGCGAGTTTGGCCACATCGAACGGAGGCTTAAGTGTGTCTAGGAGCTCGACGATCTCTTGGATGGGAGAACGTTTGGTGGAAAAGTCCCCTCTGTTGAATCCCATCGTCCTCTCGTTGATGCGGTTTAGTTCTTCCAGAATCTGGGTTTCTTGTTGAATTTTCCCATCCAAGCATTTCTGGACAATCGAGTGGATTTCGGGCCATTTGTCTGGCATCAAAAAATTTCTGGGCCGACTGAGAAGAAGCCCCCGGATGGCATGATGTAGTCGTTGCAGAAGTGGCGCTGCTCCTTGGCCCGCAGTCTTTTGCACCAGTTCGTACTTTTCAATCAAAGTTTCTGCAAGCTTCCTGCCTCGTCGTCGATAGTAGCTAATGTCCTGTCTGTATATATGGCTAATCATCAGCCAAAAAGGAAGTTGTTCTAGCGATGCTGCCGCCAAAGATCGTAGTATCCAATCAAGATAATGATCTCGGTCCAAAAGACTCTCCATGTAGAGACGGGTGCTTATACGAATAGCGTATTGTATATCGGTCCTCCAATCTGGACTTCCAGCCTGTCCGAGATGCGATTCCAGAAATTGCTCGACACTGACGGTCCATTCCCGCAACCACTTTCCTTCGGTACCCATGGCTATGGCGGGAGTGGTGCCCTTTCTCTTCAATGTCCGAATCTCGTTGGCGCAGACACATTTTGCAAACCAGATGGCACGGCTCAAAGGGACACGATTCTGCAAGCACTGGTCGAGCAAGAGTTGGCCTCGGATGCCTTGTGGAATCGTTCTACTCAACCTTCTCAATGGCACATCCGCATTCGCCAGGTCCGCAATCCATGATTTCCGTTTGGCTTCGGTCAAAGTAACACGTGGCGGGGGTTTGAAAGTGGTGGGAACGTTGATGAGGCTCTGCTGGCTCTTTTTATCTAGTATCAGGGAAAATAGGACGGAAAGGCTGTCCACTCCTGATTTGTGCTTGAACGCATTGTACAGCGGCACCCGAGCAGTATTAAGCTCTTTCTCCGTCGGGTTTGGAGGTTTGTCGAAGTATCCCTGTTTGACATTGACGTCGCTCAACACATCCTCCGGGTGCTTGCCATTCCATGGAAAATAGCCCGCAGCTTTTTGAGGAACGAAATGAGGTGCTCGCTCCGGTGATACCAGCGAATCAGGGGTCGTGGGAACAGGGACATATATTCGTGAGCGGTGAGTAGGCAATGGATCTTCGGTTGTTTTGGATTTGCGACCTAAGTCCCAAGGACGGGGAGGCAAGTCTGGTAATCCATTGTCCTCGGTCGCTTCCACCTTTTCCCCATCCTGCGAATAACGAGGGTCAAATAACAAGGCAGATGCCGTCGGCGCTACCAAGCGCAATTGAGAAGTACCATGCTGCGTTGCCGTGGGAGCATTGGCAGTGATGGTAACAGTCGAGGCATTGCCGGCGTTGGAAGCCTGAGTCGAGATTCCATCTCCCTCCACTTTCCTCCGCTTTGTTGGCCGGTCCTGTGTAGGTTCTGTATATTGTCTTTGAGGTCCGGTAGGTCTTCGCCCGAGAGAGGAAGGGATATCGCTTGCGGCTCGATCGAGGGAAGGTCGAGGCACATCGGGAGGATGTCTTGAGGAGGGAGGCCGCGGTTCGGCCAGAGGGTTCGAGGTCATGACCTGACCATCTTGACAGTAGGAGTGAGGGAAGCAAGGCCGCTTGTGCCTTTGCGAAGGACGATGGCTATATTGGCACTGGTGTGGGTGTTGTGTAGAACGAGCACGGTCCGGATCGACGACGACAGATGATGGGTTGGCCAAGGATGTGGAGACAGAGGATCGATGGTTCAGATAAAAAGGGTGTTATAGTCGACAAAGTAGTGGGATAAATGATTGTGTCGATATGAACATTTGGTGGTTGCGAAGGACGACGAGGGTGTGAAGTGAGGGAAGATGGCGAGGGAGAAGTGAGTTGAGTGGAATCTGAAGTCGCAGAACCGACGGCCGGAATTGATGAGATAGGGTCACCGGGTGAATACTGTGTATTACCTGTGAAATGGGGTGGGATCGATCGCAGGAGGAGGCCGAGTAGCACTAAGGAACTACGGAGTAGGGAACCAGGAAACCATCTTACCAGTACCTTGCCTAGGGCTCGGAAGGGTGACTTCGGCAAGAGGCCCCAGCACTATTTGAGGTAGCTTGCATTGAGTTGGTCGCCTACTGGTGGTAGTGCAGTTGCAGCACCAGTCCAGGCTCTCAACAGGCCCAACCGCGGGATTCCCGTAGAGAAGCCTTCGGACGATCACGAATAATAAACAGGCGCCAGGGAATGAGGTGACGGACGGGCCAATGCCCCCATGTCGGAACTTCGTAGGTACACACAATCGTCCAGTCCCGGTAAGGATGGCTCAAGTTATTGGTGGCGATCGGGGCACGAGCTTCGGCATTACTATTTTATTACTGTAAGAGGTTTTGGCGGTGCTTATTATACACCGTACTCGGTACCTAGTAGGGTAGGTACCTTAGGCATTGTGTGCAAAGTGTTTTTACAGCACAATGAATACAACGAAGACCAGTGTGAGAAACATTATTATGGCATATTATCCGACCTGGTGATGTCCTGGCCAGACATACGACAACATCCATTTTCCATGCTTATCCCATCTCAAATACGCATAATCCTTCCAGGTCGGTCGACAAGACATTTGTTGGGTATCGAGTCCACGTACTTGGTCCCCACGCCCTCCTCCGTAGCCGGGTGGCTGAGGAATGACCACGCTGAGGTCCCAAGGTCATGGTGGATGTGCAGATGACTGCGGCGACAGCATCAGCAGGTGATGATTCGGTCGGAGAGGCTGAATGCGCGCTGGCTACGGAAGTATTGGCCCCCCTTGTCACTTGTGTGTTTGTCTCTTTTCTGCCTTGACCAAATCAGCTGCGGTGGTCAGCCTACTCCTCGTAGAAACTCCGGAAGATCATTGACTGTACGGAGTACTTTCGTAGGGGTGTTGTTAGCGATCTTCTCTACCTTGGCCCCCGAAATGTATGCACGAATAAGGACTCGATGCTACCGTGGCGACACCGTGATTGCACATCATGGCTGTATGAGTAAGTCGAGTGATGCGATGCAAAAGGAGTTCTCGTTTCCACCGATTCGAAGCACTTGCCACCCACTCTGTCATAGCACTCATGCATATCTCGTGCTTGGTCCCGAGGGTCCAGGACTTCGGCCGACGGTCGATGGATTGTGCATATTATAAGATGTCAGGTACAGAGTATTCACTGCATCGTATCTACCTAGGTACTCTCGTCAAGAGCCCACCGGCGTTCCAGATTTTCTTTCCGACACTGCCGGAACGGTTTCTTGAGTGACACGTCTCCATCACCGAGACCAACCGGGCACTTATTCGAACTTGCAACAAATTACGAAATGGAATAGTCCGTAGAAACTCTTGCGTGATGATCGTTACGAGGGCATCTCTCTGGGGGCGATCAACACTCTCGTCCGAGGAACCCGTAATCTTGCGCCAACTGCGGAAGACCCCGTAGATATGGGAGTTACTGTACGGAGTACAATAATCTCGGCATCGCCAGCCACCACCACCGCCGCCTCCTCCTCCTCCTCCAACTCCTTATCTATACTCCGTATCGGACATGGGAACAGAGGCATTTGGTTCGAAATTATCAGTGCGGATAATTACCGGCCTCACCTATCTACCAAAGTAGCGAGTACATTCGTTACATAGGGCACAAGCCATGACGGCCACCTCGCACTCGTAACTTTCTCACCACCTCCACCTCTCGGACTGGGTGAATGTGGGGTGACGAACGGCTTGACAATCTCTGACACAAAACACAAACCGGATGTTCTCGTATCGAGGGAGAATTCGCGGAGTAATTGTTTGCAGCACCAAGAAAAGGCCATAGCCAAGGTAAGACAATATCTTCCGCAGTTCGTGCGCCGTGCCGCATCCACTCGGGCACTTGGACGGCAATCTCTCAACCCCATCTTTCCTCATTCATCCCTCATCACAGTCTCGTCACAAAGGAAACGTGCAGAATAGATTTGCCGAGAAGATGCCGTTTGCCTCTGTACAGTATTGTACAATATTCGATAAGCGGAACTACTGATATGCCCTCTAACCTGAAACTATCCCACGATAATGCCAACAACCACTGCTCAGGGGCCATACAAACCACTACCCCAAGACCTGTTCCTGAGCCCGTGCCTATTTCTATCAGTCTTTCGGTTCCGAAACCTTCGAATGGTTCCTCGACACCTAAACCCCCGTCACACACAACCTGGTCTTTGCAAACAGGCTACGCAGTATTCTGTGCGTGGTACGAATAGTCCATCAAAACGTCCCCAAAAGTGGTAGTACGTCGTCAATTGAACGACCTTCTTGATGCCCATGCTGTATCTTGCCGAATCCCTCCATAGCGCTCCGTCTTCGTTCCCTGATGGATAGACCCCTCTCTGGTAGAGCTTGGGGCCACTTTTGGTGCCGGCTCACTCCCATCATGCTGCCAAACCGACTTCGTCGCCTTGTGAGCAAAGACTCCTCGTCAAACTCTAGACTCATCTTTGAACTTCCTGAGAAGGGAGGCGTGCGGTTGGGCTCGTCCATCAAGCTCGACAGAGGATCTAGGTCTATGTTGTTGCGGCCATCGGTCAATGGTGGGAAGATGTTCTCAACTGGGGCCGTCGATGGTTCGCCAAGTAGCTGCTGCTGCGCATCAATTTCATTTGCAAGTGGTGCCGGGATTGCTGGTCTCGTGGAATATCTTGATCGAGGTAAGTTTCGGAAACCCGCCTCTCGCACAATTTTGGCCAGCTTTGGGCTTTCCATCAGAGGGCCGAAACCTCTGGGGAATGTTTCACTACCCTGCCACCAGCTTGTCCGTCGACTCGTGGGCAAGACCGAAGATATTCTTGACTGAGTTAGAACCTTGGAGAGACGCCTTTCCAAAGATGTCGTATCCACCGAAACATTGCCTCCCACCCCAGTATCGCGGTCTGGAGGACTGGGAGTACAGACTTCCGGGCTAGAACCATATGCATCGTCATCCCAAATGATCTCGAATACAGAGGACTCTGAGACGTATTTGGTAGAACAACGCCGCAGCGAATTGAACTCCTCGACATGTTGCCCTGCAAGAGGGAGGCGGGTTGGGATGGGTGTCAACTTTGTGAAAATCGGCGCCGCCACGCTGCTTATCGCCGGACGAGCCTCATTTTTGTCTATCGATGGCGGTGGAGGGGTGTTGGTCTCACTTCGTATAACTTGCAGACCTTCGCTAGGACTGATGCGCTGCTGACCCTGGCTACTGAATGTGGTGAAAAATGACGACAAGAACCCAGAATTCCTCCTGCTAAACCTGGGGGTTGGAAAGTATGTGAGCGACATGCGTTTTGGTGATCCAGTTGCACGACGGAGGGTAATCATCGCCGGACTTTGCGCCATTTTGGTTTTCTTCGACACTCTGCTCGTGGTCTCTGGAATGGGTGCAGTCGTAACGATAGCTCTGGTGGATGTCGCCTTGGACGGAATTGTCCATCTCCGGGATCGCAGAACTGAACGTGCCTGTGATTCCGGCTTTTGTGAGGTCCGGCGAAGCTGAACGGCTGGAAGCGAGATGGTCTTTCGTAGGGTCGGTGAAATGCATGTACCACTCCTTCTCCAGCTACTGGAACCGTCTCGAGATAGTCGGGTCGTCGCAGTACGAGACATGGAGTACGAACTGGCGGAGAAGGGATTGTGCCAGCTCTCCCCATGGCCCTTGCCCTTTTTCATGGTCAAGCTAATGGGGTCGGCGGCATCAGGCTTGAATGGGATGCGTTCAGAGCTGTCATGAGACCGTGGCGGACTCAATAATGGTTCACTTCGCAGAGTCCCTAGGCTGCTCGAGGATCTCGGCACAAAGGAGTAATTGATCGACATGGCTCCAGGTTTTGCTTGGTCCTTTGAACAACAATAACAATATACAATGAGCCAGGTGTAACAATGATGTACTCGATCTAGGGACAGCCCATAAATAATGTCTGGTGCATGTCTGCAACATTGAAGACCGCATTTTTGGGGATTTAATCGTGAAGTCACCTTGTCCGGAACAATTGCAGGTGGTGTCAGGTGCATCGCCTCAGCTTGAGAAGGAACGACCACGGCGAGCCGAGTATCCGAGATCGCATCGCATGTTCAAAGTAGGATGTCTACAATAACCATTAAAATGTCATTAATTCGTTGAGATCCAGGCAGTTGGCCTCAGTCAAAAATCGAGAATTGGTTTCAAGCAACCCTTCGTGCGTCCAAATGTGCAGTGTCCCCAAATACCAAACCCATCTGTCTCCTCGGCCACTCAAGATATGGTGTCCAAATAGGGTCAAGCAGAGCTGAGATGTCAACGACCAGACTGTACGCCCATCCGATGGCCCACCAGTGATGGTCCATACATCGGAAAGCAGCTGCCCAGTGAGCGAAGAGAATCAGAGACGAAGGATTCCCACGTTTGAGAGAATGAATGAACGTGGCAGGTGCCATAATGAACCATGAAAAGATATGTCCATCCCATTCGACAACGGATCGGCAACGTGTGATATCGCGCAGCCGCGCGAGATGCTCAAGAAAAAAGTCCCTGCTTGCTGCAGGATGCTCGCCCCCAAGCAAAGGCATCAGCTTAGGATCATCCGCGACTCCAGCGAGGAGGTTGAAGGCCTCTGCTATGTCGGCAGGGTGTGGGGGCAGATCGCCTGGTAGCGGGTATCGCAACAGCTCTTCGATATCACCTTGGAGCCATGTATCCGTCTCCCTAATGACGGCATATATGCCTCTAAGGATCATGATGATTTCGATGAAGTCGGCGGTAGGCGAGTGCAGTGGCAGTGTGATTCCTGGAGAGTCGCCCTGGTTCAACTCCAGCTTGACGCTATGCAGTCCCTCAGGGAGTCGTTTAGAGGCAAAGGCCCAAATGGTGAGAAAGAGAGACAGACAGAATAGGGCGATACCGTTGTCCTGATTGGGTTTATTGACGGCTGGAATATAGCCGGCCAATGCCGCGTTTTGATGGGCCAAGGCGACTTTTGAATATTCGGCATATGCGTCTGAAGTCTTCGCCTGCATCGTGGCCTTGTGGAGAGCAGCAGTGGCCATCAAGCCATGAAGTAGAAAATCATGGCGTAGGGCTTCTGCAAAGACAGTGTCTCGCCATACAGCGTGTGATGAGATTCTCGACGACATGGTCATATACGTCCGAGTGGAGTAGAACTGGACCAGTTCCAGATCTAGAAGATCAAAGCGCTTGGGTTCCGGGGCCGAATCTCCTTCAGGAGTCTGGTTCATAAGTTGAGATTGCCCAGGAGGCAACAGCGCGTGAGGTGGTAAGTCTGGGTCAGAAGGCTGATAGTCGAGGCTTCTCGGGGTAGCTGTGTCATGTATGGACAAATTTGTCGGCGTGGCTGACAAACCCTCCGGGGCGTCCTCGAGAAAGGAACAGGGGATCTGTCGCTTCAGACAGCGCTGGCATTGCGGACTCGTCTCATCACACTAGCGTTATGTCAGTCGTGATCCAAACAAGACTATTGCTGAGGGTCTTCGTAAGGCTGCACTTGTTTCGAAAGTGTGGCCAACACCGACATGGCACTGACTGACCTTGACTCGCCTGACCTTGCATTGCCTACACCCATGATGGGATTTTGTATGGGACCGACGCGACGGCATGATAGAAGTTGCTATCTCTCGATATCTAGGGTTTGCATCATGGCCATGATGTCGAGTGAAGATGAAACGGACGGTTCGGGGCTGACGTTGAGACTTTGTCCGTCTAAAGGCATCGGACCTTGGCATGCCGCAGCCTTCGCGTTCGGCATGACTCGGAATGCGGCGGACAATAAATGTCGTGCAAGACACAGCGCCATCATGTTAACATTGAGAACTCCAGGACAGCAGGCATACGAGCATTCGTGTCTAGAGCTCGAAAAGTCCTTCTGGAGTAGGCTAGTGGCCAGTGAGCATCAAGCATCAATGATCTTCACGTCTCGTCAAAGGCAAAGAGCGCGATTTTTGGGGGCCAATATGAGTGTGCTCGAACCCCGTACGGAGTGATCATTTTATACTCCGTAGATGTCATTTGAATCTGTAAGGCCTGGTGGAAACCTCGTGCTAAGTACAGAGTATAAAACAGGAGATAGTCCTCCTCCACAAAATTTTCTAATGTCTAATGAATCAAATCCCAAATCGCTAGTATGCCACTGACAAACAACCCTTTTGCGACTCATTTCTTGAATTTTCTCATCGGTTCAAAGAAGAAACCGGGGTGGAAAACGGTCATCAGTACACAGGCAATGCCCACCATCCTAAGATTTCAAGTCAGCACATGGTCAAACCACGGTCATAAACGAGACTGAAGCACTTACATTCCGTCGAGCACCAAGAACTCGGTCTCTTTTCGCATCAGGCTGTTTCCCCAGCCTCCAGCCATCTCAGGCAGACTAGATTCGTGAGTTAGCATTAGTCTGGTCACAGTGTTTTTACAAGGAGCACGAACCGGTAAATGCATCGAATCAGGATAGTGAGAAAGGCAGCACCGATCGCGAAACAGAATATACGCAAGTTTCGATTCGTCTTAGGGTCAGCCGCGTTCTTCTCGTATTCGCTTTCCGAATGTGCCAGGGCGTTGGATTTCTTCGCTTTCTGGAAGCGAATGAAGTAGTCGAGGACGAGAAGCCCACACACACACATGGTGGCGACCTGGAATGCAATGCCGGCCACGATCAATCCATCACCAGCATCTAATAGCTTCTTGTTTCCACCCTGGTCGCCTGCAGCAGCTGCGGTGCCACCACCAATGGCCTGAAGCACAATTGATCCGAAATCGCATCCGATAAAGATCCACGGGTAGAGCCTCGCCTTCAGTCGTGAATGTTCTGGTCCGCAGTAGATCACAAGATGCTTCAGCGTGACGTAGATACCGGCGGCCAGGAAGCTGGGGGCAAGCACCAAGCAACAGATCTGTGTCTTGAATCCTGCGCCAGACCAGGGATTGTTGTGCATAATCACCCGGCCAATATAACCAACAGCTTCACCGAAACAGCCGATGGCTACAACACCAAGAAAGGTCCATGTCCGTCGCCATGTGCCCAGCGCTAATTGGAGAAAGAGGCACAAGCCAAAGAGGGCAATGAAAAACGAGTTGACGCTGAGATTAGGATAGTAGCCATAGGTCGTCAATTCCACTGGACACTGCGGAGTGATCTCTGTGCAATATTTTCCAGCATGATGTGTGACGTTGGAAGACATCCTCGCTATCGCAACAGTGGTGGGAGAAAGGCCCGGCCTCAAGGGCGACTTGAATTCTGGAATAAAACTGTGTTGCTAAAAGTCGGGAACTTCAGTCAAGAGGCATTACTCAAGAACAAATGTGGCGCAAAGAGAGTATCTCTGATCTTCAACAGAATAGCCAATAGTCGAAGCTGAAGGTAAAAGGTGAAACTTGACAATCAGAAAGAACAGTCCCAGACGAGGTAGAAGAATGATTTGGGAGGGTGAGAGGTGGCTGTAACGCTATTTCGCCCGTCTCATTTATCAAGGGCTTTTGTTGACCCATATTGGCGCCCAGATTGCGCTTGGACAGCGTCAAGACTCGTGGCGAAACCGAGGGGTGGAGTGAGCGACGAGACGAAAGTGGCCTCTTGATGGAGGAATGGCTGTAGCCGATGTTCGTTTACACACCCTCTAGGCCCTTTTAGGAATGGTATACGATTCGGATCTTTATAGCTCCGGTCATTTGGTATTCCCACCGTGAGATTGACCTGCCGACTTGTCAGTTAGAAAAGCATAAAATATCAAGTGGAATACGAGTACGAGTACGGAGAATGGATTAGATCCTTGTTCTGACATATGGTATTGTACATATAGAGAGGGGAAATGCCAGCACAACAATGATTTGGTGACTAGTTGAGTGATGATGGTATCTTGTTAGCGATGTTTCTATCAGAATCCCAACCTGTAGCCATTGCCCTTTTCAAGAGCACGTTTCCACGCAGCACGCTCTTGACATCTCTGGTGCCATTTAGCCAACCTAGGGAATTTCGTGAAATCTATGATGTTGTTCTGGACGCAGTTGTCCGCCGGCCACGAGATGATAAAGTCGGCCCTGGAGGGGGATGAACCGCCAAAATACTCCGCAGAACCAAGCTGTTCCTCTAGATAGCTGAAGTTCAGAGCTAACTCGTCTCCAGTGTATCCCTTGTGTATCCCGCTGTGTATCATGGAAACCAGAGGACGAACGAAGAAGGGCGACATGGCTGCCATGGCTATGAAGAGTATCTCCGTCACCATAGGGATGGCTATACTTGTAGCAGCAATGTTGCACAGCTCATCGTCACGAATCCAGTCGCCATCTCCTTTGAATCTACCGTCCTTGTCGAAAGTATCGATCAAGTATTTTGCGATGACGAGCGATTCAACTATCACCCTGCCATCACCTGTAACGAGCTGAGGGCTTTTCCCAAGGAAATGTGTCTTCTTCAGCTCTTCTGGGGCCCTGCGTTTTTTAGGGCCAGACTGGACGCGTTTGTGAAGAACAAGGTCATAAGGTATTTCAAGCTCTTCGAGGAGCCACAGGATTCGTTGAGATTGAGAGTCCTAGTGAAATTCAGTAGTCACGACGCATGTAACCGAATTGAGCTCACACTGAGGTGGTGTAGAGTTGGCTTAGGGCTTGCCATGGTCAATGATCGAGTAACAGAGGATATAGCGACGTAATAAAGAGCGCAGTCAGGTGCAGAGAAACAACACTTAGGTGGGATTCTGGAGGTCGAGCCAAGCTGCTGTGTTAGCAAATTCTGCCACGTACTGTTCACACATCAACATGCGGCGGGATAAGTATGTACAGGCATGGGTAAAGAAGGGATCGATGTCCGTGTCGAATTGGGAATCGTATGTTATTTGAACCCTGGATAGTATATCCTTAGGCTTGCGTAGGCTTGGCGCAGATATACGAGTACGAAGATGAGCAGATCACGGCTGTAGAGTCGTCTTAAAGAGGATGGCCCCCTCGAACAGAGCATTAGAACATGTCCAGGTTCTTATTAGCATATCATGAACACCATGCATACCTCTCCAGATCCGTCGAGTGAAAACAATAACCCAGAGTTATAAGAGTATTACCTGGGGTGTTCCTACTAGAAAGTAGTTAGGTAGCCAAAAGGGGCCAACACGTGAGGGGGCTTGGGGTAAATTGTTCTTAACTGCGCAGCGTAAAGACAGACTGCACCTTCTGGACATGTGTCAACACCGCGAACATTGATATCAGAACCTACAACCTACTGCCTTCATGCGAGCCCCGATGAATTGATGATATGGAATTGTACATGACGATTTTCCTTGGTCTCTACGTCGCTGTTTGCCCATCCTAGACGCACCGCGTGTCCTCGTGCGCGGACGCCCACAATATCTTATTTTCAGTTTGAGGAAGCGAGAACACAATGCGGTTGGACGTTAAGAGACAACTCTTCGCTCGTATGCTGGAGCTTCCCTCTCGCTGGTGCATTTGACTGATTTTGATAGGCTCGGAGCGAGTGAAGGGCATTGATTTCCACAGGTTTGTTACATCCCTAGACCGATACAAGGATTGAGTCGCTGACAATGTTGCAGTACCGAACCATGGGTATTTATACTTACACTCTCGAAGTATTACGAAGCTGACTCGTCAAGATTCTGACCACTTTATACAACGGCCACGCGCACATCTGGTCGTACGAAACACAATCGATCATCAAGACCTTCGAGCTTACAGATGTTCCTGTCCGAGCGGGAAGATTTATTGAGAGGAAAAACTGGATCGTTTGCGGGAGCGATGATTTCCAACTAAGAGTCGTTAACTGGAACACCAGCGAAAAGGTGAAATCGTTCGAGGCGTAAGTGCGGTGACCCGAAGTTGGTCGAGGGTCATGCTGACCGTTCAAATAGTCACCCAGACTACATACGTGCTATTGTGGTTCACCCAGTGCTCAGCGTTGTTTTGACAGCCTCTGATGACATGACGATACGAATGTTCGACTGGGACAAAGACTGGCGTTGCGTGCGGGAGTTCGTGGGACATCAACATTACGTGATGGGGCTTTCGATTGTAAGTCGCAAGTTGATGGGTCGGTGAAGAGTTTATTGACATGCTCGCAGAACCCAAAAGATACCAACGTGTTTGCTTCTGCCTGTTTGGACCGGACCATCAAAATCTGGAGCATTGACAATCCGACAGCGAAACAGACTATTGAAGCCCATGAAAAGGGTGTCAATCACATCGACTACTATCCTCATAGCGATAAACCCTATCTCCTCAGTACCTCCGATGACAAGACTGTCAAAGTGTGGGATTACACAACAAAAGCGCTGATTGCAACATTAGAAGGACACACGAGCAATGTCAGCTTTGCGTGCTATCACCCCGAATTGCCTGTCATAATATCTGGATCAGAAGATGGGACAATCAAGATATGGCATGCCAACACATATCGGCTCGAGCAATCGCTTAGCTATGGTCTGGAGAGGGCATGGTGTGTCTCGTACCAACGAGGAAAACAGGGTGTCGCTATGGGTTTCGATGATGGTGCTGTGGTTGTCAAGATGGGCCGAGAAGAACCAGCTGTTTCCATGGATGGCACTGGTAAACTGGTCTGGGCACGACATAACGAAGTCGTGTCTGCAATTGTCAAAGGAGGCGACCCTTCCATTAAAGACGGCGGTCCCATTGCCCTGCCGAGCAAGGAGATGGGAACAACCGAAATCTACCCTACCACGCTGTCCCACTCCCCCAATGGCAGATTTGTAAGTGTTTGTGGGGATGGGGAGTTCATTATCTATACCGCGCTTGCCTGGAGAAACCAAGCATTCGGTTCAGCCCTCGACTTTGCCTGGGCCTCGCACCAAAACCCCACAGACTACGCCATTCGAGAATCAGCCACGAGCGTGAAACTTTTCAAGAAACTCAAAGAGAGCGGAAGCCTTGATGTTGGCTTTCAAGCAGAAGGTCTCAGCAGTGGCTTCCTCCTAGGTGTGAAAGGCCAAGGCGGCATAGGAATGTTCGATTGGGAGTCGGGAAATCTCGTTCGACGTATTGAAGTTGAGCCAAGAGAGGTAAGTTTGATGATTGGCGATCCTTAACATGCCTGACAGCTTTCTAGGTTTACTGGAGCGAGTCTGGAGAACTCGTGGCCCTTGCTTGCGCTGATGCGACGTACGTCCTTCGTTTTGACCGCGAAGCATATCTCGAAGGTCTCAACAATGGCGACGTTGATGAAGATGGAGTTGAGGCTGCATTCACTGTTGTCACCGATCTACAGGAATCTGTGAAGAGCGGCGAGTGGGTCGGAGATGCATTTCTTTTCACTACGAACACCCGTTTGAGCTACTTGCTTGGTGAACAAGTTGTCCACATCGCACAATTTGATCAACCAATGTATCTGCTACGATACCTGCAACGGGACGAACGTGTTTACCTCTGTGACAAGGACGTCAACGTTGTGAGCTATAGGCTATCAACCGCATTGCTCTCGTACCAAACCCTGGTGCTCAGAGGAGAGGTCGATGCTGCTCAGGAGTTGCTTGCGGAGATTCCAGCGGATCAGATGAACAAGATTGCCAGATTTCTTGAAGCTCAGGGACACAAGGAACTCGCTTTGGAAGTGGCAACGGATCCAGAACATCGCTTCGAGTTGGCCCTTGGCCTCAACAACCTTGCTGTTGCATTGGAGATCGCTCGCGAGTCAGACATACAAGCCAAATGGTCCTCTGTGGCAGACAAGGCGCTTGAATTATGGGATCTTAAGCTTGCAGAAGAGTGCTTCCTGAACGCCAAAGACTTGGGCAGCTTGCTCCTCCTCTACACCAGCTCGGGTAATGCGGATGGTCTATCCAAACTAGCTCAACAGGCGGAGGAGATGGGCAGCAACAATGTGGCATTTGCAAGCTTATGGTCAACCGGAGACATACCTGCCGCGGTCGAGTTACTCAAACGTACCGGCCGGCTCAGCGAGGCGGTCTTGTTCAGCCAGACGTATAAGCCTTCTACGACCAAAGACCTGGTTCTTGATTGGAAGGAGAGTCTGGACAAGCAAGGCAAAAACAAGGTCAGTCGCTTGCTGGGGGTGCCAGGAGAGGATGAAGAATTGTTCCCCGACTGGGAAGAGTATATCAGACTTGAGCAGGAAGGTGGCGTTGCTGAACCGAAAACAGCACTCATCGATGTCAGTGGCGATGAGCCGCCAGCAACGAATGGCACTACGGATGCTGATGAAGAAGAAGACACCGCCGAAGTTGAAGCCTGAATGATGCAAAGAGAAAGTGGCATTCGCGAGGCCTACGTTTTATGATAGAAAGGGAAGCCGGCAAAATGGGAGCCTGGTAGCTTGTTTGATAATTGAGCTTAAGAAACGTTGTTCGAAAAGAGAAGAAAGGAACCTCATTGTCGAGTTCCATTGTGCATGTTGTGAAACTATCCATTTCCAAAACCCCCAAGTAACCTTGAACGCCGCGCACACCACATTGTGCTGTAGTCTGTTGCCTGAAATCATGAACTCCTTGCTGGTACTTTACACAAACCAAACCCCGACCGTAGCAATGCAACTGACGGAAGTCAGAAGAAAGGGAAAAGAGAAGAGAAAATCCTTGGACCCTCAGATTTGGCAAAACATCCTCAATCGTCGTTTTTGCCGCCGTCTCCCTGGCCATTGTCTGATCGAACATTGCCCTTGACCCCTGACACGTGCTTGACTTGGTGCCAGTGTGCGACGCGGCCTTCCAGCGATTCCGGCACCAAGAAGTACAGAGTCTGCGGTTCGTCCAGGCCTTTGAATCTGTGATTGCCCAGGCGCTTGATGGCAAAGGATTGATCCGTCAACTTATCCTGGTCGTTGTGCGACCTCAGCACATTCAGGTCGAGCCTGTTCTGCGTGGTCTTCTTTTCGGGTGGTGATCTGGCCCGACCGTCGGCGCTGTCGCTGTCGACTTTGGTCGAGGTCAACTCTCCTTGCAACTGTAGCAAAAAATCTTCCGACACCACGATCTGACCAGGTTCGGTGACCTCGATGAAGCGGGCGGCGCGGTTGACCATCGGTCCGAGATAGTCCATGCGCTGGATGATTTCGTTCCAGTTGGACACCGGCGTGCCCCAATGAGCGGACATGCGCAGCTTCAGGCCACGGAACAGGACGTGTCCCTGGTCGTCGAGGGTGGTTTGGCCGTTGGGCAGGTCGAGGATGCCAGCAGGCCAGTGTTCGGCGAGGAGATCCTCTTGAACGTCGAGACAGAATTGGACGGCCGACGCCGCGGTGGAAAAGGCGATCATGAAGCCGTCCCCGTTCTGCTTGACCTCGTAGCCCCGGTTGCGCTCGATCAGGGAGCGGATGCTGGCGTCGTGGAGAGACATGGCGCGGGACATGGCCGAGGGGTTCTTTTCCCACATGGCCGTCGACTTGACGATGTCGGTGAAGACGATGCTCAGATTACCTTGTGGAGCCGCAGTGGTAGCTGTTGCGATGTTCCCCTTGGGGCTGACCGATTCTGTTTCAGACTCGGCGTTGCCATTTGTGATGCCCTTGACATGTTTGGGTCCAGTAGAGTCCGAGGCGTAACTGACACTTGTACTCGAGAATGACCGAAATGCAAAACGAGCAGCATGACCGTAGCGGATGATGCCAACGGTTGAGAGGTGTTTTCGCGACAGAACAAAAGTTGCGGCACGACTTGACAGTGGTGGTGGTGTTGTTGTTGTTGTTGGTGTTGGCGCAGCAATCGCTATTGTTGGAGGTGTTGGTGTTGCACTGAAAAGCTGGTACGACCCATGACGCCGCGCCAGGCCCTTCATTCGGACGAGACTTGGCCAGCAATGACCCGAGGAGCCACTGCTGTTGGCCGTCTTGACTGACAGGATCGAGGGTTCGGTCCTGTTGTCAACATGGGTCTGATGAGGTTTCCACGTGCGAGGCAGACGATGACAAAGGCTACGGAAAGCTTCTTCGACTCTTCGAGTTGCAGACATCGCCATGTCGAGACGCCAATACCCCCGTTGGAACGGTGCCCTGAGCTTTTCGATTCGCTAGTGGCTCAACCCTTGGGGAGCGGGCGATCTGGGCCAGGCAGCTCTAGCGGGCAAGTAATCGCGACGAGGCGAGATCTCGGTTTCGCTTGGTGGTTCGAGCAACAGGGATGCGAGCAACTAACGCGCTCATGCAAGGCACGCACTTTCGTTTCTATTTCTTCAATAGAGAAGGTATGAATTGCGGCTTTTTGGACCATGTGAGTCTGGGATTTGTTTGCGCGTCGCACCTCTTGTGACGCCTGCAAACCTTTCTTCATTATAAGAATTATAGAAAGACATTCAGCCTCCGCATACAATAAAGGTAAAGTGTGATGGATTGAATGAAAGGAAGTATTTGCGCAAGATGCACAAAAGGACAAACATCCGCCATAATGGATGCCGTGATTATGTCCTTACCAGACTCAATGATGCAAACATAGGCTTTGTCAAACCCAGCACATCAATTCACAATAAGCAAGGACATGCTTGATGCTTCTGCCCGTACTAGGAAAATGGTTTGGAATACCCCAACAACAAAGTGCGTAAGACTATTGCATTGTGCATAGCATTGCAGCTGCATGGATGAGATGAATCATTCATCGAATTGACAATGCCTTGATTCAGGAGACCGGTGGTGAACATACTGGTGACGGCAATTTGATGCAGTGCCGTCTAAACAAGATCCAAGACCACCGTCTCACTGCCTTCTCAACGCTAGAGAACATCTCGCCCTGGAGAAGGTGTAGGGGTGGACAATGCATTGCAAGTGACATACAAATGTCGATCAGGTAATGGCCATGCTCATGTTGATGCAGAATTGACCACCATCCGAAGAGACATCCCTCCTCGATCTGCGTGGAAATCGATGCACCGCTTATTGCTTACCGTATATCATTTACCGTACATCAGCGTTGAATGCCGGGCTCAGAGGACATACGAGCAAGGCTTTATTGATTGTTTGCAGACAAAATTGTAACATGTTCGACAGGAGCTGGCTGTGCAAAGACCTGCCGCTCATCTCAGAACTGTGTCCTACTGAAATTCCTTGCCATGTTCGAAGCATGGATGGTCTTGACAGAACATAGACGCAGACTCAGAGGGGTGTACGTGGTCCAGAGGGTGTCTGACTCGATGTGATCCACTCACAGATGACTCTTATACTCATATGGGAAGTCGTACTCATATTCCGGATGCCGAATCTCTCGATAACGACATGAGTGACAACGCTTGTGACATGTTAATCCTTGAAGAGGGATGCCTCAAGCCCTCAGTCTCCGTTACAGTCTACAGTGGACGGCGACATGAGGCCGAATGCGAGTGGCTGATTTCAGAGCGGGGAAGCGACCAGCCAATGGCGGCACAGTCAAAAGTCATCCCCTTCTCCGATATCGGTCGCCGCATTCAACCCTCGATTCTGCTTATAACTCGTGCAGTGCAATTCGTAGACAGCCTCTCGACACAAGATCATTCTCAATATTCTATCCCTGACTCTTTTCCAGGTGTAACAGTGCTGAGATTTGTTCCAAGATGCCTTCAGCAGACGCCAGACCCAGAACTCTCTACGACAAGGTCTTTCAAGACCATGTTGTCAATGAACAGCCTGATGGCACTGTTCTCTTGTATATCGGTGAGTGGCCGCTTTGCCCAAACAGACAGGGTATTTCACTCACAAAAAAATTACAGACAGACATCTTGTCCACGAAGTCACCTCTCCACAGGCCTTTGAAGGTCTGAAAAATGCAAAGAGAAAGGTGCGCAGACCAGACTGCACTCTCGCCACAACCGATCACAACGTCCCCACCACTCCTCGCAAGAACTTCAAGAACGTCGCAGACTTTGTGAAAGAGGAAGATTCGCGATTACAATGCACAACCCTCGAGGACAACGTCAAAGACTTCGGCCTGACGTACTTTGGCCTCGGAGACAAGAACCAAGGTATTGTGCACATCATTGGCCCTGAGCAAGGCTTCACTCTACCCGGCACGACTGTAGTGTGCGGGGATAGTCACACCTCTACCCATGGTGCCTTTGGTGCTCTTGCATTTGGTATTGGTACCAGTGAAGTCGAGCATGTCCTTGCGACACAATGTTTGATCACAAGACGCAGCAAGAACATGAGGGTACAAGTCGATGGCAAGCTGGCACCTGGAGTCAGTAGCAAGGATATCATTCTCCATGTCATTGGCGTTATCGGTACTGCTGGAGGTACTGGCGCAGTCATTGAATTCTGCGGCTCAGCCATCCGTGGTCTGAGTATGGAAGCTCGTATGTCCATCTGCAACATGTCCATCGAGGCTGGCGCAAGAGCCGGTATGATTGCTCCAGATCAAATCACATTCGACTACCTCAAGGGACGGCCTTTAGCACCAAAGGTTGACAGCAACGAATGGAAGAAGGCCGTCAACTACTGGTCAAGCTTGAAGTCGGACGAAGGCGCCAAGTATGATGTCGAGGTCTTCATTGACGCAAAGGATATTGCACCTACCGTGTCCTGGGGCACGTCACCGCAGGACGTTGTTCCCATCACGGGCGTCGTCCCAGGCCCAGATGACTTTGAAGACCCCAACCGCAAAGCTAGCTGCAAGCGTGCACTGGAATACATGGGTCTCACCGCGGGCATGAAGATGGAGGATATCGTCCTCGACAAGATCTTTATTGGGTCCTGCACAAACGCACGGATGGAGGATCTTCGGGCTGCTGCAAAGGTCGTAAAGGGCAAGAAGGTTGCGGCCAACATCAAGCGTGCCATGGTGGTGCCTGGCTCAGGCAACGTCAAGGACCAGGCGGAGCGTGAAGGCTTGGACAAGATCTTCATCGACGCCGGCTTTGAGTGGCGTGAAGCTGGTTGTTCCATGTGCCTCGGAATGAACCCAGACATTCTATCTCCCCGAGAACGTTGCGCTAGCACATCAAACCGCAACTTTGAAGGCCGACAAGGTGCTTTGGGTCGCACACATCTCGTGTCTCCCGTCATGGCTGCCGCAGCTGCCATTGTGGGCAAATTGGCCGATGTGCGAAAACATCACGACGATGCTACGCCCGTCAAGGGCTCACCGAAACTGGATCTGATGCCAGAGCACGTCGAGATTGACTCCGAGGAGGAACTCGAGCGTATTCTCGACATCCCTACTGACGTCGGCCCTCACGCGAACGACAGCGCCGCCAGTGCTGGTGGCCTTCCTAAGTTCACTGTCCTGAAGGGCATTGCTGCGCCTCTCGACAAGGCCAACGTCGACACGGATGCCATCATCCCTAAGCAGTTCCTCAAGACCATCAAGCGTACTGGTCTCGGCTCTGCACTGTTCCACCCTCTCCGGTACAACGAGGACGGCAGCGAGAACCCTTCCTTCATTCTCAACCAGGAGCCCTACCGTCAAGCCAAGATCCTCGTCGTCACTGGCCCAAACTTTGGCTGTGGCAGTTCGCGAGAGCACGCTCCCTGGGCACTCTTGGATTTCGGCATCAAGTGTGTGATTGCGCCGAGTTACGCAGACATCTTCTTCAACAACACGTTCAAGAATGGCATGCTGCCGCTAATTATGCCTGACCAGGCGAAGCTCGAGAAAATTGCCGAGCTGGCCCGAGCTGGCAAGGAGATCGAGGTCGATCTACCCAACCAAGTCATCCGTGACGCCGCCGGCAACGAGCTGGCACGGTTCGAGGTCGAGGAGTTCCGGAAGCACTGCCTTGTCGAAGGTCTCGACGACATCGGCTTGACGATGCAGATGGATGACAAGATTGCCAGCTTCGAGCAAAAGCGCACAATGGACACGCCATGGCTCGACGGCAGTGGTTACCTCAAGAAGTGGCGCAAGGGTCCCGTCAAGGTCGAGGCAGCGCCTGTCCCCAAGACGAATCGTGGCGAAGTCAAGACCGACCCTGTCGAATGGTGAAAGGCATTCGGGTACGCTTTGGGTTGTAAGGGACTGTTGTGTGTTCGATTGGTGAGAACGTTTGCGAGATTCACACACGCACATGGCGTTTGAATGGGTTCTAAAATTAAAAGGAGGGAAGAAATGAATCATGGCAGCTGTCCAAGATCAGATACCATGTCTCAAAATGAATATGATGACGACTTTTTGGTTTCCTTTTGGCATTGCTGGGACACCGATTCTAGAACGACACGAGCATGATGATAACGTACAATAATTGTTTCTCCTGCCTTTCTTGAGTACTCGGACCAATGTTCCCATTGTGGTGTTCATGATCTGAGTGTTTACAAACGTTCCTAGCCCGAATGTTATACTGTAGGTACGTACGTGAGATACAAAGTATATGTAGATAGCTACCTTTTGTACGTAGATATATATTGATGTCTCATGTCGTACTGCTCGGTACAGTAATCCGTATCCACAACAACCTCGGGCTCGTAACTACAAGCGCCCTGATGAGACCGTGTACCACGGAAGGAGAAAGAATACTTGTAACGGACACGTTGACCCTTTTCATTTTCATTAGAGTACAATTGAATAAAAACAAACGGATTACACCACACCCATGTCCCCTCTCTGCGCAATACTGGCGATCTGCCCCGGGTACCTAAAGAAGCAAAGGAAAAAAACCAGCTCTCCCTGGCGAAGATTGAGAGGCAAAAGTGTGACTATACTCGACGACCCTTCTTTTTTCGTCGCCACCACCGCACACGCCCGATGCCAGCTGACATGTTTTTTTCACCTTTACCATCGTAGCACCAGCCTCGGTTCTTCCATTCTGGACGGGCTCGAGTCAAGGCCTGTTTCAGAGAACCAGCTTTTGGCGATGACCACCTCAAAGGGAAATCAACAACGGTGTCGTTTTTTTGGGAATTTGCATGGCCAAAAAAGAGAAAACCAAACTCTCTAGCCATGTTCAATCTATCTCTTCGGACGCCTGGAACCGGTTTCCATGGAAGCGAAGCCACAAGAACATTTTCTTCCAGGTGGCATGATTCTTGCATGCAAGATTGGTGGTGGACGAGACTATACGGACACGTTACGCCACATTGAAGCCCCCCTCCAAGGAAAGAAAAGAAGAAATCCAATAAATCTACCCGACCCATGCCTAGGTAAGTACAGTAAGCGCGCCACCTCGTGTGTCAAGCTTCTCAAAGTGGCTCCCCCCTCCCCTCCCTCTCTCGAGCGTGGACAAAGCACCCACAATGATGTCCGAGAAACTCAGTATATTGTTCCCGGGAGTCCACTCTCTCTCATCAAACTACTGTAAGATAGAAACTTCGTAAACGGTCCTTCGTAGTGGAGGTCTGGGGCTGAGTCTGGAAGAGACGAAACCGTCAAGACACGAATTGGCTTGGACGTATGAGACGATACTTTGAAGGAAACTTTGTGTGTGACAGAGACAAAGGTACCGGAATATGGGTAACTAATTCCTTGGTAAGGACCACGGATGGATGTCTCCAGTCAGATAATCGAACAACCCCCTTGTTTTATTATTGTCATTGAAACCTTCATATTGAATAACCTACCTACTTACCTGGGTAATGTTCTGCCGCCATGATTCAATTTCGTGGAACTCGAATTGTCACAAGGTTAGTGACCAGGTGAGGGTGATATGCCCCATACGGTGACTGCGTCAGTGATGCCGCAGGGAGAGGTTATCATAGTCTGGGCACAGATACCATCCATGCACACTCTCTTGTGCTTTGATTTCGCTCTTCGTGTTCAGCCACCCTTGTTGTTCTCGTGTTCGGCGGCTATCGGCCATTCTAGACCACCTTCAACGGGCGCCTCGATGGGGGACTTCGCGTAACCGTGAGTTGGCGCTTCCACATTTTCTCATTCAGTGGAGATATGGCTGACGCAATCTGCCGAGTTGCCACATTGAAGGTGTGTTGTGCGGCTACACAAGAAGAAAAAATGTCGTCGCGTGGCAGCCACAAAACACAGAGACACGTGGAACAAGGTTCGACCACGTGCGGCAGGGAAGACCCATGGTCGCAGATGCAAGAAGCCCAAGCCCTGCAATCTAGGCCTAATCTGTGCCTAACTGGGGGCCAAAGAGCCCGAGAATAATTTTCTTGGGCGTTGACTGGTGAGAGCAGCGGGCTAGTAGCTGAGCAGAGGCATGAATGGTGTCAAGATTTGTGCCGTGTGCCATACCTGTTTAAAAATAATCCCCTTCGTCCCCCGGGACAGATTGTGTGACAGCGGCACCAGGCCCAGATATGGCCGCCTAGCGAAGCAGCGACCTATGACAATTGCATTTGTCCCGCAGGACAGACCATGAGGGTATAAGCACAGTACAGGCAGGTTGGCCACCCGGTAAGAGAGCCGAAAGTGAAGGCCATCTTTAGCAGCTCGCATCGGAACGTCAATGTGGAATTGCTATTGCTGGTGACCGATTGATCTTCCAGTAGGTATCCAGCCATCAAGGGATTCCAGTGCATTATGTACTAAGAAGATAATAGTCACCAATAATTGACCAAATGTCCTGTATATGCAGTGGTCAGTGCTTCTGGAAACGAACGGAACGGCGAGAGGGCGAGGGCGAGGTCCTTTGCGTTGTAGTTTCGTTGCCTTTGACAAAACCCCCTATGCCAGGAAGAGAGCAAAATGTTTCCAACACCTTGCCGGTCAGCGCTTGCCTTTGGCCAGAAAAGGCAGTAAAGATCACAGACTTGACTGGGATCGGCAAATGGAGAGCGAACGCTCGAGCGAATCATCAGTCGAAGGCTCATCAAGGTCAAGTCGCGGGCCTGCGGATTTCAGCGTCTAGCTGCAACACTAGAGAAAAGGTCGGTGGAGATGAAGCTGGCCACGCAAAGGCCATGCTGTAACAAACATGGTAGTAGGTGGGAGGAGCTGGTAGGTACAGAGGATTGTACCTTTTAGCCAGGTCTCCATCCCACATTTATCCCGGCCTCATCGCGTGGAGTTTTTGGTCAAATTGTTTTCGCAGCCCAAGGCTCACTAAATAGCCAAACAATCTTTTTCCTCGGAACGAGTGTGACGGTAACACGCAAACTGGAATCATCTAGAACGAATTAAACTGCTTCCACGGTGGATCTGGAAATCTTCTGGAAGGCCTTCGTGCAAGGAAGGGGGAAATTTGAGGACGGGCTTAGTTTCGGCTGCTGTTGCCGCTGGGCCTGGTAGGGTGGGTGGTGGTGGTAGTGGCGGCGGCGAAGGGAGGACACGGTAGAGCGTGGTCGAAGGCTGTTCTGACTGTGAGACCTCGTACTCGGAATCCTTGTGGAGGCGGCGCAGTGCCGGGATGAGATGGGAATGGGATGGTCAAAGAGAAGTAGTACCGGGCCTGACTTCTTCATCTTTCCACGTGGCCTCCCTGGCTGCAGAATGTGTGGACTAAGAAAGTATTTTCTAGTGTGCCACTAACTGTGCATTAGCGTGACTAATTTGATTATTGGCTATTCCTAATATGGACTAGACACCATGCTGCTTTGCTTCCAGGACCAAGAGCTTTGGCGCCACGCCAGCTTTGAATTTCTGCCATCGTCCAGATGGTGACCAAATTCTACCTCTTAGTTCGTTTCACAATTCTTCCTAGTCTGGTCGATCACAACTGATCGAGTCGAGTCAAATCTGACTGTCGCATCTTGTGTCTTGCCCTCTCGCCGGCTCTGCCTCTTCTCCTCCTCCTCCTCCTCCTCTTCTTCACGCATTCTCCAGATTCATGCTGACCAATGACACCACTAGCCTCTGTCTATCTTTCCATCTTGGGACCTTTTCTCCGAAGGCGACCGTTTTGAGAGCCTTGCCATCATCCTACGAGTACCGTGAACATTTGTCATAGGCGAGTGGCCGCAAGCATTGAGACTCACTTGCCAGGGGCCTTAACATCTCATCTTGCAAGATGGAGCATGCGGACAGTATCAGTGAGTCAACTGGTAATTGGGACACTTCATGCGCAGGCATCATTTTCCGGAAGAGATGTGCCGCAAATTCACATCTGCGAGCGAACGAGTCTGAGGGTATTTCGGATGCATGCATGCATGAGATAATCCCCGACACGCGTGCCCTGAACGTGTCCATTGCCTTACACATTGCCAATGTCGATGAGTGGAGAATACCGTTATGAAGATGTCCTGCGGCCGTCCGAAACAGAAGGGGTTTGTGCCAGCATTAGAGAGCGGATCCTCTGCAGGGAAATGCGCAGTAACATATTCCAGTTCGTTCGCCAGCACTTCAACCTGGTCGGAAGTGGTCAAATTTGATATCTGACTGACTCGTGTTGCAAGTATGAGACGCTCAACAAGAGATGAAGTGCGCTTGTGGACTTTGCAAAGGACGAACCACACCACATGCTCGAAGAATACGAATGACACATGATGCCCGGCGGAGACCTTTTGATAGTCTGCCTCGCTTGCTCATTTCAATGTACTGGTGATGATGATCAACTCCTGGATCACGATCCTACGACTATTTCCCTCCCCACCACGAGAATCATGCGTGCCTGCGGCGAGCGATTCCTGCTCATGACGAATTTGACAGCCATGTGCAGTATTTACTTCGTAAAATTTGTCGTAACGTATCTTACCCGTGGCAGGTAGTTGTGGTCTGTGTCTCGTGCATTCGGCCCAATTCATCGACGCAATGGCCTCTGGCTGCCCTGTCCCCATGACGTCTACCATGTTATGTGATAGAGGATCCGGTTCTTGCTCATCGCGCCAATTGTCTACAGTAGGATCGTTACACTAGTGGTCTGTGGAACTCTACTATGTTGATACTACGAAGGACTATAGGTAGAATACGAGCGAGTATGACATTGCTGCGCAGGGTTCGGGTCGGGGGCCACTAATCCCTTCGACACATCAAGAACCAGGACCAATTATGGGACTGCGCTATGTACTGTACAATATGGAGTCGTTGTCGAGTAATGCAAAAGCTTAGTACCCTATGGGGCTCCGGTGTAGGTGGTAAAAGAGACCTCAGACCGGTACAAGTACGCAGATCCAGGCATCCTAATACGTAGGTCAAATAACGTAGGCGTGGGGAATTGAAGGGCTTGTAGGGACTAATGCAGCCCCTAAAGCCAGGCGAGGTGTAGCGTGCATTGACGTTGGAAACACACGGGTTTGTACAACACACACACTACGGTGGTGCGGACATGGTCCTGGCTGGCTTCTATTCAAGCCACGAGGTGTTCAGATCAATTACTTGTCACCGCATATACAATACTATTGTAGGTATTCCGGACAGACGCCTCATGCCAAAGGAATTACATTGTGCCATCAGAGGGAAATGTCAATGCAACACCGGGTCACCTTGTTGATGTCAGTACATGTCAGGGTACCAATGAAGAATGATCTGTGCCTGCAGCTGTCAATCAGTCATTTCCATCCAGCTGGCACAGGGTGTCTCTTTGTCTCGCATCATCCCTGGTCCCTTACGCTGCTCTAACCATCCCCCTTCGTAGTCCTTTAAATCGCCTATGTAAGATATTGTCTAATTAATTCTCCGCAGGGCCGATTCAGGGACGTGCAGTGGCGTGCACGTTTTTGTACCGCCCATTATTTTCTGCCTCTACCCTGTAAATCGTCACTGCGTCGACCAGACTGATGTCGTTGATGGTATCCTAGTTCTCACATCATCTATTCTCCTCACAATAATATTCTCAAAATAATAGTTTGATCTGTTTGACATCAACCTCAACCAACAAATTCTTTACGAAACCATACGAGTACCTTGGTATCCTCAATTTACGCTACATACCTCACCCTGCGAAAACGAACCCAGACGAAAGAAAAGACCGGATTCACCATCAGATCAGCCCCCAAGTAGATCTCTTCGACAAATCCAACCCTTGCGTTGCCTCATCCCTGCTCCGGCGATCGAAACAATCTCTCACCAGTTCTCTCGCGGCTTCGCTTCCCTCCTTCTGACCGACAACCTGGCCCTTTTTGGGTCGCCTGGCGAAACTGGCCCCCTTTTTCCCTGCCCTACGCATCAGACTGAGTGGAAGGGGAAGGCTTCTCGAAGGTGTAATTTCGCACAATCAAAAGAGTCCACAAATCACTTTGAAGCAAGAGACAGGTGAGACGGTAGCGGCAGAAGATCACTACCCATACCGGTGGTCCCTCAAGGCCTCCAGTTCTTTCGCCAAAACCACGCCTAACTACATCGGACAGGGCGTCCTAGTCAGACAACTCCTGGCCTAACTCGTATCCGACTCGTGCCGCCAGGGTCGGATTCTTCTCGAATTACAGCATTATCCACCGCTGCTACGGACACCCCGGCCTAGTCTGCGGCTTCAACAAACTCCACCTCCTCGTGGTCTCGTGGTGAGGCAATCCCGGCTCTTCGTGGGTTGCGGATTGCGCCCCCATTCGCATTTTTTGGCCCACTCACCGTGCTGGGTGTCGACCGCCAGTCTTTCTGCAATGTGTTGCGGATTCCCTCCAAGTCGTCAACATCTTTACCCGTACGATTCCCAGTTCTCTTTATGCCCGATCCAAGCGATGCGACTGTCGTCGACTCCATGACCTCGCCAACTGACAATTTGCCAGTTCATAATACGCAGTCCGACACCTCTAGATATACTTCCTCGCCTCCAATTCCGCCTGGTCGGGATATCGCTCGCCCGCCACATCACCATCACACGAGTTCGAGCAGTATTACTCAGAGTAAAAGTCGGCGTTCACTTGCCTCACTCGCACGTGAAAAAACTTCGAACGCATTCGCCAATTTGGCTTCAATAGGCACAACATCTACACCTAGCCTTCGATCCGCCACCTCTTCGGGAAGTTTGGGCAGGCATTCCATCGCCAGCGGGTCAGTCCGTCCAAACCTACCACGCTCGCCAACATCGCCAGAAGTTCATTCTGGAACACAACGGAGAACCAGTGGAACTCATCTACCCGGGCAAGATCCTCGAAGTAGTACCTCTGTCCCACCAATGCCGAATCCCGATCGCAACAATGGAAGGATGCATCAGTCTTCCTCCAAGGTCCTGCGAATGACTGACGACGAAAGACCTTTCACCCGAGACTTCAAGGATCTCTTCTCGACGCTGATCACCAGTCTCCCTCTTACTCCCCATCGCGTAAGGTTCTCCAGAGTCGAGGAAACCTTTCTGTCTGAAGAAGCCATCACGAATCTGGGGTCCCTAAAGTTCTCGCAGTCCAATCGCATACCCGACCCCAAGAACCCTTCGCGATGGGTAGTCACCACGACCACGACCACATTCTCCATGGCCAAAGAGATGGCTCGCTCGGTTTGTCAACGCTTTGTAGACGCCCGCCTCATTGAGTCTGCCGAGAACAAGTCGATCACCACGTTCAATACCAAAGGGGGTGTCTGGCAACTAACGCCGAAGGGTCTGTCAATTCTCTCGAGGTTCTGCAGCCGCAACGGTATCAACGCGCGGCACATCGAGCCACTTCTGAAACGAAACCACATGCACATGGTTGCCCTAGAGAGAGACTCGTTGACGGACAAGATTCACCAAGATCGGGCCACCGTCGAGATCATTTTCCGCAGATTCATGGGTTCTGATGGCCCGAACTTGAAGAGTTCCGTATCTTTATCGGACTCGGATTCCATCTCAGACTATGCTACTGGTCTGATCGGTGTCAAGATGGCAAAGGAACGCAGAGTGCTTGATAAAATTGTCCCCTACACCTTTACTGGAAAGGCCGCTTCCGACTGGCTCCTCGACTGCACAACTACTATCGACCGCAGGGAAACCTACGAGATGGCAGAGTTGTTCGTCAAATGGGGCCTCATTCAACCAGTCATTGAAGACAGAGCCTACACTCGTCAACACCCAATGTCAACCTACTTCCAGCCCACAAAGCATGCCGTGTACACTGTAACGGAACGCGGTCAACGTGTATGCGGCTGGATTGCCCGCCCGCCCAGTGTCGAGAGCGAGGATAGCCGCGACGTTAAGGAAAAGGGACGGATGACACGGGATTCTAATGTCGGTCGACTGAACGTTATCCTCCAGGATGCTGCCTTACGTCTGTTATTTAGAGAATTCCTTCGGCAATCACTGTGTGAAGAAAACCTTGGATTCTACCTCGACGTCACAGAGTTTATCTCTGCATATCGTCAACTGGACGAGTCAGGACGACTGAGCAAGCCAGATGTGGTGAGGGAAACCCTGGCAGGAGCATATGGTACGTGCTTGACCTAGCATATGCTTAAATCATTTACTGACAGTATCCTAGGGCTGTACAACTCTTTCCTAGCTTCGGGCGCACCCTCTGAGTTAAACATTGATCATTCCCTGCGAAATCGCCTCGACAGTCGCATGATCCGCACAAACCCTGATGATGAGGCCATGAGAGAATCTCTCGACGAAGTTATCGAACTGTTTGAGCTTGCGCAGGCTGCTGTGTTCAAACTGATGGCAAGCGTAAGAAATTTTATTCATCAATTCGCTAGACTTGTCACTAACTGCGAGTCGTAGGATTCCGTTCCCAAGTTCCTTCGCGATCCCAAAAACGCTACAGTTTTCCGAGATCATGAAATTGATCTAATATCTGGCACAAATCGCACCTTGTCTCCTGCTCCCGAAGGCCTGGTGAGCCGATCGAATACACGATCATAACACCCGCTCCTCTCTCACTCGACAAGTGTCGCAATTGTCCGCAACAGAAGAGCAAGACGGGCTCCTTTGGATCTATTTGCATTGCACATTTAAATGTGATGAATATTACGAACACAACAAAGGTCTGCGTCGTGGATCTTAATGTACAAACAAGGGCACTTGCCCATTTTTTTTGTCAATAATCAAGATTGTTACGACAAGCGTGACCAAGAGTCTATTGACTCATGGTAGGACTTGTCTACTGGTGGGTTTCCCACAATCTCTGCATAGAAACCGCTCGGCGTTCAGCATAGCGTGGTCTGTCTGGGAGGCGTTATAAACGGTTTTAAGGCAAGCATATTTAGCAGCATGGTCTTCCGGTCGGCATTTGCATTGGAAAGATACCCCTGTGGAGGAAAGCAAAGCCGTAGACGGGAAGACGAGGATGTGAGCATCGTTGGACTCTGGTAGTCATAGGCTAGTTTACTGGTGCTTGTTGGGAGTAATGAGGCTGTGTGAGCCGGTGCTTTGGGATAAACTTGACCCAAGAGGGATGGAACATGGAAATACTGCACATTACACAAAGAGTATCCTATTTTCCTCACGTCGTCTGGACTTGAGGCTTTTCCTTCTACCTGAATGCGATCTATCCTGGAACCGTATTCCTACTCGACACATGTTCCCCACCACCGGAGTTGGTCGACGTGACGAAGGAAGAGGCGCAGCATTGTACGCACGCACCATCGTGGACCTGCACATGCGGATTGCATGGTGCCGAAAACCCCCTGGCTTCTTTTCTTGCATGTTTTTTTGAAGCGAAATGACGAGCGGATAACGGTAATTCAGAAATTCTGCTTCCATTTGGGTTCCAAGGTTTCTTATACAAATACTACGCTGATCGGACAGTGCCGTCGCACAACCCACCAACCATTGCATGAGTCCGTGGCAGTGTGCGTCTCATAATCTGCATGGCATCATGAAAAGAGATTATTGGATGCCACTGAAGATTATCTTTACGTGAGAAGGCGAGAAAAGGGTTAGCGAAAGTCGGTTTCGGACTTGACGGGCATAAAGCTGACCAGAAATGGGATGAAACATTCTATACTGAGAGAACCGAGGACGGTTGGTGTGGTCCATGTAAAAGAAAAGTGATCACTACCTTACCTACCTAAGGCGTTCAGGATTGTGCTGTTGGAAAAGAAAAGGTCGGCCGTGAATTTGTAACTCGGTATCTCCTTTTCCTACTGCCTTTCGTCTGCAAGTCACGTACATAGAGAGCGCACTATCGTCGCATTCTGAAGGCAAGGTGCAAGCCGCGTCAATTGCCGTGGTTTTCCCATATCCTGAAACATCATCGCGTTGATTCAATGCCGTTCTTGAGGTAGAATAAAATACCGTGACTGATTGCAAGGTGGGTGTAGTTAAGTTGACGAGGCACCATATGCCTGTGATGCACAAAAATAATATATCTGAACTGGCAGTTCCTCTCTTGGGCAACAGCTATGTCGAGCAGAGGTTGATTGTTCTACTTGATATATATGCGCTTCAACCTCTCGTTTGGCCAGAGATTTCTATTGCACATCATACAGTGGAGGAAGATTTGTACCGACTCTGTGCAGTACTAAGGAAATGTGTGCTTCATCCTGCCACCAATTAGATAGAGGAAGTCTATGAGCCGAGTACTATTCAAGTTAGCGAACTTTTCCATTCCTGCCTTTGCCGGATATTTGATGTTCCATTCCGGCGCGAGACCGACGTCGCGCTTCACGACTTTTGTTGGAGGTTGAAGTGCTAAATGACGGCCTGACGAGTCCAAAGCCACAACACAGCTTGCAACCACTTCGCTTTCCGAGATGTTATAACTTCTAACGTCGCTATTCTCTCATATCATTACAGAGCTCGCCCACCATGGCAAGCAGCGATGCCCTGCAACTCTTGAAATCCTCAATCGCAACCTCCAGAGCCCCAATTCCCACAACATCTTCAGAACCGTCAACGGCAGAAGACAACAAAACCGAATCCCTCGCCGATGCGACCCATCTCTACTTCGCATACCCTTCGCCACAGTGTCTGCCCTTGGATACGAAAACCAGATTTACATCACAAAATCCCGACACCACGCAAGTCGACTTGCGAAGCATTTTTTTCGCGTGGCTACAAAAGGATGTCACTGTGTCCGAGTACTTCGCTTCGGCAGGAGAGCTGGACAAAAAACTACCCGACGGACAGAAGATACGATGCCTGATATTCGTGGAGCGTCTAGACCTCATTACCTGGCTCGAAGGCGCATCTGATGAAAGTGAACACATCAAACCCTTGGAGGGCGCAGCGGCCGATGCAGCCGATGCAGCCGACAGAGCCGCCGATGTTGCAGGCGGTACGGCGGTCCCGACGGTCAGCGGCTCGGGGGTCGGCGTCACGCAGACGACGGGTGGGAGACCCGTGAAGGTCATCGATGCTCGGTTGCAGGCAATCTACAATGGCGAAAGACGAATGGGCGACCATAATAGTGTTTTGAGGGGTATCAAGCCCACGGTAGGATTCACTTAATCTTGAATGACGACGAGAAGACGATTCTAACACGTGTATCTAGGATTTTTCCCATGTTCGCAAGCACGCAGAGACATTCCTTGGACGGCGGAAAGGTATGCCTCATTCGGGGAAGCCTGGACAGGGAGGCAGACCGGCACAATTGGCGACTCGACCTGCCACAGGACCTTCGAAACCTATTCCGTCTGCTGTATCATCGAAGCGGTCTGACCCGATCATCCTTCTCTCGCCCTCCGCTTCGTCGTTGCTAAGAATGTCAAATATCAAGACATTCCTCGATACAGGATTGTATGTGCCACCCGATCACCCAACTCTATCCACCCAGACGACGGCAAATTTGCTGCACATCACGAGAACCTTGCATTCGCTGAGCGAGAAGCCATACCGCTTCATTCTTGTCGATTCGCCGGAGCAGTTCAAGCCAGATTATTGGAGTCGAGTTGTTGCCGTGTTCACCACAGGCCAGGTCTGGCAATTTAGAGGATATAAGTGGCGGACCCCTCAGGAACTGTTCGGCCACGTTGTGGGCGTGTATGTAGGTGAAAAAGGTCTACCCATTCCGCCAGAGGTGAAAGGCTGGGGCAGTAGCGTCAAGACTTTCACAGTGGAAAGATGGGACGAACGAGCCCACGGAGGACACGTCGACCAGGATACGCGAGTTTCGAGACGATGGAGAGATAGAGAAACTGTTGAAGAGGTCTGGAGGGCCATCGAAGGCTACATGAGAGGTCGCGGAGAATGGAGAAGATGATGTTGACTGAAACGAGGATTCAAGCCCACCCGAACGTTCAGCATACGCCGCAGACCTGATACAACATCCGTCTCCCCAGCTTGCGAAACAATTCGACACCGAAGCGAAAGTACATCTCGCAGGAGCGCGTGAACCGTCGGAGCTCAATCTTTTCTGAGTTGATCACGGACCTTTATCGATTCTTCAAAGACCATAGAAGGCTAAGCTCGTGCAGAACTTGGACCCTGAAAGGGATCTCGTTCCTTCCTCGACATTGCTCAAAAGAGCTGTAGTGGACGACCAGTGTTACTTTTTCAGTTCACGGAGTAGAAGCACTGTATAGTCCAAGAGGCATTCGGGCTTTCGAGTGAAGAGCCATGCAGCAAGAGCTTGATGTTCATGATTGAAGAGAATTTTCACGAGCAGCCCAGTGGCACACTCGCCTTTGACAAGTCGATGCGAAAAACGTGGCCATGGTCATCCCATTCAGTTGGCTCTGATGGTCGAGCATCTTCTGAGCGTGAAGCTAATTCGGAACGGCGACTGTAGCTATAGGAAGGGAAGACTGTGGCATGGATCACACAGCGCAGCATTATGCATCTTTTTTGCCCAACATTTTGTAAAAGTTCAATGCCGGCATGCTATTTAGAATGCTCAATAGCGCTACAAGAGAAGCGTACTATAACGGTGTAGAAGAATAGAATCTTGCACAGGTCAGTCCTGTGAAGTCATTATGGTATTACATGAGTTTCACCCGGTGTATCTGGAAAGCTCTGTTGAGCTGTCACCCTCCACGCCCAGTGCAGAGGAGGCTCTAATAGATGGATACACTCGTAGAAAGGAAGACGGCGTATTTCGTAAAAGCAGAAGAATTCCCATAGTCTCTCCGCCGGGCGAGGAGGGGCAACAAGGCTGGGCATGGCAAGGCTGAGCGATATCGCGTCATTCCAAAAAACAAATTGCCGCCGGTTTCTTTGTTCCACCACCACCACCACATGCGCAGGCATTTTCACAATTACTCAACTTCCACCATAGCCAGCGGATTACGGATACTCTTTTATTTTTTTGAACCACATTTGAAGCCACACAGGTTTCTTCCGCTTCTTGTCACACTTTTCCACTCATCGACCCGATACCCATTTCTCCATCTCCCGACAGCCATGGCGACACTCAAAGAGGTAGAGTCCGAAGCCGGATTCGATCAGCTGATCAAGAATGCTTCTCCGTCGACGTTGTTTGTCCTATACTTCCACACTCCCTGGGCCGCGCCATGCGCCCAGATGAACACGATCCTCACCACTCTCGCCTCCACGTACCCCGCCGACGCCGACGTATCGTTCTTGTCGATCAACGCCGAAGACCTCGCTGATATCTCCGAATCCTACGATGTGACGGCCGTGCCGTTTCTCGTGCTCCAGAAGGGTGGCGAGACGCTTCAGACGGTCAGCGGAATAGATCCGGCCAAGGTCAGAGCCGCGGTAGAGAAATACGCCGGGGCAGGCACCGCCGCAGGCAAGAATGGCATCCCGCCGCCGTTGCAGGCCACCCCGCTACAACAGCAACCGCAGACAAACGGCGCCGGCGCCACGAAAGATTTGAGTTCATATGCCCCCAAGGATTCAGACAATCAGACCGCGCCGGCGTACTCGTCAAACCAAGAGTCGCAGGCCGAACTGAATGACAGACTAGGGAAGTTGGTCAAGGCAGCGTAAGTCACCCGCCCCGCGTCCCCCTGCCTCCCTCCTTCCCGGGGGACGGTACGTTGTGTATAATATGGGGGAACCTCTGTGTAGCTGACAAAGTTTCTTGACCTATATATCTAGGCCGGTCATGTTGTTCATGAAAGGAACTCCCAGCGCACCCCAATGCGGCTTCAGCAGACAACTCGTCAGCATTCTCAGAGAGAATCAAGTCAAATACGGGTAGGTTTTGTTTGTTCCACTCTTACGGATTGTGAATGTTGTGAGAGTAAAGATGAAACGGCAATTGCTGACGGAAATGACTTTTAAGATTCTTCAACATTCTAGCAGACAATGATGTTCGAGAAGGATTAAAGGTCTTTTCTGACTGGCCTACATTCCCTCAGTTGTACACAAACGGAGAACTCGTGGGTGGTTTGGACATCGTAAGTGTTGCCCTGATCGCCAGTCTCATGGGGATTTTCTTGCTAACAGTTGATGTTGTAGGTTCGTGAAGAGTTAGAGGCTGATCCGGACTTTTTCAAACCATTTTCGGCAGCACAACCTGCGCCGGTCTAGATTGTCATGAAGAGGGAGTATTTAATGAGCGTATAAATTGATATGATTGTATTTAAAAATAAAGGTTCGATTGTTTGTTTTTTTCAAAATGACCCAAAGGATAGCTTTCTAGTTATTCGTTGTGTATTGTCGTCCATCAAATGGAAGTTCAGGAATGCTACTCGTAGAGGGGGATGTGTTTCCACTTGCTTTCATATTGCAACTGCTATCAACGGAGTAGGTATTCGTAATGTTACAAGAGTAATCGAGAAGTTTAGTCGTCGATTCTGTTCCTCTCAAGGAGGCCAGCAGCTTGTGGACACGACATTGTCGCATTCTGCTTCTGATCTTGCCCCGTGGTTGACCCGATGGTACTTGGGTTATATATGATCTAGGTACTCACAAGAAGATTGGTAGACACGAACGAATGCCATAGGGGGCCAACGAGGAAGCCGGTAGAGCAAGATAGGGGAAGTAGGAGTGGAAGCAGGAGTAGGTTTGAGCATGTGATGTTTTATTTATTCGTTTTCAAATATGTACTTGTAGAAGACCAAAATTTACGCAGGCGAGGTGTCGCTCAGCGGGTAGCGTATCGATCATTCAATCGATGATTCTCGACCGAGTTTCACTTCGGGCGGCATGTCGGCCATGACCGACGCAGCTTTGCTCACAAAGTCCTGGCGATTAAGGTAGGCACCCCTCAACCATCTCTTGCCCGAGTTCTTGTCAAAGGCGTTTCGAGCGTGCACGATGCGCAGGTTGTCAAAGATGACGCACGTGCCGCTGTCCATCTTCTCCTCGACAACGTTCTCGGGCATCTCGAGATGTTGAGAGAGCAACTTGCTCGCGCCGATGAACTTGACCAGCTCGTCTGGAGCCAAGCGGGAAGGGATGTGGCCCACGAAAGGGGGCGACCAGAAACAGTGGGCGACGTTGCTGATCTCCGTGGATTTGGAGTTGAGCACCGGCCGGGAAGGGACGTTGAGGGCGTCGTTGGACTGGACGGTTGGCTTCGCGTCCGAGTAGAAGAAGCCGTCGTTGTCGTACTCGTAGCGGACCAGGTTGTCCCTCAGCATCTCGTAGTACATGGGGTGTTGCTGGAAGATCTGGTCGAGCGCCCGGAAGGTGTCGGCGAAGCGAGACTCTCCCCCCGTCGCGCTGTTGTGCACGCAGTGGAGGAACTGGAACCCCGGAGGGTCCCGCATGTACAGCAGATCCATGTGGAAGCCGAGGTACTTGGACGTGTAGGCGACGTTTTTGGCGTTGGGCACAGAACGCACATCCCACGTCGGACCGTAAAAGGTTTGTTGCAGGGGTCCGATTCGGTTGACGATCTGCGAGACCGACCCTTCGGACTCGGGGACGCCGTCGATGAACAAGAGGCCGTCGCGCCACAGTAGGTGCATGGCTTCCGCGAAGGACTGCTTGTTCGTCATGTAGTCGTTGAAGTCGACGCGGGACGTGGCTTGTGTGTACGTGTCGCGACCCCAGAGCTTCACGGGCCGCTGGTAGAGGTCCCAGTGAGGGTTGCGGAACTTCCTGTTCAGCCTCGAGATGACGTCCTTGCTGAAGACGCTCCGATGTGCTTGACTCTGGGACGGGATGTCGTTCGACCAGGAGATTTGAACCTCTTTGGCGTCATCGTCGTAAGACACCCGGTCGAATCCAATCGTGCGGGGGATGTCGGAATAGGAAAAGTTGCGTTGTCTGTCGGACGGGTCGACGCACTGCTCGCACCGACAGGCATCGCGGACGACGATCGGAGGGAACTTGGAGGTGCATCGTTCACCCTCGAGCCTCGCAGCCTGGGGAGACAGGCGAGGAGGAAAGTCTTTTTGCGGCGGAGGCTTTGTCGCGTCCATCTGCGCAAACCTGACCCTCTTGATGGATCGTCTGTCGATAAGAGATTGTAGTCGGCCGGTCTTGGGCCTCAATTTGGCCGACGGTATGAATCTCATCACGGGAGAGTAAATGTCCCCTGGTCGGGGGCCTGCTCTGCTCATTGTGATACTTGGAAGTAGCTGGCTGAGCTTCTCAGAACCAAGTTGATATAATGTCCGTTTGTCCGAGAAAGAACTTGAAAGGGGAGGATGTTGCTGAGTATGAAGCCGTGAGAATGTATGTGAATAGCTCAGACAAAATTGGGGGATTTTTCTCCAACGCTCATGATGCCGTTTTCTGATCGTCTAGAGAGTGTATAGTATATAACAAAACCATGTGAAATTATGTCGACAGAGTATCAAGTCGCTCGACGAAAACGAGTATTCCCGAGGCTTGCGAGGCTGAAGAGATTCCTCGGAACGGGACAAGGCTGGGCAATCCATCGCCAAGACCGGAGCTTAGTCATGCGAGACTTGGCAACTATGTCATGGCTTTTAGGCATGAATCAGGGCCCGGAAGGGCATCGCGAAAGCAGCTGCGGGCGCTTGTCTAGGCGTACGACTACGGGAGTGGCAGCAAGTCAAGCTCCGGCTGCTGTGCTGTTGTGTGGCTGCTCATCCATCATCCTGTATCTGGCATGACTTGTTGTCCGTTCTTCACAACCACCACCACTTCATCCCTCCCTTGCTGACATCCCATTATTCTTCATCGCTTCCGCATCCTTGGCCCGTTCGACACGGCCTTCTGCTGCCTTTTTTTAATTTTCCCACATCTCTCTCCCCGTCACAGCTTTGTTGCCTGAACGCAACCGCTGACAAAGCCGCGACGAACATCCCAATTCACCTCCCTCACCACTTTCGTCACCACACATCTCTTCCCCGTGTGTACTTTCCCAGCCCCCCACCCACCGGTCTTTCACCACATCAGGCGCCGCAAGCAGCCGCTTCATGCCATCGTCACGGTAAACAGAACAAATTTCGAATTCAGAGATCTGGGCTGCTTGTGACAAAAACGCAGGCACATTGCCGTGCGACAAGACTGATGAAAGATGGTGGAAATTGAACACGGAACTCCCACGTGGAAGTTCACGCAATGTTTTGGCGACAAGGGGGATGTCGAAGATATCACAGAGGCCGACATCATTTCCACGGTCGAGTTTGACCACACAGGAAACTATCTGGCGACTGGTGACAAGGGTGGTCGCGTTGTGTTGTTTGAACGAAATGAGACGGCAAGTCCTAACCCAGAACCCCGCCATTCCGTGGTGTTGTCCCCCTACTTCGGAAAATTTACTGACATCCCTAAAGAAAAAGACTTGCGAGTACAAATTCCACACCGAGTTCCAGTCACACGAACCCGAGTTTGACTATCTCAAGTCCCTGGAGATAGAGGAGAAAATCAACAAGATCAAATGGTGCAAGCGTCAAAATGCCTCCCACTACCTTCTGTCCACCAACGACAAAACCATCAAACTCTGGAAGGTGTTTGAAAAATCCCTGAAAGTGGTGGCAGAGAACAACCTCTCGACGGACTTGACCCCTGGTGGAGTGGGAGGTGGTGGTGCCCCTCGCCCAACCCACACTCACTTCAAGGACGCTTCGCAGTTGAAGCTCCCTAGGTTGACTCATCATGATACCGTCGTAGCGGCTGTGCCTCGACGAACTTATGCCAACGCCCATGCATATCACATCAATAGCATCTCCGTCAACAGCGATGGGGAGACCTTCATTAGCAGTGACGACCTGCGCATCAACTTATGGAACCTCAACATCCAAGACCAAAGCTTTAATATCGTCGACATTAAACCTGCTAACATGGAGGAGCTCACAGAAGTCATCACTGCCGCAGAGTTCCATCCGATAAGCTGCAACTGGTTCATGTATGCCAGCTCCAAAGGCACAATTAAACTCGCCGACATGCGCGAGAGCGCACTTTGTGATCAACACGCAAAGCGTAAGATTTCCTGACCTGTTGTAATTTTGGCTTCGTGTCTGACCGAGAATGCAGAATTCGAGCAAGAAGAAGACCCTTCATCACGATCCTTCTTTTCCGAGATCATCTCCTCAATCTCCGATGTCCGCTTCTCACATGATGGCAGATATATTCTTTCAAGAGACTATTTGACTGTCAAGATCTGGGATGTGAATATGGAAAGACAACCTGTGAAGACGATACCGATCCACGAACATCTGAGACCCCGCCTGTGTGATACCTACGAAAATGACAGCATTTTTGACAAATTCGAAGTGGTCTTCAGCGGCGATGGCAGCAACGTAATGACTGGAAGTTACAACAACAATTTCATGATCTATCCATCTGATCCCGAGCAAGAGACGGAGGTTGTATTGCAGGCCGATAAGTCAGCTTTCAAGGCAAAGAAGGTGGGGGTGCCAACGCCCATCAATTCGTCGGCGAATGGGAACAAGAAAGGATCGTCCAGAGCTGGCAGCCCAGCAGCTGGAACAGGCAGCAGAATGCGCAAGGAAACGGACGCGGATCAGATCGACTTTAACAAGAAGATCCTCCATATGAGCTGGCATCCATTTGAGGATAGCATCGCCATTGCTGCCACAAACAATGTAAGTTTTTGCAAGCATTTTTGCGATATCGTGACTCCTTCTGGGACAACTCGACTGACACACATGCCATTAGTTGTTTGTCTTCTCGGCCCTGTAGTCCAGGTGAAGAACCCGCGAAAGATCTGTGTTGCAGGGTCCTCCAACTCTTGCCCCGGAGGACTCCTGCATTCTCGAGGGCGCACTAGAGGCATTTTTGTTCAGCTTTACTTACATAGGTGCAAGGCTGTCCCAGCTCTGCCACTACCAGCACGATGCAGTGTGTAGTCAGACTAATGGATTCGTCGAACACAACGACGACGATGCAAGCTTTTAGAGTGTCGATACTTTCTTGGTGGTGAAGGTGTCGTTCACATTTGTTTACTGCAAGATAATTGGTGACGAAATGATCAGGGAAGGAGTCCCAAGTCCGATTGCTTGTGAGCAAGCAAACAGTCGACTGGCAAACGCAGGCCAGTCCTTCTTGGATTCTTTCGATCGACTTTGTTCGACAGCATTGCTTGTAATCAGCTTAGACGACACGGACGGTTAGCTGGGAACGAAGCTTGTCAAAATGCTCTCATGGTCCGACACTCTGGATGGATGGGACCAAATGCATGTGTCAAATCTTGGGGAGGGCTTTCCTGCTACGAACTCAAGCTTGGAGCGGCTGTGGCTAGGACAGTGGCTAAATCGACACACTCCGGAATGAAACGCTCGCAGCAGTCCCAGCCATAGAACAGCTGGACTGAGGAAGTGGTTTTAGCTAAGAATTAAAAAAAGCAGATCGAAAAAGGGGTTGACAGATTATTGGGCTGAGAAGTAGAAACACAAATGTGAAATGCTGTGAAAAACTTGTATTGTATACATACACGGATACCCTTTTTGTGAAGATGTACGTGGGACTCGTCACAGTGACTGATGGAGGCCAACGGTGAGCTACCCACCAGAGCTCCCCAAAGACTCCAAGCCTCTCTCCCTGTCTGTGGTCGACAGAGACCCGTTGGCAGGCAGCAGGGTATGACTTTGACTTTGACTTTGAGACTGGCCACCGGAAGCAGAAGAGGAGGCAGCTGCTAGGTGTTCCTTGGTCACGCGTTCGAGCTCCTGGCCGGCCTCCTCGAGGCTGGTCTGGATGTGAGCCTGGCTCTGTCTGATGTCGGCCCTCTCGCGCGCGATGTCGGCGCGGCGTTTCTCGACGCGGGCCCTCTCGAACTCGAGGTGCGAGACCGTGTCCCTCAGCCTGGCGAGCCCGGCGCTCAGCTTCGGGATGGCGGTGGTCTCGCGCGGCTGCCGGGGCCGGTTCGCCTGCCTCGTGTGCGCGGCGTGCGACGACAGGCCGTCCATGCCGCGGTGAGTCTGGGCCGTCTCGTAGTGCCGGTGCCGGTCGTAGTCCGAGTCCGAGTCCGAGCCTCCCTCGCCGCCCGACGACGCGCCGGATCCCTCGGCCTGGTCGATGAGGGCTCGCATGGCCTCGCGCTCGCGGAGCGTCTGCTCGCGCTGGGCCTTGCGCGACAGCGTGACGCGGCCGGGGTCGTCGACGAACTCGTCAAACCCTTCCGCCAGGTCCTCGTCGTCACGAACGAGGCGCGTGTCCTTTTCTCGCGGCGGCGCAGAGTACATTCCCACCTGCATGCGGCGGGGCTTGAACTCGCCGTCCGAATCGTAATCTTCCAGCGATATAAAGTCGGCACCGGCGGTGTGGTCGCCTGGGCCGGACGTGGCGTTGGCCGCCTGTTCCTTCGCCAGCCGCGCTCGCCGTTCCTTCTTCTCGCGGATCTCGGCCGCGGAGGGGATGTGTGACGAGGAGGAGAGTGTCGTCTTGCCGAATTTGGATTCGAGGTCGAGGGCCGTGTTCGAGGTGGACGGGTCGATCAGGTCTAGAGATGGACTTGCGCGGGCGGAAGAGAGGTCGTGAGGTGTCGAAGGTGTCGAGTTTCGCAGCTCGTCGAGGTAGGCTTTACTGTAGGTCGGCCGGTCTCCCTCGAATTTGTCACGCACTCTGTCGTGGTCTTGTCCTTCACCTCGGTCGAGGAGAGACTGTGCGGCGTTGGACAGACCTAGTCTGGATGGCTTTGGTGTGTAGGTGGGCTGGCCGTCATCGTCATCGTCGTCGCCGCCGCCGACCCCTGTCGCTGTTCTTCCTCCTTCTTTCCGAGGGGTTTCGTCTTCGCCTCCTCCGGGGTTGAAGGACATGCGCAGTTTGGATTTTGTCCGTGGCGCATTGCCAGTCGGCCGTCGCACGACGGGACCAGAGTCTGCAAGAAGAGTTTATCAGTGTTGGTCTGATCCATAGCTAAGAAGTAACTTGCGAGCGGAAGAAAGAGTCAGAGAGTGTGCCTGAAACCCAAAAGCAAGTGGTAGGACTTGGACATACCTTCTTCGACGTCGTCTGCCTGCGCTTCGCTCTCGTCGCGCACGATGCGCTTGGGTTTCCGCCTTGCCGTAAAAAGAGAGGACATGTTGAAGCAATCAATACGGGCGACCTCTTCTAGGTGGGGTACGTTTCAATGCTGCCGTTGATTGTGTCTCGTGGATTTATGTAGTTGATGTGACCATGAAAATGTTTGGATTGACATATGGCCGTGATTCAGTTTAGCCGAATATCTGCCAGCAGGATGCAACGAAGTGAGGGACACAAGGCTGAGGAACTCTTCAACCCCCTTGAAGGTACATCTGGATTATGCTTACAGTTTTCCACGTGAGATCTTCCATCGAGGTTGATGTACGGCGAGTGCTGTCACGGGGATGTGTGAGTATGGATATGATTCAAAATGAAGTATAACATATTGCAAACAAACAAAGGGAAAAACACTTCGGAACTGGCTCAGATGAGTCTGCTGCAGACTCAGTTACAAGAATCTGAGAGCACGACCAATGAATCTACTGATATTACCTTCAGCCCTCAGACATATTTTTAAACGAAGCTGTGTTCTCTTTTCTCGTCCGCGAAATGACTGTCAAATTGGTCGAGGCTTTCGTGGAGTGTCTCGTCTTTGTCCAAGTGGTGTCGAGCTTTTTGCTGACAATCCCCTTTGTCTTACTTTATGCCAGTCGGTCAATGTATGCTTTGAGCTGGAATCGCTGCTTTCTTCGAGCATAAAGCAGACCCGTTTCCGTAGATCTCCTCCAGCTCATATAAATTTCTGCTAGTCCGATGACAAGCATCATGCTGGCCCAAAAGTCTTCTCTTCATCAGCTGTCCAGCTGATTGATACGCATTAAAGATGTGCTCGTGCTATATTCTCATCACCCGCGAGGTCTGTCGGCAATGTGCTTCCCTGAACGAGCTGACTTTGCTCAAAAGCAGCTTCTTCAGAGAAAACCCAAAGCGGTCTCTTAGCCTCAGCGGGCGGTGTCATACCCACAGTTTCTTGGTACTTCCCAAGGTCAAACAGTATGAGAACAAGTTGAAAGACTATCCAAATTGTCCAAATTGTCGAGGCCGTCGGGCGAGGAACCCTGGAATTGAGTCAGTGGCTAAAGAATCAGCTCGGTCTAGCAGTGGCATGTCGAGATCAAATGCGACTACCAAAGCAAAAGAGAATTCTCAGCAACACCCAGGATTGCTGACAATCAATCTTTCACCGATCCAACAAGTACACGAGGCTCTAGGACACAAGTCATCCCACGGCTACCTCTTAATGTCGTGAGGCTGTTGGACAATCTCTATACGTAGAGTGTGCGTCACAAGCTCCCTGGGGATCCTCTTGTACGTCGTCTACCGATTCAATTATAGATCGCTCGTGGCTGGTCTAAAAGTAGAGAATAGCAAGTATACGATTCTTGTTGCAAGGTATATGATAAATTGATTTTGAATTTCCCTTCCCCCAGACATGGTGACGATAACACAAAGATGTGCATACAATAGGCACTTCAGGTGCAGAACATATAATAACAAAGATTTGAGAACGTGAGATCGATAAAGGGTTTCCGCAGGCAGAATTTCGGGCGGCGAAGTGAGGTTTAGTCCTTAATTAATATTCAGCAGCCGCTTCTCCGCAGACGCACCTCTTAAGCATTTGAATACTACTACTCGGTACAAGTACATCTACTCCGGCTCTGCTCTAAGCTTCGGAGATGGTATCTGACAGAGGACGTTTCTATCTGCCCCAATGACTGTTCTACTTACGCATCATGTCAATGACCCCGACTCATGGTGAGAGCACAATCGCCTTTGTTCAAGCTGGCAGCAAGCGACGATCCGCTGTGGCGTGTCAACGATGCAAGGCAAGGAAAGTGCGCTGCAGCGTGACGGCAACAGGCCACCCCTGCACGAATTGCACACAAGATGACACTCGGTGTGAAGTTCTACCTCGTAAGAAACACGCGTGAGTAGCTTGTGGTATCTTTACGCTTTGCTGCCTCTGCTGACTACCTGATGAGTCGTGATCGGGACAAGGTCAAGAAGATGCGGGCTCTAGCTCCGAATGCACCAAGTCCAGTTGTTCGAACAGATCTTTCGCCAGTCAACACCAACGCCGTCCCACAGGATGATGTGCGTCTGGAACCTGGTGTTGCACCGACCACGGATCAATTGCAGCGCGTTGCACCGAATCTCGAAGATTCATATGTTCCATCGAACGCGCTTCATGATAGCACCCCCGACGAAGGCGGGAATCCTGCTTCATTTGCAGAGGCAGTCCAGGCGAATAGTCCCTTCAACAATGAAAGGCTGTTTTACTCCGGTGATTTTACCAAGAAGATTCTGCGAGAACAGGGCTAACGAGCCAAGGTGACCGCCAGGGGCTTGTTCATTCTGTAATGGAGATTTGTGCGAGTCAACGAATCAACAAGCCAGGGCCCTTGTGGTTTCAAATGAGGGCACCGGAACCCAAAAAGGTTTGGGAAATGCACGATCAGATCTATCTCAGAAGCAAAGGCGTTTTCAACTTGCCTAGCAGTGACGTCTGTGATGCACTCATTCGATCATATTTCGACCATGTGCATCCACTGCTTCCCATCATTGATGTCGGTCATTTTCTGGCACAGTACACACTGAAAGGAGCCGCAAGCATGAACCTTCTTGTGCTATGGAGCGTTTTTCTGGCTGCTGCGAATGTAAGGGCACCTTTAAACTCCGTGCTGCGAAAGCTAAGCATGAACAGTTCGCCTCACCAGATCTTCTGCGAACCGCTGGCTACGCCTCACGCAAGGCGCTCAAGCGCGTCATGTATTCGAGGGCTAAAGTGCGTCTCGAACGAGGTTTCTCCTGGCTTGCACTGATAAGATCTCTAGGCTCTCTATGACAGCGACTATGAAGACGATAAAGTCTGTGTTGTTCAAGCCGTGACGCTGCTTGGCTTCTGGTACTCAGACGCGGAAGACAGAAATGGCCCGTGGCATTGGATGGGGATCGCTATCGGCTTGTGTCAAGTCATGGGCCTCCATCGCAAGCCACGACTGGCTGTCTCTACTCCATCGGCGATTTCTCGACAACGATTGTTTCGAAGAATCTGGTGGTCTTGTTTTGTGAGGGATCGTTGGCTCTCTGTGGGCTTGGGACGCCCCATGCGAATCAATCTGGAAGACTGTGACGTAAAATTTCCTTCAGTTGAGGACCTGACCGTTGAACTTGAGCAACTTGCCCCAGAGGTCGCCGACAGATACCTTCCTCACTCAATGCAGCAGCATGCGATGATCTGGGTGCAACTGGTGAGATTAAGCCATGTTCTAGGCAGGATCTTACGAATTGACTACGGATTGAATGGCTCCGCTTCCAGTGAGGATGATTTCCGAGCTCATGAGCTTGAGCTGAAGGCCTGTCGCTTGGCCGATGATGGAGGTCTAATTAGCGACACATCTTTCGGCTCCTTGAGCAGGCTTCAATTTGAGATGCTTCTTGAGTAAGTCGACACCACCCATTTCTCTCCACTGCAATCGATCCTAATTGAAACTACTAAAGAGCTACCGAAGTCATTCTTCAGCGACCTGCGATAAATTTCCAATGTCCTCCAGATGCACAGAGAACCCCTGCCGGAAGCGAAGCACTGCAGAAGGCAAGAGCGTCAGCTGCTAGGACGAACCACATCATAGAGAAATTGATCAATGCCGACATGGTACAATTTCTTCGACCGATGAGGTACGAAACATTAGAGATCCTGACATTCGCTTCCAACACTGACCGCCGTCTAGCTTGACCGCCCTGATACCAGCTATGCAGATACATCTGCTCGACTGTAGGTCGAGCCGTCAACTGGCACGAACCCTTGCACAATCCAAGCTCGGGGAATGCATGATGGTCGTCTCCGAATTGCGAAACACTTATTGGGGCGCCGATTTCACATACAAACTGTTCGAAGCGGCACAGTCCATTCTGGGAGACAGCGAGGGCCAAAGTGACAATGTGCAAACTCCACAGGGTTTCAATCCAGATATACGAGCTCACCAAGTCGAACCACTTCATGGAGACAATGGCCAAGGTCTCTCAAACGCTTCCTACATCACGGATGGCCCTGATGTCTTTGGGGAAACATACAATGATGCTCTGTGAGTTATGACATCGACCAATGTTTGATGCTAGTACTTATGCGCCAGACAGATATCATGACATGCCCGATCCCAACGTGGTTGATCCCTGGAGTTTGGCAGAACTGCAAAACATGTTCGACATGCCTTTTGACGTGGACATCTCATGATAGCGTAGTTTTGGATATTGTCCTATTTGTCGGCTTTTTCGCTACCTTTGAGCACAATATCTTCCGAAGAAGACCAGGTCGTTATCATACTCAATTGCTGATACCGCAACGATTGGCCGAGTGCTTTCAACTGTCGAAAGTTAGCGTTCGGTTTGCCGAGGGTGCTATAGGCTTACCGAGGGAAATGTTCCTGAAATGGCAATCCCGGGTCACTTCGTTCTTCCCGAGATCACAGAACGTTGCCATAACGGAGACTACGTGGCAAGCCGGCAAGACGACTACATGGATTGTATTCTAATGAGAGAAGATGTCAACACTGGCTGCATAAGACGTGTGCTGCACTGTGTCAGACCACGTGAGAGAGTTACCGTCCAGCCCCTTCAGACCATGTAGTAGGAGATGACCACTGCAGGCCGCATTTACGCAGGTATTCAAAGGTTTAGGTCGTCTGGACCGCGACTTCGAGAATCTCGGAAACGAGATCAAGGCAAAACGCCCTCCGTCGACCTCATCTTTTCATCTATCGTTCAGTTCTACCAATTATCTCATTTCCGGTCAACTGCCTCTCGGAAAGCGATAAGCTTGTCAGCCACGGGCTTAGGCTGTTCCATGACCATCATGTGCGTCCCGGGGTCGACCTCTTCGAACCGAGCGTCAGTGTTTTTACAAGCCTCTGCAATAGCCTTCATCATAGGTGTCGTAGAAGAGAGATCCTGCCTTCCAGAAAGGACCAACACCGGGATCCTCAACTCTTTTAACCTGTCCAGGCAATCCAGCGTGGCCATGGCCCTCCAGGCTGCTGCCCATTCCTCAACCCTGGCCCGGCGTACGCAACCTCGGGCATAACGCACACACCAGGTATCCTCAGCAATCGTCTCCGGCAGGAACCAGCGGATGACGGATTCAGCAACCAAAGAGTCCATGCCATCTTGCTCTGCACGGGTTGCCCTGGTACCTAGAACCTCGGGTGCTTTACCGGCAGTGGCGAGAACGGCGAGTGAGCGTGTTCGGTGAGGATAGTCCAGTGCAAAATACTGGGCCACGGCTCCCCCGTACGAGGCACCGTAAATGTCAGCAGCTTCGATGCCCATGTTATCAAGTAGAAGTTCAAGATCCTTGCACAGATGTTCGAGACTCTCGGTCAACGGTGCGCCCCGGGCGTACCCGTGACCGCGAAGGTCGTAGGCGATGATTCTGGACCCATTCGCCGCCATGGGGAGAAAGACTTCTCGCCACATTCTGCTATCCATACTCAACGCATGTATTAGGATGATGGGGACACCTGAGCCTGAACTGTCGCGGACGAGTGTGTCGTGGTCTCCCAAGCGGACAATGTGCTCTTTGTACCCCAGAGGATTTTCCGGCAGCAAGGACGAGATCAAAGACCAAGTGGCGCGGACCGCGTTGACCGATCGAGGGGCGCCACTGAATGAATTGGCATGCTTGAAGACATCCTGGATCTCTTCTCTGGTCGCACCGTGTTGAATTGCACCGCGGACGTAGACGTTCAATTGATCCCCCGTGTCTCCCATGGCCGTCAAGACACCGATTGTCATCAATGCCCATTCGCGGTAGCTAAACACCGTGTTGGCCAGGTTCACTCCGAATGCCTCCAGGATACTTCTTCCCAGGCCTGGATTCTGGTCCACGACTCGACTGACATTCTCCGCGAGGTGATGCCCTCCGAAGCGAGTCGCTTCGTGATAGCCTATCTGTTCGACAGCGCGCATGGCTGAGCTCGCTGCGGGCTTCTGTCCATTCGGTGGCGACGTTTTCTGTCCTGCTTGGACCTGCTCCCCATTCACATGTTCTGACGGTGACATGACGCCAAAGAAAGTAGCCACAGCAGTCTTCGCCCGCTAGAATCGGTTGGAAAAAGAAGACCGTCGGGACTTGTCTTCGACGCTCAAGGAAACAGAGGCCTCGAGACGAAATGTTCACCTTGTATCAAGTGAATGAACTCGTGTCTTGAAAAACCACCAAGCTGTTTCCCCCGGCCTTACTTTGGAACTTGGTCTTCTACCACGGCCATAGCCCAGGTGGGCGGCCCGCATCTCTCTTGTCTGAATCCACAATCTCCACGTCCTCGGCATCGACGGCCAATCGGTCAGCGCGAAGACCAGAGATTGGTGGATGGCATCCAGCTCTGGCAAAATCTCTCTTTCGGGCAAGGTGAGGACAAGAGTAAGATACCGTACATTTATTGGTCGAAACATCCGACTTTGTGTTCGTGATTGAGCGCCCAGACGAGTCGAAGTAGCTTGTTCCGTAGGTCGCTTGCTCTCTTGCTGGGGCAAATCGGTCTAGGTTCAAGTGTAAACTTGATTCATTCGAGTCGTCTCGCCCCCATGGGGGACATGGCAGAATGCTTTCCGGGGACGGTATAAAATAACCTGTTTGGTCTGTGTTTCCCTGGTACGGAGGCTTTCACGCGACCCCCAAGTTCTTCACGGCTTCCTAGACAGTCCCATTCTACTGTTGCTCGATCCGAAACGAACCCTTCTGTCTGTTGGTGTCATGACTACGGACCATTCTCAGCCAGAGAAGACAATGTCTTCGGAGCACGTCGACTTTGTAAAGACAACGCCCTCGTCGTCCGACCTGCACGACCCCAAAGATATCGTCCAACTCGAGAGTGGCGATTCCGTCTCTGCAGAAGTACGCCACCAAGAGAAGGGAATCATGCGCAAGGTCGACCGGCGCCTTTTGCCTCTGTGCGGCGCATTGTACGCAGTGTCTCTGGTCGACCGTCTCAACCTCCCCAACGCCCGGCTCGCCGGCATGGACGAAGCACTGGGCATGTCGATTGGGAATCGCTACTCGGTCGTCACCATGGTCTTCTTCATCGGGTACATAGTCTTTGACTTTCCCGCGGGGTTCGTCATGAGAAAGACCGGTGCGGCGACCTTTTTGGGGGTCATCGGGTTTTGTTGGGGGATTCTGACAATCGCCATGGGTTTCTGCAAGACTTGGGGTGCGCTCCTGGCTTGCCGTGTGATTTTTGGTGCATTGGAAGGTGGTCTGTTTCGTGAGTATCCCTGCAAGGTTGCTGACACGAACACACACTCTCTCCCTCGCTCTCTCCTATGCATCTCCTCCCAGATCTGTCATTTTGTCGAAACCTGGGAGGTCGATTACCACCACCCCCAACCCACCCACCACTTAGAAATCGTTCTTGCTAACACACACGCTCATTGCTTGTCCCCCCACAGCCGGTATTATTTTTCTTCTTTCTTGCTGGTACATCAGGCATGAAGTGCAGGTCCGGTTCAGCAGCTTCTATGGCGCCGGCATGCTGGTGTCCGGCCTTTCCAATCTCCTCGCCTACGGTCTCTCAAAGGCCGACGGGCTCGGCGGGCTCGGTGGATGGTCCTGGATTTTTATTTTTGAAGGGATAGCGACGTGCGTCATTGCCGTCTTTGTGCTTGTGATGCTCTTGGACTTTCCGGACAAAGGGGCACGCAAGAGAATTCTCGGGTTGAAACCGTTCATCACCCCCGACGAGGCCACCGTGATCCTCAACCGTATCGAGCGAGACAGGGGTGACTCGACGCCGGAAAAATTCTCGTTGATCGCGGTGCTCGGCCACATGAAGGATTGGAAGATCTGGGAATGTTTTGTCCTCTTGTTGTGCAATGTAGGAGACCTTCCGTTCTTTGATTCGGAGCGTCGGGCGCGGGGCTGGCTCGGCGGCTAACATTGACATGCTTAGAACACGGTCGCATATTCCTTTGCGTATTTCCTCCCACTTATTCTCCATGGCGGAATGGGGTTTTCAATTTTGAAAACATATATACTGATCTTTCCTCCTTATGTACTTGCTGCCATTGTAAGTCGTGTTTTCCCCCCATGCCCCTCTTTACCTACATATTTACTGGTCACCCTCTCAGGGAGTACTCACACCAAAATGTCATTGCTAACACATTCGAAACTATAGTGGATGTTCGTCGCCGCGTACATTGGGGACAGGTTTATGATTCGAGGCGCCATCATCGTAGTCAACGCCGTCTTCACCATCGTGGGCGTCGTCATGATGGGATACGCCGATACGTCCGCTGTACGGTACGCGGGTGTGTTTCTGAGCCTGCCGCCGTACAACGCCAGTATCCCGGCCATTTTTAGTTATCAGCACAACAACATCGTCGGCCAGTCGAAGCGAGCCATCGGAGCGGCGGTGATGATCGCCGGGGGTGGCATCGGCGGCATCATTGCGAGCAACGCCTTTCAGCAAAAGGACGCACCTGGATATCGACCGGGTCTCAACACCGTCATCGCCGTGCAGGCTCTCACGATTGTGATTGTCTGTAAGAACTTCTGGGTGTTTGGACGAGCGAACAGGCGCGCAGACAGAAGAGAAATCGTCATTGAAGGCAAAGAAGGCTTTAGGTATACGTTGTAAATAGTTGTGGTGACTTGTTGGGTGACTTTAAGTCGATCAAAGCTACCTACCTCACGGTTTGTGCACATTTGGCAGGGCCATTGCCATGGTAACCACATGATACACATCTTTGAACCACATACTCTTTCTTTTTTCTTGCTTTGGTGAGGCTTGGAATATCGATGTTCAACGAGGTTGACAGAACTGACAACCAATTCGGATCACATGGAGCTTGGTCTCAGATGATTAGGAAATAGCATTCTGATGTCTTCCGATGTGTTTTCTGGCGAATGACCTGTTGTTTCGGAAATGCAAAAAAGAACGGGCTTTCATGGGCTGGCAGTCGCTGTAGGACTAGCTGATCCCATTCGTGCTTGAATGAGGGCGTCTGGCCTCCAGCGTCGGCGCCAGTGCTGGCGTGTATGTATTCGGCACATCAAGTTAAAGAGCTCACATCCTCTTGCGAGTCGCTTGGATGACTCTTTTCGTCCAGACCGCAACACCGTCGACCGAGGGAAAGAGTCGGCGCGTCGGTAATATCTCCCAAAAGGGCAGGTCTGGGACCTACCTCTTGGGAGAACCAATCGCTCTGAGAAGACGGGGTTTGGCAAACCCCGGAATGTCTTTTCTGCTTGCCCGACGAAGGGAAAATCCGTACCCCAGGTCCAGGGTTTACCGATGGTTGGTCCGTGGGATGTACTCGGTAGGATGGATAGTTTGAAGTACAAACCCCTCCAGAAGAACATATCCTGTGCCGGATCAGCCGACCCAAGCATTTTGCATGGATCATAAAAAGGATTGATCGTCAGACGTGCCCACGTTGCAGTTGTTACACTCACAAGCTTGTTGAGCACTCACTGACAAGGAAACATTCCAGCATCAAGCATCGCGATTTCAGGAGCCAGACCATGTACGTCCAATCCGACGGCCATGACCAGATTGCCGATGTGGTGGTGGTGGGCACTGGTCCCGGTGGACTGGCGGCGGTCGGTTCAGCGGTCAACGCTGGGGTAGAAGTCGTTGCGATCGAGGCGTACAAGGACATTGGGGGCAACGGGACATGGTCGACGGGCTGGGTGGCGTTCGTGAACAGTCGCATGCAGCGCGACCAAGGCATCCACGACTCTGCCGAGCTCTTCATGCGTGACTGCGAAAAATTGATTGACGAAGCCAGCGAGCACTATGGGATACAGTTGGATCCTGTTCTGGCGAAGATCTACGCCGAGGAAAGCAGCAAAATGTACGAGATCCTCACCGAACGGGGCGTCAAGTTCTCCCGCCTGATCAAGAGGCCGCTACAGACGTCGGTCCCCCGACTGGCGGCCGTCGAAAGCACCGAGCAGTTTGCGCGGGCGTTCGAAAAGGACTTTGCTGGTCCCAGGGTGCGGACGTACGTCAATAGCACCGTTGTCAGACTGATCGTCGACAACAACAACGGTCGTGTGACCGGCGTCCGCGTACAGCCCAATGACTCGAAGAAGCCACCGTTTAACGTGATTGCCAGAAACGGCGTCATTCTTGCGACGGGCGGCTACCAAGCCAACAACGCCCTGCGCCAAAGGTACCAGCCGACGGCCAGGGAGGCATGGTATCCAGGTCTCCCCACCTGCAGGGGAGATGGACACCTTCTCGGCCAAGCGGTTGGGGGAGACCTGGTGAACATGTCCATGATTCCACCGATTGTAGCCATCGCGTCTGCTCTGACGGACGAGGCCATTGCTGTAAACGCACAAGGGAACCGGTTCCACGACGAAGCCGGTCCGTACCAGTATCGCGTGCAGGAGCTCAAGAAGCAGCCAAAACAACTAGCGCACTACATCTTCGACACGGCAACCGCGAAAAGGCAAAAGAGATATGTCGACCAGCTGTCGAACAAGGTCAGGGCGGACACGTTGGAGGAGCTTGCACACATCATTGGCGTTCCAGCGCATGAGCTAGTCGCAAGCGTGAAAGCGTGGAATGAGTTCATCGCATCTGGGAACCGAACGAAGGAGCCACTGACACAAAGAGTGGACTTCTACCCCAAGGAGATTACCGAGGGCCCGTACTATGCGTCCAAGATGGAGACGGGGATTAGTTTGACATGTGGAGGTTTCCGGACGACGACATCGATGCAGGTGGTCGACATCTTTGGGGAGCCCATGCCAGGGTTGTTTGCGGTAGGAGACACCACGGGAGGCTTCACGGTGACGGCCGAAATGGGAGGGACGCACCTTGGAGGAGGGTTTGTATTTGGTTGGAGGGCAGGCCACGCAGTCGCGACGGGACAGTTGGCGGAAAGCCACCATAAAGGGGAAAAGGTCTTTGGGCAATCGGTACCGCAGCGAGTGACACTTTCGATCCGGGTGCCCATTATCAACGTCGCCACAGTTGAGCAAATCGGCACGCCAAGGACACATCTGTAGACGTCTAGTATGTACAATGCAGCAGTGCAGTCAATAACCATCCAGGGTCTGTGACGTCGACCCATTGTAATGGATCATCAATTGTCTTGTTGTTTGTCTCGACGATCGGCTTGCCCCGGAACCTTTAGCGGTGGGAAGTTTATTCGAGGTCGAGACTCTGGCCATGATCCCAATTTCGTGGCTCTCGAATCGATTGGCCCGACGCAATTAGTTACATACGTTGGTGCTGTCTTTGAGATTCGTCATCAGCTGAAGAAGAAGATGAAGAAGAAGATAGTGATGATGATGATGGAATGATGTCGAATTGCCTACCATGGTCAAGACTTGCGGAGATGCGGGCAATTGTGAGATACTGAGATCTCAAAATAGATGAGAGAATACCTAGTAAATGATACTGTAGTATTCTGTACAGCGCAAAGTGGTCGATGTCCCTTACACAGCCTCTGGAATATCAATAGGATTTGGTAACGCTTTTCTTTTCCCGCGCGGTTCATGCTCCGTGCGTTTGTCAGCTGCCATGGCTGTGAAGCCGCGAGAGAGAAAAAACTCTACAGACGAAACCTTGCCAAAACGGCAACTTCAAGCGGGGCGAATGAGTGAGTGTCTGAGGGTCTTTGAGGGTCTGAGTGTCCAAAGATGAGGTTCTGTAGGTTTCTACAATATGTGAGCTACATACTTGATTGCATACGACATACGAGAGTCATGAGTGCGAATCAGTGCGAGTCAACACCGAGTTATTTTGATACCAACGCCTCATGATACATTGTCCATGAGCTCCATGATCCACTGTGCCAAGGTCAAAGAGCTCTTCGTTCTGTACAGTTGTGACTATTGATCGAGGCCGTTCGCTTTGCTCGTTTTTCATGTCACGCTGTTCGAGAGGAAACGAATCATCATAAATACAGGGAACGTGCCAGATGCAGCAAACTTCAAGCCACATCGAGCCCTTTCGCACAACGGGTTCTCCCAGTCCTCAACCCAGCCCAGGATCATGAGTCTACGATTGTCGTCCCTTGACCCGAACGAGCCCAGGGCTGCCAAAGGTTTGCGTTCCATTCGTTTGCCAGCCTTTGGAAACTCCTTGACTGACGAGTGCCGCCAGATTGCAGGACGTGTAATCGAAGAAGGGTCAGATGCGATCGAAGCCTTCCGAGCTGCCGCAAATGTGCTCTCAAAGAACTCCAATGCCCGGGATACGGACTTCGAATTCAATGGGGTCAGGGAGTCGCAAGCCGAGGGAGATTGACTGGGAAAGCACTTCCTATCCTCGAGTCGGCACCTGCAAATCCAGATCGCGCGCCCGTCGAGGAGGAGAGAGCATTCACGACCCCGCCGACTGAGAGCCAGCAGGACTACCTGGACAATCGACAACCTGAATCGTCCATCTCACCGGCTGAAGTAGGCACCCCCGCGTCCGACGACCTGCGAAACGCATTCCTACCTCTCTACGATCGTTCCAGCGACTGCAATCCATTTGCGATGGGCCTTGATTTGAGCGCGTGCCAGCTTCCAAAGTACCTCCAGACGCAGGTGGTTTATGATCTTGTTCATTACTACGACCACGTTGTGGCAGCTGTGATGCCGTGGTTGGACGGGCCAGGCAACGCGTGGCGTACCATCATACTACCTCTTGCCATCGAGTGTGAATTCCTCCTTCTGGCCATCCTCGCCCTCTCGGCCGAGCACTACTCGTTCAAAATGGGTTCGACATACACATCCAACACCGGTCCTTTATCTGCCTCTTGGCGAGATCGAAGCCTGCATTTACTCGCACGGAGCCTTCGTACCGAGTTATCCGAGGAGCAAACCACCGTAAGCCGTGGCCCCGCGTGTGCGATGCTCGCCACCATCCTAGTGCTGTGCAATCTCGAGATGATCCGATGCGACAACGCCGTTTGGAGGATTCACTGGAAGGCAGCGAGGACCATAGCAAGACGTTGGACATCATCACACCACCCTCCACCGAATCTGGATCCCGGGTTCGACTTTCTCATCAAAGAGGCCTTTGTCTACGACGTGTTTGGATCTTCAACCACCTTCCGCGATGAAGACCAGATATCTAGCGCAGTAGTGAATGCCGACGACCCTTTTTTACGTTGGTTGCAGCTCATACAGGAGGTCACGATCATCGAACGACGGCGACACGCCAATTTGCCAGTGGACGAATTTCCGCTGCACAACGCTGACATGCACGCCCTGCAACAAGCATTCGCAACAGCCACGAATTCCTCACTGTTTCTCAGCAAACACAGCAAGCCTGAATGGCAAGGTCTGGAAAGTCTGGAAAGTGACCTCGTGATGCTGCTTAACATTTATCAACAAGCAGGTCTCCTTTACAGCTACCAGGCTTTAATTGACGCCGGTAAATCTGCCACCGCTCGGAGCATTTGCGTAGAGACCATCATCTCAGGCATCCGCCAGATCCAGAACATGAAGGCTATACAGCACGACCTGGTCTGGCCATACTTCCTGGTGGGAACAGAAAGCAGGGGCAATGACGACAGGAAACACTTTGCACAAGCTGGCCTACTCGAAGCGATGCATTCGACCGCGTTTTCTAACTGCGTTCCAGCACTGGAATTTTTGCGACGGTTTTGGACCACGGATGCCTACACCGTACCTCTGTGGCTGCAATTTGCCCGACAAGAATCGCACCAAGGCATGGATTTCTTGGTTATATGACTATGGATGCGCGACGACAGTGCGGAAAGAAAGCTTCATCCTGTTCAGCCTTACATGTCCACGGTTTCTTCATCTTCCACGCCAAACAGCACCCGCATCGGGTCCTGATAATTCATGAAGCCCAAAGAAGGAAGGGAGATGCCGTATCCCAGAAGCCGCTGTGCTTGCGGCGGCAGTCTCTTTGCTTTTTCAGGTGGGACCATCAGATATTGGTTCTCTGCCTGTCGGTAATATGGCTTGCAAAGGAAGATTCCAACCGTCTCTCGGAATTGATCTCTGTCAGGAAGTCAGCATTCCCCATCACAGTGTTGAACATTCTGATGGGCATAACCGAAGACTTACTTTGTGATGTTCCCGCCACCGGCATGGTATAAATTGCCAACAAAGATCAAGGCATCACCTGGCTCTAGTTCAGCCGGAACGGCTTCTTCGTCATAGGGACAACGATCTGGTCCCCAAACGTGAGATCCGGGGATGCAGATAGTGGCCCCATTCTCCCTGGTGGTCTTGGTTATGGCAGTTACACACCCGAGCATCATCGGCATGTCAACATTCCGGGTGTGATAGTCACTGGCGTAACAATGAGCATCAGTGTGAAACTGCATTAGAAGAGGAGAACTTACCTGTCATCCCGATGCAATACCTGCTGTCTACCTCCGGGATTCACTCGGAATGCGACGGTCCTTTGGGTTGTCAGTGTCAAAAGAACGGACGGTGGAGAATCGATACTCACGAGGATATAATGGGCTTTGACGTCACAGTCTCCTGCGTTTGACCAGACCAATATGTGAACGTCGAGGAAAGCATCTTGTTTGCAACATCGATATATGTCTTGTTTGTGGCTAGCTCGACACATGCATCCGATCGACCTAGGAGTCCCGTCGCTCGTTGAGTCGTCTCAGGGAAGAAACCACTGTTGTCCTTCTTGTCTGTGTCGAAGTAGGGCTTTAGTTCGGATTTGATCCGAGACGCGAGTTCTTTGGTTATTATATTTTCCACAATGACACCCCCATCCCTCTCGAGGATAGATATCAGATGATCGGTGGTTGTCGAAGGATCATTTGCGTCACATCGAACAATTGCAGGCTTGGTCGGTGATGTGGTGGTGGTAGGAGTAGGATTGTGTAGGTCCTTTTTCGCATAGACCGGGGTATCGACAATGTCTTGTACGGCGATGGGAGACATGGCTGGATTGCGAAATGGCCCTCCTGTTGTGAAGGCCTTGTTATATCTCTGAGTGGAATAGAATGGCGAGATGATAAATGTGCTGGAAAACGTTCGAGCAAACTTCTTAAGGGAGTGCTGAGAACAAGCTATTATCATGGAGGTGATTCGAAATGGTATATTCAAAAAAGAGGGCTCGTGTGCTATTATTATATATAGATTGCCGGCCGGCTCTACCGAACCCTGGACGTCGTTTGAACAGACTTCTCAGCCCTCCTGCCTATGTAGGCTTGGACTTTTGGGATCCGATCGAACGATTGGATGGTGTGGTGAAGGGTGATTTGTTGTATTTCAAATGGTAATTTTTATTAGGTAGTTGAGATGAGAAGGAGTCAAGGACTGTCCACGGGCTCTAGAGAGGGGGGGGGAGAGAGAGAATGATCTCCACGATAAGAGGATGATCTCCTAGCCAAATGATGCGCCAAAGTGGTTCCCCGGGATCAACGGGATATCCAAGTTTAGAGAAGAGCCCGAGAGGACTGGGCAATGAGAAGAAGATATTGGCCTTGACACCGGGGGTTTGGTGAGATTGGAAACACTCCCCAAGGTACGGAGTAAAGGTGAGGTAGGTAAGGGAGGGGATTAGTATACTTGATGAGGCTGGTGGTTGGAGAGAAGTCTTTCTATCTCATCAGGTCTCACGCGGAGTTGGACGGTTCGCGTATAGCAGCTACCGAGAGACGAAACAAGGAGAAAAAAGTATGACTCTGATCGTGAAGATACTTGCTTCAGAGAGATGTTGTCGTTGTGATGCTCGGTACGGAGTTATGAGAGCCGCGAAGATGGTGTGTTCTGGTTCTTATCAATTCTTTTCTCCATCGACCCTCCTCATCGGGTTTGGTAGAATATTGAAGAGAACGAACCATCTTCACCCCGCCATTTTGCTCCCTCTCGCTTCGCTAATCACCCGGTAAGGAGCGCGAGCAGCGCATTGGTCTGTCTGGCCGGGTCTGGCCAGACCCTGTGCAGAAGAAGAAAAAAAAAACCAACCACACCAAAGCGATTACCTTACATGGAGAAATAGTGCACCACCACCAGTTACCTTGTGGTAACGCCGTACTCCGTTTTTACTCGATACAACAGAAAGGATGAAGCGCGACGATCGAGTGGTAGAAGATCAGCAAATATACGTGTACGTGTACACGTGTGACGGCGAATAAACTACAGCCTATTCATTAGTTCGAACGCCTCTGGACGCTGGAAGAAAAGGGAAAGCTGTCCCAACCTTCAGACTACAGTACCTAGCGGCAAAAGATGACAACGACTGTCAACTCCTATTCCCTGATTTACAAGCCGCATTGCCGACCAACTATCAAGATACAAAGCAGGATGCAGCAGTGTTGAAAACCAAAGCGATCCGTCATGGCCAGACAATCATATACATACCTTTACCCATACCTATACATATCTAACATGACCAAAGTCGTGCAACAACTCTAGACTTACAAGACCAAAAGACTTTTTGCGACATTACCTTGTTGTGTTCTGCAGAGTCAAAACTATTCTTTTTTTTCTTTTTTCGGTTCCTGGACGATACAGCATTCGAATACCAACCACCGGTCAAAAGTGCTTTCCTTTTTGCGACTGATCCACCGAGAGACCTTTTTCTTTTGAAAAGGTCGACCACCACCACCACCATGAAGGAAGAAGACATAGACATCAATGTCGGTTCTCGAGATTTGTCGGACCCAACACTTTCCGTCGAGGATGCAAAATCAATCAATAGTGATGATGCCTTGCTATTGAGTATGGGCAAGAAGCCCGAGTTGCGTCGAGTTTATAACTTTTGGACGTGTGAGTTGAACTACCCACACTAAATACACCTTGGCTCATTTCTGGAAATTTTTTGTCCTCACGATGACATCTCAAAGTGAAGATTGTCCAGGACAGTTGTGCTGATTGTGTTGTATCATAACAGTATGCGCCTACCAAATCATGATCTCTTGCAGTTGGTCATGCCTGGTGGTATTGTACTCGACCATCTTTGACATCGGTGGACCATTCTGTCTACTTTGGGGGACGTGAGTGTTGTCCTCATTACCCTGGTCATGAAAACCCTACCTCGTACCTAACTCCGACTTTGTTTCCAGCCTCTTCGTCGCCGTCGGTCAAACCTTACTCATGACCTCCCTCGCCGAATACGCCAGCTTGTGGCCCACGGCAGGAGGGCAACAATACTACACCCAAGCCGTCGCTACGGGACCTACGAGACCATTCTTGTCGTACGTGGTGGGATGGGCGGTCATTGTCGGAGAAATATCCACGGGTTCGAGTTGCGCTCTCAACAGTGCTGATATCATTGCTTCCTTTGTCCAAATCACCCACCCGGACTTTACGTGGCATGTGAGTTCAACTTCAATCTTCTTCAATGAGTGTTTTGCTGATATCCGATATGTGGCAGCCCTGGCATACTTGGCTCATATATAGTGCCTTCCTCATCGGTCCGATTGTGATCAATTTAAAACAAAGGTGAATACTTGCTCGCTGATGAGATCAATAGACTGACTTTGTTGGAAACAACAGATGGCTTCCGGCAATGAACTTGTTCGGTGCCGGATGGATGATTTTCGGAGGTGTTGCTTGGGCAATTGTTTTTGGTATCATGGCGAAACCAAAGCACGACGCAAAGTTCATCTTCACCGAGTTCATCAACAATTCTGGTTATACCAGCAATGTCTGGGTGTTTATCATGTCCTTCTACACTCCCATGTATGGTTTATACGGGACCGATGGGATGATGCACTTGGTGAGTGTTTACTCATGCTGAGCCAAAAAGTTGCCTGTGTTGAACGAAATTCGTGCCTTAGGTCGAAGAGATGAAGAATGCATCAAAGGAAGCTCCTGTAAGTTGGCAACCATTACAGTATTTACATTGACCAGTAACAACATAGCTAACATGGGTTCAAGCGTGTGATGGTGTGGTCAATGGTTTTCTGTAGCATCACGAGTTGGCTGGCGGCTGTTCTCATGATGTGGACGGCGGGGAATTGGGAGTCATATATGACAGGTATGCCATATTGCGAGGTGTGATGTATCGATCGCCGTCTGACAATCTGCTCTTTAGCATCTCAACCATACATGAACTGGTGGATGGACGTCACACACTCGGTGTATGGAGGAGGAATTTTCTGTGCTTTGATCATGATGGGTCTGAACTTCTTCATCATTGTCGGCACCAATCTCGCCGGTTCACGTCTTGCATGGAGTATGGCGAGAGACAAAGGACTGCCTTATTCGGAGTACTTTGCTCATGTCAGCACGAGATTCCATATCCCTTTGAGGACGATGGTGGCCATTTTGATCATTGACCTAGTCATTGGTAGGTTGAACCCCCGGCACCGGTGGACCAAGGTGATGCTAAGTTGTCTCATCATTACAGGCTTGATCGTTCTAGGTAGCGACCTCGCATTCCAATCCATCATATCCGGTGGAGGAGTGACTTTACAGATCGGCTATGTGACACCCATCATTGTGGTACGTCGTGCGACTTTCTTCTTTCTGTCGATTTCGATACTGACTCCGAGTCCTCCAGGTTCTCATCCGTGGACGCAAGATCTTGCCAGCACGACCAAACTTCGATCTCGGTAAATGGGGATATCCTATCAACATAATCAGTGTCTGCTGGTCCCTGGTCGTCATTGCAATGTATCTTTCGCCCTTGTACGTGCCGGTAACGATCGCCACCATCGACTACATGAACTGGTCATGTTTGATTGTCGGTGCGACAATAATATTTCCCGGGATTTATTGGGTTTGGAGGGCACGGTTCAGATACATCAAAGAGGGCAATTCTGTCTTGACTGATAATGTTGTCTTTATCGATGGTGTTGCTATTGGTGGGAGCGAAGCTTTACGAGCTGCTGCTATGGCGAAATGAAACCATGCACTAAGAATCTATAGCATGACTTGTCGATGCCAGTGATATACCTCAAATGAATACAGATTTAATAATCAGATAAGGCATAAACACGTTGTGCTCGAGTGAGTGTGAAACGTGGGAGAAAAGAGTTGACGTGACGTTTAATTTCTTCGCGGCTTTCAACACGACGTCATTTCTTCGCCGCGTTACGAACTGCGCATGCATTTACACTCATGTCTCTCGGTCGTTTCCTTTACCCTGCACTCTCCAGTCGGGTTCTTTTTGTCTTTGAATAATTCTACCTCATGTATTTCTACAACCCTGCTACAATAGAGTCGACCTGACCGCGCCGCCCGATGCGGCCCTTGCTGCGCTTCGAGCGCTGCGTCGTTGGCCCAAGAAACTGGGCCCAGCTCGCCTTCCGGATCCCCCGACGTCAACAGACCTTTTGCAGATGGACGACGCGAAAGTACAGTCTCAAAGACCCCCGACAGAGGCAGAGGCAGCGTTTCTCTTCTCCTCTCCTCGCCGCCGCCACCGCGGGCCTGTCCTCGGTGGCCTTTGTCGAGATCAGCGAGAATCACGATGATGATACGGGAAAAACGAGCGAGATGCAGATGCTGGAGGTGTCCCGAAGAGAGATCAGCAAAAAGGTCCCCGAGGACGCTCGCGGTTTACGACGGGTGTACAAGAGCATAATATATTTCCTGGACCAGTACATCTACGAACCCCTCGCCACCGGCGTCCGCTTCCTCTACCTCGCCGTCGTCTTCGTCCCGGTTTTGGCCACCGCCCCGATCGTGTTGGTGGGCTCGCGGAGGAAAGATCGCGACAATGAAAGAAGTGGCACGATCTGGTGGTATGGGTTTTTGGTCAGCGCGATGGAAAGAGCCGGGCCGGCCTTCATCAAGTTGGGTCAGTGGGCGGCTTCGAGATCTGATATATTCCCCGCCGAGATGTGCAAAGTCATGTCCACACTCCACTCCAACGCTCCGGCTCATTCGCTTCACCATACAAAAAAGACAATCTGCGCTGCCTTCGGTGGAAGGAAGTTTGACGAAATATTTTTGGAGTTTGACGAAAAACCGTTGGGTGTCGGTGCCATCGCCCAAGTGTACAGGGCGAGACTGAAGCCCGACCTGGCCAAAGCCGACAACAGCGAGCTCGAACACCACGACGGCGAACGCCTGAGCCATCGGATCAAGAAGAACGTCAATGCCCTTGTCAAATCGACGCCGCAGAGGATACCGTCGGCATACGTCGCCATCAAAGTTTTGCACCCCAAAGTCGAAAGAAACGTGCGGCGTGATCTCAAGATCATGGCCGTCTTCGCGTCCATCATCAACGCCATCCCAACACTAGAATGGCTGGACTTGCCGAACGAGGTGGCCAATTTTGGCGAGATGATGAGATTACAGTTGGACCTCCGGATCGAGGCTGCTAACTTGACCATTCTTCGCAAACATTTCCAGAACCGCACAACCGCATGGTTTCCTCATCCTTACACAGACTTCACCACCCGCAATGTGCTTGTGGAAGAATTCGCTCAAGGGATCCCCCTTGCGACATTCTTAGAATCTGGAGGTGGCGTGTTTCAGCAAGAGATTGCAAACGAAGGCCTCGATGCTTTCCTACATATGCTTTTGATAGACAACTTTGTGCACGCCGATTTACATCCGGGCAATATCATGGTCAACTTCTACAAACCCACACAACCCGACGTCAAGTTACCATATGTGTCACGACAAGATCCAACACAGCCCTCAACAGCAACGGAGATTGACCAGTCCGAAGCAGTTCTCTCCCGACTTCGCCCTCATGTGGGTAAGAAGCAGGAGTGGTTGAACGCACTTGATGAGATCGATAGAGAAGGCTACAGACCACAATTGATCTTTATCGACACGGGACTCGTCACGGAACTCAACGCGAAGAATCGGACCAACTTTCTCGATCTTTTCCGAGCCATAGCAGAATTTGACGGCTACAGAGCAGGAAAGTTGATGATCGAAAGGTGTCGGCAGCCTGATGCAGTCATCGACGGGGAGGTGTTTGCTCTCAAGATGCAGCATCTCGTGTTGGCGGTCAAAGGGCAAACTTTCGCACTGGGTCACATCAAGATCGGCGATGTCCTTTCCGAAGTCCTCAGCATGGTGAGGTCACATCATGTCAGGATGGAAGGTGACTTTGTCAACGTGGTCATCTCGATTTTGCTGCTCGAGGGCATTGGTCGGACACTTGACCCGGACCTTGATCTTTTCAAGAGCGCGTTGCCCATCTTGAGACAGCTGGGTTCTTCGGATCCTGGGGCGGTCCTTAAAAGTTTCAAGGAAGGAGACTTTTCATTGTTGAAGATATGGGTCGGACTGGAAGCGAGGCGCTTCTTCCAGGCAAGTGCCGACAGTGTCGAGATGTGTGTAAAATACGACTTGCTCAGTCCCAACTTTTGAGAATTAATGATACAGAGTACCCGTATGAATATAAATATACATATAAATACATTATGAAAGAATATGTTGAACATATACCATAACCAAGACAATTTGTTTTATACTCGAGAATTTCCTCAAGGATGGTAGATTGATTCAAAATAGCCTTGACAGCCAGGGTTAATGACGAGTCTTGTTCCAAATACTTCTTGGTCACAAAAGTGATAAAGGATAGAAACAATATCCTTGCCCTTTTCGGTGACGCGATTGGTGGTTGACTGTGATGATAACGCTAGTGATAATGCGCATAAATCCCTAGAAAGCTTAGGACCTGACGAGCTATACTTTAGCTGCCTGTCTACTGACTAACTGTCTATTCCAGGTAGACAAATAGGCAGGTACTGCCTGCTGCCTACTGCCAAGGCGACACAAGGTGATATACATTCACTCTTCGCACTTGCAATTCACCGAACTGTGCCTTTTAGACGTCGTTTTCTCTGTCATACGAGATACCATCGCTTTGATTAGTGGCTATTAACAATGACTGTTCATTTACACGATGTCGTCTTCTACTCCCTGGCGCAAGACTGTCGGCGAGATGCTTCTCTTGTCACCAGTAGAAGTTGGTGACCTGAGCCTCTCCTCCTCCTCAAGAAAGCGCCAAATCACGCCCCTAGCCGAAAAAATGTCGCCGAAAAAGCTAGCAGTCATCACCGGTCCCGGAGCAGTGAGCACCGTGGCGAACAGCGTTGCTCTCTCTACTTTGCAGAATCCTCTCAGATGGTTCGTCAAGTCCGATCTGGCTTACATCGGTAAGAATTTCATATTTTCTCCTACACGATGGCAATAATAACCTAGTTCTCAGCATCTCGGTCGTCTCTCTACGAGGCCACCCCAAACCCGCTCCTCCAGACTGCACAGGTTCGAAACGAGGTACCACGCCACATCATTTTGCCGTTCGACCTTCGGGACGAGGAAAACGCCCTCGATGACCCAAAGAATGTGGACTTGCTATTTAGCATCTTCCCCGGAACGATTGCTGTTGGAACTGACGGGTGGTTCGTATACATCGAGCAATCCACGCTGCCGCCGAAGCCTTGGCCACTCACCGTTGCCGGACTTCCGCTCTACTTCCAAATGGAGATGGGGGAGACACCCTTGCCAAGAGCAAAGCCTGTCCACTGGAGAAATGGCTCTATCGCTGAAGACCGAAATGGCAGAGATATGGAGGACTGGACGCCGCTCTTCCACATCATCAAGGACCATTTTGAGAGCATTGGTGTCTCCATTACGGAGGTCATATACTTTGGCTCCATCGTTTACATCGTGTTGGAGCACCGAGGGACCGACTACAAAGTATTGCCTCGGTGTGCTGCAAGAATCGTGTGTTGGTACATGTTCGAAGACGAGATGGATCGACCGTCGACGCCATATGCTCGCCGCATCCATGACCCTGCTCTGGGGAATCCAGACCGCAGCAAGTACGATACTCTGCAGCCTGGGCTGTGCATCGCGTCCACCCACATACCAGGCACCTCCGGCCATTATCTCTCTTCAACAACTGGCGTTCTTGTGAAGGATCGTATGGGCACCAAGTTCATGACCGCGGCCGCGCATTCATTCCCCAGTGAATGTGGCACCTCAGTCTGGCACTCTTCCCCCGACACCGGTCGCGACATTGGCGAGCTTATTCAGGAAGTCTCACACACGGACATTGCACTTATTAGGTTGAAAGGCAACGAAACGTTCTCTAATGTCACGTTTGAGAATGAGGCAATGCCGAACGCTCTTCAGCTTACGAAATTCATTGCAACTGGTACATATAAACGGCACAGTATCGTCTGCTTAGATTCGCCTGATTCCGGCTACATGGAAGGTTCATTCATGGGACAAGCATTCCGAACATACCCTATTGACGGCGGTACACCACAGCGGAAATGGATGTCCACAATCTGGCTGTACTTGGGCGAAGATACAGGTCTCAACCTTCCTCAAGGAATCTGCGGCAGTGCTATATGGGACAAAGACGGAAATGTCTTGGGATTTTTCCAGTATGCGCCAACACAAGGAGTCATGACAAAATTCTGCACTGGAATGAGTGCTGATGAACTCACTGAACGAGGATACACGCTCGTCGATACGAGCCCCTGAAGCACAAGGTTGCTATTTTCAGGCCCTGACAGCCACAAGCCCAGTACGAAGGTAAATGAGGTCCTCTTGATCGTTTAAACTTGATGAAAAGGGAAGAAAGGACTAAGCGTCTATTGAAGGTGCCTAGGCGGTTCTCGGGAGCGCTTAGCGATCGCTCAAAAAGTAGCGGGTGAGCAAAGCAGCGAGAGCGGCTACCAAATTAGAATGGGATAGAGAGAATGACACGGAGTTTTTCGTCTGAAACTACAACACAGTACCTACAATAGGTAGGGTAGGTTAGTAGGTGAACACTCGTACTCTACCCCATAGTATTACTGTAGATGTCATTCCAGCAGGGATCTATGGAGTAATTTTTTCACGATCTCTTTGATACCTACAGTAAATAATCAGGAGACCCACCTTGGAGTAACTCGTACCCCGGTTCATCGTATTCCTTCGAATCTCCCTTAGTCGATCCTTAGGGATGGGCATTGACGTAATTCGGGGCGTAAACAAAAAAACAAAAATAAAATTATACTACAGTAGAGCAGGGTCTCATCACGCGTCGTCCGCAGCCGACGCGAATTTGAAAGCCTCTTTTTTCTTAGGCCAGCCTCAACAACCGGCTCAATTTCCAAATCCCTTCCTTGGTGGACAAAGCGTGTAATCTGGCGTGTCCATGTCCCGACGAAAGGGCCCTTGACGCTACGGACTAGCAAGGGTGGAGTTCGCAGTACATACGCTGGTAACTGTACTCCGGGCCGTCGTGTACACTGCTGTACGAATCTCTTGACAGACCCATGATCCATGCACATTATTACATTGCGCCTTCCACTTTCCGATATCTTTTACTCGCGGGTCAAAAGAGATCCCGTCTGGCAACACCTTGGAAGGGTCAGAGCTTCTGTCTGCCTCGTGCGTCAGTCTAATCTCTGTCTGTCTGGCAATCAAATCTGAAGCAATCGTGCTCCGTAGTCACGCGTGGGAAGCGAACAGTCGCTTATCACGTTTGCCATCAGACTTGATCGGCTCTCTCGGCATCTATTGGCTCTCTCGCTTGGAAGATCCGTCGGTGGTCCTGTCATATCTGCCGTCAACCACAATGATGAAAAGAACTCGCGGCGTTGAGATGGTCAATCTGCCTTTGTCCGGTCTCCCTCCTTCCCCGAGAATCTGGGTGAAGGTACCTACAAAGGTACCAACGTCCGACCCTAGTACTCCACAACTCACGACAGGTATCACGCACGCCCATCTCTTCGTTTCGCCCAAGACTACTACACCTCAGCTCCTTAGCTGCCAGCCGGCGTGGCTGTGTACCGGCGACTTTAAGACCGCTAGCCCACTCGTCGTGGACGAGCAGCTGTGGTACCTGCGTCGACTTGCCCGATCCAGTGTCGCCCGATCTAATCATCACCTGTGATTGGTGATAAGTGTCTAGGATCTGATCATAACTGCCGTAGACCGGCAATCTGCAACGGGCGTTGAGGATATCCTGGTGATTAGGAGGCCAGGGGGCATTGGCGAGTGGTTTCTGAGGGCCATCCTCAAGACGCCGAATGTCGACCACAGTGAGCTGGTTGCGCGCGATAGAGTCCATTGTGTTCTCGTTCTTCGTCTCGATGGTGGCAATACTTTGGAATTTAGTATCAAGTGTGCAGAGGTTTAAACCAACGACAATTTTGACTGTTCCGCTGAGCGGAGATCGTTGTAACATCGCCTGCCAAATTTTTCTGTGCGCTGCTCTTTTTCCTCTGCCAGAGGGCTTTCTACTACACTCATAACTCTGAAGACTATGATTACAACACGAGTTTACGGGTTCATTGATAGTCAAAGAATTGAGCCCAACACGATATGCACAGCTTTGAACTTTCCCCGGGCGTCGGGAAACCTTGTGGCATTCTACCTCCCTGAGTATTTCTAGTGCTCAATCGCTGGTCTCTCATGGCAACGATAACCTCTCCGAGTCGTCTCTACTGTCGGTAGAGACTAGGTATGCTGTGTCTCCTCTTGAACATTGACGGGCTCGTTATAGCGGGTTGTTCCGTAAGCGATTTTCCTCCCGAACCTTGTTTTTAAGCGAACCTATCACTTCGACGATTTTGATGGCACAAAACCCAGAAAAAGGTGGAAGACGTGACCGAGAGCTGGCAAAACGGATACCACAACAACGACACAACCGCCGCAATCATACCAACATCATACCGTACTTGAGGATGGCGAGGATAATGTCAATGATTATCCTGGTTATAGACTCGCTGGCTATCTGCGGCCTGAAGATGTACTTTCTATCGGTGTATAGCGCGTTGTGGAGACCACTACGATATTCCGCTGATCCTTCAGCGTGGCAAGGAACTCGTGGAGCCGCAATCGTACTGGAAAGAAATGCGAGAGAAATAGACCGAAGAATGGCGCATGAAGCCTCCAGTATTCCGACTATGTCCAGTCTTTCAGCGCGACAGCCACCAACTTGAGCCTCCCAGGAAGGTGTGTGAATTTCGGGTCAGGCCAAGACACACTCACATAGGATAGTAGAACCAAAATAGAGGCTCCCAGGCTTTCATCGTTCACGGAGTAGATTGTTGTTGGCTTGTCAGTGAAGATAAGTCCACGGCTTGGCGAACTCAGAGGAGCACACTCTGATCAGACTCTATAAAGTCTGGCATTTGAGTCCAACCTCACTTTTACACGGCACCATCAAATATTTCCCATCTTGAATTCAAGTCCGTATGCGAACCAGAAGCAGCAGCAGCAGCAGCAGCAGCAACAACAACAACAACAAGAACAACAGCAGCAGCAGCCTGACCTTCAAGTACGCTGTTGCCCCCCGCTCTGCCTTGAAGAAGCTCTCATCGTGGTGACGAGACAAATGCTAATAGGTGGTGTAGAATGCCTCCCATCAGACCTGCCTCTGAAAACTATGACTTCGGCGGAAATGTTAATAGCGCCAGAGCTACCCGTCGACTCGTCCACCTCAGCAGCCTCAGCTTTCGGCATTGACGAGCTCGAGTCGAAGAAGCCTTGAAAAGCCTCCTTCCAGCCGATCTCGCACCTACCTCGTTTCACTGGGCACCTTCTACAGGTCCTGGAAATAAGCCACATCGGGGCTGGTGCTTCGTCGTGTTCGCCAGTCGGCCTGACTTCAGGCGTGCTGTGGCTGCATGGAATGGAAAGAGGGTCCTTGGCCGAGTGATCAGAGCTCAAATGGCCGATCGGGTATAGGCTCAAGAGGACGACAGTCTTTTATATAACGCTGACAAACAGAACAGGGGAATCGTCATACTGGATCTGCCACGACTCTCACGCCGCAGATTCCTCCAGCCTTGACAACTGCGGCTACGGCTGCTCCTGAATCCGCCACCCCGGCAGCTGGTGTGGATGATCATGCGGTATCAAGCGACGAGGATGGTGGCGTAGGATTGGAGGACTAATTGCCAATCAAACCTAGAGAAACTCTGTTTGGGCTTGCCAATGGCTCTTTTTTCAGATTTGTGTCTCAAGTACTTAGTAACTCCAATGGAGAAATAGATTCGAATATTGAATGATCATTCTGCCAGATCAATCTGCCAGATCAATACTGTATGTTTTCATAAGGAAAAAAGTAGCAGCATCATAAAGGCTGGGGAATATGCCAGGTTTTGTCTCTCGAGAAGGCAGTGATGACAGCAATCTGCCTGGGTAAACTGACTGTCCTCGTACGGAGTACCTTTGTCCAGTAAGATCTAGGTGTTCATGTACCCCGGGTGACAGAGTCCAGAGTATGACAAAGTCCGAGTGCGTGTGCTTGTGCGAGAATGTCGCCCGACTCACAATTTCCCCAGGTAACCCAATGAGAAGAACAAGCCAAAATGATAGCCAATGACATTCAAGATAAATATCCGAAAAACACAAAAGTAAGGCAGCCACTCGTAACAGGTAATCTGAGCGAGTTTCTCAGAGTAAATTTTCTTGCTTGAACAAACAAGTTGGAGGAAGAAATTAATTTCGGGCTGTTCAGGGGTCATGGCCCGACAAGCGGGAGGCGGAAAGCCCAAAGAAAAAAAGGCTTGGTGCGCGACCGGTGATTGGGTTCAGCCTAGTGAGACTCCACAAGGACGGAGTATGTATCTTAAGATGCATTCATCTAATACTGGAGGCAGTGGCCCTAACCGCTCCGGCAGCAGCCCCTGCCGCCGTCCCACTACCGATCTAATAGTCGAGCCCTGGTGCCTGGAGTGCCTAACGACTGCCTAGGGGCTCCCTGGAAGCTCCCCTAACAGGTGCCCAACGCCCCAATGGCAACTGGAAGCCAGGTGATGGTAAGCCTTAGGGGTCTTTCCGAGCGCCTCGACCGCCATTGAAACATTCGGCCTGCAGCTAAATGAAACCATACCCAATCGGTACGGGAGATTTGCCCGACCCAAGTGGTTCCGAGGATGATAGTCTGATACAGGTTCATCCTCCCATCAACGGAATCTTCCCAGGAGCAAGCATGTCTTGTACTACGGACTACTGTACATTAACCACTGCGGGACTACGGAGTACAGTATGCATGAACGACGGAAATTTTTACATGGCTCTTCTACACTACGGAAATCTGTACGGATACTTGTCCTGCGGTGCAGAATGTTAGTAAGGAGAACTCCGACCATGCTAGCTAGCATATGTACGAAGTAAATGTCTTCGGATCCTTTCACCTTCTCCTCAATCACCACCTGCAGCATCAAATCCGACAGTTCACATCATGAAAGCTTCAATAAAAAAGCAGATGCGGGCGCGAGACGACGAGGATAAAATGATTCGTCACATTCGGATTGTTACAGCACGTCGAGGGACTCGTTGTCATGAATTCCAAGAGGTCAGAGCCAGAGCCAGAGCCAGTCCCGTGGAAGCCACTTTTCGAAGCCGTGAATTGTGTTACCCTAACATGCATGCAGCCGCCGCTGATGTGCCCTGCTGGGATCACTCCTGGTAGGCGCATATGAGTGGTTTGCAGTGTGACTGTACATAGATACTCCGTACAGTATCCGTACTCCGTTGTGGTACAGTACAGTCCCAGTAGGTGCATGATCTGCTGGGGTCCTGCATTAGTTGGGGACTAACTCCCGTACTGGTCATAGCCTCTTCTGTACCTGCATTGGCCCATCACACAAATCTGCGACACGCTAATTCCACCTCGTCTCTCTCCATCGTCGCTCTCTCACTTCACACTGGTGCTTCGCTCGTCCTACGCCAGCCAGACCAAACCTGGTCTTTTCCCTGTCCTTTTTTGCCTTCCGTTTCCCCATCTGCTCGCTCCCTCGCCTGGCCAGCCACTCTCTTCGCCGTATTCCTAACGCCCTCCGCCCTTCCTGGGAGGCCACGAGGAAAATGGCCGTTTTCCAGCCTCGCTAGCCTCACTGATGCCGGCCTGGGATACCCTGATTGCTCGGACAACTGTGTAACCAGCACGTCGGCTCGCTGCTCGAGTCACCTCTCGTCGACCCTCTCTCTCCTATCCCATCCTACTCCGTATGAGAATTCGTCTCGAGAAACAGGGAGGTGTTACTAGTTCGGGGGGAGGTTTGATCGACTCAGTCTATCACGATATAATGCTCGCATTGGCCTTGAACTTGACACTGACACCTGTCAGCGCTGCCTCCATAAGAGAACGGACAATATAAGTCTTGACACATGTATGCAGTATTATTATTCTCCGCCATCATACGCGCCCTTCGTAGTGGACGCACGTCTGCCACTCTCCACAAAAACGAACCGATCCACATACCCACGCTGGCTGATCCGCGACACGCTTTGTTTGATTAGCCTCGTTACAAGGCCCCTACAACCTCGCCAACTTCTCAAACAACCGTCATCGTGGATGCAACGCCTCAGTAATCTGTCCCAAACCTGCATCCTGGAATCGTCCGTCTCTTCGCTTGAGCCCTCCGAGAAAACGTCCCCTGCCTATCCATCACACCTTCTTGCCCGTGTCAAGTCTACTTTCCACCCGCACGCGTCAACCTGGTCCGACAACCACACCATCGACGAAATCGACCACCGTCTCTCTTGCGCTCGTGATTGTTCTCCATCCACTGCTTCAGCTGTCTTCTTCCAGCATCCGGACTTGACCTCACTGACCAGCCTTGTACGGTCCCTCCTAGGTCAAGATCGTCGCCTTGACTGGACCAGGGCGCCCGTATGCCCGGGACTTCCATCTGCCACCTGTAGTCCATTGCTGTTTCCAACCTCGATCCTGGTCCAAATCGACTAATCGCTAGACACGAGAACCTCTTTCTCTCATGCTGACCCCGAACCACGGCGACGCGATCGGCTCTTTATCTTGTGCGACTCAACCTCTTCCCTCCTTCCCTTTCCAACCCTGACACTCCTTGACCTTTGGCACGGACGGCCATTCACGGTTTTGTCACCAATACAGACCTGCCTGGCTATCCTTCGCCGCCATTCTGGTCTCAGATACGTCTGAGGTTGGCTGACACTGGTTGTGGTCGGCAGAACACCCACGGACAAGACAGTCTCTCACCTCGCTAGCATTTGGGACGTCAAAGAAACATTGATAGTCCAGATTCGTTCTGGCAGCAGGCCCACCAAGGACACCACAATTGTCTACGCCTCACCACAGAGTGCATCTTGGACTGGACTGCGATTTCCGGATTGACTGGCTCAGCCGATTAGTTTGCGGAGGACGCCCTTGCCGCCGCCAGATTCTCCCACGGAGGCGCCTCCTGTGAGCTCGCGCTCTGATGGACTCATAATCTTCTCACGGTCTCTACAACGATCTCGTCACTCTTTTAGTATTGTATGGCTGAGCTTTCCGCGCTGAATGTTGTACCCGTGGCTAACTCAATGTCTAGTCAAACTACTCTACGTTCATTACCCATATCTCCACTTCGCAACTATCTCAATATGAATGTTTTCAGGAAGAGAGCAAAGGCGAAGGATGATGCATACACCATACCTCCTGCCGATCCGTCCGACTTTGCCTCCATGTCGAAGATGTCCCGTAGTCTGAAGCGGAAGCAGAAGAATGCCGTCGAGATAAAGCCGGAGATCGATCTCTCCACGGCGCTGCCAAACACCAACGACTTCAGAACCAGCCTTCTCATGCCTGGTCTTTCGGCGCGCTTCAGTATGCTTCGTGAACAAGATGATCCCAACACTAAGCTCGGCAAGGCAAGCGATGACAGTGTTTTATTCCCTAAACGAGCCTCCCGTATGAATCTCTTCAATCACAACCCTCTCACAGATATTGCTGAGGTCGAATCGATCCACACCCCTGTCAAAGCTCCCTTCGCCGATCCTGAGCGTTCCCACTCCTTCTCAGAACTCGATGATCAAGACAGTGTCTTGAATCGGTCAAGGCCGACCGAAGGCAACAATCTCTTCAGTGGTCGCCAGAAAATGTACAGAATTCCGACGGCGAGCACAAGCCGGGAGTTGAGTGGGCGGTCCACTCCACTGACATCTTCTAAACATGTATATCAGAACGATGTCGCAATGTCGAGCTACCAACAGCTTCGCCTGAAGGCCGCGCAAGAGCGCGAGGAGTGTGGCGAGGAGGCAGAAGAAGAGAGGGATGGGTTTCCCGACCGCCCCATCAGTACTGGAACAGACGAACACGAACATGCCAGCGTCGTCAACACTCCTTCTACAGGTTTCAGTAAGAGCAGAGGCACCACTTCCTCGACCGCGTCTGGTCCCTCCAACCGACGAACTTCTACAGCTGCTACTTCAGTGATCTCGGATTCACCTGCACCTCGGCAAAGCCAGCTCAGCGCCGGGTCTCATACCAAGGGATCTGCCTCCGAGTTCGGTAGTGAAGATGGGTTCCTTCGAAGGGATCCCTCCCAAGAGTCTCGGCAAGGCAACCATGAATCCGGTCAATTCAACCAGCCTCCTTTACCATCATCACCTCCCTTCAGTCGCCAACTCTCACAGTCCAAGAGCACCAGTCATCTCCCAGATAAATCCTCTCGTTCAAATTCCCCGTTCCCTGGAACTACCCCGCGAGCCACTAGCCCTTTTCCTTCTTTGCAGACACAGGCTTTGGCGTCGCTTGATTTTGGCCTGAAGTCGTCAGTTGGTACGTTCAAGAGATATCAGACGACTTCCCCCACGGAAGACGAGCATGGCGGCGATGTATATTCCAGCAACCTAAAGCCGAGTGACCGTGGGAAAGCTACCGCCATGGGACTTTTCAATCGCCCGCAACAACAATTTGATGAAAGACAGTTCGAAGCGCGCCAAATGCAAATGTACGGACCACCTGTGTTGACAAACGTAAGGGAAGCCCACACCACAGGATCCAAAGGCTCTCCAGAAAACACAGCTGCCCCTAGCATTCCTCCGTCGCCATTTGAAAAGAGTTACAACCGACCCTCTGAGGCAAGCGCCGTCGCTGTGTCAGGTAGACCAAGGGCGCAATCTTCCGCCTCGTCCACCAATGCAGCACAAGTTCAAGCAAAAGTTGAGGCCCTAATCAAACGCCAGAATGAGGAGTTCAAGGCCTTCCGAGCCTCCAAACCTAACGCTGCGCTTCCAGACGAACACTCTCCTTCGAAAACGCTGATGGAGCAACCAGTAGCCTCGAGAGGGACATTCTTTGACACCTCCGACGGCAGCGATGAAGACGAGGCGACAGATCTTGACAGCCCAATGTTGGGTCGCTATGAGCCAGCACCTCGCCTGGCAAAGACTGACGTCCATCCAGCATTACGTGATGTCTCGCAGGGGTTTGATTTTGGACAAAAAGTACGCGATGCCAAAAACGACCGGCCGCACTCGGATGCCTCCGCCGAAACATCCTCTCCTTCGGTCGTGCACGACACTCCCGATACTTCTGATTCGCTCCATCTCGCGCCCGACATGAAAGGCTTAGACTCTCCCACCCTAGGACCAGCCACGGGTCTAGGTCTCAGCGGCTTGATTCGTACCCACCTACGACACGATAGCGATAGATCGTCGATGATGCCTCCACCCTCTCCTGTATCTCTTCAGGGGCAGCACCCTAACTTAGCATACCGCGAACGTGAACCGTCTATAGCTTCCACGGCTCGCACTATCAATCCGCCGGAGAGCACGCACAGCGATCCTTGGGAGCTTGACCATGCCCACCGCAATCAACGGAGTCCACTGGAGCCGCCTGCGAATGATGCCATGTCATCCATGTCACGCAAAGCTCAGCAGATTCTAGGACAAGCCATATCACACAAAACCCAGAGTGCCGCGAAGGCGCAGCAACTCCTTGGTTCCGGTGCACCTACATCAATGGACGATACGAGACAATGGCAGAACGATATGATGTCAAGTCATCACCGAGGAGAGAGTACCGAGACTCAGAAGGAGTTCGATAACGAGCTCGCCGAGCGCGCAAAAAAGATTCAAGAGGGTCTGAGGGGGGTGACTGAATCCGAGAAACGCTCAAGGAGTCCGGGGCCACGTCAAGCTCTGCATGCTTTGCGCCACAGGACGAGCAAAACATCTGTTGCCCCTAGGATCAACGAATCTCAACCGAAGGCAATGAAGATGCTTGGAATCACTGATGGACCTGGCCCAGCAATGGGAGCACGTTCACCAAACGTCGATGTCCACGCCGAGTTCAATGAAAGTTCTGACGAACATGATGACCGTCACACACCGAGACAGCGACCTGGTGCCTTTGATGGACCAAACGGAAGATCCACGCCAGGACCGTGGAGGCAGGAACCACAGGAAGATTATGACCACCCACGTCAACGTTCTGCTACTCCGAATGCCAGGATGCCCCGACGTGATAGATCAGAATCAGGAGCCGCAGACCGTTCGCGAAGTCGGACCGGACGGTACGCTGAGGAGCGTCCTCCCTTCGCTGCGGAGTATAGTAAGCAAGGCCTGCTTGAGCACAGGGAGCAGCATCGTCCCTATGGACCTCCTCGTGGCCCACCTCGTGGCCCGCCACCTGTCGAACCTCGAAACAATGAGAGATCTTCCTCGGCCATGTCAAATAGACGGCCTAGCGGAAATCGAGCAGGACAATCAGACTACTTTGATGGCCGAGCCGGGACCCCTATAATTGCCAACGCTCCGAGACTAGGTGACGGACAGGCTTCACTAAGTGCACCCAGACCATCTCCTCGTCCACCCTTTCCTCATTCTCCCATCAGTCCCTTTGGTCCTCCCGGTCTATCACCGGGACTTCCAGGGAACCCTGCCAGCTTGCCAGCAGCCCTCCCGTCTCCATCTGGACCGCTCCCTGCACCTCCACCCGCGACTGGTCGCTCAACACCAATCGAGAACAACAGACTGACTATTATTGGAGCGCGAAAGAAGTCGGTCACAAAAGGAATGATCTCGGAGCCTACATTCATCTCCAGTACTTCCTCCGTTCCTTTGGTTGGTCTTCCCAACGGTCCTCGACCTAGGGAAATTCCCACTCCACCAGTCCCAGCCATGCACCCACAGCGCCGGCGTGCAGGCACTTTCACTGAACAAACGACTGGTTACGCCAGTCCCCGGATGGGATCACCTCTGCCAATGGGCCCCGATTCACCCAGTCAAGTGTCTGCTGCTCAGAGTGCTGTCATTGACCAACAACTGTCACAGAAGCCACAACCTCGTCCGCGAAACAGGCTGAGGAAGATTAGTAGCGAGGGAGGTAGCATGGCAGCTCGCGCACGAAACCAGGCTTTAATGGCAGAGTTTGGTCGGGAAAAATTGCGGAGTCCAGCATTGCCAGTCTTTCCCAACCGAAGTGCAACTGCCCTGGGCTTACACCAGGAAGGCGGCATGTTCTAAGCGTGTCCCGAGCCAGACGCCCCAATGCAATTTGACCTAGAACGAATCCTTGTTCTGCTTTCAACCTCAACCTCTCATCACACGAACGTCCTCTGGGAGAGCAGGGGATGTCAATACATCACCTTTTTGCAACATTTTGTGTTCTCATTTATACCACCAGGCGATGGCTTTCTTCGTAGCATGTGGCTCTATCTTGACACGGCTGCCTTTTGGAAAATTAACATTTCTTTATGGACTGGATGACCTGTTTTCAATTTTGTTTCTTATTGTGAGACTTCTATGATACGACAACGATTTGTTCCCTACATGGGAGGGATAGAAATTCGACACCTCAGCGGACGAGGTCGTCACTTGGGCAGGATGGATTCGTAAATCGTATACACTTGAGGATCTTATCTGGCCATGGAGTTTTACCCTGGAATATTGTAAAGAGACAAAAGGGAGGCAAAAAATCATGAGGATAGAAGCCGGTATACTGAGTCTTTGACGCTTTTGGTCAGTGATAGCAAACAGCGATACCCTGTGGAACGGACGCGAGTCCTTGAGTTACTTACATGCAAATGAAAATATAACATGCAAACAGATAGAAGCGTCGCTTTGTGCACATCGTAAGGTGTTGTAGAGAATCTTTCTGCTCTCGTCAGCAGCATCGCATTTGGTGCCTCTCCACGACTCATTTTCCAACGGTTTGTCATGTCGGTGTCAAAGACGGGCAAATATCGTTTGCTGCTTGACACACATTGTCCACGTGCAATGAGATGTCACAAGAAACCTTGTATGGTAGATAATATGGTAGATCACAGAATACAGTACGGACTACGATGGGCGGTCCACAGCTTTCAAGGCCAGGACGAGGCTGACCGGGACTTTGCAAGGCTGAGTCGAGGACAAACCGCGGTTTCGGATCGTTTTGTTCGCCAAGCGCGACGCAATTGAGCCAGTGCGGAGAAGATTGAATCGCGCAGCTAGAACTTCTTCCCCGCCAGACTTCGGGCGGTCAATTAATTAATTCATTTCACATCTCACCACTACCAAAAGGATCCCGACCTCACAAGAAGGTGCCTTTGTACGTTTGGTTTCTTGGGTCGTGCGATAACTCCTTCGCTATGCTCTAGGTTTCCCCAAGCATAGATAACTGTCGACCCTATCTTGTTTCTTTCTTTGTTCTTTCGTTCGCCGCCGGCGTCGGTTCTGGCACCGAGAGAGAACCCTCCTCCTCCTCCTCCTCTTCTCCTCCTCCATGGTGCCAGCCCCGGTGGTCGTCCGTCGTTCACACAATCACCCACTCTGTCACTGACACTGTCCCTACGAGTAACATGGCGCCGAATCCCAAGGGCGGTCGTCCCCCTAAACCCCAACTCCATGGCCGCATGGTTCAGCCTGCTCTGCCATTGATCCCCAGACCAATCAAGGGCAAGCAGCAGCAGAAGAAGAGCAAGCAGGCAACTTCTGAGCAGGTTGTTGAAACAACCAGCGAAAAGCAGAAGGCTGTTGAGGCGGCCTTGAAGACCTCCGATGCAGCCGTCAATGGAGACAAACAGGAACATGGTGAAGTATTGAAACCCTCCGACGCAGCAGTCAATGGAGCCAGCAACCATGAACGTGGTGACACAGTCGAGGCTCCAGCCAAGGCTCCAGATGCGACGACAACAGGAGAAGGAGAGACGGAACATGTCGACTTTTATTGCGCACCAACTCAAGGTTTGTCTCGACACATAGTCATCACCACCTCATCGGTGAATTCTTGTTAACGTGAATTGACTCATCTTTTTCAGGCCCAACCGTCGAAACCCCAAGAAAATCATCGACTCCCTCAGTTGCGCAAGTTACTCCTGATAGTACCAATTTGGAAGACAACAATTCTGTTGCCGGTGAGGACTCCTTTTTGTCGCAGGTGGCGGCAGACAGCCAGGCCACAAACGAGGCTGCACTGGGCCGTTCTTCCGAACAGGAGACCAATGCCAAAGAGGAACAAGAGACGGTCAGTTTGACAAACGGTCACCTTTCCAATGCGTCGGAGCCTATTAGCAGCGCCAGCGGTGAAGACTATGACGAACATGTCTCGGCAATGGAGTCCTTTGCGCAGGCTGACGAAATGCGTGCGTTTGGAGGTGCTGTGAACGGAACCTTGTCCTCACCACCGCCGCAAGAGAATGGTCATATGACGCCCGAGGAGGCAGCTCAGTCTCATGAAGGCAGTGGTGGTGGTCAGTCTACTACTGCGCAAGTCTACGGTTCCGCAGCTGTCAAATCCCCTCAACAAGACATGAACGGTGGTGGCGGTAGTGTTCATGACCCAATGGCGATGTCGGGCACATCTAGGTCGGTATCTGAATCGATTCAACAACAACAACAAGAACCGAGAGACTCTACCGGTCTGGCTCCTCTGCAAGACTACCTGCTCCAGATCTCCCACACCAAGGAAGGCGTCGACTGGGCGATCCAGGTCAACCCTCCAGGAGTCCAGCCTTATGTCTTGTATGCGCATTCGTTCCTGATGCTACGAAGCGATCGCCTCAGACGCTTGATGCAGCGCGAACCATCGTCATCGACCTACGGAGGAAACGTCATCCATCTGTACCCTGCCAGCAATGCCGTCCCTCATGCGTTCGACGCAGCTTTACGCTTCTTGTACTCTGACACGGTCTTGTCGCACCTCATCCAGCCGCATCCGGGCCCGGATTTCCATGCAGCGAGACTTCAGAACCTCGACTACATCTTGTCTTATTGGGTCGCCGGCATCGAGCTAGGCATCGACCAGGTGTCTGTATGTGCGGAAAGACTCTTGTTCAACTACGTCGACTGGGACATCCTCGAAGTCACGTACAAGCATGCTATCGACCTTGCCAACTCACCCGTGGTCTCGTCTGGTAAGAACACGACTGGTTCTGACTACGTGGTCGCTAGCAACGCCATCATCAGACCCATCCTCCACTTTCTGGCAGCTCGCATGGACGTGACCAAGTTCAAGGTCGACACCGCCGGAGCCCCAATTCACTTTGCAACTCGATTCCCGATGCTCGACGGTAACCGTGTCAAGCACAAACCAGCACTGGCTTCCATGGTCTTTGGCTCCATGCCATCTTCCGCCGACATGTCTCCTACCTCGCCTCAATCCGAGCTCATGCCCGCTTCTACTGCGACATTCCGAGACACTGTGGCAACCAACATTCTCCTCAACATCGACTTTGAGCATCTGTTTTACTTCAATTCAATCCTCCAGAGAAACAACATTGCCGGCGCTCCTCAGCTCATGGCTAGCATCATTGCCGAGCGAGAAGTCCGTCGCCAGAAAATCCAGAGCTCACAAACTGTGGCCAATAAGGACCGTATGGCTAATTCGACCGCTTGGGAAGTTGTTGGCTGGAAGGAGGAATGGGACGGCGAGACCAACCTCCCGAAGCGTGAGCGGGTTGGATTCCTTTCTTGAACGTTCAGCAAAGCAAGCATTGATCATCCTTCTTCAAAACCCCCCCAAAAAGAACAGCGATTCAGCGTTGACAAAAGTTGTTGAGAGATATGGCACAGTTTTCACACATCCAGAAAAGCAGGCGATTAATGGCAGCATATTGGCGTGAATGTCTTCTTTTTAGGGCCTGTTATTTCTTGTGCTTGGTTTTCGGGGTCAGGTGTGGTTCCGGCGTACTACTTCTTGGTGGATATTATGCCGTTGATGGCCGAGACGAAGCTGAGTAAATACACTGAGCTAGATACCCCCTTCTTGATTGCAATGGAAAATTATGCAGGAAAACACCTGCTTAGATAACAATCGTGGCTTTTTTGAGGGTTTCTGTTTCTGAGTGTGAGAGGTTGTTCAACGACCGATGTTAACGCGTGGTGTATCTCGTTGAGGAATCGGTGTGAACGTATTGCGTTCCCTCAGACGATCGATCCATGGTTTCACCAGGGCCCAACCCAGGAGACCGGCTGTAGCGAAGATGAAGACCACAACCACTGTCTCGTCCTTGAGAGAGTCACGTTCTGTAAGATATATTGTTAGTGCGCGACATTGGGTACTTTTGGGGTACTTTGGGGAACAAAACATACGAAAACATGTAGTGAATACGTCCTCCTCTGTTGCGTCCTTGCATATGGGGAGGTTGTAGTCGAGACAGAAAGCCCTCGTGCAGTCGGAGCAGCTGAGTTTGCGATTTCTATGTGGTCGGCCCGGAGGGGGTGGCGGTGGGTGGTCATTGGCATCGTCTCCGTCGTCGACGGCCACGGTGGTTGAAGTGGTGGTTGTGGAAGCGGCCGTCAACGAAGACGACGACGACGATGGTGACGATAGCGGATCATCTTTTGCTGCTGCGCCTTCTGCATCGTCTGTGTCTCTTTTGTGTGACCAGCCAGGTACCGGTGAGGCTACTTCTGCATAGTCACCCGGGGATCTTATGTCTAGACTGTGGAATTGGCTGGCTCTTCGTGAGGGCGGAGGAGGGTTGAGCGCGATAATGGTACTATTGTTGAAGCAGATGCATTTGCAAAAGGAGGTTGCGGCGGATTTGGCGCCGAGGGATGGCTGAAACAGGGCGACGAGGACGAACAGGAGGAACGATAGGTGAGAGGTGGAAAACAATCGCATCGTGGGAGGTTCTCGAGTGGTTGTGTTCTTGTAGTACTCCTTGTTCAACTTACATGTCAAGTTGTTGAAGGCTGCGGATGAGATTGCGGTTAACAAATCACAAACTCGAACGTAGAGGATCAACACGGTGGATCAAATCATGTGGATTTGTTCTCTTTCTCCTCCACATTGTCATCGTCCTTTCTCCCCCACATGTTTCGTTAGCAAAGAGACCGAGGCATCCTCCCTCCTCCACTAACATAACAACCCGAATCTGAGAAGCTCATCATCATCATCATTTTTGTCTTGTCCACCTGGCTCTCTTTCTGCTACAAGCTACAACTTTCGCACAACTTGAAAACTCCATAATGGGATTGAGTCTCTAATCAGCGGCCATCGTCCACGTGTCGGTCAACCATCTTATCGAAGGTGTTGGCCATGGCGGTCCATTCAACCCCTGTTCGCTTCATGTTGAACGAGCGCGAAGTCGCGCTATTGCGCAAATGTCTATCTCTGAAATCATCCAAATCAGATTCTGCCACCATTGCCGAAAAATCAAATCCAAACTCCAACGCGCCTCTACTACGAGAACGGGATGATCACAATGCAGCGGCGTTTCGCTCTGCCACGCGTGTTTTCCTGCTCACGTTCGGGTCCCTTCGTGGGGTCGACGCACTCCTAGGATATCTATCGGCTCGTCAGTCCCCGACGGCCACCCGCTCGAGGAAACCACTCGTCGCGTCCAAGTTCAAACTGGCCCTGTCGTTATCGTCACTTCTCTACCTGCATTCGATGTTGTATCGCATCTTGTCCCGCCTAAGGCTCCGACTGTTGCACGAAAAGGTGCGAAACATCGGCGAGCGGTACCCGAGAATATACGCGGCGCTCACCTCACGCATCGCCCCGGCGGTCGGAGCGAGCCTGTCGGGCCTCGCGCTGGGCATCTGTCCCGCCGACCAACTGCGCATCTCTCTGGTGATATACGTAGCCTGTAGGGCCTTGGAGATTGGCTACGCCGCCATCGAACACACGAAACTGGTCAGGACCTACAAGCCGAGCTGGATGGGGAGCTGGCTTCTCTTTTCCCTTTCCCAGGGTCAACTGCTTCACGCTTTTGTGTTTGATCGGGACTGTTTCCCTCCCGCGTACGGGTCTTTCATTCTCGGGTACACGCCGGAGTACATTCAGCGACGACCGGCGAGCCTGTCGCCCAAGGTGGCATGGCCTTCCTCGGACGACATCGCCGACGCGTTGGCTCAGATGGCGAGACTAAAATGGCCCGCGTTTACTTCGCCCATTCTGAACCCGAACAGGGCCAACACCCTGCCTCCCGGGATCGATCCCATCATCTCACCCATCACTTCTTGTGCGCATCCGGCCATCTCGAAGTTGTCGTGTGCGCTGATCCACCCGTCCGATCCGTCCTGTTTCCTGGCCTATCTGCGTCAGAACCTGCTCGCTTTCCCCAAGCTGGCGCGCTTTTACGCCATGTACTACGGAGCATTTTCGCTGCTTCACGTCAAGAAGATGATCCATGATCCCGTCGCGTCACTCAACAGGCTCTCGGAGTCCATCCTGCGCTCAACGTTGGCTATTTCGGGATCCATCGGTGTCGCGTGGGGCAGCATCTGTCTGTTCCAGGCACTCTTGCCTCGTGCCGTGGTGCCCAAATTTCGGTTCTTCCTGGGTGGGTTTTTGGGGGGCATGTTTCAGCTATTCGATCGCACTCCGGCTGGACACATGGCGTCGCTGTACACGGCGAGAACGAGCGTCGATTCGCTCTGGAAGGTCGGGGTCAAGCACAGGTGGTGGAAGGGAATTCGCGGGGGCGACGTTTGGTTGTTTGTTGCCGCGTTGGGCTTGGTCAATGTCGTATACGATCTGGGCAAGGATACCGCTGCAGGCAAAGACTCGGCGATGACGCTGATCAAGATTCTTCGTGGTGAGATTGAAGTTGGACTTCCGCAGAAGAAGAAGGAGGAAGAGGAGGAGGAAGAAGTCAAAAAGGTCGAGGGTGTAAAGAGCGAAGAGGTACAAACTGACGATGTGAAGAATGAAGAAGTACAGACTCAGGAGGTCGTGCTGTGATGATTTACATCAAGAATTCTTCAGGAGCAGAGGCCGCTGGGGCCACAAAGGTGCCACGTATCGTCGTTGCGTTGATGAGGTCTACAAGGTTCAATCGTGAATAGAGAGAACATTTTGAGGTTATATACGAAGTCACAAATTATCTCGGAGACGATGGTATACTTGCTCAAGGCTTTTCATTGCTTCGCAATCGCCGTTGGGCGTAGGGTCTCTGACGGAGGTGAGAAAGCATCATGTAGTCGAAAGAATCATCAAAATTGAGGCGCAGACTGTGTTCTTATTTCCTTTGTCTCCCTCAGGCGTTGACGATCAGGTCTTGTAAGCCGTACTCTTTCGGTTCCTGGTGAGTGACACCTCGAGGATCCGTGGTTGGCTGTATCATCTCGGGAACTGTACAGTAAGTTGAGGGGAGATGTCGGCAGGAAATCCGGGAAAAAGAACATTTAGTAGTCGAGATATTCCAACACTATCACGTTCTACATCCAACCCTGCCAGAGGATTAACTCTTTTGAAATATTTGGTCAAGTATCTGGCATGCCGGAAATCCTGTAATGGGCACCGATCATGTCGAAGAAGCGACCTCACAACAAGAACGACCCGTTCCTTTGCAAGAGGGGAATGTTTGGCTATCAGCGCAAACATCAGAAGAGGATATTGCACAACCACCAGACGGAGGATATGGATGGGTATGTTTGGCATGTTGTTTCGCCTCGAATTGTTTCACTTGGGGCATTGTCTCTGTAAGTTTCATTCGAATCTGTGTCTGTATGTACTGTACATTTTCGACAACCACACGATTGTTCGCCAATCACACAAAAACACCATCATGGAATCCATAGAGTTACGGCGTCTTTCTCTCGTACTATCTCACCAATAAAATCTTCTCCGAGTCAACACCTCTAGACTATGCGTTCATCGGAAGTCTCAATTTCGGCGTGGCGATGGTCGTCGCGCCATTGGTCACCCGGCTCGTCCGTTCCTTCAGTATCAGGCCGGTCATGTTGATCGGCGCCGTCATGTTCGGAGGGGGTTACATCTCGGCCTCTTTCGCCACTCGGATCTGGCATCTGTACCTCTCCCAGGGGACGCTGGTCGGGTTGGGCGTCGGGTTCATCTACGTACCCAGCATCGCCGTGCTGTCATCAATGGTTCGAGAGGCGGAGAAGTCTCGCCAACGGTATCAGCGCGGCAGGGTCGGGAATCGGTGGCTTGTCGTTCTCCTTCGCCACCGGCGCCATGATTGACAATCTCGGCGTCGCGTGGGCTCTGAGGATTACAGGAATTTGTGGTCTCGTTGCCAATTTGTTGTCCGCCATCTTCATTCGAGATCGCAACAACATCATCCGGCCGAAACAACACCCTTTCGACGCGAGTCTCTTGAGACGTCTCGACGTGGTCTTGCTTCTGTTATGGGCGTTCCTGAGCATGCTGGGATATATTGCGTTGCTTTACTCACTCTCAGACTTTGCCTTGTCGATTGGACTTTCCAGACAACGAGCCACTCAAGTGGCTGCGTTTTTGAACATGGGAACCGCAATCGGTCGTCCATTCATCGGCGTCGCGAGCGATCGTCTGGGTAGGTTTGGTGTCGCCACGACCTTGACCTTCGTCTGTGGTCTCGCCTGTCTGGTCATTTGGATCCAAGCATCTTCATTTGGTGTCACAGTCTTTTTTGGCATTTTGAGCGGAGGTATTCTAGGTGTCTTTTGGATGGTAAGTTTTAGATCTGCGGTCCTACGAGAGAAGAAAGAGTTATGTTCTAATGTTGTGATGGTCTAGACCATCGCACCCCTGTGTGTCGAAGTGGCAGGGTTGAAACAACTACTTTCACTTCTTTCACTGTCCTGGCTGTCTGTTGTTCTGCCGACCACGTGTAAGAAGTTCCCAAGCCTTGCTCGCGCAAATAACAAGGTCATCATCAAGTCTCATCATCAAGTATAGTCTCCGAGGTCATTGCCTTGTATATTCGAAGACCAGGCCATCCACGACCGTATCTGTACACCCAACTGTTTTGTGGCGTCTGTTATGTTTGTGCAAGCTGCAGTTTGTGGACCGTGCGAATCATCTGTCGACGAAGGCAGCGAATTTTTGCTGCTGTCGATAATCATTGAGGTGAATAGGTCGTCAAACCAATTGTTGGCTGGTCCATGAATTGACCACTGATACCGTCCAATCGGTTGTGGAAGATCTCCATTACAGGCAACCATCATTTCCACCAAGTCAACAAGGGTCCTTCCATTTCACTATACTAGAACAAATCCGAATACGAACAGCTTAAATCGAAGCACAATGATTGAGGTTCGTATTTTCTTCGACAGGCACCAACGTTTTATTCCTTGACATTGGAAGGGACGAATGATTTAAACCGCCAAACTACCTCCATGTGGAGGCTCATTTGTTTGGTCTTCACCGTTTAGGTCTTCTCTACCATGACGAAGATTATCATAATCGGAGGTGGTATCTCAGGGTTGAGTAGCTACCTTTTCCTACACAAGCATCTACTTTCTTCACCCTCGCACGCGAATTACGATATACGGATCTACGACTCTTATGATATCACTGCATCCATCATTTCGGGGTTACACAATGGTACTTCAGAGCCAACAACAGATGTCGAGCAAGATAGTTCCAAAAAATCTTCGATCTCTCCTACCACCATAGGAGGTGCAATCGGGATCTCGAAAAACGGGTTGAACGTCCTTTCTCGTCTTGGTGACACCGAGTCATCAATACACAATCCCCTGACGCAAACAATCAGTCGTGGTCATCCAATCCAATCCTGGGATATCAATACAGCACGAGGGTTCAAACTTGCGAGCATCAAGACGACTGGCTCTGATACGAAACATGAGGATAATGACGGGGACATTACTACTGTGAGTAGTAGTGACACGTCTACCATGGTCATGATAGCACGACAAGTGTTTGTCGAGATTCTTTACGATCAATTCAAGCACGTCGCTCCGACCATGGACATTTTACAACACAAAAGGGTCGTCGATGTCGTTGTTGGAGATGAAGTAACGCCGAACATTGTCAAATTTGAGGACGGCAGTCAAGAAGAGGCAGATCTCGTCATAGGAGCCGATGGGTTGCGGAGCGTTCTGAGAAAGGCCATTTTTGAGTCCCACAAGCCTGTAAACTGCCAGGATCATGAAGGTTCGGGCTGGGCTCGTTCTTGGGTTGAATGGTTGTCGTCGTTCGGCAAAGTCAAACGACAAGACGAAAACAAGGTCAAATGTGACTATGTCACGCCACATTACGAGTAAGTCTTCGGTCTTCCTCACGCAAAGTCTGTTTGTCTGTATACCTCCTCTGGTCTTACTGTTGGGGCGCTCTTTCAACCATACGATATGTACATCCTGACACAGTCTTCAAAGAGGTCTAGTCGGAGTGGGTGGATTCGTCCCTTCTTCGATACTAAAGTCAACCGGACACAAACCCGAAAGTATGTCGATTGTTTTTGGACCGAATGGGTTTTTCGGGTACGGATATCTAACATCCGCTACGAATAAATCCGACAAAAATGCTGCACATGGCATTCAAGAAGGCCCCCTGGCAGGATGGTGGTCGACATTTTCTTCCAATGACCCGTATCCATTCCACACGACGGCAGAGGATACACAAGGTCGACACGATGTCAATGATGGCGATCAAAGCAATCGATCCAACCGCATATTCGATCCTACTCTCGCTCTAAAGTCGTTGGTATCCCGACAGTCGACCTGGAAGAATAAGTCTGTGGTGGCGATCGTGAAATATATACAGAATTCATACGAAGGACATTCGAGTCGACTCAAATCTGGCACTTCATCTAGTAGAGACGAGTCTGACGGCACGAGGGTCGACACAGATCCATCATCATCATCGTCATCGTCAAACTTTGGTCTGTTACAGACGAGTTTTCCAACCTATACCACCCCGGAACTTCCACACTGGCACGTCGGTGGTCGGGTCGTGTTGATCGGTGACGCCGCACACGCTTTACAACCTAGTTCGGGTCAAGGTGCGTCTCAAGCTCTGGAAGATTCCGAAACTTTGGCTTTGGTGTTGGAACATTTTATGTCCTCGTCGTCTTCGTCCACCACTACGACTACAACACAACCAACGAATACAAATTCGACCGCTTCTTCGTATTGTTCCAAGGCGATCGAAAAAGCTTTGGTAATGTTCGAAACCGTACGAAAACCAAGAGTTCACGCGATATACGAATACTCGCAAAGAATGAGTCGGATGAAAACCGACATGGGTTTCGTCATGGAGTGGATCATGTATTTCATGATTTGGGTCACGTCGTTCCTCAATCAGTCTCAGTCGTACAATGATGAGCTGTTGGAGTACGACTTGCCGAAAGTTGTGAGGGAGAGTATCGAGTCAGGCCTGACTTGACGACAAACGTTCGAAGAGGTCGGATGAGGAGGAAGAGGAGGCGAAGCATTGACAGGATTGTAATTGCTGGATGAAGTCCACAAGCAGGATGAGATGGAGGAGAAAAGTTTCTGCCATTACAACTTGTAATGTATCATGGACCACGCCACTCAATCACATTACTGTAATCAATCAAATGTTTCTTTTTTGGATGTTGTTTCGAGATCAATATACAACGGTCATTTTAGTACCCAACACCAAACACCTAAGATGTTTACATTGACAATGTACAATGTACATACTTCGTACGCACATGCCATGAATCAGACAACACTACCAGGTTGGAGGGACGGTTCGTGGGCCTTCCTCCTGACCTTTTCGACCAAAGTCTCGTCGGGGTTTTGGTCGGTCAAATCCAAACCCAATTCCCGCTCGTGGGATTTTTGTACACGACGAAGGAGACAGAAATTGTAGAGTGAAAACAGTCCACCTCCGATACCGACGCATGAACCCGTGACGATGGCGGTGATTTTGGCCGTCACACTCCACACACCATGTTGGGCAGTGTAGACGTTGACAAGAGTGGTGACTAGACCGGCGACCGAGTTCAGAGTTACTGGCCTAGAAGAACTTGTGAGTTTCTGTCCGAGAAACACGATACAAGAGAAGACGACGAAGGAAAGACTCCAGGAAGTGAAACATACATGAAGATCTTGTTCACCAACCAAACGTAATTATACCTCCACAACCACCAAAGCCATAGACACAATACCGTACCCACGACGCAAAACGATCCAGAAAGCCAAAGCAATCCAATATTGGCGATCGAATGAGCAATGGCATGTGCGACTTGGTTATTGTCGTCGTTGTCACTGTCGGCGTCTCGAAAAGCCTTGGATTCTTTAAACGTGGTGAAGGTTCCCGGGACAACGAGGAATCCGGCGAGAATGATCCAGGTACCCAAACTGGACAAGATATTGTACATGCGCGGAATCTCGTCGAGATGCAAAAGCATTTCCATGTACCGTGTAGGTTGGGAAGGGACACGGGCAAGCGGTGGTCTTCGACTCGTTCCTCCTTCTTTTACTGTAGTCGATGTATCGGTCCGCTTTGGTTTTGGCATGCTTGTGTCTTTGTTGTCTTTCGATTTCGATTTCGATTTCATCTTTGTGTCGGTGTTGGTGCTCGTGTCGATAGGCTCTCGAATCGTAAATAGTCTGGATGGTTTCATCTTGGTGGTTGTTGATGTTGGAGTGTCAGGATCCCATGATGATATTGACGGCAACGATGTATGAAGTGGTTCTGCTCTTTTGAGTACAAAGTTGTCCGTCACAGTATGTCTTGACCCATCAGATCGACTTGTAGATGAAGTATTTGGGTCGGATTGATGATTTTTGTTTTTGAACATGATGAGGTATTACGGTATGAAGGGATATGCGTGCGACAAAGGAAATATCACAGAGAGGAGAGCGTAGAAAAAGAAAATGAAAATGAAGATTCGGCGTTTCATCCAAAGGTCAACAAGGAACAAGTTAGATATGTATATTCTGATGCATGTATCCTTGACACAGTCATGGCCGCAACCCACTCAGAAAGAACTGCAAGACAAAGAAAGCAAGAAAATCGTCAGGACAATCCCTCAACTCAAAGACATCCCCCTGATTCTTCAGATCAGGTCCTCGTTGACAAAATGACTGGATGAAAATTCAACAAAGAACAAGTTTTGGATAACCAGACGAACAAAAAGCTAGTGTAAGATGCAACAAAAACCACGACGCTTGCCGCCGGGGGAAAGCGAGCGGTTAAAAGAACAAGGGGCGATGCAAGGTGACGCAGATGGACTGGACAATCGGTGCTCTGTACAGTACGATCTTGTAAATAGTACATCAATCGAGCGAACCAAGTCGCTTAGCGTATGAAACCGTCGGGAACATGTTGACCACTGGTGACCGCAGAAGATGTAAGAAGAGTCGCTGGAGAGCGTCGGTTATTCGGTTGCTTGGTGTTGAGTTGAAGCGACACAGAAACCTGAAACTTGAGACTTGAAACTTGGAATTAATACATCTGTTCATCTCTCTGCATTCCCACGCTGAATATATCAAGAACAGTTAAAATCACATAGATTCAATCTTCGAAAATGGTGTACAAATTCCCACCCAGTGCGAATAAATGATAAACATCTACAAAATAATAATCGTAGAGTACGGAAACTCCATATATTGACACGGAATGAGAACAAGCGCCTTGGCCGCGGTACTGAGTACTGAGTAACTCGGCATTTATGGATCACCGCTGGCTGCTTACGATTGTGTTGCACCTCATGTATTGGGCGCCTGAGGTTCCGCACCACCACCGAGTAAGTCGACGGAATGGGGATTGATTCATCAGAAAGACATACCAAGTGAAAACAAACACTCGTGACTCGTTGCAACCTTGATCAACTATCACTGTGACGGTCGAACATGTCTCAATCAAATTCTTACTCGTCAATGACCCCGAAAAATGGCACGGCTTACATCAACGGAAGAATCTACACCGTCAACGAAGCCGCACCTTGGGCGGAAGCGTTCATAGTCGGACCAGACGGCACTTTTGGAGTCGTGGGTACCGACAAGGAAGTCAAAGCCAAAGCTCTCGAGGATGGTCTCGCCGTTTACGACCTCAGGGGTAAATTCATCATGCCGGGTATCCACGACGCTCACGTCCACATGCTTTTGGCCGGGGTGGGTATGACATCTCAGGCACTACTTCCGACCCAAGGGTTGAACTCGACCAACGTCGCCGAATCCCTGGACCACGGTTCTTGCATGTGTAAATACGCCCACGTCAACCAGGATTGGCTCGTCGCCTGGGCGTACATGGTCGACGACTTCCACCGGGATGCCCTGGATAAAGAGTACCCTGACACGCCTGTAGTGATCCACGGGGGTGCCGGTCACAGCATGTTCCTCAACACCGAAGCCTTGAGGCGTGCGGGATACGACGTCGATTCCGAACCGGACGGTCAGGCCACGATGTACGTCAGGGACGAAGCGGGACGTTTGACCGGCCATGTGGCCGAGATGGGAATGAGCAAAGCGGCCAGGTCAATACCTCAACCGAGTCTGGGGCACGTCAAGCGCGCGTTGAGACACGCCCAGCACCAACTCCACCGGGCGGGAGTGACGAGTTGTCAGGAAGCGTCGGCGAATTCCATCATGCTTCACGCCCTGAAGGAACTCGACGCCGAAAAGGACTTGAAGTTGAACATGTACACCCACATCGTCTACGCCCCCGACTGGGTCGCCGAGGAAAGTGTTGAGTCGCTACACAAACTCATCGACGACGCGGCCGGGTTTCGGTCGGACCATGTCGACACGCGATTCGTCAAGATCATCCTCGACGGGGTTCCTTTACCCCCGTACTACACCCAAGCCGGGTTCAACAAAGACGATGGCACGGTCGACGAGTCGAAATTGTTCATTCTGAACGTGAAGGAGGCCGTGGCCGAATACGACGCCAGGGGGTTCACGATGAAGATTCACTGCACGGGGACCGGAGCCACCAAGCTCGCCCTGGACGCCTTCGACGCCGCGCGGAAAACCAACCCTCGGGGGCCGCGTCACGAAATCGCACACTCTTCGGGGGTCCGCGACGAGGACTTTGGACGGTACAAAACCCTAAACGTCACGGCTGAAATGTCCCCCGCTTTCTTCTTCGTCCACCCGGTCACGGCGGCGAGTGGTGGTCTCATGGACTGGAACTTCCCTCGCATGATCGAGGCAGACGCCCACGTCACCATCGGGAGCGACTGGTGTGCCCCCAACGTGCCTGACCTGTTGCCCATCTTGGGAAACATCGTCGAGAGCGTCGGTGGTGGCGACAGAACCCTGGGCGCCGCCAGAATCTGCCGCATGTTGACGTTGGCCGGAGCCGAAGCGGTAGGCAAACAAAACGAGTTCGGTAGTGTCGAACCCGGCAAGAAGGCAAATTTCATCGCCCTCAACAACGATTTGAGCAAAGCCGAATTCGAGGGTGTCAAGGTCCTGACGACGTGGTTTGAAGGTGAGATCGTATACGAGGAAAACTAGGGTGTAGCATCTTGATCACGGCTGATATCCCTGTATACGGGTGTATACAGGGGCTAGCTGTACCGATGCCAGTAGCAAGATACGTACATACAATCTCCTTTCTTAACGAGTTCATCACCCGATCATGACGTTGCTTCCGTCCTTGATTTCTTCTTCCCTTTTTGCTTCTGCTCCTTCAAGGACTTGACCCTTGGTTTCCGGAATCGCCGTCTGCACTCCAAATCGTCTCTGTAAGACGACCCACTGAGCGAGACAGATGACGATCCTAAACTTTTTTGTTGTTGTCGTTGTCGAGGTATGTTTGTTATCGGTCTCGAAAGCCTCGTCCACGAGCTTTCCTATACCGTCGTGTCGAAGAAAGCCAAGTTTTGAAATGTTGCCGTCCGTCACCAACTCTTTTAGTAAGTTGTACATTGGTCCTCCTCTCGGAAACTTGAGAGGAGCACTATACGGATGTTTTTGTTTCTTGTAAACTTCGTCCGTGATGAAAGGTCGGCCGGCTTCTCGAAGAAGATACTTTTCCACCCACTCGTTACTGTTCGGGTCACGACGGATCTTTACACTGGGTGGGAGACCGTCGACGTATTCTGTTAGGTAGTGGTCCAGAAATGGAGTTCGACCTTCTATCGAATGTGCCATTTCACCCCTGTCCCCGAGATTGGACAATAACAAATTCTGTAGATGTCCTTTGACAAAGACGTATTGGGCGGTGTGTAAGGGGTGCCAGTTCGTCGTTGCCGCCGCCGCTCTTCCACCACCAACAATACTCTCGGTATAGGTCAACAACTGCGGGTCATTGGCAGTGGTCGTCGGTAAAGGTGAGAATCCCTCTTTAAAAGGGAGACGAGGAAACGCCGCTGCCATTAGTACCGGCGTGAGGATATTGTTCAATCGACTGCGAGCAACTGAATTTCCTGAGAGGTCTAGTTGACCCCCATAGTAGACTCGGTTGAGAATTTCTTCCGATTCTTGTAGTTTGGCGATACGCTCCTCTTCGGTCATCATCACGCCTGCTCCGTCAAAGGTGGTATCCGGTTCACGAAGAAGGTCGGGTAGGAATATATTGTACCCACCAAAGATCTCGTCTGCTCCTTGTCCGTTGATATTGACCCGGAAACCTTGTTTTTGAAACAACGCTGAAAGTGCGTACGTGCCGATAAAATTGAGATCAGGGTTTGGTTGCTCGTCGTGCCATGTGGCGTCGGCGAAAGACCTCGCCAGTTCATCTTCGGTCATGTGTTTCTTGTAAAACTTGACACCTAAAAAGTCCGCGGTGCGGTTGGCCGTGGACGATTCGTCGAATCCACTGTCCTCGTCAAAGGCGATACCAAAACAACTGAGTCGGCCATTTACAGACTCCGATCCAATCTGATGACCCTGACGTAGAAGATGGTTGACGACGCCTGCGACGACCGACGAATCGATTCCTCCACTCAGTGAGACACCGACCTTGACATCCGCTCGAAGACGTTCTTTGATCGCGTCTACCAGACGTTCTCGGACACCTTGGATCATTTCTCCTTCGGTGCGAGGGTCCTTGGCATGCTTTTCCGTCGAGAGTATCTTCTAGTTAGTCGAAAAGTCGCCCAAAGGGAGATTTCAATATCCAGAAGCTCATTCTTACCTTGTCGGGATACCTCGAATCCCAATATTTTTGCTCTCGCACTGGTCCAAAATGTTTACACATCAGAAAATGTCCAGATCTCACCTGTATATGTCGATGCGTATGCCGTAAGCCTGAGAGTGCGTAGAGACAACTAGAGAAGACCAATAGCAACACATAGCAAGGGGTGCCAGGCCAAACGGAAACAGTACCTTTTGAATTTTTTTGAAAATGGTAGGACTTCCAATCTGGAAATGCCCACCGACGATACTGTTGACGTCCCATTCTGGCTTCCATCCCATTGGCAAAAAGGCCTTCATCTCGGCCGCGACGAGCAGTTGACCTGCTTGGATCGTCCAGAATAAAGGTTTGATACCATACCGGTCACGCACGGCCACGAACAGTTTTCGTTCACTGTCGAACAGACAAATGGAAAACTCCCCTCGGATAAGGTCCAAGAAAGAAAGGCCGTCGTAGTACTTGTACAGTGCGAGTACGAGCTCAGAGTCGCTGGTTCCTTGAAATTGGTAGTTGATCTTTTCTTCCATGTCGGCTCTCAACCTGTCATAATCATAAATTTCTCCATTGACCACGACGTGTACCGTGTCGTCGGTCGAGTGCAACGGTTGACAGCCCGCCGGTGAGAGGTCGTTGATGTCGAGTCTGACATGACCGAGGGCTGGATTGCCACTGTCAGTCATGAGAACCAATATGAGGTGATTTGGATCCTAATGGAAGCCAACTTACCAACTCTACCATCTTCACTGATCCAGGTGCCTGTCGAATCCGGACCCCGATGTCTGATTTGTTCAAGACTTTTGCGTAACTTGTCTTCGATGGACTTTTTATCTCGTTGGTGAGCGAGGCGAGTGGCCTCGTGCAAGGCTACGATGCAACTGATACCACACATTTCTGAGTCTCGACACACAACTACTATGAAAATGGTCTGGGAAAATGTTCCATCCGTGCAAAACTCGACTTGTCTTTGAAGAAACACCAATCTGCACCGTGAGGAAGATTTAAGAATAGCGAATGTGAGCAATTGTAGAGCAATGAGGGACTAAAACCATGGAAGAGAAATAAAATATAACGCCCAGCTCGAATTCAGGTGACGATGTAGACTACGAGGCGTGCATCCAGTGTATGTTCAGTCTAGTTACACCTTTCGTTGACGGCGGCGGATAGATGCGGGATATCGACGACGTCATCATCACCTCGAACGAGAATCGAATATTGTGGTGATGTGGGAGTTTCTCTATGCAAGACGAAAACCAAAGAATTACAACAGCTGGAATACCCATCTGCAGCTCTAACGATCCACAAGTACATAACGACAGTGCATCACCTCCACCCTTATACGTCTCACGATAACGAGGTCCAGTGGCCCTGGCACCCTCATATCATTGTTCAGTGTGCTTGCAACCCAAGTGTCTCGACCATGTGCCAATAACTCTTTGCGGAAGCCTTGCGGGTCTTCTTTCCAATCAAGATGAACAAGAATGAGAGGCCCCAGAAGAACATTCCGATGAAGCCCACGGCGATATACGTGTTTTGGACGCCAGAAGTTTGAATCCAAGGTGTCACGGCATACCCGAACCCGAAGCCCATTGTGTTTCGAATGCAGATCATGGTGACCAGGCCATCACCAGAAACCTCTCGGTATGAGTCGATGATGTAGTTGATCGCAATGGCACTTCCGATGGGAAACGTGCCGACCACAAAGGCAAGGCCGAAAGCAATACCAACCCAATGCACGTGGTGCTTCGCTCCCACACCGATCAAGATACAGCCGAGAGGGTGAAGGATCAAAGGCACCACGGCCATCCACAGTCTGTACTCGGGCTCGAAAATGCCACCTTTGCGTCGAGACATCCACACGGCAAATCTGTCGGCGCATACGCCCGCGAAAATGCACCCAATTGTACAACCGATGAACTGGGCCGATGAATGTCAGCATATTATGTAGTCGGAAAGAAGACACCAGTCAGATCAACTTACCGGAGCAATAAACATGACGCCTATCATCTCAGTCGAAAAGTTGTAAGGGGGTCCAGCGAGTATCAAGGCCGCCGTGGCGTTGACAACGTTGAACCACGACAGGACCGAGCCGACCAATATTCCAGCAAACACGACGACAGGAAATCGAAGGAGAGAAATCGGAAACCACATTGATCTCCAGTAGTGGTTGGGCTGTCCAGGTCGACGAGCACCCCAGAACTTCAGCTTCTGAATAAAGCTTTTCTTATGACTTGTGTCGAGCCCTGCCTGGGTGAGTGACTGTGAAGTGGTCGCAGTCTTCTCGTCTTTGGTGGCAGGATTTCCCGTGGAGCTCTCATCCGAAGAACCACTCTCCTCTTCTGCATCCAGAGCTTCTTCCTGGACTGGAGGGCGATAGTACATTGTCTCTTCCAAGAAGAAGAACATGACCAGCATACAGCCACCGGCAATGATTGAAGCAATGAACTGGATCCATTTCCAACCTAGATTCTCGGCGACGAATCCTGCAGGCACCTTTCATGATAAAGTCAGCACATTTGGAACGCGGTGATCTGTGAACTCTTTATACTCACCGCTCCAAGAAATGGGATCCCAAAGAGAATCCAGCAGTACATGCCGATCCAAAAGCCTCGATCGTGTGCAAAAAAGACGTCGGAAATGCAGACCTCGATCAAGGTTTCAATGGGCCCATAGAAGAAACCGATCAAAATTCGATTCGCGTACCACTCGCCACTCGTTTTGACATACGAAGTCCAGACTGAAATGGCGATCATGGCCAGTCCGCCGATGAGGAATGCCGGTCGGCGCCCAAAGGTCAAACCAAAGGGTTGCCACAGGAGCCAAGTACTCCAACCGAAGAAGAGGTATTGAACACTCACACCCTGATTGAGAGTCGAAAGGGGAATACCAGTCTCTGCTTCAATATCCAGTAGTGCAGCCGAGAGCAGAGTTGTCAAAACATCGGCAGAGAAGACGGCCAGCAAAAGGACAACGGCGGACAATTGCTTGCGCCTTTTCGACCAATTGAGAGGATCATCGTAGTCGTTGGTGGGCTGAGGCAAGAGAACGATATCCTTTTCACCCGCTTCGTTATGCTTGACATGGAGAGTGCCAGCTAAGTCGACCTATTTCAAGCGCAAGGTTGGTGTTAGAATATGGATACGACACTAAAATTCCAAGGCCTGTTCACAAGACGGACCCCATTTGCAAGAGCGACTCACCAGGTGTACCGTTCCAGGTGTCACCTCGGTATGCAGAGCGTGATGAGTCGGTGCCATTGTGAAGATTGAGAAAGTAGCTGCTGCTGTACGTGATGACGATCCAATGTTGCTGTCACAGATGCCGTCCGAGGAACTGAGGAGTAATATATAACTGCCACGTCGACTATCTCAGCTTGATGCAGATTGATTCCGAGTACTTTGCCAGTCGAAGGGATTGAGCCTCCTTCACTCAGTCTTGCCAAGGTGTGTTTTGCTTATCAACACTCGGATAGATTCAATGTTGACAGGACTCAGAAGGCCAGTCTTCTATCTGGCAAACAGGGAAAGCCACCGAGAGACTCCAGGGGGGGCGTGATAACCTCCCCAGCGCCCCGGTTTGAAGATGACAGTAAGCCGTTCAGACGCATTCCGAAGTCATCAAACCATTGCCGATCTTGTCTAGCCTGCTCCACCAAAAGGGGGTCTATCGAAGCACCGACACGCAAGGCTGGACTCGTAAAGCGCCTATCAAACTTTCGTGACGAGTACGGGTCTTATCAAGCCGCTGCCAATCATGAGTGGCAGAACGGACGGACTGTATCGATCTCCATGTCTCTCTTTATCTTAGCAGCTCCTCTATCTTTCCGACCCCAGTGTCCCGATATGGGATACGAGAATGAACAGCTCTCAATTGCGAAGATTGTGAAATGGAGTATTTTCGCGATCGAAACTCCTGACAACCTATAAGATGGGGAGGTCAGTGTATGTGGCAAACATGTCGTAGGACGGTGGGAAACAATTGCAGTCTTTCCTATCGCACTTTGTTCAAAAAATCTCACGATGGCGACCGTGTACGTAAATGGAAATGTGTATACCGTCGATGGTAGCATTCCTACAGCTGAGGCCTTTGTTGTCAAAGAAGATGGCAAGTTTGGTACCGTGGGCTCGACGGCCGACTTGACCAAATATGCAAAGGATACGGGGGCATCCATAGTCGATCTCAAAGGCCAGTTCGTGATGCCGGGCATGCACGATGCCCACATCCATATCCTCGCAGCAGCAGAAAAACATTTGTTCAACGCCAAACTCGGCCTAAGTGCCGGGCCTGAAGAGATTGTCAAAAAGCTGAAGGACTACAAGTCGTCATGTCAACATCTCGAAGCCGTCGGGAATTGGCTCATTGGCAACTTCTATCACTTTGCCAATTTCAAAGACAAGAAGCCCGACCGGCAATTCCTTGACGACGCGTTTGGCGATCAGCCTGTCGTCATTCGAGAGTACACGACGCACGACATCTTTGCGAATACAGCAGCACTCAAGGCAGCAGGGTACGAGGACAACCCAGAGGACCCTTGGGATGGCTGGTACGTGAGGCGGGAGGACGGTACTATCACGGGAGAGCTGGTTGAGGGCGCGGCCAAACGACTCTTCGCGGCCATTCCCAAGGGTTCTCCAGAGATGCACCTCGAGGCGATGGAATATGGCGTCAAAATGCTGAACCGCTTTGGCTTCACGGCGGCGCAAGAAGCATCAGCCAACGCCATCTACCTCGAGGCAGCCAAGAAGCTTGACGAGATTGGCAAGATGACCATCAACCTCGACGCCCACGTGGTATACTGGGGCGCTGCCTTCAGTCAGGAGCTCCCCTCAACCCTGATCAACAGCATCAATGCGGCATACAAGTACCAGACGAAACATTTCAATCCCAACTTTGTCAAGTTCTGGCTCGACGGTGTCCCTTGGGCACCGCACTTCACGCAATGCCCACTCGCCGACGATGGTAAGCCGGACTACAAGAAGATCCTTGTGCCACCCAAGATCTTTGAGGAAGCCATTGAACGCTTTGATAAGGAAGGTCGTACCTGCAAAGTTCACGTCTGCGGGCAGGGATCCGCTCGCTACGCGCTCGACACTTTTGAAGAGTTGCGTAGGCGACGACCTAACGGACCACGCCACGAGCTTGCACACAACATGGACGTCCATCCAGATGACTTCGACCGGTACAAGAAACTCACCATAACGGCCGAAATGTCTCCAGCAATTTGGCATGAGCCCGAGATGCAACCCGAACAAAATCCATGGTCCGTGTACCCGTTCGTTGGGTTGCGCAAGGCTGACGCGCTTCTCACCATCGGGAGTGACTGGGTTTTCGCCCCTGAGACACCCAACATCTTCCCTGGTCTACAAGCTCTTCAAGAGAACCGTCCGGGTTGGGAGCTCGAGCGGGATGACCTCTTGCGCATCATCACTATCGACGGCGCCAAAGCTGTCGGGAGAGACGTGGTTGAGGGGTCTATCACCCCAGGCAAAATGGCCAATTTCATCATTCTCGACAGGGACTTGAGCACTGCAAAGGAGATTGGCACCACCATCGTACTGAAGACCTTCTTCGAGGGTACCGAAGTGTATGATTATGAGAGTGATGCTCTCAAGCACTTCCAAGGCCGGCCAGGTTAGTCGGGGCAGATAAGTATTGCCGTTAGTGCAGCAATGAGATAGAAATGTCGATGCCACAATTAATCTGCAAGAAACACTCGAACGAATCAAGAGGCTTTGAAACCAATTTCGAGGGCCTTGTCCTCCAGAGATACCCTAGGTCCCTTGTGGCTCCGTGCCATGATTAAGCTGCTGTAGCGAATCGTAGATGCATTGTGTCCATGCTTCCCCAGAGTACCTTAAAGGCGCGTTCTTTCGTGCTTTTCCGATCTGACAAGAAAATATTCCTACCAATTGGGCCTGATCACCGTCGACTTATCGTAATAATGAGGCGGCCTTCTTCCAGTGACGAGCCATACTCCTATCCTCGCTTTGACTTGCGATGCCCATGTTGCGTGACTGAGCAAAAGATAAGGGTTCTCGAATATCACGCATGTCACCGAGACGTAGCGGGCGGGAGAACAAATCAAGGTTCGGCTGCGCATCCACGGACGTGGACAATGCTGGATGGTGCTAGAGGCCCTGAACCGAACATTGACCCCTGCTAATAAGTAGTGCACCTGGCACTGGTGCGGAATATTCGGATGGGCCACGTCTGAAGTGGGAACCTCCAGACTCCGCAAAACAGTTGAAGCAGGGCTCGGAACAATCTCGGAAACTCGTTCTGATGTTGAGATAAGTATCCGTCCCCCAACAAGCCATCATGGCTTCACGCGTGGTATTTGGCACTGCTGGCTACAACTTGGCTGCCACAAGGGTTGTTCCTTGAACCAATGAGGGTTATAGACGCAGAGTTGAACTGTTTTGAAGACCCTTGTTGAGTGCGCTACCGTTATCCATGCTGACGATGCCGGGGTATCCTATTTTCTTATCTATCCGAGTCGGTAATCTCTCAGTACCGAACCTAGAGTAGGCAATGAGACGCAGTGCATGATGATGACCGACAGGGAAAGATAGCGAGGAACGAGGGAGTCTGTTGGATCCAAGGATACGGGACGCCTGCCGCTACTCAGTCCCTAGCTTCGGATAAATCTGCATAGTGCGTCCCATACCCAGATCTACCTTCTGACATAGGACCTCTACTCTCTTATCTATGCAGCTCGGGTTCAAAAGCCGCATCACGGGTGCGAGACGCTGTTAGCAGGACACGGCCCATGATCTTGTCATGATGCTTTTGACCTACCTCTTCTTCGACATGGATAGATTGGAATGGAGGCTTGCGTCCAGCGAGATCCCTATCAAAAGTCCCAGAGAGGTGTGTACGATTGACAAGGCTATGCAATCAGACTCTACTGTCCCGAGTATTAAGCTTGGTCCACACAAAGCCTGAACGGCTCAGTATCACTTCCTGTCACCGGCCCGTTCTGAATGTTCAGGCACTTTCATTCTGCACGCTCAAGATAAAGAGTGCGAGAAGGGTCAAGGTGGGCTGCTCCTGTCAGCAGTGGTGATCCTGTACACATGTATCGGTAGCGTAAAATAGTATGGCCATAGCGCGGAGGGGATTTGCATTATTCCCATTCGACCCGGTTTCGTATGTCGCTCCGATCATGTCAGCTGTGACTGCCGCCGGTTCTTGGAAATACACAGATACCAACTGATGAGGTCCACCAAGTACACAATAATTTTGTGTTAGCCTCTTCCGCGTAGCCATGAGGTCGAAGAGCTATAGTGATTCGTAGCGAGATCGCGACACTTTTCTCATTTGTGGGTGAGCTACAAATTATCCTCTCAGAAATAGATAGAATCAGCCCAAAGTGGTTTCCCACCCCTTCTCGGTCATTACATCCATCCAATAAATGTCGGCAAGGCCCTTGTCGATTTGCTCCCAGGTGAGGGTCACTATCCGTCTCATTTGCCTCAATGGCTTGGCTGGCAGAACGTGCTCGAAGGTGGACAATCTCGAGATAACGAACTTTCTTGCGTCCAGGATTTCGATGGCATTGGGGCTTGCTGTGCTGGGCTCGGTGCCTTGAATGTTTTGCCCGAGCGGTCCCGCCGCAGGTGGGACCCTCAACTCACTCGCAACCGCGACAAAGAAAAATGGCTGGACACATTTTGTGGCTGATTCAATGGGAAGCGTCCTCAGGAGATTCACAATCTCCACCGCACGCGTCGCCAAACTCTGGTCCATGATGTCTGAAGAAACTTGTTCTTGTTCGGGATACTCGGGATTACCCAATAAATTCCCACAATCTGCAAGCAGATCAGGAAAGACCCGGTAGAGTTGGAGCAGGCCAGTCAGTCGGTACAACTCGGCGACGGTCAGGAGGTGCTCAACCGGCGTCTGAGCATCTCCAGGGTTGACGATGGCTTGCGCGGTGGGCAGATTAAGCTGCTGCAATCTCTGGGCGAGACCATGAGCCTGTTGAATGACCTTGTAGCTCTCGTCAACATCAGCCAGAGATGTAAAGATGGGCCGATTCCGGATACGCAGTCGCTCTTTCCTCACTAAGCGCCCAACCTCAAAAACCAAAACCTGTGCTTCCCTTCCCACGCCGGTCCATGGATGCGGAAAGTTCGGCTGATGCAGAGTATTGTGCTCATCGCTCGATAATTCAGGCCCCTGGGTCGGTGGAAGTGCAATTGATACGTCACTAACGTAGGAGAGGAGCATTTCCCAATAGATCATCGCCTCTTGGAAGAATCGCAGGTTTCGTTTGTTGTTCGCTTCAAGAAAGGCTGGCGGCTGTCCCCTGGTCAATGCTCCCATAAGTGTGCGCGCGTGCTTGAATTGCTCGTGACCGAGGTCATTGGCGTCGTGCCAGCTAGCTGAAAGACCAAGCATGATCAACGTCAGCAGTGAATCTGTCTCGACTTTGGACTCACGAATATCAGCTTCAACACAAGTCATGGCTGCATGCCGCAGTCGATAACCAACGGCATGCAGACTTGGAACTACGTCCGAGAGGCAAGCAGCTGCCATGCTCTGCAGTACGTAGAAGACGGAGTTAGAGCTCTGCCACAGTTTGGAAACGGTGGATCGAAATGGGTTCAGATGGCTGTTATAGCAGGAAAATATGCCAGCCACTTCTTTGAAGTAGTACTCAACCAATACAGAAGAGTAGTCGTTGAGGACCCGTGAAGGCCTTTCCGACAACGGGCGTAAATCTGCTTCTTGACACAGGTTCAGAGAGTGGTGTTTAGATGTTCCATCAAGAGGCTGTGCTGAAATTCCGTGGCGAACAAGTGAGGTGGACAATATGTCTTGTTCCATGTCTGGAGAGTCACCATCGTTTAAGTCGATGAGGGTGCTGGGGCTTCCCGGAATTGAACTGCTCCATTCGAGGCCTTCCAAGCCAGAAAAGGGTATATCAAAATGCGGATTCGAAGCCGGAGGGTTGAAGTCAACGATTTGATGGTCATGTAACAATTCTGGGTCGCCGACAGGAATTGTCATGGTAGGCGATATGGCTTTTTTTGAATGTGCTATTCCAGCAGTGTGCGAGGCATAACTCGCAACAATTGAATCTTTGTCTTCCTGCGCCGACAGCTCCCGTTGGGAAGAGGACCTGGCATCTGCAATGCCACTTCCCCGGCCTTGAGTGTAGCCAGGGCAAAGGGTATTGATCTTCTGACAGCGAATACAATGCGGCCTTGCCTCATCGCATTTCAACTGGAAAGCGATAACAGTTAGCAGAATCCGTAAGGTTGGAGGGCAGAGCTCAATGCATGTTCAGTACATGCCTTCCTCTCCTTGCAGCGAGCACATCCTGTACGAGATCTCTTAATGCCACCGCGCATATTGGTTCTGCTTCAAAATTGATGCCTTTTAACCAGGAGACATCCTACTCGGAAAAGGCCCCTCTTAACATAGTCCTCTTTACTAAGCATGTGACAAGTAATATTGCAACGACTGATAGGGCGACTAGTTGTGAGCTGCCTTAGCGCCGCAGCTAGCATTTCTCATCAGAGGCACGGGGCATCGACCTGTGTCAGCTACAGTATGATGGGGCGCTCCTGTGGATATTCGGAGCGAAACGCTCTCGAGCCATAGTGACGGCTCCTGCGAATTAAGGATGAGTCAAGGGCAACATGACCCTTGTCTTAATACGGGCGTCGAGGAGGGTAAAGTGGGTAATGATGGGCATGGCAGTCTGTATGATGCCCGGGGTAAGATAGGATAAGATGGGTATTCGTAGGGAGATAGAGAGATGTGCGCATAGTGTAGAAAGGAGGAAAGTCCGAGCACGATCAAAAGCCATTTGCTCCGCCGTATAAATTGATTACCTCATCTTTGGTCGACAGCGATGGCGGTCCATATTCATGAGATCATTCATCCTGCGTAGAAGGTCTGCAATCGCCAGTTTCAGAGCTTGCAAATTGAATTTGACGAAGTTGGAAATGAATCTGCTGCTCTCAGGGTTTCTCTTACTGCCATACACTCACGTTTCCTCTCGTTTCATTCACTGAGTCCCTGATGTCCAAACTCCGTACCTCGAGGTTCCTTCCAATGCATTCAGTCGTGAACACCATTGGTCTCAATGCTCCTTATTCAAAATCATCAGGTCCCTATACAGCCGAGACATATCAGAGAAGAGACGAACATAAGGCTCGCACGGGAAACAAACACGAAGAGAGTTATGTATTGACCTTGCACACAGACCAACAGCATCACCAGTTAATGACCTCCATGCGTACACGATATTTCCCTCCTCGGCTCAACAAACTGAATGCACATATCGCTCTGTTTCGCGCGTTGCCCAGTTCCCGATTGCCTCAGATCATTCACGACATTGAGTCTCTGACCCAGTCACAGCCTACCTTCGAAGTCTTTGCTACCAAGGCGTTCCTGATGAAACGCGGTGTGGGAATCCATGTCGACGACACCGAGGGTCAGGCTGAGGCAATTTTTCAGCAATTAAAAGCAAAGTGGGAGTCTTTCTTGAGTCAGCAAGATCGGAGATTCAAGCCACATTACACTCTTCAAAATAAAGTCGATGATGAGGCAGTCGTACGCAAGACATTCAATGAAGTTAATGAGCAATTCCACGGCAGTCGGGGCCAAGTGACGGCATTGACTCTTTACAAATATCAACAAGGGTTTTGGAAAGAAGCGCAGTCATTCTCTTTCCACGAGAACCCCCAAATTGGTGCAGGGGGGACAATGTCAGGGACGAAATAACCGTCTTGTGAATAGAAGCGTTTTTCGACATTGACCGAGGAGTCCGCGGCTCGGCAGAAAACTTGACAACTATGGACCAGATTGGCCCGTTGACATCCCTGTCTCCTCCACATTCATCGTCCTAGCGCCAGTTCCACCACGACTTTTCCCCATGGTTCTCATTTCACGACATCTATTTGCGTAACGGAGCCAGGAAACAGAATCTATGCGTTCTCTTCCCCGGCCTACCCCACGATGAAGGTAGCAACATCATCTTGTCTAAGTCTGAACTCCGGGCATCTCGCTTCTCCAGAACCTTGCCCTCGGCAGCCTTCAAAAGAATTTGTGATTCGTCCTCGGTTGCTGTTGGTAGGCTGTCGCTGACCATAAAGCCTCTGCTTTTCCTGCTGACCCAGTCCATCACACTCCTCAATCATCATTGTTGTTAAGTCCAATCCCAATCAATTGATTCCAAACCATCATGGCGACCGGTCAGCAAATCCTACACATGGACGAACCAAAAACCGCCATCATGGACGAGACAATTCAAAAGCCTACAACTATCGATACTGTTCATGGTGACGAAGCGCTGAAAGTCATTGTTCAAGCTGGCGGAGATGATGTCTGGGAAGAGCATGAGGAGAAGAAGGTTGTCAGGAAGATCGACATGCGTCTCATGCCCATCTTGTGTGTCACGTATGGCATCCAGTACTATGACAAAGCGATGCTTGCGCAAGCGGTAAGTGTGTCGCGGAGGGGAGTATACATGTTCTAACGTCAATCCTCAGGCTCTATTTGGTCTGCGGGAAGATCTCGACCTGGAGAAGGGCAATCGATTCGTCTTCTCATCCTCCATCTTCTATCTTGGCTTTATCATCGGAGCTTACCCGGCGATGATGATGGCTCAAAGGTGGCCCATTGAGCGGGTGGCTGGGGGTATCACCTTCATCTGGGGAATTTGTGTCATGTCGAGTGCCGGGTGCAAGACTTTTGGCGCATTTTATGCCCAAAGGTTTTTCCTCGGGGTGATCGAAGCCGGAATCTCGCCGCTTTTTATGCTCGTCGTTGGTGGATGGTACAAGAAGAACGAACAGGCTTTGCGAATGGGCGCCTGGTATTGCTGCACAGGTTCGTCCCACCTTTGATTCATCATGTTACATTCTGGATTGACCTTAAAACATAGGCTACATTTCCATCATCTCTCCCATCATCAACTACGGCCTTGGCCACATCACTGGAGGCTCTCTGCATCCATGGCAATACATGTACCTCTTCGCCGGAGCCATCACAACACTGTGGTCTGTTGTCGTTCTCTTCTTCCTACCTCCAGACCCGATCCGAGCCAAGGGCTTCAATGATCGCGAACGCTACATCGCAGTGGCGCGACTGCGTGTCAACAATGCCGGCGTCCGAAATGTTCACTTTAAAATTAACCACGTTGTCGACGCGTTAACCGACATACGATTCGGTCTCATGTTCTGCATCACCTTCCTAATGTTCTTCGCCAATGGACCCAACTCTACTCTCTCGGCTATCATCGTCAATAGCTTCGGCTTCTCCACCCTCAACTCTCTACTGCTAGTCGCACCGGCGGGCTTTCTGTCGGGGACTGTGGAGCTGGTCGTGTGCTACCTGGCGTACCGGTTCAAGAACGTCCGCATCTACCTCTTTGTGGTTTGCGTCTGTGCGACGATCGCCTCGTGTTGTCTCCTCTGGCAACTGCCCCGGCACGACAAGGTCGGTCTCCTCATCGCCATCACCTTCCTCCCCAGCTTCGGCGGCGGCTACGCTCTCCTGATGGGTCTGCAGATTGCAAACACCGCCGGGTACACCAAGAGATCCGTGACTTCTGCGGGCATGTTTGTCGCTTGGTGTCTCGGCAACTTCACCGGACCTCTCCTCTTCAAGAAGGAGGACGCCCCCGTCTACGGTCCTGGGTTCAGGGTCGTCGTGGCCGGGTCTGCGGCCGCCGTGGGTCTTGCCGTCCTGTACAGGTTCGTTTGTACGTGGGAAAACCGTCGACGAGACCGTGCTGGAGTGTCCGAGGCGTTTGAGCATGCCTACAACGACGACATGACGGATACCAACAACAAACAATTCAGATATGTCATGTGAATGATGGCTAGGAAGGGTTGGCTCGTGGATCGAAGGGCGCCAACAAAACAAGCGGAATCAGGGTTGAGGCAAGGCCGGACGAAAGACGTTCCAAGCAAGGCTCTTTGTAACTCCGTAGGTGTTTACCATATAGGTTGTAGGTAGTACATATGCATGTCCTTTACAAACTTTTGTGTTTGTTGATGAGTCAATGACCGTGTGAGTACGGAGTACCTAGATTCCTGACATCTTACTGTCAACACGGGCAAGGCCAAATTGTCGGTCCAAGAAGAATGACTTGATGAAGCAATTTGGTTCCCTCCACAGAGTAAAGGATGTTCACGGTCTATGTAATGCACCATGATTGTATTGTCTCGAAGGTTCTGTCTTTATTTATGGATACTGATTGTGTCTGTGTTATTCTTTCCTTCCTTGGATCTAAAAGTCTACAACTTGGATTCGGTTCCCGGTACCGACATCAACATCTTCTTGAGATCGTTCTTCATCACCTTCCCGTTGGCGTTCCTGGGCAGGGCCGAAATGAACCTGACCCCACCGCGAAGCTGCTTGTAGCCCGCCAACCTCGCCCGGGTGTACTCGTGCACTTCGTCTTCCGCCATCTGGCATCGGTCCTGCAAGACGATGCACGCCGCGGGCAACTCGGATTCCTGGGTGGAGCGTTGGACACCAAAGACGGCGCAGTCGGCAATCTTTGGGTGCAGACGGAGGACACTTTCGAGTTCGGTCGGGGCGACTTGGAAGCCGCGGACTTTGATCAATTCCTATGTAGAGTCGGGAGTGTCAGCCTTGTATATTCGTTGTATTTTGTTGATGAATTCGGCACCCCCTCCGCTCATTCACATTAAAGCAGAAGGAGAAATGAGAAAAACACCCAAGACTCACCTTTTTCCTACCAACAATGTACCATTTTTTCGTGTTGGAATCACAAAAAGCAATGTCACCGGTGTGGAAATATCCGTCGCTGTCCCAGTCTCGGTGGTTCGCGTCCGGGTTACGGTGGTATCCTGGTACTATGATGGGCCCTCGTACGCATAGCTCGCCTCTTACATCGGCGCCTGTTTTGTCCTTGTCGCCACTGATATCGTTGCCAAAATCGTCCACGATCTTCGCGTCACAATTGGCTAACAGTCTCCCAACGCTGCCTGTCAAGTCTTGCTCTGGGTAATTGAACCATGTAGCAATGCAAGTGGTCTCGCTCATGCCCCAGGCCTGGTTGAACGGCGTGTCGGGCCGCAAATGCTTCTTGAAACGAGCTTGCGTGTCCTTGTCAAGTGGTGCCGACCCGGCCCAAGCGTAACGAAGAGACTTCAACGAGTACTCTTCCGACGATAGAAGGCGAGATGCCAACAGAGTGATAACCATCATGGGGACAATATTGACTTCGGTAATGTTGAACCGGCTGATGTTTCGTAACCATGGCTTCATCTCGAACCGACGCATAATGTACGAGACATGGCCGGACCTGATGACGCTGGTATGTACTCGAGGCACTTGGGAAGCGTGGAACATGGGGTTCGAGATGAGGCGACGGACCTGATATGTGTGAGGAGTGGATTTGATCATCAGACAACAAAAAAAGACTCACCTCGTACGGTCTTGGACTAGCTTCCATCACAAGGGTATGTTGCGCAACCTGTTCGCATTCGACGTCAGTAAAAAGACATTGATGAAGGTAGAGTCGGGGTTGCACACGAGGTTCCACATGGATACGTTCAATGCTTTTGGCAAGCCCGTGGTTCCACTGCTAAACAGTCGAGCAGCAATTGTCTTTTCGCTCAATGTTCGATCATCGAATCGTTCCCAGTCAGCTTCTTCCCCCGGCACTTGCAGCACTTTCCAACTTTTGATATCCAGCTTAGGAGGTATCGATTGGCCTAGAGTATCGAAGGCGAAGATATGAGACGACGGAATCGAGCATTGCGCTGCTGCCCGGGTCACTTTAGGCAGAAACTCAGGCTCAGCCAGGAAGTGTGTGATGTCTGCAGTCTTAACCGCATGGACCATTTCAGGCACGGTATAGGATGGATTCAAGCCTGCAAAGATGGCGCCTGCAGCAATAATTCCCAGAAAAGCCATGGGATAATAAACCTGTTGACGCGGTTTGGTCAGCTTCGACCCGATGACGAGACATGCACCATAGCAGCAAGCGTCCTACACCAGCATGTTTGGGGCGGATGGTGAACCGACATCGTTGAACGCGACTAAGCAGACACAGTCTCCCTTCCTTACGCCAGCTTTACGGAAGCCTGCTGCTAGCCTGCGGACAATTTGTCGAGCCAGTCGACATGATATGGATCTCGAAGGGTCACGGGCATCAATGTATAGCTGCTCGTGGTCAGTCACGCAGGTTTAAGACTCGTGAACAAAGACAGCTTACTGCTTTATCTGCCTCATATGGCACCTTCGCATCAAACATCCAAGTCAAGAGGTCGGTTGTAGGTATCGGGTAATGCTCAACTGCGAGGTAAGGCATGTTGTAAAAGCTTCCAAGCAACCAAGCTTATTCCGCTGCGCATTTCAGACGGGTAAAATGGTCCCCAATGCATAGTTAAATCCAGATATACATGCATCATAGTGGCTCATTGTTTCAGGCAATCAGCCATCCTGTTGGCCGAGGGCCGGGAGGATTGCTAGAATTTGCGACAACAGCCAAACGGCCATAGCGCGCAAAAGTAACACCCACAGAGTGAGTAAAGAGTTGAATGTCGAACACACGAGCACCGGGTCGGTGTCGAGCGAAGTACAAAATACTAACCGAGGACTCCGCGGGGAATGTTAAGGGACATCAGAAATCCTCCACAGGGGTCCTTAAGCAGGACTAACTCCATTATCCATCGCTGGCCGAGGTGGGGTTGTAAGACCATCATTCGTACATCTCCATCTTGCTCAGATCTTCCAATTTCACCACCTGAATTCGCCCATCCGAGGAACAACTCGTTAATTGAGGCTGAGTTTCCGGACATTGTGAAAGCTGTGAGACCACAGTGGAGCCTCTTCATGCACCTTGGACGACGCAGGGATTCCAGATGGATTCTTCTCAAGTCCAACCTCAACCGCGGCCTTCGCCTTTTAAGCGAACAGCCATATCTTGCCAGCATTGTCAGCATAGGAAGATGAGATGTGACCGAAGAGTCCTCGGTTCGCCATGCACCAATTGTCGTCTTGATGGAATGGAGTGTCTCCAGGGGCAGAGCAAGCCACGCAGCCGAGCGCCCAAGTCGTCCAGGAAAAAGAAAGATCCCATAGCCAACTCACAGCCAACCTCGACTGTGTCCACGGGTAATTCAGCATCTCAGGATCAGACTGCCCGCGATGGAGAACTCCCGAGTTTCATCAAAGCGCTGCCTGCTCATCTGACTGTTGAGGACATTTCATATCTGCGGCACAGGGGAATCTTTCAGATTCCTGCCACTGGATGCCGCAATGAAATCCTGCGAGCCTACTTTCACTTCGTGCATCCTCTCATGCCGTTATTGGACGTCGAAACCTTCCTAGGTCCTATGTTAGCAGGAGACTGCAGTGATAAGATCAGTTTGATGTTGCTTTATGCTGTACTTTGTTCTGGCGCAGCACACATCGAGATTGGAGTCTTGCAGGCTCTCGGGTATGAAACTAGGAAATCTGCCCGAAAGGCATTCTTCGACAGAGCTAGGGTGAGTGCGAGCTACTGACGTTGAGAAGATATGCTCACAAAGACCAGCTCCTCTATGATTTCGATTGCGAGTCCGACCGTGTCGCGTTGGTTCAAGCCTCCCTCTTGATGACCTACTGGTGGCAAACAGGGACACAGCACAAAGACCGCCGGTTTTGGATTCGCGAAGGCGTGAGTCTCGCGCTTGATTTAGGTCTCGAAAGGGATCTGGAAACATCCACGTCAATGCGACGGCGTCGAATCCTCAAGAGGCTTTGGTGGTGCTGCTTCATGCGCGATCAGTTCGTTGCGCTGATGACATGGACTCCAGCACATCTTGGTGCCAGACATCGTCATTTGCCAATGCTCGAACTGGAAGACTTCGATCTAGAGCCATATTCAGCACTGATCAGGGAGAATTTTGGGCAGTGGCCACTGGTGAGTCATGCTGAAACAAGATCACAGCTCGCAGGTTTGTGTATCGAGAAGGCGAGGCTATGTGTATGTATCAGCAGAATTCTGGAAGCTCGGTATGCGAGTCGACGTCAAGAAGCTGGAAACCAGATGATGACCATTCTGGTTCCCAAAAGAGCAGCGGCGAGCCAATACGAGGTGATTGAGCATGACCACGAGCTCCAAGGCTGGTACCACAATCTGTCAGAGAGCAAGACCTTGGACATTCGAGACGCGATCATTTCACGGCCCAAAGCCGGGATGGACGCTGTTTCTGTTCAAAAAGCCCATCTCAAGCTTTTGTTCTTGTCCGCGACCCTTGCTCTTTATCGACCGCTGGCCGTGGGTTCGGCCAATATGCGTCTGAGCGCGTCCCAGGAGTTGTCAAGTCGAAAGCTGCGAGAAACAGCCGAGGAAGTGGCGCACATCGCGAAATCTATTCGAGACTTGGAATTGGGAACTCCGCTGTCGCCAAAGGGGGTCACGTTATTCTTGCCCATACTTCTCGTCCATCTCCAGGACCTCAAACCGGAGACTGACCTCCTTCACAAGAGCAGACTGGAAAAGTACTATGACTGTATGCATATCTTGGACTCGATCGGAGGCGCTGTGTCTGAAGATGGACTTCTTACGGAGCTCGAGACGGCGTTCCAACGACTGAATATCGTTCCTGCCATCGAGCAGTCGCCCACTATCCCCAGACCACTTTCAACATCTTGCTGGCAGGCATCTGTAGGCATCGATCATTCTTCGATACCCCAGCTTTCGAGTCTCGGTATTGTGACCAGTTTCGAGATGGACTTCTTACGAGACCTCACTGGTGGAGCGACGATCATGATGAACTCATCGGAGGAAGTACCACGAGATGATCGTTCAGATCCAGCGAAGCAAGCTGGCGCTGAATGAGGATGGTGTCCCAGCTGGAGACGATGTATTATACATAATTTGGGAGCGGCACACGTCGTGAATGCGGCAAAGTGAACCCCACCAGGTATCAAGTGAATGCCTCGTTAATTGTACCCTATATATATTTAATCCAGTGACATTTCCTTCAACATTGATCGCCTTGATGGCCCAACTAGTAAGACTCACCACGTCGCAATGTGACTTTGTTACAAGTGGTTTGGAGGTGGGCTTATCCTTGGAAACCAGCTTAGTGGGATTAGACTGGGAGTCAGCTGGTTTCCATGACTATTGTACTATCTCTACAAGTATTACGGAGTAATACGTTCCTCTAATGGAGTTGAGATCTGTGAATGGTCATAGTCGGGATAAGTATTAGGAGCGCCGACTGTTGCAGACTGTCGGGGCTTCGAATCTCCAAATAACTTTTTGTTTCCTGGCAGATTTTTTTTCTCGTTTTGTTTTTGAGGCTGCTGAAGTTGGTGAAGTATGAGGACGAAATAATAGGTGAAGTGCCTTGCAGGCATGACTTGAGCTGATGACTAAGTCACTCTGCTTTGGGTGCGTTGGTTCCTGAATGATTCCCACTTTGGGAGCTGGATGACAGTGACGTGCGCCTAGCGATCCCTTAGACCCAGCCCAATGACGCCCGATCGATGCTTGAGGTGCTTGGATCGCACCGGGTGGTCGATCTCACCATTGCTTGCTTGCTTGTATCGTTCTCCAGACTCCATATAAATGCCCACATCGTCCAAAACTTGGTTCCCGGTGATGATGACATCGCGCCTTTGGTTCCTGAAATGTCAGTGATGGCTTTACTCAGGCTTCATAAGAAACGGTAGGTAGGTCGGGAGCTGAATTACAATCTCTCCCCCTCGAAGAACGCCACCAGCACTACATCCCTGCCATGAAGTCCACGCAGTATTGTCAGGTCTTGATACTGAACCTGTCGCTCACAGCAATCGCAGGCTCTCCCTCGCTCTACGATACCTACAACTTCAACCCTCTGGAACATTTGGCTGGCATTGCTCCATACTTTGAGCCGAACGATCCTCCTCGAAATCCCAGTCCTCCAGAAGGCTGCTCTGTTACAAAGGCGGCATATCTTGTCCGGCATGCTGCTATTAATGCGTAAGCGAAGACCTTCCACTTTCTCGTAGGTACTGAGTGGGAATTAGGAACGACTTCGACTATGAGACATACATCGAGCCTTTCCTTTCCAAGCTGAAAAATCATACAAACATCAACTGGGGCAATCTCCCTGCCCTGGCCTTTCTTTCGACGTGGGCACCCCCGTCGTTCGCAGAACAGGAACATGTCACCAGAGTTGGCAAGCTGGAAGCCGCGCAGCTGGGTGTAGAAGTGTCGTTTCGATACCCGAACTTCAGACCGCCTCGCAATGTTTGGGCGTCGACCGCCGAGCGCACTGTCGTCTCTGCCGAATCCTTCATCCGTGGCTACGAAACTGCCGACAACAACATCTCTTTGATCCAGGTATATGAGAGTGAAGAGGGAGGAGCAAATACCCTCACGCCCTACGATAGTTGCCCTGTCTATTCCTCGTCAGCCGGAAGCAAACAGTCCCAGCAATACCTTTCCAAGTGGACCAAGCCATACCTATCTCGCCTAAACCAGGTCTTTTCGAGCTTCAATTTTACCGCCAACGACATAGTAGGTATGATGGAGCTGTGTGGCTATGAGACCGTCATTCGGGGATCATCTCCATTTTGTTCGCTTGATCTTTTCCCGCCAGACGCTTGGCTCAGCTTCGAATATACTAACGATATCATGTAGTAAGTCACTCCTGGCTCCCAGATCTTATCCGCACTCCGGAAGACCTCTTCTGATAAACTGCAGCTTTTACAATACTGGTTATGGACAGCCCACGAGTGGTTACATTGGCTTTCCCTGGGTGAATGCAACCATGAACCTCCTCAGTTCCAACGGCTCGTCCAGCTCCCAGGATCTCTATGTCAGCTTCACTCACCGGGAGTTCCCTCCAACGGTTCTCGTCGCAATGGGTCTTTTCAACAATACCGAGTTTGTTGGAGGAAATCCGAACAGCAGTATGCCACTTGACCGCATCAATTACAATCGAGCTTGGGTGTCATCTTACATTCTGCCATTCTTGACCAATGTTGCTATCGAGCGGATGAACTGCTCGGCTAGAGCGAGTACGTATGGTGACGGAGGCAGTTCGCCGTATTATCGTGTCCTTGTGAACGACTCTCCACAGACATTGCCCGGGTGTAATGATGGTCCTCACGAAAGCTGCAGCTCAGACGGGTTGTCAAACTGGCTGGCTGACCGGGAGGCAATGTTTCAGGGCTATTCGGCGGCGTGCAATACCAGCTCTGATTACAAGAACTCGACGGATACGGTGACGTTCTATCAGAATAGCGGGAATGGAACTTCCGTTGGTTGATGCATGAAGTGTGTTACCGTTCAGATGTATGCGCTTGCTGAACAAGTAAGAAGAATACTCAAACAGCTCAAGAAGAAGTAGCGGAACTAGTTGAAATCCTTTTTGTCTCCCGGCTAAACTTGCTCACACTTTTTTCGTAGGATTAATACAAATCCGCCTTCTGTAAGCGCTCAACCTTGTGTTAGCAGGGTTGAACGTGGGCATACTCCGTATCAAACCATAGTTGTCTGTACTCGTAAGCACGACAGGCCTGACACACGTAGAAGGGGCCAGGGGCGGTCCAAGCCTAAGATTGTGGCTCGAGTCTGTGAACAGCGTGATATCTCCAAGCCCCAGAGTCTTGAGTCCAGTGGTCAGTATCAGCCATACCATGTCTTGATCTTTGACCCGTGTCCCCGTGTCTGTAACAGTTAGATCAATACTAATGGAATTGCAGCGATTGTGAACTGGTCTTTGTAGACTGAGATTTTCGCTTTGGGCTTAGAGGAGGGATAGAGGCGCAGTCTCGAAACAGCCTGAGGCTAGCGGAAGACCTCAGATGCCTATTGGCGAGATTCGTCAAGGGCGCTTTGTCCCTGTGAAACACGTAATGCTCGGCCACCCATTTAGGTGTGAGTCCGAGTATCCGTCTCCCTGCGCCATCACATTTACTGGGTATCAGCCAGTACCCGGTAGCTAAGGCGCATTCATTAGGCCCCAACCCGCCATCATTCGAGCCGGGAAGCCGGTCGTCACTCCATTGAGCGTTGCCTGCACATCATCATAAAGAACGTCTCATCTCACCTTCTCTTTCCTCCAAACCCTCATTTCTTTGTACCTATCCATTCACTTCAAACCTGGCAATCAGTCTACACCATACCAATGACTCTCACATCGCATTTTGTCCGTCGCGGCATGGAGGCTGCCCATGGGGGTATGCATGGGATGATGGCCGCCGCAGACGACAGCCAGCATGGTGATGGAAAGCCACCTCAAGTCCCTCCAGTCTCCGGCCTCGTCTTCTTTCTCAGTGGTTTTGCCGTCGTCCTCTTCATGTTTACGGTAAGAAGCGATAGACTATTTCCTGACAACTTTGTACTAATTCTTACCTAGATCATCTACACCTATGGTCACATTCTCCCAACCCTGTGCATGATCGAATCGCCCGAGACCGAAGCCTACGTCCCGGTCGATACTATGGAGCCAACCAATCCTCCCGCATACTCTGAGTCCGCTGCTCCAAAGCCCACGGATGAAGAAGACGGGGACATGCTCTTGGTCCGCAACAAACCGGTGACGGCGTCCATCCGGGCAACGATACTTCACCTTCGAGCACGAGCTGGTTACTGGTCACGACTCCGTGGTCTGTCAATGTTCCTCGCCTGGAACATTCTCAGCGGCATCATTCTTTCCATCTTTGTTACTATCATTGGAACTGCATTCGGCGGTCGACTCAGGATTGCTTTCGGCAGTCGACTCGGAATTGCTTTCGCCACCATTGCTGTCGAGACGATACTGTCAACTTTCCACATGGGCTGGATACATATCGTCATTTCGGAGCCCAACCCAAAACGATGGTACCAACGAATCCCATCATTCAAGACCTGGCCAAAGATTGCGCCTGCTGTTGCTCTGTGGGCCACTGCCAATCAAGTGGTCGCCATCTTGCCTATGCTGGTCTGCGGCAGTTTCGGCTCTCTCAAGCACATGGACAACCCCGACTATACACCCGACAAGAAAGATCTCTACGCGGTGGGCGCACAGGGCATCATGGGCATGTTCCTTAGCGTCCTTCTGTTCATTCTCCTACAGATCCCTGCCAGCGTGACCATGGTCAGAGTAGCTGCGTCAATGCTGCCAGAGGAAGACGAAACAATTGTCCCATTCGACAGAACCTTTGGTGGCAAGACGACGCCCACGATCCTTGGCGGTCAAGGCAAGATTGGTCTTGTCGAGGCATGGAGAAGCTTTGCCTGGGCCAGCCGGATTCGTTTGGTCAAACTCATGATCAAGGTGGCGTTGATCGTGATGGCCTGCTGGTTTTTCTTCACAATGGTCCTTGTTGCCGAAGCGCACCTCTTGTTTGGTGACAAACTCGGAGAGATGATGAAGGCGATGCATGGAGCCGTTCGACACCATTAAGTACAGTGTGTTGTAGCATTCACGAGTGCACCATTCGGGTACGCACCGCTGACTCTGGACAATCTCTGATCATTGTACATTATGCTCGATACGAGTAGATAGTTGCAGATGGCGTTAGGTGGAGGCTGGACAATGGGCAATCATCTTCAAAAGCGTATTTTTGATATATACACACATGCAGTGACTGACCTTACATGACCTTTGTCTGCCAAATCTACAGTATTGTGCGTGACCGAACTGTTGCCGGCTTGGTGGAAGAAAACAATTGCCCTCCGGTGGACTCGTTCCGAACAAGGTCCGTTGGTGCGAAAACTGGCCGGAGTCTCCAGATACTCCATGTGCTGCGTCCGAGCCTCGGTTGTTACTTTCTCATGCTACAAGGGGGAAAGTTACCGCCTTCTGGAGGATCTTGGGGCCAGCCAGCAGATGCATGTTGCCGTCACTCGTGTGTCTCCAAGTCAAATAAAATAGAAAATCTTTCTGCAGCATCTCTTTCTCTCGTGGTAGACAAAAGACTTGAGACAATATTGTCTGTTCTTCAAAGGTCTGCTCGAACCATGATATCAATTGGTCCCTAAACGAATCCTCCCTCTGTCTCCTCCCAACCACCACGCGCGTCTAGCATCTGCCCCTCCTCTTGGGAGCTTCTCGGCGGCGCTCTGTTGATCACTTTTTTTTATCTTGTCCATCCGTCCGCTGGTCGCGCTGCGCTCCCGGAGTCGCACACAAAATCTTGGAAATACCCACGGTGGTTACCGCACACCACTATTCTTGAGCTCGAGCCCTTTTTCATTGACCTCCAAAATCCCATTTACCTGTTTACTACCATGGCCCCTGCGACGATACCCACGTCGGTGGACGAGCTCCCGACGAAAGAAGAGCTGAAGGAGGAGGTCAAGGAGAAAGCAAAGGGTGCCGTGTCGGGCCTGAGGTCTCTCGCCGCTGGTGGTGTCGGAGGCATCTGCGCCGTGATCGTGGGCCACCCCTTTGACCTGGTCAAGGTGCGACTTCAGACGGCAGAGAAGGGAGTCTACAGCGGAGCGATGGACGTGGTCAGGAAGACGGTCGCCCGGGAAGGTCTCGCGCGGGGTCTCTACGCCGGTGTATCTGCGCCCTTGGTCGGCGTCACGCCCATGTTCGCCGTCAGCTTTTGGGGCTACGACATGGGCAAGAGGTTGGTCGACACCTTCAGCACGGTCCCCGTCGTCAACAACACCCGGCAATACAGCATCGGCCAGGTGTCGGCGGCCGGCTTCTTCTCCGCCATCCCCATGACCTTGATCACCGCCCCCTTTGAGCGGGTGAAGGTGCTCTTGCAGATCCAGGGCCAGAAACAACTCGCTCCCGGCGAGAAACCAAAGTACAGCGGCGGCGTCGATGTCGTGAGACAACTGTACAAGGAAGGTGGCATCCGCTCCGTGTTTCGAGGAAGCGCCATGACCCTGGCCCGTGACGGACCTGGCTCGGCGGCCTACTTTGCGGTGTACGAGTACGTCAAGCGCAGTCTCAGCCCGAAGGACGAGAACGGAAACGCCACGGGCGAGCTCAGTCTACCCGCCGTCATGACCGCGGGTGGTGCGGCGGGCGTGGCCATGTGGATTCCAGTCTTCCCCGTCGACACCATCAAGTCCAGGATACAGACCGCGGAAGGGCGGCCGACGATAAGTGGTGTCATTTCGGGAGTGTACAGGAGCGGAGGTGTCAAGGCTTTCTTCCCAGGGTTCGGACCTGCTTTGGCCAGAGCGGTGCCGGCCAACGCGGCGACCTTTGTGGGAGTGGAATTGGCTCACAAGGCCATGAACCAGATGTTTGGTTGATCGGGTGTGGGTGTACCCGACCTTGACATGAGGTCTATATTTTCTTTATCAAAAGGCAAAGCGAAAATTTTCTCGAAACAAAGATGGAGAACTTTTCTTACACAGTACTCCGGGTTGTCAAAAGGTAGCTAGCTAGTTCAGCTATTTTTGCATTTGCAGGGCGCTCGGTCATGAAACTATGTAGTGTGCAGTATACGGAGTATATACATGTAGATTGCAAGCAGGTTATAGAATGTTGACCCGGGTGTAGTCTACAACTCAGACAACTGAAAAAACGAGATAAACTGGTGATTGTGTATTCGTCTGTTCTGGTAGAACGAGGATTTGAATGGTCAACATCCGACCGAGCGCAGCTGCGGAGTTGACGGACCCTGGCATTAAACCACCACCTTTGAACCCCGGAGTACCAACTACCACGACTTCTTTACTCGTAGACTTTACTTTTGGACCACGGTATCGAAAGCCTTACGCGACGGCACAACGCAGGCACCGTTGGCATTGATCTTTGTGTTTTTCCAAAAGTCTTGTCATCATCATGGTCCTATCTTTCATCCTGGTCCAAAACCGTCAAGGCAAGACTCGACTCGCCAAATGGTACGCGCCGTACACGGATGAAGAAAAGGTCAAGTTAAAGGGAGAGGTACGCAGTCACAACTCCAGTCACTCAATCACTCTCTTTCTTCCCTGCGTCCTTCGCTCCCTCGTCTATTCATCCGTGCGTACCTACCATAGAGCTGACGAGATCCCTCCTTGTTTGAATCATCGACAGGTCCACCGTCTGATTGCCCCCCGAGACCAAAAGTACCAGTCCAACTTTGTCGAATTCCGCAGCGCACCCAGCAGCAGTTCTTCTTCCTCGGGTGGCCACCAACCCTTGGTCCGGCAGAACCTGTCGTCCACGAAGATCGTCTACCGACGGTACGCCGGGTTGTTCTTCTGCGTGTGCGTCGACGCCAACGACAACGAACTGGCCTACCTCGAGGCCATTCATTTCTTCGTGGAGGTCCTGGACCAGTTCTTTGGGAACGTCTGCGAGTTGGACCTGGTCTTCAACTTTTACAAGGTCTACGCCATCCTGGACGAGGTCTTTTTGGCCGGGGAGATTGAAGAGACGAGCAAACAGGTCGTGTTGACCAGACTGGAACACTTGGACAAGTTGGAGTGAGACTTCTCTTTTTTCTCTACGAGATGAAATCCCGGATCACAACAAAATATGATATGATATGATCAGGGGGTCGCCAGGATCGACAGTACGAGACCGGTACAGTACAACAGGAATAAAGGCACTCTTACTCTGTTGGGACCCCGGACAACTATTTCTTACGCCTCTCACGACACCAAAACATTTCTGCCTCTCGGACCACGGTTTTCCTGACATGAGCTGTCTGAAACCAGTCCGATCTTGGGATGCGACGGGAAAGCGATTCATCAGCATCAGAACAAGACTGGAAAAGAGGGGCCCCACGGCTGTTCTGTTAGACTGACAAAAGGAGAATGTTATGCCGACGGACGCAGTACAAGGTGTTATGACAAGCCGCTCGAGCTGTACTCCCGTACACACCATCACTACCAGGGCCCTTTTGCAGACGAAATCCGCCAGACCACGTACACTACGGTATCTGATGAGCTGGTTCAGGAGAGGTCCCACCTCACCGCCATGGAGGAATGATCGGAGGATATCCGTACCGTGGTGCTCCATCAGCGGATGGACATGGCAGGAATCCAACACCACCATCGTCCAAGCCTTTATCGTCTTCGGTGCCCAAAGCCCGAGACATATGGACGCAACGCGATTCACAGACAGAACCATGAAGAAGCACATGCTGTATGCTACTCCCTCCGGGCACCTACAACATAAAGGCTACACAAGGGAAAAATACAGAGTAACCTGAATACATTCATCGAGCATGATCCCCCGCCTTGTAGATCTTAGAGATGTTGAGATGTTTCTTAGTGTTCGTAATTTCCTCATCATAACAGATATTCATATTCGTTAAAAAAACCACTTCGATCAAAGTCCATTGTGAAATCCCCCAATCACCGTTTCAACGCCTGGAACCTCTTTGCCAGATCATCAACCGTAGGGACTTTACCAGGGACAGGTCCAGTAGGAATAGACCCTCCCCCACTCGTCGTGGAAGTCGTCTTGCCTTTGTTCGTCGTCGTCGCCGGTCTACCTCTGCTGGTGATATTGTTGTTTTTGTTACTATTACCGTTATCCTTTCCTATCTCCCCACCGCCGGGTAACCTGACTTTCGGGCTCGGATTGTCCGACCTGGGTGCCGGAGGGGCCACGGAGACGGGACTTTTGGCGCCTCCTGGAGCCAGACTCGAAGGTGGAGTGGCGTTTTGCAAGGAACCGATGTCGATCTTGTTTGGTGGTTTCTGGGGCGTCGAAGGCGGGGGTTGTCGTTGTTGTTGGGCACCGAACCCGTCGGCCAGGATCGGGGTTTCCTTCATTCCTCCTCCCACTCCACCGTCATCGTCGCCGTCGTCGTCGGCCTGTTCTTCTCGATCAACCTCCCTGCCCAGTTCGTCCAGGTCTTCGGTCTCGCGGCGAGGAGGCCAATCCACGCCGTAGGCCCGGGCTATCTCCTCCAGGTAGGCCTGGACAAGCTTTTGGCTGGGCGGGTCGACTTTCAGCTTCTCACTGACCCGGGCCGGCACGACGCCGTCGGTGTTGTCGTTGGCCCTGACCGCGAATTCCTTGCCGAACCTCTCGACGAGCATGTTCCGCACGATGCCCAGTTCGCGCACGTCCCGGGCCAGTCGGGGTGCGGCGTAGATGATGCTCGCCGCGGCTTCCTCCAGGCCCGTGTTGTTGTTGTTGTTGTTGTTGTTGTTGCTGCTGCCCTCGTCCCCGGCGAGGCCTTCTTTTATATTCTTGTCCCGAACATCCAGCAGTCCCGCGCGCGCCAGGAGCAACTCGGCGTACAGTTCCAAAATCTCCATCAGTTCCACGGTGATGTCGGTGTGGATGATGTTTTCGACCCGGATCCGCGCGGAGGCTTCGCGCGACTGGGACAGCAAGTCGGCCATCTCTCGACGAGCCGCGATCGACAACGCCGTGTCCTTCTTTTGGGCATTCCGGAGTCTCGGGATCAACAGTCGGAGGGTGGATTTCAGTTTTACCTTGTTGAGACTCTGTCAGATGATGACGTGGGTGTGGTAGAGAGGGGGACAAATAAACGTACTGTCTGAGGTGATGCCGCTGGCATCTTTGAGGTTGTATTTTTTCTTTGCCGTTTGCGTATGTACTACTCGTAGATGTTGTAAACGGACGGGGGTTGATGTCGAGATGAAGGGAGGAGGAAGGGAGGAAGCGTGCGGAAGAGGCCAGAGGTGGGAGGGAGACACAATCAGCGATTCTATTTCCCGAGGGCGAGAGTTGTGAGGATTGCCGGGGGGGAGGGTACAGATGGTGCGTCCGAAAGAATGATTGGTTTGAAGGGGTTCTTGGTTCGTGTTCCAAGCAAAAGGCAGGACTCTATGTTGAGTAGTATGTCGTTCTATGTCGAAGGCTGAGATGTTTCTGCGGGCACAGAATAACGCAGCTTGTGAGTCGAGGAGGACGAAGTGGAGGGGTTGGAAAAGGTGATGATCGCCCGCCAAACCCCGGACACGGACATAATTTCCTCCGCCACATACAGCATGAGGCTTCAAGAATACCTACACTCACTACGACTATAGATGGTAACAGGACTGAATTTTACCTTGATGAAGTCTACAAATGCCGAAGGGTATGAAGCCTAACGACATCCACAGTCGGTAAGCTGGACTCCGTAATTTTCTAAAAAGTATTGCAATATTTTACATTACAATTCAACTACCTTAGCTAAAAGTACTCGTAGTGTACTGTCTGTATATATATATATACTCCATATGTACCCTCCCTCAAAACGTGCCTACTATCACTCACTTCTTGTCATCTCTCCTCCAAAATAAAACCCAAACGTGGATATCGTTAGGAAACCAAAAACAGAATCCAACAAGGCCTTCAAACAACATACATGAACCCTCCTCCTCACCGGGGGGGACAAATACTCCGGGGTACATCAACAGGAAAAAATTCCCCTCCTCTGGCTCGAATTTCCCCTATGTAGTCGACTTTTTATCCACAAGAATAATCAAAGATGAGTGTGTGCGGGTGGATGTGGAATGAAAATGACCATGTGCTCGAACAAAAACATAAACTTCTGTAGCCGGCATTACCAGAATGGGTTTCCTCTCTCCTGAACAGAGGAAACAAAAGGTTGGCTGGTTGTTATTTCCAAAAAGGCAACAATATCTCCAACAACAAAATGGGTATCGACGTTTGTAAAAGTTGAAAACAAAAAAAAACATCGGTTCCCAAAAGGTGGTCCAGCCCGACATAGATATCGATATTGATAGCTACTCCTCTCCGTACACATCGGAGTATAACCAAAAGTGTTCACTTTGCAAGTCCAGCTGCGCTAGAGGCGGCTCCGAGAACCACATTACTGCTCGGAATACAAACGCCTCTTCTGCAAACAACACGGTGTGGGTTAACAGAGCTTTACAATGCTGCCACGGCGTAAAAGGCCAGAGCGGAGAGTAGGCCAACAACAGAAGAAATCTGGATTGACGAGGCAGCTCCGGTTGCTGATAGCACCGAAGGTTGAGCTGACGAGCTGGGTCCGGCGGGAGTGGCGGTGGCTTCGGCGGAGCTGTGGCCATGGCTCCCCGTCGGCGTTGTTGAGTTGAACATGGAATAGTAGGGCGAGTGCGTCGGCGCTCTGGAGTGCCAGGTGCTGCTGGCAGACGTCGAGGCCCGGGCGTTCGTCGAGCTTGTGGTGGTAGAGGACGATGTCCAGGCGCTGGTAGTGCTAGATTCCGAGGTTGTGGTGCTGGATGATGTCGAGCTGCTAGTCGTTGTTGCCGCAACGCTGGTCGACTGGTAGAACTGACCACCCTTGTTCCAGCCACTTGAAGGGCCCCCGCTGTTGCTGCTGCTGCTGCTGCTACTGCCGCCGCTGTTGTTGTCGGTCTGCGAACCTCCCGTGTTGAATACGACAAAGTTTGCGGTTGCTCCCTGGTCTACGGTGACCACGCAAAATGCGCCACCACCGGCGCCATCGGTGGCACTGCCGATCATCTGGTTGACCTGGTTCTGGCTAGGATCAATCGAGCAGGGAAGGCCGTGGCAGCCGCCATTGGGACAATCGATCTTTACACCCCAGTCTGGCATGTTATTGCGGAAAGGTGTGGCCGGCTCGAGATAGATCGGGTTCCACCCCAGCTTGATAAATGTGTTTCCAGAATTATCGACATTGGCACCAGCCACGTAGGGGGACCAGTTACCGAAAGGGTTGGCGTGCGTACCCCAGACACAGGCCGTGTCAGTGTCGATTCCAGGAGGATTGATGTAGTAGTGAGCTGCAGTCCCACACCAGTAGTTGGTGCCCGGAACAGCGAGAGTGGCAAAATCGGTCACGGAAGTTGGGATAAGCATGGCTTCATTGCCAGGAAGCACGGTCTGACAGAAAGATACGACACCGCCCGCGTTGTTCTGTACACCAATGTTGGTGGCGGTAGATTGGCAATATGGTTTGTCTGGGAAGGGCTTCTGAATGTTGCCATTGTCGTCGCAATACAAACCGCCGTTCTGTTTGAGATTAGCTCAATGCACCCAGGTATCTTGAGCGGCCTACTGACCATTGACTTTGGATACGAATATGATGTCGCACTGGGATCCCACTGCATCATAACTTGACCTGGTGGGCAAGCGTATGGACAGTAGTTTCCAGGCGTACAAGGCTGGTTAGGGCTCATAGCCCACCCTGCATTCTGTTCTCCTGGAGTCACTGCGACCAAACCAGCATCTGTGGGAAAGGCGCATTGTCCACCTCGCTTCTCAATCGGTGCCTTGGATGTTGTCTCCGCGGTCGACCTCAGTTCAACACCGTGTGCGCCATTCTCAGCGGTTGATCGCGCATCCAACTGGCGGTTGGCGCGGTGTCGTTTGTGAAGCGATTCGAGATGATCGTGAACACCATGCTTTGCGCTGACCACGGAAGCCGTGAGAAGCAGCAGCGCCGTTGCGCTCGACGTGAAGGTTCGTTTGCGCATTGAGTGAGTGTACCAAGATAATCGACAGAAGTTTTACTGCAAAGTCTCTGAGGGGGCGTGAGTATCGGGTTGGCGATCGCCGTGGTGGACTCGGAATGAGCGACTAGGGTCAGTGGTTGTTGTAAAGAACGTGGGTGCTCGCAGAGCAGATTTGCGCAATAGCAAAACACCAGATCGACGACGACAAGTCCAGCGACGACGAGAGAAACAGAGACACCAGAAAGGAGTGGACGAGTTTTACTCAACTCAAAGAGGTGAAGAGGGTAAAGGAGAGCGCAGATCGAAGGCCCAAACGAAGCTCGAGTGCAAATTGGCCTGTTGACGAAGGGTAAACCATCGCAAACGGCTTTCGAGCCATGCAAGGCTGGCGCATGTCCAGATCCACTGTTTATCTCACCGAGGGGGGAGAGTCAGGGATGTCACTCGAGACCGCGCCAAAGCCGCGGCCCGCTTAACCACCGTCAAATTTCGTGCAGCAAATCAGAAATCGCCCTTACAACAGCTTAAAGCTTGGACGGACCAGCAATGTCCGCTGCAGGCAAATGACAATGGGTACCTCATCTGGGCAGCATAGCTTCAACCGCCGATTGCGGTGGAGTGCAACTTCGAGCTGCATGGAAATCCTCGTTACTGGGAAGCGCAATCTCGGTGGCACTTCTTGAAGAGTTCGAGTCGTTCCAAGAATTCGACGACTTGGTCCTTGCTTGAGAACCAGACCGCTCCAAGGGAATCATGCGATAGTGTCACCGCTGCGGTTGGAATGTCTTCTCGATGCAATCGACTCGACCAGAGCTTCAGGTCCCAAGATGACACGACGAGCTTGCAAGACCATCAACACTACCGAGGTGAATGGAAGTTTCATGAACCAATCTTGGCCCCCTTGCTGGGGTCTTGTCCTGGGGATTGTGTTTTGCGTCGCGCCATGGCTAATTCTTAAGGTAGAGCGAGAGGCCGATCATCAACAAGTGGCGACCAACAAGGGGGGAGATTGTACTCCATTGTACGAATTTGGCTGGTCCTGGGGAAGAAATTCCGCATAGCAGATCAGGCCAACAGGGTACAGGACATCATTTCTCTGCAGTGCAGTACAAAGAACAGAAAAGTCCATGTGAGTACTGATACTCCGTACTCCGTAGTCGTATCGTGGATCAGAAGAAATGACCCAGTCAATAATGTGATGAATTTTAGCGAACCACTGACATTATTGCTGCAAGATGATAATCATATGATTGTTGACATGCCGGGGTCGCGTAGATTTGATGGCATGAGTTGGCAGAAACTGACAAGCTCGCACGGCCGGAGTGAAAGGTTGAAGGCGGGAATGCAATCATGATGATGTTTTTCTTCCGTATGGGTGCTTGCAGTGTTTGTGGGTGTGTACGGTGGATGATAGTGACGTCGATGGCTGTCAAGTAGATAGCTGAATACTCTGTAGATGAACCGTTCATCTACTCACACTGCAGTTGCTATCATCACTTCGGGTTCCTGTACGTACAGCATCTCATTTTATCGATAGTCATATCAACACAGTGTACTCCGTAAAGATCGCAAAGATCGTCTTCAATCGGTTCACGGAGAAACAAGGAACTACTAGCTGGGTAAACATTTCGTCATGCGTGCGTGCTTTATGCCAACAACAAATTCATCCTATCTAAGTGGTAGGAATGGTGGATGGAAGACTTCGCCAGTTCCCATCTTCGCCGTATCCTCGCCAACCCCATGAGATGCAGTAGTGTTTCGCCAGCAGAACAAATTCTTCAACCTCATCCATCCACTCTAAGCCATCGATCCGTTCCTTCTCACCACCGTCCACCCATTCTCGCCAGATAAAGTCGACATCAACAGACCTTGAGCCCCCCAAAGTCCCAGCTTCACCGCTCTTGAAACCATGGGTTTCCAACCTGGCCCGTTGCTCGGCTAGACCAGCATACTTTTCCAGCGTCTTTAACTGTATACCTCTATTCATGAGATTGTTGACCATCGTCTTGCCGAATGAGTCATGGGGCCGAATAGGTTCGTATATCACGATGGCCAAGGGAGTTCCCGAGGGAAATAAATTGGAAAAGTACCGTAATACCGCGTCTGCATCGTCTGGTGGCAGGTAGATGAGGCAGCATTCCGAGATGATGAGCGTCGGTAAGCTCGTATCCAGGCCAGTCAAGCCTGCCTCTTGATGAGGAAGTTGACGAAGATCTCGTGAGTGGATGATGTACTCGGGAGACGTCAACATGGCACCGTCGTCGGAAATCTCGACCTGGTGAGCGTGCATGTCAACACCTGCAAGGTTCTTTGCCGCCGCCGAAAATGCAGGACTCCGTAGTTGATTGACCTTTCGCCGCGTATTGGCCTCAAAGTCAATCTCGTGGTAGGTGATGGCCACATCTCTTCGCGCCTGCTTGAGCCGAAAATATCTTGTGTCACTTCCTGCACCCAACGAAACGATCTGCTTGTGAGAATTTCCTGTCGCAGATAGAAAAGCATCCACGATCCTGTCAATTCCGGTGGTTCTCGCGTAAGTGCCTTGCGTCAGTTAATGGTGAAGTTCGGTCAGACGTCAACTTCTATTCCTACCTCGATTCATCAAAGGCAGCCGTCTCGACACGCCTTCCGTAGGAGTCAGCAGGTGTGCAAAGGGGTCTTCGAGATAGCCGGCATCAACTGCACTAAGACGAGACGTGGCTGCATCATGATCGGTATTTTGTACGATAGTATCATGCTGGATTCCCTTCGCAGCCGTGGTCCCAGCACCCGCACCCGAACCGCCACGGCCTCGAACTCTTCCTCGCAAGCCTCCCCGGCGTAGAGTATTGAGATTCGGTATTGATGGTGCAGACATGTAGGTGGATGATTGGTGGGGTGAGGTGATCGTGGACGTAACTTCGGATCCCTGCAGGATGCATTGCATGGGCGCCTTTGGTTAAGTGATGCCGCTTTTACTCACGAAGAAGGGCCGCACTGGCTCTATCAGTCAGGTACATATGGATACGGACTTCTACAAGAACTACTCGAAGCGACCGTAATCTCGATGTTTGTGTATTTCAACTTCGACGTCATATTCTTTCTATTCTCCGACTTTGTGTCACGACGAACACCCTATAGTCATCGCCCTGTTGCGAAGGGGTCCGAGAGTCAGCCAGTGTTGTCAACAAGCCGGACGGAGAATCGCAAAATGAAATCAAGATTTTTCTGACCAAATCATTGGGACCGTTCCGGTGACGCACTCATCAGCACGATCAAGTAGCTACAGTACAGAATATGTGCTGCAGGTACGAGTATCCGAGGACAGTCCTTGTCATGGTGGACCTTGGTGATAGTCTGTACCCATCTTCGATTTTTATTGTTAGCGGTTGCTGCGCACAGACTTATCCATTCATGTCAAATGTAAACAACTCGATGAATTCTTCTTCTGAGTTTTGATGGGAAGTGTACCAAGGAACCATACTCGCCGACCAGAAAGAAAGCCTAGTAAAGATACACCACTGATAATTATACACAGAAGTACGGAGTACTGTACAGTATATCGTATATGTACTCTGTACACCCTACAAGGTAAAGATAGGCATATAGAGGTTCTCGCATTGGAGGATTGGCTGCCAAGAATTATCACATGTCAGAAAACAGATTCGGATTGTGAACGGAATACGAGTATTGAGAGATACATAGATCGAGTACAAAGGCTACAAGTGGCTGAAGGGAATGATGAAATGTTTCCTGTCACTGAGGCGATCCTTCTTCTGCTCATCCCAGAAGTCTGGATTGTGTACTGTCAGCCGTAGAGTCGGGAACATTCTACGGGCTAGTCATAGGTAGATATCTACTGTACAGTACTATACGAATTACGAGGGACTGAGTGAATGGCCCGGAGAATCTTCTAGGCTGTCCCGAAACACCTAAAATGACGATTTGTTACTCCGTATAAATAGGCAACTATTGAACTGTGTCAAATGGTGTGATGGTGGTGCAGTATACTCGGGAACGGTAGATGCATATCTCTAGGGCATATTTCACACATGCCACAGCGTTCCTTCAGCATGTTTGGTACCATTCGCAGCTGGTGAAAGTGTGCACGCGACAGGAGGGAGAAAATTATCAGGAGTGCCTGTGGTCCCTGTATTTTAATACCTACTTAGGTACCTCGTACCTAGTAGTCTTTATTGCCCCCTAGAGAAATGATGTCAAGGGCAGCCTAAGGGAGTGAATTAATACGATCAATACTGGGGCAGTTGCGTCAGAGACACCAACCGTGGCTTGTTCGTTCCTACAGCAAAAAAAACTGCCACCAAGTTTGGTTTCCTTGCACAACTTATTCCCGTCCTTGTCCTCATCATTCCCTCTCCTCCTTTCCAACTTTCCACCATCTTCCCATTCTACAATTAATTCTTCTTCGATCATTTGGATCATCATAGCCTTCAATCTCCCATTCTTGGCTGTCGTATTCATCAAACCTCCTTTCTCGAGCCTGTAGCTGTTCGCGTTTGAGCACAAAACCCACAGCCAGTCTCCCCTGTCCCACGACGCAATGTCTCAAGGTGATCTTCTCACTTCAGAGGATCTTCCAACACACACCGACATGTCGACTGTCGACAAGTCCCCGGCAGCAGCTCCTGCCACCAATGGCACGCCGCTCAAAGACACCGTCGTGAGCAGTAAGGTACGCACACAATCCGAAGCTACCGCCGTCACACTGCGGACGTAAACTGACAACGATATAGTTCTCATACCTCAATCTCCTTCTTCACCCTTCTAATTGCCCTTAGATGCAGCGGCCGCCGTCAACACCGTGCAGAATCACCCCATCACCCAGAACATTGTCAATGGTAGGGCACTCGACTTTAAGAAAATCCACAAATACTGAAAACCAGGATCAGGCCCGGTTGCAACATCTGTCAAGAACGAGGCTGGTGCCACCGCTTCCGAGTTCAGTGATCTGGCGAATTCTCGTCGACCACCGTCCTACACTGCTGCCAACGATACTCCCTTGACACGTATGGGATAAGACACACTACTCTATTGTGTTCCGTTTCTAACATGTGCCTACAGACTATCATTCCTTCTTCTACACCCTGTTGAGTGTAAGTAATGGCGGACCTTTTTTGGGGGGCACCACTGACAGTTTTCAGTGGAAGAACAAGAGAGCCACTGGCTTGACCTTTTTGTCTGCCGTCGCCTTCATCTTCGCCTGCCGATACCTCCCGATCCTGCGCTATGTGTTGAAGATCACCTGGATGACTCTTGGTGGTACGTCGAGGAGCAATTGCGGATGGGTTTGAAAGATGCTGACCTTCACAACAGTGGTTACCCTGGCTGAGGCTTCCAGTAAAGCTCTGATGGGCTCTGGCGTCGCAGGTGCGGTTCGACCTCGCCGTTACTACAAAATCCCAAAGGAGACTCTCGAATCCTCTCTCGATGATCTCGAAAATCTTATCAACTTTTTCGTCATCGAGGGTCAACGCATCGTCTTTGCTGAGAACATTCCAGTCACAGCAACTGTGAGTAACCTATCTATTTATTGCATTCTTCGATAAACCTAACACTCCTAGGCCTTCTTCTCCGCTTTCTTGACCTACTACCTGATCAAACTCCTTCCTTTCTGGGGTTTGTCTCTCTTCTTCACCTGCGTCGTATTCCTAGGCCCATTGATCTATGTCGAGAACAAGGAGGTCATCGACGCTCAGCTTGAATATGCGGGAGAAGTCATCGGCCAACAGACCAATCAGATCAAGGATTTGACTGCTCAGCACACGAGCAGGGGTTTCGAGACAGTGAAGCAATACACCGGTACCGCCACTGCTAAGGCCCAGGAGGCCATTGGCAGTGCCAGACAGAGAATCCCATCTCCAACCACTGCCAAATCTTCAATCAAAGAAGGCGACTTCCCCTCCGCCCCAAAGACCGAGCTTCCTTCAACTTCAGTTGATTACAAGCCAGAGACCGAGAGTATGCCCAGCGCCCAGGCCAACTACGCGTAAATAGCGGGCGCTCAATGATGAGCTGTTGATGTTAGCGGTGAATGAGGCATGATAGGTCATGACAGTAGGACACGAACCTTGACAACTGCGCGAAGAGCACTCAGAAGTTCAAATAGGAAGAATGATATCTGTGTTTGTGCGCAGGTTTTGCGGCTGGGAGATCTGCAGAGAGCGAGGCGCAGAAGGAGGTCGCTTGGAGAAGTCAGAGATTGGTAGAGGCTTCATCAAAGAATGTATCGGGACGAGGAGCGGATTCTTTGACGCCTTCCTAGGCTCCGGGGAAGGTGACGGCAAAGGAGAATAATGCTCTTGAATTTTTATTTTTTTATTTTTGTATTGTAAACAAACGAGTATGATTCTGGGCAGTCGAGAAATAACATCCTTATTGGCTTAGTGGATCAAGCATTCCGTTGATGATAACGTTGGGGTTGTATACATGACAACATGTGTATCATCCAGCTACACGCTTTCGATACCTTGATAGTAGTTATGATTTCGTGGTACAGGGAGACTGTCAGTTGCTAAGCAGAGCAAGGACATGTTCCCACAATGCAACGAATTCCAATTTTCAGGAGAGGACTTGATGCTACTATAGACTCGTACTACAAGCACCCAACTAGGGAATACCCAGGTGAATAACAATGAGAAGAGAGAGAGAGGGCGTGGCTGAGCCCATCGACCAACCGACCCTGACCTTAAAGTACTTAAAATGATAACTCGGGCTCAAAGACATGATCGACGACGACGACGTTCGTCCTCCTTTCTTCCTTTTGGTAATACAGCAACTGCCCCTCATCGTCGTCGCGGTCGTAATCAACATCATCACCACCACCACTTGATCGAATCGTTTCTGAGTTTCAATTTTCGGAACATGCCCGTCCAGACCAAAAAAAAAGAGGCGTTCGTCGACCGACATCTTCATCTCGAGCTCTCGGTACTGAAGATGCCCGGTCTCTGGCCCGTCATGACGATCCTCTTCCTGGGGCCTGACACTTGACCGTCTTCTGCGACACCATTCTGCCGCTGTGCCTGTGCCCCTAGCCCTTCGGCCACGAAGCCAATGATGTAAGCTCCGGCGCCCAAGGACGCCACCGTCAGGCAAATGACCCTGAGGCGGCGGGTGAAGCGGCGGCCAAGGCTGTCCTCCTCGTACCCTGCCTCGTCGTTCCGAGGAGCCGCCTCTTCGCCAGGACGAAGGGTGCCGGAGAAGACGTCTTCTTGTCTCTTGACCTTTGCCCGAGTGTTCGCTTTCGGACTCGACGGGGTCGGTGCGGTGGGAGCTGCCGGACCAGGGGTCTCAATCTCCGCCGGTATTTCATCAAGAACCGTCGCGGCATGCCGGTCCGCTTTGGTCGATGCAGGCTTGTCGGAACCTGCGTTCGTGTCACTGAGCGGCTTCGGTGGCACGTGCCTCGTCGACTTCTTCACAAAGACCAGCATATCCTCTCCACCATCAACAAGGGAGTACTCTGCCTGCTTCAATGTGGTAAAATGCTTCAAGAACTCGGGTGCATGCTTAAGTCGCCCAAGAACTTCAACGAGATCTGCTCTCTTGTTCGGCATATGCGACGGTTCGTTTACTGGCGACACGATAACTTTCTCTGTCGAGTGGTCATAAACCAAACTCAGATATGGAGCATCGCTTTCTCTCGTCCTCAGAGATTCGATGGGGGGGATCTGTTCGTCGTTCCACTCTGGCGAGCCTGATTCTGTGAATACGGGCTCCGGCACCGTTTCATCCTTGCCGCGCGTGCTGGCTGCATCAACACGAATTACTTTGCCATCAGGCTTTGTCATTGGATCGTCACCAGGAGCAGGGATTTCCGGTTCGGAGGCACCAACAACTTGTGCTTTGAAGGTGATTCTTTTCTTGCCAAAATTGAAGTCCGCCGAAGAAGGAACAGTCCACACATGCGATGGTCTTCCCGACTCAATCGCCCGAAGTGCCATCTTAGCCTCGTGGAGCTCTCTGCGTACTGCCTTTGCTGCATCGACAAGCTCTGCGTACTTTGGCTCGAAAGTGTTGACATGGGCGTCAACGACAGGATCGGTCACGACTCCCGGTTTCACAGTGGCATTGAGAAGGGGCGGTAGATATGTTGCGCGGGCAGGATCTGACGATCTTGATGCAATGGTTTGCCCTAGATCTTCCGATGGGCTAGGTTGGCGATGGTCAACGTTGATCGACCCGTATTCATCCTCGTATATAGCCCGAATGTTGTTAGACAGCTTTGAGAGTTGAGTTTCGGTCTTCTCCCACTCTCTCCTCGCCCTGGCGGTAGCTTCCCTAAGGGATGTCGTACGTCCGTCACGCTCTTCCACGGCTTCAGCGACTTCTGGATCCGGTGTTGAGGACTTGGACGGATTCTGTGGCTTTGCTGTAAATATTGAAGGCGTCTTGCTCAAGGCCTCATCTTTGAAAACGAGCCTTTTGGTCAAGTCCGCCCACTTGCTTCGTCCAACGAGTCGGACATAGCTATCATAATTGCTGTTCAAGGCCCCCATTGATTGCTTCGTCTTCGCCATAATACCATCAACATAGCCGCGAATATGACTCCGGACATCGTCGAGACTGTGATTTGCTGGTGTCCACGCAGTCTCGGGTTTTGTCGTTGTCGCATCATCGCGTCTATCTTTGAAATCATCCTCAAGTGTCGTCCAGGTGTGCTCCATCTCTTCTCTTGTCGCCTTTTTCCTGTTTTCTACTTCCTGCTTTGTGTGTCGAGATGTTCGAGTCGCGGCACGAACGTCACTGGCTCGCAAGAGATCCATGTCTTCTTCTGTACTTGGTATGGAGTCTCTGAATATCTTGTCTGTTGGTGGGCTCGTGATGTCAGAGTTCAAGGTACCGTCCTGCTTCAGGTGACGATCCAGTGATGTTTCGAGCAAGCGGACATCATTTCCTGGCTCAGGCCCGGGCGCTGCTTGAATTCTATCCAATGCCGGTTCAAGTATGGGATTGGTGGTCTCTCCTGGAGGATGTGACAAGACCTCTTCGACCGCAACATGATCCTTCTCGGTCTGCTTTCGAAAGCCGACATAACCTTTGGTAGATGTCTCCAGAGGTTCCCTTGCTTTTTCATCATTCCCGTACAAGCCATGGGTTCGAAACCCCTCCTTTGCCAACCAGTCATCCTTCTTCGCACTCGCATTGATGTGAATCGCACTTTTGGCCTCATACGTTGTGCCCGAGAACAATGGAGTACTGTCGTCTGGAGCTGGAGATTCACGTTTCTTGTTGTTAGGGAGCCCTCGATCTCCTGCTTCCTCTAGAGCTTGGATATCTGTCATCTCGGTAAACTGGGCAGAGGTATCCAGACTGTTTCCTTTCGTTCTGAACATCAGCTCGCGTAAGTTCTGCTTCCTCGAACTCTCCAGGCTTTTTGTGCCACAATCTTTGATTTCATCGGACTTTGAGCCGTCTAAGCTTGGCTCCGATGTGCCATAGCCATATACTTTGTGCGACTTGTATGTCTTGACGGGAATCTCGACTCCATGTTCTGAAAAGAACACGTCGACTAAGGAAGCCTTTTCGTGCCTCGAAGGACTGGTATCCCTAGGCACCTTTCTCATTGAGATGGGATCGTAAACATACTCCATTTCGCTTTTGGTTTCCATGGCTTGGGCATTCTTCTCTGAACAGGGAGTGTCACTTTTCGCTGCAAATGGCGATCTTGTTTCCGGGTTAGATGACGATGCTGGTGAGTCGGCCACAGAATCCGTGTTCGCAACTCGTGCTCTAGTAGTTTCGGGTGCGTTAATCTTGTCATTTGTCTCGAAATTACTTCTGGATTCCCAAGAGAACGGATCAAAGGATGAATGCCTGGGAGTTTGACGAACATGCGACGGCCTCCCGAAGAGGCATCCGTGAGGGTCTTCTGCAATAGCACGGTCTATCCTAGCTCGAAACGACTCGAAACTGACGTCCTCTGGGTTCTCAGATTCGCCCTCCCGTCCTTCGTGAGACTGTTTCTCACTTTTGGAATCCTTAGCAGGATCCGTGGTCGGAGGTTGGTATGCACAGTATCTGTTGTCCCAGAATCGATGATTGCCACGTCCAAACCAGTGCAGGTTGACCTTTTTCTCCCGTAAGACTCTTCGTGCAAAGGCTTTTGAGTATCTGGACCTCAACATCTTGTGGTGTCTTGCCACACGTTCTTCGAAGTTATCGCCATATGAGTGCTGTGGTTCACTAGAGTGGCGGCTCCACCACCACAATGTCCTGGCCTGAACCGATGATGGCCGTCGTGCTCGAATAATGGCTGTCCCCACGTAAACGGGCATCTTTCCAAGAGTACTATCGAGTTCGCTATTTCAGAGTCTGAGAAGCGACAGCGGGACGACGAAGCGGCGAAGTGAAGTTCCTAGGGCGTCAAGGCGCAGGTGGGCAAGAGAAGGCTGAGGCGTCGATGGGATACGATACTGGTCCTCTGAGGCACACGGAGTGATGCAGAGGTGTTTGGGAAAGCCTGGGTTAGCATAGACGAGTCATTGATTGATGCAGGCAGCAGCAGCGCTTATGGAGAGGGAGGACGGTAGATGTAGGTGATCCACGTCCGACAGGTCAATCACATCATCATTGTACAACGTCCACAGGGCAAAATATCCTGACAAGTGACCAGCCGCGAAGATTCGAAAGTGAGAACGATGATTGAAGGTGAAACAGATGAGCGAATCTTCAGGAAGTCGAGCTGCGCTGTATGTTTAGTAACTCTAGGTACGAGTAAGTCGTTGTCGTTAACTCCGTGCTGATGTGTAGAAGCGAGGAGCGAGCGGAGAGGAAAGGATAAGGAGGGGCTCGCGATAAGGATAAGATAACGATAAGGCCTTCGTCAGATTGTCCGCGATACACTCCACCACAAGTTGCCGTCCCAGAGTAGCGACATGTTACCTATTTATAAGTACAACAATATTCATGAGCGAGCCTTATGTCATATACGGCATGCAGAAAAAAAGCCCCCCCGGACCAACGCCGTCGTCTGCTTCATGAGCGCCGCATCTTTCATCGCAAATAGAAAGGTTGACTGTCCTCCGAGAGCACCAAACCAGCAGACTTTGAGGAGAAGCCCTGAGGTGATTGATACCTGATGTCGTACTGCTGAGCTGCTGAGCTGCGGGGGCTCTGATCGTGTACAATGAACACCGTAAGAGATTCGTTGCCAGGATATCAGGTTTGAAAGGCGGCCTCGAGAGGGAAATAGGCAACGAGGAAGCATTTCGGACGGATCCAGCGCCACCTCTGAGATGGTTTTTCTTTCTGGCTAAGCAGACGTTGTCTGTTGTAGCCCGAGCCTGATCCCGAGGCATCCCAGGGTATTCCCCGTCTATGCTGCTGGACTGATTCCCTGGATACCAAAGCAAACCGCCTCTTCAAACAACGCCGTTCAATCATCTGGCCTTCTCTTGGTCAGGGTGTCTACTACCCGGCCATAAAACTTGGCTGCGTTCTGCCTCGAAAACGTGATGACCTCGGTTAAGTAACTAGGCATGATCTCAATCATGTCGCGATCTCTGTTGCCATCTAGCAGAGGCGTGTACAGAATGTCAGGCTCCTCAAAGTTGGCTCCCCTTACGCCCTCTTGAGGAACGAATAGCTTGAAGTGAAGAGCTGAACGCAGGTTAGTAGACACTCGCATCGATGATTTTTGGTTACACTTACTACCATTCTGGCCGGTTTGAATGCAGTCAAAGGTATCGCCCGAATCCGCTTTCTTCACACTGCGGATAATGAGTCCGGTCAAATCGCTGTACAGATCCTCCTTCATCTGCGCATATTGAGCGGCTTGTGCAGCTTCCGAATTGCCCATGGCTGCAGAGCCGTGCGATTTGCCCTTCATGGCGCTTCCTGATGCCTTTGATGATGTCGCCTCGACTGAAGGGGCTCTTGTAGCTGCCAATTTCGCCTGGAGGGCCTTGACCTCGTTCATGGCCGTGGAGAGCGAGTTGTTCAAGGCGGTGATTTCGTGCTGCATCCCACTTACTTCGTCCACCCGGCTCTGCAGCTCTGTCCTCAACTTTTGGACTTCTTGATCCAGACGAGGTTGCGCCGCGAGTGACCTTTTGAGGGAGTTGATAACATCATTCGATGTCTGCACCGTCACATCATGCTCTCGGCGCAAAGCCTCCATCTTTCCCATGGCTTCGGTGATGCCGAGCTCTTTCAAATTGCGGTATCTCAACTCGGAGTTTTCCAACTGCCGTGTTATGTCTCCCAACTCGCGACGGAAACTTTCTGTGGCTGCTGTTCCACCTGTTCGTCGTTGATACACTGGCTCCTGTCTTGTCCGAGGCAGATTGCGTGCAGCTGGCTGCGGTCTCGTAGGCTCAGGCGGCAACAATTCAGACTCCTCTATCTCTTCCAGCGTGTCTTCCCGCGATTCAACGACCGGAGCAATATTCTCCTTCAGGACTTTCAGCTTCCGCGCACCGGTGGCTTTCTTTGAGGGTCGAGGAGCTTCAGCTTCGTCCTCCGCGTGTGCTTCTTTCCCAGACGGCTCAGTCTTCGTGCTGTTTTTGTGTGTCCCCGATTGCTCTTGAACCACCCTAGTCTGTTTTTTGGTTTTGGTTTTGGCCTGAACAGCACCCCCCGGCTTCTTTTGCGTTGGCTCAGGGGCGCGCTGTTCTGTATCAGAATCATGGGCATCGCCATCTCCGGGCTGGTTGACCCCCTCACCCGCTGCCTTGCGCTGCGCTAGGTTCTTCCGCTTTGATGTTGCTTTTTTGCTCTGTGTGGTCGCAGAGGGTTGCTCGTTTGGTTTGATTTTTTTCGCAGGCATTGTCACTCTGTGCCGTTTGCGACGTTTCTTTGCCTGTGCCGAGTTGGTCGCGTCCTCCTCGCCTTCTGAGGAGACATCCGATCGATCATCGGCAAAGACGACGCTTTCTTCGATATCTGAATCCAACAGGTCGGCGATAGCCTTCATCTTGATGTGCAGAGAGCGCGTTGGTGTGAAGTAGTGAAGCCAAGTTATTGAAGTTCGATATTGCGCTTCGCGCGACACTGGGGGATCCTCGACACAAAACAAACAACATATGTCCGAAAGTAGTCTAGCTTGAAAGTGGCAACGGTGGCGCATAATGACCGTTTGATCGTTCGAGCCTGCGCCTATCCATACAATGGACGACTTTGATGGCAAATTGTTGACCGCTGCAACTCCTCGTTCCAACAACTCATGGGCTCAACTCTATGCGTTCTGCCATCAATATCCTCAGCATGGCCCCCGACAGAGGCCCAAATGTCTGGTGGCATCGTGTGCTGCAGGAGTTCCTCATCGCAGCTCCTATGGTCAGCCAGCAATCCCGCTATAATCTTCAAATGACTGACAATTGAACAGGCCATCGGAGGATTCTATCTAGTTCAATACATACTGAAGCAGATGAATCTTGACCCCGAAGCAGAAGTTAAGGAGAGAACGCGGCTGCAGTCGGAAGCCATTTTACGAAGACTCGATCAACCTCACGGCTCGCGATCCGAGGCCAGCGCTCGTCATCCAAAGTCTTTAGCAGAGGAGTTGGATCTGACGCGGTATGAGCAAGCCATATTACAAGACCTTGTCTTTCCCGAGGACATACCAGTATCTTTCGAGGACATTGGAGGCATGACCGATATAATCGAGGAGCTCAAAGAATCGGTCATATATCCCTTGACGATGCCAGATCTCTATGCAACGTCCTCCTCATTATTATCCGCTCCCTCTGGAGTCCTACTGTATGGGCAACCTGGATGCGGTAAAACCATGCTGGCAAAGGCACTGGCTCACGAAAGCGGCGCATGTTTTATCAATCTGCATATCTCCACTCTGACCGAAAAATGGTTTGGTGATTCCAACAAACTTGTCAATGCGGTCTTTTCTCTTGCTCGCAAGTTGGAACCAGCAATTGTTTTCATTGACGAGATCGACGCCGTCTTAGGAACACGGCACAGCGGTGAACACGAGGCCAGTGGCATGGTCAAGGCAGAGTTCATGACACATTGGGATGGCTTGGCTTCGGCCACATCGTCTGGACGACCTCAGCGCATCTTGATTCTAGGAGCCACGAACAGAATGGGTGACATCGACGATGCGATCCTGCGAAGAATGCCAAAAAAGTTCCCGGTTTCATTACCAAACGCTTCTCAACGATTGAAAATCCTGAAGATTATCTTGCGGGATACAAAGATAGACACTGCGAATCTGGATCTGGAATATCTATCCAGAGTGATGTCCGGCATGTCTGGAAGTGATATCAAAGAAGCATGTCGGGAGGCTGCCATGGTGCCCGTCCGTGAGATGATAAAGCGTCAGAGGCAGAACGGCACTCGCATCGAAAACATGAAGGCTGGAGAGATTCGAGGCCTGCGAACATCTGATTTCTTCTCGCGGACTGCTACAGTGAAATCAAGCAAAGAGATCAAGGACGGTAATGGAGACGGGGAATGGAGCACAGCATCGTCCTCTCCGCATGCCGATTCAGATATGGAAGAAACAGTGGAAGAAGTTCAGCGATAGCACGGAATTTATACCTGGGTAGATATATCAGAGGACGCCTCTTAAATCGTAAAGCAGTTCCGGGGCGATCAGGCGACCATTATCGGGGACATGGTCTGATCGGGACCTATACGAGAGCTATACGAAAAAGTGCGGGAGGCACTAACTAGCTCCGTAGCACATGCTGAACATAATTAATGTGCATAAGGTAGCAAACGAAAAGCCTAGGCTGCCGGAGTCTTGTTCAGAATTGGGGCGTGGCTGGTGTCCTTCAGAAAAATAGCGATTATCCTTCCCCCAGACTTTCCAACCCCCCACAACTTTAGGCGGCCTCGGGCGGATTGACACCAATTGGAGGCACAGTAGCGTAGCAATTTAGGCGCACTAGGGGCCCAGAGAGCCCCGAGAGAGGCTTATGGTGTACGGAGCAAAGCACTGCCAATAGTCGTTGGCACGGTACGTTGACACACACCTTGTGCTGGAACACCGCCTTGCCTACACAAGCTCACGGAACTGTGGTTCTATTTTCCCATCTTCCTTCAATCATCCTCACGTCGCTTGCGCACTCCATGTGCTTGTCAGGACACCCAGTCTTGCTTTCCAACGGACCCGCTCCAGCCTGACTTCCGGATTCCTTGACTTGAAGGTAGATTTGTTCATGGTCATGGCCGATCAAAGCCCACCAGCAGACTCGGGGTCTGCGCAATCCCAGACACAGTCGCAGTCGGGAGGCGAACAGTCAGGCGCAACAAAAGCTCCTCCGAACCAAACTCCTGGACATCCTAGCTTCAGACGGTATGTATCTGGTCCTTAAAACCCTTCTCACTTTGGCATCTCAACTGACTTAACCATAGGCAGCGCGCTTCTCGGGCTTGTGGTAAGCTTTTTCCACTTCCTCTCGAACCTACCTTGTCGCAAAGGCGGAATATATGAAAGAGATATGCGAAGAAAGAGGCCTCTCCAGAAAAGACTACGTACTGTCCCATCAACTCCTACAAATATGAGGAATGTGACTTTGGACAATGTTCATTTATTATTTCTCATCATTTGGCGGACGCGACATACCGAGAACCTCGGTTCAGAGATGGCACTCTGGCACAGCGGACGCTGCGGCCCTCATTGCCCATACAATATGCATACAACACCCATCAAAGAACGAATAGAAGTCATCGCTGTTGAATAGTCGCTAACGATTGCATTTTCAGAAACATGCCACGCACGCAAGGTATGTTGCGCACTGGCACCAGCTACTTGGGGTGGTTGTCCTCCTCGCAGTTCTAAATCTCCAAATCATAGGTGCGGTGCGATGCTGCCTCTCTAGGGTGAGTCAATATGAAGAAGCTGCACTGCTCATGTTACTGACCTACCCAGTGTCCCTTGTACCAACTGTGTTGCGTTTTCCATTGAATGCCGGATTCCTGTGCCCAAGCGGAAGCGGGCTGGCACCTCTCGGGCCAAGGATGACGAGAGGTACGTCTCTCACAGTCTACAATCCTCTTCATCATTGGGAAATCTTCGAGGTAACGGAACTACCATAGCGAGGCCGGTGATACCCAGCCGCCACCAACGCCGACAGACCCTCGCTTGACACGTCCTGCTCAATCTAGACCGACTGCAGGATTCAACTCTCCCGATGGCATCCCCTCCACACAGATGTCAGAGGCGCAGGCCGCCCAGCAAGCCGCCAATAATAGCACCATGACTCAATTCATGAAGCCCAAGTTTGCTCGTGCCCCGATCAAGGAAGCTGGACGAGTGGCCTATCTTGGAGAATCTTCAAACCTATCCCTGCTAGTCCACGACCGACACGGTAATACAGATGTGGTTCATTATCCATTACCAGAGAACATCAGAGGGGCTCGCGCGCGCTTGACCGAGCCAGACCAGATGGAAATTGAAATTCTGCAACAGAGAGGTGCATTCCTGCTTCCTCCGCGGACCCTGTGCGATGAGCTTGTTGAAGCTTATTTTCGTTGGGTACATCCCATTGTGCCGGTCATCAATAGAACACGATTCATGAAGAGGTACAAAGACACCAAGAACCCTCCCTCGTTGCTCCTCCTCCAAGCGATCCTCCTTGCCGGCTCTCGGGTCTGCACAAACCCACAGCTGATGGACGCCACGGGCTCAACGACGCCTGCTGCCATGACTTTCTACAAGCGTGCAAAAGCACTATACGACGCCAACTACGAAGATGACCGCATTACGATAGTGCAGGCCTTGATGCTAATGGGCTGGTACTGGGAAGGCCCCGAAGGTAAGGGCCGGGAGTCGATCGACTTAGCCGACTATGCGCGGTCTAACATTGGTGCAGATGTGACGAAAAACGTCTTTTACTGGACCAGGGTGGCCATTGTCGTTGCACAAGGAGCTGGCATGCATCGAAGGTAAGTCCCATGAACATTTTGTGCCGCAACGAACTGACTGACTATTGCAGTGTCGAGAGCTCGCAGTTGAGTCGACAGGACAAGCGTTTGTGGAAAAGAGTGTGGTGGTCGCTGTTCACGAGAGACCGGTCGGTCGCGGTGGCGCTGGGGCGTCCTGTGTCGATCAACACTGACGACTCCGACGTCGAAATGATCACCGAGGAGGATTTTATCGAAGACGAAGGCGATCCGAGCAGTGAATACCAGCCGGACCCGGTCCACGTTCAGTTCTTCCTGCAATACGTCAAGCTATGCGAGATCATGGGTCTCGTGCTCTCCCAGCAGTACTCGGTGGCGTCTAAGGCCCGAAGGACCAACGCCATTGACCTCACCCACAGTGATATGGCACTGGCGGACTGGTTGCAGAACTGTCCGCGGGAAGTATATTGGGAGCGTTCCCGCCATCATTTTTGGTCCGCGTTGCTACATTCAAATTACTAGTATGTCTCGACGAACCCTTTGAAATCTGTACCTAACGGTCGTTACAGCACTACGCTATGTCTACTACATCGAGCCCACATGCCTCCTGCCACAGCAAAACCCAATGACTATGAGAACGTGGACATGGCTTACCCGTCAAGGACGATTGCATTCCAGGCAGCTGGAATGATTACATCTATAATGGAAAACCTCCTCGCCCATGACCAGGTCAAATATACGCCTGCTTTCATGTGAGTGGTCTTCACCTGACACGCAACAGGATAACTGACAATGTGCAAGTGTATACAGCTTGTTTTCTGCACTGATCATGCATGTCTACCAGATGCGCTCATCGGTGCCGTCAGTTGTGGCGGCAAGCCAGGAACGGATCAACGTGTGCATGAATGCCCTAAAAGAAGTGTCCAAGGTATGGCTGGTAGCCAAGATGGTCCATACTCTCTTCGAATCAATCCTCGGGAACAAGGTCTTGGAGGAGAGACTGCAGAAGGCGACGGGCAAGAAAGCTCAGCGAGCCAAAATGAATCAAGCTACTGGAGTATCTGGCCATGCGAACGGCAGCGCCAATGGACCGACAGCTGCTCCCTCACATCTGGGACTGGCCCCAAATCCGGCCAAACGAAAATTCGACGACATCGACCTGGGTTTCAGCGTTGGTCCTCCTGCACCACAAATGTCTTATGAGCGCTCGCGACCACAAACTCCTGCGGTAACACCTTCGCGAGAAATCCCTCAACATCAACATCACAACTTCCTCGGATCACCTCCATTGCCATCAGAGCACTTGCCAGCCTCTCGATCTCGAGGGGCTTCTCGAATCCCTTCCCGGGGTCCTACGAGGGCCAATTCACCCTTCAATGGCTACTCAATACCCGCGACTCCTCCGGACCTCTTCCTGGTGACCAGAGATTCTCCCAACATTTCACAGCAACTGTGGGAGAACTTTCAACCCGATCAGCTTTTCCCTAACGGGACGATTGGTGACGTTACCAACTTCGCCAGTCCCATATTGAACCACGCGGTTGACCCTCAATTACAGATGCAGCAGCCCATGGGAGGTCAGCAAATGCCACAGCTTGACATGTCCGGCCAGCCTCAAGTCTGGCCACCCGGGATGCAAGGCATGATGGGTGCCGGGATGGAGATGCACGATAGCGACGGATGGTCAACGAGTTCAATTGGAAACGCTCCAGTGGCCCCGACGACGTTGAATGTAGAAGACTGGTTCCAATTCTTCGGTATCAACGGGGAAATGGCCGGCATGCAGGTGGATGGCACTTGATGGTCGAAGTTGTACAAAAGTTAGCATTCGGTCAATGATCAGCGGTGTTATGTGGTGCTCTGTCGGAAAGTCATGTCACTGATCGGGCATCAGCTGTCCCAGTGTCGTACTGTAGAATGTCTGTAAAACACCTAAATAGAGACATGGGCGCGGCCATCTTCGTCCAGGGCCGCGCAAGATAAAGGGAAGAAACGAACTATGACAGACAGCACGGATCATCCACATACTTCGACATACTCTGTATTTATTACTGAGAAAGTGACAGATTGATTATTTGGGCCTTGAAAATTGCCCCTGAGAGGTGGAAGCTAGCAAGAGTTGGTGGTTGGCATGTCAATGCGAGTGCATGTGTGCATTTTGCATGGTGCTTTGGTGGTGGATACAGGCACGCGGTGATGGGCTCTCACTGGGTACCCAGTTACTGTCCCCGGGCACGTTATTTAGGTGGTGGGCTGATAAAGCTGCCCCCTGCTCCACGTTTCCAGGGACCAAGCAAGTCCCTATCCGTCACTTACTAAGGAATTCCTACTCCGTACTCGTGCCTAAATCGGACTCTCCTGTGTCCGCACAGTCCTCCCCAGCCAATGTCGCATTGATCGTGTCTGAACCACACCTCGTCCTTCCGGCTCAACGTGTACATTGCTGGTGACTGAGCATTCTGTATTGTTCACTACCGTAGATCCTTGTCTCCCTCGATAACCGCCCCCTCCAACGCTCAATCCTTCTGCCCCAGATACCGATCGTCTCATGCTCAAGACAGCCACGGTTACCGAACGCTTCTGGTGCTCCAGCCGCCCCTCCTCATCACACGAGTGTCTGGCTCTTCGCTCCCATGTCGTCAGCCCTCGATGGTGTGTGGTGGCATAACGGCCAGTAGCCATGAACAACAATTCCCATACCGGCCTATATCCATCGTCCAACAGCAGCACCTCCACGCTAAGACCTCGTGCCTCTCGACTGATATCCTACGTTGACGATGACGCCACGGACGCAACCTCTATCTCGACTTCCGCTAATACATACCCACCACGTCCTCTCAATAGAGGAGTATCTCCTGACTCGAATGCCGCGCTGAGTCGCTCCAAGTCTGCGGAGAAAGGACAGAATGCTCGATCTAGCAACACATACACGAGGTCCCCCGCGGGACCGCAGACGCCCTCGGGGGGAAATGGCATGTGGGAGCCATGGTCATCTATACAAGGGCTGGCCTCGACGTTATTGGGGGGCGAGCAGTCAGGATCCAAGTTCAATGGGGCAATCAAGAAGCCTCTGTGGATGAAGCAAGACAAACTATATGGGACCAAGACATCTACCCAAAAATGGGGCCCGAGCCAGGAGCCCTCAACAAGCGCTGCACAGGAAGCCATTGAAGAAAGGAAGGCCATGGTCCAGGCGAAGAAGAGAGAAGCATTGCTACTTGCAAGTGTGTCTGAAAGCCGGGACAGCTTAGGACGATATAAGAGAAGGGACTCGGATGCGGGTGCGGCTGATTCTGCACTGAACGACGTGAGAGAAGATGATCTGGTTTACCTGCATAAAGTACAGAAAGGAGATACTCTAGCCGGAGTCATCATCAAGTACAACTGCCAGGCCGAACCTTTCCGCAAGATTAACAGGTTCTGGCCCAACGATAATATCCAGACCAGAACGCATGTCTTGGTGCCGTTAGTAGGCTGTACAGCAAGAGGCAAGAAAGTCGACAGCCCCTATCTTACAAAAGACCTGTTCGACTCCGGGCAAAACCACCCAACGATCCCAACGGCGGACGCGTCTCACGGGAGTCAATCTTTGTCGCCCAATCCATCAAATTCGGCCGCGTCTTCCACATTAAACTCCGAAGCTCTGTCGATCATCACCTCTCATGCCGAAGAGATTGACTTCAGGCATGATTCTTGGGTGCTGCTTCCGAACTTCAAAGAGCCTGTCGAGGTTCTGCGTGTACCCAGACGCGCCCTCGGTTTCTTTCCACGCGCTCGACGGAAATCAAACGCTACAATCACCGATGCATCATCGAACTGTACGCCCAAGACTTCTTTTGACATGCTCCGTCATCCTCCGACACATGCTGCACAGACTTCGGGGTCGTTGACAGGGTCACCGGCGCGCCGTCCACAGATGAATGATCGAGGACTTTCGGGGAGGCAACGCTCATCGAGTGGGACAGGCAATTCTTTTGCCGATGCTCTTCGCGGGCCTGGTGGAGTGGGAACTCTGCGCGGCCTTCGCACAGAAACGTCGCGTCCGGGTCCGGCAGAAGATCCTCTCAACCGCAAATTAGCACAGTATCTCCCAGATCTGCTTCTGCCCGAGGATATGCCTCGCACCGGGTTCAGCCTCAGACCGTCGCCACGGGGTACACCTCGCCCCAGTACAGATTCACTCCGAAGTTCACGGTCCAACAGCTCTGGTCTCGGCGAAGTCGGTGGTGCGATCGAAGGCTGGGTGAGGAAAATGGCAGGGGTCAAGAGGGAAAGAGGCGCAGCGGTAGACAAGATGGGTGACCTGATAGAATTGGAAACAAATACTGAGCTTGCTGGATTGGGGGGCGGCGGGCAAGACGGCACAAGAAGTATGGATGATACGTCGGATATTCCCACGCCGACAATCCCGACTATGATTAACACCACGACAGCCACAGAAGAAGCATTGCTGAACGAGCGATTTCCAATCCGAGGCCGCGTTAGGAATGCATACGCCTCTACTTCGAGTCCGACCAAGGACAAGGGCGATTAGGAGGAATGATTGTCTTTGCAGATTCGTGCTAGTCGGGCCATCCATTTTGCGTCCGAATACAGCCTCTTGGTTTTGTCACACTTCAATACATATGATGGAAGTGCAATGTGGTTTCGGCCGAGCCAAAATTCTATGCCACATACTTACCAACGTTCAATCAACACGACCTTTCATTGCAGTGTGTGATTTGTGCCTGCCTCCGTCTCTGTATACGCATATCGATGGAGAATGCCAAGGGCACCAGCTTGCAGTGGGACATCTGTGAAATCACTGTAGAAGTATTCCAATTATCAGATTTCAGCTCACGGTGCATCAGTGAGGATGGTGCGTATTCGGGCCTTGATCGGATGCGTATTCCTCGACCGCGGCCAAGACCAAGTCAAGATATGCGGCACTCTTATTGGGCGGAATTCAGCCTCGGCGCACAGCCTTGTTAAGACCACTATGCAACCTCACTTTAAGCGAATACGCATAAGCAGTCGTTGGATCATTCCATCAGCAAATATACTCCGTACAGTTATATGCCTACGAGGCTGCGCAAGACTTTTCACCCCGTGAGAGCCCACGAGAGAGTCCTAAATCATGAAAGAAGCTAGAGCGAATATAACAAGACATCCCACTAGCGTTGCACTACGGCAGCATGTAATGCACTCATGCGGCCATGTGTCTTCGTACTCGCAAAACGATACGCAGTTGCATCAAGTAAGAGGCTGTGGACGGGACCACTATGAGCTCATCGCCATGTGCTGTGCGTGTGAGCTTCACAGGTCTATATAAAACCTCCCCTTTCGACCCTCCCCGAATGACAAGTTGCACAATTACAATCCATACGGAAACAACCACTGCTTCTACATCGACATGGCTGGACTTCTCGCCGCGGCGATTCTTTTCCTCATCGACCGCCACAGGAGCTCGGTGTGGGCGTCGCCGGTGGCGCACGCAACGACACGAGGTCCGTCGGCGTCGTCGTCCGTGTGCAAGGAGTTCGACGTCGCGATCCCCGCCAGCGCGCCGGGGGCCAGGTACGACCTTCGCACGGTCGACACCGACCTCGACGCGGCGGCGTGGGCCATCGAGAGCAGCGCCTGGAGCGCCCCTCCGGGCAACGAGCTGGTGCTCGAGAACATCACCATCTCGGGGACGTACAACATCCACGGCCGACTGTGCGCGCCCTCGGCGGGCGGCGGGGGCGTGCTGCAGATCGCCTCGCACGGGGCCCACTACGACGGGCGATACTGGGACGCCGACCCCCCGGGCCACTCGTACGTCGACGCCGCGCTCGACGCCGGGTACTCCATCCTCACGTACGACCGCCTGAGCGCGGGCCGGTCGGACCACCCGGACGCCTACACGGGGGTCCAGGCGCCGCTGGAGCTCGAGATCCTCCGGGAGCTGACCACGCTGGCGCGCAACGGGACCCTGGCCTCGATGACGGGCGTCGGCGCCGCACCCAACAAGACGGTGCACGTCGGCCACAGCTACGGGTCGTTCCTCACCACGGCCTTCATCGCGACCTACCCGGAGCTCACCGAGGGCGCCGTCATCACCGGGTTCGTCCTGAACCGGTACCTCGGGTCCGTCGGGGACGCGCCGTGGGCCGTCCGGCGCGCGCCCGACAGGCCGCCCGGCTACGTCCTGTGCGAAAAGGTCGGGATCCAGAACCTGTTCTTCGCGGGCGACTTCACGCAGGCGCAGCTCGACCTGGGCGACTCGCTCAAGCAGGCCGTCCCCGTCGCCGAGATCACCAGCGGGTACGAGTTGCTGGGGGCCACGGGTCCGTTCAAGGGCCCCATCCATTACATGTTGGCGGAAAAGGACTTTTACATCTGCGGCGGGGACTGCAGAGGTCTGTACAGCGTCCCTCAGCAGTACAAGATCTTCCCCAACGCCTCCGACATCCAGATCGACCTGCAACCCGACACGGGCCACGCCTTGCCGATGCACAACAACGCCACGGCGGGATTTCAAGTCTCGTTTGACTTTTTGGCCAAGCATGGGCTTTGAGGAGAGGGGTTGGGGGGAGGGGGGGGGTCCAGACGGCATTGACTTGTGGAGTACAAAAGTCATTAGAGTCAATGGGTCGTGTATTGGGCGGTAATGGTTTTTATCAATAGAGACGAGACGGAGACCCCGGACATAAGTCAACAAGGAGAGGGCCTAGCAATAATGGCTGGCTTTTCATGTCAGCAGATAGTACGAGTGGTAATGTTTATGTCGACTGGCACGGACAAGGTCATATCTACCTACCCTCTTTACCTCGGACAGATTTCTTTTCCTCATGATTGATGTTTGGAAAGATGATGATGATGATGATTGTTTGACGTACGGAGTAGCCGAGCGACTCTTGGTTATTATCACACGAATGATGGGGTGTAGAGTCCAAGTAGTTTGATTGTATACTCGTGTAGAGTAAGTAGTGTAGAGACAACTCTCTCAAAGAGTGGTTTGGTTGGGCGGTTGTGAGACTGACAACAAGAAGCGAGTTTTTGTACAATGAAATCCCCGAATATAAATTTACAGAAATCATACTCCATACCTCTCTCGCCACCACGAAACACACACATCCCTTGTTTTAGCGGATAATCAATCTGGCTGTCCAAAAAAAAGTACAATATACGTGTACTCCGTAGAAGGAGTTCAAAAAGAATGTGTCGAATCACGTTTTCAGAATCATGTTACTACAATATTACTACTTCATACTCGGAACATTCTAGGTAATTGCTAAATTGCTTGCTCATCATATGCAAACCAACTATCTTGTACTATAAATCTGCACCATCACCAAGTACATCTAAATACACCGCTCTCCCCCTTCCTCCTCGTCCTTCTCTTCCACCTCTCCCCATCTCTCACTCATGCTTTTTTTTGATGTCTTGCGCCACATAACGCTACAAAAATGGTGAGAACTCTCCAACTCACCGCTCCGACTTCCTCTTTGCAAAAGAACAAGTCCAAGGAAAAAGAAACGAAAAGGAAAAAAAAGGATAACTATGTGAATAAAGGTGGAGGTATATCGTAGACGGGCATGACGGATCTTCATCCCTGTACAACATCTTTCGACGCATCAAAACATCTCTCAGTTCCAACCCAAACTGTTCTCGGCCATGACGGGCGGACTAATGTACGTTCGTCCACTCCGGTTGGAACCACTTCGGTCACTGTTTTGAGATGTTCGACCGCCAAATCGTGTACCGTAGCTACCACGGCCGCCCGCAACCATAAGGTTGGATTGTTCTCCAGCTCGGTTCTGACCCGATTGCACACTGCTCGATCTCTGGTGTCCCGACTTCTTCTTCTTGTACCTGCGCGCGACCAGGAACATGGCAGCCCCATAGACGGCTGCACCGGCGACCGCGCCGACTGCGATACCCACCGAGGACGGACGCACAGAAGAGCTACCACCGCTGTCACCAGATCCAGGTGCACCACCGTTGGACTCGCCACTGCCGGAGGTAGTAGCAGCGCTGTTTGCCGAATTGATAGGCGTGCCTCCACCTTGCATGGCAGACCCAGGCAGGAGAGGAATTGATGAATCGATCATGCCCATCAAAGTGGAAATGGACGGGTTGGGGTTGTTGTAGAGATCCGAGTTCGGGTTCAAGAGATTCACCGAGAGTGTGTTGACATGTTCCGAAGGGATGTAGGCCAATGCTAGCGTGGTGATGTAGTCGAGACTGTCCAACGTGTTGTATGGTTGAAGATATTGCATGACCACGTCACTGGCATTTTGGTTCATACCACGACCGAGACCGGGTGGGAGATACGAGAATATCTGCTGGATGGCTGTCTGAGATGACACCACAAAAGCGTAGTTGAGACCATAGTCGAAACCAATTTGGATTAGAGTGGTGTTTGCTGGCGCAGTGTTTGCTCCTCCGGGCGGTTGGATGAAGCCAGGTAGCGAGGTTGGGATGACGGCGCTACTAGACGAGGTCGACTTGGTACTCGGAGCGACGAATGTAGCCGAGATGATGCTAGACTCGGGCGTCAGAGCGGTGGCCGAATCCGTGCCTGTGGGTTTGAGCGTATTGGTCAGGGGCACCGACGTAGTCAACGGCGGGATACTGGTGGTCGTGTTGGCAATCGGCGTCAAAGTTGGCTCCAGCGTCGGAGTCTCGGTTGGCGTCTCGGTTGGCGTCTCGGTTGGAGTGGTAGGCGTCACTTCAGGAGTGGTGGTAGAATTTCCAGGCTCGGGAGTGGGAGTAATTGTTGGGGTTGTAGTAGGGGGGGTGTCCGTAATACTCGGAGTGGTGGTGGGTGTCGTCGAGTTGTTGTCTGGCGGAGGTGAAGTTGGCCCTGTTGGCGTGGTTGTGGGTGGTGTTGTGATTCCTACGTCGGTGGGTGTGGTTGTCGGCGTTGTGGTCGGTGTAGTAGACCCGGTGTCAATAATCGTCGGGCCATCGGTCGTAGTCGACGGTGTTGTAGTGATCCCGAATCCGCCCGTGGGTGTGGTGATAATATTCGTGGGGGTCGTCGTGATGTCGGAGAAGAAGTTAGATGTTGGCGTCGACGTAATGGCCGAATCGTCTGAACTGACATCAGAGGCGATCGAGGAAGCTACGGACGCAGCAGACGACAAAGCTGAAGAAATTGAAGCCAGGTCTGAGCTGGCAGCCGTAGATGCCGCAGATTCGAGAGAACTCGCGAGCGAAAGAATGGACGTCGCAGCGGAACTTGCGGACTCGAGGGCCGAGTCAGTACTCGTTGCAGTGGACGAATCGCTGCTTGTGGTAATGATCGAGCCGAGTCCAAGAGTAATACCGAAACCATTGCTGCTGGAGCTTGTGATCGTGGGGTCACTGCCCGTTGCAGAGGCTGTGCTGTCGGACGAGTCGGTGCTGGTGGCCGGGAACGACAGTGGACCTGTCCCTGTTATCGCGGGTCCCGGTAGGTTGGTGGATGGGTCAGTCGTGCTGGCGTCCGAATTCGTAGGAACGCTTGATGTCGAGTCGCTTGAGATGATGGAATTCAATCCAGAGAACGCGTTGGAGAAAACACCATCAATGCCCGTAGCGGTCGAAGTCGTACTCGATGAATCAGATGAATCGGTTGAATCAGACGAAGTCAGATTCAAACCCAGGATTTCTCTCTTCACGACCCGAGGAAAGTAGTACCTGGGCTTCAGGTCGGTTCGCCGTGGGTCAGACGCAGGGACAGCCTCGGCGAGGGTGCCTGCGAGGATCGCAGACAAAACGGTAATCGAGGAGAACTTCATGATGTAGATTCTAGAATATACTGCAATTTCCTTGGTCAGTACCACTCCAGCAACAAAAGGGGGGTCCAGGACTCACTTCAGGCTTTGATAAAACGAGTGTATGCAGTGAGAGCTTGTTGTGTAAATGAGTGGCTAGGACCCAAAGATCCTCAAAAAGAAATCCAGTCGGCTAAGCTTTTGAGAGGGAGCAGGATGTCAACTTCTCGTGGGTGAGAATCGCGTCCTGACGAGATCCAAATTAAATCGGTAGGTTTCTCTCAGTAGCAAAGGTTCCTCCTCGCAAAGCCCTCTTTGTATCGGTCCGTGGAAAGTTGAGACTGTTGGTCTAGGAAAGCCGTAGCATAAGAGTCGACCGTCTTTGAGCTATATTTGTCCGAGAATAACCAACAAAGACCGTGGCTTTTGCGTTCCCTCCAGGTAGTTGGTCCAGCCAATTGTTTGAAGAGACAAAGACAACAACCAAGGATTGCAGGTGTATAATGTGCGGCCGGCGTGAGCGCGCAGAGAGACCGCTTCTAGGATGGTTGAGATTGGCCACAAATAAATGAGTGATCGAAGAGGGAACAAGTTCGAAAGAACGTGGTCGACCGAGTGGAAAAAAGGGCAGACTTTGTCGAGGTTGAATGAGCGAACGCGAGCACTGTCTTGACGGTGCTGGCAAGTCTTGAACAAAGGATGGCTTGAGAAGCAGAAGCGCTGAGTCCAAAGGGGGATTCGACTAGTCGTAGGAAAGGGTTATCGGTCGCAAAACGAGAGACAGCGACCACGGCGACGTTGACGGATCATCGAAGGTCGATGGCAAGGACGACGAGGTGAGTGTAGGTCGGTAGGAGGAGGAGGAGGAGGAGGAGAGAGTGTGTGCGATGCATCAGATCAACAACAGGTTCATTGAAGTTGCAGGGTCGGAGGCCGTCAAAAGGAGGAAATGGCGTGGCTCAGTCTGCAGGCACAAGTGCTCGCCGGTGCTGGTGCTACACGGTACTACCGTCTCTTTGGCGAGACAAAGGCGCAGGCCGCAAATGACGGACCGGTCGAGTCCATTACGGCGTAAATTACCGCGCTAGAATACACACTAGCCCAGGATAGATACAGATCAGCCCGTTTACAGTGATCCTTGGGCTCATCGACGCGCTGCACTTGTCAGACTAACTGTCACCAGTCTAACCAAAATTACCGTCATACTTTCAAATTACCTGACATGCCCCTGGACGCCCATGTTGTAAACACACCAACCCCAGTGCTACTGACCCAGCTAATTTTACTCCCAATCTCACTGTGATGCTTGTCGCTTCTCGGCGCTGGTGCGATGCTATGGCCATCTTGATGAGAAGTTGTTGTGTCAGTCGGACGCGACGAACAGTGAACATGGCAAGAATGTCGGTGGCCAGGGCTCAGAGGTCAGCAAACACTGAGGGTTTTTTTGGGTATGAGACATTCCACGAAACACTGGGTGCGTCCGATTGCAACCAGAGTATGTATGGTTTTGCCCTGCAGAACCGTCGGACGCTGTACCCTGTTCATAAGTCGATTGACTTTCCGGCACCTCCAATGCTGGTTCTTTTCTGGCCCGGACTTGTCGAACACGCGGCCTTGTGGTACCAGGGCCTCCAGTCAGAAGGCGGCCCATGAAGAACGCATGGCAATTTCAGGATCAGAGCCCCAAGGACCAGCAGCGCGTCGACCAGCCCCCTTGGCGAAACAGCCTATCTAGGGCGAAGCACCGCATTGGACGAAATCCTACATCCCTGCCGCTTGGTTCAACTTCTTTTAGCAGGTCTTGCAGGAGCCAATACCAGCGTTTGCCAGTCCCTAAGAAGCCCGGAGATCTGGAGTTGTTATACGGATACAGGTTGTACTCCTGTTGTGCGGCTGAGCTGCACAATAATTTGTCCTGTTCCTGCATGTACGGAATCATCGCCAGAGCTGATTCTTCCTTTCTCTACAATCTACTATCCCGTACTCCCTTCGCGTCCGGCCACTTGTACGAGCATAAAGTCCCACCCTCGTTGGACAAGGAAACAGGCACCTCCCATCATCCACAGGCCAGCATCGGCCCCACTCCCGACATACCGGCGTGTTTTGATTCCAGGGGCAGACCAAAAAAAGCCACAAGTTATGATCCTTACCTTGACACGTTGAGATTTTCACGTCCTGGCACGCCCTAGACTCACTTGCGGTCGGACCTGGTCGATCAAGGCGGTCTTGGGCAGCGAAGGTACACCTGCTGCGCATGGATGTTGTTTTGGAGGGGTTCAAATGCCATCATCGTTTCATCGTATCAAACATCATACCATGACATGCTGTGCATTGAGCCCTATTGGACTCGTGCGTCAACCGTTTGATAGCCACGAGCACTTCGACAAGGATCCTCGTATGCATTGATACAGTTCAACAACATATACTGTCTGAGTATGGACACTTGAGATGTTTTTGCATCGCATGCGTGGAGTTTTCGTACGTCAACTATCACGAGCACTATTGATATATCGTGGCCAAGAAGTAAAATTATTGTTGTGGCCATCAATATCATTATGACTACGGGGTACACCACTGTTTGGTATCTTTGTTGACACTACGCATATGGGGGTTCAATCATGCCAGGGCTCTGCATTTTGATTGTTGACTCTACATCCCTTGCTAGTGGCACTTGTTGAGACTTGACATGTCGACTAGCCTTTTTCTTCGGTGCAGGATGATGTACGGAGTATTGAGTACTGAGAAGATTCGTACGGGACTTTGTAGACTGCCAATGCGTTTTTTGCTTCAAGACGATAAACAATGAGGATTGTTTTGTACTAAACTCACATGGCAGTGAATCGCAAAGTCAGATCTTGAGCCTGTGATACTTCTACGCACGAAGTGAGAGGGGAACAGCACATCGCATATTGATCGTCGCTTGTGATTGCCGTTGTCGAATATCTGATATTTCTCGTACCTGAAGGCCTAGCATTGACCACACACTCGGAAATTTCGAAGGATCGGTGAGGAGGATCTTAACGGCTGTGACCCTTATTGTAGGATTCAACCCTCTACGAATCACGAAGACTCTCTCCAAGTGGTTATTCTATGTTGGCGCCGTTCCGATCTCCAAAGTGCAGCTCTTTATCAATTTCCAGTTGATAATAGTGGAAAGATTGCTCGTTTGTTGGGCCAAGAGAACTTGAGAGGCTGAGACGCCATATTGACTGGGCGAGATATTGCGATAGATCGGACACCTCGTGCCTACCTGGTAAGTGCCTGACACTCGACCCTTATAGCGCTAAGCAATATGGGATAATGAGGTGCAGGGAAGACGTGCTCGTTAGTTGTAGGCTGCGCATCTGAAAACCCCAGGAATTCTTCCGACAGTGCAGGATCCATGAACAAACTTAGAGTGTCCGTACCGGGTGTCGAGTAGCTTCAACTGCTTTACCCCAGACAAGGTTGTACTTGTGTACTCCGTATAGATTGATACGGATATGAGCTCTTCAAGTACCGTGCGGAATGAAGTCGGGGAAAAAGCTCTTCTAGCCGATCGCGTCATTGCTCTAGCGCTCCACAATTCCACCGTCTGCGGCTTCTTCGCCCTCTCTAGAACTTGACTGCTTTTTCCCACTGTGACTGTTCTCAATCGTTGCTCACTTGTCCACGCCTTTGTGATACACTTCTGGCTCTATCAGAGTCCCTCAATCCGACCTGATAGTCCTCATATGTCCCTGAACATCTTGATATCTACGCTCCAGGTCTTCGAGCTCATCCCTCCACCACCTTTTCCCCGCCACCACCATGTCTGAGTCAGGTTCCTCCTCTACACCGCCATTGAAGAATCCCAAACTCAGCACCTTGAACAAGGCTTTCGCTCAAGTTGACCTGGACGGCCATGATCTGCCACCATCGCCAGCCCCTTCCAGTCCAAGGGGAAGCCGGAATTATGCCATCGCAACCCAGCTGGTCTACTCCGAAGGTAATGACCAGTATAATGCCAGTAGCGTCCCAATCTACCAGGTCAGTATACAAGCTCTCTTCTCATATTGCCTCAACTGATTTCATGATGCAGTCTGCAACATTCAAGCAGACATCTGCGACGGGCGGCGCCTCCGACTACGATTACACCCGCAGTGGTAATCCGACCCGCACCCACCTCGAGAAACACCTCGCCAAAATCATGCGCGCGAAGCGAGCTCTTGTCGTCTCTTCTGGGATGGGGGCCCTCGATGTGATAACCCGCCAGCTGCGACCAGGTGATGAAGTCGTGACGGGAGATGACTTGTATGGAGGCACACACAGACTGCTAAAATATTTGTCCACCCATGGCGGTATCATCGTGCATCACGTCGACACCACGACACCTGAAAAAGTACAGGAAGTCTTGAGCTCCAAGACTGCCATGGTCCTTCTCGAAACACCCACGAACCCACTGATCAAGATCGTGGACATACCCACAATATCAAACATGGCACATGCCGCCAACCCGGCCTGCGTTGTCAGCGTGGACAACACCATGTTATCGCCATATCTTCAAAATCCCCTAGAGTTGGGTGCGGACATTGTTTACGAGTCTGGGACCAAATATCTGTCTGGCCATCACGATCTCATGGCTGGTGTCATTGCCGTCAGCGATGAAGCACTGGGAGAAAAGCTATATTTCACGATCAATGCATCGGGTTGTGGCCTGGCGCCGTTCGATTGTTGGCTGTTGATGAGAGGAATCAAGACGCTGAAAGTTCGCATGGATGCACAGCAGGGCAACGCCATGTTGATCGCCCGGTTCCTCGAGTCGGCTGGCTTTAAGGTCCGCTACCCTGGACTTCAGAGCCATCCTCAGTATGGTCTGTTCAACTCCATGGCCCGCGGCCCTGGAGCTGTTCTTTCCTTCGAGACCGGTGACATCCAATTGTCTGAGAGGATCGTTGAGTCGGCCAAGCTGTGGGCCATTAGTGTGAGCTTTGGCTGTGTTAACTCTCTGATCAGTATGCCTTGCCGCATGAGTCACGCGAGTATCGATGCGAAGACTCGTGCGGATCGGGGTGTCCCTGAAGACCTCATCCGGCTGTGTGTTGGTATTGAGGATGGGGAGGATCTCCTTGATGATCTACGGAGTGCCTTGGTTCAGTCGGGCGCAATGAACGTAACCTTGGATGGAATCTACGCAAAGAACGCCACTGTCGGCGCCCGACACCCTGAAGAAGGCGAACAGCTTGCTGCAGACGCGGCAGCCGAAAACGAACCCTGATGGAAGACCTGCGTCCATCGAAAGGCCCGGAAGCTCCTGATCTCAATAAATCTCGTTGCTTTGGAGGAGGCCGATGGACCATGGAAGTGGGAATACCTCCTGGCCCAGCAATGTACAGAAAAGAAAGAAAAGAAAAGGAAAAGGAAATCATCCTTGACTGAGGAGCCAGGAAAAGTTTCGCACATGGTGTTGGCGGGTTTCAGTTTGAGAAATGTTTAGCTCTGGGAAAATGTGAATACGTATTTGTTTGCCAACTGACTCTTTTCTCTATATCGTTTACCATTCTCTTGGTCAATCCATTCAGGTGCCAAAGTCCGTTGTTCGGATCAAGGACGTTTCGGTATCGAGGATGCCCTGGCAACGAACATGACTGGATACGTCGCGATAGAAATGTTGCCTCCGTAAAAGACGGACCGGATCTCGGACCAACAAGCCTCACGGAAGCCGAAATCGTCTCTCAGTTGAATGGCCGGCTCGCCGTCGTGGCATCGAATTGGAAGAGATTTTAAAGAATCGATGTCAACAGTAGTAGTCTCCGAAATCCCCCTTGTCTGATCAGTTCCCGTGGGAGCAGGAGATCCTTGTTCGTACCTCCTCGCCATGCGTCAATCGAGGTGGACAACGTACTATCTCCATCAGCCATAGGGTTGATCAAACTGAAGTAGTATTCTTTTTTAGGAAATTCTTTCTATCCAAATGGCGCGCAGCCAAAGATGGGGAGACAAGAAACTCAACGCTCTTCGTTGGGATTGAAAGACCTGGACGAAGCCACATGATCATTATTGCGTCGTGCCACTTTGTCAGTGGCTTTGAGGCCAATGGCATCCTCAGGTAGGTAGCCTTTCTAGAGTCGTTCAGTGTTCCCTCAAATACTATGTGTCTCGGCGAGAGGGGTTCTATACCACAAGCCTTGTTCATAATCATGATGGGGAGAAACATAGAGCCCAGTGTCCATCATAAAAGCAGTACAATCCTGGAATTTGAATGTCCAAGGTTGTGACTGCTGTAAGGCAAGCTTTTTCATCTCGTGCCGAAACGATGTCGGAATTTGCTCAGATAAAGCGACGAAAAGTTGGGGGTCGTTACAGCTAATACTCCGTATGTATTTTTTCACGTATGCTTAGCAACATCATTACTAGAATAAACTTGCACAGTTACGCCAAATAGTGTAGATTAAAACTACCTATATAGGCCATATTGACCAAAATTAGGTCATAATTTTGCACACAAAATTGCCATCGTCTTAAAGCGGGCCTTTTATTCGAGGGGGATTGGCGCAATGGTAGCGCGTGGCTCTCCTATCAATTGACATAGTTGCTAAGCCAAGGTTGTGGGTTCGAGTCCCATGTTCCTCGAAACATTCTCATGCGCGGAGCCAAAATTTGTACGCATACAGATTTAGTGTTTCCTCACGTATTTTTTTGGTTTTCGTGTCAACAAGCAGAAGCAGTCGAGAGAAGGTTTACCACGAGTACCCGTCATCCCAAAGAGCTTCGGTAGATTCCGACACCGACTACTATTAATCTCCTTGTTGTTTTCGGTTTTTTTTTGGATGGTTTCTTCTTCTGTATTGCTTTTGTATATGCGACACTAAGAAGACTCCTCGAGGTCGAATATTGGACTGTGACGGGCACCTCCGTCGAAGGTATCATTGGGAAAAACTTCCTAGTGAAAGTGTATACTATCTCACCTGTATGACTGAGCTGTCTAGGGGCTCGTCCACACCTCCAACTTTGTGCACATCATGTCGCACTATACCTGCCTATTCACTGGGGTGCCTAGGATATGCAGGGAGTAGTCTTTTGCTGCGTAATCATGCCGGTCGGCCTTTGCATGCCGGAAACGATCGAGATCTGAGAGTACAAACACTGGAATACTACGGAGTACGAGTACAAGGTCTCCACAGCATCAACATCCCCGACACGAGTACTCCGTAGGGGCTTGCTTGGTTGCTTGGTTTTGCTGAGCTGGACTTCTGTAATGCAAGGTGCTCAAAAGCAGAATCTCGATTGTCCAAGGCGCTGCGGACACGTCACTGGAGGATCGAGAAAGAGAAGGACTGTTATTTAGGCGTCGGATGAAATAACTTACTGGACTTGGGAGACTCTCCCCTGTGAGTACCATGGCAACGTCGACTCTCTGATCTGTACCATTCATGTCAACACGTCGATGATCATTGTCCAACAGGGGTCTACTACGTCTGGCGCGCTCAACCAGCCTGCTAGCGACTACTTGTTACAGCCACTCCAAGCCGGAGGATTCGTTGGTACAATAATGCCTGGCGAGTCCCCCCTTGCTCCTTTGATCCTCGCAAGCTCCCTTTCGAATCGATCGGACGCCCTTCTTTCCACTGTTCCCATACGATCTTTTGACATCAAGGGGGCCAAACCCTCGCTTGTGTGCCCTAAAGGTACAGTACAAGGCGACGGCGAGGCAGGTTCGAATCAGCCTGGAGGCTCGGTTAAGAAGAATGCGAAGTACTCCCCCCGTACGGAGCAACCCTCTTTTTCCCCCCTCCGACACACACTATTGGATCGTCCGTGGACTCCGTTGCTACGTTTCTGGTAAGCTGAACGTAGCAGCCGTCTCTTTTGATTTATTAATTTTTACGTAGTATGCCAGGGGGACGTCTAATCTAATCAAATTTATCTCCACACACCTTGAATTCCTCTCGAAACAAAGGTGATTGAGAAGGGCGGGAAGGAGGGTGCCTCCCCTGCCTCCGCTATTCTATAGCACCTGGATAATAAACATGGCCACCTTTGCCAGCCCCTCCCCATGGTGGGCTCGAATTCAATTGTGGAATGAATGTACTCCGTAGGGCAGCCCCGAGCACCCCGTTCTAGACCTGGTCTGTGTTTGTTTACTCCGTATAGGGATTCATCATCGGTCCTCAAGGCCATGCAATAGAGAAACCTTCTCCCGGATCCTTTGAAAACATGGGCGCGCAGCAAATAAAACCACAGCCAACCTTCTTGTCTCCGTACCCGTACCTGGCCATGGCACTTCCCGCCCTGCTAAAAACGTGGCCTTTCCCGGCGAACCCGTCGCTCTGACGGGTTTAGGTGTATTGCAGGAGGACCCAGAGTTCGTACAATAGCTATCTTTGCCTCGTCCCTAGCTATCTTAGCCTGGATCATTGCATCCGTGCCATGGGCAAAACCCCTCCCCTTGTGTTCGTAAGCTTCCAGGGGCCGTTCGTCGGGGAAAGTCCCTCTGCAGTCGATCATTCCACCATTTCTCCTCCTACGAGTATACCCTCGAACCGAGGGCGGAGGTCTCGACGATAGGAAGTCCTTGGTCCGTCCTAGAGTTCTGTACGACACCACCCAGCGCGAATAGTGTCAAGCTGCATCCGAAGGCCTCACATGTGTTGCCCGTTAGAGTAGTCCGTGGTTACCCGTGATAGGCGCCGGGCGGTCAGTCTTCCATCGACGATGTTGTTTTGTCAAAAAAAGAAGAAGCGAGATCACGAGTTCTTTCAGAAAGAAAAGAAAATTGTTGTAATGGGAGTGTGGGCACGCCCTTTCCGAGGTCTTCCATGTACTCTACTAAGGGTATCAAAGCGCGGAAGCCCTTCCCACTCAACGATATAGAGATAGAGAGAGAGAGAGTTTGTGTGTGTGTGCGTTCCTACGGACGAGATTATCTGAGCCAAATTGTTGTTTTCAATTGTTCTCATGACCGCCAGTAGCATATTAGGCCGTTGGGTTCACTCCGCCCGATGGAAAACAACACCATGGTAAACTCACCTGCAAAAACTCCTTCACCACCCCCCCCTTTCGTCTTCTAATGACTCGCACCATTCTCGCGCCTTGAATCGTGCAAAGGATGTTGGAGAAAGGTTGAGTTTTGTCGTTGGCCCAGGCGGAAAGGTTACTAGAACCTCCTGAAGATCCAACGCATCATCTCAGAATGATTTATTTGCACGGCTTTACTTCGGCATCATCAAAAAGCCCTCCAGGCTCCGATTCAAAGGAAAATTTGTTTCTTCAGATCAAAATGTTGGTCGACTTTTCTAGACGTCAATAGATTGTGACAAAGGCAACTCAACGAAGTCATCGTCGGTGGGATAGTCCGGTGTTTCCGATCTGTACCACCACCGAACATTACAAGATAACAAGGTGGACTCGTGGACCGCGTAACTACCATAACAAACTCGGTATATTCCAAGCCAAATGCCGTACTCGCATCACAGCCACTCTGGCCAATTCTGCCCGGGCCACGCTCGAGATCGACTCGAGGAGGTCGTCGAGGCCGCGTTATCCAAGCGGATGCAGGTCCTGGCCCTGACGGAGCACATGCCGCGGCACGACGACGATCGCTACCCGGAAGAAGTCGAGGCGGGCATGACTTTTGCTTCGTACCACCTCGAGAACGAACGGGCCTACTTTGAGGAAGCCGAGCGGTTACGAGAAAAGTACCAAGGTCGCATCGATCTTCTCGTCGGGTTCGAAGGGGAATGGATCCGACCGCAGGAGTCAGCAGACCTCGTCCGGAGGAGCCTGGACGTCTACCGCCCGGACTTCTTCATCGGCTCGGTCCATCACGTGCACACGATCCCCATCGACTACGACGGAGAAATGTACGGGCGGGCGAGACAGGTCGCGGGGGGGACGGACGAACGACTCTTCGAGGACTATTTCGACTCCCAGGCGGACATGCTGCGATCCCTCAGACCGCCCGTCGTGGGCCACTTTGACCTGATCCGTCTAAAGAGTGACGACCCAGACGGGAGTTTTGTGGCCATGAAGGGTGTGTGGGAACGAATCTTGAACAATCTAGACTACATTGCCTCGTACGGAGGAGTGCTCGAAATCAACACTGCCAGTCTGCGGAAGGGACTGGATGAACCGTACCCTAAAGCGGAGATTTGCCAGGTAAGACACACAAGGCGCGCCGGCCGATGGGCACACCCCCCGAACCGTTTGTTTTTGGCACTGCTTTCAAGGAGCCAGAGGCTAAAACTAACACGTTGATCAAACAACAAACAGGCTGCCCTGGAGCGAAAGATCCGATTCTGTCTCTCGGACGATAGTCACGGGTGTGACCAGGTTGCTACCAACTATTCTCGCGTATTACCGTTCCTCGACAAGGCGGGCATCTCCCAGTTGACCTACCTGAAGCGAGGAGCAGGGAGCTCTGTCCCTTCTTCTTCTCCTCCTTCTTCCAATACAGGGGTGGTGTTGGAGGACAAGAGATTTCCAAATTTGTGCTTTGAAACCGTAAAAGTCAAAGACATTCGCCATCATCCCTTTTGGACATGTTTATAGAGAGCTTCCTTCATCTTCATAGCCAGTCAATATATTTGCCATGCAAAGAGAACATACTCCGTACCTGGAGTAGGTCTTTTGGGTAAAATTACCCCTAGGTAATGATGCAAAGACTTCCCAGCTCCAAACCGCCTGTACTTACTCTACCGTACTGTACAGTAAGCTGCACCAGGTTGTATTAGGGCTTCGTAACTTTTTCAGCCGACTATTGGATCATGGCCTGAGCCTCAGGTGATGTTTCCCCCCTTCCTTTTCAGCAGCGGCGCATAGTTAGGCTTGAAAAACAAGGATCCGTGTCTGTATTGGGAGACGATGCCGATGCATCTTGCGAGTTACAGCCGGGCTGGCCCGATATGATATTATTTATTTCTCATGCCCAACCCTGGCCTCCCCGGGTAGCTTCGCGTGCATGTGACAAGGGGCCAAAAAACCCTGCTCGGGCATTGTTTTTTGCGCGCCAGGCCATCAGAGAACCCCGACAACTTGTCGAACTTGATTCGCTTGACTTGCAACCGAGTTATGGCACCCGGAAGTCCCGCCCACCGCAGGGGGGTGGCAACATTATCTGCAATCCACCGGTTCGTGCCATCGAAGCCGCAGGACAGGGGGGGGTGGGAGTTGGATGGGAAGAGGGTGTGATTGTCCTCCAACGCGCCTTCTACGAGTACTACGAGCGTCGAGACCAAGTGTCGCCAATTTGGATCCCATGTTTTTGGCACTTTCTGAGAGGTCCAGAGCCGAACTCTCTTATTAATAAAGGCAAGGGGTGTCATGATTTGTTGATGACTAGGAGCGTAGGAGACCCCTGCGATGGAATGCCCACCGTGACCCATAGAGCCGTAGCCAGAGAGACAAGGGTGTAGCAAGCATTATTCCCCCTCGGAATGCTATTATCTCATCCTGCAGCCGACCAAGTCGTACAGCACGTCACTGAGAAATCCAGGAATGCATGAAACATTTTATGCCCTTGGTGGGGGAAGGGGGGGGGGAAGAGAGAGAGAGAGAGATTGTCAGTTTGCCAGGGGTCCCCAAGGTGGATATTTACCGCCTTGAAGATCGATCCTGGCTTCGACAATGCTTGAGTGTTGAGCTAAATAATAATAAAATGCGGCGGATAGCTCTTGGTACTGCAGGGTGGTTGTTTCTTTTCTCCCCCTTTGCAGTACACAAGGCAGGTCTTGAGCTGAAGCTCGGGGATGGTTTCGAAGAGCACTTAACCGCAAAGTGGTAAGGGGATCGTGCAACGAGGTAGCGGTCCCAGGTGTAGTAGGATCAGCTGGCTTCTACCGTCAAGATCGTACGATGGGGTCCGCTACTGGAACCAAATGCTTCGATTGACAGCAAAAGGTCGGTCGATCCGAAGTTGCCATCCTTGTAAAATACTGTAACTCTCCAGGGTGTGGGGAGGGGGGGCAAAGGCACTTGATGATCGGAGAGGGCGTCATGTTGCTGCTGAGGCCTTTTGAGGTTTTGGCCGGATAGTCAGTTCGTTCAGAGCATTTTTTTTGGTTCCTACCAGACATTGGTTGGTATGTGCCTCGATGATTTATCCATGGTGGTATCGGGTCGAGGAGACAACGGCCATTCACAGTACCTCAGCGATAATATCATCATCAGTGACATGACTGCTTTTCTGTCGTTCAGACGTACAGTTCTCGGCTATCCTTTGAGTGTCTCTTTGATGGCTACTCCAGAACTCGTACGACATGAAGTTGACAATGGCCATTACCTGCTTGTTCAACGGACTATATCCCCACCATGTTTCGTGGGGGAGCCACTGCACCGTGGCGCGGAATCAAAAGCAAATCTCATCCTTTTGATTACGTAGTTAGTGACCCGAGACATTCTCGAGGATAGTCATGCAGGCTTTCAGGGTCACTGCAAATGTCGGTGTAATGTAATATGTCGTGTCAAGGGTCAGAAACACTGCCGCGAAACTCTGGCTCGAAAAGCAGCACGGAAATTCCGTGGCAGCTTTCAGCGACCGCAATACTGCGGCGTAAACTTGAAGGGTCCATGGCCCAGGGGGAACACCGTCCCAAGATGCGTCTATTGGCTTTTGGGTTTAGAGCGAACGCAGTCTCATTCCGCCGTCGTCATTTGTTTTCTGGCTTGCCCAACGGCCCCGGCACATCCAACACATGGCTCTTTGACGCCAGCTCCGGGACGAAATTCCTTTTGGTTCTAGTCCCAAGGGGGCTTGCCCGAATCACAGCTCCCTGGGTCGCTTGGTGCAAATGGTTGGCGTTGGCACTACGCCTAATTTCTGCGCGAGATGCAGCATGATGGGTTCAGATGTGATTGTGCAGATTCCCATCGAATGATGCCGCCTGGCTAGAGAGGAGGGATTTGCACCGGACTGTCAGGGTAGTCTGTCCGTTATTGCGCCATGAAAATGTTACTCGTAGGAGACTTTTAGATAAGTAGGAGACTTTTAGATAAAATGTCGTGGTAGCTTTGTAGGGGTGCCGTGTCGATCCGTGAGCCAGCGATGCAGGCAATAAATGCCAGCAGCAGCTTCATAATTTTGAATCCTGACTCGCAGCATTCGACAGGGCATTTTTCGTCTGGTCACCGAACCAGCGCGCGACATCTGTCCAGCTTCGGAGCTGATGCCAAGGAGGACAGCCGGGGAAAAGGGCTCCAGGTAGGTGACCCTGTGTGGAAACGCACGGCCAGGGATGACATTGCCTGTCGCGGAGGTCCCTACTGTAAGTCAGGAAGAGCATGACGGGGTGGAGTTGGACGGCAAGCGACGGTGGAGGCGCCTTGGGCGTTAGCCCGGGATGTCAATGGTCACCCATGCTGGTGGTGATGAATACCCGCCGTTGGCACCGATCATGTCAAAGGCTATTTGCCGAGCGTGCAGCCTGGGAGGATCTTCGGCACGCCTATGCAGAGGTGCATCAGAGGCCATTGATTTGCTGCTCCGTCGAACAAGTGTCCGGAGCAAAGATGCCTGGGCCGAGTCAGTTTTACGAGCAAGATTTTCCGCGAAGAATCACCCGACAGATTTTCTCCTGTAGCCTGCCGCAACAAGGGGGGAGAGGTGCGGCAGGGGGAGGAGAGAGAGAGCCCCATCAAGTTCAAGTGACAGTTGACATGGTGTGTGTGTGGTGTTGTGTCTGAAAGGGTAGAATGCTTTTTTTTTTCTTTTCCGGCTTTACTGAACCAAGAGTAGTCTCTGACGGGCGCATAATCATGATGTTGATCATGCAATGACAAGTACTCCTCGTAGTGGTCGGGCAGATGGACGGACGAACAGACAGTCAAGACAGACGGACAGACAGGCGAACACGACAGATTGGACGTTTCTTCCACGAGTAAGTTACATGGTAGCTGGTACGGTGACACGCCATCACGCAACCGTCATTCACCATTCATCAATACGGCTTGTCGCGAGGCAGAGGCATAGTGTGGTCTCGTCCGCCTCGCCCTCATACGTATCCACGACCCAATTGCCCCTCCTACTTGTTCTGTACTACTCCTGACCTGCTCGGCTGTATCGGGCTGTTGATGTCCCATTATTGCTGTCACCGTTGATCCTGCCTCGTCCTAAAACCGTCTAGAGTCCTCGCACGTCACTGTCGCCGGCATCATCAACAATATCCTCGTCTTCTTCTCCCCTGTTCGCCGTCCGTTCTCCAGACTTTGCGCGCCCAAAACGTCCCAAACACCATGAGGAAGCCACTGAACCCTGGCCGATGCGCCCGGTGGGAACATGGAAACGCCATCTCGAACTCGGACCTCGTTTGCGTCAGGATGGGAATGCCACTCCCGCCCCACCGGCCACCATCCCACAGACAGACAAGGTCCGGTTTGGGCGTTTATTGTTTTTCGCCAGTTTCCCTTCCCAAAAAACAATTTTTTTTGACCCTTGTGCAGATCAAACCCTGATCCTTGCCCGGCCGTCAAAAACCGTGCCCAAACCGGCGGTAGTTCTCTCGGGTATTGTACTGTATGCATGTTTGGCGTGTGTCTAGTGAGTATCGCGCTAGGTATCTACCAAGCCAGATGAGGCGGTATGGTATGCTTCGACTGTTCGTTCCGTCGAGCCTTTAGCCTTTGGGTTGAAGCTCTTGTCCAATCTAGGATGCGCCCATTGGGTTATCCCACTCTGAGTGTCCAGGCCTGAGCCTGTCATATCGCTGATGCGTGGCCGACGGCCGTCGCTCGCTTTCTTCCCCTTTATTCCTTTCGAAAGGTGGTCTACAGTATATTTCTTATTCAGTATCGCGACCTGGTCACTGCCGCACGCGACTAAACTTGCCAGTTGGCACTCCGTATAGCTTTTGTCGGTGCTGGCTCTGGGTTCATTCATTCTTTTGGTTCACCTGTGACAGGCACGGTCCCCACGAGCGGTTGCTATAAAACCGTCGCCGCCGTCTCCTTCATCGCATCTGGACTTGTCTCGTTCTTTTGACTTTTGAGACCTGGTTCCTGGTGGATTTCAGCTCGTTCAAACCACGTCGACATTGATTCGAAACCCACCTGTTGTATACTTGACATACTCGAAACTGTCGAATAGGTCGTCGGATTCCGGTCACCGTCATGCCGCCTACTCAACTACAAAAGAAACTTGTCAGGCCTGGAAATGGCCAGGACTTCCCCAAAACCGGCGATGAAGTTACCATCGAATATACGGGCTGGCTCTACGACGGCTCCAAAGCGGACAACGACTACAAAGGCAAACAGTATGTCATGACTGGCCCGGACCAGCAGTGTCAGTCGCATTTTCTGATCTATGCGCCTCCAGGTTCGACAGCTCACGAGGTCGTGGTGATTTCAAGACTCCCATCAGGGTTGGGCGGGTGATTCCAGGTGGGTTCATTTGGTCGTCTCAACGGCAACGTCTGTGCCTAACAGCCTCTGTGAAGGATGGGATCAGGCTGTGCCCCAAATGTCGCTGGGTGAGAGGTGCATTTTGACTATTCCAGGGTGAGTTGCTCTTCTTGCTCCTCCTGTGATGATGAGGGATCGTCCGGGATGTGCAGCACTCTCGCAGATGCCTCCCACCTCCCATTTGACAAATATCACGGATCTCCACTGACCTGGATGAGCTGACTGGTTATCTAGCAACCTCGCGTATGGCGACCGGTCAGTTACTCCCCACCACCAACGCCCAACGTTTGAGAAGCATTCTCGCTTGGCTCAAATTTAGTGAGGGTCATGCGTTTTTTCAAAGCGTCCTCGGACCTCAAGTTGGACCAGGTTTGGTCTCCACACGATTGCCGTTCTGGTCGTCCTAGTGGATATTTGCCTTGCTCTGACCCTGGTTCCTCGTCCTTTGAACAGCTCACGGATGCAGAATGCAAGCTGACCATTCTGTGTTTTTACAGGGGTTTTCCTGGCTCGATTCCTCCGAACTCAACCCTTATCTTGTGAGTGCCGAAACCCCTGCCCTGCTGTTGAGAGATTCTGGCGCCCAGGATCGAAGGTGGTGCTGATTTCTGACCCTCCTGGGTCATCTGACACCGCGTCGGGCCGACTGGGCTCATTTCTTCTGTTTGGTTTCGTAATCGCCCGATTCTCATATGGCCCGGAGAGATCGACTCGTATCGCTGTGTTTATTCACTGCTAGCAATAGAATGGCGCGCGCTGACTTTGGCTTCTAGCGATGTGTATCTCAAAGGAATCAATGGCAAGACAGTATGAGGCGAGACTTGAAATGACTCTGCATTAAAGGTCCATTCAGCGAAGTTACAGGAACTGGGTAATCTCCATCCAAGAGGAAGAGTGATGTGTCACTCCTGAGATCATGTATGTGCATTGGCGTTGTGGGATTATGTTTTCAATGGCTGCAGTCCGTGTCGGTCGAGCAGGGGTTGCTATCGTCTGGGAGGCCTTCGTGTTGATTGTTTTGGGGGATTCACATTGTCATGGATTTGCAACGAAACATACCCACATAAGCATAGGAGATGAAGAGGCAGGTCTGCGTTTTGGCTGGAGTCAGCATTCTAGACATGCATTGTTATGAGCTGAAATCAAGAATTTGGTCGCCTCTGCATGGTCCTGTCCAGGGTAACCATCGCTCCGTCGGCTGAGGTCAAAGAAGCCGAGTATATGCCATGTGGCTTGCAGTCGCGTTAATGGCTGGACGCTCTGCCCGTGCTGGTCAGCGTCTTGGGCCTGGGAGTGTTGGCTGCCGGGGTGTTGCATCCTGGTCCTGAGCCCATGGTCCGCGTTCCTACTCGTACGCCGAGGCCACAAGCCCAGGCTGTGCTGCCAAGTCATGGGAGAAGATCTTTATCGTGTTGCTCTTGCCCTGCATATATTCTGCGTCACTTTGCTTGTGATGAACTGCTGCCGCACTTTCGTGCGTGGATGTCCTAGAGAACACCTCCTGCGGCTTAAACATCCGAACCTTGGAGAACCCTTCATAAATGATCAACGAGCAACACTGCAGATTATGACGATCTCCAAGTAAAGGGTTTGCTTTCTCTGTTGATCTGATGTACATGCCTCCTCTCGGGGCAGTGGCAGGATATGTAAGTCAGTAGGATACGCTCTTGCACTGACATCAATGGGAAATACCCCAGCTGGTGCATCGAGCGTGATCGACAGAAGGCATCTCCCAACGATTTACTCAATCTGCGCGTTGTTCGACTAGCGTCGCTCATCCTTGCCACAAGAATTGAATCATGACAAGACCCATCCGGACAGATTACCGATTTCACAAGTCACTTGTGGGCCTCGCGCGGCCATTCGTAGGGGTTTTTGGAGTTACATCAGGATTTTCCGGAGCGGGATGGGATGAGGGAAAGGGAATTCTCGGAGGAAATTGACAACTGTGTCAGGGCGCGAAACGAGGTGAGTGCATTTCTCACCTTCTCAGAGAGTTCTGCTGGCGTTATTGGCTTACACGGGACGGGCACCGGGTTGCGAACACCCTCCTCGACCGGGTCATGTGGCTGGCTGAGTCAAGTCAGATCTTGATCTCGACCTTGACTCTTTTCAATCATCCGATGTATCGACTGCTCGTGGGACGGCACATTAGGCGCACCCTCTTCAGCATCGGCAGTCGACTAGGCCCGACTGTGTCTGCAAGGGGACAACCACCGAGATGGAATGTGTCACGGATGCTTGCGATGGGCACGGCTGATCACCCTTGCGGACGAGATTCAAAATACCTCTGTCCGAAACATGGCGCAGTTGGACTGTCGGTTCGTGCCGATTGCTGCATTCGTTTCTCCAACGCTGGTCTCTATTGTCGTATGAATAGAGTTCAAGCTAGGCTGGGGTCGCTCGAGTCTGTCGTTATCGGGAGTTTGGCTTGGAATCGGGCACACAGGGTCTTCAGGAAGGGAGGAGAACAGCGAGTTCAGCTAAGATTCTGCTGCTCAGTACGAGACGTCGAGGATACTTTCTCACACATCGAGGCTAGGCTGGCCTTGGTCTGGACGGCATACTCGGGATCCTTCGTGTCTAATGTCACTAACAGGTACTTCAGCTGACCCACTCACCCATATCCCGGGCGCTCGTTTGGCGTTGGTCTGGGAGTCTTGGGCCAACATGCCATTTCACGCGGTGTATCTGGAGAAGCTCAAAATTGCCAGCAATGAATCTGGACGATCCGAGTGCTAGAGTCGGGAGGGCCAAACGACGGCAGCCACAGTGGAGCCTCTGAGAGCCCAAAACACCGGTCCGCGTCTTCAAGTGCTCGCACTACTCCGTCGACCACTCGAGACGGCGGTGAAGATCAGATCCCATGAAATGATCGCTGCTTCTGGGACGACTAGCTGGACCGACACCGGGTATGAGCTCCTTGCTATCCGTATCTGTTCCATGCCCTGAACTACCCCATGCGGAGAGCACTGTACCTTACGGGGTTGGATGTCGTTCTCCGGCGTACTGGAACTCGCAGGCAATGTTGTCCCCGTTTGGCTAGGGACTCATTTTGCCTCGACGCTACTGCACCATCCGGCATACTACAATACAAAAAGTTGAAACATCTCCTAGCCCACCGTCGATCGTTCCCCTAGGTCCTTTAATAGCGAGAGATGGGCCGCATCTCACGACCGCCACATTGCCAACGGGATGGTAAGCCCAATTGGCCGTCAGGAACTTGGACCCACGCGGTTGCTAGCAGCGTCCATCTATGGAGGTTATCTCGAATGCGGTTGGCACGAATCGTGCAAGGCGATGAGTTTTGAGCGAAACGGGTGGATCGTGACTTGTGAAGGGATCTTGTTTGTACAAGGACATCATCGGATCAGGCCTACCGAAGAATGGCGATCCCATTGAGGCGGAGCCTTTCCTCATCTTGTCCTGCAGTTACACGGTAACCATTCGATACACAGAAGAATGCACTAGGACCTTTTACAGTCCGAGAAGATCTTCAAGATGCGCGCTGGGCGCCACGCAATGCAGAAGACCATGGAGCCACCGACACACCAATCTACAATTTTTATTACGGACCAATCTCCTGTTACAGTATGCATCACACACCCTGTCGTCTGCTTGTGGCCGATCTACTTCTCGAACGGGTAACCGGAATCAGCTATCCGGCGAGATGCTGGAAAGGCCGGACGCACAATCTGGAGCGATCCCAAACCTTATGGTGGTGCAGCGATTGACTGGCATCCGAAGTCTCACCTCGTGTGCAGCACGGCAGAACGTCGCTTCTCGGCCACCAATCAAGTAACCATTCAATAAATCGTGCGGTAGTTCATCCTTGTACAGCTAGGATTCTTGCTTAGATTGTGATCACCTGCTGCACCTTTCGGTCCGCGCCAACAATTAGTCGCAGCTGCCTCCCTTGCCAGTCTGGCCGAACATCTTTGAACACGCCTTCCCTCAAGGTATCGGTGTACAGCTCGTACGCGGGGTAGTATCCGTCGACGAAGTGCTTGACCTGCTCGTCGGTCATGCCACTGCCACGAGCGGCACGCAGGTTGGCTTCCTGCTCGAGACGCCACTTGTACACGTATGTCGGATCGGCGGCGTCGATATGCACAAAGGCGTCCAGTTGCGAGGTGAGTTGGTCGTAGCTTTTGAGGGCATCGTTGATCGCCGTCACGCTGGCCAGCGTGTTGTGGCCCAGTCGTCCCGTGTACGGGTTCGACGGGGTCGACTTTTCCAATGCGGCGACGGCGGCTGCGTGTTTCGACCGGAGTGCACTTTCGGACAATGGTCGAAAACCGACGGACCACCCTTCGAAAAGGACCACCTGCACGGGAGAGGAGCCATCGCCGCCGCCGTTGACCACTTCCCACTCCTCCTCCGGGACACGGTCGCCTTGGCCGGCGAACGCGGCTTTGTTGTACTGTGGGATCTTGGTGGGTTGGTTCGCCTTGAGACTGGCGAAGACGGACAGCGCCAGAGGGACGTCGTGCGTCGAAGGCTGCCCGCGGTGCTGTAGGAGGGGGTTGTCGGGGTGTGATTGGGCCAGAGCCACCTGGTCCGCGTGGGTGAGGTACAAGTCGTCGAGCGAAAAGACCACGGTGGACAGAGAGTGTGGCGGCGAAGAGAGCGTCTCCTTCAGTATGTCGACCAAGACCGATTTCCCAGCTCCTTGGACGCCATTCAGCCCGATGAAGAACGGCGGCGGCGGGTTGGAGTCGTCGGCGTGCTTGGCTTGGTGTTCAGCGAGCCGACCGAGAATGAAGGGGATCACGTATTGGCCTTTGTCATCTTGAATCTCGGGCATATTTTGACGCTGTTAGTCTCAGAAAATATGATTCAACGACGTCGCAGAGAAACAGAGAGACCACAGAGAAAAGAGAGTAGAAAATAAATCTTCATTGATTCATTTGATCTTAACAAAAAAACTCTCGCGGGCAGAAAATTGACCGTCACGATGCGGAGAGCAAGCCGGAGATGGGGCTGAGAGACACGGAAGAAGGACCTCTTTACGAGTTTTGGTAGAGTATGAGGGAGTGTGGGTGTATGTTATTATTATTGCTGTTGTGCTGTTGTCTATGTACACGCAAGGTAGATATGAAGTATACGAGTCCTTCAAGTGAGCGAGTTGTCGTCCATCGACCACTGTATGAATTCTTCGAACAGATGTGTCCAGCTGTTGTAGTATTACTCAACAGCGTTGTTGGGTCCCTTTCAACCCGCATTTCACATGCCGAAAATCTCCCCCGGATGAGGGAAAGAGACACATCGGGAACTGTCGTGGCCCGTCAATTTATCTTTATTATTGACGGCCGTAACTGGGGAGATGAGGGTGAGATGTGAGTAATTAACAGCACGGGACAGTATGCGAGATCGGTGGAAATATAACCGGCCCCATACTGACATCTACGCATATACTCCAGTCCCGTGACCTGGCAGTTGTGGTTTTCGTGGGGCCTCGGCCTCGTCGAACCTCGGCATTTTTTCTCGTAAGCTGCACGTAGCAGGCAATTGTCTCTTGTCTCTCCTTGTCATGGGCCCAAAGAGACTCTTGTCAATGACCTCAAGTACCGAGTTGCATACTGTGCTGCTAATAAATTCATTATCGTCTCCGGCATCAATCGTCGGCTATACCAATCCCACTTGATTTCGCTGCCTCCTGGTCGTTGTGTTTTAATTGATTATTCTTCTTCTTCTCCTTTGCTATCGTCCCTCATCCTCTGTCACATATCACACCCTTTCCCAGCTCGCCCTCTCACACCCCCGCGAGTTGTTTTCGATCCCTCCTCCTCCACATCACCCGCATGCGCCGCAGTTGAGAAAGATGGTCCAGGAGCTTCGTTTTGACAACCAGACCGTAGTGGTCACTGGTGCAGGAGGTGGTCTGGGCAAGGCATACGCCCTCTTCTTTGCTTCGAGAGGCGCCAATGTCGTCGTCAACGATCTAGGAGGATCTTTCAAGGGTGAAGGTGCCGGCACCAAGGTTCGTAGTACCTGAGGGGTTTTGGCTGTCACATGCCTTTTTTTTGGACCAATACTGACGTATACAATTTTCCCGCAGGCGGCAGATGTGGTCGTCGATGAGATCAAAAAGGCTGGCGGCAAGGCCGTGGCCAACTACGACAGCGTCGAGAATGGTGAAAGAATCATCCAGACAGCCATCGACAACTTCGGCCGCGTCGATGTACTCCTCAACAATGCCGGCATCCTCCGAGACATCAGTTTCAAGAACATGAAAGATTCTGACTGGGACCTGATCAACACGGTACACATCAAGGGTGCCTACAAGTGTGCGAGAGCTGCGTGGCCACACTTCAGGAAGCAAAAGTACGGCAGAGTCATCAACACCGCCTCCGCCGCCGGTCTGTTTGGCAGTTTCGGTCAGTGCAACTACTCGGCCGCCAAACTGGCCCAAGTCGGCTTCACGGAGACGCTGGCCAAGGAGGGTCAAAAATACAACATCCTGTGCAACGTCATTGCGCCCATCGCTGCCAGCCGCATGACCGAAACCGTCATGCCGCCGGATGTGCTGGCCAACCTGAAGCCGGAGTGGGTTGTTCCCCTCGTGGCTGCGCTGGTGCACCCATCAAACACGACGGAAACCGGGTCCATCTTCGAGGCCGGCGGTGGTCACGTCGCCAAACTGAGATGGGAGCGTGCAAAGGGCCTGCTGTTGAAGGCCGATGACACGTACACCCCAGGTGCCATTCTGAAGAAGTGGGATTCCGTCATTGATTTCTCCGAGCCTGAGTATCCTAGTGGCCCGGCAGACATGGTTACAAAACTCGAAAATTCATTGAAGATGGGCAGCAACGACAAGGGAGAAGACATTCGATTCGACGGCAAGGTGGTGCTTGTCACAGGTGGTGGCGCTGGGTATGTGATGAGTGATGTGTTTCTCATTGAACATCTACTAACGAATCTACAGTCTCGGCCGCGCATACTGCTTGGCCTTTGCCAAACGGGGTGCGTCCGTGGTTGTCAACGATCTTGTCAATCCTGATACTACCGTTCAAGAAATCCAGAAGCTCGGAGGCAAGGCCGTTGGCAACAAGGCTGATGTTCAGGATGGTGATGCTGTCATCAAGACCGCCATCGACAACTTTGGCAGAATCGATATCTTGATCAACAACGCCGGTATCCTCCGTGACAAGGCTTTTACCAACATGACCGACAAGCAGTGGGACGATGTTATCAATGTTCACTTGCGTGGTACCTACAAGGTCACCAAGGCCGCGTACCCCTACATGGTGAAGCAGAAATATGGCCGCATCGTAAACACCACCAGCACAAGTGGTATCTATGGCAGTTTCGGCCAGGCCAACTACGCCGCAGCAGTAAGGTTATCCTGCACCATCCCTGAGACTATTTACTAACGATTGCTCCTAGAAACTCGGTATCCTAGGCTTCTCTCGCGCTCTTGCGCTCGAAGGCCGCAAGAACAACATTTTCGTCAACACCATCGCCCCTAATGCCGGAACCCAGATGACACGGACAATCTTGCCAGAGGAACTGGTACAGGCTTTCAAGCCCGATTATGTTGCCCCGCTTGTTCTTCTCCTCTCGTCGGACAAGATGCCCGATCCGCCAACAGGTCTTCTGTTCGAGGTCGGCAGCGGCTGGCAGGGACGGACGAGATGGCAACGGTCCGGCGGCCACGGCTTCCCTGTTGATGTCAAATTGACTCCTGAACACGTCGTGGAGAAATGGTCCAAGATCATCGACTTCAACGACGGCCGTGCAGATCATCCAGAAGGTGGTCAAGACGGCCTCAAGTCCATCATGGCCAACATGGAAAACAAGAGCAAGAAATCATCCGGCTCAGATTCGACCGACTATCTTGCTGCCATTGAGAAAGCCAAACAAGCCAAGTCCGACGGCACAGAATTCAGCTACGACGACCGAGATGTCATTCTCTACAACCTGTCCCTGGGCGCGAAGAGAACGCAACTGCCACTCGTGTACGAGAATGACGACAACTTCCAGGTTCTGCCGACTTTTGGTGTCATTCCCTTCTTCAATGCCCAAGCTCCATTCTCAATGGATGAGGTCCTCCCTAACTTCTCTCCCATGATGCTTCTTCATGGTGAGCAATACTTGGAGATCAGGAAATTCCCTATCCCCACAAAGGCCAAGACGCTGTCATATCCCAAACTCATCGAAGTCGTTGACAAGGGTAATGCCGGTATCGTGGTTACAGGAATTACCACCAAGGATGCCAACACTGGCGAAGATTTGTTCTACAACGAGTCCACCGTCTTTGTCCGTGGGTCAGGCGGATTTGGCGGACCCAAGAAGGGTGGCAACCGTGGTAACGCCACCACAGTCTACCAAGTACCCAAGCGTGCACCTGATGCCACGGTGGAGGAGAAGACATCGGATGACCAAGCTGCACTCTACCGGTTGAACGGTGACCGCAACCCTCTGCACATCGACCCCGAGTTCAGCAAGGTTGGTGGTTTCAAGGATCCCATCTTGCACGGTTTGTGCTTCTTTGGCTTCAGCGGTAAGCACATTGTCCAAAGCTTTGGTCAAATCAAGAACATCAAGGTTCGTTTCGCTGGCACTGTCATCCCAGGCCAGACTCTGGTGACGGAAATGTGGAAGGAGGGCAACAAGGCCATCTTCCAGACAAAGGTCAAGGAGACTGGCAAGTTGTGTATTGCCGGAGCTGGTGCCGAACTAGTGGGTTCAGCCAAATCAAAATTGTAAAATCTACAAGTAGCCCGGGAAAATGGTTGATTTGATTGTTTAGCATATAGTCCGACTGTTTAACTGGTGTAATGTCATAGAACTTGCAACTGCCTGGGTATGCTCTCTCTCTGGTGACCTGTAAGATGAAAACCAACAAGCACATCTCAAAGGGACGAGGGACTCCGGATAGGACATGCCGATGGAAAAGAGGAAGTCCTCCACGGCAGGACTCCATTAAGAATAGAAGTCAGATTGTTGGAGATGATGTTCGTACACGTAGGGGCCGACCAAATTCGTCATGTCCTCGTCCCATTGTCTTTGACAACATCTCCAACTCGGAGCATGTGGAGTAATACTACCAAGGTCGACCACCTTACCTGGGCGAGCGGGTATTAGGGTAGTCCATGGGGTACGGGAGAAGCGAGTAAAAGTACTTTGTACGAAGCGTCGCAATTTGGTACGTATAACTCATCATAAGTCCCTCAATCCTCAGGGACGTCGCGGCGATATATTGACCCAGCAGGAATTCAAGGCCTCTGATCCTTTTGAATTTCAACAGACATGGCGTCCGACACAGCATCTCCGTCGTCGTCGTCGTCGTCGTTGCTACCTCCACACCTCGGATTCGTAGGTCTGGGGATCATGGGTTTCCCCATGTTTTGTAACTTGGCCGGCAAGATCCCCTCGACCTCGACGGTACATTTTTACGACGTGAACCCGGAGAGCATGGAAAGGGCCCTGAGAGAACCCGGATTGGTGGCCAAGTTGGACCGGTGTAGCAGTGCAAAGGAAGTTGCGGAAAAGAGTGTGAGTTTTTTGTTTTTTGAGAGACCTCCACCGACAAAACAAAAACATGACGGAGGGCGAATGGTCCAGACACGGCCAAAACTGTCTTGCGGGGGGCTTCACTTTGGCTCCAAAAACAAATCCGAATGAGGAGATGATTTGCTGACCGACACCTTTGAGGTTCGACAGGACATTTTGATATCAATGGTGCCAGAGGGTAAACACGTCCGGGAGGTTTATTTGAACCCGAAAAGTGGTGTGTTGTCTGCCACCAATCTGTCCGACAAGATCCTGTTGGACAGTAGTACGATCGACACGACGACGTCGTTGTCGGTCGGTGAAGAAACCAGCAAGCGACACCCGACCGCAAAGTTCTACGACGCACCCGTATCCGGTGGCAGTTTGGGCGCGAAGAATGGGACCATCACCTTCATGGTGGGTTGTTCCGAGACCGACACCAACATGGGCCTCTTGAGGGAGTTGTTCAGTCTCATGGGTCGGAATACCTTTGCCTGCGGTGGACCGAGTTTGGGGCTGGTGGCGAAACTTTGCAACAACTATCTAAGTTTCACCACCACCCTGGGCAACGCGGAAATGTTCAACCTGGCCATCAAGAGCGGCATGGACCCGAGGATCTTGCAGGAAATCCTCAAAACCTCGAGCGGTGGAAACAGGAATGCGCAGGTCGAGAACCCCGTACCCGGACTGAGTCCGAATGCACCGGCGAGCAACAATTACAAACCGGGATTCATCATCGAGTACGTCAAAAAGGACATCGAACTCGCAATGGACGCCTGTGAACGTGTCGACGCGAAATTGTTCATGGGCCCATCCATCAGGGACGCTTATTACGAAGCAAGTAAACCCCCAGAAAACTCCGGGATGGATTCGAAAATCGTTTATCGCTGGATGGGTGGGGAGGAGGATTGGAAAGAAAAGTTGGGATTGTAAATTGGAACGAGTTGAGGTGACTTAAGCCGAGTCGAGTTGAGTCGAGTCGAAGTCGATGTTGACCTGAGTTGACTTCGCCATGGTCCAACATTGGGTTGATTTGTTTGCAAGACACTTTGGACGTTCTCGTCGGGGTCGTCATGACTAACGTTGTCGATGTTGACGGTAGGGAGGGAGAAATTGTGCTGGCCACGACAAGTCTTAACGTCTTGAAGGGGGGGGAGGGGGAGGGGGAGGGGGGGGAATAAGGGTAAGGGGACGAGGAAAGGGGACAACGAAACACTCGTAAAAAGGTACCGCGGCCAGACAAATTCTTCACAAATATCTCTTCTGGTCCCCCATGTGTCAGATCGATGCACCGTATGAGAGGCATGTTGAGTTGAGTATCAGACACTTGACCGTCGGGACCTTCTCCACATGGCAAGACCTCGTACTCTCCGTACGTACTCGTACAATCCAGGAGATCAGTCGGAACTGTGCCGTGATACTCCGTACTCCGTAGTCTTCTCCGCACAAAATAGCCCATAAGTTCGGCAATCAAGGCAAAGTCAACAACCATGAAGAGTTGGAGTCTCGGCAATATCAACAGCGGGCAATACTTTTGTTGAAATGTCGTAACAAGTTGCAAAGTCTAGGGATGAAATTGATCTCAGTTTCGAGCTTTCTGATAAAGTGTCGTGCGGCCGAACGAGGAAATCCACCTAAACATCTAGTTCATCACGTATCTTACTCCTTGAGGATCACAAAGTTCCATCGTACATTGTGTACAACGAGGTCGACCAGGGCAAGTTCAAGTCATAGCCGACACGTCAACATGGGTTCTGTGGCACAACCGTTCAAGAAGCCGATTCCATACGAGGTACCAACTCGCGCCGAACGTTTTGCGTTTCAGTGGTTCTTACCGTTGTTCTTCAGTTCAAAGACTCATCATTGATCGATACAAGATCGCTCATCGGGGGCCAATGGGTCGGAGCAGCGTCAGGAAAGACTTTCAAGCTTACAGGTTAGTCCGACGACTGCCGAGCTTCTCTTTGGGACCATCCCTGACAAAGCTCGTCCTTTCCAGACCCGGAAGATGACGGTGAGATCTGTGATATCGCCGACCTCGATGGAGAAGACACCCGCCGGGCAATCGAGGCGGCCAGCCAGGCCTTTGAAACGTACAAACTTACTCCCCACAGGGAACGGCGATGGCTCATGCGAAAATGGGGAGACCTCATCAAGGCCAACAGAGAAGACCTCGCAGCCTTGAACACGCTTGAGCTGGGCATGCCTTACACCGAATCCCTGGCCAAGGTGCAATATGCGGTTGACTTTGTGGATTGGTTCGAAGGTGCCGTGGAGCGGACTTTCGGCGAGACGATCCCGGCCTTTCGCGGGAGCAACAGGATCTTGACCATCAGGCAGCCACAAGGCGTGGTGGCGTGCATCACCCCGTGGAACTCACCACTGGCCATGGTGACGAGGAAGGTGGGGGCGGCCATTGCGGCGGGAAACACGGTCGTGTGCAAGCCCGCACCAGAAACACCATTGTGCGCCATCGCTTTGGCCAAGTTGTTCGAGCGCGCTGGAGGTCCTCCGGGCGTCTTCAACATTGTGACGACCAGCCCTGCCAATACGCCGGCGGTCGGCCATCAGTTGTGCAGCCACAATGCTATTAGACATCTGAGCTTCACCGGTTCGACCGCCGTGGGCAAGATGCTGAACACCGAGTGTGCAAAGACGATCAAAAAGACAAGTTTGGAGTTGGGAGGATTGGCGCCGTTTATCGTGTTTGAAGATGCTGATGTCGACAAGGCCGTGGCAGGTAAGTGTCGTTACAACCACTCCCCCAACGTCTGACGTGGGCGACACCTGACGACTTTCAGGGCTGATCACCTCCAAATTTCGGTCTTCGGGGCAGACGTGTGTCTGTGCAAACCGTATCTACGTCCATTCTTCGATCCTGGACAAATTCGCCGATGCTCTGTCCGAAGGAGTCAAGAAGACATTCACCTACGGATCCGTGTGGGACAAGAAGGTGAACTTTGGTCCTTTGTATGCTGGCAAGGGTATCGCCAAAGTTGCAGCTCACCTCGATGATGCGCTTAAGAATGGAGCCAAAGTTCATTCCGGCGGCAGAGATGACAGAGCCGGCCCTAATTTCTTCCCACCTACCGTCCTCAAAGGCGGAAGAGTAGGCATGAAGTTCATGGAGGAAGAGACGTTCGGGCCTCTGGCGTTTTTGGTCCCCTTCGACACCGAGGAAGAGGTCATCAAGATGGCAAACACTGCAGATGTTGGTCTCGCAGCCTATTTTTATACCGAGGATATATCCAGGTTGTGGAGGGTCAGTGAAGCGTTAAAGGTCGGCATGGTTGGTGTCAGGGTTGGTTTGGTGAGTGCAGCGGAGGCACCTTTTGGCGGTGTGTTGGAGAGTGGACTGGGTCGAGAAGGCGGTATTGCTGCATTGGAGGAATATTTGGACATTAAGAGTATCACCATTGGACTTTGATTGTCTGAAGTGTTAGTAGATGGATGGTCTCGCATAATTGTTGTCACAGTGTTGGTGTCGGTGTTGATGATTGTAAGACTCGGGAATCCAGAAAGTGACGAGGATCGAGCGATGTCGGAAGCGCCTTGGCAAATTCTTCCACCTTAACGACTTCGCGCTCATTTCTATATCTTGAATTCCTCCACAATCACGACAACTCTAGAACTGAGACGTCTACTGTAATACGAATGCCTCGGGATAACGGTGACACCCTTAAGATTTCCTGGAGTTCAATTGCAAACTGAGTCCACTGCGTCGTGCCCGAAGTTCAACTGTACCAACCACAACCATTTCCATCTACAATGCTCATCCTCAAGGAACGCGATGTGTACGGCTTGCTGTCTGATCTCACGGTCCCAGAATGTCGACGACTTCTTGACAGCATGCATAACGTCCTCCGAGAATATACACGCACGAAGCATGCGGCGGCGTCGAACCGCTCAATACATCAACCGCTTCGAACAGTCATCACCACTAAGCTCGGAAACACCGCATTATTCATGCCCTCGTCCGTAACGACGACCACGGGCATGAAGGTAGTCACTGTCAGCCAAGCAGGCTTGAAAGGAGCCATTAATGTGTTTTCTCCCGACGGAACGCTACTGGGTCTTCTGAACGCCGATCACGTCACGGCCTTCCGGACCGCCTTGGCCGTTATGATTCCCTATGTGCGATATCCGTATTCAAAGGATAACATCGTCGTCTTTGGCGCGGGGAGACAGGCAGAATGGCACCTCAAATTGGCTTTGCTGTTGGGCGAGGGTGCAGTGAAGCATGTCACGGTCGTCAATCGGAGTACACCACGAACCATGGAACAATTGTTCGAGACGTTGCGACAAAAGTATCCAGGAACCTCTTTCGAGATGCTTCTAAAGACAGACTCGGATTACAATGCAAAACTAGAAGAACGTCTTAAAGCGTCCAATGTGGTGTGTTGTACCACACCCGCAACCGAGCCTCATTTCCCGGCCTCATATCTCGACCACAATCCACGCTACATCTCACTCATTGGATCGTACAAGCCAGAGATGCAGGAAGTTGATGCCGAGACGCTGCTCTCGGGTGAATACATCTACGTCGACACCGAGGAGGGATGCCTTTCGGAAGCAGGAGAGCTGATCAAAGCGAATGTGCAAGAGCATCAATTGATCGAGCTAGGTGAACTTCTTAGCGACAAGCCATTTGCACTTCAAGGGAACCTTGTGTTCAAGTGTGTTGGCATGGGAATTATGGATACCGTCGTGGGCGGAGACCTTCTTCAAATGGCCACAGAGAAAGACGTTGGGCTAGTCGTGGACGACTTTTGAAAATGGGTTGGAGAATAAAAGCTGCCGTCCACTCCCTCCCTACACACCATCTCCGAAAGCGTAGTCCTTCCCCCACCGAGTATCCCACGGTTTCGACTGATCAACGAACCTCAAATCGGTTCCTAGTCGGATCTTATTATCTGGGTCATGGTTGATGGTAGAGGCATGGATCTATTTCATCCGTTAACAATGGTCAATCAACGTCTGGGGAATGGGTTATGGTTACATACCGCATAAGCGTTGTGGAGGACAACGTCTCCGGCTTCATACTCGGTCAACAACCATCGACGATTGTATCGCTTACCAAACTCCGACGGACCGTCAGCGAGGAGCCCACCACTCATCATGTTTTGATTGAAGGCATTCTTGGCTTCTTCATCACTCAGCCCGCTTGCTTTGGCCTTTTTGGTGAATTGTGTTTCGATCTCTGCGCCCAAAGTGTGGCCCTTTTCGAGATATATCAAGCCACCTCCTTGTCTGGATATGTCGCCGACAGGGATCCAAGCAGTCACCGCGGTGTCCTCGCCGTATCGTAGGAAGATCTGATCATAGTGCACTCCGATCGCTTTGTTCCCTGGTGTATTGTTCCGCAAGAGTGTCCGGCGGATACCCAGTGTGTTGTCGCCCCAACCTGTCAGTTTAGCGATATAGTCCCGTAGAGCAGGATGCTTGCAAAAGTCTTCCTTGTACCAATGCTCCGTGTGGGCTTGAAGAGCCAGGTCGACGAAACATTGAGCGACTTCAGGATGTGGTCCGGTTGGACGACCGTTCGAATCGGTGAAGCCTGCGCCAATGCCGGGGAAGTCGAGCTTGTCCTTGGACGAGTCAAAAATACCGTCCACCGGGTCCGTTCCTGGTTTCAGGACGCCACTGGGCGCCAGGAGCTTGAAGTACTCTTCTCTGGCTTTCAGGACGTCGGCGCGAGGTAGTAGGCCTTTGAGAAAGAGATAGCCATCCTCTCTAAATCGCCGGCGCACCTCCTCGATGGGAGCGTCGAGTGTCGTAGGTGTCAAATCAGTCCATTCCTCTGGGCTCAGCGGCCCGTCGTTGACGAACAACTTTTCGCCGCCGAATATCTGTTCAGCTTCGGGTGACTCTGCGTGAGGCATTTTCAGCGACTGGCTATGGAACAAGGAAATTACGACACCAGCGAGTATCCTGGAAATGATCAGAATATGTGTTTGATTTGCGGCAAAGTGTTTGTGAAATCTTATATACCGGATTGCCGCTGTCTCGAGTGAAAATGGAACAAGTATCTAGTGGACCCTCGACAGGACTCTAACGTGTTGGCCTACGAAGGACGGAGGATTGCCCTCTATTTAGCCACCGATCGACGTCGGGAATTTCCTTTTTTCAGCACCCATCAGATTCGCAGATCCAGAAGACCTCAAGCTGGTGGATGTTCTCCTCTTCTTCCCCCGTTTTCGACTAAAAGAGCAATGAATCCCGCAACCTTCAAGTTGTTTCTCCTTCTCCCCCGCCTCGCTTGTATTCCATTCCGTGAATCTGGGGATGTTGGTGCGCCATGTCCTGCGAACGATGCAGGGAGCGTCACACTAAATGTATGGATCTGTCTGCATGGAGTACACGTGCCAACGTACACTAACGAATTTCAGGTGACGACCGACAGCCACGATGTAGTCGTTGTGAGAAGGCAGGCCGACAGTGCAAGCGGACATCGAAAAGGTCGCTTCGAGTGGCAGTGAGGCCTACCGGGTTCGCGGTCCATCAGACTTGGGTGCCGGTCCCGCCTCGAGGTGGGTGATTGCGGTTGATGACAACTCCTGGAAGCAATCTGACCATTGCAACAGTGGATTTTGTAGACGAAAGTGCTGCATTGGTGTCAAGCGAGACAAGTTGGAGGGACTGTGAAACCGGACGTCCAGAGCGAGAACATGCGGAATCTGTGACATCCACCGGGACCGCTGCCGGGATCTCTCTTCGAAGCCCGGCCAGTGCAGCTGCACAGAATGACGAGAATGCCAATCTGTTTGGAGTGTCCGATGAAGCGTTCCAGCAGCAGGTTCAATCACCCTTTGCCACGAGACAAGGTGCCGATTTGATGCGATACTTTGTCGACCACTGTGCGTGCTTCTTCGACTTTAGTGACTCTCGTCGGCATTTCGCCTGCGACGTGCCCCAGCGAGCGAGGAGAAATGGAATGTTGGCGAATGCCATGCTGGCATTGGCGGCCCGTCATCGGAGTCGAACCCGTCATTACGATTCCTACATCTCGGATCGTTACTACCACGAGTGCTTGCAAGCGTTGATACCGAGGCTCGGAGATTCTGCAGCGATCAAGGACGACGAATTGCTAGCAGCTGTGGTCATTCTCCGGCTTCTCGAGGAGATGGATGGTCAGTGACACATCTGCCACATGGCCATGGAGGACTAACGTCGGGCTCTACATAGTATCAATTGTCGGATCAGATCCTCAGGGCCATCTCATGGGGACTCAGGCCATCATAACGGCTTCGCAAATACAGTCTCCTTCACCCGTCACGTCACTACGCAAAGCATGTTACTGGGGTGCATTTCGGCAAGAGATCTTCATGTCCTTGACTTTTCAAAGACCATTCAAGCTCCGCCTGCCTAACCTGGCGCCGTCGGTGTCGTCGGCTGATGACTGGGAGTGGTCCCTGAAAGCAACCTATCTGTGTGGAAAGGTACAAGAGTTTGTGTTTGGAGACGATGTTGCGAATGCCGACGAGTACCATCGATTAACTCGCGAGGTTGGCGCGTGGAAAAGGGAGCGGCCAACGGGATTCGACCCCATGTATCAAGACTCGTGCGTAGAGGCTGGTTCATTTCCAGAGATTCGCCTCCACATGGACTGTCACGGTAAGTGCATGCCGCTCGACCCTGGCCATGGAACTTGACTGATGTGGTGTTCAAGTCATGGGCTGGCAGTACATATCGATGGCGCACCTCCTTCTGATTGTCCACCAACCATTACCCAGAGTTGGACCGCGTCACAAAGAGGCATTGCAAAGCATGGAGGAGGCAGCAATTGCCGAAGTCAAAACAATTTGCGGCGTCGCCATGTCCAATTCCCAAACCGCACCGGCACAACTAGTTGCATGCATGGCCATCACCTTATGTGAGCTAAGATCTCCTGGTCATTCATTCCAGATCGTCCGTGAGGAAACTAACTTTTTTCCCTTCACCAGTTGGGGATCGTTTCGTGTCGCGGTCCGAACAAGCGCTGTTGCGAGAGATGCTCATTCGGACGGAGAAAAGCACCGGGTGGCCGACATTGTCAGCACAGCAACAGCTCGAAAGATGCTGGCACTGGGATATGAGAAAGTCCAGCTCGTCGATCCGAGAACCGAGTTCTGTCTGACTCCATGGGGCTCCGCAGATGAACCAGCCATCAACCAATATGCAATGTTTGTCGGGCTAGCCCAAATGGGACGACATCGGGTTAGAGAGTCCGATGATCAGCGACAGTCCAGAAACTGCGTTCCCACCACACACAGAACGAACTTGCAGAACCCGTAGCGGCCAGCGGAGAGTGGCCCATGGGGTTCTGGCGTGTCCACTACTTATGGCCATCGTTTTAGGAGTATAAATAAAAGCCGTGTGGTGCTTTGTTGCCGGTGCCCGACGGGTACAACTTCTTCTCATCTTGTTTGTGTCTACCGGGCTCTCTCGCTCTCACACACAGCGCCTTCCTCACCAGTCTTCTTCAACATGTTCAATATCAAGCAAACCAAACTTATACGCCCTCCGCCTGGCCACGATGTGGATCGACCCAGGCCGGCCAACCTGACATATGTATACCTCGTTACCGCTTTTGTGTCCCTTGGTGCGCTTTTGTTTGGCTACGACCAGGGCGTGATGGGAACAATCGTCGCGGATGAGCGATGGATACAATTGATGAGGCCCAAAAACTCCTGGGTGACTGGAGCCGTGGTGTCTCTCTACGACGTTGGTTGCTTCATAGGTGCCATGAGTATCGGGTATCTAGCAGACTCTTGCGGGAGAGAAAGGACTTTGTCCATTGCTAGCGTCGTGTTCATCGTTGGGGCGGTCATCCAGTCGGCTTCATATGATGTGCCCACCATCACTGTTGGGAGGATCATTCTCGGGTAAGTTTTTGCTGTGCTTGGCTACGCCCAGGTTTTTCTTTTCTTTTGACACTACCACTGGGGCACGACTCGCTTGTCACCATGGCGCCCTGACTCTTGAAAGCTCTGTGTTGAACAGTTTGATTAACTGGACTCATTGTTAGGTACGGTGTCGGAGCGTGCGCCGCAGGTGTTCCCTTGTACGTTTCCGAACTGGCCCCTCCGGCGATCCGGGGGAGGATCATCGGCATCGAACAGATGATTTTGTGTCTGGGGGAATTGATCGCCTTCTGGCTCGACTATGGGTTTTCCTACCTGAGTATCCCCGACTGGTGGCGCATCCCGCTCGCGATCCAGGTGGTTCCCGCGGCGCTTTTGGCTGTGGGGTGCTGGCTGTGGGTGCCTCCCAGTCCGAGGTGGCTGGTCCAACAGGACCGACACGAGTGCGCCAGGGAAGTTCTCGCTCGACTGCACGGCGACGAGGCGGCGGAACTCGAGATGCAAGAAATCGCCGAGAACGTGGCTTTCGAAAAGACCGTGACCATGGCCGGGTGGATGGACATGTTTCGCTGGCCCGTCCTGAGGGTCACGTTACTGGGAACGGGCGTTCAATTCTTTCAACAAATCACGGGGACGAACTCGATCTTGTATTACTCCCCTTCGTTGTTTCAACGTGGAGGGATCGAAAACGCACACACCCGGAACCTCGCCACGGGAGGTATTGGAATCGTCCTGTTCGTTTTTGCCTGGGTACCCATTTTTGTTTTTGACAGACTAGGTCGAAAAACTTGGTTACAAATCGGTGTGATAGGGATGATGTGTTCAATGATTGGTATTACAGGTATGTTCACCGTGCAGGGATTGATATGGAGTGACAACACAAAGGCTGACCATATTGAAAAACAAAAGTCCTTCAGTGGCACGCTGAACATTTTCCGGGAAACAGTGGAAATTACGCCATCATCGTCTTCCCTTATCTGTTCTATGTCAGTTTCAACATCAGTTGGGGTGTAGGGTCTTGGACCTACGCGAGCGAGATCTTCCCCGTCACGTACCGCGCAAAGGGGAACGCCATATCGACCATGGCCCTGTGGTCGGGTTGTTACATCGTGGCCCAGGCGAGCCCTCCCATCGGGTCCGCCATCGGCTGGGGTCTGTACATCATCTACTCGGGCATCTGCGTCCTGGCGTTTGTGTTCGTGCGGTACGCCATGGTCGAGACCCAAGGAAAGACCCTCGAGGAGATGAGTCGGTTGTTTGGCATCGAGGAGAAGTTCGCGGTCCGGAGTGGCATCGACCCGGCGTCGGCGTTTCACCATGACAAGAACAACAACAACAAACAGGTCATCATGCAAGAGCGCGTCGAGGAAGTGAACAAATGACTACAATGAGGTAGAAAACCCAAAAACAATCAGCGGTAGAAAGAGGCGCTTGACGATGAGAGTCTATGATGTTCTTATCACCCACAAGAAGATCCGTAGATGGCGAGGCGACGTGCTACCCAAATCCAACCACCAAGTCATGTTGGTTTGTCGCCTTTTCCAGTACAACTGTGTAAAGAGTCTCGAGATAATGGAAATGAGACAGGCCACGCAATGCAGAGATCCGTTGTCCACCTAATGACATGAGGTTCAGGCTGCGTCATCCAAAGTCCCCCGGGGAGTCGTCTTGTGAATTTGCAGGTGTGTAGAATGACAAGACTGGATCTAAATCCACTGCTTGTGTATGTGATGGGACTGATCGAGATTGCAAGACATGCATACAAAGTCGGAGACATCACTGATACTCTCGAGCACATCATCAACCCAAATGGCGGACGAGAACCAGCGTCTTCATCCGAGAAAGATACCGAGTGTGTCCTTGCTGCGCGAGTCACAGCCCATTCATGATCCTCGAAGCTGGCTGTCTCATATTCTCTGGGACGGTTGGCCTGCGTAGCGCGTCCCAAGCCTTGTTCGGCCAGCCATGGTTCTCCCTCAGTTTGACCTGAAGCTTGGTGGTGTGAGCAGGATGCCCGACGCCTCGACTCGTTGGGTAGCGCGTTTGAGTAGAAGTTGGTGGTGTCGAGAAGAATCTGCTGTTTCTCGTCCATAGTACCAACTGCATCGAGTTGTCCAGTGATGAATTGTGATTTCCATGGGCTTGAGCAGATCAAAATCTCAACCAAGTTCCATCCTTTCAGCCATGAGAAATTCCTCGTCAGCGATATCATCGTCGAATTCATCTGGACCCGTGACATGGCCGTTGGTACCGTTCTGAATCGCCGGATTGTTCACTTCGCTATGCATATAGTCGTGAAAGTGAGCTCCTTCTCGACCTTCATCGCCTTGTCCTCTCTTCAGTCCCTGTTCCGTTTGGAAAGCTTCTAATTCACGAAGCGTCCAACTATCTTTGCCCTTGGTGGTGCCATCCGCTGCCTTTTGGCCGGGCAATAGTGGCTGCGCTATGTTCCTCAGGAACTTTTTAGCCATGCCAACAGCTGCATCGGTGCTTAGGCCGGTCTGACCATCAAGAATTTCCTCCGCAATCCAACGGGGCAATTGACTGCGTTTCTTCTGGAATCGCCGATCGGCGAGGACCATGATTCCGTAATCATCCTTCCCTCGAAGCACTCGACCCAAGCATTGTGCAGCATGTCTCATGGCATCGAAGGATAGAAAGTCTTGTTCTTTGATTCGATAGTTCTCACGTAGAAATTCTAGTCTGGCCTTTAGAATTCGTGATTCGGTGTATTGGAAAGGCGCGCCGAGGCACAACACTGTTCGGCCATAGTGATGATCAAAATCGATACCCTCAGAGACCTTGCCACGAGCGACACAGAGCAGGATCGCTCCCTTGCCGTTCTCGCAAGCTGTACGGTATGTTTCGAGCGCCAGACTAGTTTCTTGAGCGTCAGGGGTTTCCACGAGTAGTAATTTGTAGGTCCAAATCTGATCGAGGATACCCATTCCTTGCCACATACTGATGATCATCTCCATGTAGAGATAAGAAGGGAAGAACACCACGATTCCGTCCGGCGTTATTTTGGCGAACTCAAATAGGAGCGCGCCATAATTTCGGACGACACCAGGATCTGATCGAGATTGGAAGCCTGACGTGATAGATTGTTGATCTGAACCTCGCGTAACGATCATTGGCAGAAAGGATCGTCTCGCCAGTGACATGGGATATGACTCTTGAGTAACAGTTGTGAAATTCAACATTTTCGGATACATCTCAAGAGGTGATATGGTTCCGGACGTGACAATGACGGAGGAAAATCGTTCAAAGACGGGTTTGATGGCGATGGAGGCGTCCAGACATGCGAAATGTAGGACGGGATTCGGCACCGTGGCTTGCTCTGTCTCGAATGGTTCCAGGATCAGTAGGAAGCCGGTTTCGTACGTGGCGACTAAAGTGGCGAACGTTGCGACTTCTTGCAGAGGCTGATAGTCTTCGATATTCGTCAATTCAAGAGTACGGACAAGGGAGGTCAACCGTTCAGCACAAAACCTCAACGGTTTGCGTTCGATGAAGGTCAACTCTTTGAGATGGGAGAGGAACGAGGGTGGAGTTTCCTGAATGACATAGAGGACTTTCATTCTCGTTTTTAAATACTCGATGAATCGCTTGAGGAAGGCGACGAAGTGTTCTGCTCTGCGGATATTGCCAGGTACGGCTTCTTTTAAAAGATCATCTGGTAACGTCGGGTTGGCCATAAAAGCATCTTCAGCTCTAGCTTCATCTGCCTCCCGCAGACCTTCGACAAGTTTTTGATACTCGCTCTGGAGTTTCTCTTCGTCCGAGGCCTTCATATCCTCAATCTTCCTTTCCAGATTATTGGCACCTCGTGTGGCTTTTCTCAGAGAATCTTCTGTTAGATCGATAGACAGCGACTCAATGCAGACATTGTCAATATTGTGAGCTTCGTCGAAAACGACGATGCAGTCTTTTGAAAGCTCTTTGGAAACACGTTCCGCGATTTTAGGATCTAGCAGGTAGTGGTAGGAGTAGATTATGACATTGCAGAACGACATCATTCTCCGGGCGGAGAAATATGGGCACTGCTTGTGGTCCTCACCGTATTTCAAGAGATCGTCCAGTGTGAACACGCCCGGGGGTAGGAGATTGTGAGGCTCGAGAAGATCGAGGTTCTCGTGGTATATACAGAGTTCGACGTCTTCTCCTCTCTCTTTTTTCTCCTTCACGAAGCCGGCAGTGAGATTGCGACATCGAGCATCCACCACAGCACCACTCTTCTCTCTTTTGACGGAGGGGTGTAGACACAAATTCTTACGACTGGTGAGGCCGAGGCCTCGGAAGTCTTCGACATAGCCAAGTTGTTCGGAGCGGTATTTCATTAACGCTTTCAGTTCCGCTAGTGCCTTCTCGATTTCCGACATGGTACGCGAGCAGTAGATTAGCTTTCGATGCTCTGGGTAGTGTTGTTGATATGCCACAATGAGAGATAACAGTGATACTGTTTTACCCGTACCCGAAGGCATTTCGAGGACACAATGACCACCCGCGTCGAGCGTTCGCTTGATGTCGCACATGTAGGCATATTGTTCGGGATATATTCGAGGGTAGGGAAAGAGAACTGGAAGGTCACTACCAGATATCAGTCGACAATTTCATAGGCCACGTCTGCTATGAGGTGATAATGCTGAACTTACTCTATGAAGAACTTCATGACGAAGACAGTGGCGGCTTGAAAGAGCCACCAGAACTTGCCTCACAGTGTTAAACAGCGCCGTGTGGTATGCCCGGCAGCGGATCAACGCGACTTCATGAGACAAATGAAATGTCACACCCTCCGCGAGTGCGGTGGTGTCAGTTGTCAACCCGTTGTCGAGAGACCTGGCGCCAGTGCATACCTGAGGTTGAGAAGAATCAATGGAAAAACGACCGCAGGGACAATTCAAATCATCATTACTGAACATTTACAGACAACCGTAAGAATCAGGCACCACTCACGAGGCACCAATCATGGGGCCCTGTTTACCTACCCACCTTACCTGGACTGTCTAGGCAAGAGGCTCTTAGGCTCCCCAAGACTTACTGCCCGCACCGACGCCCAACGCCTAGGCTGCAAGTGGCCTTGAGCACAACAGACGTCATCAGTGTACGCTGTACAATTTTTCTGACTCAGGCCTCTCCCCGCAGGCGCAAGATCGAGTATAGTGTTACCATAGTGGCCTTCCTCACCTTGTCGCACAATTTTAGACCCTTCGTCGATTCCTGAATAGACGGACCTTGGCCATAGAGGACGAGTGCAGCGGTATGAGCAAAAAGTTCAAATCGCAGGCCTCCAGCGCTCGTGCCGCTTCTGCTGCCTTCGGATCGTCCTCGTTCGGTGGCTTCGCTACGCCTCCGACAGCCTTTCAGACTGCACCCTCTTCCCTTTCATACATCGCCGAACAACCAGACCTGACCGCAATCTCGGATCCTCATCTTTTAGTCGCCTTCAGAAATTTAGGAAAGAAGGACAGCATAACCAAGGCCAAAGCTCTTGAGGAGATACAGGACTATGTTGGAAGTGCGGCAGCCTCCAGCGGAGGGGATGCTGGCCTGCTAGAAGCATGGGTATGTCTTCCGTTTTTGCAGATCGTGTCCAGTCTCTCACAATGTGCGCAGCTCAGCCTTTACCCGCGTACCTCGATCGACAATTCGCGACGAGTTCGCCAGCTTGCACATATCATCCAGGGGTCTATCACTTCCCTGTATGGAAAACGAATCGCACCCTCTCTACAGCGAGTAATCGGACCGTGGCTTTCCGGCGTCTATGACAGTGACACATCTGCTGCAAGGGCTGCGCAAGATTCTATCGCTTCGTCGTTTTCAACAGATGAGAAGAGGCGGGCTTTATGGAAGGTGTACAACACGACTCTGATCGACTACGTTGAAGATGCAATATTCGTCCAAACACCGAATACCTTGAGTGATGAGCGGTCAACCACTCCAGAAGATGCCGAAGCAAAGTTTGTTCGCGTTGTCGGCAATGCGATGTACATGTTGAGCCAGGTTATCAAAACAAATTTGTCTGGTACCCAGGCCGAGCAGTCAGGTCTTCGTGAACGTACTGAGACCACAGTACGGAACAAGAAGCTTTGGGAACACTCCTATCATGATGATCCCGCACTGCGTCGGGCTGCGTGTAGTTTGGCCCTAGTCTGTTCCCAAGTCTTGCCTTCGGCTCTGGACTGGAAAGTCGTAAGCTCTTGTTTCGTGGGCAAAGCCCTACATGTCAGTCAATTAGGCTCTTCAGGTCGGTTCTCAGAAGCCATCTTGGCCCTGACAACAGCACGACCCGAGATCTGGACAACGGACTACACCTCCAAGACTTCGGCGTTCAAACGACTTCTCCAGTATCTCAGACGCGGATCCCAGAGAGGTTCGGCAGATTACTGGACCAACCTTTCCCGTCTACTGTTGAAACTTCCTTCGGAGCTGTTGTTTGGAGGCAATAATACAGGCGCAAACGATCTACCCGCCATTGAGGCTGTCGTAGAGGCAGTAAGAGAGGGTGTTTCCAATGCAGACGAGCCCCGACAGAACCTCGATACCGCATGGTCAGTCTATGTACAGATCTCATTCTGGCTAATGGAGAACGTCAATCAAGAAGACGCCCAGTCGACTTTCTTCTCTCAGCATTTGCTCCCACTTCTCCTCCGACATGTATTCCCCATCCCTCAAGAAGCCTCTAGGGGTATACCCCCTGCGACTAGCACGAAGATTTCAGATACAGTGCTTCTAGAGGCTCTTGAACGGGGCTTAAGAACTAGCTTTGAAACTGCCTGGGGCCAGTTGTGTTCAAAATTGGTTGATAACATGAAATTGTCATTACCAGAATCTTCCAAAGATTTCACCAAATCCCAGGACAATGTGATTGCGCAGGCAACACGGCTGTTTGAGCTCAAAGCGGCTGTACTGCGGACCAACTCTCTTGATTCTACAACTCAGGCCTTTGTCAAGGAAGTATTTGAGGCTGAAGATAGGAAGTTAGCCATCGCTGCCATCGACGTACTAAAATCTCGTAACGGCAAGCCCTATGGAGCTGCCTTTACACTTCGAGACGTGGCCTCGCTCGATGATTCCTCGGCTACAAGAGACCTGCTGGTGAATTTCCTACAATCTGATGGCCTGGATCTGTTGAGCAGCCCTTCAGCCGAGTTCCTAGCGGCTCTGATGCTTCGTCTAAATCAAGATCTGGCATCGATAATCTCACGTCTACTACATTTCGACGAAAACATGTTCGCGACTAAAGCCATGGCAAGTCTTTTAAAAGAAATATCAGCGCCCGAGTTCTCGAAGCACGAGAATTTACAGCTTTTTATTCTAGAAAAGATTTCTCGGGGCGCAGGCGGCGACCTTGATCGGGACTTGATATCAACGGTGTTTCAGAATCCTCAACTTCGGTCTTCCCGGTTCGATCAACTCTGCAATGACAAGATACTTGAGCAGCTATCTCCAGAGACAATTCCAGCCCTACAGCGTGCTACTCTTGGCCTACTGATCCACCTATTGAGCAGCATGACTCCCAAGTCGCAACCCTTCTCAGAACAGTTCGACAGTAGTCTCCTCTCCAGAGTTCTCCTGCTGTCTGATTCTGACGACACAGGCACTGCCGAGCTTGCTGCATCCCTATTATCAAGGCTCAGAAGCGCATCTTCGGGTTCCAGTTCCGTGGCTGAATCAGCTACGATAGTCGTATCCGATCAACTCTCCGGAAAAGGCATTCCCCTTTCAATCTTCGCATTGATCGATCTCGCCAAGGATATTCTTAAAGACATAAAATCAGATCAGTCTGGGACTGAACTACTTCCATCCGAATCACAGTGGAAAAGTGCACTAGAACCGCATCTGTCAGGGCGGCGACCACGTTCCCTGACGATCACCAGCGCGCTCCATGGCTTATTGTATTTGGTTGATGATAGCCCGGAACCTCGATCCTCGGAAGTGCTGCGCGATGCGGATGACTTCTCTCTCCTATTCAGACTCGTCTTATATTCGACCCGTCTCCTTAGTGAGTCTAGTATACTAACTCGCGTTCATGGGGCGGATCTGCAGACGTTATATTTCTTCTACGTGTTATCAATGCAGCTGGTCAATGAAAAAATGACAATGGAATCGGCGAACGACATTTGGTTGAATACCAACCAGGATGTTATTGACGAAGTTGCCGACACACTCTCTCAAGGGAATGGATTGATCCAACAATGGATCAAGGATGACAGCCTCATGAAATTGTGGATGCAACGCATTCGGTCCGTCAATGATTTGACCCCTTGCTCTTACCTTCAGGGGTTGGCATTCACGGACGTTGCATCACGCTTCGTGGACAGCCATGGAACTGCTCTAATCATGGCTGAGTTCGAGGCAGAGATAAAAGAGGCATACCGATCGCCAGGCTTGATACGCTCCGCATGCTTAATATCTTCTTGTCGCGATCAGCTCCTCACTTCGGCTCAGGGCCGTAGGCTGCTCAACGAGCTTGTTGCTGCATGCACAGACATGAAGACTTCTGCATACTCAATCGCGTCGATGCGAAGCTTAGTTTTGCTAGACTTGTTGGTCAACAGCGACCCGGAGCCTTTGGAGGCTATTCCGAACCAAAGAATGGTGTTTCTGATGCAAGCACTTATACGACTTCTGGATGCTTCTTCGGATGATCTTTCTCTGCAGACTCAGGTCTTGAGGGTTCTGGATCCAGTATTGCCTACTACCAGCGACATTTATGGAGAGCACTGGGAGCAAATGTTTGACTACCTGGTCGCACTTTGGCACGAGGAACGTAATCTAGAGGATGACCTGCCATTAATCCACGCGTCACTGCGACTTTACGGGCGACTCCAAACTCTGGCAAAAAGCGACGACTGCAATGAGGACCTTTCGGACGCATACAAGACCGCTAAGGCATCGCTCGAGGGAGGGCTCCTTGATTGTCTACAGAGTTTCCATGTTTCCGATGCGCATCTCAATCAGCCTCGTCTGATCGCTGCAGAACTACTTCGTAGGCAACTCGCACAGGTCTCGGTGCTTCATGACCCAACTCTTTACTCATTCCTCTCCTCGACAGAGGACCCAGTCCGACGCAGTGCCTACGATTTGCTCCATCGCTCCATTCCGAAAGCTCAGGAGCAAATCTCAATTGACATAGCTTTGGAAAAGAAGGATGCTCATCTGCCCGAAGAGCTCTTGTCCCTACTGTCGAATGTTCCCACGAATCAAGAATCCGGTGGCACGATTCGACAGAGCTATCTGCTTCAGTGGCGGCTGGCCTTCGATCACTTCACCAATGCTTCCTACAGACTCCAGGAAATGTATGTGGCGGATATCAAGAGAGGAGCCCTTATCACGGCTCTGCTCGATCTCATTTGTGAAATATGTCGCATCGCTAGCGGGAGGCCACTAGATGCCTCCAAAGCAGATTTTACCAACTTTGAATATGGCGTAGCCGAATCCGAACAGCAAGAAGAGCAACGACTAAGTATACACCTTTACTATTGCTGTTTATTCTATCTTCCCAGTCTTACGCGAAGTTGGTTCGTGGAGCAGAAGAATAGAATTAAGGCGCCGCTGGAGGGCTGGACGCAGAAATACTTCTCGCAGTCTTTGATCTCTGCCGCATCCTCAACAGTCACTGAGTGGGCGACATCCCAATCGCAAGATGAAAGAGAAGCGACGGTCAGTGTCAAAACGTCAATGAGTGGATCAGAAATTGTGGCATCAATTGTCATCGACCCGGAATCCCCTCCCATTGCGATCGCCATTTCTCTACCTTCGACTTACCCTCTCGATGCCCCTACGGTGGAGTCTCGGACTCGCGTTGGGGTGTCGGAGAGGAACTGGCAATCGTGGCTCAGAACCTTCCAGATCATCATTTTCAGCAGTGGAAGCATCATTGAAGGCCTCATCGCTCTCCGTCGAAATGTCCAGGGTGCTTTGAAAGGGCAAAGTGAATGTGCGATTTGCTACAGCATCATCGGTACCGACATGCAAACTCCCAGCAAGCGTTGCGGCACTTGTCGCAATACTTTCCATGGTGTCTGTTTGTTCCGATGGTTCAAGAGTTCCAATAGCTCAAGCTGTCCGCTTTGTCGAAACAACTTCAACTATGCTTGAGGGGGGCAACTGAACACTGAGCCAAGTTGTGAAGTTTGGCTAGCTACTTGGTAACTGAACACCATACGACAAGCGGAGTTGTCGCATAACTTGGGCGTCTGCTCATGACTTCGTGGGGCTTCGAGAGAAGGATGAACTTCCCTGGGACTAGATATGTAGACATCAATCAAAGCCGAGGACCAGCATGGTCTTCACGGCAGATGATGACACTTCAAAAGTTCATGAGGGTCGGGACAATAGCGAATACTATTACTTGTATCTCTTGGGCAATTGGTGCACTGCACCTTCAACCCAAGACTTTCCCAATCGAGGCATTGGATGCCCGAATCTGTAATAAACTTGCAAATTTTCGTCACCCAAAAGCACATTTTGACACCTGCAAAAGCGGGAGGAGCCGCCCACCTGGGCTTTGCTATTCGCCATCTGGGCCCTAGTTTGTTCTAGCCTGCGGGGTGGTTTGGCTCTAATAAATGTCTCGGTTTGATGGTGCTAGAGATTAGGCTGGCACCCCCATCCATTCGATCGTGGTGTACCTAGCCAAGGGAGACTTCGTTATTCTCCACGAGAAGTCTTGTTGGTGATTTATTGATTGTTATGAGTCGACTGCATGATGGCGAATTCATAAAGAGGATGTTGAGGTTAAGAACTTGCGAGATTTGGTAATCAAAGAACATCAGTAAGACTGGGACCTGTTTAACAAGCCACGTACGTGACTACTTACGGAGTACATATGTACAGTACAGTACAATCACCGAGGAGCCTTCGATCCACAATACGGAGTATCCGTAGGTAACTATATTTATATTCTGCTCCCACCGAGCTCCTCCACATATGGAGTTTGTATTGTATGATTGGAATCGGGAAGGAAGATCGAAATTGACAAACCTCAGTCTAGGTAGTTTAGTTGTATGATGTGAGACACTATTTACCGGACAATCCGTGCTTGAGAACCTACAATACAGTATTTCGTTGGCATGGCTCGTGTTTGTTGTTTTGAGGACACAAACATGTATGCAGATGCAAGAACGTTCGTGTACCAGCCGTGTGCAGGGACCAAGTCGACGTAACCACCCTGTCGTCTCTGGATGGGTCTGTAAAGAGGGAGGAGATAAGGACTTGTTTGCCGATAGAGTAGTAGGTATGGGTAAACAGTCCAAGTAATGTGAGCGTTTAACGACGTTCTGTATCCGCACCACAAGGGCAAATAGATCAAGGGTAGTACTGCAAAGTCGACGGCGAAGGGTAGTGAGGGCTATTACGGAATACGACTCTTTCAGAACTCGTGCCCTCCCAAAGGTCGGAAAGCAATCGGTGCCGCCGGTGCTCGTGCTCGCGCTCGCACTGCAAGAGTAACTTGTACTTTGGTCGAAGCGCCAACTACTGTACTCGTACAAAAGTATGGTCACTGGAGAGAGATGTGAGACGTTCGTGGCTGGGAACTTCCAGCACTGATCATCTCTCGTTACCTGCGTTTGCACCCCCTTCGCCAATCGAACATGGCATCGGCAAAAATAGACGGTCTTGACTTGAGCATTTCAAAGGGTGGGAAAAAGTTGACGTCAGCCCGGTGGCTTTGGCATTGTTTTCGTGCCCCTGTCAATGTCTGAGATGGTCAAGGGCTAGACTGCATCGAGGTGATGGACACGTCAACATCCCTGAGTGAGTTTTTCACTGGACATCCGGATGACATGAAGTTTCAAGTTTGGAAAAAGGAGAAGGAGAAAAAAAAAGCACGGAGGGTTCTGCTGTACAGTAGATGTTGACGTAGAATGAACATTACCTACAGTAGGTACTCGTATCGACATTCAAAGAACCGCAACACAAGGACTCAAAGAGACACGCGTATGGAGTATGCGAATTGTTGTTATTATTATTATTGATGGGCGAGATTAATTGCTTGTTCCTGAATGTACGCCAGGGTACGGAGCAACTTTTAGGCGAGTGGCAGATCGTCAGGTACTGCTCGGGTCGGTGGGTGCCGGAGGTCTAAGCTTTACCAGTACCCTAAAGGGCGCTCAGATAGGGCACCGGAAGCCTGAGCCAGACCACCCAGAGCACCTCGAGTGCCTAGAGATCCCAGGATTTACAGGGCGTGGCTGCCGTTAGTGGACGCCCAGTGGAGGCGTGGTGGATGCCACTGTGGGTGCCTGTACAGAGCCTGGACGCAGGAACCGACGCCCAGCGGCCAGTCGCATGGCTTGCCTCTCTCTAAGAGGCGGTTCCCCCATAAAACATCATAGGCCGAAAATGCACCAACACTCGCCCCCATGCAAATTTCCCCTGGGCTTTACCCAATACATGATGTGGCCTTCGATCTACTATTTCTTCCATGTCTTCGTCCTTTGTCTCTCTCTCCCTCGCCAACTTCAACTTTGACAACATCAGTGTATTGTCTCCTTTCCTTCGTCTCTACGAGCAGTCATTCGTTCGCTCGTTCGTTTGGATACATTCTTTGACTATTTAACTCCTTACAGACTCCTTTTTTGTACACTCCTTTGACTCAACCCGTCCATCTACACAAGAATCATGAAGTCCTCCCTTCTCGCCATCCTCGGCGGTGCCTCCTCTGCTCTGGCAGCCGTCCGAGGCTTTAACTACGCCTCGCAGGGCCAGGACTACAATGGCTTCGCCAGTCAATTCAAGACCGCCGCCTCCCTGGCCGGTGCCAGCGACTTTACCAGCGCAAGATTGTACACAATGATTCAGGAGGGGACCACCAACACCCCCATCGATGCCATTCAAGCCGCTATCGACACCAACACCACCCTCCTGCTTGGTCTCTGGGCGTCCGTCGACCAATCCACATTCGACAATGAGATCACCGCCTTGAAGAGCGCGATTCAACAATATGGCTCTTCGTTTGCCGACTTGGTTGTCGGTATCTCGGTCGGTAGTGAGGATCTGTATCGTATCTCGCCTACTGGTATTGCTGCCGGCAGTGGCGTCGGTCAATCTCCAGATACCTTGGTCAATTACATTGGACAAGTCCGTGACACCATCAAGGGCACGTCTCTAGGCACCAAGCCAGTTGGCCACGTCGACACCTGGAACGTCTTTGTCAACGACACCAACTCCAAGGTGATCTCGAACTGTGACTTCCTGGGTCTCGACGAGTACCCGTACTACCAGACCACCGATACTAACAGGTAAGAGCAATTTCTTCAGATATTAGGAGCCACTAGCTCATCGTTTCCGCAGTATCGACAACAGCTCCTTCCTGTTTTTCCAAGCGTACGACCGCGTTTCTGCCGTGGCTCAAGGCAAGCCGATTTGGGTCACCGAGTCTGGCTGGCCAACAACAGGACCTACCTCTAACCTCGCTGTTGCAAGCGTCGACGATGCCGAAACCTTCTGGCAAGGTGTCGCCTGTGCTCTCGAGAACCGTGGTATCAACTTCTGGTGGTACATCCTCGCCGACGAGGGTGCCTCCCCATCTTTCGGTGTCTCCAGCAACGGAAAGCCTCTATACAACCTTGCTTGCAACTCCACCGCCGGTTACACATCGACCTCATCTGCGAGCTCCTCAACTGCGACCGCTTCTAAGAACGGTACCGCGACTGCCTCTCACGGATCCGGCTCGGGAAGTGGCTCTGCGACCTTGTCCACAGTCACCGCTTCTGGAGCTGCTGGTGCCGGTCCTTCAGGTGCTGTCCCTGCTGGTGCTACGGGTTCCTCTGGTGCTGGTGCTGGCGGCGCAACTGCCACGCAGAACGGCGGAGCCACTGGCACCAATGGCGCTACCCACTCTACCTTCACCGGTGCTGCCACCAAAGCCCAAGGATCCATGGCTGGTCTGGCCATCGGCGCCCTGTTTGCGGCGTTGGTCTTGTAATCGACCCGAAATATATATTCACCGGCCCAACGGGCCCATGGTATATTGATTGCATTGGGATTGGACAGTAAAATACATGGGGTTTTCTGACGAGAATATAGATCATTGGACGGCATAGTTGATCAATTAAGCAATAATTTTTATCTGTTGGACTTGGACTATTCTCTCTCGAGTTTTTGCAATTCTGAAAAGCACCCGATTCCATCGGCCATGAACGTGTGAAGGGATATGGTTTCCCCACTATTTTGACGGCTCTGTATCGAGCACGTACTGCCCAAAAGCATACGATACCAGAGCTTCCTCAACAACTTCACACGACGCGTCTTCAATCTATTCTATCATCCCTCACACCTAAGAAGACGAATTTACCCCGCGGAAAAGTGAGCACGGATGAGGTCAGGCGGCGAATCATTCCCATGGGCAATATTTCCCTATTGGATTGTACCCCTGTATATGTGAAAAGTGTATGTGGTGTGATCGATTTGCCTGCTGCTTCCATGAAACTCCGCCATGTCCAAATAACATGATGACTGTCGTCTTGGCCACATGAGTCTGAGGATGGAATACACTAGACGTGGTCATCATGTGCTTGCTGCAACGACGTAGGAACGACGTGTCTAGATTTACTCTACATATATTCTTACGTCCATCGGCTTGCATCAACATCACAGCAAACTTCACATACTACTGATCGTTCAAGGTAAACGTCTCTCTTCACAATGGCTACAAACGACATCCCTCCACAAGGTCGGGATCGCCGCGTGTCCATCTCTCAGCTTCCGGATGACGCTCTCAAGCTCGGAAAGAACTTGTATCCGGAACCGTTACATTTCAAGACAACAGCACATCTTGCTGAATTTCGTAGAGCTGCCGACTATATCTCTGCTGGTACATCCCTCCTAACCCTCCTAACTTTGTTCATACCGACGCTGATGTTGTTCACAGCCATGATCTTTCTCAGGGACAATGTGCTACTGGAACGAGATCTAAGCCCGGAAGATATCAAACACATTATCGGTTCGGCCATCTGCTATTCCGCGCTCGACATCTACTGATATGCTAAAGGATATTGGGGAGTCTCACCCGGAATAACCTTGTTGTATGCCCATATCAACCTTACCATCCAGAAATACGACCAGCCAATGATTTGTCTGCTTGGAGCCAATTACGGCGTCCCTGCTATTCTCTCATGTCTTTGGCTGGAAAGATCTCTGGAAAGATTTTATCCCCAGTACAGTCGGGACAGGAAGGGTCTGCATAACCTGATTACCGGATTTAGTGTCCCAGGAGGCTTTCCCAGGTTGGTAATGATTGCTTTTGCCGACACTTGACTGACCAAGCCTTGTTATAGTCACATCAGTGCTCGGATACCAGGATGCATTTTCGAAGGCGGTGAACTAGGACACGTCCTATCTGTGGCGTACGGAACAATCATGGACAGACCGGAACTGATCACAGTGGCCGTGATTGGAGACGGAGAGGCCGAAACTGGCCCAACTGCGACGTAAGCAGCTCGAAGTATCCAAAGTTGACATTCTCACACTGGATAGTGCCTGGCACATGTGTAAATACATCAATCCTACTCAAGACGGGGCTCTCTTGCCTATCCTCTATATGAGCAGCGCTGAGGACAAACAACAGACCATCTTCGGCTCCATGGATGATGCTGAACTCTGTTGCCTTTTTTCAGGCTACGGCTATCGCCCCTGCATCGTCGATGATGTGGCTGATATTGACAGAGAACTCAGCAGTGCTCTCTACTGGGCCGTCGAAGTCATCAAAGAGATACAACTTGCCGCTAAAGCCGGAGAGCATGATTTGGTAAAACCACGTTGGCCCATCATCATTCTCAGAATTTCAAGACGATGGGGCTATCCTCTACTCGACCCCGACGAACATCTGTCTGGCTCATTCCATGGTAGAGAAGTCCTGCTCCCTCATGCCAAGATCAACCAAAAGGAATTGCAACATCTACAAGACTGGCTAAAGTCCTATAAGCCAGCAGAGATTTTTCAAGGCGATCAGGTTTCTGAGGCCATCGAGGATATCATTCCTCCAAATGAGAGACTCCTCCTCGGACAGAATCGGGTTACCTGGGACATGCGGCATCAGCTTGATGTTCCCGAGTGGCGGCATTATGCTGTGGCTAGGGGTAATCTGAGCAGCTGTCTCAAAGAAGGCGGTAGGTATCTTGACGATACGCTTGCACGGAACAAACTATCGCTCCGTATTTTCTCACCCGACGGCCTGGTGAGCAATAAGCTCAATCTGTTGGACAAGCTATCCGATCGCACGTTTCGTAGCTTCAGATGGGATGCCAATAATAAGTCCACGGGAGAACAGGTCATCGAATTTGCTTCTGAGCATACATGTCAAGGTATGTACTTCGCGATCTGTACGGCCAGTGATCCAATCTCACCGCTCGATGCTATAGGCTTGCTCCAAGGCTACACAATGACAGGCCTCACAGGCATTTTCGCTGCCGATGAGAGCCTGTTTCCTAGCATTGCAACCATGATGGTCCAATATGGCAAATTCTTGAGAACGGCACGAGACACAGGATGGCGACAGGACTTGAACAGTCTGACTTACATTCCTACCAGCACCTGGACCCGACCCGAGCCCAATGGTTTCTCTCACCAGAATCCAAGCTTTATCGGCTCGGTACTGAATCTGAAGCCCACCATTGGAAGAGTGTACTTGCCGCCCGACGCAAACACGTTTTTGTGCACGCTTGCACACTGTCTGCGGTCCAAGAATTATGTCAACCTGATCGTACCTTCGTCGCACCCAGGACCAGTATGGTTTGGCCCGGAAGAAGCAGAGTTTCACTGTCGAGCGGGCGGTGGGGTGCTCAAATGGGCAAGCACAGACGATGGCATTGACCCCGACGTTGTTCTCGTTGGTATCGGGGCAGACGCCACGTTCGAAGTCCTGGCCGCCTCCGCACACTTGAGACGCCTGGCTCCGGCAATGTCTGTCCGCGTAGTCAACGTTACGGACCTGATGATACTAGGACGTGAAGGCTCACACCCTCATTCTCTAGGTCATCGCGACTTTGACATCCTCTTCACGCCTCACCGGGACATTCACTTCAACTACCACGGCTACGCGAGCGAGCTCCAAGGCCTACTGTTTGGACGACCTCATCTCGACAGAGTATCCATCTCCAGTTTTCAAAACGAAGTCACCACCATGACCCCGTTCGAGACCATGTTGAAGAACAAGTGCAGCAGGTATCACGTGGCTGAAGCGGCCATCCGTGGCGCTGCCAAATGTAACCCTCACATTGCCGTCGACCTCCAGAAGCTTGTCGCCCATGTTCAACATGAACGCGCCAAGCTTGAGCAATTCATCGAGAAGCATGGAGTCGATCCGGCTGGAATCTATGACGCCCCAAAATTCTCAAAGCCATGGCATCGACACCGACAACCGAATGGTGACGAGGATTGGTCATCGCACGATAGGTCGTTTCACGTACCCAGAGGCACAGACTGATCAGACCGACAGATGCTGATGCAGCCAAGGTGGGATTGGGGAACTACCATGGGAGGAAAGGTATCGTTTGGAATCCTAATGGCGTTCTCGGAGGGGACTTTTTTGGCGGATGGCTCTTGACAAGGACACGTCAGGACTGTTGAGTGGTTGTCTAGGCACCTGAGGCAGTGCGTGTGCAGGTGCACTTGTGTATACTAGTGAAACTGGTGAAAGGAGGTCCAATCATGTTATCCTTCTAGTCAGTTTGTTCCACGGTAGTCTGAGACTGTGCACATTGGCAGGATCCCTACGGAGTAGTATAAGAATTGTGGACCGAGGACGACGCGGAATGGACTTCCTCAGCTGCGCCACATCCTGTCCTGTGTGTAGCGAGTACGGGAGTACAATAGTTTGGAATGCCAAAAATTACAACAAGAGTACGGAGAATGCCTCGTGGCGTGACATTTACTCACCAGGTCGAGACCCTCTCTGTTCTTTCTCATTAGTTCGCACGGGTTGTATGTCGTATGTATTGTATTTTCTGACCGTGTGTGAGTTTGGATCCGGCCACAGTTTCCCTCAAGTCCTATTGGTCAAGCCTTGGACAGGACCCCTCCCCTGACTTGTGAGAGCCTTATTGCTCCATCACTTGCCGATATTTGCACCGAGCAGGTTTTCGAAGTGTATCAGTGAGACCAGTGAGAGAGGGAAAAAAACGAGAAGACCAGTGAGACCTGCAGGACGGAGTCTTTTGGTCTAGACTTGCAAAAATTCAGTAGTAGCCCATTCAAAAAAATCATCCCACCCTCTCAACAAAGCTTTCAAGGAACAAAGACCCGAATCACCACAGTCCCAGAGACCTAGGTCATTCTATTCTGGCGAGACGTGGTTTCGTTCCAAAGTGAAAGCCCACAGTAGACTGTCATCATGCGAAAAAGACCTCTTAAATGACAACTTGATGATGACCATAGCTGTCAGATCATCGTTTTTTCTATCGTCGACGATCTTTATTTTCTTCCCCGTGACTGTTACCTTTAAATGCCCGCAACTCTACAAGAGTCGGAAGAAAGAGGAATCTTCCAGTACTTCGCAATGAACACGAAGTCTTGTGACATCACGCCATAGTTCTGTTGATCATGTGTAGACTGCCACAATGTCGATTTGAATGAGCCCCGAGTGAGTCCCTTGTTACGAGTGGCAGATTACTTCATATTCATCGTCCATTGCGTCGAGATTTGCCTCGAGACACATTTTCACGCATTTACAAACTCTTGACTTCCCAGACCGTACCGATGTGTCAACTTGGAAGTACTATCGACGCCAAAACCATTGGGAGGATGATACACACGAATTGTGACCATCATCACTGTCTGAACCCCGGCCACACTATGATGGAGGAAGTGGAGCAGGCGGCCAGGGCCACGAAGGAGGAAGCGATAAAAGACACCGCCAGTATCATGCCAGAGTTCTTACACGGTGGGGCGTGGCCAGCGGCAGCAGCAGCAGCAGCCGTAGATCAGTGCCCTTCAGCCGTCGAAGAAGAAGAAGATGATGGTGATGCTGATGATTATCCACACGGCTCTGTCGTGCCGGACATCGACGAGGACGGGTCATCAAAATCCACAGACGACAGTGCCGCCTCTGGACGGGGGTCAAGCATCTCGGACCAAGAAACGCCACCATCACTACCACCATTACAGCCGGCGCCGTCGTTGTTTTCGAAGCCACCAACGTGGAGGGATTTGTCTGCGGCCGTGAACACTTGGAAAATCAATGATGAGGATTCTAGAGCGGAAGGAGAGGTGGAGAAGTGTAAGTGTTTTCTTCTTCTTTATTGTTGTCTACTCCTTCTTCTTCTCCTTCTGCATCTCATTTTTGTATTGTATTTGTAAATGCAGGGACTTGTTGGACTAACACTTAAGCGAAATCTTGCCCCGACAGCTCGGCCACCGTATTCGGTTCTCAAGCTCCTAGCAAGACACGGCGCCGACAGTCAACGCCATCAGGAGCCAAAGAAGCGGGGCACCAGCACCGCCATCCAAAAATTCCCGAGGCAGAATCTCTTTGACCAAGAGTTAAAGGCCGAAGGTCAAGCCAGGGTGGAAATCACAGAGTACATCGATAGTCTAGTGGACCAGGCAGAGTATGAGGAGGCCTATGCCTGCGTCTGGCCTTTGGAGGAATATCGTCGTCAAGGATGGGCCACGGAGATGATCACTGCATACCCAGTAGAGACCACGGCCTTTGTCGAAAGTGTCAATACGGATACTAGCGAACAATCAAGCCGACAGCAGCGAGTGAAAGGAAGAAAATAGCCTGCTCCCAACCAGACAGTACGAGTATGCGAGTAAATAGGTATGCAGAGGGCAACACTGACCCCCCTCCTCCCTCCCTCTTCCTTTGGGGCTTTTCTACGCCAAAAGAGTTGACATGTTGGGCCCGATGGCGGCACAAAGCGATCGTTTACCGAATTTCTATCCGGTTACCTGATTCTGGCTTGCCTGACAGCGTGGAAAGAGGCCAACATGTGAGTTCGGAGTAGAAGGTCTCCTAATGGTCTCAGAAGCTATGACCAGAGATGAGTCTGTACTCGTTTTATATCAAACATAGTGCCTACAAGGCCGGTGTACAGGAGGAACAGTGCCCGCAATAGAAACGGCTTTTCTCTCCTGCTCGACCCAAAAAAAGTCCACTTCAGAGCACCGTGCTGCACTTCCCGATCCCCCGTCGATAGGTGAATGAACAAACCACCATTCAAGCCGTTGGGACATTTATCGTTCCTGGACCAAGGAGGTGATCCAGGGTCTCTTGGATTCTACAGGGCCTTTCATATGGCCTGGGGTATTTTAGCGGGTCCAGGGTCATGCCATGGTCAACTCCTTTCGGTTCTAAGATGGATCTGACCGGCCCCCCTGGAAGAACTTTAGCCACGACGACTGGCGGTGCATCCCCCCGAACTAGGTCTCATGAGATTCATTGTGCGTCCGAATGTACTACGACATTCCTCCGAATTCTTTCAATGATTTAGTACGAAGTACGGACTCCTCCGTCTGCCAATGCACTCAGGATTCTTCGCGGTCATTCGACTTGAACAGATTGACATGTGCCACCGCGCGGGGGAACGGAATTGCCTCTTCCAGTCGAGCGCATCGATATCTGACCGCGAACCAATGCTTACACCTAGAATGGCAACGAGTCCCGATACAGTGAGAAAAAGCCTCGCTTGTCCCACTGCTCACTAGAAACATCTACCAGTTCAGAGGTGTGTTGGGAATGCCATGGTGTTGCCTTGTCATCTTCGGAGGCTGAGATACTGTTACACCGAGCTCCCCAGATTGACGGCCTTCTTATTCAGTACTTGTACACCGACAGGTATGAACATCAATGACATATGATTTTCCACAACGTCGATTGTGTATTGCCACATTCACAGATTGATGGAACGATATATTCAAGTTGCTATTGCCACCACGATAGCGTTCAATTCTACATACCAAATACGACATTTCTTGTGAATTCTTTTATCTCCCGCGACAGTGTGCCACCCTCAAGGTACTGCTGTTCCGTTACTACCTTGTTCCACGACCACGCTATATGGCTTACCGAGACATGGAAGACGCATATCAGGACCCTGACTTGATGTACCAGGTAGCTTTCCTCCTATCAGATGATGGCCCCGGGGGTATTCACTGAACGTGACAGCAATCCTCCTACGATAATGGATTTTTCCTTCAACCCAATAACAACAATAATGATGATAATGCCAGTCAACTCGACATGACAGCATACCGGGGTGCGTGGCCTGCGCACGGCGGCGGCACGCAGAATTTCCCATATGCCAACTCTTCTTCTTCGACCAGGTCGCCGTTCGTGGACATCGCGTACCTAGATTCTTTTGAACCTACGGTGATGCCACCAGTGTCCTGTATTGCACCCTCGCAGACGCAGCTGGTCCCCACTCCGCAGCTGCCGACAGGCCCGGCTGAGACCGGAATGTCCTTTTTTGAGCTTGAACGACAACCACCCCAGCCAGGTATCACCACGCATCCTGCCGCCGCCAAGAAGTCTGGGGCGAGGCCTGGTGGTCCGGAGACACGATTCGCACCTTCGTCCGGTAATTTGCGCATCGGCGCCACCGCACGAGGAAAGGGGCCAGGCCTGGCGCCAGGCACCCCTGCGAGCGTCCGGAGCTTCGCTGCAGGGGCAAGGGGAAGGGGACCAAGATCTGCCCAAGCCGCACACGTGGCGGTGGCCCTCGACCAGGGCCCGTCGACCGAGACAACGAGGTCGGAGAAGAAAAGAGGAGGCCAGTCTGACTCGTCCTCGGACGGCGAAGATTCTGCGACCATCAAGGCCAAACAGAATCACTCGGTCATCGAGCGCCGGTACCGTGACAATCTCAACGCAAAAATCAACCAGCTTCACCGGATCCTGCAGGCCACGGAAGCTAATTCCCCCCTGATGCGATTCGACACTCAGCCCCCCGACCCCGGTCGAAGGGTCCGCAAGTGCGAGATCATGACCAAAGCTCTCCAGTACGTGCACCGCTCCGAGCTCGAGAGTCGTCACATGCAGGACGAGGTCCGGCGCCTGCGGGACCAAGTGTCAAGCCTCGAGAAGATGATCAAATGCGAAGACTGCACGCTTCTACAGAACATGAGGAGTATGCAGTTTAACAAAAGACCTTCCTAAAAATGGAAGGGTGGTCCTCGAGCGAGGCCTCGCCCATTCATGGCCCGCCCCCCTTCCTACATGATGCTCGGTATTTTAACGACTTTTTGGCTGGTCCCTGGTACCCACTCAACCAGCTCGACACAGTCATTGATTTGTTTGCGTGGTGTGCTTCTGGCACGCTAAGATCTTTCGGCACGCTTTCTTGCTTGGGGAGGAATTCTGACTAAATCTATTCTCTTGGTTGTAAATCTTTCTACTTGCACCTTGTAATGAAAGGTGCGGTGAGTTCAAGAATGCTTCTTTTTGGAAAAAGTGGTGTTAGACTTGGTTCTGTTTCTGTTGCTGTCTAGGAGGATGGTCTTTTTCCAAGTGGGTACGAGTAGATTCTCTCTTGTTGATTCTTTTTCAGAATCACGAAGCAACCCAAAAACAAAGACCTTTTTTATATCAACAAAAAACTGGGTTCGATAAACAAGAAGTGATCTACCAACCGGGACCACTGTCCCAACTCAACTCACTCACTGCTCTCGTTTCTCTGCTCTCCGTGAACGCCCGCAGAAGTAGCTACTCAGTAGGCAACAAAACCTACGGCCCTCACGAAACACGCACAGAACTTGTGTCGTGAGCACACGTCACCCCCGTTTTGTCTGGCAGACGACTAGGTCAAGACTTTTTCTGTTGCTTGCTGCTGCTTCAAGATACCTGCTTCATCTCGAAGGCCTTGAGACGCCAAAAAATCGAGACGAGCAAGAACGAAGTAGACACAAAAAGAAAAAGGACCGACCCTGCGTCTACCACACTTTGGGTGCTTTGTCGATATTTTCTCTCTGTGTTTTCATGTTCAAAGCACGTTGATTCAAAGACCCCCTATCGAGTCGTAACAGGCATTTTCAGAGCCCTCCTCCCCCCTCTGTGGGCATACATATTGATTGCTCTCATGTGTAAACGTCTGACCGAGCCCGCTTTCTGCCGCCTGGAGCCCCGCCATTATATCCGATCCGCATACCAGGTTCTTTGCACCGAACCCCCTATTTCTGGCCCGGAGTCTGGGGGAGGTGTTCCTAGGACCACCTATATGGACGTTGATCACCATGGTCTTTTTCGAAAAGCCGCCGCCCACCGAAACTTAAGTACTCTACGAGTGTTTAGCAGTGTCTTTTGTGGTCCCGAGATTCCCCCCTCCCCCAGTACGGTGAATATTCTTCCTTGCGACACATCGTTTTTATTTCATTATCGACCTCCGCCCCAAAAGTCCCTTTCATCCTCGTCTCTCTACGCGAGTTTCTCTTGAAGGTCCAATCTTCGATTGGTATTTTTGGGACCTTCTCGTAAAAAAGACTCCCTCTCCGTGTAAAGTACAGCGTACCCTCGACCCTTCAATCCTACCTGTCTTTTGCCAAACCCCAATTTTCCCGGAATTGACACGTGAGTGTGTTGCTTGACAAAACCAAAACCGTCGGCAGCAATTCAATTCCTTTCTTTTTTCCCTCTTAACAATACATTACTCCGCACAGTAGTAGTGGTGACACAGCGGAAAGCATTTGCCCTTGACACCTTGTGTGTGTGTGTGTGTGTGTAGAGGACGGCCCTGTTATCTTTTTTTCTTTTTTTCAGAACCACCCTCCATCATCTTGGACCTCCTCCATCACCGAACCGTCAAAGTCGATCGTCCACTTTGCCTGCTGCCTCTGGCAGAGCCAAATGTACCAGGGCATGATGGTGTAGGAGAGTACCGCGAGGGCGTAGACAGGCCCGGCCACGAGGTCACGGCCGACGAAATAGACCCGGACTCCGTTCCACCACCCACCTTGCAAGATGGCCGTGGTGGCCAATTCCACGCCGACCAGCCAAACGAGGGCCAACGTGCCGATCCAGATCGGCGTCGAGGGTCTTTCTTCCCCTTGTTTCGTGGCACCCAAGCGGGACACGGTCAACTGCGCGGACTCCCAAATGACGAACAACATCAACGGCATCTCCAAGAGCTCGGCGTAACGCGCACCGAGGGTGGGTTGTAGGAAAGGTATACGTGCAGACCCGAAAAGGGCACCGCAGGTGAAGACCATGGCAAAGTAGAAGAACGACAGTCTCAGAACTTGTGGTGACACCATTGTTGTGGTTGTTGTTGTGTTGAGAGGTCGCGCGAGTTTCATTGTTTTTTTGGAGTGTCTTGTCGTTGTAAGCTGTAGCTGAGCTGTCGCTTTTGAAAGATTTTGTTCCGTTGTTCTTGTGTAAGAGCAGGTAAAATACTTGTGTAGCTTGATTTTTGGATTGTTTCTGTGGCTTTATTTCTACAGAAGAGAACTAGACTACGAAGCATCAACAAGGTCATTTGGACACGAATTTATGTCGTGGTAATGCTATTGTTGATGGTGTGACGTTCCATCATGATACGGAGTACGGACACTACCCTGGTTGAAAGGGCCGCCACAAAATGCCTGATTCGGGAGGATGAGGTAGATATGCAATTGGTCGATTCTGACACGTATGGTCACTGGCCAAGTCCATCCATGTGACTTGAAGCGAGCGAGGAGTGTGAGAAGAGGGAATAAATGAAACAACGAGCCAGCCAAGGAGAAAGGAAAAGAAAAGTAATCGTTTGTCATTCTCATACGATTATGGCTCATTTGTATATGGCTCATTTGTAAAAAAATAACCAAGAACCGAGGCAACGCCAAAAACAAAGCGGGATACTAGTATCTCTCTCGTACGTACAGTAGATGATTCTGGAACGCCCAGAATTAATACTGCATCACCGGAAAAAAGAGTCAAAACTGATCACAAGCTCGGCGACTGCTACCACCTTTTTCCTCTTTACTGTCAGGACATTTCACTCGCTCCAGTACTGTAGGTTAAAAGTATACAGTGGTGGTGGTAGTGATAGACCGATAGGTACGGAGTTATACTGTAGGTGCTTGGTTATTGTAGGTTCCTTCGGTTTCCGCACCGACTTTTCACATGTTTTCCGCTTTTTTCTTTGATAACCCTTTTTTCGTCTCTCGACCACAGTCTTCTGGGCGGGATGGAACACAAGGGACACAAAAGAGAAAACCGGGCACTTAGTTGATGTCATGCGGGCACGAGTTACAGACGTCGACTGTTTCAAACATCTGGTGAGTGTGGTTCAGGTAAGAAAACTGGTGACTTGGGGAGGAAGGTGGCTAAGGAGATTTGGATTGTTTTTGTCCATGGTGCGAAGAGGTGACATCCCACATTCTTCGATGTTCTTTCTCCCTCACTCTCATTTCGCATACTGTGTCTTTCGCTCTCATGCACTCACACCCACTCGCCTGCCGTGCCTCTCCGACCTTGGGCCCTGGCAAGCCGTCATGTTGGGATCAACTGTTTCCGACTTCATTGATGTGCTGTGTGGTTCGTGGCTTGCGGCTTCCGAGACAATCTTAAAAGGTACGACATGCTGCGCCATATGTTTAGATTGACCTGTGAGAAATCGTCCTGCTCTCTTCTTCAACTCGCTAGGACCAACGAGGAATGCCGACTATCCAAAGAAGACCGGTCTCATTCCACACAAAAACGCCACAACATCCGTTGATCTCACGGCGACAATCCCTTCCCGCGGTATCTTTTTCACAAGACCATCTCGGGATAAATGGGAAATTTCACAAGCTTGGACCCTCGACCCTCGACACTCGGGCGGTGCGTAGCCGTTGTCAAAAAGCCGACGGGTTCTTGGAAAAAGAACATGTTCCTGGCTGTCCGAGCCGGTTTCATGAAATTCACGAGTAACTCGCACATCTCGTAACAGGATCGTCAAGGACATCGAACTATCCTCGGTCTCGGTCTTGTCGGTCTCGGTATTTCGCAGACGGTTTTTGGCGAAGGCGGCGGCGGACAGTCGCGGTCTTCCAACTCTTCCACGCTAGAATCACTGGACGTGTCTTCTTCGTCGCTGCTGAACTCGTTTGCTTCAGGGTCGGAAAACGGGTCACTGTCGTCATCGTCTTCGTTTCCGAGTTGGATTTCATCTTCCGAGACCACGACCGAGGAAGACATGTTTGTGCCGACCGCCACATCGGTCTTGTCGTGCAGACTGGAAAGGGCCAGCGGGTCGTCGGACAGACCAGAGGAGAACGAGTACATTTCACTCGCGTCCTCCGGCCAGTCGAAATCTTCCATGCCGGATCCCGTGTAATCCAGGTCGACGGCCGTGGCTTCGGAACTCGAGTCGTCGTGGTCGTTCAGGTATTGTGCGGTTCTTTGATAGACGGAGTAGTGACCGATGAGTTTGGTGAAGCTTGGGTCACCCAGTGACGATTCGCATTGAAGCTTCCACTTTGAAAGCCAAGTCAATTTGTATGCGAGTGTTTCCATATCAAAAAGGTTGATAATAATCAATAATATGAATATGGTTGTGTGTTCAGAGCTGCGTTGGGAAGAAGTGGTAAATAATGAGGATGAGTTATGATGACGATGATGATGATGATGATGATGACAATGTCAATGGTGTAGACATACAATTCTCATGTATGTATTCGGATAAGGTGCGTCTGGGTACAGTTTTGTGTCTGTGTTGGTAAAGTTTGATGATGTTGAAGCATTTTCTCTTGTACCACCAAAAAAACAAGCCTTCACTTTGTTTTACAAGGTTGTGGATGTACAAATACTCGGTACCCGGACGGGAATCAGCTTCAACGTGGAAAATCGGATGATGGGGACCAGGTGAGAAGAATGATCGACAACCAACGTGAACTACCTGACCGAGATTCACGCGTGGTGCCAACACTATCGTTACCCGTTGAGGCGGAGTGAGCCTCGCATGACAACCTCGTGAGTGGCCCTTTGTTACTGTAAAAGTGCAAGTGAGAGTAGACGCTTCGACGGAATTTTCTAGCAAATAACCAAAAAGAGGGGCGCACCATATGACTGACCCCTTCCAGTCTGTTTTGCCAGTAGGTATACGTGCAGTAGTAATTGTACAATGACAACCTTCAAGTCACATGGTCACAAAAGAAAACAAAACCCGATAAGGTGAAGGGTAAATAAAGTGGTGTGAGAGTGGAAGAATCTTTCCTTCCCCCCCAGATAGTACTAGTATTGTACCAGGATCATGACAAGTACTCAAAGTGTAAAGTTGGCGCTTTACTTGTATTGTACAAATCAGATTGTTTATGATGATGATGATGATGATGATGATGATGAACCGGTAAAAGCCGCGAGACCGGAGAGGGCGAGATGGTGGTGGTGGTGGTGCCATCTGCCAGTTTGTCCTAGTAAGAGGCAATTTGTATGGGTACCTTGCCTAAAGTACAGTACACCCACTAATACTACTACCATACCATCACACGTACTGTACACCACGACATCCCTGACAATAAATCTCTCATTTTTGTAGTTTTCTCATCATGCAGGGAAAATCAGACTACCGAGTTTCTCGGTGAGCTTGGTCCCCTTTAGAGCACTTTGGAACCTTTGGGACTTCGGTTTGACGGCACCGCACCACCCTCTAAGAAGCCTAAAAAAAACGATCTGCAGCTAAGGGAAAGTATCGGTATGTCCCTGGACAAGTATCCGAATTTCGTGATTGATCCATTCTTATCGTCATTATGAGTTCTTAACGAAAAAAAAGAAAGAGAGGAGAGAGAGAGAGACGCCCAAGGTCGTCATTATTGATAACAACTCATCTCTGAAAACCCATTTTGTTTACCTTGGGTAAATGGTTTTCATGTACCAAAACTTTGCATTACTCGAATATTATGATTAGAGGATTAGAGGCTTAGATGATTATTATTATCATTATTATCACTATTCAAAAAAAACCAAAACTGTTTGCTTCGTGATGGTACAAAATGACAAACACAAAAAGGGGGGTATTTTGTCGTGAAAATCCTCAAAGAAAAAACACCCCTTCCAGACGATCAAAGGAGATTAAAGAAATCGACTCGAAAACAACAGACTGAAAAACCACCATGACTCCTTTTCTTTTGCTGCAATATTCTTCATAATTTCATCAACGACGTCTCCACCCTCTCCCTCTCTCCCCTCTGCTTCTCTCTGCTTCGTTCTCTCCTCTCTTTCTAGTCTCGCCGATGTTCACCGCCCTTTGTTGGCCCGAGTCTCTCTACACCTGACTGCTCGAGGCTTGGCTGTGTTTCCTGTGGGGCATGTGTGACTCGGCCTCGACCCGGGGCGTGAAGAAGGCCAACATGGCACTGCAGAGCCAGAAGAAGGCCCCGATGAAACAAAAGGCCTCGGTGGCCCTCCAGCAGGCACGGTACGAGGACCCCACGCCTTGGGACCACCCGTGCCAGTTCTTGTCGCAGTCGAACTCGATCAGCGCGCCAAAGGCCGAGAAGAAGGCCAGCGAGAAGAACAGGTTCACCATGGCCAGGCACCGGGGGACGACGTTGTAGATCCAGGCGAAGACGTTGGACATGGGTATCGCCAGCCCCGCGATGATCTCGGTGTAGACCAGACGAGCCTGCGGGTAGACCGGCGTGTCGTTGTAGTTGGCAAGGTACCACGAGTTGATACCCAAAACGACCTATCAAGGAAGGTACAAAGTCATTGCGTCAGTCTTTTGCAGCCGTTTTGTGGTGGAATGTTCCACCATCTTTTTTCCCTCGAGACTTGTCTTAGCCGGCCCTTGGGGGTTCTTGCGTCGACGCGAACAGTAGGCCGCAAGGCTCATCCGGGGGTGTAAAGAAGGGCCAAATGGAAACAGTCTCGACCAAAAAAAAACAAATGCCCCTGTCCACGGGGGACAGGGAAGGAAGTTTTTGGGACGTTGTGGAAATACTTACAGCGGCGCAGATCGATTCCCACATATAAAAGCCCCTCGACAGGAGCCTGAGAACACTAGGTTCCATCTTGCGTGGGTCGTACATGGACATTGGGGTGGTTGTGTAGTTGAGTGAGATGGATGATGATGATGATTATGATAGGCTTGTTTTTTCGCCCCGGAGAGTGCGAGCTTCAGTGATGATACACTTACATGAACAACCAAAAACATCCTTCCTTGGACACGGAGACATTCGCAATAGATATAATCCATCTTTACGAGGCTGTGGTCTGGTGACTCGTCCGGACTTCTCGAGGCTCTGTGTCGAAAACGCACCTTTGCGTAGTCTCTCTCTCTCTCTCTCTAAACACGAGCACAGGCATCATGAGCACATCACCCCATGGGCAGGGGGAGAAAAGCTCGTTATTCCATTCTGATCATCTGGAGTCAAAAGTCTTCTTCCAAGACGACCAGAAGGACGTCGAAGGCTGTCGACCGGGCGCGGGCACGCCAGAGCGGTCACAATTGCGAGAGAAGCCAAGACTGCTTGCAGATCACAATGAAAACCCGACCCGCGATTAGGTCGAACATGTCAAGACAAGCCAGGGCCTAGTGATTAGGTCAGCTGAACCCCAGCGAAGAGGCCGAGATTTTGCAAAAACGAACCAGAATCATCCGATTCTGTGCTGACTCACGTGGGAACGAAGAATGATACCCAAGGGCTGAATTGGTCTAAGGAAATCCGTATTCTCGGCCACAAGCCCCTGGCAAACGAAGAGTCGATCAATTCTTTTCGAATCCTCGCAAAATGCGATTGGTTCTTTACCCAAGATGAATCTATCGCCATCATGCAGCACTCAGGTGACAAAATGATTCTAGACTATTGAGCCGCGCACCCCCCTTTCGAGCCAGCGTCAAGGCGGGGTGTGGATACAAAAAGTGGTGTATCGATAACAACATCCTCTCATGACGATCCTCGCCCCTCGCCTTCTGGCCCCGACTCACAATTGTCATTAGGCATGTGAGTGGCCGACAGGCCCAAGTATCGGGTTGGGTGGGGACAGGGACGGTTCGGCGCTCGAAGTACGTGATTACCAGTTGCTTCAAAAAAGGGTACATAACAATGCTGAGGAATAAGCCCTGAAGGTCTTGTTTCTCCATTTATCGCTGGCTGCACGACGGTACAAACTGTGGCAAGAAGCAATAAAAACAATCTTCCCCCAAAATGTTTCCACAAGATAATAGCGAAAGAAGGCTCGCCTTCGACGAAGCGAGTCGCACTAGACCACAAGGAAAAGCATCGGGTCGTAGGTATGCAGGGCAAATGAGGCACAGGGTATCCCGAGCCTGCGACTTTTGCAGAATAAAAAAGGCCAAGGTCAGTCCAGCTGTCCCGAGTGTGTATGCTGTCCTGCGACGAAGCTGATTCGTATTGGCGAATAGTGCGACGGCGGTGAGCCTTGCGGCAAATGTTCAAGGAGCCAGACGTCGTGTACATACAGGTACGTTCGGAAAAGCTCAGGGTCTCAGACCGCAGCAGGGTAAGTAAAGGACTCATGGTTCAACCTGGTCATGGTCTGACTCCTCGTCAGGTATGCCGAGCAGTTAGCGCGCCAACAATCGATCCTTGTCGCATGCGTGCACGAATTGTATCGGCAATTGAAGACAGGCCAGGAGCATGGCATTTCAAATGTCACACGCTCTCCATCCAGTGACATCTCTGTAAATGACATCGTGGTTTCTCTCGGTTTGGACCCGGTCGACATTGCTGAGGCGGACGACTCGCGCCACACGAGGGAATCCAGGTCTACCACGGGTTCTTGTGCAGCATCCGTTAAGCAACACGGAGGCAATCAAAAATGCCGAGACTGGCCTGGCGCTGATCGAGGTCCTTCTGACGACTTTCTAGTGACCATGACACCTGGTAACTTTGAGACGAGTCCTCCCTTATCGACCACTGGTGATCGTTGTTCCACAAATGGCAGCGATTTGGATGGTTCTGATCAAAGCGGTAGCTCAAGTCCGGCATCGGCGACAGAGTGGAACTCCTTGTTTGACTTGGATGCCGCAGGGTATTATGATCCAATTGACTTCGACTCCAACTCCTTGTTTGCGGACATTGGACAGTCCAACTTGCCCTACCCATGGCTGCAACAAGAGTTTTATTGAGATCGTTGTGGCGTTGGACGCTGTTTCTGTACTGTGATCTTTGGGCGTTCGGATTTGGAATGGATCAATTGAGAGGTGCACCGGACAAGTTATTTAGATGCAAGTGGGTGGGGATATTGTCGTTAAGCTTACATAACGACCTGAGGCGTTGAGGAGCAGGCTCTTGCTTCCCATATCGAAACATTTTTGTCCCATGAAGCCTGCTGTGTTTCATTCGACTTGTATATGAAGCTTGTTGCATTTCATTGGATGTGTATATCTTTGTTTCGCGTCTTAAACATAGGACTGAAGCGATTACGTCCCGTCATCTTTAGACCATCTCTCTTGGAAGCAGTACGTTAAGCTGATACATGGTAGATTCTTCATCAGAACATTCAATGACTGTTGAAAGATAAGAGATACTCATGAGTAGCCTTTCCTGAGCTTGTGGGTTCCACATCTTCAACACAATCGTATTGTGATCAATGGACGTGCGATGTGTCTCGGCTCTCATGCACAGAAAGTGCACTCAGAGTTTTCTGTCATATCGATTCGTGGGCGTTTAAGCTCGTCGATACAAGCCCTGGACGTGCATTGATTGAGTACCCCACAGGATATCCCCGAGAAGCGAGAACGGGCTGTTGCCATAAGGCGACTTGTCGGACATCGTAGGTGAGGCTAATGAGGTCGGTTCCGACTTCTCTGCCCTCCCAGGCCCGAGGAACGACCACGGACTATTATCAAGCTCCATGGCGTCAGGGCCTTGCAAAAAGATACGAAGAGCCATGATGGCTCTTGCCATGGGGGCTGGCACTTCGGTCGGATCAGTGTCTGAATTAAGGTTCGTCATGACCGTCAAGAGATCTTGAAGAAGAGCGTGGACATGGTTGCTCTTGGTGTGCTCTCTGATGATGCCTAATAGGAGGGCGGAGCTGAGGGCTCTTTGCATGGCGATCCATGAAGTTCTGGTAGTCGACGACACCCTTTGCAGACCGAGATACGCGTTAACAGTCCCAGCTAAGCCGTTGATGCATGCTTCTCGTAGATGGCTTAGTCCTGGATCCCTGTGAAGCCGAAGTGCCGCTCGATGCAGGTCGAACATCACGTACGATAAATGAAGTGAAAGGTTCCAATGCTCGAGCTGGTCCCTCATGGACCGGCATGCAGAGACGTTCGTCAAATGAGGTGCGGCATCGGTCACAATTGCGTTTAGCCTATCACGATGCTTTAGGATGAGGGGGACCTCCTGGGTCGGGTCGCCAGCAACTGATCGTTCTCGTACAATGTCAAGGATTGCTGTGCATAACCTCTTCATGCATTCGAGGTAGGACATGTTCCCCGAGTTCTGGTTCGCGGCGCTGTGTTGGCGCCGGGAAGCGATGGTGAAGGTCGCGGGGGATCGGTCGAAAAGGATGGAGAGCAGGCTATCCTGCCATACGATGCGCCACCTAGGTTTGTTAGCAAACAGCAATAGTGTCCTGAGGAATATTGAAGTCAACGTACCAGATCTCTTCTCGAAGGCGTCCGTGCTCTGGCAACGTCGAGAGCTCTGCTGCTTCGTGCAGACCAATTGTCTGAGCCAATCTAACAGTAAGGCCTGGAATCGGTCAACGTCAAGGACAACAAGATAACACTCGGCTATTACCGAGCAGTGACCAAGCAACGCCAGCGTTCATGTTGTTCGCAATGACATTCCCAATCACGAGAAGGGACTGGATGTCCACCGGAGTCGGTCTCGACAGATGATTACAGATGCGTAGACACTCATAGGCACAGCAGACTAAAACTCAGGGAATTAGCAAATCACATGTGGGCGAGACCAAGGAGAAGCGTGATGACTACCATAGACCTGTGCAGTTAATTGCCGTTCTTTTCGTGGCAAGGACGAGCATTGGCAGCCCGACGCCAGACATGCAAACAGAAGGCTTATCCAATGGACGGTACGGCCATATATTTCCGAAGACTCGTCCACGTAGGCACCGAGCTGAGATCGAGAGTTTGAGCGAGAGAGGAGAAAGGTGGTCAGCTCGGATTCGAATTGATCAATGTCGACGACAGCCGGGTACAAGACATGGGCATTGTCACGATAGTGTCGCAGATACTGGAAGCAATCAGCGTCGGAGGGTATCAATTTACACACCTCCCGGACCCGGGAGGCCGTATCGGTCAAGCCCCAGAGGTCGGTGAAAGGGTAGGTGGCAGATTCATTGTCGAGGCCGAAGAGAGGCAAGACGGTATTTCCCACCACAGTCTGCAAGGCTTCCTCGTCATTGCCACCACCAAGGGCCACGGCCATGGCTGGGACCGAGTTGCGACCCAAATGAACCGAGCCATCAGCAACGAGCCCGCTCCGCGAGGGGATTCCTGGTGTAGCAGAAGCAACAGTATTTACTCCTTTTTCGCTCAGAGTAGGCAAACTAGCCTGTCTGACAGAGGGGACCGCCCTATCCGAGAATTGCACGTGGCCGGCTATCTCGTTCTTGATATCACGGAGAGAAGCTTCCATGGACTGAAGTTTCGACCATAGCTGGTTCCAGTCCAGCGTTCGCCCAGGCGTGTCATTGATAACCGAGGCGGCCTTTGTGGTCGAAGGAGTGTCGGCGACTGCTTTCGGCACCTGCTGGTAGGAGCAAAGGTTTACATGATCGCGATCAATGCATCGTTGGCAGGGTGTCTCGTAATTACACTTGACTTTGCGCTGTCGACATGGGTAGCAGGCCCTACGCTCGCGAGCTTTCCGTTTGCGCCGGAGGATCTGGTTGATTTCGGTGGGCGAAACACGATCCTCGTCCCCTTCGGACTGATTTGCATTGTCCATCGTGCGTCATCCGATGAAAGAAGTGGACTGATAATGTGAGCTGCGCAGACCACATTCAGTTGACTTTCACACACGCGATGTGTAACTTAGAGGTCAGGCTGCAACCTTGGCGCAGGCGACGCCCCATTCATCGGAGATATCGCGTATCTCGGGGTAATCTCGCATATATCTTGGTCCCTAACACCCTTACCTAGACCCTACCTAGAGGTAACAAAGGCACCTACAGTGATAGGGGATACATAACTAAAAGAGGCCGCCTAGACGTCTCCCTCATTACATTCACCATCTACTCGTGCATCATGTGCTCGTAGTAGCTACAATCTGTGAAAGATAATCCTTCATCAAACATCGCCCTCATTCAATCCCAGCAGCTTGCTTCAACTGCTGCTCCGACGCATACTTCGCCACCAACTCTTGCTTTGTAGCCTCGATCGCTTTGCCTTTGACATCTTGAAGCTCATCCATGTCGGACTTTGCCTTCCCGACAAACACAACTGTATTGGTCAATTCACTCATCACTGCGTAAAACATCACACCCGTCTCTGAATCAGGGCTACTCAGGTTAGTGTAGACATGATCTTCCTGCATTCCACGCATGATGAGTATCGTTTTCTCGAAGCCGATGGAGCCAGGCTGAAAGACAACGTTGACGTGTGTGAATTCGTCCGGGACGATGAAGGAATGAAGCGTATTCAAAGGCACTGTGACTGGTTTTCCGACTTCCAGGGGGATTGGCTTGAGATTCGCTTCGTCCATGTCTGGGGAGAGGAAAACAGTCATGCCGCCTTTGATCAGAGTAAACGTCTCGGTGAAGTCGGTGTGGTAATGAGGTGGTGCCGCTGCTCCTGGAGCCAAGTCGGAAACGACGACAGTACGTTGACCGTTGTTCGTCAAGGACGATTCAACAATGGTAGGGACCTTGTCGGCCGACATGTCGACAATTGGTACTCTGTAGGATGATTGAATGGGAATCGTTGGGTCAAAGTCGAACGTTGAGATATTGGAAGCTGACAACTATGCAACATAGAAGACTTTTATGGCCAAAGATTTGCGAAGAATTCAGCTCCCCGTCATACGAAAATCCTTTATGGGACTCTCAAGCATCAGGTACCTCGTCATCGCCATCGGAGGAAGCAGTTTGTATCCCTGCCGACCTTAGTGCGTAAGCCGAGAGGGGAATGTGAGGAAGAGGGCCAGTCTCAAGGGTACATTCGACTCACGACATTGTAGTTTGCGAAACAACGAAGATACATCGTCCACGTAGGTTGTATTGAGTGCGCTGGAAATCGGTCAGCCATGCACGCTTCATCGTCACTAGCTCGGTCGGGTGGTCAATGCAGACACAGTGGCTTTGCCAAAGGGGAAAGGTGAAGTCTCGTCGCGAGCTATATCACTATTTAGTGCTGAGAAATAATATCATGGAGAGACGCCAGAAGCTAATGTTTGCAAAGTTTTATCACGAGTGGTCAACTAGAAACAGTCAGGTCTAGGCAGGTCAGCGCGAAATCAGCTGTAGCTTGTTGACTTTGTAACCAAAAAGTCGTCGGCAAAACTCCGCAACCCCATCTCCAGGCAATGACCCACGTAGCCGCAGTGCTTAACACTTCGTGGCAGCACGTTTGCTGTGTATGCCCAATGGCCGGGGAGACAGTCGATTGAATCAATCAAAACGCTGTTCGTCCCGTCTTGACTGTTTTGAGAATTCCCGCATCGGCCATTTTCTCAATCATATTCAACAAGACGAAATCACAGCCACGTTTCACCACCATGTTGATCGTGACTGGTACCATCTCTTCGTGGAACGTCACGTTGCTGAAGTACGGCACTTGTCCAATAGGTATGGTATAGTCTGCGCATCCATATATGGGGCAGATATTTGCTCCTGTGATCTTGGCGGTTGGCGGTGTGACGGCCAAATACGAGGCAGCAGGAGACTCATTAAGGCTTTCCTCGCGGAACGAGGGAAGCCCTCCTGTACCGATGTCGTATAACATAACCGACTCCGAGCAAGATTCCCCGGTACTGAACTGCAGGTTCTGTTCGTACCATTCAACTGCGAGATTCTTTTCCTGCAATGCCTTTTGATAGGCCTCGGCTGTAGTTTGACTCTCGTTATACCTACGCCACCCTGGACGTCGAGCAGGGTCGATGGGAGGGAACCGGCCATCATAGAGCTTAGCCCATGTTGTGATGAGTGGTTTTGCCACTTCCTCCCATTGAGTGTACGAGTCGATTATTCCAATAGGGCCAGAACTCAGGTAGGTTAGATTTGCGACTTGGGGGTCCGATGCATTCTGGACGGTGGCCGTGAAATTGAACTTTTCTACAGTCATCCCAAACAAGGTGGACATGTTTGCAATGAACTCTTGTAGAACCACTTCTGCAGCCGAGTTGTTCAAAGGTAAATATTCCACGGGATATAGAATTCGTTTCGGGAATGCATTGGTATCGGGCAACGAAAGCGGGGACAACCCAGTCAAGGCTGGAGACTGGAAGTATGATGGGGTGTACCTATGATAGTTAGACACTCAAACTGATATGATCGTATCGCCAGCCTACCATGCCTTCGAGAATTTGACCCATTTGTATGGAGATCTCGAAAAAACCCCTGTCGTGTCAGTGGCGCCGCCTAATGGCATCACTCGCTCGAGGTTCATTAGCCCCTGGCTAGGGCGTTGGCTGTAGTCCAGTAAATACTTGTACACTTTGGCTAACCGAACAAACTTACCCATAGACGCCGGCAACTGCAGCAGGCCTTCGCATGGAGGAACCTGTGTCCGACCCGATTGCGTAGTCGAGCCAGTCATAGGCAGCAATCGAACAACCTCCGCCAGAGGAAGATGCTGAGCACGTCAACCAGCCATCACCTCGGGGATTGAAGGGGTAATGCTCGTCCTGCCAATCCCAAGGGTTCGCACCAGAAGCGAACTGGGCAAGTTTGTACTTGCCCACGATAACTCCTCCGAGATCTATGATTCGCTGTATCGATGGAGCAGTCCCATCAGCAATCGGAGTTATATGTGCCCATGCTTGGCTGCCACCAGATGTCTGCAAGCCCTTAATGTCAAACAGATCCTTGATAGCGACACGTTCGCCTGCGAGTGGCCTGTCATCGGTCCAGCTATAGATTCGAGAAGGTACTGGAATCATGGGGTCCCAGAACGCTGGCAGAAACGTTGGTAGCGCAGTGAAGCTCCCGTTGCCATCGTTAGCCTCGTAAGCCCCAAAGAGGAAATCTCGGTATGAGTCCGCATAGAGAAGGTAGACCATTTCGAAGGCGAGGGACTCTAGAGACATTGTAGCTACGTAAGGTCCTGGTGGGGGTGTATCCGCCAGAGCCAGGGTAGTGACAGTGCAATTGGCAGTCTCAACATGTTGAAACCCTTCGCTGACAAAGATTTGGCTCACTGCGTATGACTGCAAGTAGCTGATTGATGTCGGATCTAAGATGGGATCGGCGGCGGTAGACGAGATGAAAACAGATTCCAAGAAGTCCTCGGTGAAGACATCGTCAGCATCCAGATAGCTCGCGACAATGCTCTGAAGCACTTCATTTGTGACGACCGAAGCATTCGTGTTGATCACCGTAATAGGAAAGTTTGAGGAAGTAGTGCCAGGTGTAAATGAACCAGAAACAACAGTCTTCGGATTCTGTACGTTCGCGATATACGATAAATTGCCCATTGTAAAAAGAAGATCGCCACTTGACAAGGTCTGAATGGGCGCATATGGAGTGCGCTTCGCTGGGGCGCATGACCCAAGAGCGATGCATGATGCCAGCAACGGCAGGAGTTTCTTTGCGACAGGCATGGTGTTGTTGGAAGGAATTTATCGTCACGAGGAGTGAGAAGCCTACCTCTGAAGTCTAGGGCATCACGTATCTTTATCTTCATACCTTGACTCGACCTTGATTCCGCAGACACACAAAAACATACACAAAATCTCTTCCTCGCGCTTTCGTCCGCTCCAGGTCACAGGCGACGAGATAAGAGCCAGCATCGCTTAGGCTGGCAACTTGTGTCCTTCCTCTTACGTCGTTAAGCTAGGCAGATAATGAAAGATCGGTTCATGGTACCAGGCACCGCCGTTCTTGGCTGCGCCGGATATCGGGTGTTGTACGAAATACTGTAGTGGGTGGGGATGGGAAAGTCGGGATGCATATCGAGAGCCTTGCTAGAGTGACTGGTATCATCAAAGCTTTGGTACTGTGGAGGATGCGCCATCGGTGGGAGATTCGACGTAAAAGGTTCAGGATAGGTCAATCGAAAGGGTTCGTTCGTTCGAGGCTAAACAACTGCTGTCACTGTCAATACTTGGAAACGAGAGGTGCCTCAATCTCTGCAGAGTAGCATTGTCATTTCTCTCGTCAATGTGGACAGGGTACAGTACATGCTGGTTGACGGTGGGACAAATGTGGCGTCTGCCACAATACAGTAAATCAATGTGCGGAGTACGGATACGGTGACGCATAATTGACATTATCCCGAGTCCAATCCACTTTCGGCCATCTTCGTCTTGGCTGCTGCCGTAGCATTTTTTGTGGTACTTCAGCATTTTCGGTCTCTGTGCTCGTATTACTGAGTTTGTGTTCTCTTGCTTTCTCTCCTCAAACACAGTCGAAGCGTTCCATAAGACTCTTCGCAGTCAGCACTGGTCCATCAAAGGGAACGGCGTCCCAGACGGACAGATCGAAGACTGCACGTATGCAAACCTGACAAGTCTCTGCCTGACCGTCACTGGCGGAACGTCTGGGCTGTCGACTCATGCCTGCTTATTGGTAGCGGACTTGTGCGCATGTGGGCATCTGGAGTGTTGGTTCTCGCGCCAATATGAGGCTGCCTTGGCCACGTCCCTTTATCCAGGAGCCTGTTGATACAGTCGACATAGACTCGAAGCGATCGAGAGTTCCTTGGTGGGCAATATGCCTCTTCTCATTGTCGGCCGTTGGCTTTGCTCTACAACTGCTCGTGGCCATTGAATCATCATGGTCTCGACCGATCACCGCTCTCTGGGGTGTCACAGGATTGTGCATCGCCATTCGGCTCCCCAGAACAGGTTCAATACCTCTTCTAACAAGCTATGCTTGTATCGCAGCAGCTGACTTGGCTGTCGCTGCGTCCAGCTTTGAATACCAGAGACTCGGGAATGATGCAATATTCACACTCTCGGCCACGGCGCTCGCGTTGATTGCACTGGCCGTTGTGATTCTCATGCCTTTGCGCGACCCAATTATGGACCGGAGCCAAATCAGCAAGCCCTTCACCGCTCCTACGAGTAATCTTCGCTCACCAGAGGATAACATGAGCTTGTTTCAATGGATGACGGTCTCGTGGATGGCACCCTTGATGAAGATTGGCAACAAGCGGCAGCTCCACGACGAAGATGTCTGGGCATTACCTTACGAGTTTCAACATCGACATCTCCACGATACTTTCCGTGACCTTCGCGGCACAGTCGTTAGGCGCCTTTTGGTAGCCAACTGGATTGACCTGATGCTTCTCTTCCTCTTAGCCATCCTAGAACTGGTAACGAACTATTCTGCACCCGTCATCCTCCAGAGCCTGCTGAAAGCCATGGAAGGAGTGCAGGCCAAGAAGCAACCGGCGGTCACATCAGCACTATTGATATTGGTCGTCAGGTTTGTCGCCGCGCAGAGTGCGGTCTTTAGCCTATGGTTTCAAAGACGATGTTATGAACGTTCTCGAGGTGAAATGATTACGATGCTTTACGAGAAGACCCTTCACAGAAAAATCCTTGGAGGACTACCACAAGACAAGGAGAAGACTATGGAGCACGCTGCTCAAGGCGAAACTGACCACTCGTGCAATGATTCCGTAGATGCCGTTCCAGAGACTGAGTCGTTGTTGGACGGTCATACCAAACGCGTGCCGGGGATTATGCAACGTGTGCGAAACACCATGTCCAGATTTCTGCCATTTTTAACCTTTGCACGGACATCGAAAGTCGAGAAGAAACCTCCTGCATCGATGGGTAAGATACTCAATCTTATGCGAAACGATGTTTACGAGGTTGCTCAGCGCTTTTGGGAGTTCCAGAACATCATTAACAAGCCATTGGGACTTGTTCTCTCCATCGTTCTTATCTGGCGTATGCTGGGATGGTCATGCATGGTTGGCGTTGGGGTGGTGCTTTTGGCACAGGTCTTCAACTACATCCTGGCTCGGATTCTGATGAGTTGGGAAAGAGAACGTCGAAAAGCAACAGATGCCAAGTTACAAGAGATATCTCAATATGTTGAGGCTATCAGACATTTGAGATGGTACGGCTGGCATTTTACCTGGCTCGACGGCGTAATGTCAGCTAGGCAAAAAGAACTCAACCTGAGGATCGTCACTTATCTGTGGAACTCCGCCATCCGGTTTCTCAATTCCCTTACCAGTGGTTTGGTTCCCGTCGCTACATTTTATGCGTACACGGTTTTCGCCGGCAAACAGCTACGAGTCGACGTCGCATTTCCTGCTCTACAGCTTTTCGCACTCTTACAAACGAATATTCGGGAACTTCCCGCGTTGATCACCACTCTGCTGAACGCTTCAGTCGCTGTTGGTCGTATAGAAGATTTTATTGCGGAACCGGATAAAGTCGAGACAACCGACAGTCGCCATGACTCGAACAGTCTCGAGTTAAAGAATGCCTCATTTTCTTGGCCTGGTCTATCGAGTGTGACATTACACAACATCACAGTTTCTTTTCCTCAAGGCCTAAGTGTCGTCTATGGGCCTGTTGCAGCTGGAAAGACAGCTCTTCTTCAAGCCTTGCTTGGGGAGCTTGACCTGCGTGAAGGCGAGCTTTGCCGCCCCGATGCGCCCATAGGATACTGCTCACAGACACCATGGCTACAAAGCATGAGCATCAGAGAGAACATACTTTTTAACACGCAGTTTGAGGAAGGACGATACAAGAAAACACTCGAGGTTTGTGCTCTGCTTCCAGATCTCGCGAACTTCAAGCATGGAGACCTCTCAAACATCGGTGAGAACGGTATTGGACTTTCTGGTGGACAGAAGTCTCGTGTCGCGCTTGCACGAGCCGTCTATAGCCGTGCGGAGATCCTTCTCCTAGACGATCCACTAAGCTCTCTTGACCAGCAAACAGCTGAATGGATTGTCACAAAATGTCTCTGTGGCACACTGATGGAAGGACGAACAGTAATTCTGGCTACGCACCGCACGGACCTCTGCCACCATCTGGCCGCTCAGCTGATTGAGATCTCAAATGGCACTGCCATTCTGCATCGAAACGATGAGGATCTGACAGATTCGGCCTCTGCAACGATCGTCGAAAACACTCATACGACAACCGATGATGATACTGGAAAAGATCTTGAGGATTCAGCTGCTATTCCAGATAAGTTTGTGGAAGACGAACACAGAGCACATGGAGGTGTTCAGTTTGCCGTGTACTGGCAGTACATCAAAGCCGGCACTCTCAAATGGTGGTTCATCGTCGTCTTGACCGCCGCCTTGTGTCGCCTTGTCTACATCAGTGAGAGCTGGTTCCTGAAAGAGTGGGGTGAAGCATACGATCGGATGAAGGCTCATATCTTCACGTTCCAGAGATTTGACTCTGATGTTCATGTTCTCGAGAGTCCAATCAGCGGTCTTTTCAGCAGATTTCCTAATCCCTCCTACAACGTGAAGCCCTGGCTCCTAGGATTTCTTGTCATCGTGATCTGTGACACGGTGGCATTGATTCTCGCTCAAGTCTCCATACTCGTTGTTACATACATCGCAGCGCGTCGCATGTTCAAAGACATCATGTACCGCATCAGCAATACCACTTTTCACTTCTATGATGTGACGCCAGTGGGCAGGCTCATGAATCGCCTTACATCAGACATGGGAACGGTTGACGGCAACATTGCAGATCAATTTATGGTCGTGATATGGTATAGCATAGCTTGGATTGCTTCCATGATCGTGATCGCAAGTGTAACGCCCCTTTTCCTGGCGTTTGCACTTGCCCTCACGCTAGCTTTTGTGGTCATATTTCTGCAGTTTCTGCCCACTTCGCAAAGCCTGCGTCGTCTTGAGATGGTCTCACTGACACCTCTGATGTCTAACTTTGGGGCATTGCTCAACGGTCTGATGACTGTTCGAGCATTCTGTGCCCAGCCTCAATTCCAAGAACGAAACATCCAGGTCACCGATGCCTTTCAGAAGATGGACCATTTTTATTGGAGTCTGCAAGCTTGGCTCATGTATCGCTTCGATACCTTGTCGGCCGTGTCAACTTTCATACTGACCTTATTGGCCATATTTTCCAACTTGTCCGCTGGTCTTACGGCCTTTGTCCTTGTCGCAGCCCAGAAGTTTGTTCAGTCAACACACGCGATATGCAAACAGTACGGACAGCTTCAACTCAACTTCGTCTCTGTGGAGCGAGTTGTGGAGCTCATGCACATCGAGCAAGAGCCTCCAGGATCTTTGGAACCCCCTGCGGCCTGGCCGACGTACGGCAGCGATATTGTGTTCGAAAATGTCACCTTGAGGTACCAGCCGCACCTGGAGCCAGCGCTTTCCGATGTTTCCATACGACTTCGAGGCGGAACGACGAATGCCATCACAGGAAGGACTGGTTCCGGCAAATCCACCCTGGCGTTAGCGCTGCTTGCTACCATCACGCCCGACTCCGGCCGCATCTTGATCGATGGTGTCGATATCTCAAAGGTCAGCAAGCAAGCCTTGAGAACAAGAGTCACATTTTTGGCACAAGACCCCGTGTTGTTCCCTGGATCGCTACGCCACAACCTAGATCCTCTGGAGGAGCACTCAGACTATGCGTGTGAGGCTGTAGTCTCCAGGGTCTGCGGAAAGTATGGATGGACATTGGATACGCAGATCGACAATGGCGGTCGAAATCTTAGCCAAGGCCAGAGGCAGCTTGTTGGACTCGCTCGAGCCATACTGCGACGGAGTGCCATCATAATCATGGACGAGGCAACAGCTAGCATTGACATTGAAACCTCTGCTGAAATCCAACGTGTACTGAGGGAAGAGTTACAAGAAAGCACCATCATCACTATTGCTCACCGTGCCGCAGCGGTGGAAAACGCCGACTACTGCGTTACACTAGCTGCTGGACGTGTTCTGAAACAGGGTAGACCTGAAGAGATTGGATTTTAGTGTCGGTTCTTTGGCGTCCAAGGCGTGAAAGCAGGTTTTGTATCATCGAGATAAAGGATAACTAAAAGATTGCGTTTCCAACCCTCCAAGCGAAGAAGAAGCAGTGCCTGGACCGTAACCATTCCTCATAGCATCGCTTCCAGACAAGATAGAGAACAGCCTTCGCAAGTCACATCATAACTCTTATCGATGACAGTGTAAGTCCATTTTTATCACTGCGCTACCTCTCACTGTAGACGGTTCATCGAAAAGTGCAGGTATACTGAGTAGTGGATCGTCATTCGAAGGGATTTGGAGGACGCAGGGCGATTCGTGTCCACATAGAGTGGTAGGGTGGCATCGAGAGGAGCCCTCGGTATTAGTATCAGACAGCGTAGGCGGATGGGTCAGTTTCGAGGTCGACGAACCATGCAGCTACTAAACAAGAGAACAAATTGGAAGAGAAGCTGCGTATCTAGTGGTAGGAGACGGCGACGAAGCATTGGAATTCCGCGCAGCCGGCTAAAGAGGAACGCGGAATATCGTGGAGGTTGTGATCGGCCGTACTACATCAAGCATGTGGGGGTTTTTACTTTGCCGTAGTATCCTTTACTCCAGATTTTCCCTCGGACCCGATGCCCCCGTCCAATCACAGACGCACAAATCATCACACCCAAATGACGTGCCGTTTTCTAGACACTTCCAACCTGCCCATTTTGTGTCTCTCACTTACTTCTCATCCTCTCACCGCCAGAGTCGTTGGCGATGTCCATTTAATGTGCCATCTGAATCCAACAGTGAGTCCTCACAGTCAACTACTATCTTGAATTTCAGGATTTCCCCTGTCTTGGATAGCTGAGCTTCGTGGTGGCCGTTGATGTCTACCGACACTTTTCACCATGGCCGACACTCCTAATTCTCAACAAGACGCCCAGGCCTCTCGCGTGATATCTGGTCATCTGCCTTCGGGTTATACTGCAGAATTCGTTCCCGTATCAAGTTCTGGAGATGCTGGAACCGATTCAAACGATGCAGAAGGCGAATCCTCCCTCCAGCTTCAGGGTGGTGACATTCACCGAGACCTCTTCAAGATACATCACCGAGGCAAACTCCAACAACGAGCTGCAACATTTTCACATCCACGTGCCGACTCTACCAATGATGAAGATGAACAGCCTACGGTGGCAGGCCACCTCGCGCCTGGAGGCTTCCGACGCGAGTTTGTGAAGCAAAAATATGGCCGCTTCAACCCCGCTGTCATGCCTGTCACACGAAACTTTGTCGAATTTCTCGCGTTGTACGGCAGTTTCGCTGGAGAGGATCTCGAAGATACTGACGACGACGAGGCCCTGGAGGACGAAGAACAAGCTCCTACAGAAACTCGACCACTGCTGGGTCGACGGCGGACCACGACCCGAGCACAACGAGGCGATGCCGGCACAACCAAGACCTTCTTCACCTTACTCAAGGCTTTCATCGGCACCGGCATCATGTTCTTGCCCAAAGCATTTAACAACGGCGGCATTCTGTTTTCATCCATCACCTTGATTACGGTTTCTCTCGTCACTACCTTGGCTTTCCACCTGCTGCTGCAGTGTCGACAAGAACACAAGAAGACCGGTTACGGAGAGCTTGGAGAGACTATTGGCGGTCCAAAGTTAAGAGCTATCATTCTTGGGTCCGTCACGATCTCACAGCTGGGATTTGTCTGCGCTGGCACGGTCTTTGTTGCGGAAAATCTACACTCCTTCCTACAAGCTGTCACCAAAGGGTCTCAACCGTTGTCCACGAACGTACTCATCGCCCTACAGCTATTGGCCCTGATACCATTATCCTACATCCGCAATATTTCCAAGTTGGGACCCGCTGCTCTGCTGGCGGACGTCTTTATCCTCTTGGGTCTAGCTTACATCTACTTTTACGATATTAGCACGCTCGCCAATGAGGGCATCCATCCGACAGTCCAACTCTTCAATCCCGATTACTACACGATGACTATTGGTTCTGCCATCTTCACGTTTGAGGGCATAGGACTTATCCTCCCCATCCAATCTTCCATGAAGGAACCTGATAAATTCGAACCGTTGCTATGGGTCATTATGCTCATCAACACCATCATTTTCACCTCGATAGGAGCTCTTTGCTATGCCACCTTCGGCTCGGCCACGCAGATCGAGGTCATTTCGAATTTTCCGCAAAACAACAAGCTCGTCAACGCCGTGCAGTTTCTGTACGCCATGGCGGTCATGGCCGGAACTCCGGTCCAATTGTTCCCGGCCCTGCGCATCCTGGAGGGCAAGGTATTTGGTCGTCGTTCCGGCAAGAGAGATGCCTCGACAAAATGGAAGAAGAATGGATTCCGGACGGCGCTCGTCATTGTCTGTGTCTTGATTGCAATCCTGGGCTCCAACAACCTGGACAGATTTGTCGCCCTCATCGGCTCGTTCGCTTGCGTTCCCCTCGTGTACATATATCCGCCACTACTGCATTACAAGGGCGTCGCTCGGACGTCGTGGACCAAGATTGGCGACATTGTATTGATGGCTCTGGGATTGGCATGCATGGTTTATACCACCATCATCACTGTCGTCAACAGTTTTTTGAAGTCGTGAAACACTGTTAGCAGCCACGTATGAGTTTGAGGGCTTCATGTTCGACCTCTTGCAAATTGTTTCGGAAAGGAATGTCGAGGCTGGCACATCCCAGCTCGATGAGCTCATTATATTATCATTACCGCGGTGTACGTACTGGATCTATAAGCATGATAGGTGACCAATCTAGGAACACTCGTAACAATAAAAACGCAAGGGAGCTTTCAGATGTGTCTGCTGTTCAGAGGCGCGGTTTCAGTAGCCAACACAGTAAAACAGAAGAATTCGAACGCCCTGCAGAGTAAATTACCACCGGTCACTCTTGTGTTTCAATCAGCTACAACAACCCCTGCGTGGACCGCGGTATTTTCCGTGATGGCGTTCACTACTATTCTTGATGTTGTATTGCTCGCGTTGCTTCCTGGTATGATGGCTGACTTTTCTTTCAAGAAGACCCTTTCCCCCGTGATGATGGTCCTGTCTAGGTGCTTACACACGTTCAAATTTAGCCCCCTTGACAAGGTGTTCGGTGGCGTCCAGTACTTTTTCTGGTTTGTGATTTGTGTCGTCGAAGGGCACTGATTCCATCCGTGCCAAGCAGAACTTCCGAGACCCTTTGGATCTATCTCGGAACCTCCTTTTCACGAAGGGGGAGGTTCTCTCCCTCAGATCTGGTCGGTATTTAGTTCATGCCCAGCTTTTTACCGTTTCAATATGTCTCTGCATGGTCGAAAATATTAAGGCCCCCTCACATATCAAAAGGAACCAGATCTCTTTGGATGAGCGACCATCCCAGATTCGCGCGAGACACACGCATCTGCGATGTACGAGCTTCGCCGGGGAGATTGCGAAGCCGGGGAGGGGAGATGTCGATGTTTCCGTCTGGGCCAGACGCTGCCTGTTGCTGCCCTCCCCTGCATGACCATCTCAAACATGGCTGGGGTACAAACGGGGATACGAGCCTCGGTCGTGTACGGTGATGCCACCACCGATTTGATGTGTAAGGCTGCCCCCGAGGATTCGGCCTTGAAATTTTCTTGGGGTGTGGCAATCACATTCCACCCGACCGAAACCCGGTTCCTCTCTGAACCTGTCCCTGTCTACTTACCATCGACGTCGTGGCCAGACCATTCTGGTTTTCAGCAAGGAGGAGGTGGAGGAGGAGGATTCAGATTGGTTTACATGTCATGATGATGCGTTGGCGCCACACCCGAATTTGAGAGAGACAGACTCGGACGAGCAAGGTGAGAGAGTACGAGTCGCGCTTACAAGTATAAGAAGGTGGTAGAGAACCTCATTCCTTCAACATTCTCAACGCACCAAATCCATTCTCTCTGTTCCAGTGTCACTCGTTGTCCAACTCACCCCCAGTCAATCGTTCACACTTCTACTCTCGTACATCTTCCTCGCGGACCTTTGGTTTGTCACTTTCATACACACACTCACACACGCGCACGTCCAACCACGAAAAATGAAGTTGCTCAGTGTCATCATCACATCTATCGCTCTGGCATCCACCACCATCGCTGCACCAGGAGGATGGACTCAATGGCAGGGAGGGGCAGGTGGTGGCAGGTCTGGAAATAACAACAACGGAAACAACAATTGTCTCTCTCAGAACGACGCCAATGACATTGTCAACAAGTTCATCAGTGTCCTCAACCACCCCGACATCAACGCATCCAATGCGACCGCTCAAGCCTTGATAGCCGACGGTTTCTTTGAAAAGAGTGACTCTATCAATATGCTCGCAGGTCATCCGGTACGTTACTGTCTCCTCTCTCTCTCTCTCTTTCTCTCTCCTCTCTTCTTCTCTTCTCACCCTTTTATCCTCACAACGCTAACCTTTTCCTCTCTCTCTCTCTTTTCTTTTTCAGGCCGGCTCGGAATCATTCAAAGGCAAGGCACAGTACATCCAAGGTGTGTTGCTCACCCCGTCCATCACCGGCATCAACACCAACATGGTCCTCCCGGCCGGTTGCGACAAGGTGGTCTGGCACTGGACCTTTACCGGCATCGGCACCAGACAACTCCCCGTCAACGGCATCAACATCTTCGAGATCACCGCCAAGAAACAGATCGCAGACATGTACGTCGAGTTCGACAACATCGCCTGGGGCATCGACACGGGAATCACCGTCTACAGTCGCAACGGGACCAAGTTGCCCTTGGCTTGAAGGTCCGTGGCCTATCAGTGACTATCCCAAACCCCGACCATCACGACCGGGGGGGGGGGAGGATAGGATCTACTTTTCTCACTCGATCCGTCACAAGAAACAAAGCAAAAGAAAATGACGAGGACTTTGTCTTTTTTTTCTCCGAGTTACCCGAAAGAGGCGATTTTCGTTTTCGTTTTTTGGTTTTTTCTTTTCATTTCGGAACAGACACAGTCACAGGCAGTGACCGTAAGGCAGTTTAGGAGGGCGTCCTTTGGATTATTGACAGAGTACTTTACTTTTTTGACAAGACACGAGTGATTATTATTTTTACAAGACACTTTTTCGAATACAGCCTTCCCCAAAAGGAAAAGGGGGTTTTCTGGTTTCTACTTCTTCGTATTCATTTTTGTGTTTGCCTGTCTGGTACAAAACCTTTTGGACTGGCTCCTCCAATTACCACTTTGCGCTCATCTCATTCATCATGAGCCCCCTTCTTATCTTCTTTCGAGCCTGTATGACAAGCCATTGGGATGTAATTTCTATTGATATCACCCCTGTGACCTACTGTGGTCAAGGTAACCGGTTGTCTAACAAAACCATCTCTAGTCCATCTCCGTGTCTGGTTGCTCGTCTCCAGAGACCCCTGTTGCTTCTTCGTCCATTCCTTCGGCGGTCAAAGGTGCGCCGTCGTCTTTGTCTCCCGCTTGCTTGTGCGACACGATTTTCCATCCACTCGGCGTGCTGGTGTCTTTGACGTATTCCGACATAGGGAACTATAGGGCTTAGTTAGCATCACTGTCTCCAACTCACTCGGTCCACACTTACATAATGGTCGTTCTTCTTCATCGTCACCACCCACGGCACATTATCAAATGTCATAGCCCTTAGTCTGAAATAGGTATTATCTTCAATCTTGCTCACCTCCCGGACAAATACATCCAGGTCTGGAGTCTTCACACCATTGACATGAGTGATGAAATTGGTGGGAGCAAGTCCATACTGGTACGCCGGTGATCCCCGACTTCTCGCACTGACATAGATCTCCGAGTGCAGTTTACTGATCTGTTGACGCACAGCGTGATGTGGCTTCTGCAGCACCGCGCCACAGAAGACAACGGCGCGAGCGGTTTCCAAGTCCTCTGTTGGCACTGTAGGAACACGCAGCCGGACCTCTTTGCCTTTCCGTACCACCAAAGCATCGAGCCATTCCTTGTCGTACATGATATCGAAATCAGATACCCTGGTGATGAGCTGGTCGTTGAGAGTAAGAATGATGTCCCCTTCTTGAAGCAATTGGCCATCACCGGGGCCGTTGGCAGGACCGCAATCGACCTTACGGACAATGAACAACTGGTGCCGTGACGGATTAGCTTTGGCCACCTTCTTGATCCATTCATCTGAAACTCCCATGATACGACATTGAGCCATCTGTACCACGTACGACTCCATATTCAAAATGCGTAGTTTGGGAATGACACCGGCACGAATCTGGTCAAGGACCGGATTAATCATGCTCGTGGCCAGACCGAGGTGATATTCAGTATCTCGATGACTGCCCTGCGTTCTCTCGCCCATATAGGTGAGCCAGAGAGCTTGCACCACACCATCCGACCCGATGAGCACTCCAGACGAACACTGAGATGATAGTCCTGTATCCACGGTGATGGCATCCAGATTGACAGCACGGTATCGGGGAGCAGCAGCATTCGCTGGAATACCGACCGCCGTAATGTCTGTGACAGTGGTTTTGGCAACAACGATTCTGTGATTCTGGTTGAATCCCACGAATATGGTGTCAGCCCCCTGTTTAACCATATCAGTCGCCAGACGAGCGCTCTGAACAGGCGCTTGGACCAGCTTTGGGTCATATTGAATCACAGTATAATTGGTGAGTGGATGAAGGAAGATGACTTTTCCTTCAATCTGTATAGAGTCGGCAACTGTAACAGTAATATCGCAGAGGTCGTATGGGACGATGGCTCTAGACACCACGACCAAACCTTTTTCTGCATCAATAACAAGGCCAAACCCAGTTCTCCTTGCTTGAGGATATCCATCAATCTTGACAGGCATATAACAGGAAACTTTGACGAAGGATCGAACGATGTCCGCAGCAGCTGGCAGATCGTCCAGTTGGACAAAGTCGGCAGCTTGAACTTTGGGAGGTACGGCGGCAATTGCTTTACCCAAGTCTTTGAAATCCCACAAGCCCGTTGCGTCATTCCGTACGGCCAGTCTCATTCGCTGGTGCCAATGTCGGTCGATGTGCACGATGCTCGTAGCCCTCGTGTGCAGATCCCTGATATGACGGTACGAAATAACAATACGAGACTTGTCTGGCACATTCCGCATGACCTCGATGAATGCATCCAGGTCTGGAGTCGGCTTCTGATCGACTGTGTCAATGATCCACCCAGAGAGAGCGTTGTCCATCTTGAAGGATCCGGCAGCCTCGGCCACGTAAAGACCTTTGCACGCAATTGCATATAACCGCGCTTGTTGATATGACAAGTTGTGGAAACTGCCACCTGCCACAGCAACAAATCGATCGGGAGTGATTGCGTGCAAATCCCCGACGTCGAGAGTAGCCTCGTAATCCTCTCCCCCACGCTGGAACAATAGATTAATCTTACCGCCTACGCTAGAATCCAATATCGCATCCAATTTGACAAAAGAATTCAAAAGCTCTCCATTGACTTTGATCAGGACATCTCCTTCTTGAATCTTGTTATCGGCAGGCCCCTCGGGCAACACAATCTCTGCCACAAGCATGCTGTTTTCGGTAGGAAACTGTTTCCGCATTGCTGATTCCCAATTTGGAGTTAGACCAAGTCTTCGGCAATCGTCAAAGGGTTTCAGCATCCATTGTGTCTGGATGGTGCCTCGAGTTATCGGCTGGGATTGTTGTAGACACTGCAAGGCGCGCAATGGTCGGTCGAGTGGCAGAAAGTAGTCGGTGGCGGCACCATCCACGCGCCCGCCTGCCTGAAGTGCAACCGCATTACCGTTCAGATTGACAACAGGACTGCCAGAACTTCCACCGGTCGCAGCTGCAGCCGCCTGAATGTAATTTGTGTTGAAATCGGAGTACCCTTCGCCATATTCTGGAGCATTGCGGTCTAATCGACTGATCACACCGGAGAGAATACTGAGCTTCTCACCGGCATCGTTTCCAACCACTCTGATTTCGACCCCGACTTTGGCAGATTCTGGCTGCAGCTTGAGCGCCTCCAATTGCATGTACTTGATGGCCTTGGGGTCGAACTGTAGAATGCCGAAATCGTGAACCGGGTCGCGGTAGACCGGCCGCACATCGCACTCTTCATGGTTGTCGAAAACACAATAACCCCAAAACGGCCCAGAACACACCACATGGCGGTTGGTCAGGATGTATCCGTTCTCTGCGTCCACCACGAACCCAGTGGCCTGACTCGAGGTGGACAGGTCCGTATCAAATGAACAAGTTTGACAAAAATGTATAGACACCACGCTCTTGATGACCTTTTCTATCGTGGCCTGCCATTCAGGTGAATCCCCGGCGGCTGACACAGCGTTGATTATCGGAACAGAATTTGCATCTGCCTCAATGTCGTAGACCGAACCATTCTGGGGGGTCGCATCTCCCGGTGTTGGGACGCCATTCTCTTGCTTCAACTGTTTCTTAGGCCTCTCTATTGCTGATATCGGGCTGTTTCTTCGTTTGGGGCGAGCTTCGCCATTGGTGGCCATCGTGGTAGCAAATCTGGGCCGAGGCGCAACGGGAAAGGCCGACTGGAGGCGGTTGGGGGAGACAGAGGACAGGGTCTGGAAAGGTGCAGGCTTGTGCGATCCAAAGTCGGTCGCAATGCGAGCTTGGGAATGCGCGGAGAATGGTCGAGGGTTCGCGGAGCACACAAAACGTCGGTGCGTCGCCAGGGAATTCGATCTCGGAGGGATACAACAGTAATGAGAATAAGATACCCTGATGAGTCTGGGACGAATGTATGGTACCATTCAGACAGCGATAAGCAAGTAAAAAAGCCAAAAAGAAGAAGTAACAAGAACGAGAAAGTACTAGCAACCTCACAGAGACAAAATCACAAGGCTGCGCGCGGTTACAGAAGCCTGACGCAGTCAATCACTTTTAACTCCGATTGGTCTTGGCAGCCTTGTCTCATGTCTGCGCAACCATCATTGGACTCACATTCCAGGCACGCACTACAAACAAAGTACTGCTAGGTACACAATGCTATGTACACCGTTCAAGAGGTAGGTAAAATCCATATACATGTAGATATCAATCCCCGTGTACAAGTATAGGAACCGTCATCCTCACAATCATCGATCTTGCTCCCGTTCAACAATGCATTCTGGCATCTCGAGCATCTCAACACCCTTGTAAATCTCTTCAGGCAACTTGAAGGTGAACCACTCTCTCGTTCTCACGATACCTGAAGTGATAATTAGCATCCGACATGGCCGGACCTCAAAGAACTCTGCTCATACGTTCCCTCCACATAATCCCCGGTGGCACAGGAGAATGAAGCGCGCTGAGTGTGACTTCTCTGGACCGGATATAGCCACCAGAGGTTTTCTGAAGCAACCTGGCGTGCTGATTGTCTGGAACCTTCGTGAGGAGGCCTTGTCAGTCTGCTGTTGCAATCGAGGCACAAATCTGGCGACATTCTGTCTCTGCAAACTCACCAGTCGGCTGCTGTAAGATTGTTCAGGTCACCGACTCGGTCTACAGGATGGCATTCAATGTGTCTGTCATCGCTGGGGACGACTTGGGCGCTCGCTTCAATATATTTTGAGTCGGTAGAACTATGTGTTGTCACAATTCTTGAACTCACACGTCCGCCAAAACAGGATCGGAGTGCCGCGATTCAGTGTTCATATTCTGAGTCGGATGCTGTGACACTGTGTGAGCCTTACTCATCGCAGACTGTCCGGCATCAGGAAAGAGGGAGTTCAGCTGTTTGTAGAGGTCCTGGACTTGGGGCAAGTGCGCGGGTGGTGCCATTATTGTCGGACCATGAGGCAATGCGCCGTTTGCCTTCTTTTTGGCATCTGCGATAGCAGCCAGATATGACAGATTCGCCTGAAGCCGGCGCATACAATCTGCATATTCCTGTGAAGGTGGCTTATTCGGATGGGAGCCTGTGCCGCTGGCTGATTTTGATGGCTCATCACCAGAGCTGTTCAATGGATTTGAAGGGTCAGTTGCAGACACTGGAGAATCCGGTGACTGTTGTCCTGAGACCGCAGAATTGGCCGTCTTCTCTTGTTCTTGTAGCGATATCACCTCTTGCAATAAATGTGTGTTGATGTCCAATAAAATAGATACTCTTGCGCGCTCTCGCGCCGCTGACTGCGGTGACATGGACAGCGCCCCTCCATCTGTCTGGTGCTCTGACTGCGCTTGTTGTTGTTGGTGTTGTTGCTGAGGAATGTTGTGGGCCATCTGAACCGCTTTCTGCATTTGCGCTTGCTGCGCAAGACTGGAATTGGGTTGGACAGGTAGTCCCATGAAGGCGGCTGTGTGTGTATCGGCTGAGGCAGATGATCCTGCTTGCAGAGGAGGGGTCGGCGTCGACATTTGGGACAAGGAGGAAGTGTGAGGAGGTTGGCTCGCGGCTTGGGTCACTGACATGGGCGACGGTCCATTTGTCGGATATCCTGGCACAGAATCAGCATGGCTCAGCGCAAGCGACAGGTGGCACTGGGCGACGAAGTCCACCAACCTTGAAGTGGGCTATGATTAGACGGTGAAAAGGCGCCAATCTGCCCCGGATTTTGATGATAGATGGCCTGCGATATGGGCTGTGGTGTAACTTGAGGGTGGGCTGGCCTTTGCAAGTGGTTCGCTATCAGGCCTGGCTGGTACGCAGCCTGTGCAGGGGATGAAGAAAAAGCAGCTCCAGCCGCAGCGTACATTGGCAGGGCGGGGTTGTTCATGATGGCTTGATTGGCGGTTTTGGGCTAAGGATTGTGAAGCTGAAATGTTCGGGTAGCCTCGAGGGAGCCAGCAAAGAGAAAGATCTGGTGCAGTGTCTGTGCGATCAATGAATGGCGTTTAGACTGGAGTTGAAATGGCGCGCCTGCAGCTAGCCGGAAGCCAAAACAACGCCTCGTGAGCCCAAAGCACATCGGCCCGTAGGAATAAACGGGGCAGACAGGGAGAGGAAGCACTAGTCGAGTAGGCCTGTACTTGTTTGATGTTGTATCCTGAAGCGAGGACGAGCTGGAGGCAGGACTGGTTGGTAAATGGATCAGCAATTTGATGAGGGCGAGTGGATTGGTCTGTGTGAAACGACGGCACCAGGCAATGTACGGCAAAAGCGGGAAGAGGAAAACTCGACGCCAAATCATCCATTGGGTACGGGCATCCTAACATTCTGTGACTGAGGGCGGCATGATGGTTTTACACAGTGCAACAGTCTAGGTAGATTATATCTAATCCGTACGGATACGAGGTACTGAGCAGTTGTATTCTTGTCCCTTCTACTTGTTCTTTTTCCTCTTCACCTCGTCTATCCACCGGCCTGCCAGCGACACTGGTACCACATATATCCTGACAAGTCCATCCACAATCTCAGTCTTGCCATTTGACAAGGCCTCTAATAACGTCAACTTCTTGCCGATCTTCATCAATCCGCCGCTGACCGTGTCCATGTAACAGTCAATCGCCGACGGCTTGTACTCATTCTTGCTGTCCCAAGGCAGGGGCAGGATGTAGCTTAGGTGATGCTCAATAGCATCCTTCTCGGCCCACGCCTTGATGAAATCAGACTGGTTATGCATCGGGTACAAGAACATCACCGGGAACTCCAACATGCTCGTTGGGGATAGAGGATCCGGCGACAATCGTATGGAGGCGCCTTCAAGATTCGGTGGATCCTTAGAACCTCGTAGTTGGATGTTTCTGGCTTTTAATGCCGTCGCAAGGACAAGCTGTTCTTGTTGCTTCCTTTTCTGTTCTGCCCGCCGCCGTCGGTCCTGTTGCTCCTTGACTGTTGCTCGCGCTCTGATCTGATCTAACAGTTTCTTCAGAACGACATTGTCTGGGTCAATCTTAAGGCCGCGAGACGCGACATCGAGGGCTTCTAGCACTTTGTCAAGCGCAAATAGAGCAGCCGCCGAACGATAGTGAGCTTTCACATTCGATGGATTGATTCGCAATGCTGCTGCGCAGTCCAGCGTCGTCGAACGATAGTTTTCTGGACAATGAGCGACAGTAGTCTCAATCGGAACAGGGCCACTTACTGAGCTCGAGATTACATAGGGCTCGATTGACATATAGTTGTTCCTCCACCGTGGTTCGCAGTTTTTGTTCCGCCTCCATATCTTGCGGTTTGTCCCATTTGTCCTCGCCGCGGTCGACCAAGACTGCTATCCCTTTGGAATAGAACTCTTTGGCATCGGTCCATTTCTTCTCAGCGGCCATTTCATTCCCACGCTCCTTGAATCCTTGGGCAACTTCTGCCTTTGTACCTTCGTACTGTAGGGCCTTGATGGCCTCAATCATAATGTTTTCTCCATCTGCACGTTTTGCTCAGCCATGCGCATGAGCAAAAGTAGAATCGAGCGTACCGTCCGTAGTCGCATCATCAACGCTATTCATGAAAAGGGGTGTTTTGCTCATATCCTGCACAATCTCTTCAAAACTCTTGGACGAGATGTGGTTTTGATCGGGTCCGGAGAGATGTTGCTCGTACAGTTCCTCGATCGAGGGCGCAGCGGGAGCCTCATTGAGGCTGAGGCTCTCGTCAAAGTCATCGGGAAGCTCTTCTATTCGGGACATTGTCATGAGAGTCGGAATGTCGAACAGGAGAAAAGCAACAGCGCAAAGCCGCTGTAAATTTGGAAAATTGAGGATGCGGGGTGCATCATGGAAATCTGAATAAATATTTTAGAGGTCGTTGCACTCCACGCTCCGATTCTATTTCCGTACGATACAGCATGTGCCCCAATGATAATAACAAGCTACAGACCGTCGAACGAAAGAGTTAGGTATGCTTCAAACGATTTCTTGATCTATTATCTAGGTATTTCCTACACAGGACGCCCAGGGCCAATATTTATCAATAGCTTCGTGGTAATTCCAGCACTTTCTCGCTCACAAAATTCAGAATCATTTCACGACTGATGGGCGCGATTCTAGGGACAAAACACTCCCTCAAATATCTCTCCACATCGTATTCCATAGCATAACCCATTCCTCCGTGAGTCATCACCGCTCGCTCGCAAGCCTTGAACGCTGCTTCTGCGGCAATGTATTTTGCACTGTTGCATGCCACTCCAACGGCATGAGGTGTGATGGATTTGTCAGTCTTGCTTTGATCGTAGAGTCTCGCAGCATGGTATGTCGCAAGTTTTGCCGCTTCGAGATTCATGTATGCATCAGCGAGTGGATGAGCAATGGCCTGATTCTTCCCAATAGGTCGTCCAAATACCACCCGTTCTCTGGCATATCGTGACGCCTTTTCCAATGCGGCGTAACCGAGCCCAAGGGCCTCTCCAGCTAGTAGACATCTCTCGGCGTTCATGCCATGCAGAATTATCTTGAAACCTTGGCCTTCTTCCCCTATGAGAGTGTTGGCAGGGATCTCGTAGTGATCGAAGAAGACCTCGTTGGCGTCGACGGCTCGACCACCCATCTTTTTGATTTTCTTGAGCTCGAGGGCCGGGTTAGAGCGATCAATATCAATGCAGAACATCGATAGGCCTTCGCTTGGCTTCTTGACTTCTTCCAACGGCGTCGTTCTTGCAAGAAGAATCATCTTGGAAGCTACCTGTGCACAAGTGATCCATATTTTCTGGCCTGGCCCATCTTGTCAGCTGCCGTATACTTCTGCTAGCGAACGCGAGAACGGGGCACTTCACTGAGCTTGTGATGACTTACCCGTGATGATGTATTTATCACCTTGTCTCGTGGCGGTCGTTCTTAGCCTCAGAGTATCCAGCCCCGTGTTTGGCTCAGTGACCCCAAAGCAAACTCTCCATTTCCCGTTGATGATGTTGGGAATCGTCGATTCAAGTTGATCCTTGTTGCCAAACCTTGCCAATGGCTGAGTCGCGTAGACGTTTGCATGGATCGATTGGGCTCCTGCCATTCCGGCGCCAGACTGTGAAATCGTTTGGAGCATCATTGTCGCTTCTGAAATGCCTAACCCAGCACCACCAAATTCCTCGGGCAGGGCAATACCAAGCCAGCCATCCGCTGCCAGAGCAGCGTGGAGCTCCTTCGGGTCTGTCTCTGACTGATCATGTTGCTGCCAATACTCATTGGGGAACTGAGCGCATATTTTCTGTATCGCATCTCGGACCGAGAGTTGTTCTTCTGAGAAGCCACTCATCTCCATCATTCGGTGATTTCTACCATTCGAAAAGTGCCTCTGCTGGCCATGCTCTTGGACGGCCCAGCGACACAGCCGAGGTCTGGAAGGTAGGCCAGAAACATATCTGGAGAAGAGCCGAGTGGTGCTGCACACAGCAGAGTACTTGGCCGACATGGCGCAGGGCTACGAAGATAGGATGACGACTACTCGACCTAGATCAAGGTCTGGGAAGGATGGGAAGTGTAGAGATCATCGTTAGAGGGTAATGGGTCCATAAGTACCGAGTGTGATGCCTTTTCATACCTTGGAGAACTCCGAGATCGCAGCATTTCTCCAAGCATTTTTAGCGTCTCGAAGATCAAACATGGAGATTCCGAGACAGTGTAAGGAGCCGCTGCGGGGATTCTCGGGATCGCAAACTCTCTCGAAATCTCTCGTTGGCTCAATCGATGGCCGATTTTAGGGAGATTTGTATCGAGACTGAATTCAACCAGCGAGTCGTCATCTTAATGAATCATGGGAGTGTGTGATTCTCATGTACAATAATTCCAGAGATCGTATGGCAAAGATTGGGAGCGACCAAGATTGGACGAACCTGGCGATGACGCGCGCCGACTGCCAAATTGCCGTGTATGAAACGCAATCACGTGCAGACGCTTTCAACTCGATTCGCGCTAACGCCCGATATGGAAGCAATATCAAAACAAGAGCGCCGCAAGGTGCTTTCTCGACACTCAATTCACATCGCATCCTCCCAGATACAAACTTCTTTTGATCGTCCAGCGATGCAAATGCTATGCGACAACTTCGCCAGTTCTTTCGAGCTGCGATAGTGTAGTTCTTGATCTTTCCTACCCTATTCCCACGCGTCATAATCACACACCACAATGGCATCCAAAACGTCCACCGTTGGCTCCTCGGCGTGGATCTCTGCTGAGAAGGAAAATGCATTGCACCTGCTACAGACCGAAAAAGAGGAGCTCGTCTTCCCGGCGCAACATCAACTGGAATGGCTGAATGAGCATGTCTCCGAGATTTTCAAAGGCCGTCAGGTGTATGGCTAATCACAACTGCGTTTGGTATGCTTGAACTAACTTTGGATAGTGATGTCGTCAATGTCTTCAAAACACCGGGCAAGCTGAAGGGCAAGACTCCTCGTACTGCGAGGAAGCGCAACGTTCCAGACGCCCGCATTGTATGTTTACTTGATATTTACAGTGCCACCGCTAATGAACGTTTCCAGCCGCTCAGCGATGTTTTCTCCTCGAAGCCAATAGCCCGACCCAGTCCACCCAAGAACCCATCCAATTACAGACCTCATTTTGAAATCGCGACAGATCCTGTCGAGTCTGCAGCCATAAAATCACAGACAGACTCAGGCTACCATGGCTCTAGCCAGGAAAACACTATGTTTGACAACAAACAACATACGCCTCCGCTAGTAGGAGGATATGGTGCCAAACAGCCAGAAGGCCCGGATGAGCTTATGGACGTCCAGCTGGAAGATACCACAAATGCAGAGCACAGAACGACTGAGGGTTCTTTCCACTCCGCAAAGGAAGACCAGACCATTAAAATGACGGCAACTGAAGCTATGAAACAAGACGAAAGCTTGAAAGTTACAGCCATGCAGGTCGATGACGGTGGCCATAAAATGCCGCATGAGCAGCAACAAGCTGATCCTGACCACGACTTTGATGAATTGGGATCTCCTTCGGACGAATCGACACCGGATAGACCCTTGGTAAGGAAGAGCAGCTTGACTTTCGCGGCACTACCCGCTCGAGAACCTATGAAGACTAGCATTGGTGGTAGAGTCTCACGGACAAGCCACGTCGACCAAAATCGCCCAATTCAAGCCAATGCGGCCCGGCCGCTCGCGCAGACACATCGTACACAGCATACAGATCCCGAATACCACGGGAACGATGTCGAAATGAGAGACGCTGATGATGATGATGATGACGACGACGACGAGAATGTCCAGGTCTTGGGCCAGGATGACTCTGAAGAAGATACGCAAACTGCTAAAAATTATTCGAAATCGTCAACAAAAAGGTTACATGAAAAGATTGATATGTTAGGAAAAGCTCCTGCACCGCGTCCATCAAAGTCGATCCCGTCCGCGTCATCTCTGGCCGCCATGAGACAACTTGAAGTTGTCAAACCTGAACAAGAAAGAAGCCCCAATGATCGTCCAGCAAATGATGATGACGATGATTGGATCAAGCCCTTGACTTCGCCTGATGCTGCAAGATCACCTGCCACCAACACCAGAACGAATCATCATGCGTATGAATCTGACGAGGAGGATGACGGAGAGGAAGAGGAGTTCTACATGCGTGCTCCAGAATTGGTTGCCCATGAAGAGAGGATGAGAACACCTGTGCGGGCATCTCCTGGCCCAGGCAGGATCATGCCGGGATATGGCCATACAAAATCTGCGTCAACAGCAACCCTGGCTTCACCAGCAAAGGCAGCAATGGCTGTTCCAGTGAGTCCAGCCAAGTCAATATCTGTGTCTAATCCAGCGCAGGCCACGACCACGCCACAGGGTTCGCCCAGACGGTACCTTGATTTGAGTGCATCGAAGTCGAAATTGCAATCCATCATGAAGACCGCCAAAGGTCTCTTCACGACCAGTGCAAGCGTCTCTGCGGCTGCGAAACTCGAAACGCTGTCTCCAAATGCGGTGAAAGTGGCAGCACATGCAATGCCTGGAATGTATCCCAACCTCAACGCCTTGAGGGAGGATAAACCGTTGCCACCAAGTCCTCCAAAACAAGGAAGAAGAACTCGCAGCTCGACTGAAAGGGAAAAGGAAGAGAAGCGCAAAGATAAGGAAACGCAATTGAAACAAAGAATGGATGACCAACTGGAACAAGCTCGGGAGCAGGAGCGACGGAAAATCGCTGAACAAAAAGTCCAGCAGCATACAGTGCACCCGAGCCGACATGAGCAACCACCTTGCCCGAGTCCGAAGCGCCATATTGACGAACATACATTTCACGAGCCCGCCGAGCCTCAACCCACTGCAGGCAGACCTACTAGACCGATGCGCCCTGGACGAGAGCCACCTGCGAGCAAGACAAAACCAGCACCAGTGTCGATTCGTGTAGGAACGTTGTCGCAGCGTATGCCGAACGGCACTTCTCAAGTGCCGCAAGACTCATTGACTGCTGAGCCCAAAAGACCAGGGCTAACCAAGAAGGCCAGTACCGCGTCTCTGCAGTCAGCCTCGTCTACAACTTTTAAGTCATCCGTTCACGGGCAACCTCCAAAACCGCGAGCTCTCCTCGCTGCTGAGCGGAAGAAAGAGCAGGATGACCGCGAAGCCCAGAGAAAGCTCGAGCAGAAACGAGAGATAGAACGGAAACGAGCAGCTCAGCAGGAAGAGGCTCGTAAGCAAGAGCAGAAACAACGAGCTGAGGCAGAGAAACGAGAGCGAGAACGCATTGCAGCTGAGCAAGCTAAAAGACAGGCGCAACAGCAAGCCATCGAGCGTAAACGTCAAGAGGCGGCCCGAAAGGCAGAGCAGCAGCGTTTGGAACGTGCCGCGAACGAGGCTGTAAGTTGTTCAAGCCAACTTAGATTGTCAGTAACTAACTTCAACAGGCTCAATCGAGACCGCCTTCGCGACTGGCCGCTCAAAATTCCACTCGCTCCCTGATCAATCACCCTCTCCCCACAAATCCTGCTAAGCCAGCGAAGCGACCTCTGGAAGACGAGGCCAGCCGGCCTCAGGCATCGAAGTATGGGACATCTGGATTGACTCAAGGTGATTTGAAGCGAAGAAAGACGGAGGAAGAAGATGCGATGGAACCAATGTCACGACCAGTCGTATCCGGTGCTCCAATTCGACAGTCTCAACTCGGCAAGAAACCGTCCATCTTCAACCACAGTGCCTACACACAAGCACAGCCATCGAGCCATCTCAACCAATTTCCTCAACCTCCGTCTCGAGCGGCTCCACCGCAGATGCAGCAATATGCTACGGGCGGGAGGATTCCATTTGCAGATGCTGGGCCACCAGGCCCTGCCAAGACACCCATCTCGATGATGCAGCAGAAGACGATTACAACGGTCAAATCATCGCCTCAATATCCCAATGGAGAGGCTATCAACCTGCCTGAGATCCCAACCGATTCAGAGGACGAGGATTCAGAAGACGAAGGCAATGCCTTTCCCCTACCCGATTGGGCCACACCGGGACATCTCACGGAACAGCTGATGCGCCAAGAAGGAATGGACGGTGATGCAGTGTTTGGACCTATAGCACCACTGAAGATGGAAGAGATTTTCTCCAAGGGCAACAAAGATCGATTGAAACGACTCCGAGACCGCACGAGCAGCGCCAACTGGACATTGAGCGGAGACGGTTTGACACTGGAGGAGGTGAGGGCGGATCGAGAACAGCGAGAACGCATGAGGCTGGAAGGCGGTTGGAAATTCGGGCATTGAGGCTTCTGCTTGAGACTATAATGATTGATGAATTGTGGGATTCTGGATAGAGGCAATCCACAGACAAGTTTGGCGAGGCTTGAACAGATTTGGCCTATGTACGGAGTACTACAGGTTGTGATCACGGCGCAATGGGCGCAACGCAAAATTATTGTCTGATGATACGTGCTTCCAAACCTGTTTGATGTGTTCGAAGATTCCTTTCAGTTGTACCAACCGCAATTTGTCGTCAGCCGTCATCGATTCGATTACCTACCCGGAAAGCGTTCAATAGATGTGGTAGAATGTATTACAGCATAGCATGTCTTTCTTCGTACTCCGTAGTTGTGCTTCGTTGGATGACGCAATTTGGAGAAGGAATATTATTGAAGGCGTTGGAGCAGCAATCGCGCCATTGTTTTCATTTGATTCATGTGAAGCTTGCACCTGAGTTGTTTTATTGGGATACCTACTATCCGCCTTGTTTATCTACGATGACTTCTACATATTCCCGGTCCTTCTTCCGAGCCTTCGCTCCAGCCTTGCGAGCTCAGCGCGTCCCAGTTACAAGACCGAGATGCTCTCCATTCGCAACTTCATTCCGCGGCTATGCAGCGGCAGCAGGAGAACAACCACGCCTGCGTCTGGGCGTAACTGCCCCTAATTTCCAAGCAAAGACCACACAGGGCGATATCGACTTTCACAAATACATTGACGGGTCATGGGCTATCCTCTTCAGTCACCCAGCGGACTTCACACCCGTTTGCACGACCGAACTGGGCGCATTCGCAAAGATGCGGAACGAGTTTGAGAAGAGAGGTGTCAAGATGATAGGCTTGAGTGCCAATGATCTGAACAGTCATGATGCTTGGATCAAGGACATCAATGACATCTCGAATACAAATCTGCAATTTCCCATCATAGCCGATGCTGACCGGAAGGTGGCCTTTTTGTATGATATGGTGGACCAGCAAGACCTGACCAACATTGACGAGAAGGGCATTGCTTTCACCATCCGGAGTGTTTTTATCATCGACCCACAGAAGAAAATCCGTCTGGTCATGTTGTATCCTGCTTCAGTGGGCAGGAACTCGGCCGAAGTGCTTCGGGTCATTGATAGTCTGCAGACGGGCGACAAGAAGGGCGTGACCACTCCGATTGATTGGCAAGTTGGCCAAGATGTTATTGTGCCGCCAACAGTGTCTACGGAGGATGCCAAGAAGAAGTTTGCTGATGTCAGAGAGGTTCGCCCATACCTCAGGTTCACGAGTGGACAGACAAAATAGAAGGATGTTTTGGAAGACACCGCAGGCGTGCAGTGCATGTAGACAAGTGGAGGCACAAAATGACAGAGGATGTATAGTATAGCTAGAACTTTAGAGACTACGAGTATATAGAGCAGTAATGTTGTCTTAAACATCTCAGTGTGGTAGTGGCGATGAGAGAGGACGTGCATCGGCGAGTACGAGAAATGAATAAGCCATGATGTCGTCCGCAAATCGGAATAAGGCACTCGACTTCATCTGCGAATGATCCATCTTCAATCTTGCAGTTCATATTATTTCTCACCTTTTACCTACTCTTGATCTTCGATCTCCAAGTAATATCTCTAACGTCGTAAGACACTTAATACATCTCACCTGACTACATTCCTTGTCACGCCGACTCATCTCGCACTCGCTACATCCTCGACCTCGCCCACGCCGAGTGAACATCTTCTGGTCACTTCTGCCCTCAATACCCAGAATGGGCACCTCTTCGGCGGCCGCGACGCTGCTTCAACGCCAATTGAAACAAATGCAGTCCGACAAAGACATCCCTGGGATCAGTTGTGGCCTCGCTGACGACAACATCTTCGAGTGGGAAGTCATGCTCATGATTAATGACGACTGCAAATACTACGGAGGTAGGCCCGTCAACCCCGATGTGATTCTAGAGTGTGAACCTAGATATTGATGCAAACCAGGCGGTTTCTTTCGCGCCAGAATGTCCTTCCCTCAGGATTACCCGTTGATGCCTCCGAAGCTGAAGTTCGAGACACCCATCTTCCACCCCAATATATACCCCTCCGGAGAAGTGTGCATATCGATCCTACACCCCCCCGAAGAAGATAAATATGGATACGAGTCTGTTGCTGAGAGATGGTCACCTGTACAATCGCCAGAAACCATCTTGATATCGGTCATCAGTATGCTGAGCAGTCCCAACGACGAAAGCCCGGCGAATGTGGATGCAGCCAAGATGTGGCGAGAGGATCCCAAAGGCTTCAGGAGAAAATGCCAAAGAATCGTCCGGGAATCCCTTGGGGAAGAGTGATGCATCTGGAAAAGCGAGTAGCATGAATATAGGAATCCACGACGACGTCGTCTTTGACTGGCATGAGGAGAGGGGATGGTTCCCTCATTATCTGAACTTGCATGCAGCAATGAAATGGCGTTACAGCAGCCTTTACAAGGAATCTTCAGCCTGGCGTTGGTGGAATCGTTACAAACATTGGGCACATGAGATGACTGCACCTATAACAGTCGAGGTTTTGACGCATAACACGAGGGCTCACAACAGCAATGGTATCGATTTATGTTTCAAGGTTGCCTTCATCTTCATTTACGAATGCCTTTCACAATTGACCTCGGACACGGATGGTCTCGTGGCGCTTCAAGGATATTTCAATCTGCAGATAGTCCAACATGCCTGCAGTATTCTATGCTCACTTGAGTAAAGCTATGAGAAATCGAGATATTCGAAGCTTTCTATGATATCCAGACCCTTCCTATCCTCTTCCGACAGTGGTGTATTCCCAGGTCTGTCCACTACTACGGCTTTCATACTCGCTTCGAGTGCAGCCCGTACTTCCTTGACGTTATCACTGAGGAACAAAATATCCGATTGATCCTGTTCCAGTGCCTCGGCAATTTTCGCGTAACTGCCCGCTTCATGTTTAAGCCCAGCATTTGTCGTATCGAACCAGGCTTTTATGATATCGCGGCGGTCAAGTATGGCTTTGGGGTCGTCGGGGATTGCTGGATCCTTGATGTGTTGAAACAATAGTTTCTGCGCAAAGATCGAGCCGCTGCTGTAGATGGCAATTTCCTTACGAGCTGCGTCCGCCGATGATGCAGATGACCATGAATCAAAGGCCGCCAGAACATCTGGATATATCGGAGTCGAATAGACGTGGTTCTTGTAGCCTTCCTCCCATAGGTAGCCTTGGCCACTACTGAGTAGGTGTTCTCGCGTCTTAGGATGCACAACCTTACCTTGGAGGTTTTTCAAGTAGGCAATCTTGACGTCTCTCTCGCTGAGGTCCTTGACGTGCGCCTCGAACGCCTCGGGCGATGACCGAGCTGTTTCGGGGAACGCGTCGCGATACTTGACGAAGCCCGGATCGTCCCATTTCGTCCTGAGGATATCCGGAAGTGCCTGCAGAGCGTATGGGAACTATTCTTGCTTGAGTCAGGCCTCTGTGCCGCTGTACGCGCCGCGTTCCGGAACATGACGGGATCATGGGCAGAAACAAAGGCTTCCTTACCAGGGTGTTTTTGACAAAAGTGATTGGGCATATGGTGCCCTCTGATACAACGATCCAAATGTTAGCCACTTCATGCCCCCGACAGTCTGAATACCCACGCCCTGGCCACAACATGTCTGACCTATATCAAGTAACAAAAGCTTGACATCTTTTATTGTTTGCTTGGATGTTCGACCGACAACGGCGTCCTTGTCCGACTTTGATGCTGCTGATGCATCTTTGGCTTTTCCTACGACGCTTCGGCGTTGCTTCACTGATCGGTCCTCAGATGTGGCAGGATCGGGACTGCGTGAGTGCCGTTTGCCTGACCTGGTTGGTACCATCGGAGCTGGACTGCGGGACTTATGCCTGCCAGCTCGTGATCCTGGGGTTCTTCCAGCGGAACGATGAATTACTCACCACTTGACAGATTTAATAAGTAGGAGGTGGATGATCAGCTACAGTGGGTTACATGCCCGGAAAAACTTTTCGCCAGCGCCCGAAAACAAAACTTCGCCGCCTCTTGCTATCACAAGCAAACCACGACTTTCGGCGCTATGAAGACCAGTGCTTTCTCGCTCGCCTGCTCATGCAAACTGTCACCACGCCGTTTTCCTTGAGTACTACGGGAAGTGTTCCTGAGATACTCTACTGGATACACTTCTCCTGCCACCTACAAAGTGATGTACCAGATGTCGCAAGACCTATCTATCTAACCTTCGTCCCGGCACGGCCTCATTGCCTTTCTGCTGCACCTTCACTTCCCGGGCAAGTCAAGCATCTGGTATGCTTCTCTGTCAGACTTCCGTGTTCTTTTCAGACCAGGCCAACGCCACAGGTTCGATGGATGAAAGTAGATCCAAATTGTCAAGACCGCAACGGTCAAAGGTACACTGATGACCCAAAAGACCCAGAAATGCTTTGACAGGCTCATATCCCCTCGTTCATTTCCACCGAAGTTGAAAAATGCGCTGCCGAAAATCGTTGCGACAGTGGATATGGGAAGAAAGATCAAAGTTGTCAAAGCAATCGTATGCATCGAACTGCTTTCAGTTTTGATCCTGCTACTGTCTTTTTGTGCCACAAGATTGAAGCTCTGTTCGTTATCAGCCTCATGCTGATCAGTGGCGGTCTGCCCGACGACTTACGAGGTTGATCACATTCTGCATCCTTTTCTCCATGCTGATGGCTCTCAGGTCTACTGACTCAAAGAGACTTTCCGAGTAATGAAGGCCTGATATTGTCCTTCGTGCTTCAACCGAACCTGCACCTCCACATTGAGTCTGCGCTCTGACAATGTGTGAGATAGTCCGCAAGATGGCATCGACCGCTTCCTTGACGTGTATGATGTTCTTTGCGATGTAGTGGAGATCCACCCAGTTTTGATCAAAGTCACTTGTAACCACCGTGGAATCGATGGCATACTATTCGTGTGAATAAGCACTGGAACGGCCCAAAGCACAGGAATGTCTTACTCTCTCACAGTCTCCAACGTATCGATTCAATGTCCACAGTTGCTCGTCGACCTGGCGATGCAAGTCTGCTAGTACAACATTGAACAAATCGAGAGGATTAGCGAAAACAGTCCTCCAGACAATCTGTGGCAAACCCTCGAACCTCTCAGCCAAGGTTTTTGAAGAACCGAAACAGATCAAGGTCAAAAGTCCATATTTATCGCGACGCAGAAAGTATGCACTTCTCAGCCACAAGATGTTGTCATGCTTGGGCTCGATAGCTTTGCACAGAAAATGAAACCATGATTCTGCTCTGGATTAGTGACGTGACCAAATACCATGGGCTCTCCTCACGGAATGCACCGTTGTCAAGTTCTTCATGTCCAAAAGAATGGGTCACACTTTGCACTCTTTCATACCAGAACGTCGTTGGGATGGAGAAATGTTCGGCCAGTGCCATGAGAGTACTTGATGTGCCGGCATTTGGATAGTCAAGAGGTGCAAATCTACAAGTTCGGTAAGCATTGTGACTTGAGATTGCAGGCTCAAACGGTTGCCGCTGCGCACATTACTCTCAAAGCTGGAGCATGACTTTTGACAAGCATTGACGTCGTGGTGAACCCAAGAGAGGGCCCAGTCAACTCTCCTACGCTTGTTAGGATGTCCGCTTTATTCTAAAGGCCAGGCGAACGAACCTGTGCTTGACAACGCTACATCCAAAACTTCCATCTTGTACTCGTCGGTCGATATTGCAGGGGTTCCTGAGTGGTCGAGAAGATCTTGGAAAGCTCCACGATGGGTGCTATCGTGGTACACAGACATTGTCAACTTGATGCCTCTGTCGGTTGCTGCGCATCCTATCTACAGGAATCTTTACATTGAGGAAGTTTGCGAAAGGCAGGATTCTCCCCAACCAGGGGGAACTTTCAAAGGGGGATCGAAGTCATGCAGAACCAAAGATAAAAATAGTAAGTTTTTATCCCAGGGGTACTGCTGAAAAGAAACACAGATAGATCAGGAAGTGTTCAGCCAAGCGCTGCAAGACACGAGGCGGAAATGCAGAGTTGCTCAACAACATCCCTTAACTTTGCGTTCTGGCCTGGCCATGGCAGTCTGGAAGCGAGACCTTGGATTTCGCGGCTGACGAATCGGTATTTGATTGGTTTCTCCCTACAAGGTATATAACTCAGCCTTGATGGCAGTCCTCGTTGTGGTAAGTGCCACAGAGAGCCTTTTGCAAACTCCAGGGTCTAGTCCTTGATGCATTTGACAGATGCAGCCTGATGGCTGAACGCCAAGGGTTTCATTTCATGCAAGGCGTGGCTATCCCTGGTCGTGTCCAATCATTTTGCAAACAAGGTGCTACCGATAGCCCTATCAGGAATCTCAGCCTGATGAGTGACACCTTTCGGAAGCAGACTATTGCTTTGAGCTGAATCTCATGATAGACACACCGCCCCCTGAATACGAGCTGCTCGAAACATAAGGGGATAACCAGTCCAACTTCTGCCGTGATGGACGACTAGATATTTCGTATGAGACCCTCGAAGTCACCGGAATCTCTCCAACTCTCTCATACACATTCAAGCCCAGAAGGAACAGAGAAACGCCAAGATGGTATGTACTGGAATATAGCGTTACTCACATGATCTCACTCGATAGACTGACACCCTTTCAGAATCAACCAGGAAGACATGGTGGTGCACGTCTGCCAGCCGGATCGTCTACTATAACTGCCGACCAGAGAATGCGACCTCAGGTAAGCACAGAGGACGATCTCTCGGAGAGATCTTGTGCGCTGACAAATTGCAGCCTCAATGCCAGACCAACAATATCACTGTGCAGTCCGCACCTGCCTCAATGAACCAGCGACATGGTGGGAACAGACTGCCAGTCGGGTCCATCACGTCTACTGGATCAAGTTTGAATGACCAAGTATGATACATCATTACCAAACCGTGATCTCTGATACTAATTCTGCCCAGACGATGGGCGGCAGGGTGATTCCGACCCGAGACACCCCCTTTACCCATATTCCACCTTCTGCGGCCTATCAACCCGGTCGAGTGCATGAGAAGTCAACCTGGCAAGGCTATGATGATTCCATTCTGCCAGCACCAGGGTACCAGCTTCCAGCTGGAGCAGGGGTAGGCACCTTTGTCAATGAATCCACCCAAGCTCAACGCCCCAGGAACCTCATCACGGTGCTGTTACGCTGCCTCCGCCTGTTCCTGGGTCGGACGGAAAAGAGATTGGACACGAGAACGCCAACAAGGTATGCATCATATTCCACAGCGTTCAACAGTGTTGACTCTCCTAGAAACCAATGAGCGCGATTTCCATCACGGAAATCAATCGTGATGAGGGCCCTACAGCCTCCTCACAGCCCCAAGGCCGCCTGAAGGAATTGTACAGTTCCAGCTATCATGCTCCCGTCCCAGTAAGTGGCATCGTACCACGTCAGATCCTCGACTGAATATGATTAGGCACGTCGCCGTATGCATCAAAAAGGCTACCGCAACCTGTTCTCACAGCGAACCACCTTCCGATGGAAGACCTTCCACAGCCATCAAAAGCCGGGCTTGACCAAAGGCTCTGGCCGAGAACATCGTCATCGAGATGCAGTCAGTCGAATTCACGCGGGCCAAGAAGATGACAGGTTCCTTGCTCTTGACTCTCATCTTGAAAGAATGATGGTTCAGTGCACAGATGAGATCTATGAAGGTCCGCGAAATTCGACTTGGAGAAGGACATTTGTGCGAAACATGGCTCCTTGGACTATTCGTATCGCCAACTGGCCTATGAATACCGCCCCTCTCGAGTCCAAGCACTGGACGCAGAGCGATTGGTTGCTGATTGTGGCAAAGTGGCCGATCTCATGCATCTGCCTTTCATTTACAGTAAGTCGGCTGTATGGCCCCTAGAGAGATCAAAAGATTTGTTTAGTGACTTGTGTATCGCAGCTGTTGAGCATCGGCAAGCTCTACAACGGAAAATCTCGACTTGCACATTATGCCCCGTTTCCCTACAGATTCTGGGGCTATCCAAAGGTGGCGCGAAACATGCTCGAAAATGTTCCTGGCAAGATTGAGGCAAATGAAGATGTGGATGGGGCGCACCCAGTATCTGAGCGTCCTCTCTATCCAAGTCGCCTGTGCTTCGTGGATGGTGGAAAGGACAAGAACGGTCGTACTCACTTGTACGATGTCCAAGTCTGGCTGAATCAACATAACATGGTCGACCATGACATGAAGTATATCTTCGTTGCTTACACTTCGACACAGTTTACCGATAGTGACGAAGATGTCGAGGCCCTCCACGCCATTGCGCGAGAGGCAGCCACCAACCTCAAGTGTCCCGCTTATTGGGTTGGATCAGCTTGCATGTCAGAAGACGGCCGAGAACTCGAAAACGACGTGTACCGTATTAGCGATGTCATCCGAGCTGCTCACTCAGTGGTCGTCGCCGTCAAGCCACCTTCCGGCAGAAAGGCCTATTCTCCAACCGAAGAGTTGCTCAAGGACTGGGGGACTCGAATGTGGACGTTGCCAGAGGCTCTTCTTGCTCCCAAAGACAATCCAATACGCATTTACAATATTTCTACCGGTGTGGTAAAGCTCGTCAAAGAACTTCCAAAGAAGGATCTTGCTGCACTGGTATGGGAGGACACCAGCTTGACTCGACAATTGGTCGACCATTACGAAGGAAATCTGACTCTCAGTCGCCTCGAGCTCGTTATCTTGGCCTTGAAGTGCCTCAGTCAACGTCGAACCTCCAAGTATCTGGATGGCGACCTCGCATATGTGCTCATGGGTCTTTTGCGCCGCAGACCAGTCGTGGATCACACAGACTCCGAATTCCAAGCTTTTGCTCGACTTTCTCTGGCCAATGATAGCGACAGCCTACTGGAGCGCTTATTGTGCGTGCTGCCCAGGTCGCAGAATCAGCCATGGTATCATACTGCAGATATGTTCGGCGTCAATCTGTGGGATATTCAGCCTACGTGTCAAGTCGCTGGCGTTTGTGAAGACGACACCGTCGTTGTTGATGGTTGCTTGGCAGCCTCGATTCGATGGGAATCGTTCGTCGCCGTGGCCCATGACACAAGCGTCTCGTGGAAACGCCTGATTGTCAAAGTCTGGCTGCGTGTCGCGCCGATCCTCTTGATTCTTGGACTCGCGCCTCTCTTCGACAACGGAAGAAGGGCTGTTCTTCTGCTCTTGAGCCTTCCCATCTTCCTCATGTCCCCGTGGCTAGTCCGTGTCTTATACGGGGGCAAGCCCTGGAACATTGCGCCTCACCTTCTCGGATTCGAGGGTTACTTGGACATTGTCACCATCGAGACCAACATCTATGGCCATTACACCGGTCGTCTGACCTGGAGTCCGGCCGGTAGCAGCCTGAGCCGACATCGCAAGAACGAATTCGGAGAGTGCATAGGCGAGGACCCAACGAGTGACGGCCTCGTCGCAGACATGGTCAAGCAGGCAAAGTACAGCAATTATGGAGAGTTCAAAGTGTTTACCCTGGTCGATACGCTCAACGGCTCTGTCACCCTCTTCACAGCCACTCGACCTCCGGTGGCTGCTTTGCTTTGTGGCCAAGAAGGAGGCATGCAACGAGCCGTAATGGTGTCGCTAGATTGGAAGACGTCCACTCTGTATCGCGAAACCGTTCTACGGATGCCGACCACGGTTTTGGAGAGAACTTGGCGTATGGACAGGGCGAGAGTGGGACTGAAGAGGCCTTTGGAACGAACGAGTGTCACTTACAGTGCATGAGAGCCATCGCCCCCAAAGGATATGTCGATATTAGTGGCGAATTTCATGGTGGTGCCGATGGTGAGGAACTTTTTCTACGGTCTGGTTTCGGGATGGGGAGTTTCCGGGGGATTTTGTATTCCGTAGCTGGCCTACACTTTACACTCGACGTGGGGTGGAAAGGTAATGGACTGATGAATACGCTGTGTGGAAAGTAATCTCTTTTGAGATATGTCATTTTGTTTTACTCTTTTGTTGACTTCTTCATCGATCGGCTATAACTTCTTGTGACGAATAACCCACTCTCTGCGAATATCGCAACGCCGCAAAGATGATCGGAAAGGTAAACTCACAGGTGTCGGGATTTCTTGAGCAGTAGCAGTCCTGGTCACACCACTGGTCAAATCCACTTCTAACCCTGCCGATGGCCGAGAGGAAAAAAAACAAATGCTTTGGTGAGCTAATGGATAAAATCGAAATATCGATACTCTGTACTCTGGGTACCTCGTGGAGCTGGCGTTGGTCGCTAGGCAACTCCGCACGGAGTACCTATTTGTATGTACGGATACCTTGAGGGTCTTTTGCTACTTGAAGATTGGTTGGTTCTCACTCGGTTTTACCCCGTGAAAAATACGAGCACGAGTGCTTCAACCTATTTCCGACTAGACACAGAGTGACCCGATTGGACTATGATGGATGACTTCTGAGAAGAACTCAACTGCAACACTTGACACTCTCAGAACAATCTAGGGTTCTATACCTCACTCATACGGTGCCATGAATGGGTTGAGTTGCCGATAAGCTGTCGATTGGGCCTTTGGAGGTGCCACCGACTTTTTCAACGTGGCCACGACAGCTGCTGTCGCTTGCGAATTCAGAATGTGCATGTCTCGCGGGCCGTTATGGCATGGAACAACATTGCGAAGGAGACTTGGTGTCCGAGGGAACTCTTAAGCGCGGTCGAGAATGTTGCTCGTTGCGATATTGAGGATGCCAAAGATCGCAACTCGACGGATGGACGCACTCAATAAGGCAGGTTCACTTGTGTTTGGGCAAAAACAAAGGCAAAAGCAAAAGCAAAAGGATCATACATGAGGCTGGATAGCTGGCTCCTCTGTATCACACCGGTGTCGGGTTCAATCGGATTCAACTCTTCCAACTCGATGCTATACTGGCGCAAGGCGTGGATCTTGAGCAGAAATGGCTCTTGTATGACCCCCAAGTCAAGTCATACACAGTGCCAATTAATGCCATGGACCCTTTCAGACGACCAAACGATGTTGTCTTCTGTGGACGACCTTGCCCAAGTATCCCTAATCCGCGGCGGTATCGATCCTGTGGTCTATCATTCTCCTCTTGGCGACGTCGGTGTTTCCAGAGCACTGCGCCTTTCGATTTTCCTTGTGTACATACAGCATGGCATGTTCCGAGCCTGGACAGATGGTATTCTCAAAGGTGATGCGCTGTTCGTGCATGGGTTGGCGCGTGCCTTGACCTCTGGGCTGATATGCTGGGTCAACGGGGTAAGCACCTTATCTGCCATGAGCTTCCAGACTACCGACGAGCTTGGGTAATCCTTTGATAGTTGCTTATTCTAGAGCTTACGGGCAGTGCTACCCTGCTGTAAGAGACGCCTCGCAAGAGCAAAAAGTTCCTTCGAGACGCTCTCTTACTTCAAGGAGCAGAAGCGAGACAGTCTCCCGATATAAGGCAACGTCGCATCAAAGTCCGTGTTCTGTGGTCTCGAAAGCCAACGACGAAGGCTGGTTTGGTCAGCATGGTGCATCGATTAGATTAGCCGCCTCCTGAGAGGTACTTTATCTTCCCTTTTGAGTCAAAGATACACGAAGTCTCGACCTGCGTACTTCCAACGAAGACCTTGTGATCTGGCCCGGGTAGATAGACTATATCAAGGATATAACATCGATCACCGGAGATGCACAGAGGCGGGGGATTTGCCTTGACCACACGTGGTGTATCCAATACCCGTTGATTAATGCGCGGGTAGGAGGAGCTACTCCACAGACTAGAGGGTTAAGAAGTGCACTAGAGGAGGTTTAACAGGGGCACTAGGGAAATGATAGGCTTAAAGGGATTGGAGCCGTGCTATCCGATCATAGTACCCCAGCAGATCAACGTCAGCCAAGGGACTTGTTTGTCAAAACGTTGCATCATCATGTTGATCGCAGTTGAAAAGGTGGAAAAGGTGGAAAAACGCCTTGGGCTGAGCGGGAGGAACTCCACCAGCTGAAACGAAGGGAGGGGAGCCGAGGAAGCCCGAGCGGAGCCCAGAGTGCCGATAAGGTGCCCCCCCGGGGCTCTTTGCTGCCTTTAGGGTGACTTCGGGGGACTTTAGGTGCCTCTAGGGCGGGCATCGGGTGGCGTGCAGGTGGCGCATTGTGCAAAAAGCAACTTTGCAGGGCAGGAAAAGCAACTTGGCGAAGTGTGGAGAGAGTGCAATCAAAAGTCTCTTCAACAAAGTGGGAGGTTGCGAGTCAGTTGTACGAATAGAAGATGAAGAAGCTGGACCTCGCAGCTGGGGCCAAACACTCCAGGCCCGTTCACTTGGCCCTTCTCGCTTTCATTTCCTCTTCTTATTAAACTAAGCCTCTCCCTCCTCTGTCATTCCTGACATCTAATCCACCAAGCAACTAGACCATTTGTGCCCGGACAACATGTTTTCCTTCGGTCACGACAAAGAGAAGAATGGCAGTGAGCCATCTGCTCTCACAGCTGGAGATAGAAACGACATCGAGGAGGCCTATGTGTCCGACAATGCCGACCAGCTCCAGCGACACCTGGGAAACCGACAGATCCAGCTCATTGCCATCGGAGGTTCCATCGGCACTGCTCTCTTCGTGAGCATCGGCGGCGGTCTGTACCGTGGCGGTGCTGCGAACCTGCTGATCGCCTACACCATCCAAAGCTGCATCCTGGCCATGGTGAACAACTGCATAGCGGAAATGAGTACGGCCTATCCAGTCAGTGGTGGGTTCATTCGCCTGGCTGGCAAGTGGGTGGACGATGCTCTTGGTTTTATGGTCGGCTGGAACTTTTTGTTCGCAATACCCTCCTCCCGCGTGTTGAAGACTACTGTGACTGACGTGTGCACCGTAGTTTCTACGAAGCCCTTCTCATTCCTTTTGAGATTTCGGCCTTCACCCTGGTTTGTTCCTTTTGGAGTGACGAAGTGACGAAGCCTGGTCCCACGGCAGGTATCGTGCTTGGTGTCATCATTTGCTACGCGTGAGCTTCACCCTTCCCTATGCATTCTTTTGAGAGACCCAACACTAAGACATCCAAAGCGCCATCAACATGTTTGCCGTCGGGGCCTACGGCGAGGCCGAGTTCTGGCTTTCCGGGGGCAAGGTGATCCTGATCTTTTCGCTGTTCTTCTTCACATTTATCACCATGGTCGGAGGCAACCCGCAGCACGATGCTTACGGCTTTCGGAATTGGGAACACGGAGGAGCCTTCCGTGAATACATCGGCACTGGCGATCTCGGTCGTTTCCAGGGATTCTTGGCCGCGCTTTCATCTGCAGTCTTCACCGTTGTTGGACCCGAGTACATCTCCATGGTCGCTGCCGAAGCCAAACGACCCCGAGTTTACATCAAAGCGGCTTTCAAGATGGTCTACATTCGATTTGGTATCTTTTTCATTGGTGGTGCCCTGGCCGTCGGTATCGTTTGCAGCTCGCGTGACCCCGAATTGGCGAATGTTGTCCTGGGTGGCAGTACAGGTTCGGCAGCTGCATCGCCGTATGTGATTGCCATGCAGAATATGGGCATTAACGGCTTTCCACATCTCGTCAATGCGTGAGTCCTATTGCTAACCACTATCCCCGCTGCACTTACTAATGGGGCTGCCAGGTTGATGTTGACATCGATCTTTTCCGCGGGAAATACCTACACCTATTGCGCCATCCGAAACCTGTACGGCTTATCACTGGAAGGAAGAGCTCCAAAGTTCCTGAGGAAATGCACCAGGAAGGGAGTTCCGATCTACTGCTTCTTTGTGGTCATGATCTTCCCCATGCTGTCTTTCTTGTATGTAAATGAGTTGTGGAACAAAGCATGTTCAAGAATGGTACTAATGCGATCTGCTTCTTCAGGGCGTGCTCGAATAGTTCCTCAGTCGTCATTACGTGGTTCTCAAACCTCGTCACCGGTGGAGGTAAAGATTATATACAAATCCGCCTTTGGCTACGGTATACTGATGCAGAAACAGGCCTCATCGACTTCTTCGTTATGTGTGTGACCTATATCTTTTTCTATCGAGCTTGCCAAAAGCAAGGACTCGACCGCAGCAAGCTTCCCTATACCGGTTGGTTCCAGCCTTATTGCGCCTACGTCGCGGCCGTCTGGCTGTTCTTGGTCACCTGTATCTATGGGTACACCTGTTACCTCCCGTGGTCGGTGTCGAACTTCTTTTCACAATACTCCATGCAGCTCTTCATTCCTCCTCTCTTCGTCATTTGGAAACTGGTCAAGAAAACGAAGATGGTAAGACCAGAAGAAGCCGACCTCGTTTGGGAAAGACCCAACGTCGATGCATACGAGGCGACTATCATCGACCCCCCCGTTGGGTTCTGGACAGAAATGTTACAGCTTGTCGGGCTAAGGAGGAACAAGGGAGGAAATGACAAGCGACGTCGGAGCAGCGTCATTGTGCCTACCCAGGCAGCCACCACAGACTATGACCACCGAGGAGAATCGTTGGATCATGGCAAGGCTTAGATCTGCGCGAATGGTGTTGCGCGCAGAAATGTGCTGTGTGAAACTGGATACACAGCATAGGCGTGAGAATCAAGTCATGTGGAGACTGGACCTTTCTCTTCCGCTCGTCAACGATACTCGACGTCTGTAAACGTTTAGGCCTCCCTTTGCGCCGAACTAGAATCGCTCCGACTGCGACGCCCCTTCTTGCTCTAGGTCTGGCGCATGATAAGACACAAGGGTGTGACCCCAATGCGACTTCCCTAGTGTTTACTAGACCGTTGGCCTTGTACCTTCAAGGTTGTGTTGCAAACTCTCGTGAAGAGGGGGAAACGAACAGGGATCGAACAAGGATTGAACAGGGATAAGGACGCCAAGGAACGAGACGATGACAGATCCGGTCTTAGTTGGGTTGTGCAGCGATGGCCCGATGGACCTGCAGCGATTGGCCTTTTAAGGTAATCCTATCCCCGGATCTTCAACAGTAGGCGGACTAGGTTCGGCTCTCTGGACATTTATACGCCATAGGGTCCATGACCGCGCCCTTCTCGAACTACTGTAATGGTTGCCGGCAAGTCAACCTGGACGTCTTCAACACTTCAAAGTGTTTCCACTAGCCAGACGGGATCCGGGAGAACGTTTTGGCAGCTGCCCGTTTGTCGTCGTCGACGACGACGACGACAAATGAACACACATCTTAGACATTATACGATAATACTACAGATTATGGATTATGTATTATCAAAAATGGGTCGTTCGCTATTACAAGATAAGAGACCAATTTCGCCGAAGATAAAAAGTAAAATGTACAAGAAAGGTAGAGAATGCCCTGACTTTTTTTTTCTCGCCGGTCCGTGCTTGCCTTGATAGATAGGGGAATTTTTGAAGATTCATGATGACGGATCGCGAGACCAGAATTTGTACGGTCCGTGGAACCAACCACCTGACCTTTGCATCTCGAGGTCGGCGACTTCGACATACTGCTTAGTGGACCTCCAAGTTTCTGATACGCGTAATCCGCCCACATGAGACCCCAAGTCGTTCCCATGAGGACTTTGAGACTGCTTCCGGCAAAGACGGCCGTCGTCAATGGAGGAGGAGTCTCCCGTTGTCGTCGCTATTATCCACATTCATTATCATCATGTGTGTCGAGTTGCCAAAGTCATTGTCGTCCGAGATGATAATGATGATGTTATCCGTACTGCTATCACCCTACAGTGAGGTGCTGACGACGTAGTACTAGGAGTTGCTGCTACTGCAGAGGCACTTGAGCTTCGAGATTCGTAGCCAACGCCAAACGGACCGTTGGAAAATATGTTTGTCGCCGGACCCAACATGATGTCTCGCGTGTAGTTCAGGAAAAGGGTCATTACGTCGATCTGGAAGGCCGGAAAGAGGGCAGACCCGACCTCGATGTTTGGGAACGAAGCTGTAGCTCTGAGATAGTCAAACTTTAGACCGGAACTGGAGGATAGTTCGATATCCAGTTGGTGGCGTTGAGTTGGATGGTGTCGCTAAATCCTCCGTCGAGCAGTTCAAGCTTAAAGTCAATGGGAGCCCAAGTGTGAAGCAGTCAATCGTGATGGGTCCGTGCGAACCCGAAGAGAATGCCGAGCTGATGAACAGCACGAAGAAGGCGTCGATCTCGAAAAGCCCCCAGTTGGCTCGCGTATCCGCCGATGGGCACGGTGGCGACAAGGAGATATCATGTTCCTCGAGTCTCGAGAAACCGGTCTGGACGAGTCAGTTAGACAGAGGCCTTGTTCTAGAGGGCGCGTAATTGTGCAGCGAGATTGTATGTGGGAACACTGTTGCTGACGTGTTTGCGAACATGAATTGAATGTCCCAGTCGAGAATCGAAACTGCAGAAACAAAATTGTTCGGTTTGGTACAACTTGCCACACACAAACAACCAAAATCCAAAAAAGGAGTTTCACATGCCGTCGCAACTGTCACAAAAGCTGGTGGTGCTGTCGTCTTGTCGAGCTGCCAGAGCCTGTGAGGGCTGTGGTGCAGATAATACTGTGGAAGTGCTCCTGGCTGTCACCGCATTGTTGGTTGGATCTGTCGTCTTGAAAACGATGTTTGAAGTTGTAGGGGCCAATGAGGCCGTCGGCGTCGATATCATTGTTCCTGTTGCTGTCATCGTTGATCTGGAGAGGAACGTGGAGCTTTTCAAGACCTGCTGGCACTGGAAATTGTGTCGGCGGCTTCCTTTCCCAGCCTTCACGACGCCAGGAATATCGAGTAGCTGGAATGGAAAGGGGGAGGTTCCCTGTGGTGACGCGTTTTTCGGCATCTAACTTGCTTTACGAGATTTTAATATCATTCTCTGTCAGAGTGAGCCCGACCCGCTCAACAGTTTCTCACTCCTGAGATCCAACGTACAGGACCTTGCTGCACTGACATTGAAATACGAACGGATAACATGGATATATCAACAACCCGGTATCCAGTCAACACTTCCGCGTTACTTTTGTCGACATCCTTGCTATGGGGCATATCGAAATCTGGATATTCCCTCTAAAATGTCTGGGATTTTGCCCTCGTCTGCCAGCCTGTTACGATTCCTCAAGTACCTAGACATTGTAAAGGTGCCGATGGCGTATGAAATTTGAAGAATGATCATTGTCCTGAAAACGACCTGTTAGTATGAAGGACTGCTATTCTCAAATCCCGCATCCCTTAGAGAGGCATATCAGCATGGAAGCCGAATACTTACCACATTCCTGGAATATATCTTGGTGCATCCTGACGCCGGAAAACGGTACTGCCCGTGATGCCGCCCAAGGATGCACATGAAACCATCGCTGCCACCACGACCCCTTTCTTTCGCGGGTCACCAATCTGATTTGAGCCGTAAGAAAGGGAACCGGGTCTGAGAGGAAATGGGCAGTCAGCAAAACTGTCAAGGACAAGCTCGAACGGGCACTTACGTATTTGCTTGTGTACCAAAAACACCGAGGAATGTTCCAAAGTATCGTCCTGCTGGAGACTGCACGTAAAGCATAAGAAGCAGCCCCAATATGCTGGCCAAGGTCAGTGAAGCCCATGGCAGACGATTTTGATCTCTATCACTTACCTAATAACGGCTTGAGTGCAGAGGAAACTGCAGGTTATCAGAGTCAGCTGGTTGATCTCCTGGCTATTTGGAGTGACATCTTACGGCCACCTGAGCTTCGTACGATCCGAGAGCCAAGCACTGATGATGCTGAGGATAACAGTGCTCAGCTAGGAAGAAAACCAGTCAGCGCCCGCCAGCGAAGAGATCCAGGTCAGTCTTACATATGGAGGACTCGTCAGAAGTTGGGCTTTGGTGTAACTGAAACCCAAGTCCTTGAGTAAAATCACTGGCATGAAGTATGCGAGCGCGTATACGCTAGCAGCTGCAACATAGAGTTGAAAGCAGCTGTAAGCACCTGTTAGTGGATGTACTTTGTGAAAGAAGGACAGAGATTGAGGGACGACGTACTAAAAGGCAATTTTCCAATCCAATAGCGCTCTCAGCGACTTCAGCAAAGGTTCTTTCTCATAACTATGGCCCCCTGCTTCAAAGGTGAGGCGCCGCTTTGCGATGTGGCGCTCTCGATCATTGAGCCAGATACTTTTCTCCGGGACTAGCATCGATATATCATTATGGGTGCGAAATAAAGGAACAAATCGCCGACTTACATTCTCCGAGGAAAAATGGCACAAAAAACCCACATGCTATAGTGACAGCACCCTCAATGATGAATATCCAACGCCATCCCTCTTTGTAAGCGCCGTCACCCACGTGGATCAGAGATAGCGCATACGCTATCTGTGATGATGAGCAAGAGTTGACTAGGCTTGTAGATATGCACGTTACTTACAATTCCGTTGAAACCATTTGTAAGCAGGGCCGACATATAGAATATCGTGAACCGTTTGGCGGTTTCGAAAGTTTTGTACCAGGATGAGATGAGAAAGAGTGCGCCGGGAAGTACTGTTCATCGTTATCATGCAATTCACACGCAGTAAGTGTGCAGGCACTTGCTTCCTGCTTCGAAAGCTCCTAAAAACATTCTTAGGACGGTAAGGGAAGCCCAGTCCTTGACAAATCCCATGCCCAAGACCATACTGCCAAACCCTATGATCAAGAAGCATATCCAATTTCGGGCACCGAGACGGCGGATAATTAGATTCGACGGGAGTTCCAGAAGGGTATACGTTGCGAAGAACATCATGAGGGCAATGTTATACCGCGCACCTGAAAATATCTGTTTAGTCTAAGAGCACACTGCGGACTCGAGGTATTTCAAGACTCACCGACGGTCAAATCTAAGGCCTCATCCATACCAGCAATATAAGCCGCCGATATATTGCTCCTGTCTAGCAAGGACAGGCCGTAAACTACACTGAGGAAAGGGATAATACGGAAGTCGATCTTTCGGCTGCGGTAGTTTGTCAACGGAATGTATCCATGAGCCCAGTTCTTCAGACTCACATCAATTTGCGTTCCTCAGCCTCGTCCCAGTCACCGATAGTGTCAGGGGCATTAGTGATGTCGATATGATAGGCGGTCTGGCTGTCCTCTTTTACGGCGGGAGTGTTGCCAAGCTCATACTTATTCTCATTTGGGGGTGATGCCATGATAGTGGTCGTTGAGATTCGAGTGGATTTTGAAGAAATGGGCAGTGCAGAATATCCTGACTTCAGTAAGACTACAGCTTAACTTGGACGAAGTAACTGGAGGTCTTTGAGCCTTCTGCGATATAAAGTCTTGATGAACTCTGAAGCTGATGGAGCTGAGGACGGGAAATCCGATCGGGGAATACTCCACACTTCCGACCCCAGACATGCGGACAAGTATGGAGAAAGTACAACGGAGGAGGCCTGTTCACTGGCGTTCAAACAATAAATCCATTACTTGGTAATATTCAAAAGTCAATCCTCCGCGGTGAATCGACCTAAGACGAGCGTATCCCCCTCTTGCGAAATCGCCGCGGGAAGTCCAGCTCCCATGGTTCATCTTGCTAAGACAGCAAACCGTTGGACAATATGATTGATAGAATACGGTAGATATACTTGGACAAAATCTAGGCTCGGCCTTTTGAGGCTGTAGAAAGATTGCCATGGCTCAGGAAAAAGGAGCACTACTACCGACACTGGATGATGTCTCGCATGAGTTCATTCCATGAAGAGCTATGGGCTTTTAGAACACGATGCATGAATTGATTGTGATAAGCAAGAGGCTGTGTTGGACTCCATGTATCCGAAAACAAAGTTCTAATGTACGTCGAGCTATCTAGCTTTTTTTTTATAGTCAATCGACCCATGGCTGATTACACTTCATTAAAGGACGAGATTCATACTGAAGGGGCTCCTGCCACTGAATTATATTTCATTTATCGATGTATTCGAATCACCATTCTGATAGAGAAAGCTACCATGAGTGGCCTCAAGATTCTCGACCACCTGATGATTGCCCACCACAAAATCTTCGCACTCCTGCAGCACGAAAAGCATTCTGGCCCATTTGACTGACGAACTGTTTCTCCAACCGTGCATCGTTGCTCGTTGAATGACAATGTCTCCTCTATGTAATGTGCACCTCTCATTGGAGTCTAGGACCATTTCCACTTCGCCTTCCAGGACTACGCCATAGTCCAGACTCTTAGTACTGTGCATGATCGCCTCTCTACCTGGAGCGAAGTCAACAACTCTGCACACAGTACCAGAGGGATTAACGAGTCCTAGTTTCCCGCCTGCCATGGTTTCTTTGTATTTTCCCAAGTCCTGCTCGTCCATTAGCTTTGGAGGGAATTCGGTCGTTGTGTAGGCGACGCATGCGGCGGTATCTTTTGCTTTTGAGCTTTTCCAATTGAGAGGGTCTTCAGGAAGCAATACAGATGCCCCGGATATAGGATTGTGCGACGTAATGTATCTCTTTATTGCTGGTAGAGGAGATATCTGCTCCATAGCTTCGTTCAAGGTCGAGCCTGTCTTGTGAGAAAGTTCTCACCGCAATGTACTTGAAGTCTAGCGGTATTGATAAATGTTAAAAATGGATATTTCTAGGATGCGGAAGGCTATCACTACTCCTCGCGGCGTGTAGCGTACTTCAATACTTGTGGCCGGCCCACGATCGGGAAATTGCTGGCTACCACGCTCAATACTCCGCGCGTGCAGCCGTTCAGCAGTCCCCACTGGCCGTAGTGATTCTCCCAGCACACCGGCCAAATCCTATTTTTGGACCTCGTACTTGACAGCTTGGGCTGATGATCACCTCGTCCCGTCCTCAAGGAATGCCCAGCGTGGAGCGTTAACCTGACCCTCTTGATCGATTGCAGTAAGCCGAATGGCCAGTGTGCCACCGTGAGAGAGCTCTAGAAGAGAAGCAGCGTCTTCTTGAAGTTGCCCAGAAATCGTTCCTGTCGAGATGAGATCAACTGTTCTCAATGGGCAACCACCAGCGGTGTAATGGACAATCATTTGGCCCGAATGAAAAGGCAATGTGGCGAGTATTCGTCCGAGCAACGAGGTGTTCCCCGGTTTCGTCTTTAGCCGTGTCCTCAACGCTGTTAGAGAGTATTAATAGACTAGAAAATTTTTTATTTGTTCACCTTTCAGTCTGACTTCGAGTGGAATGTCAAACGCGGCGTTTGTCACGGCTTCTTCTAGGTAGGGAAGAAGCAGGACTACCTGACCTCTTGTCTTAATCGCTGGGTCCCACATCGGAGTGTCTGTATCGACATGGATTTACTCACACTTGGAATTTTGCTCGTGCGGTGTTCTGTTAATGCCCCAAGACTGACTATCCACGGCGAGATTGTGGTGCAAAAGTTCTTTCCATTGAAAGGTCCAAGTGAAGGGATTCCCTTTTTTGCGTGTCCCTAACAGACCGGTGGTTGAGGATTACCACGCCGAGGATATGATCCTCAGCATCTTGAACGCGTATTGATTCCCCCATTAAGTTATCTGTACCAATGAATGCAGCAAACTCAACTTCGAAGTCAAACATACGTGTCGGGCCAAATATTGGAGTCCCATTTTGAAGGTATTGGGATCTAGGGCGAAGAACTGATGTGCCCGAGACCACGAATGAAGATGCTCGTCCGTGATATGCTGTCGGAAGGTGGTAATAGTTTGCATTCAGTCCTTGACCAGGACGAACAATGTCTACACACTAGGATTGTCAGCATACTACTTGGATCAATGAGTCGATATCAGCCTTACGTTCTTAGCGTGGTATACGTCAGCAAAAAGTCCGTGAAATTGCCGATACGGATGGGCAGATGCATTTGAATATCACATCGGTGATGAAGGGCTACTTGACGCCTGCTGTGACTGTCTCGGGGTAGCGAGCCCAAGTCTGTGTCCTTAACCATTAGACGCCGCAAGAATGTACGAACCAAGCGAAGGTTGTTCTTTTCAAGGATCGCGAAATGGTTCGGTGTAGGTAGCTTGAGACAATCAAGATTGATTGACAGAGATTCAAGAACGTCCGCTCCGATCAGAAATTTGAGATCGAGGATCTCCTGACCGATCGCTGCCCCGATTCGGGGACCGAGGTCTTTCATGCTGACACCCCGAAAGGTATCTAACATTGCTCAAATGGAAGTCGCAATTGTGAGGAACATGGGCCCATGACTCACACTGAAAAGGCTCATTCATTGCTCTAGAGGATTCAGGAGTATCTCAACCGAGATTGGGTCGAAGGTGTCTCGCAAGTATAACCTCGTCTGAGGGAGGCACGAGACTTCATATGGACTTCTACATAGGAGAAAGCCGAGCCGAGATACCTGTGTCTTCGAGAAATCAGTCTAGAGTCTGCTTGTTTGAACGAGTGAAAGGTAGTATCCTTGGAGGAAAAAAGGATCTTTAACACAAGCAAGAGTAATGGTGTAGAGATTTGCGATTTACTAAGTGCCAGAATGCTTAAAGTACTCTCGAACACTCTTCGCCCTCTCAGCCTCTGCAACAAGCTTAGATCGTTCCAATATCCCCTCAGCTGAAGTTCGGAGATCTTTCAGAAGCTTTGGTAGACTCGCCTCTTTACCATCCCTTTGCAGGTATGGTAATTGCAGTTCACCTTCACTTTTGAGTACAGCCCCATCCACAAGGACATGTGTAATGTCTGAAGAGTGAGCGTACATAACTAATGCAATAACCGGGTCATGAACAGGAGTCATACGCAAGGAGTCGCAACGTGTCAGTATCATATCAGCACGCTTGCCCGGGGTGATAGTTCCGGTAAGAGCTTCCAGACCCATACCTTTGGAGCCTCCAACAGTAGCCATCCTGAGGACTTGCGCGCACCTCCTGTTTAGCGTTTGCGGACAGGGAGGCACATCCCCTGCGTCTACATAGCGTTGGCATTGGAGTAATAAACGCATCTGATCGAACATGTCGGCAGGATTGTTGGATGTGATATCTGCACCGATGCTTGCAGTGCAGCCATGACTTTCAGCCTTGAATGCCACTGGCAGGCCCATACCCATCTGCAACTCCGTGGAAGGGGTGGAAGATACCGAAGCGCCTGAATTTGCCAGCGCAGTGAGTTCCGCGGGGGTAAGGCTTGCACCGTGGCTGAGAAGCATTCTAGAGTCCAAGAGGCTTTGGTCATCCAGACTGCGCACCAGATGTATCCCACGATCCAGCGGACCCATTGCCACATGTCCGGTAATAAGAGCCGATCCAATAGATTGTCCAAATCGAATCTCTTCTATAGTCTGCTCCAGTGGCGTCCGTTCCATTTCTGTTGGTGCATAGCCAAATCGCAAGAGACTGTCGGGCCCATTGGAAGCGAAGTGCTCCTCCCGAACTCTTTTCGCGTCCTCCCGGCGCCAGTCGTCAGTTCGATGCTCAGCAGAACCATCACTCACAGCCGGATTGGCGAACACAGGGTTGGGATACGCTCCATAACAGAAAACTCCTCGAATTCCGGACGCCCTCAAGCCCGCGACTGCTGCATTTGAGTGTGCCGGCGAATTCATGATGTGTGAATGGTCAAGAAGACAAGTGGTGCCGGCATCGATGGACTCGAGAGCTCCGCAAAGCTCTGCCAGGTACACGTCGTGTGAAGTGTAGCAAGACCCGAATTTGTTGCGAATGTTTGCTCCATACTCAAAGATGGTGAAATCTCCAGCGATAGTACGCAGCTGTTGTTGCCAAACATGTCGGTGTGTGTCGACAAAGCCGGGGGACAGGATGGAATTTGTGCCATCTATGACCACTGTTTCTGCAGAAGGTCTCTCGAGGCTACAGCCCACACATTTAATGATATTGCCTTCGATCAAGACATCGCAATGCTCGAGCACACCTACAGCCTCATCCATAGTAACAACCGTGGCATTCTTGAAAAGGACGCTTGATGCCATCATTCGATATTCTTGGTCTCTGTCGCGGATATTGTGGTGACGCCTATCACAATCATAGTAGATGTTTATAAGTATTCACTACAACTCGAAGTAGTCCGGCTTGACTCAACTGGTCTAGTCCATATATAGGCAACGGGCTGGGATCAGGGGACGAATTTGCCGCTCCTGCATGCCAAGACCCGCCATTTCCCGATCTCTTCTTCACAGGCTTCGGAGGTGCGGGCGAAGCTGGACGGTTTCCTCATCCTGTCCGCTTAATTTTCCAGGTCTGTAGGCCCGCAGAGCCAAACTGTGGCATATATGGCTGGCAGACCGAGACGTGCTTGCAGACGATGCAACACCCAGAAAGTAAGCGAGTCTCCTCAGGAGTTTTACCTTGAATGTTGGCCTGACGTGCAATAGGTACGCTGCAATGGACTACGTCCAGTATGCGCCCGCTGCGAGCGATTGGGAGTCTCCTGTGTATACGAAGATAGCCAGTGGCCGGTACTGCGAGAAGGTCAAGAGTTTGCGTCCGAAGCTCTGGTCTCAACGCCGATGCCCACTGCCTCGTGGGTGCCACAAACAGACTTCTGTGGTATACCATTTGGTCTCGTCGGCGAACTTGTGAACATTTACTTCTCTCACGTCTATAATGCCCGCTTACTCCTAGATGAAGAAGCCTTCACTGAGGAGGTGAGGTTGAGGATGGTAGAGCCTCAGATACTGCTTAGCGTTTGTGCTTTCGCGTCCAAGTATGTGCATTCTGTGCCTCAAATTATTACTCCGTGTTTCTTGCTTCATTTGTAACTCCGAGAAAGGTTCTACCGTGATGAATCTGGACATCGAGTACTTCTCGATGCAGGCCTTGGTCACGAATGGGCGAACTCATCCGCTTCCATTGCTGCGGCTCAATTGGGGACGCCACGCGAAGAAAACATCGCCACATTTCTCAATCTTACCCTTTACTGGTACAGTGAAGGTGAATGGCAGAGGAGCTTCATATACAAATGTCCGCGCTAAAGAACCTTTTCACAAGTTATTCTGGGATACTGACGGCAATACAATAGGGAATGGCATCCAGATAGCATACGTGCTTGGAATTCCAGCCGGAGGTCCTAGTACAACAGCTCGCACTCGCCAAGCGGAACTCAGGCGCCGTCGACTGTGGGCGTGTGTATGCATGATGATGTTCGGGTCTAAAGCCGATTTCATTGTGGGCAACATACCCAGCATTCTAGAGAGAATTCCTCTTCCAGGTGTCTATGAGCACCAGGTTGCAAGAGCATTGAGTGAACCCGAACCATATAATGCAGACTCCCATTTGTGCGCCATATATGCTGCTCTGATTCATATTCTGTCGCTCTGGTAAGCATTGACGTGCCGATGCCCTGCAGGCTCCATTTCACTAAAACAGTGGCGGTCAGGAATGAAGTGTACCAATTCACAAAGAGTGCCGATGTTAAACTCGACACCCTGCAAAGCCTTCATTCTAAACTGGAGGACTGGAAAGTGAAAATCTCGGAGCGATCGGACCTCGCTGTTCTGTCCGTCGAGGATGTCAACACACAGAATGGTCCGCTCCTCACCCTTATACATATCATATATGATCAGTGTCTCTGCGCCCTGCACTCTTCCATAGTCCCGCTGTTCTCGTGGGGTAAGCCTGCAGGTGGCTTGGATTATGCTCGGCAGATCTCAGCTCAAGTCGCATATGAGCATGCATATTCAATCTCCACCTGGTTGAGGACACTGCTCCAGTCGTCCCTGCCTATGGGGCGAGTACCAAGCTTTGTTGGCTATGCTGCGTATTCCTCTTGTGCCATTCAAGTTCCCTTCTTGTGGTGCACCAATACTGAAGTCAGAGCATGTGCACGAGCAAACGTGATTGAAAACCTGCGATGTATACAAGAGATGGGAAGATATTGGAAGTTCATCTCCCTTCTGGTAAGCATACACGCAGCTTGGAGCTTGTCTCCATGCACATGCCCGGAGCATTGAATCTCACAGCGTACAGGGAATTAACATCCAGAAACTTTACATGATGCACGAGGTAGCACAGACTCGCTTGGAACATGAACCGAAATACCTGAGCCAAGAGAGACTTTTGCAGTCGCCAAAGGAGAATGAACGGGCACTAGCATCCATCCTCAGTCACAATGAAATCGTGTGGAAGAAGAGTGGCGGAATGGCCCAGCGAGATGCACAAATAACGGACTTGGATGATAGTTTGGTTGAAGGCGATATACGCCCACCCAGAAAAGGTTTGTATACTCTCTTCACATTACATCGCAGAGCCACAGGCTGATATGTGACATGAACAACAGAGAATATATCCTCATTCATTGACAAGTTATCGCAGAGTGACCTGGTATCAGATCAGAACACTGTAGCATTCCCCTGTGATTTCGATCCAGAATTTGGGGAGAGAGCTCCAGTATCACCAGGAAGTCTCTACTTGATCAGTGACGAGCAACTCACATCTTTTGATAACTGGGTGGCCGAGCTAGGAACAGAGGTCGACAACCAGAATTAACCAGAATAAAAGCTGACTAAGTTCTCTATCACGAGCGACTCGTTCAAAGTTGTCAGGCCACTGTACACTTTACGTTTTGCGATTCGGCAGATTTGGCGGCATGCATGGGATCTAGCCGCGACGCACGTGGAGCTTGATGTGACGTCTAGTACCAAGTCGAAAGACATTAAAATTCTACCAGACGAACAGAATTATGTTACAGCACAAAAAGGTCAGCTCAATCTTGAAAGCTCGCGATTCGCTCAAAAGCCATTGTTGTGACTAATGACAAGCCCCCTTGGAGTCTGGCCGAGATTATTTCATGGCGGATCCTCCGTGGCGTGATTGGTAGAGATTCGCAAAGATCTCCGCGGGGAACAATTCAGAGGTTTGATGTATTCGTATTTTAATACGCATTCTCTGCAGTCTGGAAAGGCAACTCTGAAGGCGAACGCAGCTGAAATAACTCGTGAGCTTTTGGAACCGCTGACTGTGGTTTTGTGAGTGTAGGAGAGGGCGAGAACACCGGGACCGAAATCATTCCCCCGCGGAGATGCGGCCTACCGGGGTGTGGAACAGTGGGAATTCCCTCAATTGGGGGCAAAACCACCTAAAGCTTGCCCTGCTTTCTCCGGGATTCTGCAGCCTTACCAGGCATAATACATTGAAAATACACATACCCCCCTTGGCAGTGAGAGTGGCATGATATTCCTCACTCGATGGTAACAAATTTTTGTAAGCCTTGATCATCGGATGATACCTGTGGTTAATCATTATAAAATCCCCCAAAGGACGTCTGAACATCGACACCGAAGGCCTTCATCCACAGTCCAGATATGTTGGCCAGATCACAAGTGTCCAAATTTGTTTCAAGAGCAACGGGAGGAACATTACATCGCACAGTCATGTCAGCCATAGTAGCAACGAGCAACACTCGCGCAGACTTTCACTCATCACCGGTTCAGCATGGACTGAGCGAAGAGCACCAGGCGATCGTGAAGTCTACTGCTCCTGTGTTGGCTGAGCATGGTGTCGCCATCACGTCGCACTTTTACAAACGCATGCTTAACAACCATCCAGAACTCCGCAACATCTTCAACTCCGCACATCAATCTACGGGAACTCAGCCTGCAGCGCTTGCCCATGCGGTCTGGGCGTACGCCGCTAACATCGACAATCTGGGAGCCTTGACTAGCGCAGTATCTCGAATTGGCCACAAACACGCCAGTTTAGGCATCACTGCAGACCAATACCCCATCGTCGGCGAGAACCTGCTGGCCTCAATCAAGGAAGTCCTTGGAGACGCCGTAAATCAACCCGTCATTGATGCCTGGGCGGCGGCATATCAACAGCTGGCCGATATCTTTATCAACTTCGAGGCAAACCTCTACAAGAAGGCTGAAGAATCTGCTGGTGGTTGGAATGGGTGGCGCAAATTCAGAATTGCCCGCAAGATCGAGGAGAGCGATGAAATCATATCGTTTTATCTCGAGCCAGTCGACGGAGGAAAGCTACCAACATTTACATCGGGCCAGTACATCTCAGTCCGCGTATTCGTACCAGAACTCGGGGTGTATCAACCTCGACAGTACAGTCTGTCCGACACCCCTGAAAGAAATCACTTCCGAATCTCCGTCAAGAAGGAATTCGCAAAGGACCTTGCGCCCGCAGGCCGCATATCAAATCTGTTGCACGAGAATGTCCCAGAAGGCACAGAAATTGACGTCAGCAACCCGTACGGGGACTTTACTTTGGATGTCGAATCGAGCAATCCCGTTGTCTTGATCAGTGGTGGCGTAGGGATCACCCCGATGCTGTCAATGCTCGGCACTCTGACCGAACACGCTCCAACGAGAAAGGTCGTCTTTGTCCATGCCACGCGCAGTGGAAAGGTTCACGCGATGAAGAATTATCTTTCCCAAATTGTCAAGGACAACCCACAAGTATCGAAGGCGGTCTTCTATGAAGAAGTCGGTGATTCAGATGAAGAAGGAAAAGACTTTGACTACGCCGGTCGCATTGACGTGGAGAAGATCAAGGACAAGGTCATCCTGCCCGACGCCGACTATTATCTCTGTGGCCCCATACCTTTCATGCAGGCACAACAAAAATCCCTCGAGGCTCTGGGCGTCCCCTCAGAACGGATCCATTCTGAGGTCTTTGGATCTGGTATTGCATAAATGGAGATATGCTGGAGAGGCTATACTGGAAACGGCGCACTGTGCATTAGCGGGGATTAGAATTGAACGTGAATTTAACTCAGCATTTTGGACACTAATTCTACCCGTTTCCTGCAACACACACTAGAGCACTAATCACCGTGAGCGAAGATTTGGATTTATCCCTGCTCAAGCTCGATCTCACGAACCTAAACACCTGCTTAAACTTCATGAACGGTGATTGTACTCGAAAACTTCGAATGGCGGTCTAGAAGGTGACTTCTGGAAGTTGGATAGGCTTTTCAGCCCACCTGACTCCAATATAAGTCGTTATGGCTACATTAAAAGCAGAGAGCATTGCAAACGCGGCCTTCGTAGCTTCTTGCTACTCACTGGCTATGGGTGTAGCTTGCAGCCAGGACATGGAGCCGGAGGTTGCACGCTCTGGTAGATGTCTGGCCTCGGCTTGCCGGAGACATTCAAATATCCCACAGCGCCTTTATCCAGCCTGAAAATAGCATGGTCCACCAATGTCATGGTACCCGGGACGAGCATATGCATGTCAACTATGGTAGCGCCGCCCGGTGGAACACTGAGCGTGGACGTGAACTGCGCGGGAGGGCTCAACACGTCGCCGTCGCGGTATGCTCGTCGAAAGTTGCCACCGATGACGTGGAAGGAGCTCGTCAAGTTTGGACCGGCGTTGCCAAAGAAGATTCGGACCGTATCATTCACGCTGGCCTTGAGTGGCTTGTCGCGTGTTAGCGCAGACTCCTTGCCGTTGAAAAACACGGCCTCGGGTTCTTCTCGCAAGGCGTTGGGGTACGAGAACTCGACCTCGGATGACTTTCTCCCGTCGTCGTCCACCTCCGGCGGTTCATGGTACCATTCGCTTTGCATGACATAGTATTCCTTGTCTACGGTCGGGAGGTCACCCTCGGCCGGCTGGACGTACATCAACCCGAACATTCCATTGGCGATGTGCACTGGTACTGGCCCTGCTGCGCAATGGTACACAAACAGCCCCGGACATAGCAACTTGAACCTCGCCGTTTTGGACTGATTGAGTTCGGTCGTGGTCACTGCCGACCCACCCCCGGGGCCCAGAAATGCGTGGCTGTCGATATTGTGTGGCATGCCATTTTCGTCCTTATTGGTGAGCGTCAACTCTACCACGTCGCCCACTCTTGCACGTATGAATGGACCCGGAACTTGATCATTGAATGTCCATTGTTCGTATTTGTAGGCCCCTGTCAGTTGACTCTTCTTGACTGTCGTGCTGAGATCGACTCTTAGAACCACAGGATGGTCGCGTGTGATCCGAGGAGGGACATTGGGAGCGGCGGTCAGAATTGCTTCTTCGACGGGCAATCTGGTAATGTCCAATGATTCGTGCTCAAGGTGGGCGTAGACGTCAGCTAAGTGTCCCTTGGTGTTATGAACAGCATGCTTGATGTTTATTGGAGCTTGATGCGGTACAAGTCGTTTGTCATGACCATGAGGGTGGTCTCCGTTGATGTACTTGTCGTGCTTAACAGGGCTTTCCCCTGCGGGTGCTTCTGCGTGTGTGACTCCGTGCGGAAGAAGTAGTAAGGAGAGTACGCCTGCGCCAGCTATGACTGTCGTTAGCACAGTTCGACGTTGTCTGAGGGGTTCATCTGTCGTAGACTTGAAGATCTGCTTCGTTTGTGTGCTGTGGAATGTCCTCCATCCTATGTATACACTCGGCCTGCGTGCTGCTGTGCCAGACCAAACTCGCATAAGTCTAGGCTGAATTCCATACATGTCGATGATCGAGGGTCAAGCAGCATTTTGTGAACGTGCTGAACTTTTTATACAGTAATAGAGAGAGAACTTTAAGAAATTTACTAGTTCATCTTGAAGTCTTATGACCTTTACAGTCAGATCCAGGTCCGCGGAGACGTCTAGGAATGGTCTGATTCTTCCAGGCTTGGGATCCCGTCCGTGCTATTGTTTTAGCCCTCATTAGCCATTTCGAGGATATAAACGCGAGTCTAGGCTGCATTTAGGTATATGAATCGATACTCTTAGTAAGAAAATAGATGGAATGGCCACACAAGTCAATTTCCATGGGCGTGGAAGTATTCGTACAGTGCGAGATTTCCAAAAGCTTTAGGATCTCAGAAGCTTGCTCGATCACGATATGCACCAATTGAGTCTTTGATGGGATACGCGACCTGGAGGTCATGCTTGTTGGTAATAGGCCCCGCTGAATTGAAGGATTCCATCCTGACACATATGTCGAGCTGTGATACTCTGATCATCGCTCGCGGTCGACAGTCCAGAAGGATGGTTGCTCATACCAGGGGGTTGCTCACGCTTTTCTTTCTGACTGACCTCTCGATCAAGCCAGCCATTCAGGCCCGGCGCAAAGAATAGTTTGCCCTGCCAAATGCCTAGTCGTAACCAGAATCAGCCAAGCAACGGAGGTGTGTTCCCAAACATACCCTTATAAAAGCTCATTGTAGCGCACAATAACCATAACGCAATTGTGACGACTGAACAAAATGCACCCCATCCCTTGATACCTTCGCTGCGCAGGTCTCGGCTCAGTGAGTTCCAAGCATTACTATACACACCGCATGGGAAGACAAAACTCCAAAAGCCTGATGTTTCCATTAGCGATGTCAAAAGATCTAGAGTCAAGTGCTACTGGCCGACGTTGAACTTCTTCGGCACCTTAGCGAATACCGATAGGCATGCTTCGACCACAAGAAAGGAGGCGATCCCGAGCTGAACCAAGGCCACTAGAATCCCTATCCAGTGAAGCACCTCAGAAATAGTAGCCAATGTTGGCTCATCGTTCGGTACATGGGATGTGCGTCCCAAGAAGAATCTGTGCTTGGTGATGTGGCTTGCGAAAACCATCGCCAGCTGCTGGATCGAGTACGCTCCCATCCCAAAAGGGCCAACCGGTATGTATGTGCTAGTTATCGCTTCTCGTGGCGGAAGTTGAAAACTCATTAGCCGCCACAGGTACAGGGGTAAAATGATCGTAGACATGCCGACTCCCACCGACCACATGAGAAAAGATGTTACCAGGACTGTGACGCTATTCTTATAAGCGAGTTGGGGCGCGATGGCTCCCCCAACGGTTGATTCGACAATGAGTGGGATAAAAGTCAAGAACCAGACCCCGGTAATATCGGAGAAAGAGTGCTGAGGCTGACGCTCGTACATGAAGAAAATACCGACGCAAGCAACGAATATGCTAGAAGCTGCTGCGATCCAGTACATGACTTCCGCAACGTACATTGCTGCTTGGTGATGCGAGTAGAAGCTGGCTATTCCCAAGATGATGGTCTCAAATGCGACGACCATAGTGCCCAGATAACTAGTTTTCGAAAAGTCCTTCAAAACGCTTTTGGCGACACGTGGATACATCATGGCACGGAGGCTACTCAACACCATGAAAAAGGCAAAGATGCAAATGTCAGCAATCTGTGCACAAATTAGCAGAGGGGAACGGCATTGATGATCTTGTCATTGAAGCATGTACCCAAAAGATGTATGCCATGGTTTTAAGCCATTCTGCTGGATACGGAAACTGACTCAGGAGCTGCGCGCAGACCCCTTGGAAGATTATGGTCAATGAAGGTCGAACAAGCTCAGAGAGCTATTTTCCTTGCTGCCAGTAGGCTTACCTGTTCCCATGCACACCGAGAACCATGACGGATCGGCAGTCAATATGCGCTGCAGAAGTAGATTAATGCACATGTCCTGCTTGGTACGTCAGGGTGTCGGTGGTGATGGTACAGACCTCTCTCCATTCGTGTGGGCTGAACCAGGTTTTCAAGTTCGGCTTTAGAGCTGACATTTGGCAAGGTGAGGTTAATTGACTACATAGCCAAATAACGATCCCATTACAGCAAGCAACGCCATTTTGAAGGATACAAAAGAGCAAAAAAGGTCTGTGCAAACTGTGACTAAAGCTCCGAAGGTTAGTGGAGATTTTCAAAATACCCCTCGGGTAATGCTCGTGGTCTCGAGCAACCTGAAACTGAACCTCCTCGCCAACAGCTTTTGACCGCGGAGAAGCTCGACCAAAGTGCGTTCAATGATGTCCTAGCGTTAGTATGACAAAACAAGTCCTCGTTTGCACTCAAATCTTAGATCACTTGACATTGCCATGTATGTCCATCGGCCGCTATTAGACGGGTTGCAACCACTAGACAATTTGATTGTCAGGGGTCCAAGATGATGTATTGTCGAGTCTGGTCTCGATGAATAGGATGCTACCCTCTATCAATACTCATGAGAGGCCGGATTGTTTGAATACGAAGACCGTTCACGCACGTGCCCACTAGCAAGACAGAAACGTGAATCCAACCGCGGCCGACGAGAGCATCCCCTACGCGTGCGGTTTGGGAACGATTCGCTTCAGGGAAGGAAAAATTATTAGGAATCGCCTGGCCTACTGGCTCACGGATACAAAAGACGTGGATAGTCTACACCAAACTTTCGACATCATTCAAAGTTCTCTACTTCCCTCTCCAATGACGCCCGTGACCCTCTTCCACTCCCCGCCCACGCAGATGGTCAGAGACAGCAGTGCAAGTCGGCTTTGGACCGATTGTCCAGACAACGCATGCTGACTACTCCCCTTTGACGATTTCCTCATGGTGTTCGACTTCAGAGGCGCGCTCTTTAGGTCGATGTGGATCTCTATCCAAGTCTTCAATATCATGGGTCACGCTTCTGATCATGTCACCCTTGCTGTCATAGTGCATTTCCATGGTGAAGGACAACTTGACGGCTTGACGAAGGTTCTTGGAATCACGGAAGATAAGGTCCACTTCCTCCAATGAACGACCTTTGGTTTCTGGGTAGCAAAAGTACATGATCGGCAACGCGGCACTGTTGAAGACGGCGAAGATGAGATAAGTGCGCCATCCGATGTTGTTAAAAGCGACAGGTGTGATCATGACGACCATAAAGTTGCAAATCCAATTTGCTGAGGTCGAGAGCGCGTTGGCCGGAGCGCGGATTCGCAGTGGCGTGATTTCTGCCGGATACAGCCACGAAACTTGCGCGTATCCGATGCCAAAGAAGGTGTTGAAAACGAACAGGAAGGCAGCAGCAACGATGCCAGGGCCCCGGCCGCCGATGCTGTTCATGATTGCGAGTATGACCATAGCGAATGCTTGTCCGGACGACACAGTCATGAGCACTTTCCGTCTACCGAAATACTTGACGAATGGAATTGAGAAGAGTGATGCCAGGAAGTATTGAGTGCCATTACCAGCAGCAAGAAGTCTTGAGACCCCTGGAGACAGCCCGATTTCGTTCTGATAGATCACCGCCGCATAATATGTGATGATGTTAATACCAGTCAGCTGGGAAAGGATCTGGATGCTGACTCCAAGAATCATGCGAGTACGGTTCTTGAGAGACCCTTGGATGAACATGTTATTGAGACTTCCTTTCGCGTCGACTGAGTGAACGGCTCGAATTGCTTGAAGTTGATCAGCCACGACTGGATCTTGTTCGGGCAGATCGTACAGGGCGCTGATGACTTGGGCAGCTTCCTCGACCCTATCTTTGTGGACGAGCCACCTCGGCGATTCTGGCATGACAAGAACCATGACTAGAACGATCAGGGCGAAAATGATCTGGAAAGCGACGGGGAATCGCCACGCGACTGAGCTTGTCTTGACAAACGAGAATCCGTAATCGATCCAGTAGCTAAGACAAACGCCTGCAATGACCATTGATGTTCCGAAAGCGACCACGGGCCCTCTTTGGTGGGGTTTGGTAGTTTCGGATTGCCAAACAGGAACAGTCGAGCTGTCGGATGGACTGATTAGCATGAAGAAGCAAATGAATGACAGAAAAGGGGCGTACGTACGTGTTGATGCCAGTGCCGAAACCACAGACAACGCGTCCGACAATGAACTGGGGCAGTCCAAACGATGCGAATTGGAGGATAGCGCCGATGATGACGAACGTACAGCCTATGAAGATAGTTCGACGACGTCCAAAGACCTGGCCATACCGCATGGCGGTAAGGGCGCCCACAAAACAACCCAAATTATAGGAGGATATTGAAACGCCTGTCCACATCAGTCTTCATTGACTGACGCTTGACGGCATAGAGGTCGGGAGGAGTACCTTGGATTGTCGACACATGACTATTCTCGGCAGGCGACCTGAGAGCATTACACTCCTTTGTAGTGCAAATCTCAGGGAACACATTGGTGAAGGATGGTAGCGTGAGGAGCCCACCCATGACACCCTGGTCGTAACCGAACAATCTGTGATGTACCTGTTAGCAGGTGCTCTCACAAATTCTAGCTCAAGGCCCAACGTACAAGAATTCGGTGCCGGCTACAATCATCAGAACTGTGTTGAGGCGAGCGCCTCTAAGGCCAAGAAATGGTGATCTTGCCATGGCAAAAGTGCTGTGTATGGTTTGTTTGCGGTGTTTTGGAATCTACCCTGTATCCCAGGGCGAAAGTGATCAGAACTCTGAGGTGAGGTGGATCCATCTTCTTTATAGACGACAACACTTGTTTGTGGTCTGCTAGAATACAAGAACAGCCCAGACTCTGAGGAAAGCCTCGGCATAATCCAGGCAAAAGATTGTTTTGACGCTTTCCTTGACCGAGACTGTCAAGTCGTATCGCAAATACCCCGGGATCCTCCAGATCTCCAGCCAAGCGGAGACGTATGACATGAACCCCGGATCGTGTGGTGAGGGAATTCGGCTAAAACCATTTTGCGTTGTTCCGAGCTCATGGGTGAAGATCCCCCTGAGTTGGAGGCTGGAGCTGGGCACCACGCGGCCTTGCTATGGTGCCATATCTGGTAGCATCTTGGTGACACTATACAACAGACTCTCATGAGATGATACTCATAGAAGTCTATCGTCTGGGGGATCGCTTCCTGTAACACTGGACTCGAAGGCTTAATATGGAGGAAAACACTGATGTCGTGGCTTCTCCTTCAAAGGCATCAGGTATGTTAACCCTAAATCTGGATTTCTAGCCGTACCATAACGCACGGAGGAATGTGGTCCATGAATTTTTCCAAAATCTGCTCTCATGACTGCTCTCACCAACCAGCATGGCGCCCGGGTGAAGCAGCGTAGTCAGGTGTGCTCCACTACGCGTGCTGACGATGCATCTGAAGATTCAAAGAACTTACCCGAGAAAAGTAGGCCGGCTCAAGTCTAGATGAGACGCCTCTAGAGAGCGGCATATGGTATTGATTTATGCTGCTCTTTATAGTCTGCGCAGAGATAGCTAGGAACCCTCATCTAGGACATATGCAGTCATCAAAGCCCCTTTTTCGCGACCAACAACTAACATTGAAAAAGGTTGCCCATCGCTACAATAACCATGGGCAGCGCGGGAAAGATGCTGTATATTGCCGGCGGCCCTGGAGGAAACTCGATCGGCCCAGCAATACACACATATGTTGCTAACTCGTTGGGCCTAGACTGGGCCTGCGAATTTCTTCGTCTTTCCGACGTTCACGACGTAATTGAGCTTTTTCGTCGGTCTGACTTTGCCGGAGGCTTAGTGACCATGCCACACAAACGCACTATCATCCCTCTACTTGACTCGGTCGATGCTTACGTCAAAGAAATCGGAGCCTGCAATTTCGTGGTCCGCAGGCCCGATGGCCATCTGCATGGGAGCAATACCGACTGGTCTGGCATCAAGAGCGCCCTGGATGCGTGCAGATCCCCCTCGTTACCAGCTAGGGCTTATTCAGCCATGGTCTACGGAGCCGGTGGCGCCAGCAGGGCAGCGATTTATGCTTTAGTCGCCGGACTGAACTGCAAAGAGATATACATTGTCAATCGGGACGAGAAGGAAGTTGCAGAGTTGGTTGCGGATGTCAATACCTACACAACCACCAAGCCGAAGCTCACTCATATAATGAGCGTGACACAAGCTGAAGCAATGAAATGTCCGCAATATATCATCTCTACTGTGCCGGATTTCGAGCCACAATCATCCGAAGAAATCACTTGCTGCGAAATACTCCATCACTTTCTTGAACGAGCTTGGAGTCAAGAACATGTTCTACTAGACATGTGCTACCACCCACCTCTAACTCGCAATCTCAAAGCTGGGGTCAATGCATCCTGGACGGTCATACCGGGTTTTGCCGTTGTTGCACACCAATTCGCTCAGCAATGGGACCTTTGGACGGGACGCTCCATTAATACTGAGGCAGTCTTCAGCATGTGTGACAGATTGATTCAAGAGCGAGAGACGAAGATACCGCAGGAAGTGGTAACAGCTTAATCTGGTCCCCTGGTATTCTGGCCTTTGAATCGATTCGGGACGGCATTTAAGAAGATAAAATCTAGAGTTTTAGATTGTTTCGTTAGTGTGGCAAAGAGGAATTTCCACGTACAATTCAGCTATCCCACTAGGTTCCCATATGAACAAAATGTTTATCCAGAATCAAATGAGTTGCACAAGAACTTAGCCGGCTCGAGCTGAACTACGGAAAACTGTCGAGAATGAGGAAACTATTACATTGCGTTCTATCGTGCTTCTCGCTTGACATCTAGTCTCATCAGAACAAAGTCAATATGGGCGTCTACCACATAGTACTATTCAAGTTACGGCCGCAATACGAGACGGAAGTATTTGAGTACTGGAAATCGGAAGTGCACAAGTTGGTTGGCGTCGTGCCAGGTATACGAGTTTGCTAAATGCCATCATTATGTTCTGACACAAGATATGCAGGCTTGAGATACGTTGATGTAAGCAAACCACTGCCGGAGACGGCCGACCGTACGAGTGGTTACGACGTCTCTCTGGTTGCAGTGCTTGACGAGGCCAAGGACGCCTTGGTCTACGCACATCATCCAGCTCATGAGAAGTAGGTTTACCCAAATGGCAACCTCCTCGTTGTAACAACAGTCACTCAATGACCTTGTCTGACTAACACAAACTTGCAGGATCATAAAAGAGTGTCGGCCAAAGCTTTTCGAAGACTTGCTCATCTGTGACATGCCGTTCATGGATCGGTCTTGAAGAAGAACATTTACATATGAGCATGATCAGCGGGGTCGAATGCTCCCTTGACCTCATTGGAGTGATTTATGACGCCTGTGGCATGGTCGGCAGTTACGCTGGAGTGAGCAATGACGGCGTGGGGGAGTGGATTCTCAGAAGGTATAACCTAAGGATCTTCCAAAGAGGTCATTATCAAGTCTGGGAATGCTTGTTAGCTCAGAAAACACCGTGCACCAAGGGACTCACATTGAGCAATCATCTAACTCATCCATAAATTCGAGGAAGGGTGCATCTGCAGCGAAGACGTGGCTATCAATGAATGTTATATCAGATTCTGGGCCCTTCTCGCGGATCGAGTTTCCGAGTTGGCCAACATTCGTGTTTAAAGTCGCAGTGTCCTGCTCTGAATGCTCCTGCACGGCTGTCACAGAACTTCTAGGTTGTAAGTCGATTTGAGACGACCTTGTGCTAGGGAGAGGGCCGCCTAGCCCGGTATCCTGTCTCCAGGCATTGTTGGATTCGCTTGGAACCACACTGGAGCAGTCATCAGCTAGCAACCTCGTGGAGAGTAAATATAATACAGGAAAGCTTTTGCGAAAGTGTTCGTCGCTTCTCAGGTGTTGGAGAGTAGGCTGCGAAAGTAAGGGATAGTCGATCCATTCTGACGTTCCGTCGCCTGCTTGTACCGGGGGATTGTCTGCCTCAGAACCCCTTTTCACCAAAACGCTGTACATGATACCCAACCCCATGAAGCTCGGTGGTAGAACAAGTAAATTAAGATCTTTATTTCCAAGAACTGTGGCCAGTCCGGTGCGTATCAAGTAATTTGAAAGATCATGCTTCCATTCATCGAGCTCGCATCTGTCCAGTTCCCACGGAAGGACCTTAGTATGTAAATTGCCGTTGACGAATCGCAATAGCTTTGTTTGTAGAATGAGCATGCCAACAGAGTGTGTCGGGATGTTTGTTGTCGTGTCTAAGAACATGTCTTGATCCTGTACAGTCCTCGGACGTTGCCAGGGTTGCCATTCCTCAACCCCATTTTCGTCGAGCTGCAAATACCTGACCACTTCATTGTAATGTAGCAACGGAGTTGCTTGCCGACCAGCGGATGAGATCGTGACGACGATGAAGCACACAAGCCATGCTCTGGCTACCGCGTCGTGCGATGCGGCGGTTTGCTGTTGCTCTGTGATCTCCCGCAACATTTGTACGGTGATATTCATCAGCCGCCACGCTGCTGTAGTAGCCCCTGAGCCGAGCCGAGTAAGTGCTAGCAACACTCCGCACTGTATGTGTCCAAGCTCTACTGGTCGATCCGAGTCCAGCGGCAACATTGAATAGGCTTGCGCATAGAAGTCGTCGGAGTGGAATTGAGCGTCCTGGCGTGCATGGTTGTCTGTGAGAAGATGACTGAGAGATGACGAGGAGTAGGCGTACACTGCCCACAGGGCTGCTCGATCGCCACAGTCTCGCAATGGAGAGCCCACAGAATACTGAAAAGCTGTTTTCAGCGTAACATGACGCTCAAGTATGGGGAGCCACGACTGTCCGCAGCGGAAGAACAGCTGCAGGAGCTGAGGGGCATAAACTGGAGGCTGGATGCCAGAACCAGTTCCTTGCCACCGAAGTTCTGCACCTAGGGCCTTTGCTTGTGATTGAGCCTCTGGGGGAGTTGTAGCCTGCTGGAGTTGGCCCAGCCGGTGACGTTCGTTGCTGACGACTACCCAACATGGTTTGCTGTCAGAGCCAGATTGAAGCTCGTCTTGAATTCCTCCCTCGTCACCATCGGCATGCTGTTCGTCGTCATCATTGAGCAGGACATCAATGTGTCGTGCTACATGGCTCTGCTTCCACTTATCAAGGAGCACAGAGGCAGGAGCGGTAGAGTCGGTGCGGTCAGAACTTGCAGTCAAGTCTTGTTTCGAAAGACGGCCGAGGAGCTCGTCCACAACTGACTCGACATTCCCAACTTCGCGGAATGTCAGACCCCAGAGCAGTTCCAGGACGCGCACATAGCCACAACGAAGACCCCGGCGCTTGAAGCGCGCTTCGTATGTACAACGCTTGTCTTGTTGTTTGCAGGTTGTGCACGTTGGCTGCTGACCGTCACAGCGCAACTTGGCGTAGCGGCAAGGAGCACACGCCCGAGAAATCCGCTGTCTCTTTCCTGCCCTTCTGCCACCATCTTCATCGGCTACGTTATTTGCTGCATCTGACTGCATGTCAATCCGTGAGCTGTGTGAATTCCTCCGGGGTTGCAGAATGTATGATTAAGACTGCAAGCGACAATAGTCTTTTCTGGGGCCAGCCTTAGAAGTCTTAGGGGCTTGCACCTTGTTCTCATCCCCTGATGCCCGGACCCCCATACCGAGGGGTAACGGTGCCGTAAACTATTGCCGGCGATTGGTGGCTCAAAGTACGGAGTACCGAAAGGATCCGAAGGATCCTGCCTGAAGTCCGCGCCGAACGCCTCTAGCGAATGCCAGAGTGGATCGATTTCTTTCCCGAACCTTGGGGCGCAAGGGCTTCGGTGGTTAAGACTCGGGAATGACATTACCCGACGTTGAACGCACTCCGCAAATGGAGGATGCCTACGCCTTCCCTCGCCTTTTGCATGATACCCTCGATATCTGCCTGCGTACCAGCCATGAAGCGAAAGTTGACGGTGGAGGATGAACTGCTAACAGAGGGCGGCGTCGACATAACTTCCACCAGAGCAAATGGACATGTCTCTTGTGCAGGATCAAGTCTGCCTTGGCCATGCCACCGTCGACACGATCAGGATGCATCGATCGTGTTTGTCGGTCCAAGGGCTACCGGAACTTCGAGTCTAGCCGTCATCGCAGGATCGATTCTGGGTTGGAAGATTATTGATTGTGATCGCGAATTCGAGAAGCTCACCGGCTCAACGAAACAGCAATATCGCATTCGCCATGGCGCTGAAAGCTATCGCCGGCGGAAGCTGGATGTTGTTGAGGAAGTGTTGGAGGCTAACACGAAACGGTGTGTCTTTGCTTGCGGAACCATCACATCGTGGGAGGAAAATCGGTTCTCCCAAAGATACGCGCAGAAACATCCTATTGTGTATGTCATTCGGGAAAGGAAACTGATCCAGAACTATCTCGGACTGGCTGATGAAGGGGGTTGGAACAATGCTGTTGAGCATATGCACTTCTTCTTCCGTCAGCGAAGCAACTACGAGTTTTTCAATCTGGACGAAGCCGAAGAGCCACAATGGCAGACCACGCTCACGACTTTCCTGCAAACAAAGTCTCAGACTCTGTCGCAGGCTCCGCTGGTGTTGCGCAAAACTCGGGCACATGTCTCGATTTTACTGTGCAATATATTCGGACCAACGTTTCAGACCAAGCGCTACACAGACATTCAGAAGTCTTCAAAGCCCGGGCCTAGGCTTCGGCAGGGTTCGAATGTACTATTTATTGATCTCCGCGACATCAAGGGCAATAGTAAATACTTGAAGTCTCTCGACACCGGTCACGATGCGGTCCAACTAAATATCACTGGCCCCCTTCATGAGTGGCATTCAATCTTGTCGACAGACACGCTGGCCTGGGCTCTGGCTAGTGTCCGCCGACAGCTAGATATACCGGTAATCGTCAATGTACTGACTTCGCCTGACTTGGGCACCTCACCCCCTAGCAACCAGCCGAAGGTGTACGAACTCCTTCTGCATTCGATACTACGACTTGCGCCGGAGTATCTCACGGTTGACTTGCGCTCACCAGATCAAGTCATTAGCAAAATCGTGCAAACGAAAGGATTAACGCAGGTAATCGGCTATCTCCACGTTGCCCGATCTCTCGAATCTTTTCAGCAGTCGGGTGACGTACTGTCGCTCTGCCGTCGGGCTCATGATCTGGGGTGTGATGTGGTCAACTTCTGTGGCTTTTCCACATCTCTCCAGGACAATTATGTTTGCCAACAAATATCACAGTCCATTTTAAAGCTGGGACTTTCTACCCCTACAATTGTCTTCAATGTTGGCCCCTTTGGCCGTCTTTCACAAGTTGTCAACACTCTGATGACACCTGTTATACCTGATGGGGATGTTCAGGAACCAAGAGAAGGATCAATAGCAAAACTTGGGCTCGCTTCGGCTCGCCAGCTAAGGATAGCATGGCACATGCTGGTTCCTCCTAGAAGAAAGCAATACTATGTCTTTGGAGCCGAAGTCAAGCAAAGTCTTTCACCTTCCCTGCACAACGCGGGCTTCAAATCATGTGGATTGCCCTTCACATATCAACATTATGAATCATCCGACCTCAGCAGCATCAAAGAAATCTCCTCACAAGGGTCCTTCGGAGGCGCGAGTATCAGTCTTCCATTCAAGTCTCAAGTTCTCACGTTGGTCACCAAGCAAAGTCCCGCGGTACAACTGATTGGAGCCGCAAATACGATTTTGCCTCTTTCCAATTACTCTGACAGCCTCAAACTTGGTCAAGACAATCTTGAAGATCTGGACGAACCAACCCTCCTTATGGCAGAGAACACAGATTGGATGGGTATCTACGGCTGCATCGCCAAACACTGCACACCGGCGAACCACATCACGAAAGAGACTGCAGCCCTTGTCATGGGTGCAGGCGGCATAGCTAGAGCTGCCATATACGCACTCGTGCAACTCGGGGTCGGGCATATCGTCATCTTGAACCGCACATATGAAAATGCGCTGCAGGTGAAAGAGCATTTCGAGCATACATGCGGTGATCTGCAGGATTCGGACGCTGAGGAAATATCTTCGGCGCAGGCAACCTACAAACCAGCCTTCTATGTCCTGAAGTCCTGTGACGAGCCTTGGCCGCTGCGTGCCCGCAAGCCCAGCGTCATTGTTTGCGCTATACCAGCAAGAGCCACAGAACCCGTTCCAGAATATCCTCCCGAGTTGCCACACGATTGGTTCAGTAACCCTACAGGAGGGCTCATTGCAGATGTAAGTACAGTTACATGTCGAAGATTCGACGCCACTGACATGAGAAGTTGACCTGGAAGTGCCGAGCTACGAGTCTGGGTAAACAATTGCGGGAGAAGCCTCGCGGATGGGTCTGCATTGACCCTATTGAGATTCTGTACGAGCAAGGCTGTGCGCAGTTTGAGCTGTTCACAAAATGCAGGGCTCCCAGGAAAGCGATGCTTGATGCTTTCTTGTCGCAATATACAGTCACGCATGGGTCTGGCGGGGTCACATAAAAAAGTGAATCCCTTCATGCGACGACGGTTCATCTGTTGTCGGCCCGTATCCTTTATGACTGGATTCATTGTTATGTTTAGATGTAGCACTAGTCTAATACCGTATGACACGATTAAACCTCAAACAGTACCCTGTCAGGTTAGATAGACGTGCACGCGGCAGCATCTTTTGCTAAAGGCTGTTTACGGTCCCTGTTCTAAAGTCGGTAACCTACCCATGTGGACCCTGAGGAGGTGATGTTGGCCATTTCATGCACGGGTGAATTCACCGTGGCCTCTTCCACCATGCCAATTGAAGCTAGGAGTACTCAGGTTCTAGCTGCTCCTCCCTTTAATTACGGTGCCGGAACTTTTGGATACAGGATCAAAGCCAAATATTATACACAATACTAGTACACCGGTACAAGCTCAACCTTTAACTCAGCTCTCAGCCAGACCACAAACACACAAATTTGACCATGGCCAGCAACAACCATAGAACCCCCACGAAGGACCTGTTCAGCCTCTCAGGCAAGACCATCATCGTCACTGGTGCAACTGGAGGTATCGGACTCGTGGTTGCCACCGCATTAGCAGAGTCAGGGGCATCCGTGGTATCTATTCAGATTCCCAATGACCCTAACTCGGAAAGTCTGCGTCACGCTATCGAGGGAGCAGGACAGTCCTTCCAGTCCTTCGAATGCGATCTGCTTAACGCAGCATCTATCAAAGGGTGTTTTGAGCGCGTCTGGGCAGCCGGCGTCGTTCCGGACGTCCTTTTCCATGCTGCGGGTGTCACCCATCGATCGATGATCGTTGATACCACTGTCGAAACATTGACTAGGGTTCGCTCTCCTTGCTGTTTACGCATTACTGTTACTGCGACTTCATACAATGACTAATGTTTCTTGAAGGTGATCGACCTCAACGTCAAAGCAGCCTACCTAGTATGCCAATCATTCGCAGCCCGGATGCTAAAGCTCGGCAGAAAGGGCAAAGTCATCACCATCGCGTCCATGGCAGCCGAACTTGTGCAGACCAACGTCTCCGTCTACTCTTGCAGCAAGGCGTTTGTCAAGAGCATGACTCGGGCAATGAGTAACGAATGGGCTGGTCACGGTATCCAGGTTAATTCAATTAGCCCGGGTTGGATAGATGCCGGCATGGCCAAGGATTTGGGTGACGATCCAGAGTTCTCGAAAGTCGTCTGCGCCCGGACCTCGATTGGGAGATGGGGAACTCCAGATGATCTGAGGGGTGTGGTCATCTTTCTTGCAAGCGCTGCTAGCGATTTCATCACAGGAGCGGACATTCTTATTGACGGAGGTGTGCTGGGAAGATAAATGCCTGGTAAGGGAGTTCTCAATTCTGCGAGGCATGCGCGCTCGATGAGATAACAGCCGTACGAATGCAAGGCCGTACCCCTACTTAGACTATAGCAATTCTATGAATCTGAAGCGATAGAATATCCACACCACAATCCACAAGCTCGACCTTCTGGGTGAAACAATATCAGTTCTAGACATGAATCATCTTGCCATGTCTTCGGTGATGTTTCCCCCACTTTCATGTACCCCTCTCCCTTTCAAATCTGCCACGGTGGTTAGGTCCTCTCCAAAACCCAAGGAGTGTCTTTGGCTTACATATTTGCCTCCGTCAACGCGCAGGATTATGCCTCTAGTAGACTGTCAGGGGGCCCAGAAGCAGAGGAAAGCGAGGCAACCTACGTCTGGAAGTCATTGAAATAGTCACAAGCGAAGTATAAAACCCCCTTGGCAATGTCGAGGGGCAAACAAAGCCGTCCTAATGGGGGATAAAGGTTCTGGAATACCTTCTCATCTGGGGCGTTATTGGCAACGAAGTCATTGAAAAGCGCAGTATTGCCAATAGATGGAGAAACTCCGTTCACACGGACCCCCAAATGAGAATACTCAGCAGCGAGATGTCGGGTGATCATGTCGACTGCACCTTTGCTTGCACCGTACCATGTGAGGCCTGTGGTCGGATCTTCGGTGATGCAAGAGCTGATGTTGATAATGTTGCCAGATTGCTTTTCCAAGAAATGCGGCATGATGGCGTTAGTGGCATGGTATATGCTTTTGACGTTGATGTCGAAAACTCCTGGACGCGATCGTTAGCACGGGACCACATATTCTGCGGCATCTTCCATTTCAACGAACGGTCGTATTCACACTCAGGGACCGTGAGTGTATCTTTCCTACGGTACGTCCAGCCGGCGTTATTGACGAGGATATCGATGTCTCCAAATGTAGACTTCGCAATGTCGAGAGCTCGATCCCAATCTGGTCGTTTTGTCACATCCATCTGAATGAATTTCGCAGAACAATTGTTGGTGACTAGCTCATCAACAACGCTGTATCAAGGCTCATGGTACCCGTCAGCACAAGCTCAGAGAGTTTCAATTTAGCCCAGAGCATATCCTCACCGTAGGCCAGCTTTCTCGTTGATGTCGCCCACCAAGAGCTTGGCGCCCTCTTCGGCGAAGAGCTTCACAATACCCTCACCATAGCCTTCGAAGGGCAATCAGTCACTGTGTATGTGTATGTAACAGCTCAAAGATTGTACACATACCGCTGCCACCACCTGTGACCAGAGCGACCTTGTCCTGGAGTAGCCGACCTGGCGCCATGACGTTCCTAGTGCTTATCGAAGTGAAGGGATGATAGTATGATGTGCGAAAAACTTCCAAGACTGCACCATCTAACTGCAGTATTTGAGGTACGGTTTGCTCAAGGCCTATAACAATCACTTTGCGGATCGTGGTCAGAGCCACGGCAGACGCTTCCCTGCTTGTATGACGCTCTCAGATGCATTGTGACATTGCTACTAGCGCCTGAAAACTGGAGTTGGCGGGGGGGTTTTTCGGCTAACTCCTCGAGTATCTTTGGGTGATTTCATACCCGTGGAGAAGCCCCTGATTAGGTGGACCCGCAGTGTCAACGGCAGAAACTTCTGCTTCGCGGACTTGCAATTGTACGGCAATCTCCTTATTGAGAACCGGCTAAGATCAAACCTGTCCACCCCAACGTACAGAAGACAGAGCTTGGATTGCGATCGAAGTCAGAGGCAATGGTGGTCCACACACTGAAATCTTGTCCACGATCGATGCCTGAGGAACCAAATCAGTAATTTCGGTGGATGTCGCCGGAAGAAGGTGCTCACCATCTTGGTACTCAGAGCTGTGAAGCCTTCCTGGGAAATCCTTTCTGGTGCATACTCCATTCCCATGTCTTTTAGCAGCATCTCAAACGCCTTGTTCGCGCCCGCGGCGTTCTTGACCACGGAAACAAATGAGGGCCAATGAGCCTCCAGCTCTCTTGCAAAGGACATTGCTTCGAGTGAACCAGCAGTATGGATGCCGAAGAGCAGTGTTTGAACGTCCTGTATGGAGACTGGCTCCTTTTCTCCTTGGTGCGGCCCCTGCGGCAAATATAAATTCACTAGGCTGGTATCATCACCCAAGTCCCATTGTGCGGATGCTGCAAACTTGAATAACTGCTCTGCGATGAGAGACATGGGCAAGGAAACGGCATAGGATCGCCCGTATGCTGATATCATTGACTAAGGAGTTAGTCGATCGAGTTCGGCGCCAGAGGCAATTATGAGCTCACCAAGTCTTTCACGATGATCGACAGAGAGGATGCCGGTATCGACTTCGGATCCAGCATATGGCAAACTCGCTGCCCAAACAGCCAGCTGGCTGCATCGCTACCCATCACCTGCTCGTGAACCTCTCCGAGCTCGAGTCCAGACGCACGTGCCAATGGTGACACCTCAACAGCCGCAGCAATGTTTACGCCAACCAGAATCTGATGTGCAAGTTTGATGCGTGAAGCTGCACCCAAGCTGCCTGGAATCTCGTGGATCTGTGAACCAATGGCATGCAGAATGAGATTTATTCTCCGAATGCCTCCTATATCTCCACTGCAGAGCAGCGACAGAGTGCCTGCCCTAGCACGAGCTTCACCTCCTGATACAGGGCAATCAATAAGGGAAATGTCTGTGCGGCCCGCATCGCGAATTTCTTGCTGAAAAGCGCCGACGAAGTCTGGTCGAGCGGTTATCCCTAGGATAATGGTACTTGATGGTGGGAGGTGCCACAATGCTCCCTTTGCGGGCTCTAAGAAAAGGGCTCTTGCCTGATCAGAAGTGGCCACAACGCATATACAGCATTCAGAAGCCGCAGCGAGCTTTGAGGCACTGGAGACTCCATGACCACCTGCCTCTTCCAGCTTTCTCATAAACTCAGGGTTGATATCGTAGCCTGTGACATTGAAACCGGATCTGATTAGACTCTCGGCCATCCCGAACCCAATAGCCCCAAGGCCCGCGACACCGACTTTGATAAGAGGTGGCATGATGAAGGCCTCTTCGCGAAAATCGTTAAAAGTACAACCGTGGTTTCGCGGCAATGGCTCGCTCTTAGTCATTTATAATCAGTATGCGCTGTGGCCCATATATCTGTCCGGCCACATTGAACCATGATCTTGAGCTTGGAGCGCTATTTCTTCGTCCGAAGCTCTCTTCTCCACAGCCCCTCAAAGGAATCGAAAGGCCGGTAGAAAAATGGCAAAATGCACTTCCGCTCTGTCAGGTTCAATGTGCCTTTTAATCACCACTCTCGATGCACATATCTAAGAGTTAATGAAACTGTCAGTTTGTTTTCGACTGAGAAGTCTTCCAGGAGATTGATACTAGCTTCGCTAAGTAACAACATGTCAAAGTACGAAACCAGGCTGTGGATCAATGGCGAGTATGCCAACCCGGAGCTGGGCAAGACTTATCCGTTATACGTTCGTTGCACATCAAGGGAAAAGGGTTCCCAGGCGACACTGACATGAGGTCCAGAATCCAGCCACAGGCACTCATATCGCTGATGTGCCGATTGCAAGTGAGGCTGATGTCGACAAGGCAGTTCGGGCAGCTCAAGACGCTCAGCCCAGATGGTCCGCGACGCCAGCATATCTGAGGGCGAGGGTGATGCGAAAGTTTTCGGACTTGATCCATGAAAACAGAGAGTATCTCCAAGAGGTCAGCCGTGTATGCATTTTTAGGCTGAGGTATTTGTAACTGACTGGACTGAAGCTTGACTCGGTATGCATGGGTAAACCTGTGTGTCAGGTGGCAGAAGATATCGAGGAGGGGCGAAACATCATGAATTTCTTCTCTGGGCTGGTTGAAATTGTTCATGGCCGAACCTCTCTCAACGCGTCTGACCATCTCAATTTGATGGTGCGGCAGCCATTCGGAGTTGTCGCTGCTATCGTCCCCTGGAATTTCCCAACGATGTTGGTGAGCGTTTAGCTTCAGTTGTATCAAGCAGCGTTGTTGACAAAGTGAAGGCATGCCATGAGATTGGTCCATCTTGCGGCGCTGGAAATGCTTTGATACTGAAGGTGAGCAGGCTCCCAGCGGTTACTTATTTTCGATGTGCTGACAATTGGTTTTCGATGAGACATCGGAGAAATCGCCTCTCAGTGTAGGACCCTCGCATTGCCCCATGACCCCGACATATGTGTACTGACTGCATCAACAGGGCATATACCTGGGCCAGCTCTCTGCAGAAGCCGGGTTCCCACCTGGAATTGTCAACATCATATCAGGAGCAGGCGATACAGGATCATTGCTGTCTTCCCATATGAAGATTCGGTAAGTACGCGGGCTTGTATTGAGCAACGTCATCCTGCTAAGCCATGACAGTAAAATAAGCTTCACAGGATCAACGAATGCCGGTCGTGCTGTGATGCAGGCTGCAGCAAAATCGAATCTGAAGGACGTAGCACTGGAGCTCGGAGGCAAGTCGCCGCTGCTCGTCTTCGCAGATGCGAATCTGGAACAAGCTGCGACTTTTGCCATGAAGTCGATCACCACGAGTCAGTGTGGGCATGTCCCACTGATTATGTCCTTGTGCTAAGCATTCCACAGATGCTGGACAGATTTGTACTGCTTCTTCACGAGCGTACGTCGAGAAACCAGTGGCGGGCAAATTCAAAGAACTGCTTGCTGCTCGCTTCAAAACTCTTAATCAGGGCGACCCAAGCAAGCCAGATACTTCCCTTGGCCCTCAAGCAGACTCGAAACAAGCGCAAAACATCCTTCGCTATTTCGATATCGCGAAGAAGGACGGGGAGGTGCTGCTCGGCGGAAAACCCGCACGGGAATTTGGCAAGAATTTCATCCTCCCAACGATTCTTACAAAGATTCCCGACACCAGCCGAGCCAATATGGAAGAGATATTCGGCCCTGTATTGGTGCTGCACGAGTTTGAATCGGAAGAAGAGGTGGTGCACCGGGCTAACGATACAGAATGTCAGTCGCTCGCCCCTCACGTAGCACACAGATAGGATTGCTAACCAATGGATTAGATGGTCTTTATGCTTCGGTCTTTACGAAAGACATCAATAAGGCCATGAGAGTTGCAAGAGCTCTGGAAGCGGGGAGTGTGGGCGTCAACACCGCGTCCCCATATGGCGCCTATGAGCTACCTTTCGGGGGCTTTAAGGCATCAGGAATAGGGCGTCAGAAGGGCTCAGCGGCCCTGCTTGCATGGACCCAGGAAAAGTCTATTTTTGTGAATCATGGTGACGAGTAGCAGAAATGAAGTATATCATCTTTTATCTCTAGGTGTACAGAAGTTCTGATCATCTCTCGTTCAAAGTTTTGATTCTAGTGGTGTCAAACGCGTCACTCATGTCATCGTTGAGATTGGTACTAGCATATTTTCAGAGTAATTCTGAATGCTACTTTGATGATCTTGAAGTCGAACGGTCTGCCCCAGAGTTATCGACGACACTTGACACAAGCTAGGGTGCGTACCACTCTCGCCCACTCACCAGCAGCAGGAAGCGTATCCTCTCTCTGCTAATTCAACAACAGGCGGCCCCATACAGTGTAAAGCTAAATCATTATTAGGCTACGAGGCAGCTAGCATTCATGATTTTCTAGGAAGGGAGCTCGGCCCGGCTACGGTATGTAGATACTAACAATGTTGATCATCGATATGCCCTCCGTAACAGAAAACATACCCGGAGCTTGATCCAGCTCCAAACGCACTGGAAAAGCCACGGCTGAGGATACAGCCGTACACTAGACTGAAATCCACATCAATAATCGTTGCTTCGTGTCGTTGTAACCAAAAGATTTTTTTTAACAAGACGCCAGATCAGCTAAAAGGTGCCGCCCCGCACTGATCGCTTTCATTGCTGTTTAACGACATCGATATTTGCTTGAAGTTGTGTGACGGTTGAACAAGGCTGTGTCGACTGAAGATGGCGCCAGCTACACCCAAGGTTGTCCGCTGGGGCTTGATGGGTGAGTGGACTAAGATTCAACAATAGTGCGAATTACTTACTGATTTCATTTCAGCTACGGGTGATATTGCTAGGACGTTCGCCAAAGACCTCCTGATTGATCCCAAGTCCAGGGGAACAGAAGACATTATCCACGTTGTGACTGGTGTTGCTTCTTCGTCGTCAGCAGCCTCGGCGGAGCGTTTCAAGGAAGAGATAGTCCAACCGCGGCAACCCTCGGAAATCGCGTGCAATACGTATGGATCATATGAAGAGCTCGTCCAAGATCCAAGCATTGACCTCGTGTACATCTCGAGTCCGCACTCACATCACTATCAAAACTGCATGCTCGCGTTGAGCAATGGCAAAGCAGTACTCTGTGAGAAGCCTGTGACCGTGACTTCTGTCCAGGCACACAAGTTGTACGAGGTGGCTCGCGAGAAGTCGCTTTTCTTCATGGAAGCAGTTTGGACGCGCTTCTTCCCTCTGAGCATCACCATACGCCAGATGATCCAGGACGGGGTGATCGGCGACCTTGTCCGAGTCTATGTTAATAACTCGACTGGAACAGACCCCGAAGCTTTAGATCCATCACATCGCTACCTCAACAAGTCATTGGCCGGCGGTGCACTACTGGATATTGGGGTCTACACCCTTACATGGCTGTTTCAAACGCTTTATCACACCCAAAATCCCGAGACTCGACGCCCTCCTCATAGTCTGTCGAGCCTTGTCGAGTTTCACGAATCTTCCGGGACAGATCAGATGACAAGCTTGGTCATACGCTTCGACATGCCGTCTAACTCGAGGCTGAAGACTGCACATGGCATCGCAACTACCTCGATGGTTCTACCAGATGCAACTGCTGACGGAGGCCCCACGGTTCACATATATGGCTTGAAAGGCGAGATCCAAGTATGGGGACCCGCCCATCGACCTCAGAGCATCAAAGTGATACCCAACATGATTGGCAAAGAAGCGTTTGAGCGCAAGTTCGATATTCCTGCAGGCGGCCACGGGATGTTTTGGGAAGCAGACGCCGCGGCGAGATGTTGGATTGCTGAGGAGGTGGAATGCCGCACCATACCTTGGGATGAATCGATACTCGTCATGGAAACTGTGGACGAAATCCGGCGGCAGGCGAACATTGTCTATCCGACTGAAATTGAGACCACTGACTACCCAGTCAAATTAGACTCCCGGCCCAAATAGGCGTGGCTTTCCGAACTCAAGCGATATGAATCATGTTAAGAGTAAAAGACTACGTCGCTGGACAGTGTTGAGTGCTACGATAGCAAACGAGGTGGCCACTCCGTCCTACCTAGGTACCTTGGCCCAAAGTATCTGGCAATTCCACCCCACATCACGACCGTCCAAATTGCGGGGAGTGACTTGACTTCGAAGAACTCGAGATGAATTTTCCCATCAGGCCGAGCGCATTGGCGTAGAAGGCTCACTAATTCGGCTATGACTTGTACCGGTGATCCTTGGCCCCGTTCTGCACCCAACCTGCAACAAAGGGACGAGATGGAAATGGGCCGTATCTGCTCGTCTTCGGGCCGATTTGACTTCATCGGCTGTGAATACCACAGAATTACTTGTCAGCTATCGCAGACATGTGCTCGGTAGGTTTCCACGCACTGTTGTATTGAAGAATTGAGCCGTTTGTTATTAAGACATTGACTCATGTTCCAGCTTCTTCCCTAGGCGTTTCCCATTCAACCACCCCCATGCCATCATCCCCCAAAGATTAAAACCCAGGAAGGATGGACTTCGAGCCCACACTTGCTTCGGTGTCATTGGGAAATCCAGAGGTACACCCGATCACTAAGCGCCTCTCTGCAGCGGCAAGCCATGGCTTCAAATGTGTGGAGATCGTCGAGGCCGACATCATCAACGAAGCAAAAACCCTGGGCCACGATGACTCTGCGCAAGGTCAGATAAAGGGAGCCGAATCTATCCGGAAGATATGCGATGACCTCGGTCTGAAAGTTGTGGTATTGCAACCATTCTGGTTCTACGAAGGTCTGCTAGACCGAGCGGAGCACGCGGTGAGGATCAGGAAGCTC